GTGGCCCCGCGCTCTACAGGTCCGTCTCGAGGTCTCAAGCCTCGAGCTCCGCACGACACGCCCACCCCGCACTACGCCCGGTCCGCTCTGCGTGCGTACGTGCGTACGTCAGAGCGCACGACCACTTTACGGCGGGCTTACGGTACGCGCGGCTCGCTTGTGGGCATCATATGCACGCTAATGGCGCGGCCGGCCCCGGCGTGACCCCCCAGGACACCGAGGCACCCGTTTGCCTCCGCGTTCGACGACGGGCTCCCGAGACTTTCGCCGGATGAGTCGAGGAAGGGGGCCGGGACGCCTGTCATGCCACAGCGCTGTCCGCTTTGCGCATGAGCGGCTCGCCGGGTGAACATGTGCGCTCGTCTGCTTGCTCGAATGGGTTGGCCCTGCTGCACCCGCCGCGCTTCCAAGAGGTTGCCGCGAGACGCGCGTTATCAGTTGAGGCTGTCGGCGACTAGGTCTTTCGTGTGGCTGGCGCCTACCTGGTTGGAGTTCTGTTGTCAAGCCGCTGGTATGGTAGACTCGGATGAGTGCACCGCGATGTAGCTTCCATGTTGTGGTGTGCGTATGTGTCGGGCGTACTCCCGTGTCTTCGCTCCGCTCATTTTCGCCATCGCGCAGGGGATTCTTTCGAGCGCTGCGTTGCCTCTAGTGCCGTGATCGGACATGGACCATTCAGGTAAGGTCCAAACTTCGCTGGATGGCGTCAACGCAAAACGTTGTTTGAGAGACAGCTCTCCACAGCGCGACCAAGCCGACGTGCGTCGGCTGTTCCTCACTGAAAACTGCAACCTTGCCGTCAGCCAGGAGGATAGAACGGCACACGCTACCGCATGGATCAGAAGGTTGGGCGCGTCTGTGGATTTCAGGCGCCCATGTGTTCTTCTGTATGCGAACCACACCAACTTAGTAACCCCTCCTGCCGTTTCTGGCAGTCCGCCAGCCCAGGAGGCGCAGTACATCGCCTGTTGCGTCCACAAAACCGCATCCATGGCACGTGGTCAAATATCCTCCGCCAGCACCCCACTCTCCGGGAATGTTGGACGACACCGGATGTCCTCACATTCCAAGTACGTGTCCCAGCTTTCCGTCGATTGGACATCCCATCCTCACCCCACGGTGTCCGTCTATCCATACTCGCTTGCTAGGAGCCCACCTGCTGCCTCGAGGTCGTTCAGCGTGTTTGACTTTCACCTACATTCTCCTATTCTCCACGCGCGTTCAGGCGCCCGGCTAGCGGGTATTTCCGCAACCCAGGTCCGTTGTTGTTGTCTTTCACATCAGTGCCCACGCCTTCTTGTCCTTCCCCTTTCTTCCGTCCCCGTTGCTTGTTTCTTCTGCAGGCTTCTGGACTGCCCCATCAGACTGCGCGTGGGCCGGGACGGTTGCAAGTCTGCACTGCATTGGGAGACGGTCCAAGCTCGAGATTTCGGGATGCGATGGTGTGAGCATTTTGATCCGCTTGCCACTTGCAGACGAAGGGCATGGTGCCTAGTTTCGAGGACTTGCCCTTAGACTGGACAAGTGGACGTTGCGGGCTTCGACTCGGGCGGGGACGTGTGGACCATCACCCCCGACGAACCTGTGGACGGCTGCCGCGCCCTGGCTTCTCCTTCTCCTTGGAGGTGAGTCGTGTTCACCTTCCGTGGCTGTACTGACGAATGAGGCAACAGGACCATGCACGAGGCGCATGACGTTCCGCGGACGTACTGACTCAGTGACTGACTAGGAAGGTGCCACTGCTGGTGGGTCCATGCACTGATCAGGCCCAATCACACGCGGTACGCTCCTGCATCGCCAGGATTGGACCAACACTCTCCCACTCTCGAGGACGGGTACCTCTGCGGAAACATCGCCATGACTCGGCCACGTCGGTGTTCGGTGCGTCGTCCAGCACACGCTGTCAGCGTCAGACTGCGTCACTCCCTCAATCGACTCCGCGGAGCGTCCTCTCCAAGCTAACTCGACACAACCCTTGCTGCGACGACCGGTGCTCCGCGCCGCATGCTGGCACCCCTCCATCCCCCCGCACCTCGTGGCGGCGGTGAGGTGGCGAGCTCCGGCGCCAGCGCCGGGGACCCATACGCACCCATCACCTGCCCCGTCATGAGGCTCTGCTCCTCCGCGCCCGGCGAGGCGAGGCGAACGTCTAGCGCACCGGGGCTTGCACAGCTCAATCTCGACGCTCCTCTGTTGCCGCATCCGGATATGCGTGGGTACGGTGGGCTCTGGGCATGTCCTGTCGGACGCGCGGTAGGGGGCCGGGTGATTGGGGCGCGGTTGCGTTTTGCGGCTCCAGTTGGCTTAGCACGGTAGATCAGAGATGCAGGAAGCAGAGGTTTACAACGCATGTGCGGTCCACCGGATTCGTTCGTACGTGCACTGACCGTCGTCCGCGGCGTTGTCTGCCAAACAACATAGTGTCTGAGTGCGAAACGGTCTGCTGAGCTCCTGGGCCGGACCTCCCGGACCTGGCGGCGATCCACCATCCGGCGCGCATCGGCGTGGGAAGACCTCGAAATCCAGCCCCCAATTTTCAGGCCCCGCACGGGAGCCGGCCTCGGACCTCGAATGTCCCCGGAACCGGCGTCTGCTTTTGGATTTCGCGGATGAGTAAGCCCCTGATGTCACGTCCAGGAATTTGTCCCGGCGACTCGCGGTTTGCGCTGGACGAGTTCGCTCCTTTCGTCTCACGACGGACCTTTGTGCTCGGGCAGCAGCAGGAAACTTCGCGCTCTTTCTCCTTCTCTCCCTCTCTGCCTTGCCGTGCAACTTCCGAACGTCCGGCCCTGGTCAACGTCGTGCCTGCAAGCTCCGAGCCCGTGCCAAGCTCCGTGAAGTTTGCCCTCGACCGCCACGACGAAGTAGGCCTAGCGCGTCGGGCGTGTGCAGCAGCCGCTCGGAGGAAGTGCTCCATGCAGCGTGCGTCGGAAACCTTGTGAGCAATCTTCGTTTCGCTCGTCCGCGCTTCCCGCTGGGCGCGTCGGACATCCGACCGCACGTCGGACCCGCGCTCGGCGTGCTGGATGGGATGATATCCGAGCGCGCGGCGGACGGGGTGTCGTTTGCGATGCGAGGAGCACGGAGTTCGGCGAGGACACGGGTTTGGCGGGATGGAAGGCGGGAAGGCGGGCGCTGGATAAACTGTCGTCGGTGGACGGCTGCTGTTTCAGGCGCGTGAGTTCTCTCTCTAGCGCTGGTAGGCGAGTCTACTGTGGATGGATATGAGGCTGGTCGTCAAGTCGTCGGTGATGATCGCACAGTCTCGGCTCGTTCGATTCGTATGAAGATGTAGGGTTTGAGGTGTCGAGGATTGAATTCGGTGGCTGTATGCGCTCCATGGAGTGCTACTCCGAGGTGTCTGCGCATTACCAACAGGCGCTGATTGTTTCGTTTCTGTAGTTCTCCCGAAGGGCTGCTAGCAATGCCCAGACCCACCGGTCAACCTCACATGAATCACATCACCTCACTTGACACTGGGATGGGACAGAGAAGCAGGCCTCGGACGATGCATCTGCCCCGCAGCCGGGGAGACTTGTCTCTCCGGAATGCTGTACAACCGGCATGGAGGCTCGACGTTCAACGTTCAACACGAAGCCGCCGGATGCGGTCTCTCGATGTTTCGTGTCGATGGTTGTAGTTTCCATCTCGAGGCCAGTCCACGATCACCCCGGTACGTCGGCCCTGCTCTCCGCATCTGCGTTCATCTTCGCGCCGGGTGTCATGGCGTAACGTCGTTCGAGGATTAGCAACTCTTCCGTAGTCCGGGCGCTGCGCATTATGTCCTTGGGAGGCAGTGTTTGCTTGTCGCCCGGAGCTGTCGTCTCACCAACTCGCATTTACTCCTTGTTCTAGCCAAATAAACGTCCTCGCGGGACGGTGGCATTGGCACAACATGCGTGGTGCGTCTCCCTCTTCGGCTCTTTCTTTGTCCCCTGTTGAGTCCCGTCGGCCCAGGTCCATACGCTGCGTGCCTGTTTTAGCACGACGCGAGCCGCATACACTCTTATTAGCTGCGCGTCTGGAGGGGAATTTTGATCAGGATGGATACACGACGCCTACGAGAACTCAATGGCTATCAACCTAGACAGAAATGCTCCCCCACGCCGACACACAAACATGGGTCTTCGCCAAAATTTCCCCCTCCCCACAGGCGTCCAAACGTACATTTCGTCCGCCCTATCTTCCATTCATCATTCCTCAACCTACCTCGCGCGGCTCCGGACTCCCAACGGCCCTACAGCTTCATCCCCGCTTCATCTCCGTCTTCTGCCTTGGTGTCCGCGATACGCGTAACGCTGAACACCCAGGCGCGCGCTTACGCTGTGCAAGCAAGCGCCGGCCAAGTCTTCCTGCCATATGCAGCCGGGTTGACTCGTCGTGCCCGCGGTCTGCGACGGACTGGTTCGAAAAACCACCAATACGACCGCCCCATCGATGGTTCGGGCCGCCAACAATCGCTCAGGGCCTACGTACAGCGTGCGAGCCGCCGACCTTTGCCTATCTGGGCTCTTGCGCCTCCAGTGGCACCGCTGATCGTTGGGCGGAAGGGGTGCTCATCATCAGGAAAAACCCGTTTGCTCCAGAACGTGACTGGGCGCTCTGTTGTGCTCGCTCACTCAGAGCCATGCTCCGGGCGACTCCGGAGTGTTATCTAGCGCCGACCGGCCCTCTTGAGACCGCGTGAGCATCCGTGCCACCTCTCTGGCACGCGCGAGCATCCGCGCAGCCTCTGCGGCTCGCGCGAGCAACCTCGCAGCCTCTGTGGCTCGCGCAAGCACCCGCGCGGCCTCTGTGGCTTGCGCGAGCATCCGCCCCACCTCTCTCGCATGCCTGAGCATCCGTGCCGTCTTTTTAGCTCGCGCGAGCTTCCTCGCTGCCTCTCTAGCCGGCACGAACATTGGAGGATGCTCGGAAGTGTTCATGAGCGTGTTCCGGCTCAGAGCTCGAGCATGTGCATGGGCTATCAGAGCACACACGAGAAGTTGTAGAACAACAGATCATGTATCATCACGTAAATAACGGAGTAGTACAAAGTCGTGATGACGAAGGTAAGGATTCAAGAAGAACTTCTTGCATCTATCTAGTACGTTATCTGTCGTCCATGTCCGATCAACCTCCCGCCCCCACACAGGTATAAGATGACAACTTCGAACAATGGAGGTAACAGGAATGATGGAAGAGCGGCGACGATGATGATTTTTAGAGACAGATACCTGGAACATACCATTAACTGGGTCGGGCTCAGCACGGAACGGAGTGAACCACTCGACGTAGGCGAGTGGGTGCTTGAAGCGTGTGCCGAAAGACGCGGGCATGCAGAAGATCGCTCGCACACGAGCAACACGCAAGCCTGCAATACAACGAAAGCGTCAGTTTTGCACACCAAAATGTTACTCACAGCAAGGAACATACCCTCAATCGAAACAATGGGCCCTTCCACCGGTTCCACACCTGGCTCCCATGCGAGAACGGTGTCAAAGTGAGCGGGAACCGCGGGATGGAGAGGTCGAGCAGGCTTGTATGGTGTGGCTCGAACAACATCCTTGACGGGAACCGGGGAGACCTGGCGCATTGCGGGGAGGTACAGAGACATTCGGTGATACACCGGGAACGTCTGACTCCCAGAGATGAGGACTGTGCGGGGGCGAGAGAGAAATACGGTCTTGAGGTGGTCTTCCAGGTTGCGCACGAAGTCGGTGCAACCAAAGCGTTGGACCAGTTCGCGGATGGGGACGGCAGGAAGGGGAGGCTTTTTCGCCACAAGGTAGGGGGGAAACGTACCGTCTGAATCACCCGCGTCTTTCATCTCAATGTCGCCGTCCGCGTCCTCGCTGCTCGCTGCCACCCCTGCCGTGTCCGCGTCTGAATCCTTGCCGGGGAGATCGGCTTGCTTGGCCCAGTCGAGGAAGTGCTGAAAACGCGCGATTCTCTCCTGGCGGTTCAACCACGTTGTCATTTGCTTGATGTACGCCCGCTTGTTCGACGCGTTGTAGGCGTCTTTGGTGCAGTCGATGTGTAGACGCTCCGAGGCTTCCGTGTTGAAGCCGTCTGCCGAACCAAGTTGGCGGATGGAGACTGGGTAGTGGAGGGCGGCGTGGATTTTGGGGATGTTGTAATGGTTGCGGATGCCGAGGGAGGTGAAGATGTGTTTGTGGGCATGGAAAGCACGCCACACGGACTCGAGGCGGGCGAGGGAGCGACTAGTGTGAGCCTCGAAGTGAGCGTAGTAGATGAAGTCGAGAACTGCGCGCACAGCGCGCACAACATCCGGTTTAGCCGCGCCTGTGAGAGCGCCGAGGAAGACACGCTCCATGCCCTTGTACTCCGTCCCCGTCCACTGCGATACCAACGAGATCCCCTTCTTGAAGTGACGAAGACTGGGGTGAGATGGCATCGCCTTGAATCGCCTGTCTAGCTCGTCCGCCCCACCATCAAAAGCGTCTGTCACCCACGACACGGTATGGTCCTTGAATACACCCTTGTGTAGCTGATGCAGGATATCGGGTGTGAAGCAGGAGAAGATGTCGCAGTGAGGGTGATCCCGCCAGAAGGGATCGATGAGTTTCAGGCCTAGCTTTTCGAACTCAGAAGGTTTGAGGCCTTGGTCTTGCTCGTCGATAACTTCACATACTGATTCTGGGTCCTTCATCATGCTGTGGATGGGGTCGCCGCGCGAGTTCGAGTGGACGGTGCACTTGGGGCAACAGTTCTCCTTGCAGCAAGACACGAGACACTGTTCTGGGTGGTCGGCGACGTACGCAGCTATGATGGGATGGACTCGCCGGATGAACCCGTCTGCGCAGACCATCTCAACGCCGTCCTTTGCTGCGGCCTTCAACGGTTCCAGGATCTTCGACATACAGTGATGGAAGAATCGCCATCCTTCAAGGGAACGGGTGGATTTCTTGAAGCATTCAAGCTTCGTGACCGGTATGTACCCCACGAGAACCATTGCGCGCATGGAGGGCTGACGACGGATGCCCTTTGGAATGTTTCCTATTGTGAGATAGACAGGCCACGCTTGCTTGTCCCCTGAAAAACGCGAAAGCTGGGTCTTGTCCGATGAGAGAATGACTGGGGCGATGGTGGCTCCGGCCGGGAGGATCCCCTACACCATAACGGTACGTGAGACGTTGCCCAGCTGCTGCATGGTATGATGATACTCACCTGTGTTTCCCACCACCAGTCTGCCGTCCACATCTCCTCGATGACGATCTCCGAACCATCCTTGGATGCGACAAGCCGCTCAGGAGCAAACCTCACGACTCCGTCGAACACAGGGTTACCCAAGAGTTCACGGACAATCTCCACTGGGTCGCGGCGCCATAACTCCACGTTTTCCGTCTTCAGATTGCCGTTATCGTCCTTCTCATCGCCAACCAGCTCCCACTCGTTACAGATCCACTCCGCTGCGCCCCCAGGAAGTTGATCCAGCTTCTTCAACAGCTCGTACTTGTTCCGAAACGACAGATCCGCTGTGCGATGAACCTTCGCGAGGTGAGAATCAGGTATTGAATAGAAGAATAAACACGCACTAATGGCAACGACAGATACTCTTCAATAGCCCTCTGGCTCAGTCCGCTTGTGAAGAGCCACTTCACCAAGTCCCACTCCTCTTCGGATGCAAATGGCGAGACAATTGGCGTCTTGCTGTCGCGCTTCTGAGCAAGAAGCTCCTCAAACGTGGTACGTGCTCGTTGAAGTCGTTCTCCGGCGCGAGCTGATGCCGGATACTCCCCACGCCATAAGCGTTTAGGGAGTCCACCAGCTTCTTCATCTTCAACCTCTTCGACAGTCACCCGGCCGGGATGTGGTCGTGGAGAGGGCTGGTCAGCTTCGCCGACACCGCACTGGTGCCTGTCGTCCGGCCCTGCCGAGGGGGTTCCGGGGGATGTGAATGAGTCAACGTCGAAGTTTGCAGGTGCAGTGGCGAAGTCCAAGGGTGGAGGTTGTTGAGGTACGCCATGGAGAAGCTCTTGTATGCGTTGATTGACTTTCTGACTTCGCGCTGATCGACATGCAGAGGACTGGCTGATATGGGAAAGTACTCCTTGCGGGGTGGGGAAGTCCTTGCCACAAAACTGACATGCGTGGCGGCGTGTTCGACGAGACATTGAGGAGGATTTACGGGGAGGACTGGCCAGTGAGGTGAGTTTGAGCTCTCTCGAAATTGCGAGCTGATGAGCATATTGCAGCGGCCACGGCAAAATCCGAGTCTCCGAAACTCCGCCCACCTGGACTCGCCCCGCTGGCAGCTGCGACATCTACTACTATCTCCTATTCCGATACTACCCCTCTCCTCCTCCATGGCACCCCGCAGCGGCAAAAGGGGTGCTGATCAGCTCCCCTCTGATGACGGCGAGGTGAGTGCAATTCTAAGTTCTAACCTCAGTCACGACATGGCAGTATCACTCATGGCACACACATCGTCATAGGTTGCAGAACAAGAAGACGAAACGGGCTCAAACAAGCGTCCCGGTAGAGCACGGAAACCAACCAAAAAGCAGAAACAAAACGGTATGATTCTACTACAACACCTTGCTTGGTTGTACTGGACTCAATGACGGTGACTAGACCAGGATGCCGATGACAAGCGGGCCGCACAACTCAAGCGTGAACTCAAGGATCTGGAGACTCGCAAGAAGCAGCGAAGTTCAGCCAGTAACAAGAATGGCACGGACTCCTCACCTGGACCCGAGTCCGAGGATGAATATGTCTCAGATGGAGGAACATTCAGGCGCAGCCATGGGATGCGAGCCAAGGTGAGCTTTTTCGTGTATATATGCACAGTTGTTTTATGCTCAACTGCCTACCCGGGCCAAAGGTGCGCGAGAAATACGAAACAACACTACAGACAGCGCCCGGCCCTATGCGTATTTCTCACCGCGAGGGCAGTGAGAGTCCGCCACGGGGACGCTCTCAACAACCGCGGAACTTGTCAGCAGCTGGCTCCTCACAACCACCCTCTCCGCCGACGTCACGACCGCCCTCATCCCTCTCAGGTGGTGTGCCATCATCACACTCCCGCCCTTCATCGCGCCATCGGTTGTCGTCGCCCTCCCGCCAGGATCCATCTCGTTCTCGCCCGCCATCACAACTTTCTCGCCCACCATCGCGCTCTCGCACACAGCCGCGTTCTTGCCCGCCATCGCGCGCTCACCTGCGGTCGCGCTCTCAAGGTCCGTCATCTTGTTCTTGCCTGTTGTCACACCCACACTCACGTTCTCGCCCGCTGTCGGCGCCCCGTGGCCCCCTTGCCCATCATTGCACACTCGCACACGCTCGTGCTCTCGGAAACTGGTCCGTCATCCCGGGTTTGCCCGTTGTTGCACTCACGCTCACGCTCTCGCCCGCCATCGCTCTCTCACCCACCAGTATGCTCTCGTCTGCGGTCATCGCTCCCTCACCCACCATCGCGTGTTCACCCACGGTTGCGCTCTCAAGGTCTGTCATCTCGTTTTTGCCTGCCATCACACTCTCGCTCATGCTCTCGCCCACCACCGCTCCCTCGCCTGCTGCCACCATGACCATCGCGTGTTCGCCCACGGTCGCGCTCTCAAGGTCCATCATCGCGCTCTCGCCCGGCGTCACGCTCTCGCCCTGCGTCGCGCTCTCGCCCGGCGTCGCGCTCTCGCCCAGCATCGCGCTCTCGGCCAGCGTCGCGCTCTCGGCCACAGTCACGCTCTCGTCTGACATCGTCATCTGCACCCCGCCATCAGCCTCAACGGCCTGACCAAACGAACACCACCCCCGCCGCAAACACCTCCCTTCTTCTCCGAGGCGTGGATCCGAAGAGTCGCCCTTCCACCGGCCAGTACATTCCGGACGTCAGAACTCTCCTGGACCGCGCGATCAACGAGTTTTATCGCTATCTTTATGCTACTAATGCGTTTCCCAGCAACGAAGAGGCCGAAAAGGCCATCACAGACGCGTGGAAAGTGGCTTGCGCACCTCGTAAGAACGAATCCGCTCCGTTGTATGGGCTCGACCAGCGGATGATCCGGCTAGCAAGTATATTTCTCAGTGTTACCTCCGACACACTTGTTGATTAATATGGCTGCAGGTCCTATCGCGCAGATCAAATGCGCGTGGCGAGCCATTCTATGCGTTCCGTTCTTCGACTGCAAAGGCCTACGGCTTCCGGACAAGCGAAAAGAAGAAGGACTGGGACGAGAATGCTCGGAAGAGTGCGAGGCTGCTCGAAGAAGGCACCTTCCATCACAAGGTGCGCTAACGACATTCACTGTCTGTGAAATGTTGCATCTGATTTGATCAACAACAAAGACGTTCGACATTCGCCCTCGTGACGAAACAACAAGGGGCCGTTTTGCGGAGAACGAGGCTGTATTTGATGCGATCTGTGTTACCTTCTTCAACTCGGGCGACGGCTACTCCAGCATTGGATTCCAGTACCCTGAGTGCTTCAATCCTCTCCCAAACGAGTCGATCGCATTCGTGATGACAATGGTAAGTCGTCGCTTCTAGCGCCATTGAATCTGTGGTTTGCTAATATCTGCACGCTTGAGATTCGAGCCCATATCGCGGAATGGAGCACCGGCAAGAGGGTGACGGGTCAGTTCAACCACGGCGACCGTGGCGATGACTCCTCGGGGCATGCCAAGCACTATCGGGGCTTTCTCGCCGATCTCAAGGAGTACGAAGCTGCGAACCCGCAAGCATGGAAGAACATTCGGACGCGCATGTACTCACGTGCCTTGTAAGTTGCTCGCTATGACTCATATCTATGTGCATGTTCTAACCCAGTGTGACCTTTGCCTTGGACATCAAGCCGTGCTGGTGGAGGAATCGACCTCAATCTCTCATCCACACGGGTTTCGAGCACCGCAATGAACAGTGCAACCAGTCAGCTGGCGGGGCGGACTGGGCTTACTGACAGTGAGTCGGAGCCTGAGCCTTGAGCTCGATAGATATATCATGTTCAGCTTTACGTCCTCTGCTCCCCGACATGTATTACTCTATACCGTTGTTTAATTCAGCTATTGGATTCGATTCCCATGCAGGCGCCGGTGGAACCTGGACTCGATGGCCACGCGCAGTGCAACAGTGCCATGAAATGCATGGCCTCATAGTGTACACTATCGCACTCAAGAGGACTTCGCTCCGACATGCTCTGTAGTTGTTTACTCTGTAGTACTCCATAGAGCCTCCTCCACGGTTCTCGGGAGAACTCCAGAGCACCGGTTGAGCGGGCGGCTATGACTCCGGAGCACGCGGGCGCCATGAGCCTGTCTTTGGCGTCTCCATATTTGGGTACTTGTCTCAACGGACTCCAGCCGCTCTCGAGTCTCCGGTGAACACCGGAGACAAGTCGTTTCTGCCTGATGATCTGCCATCGCTCGTCGGTCTCAGGGCTGCTGAGGGGGGTCAGATGAGCCGACTGCCATCTTCACCACAGTACGTCGTCCGGTTAGGATCGGTTAGCTCAATTCACCAACGACGGCAGTGTCACCATTCACAGGGGGATCTGGGAGGTGTGAGGAACAAGGGCGTTTGGTCAGCGCGAAACAAGAACAAGAGCTGGATCTCTCTTACAGTTACGGGTTCCTGCCACCTAAATGCCGCGCTCCACGCACGGGCGCACTTCGCATCAGAAACGGCGGAGGAGGGCAAGCGCACGGCGGGCTCTGTAAGAATCAACCCGTGGGCCGTTGCAATTGTTTTCAAGCGCCGGACGTTCTCTTCCCAGCTGCCGGCTCGGGAAGTCGTAACCTATCATGGTGGCCGTGGTTGCGGAGGGGCATCTGTGCAGTAACTGTAATGTTTGAAACTTCCAGCTAACTTATGTTGCAGTCTGAACTTGACGATCCGATCACTCGCGGTGACGAAGGAGTACGCGCGAGGACATATTGCTTTCAGCCACGATCACGCTGAAAGCCGCTCTCCGCCTGGATCCGGATCTTTCACCGCCCTCTGTGCTGAAATATTTCTACAAGGTCCAGCGTGCTCTCATCTGCCGCTCCACGCCAGTACCCTCCAGCCCCGACGAACATCAAGGCCCAGGGACCGCGGCGGTGTGACTTCCAGCGCATTATGACGTCATCACAGGGTTCGTGCTGTATGGTTCATCTGTATCCTTCGTATTTGAGCCACCGAAGAGGCAGCACAGTAGAAACACAGCCGGACTATAAGGCCTAAGCGCATCGTGAGTCGTGTCGTCTCCGCCTGCCTATGCCGGATACTGAGATAACTATGCTATCTGAATGCCCACGTCCTCTCGCGACGTTCAGCCAGCTCCTGCCATATCATCGCTCAGCGTTCCTCCCAACACACCACGGCGGATCCTCCAATTTGGGACGCAAGATCAAGCTCGTGGAGACTCACCTCCAACCCTCCTCCAACGTCATAACTCATAGATGTGCTGAAGCTCCATGCAAAGTCCCCACCCCACTGACGCACCAAGGTCCGCCTGCGAGTTTGTTCCCTGACGTGCGAAGGCGTCTCAACGGTCAGGTGCTAGCTAGCCGAGGGAGTGCAGGACGCGGAAGCACAAACGCGTTCTCCGACCGAACTGTCTTCCACTCCATTGCACCGTGAACTGCCAATTGGCAAGGTTGGTCACTACAGTGCATTACACACCGTCTGTATGCACGACTTACTATTAGGACTAGAGATCAACGGATCACCTTCATTACCTGCGTTCACTAACTTGCTCTGCCATGCAACCATCATGATCATGAATGACCGGGGTCGGTTCTCCACTGCCCTGTGCTTCTGGAGATGTGACAAGTTGAATCTAATGCCGGGGGCACCGTAGCAAGGTACGAAACGCGGCCGGTGGATCGTTCCCAGCAGCAGGTCGTGCGCAAGCCTTGCGCGATAACCGATGCAAGGAGCAACGGGCGTCACTATAGCGCTTCAAGCTTGCAAACCAGTGTTTCAACATCTCAGGGCTGGTCTGTATGTACTGATTATTCTAGCTGCATCTTCCGGTCATCGAGGACGGACGCATGTAGACAGGTCCCGAAAAGCTCCCGCTACACCGACGTCCGCCGGTCCCACGTTCTCAGGTTCGTCAAAGCGAAACGATCAACAAACACCCAAGAATACAGAAGACATATGCTCGTTGAATTCGCGTGAACGGATTCTGGTGGCGGATTCTGATATGCTTGCGTCTCGTGCTGGGATGCCGAGCGCAGCGCGTTGATCCCGCACCAAGTCCGTCATCACGGTCCGTGGGGCTGCCATCCTCTACCATCTCCCACGTTCATTCTCTTACCCAGACGACGACAGCACGCCACGCGGCCTAAGCATAGCGCTTTGATGACACGTGCGCATCGTCCATCGGAAATGCCGTTCTGATCGACCGAGGAACATCTCCCAGCCTTTGAAAATATCTGACGTCAAGCATCTAGAAGCTTGCGAGCACCAGAAGCGCCCATTTACCTGTTCATAGTAAGTGAGATCACGCATCGACCTTGGTTGCATTGGAGATGCAGGATTGTTTGGTGCTGGGTGAGGGACACGCCACTGGCGCTTTGTTTCTTTTTCAGATTATCAGGAACTCAGGTGCCCCACAGAGCCGCGTTCGCATGTGACTCACCCACATGTCATGTTCAGACAATGCAAAGTCTACGAGCACAACTCGGCCACTTGATAGAGGGCCGCAGCGGTGGGAGTTCTACCCGCGCCACTGGCTCGGCTCCCGATTGCGGTGGGATCTGGCCTTGATGACACCCAATCACGATCGCGCGTGGCTGGTATGCCATCCAGTTCTTATGTCGTCTTTTCGAACCCGGGATGCCCAGAGCTGACCTCGCTCTTCCTGAAGGGTACCGCGGCCCGCGAAGCACGCCTTTGCACGCTAGCTTGCAATGCGCCTCCCAAGCCAGAAGTCCACATCGGATTGCGTCGCACGGAGCTGCGATACACCGGCGCTAGTGCATGCATGGCTCGGCTGCCACCCGTGTCTTGATTGTGCTCCGCAGCGGATGCATCAGTGGCATGGACGGTTAGTCTGAACGTCTGATATCTCGCTCTCGAAACGGCACATGCGGCGCGCCAGGCTTACGGAAAGCCTGGCGCGCGGCGGGTGCCTGCGTACTGCTGGCAGACGGGACTCCATTTGAACTGCCAAACGTTGAAGTGCTGATTCGCCAAAGTGTCTCTTATACACGCGCGGCAGGGGGCAACACGAAGAATCGTTTGAGCTATGCAACCACCGGGCCCCGGCTGACAGACAGGGAGACGCGCGCTGATCCTTGCGAACGCGGGACGCGTCGGAACCCGAATACTGTATCCCTCGGCTGTATTCATACTTAGGATGCGAAGCGGGACCAGGCCCATCCCGGCGAGAAGACCCGGGACGGGCGCTCGGCGGCAGAGCGGGGGGGGGCGGTCAATGCATCGGCGTCCCGCCGGGCTCGCAGCCGCGATTCGCGAGGGCGGATCTGGGTTCGCGCCCCACCAACTCTCCCTGCGCAGCCTTCGCTGGACCGCTCCCGCGGGGCAACTCCATACAAGGGCAGCGGGCCTCGAGGCACGGCCGCGTGGGCCGCGGGGAAGCCGAGGTGGCTTGCACGAAGTCGGGACGCTCGACCCGTGACGGCGGCGCGCGATAGCGGCGCGGGGCCGTGACGGTCGGGGCGCGACGGCGTCGGAGAGTGCAAGGAAGAGGAAGGGCGGCGGCCGCCCAGAGCTGCTGTGAGACGGGGAGGGGAAGAGGCCTGGCGGGACGGGGGCGGTCAAGGCATTCTTGCGATGTGCGCGGGCCATGGCCACTGTCGCATTGCGTGCAGGAAAACGTCCGCAGAACGAGCGCACGGCGCGCGGGGTTCTTCTGCGCCCCAGGCTCCCGCGCCGTGCTATCACCTATCGCGAAGACATAGGGCTCGTGCGTGAGGCGTGGGGAACCGCGGCTTGCGGGCCGTCGATAGATCTGCTCTTTGTTGCTGACTCTCTTGTTGCAGATGACGATCACCCGCGACGAACTGCGATGTTACTGTTGTCCGTCGACGCGGAGCCGGTGTCTGTACAAGGTTTAATTCACCCACGCGTCCGAGGATGCAGGAGATGTTCGCCAGGTCCGTGCATCTGCGCGTGGCCTGCCACGAGGCTCTTCGATTCTGATGGCAAGTCCTCCAGAGTCTGCTGCGTGTGTATTTTGCGCTTACCCTCGCTTCCCCCGCGCTAGTTCTTGGCTTTGACTTCAGCGTGATGTACTAGAAGATGATGCACAAGTTACGCCGTTTCCGACGCACGCACGACCTGACACGTTGTTGTGGGCGTGTATTGATTTGTCGTTTGGCATGGTGTGTGCTCACGTTATCTTATCTCTTCCAGCCGAGGCGCGCGTGACATAGCCACGCATCATTGCTTGCTCTCGGTTGCACGGAACGACAACATTTGCAGTGGTACGTCGTCTGCCACAAGTTTTTGTCGCGCATCATATCAGAGCGCGAGAGGCTAACGTTATTTCCCCCCTTCTCCGATCATGGAAGCGCGGCGCTATCGGAGGAACATGCGTCGCGGCCCCAGTGCGGAATTTGCAACACGGCGACTTGCATGCGCATTGCGTGCGGGGGCGGCGGACGGCCTCCGCGCTGCAGAACGCATTCCCGGGCGGTCGCAGATGTCGTCCACCACACGTTGCGGAGGCGTTTTCTCGGACGCCGGCCCTTCCGAGCGCCTTACGGTCGTCAATCGAGGGAAAGACGTGTACGGCGTCATTGTGAAGTCTCGCGGTGGGAGACGGCGCGCTCGTCGGGTGAGAACGCAAGCTATGTCTTGCCGCCGGGTGGGATGGAATTGGGGTGCTGGACTCGGCGCTCGAAACCAGGCGCAATACAGCAGGACGCTGGTCAGCCTTGGAGTGTGGCAAAGCGAGGCTCGGCCTGGCCAAAGCGGAGATGAGACGTGAGTGTCACTCTGCATGCCCCAGAGTCTGCATTTCTGACTGCTGTGCACATGCCAGCGTTTGGGTGGCGCTATGTGGTGGACCAAGCGCCCAGACTGAGCCTTTGCATGACATACACGCGACGGATCCGACCGTGCCACTGGCTCACAACTGCAGGCCGATGTTTGAACCACTACTCAAAGCAAGAAAACAGGCTTTAGAGTTGCAAGTTGTACTCACCGCCTGCTTATGAAGTGTGGTCACTAGTGTGGACGGTTCGCCGCTTTGTCTCGATCGCAAGTACGGGATGCACATAAAGTCAGCGCTGGTGCCCCTAGGTCCTGCTCGCTCACACCAGGGACCACCTCCCTCACCTTTTGATCATCACATCTCACTTTTACCCTATGGCTCACGACGCATTCTCAGGCCTCATAAACGCGGACTTCGCGAGCATCACGGGTAGCGTCAAGCCACCCAGTGGGGGACCCACTCGCGCTCTGGCAACCACCCGCGCGATGATCCGTCACTCTCCGTACGCCTCTCCTTCTCGACTTTCCGCACTTGTCCCTGCTCTGGCTACTCCGCACGTCAGCCAACCTCAAACCTCATCCAACTCGCTTTTGCCATACGTTCAACACCCACAGCAACAAGGGGTGTATCAAGGCCAATGGGGACAGCCGAGTCGAACTCTGGCGCCTCCGTCAAGCTATCTCTCGACACTTGCAATGTCTGCTGGCGCTCAGGGTCTTGCTCCAAGGATGCCTCCGCTTGATTCCTATCCGCAAGCATACACGCAGCCTCAGCAGCAACAGAATGCGTCCGCAACCTCAATGACACCGACCTCCTCGGCGCAGTTTCCTGTTCTCCCGAGCCAGCAGCAGACTCGTACGGCCGCGGCTCGATCATACATGCTCCCGCCTGTGCTCCCTCTTCAGCAGCCCGCCTCTCAGCAGCAGTCTCAGCTTTCGGAGTATCCTCCATCCACGCTCCCTCAGATGCACTCCTACCTTGTTCCTCCCATGCCTCCATGGCAAGCACCACACCTTCAACAATCAACGCCCTTCCCAGCTCAACAACCGCTATCCCTCAGTCCTGCGCGCGTCTCTTCAACATCGATACGTCGCTCGCCCATCAAGACATCCGCGATGTTGAAGGATGTACTCTCTCGCAACTCCAACGCTCCGCCTCTCGCTGGTACTTCTCGGGCACCCTCCTCGTCCGAGCAAACCCTCCGCTCACTCCTCTCTACGTCGAAACGCAAGACCTCAGCCCGTACTCCTGGGCTCCACCCCGGCAGGGGGACCCCAGCGCAAGAGCCGCAACCCCCCCGCCCCCTTCGCCCCCGCCTCTCCCCTGTCCTCCCTCGTGCCGCTCACGCCCATGCCTCCCCGCCTCCGGGGAGACCTCCCCGACCGCGACGTCGCGACGGTCGCGACCGCCTGCGCGTCCTTCGTCCAGCGCCTCTTCCGCTGCGGGGCGGGCACCCCCTCTTCGTCGCGCACGCCTCGCGCGGCGGCCTCGGCCTCGACGAGTACGTCAAGACGCTGGTGCGGAAGCTCCCCGTGGGCGAGCGCCGGCGCGTCGTGGCCGCGACGCTCACGTACGTCGACCGCGTGCGCGCGCGGTGGCCGCGCGCGGAGGTGAGCGGGGCGCTGTCGGGACACGCACTGTGGCTGGGGGCCTGGGTGCGCGCGATCGTCGTGCTTGCGGAGACGTACCCGACGGAGGAGGGAGGGATGGTGGCCGAGGACGAAGAGGAGGAAGTAGCGGCGGCGGCGGTGGAAGAAGCAGAGGAAGCAGATGACGATGACGCGTACGAGGAGAGTCGGATGAGAGCAACTCCGAGATGAGCGGAGACGAGGACATGGTCGAGATCTCGGCGGAGGCGCGGAGGAGGGCACGGCGGAGGCGGAGGGCACGGGCAAGCAGCGGGGGGTCGCGGGGTGTCGCCGCTCCGGATGACGCTGGCACGGCGCTGTGGGCGAATCACCAGCCGCTGTTCCAGACTCAGGAGGCCGTGGAGGAGCTCGCGAGGGACGTGAGTGTGCTCCTCGGCCGCTGTTGGGCGCGCCTCGATGCGGACGAGATGGTGCAGACGTGGACTGGGGTCCTCGGCGGGTCCTCGGCGAGGTGAAACCAGATATCGCGTTCACACCCAGGCGAGAAAGGCCAGGTGTTGGCACATCCGGTTGACGAGGATTTCCCGAAGGTGAGGTGCTTGTTCATGCCGATCCCTCAGAAGAAAGGTCGCCGGATGTAGATGTGATGAGTCTACATGCTCCGACTACCAGAGCTCATATATCGACTCGGTACCTATTTATGTCGTGCATAGGGCCATAGATCGTCATAGTATGTGTACATATTGTGTCATAATGGCATAGGTGTGAGAGAATTCCAGGAATTATGTCTAGGAATGCGAGGGTTATAGTATTAGATGTGCATATGATGTGTGGTCCGAACTGTAGTCCTCAGGGACAATCGTGAGAGTACGTCGATGCAGTCTCGACAGAGTTTTGGCTTGCGGAGCGTTCATGATTCAGGGCGACTAGGGCCGCCTCATCGTTACAGCAGACCGGCAGCCGCAACTGCGACGACGATGATGCTGGGGGAGGTGATGAATGCAAAAGACGCGCCCGACGACTGGACCGAATCGTCGGGGCTGACGATGGGCCGCTCTAGGAGAGGTGCGTAAGCAGTGAAGAAGTCCAATAACAGAAGGCACACATACCCCTGAGCATCCATCAGGTCCCAAGCAGGAAGAGTTGCGGTTTTCAGCGATGACGTTGGCGAGTTGTGCTTCAATGGGCGCAGGAGATGCTGACGCTACATATTCCGGGTTAGCCGAATCGCGCACGAAAAAACTACAAAAATTACTCACCAATAGTAGAGACCATCATGAGAATGGCAGCAATCTGGGAAATGCGGTTGAACATCTTGAGGTGATCGGTGGGTGGTATCACGGATACTGGCGGTCGGGTTTATGAGAATGTCGAGTGAGTTGCAGTGCGAGAGATATGGAAACTGGAGACGATCGACGACTACAGCAGTCCCACAAATCACGAGTTTATGTACACCTCCCGTTGAGGCATTGATGCCAGAGCCATTATACTTGACCAGTGTTAGGACGACGGGGACGAGGCAAGAAGCGCGGCCAGAACAAGGTTCACCTCCCCCACGTGATCGTGAGTCCGCTATCGCATTGTGCCCAAAGCGGACTGGCGTCGCATTCTCCTTGTCTTTCACCATCGAGTATATGCACCCCTTATACTCTCCCTTCTTTGCTACCTTGTGCCCCCGCCCATTTGGAGCCACACGTCAATGTCGAACGCTCGAACCATCACGTCATATGCGAGATAGGACGTCAAACGACCTTTATGAGCGCGAAGGAGGCCGAGGATGTGATTATCGGTATGCTCACATTACTAGTCAAGAGGTACACAGAGTATGAGGAATGGAGAAGGACGTTGGAGGCGACGCGGGTGCTCTATTCCGAGGAAGGAAGGCCCTATCTGTCGTCGAGGCAGGAATTTGTGGTCAGTACATCGCGCCCTATGAGAATGCCCCCTCTACACATAGTTGCTCATCTCGGGCATGATTTGTGAGGCAGTCTCGGTCAGCGTTGTGCCCGTCTTTCCGAGTCGGCGCTTTCGAGCCGCCGAGAAGGCGAGAAATTCTGGTCTAGAGACAAGCAGACCATGGCTTCATCCCTTGAGGTTTAGCAGATCTGACACTAGGATCACTACGCAAGTTGCTTTGAGCTCTTGCGACACGCGATCCGTATAGAATGACAAAGGAGATAAGTTCTTGGCCACATTGAGTATCTATTCCCTGGATGATAGCCGGCCTCAGATCATGTCGGATGATTGGAGTTTGTGGGGGTTGGTCGCTGTGGACTGTACATCACCGTTCAACATGATGTACATGGTATGGCGGTCCGGTCCCCGCAGTTCGTCCACCGCTCCATGTTATAGGAGCGCGTACCCAACTCCGTCCCTCATCGTACCCCGCACGGAACTCCGTCTGCAGAACTTTGAGGACTTGATCAGCCACCAGGTCAGCGATAAGACCCTGTTATTCACACTCGCGCGTGCAGCACGGCTTATCAAACTATCGTCCAGCTTCGTTGGCCGTTATCAGTCGTACCCTTCGGGCCTCGCGCTGCTCGTTTCGAGAGAACCCGGGCTAACACCGCGCGTTCAAGTTCGCGAATGTGGCTCTACTTACGGGCATGCCGGCATGCGTTTCTGCTCCATCAGGGACGCTTCGGCAAGATGTGTTCAGACGCATCATATATATATAAGTGCGGCGTGAGTCGTCCGTTCCTCGTGCTCCCTCGTCAGCACTGATCCCTGCCCAGGTCCTCATCTTGAAGGACCCTCAAGATGGCTGGCGTCGTCGCGCTCCTGCTGGTAACTCTTTCCGCGATCCACGTGGCATCAGGAACCTCCGTCCAGAGCACAGGAAGGACGCTCACCGTTGGTGGTGTCTCGTACTTCGCTCCCCCAGTCCCCGTATCCTCTCTTCACAACTCCGCCGCCCTTACTTTTGCGAAGAAGGTGTCCGGGGAACTCGTACCGTTTTCGGTCATTCTGACTTCGGCCACCAACTTCAATGACGCCGCTTTGGAAAAAACCATCGCCGAATGGTCAACGACAGACGATGTGTGGAGCAAAGCTTTCCTCTCTGGTGCGTCGATCTGTTCACGTCTACGTCTACCCCATAAGGAGGCTTATTTTTTTCCTGCAGGAATCTATTTGTCGTACAATGGGACCGCGCTTTTGCCTGTCGAGACTCTGGGTTCAACGCAGGCGAGGTTGGGTATCGATTTCGTAATGCTCTCCAAAAAGTACACACTCGGCTTCGGCTTGACAGTGGATCTTCCTTCGGGCCCGTATTTTCTGGACTCTTCCACCGGTAACATCTTTGAGGGTGCGTTAGCACGTATCGGCGAAGGACTCGTTCACTGACACTGACTACGCACTCAGCATATCGTCTCTACAGCGATCAGCAGCAATCATTCGTCTACGGCACGATTCCCAACCCCAACGGCGGTTTCGAAGTACTCTCCGCGGGAGTCACCGGTGCCGCGACGCCCACTGTCGCTGTCCCCTCGCGCCTCTATTTCACGCCGACCGCCGAGAAGCCGCTCGCAGGCAAGCGACTTGCCGTCAAGGACATCTACGACGTCGCAGGGCTCCACACCGGCTGCGGCAACCGCGCATTCTTCGACCTCTACCCTGCGAAGAACACGACCGCGCCCGCTGTGCAGCGTCTACTCGACGGCGGCATGGTCCTCGTCGGCAAGACGAAGACGTCGCAATTCGCGAACGGCGAGTCCGCGACCGCGGACTGGATCGACCTCCACGCACCGTACAACCCTCGCGGGGATGGTTACCAAGACGGCAGCAGCTCGTCGACGGGCTCGGGCACGGCCGTAGCAGCATACGACTGGCTCGACTTCGCGATTGGGAGTGACACTGGGGGCTCGATGCGCGGTCCCGCAGGCGCGAACGGCGTCTTTGGCAACCGCCCGTCGCACGGCGCGGTTAGCCTCGACGACGTGATGCCGCTGGCGCCCGAGCTGGACACTGGGGGAATCTTCTCCCGCGATGCTAGGCTGTGGGCGACGGCTGGACACTGGTGGTACGACAACTTCACCTCGGTGAGCATTTTGCCCCTTGCATGACACAACGGCACTGATGGCTCCGTTCTCAGTTCACTTCGTTTCCCAAAAAGATAATCATCCCGACCGACTTCTTCTCCATCGATAACCCGCCCGTCCCGGGCACCTCCGACGCGATCTACAACGACTTCATCACCCAGCTCGAGGGCTTCCTCGACGTCTCCCGCACGAAAGTCTCCGTCGCCGGGATCTGGAACGCCACGAAGCCCGCGAACGTCTCCGCCCCCTCGCTCTCCGCGCTCCTCCAGACGACGTACGCGGACCTCATCACGCTCGACCAGATCGCGCTCGTCGCGGACCCGTTCATCGACGCGTACAAAGCCGCGCACGGGGGCCAGAGCCCGTTCATCAATCCCGCGCCGCTCGCGCGCTGGGCCTACGGCCGCGCGCTGCCCGCTGGGCGCAAGGACGCGGCGATCGCCAACAAGGCGGTGTTCATGAACTGGTGGGCGAGCGAGGTCGTGCGCGCGGACGAGGAGACGTGCTCGGACGCGGTCCTATTGTACCCGCAAAACGCGGGGCACACCGCGTACCGGAACACGTACCCGGGGTGAGCGCAACGAGTTTGTGGACCGGTGTTTGGGGCTGATGGGACTCGCAGGACTGCACCTGGGGTGCCCCTAGGCTTTTCGGCTGGGCGCATCGCGGTGCACGGAGAAGTGCCCGACATGGTCATTCCCAGTACGTATCGTCTGTGCTTGCAAGCAAGTATACTTGCGCCCAAGCTGATGGTTATGAAATGCAGTCGGTGAGGTGCCCTATAACTCGACGATCACGGGGACGACGGAGTTCCTCCCCGTCACCATCAGCTTCATCGCGGCCAAAAACTGCGTGAGTAACTCGCATGTCAAATACCGCCGTTCTTGATTTGACTTCGGCTGTTGCAGGACCTCATGCTGTTCAACCTGTTCGCCGCACTCCAAGACGCGGGCATCATCAAGCCGGTGGTGACGGGCTCGCGTATTTGGGGAGCCTGATGAGTCTCTGAGCTGTGCGCACGGAGAGCTCATACAACAGAATGATAAGCTAGATGCAGGCAGCGAGACTAAAGATGTCGACGAGACATGTCTAGATATCCATAATCGCTGTGCAATGACGTGCCAGTCACAATAGTCCGTTGGAAGTCCATGGCCAACCGTCATGACCGACCCATCAAGCAGCAACAATCGGGTTCCATTGCTCCTGGTCCAAAACGTCCCCCAAGCAGCGGTCGAGAACGACCTTTCGTGCAAACGCGGTCAGCACGGCACTCTCCGTGTCGCAGGCTTACTGCTTACCGGAACGGTGACCGCAGGACGGCCGAGGGCCCAGCAGTTGCCGTCCGCGTTCGAGATCGTCGTGGGCTCGTCGACGTTGAGCGTCCAGAGCTGCTTCGGGTCGTCTGAGCACTCGGCGAGGAGCAACGCCTGGGGTTGCCCCGGGGTACGAGTCCGTTCGCGGTGACGCAGAAGTTGCCGGTCGCGATCTGGGTCGGCACGCCCGAGCCGAGGACGGGGGAGAGCACGGCCGAGTCGTCTGAGTCGTCGCCGAGGAAGGACATACGGCGGGGCACCGGATGTAGGGGGAGAGAGAGAAGGCGCGCGGACGGCACGGGAAATTTGCTTGAGGCATAGGCGCCCAGAGCTCGGTCGGCACCTGCATACTAGAGGACGTGAGGGTTGTTACAGTATGAAAGCCGTTCACGTAGCACATCAACTGGGCGACCAAGTCGAACCAGAAACAACTCGGTGCGGATCAACGAGATCTCGGCTCATCGATATCCTGCAAGCTCTGAGCGCGACTACAAATAGTTTCCAGTTTGTGGTGCAGGGATGACGATGGTCGGGCACTTCCGTCGGTCGTGAGTGGAAGGACGACCGCAACAAAACATGTACCATCCGGACTCGTGAAGTAACTTCATACCGCAAATTTGTATAAAAAGTCTTATGCCAGATGAATTCCCATTAGCCGACTTGAACGACTGACCTCGTCATTACTAGTGACGCGCTCTACCAGCTGAGCTAAACGGGAGTTAAGAAGAATACTTATTTAAATATTATATCAAGTCAAATAAGAGGCTCACAGACCGCTGGATCGCACTCCTACTTTACCGCAGAATCACCAGAACACTGCAACTCACCTCAGAAACTTTCGCTTGATCTCGTCGAACACACAGCCCCCTTAGGAGGCTTCATCTTGTTCGTTGTCTGACGAGGTGTCCGTATCAGTTCAACGTGCGCGCACTACTAAGCCCCCTTAAGAAGCTCTACTGATACCTTCCTTCGTAGAATTTGACAAGATGAACTCCTATCCTCCAGAGCTGCTGGTGCAACTCGCTCCTGTTATGTTCGTAGCCGGCCTGGACGCTCCTCCTCCACCTGCAAAACCCCCTGCAACTCCCGTTAGTCCTCAGCCTCCCACACCGTCCACCCCGCAAGCGCGGCAGGATCCCTTCCAGGTTCTCACCAGCCGGCTCAGAGATGCATTGTTTGCGCAACGAAAAGTTGCGATCTGGCAACCCGAGAAAGCCAAGACCTTCCAGGTCATCTTCGTTGAGCAGGTATGCATTGTTCTGTCGCTCCCCTCGCTCAACATGTAACAACACAGCAGGACGTACCATTCCCACCGCGCAAAATGCTCCGTCCAGAAGAACCCCAGTATAGCTCGTCGCATTCCCCACTCTCGCCCCTCACTCCGTCCTCGCCTCTACATCCAGACGGTATCATCGCGCCCATATGGATCCGGAAGCACACGACCCTCGTGCCATCAGTCTTCGTGGTTTTCATGCGGATATATGAGTCCCCTACAGAGCAAGATTCACGGGAGAGAGAGGCGGAGGAGAAACTGAGGGATACGGAGCTTGCGGCACAGATCGCTCAGCGGAAGAAGAGCACCAGTGAGCGCAACATCAAGCTCACCGCGGTGCTCATGGCGAGTCGGAAGATGCTCGGTACGTCCTTCGCCTGTTATACGCCAAGAAAATCCCCTTCTCTTAAGGCCGCTTCCTTATGTGCCACGCACCATCACAGACGATCCCACCCTAGACGGACGGCTGACTTACATTCGTCGACAAAGCGGCCTCGACCCTCGCGCTGCCCTGTTCGTCCTGAGCCCGGTTTCCCAGGCGGAGATTGGAGATTTCGTGCGCAGGTACGTACTTCGGTGAAGTTCAACCCCCATATACATATATTTATTCCGTGCTTCAGCCTGCAAGACGCACTATACGAGCCTGCCATTGATTATTACACTAATCACTCCAAGCGTGTTCGACGGAAGCGAAATAGGCACTCACAATCAAGCTCGTACTCCATTCCTCACACGCCGTTAGCAAGCGCGGGCATTGCCCGTCCGTTGCGACCTGAAGGTTGGACGGTGCGATATGAGTACAAGATGGCTTGTTTTGCGGAGTTTCGCGGGGAAGATCAGGTCGCGCTCAAGTGCGTACATGTGATACGCATATCCTCAGATTCATTCTAACGAATTGTGCTCCAGACACTACCAAGACGCGTATTCGACGCTGAACATCATGTTCGGATCCACCGCCATCCTCCCACCACGCACGAAGCGATGGGCTGAAGCGAAAGTTCTTGCGGATTGCATTAATGTCAAGGTGAAGCACTCAGCGCTGGTCTCGCGATATTTCTAAGCGCATTACGCATAGATCGTCAAGTTGTACTTGTACAATAACGAGCATGCTCTCGCGCTCTCAAACCAGAACAGTCACATGCGCAAGTTCGCCGACTTCTCCAGAGGTTGGGGCATTGGGGAGGAGACCTTCGAGTTTTGGAGCTGGCTTGCCCGACAGTCTGTACTCCATCTACCATCATCCCCGCATCGATTCTCATCCTCTGTTTTGAAACTCCATGCTTTGTTTTGGTCGCTTGCTGCCACCTGCTATGAAGACATCGGGTGTTCGCCGAGCTTCTTGAGCATGGTACCCGATCGACGCTCAAGATCCCGTCCCCATACCCGCCTCCAGCTCCGTCAGCCGCGTTGATGGCCGCACAAGCGTTGGATCAGTCTCAACTTGGTCTAGACAGCATGCGCGTGTTGGGATTGAATCCCAACCAGGCGCTTCAGCACCCGGGATTCTATCACTATATGGCTGCCCGGTGTACAGAGCGCCGTCGGGAGCGGTTCCTAGCCGCGATGGAGGCCGAGGTGTGTGGGCTCTCTGCCGCTGGGGACTGGCCGGCTTATGTCTGATGCATTGGTAGGGGGAGTCGAACGCGCCTGGCCTCGCGAATGAACGCAAGGTGGACCATTTGACGATCGTGTTGGAGCTGTACACACGTTCGTATGAGCTGTTCAAGAAGTGGAGTCCGCAAACCAACCAGAGCCCGGGGCGGCTGACCTTGTGGATTGCGTATCGCATCGCGCAGACCTACTATGAGTCGGGCAAGTTCGACATGGCCGTTCGGTATGTCCAGTCCAGGCTCCATCCACCGTCACGCTAACGGCGAATTTCTCGACAGGTTCTTCGAGCGCATCGCAAAGACGTACCGCAGAGAACGATGGGGTCCGCTTCTGCACCCTCTGCTCACGCAGTGGTACAAATGTGCACAGCAACTCGGCGATGTGGATCTGAGCGTTCGGTTGCTCATCGAGATGCTCGGACATGGTACGCCGTCCGGTTTACGATTATTTTGTTGCTCAGAAGCTGAGTCGGCACAGGCGCAGCTGCTTCAGCGGAAGATCCGGATGCTCTGCAAGACGACCTTCTCGCGGTTCTCCAGAGTACCGTGCCTTCAGCTCAAGATGAGCCACTTGTCGTCGACCTGTCGGAGTCTAAGCCGCTGTGTACGTGATTCCTGCTCGTAGTTCCTAGCTTGGTGCTCAATTCATCGCCATGTAGTGGATGTTGCGGCCGTCTTTTGGGAATCCGAAGTTGATGTCGACGTACCGGCTCCATTCCAAATCCAGCTGTCTTCACAACACAACGTTTCTCTGTCCTCCATATCCTTCACCTCCCTTGCCATCCACTTCAGCACAGACTTGCCGCCCATCATTCTCCAGCATATACAGGACGATCCGGACGCCGAGATCGCTGCAGTACACCGGGTCGACCTGGGCCACATCGCCGTCTCGTCGACGCCCGCCGAGTCCAAGGAGATCAAGACCGTGCTCAAGTGGGGCCCCGGGACCACCATCGTGTTGACCGGGAGCGTGTCCTCAGCCGTCCCCACGCCCATATCCGTAACCAAAGTGGTGGTGACGATTAAGGAACGCAGCTGGTGGATTGAGGTTCCTCTCACTCCGGCGGCGGTGGGCGCACAGATGACATCCCCCAAGTGGCTTTCCTCCCTCACTCCCGTGCGCTACACCCCATTGCGCCGGGAGGACCACTCGGCCGTGCGCGTGCGGTTCCGCCCGCACCAGATCCAGGTAACAATCGTCCACGAGGGGCCGGCGTATCTGGGCGAAGAGTTCCCCATCGAAATCAACGTGACGAACGTGGACGATCGCGAGCTCGACGTTGTTGTGGACGTCCTCTTGCAGCCATCGGACATCGATGAGAGTGGTACGTATGAGCGTAAGTTTTGCGCGGCCCCAATGTATACTGATTTCACGTTTTCCAGTCAACTATGTCGCCATGGATGAACAGAAGTCCACGAGCCTGATCAAGGCCATCGCCTGCGGTACCCTCGCGCCAGGTGTCAGCCTCCTCAAAAAGCTCTACTCACCAACACCGGCGCTCCAGGCGAGCGCGTCATCGACATCTCCATCCAGTCGCACCAAGGCACCCCGCCCCCGTTGTCTCCTGTGACACCAGACACCCCGACATCGTCTGCCCCCATCGACCGCACGGAGACGCTGCGGACGATCACCCTGGAGGCGGTCCATGCGTTCAATGTCGAGCACTCCGTGGTGTACCGGCGACCAACGAAGGCGCAGCCAGGGCTCGTGAACCTGGCGATGTTTGATGGGAACGTGAGGGACGAGGCGAGTGTGATGGAGGCGTTGGTCGCGAGCTCGTTGGTCGTCGCTGCACCATCTGGGTTGGAGATTGAGGGGGTCGTACTTCATCGGAAGGTTCATGGGTTTCATTTCGTCTTGCCATAGCAGAACGCTGACGATGCACGTGCACAGAACAGCGACCTTGCGTCGGTGGAGCAATGTTCCGTTGATGATGAAGACTTCAGCGGTGGTGAGGATGATTCCCATATCCAACGATACACATGAACTGAACATTTTACGAACAGAGTGGCTTATGGGTGACGAGCTTTGCGATCGTTGCCTCGTCTCAGTCATTCCCGACGAGAACGACCTGGATGCACCCATTCCAGGGCCAGGGGAGTACGAAGTAACATGGCGTAGGTGTGTTGCTCACCCTATTGTCGCATTGATCAGCATCTCATCCGTCGCCCCAGATTATTGCCAAATGGAGAGCGCGGTGCCCCCGCAACATCCCGTTTCCCCCTCCCCCTACTACGCCCTCCCACCGACGACCTCATCGCGCTTCTCGACGCCCCTACCGCAGCGCGCCTGCACCAGCCGATCCCGCTCCGGCTGACGATCCGCAACCGGCACCCGACACGCTCGGCGAACGTGACGGTGCAACTGGAGCAGGACCCCGCGGACGCGTTCGTCGTCGCCGGGCTCCGGCACGGACGCGTCCCCATCCTGCTCCCTGGCACGGAGGAGAGCGTGACGTGGAACCTGATCGCGATCGAGTGTGGGTTCGTGCGTGTGCCGCGCGTGCGGGTGCTTGACCGGCGGAGCGCGGTGCAGATCGCGGGGCAGGGGCCGGGCGCGGAGGGTGTGCAGGCAGAGGGCGAAGAGGTGAAGATGGTGGATGTGAGGTGGGATGCGCGGCCGGAGCCGGAGGAGAGTGGTTCGGAAGATTCGGACGACGATGGAGTGGCGGTGAGGGCGAAGGGTCAGAATGTGTTCGTGCTAGTGGTGCCGTGAATGAGGGGTGTTGTGAGTCTATGATCACTTTTCGTTTCGCGTTTCGCGATCACGCCTGGGGTTTGTTTCAAACAACGAGGGAACACATTCTCGCGTAGTATTTGTACATCATCGCAGTCTTCGACCACTGCCTGATACCCTACAGCGCCGACACTGCCGCTCTGCTCTCGACGTGATCATCTACTGCGCACAGGTACACTTGTTCCCTGCCCTGGTGCAGGCGCAGTCGGTTGATCCAGACGCGGCGTGGTTGCAGCCGCACTGCACAAGGCGTGTGAGGAGGTTAAGACCAAGCGAAGCGCTATTGCTTACCCCAGACTCCTGCGTCGCCTGCGCATTGTTGTTGCAGTCCTTGCACAGGCACTTGCCCTTCGCACAGTCGCATCCTGTGCCGCTGGGGCCACACGCCCTGAAAGCACGGAAATCAGGTGAGCTAGATGTCGGGTCTAAAGAGCGTGCGCACTGGCAAGCATTCTGGCAAGTGCAAGTATCAGCCATGGTGTTTTGTGGAGGTGGTGATGAGGAAGAGACGAGGTGTCGGATGGCTTGAGAGGGGTAAGATCAACTGGTATATATAGAGAACGTCAGTGGGCGTCACCGTAATCCGGGGTTGCATCGAACATGACGTCGATGCGGCATATGTGCTCCTATGCCAACGGTCATAGTCTCCGTTTTATGTTCAATGCAGTGCTCAGCTCTGTCATACGTCTAGAACCACATGTTTCCCGCTCCACTGACTGATCATTAGGTGGAGCGACTTCAACAAATCAAGATTAACCAATCTAAAGGGACAGATATCCGCTACATGAACAGACATTCCTCGTACATACAGGCGCCCACTTGGGGAAGTGGTATTTTCTACGGGGCCTCGCCCCTCGTGCAGGTATTCGGCGCTACGGCTTAGGCGGGGGAGGAGGAGGCGTCGCCGAGCCGGGGCTGGTGGAGATGCTCTGCGACCTGCGGCTCTCTGCAGACAGCCACGCGAAGCGCGACGCAAATCGTTCGCGGGTCGATGCCTTCTCCGTCTCTCGCTCCGTCTCCGTCTCCTTTGCCTTTGCCCTCTCCTTCTCCTTCTCCGCCGCCATGCCGGCCTCGCGAGACTTGCTCCCCAACGCGTCCCTGTCGCTGCGCGAGCCGCCCGAGCTCGACCCAGACCCGTGCCGGCGACTCGTCCGGGCGCGGGCGTGGTCGTGCTGGTCGGCGCCATGCCTCCCCGCGTCGCGGTCGGGCGTCGTCGTGAGGAAGTTGACGATGAGCGACCAGAGGTTGTTCCCGCTGACCGCGTTCGGGTCCATGAACACCGCCTGGTCCGCGATCTTCGCCAGCCGCCGCGCCTCCTCCGTGTCCCACCGGGAGACGATGCTGCTCGGCGGCGGGTGCTCGTCCTCGTCGAGCGCCCACGCCCAGTGGCCCGTGGACGACAGGATCACCTTCGGGGTCGGATTTGGGTTCGGGCCCGGGTCCCCCGTCGTCGGGCTGCTCCCGCCCGCGGCCGCGGCGGAGAAGACCTGCTTGAGCTGCTCCATGGTCTTCGCGCTGTCCTCCTGCGCGCGCTCGAGGTTCCGCGCGCGCGCCTTCTCGATCGCCTTCGTCGTCTTGGAGAACTTCTTCCCGAACCGCTCCGTGGCGTCCATGTACCGCCGCACCGCGAGCTCGGAGATGTCGCCGATGACCTCCGGCGGGAGCTTGAACGCGGCCAGCTCCGACTCGGGCTCGAGCGCGCGGACGGCGCCGTGGGTCGCGATGCGCTCGCGGATCATCGTGTCCTGCGCGCAGAGGGTCAGCGTAGACTCGAGTCGGTGGGAGAGGGACGCACAAGACCGTGCGCATAGACGCTGTCCTCTCCTGCTCGCCTCACGCCTGGGTGTGGGCCGGAACTGTGATGATGCTTTCCAAACCGCGGTCCGCCGACGTCGGACGATCCCGAGGCATCTGGCCGGGGAAGCCCTGGCGAAGGGAGGGGGGAGGGTAGAGACGATGTGTTGCTCCCGTCTGCCTTACGCAGGAAGCTGCCAGCGCGGGTGACGCCAGCACTCAGCGTGCGTCGGAGAGACTTGTTGCCGGTGGGCAATGCGGTGGGGGGCGGCCTTTGCGGCCTGCGTCTCCCAGCCTCGGCCTGCGTTTGTTTGATGTCGACACTGTCAGAGGCTGCCGGATCTGGAAGAGGCGGGGGGACGGCGGTGGAAGACGATGCGGACGCTGTAGGGGCCGTAGCTGATCGTTTAGGAGTTTCAGGAAGCGGTTTCTCCGACGCAGCGCCGGAAAGCTCTGTCTTCCTGCTGCTAGGAGCTTTTTCGGTGGACATCGTAGATGCCAATGTCGATGGTGTCTGGTCTGACGCGGTTCCTGGGAGATCAAGCCGGGTGCTCGTTGGAGAAGTTGTCTCGACCGCATTTGCCAAAATATTCGACCGTTCCGATAATGGCCGTGGCAGCATACCAGTGGTGTATTTAATGAACGTGGCGATGGCGCGGAAGCAGTATTTGCCAGGGGTAGTGAAGGCGAACAGGATGGGAAGGATATGCGCGCAGTCTGTGGTGGGATGTGAGAAAAATTGGGAAACAGGGAGGGGAGGGATGCACGCACCGTCATATACCTGTAGGTGTATTTTGGTTGGCCCATACCGGCTTTCAATTCCTTGCAGAGGTGCGTACAACTGACGAGTCTCCTCCCGAATAGGGTACTGCTCCGGGTACGCCGCTTTGTGTGCACTATCGGGGGGACGGTGTCATCAGCCTGCACCACGCAGACAAAGCTTAACAAGGCTTACAGATAGATAACTTCATCCCGGAGTACCTCCTTATCGCTCGCAATAACCAGGAGCGGAGGCAATCCACCCAAATACGAGAGCACCGGACTCACAAGCGGGTGGTTCAACAGGTAGTTCGGCGTGTACATGTGGATTTGCCTGTCGATTTCGAGCGTCTCGCCTTCGGACGTCTTCATTTCCAACCGCTGACTGCGCACCCCGTCGATAGCGTCCAGCGTCGGGATCGAAACAGCGGAGCCGAGATGCAGTGTGCGGCCGGTGGAGGGAACAGGAACGTCGTAACCCGGCGTAGAAGGGCGCGAGGGAAGGCCGTTTGGGTCGGCGTCCGTATCGCCTTTCGGGATCTTGAGATTCCCGGCCTTGTCCTTGCCCTTGTCTTTGGGTGCAACCGCCTCTCTGATGCGCGCCCGTAGGCTTTGATGTACCTTCGTTGTGAGCTCGTCGGGTGGTGGTGGCCATAGCGTGCTTGGCTTGTGGAAGGAGAGGCCCCATTTAGGGATGACATCCGTCGCGGTGTTGAGGTGGATACTTGGGAACGAGTGGGTAAGGTCGCACCACGGAGAGATGAGGATTGCACCGGCCGGCGCAGGGAGTCCGGAATCGCGGATCACTTGCAGGGCCGAGATACAGAGACCACCACCCGCCGAATCACCACCGAAGACAATGTTCTCAGGGGCGACAGGGGTGTGGAGGGCACCCGGAGGAGGACGAATAAGGTAGATGTCTGCGGCATGTTCAACAACTATACGCCAGCATGGAGGGGTGATAACTCACAGGCAGCAAGAAGGTCTTGAATGGCACAAGGAAAAGGATATTGAGGGGCAAGACGGTAGTTGATGGCTATTGACGGGTCAGTCAAAGAGTACAAGCTTGACATGGGGGTATACCCACTGAAAACGCGTCCGTTGATCTTTCGAGCAAAACGTTGTATGGAATACCTCTCTTGATCAATGCTGCCGAAATAGTAACCTCCCCCATGCGCATACAGGATGCATCGCATCTGGTCCATCTCGGGCTTATATTCTGCGGAGGACTCTTGAGCACCGTCCATCGACGCTCTACGGGTCTTCTGCTTCTTCTTGGCCTCTTCCCAGTCTTTCTTGGCAGCGATCCATTCGGCATCGACCCTTATGAAAGATATGAGACGACGTGCGTATAAAAATGAGGCACATACACACCCTTTCATCCCGCGAACCTGCCACCACTTGGTCCCTCCTACTATCCGTTTCGTCGTCTCCTCCCCACCAAGCGCATTGATGAGGTACGTCGCAGCCTCATCGCAGCATGACATTGGCACAAGGAGACGGACAGTGTGCACCCATGGCGGTGCAGGAGTTCGGGTGTTGGAGAACTGTTGAAGCTCTTCGACTGTATGCCTATCTGCGTGTCAAAAACATACCCGACTGGTGGTCGCAGGAGTGACATACTTCTGGGATGCTGCCAAGAACGTCTGTATACTTGTCAGCCTCTCCCCGACGGATAGATGTCAACAGACACAACGCCAAGTGCAAAGGACGGGGCCGTGGAGTGCAAAGGGGCGGGATCGGTAACTGAGCCGTATACAACACAAGCGACTCTGGACGAAGCCACTTCATGAAAGGGCAGTCCCAAAGGGTCCCATTTGTCCACAGCGGCCGCACGCAGCACGGCGTTGGCTGGCGGCGGCGGCACACGACACGACACGTCGCCACGCCCCCCGCACCCAACCCGCGTGGGACTGCCGAGGGCATCAGACGTGGGGTTGTGGGTCCAGGCAGCCGGAAAAATGGAAGGGGCAGATCAGGACGCTCACCTTGATAATGTTGAACGCCTCATCGTACAACAGCTCCTCCCGCTTAAGCTTGGTTGACCCCGGTTTCTCTTCCTCGTTCTCCTTGGCGTGGCGTTCGAAGTAGTGCTTGACGAGAGTCTCGAGGATGACCGGGCCGAGCTTGAAGCCGGCCTGGCGCGTTAGGGCGTTGACCATGGTCGACTGCCAGGGTGGGGAGAGGGATGGAACGAACTAGGAAGAGAGTGGACGGCTCAGGCAGAGCTTAAGACTCAAGAGGGCCACTTCCATCAACGGGTAACAGGGTTGGAGGAAGTAACGCTTGGCAACTTGCAAAAGCCATTTGGGAGAGGCAGCGTTGGGTCCGCGATGCGCGGCAAGAGTCGCCGGGGTCTTTGCGTACGCATGTTCAGAGACACCTTCCCCGCGTCGCTCGATGCAATCTTGGAGCGGTGGCACGATTCCGTCCAGATCCGCTGGGAAGGTGTGCGAGATTCGGAGTCGAGTGCAAGGGGCGAGCTCGACGACGACAGAGCGCCGGTTCGGCATACCCGTGCCCATTGCCGCCTACGCTGCCCCTCGTCGACACTTGAGCTCTTCACCTCTTCTCCATGCACTTGCAACTCTACGTCATGTCGACCAAGGAGCGGACGAGTCGCAGAACGTGCGTGACCACGCTGCGGCCCGTCGAAGCTTTCTATCTTGGTCGCCCTCCGAAGCAGCGGCCATGGAGGAGTGGGACCATCTGATTCTTCCCCGCCCTCGCTTGCCTCTGCCCAGCAGGCTCCCCCGCCGTCGCCGTCGCCGTCACCGTCACCGTTGCGCTCCCCCATGGCCCTCCAGGACTGGACGAGCTGCCTGCACCGGAGCAAGGCGCCATCCTCGCCGACGCCCAGCTCAGACATGCCCCCCAAGACGCGACGGCACCCACGCCCCCTGGCCCGGCACCTCGTCATCTCCCTCACAACGTCCGTCGTCCTGCTCGCCGCGTTCATTCTTTTCCTCCTCGTCGGTCTTTCCCTCCCCATTATCAAGACCATATGGATCTTCCACATTAAGTTCATCACCGACCCCAACGATCCCGTCACGTCCGTGGCCACGGAGCTCCGCTTCGGGGTGTGGGGCATATGCGCCCTCAGCGAGCTCGGGAACATCGAGTGCTTCGGGCCCATGCTGGGCTACACCATCCCGGACGAGATCGCGCAGTTGACGGGGTACCCGGATATTGTCGACGCCGTTGCAGAGGGCCTCCTCATCATCCTCATCCTCCACCTCGTCGCCGCCGGGCTCTCTCTCGTGGGGGTGGGCACTAGCCTCTTCCTCGAGTCCCACGGGATGTGTATCGTCTCCCTCATCACCTCCATCCTCACACTCCTCCTCGGGCTTGCGATGTTCGCCATCGACCTCATCCTCATCCTCATCGGCAAGCAGAAGATCAGCTCGCTGACCGACTTCAACTACGAGGTCAACTGGGGCGCGGGGCTCTGGCTCGTGCTTGCGGCCGTCATCCTCAGCTTCATCGGGATGATCCTCATGTCCATCGTCGTCTGCGAATGTTGTGGCGTTGGCAGGAGGCACCGCCATCACCATCATCACCACCATGACCACCAACACGACTCTACGAGTCCAATAGAGAACAAACCTCTGAAGAATTGGGAAGCATGATGAGGATGGAAGTGCTATGGACTGGCGAGCAGTTGTACCGAGTAAGCACCCTGCCACCTCCGTGTATGTACGAGACACTCACCCGAAGATAGTTAGGCATACCCCTTCACGACCCTTAATGACCTGCATGACCGTGTTTTGCGTTAGCTGTCGAAATGCAAGTCTTGCTGTACCTCTAGGGTTTTGAAAACATTGCATTTACCCATAATCTGACCATGGTCGTCACTATACATTCCGAGTGTACACAGATTCAATGCTAATCTTTGAAGTCGTTCTTGTTCACTCCACTCATTGGAATTCATTGCATAAGGTCAGCCCACCCTTGCAGAGTGTCAAAACGCACACCTCATGTCTTCTTTTCAAGTGGCATCATTTCGAGTGCGGCGCGCTGCGATTGCCCGGCTCGCTTCCGTAATGCAAACATTCCGTGTATGTCCTCTTGATAGCTATCACGAATGACCCTCTCTGATTGTGTCTTTGTAGTGCCTGTGCTGCGCATGCAGGGCAAGCAATAATGGCGTGCTACGCAATATGCATGCACATTCGTATGTTGGTACATAGAAGACACAGCAAGACTACTTCTACATCGCAAAACAGCGAAAACATACCATCGCGCGCGGAATTCACTCCTCAGTCCGACGACGCTTCACCCCAGAAACAGGGAAGATACGCGGGCCATTTCTTGGCGTCTTCTTCGGACTAGAGGGTACCTCAGGCTGTTCGAGAGGCCATGCACTGTGAGTAATTCGTGAGCTTACGGTTGCACCGAGGCATAAGGAGATAGCTCACTTGGTTTCGTCAGAGAACACCCCAAAAGACATTTCTACCTCGATTTCATCCTCATCGTCGATATCTGTCAACTCCTCAAAGCAACGGCGCTTGGGCGACCTGCCCTTCACCGGCTCCTTCAGCGGCGACATTTCCTCGTTCAACGTCATCAGCGCATCGGCTTTCTTGACGGGGGAGAAGACGCGTGCTAGAGAGATCCAAGGTGAGCTATCGCGCACTGCTCTTCGCTCCCGACACTGACCTCTTCTGTCAAGACTCGCGGGGGCATCGACACAAACTACCGTTGGGGTTGCGGACGTGCCCTGCACGAGGTCCACCTTGGCTGCGTCCTCGCTCCGGACGCGAGACTCTTCAACCTCTGGTCCGGGCACCGACGCCGAAGCAGTGGCCGAAGGTGCAAGGGACCCCGATCCGCTCGCCACTGGGCCGCTCAAGCTTGGGCCGAAGGCGTCGACGTTGAGCTTCTTGGTGGTCTCGCGCTTCTTCCTGGGCGCTGCGAAACACGTGCGTGTCAGGCGCTGAACATGCCCAACCACCCCGCCCGCTCAAAGCAGGACAAGACGTACCTCTAGGCTTGCGCACCGTAACGCGCTCTGGGGATCGATATACCCCGAGTCTCTTCAACGTGGAGAAGCTGATCGACACATCCTCCTCTCCCTCGAACCTGGCTGGCACGACCAATGCTTTCGCCTTGGGACCGACCTTCTGGCCGATGACTGGGTTGGTCGCCCCAGACCTGACTTTCGACGAGGTCGATGTTGAGCTGTATGCGATATGTTATCAAGCTTAGCCCTCAGACGCCACTTGAAGGGGAGAGAAGGACGATCCAAGTCGAGCACGTACCTCGTCTTCAGGTTGGGCATCGCTGCCAATTCCTCAATGAGCACGTCTTTCTTCTGGTTCGCCTTCAACCCGTTTAGCTGGGACAGGGCAAATACAGCGATAGTATGTGTCAGCAAAGATGGGCTCGACGTGAGCGTGGTGGAGGGGAAAGGAAGAGTTGTTCCGCCTGACCACCCTGCTGACCTTCGCCAGCCCCTGGAGCTCGGACCACGGCTTGGATCGTAACTCGTTCTGTGTCATATGTACCATGATGGCCTTGTCTTTCTTAATGGTGACGGTAGGGGTTCGTCAGGATGAGGAGTAGCGGGTAGCAATGGGGAGAGGGATCATGAAGCTCGACTTGAAAGGGGCGTTTGGCGCCGAAGATCCTAGAGTAAACCGGGCCGAAAACTCCGCTGTTCAGTATAATCAGTCACATGGTTACTCTATGTATTTCTTATTGTTTCCCTTCACACCTCCCGTTTAGCTCAGCTGGTAGAGCGCGTCACTAGTAATGACGAGGTCAGTCGTTCAAGTCGGCTAATGGGAATACCTGGCCTGAAGAGCCTTTGGTTTATATCGCTTTAGTTCATCTCGTTAGGAGAGTGATAGATAATACTGGGATGCTGATGTATTTTGCCAGTACAGACATTTACGCCAGCAACTGGTCATGGAATCGCGCCCCTCAGTCTCAACGTCGCGTGACCCAGTCCGCCGTGCCGTGCCAGCCGGCCGGGGGAGTCGGACCGCGATGGAGGCCAGGCTCGTTATAAGATCGGCCGCGATATCCGCGACGCTCACTGTCCCTGTCCGCCCAACACCTCCGCAAAACTCTACCCACACCCACAAACATGCCGCGCGTTATGATCTGCGGTGCGTGTGCAGCGACATGCACTAGTCCGCCCGAGGCCTGATGAGGACGCCGGGCTGCAGGTGACCTCGTCTGGGCGCACAAGGAGTGCGAAGGCATGTTCAAGGGCGTCGCGGATGTGATCGTACGTGTTGCGCCTGCGTCATGGCCTGTTTGAATACGGTCAACCGACGTTTTTCCTTGCAGGTCATGGACGCCAAAGACCGGGCAACGCTCTTCGCAGGTCTCGCCCCCGGTGGCAAGTACGATGGCATCATCGGCATCTACAGGCACAACACCTCCGCGGACCGCATCGGCGTCTTCGACAAGGAGCTCATCGCGAGTCTTCCCGCGAGCGTGAAGTGGATCGCGCACAATGGTGCTGGGTATGACCAGATCGACGTCGCGGCGTGCAAGGAGCGCGGTGAGTGGTCTCTCAACTGTGTTTGCGGATGCCAATCATCCGGTGGATTACGGGCGCGTTCTACTGCCGGCAATGGAAGGCGAACGCTGCTGGTCGCGAACAGGCGCCGCACGACCTCGAATCTCGGGGCTCACGGGGTCGATCCTGACGCGCCTCCCGCAGGCATCACCGTCTCAAACACCCCGGGCGCCGTCGACGACGCCACGGCCACCGCCGGCCTCTACCTCATGATCTCCGCCATGCGCCTCTTCGCCCACGCCGAGCAGGACCTCCGCGCCGGCAAGTGGAAGTCGGGCCACCGCCCCGGCGCCGCGTTCGACCTCACCGGCAAGACGCTCGCCATCCTCGGCCTCGGGGGCATCGGCCTGCGCCTCGCCGAGCTCGCGCACGCGTTCCCGATGCGCGTCGTCTACCACAACCGCCGCCCCGTCGCGCACGCGCCGGCGTGGTGCGAGTACTTTGGCGCCGACCGCGTGGACGAGATGCTCGGGCTCGCGGACGTGCTGAGCGTGCACATCCCGCTCCGCCCGGACACGGAGGGCTTCGTGGGCGAGACGATGATCCGGAAGCTGAAGAAGGGCGCCGTGCTCGTGAACACCGCGCGCGGGAAGGTCATCGACGAGGCGGCGATGATCCGCGCGCTCGAGGACGGGCATGTGAGTGGTCGTTCTGCGCTCTTGCGAGCTGAGCTGACGCGCGGTTCGTTCAGTTGGGCGCGGTGGGTCTGGATGTGTTCCCCGACGAGCCGGAGGTGAACCCGCGCTTGCTGGAGTTCCCCAACGCGGCACTCCTCCCGCACATGGGCACGGAGACGTGCGATTCGCAGAAGAAGATGGAGATCCGCGCGCTCTCCAACCTCCTCGATTTTGTGACCAAGGGCAAGGGCACGGACATCATCCCGGAGCATGCACAGTGCGTATCTCTCTCTTCTCCTGTAGCGATTCAAGAAGAGCTGACTCCAAAGCGCCAGATAGGAAGGCGAAGCTGTAGTAGGCGGACTGTACATTAATGTGGGATAGACAGTGCTTATTTATCCCCTCGAGCCTTGGAGATCCGGCAGTAGCAGTCATCAAGTGCCTCTCATCTTTGCACTAGTATATATATGTACTGGTTGCTTTGAATTTACCCCACAGTGCCTATCAATACTGCCAGATCTCATTAGGCTGGAAATCTGGCAGGATGATGGCTTTGAGACTTACCTCTATATTCAGATCCACCGTAACTCCTGCTGCGACAATCCGGGGCATCCATCCCCTCACGTGTCCCTCTGTGACTTCGCGATCGTCTCGAAGCACTTCCGCAGGGGGGCCGCGATCGTCTTCGTCCACGAACGAAAGCACGCGAAAGCGGACAACAACGCGGTCGACGCACGGGAGCGCGGCGAGTGCGCCGTCCAGCTCGCCCCACGGGATCCGCTGCTTGATCTGGCTGGGGTTGCGTACATATCCGGGCGCCATGTCGACAATGAGACGCAGCTCCGCGAGCGCAAGGCCGTCGAGGGCGGCCTGCGCGAGGCCCATCGCGACGAGCTTTGTCGCGTCCGCGAGGGTGCCGTACGCGCGAGGCGCGGTCGGGAGCGTGCTCAGCACCGTGAGAGTGCGGAGGGAGGAGCACAACCCGAACGGCAACGCGTGCCCCGCTTGGACGTCGGTGTCTAGAAGTCGCAGGGAGGCGGCTGATCAGCGGGTCGGGCGGGGGAGTCTGAAGGATCAGATCGACTGACTGTATGCGGACGGCGTGAAGAGCCGCATTTCGAGCTCGAGCTCGGTGAGCGACTCGGAGACGTGTCTCATCAAGTCCCCGGTGACGCGTGCGGCGCGATTCCTCTGCCGCACGGCGCGGAGAGCTTCTTGACGGTGGCCTTGCAGAGGATGCGCCCGAGCTGCGAGAGGTAGGCCCAGCAGTCTGCGCGGACGCGGAGGATTGCTTCCCGGACCCGTACGGTGGGCGCGGCTCCGAATGTTGGCGGGCATTCTTCTTCGTCTCCTGTATCCCCGTCTTCGTAGTGTATTGTGAGGACACCGATGGCGAAGAAGAGGGTTATGAAGGGGATGAGCTTCGAGGGGGCAGTCCGTTCGAGGTCGATAAGCTGCAGGCCCTTTATGTGAAAAAACCCCATGTATTGATAGCGGTCGACGTCGAGTACGAGCCCTTCCAAGCGCAGATCGGTAAGAGCCGGGAGGCGAGACAAGGTGGCGACCAGGACGGAGAGGCTGAGTGAATGTTTGACATGAGGGTCGTTGTGTGACAGCGGTTTCCTGAACACCACGGCGCGGATGAGCGAACCAACGTCTGGATTTTCGGACAAGAATCGGATGGGGTTTTCGTCGCTTCCTCTGCTGAGGATGTCAGGGTGGAAGCAAGTGATGACGAGGCGACGGAAGAGCAGAGGACGTGCGAGGCGGAGACACGCACGGGAAAGGATGCTGCAGGAAGAAAGGGTTGGCTTGTCGGAGTGTAGGTGTTCGATAACTTGGAATACAAGCTCAATGGGAAGCATCTCGTCACTAGTTCTGAAGTTGATGGTCTGAGCAAAGTAACAAAGTCACATGTCAGCATTGTTTAACAATAGGCGCCTATAATCACACAGCATCCATACGCGCCTTTGTGGTCGGAGTTTGAATCCACTCTTGACCGCCGACCACCTCCTTCCCCGTCTCCCCCCATTTCTCGTTTGAGCTCTAGTCAATATGGAAGAACTACTTGCTATGGACGATGCCACGCTGCTTAACATGAAGAAGATGCCATTGCAGCTCCTAGCGATTGTGCGTTCTTCCATCAAGCGTTCTGTGTTACAATGCTCTAACCACTCTGGTTTCAATCACCAGAGCCATGGAATCAGAGGGGGCGCACGCAAGAACATCGCTATTGCGCGGGAGCTCATTAAGCTTCGCAATGAATACAGAAAGTAAGCTTCATGCGCGTATACATGTGCAACAACCATACTTACATCATCCAGTGATCCGACGAGGACTACCTCAACATTCCTGCGTCGCCCGCAGTCTTTGCAGGCGAACGACAAGACAATTATAAAGGTGGATAAAAAACCAGAAGAAACAGAAGAACCGCCCATGGCTTCAAGCGCTCCAACCATCGCGAAGAAGCCGAGTGGCACACACGTTGACCCGCCACTCGTGCCCTCTGAAGCATCACCTATCGACAAGCCTGCTGATGTGGCTGCCGCGGAGCCTCTAAAGGACGATGGTACCACAGATCCGATCGCAGGACCATCAAAGAAACCCAACAGAAGGCCAAGTCGCCCCAAAAAGTAAGCCCAGCCCCCGCTCGCTCTTAGTTATTGTGTGGGAGCTCAATTCCGTGTGTAGGAGGAAGACCATCAACAAAGACCCTGCAAAAACTACGGGTAGGAAGCCCCGTCCTCGTGTCCCACCACCAGTTTCCTCTCCTTCGATCGTGGGGTCGAGTCCTACCGCCACTCCTCGTTCAAATGTGTCCAATATCCCAGTTGGTCAGCATCAACTCGCATTTGGTCACGAAGTGTGATGGACTAACAATTTTCAGGACAAGCCATGGAAACTGCTTCGACTGCACCTCATGCACAACATCCTCGCTCATCTGCACCGACACCTTCCACGCAGCCCTCTTCCCATAACCTTCCAGTTCCATACCCGTACGGCGGATTTGGTGCTGGTTATCCGGCTTCGTTTGTCATGAAGATGAGGGAGCAAGCCTCGCACTCTGTTGCCGCGGACTCGTCCTTTGCGTCGTCTCGTAACCCGTCGGCCTTGTCTCCAGTCTCGCAGGGGCCGTCAACTGCACCCCCTCCGGCATCTGTCGGACTTCCACCGCCGTGGCAAGGCCAGGTGGAATCTCCTGCTCCTGCCTCCATAGAGTCTGCTTCCGTTTCCCATGTACACACGTCCACATCGAGAACCCGCTTGGCTCCTACTGCGCAGGCGGCGGCTTCCACCTCTATGCCTCCTCCTCCTCCTCCTCCCCCTCCGGTCCCCCACAAGTCATCTTCCCGCCCAAATCCTGCCTCAATCCCCGTTGCCCCGGGGTTATTCATTCGCAATGGTCCCCGTACCCCAGAAGAAGACGACGATGCTGGCCCCCACACGACAATTCCCGCAGATATTAGCCGCGAGGCGAAGGAGACAGGTCGCATGGTCGTGCTCATACCTCACGACATGACCGCGAAGGATATCAAGACCGAGCTCCCCTCTCTCGAGCGGCAGGCCGGCCCAAACCCGATCTTCCTCCGCATGGGCCTCCGCCCAGGGCACCCATCCTTGCGGGGGCCTGATGACCCGCGTGGACGCCCCACACGCGTACCCGTAGAGGCCTACCAGCACGCGCCCGCTCTAGCACACGATCCCCCAGCATCACACAACGCCCCATCCGCACCCGCCTCCCAGCAGCCCTCCGCGCAGCCACCACCGCCGGTGCCCGAGCGCATCCGCGCGATGGCCACCGCCGCGGCGACGGACCCCGGCCTCGCGCGCGCGCTTTTCACCGCCGCGGGACAGTACTACCAGTCCGCCTCTCGCACGCCTGAGCCCTCTCCGGCCGCCGGGGATCCCGAGAAGAAGAAGAAGAAGCGGCGCGGGCGCGAGGCCGATGACGCGGACGTGCGCGCGCTCGTGCAGGACATGGCGGACATGGCGGCCATCCAGGAGGCGCGCCGACGGCGGCTCGAGGGCTTCGACACGGACCTGAGCCGGTTCGAGGGCGGGTTCCGGACGCTGGGCGCGCTCGTGCGCCAGGAGCGCGCGGCGTTCAACCGGATGCAGCCCTACCTCGACTTCGCGAACGTGGAGATGCCGGACGCGTGGGACGAGGAGGCGGTGTGGGACCGCGCGGGGAAGCTGCTGCACGAAGAGGAAACGGACCGGTATGTGGAGATGGAGTCGGACGACGAGGATGGACAGTGAGTGGAAGCCATTCGCGTTCGCTTTGCGGTGGGCGGATGGAAGAGTCTGACCTGTTTTTTGCAGCATGTACGCCGGGGCGGTGCAGGTTCGATGGGTGGCGGATCCTAACGCCTCTAAGGAGTGAGTCGTCTTCGCTTCAGAACCATACTTGTGTGTTGACGACCTTGCAACAGGCAATGGCTTGAGATCGCGCATGCTGAGACCGCGACAGAGAAGAAGATGATGGCGAGGGAGATGGCTGAGGCTGAGGCGTGCGAGGCTGAAGCTGCAGCCAAGGAAGAGTCTCGAAAGAGGAAGCGTGAACGCGCTGCTGTAAGGGGTGCCAGCAAGAAGATGCGGCAGGAGCACACGGACACTCCAGCTAAGCCGCAGGCGGGCCACCCGCGAGGTTAACTATGGATGCCAATAATGCACTTGGCGGAATCCAGGAAGAGAACGAGGACGAGGACGATTACTAAGTGTTAAGTCGCAGCGTCGTTTGTCACGGGGCCGAGCTTCAGCACTCTGCCTATATAGCACGAGTCGATTGCCGAATGTACTCTACTGTATGCCATACTGTGTTAACAATTTCAATCAGTGCACCTCCACACGATTAATGCGAACGACTCGGATCGTTGAAACGAGTTTGACGGCTCCGATATATACGGATGTTTCATACAGTTTGCTTTCGCTACTTACCGTGTCGGCATCTTCTCTTTTGGAGGCTCTCTTTTGTCTGAATCAATCCGAAAGAGGCACGCACCGCCAATAATAATGCTGGCTTCCTACACTGGCGTGTATCCAAGAGTTTCTTGGGTACGACTGGTGCACGTGATGGGCAACGAGAAGAGTTTAGAATCTCGACCGAGTTTAATTGACAGTGGGGCATTTCTGGTCCCAGCTTTAGGATGTGAAGTCAATAGTGGTCGTCGCGGGTTGGCTACCTCCATGGGCTGTCTTAAAACTACATACCACCGCGGCGACTGTTTCTGTTAAAACGCACCGACTCCCTCCCTTGTTATTTCAAACCCCATTCTGTGAGAAGGCACGCTGTGAGCAGCGGTCCACGAGTCAGAACACGATCCATTTTCTGCGGTCCTTCGGGAAACGCTCAGCATCAAGCTTCAAGTGCATCAAGCTTCACCGGCCACTGAAGGTTGCTGTTGAAGGTCCGCGCTGGTCTTCGGGCCGTGACAAATTGAGCCAGAAGCGCGTCGCGTCACAATCACGTGCTCCCCACAGTAAGCACACCCGGCTCCTCGGACCGGAAATGGTGCCTCTGTGGCGACGCCTCTTTCGACACCTGGTTTTCTCATGCTCACCCAGCGGCCGTGCCGCGCCCTGGCGACCATATGTCTACCCTCACGCGACCGCCTCTCTACTTCGTGCTGCACCAACGCGCGCACACTCGCGTACCACGCCGGACGACGTGCGCGGACTGTCGCTCGCGGGGTCAGGGATGCGATCGGGATGGCCCTCAGGGCCGGCGGTCGGACCGAAGCAGGGCGGGCGAGGATGGCGAACGGTTTAGCCAGGGCCACATCTGCCGTCTGAGACTCTGGCGAGCTCTCTCCTCGCACGCGGGTCCCGAGGCGAGCCCGGTGATCAGCTTGCCCTGTGCGCGGCATCCCGTCTGTCTCGCGAGGTCTCGCGTCACCTGCGGCGCGCGGCCCACTGCGGGACGGATAGTACCAGCGGATACCGCGCTCGAGCGTGAACGTGCGGCTCTGTGAGACCCGCGGCGGCCTTGCGTACTTAGGCACTCACCGTTCGTCAAATTTTATCCACCAACCTGTGCCGGCGTTCGTCAATTGTTATAAATGACTCCGCTCCGGCACGCAGCTGTCCCATCATCCCCGCACTGGCACTACGCGCTTGCCCACTCCTCCGACCGCGACTTTCATTATGCACGTCGTCGACGCCCGCGCTCTCGACACCGTCTCCGATGCCGTAGATGAAGGTGCGTCCGCTACTACCTCCATGCTGGGCGCTAAGTGTTCATATTTACATCTCTGCGCAGTAAACAAGCTCAAGGGCCAGACGAACAAGTGGGATGAGGCCTCCAAGTTTGATGCTGAGAAGGACAAGGCTACCTTCCGTCAGTACGAGGATGCCTGTGACCGCGTCAAGAACTTCTACCTCGAGCAACACGGTACGCATTTCCCTGCACCTGTTTACTTGCTTGCCGTTTCATTCTGGAATCCATTACAGAGAAGCAGACCATGGAGTACAACCTCCGTGCGCGTGCTGAGTTCAAGAGGAACGTCCGTGCCCGCATGGGTACGTCATCGTAACTATTGTCAGCTCAAATCGTGCTGACCATCGCTCCGCCCTGATAGGCGTCTGGGAGGCCATTGAGAAGCTCAACACCCTCATCGACAACTCCGACCCCGATGTGCGTCCCATTGGTTCTCATCTTGGTCTGACTCTGATCGCTGACCGCTCCCTTCTCCACAGACCAGCGTCTCCCAGATTGAGCACCTCCTCCAGACCGCCGAGGCGATCCGCCGTGACGGCAAGCCCGAGTGGATGCAGGTCGCGGGGCTCGTGCACGACCTCGGAAAGCTTCTCTGCTTCTTCGGCGCCGACGGCCAGTGGGACGTCGTCGGTGACACCTTCGTCGTCGGCTGCAAGTTCTCAGACAAGATCATCTACCCCGACACCTTCGCCGGCAACCCGGACTCGCAGGACCCGGTCTACTCGACCGAGTACGGCGTGTACGAGCCCCACTGCGGGCTCGAGAACGTCATGCTCTCCTGGGGCCACGACGAGTACCTGTACCACGTCTTCAAGCGGCAGAGCACGCTCCCGATGGACGCCCTCTACATGATCCGCTACCACTCCTTCTACCCGTGGCACCGCGAGGGCGCGTACCAGCACCTCGCGAACGCGAACGACAAGCACGCGCTCGAGGCCGTCCTCGCCTTCAACCCGTACGACCTCTACTCGAAGAGCGACGACCCGGTCGACGTCGAGAAGGTCAAGCCGTACTACCAGGGCCTCATCGCCAAATTCTTCCCCGACGTCATCGAGTGGTGAGCGGCTCGCGCTCCGGCCGCGGGCATGCGGCGTTGAGCGCATCCTTACCCACGGCACCCACGTACGCACTGCATGTCGATTCGGCTGTCGGTGGAGAACATCCGGAGCAGATACCTTCCTCTTCCTCTCACGTAGTCGCTTTACACACGAATATTGTAGCATAGATTTCGTCGCGCAGCTCGGGCGAGCCCCAGGTGTCATTGTCGGTAGTATAGCTGGTGTACTAATTGAAAGAGAGCTTGTTGGAGTGTAAACTCGAGGATCGACAAACGGCGTCCTTGTATCGTCGGCCTCAATCGCCACAGCTAACCACTCATTTGCCACGAGCGAGAAGCACCAGCATCGCCTCATGCAGATGGTAGGGTAGATCATGTGTGGTTTCTCAACTGACTCGCAGTCCAGAAAACATATAGTGTGAACGTACAGTACGCCGGGAAACGTGTAGCTGCGGCGCCGTGGTGTCGGAGTAGCAGGTAGGTAATAATGCGCACGACTATGTCCACAGCGATCAACGCTTCTTCTGTCAAACGTACATAGCAAAATAAGTAGTACAGTGTGCTGCATCAAGTAGCGGTGTCGGTAGCTGGAGACTCAAGTGAACATGAGTGCGTGAGGGGCAAGGTCGTGAATGCGTCGGATGGAACATCGTAATGCTACAAAAGTTAGGAATAACTGAGGGTAATCTGGGAGCATCGAAGCCAATCGTTGCGGGAAAATCTCAGAAAGCGGTCGGTTTGAAATCACAACGGTATGGAGCCATATCAACGTCTTGTGCTTGTTCCAACGCGTCGGCGTTTGGCAGGTGTCTTCCTAGTTCGTCCGGTGACAGTGACACTGTACCAGGTCCGTCAGACGTGCGACTTTCTCCAGCCAATCGAACGTACCTTGCAACCCGATGCGCCGCCCCGTCGCGCGTAGCAGAGCGCAAAACCTCATCCCTCTCTTTAGCTCCAGGCTCATCTCGACCTCCTTCGCCTCGAGCTCCGAGACCTCTCCTTCGTCTTCGTCCTCCTCGTCAATCTCAACGGCCTTCCTCTTCCCCATCTTCTTCTCGCTCACCCTCACCTCGTCCTCCGAGTCTTCGTCCATACTCTCCTCCGTATCTCCTCCTTCGTCTCCCACATCTCGCCCACCCGCACCCTCCTTTCCCGCCTCGCCCGCACCCGCACCCTCCTCCGGTCCCCCTCCTCCTCGGGCATGCTCGGAAATTCCTCTCCCGACGCGATGACCTCCACCCCCCGCCGCCCGACCGCGTACCCCTCCTTCGCGCGCGCCATGATCCCGAGCTCGAACGCGATCCGCATCTGCTGCAGCCGCCGCAGCTTGTCCGCGACGAGCGCCTCCTTCGCGCGCACCGCCCGGACGAGCTTCGAGAGCTGGTCGAGCCCGTGCTTGCGCTTCGGGTCCGCCTCGGACAGCAGCGTGAGCGCGTTTCGCGCGCGCACGTACTCGGTCTCCGTCGGCCGGTGCGGCCAGCGCGCCGGGCGGAGGCGGCCGCCCCCGCCACCGCCGGGCTGCGGGACGGGCTCGGTGAGCGCCATGGACGAGGTGGAGGCTGGGGTAGGGTCGGGTCTAGGTTCGGGTCCGGTGGTGAGATCGGTGGGAGGAGCGGCTTGGGGGAAAGGGTTGGTCGATGTGGTGGCTGGGGAGATGGCGAACGATTTGGAAGACCCAGGAGCGGCGGCGGCCGTTGAAAACGAGGGAGTTGGCGGAGTAGTACGGGGGGATGGGGCGGTGGATCGAATAAGGGCAGTCGGCGGTGCGTCAGAGGAAGAAGCCGTGGGGGAAAGCACTGCGGGGCCAGCAGAAGAAGCAGCGGTAGGCGCAAAGAAGGGAGGACTAGAGCCGGATGCCACGGGAGTAATGGGCGTAGCAGATGCAGCAGAAGTAGCAGGAGCACGAGAAGTAGCAGGGACGGCGGACGTAGCGAGTACGTCCCTCGCCACGTCTGCGATCTCATGGTCAGATGTAGGATCAGGGGACGACCGGGGCGGAGAGGACGGAGGAAGGTCAAATGCAGACGCAGAAGGAAGGCTGGCTAGCTGCATCTCAGCGCGTTTGCGCGCAATCTCTTGCCGAGAGAGATCCTCGTCTGTATGTTCCCTGCTAAGGGGTTTCGGTGCCTTTTTCTCAGATACAGGCTGAGGAGGGGCCCCGAGCTTGAGAAAAACTCGGCGTTTGAATGTGGGAGTTTTGGAAGGACTCTTTGCAGCAGGGATGATGAGAGTGGGCCTGCCATTCGTAGTTGGAGAACGAGGAGATTGGCCGAAGTTCACCTCGCCTAAATTACCACGCGTCAATAATGAGCTCTTATCAGAGAGTATACGTACGGTTAATCGCACCTTCTCGTTCTCCGACTACAATGGGAGCATAAGGAATTGACGACGGCGCGCGAGGATCCGATGTGCTTTCGGTCATCGGCCCCGCAGAAGTCTGAACATCCCCCTGAACAGAGCTCGGGGAGGGAGGTTGAGCAGTAGGCTCATCGACAGGAGATTTCGTGATGAACTCCGTAGGATTAGGCATATCCGGCAACACCGGAGAATGTCGATCGTGTGGTGGAGAAGCAGGTAATGACGAGTCTATGCAGGAAAAATCGGTAAACCGTACTGTGCTTTGATCCGGTTCGACTCACCAGAGGGTACTGCCTTCGCGATGGTTTCCGCTGACGGCGCCTCCGATGCTGGAGACGGCATGTCATTAGGTTTTTTCCTCCCATTGAGTCGCTTAGTGGGTGAAGTGGCTTTCTTCGGAGAGCCTTTGAGTGGCGTTCTACGAGTGGCTATAGAGGTGGTGAGCAAAACGACGCCTTCCTTGGATGGAAAGTACCTGTAATGGCCGAGTTTCGATTCATTCTTGGGTGGGGGCATCTGCGAAGCGTTCTCCGGCTGGCGGCAGGTGGTGAGGTCGGAACCGTAGGTGGGGGTGGTGAACCACTGAGTCGACGGGATTTGACCTCGGGGTTCAACGCTGGAATACAGACCTCTTTTCCCTTCCTCAGAGGCGAGGTGTCTTTACGTGGAGTATTCGTAGCCTCTTTCGGAGGCTCGGCAGGTTTATTCTCGCTGGAGAACGAGATTAGCGCTACGCTCAAGCGTGTACACCCTGACCACCCACCGGTCCGAGCTGGCGTTCGAAGCTGCCTGAATCTTCCCAAGTATCTGTTCAATAATGTCTTCAGTGCTTTGGTTTCCACGAACACCATGTTTCTGTGACGATTCAGGACGGGTGTGACGGTCAGCACGTGCGTAGTGTGGGTATCGAACGTAACGGGTGGTCAGCCGCACTAGACGCCCACCTTGGCCGTTTTCTGTAATCTGGCGCGAGAAAGGGCCCTCAGCTCCGCTTCGTTCATGTTGCTTCTTGTATATGCGGGTATATTCGTCTTCTCAGAGGCTAGCGTGAGGGTATTGGAGGGGATGGAGGAGGAGGAGTCTGGCTGAGTGGCGGTCGAGAACAAGTGGCAATCATCCGGCTCGGCGCCCTAATTGTCTCACGGGCCACCGCTTCACGCATATGCCATGCGCTCCTTGTTCTGAACACCGTTGCCATCCCACCACTCTTTGGCCACCTCCTTCATTTGTCTTGACCTCGTCTTTTGCTTCCTTATGAACCACAATGGTGGGCGTGGTAGTTCCCTAGTGCCTCGCCGGAACCTAGGCAGCTCCCCAGATCAGTGTTGCATCTTCATAGCCATGATCGCGGGCCATCGCGAGGCCTCATAGTGGGACTGTAAGCTCTATACCAATTACAAAAGGATTCACCTTGTGGATACATGCTTATCTTTGCGTGCAAAAGAACTATGCCTGTCAAAACGAACCATGCAATGAGATCCCCTAACTGATGAGAGGCGTACAAGACCATGAATAGTGTTCACGCAATAGCCCTTTAGCTGAATTCTACTTGCTTAGATCTTGTCGAACCATGTACAACGTCCATACGTAGCATGTTCTTCGCAAAGGTGAGCGATTCGGGTCTGCTACTGGCCACTCGCGACGTCATGCATGCTCATTCTATCTCGTTCATTTTACTAGTGTCTCTTCATGTCAATGACGGGACTTCAGTGTTCGGATAGCAGCCTTATTGCCCTGACATCGACCTTCTCGACTACCAGCTCCACTGACGCACTTCCCCAAACGTCCCGACATTCATTTGGAAACGAGAGTGTGGCCCTCTTTCCTCTCATCTCGACCGGCGCAGCCGATTTCCCAAGGAAGAATCTCCTTGACGGTTTTACTATCACCGCCATGCTCTTTCGTGGGAGCCGTCCATTTTTGGGCTTCACTGGTGCAGGTGATCGCGCAAATACGCAATGGGGGGCTACCAGGAAGCCCGATTAACGTGTATTCAAATGATTTACCAAGGTGAACGTCGGGATTCACCTCCTCTTCCATGCTCACGAGGGCCTTCGAAAGTCTGTGTCGCTCCCCACCGTTGACGAATGCTAGTGGAGCAATCAAAGGGACATGAGAGCAGGATGTAAGGCTAAGACCCATGCGCGGTCTGCGATAATGTGAATTGTACTTCTTCACGGCATTCTGGTCTGAGAGATACAACCCGTACCCGGGAAAGACAAATGACGCCGTTATCAATCTCTTGCCACCCGGCGCGACCTACCCCAGTGCTCTTCGCAACCACAGTCCACGTTCTCACCAGGCCTCCTGAACCAATATGCGGCTCAGAGTCTCCCCGAAGGACGCAGCATAGTACGTGTACTTGTAGAGACAGCAAGCATGAAAGCAGGACAGGATACATCAAGCACAGCGAGAACACCTTCCATCCATACCAGGTCAACCTACGCACGCCCACGCTTCCTCTTGGGAGCGACCTCCTCCTCTTCCTCATCGCTCTCACTCCCCTTACGCTTCTTCGCAGCGCCCGCCTTGAGCTTCTTCAGCTCCGCCTTCCGCGCCTCCTCCTCAGCCTCGTCTCGGACTCGAACGCGTCCATGCAGGCTTCTTCTTCGGAGCCGGCTTCTTCGCCGCACCCGCAGTGGAAGGTGGCTTCTTAGACGCGGGCTTCTTCCCCTCCACGACTTTCGCCTTCTTCTCCTTTTCGCCTTCCTTCTCCTTCTGTTCACCCTCGTCCTCGGACGCGAACGGGTCGTCCGCGCCCGCCTTTTTCTTCAGCTTCGGTTTCGCCTTCGCAGGGGCCGCCGTCGCACCATCGCCGGCCGTCGCCGTCTTTTTCTCGGCCGCCGCGGCACTCTTGGCGGCCTCGAGCTCCTTGAAGTATTCCTCCTTCAGAGCCTGTACAGGCGCGGGTGGGGAATGGACGGGACCGGGACGTGGACGACGACGTGAAACCCAACGGAAGCAATACATTAGCACCACAGTACGACGCTCTGTGGCGTAAATGAAACCACGACACCCTCCGGGAATCCACCGCCACGGATCACCGGTCGCCGGTCGGCGGCTATCATGCGGACTAAACGGAAACGTACCTTGATCTCCGTGTCTTTCATGAGGGCAGTGTTCTTCCACACCTGCGACGTGACGTGACACATGCCAGCGGTGACGGACGAGACGACGCGCGGAGGGGCGCGAGCATGGGAAGAGGTAGGTCAGGGACGGGCTGTGCTGTGAGCGGAGACAGAACATACCGTTGACGACACACCGCTGGGATGCTTGCTGTCAAGCCCTGGTTGACGATGCGCGTTAAATTCAGCATCGCGCGCGCAGACTCCAACCGCATCTGCGAAACCTCCGCTCAGACGTACCTATGTGCGTGTAGAGATCGGTTTTCACTCCCATGAGATTGAGGCCGTGATGTCGGAGGAGGACCTTCATGACCTGTTAGAGTGACAGTTCGTAAGTGTGGCGCGTCTTGAGATGTAATTGGGGGAGAAACAGACCTCGGTGACCTTGGCTTGGTCAAGGGCGTCTGGCATATAGACGCAGATGAGATGCGAGTAGTTGGGCGTGTCATTCTTCGGGCTTGTGGCCACTTTGGCCAGATATGCGCTGGTGGTAGAAAGTGGCCCAGATACCAGCGACGCTAACAAACCCCAGATTCAGCAAAAATTATACTGTGTGGGCCATGAACATACTGGCGACCGAACTCCAAATCATATCCACCTTGTCGGGCTGTGCGAAGATTAGCCTGGAACAAGGACGATCAATACACCAGCGGGCTTGACACGAGACATGGACAGATACATGAACCCACCATTTGCCAACAAGAAAACCATGCTTGGTGGAGATCTCTTTGAGCTTCTGCGTAGCCTCGCTTTGTACCTGTTTTGGGTATAATAAGCAGTTGCCGTAAAATGAACAAGGTTTGATGACATACCTCTTCGCGCATTTCCTTCTTGCTCCTGAGACCCTTTTTCTTGTTCGCCCGAACTGGTATGGAATCGTCGTTCTAAAAATAAGGTGCGGGTAAGCCACAGTCCACTTCTTCGCTGCACACCGAGCAGGACGCCGAGCTGCGGCCACAGTCGAGTAATTGTGACAAGATGCACCTGGATCTTCTCTACGCGCTCAGTGACGTCGGCAACTGCCGGGGAAGTGAGCTGGTGTGAGTCAAGAACAACAGACATAGAACCGCGCATCCACGCACGGTAGGCTGTTGCTTCTTCAACAGCGGCCAACATGCCGCTGTCGCCAGAACGGTCCTCGGATTTGGCGGTCCACAGCCACTGGAAGCAGGCACAATAGGCAGCGGGCGTCGACAGCGACAGCGAGCGACAACCGTCAACACAGCCCAGAAGATGGGTTGGCGGAGATTGAAACCCACCGGCTTCGTTCCGTCGTCCTGGACCATCGACGGCTTGTACTGACAAGAAACACGTCGCGTGAGTCGAGAGGGCTCAGGAGACCGCATACAGTCAACACGTACTTACCTTGGTGAGAAACTCTTGTAGGGTGGTCTGAGACTTTGGAGACCACTGGTATGGGTAATCCTCAGGCATAACGTCGTCGTTTTTGCCCATGTTGGTTAGTGCTCGGTACCAAGTGTGAAAACTATATGCGGCTTGATCGTAGTGATGACGGGGGTCTGGAGGAGCCTCCGCGACAGTAGACGCTGATCTAAGCGCGACGCGTTCTTTGGCATTGTTTGGCCGCTGGGGGTGCCACCGACGCGTTCCGAGAGTACTCGGAGCGGCACACGTCCCTTGAGTCGGGACCAACTCATGGGAATGCTTGTGGGGAGCGGCGAGCGAGTTTACCCATGTGAGTACTAGAACAGCGTTCGTAAAGTAATTCACGCTGAGATGTATACCACCGCTCTAGCGCAAAACAGCACCCCTAATTGACACGCCTTCAAGGGCGCAAAAGCTGCAGACATTTCCCAGTGGCTCTGAGCCTTCTCGACCGATTTATTTCTCGGGATAAAAGTAGGACTAGTCTAGACCACCCCCACACTCCCCCACGCGGACGCCGTGTCTTCTTGAGATGGCTTCGCGAAGGCAACAGATTACACATTGTAACTCCTATCCTGCATGCTCCAATGACGTGCGGAGGGTGATAAGCCCAAGCTAGATCCGACCCTTCTCGATATCCGTCTGCAAAGCGTTGCGTTGATAACCCGCCGCGACCAACATACTCTATTCCGGACGCTCAAAACACCCCCACGCCGGTCCCTATCTCCTCCCGGACCTCGCTGCCCACGTCGCGGTGTAACCACCACCACCACTACCACCTAGTGAGGTGACCCCATAGTGAAACAGCGAAACCACGAGTAACCAGCCGAGACGCAGGCTTGATCATGCGCCGGGCGCGATCGAATGCGACCCGCCGCAATCAAACGCAGTGGTCATGCATGCGACTATTCCCCACGTCAGTCCGGTCTGTATGCCCCCTCCAAGACTTCTAGATCCGCCCGGGGACCCCACAGGTGACGGCCGGGCCGCAGGTTGCAGCCATCCCTCGTGCTCGCATTGGCCCGCGCCTTCGCGCACAGGCAGCGCGGGGCAGCTTGCTACGTCTCGCGCACCACCGAACGTTCGCGACGGAAGCCACCTCGTTCACGGACCATACCCGGGATCAGAAATATGCCCATGCGTGTTCACGAATCGCGCGTGCAGTCGTGCGGGGGAACAAAACCGCCTACGACGCGGGCCACACGCGCGGGTGCGCGTAGAGCGGGTCGCGCGCGCGGTTTGTTGGACGCTCCTAAGCGACATCCCTCGTGGAAGGAATATGGAGTGTAGCAGGGGTAGCACCTTGTCCCAGGTGTTGCATAAGGTCCGTCCAGGACGGTCACTACTGCCGCGCCACGAATTGTCATCTGTCATGTAACGGGCTAGATAGCGTAATGGATAGCTTGAATACGTTTGCAAGGTGCCGGCCAAGTTTAGCCAGAGCACGCCTTCGAACTCTTTACCTTCCGTCTCTCACGCAGGCACGGAGAAGGCATGATCACTCCGAAGGGACGGTGAAATCACAGGCGGCTTTCGCCTGCAGGGTTGACCATTCAGCGTATCTTGGGCCGCTAAACAGGTTGCGTGGTGAGGACACCGGAGTTACGGAGGCACCTGAAGATAGCGAGAGAAGGAGGCGATGAGGTCAGTGTCAGGCAACAGACGACCGCGTAGGACACACTCACAAATGATAGAAGCTACCAGAGAGTCGGCGATAGCAACATGTCCAGATTTTGCAATACACGTCACATCCCACCCTTTTCACATCGTCTCCTCAGAGCGGCGCGCCCTGGTCCGGCAGTCCGCTCGATTGCGTATCGCCGGCGGACAATGTACATGAGCGGAACGCCAGGGATCTTCCGTATACGCCGCCGGAGCTCGCGATCGCAGGTTGCGACGACGTAGCACTTGTGTGAGGTCACGCGTTGGACGAGACAGTCATCTGCGTAGGTGCCGGAATGCGAGCACGCGAGGCGCTCGAACCGCGGATCTCGCGCCACGCTGGGGGCAAGTTTCGCATTAGCGTCGTGGGGTTGGGGAGAACGAGACGGAGGAGACTTGAGATGGTGTTTGGGGTGCGAACGCCGAGTTGGGAAAAGACGTACCGAAGTGCGACACGATAGCGGTGGCCCAGCTTCTCTAACTCCGCCATTACACAGTCAGTGACACAAGGGATGCCTGGAAACAGCATGTATGAGGTGGTTTCATGCGCAAAAAATAGAACGGGATGGATCTAACAGATGCTTACACTTTGCATACAAACAGTCCATCATCCCGCTGACGAGCTCCAGCTTATTTTGGAGGGAAAAGTTGATGAAATTGGTGTCAATCAAAACACGATACGGGGGCACTAGTGCCGTATTGTGTTGGAGGAAGAGAGACGAAGCAACCTGGGGACTACGCGACATGATGTGAGTGCCGACCGGATGTGCAAGGGCGAATGACGTACGCTCGTTTGACCAGTTTCTCCTTCTCGGCATCCTCCTTCTGTTTCTGCTTCAGCTGGTTCTCTTTTCTAGTGGAGATATCTAAGGGTTATCATGGGGAATAATCATTCGAAAAGACTGGACGAACAGCCTGATGTCTTTGGGATTCAGCATGCGCTTGACCAGGGCAAACTTGCGGGTCTTCTTCGCTTTCACCTAGATATCCTATGAGATTGGAGCACGAAGATGGGCAACTCTCGCGTACCATGATGGAATGAGATCAGAATGTGAAGGATGGATGAGTACAAACAGGTGTGCAGCCCAGGACGCGAAAACTAAAGTCATGGGACAGGGACCCCAGACACCACTCGGCTCTTAAGCATTTAATTATTCCCAGAGAATTGGCCGGAGCAAGGCCGGGAGGCCGGATCAATCCCGAGCTCGAGTTGGCTGATGCTCCTGGGATCCACAGACCGGCGCAGAGACGTCCACGCGGCCTCGAGGTGCTTCTAAATTCGTATGTAGACAGGACCATCAGCTCATCAGAACTCGATAAGTACACGCAAGATAGTTTTCGAAGCACGGTGTCTAGTCCTATCACCGCTCACATCCACCTTGCCTCGGAGTTTGTAGGCTTGAGGCTAGAACACCAGGGAACCATTGCCCACGAATCCGTAGCGATGCCACAGCGACACATCGGTGTTCAGTTCAGACCCTTTTTTGGTGAGGTGCTATGATTTTCCCGACCAACCGGGCGACTGCGGAACGTTCACCCGAGAATACAAGGTGGCGACATTTGAATTCTATTTGCAACGATTCCACACGGCTTGCCACAGACATACGGCAGCGTTGCGTAGACCGCACGACGGCGTCGTGGCGTGCGAAGCAGCGAGCGCATCGAGAAGAATCCTTGGAGTCTGATTTAGATACCTAGCCATTCAATACCCGTACTTCGAGGTGCCTGTCGATTTGTTACCAGTTGGAACGTCCATTCAGGCTGACGATCACAGGTTCTCGCAGCCGATGTGGGTTCTAGCTTGCCCGCATCGCACGGAAACCCTGTTCCCACCTACTGTTTTGGGCACTGTGTGCCCTTCAGCTAGGTTAGGAACCCATCTTCGTTTCTCACCATCTCGCTCATCCCGGATACGCTTGTCGGCTTAATGATGGCACCGGCGGAGAGTTCTCTATCGCACACGTTGTTTACACCCATGTGAACATCCCCTTGCGCGATTACCGTCGGATTGGCGTCATTGTATTGCAGGTAGATTTTAATAGCCCTTGTCAGGTTACAGCGTGGTCCGAGTTGACCGGTTTACTTGCCGGCTCCAATCAATCGGGTCCTTCTTTGGAAGTTATCAATGGTGCTTAGGCATGTACTTACGGGAAGAGTGCCACCTCATCGGGACAGAGACCACGCCGACAGCTGCGGTCTGTAACCCCGTCCGTTGGCCATGGCATATCATGTAGGAGGTCCAGTGTCTCCTCACCTTTCGCAACAGATAACGAAGACTTCGTAGATCGATTAACGGCATTCCGGGGCCCTTTTTAGAAATGTGCGCGTGTAAGCCATCTTCCATCCCGAGTGGTCCGGCTTTCTTCTGGCATCATGAAGCCACCCGCTCCGGCCCGTGGAAAGTCTCAACAGCACCTCCGACGAGCCCAAATGCGCCCGCGCATCTTGCGTCCCTTCCCGCGCACGAAGGTTTCCAATCGCCGAGCCCAACTTTCGGCCCCGCGCCCGCCCGCGCCGTTCGGCGGAAGCGCACGGCGGGAGCGAAGGCGGGGATCGCGGTGGGCCTTCCCTGAAGCTGCGCGCGAGGACACGGAGATGCTTCTTCCCAGCATCGCCCCCTTCCGCGCATCGCTCGTGGCCGCAGGCTCGCGCGCTGATTTGCGGAAACGCCGCCGGAGCGCGTGCGTCGCGCACCCTCGTATTGTGGCAGGCGCACACCGGTTGTTCCCATCGCGCGTACGCACTCGCGACAGGGCGCATCGACGGCGGTGTCGCACTTCGCGAGACTTCGCGCCGGCGGTCTGCGCGAAGAAGTCCTCCGCAGAAGCTTCGCAGACGGTAGCCGGGGCCCGAGGCGTAACACACACTAGGCGATGGCCAGGGCAAACCTTCTGCAACGGCGGGGCGCGAGTCCGCGTCGCTGCATCGTGATTCCGACTGTATGCAGACGTCGAGCAGACGTTGACTTGATACATACACCGAGGGCGGTGTACACTTGAGTACTTGTCCGATGGCGGTGTACACCCTTGTCCACTTTGAGCACCTGTTCGATGGCGAAGTTCATGAAGGTGCCATGCCCGAGCGCCGCGGCAGGCCGGCCGGAGAGCGGCACGTGGGGTGAGATGGGGAATCGCGGGTGGCAGGGGCCTCGGGGGCCATGGTTGGGAGGTGGAGATAGGCAGCCAACGGGAGAGAGGAGGGGGGAATGGCCACCGCATCGAAGATCCGGCCGGGCGGAGGCGCACCGAGCGAGAGATCCACCGATGAGCGCACGGCGTCTAGGCGCGCGCTCATGGGATCGTTTCCCCCACCGAGCTTGCACCAGGGCCGTCACCTCGATATTCTGCGAGCATATAAGACCGGCATGTTGCGCGGCACAACGGCCCCAGTAAGCCAGCTTCCCCTCTTCGCCGCACTCTTCCCCACTTCCATCCATCATGCCTTCCACCACCTTCCCCCAGACCCATGCTTCCGTCCCCCTGTTCGACCCCGCCGCGGTCTTGCGCAAGAAAGCAGCGCTTCCGCTCCCTCAGCCAGCTGAAACCCGGTCGTTGTCAGAAGCCGCCCAGCTGCTCGCCAAGTTCATCGAGGCTCACCGAGCCCTCGACGGCTACAAGTGCGTCTCCGTTTTTCTCGGGACTCATTGCGCGCCCATGCCCTGCCGTTATTGGCGCTCTTTCGGCGTCCCTGTTGGCGATCCCTTGCCTATCGTCCGCTTGACTGCGTGCTGGCCTAATAACTGACGATGCTCCCAGGGACGGCCTTCCCGTTGTCGTTGACGGCGAAACGGTGTCGATCTCGGCGGTTGCCGCCGTCGCCCGCTATGGAGCCAGCGTGGTGCTCGACGATTCGGCCGACATTCAGACCCGTGTGCTCAAGAGCCGCCAGGTCATTGTCGACAAGGTCAACAGCCAGAAGAGCGTATACGGGGTCAGCACCGGCTTCGGCGGTAGTGGTGAGTACCATCCATTGTTCACAGTGCCACTGGCCACTCACCACCACTCGCTCACCAGCTGATACACGTACAAATGACCCGCTGGCTCTTGGCATGGCCCTGTTCCAGCATCAGCACTCTGGAGTGCTCCCATCAGACTGCGAGTCTGCGCCCGTCGCTCTCCCGCTCCTGGACCCTCTCACATCCACGAGCATGCCCGAGTCCTGGGTCCGTGGTGCGATATTGATCCGCATGAACTCCCTCATCCGCGGACACTCCGGTGTACGCTGGGAGCTGATCGAGCGCATGGGCGCCCTCCTCCGTGAGAACATCGTTCCCCTCGTCCCGCTGCGGGGCAGCATCTCTGCATCTGGAGGTTCGTCAGCCGGTCGACTTATCTGCGCTGCATCCCGATTTACCTTGTTGGCCCCACAGACCTGTCTCCCCTTTCATACATCGCCGGAACTCTGATCGGCAACCCCTCCATTCGCGTGTTCGATGGGGCCTCCACCTTCCGTGGCCGCCGTATTGTCTCTTCCCGTGAGGCACTCGCCGCACATCACCTCGAGCCCCTCGTCCTTGGGTCCAAGGAACATCTGGGCATCCTCAACGGCACCGCGTTCTCCGCATCGGTAGGCGCGCTCGCCGTCCATGAGGCCGTCCACATGGCCCTCCTCGCGCAAATCTGCACTGCGATGTGCACAGAGGCGATGCTTGGCGCGCGCGGATCCTTCGCGCCCTTCATCCACGCCGTCGCGCGCCCGCACCCCGGCCAGGTGGAGGTCGCGGAGACGATCTTGGACCTTCTTGAGGGCTCGAAGTTCGCAGTGACGGCAGAGGAGGAGAAGCACATTTCCGCGGACATCGGCGAGCTCCGCCAGGACCGTTACCCGCTCCGGACGTCCGCGCAGTTCATCGGCCCGCAGGTGGAGGACATCCTCTCGGCCTTCGCGACCATCACCGTGGAGTGCAACTCCAGTGAGTGTCTTGCGTCTCGAGATGAGGCGTCCACTCACCTGTCGCTGCAGCCACCGACAACCCGCTCGTTGACGGCGAGTCTGGCGAAGTCTACCACGGCGGTAACTTCCAGGCGATGTCGGTGACGAACGCGATGGAGAAGACGCGGCTCGCCATGCACCACCTCGGCAAACTCCTCTTCGCGCAGTGTACGGAGCTGATCAACCCCGCAATGAACCGCGGGCTGCCGCCCAACCTCGCCGCGACGGACCCGTCGCACAACTACTTCGCGAAGGGCATCGACATCCACACCGCGGCGTACGTCGGCGAGCTCGGCTACCTCGCGAACCCGGTCTCGACGCACATCCAGTCTGCGGAGATGCACAACCAGGCGGTCAAGTGAGTGCGACGCACACGTTCGACCGACGCCATACTCACCTTCTCGCAGCTCTCTTGCGCTCATCTCCGCCCGCGCCACGCTCTCCGCTCTCGAGGTGCTCTCGCTCCTCGTCGCGAGCTTCCTGCACGCGCTCTGCCAGGCGCTCGACCTCCGCGCGCTCCAGCACGAGTTCGAGCTTGAAGTCGAAGACATCCTCCGCGACCAGCTCGCGCTCTCCTTCGAGGCGCACCTCTCCGACGAGCACCTCTCCGCGCTCGCGCCCGTCCTCTTCCTCCAGATCCAGCGCTCGCTCGAGACGACGAGCACGATGGACGCCGCGCTCCGCATGCGCACCGTCGCCGCGTCGCTCACGACCCCGCTCGTCGACTTCTGCGCCGTGCAGGAGGACGGTGGCATCACGGCGCTCGGCGCGCTGCTCCCCTTCCGCGCGGCGCTCGCCGAGCGCATGACCGCCGCCCTCGTGCGCCTCCGCGAGGAGTACCTGACGGGCAAGAAGGCCAGGCGCCGGCGAGCGAGTACATCGGCAAGAGCCGCGCGGTGTACGAGTTCGTGCGGGTGACGCTCGGCATCCGCATGCACGGCTCGGAGAACCTGCACAACTTCGAGATGGGTCCCGGCGTCGAGGACCCCACGGTCGGCCAGGATATCTCTTTGATCCACGAGGCGATCCGGGATGGCAAGATGCAGGATGTGGTTGTTGGGCTGTTTGCATGAGCGTGGTCGTTCCCGGTGGCGCCGCTATGGACGGCTGTTGAACGATGCCTTGGATGGTCTTTGGAGCCTTGTGGCAATGTGCTTATATCTGTGATAGTCATACCCATAGAATTAGACGGGTCTCATCAGTATGTCTCTAAACTCATTTACCTTGAAGAGTTTTGTTGCGTGAATATTTGAATACTTGGCTTCATGGTAACGGACTGTGGAAGCCATAAATTGACACTTTCGGTACCCTACAGGGATGAACATACGTGAGATAAATCCGTAGATAGGGGTGGACGAGTGATGCATGGGCAATGCTTGCAGTCTGCAGATCGATCATATGGATTGTGCTTGGGCATCAGCAGAGCATGTGGTGCCAGAAGAGTCTCATGGCAAAGAGCAGCGCTCGCCTGTATCTCCTCTCTTCTCACCAGCCTTGTCTCGTTCGCCCGGTTCTTCAAGAGTAGCTGGTGGATGGAGGAAGACGAACACTGGCAAACGGCGACACCAGTTGGGGCAGACTTCCCCATTTCGGCTCGATAACTTATTTTCCGGTCGCTTACACGCCGCCTAGTCCTAAAATGCGCTCAAAACCCCTCGAGTCACCCTGACTGCTCCTTGCTCTTCGCCTCCACGCTCGACCTCGACGTCGCCGACGATGGCCACGGCTCTGCTGCGGCTGCAAGGCCCCTCGCGGGCAGTGGGCTCGCGGTTCATTCGCCAGTTTCACGTCTCCGCTCGCCGCGCTTTCCACTCGTCGCGTCCCACTCTCGCTGTCGCTCGCGCCGCGGTCGGGCCTTATGGTCATGAAGAAGGCGAGCACGTCCTGAACTCCCCTCCGAGATCGCCCGCAAGATTTCCGCGAAGGTCCTCCCGAAAATCCCTCGGCCCGACGTCCACAAGGTCCTCATCGTCGGCAGCGGTGGCCTCAGCATCGGCCAGGCTGGCGAATTCGACTACTCCGGCTCCCAGGCTCTCAAGGCTCTTCGTGAGGAGGGCGTCGACGCCGTCCTCATCAACCCCAACATCGCGACATGGCAGACCTCCCACCAGCTCGCTTCTGAAGTCTACTTCCTCCCCATCACCGCGGACTACGTCGCATATGTTCTGGAGAAGGAGCGTCCGGACGGCATTCTTCTCACTTTCGGTGGACAGAGCGCTCTCAACGTTGGTATCGAACTCGACAAGATGGGTGTCCTCGACCGGCTCGGCGTTCGTGTGCTCGGCACTCCCATTCGCACTTTGGAGGTCTCGGAGGATCGGGACCTGTTCGTTCAGGCTCTCAAGGGTGAGTCTACTATACCTTTTTATACATACGCCTTCCCATGGGACACCACACACACCACACCCCCTTCCGTATAACTGCGCTTTTCAAATCCCCATTCCTCGTTGCACGAGTCAGACTTTGTGCAGAGGAAGCGACGTCATCTTGCACGCGATCACGTGATCGCATAAACTTCAACTTGTTTTCTTTTGTTACTTCCCCTGTTATCTACTGAATCAACACTCGGGGCTCGTGCTGATTCTTTTTCTTACAGAGATTGATATTCCCGTGGCTCAGTCGACGGCTGTCTCGTCAGTCAACGACGCGCTCAGCGCTGCGGAGAAGATGGGTACCCCGTAATTCTCCGTTCGGCATTCACTCTCGGTGGACTCGGCTCTGGTTTCGCAAACGACCCGGATGAACTGCGGGATCTCTCTGCGAAGAGCCTCAGTCTCAGCCCCCAGGTCCTGATCGAGCGTAGTATGAAGGGTTGGAAAGAACTCGAATACGAGGTCGTGCGTGACGCTGCCGATGTAAGTCACGCGAGCCGCTCTCCACGGACCTTGTGCTGAGTGCTTCTTAGAACACGATCATCTGCTGCAATATGGAGAACTTCGACCCTCTTGGCACCCACACTGGCGACTCTATTGTTGTAGCTCCGTCCCAGACTCTGCCCGATGACGAGTACCACATGCTCCGGTCTGCAGCGCTCAAGGTCATTCGCCATCTCGGTGTCGTCGGAGAATGCAACATCCAATATGCGCTCAACCCGACCTCTCGGGAATACTGCGTCATCGAAGTTAACGCTCGCCTGAGTCGGTCTAGGTGCGTTCGCCGTCGCACTGCTTCAGAGCGTCTGGGCGCTGACATCGCATCTAGCGCATTGGCGTCCAAGGCAACTGGCTACCCGCTTGCATACACGGCCGCCAAGATCGCTCTCGGTCATACCCTCCCGGAGCTTCCAACGCGGTGACGAAGACGACGACGGCCTGCTTCGAACCTTCTTTGGACTACATCGTCACCAAGATCCCCAAGTGGGACCTCGCCAAATTTACCAATGTAAACCGCGAGGTTGGCTCTGCAATGAAGTCCGTCGGAGAGGTTATGGCCATCGGTCGTACTTTCGAAGAATCCCTGCAGAAGGCCATTCGCCAGGTTGACCCGCGTTGGAAAGGTTTCGAGGCATACGTCCAACCGGAGGACCTCGATCAGGCACTCAGCAAGCCCACGGACATGCGTCTCTTTGCCATTGCTTACGCGATCTTCAACAAGCAGTACACGATTGATCAGCTTCATGATCTTACCAAGATCGACAAGGTATGTTTTTTGAGTGAATGCATAATCATGAACTGACACGTGCACCTGCAGTGGTTCCTTTACAAGATCGAGAATATCGTCAACACGGTTTACGCTCTCAAGGCTGCTGGTTCGGTCGAGAGTGTTGATCACGAACTGATGCAACGCGCTAAGCGCATGGGCTTCTCCGACACCCATATCGCCGACCTCGTTTCATCTTCGGAACTCGTCGTCCGCGCTCACCGCAAGTCTCTTGGTATCACGCCCTTCGTCAAACGGATCGACACCCTCGCCGCTGAGTTCCCTGCTCACACCAACTACCTCTACACGACGTACAATGCTTCCGAGCATGACGTCAAGTTCGACGAGCACGGCACCATGGTCCTCGGCAGCGGTGTCTACCGCATTGGTAGCAGCGTCGAGTTCGACTGGTGCGCTGTCACCTGTGCTCGCAAGCTGCGCGAGATGGGCAAACGGACGATCATGATCAACTACAACCCGGAAACCGTCTCAACCGACTTCGATGAGGCCGATCGTCTGTACTTCGAGGAGCTCGGCTTTGAACGTGTCATGGATATCTATGAGCTGGAACAGGCTCATGGTGTCATCGTCAGCGTTGGAGGTGCGTGTTTTCCCATGTGATGGCATCATATCCGCACTAACAGCTTTTCAGGTCAACTGCCGCAGAACATCGCGCTTCGCTTGAAGGAGAATGACGTGAATGTGCTTGGTACAGACCCCACCAAGATCGACAGCGCCGAGGACCGCCACAAGTTCTCGTCCATCCTTGACAGCATTGGTGTCGACCAACCTGAGTGGGCGGAGGTGTCTTCCGTTGATGCCGCGAAGCAGTTTGCGCAGCGCGTTGGATACCCCGTACTCATCCGGCCTTCATATGTTCTCTCCGGCGCTGCGATGAACGTCGTCTACGAAGAGTCCGCACTCGAGTACAACCTCTCTGCCGCCGCCTCGGTCTCTCCTCTCCATCCGGTGGTCATCACGAAGTTCATCGACAACGCGCAGGAGATCGACGTCGACGCCGTCGCGCACAAGGGCCAACTCCTTCTCCACGCCGTCTCCGAGCACGTCGAGAACGCCGGCGTGCACTCCGGCGACGCGACGCTCGTCCTCCCGCCGTTCTCGCTCACCGACGACGAGATGGTACGCCTGAAGGAGATCGCGCAGAAGGTCGCCGCCGCGTTCGAGATCTCGGGCCCGTACAACATGCAGGTCATCCGCAAGCCCTCCGAGCAGCCAGACCAGCCCGCGGAGTTCAAGGTCATCGAGTGCAACCTGCGCGCGTCCCGTTCGTTCCCCTTCGTGTCCAAGGTGCTTGGCCGCAACTTCATCGACACCGCGACCGCGGCGATTGTGGACCAGGACGTTCCGGAGCCGGTCGATATCATGGCACAGAAGCGTGACTACGTCGCGGTGAAGGTCTCGCAGTTCTCGTGGACCCGTCTCGCCGGCGCGGACCCCTTCCTTGGTGTCGGTATGTGATCACATGGTACTTTGTGTTCCGCTGATATCTGATATCTTTTGCGCAGAGATGTCCAGTACCGGCGAAGTCGCAAGCTTCGGCAGGGACATCCAGGAGGCATATTGGGCGTCTCTTCTCAGTACCACCGGTTTCAAGAAGCCCCGTCAGGGCAGCGGTGTGCTTATCGGCGGCGACGTCGACAAGCCGGAGATGAGAACTATCGCAAAGACGCTTACGGATCTCGGCTTCAAACTCTACTGCTCTTCTCCGGTCGTGGAGGAGTTCCTGAACGGCATCCCGTATGTTTCTGCAAAGCGTATCTTCTTCCCGAAGACAGACAAGCGCAAGCTCCGCGAGGTCTTTGACGAGTACGACATCGAGTGTGTGATCAACCTTGCGAAGGCCCGCGGTAAGGACATGACCGACGAGGATTACGTCGCCCGCCGGTGAGTATTTCTGAGCCATGTCCAATGACATCATAAATCTAACGGACGTGCATCAGAAATGCGGTCGACTTTGGTCTCCCTCTGCTCAACAATGCGCGCTGTGCGCAGCTATTTGTGGAAAGCCTGGCCAAGAAAATTCCCGAAGGCGGCCTCCGACCGTACACGGAGGATAGGATACCTTCCGAGGTGAAATCATGGAGCCAGTGGATCGGCTTCAAGCCATAGCGCTTGACGCTACCAAGATCTCGCAAAAGCCACGCGGCGCGTGGACCGCCGCGGACCCTTCAGATACCCCCAAAAGCGAAAAGTACTCTAGCTAGAGGTGCTTCATCTGTACAAATACTGCTAATGAATAGAATGATGCCCCTACATTCCCGCGACCTATGCGCATGCCAACGCCATTGATACGACCCTCGACACTATCACGTCAATGTTCACGCCGGCGGGAGGAGGTCATCTGGGGTGCAAAGATCATCAAGCAGGAGATCCTTCGGGAGCGTCAGGCGGATCTCGGGCGTCGCTGTGGGTGCCTTCGAACGATTGAGTGCAACCTCTGGACAAGATCAGGCGGGAGCTTTCCCTCGAGCGCGTCTGCCACCAATGTTCCGATCACAGGGAGGAACTGTTGTCGAACATGAGTGATCCAAGAGCGCGCCCAGGCATTAATATCAGCACTCTCACGTACCTTGTACGCATGACCAGAGCCCCAGTGGCGAGCATCAGATTCTCGACTTCGGGATGCGCGCCAACAACCCAATCGTCGTTCGTCGAGTCGGTGTACCTGCAGCGCACCGGCATCAGCATCGCCCGGACTCCCGACACCCCCACCGTCGGAACAGAGTGCTCACCAGCAAAGACGGGTGCCGACGAAAGGCTTCCGGCCGAGCTCCGGGTAGATGCGCCCGAGCTCCTCGCGCAGGAGGCGCACCGCCGCGCGCGGGATGCGCAGCCCATCAGCGCCATCCGACACCACCGTGCGCGGGGTCGAGATGCCGCTGGCACTGCTGGCGCCGTCCACGGGCACCTTGCGCACGTACCCGCCAGAGTGAATGGCGCACTTGACGATGCCGTCCGCGGTCGGCTGCGCCCCACCGGCGTCGATGTTAGTCGCCGCGGTAATTCGGACCCCGCGGCGTGCCCCACGCCCGTCGCGTGGCGATCGCTGGGGCGAGGACCACGGCCCGCGGGGTTAGAGAGGTCGTGCTCACCGGGAAGACGTAGAACCCAGTGTGGAAATTGAGGTAGACGGGGCAGTCGCGGTACCTCGCGGCTTCCTCGGGCGTGAGCTGGAGCATGCACACGGTCTGTCTATTGGTGGAGTCGCGGAAGCGATGACATGGGCGGGCGAGCCGCGAGGGTGTGAGCATCATTCAATCCGAGCGCGAGCTGGGGTCAGTCCGAGGAAACAGGCTCCGAGGAGAATTGGTCGTGCACGCACCCCGTCGCGAGGCATTGGCCCTCGAGCCCCAGGTCTGGGAACGCGGACGCCGACCAGGACCCTGTGGCGAGCACGACGGCGTCGGCGGCGAACGTGCTGCCGTCCACGCACCGGACGCCAGTCGCTCTGCCGTCAGTGCGCAGGAGCTGCGCGACAGCCTTCCCCGGGACGATCTTCCCACCGAGCGCGGTGACGAGCTCCATGGCGCGCTGGATGCCTTTGGAGGCCCAAGCCCAACCGCCGTCGCGGTTGAGGTAGCCGCGGGCGTCGGTCATGGAGATGGTCACGCCATCGGGGAAGTACGCGCGCGCGGCGTCGACAGTGTCAACGAGATCGACGCGCGCGCCGTGCGCGATGTCGTTTTCGTACGCCTTGTCGGTGTATCTGTCCGCGTCCTGGATATGACAGTAAACGCCAGATCTGCCACGCTGGACTCAGAATGACGATCGGGTGAGTAGCATGGTTCCGCAGACGTACTCGTGGTATGCGTCGCCCCATTCTTCCCTGTTTTTCCAAGCCGCGATCGCTTCTCGCGCGAGTCTAGTGTAGAAGACATCTGGGTATGCACTTCGCACGACTGGAATTTTTCATTATACGCGTGAGTTTGAGAACGAGATCTCTTCCGCACATACTTTTGTTGATATCCGTGCTCGCAGCGTCGGCGGCGGGGAGCTCTGGAGCTCGATCGATTACCGTGACATTCTTGTATCCTCTCTTGAGGAGGTGATAGGCGGTTGAAAGCCCAAAGCAGCCCGCGCCCACGATGAGGACATGACTATCAGGCGTCGAAACCATGTCTTTGATCTGAACAGAATCGATGCTCAGCGCTCAGGACGCAGCTCAGCACCTCTCGTAAAAAGAAACGCACGTGGGGATATCCTAGATAGTGAGGACCTCTCGTGCAGTAGGTGGAAGTGAGTCGGGAGTGTCAATAACAAGGGCACCGGCCCAATGTCGCCTTATCTGTGTCAGTAAGCCGCGGAATCCTAGTCATATCGTACTCGATCTAGAACCTGCGCCAAGTCCGTTCCAACTTGATCAAGGATTTCTTCGTTCTCGCCGCCCGGCCCGTGGACATCCGGCAGTGAAACACATGTTTCCCCAGAAACACGGAAACAGACATAGAATATGGGATGCCTAGGGGAGACTAGGAAACAGATAGTCCGGGTAGACTTTACTTTCCACGCCGTAAACAAAATGTTCGCTTCGCTCTCGAGAACACACGATCTGGGCAAGAATATTGTCACACAAGGAGCGTGAACCCGTGTACTTGGACTAAGACGGAAAGTTGGGGATTACTGGAGAAGGCATCGTCACAGGTGGAGGTCCGATAGTAAGTGCAGTCAGCAGCATGTTCTCGATGCCAGCCTTCAGCTGCACTTCCACGTCCCCAAAATGATGCTCCACCCTCTCCAGGCGAGTCACCATCGCCAACAGTCCGACCTCCCTGGTTGCCATCTGTGCAGACATGGCTGCTCCTGGTGACGACAGCCTGCCGTCGCCGGGAGAGTGCGGTGGCGAGGAGCGGTCAATTTGTGGTTTGGGCGAATGAAACGGATCAGTCGAGGCCATTTCATAGTACTGTACCATTTCGATCTATTCGAACGTCACGCGTCACAAGCCCTCCAAAAGTTCGAAATTTCCGGGGTTGGTCACGCATCACAAGCCCGCAGTTCGAAACCGTTGGGTGGGCGCTTAATATCATGCACACTCATTTCGCGCCGCGTCTACAACAATTTCGGCCTTTGGGTGTGTTCTGCGCTGACCGTGGTAGAGCTGAGTACTCTGTGTCTCTTGTAACGGTTCGCCCGGCTCGTTCCAAACTATCTGGTTCGAATATTTCGGGGTGGTCACGCCGGGCCGGCCCCCGGTTCGAATTCACCTGGCGGACCTGGGCTGTCACGCACCAAGGCCCGGTTCAAATATATCGAAATGGTACAGTACTAGTGGTTCACCAGGGTCCAGATGTGCAAAACGGATTTTGCAGAAGCTGTATCTTGTCCGTCCCGCTCTCAATCCCTCTCAGGTTTGGTACACAGTTTTGAGTGCATGCAAGGTACTTTCTTTAAAAAATTTTCAGAGTCAACAGAGCCGGAAGCACAGGAGAGCGAGAGGGGCGTAGTTGTGCAAAGGCCGTTGTCACGAAATGTCACGCCGGCAATGACGAAGCGCCCTAAGTTACGCGCACGTAGACAGTGATGCAAAACTCACACTGCCAGCTGCCTTGAGCCGACCGAGCGCTCATGGCGGATAGTCACGCTCAGAACGTCTGGACGCTGTGAACACTGTAATCTTTGGGTGTTGACCTCGGGATCGTACAGTTACACTCGGGGGTATGTGACATGAAGATCCCAAAGTTTCACGAGGATCGCCCAATTGGATGTGTCACATGCGCGTCCGCACTGGTTTTGAGCCTGGTGGGCAGAAATGCACACTTTATCCGTTTCTTGATGATTGCTTATCCCCTCCGGGCTCCCTATGAGATGTGGCACATATTCTTCGATGTATCTTAAAAGAGTACTCTGATTTTCCCAATATTTATTATACCGGAGGGACGGGCACGATCACGATGTTGCACTTCTCTCATGTTTTGCACATCCGGTGAACCGCTAGTACTGCTGCCATGTATGAAACGGATCGGTCGAGGGCCTCAAGGCCATGTCATAGCACTGCTGCCATGCTGAAGGAGCATGGGAATTGGGAGGCGAGTCGGGGGGGCCACTGTCGTTCCAGTTCCATCCGGAGCTGTAGGGAACGTACCCGTAGGCGATGGGGGTGGGGGAGATGTTCAACAAAGCGTGCGTGCCCTTGTGCGCGCCTCCGAAGACGCCGTCACGCTCGCGCGCGTCGCAGGCATAGCAAACGAAAATGTGACCTAGGAGTAGCTGAGATCAGCTACAACCTTTTGGGCGAAAGAGAAGGAAGCTCGAAAATACCTTGGCACTCAGCACACATCCAGCACGGAGATGAAACCTCAGACGCACATCCCAAGCAGGTTGGGCGCGCGGGGAACTGATCATCGAGAGACACTCCTCGGTGACTCTGGGAGTCGAGCGATTCCTGACGGCGTACGCGACTGAGTCGATCGTTCGGCACGCCAAGCTCCTCCTCACACGACCGTCGCGGTACCTCGTCGTCGTCCGGCCCAGAGCGTTCGCTGATGGTCGACAGGCCTGACTGAGGCGAGTTGAGGGGCCGCACGCCACAGGCATTCTCTCCTAGGGAAGACTCCGCGAAGTACGGTTCGGGTTGAGGGAATCGAGGTGCGGTGGCGCGGGCAAACTGCATCTTGAGGTGCGCCGTGCGACTCCCGAGGTCTCGGATCGACATCCCCAAGGCTTGTTCGGTGAACGCAGAGGATGTCCAGCCTGGCCGGCGCGTCTTGAGGACCGCACTCCAATAGTCTTCTTGCATAGTCGCAAAGAGGCAGGCAAAATCGTCGCAGATATGGAGGGGCGAGTCGTAGTAGGTTTCAGAGAATGACGTGATGAGGGGGACTGTGTTCGGGATAACGCGCGAGCAGCGAGCTGGGGCGCCGGAACAGAACAAAAGTGGGATGGGGTACCGCTCCTGATCTACGGTCACTGCGGCGGCGAGGTGAAGGTCGGCTGGCGTGGAGCTGTTCACGAGGGAAAGACGGATTTTTTCATCGGAGGGCTGGAGAGGAGGGCCGCGGATGCTGCGATAGATGAAGGCGGCGAGAGTTCGGCGCCTTTGCATTCGATCCCTGACGTACTCCCAGGAGAAGTTGCGTGCCCTGATACGATTAAGGACCGCTCGGGAGGCGAAGCGCCATAACGCGCGAGGCTTGTTGTTGTCGAGGTCCTGAGAAGTCGGATAGAAGGCCATGATGTCGTAGTCGAAGTCTTTCTTCAGGCAAACAGGAAGTACCAAGCCGGTGAGGTCGGGGTTGGATCCGCAAACACCGACGAGAGTACCGCCATCTGGAGAAAGAGCAAGGGAATAGAACTCGGGAGAGGAATCACTCCAGCGATTGACGCGTTTGATGGAGTACGTGGTAGTTCCGTCTTCTGCCTTGGTATAAGTCCCAACAAACTCGGAACGTGGATGCGTCCATGGTGCCTGCAGCAAAGGGATGGCGGTAAACTCGTCCGGGCTATCTGTGGTATGGAACGTGAAGTCACAAGGCCTAACCATCCCTGATGTGATTGGTTCCGCCGAAGGACTACGGCGACCTGTCCATCTACCAAGCCTGCAGCCCCGATGTAAGTCTTACATTCGGGAACCCACTGGTTTGCACATACACTGCTTTCACCGCTTCTGCTACGTCGTCTCTATCTTGCTGATCATGTAAACCATCGTCATTGGTGGGGTAGAAATCCTCGAATGCAGGTGGGAACTTGAGAATATTGGTCGATGGACAATCGTTGTTCTCCGGCACCAAAACCTCATCTCCACTCATTGGGACCGTAGCACAATAGCCATGGGGCGGACCCGACTATTGGGGCGGTTTAACATATCTTCACTTGGTGGGCCATCGAAAATTGGGACCTACCAAGATACCGCAAGCATGTTCGTCCATTTCCCGGCTTACGTCGAGACGTCGTTGATAAAACAACACTGTCATCGAGTTGAGTGCACACGTCTATGCCGCCACTCATTCACTCACCGGAAAGCTCTCTCGTGCGCATCGATACCGCCTCATGAATCATCCGAATAGCGGCTTCGGCGCTCAGAAACTCCTCTTGATGCAGAATGTAGCTCTTGGCGATCTTAACGACGTCGTAGTGTCGAGAAAGGAGCAAGTACAGGATGGGAAAGATATTCTTCGAGGTGACCAGAACTGTCAGTGGGAGCTTGCGTCACGCATGAATGGCGCTCACCCGCTCTAGACCTTGCCGTCCGTTCACCAGGGCAACGGTATTGAGCTCGTCCAGATCGTAGTTGACTGTTTCGAGCGCTTTTCTCATTCGCTCTTCCTCCAATTCTATCCAGTCTTGGAAGCGAGGCAAAAGGGGCAGCAGGTCGGCGTTGTGCTGGAAGGACGTGGACATTGAGTTCACCAGTTGTTTGACGTTCTCGTAGTACTTCTCCACGCTGCTATTGTTCAGCGATCGCACATCGCGCATGGTAGCTGAAATGCGTGTGAGAAGCGCGGTGATCTTGTACCTGTAAGACGCCATCGAGACCTGCCAGCCTGCGTAAACACGGAATAAGACGGACATCGTCACGAGCATGCGGATAAGACCGACCGACTGCCCAATAAGCGAGCCAACGCAACAGACTGGACACACGTTAGGTGCCTGGGCTACGAATCATTGAAGACGATGCGGACATACCTCCAGCCTTTCGGTCGCGAGATCGTAAATCGATTAACTTCGGAAATGGAAACGAACCCCGAGGCGTCCTCATCTAGAGCTTCGATGATAGGTTGGATATGCATCAAGTCGATATAGTTCAGAGTCCACTCGTCAGCCGCGTTCATTGGACGATCTCGATTAGACTTGATGATGCGCTGCAGATCGTCCAACTTCTGCATATAGTAGTCGTGGATGGCCAGGACAAGGTGACGTGCTTTGACGATTCCGCGCCAACGCTATCAACTGCGTTAGAAAGAAACTCACAGCGATAGACCGGCGCCAACACACCATATCTTTCCAGATTTCGTAAAGATCCTATTAAATATATGAGGAGGGGCCACGAACTTCGAGAGAACGAAGGAACGTACTGGGTCAATGATCTTCTCGTGAGGGCCGTCAAGGACTGAAGTGATGACGCGGTCACCCTGATGGGCAACAATATCGCGAATCTCGCTCATCATGTTGAGTTGCAGAATCTTGAACTTGCGCTCAAAAGCTTCAAAATTCTTCCCGATCGCAATTGACGGTGCATCTGCCAATTCTTGTTGCAAGTCCACTTGCTCTTGTGACGGACACCCATCGGAGCCTACGATCACATATCCGGAGCATGACATCAGCATGCCAGTAAAGGAGAGCGTCGGATGAAGATCGTACGAACCAGATCTCACGTTCTCATAAGATCCCCGCGCTCCGACATTGCTGTACATAACGGGGTTTGCGCCGCTGGTAGGCATTACATACGCCCGCGATCCAACGAATGCGCCTGGGGTGCGTGAGGATTGTCCTGGACAGTACATCGGACCTGTTGGAGAAGCGTATACCCGAGTGTGCACGCGTGCGCGATTCTCCGCCGAGCGTTTGCACGAACGGTGTGCCTCGGCAGAGCGCGAGTAGTCGTACATCCAGGGTGAAGCCGATGTCCCGGCCTGCGGAAGAGAGGTCCGCACAGGACGCCACGTGGGGTTGGTCAGATCCTCCTCATTACGGTTCTCGCGGCGGAGCAGGTCTTCCATCGTGGAAGGATCCGCGAGTGCTTTCTCTGGGCCTCCGGCCTTCCGTACGATCTCGAGGAGGGGTTGTTGATCTGGCAGGACAACACGGTCGAAGTACGCGACGATAACGTCCAATCTGACAGGGCAGTTCAGCGACTTGCAGAGTGTCTGACGTGATAGAAACGAAAAACCTCGTCAGGATGCCGTCAAGCTTGTCGTTCGCCCCGTCAATGGCGATTCCGGTATGTACTGAAACCGCGAAAGCGATCTCCGCCTTGCGGTCGATGAAGCGCTGAACATACTCTTGCAGCTTCTCGTTCCAGCTCGAGCCCTTGAGGACCTTGACAAGCAGACGCTTCTTTGAGTAGGTGTCGCACGCGTTTGCGCACTCCTTGATATCTTCCGCGATCTGCTTCATGAGCCCGTCCAAGCGCATTCCGACCGTTAGACCGTCGCGCGCGACGTGACTCGCGCGTACATTTTGGAGCCTTTAAAACCACCGGAGCTCAGTAACATACATTCATCGTTTGCACCGGAACGACGTACTGGAGTATGGTCGACATCATACTCTTCATCTCGAGGAAGAGAAGGTTGACCTTCCTGTCGTTGTCTCGTCGCTTCACCTCGAGTTCGATAACAATCTTGAAGGCGCCAACCGCGACTGGAAGGATGGTTGAGCGCGCAAGATGAGCATGTCATGGACTCATACGGCACCTGATACGAAGGGGTGAAGTTTAGCAACTTCGTCGAGGGCTTTCACAAGCGACGGCAAGTTCTCGAGAAGAGAGTTAACACCATCTAGCAGAAGGTTGAAACCGTTGCTGTCGGGGAGGGGGTCGCTGAGAGCGCCGAGGGCCTTCTCCATCGTCCTCTCGGGCTTCGCGTTCTTTTCCGCCGTCTTAGCCAACCCATCTAAAGCATATTTCGCCTCGCGGACCTGGGGGCTGGACGAGTCAAGGGAAGACTTGGTCGGTGCGGACGTGGTGAGCTTGTCCATGGTCGGACCTGCAGGGCACAAAGGTCTGAGCCCAGGTACCACCTATAACTTGGAGGCTAGCTGACGATGCGGTGCTGTGAGGCGGTGTATAACGGCTCGTGGAAGCTTCAGAGTAACGTCAACTTACGACGTACGTGGGGGAAGTCTGTCATCCTAGCGTCTTTGTGGGTCTTCATCGATGCTAGTCGTGCGCCAAACACTGCCGCACTTGTACTGCATGTGGTCCGACGACGCTGGCGGGGCTTGGGTCCGGGCTTGGTGCACTGGGTCAATGACAAGCTTCGGCCGGGGCCTGTCCCGAAACACCGCGTATGGTCCACCGTTCTCACGGTTTCATTCGAGGGTCCCAGGCCTAGGCAGGGCGCCTCTTGACTATCAGAAGGTTCAACCAAGTCTTCTATACCCAGGCAAGCTGCAGAAAACAGCCGCATAGATTGTGACAGCGCCAGTAATGTACACATCCGACATCCGTATTCCATCCAACCTCCACCCGTCAAGTTGATCAGTCCCTGGGACTAAAATCAATGCAGAAAACGATTGGGTTCCTGTGTCCACGAACTGCATAGCGTGCATTAGCGACATCTATTTGCGCAAGGTCCCCTGAAAGCTCACTTCTTCTGGGATCCGGACGCTGCCCATCTTCGTCCATGGCAATCGCCGGGCCCGCTTGCGCTGCGGCCGCACCGTCGTCCGCCTCCTGCTCGTCGAGTTCCATGCCCTCTTCGCCTTCTATCTCCTCACCTTCGTCGTCGTACTCTTCTTCTCCTTCTTCATCGTCCTCGTGTTCTCCCATGTACTCTTGGTACGCCTGGTACTCATCATAGTCGTCATAGTCTTCGTCGTCCCCTACACCTTCCAACGGGGGCCGAGGGGCGGGGATGAGCCCGAGGGCTCGGAACCGTTCGATGCAATGGCGCCGGTACTTCGCGTCCCAGACGAAGAAGAGCCGCGTCTCGGTTATCTGGAGGCACGAGACCTTGTGCAGCTGCTTCCGCGCGTAATAGAACGGCAGCGAAGAAAAGAGGACGTGTGGGAAGGAGAGGCCCGGGGTCTCGAGGATCGCCGGTGGCGGTGGACGGGCCAGCGGGGGCACAAGTAGCTCTTCGTCCACCAGGTGTCGCCTTGGTTCGAGGGTCGCGAGATAAATCCCGGATGTCTGATATGTGGGCATTAGGATCATAGCGGCAGAGCAAGAATGTAAACGAAGTACCGTGGCGAACCCGAGACGTCCGTTCTCGAAGGAGAGGTAGGTTGAGAACTGCTCGTCCGTCGATGTTGGAATCACCCCGCCGCACTCCAACGCCGCGATCCTAAAAGGAATCTCGCCCCGAACTATACGTTCGAAGTCGCGGATGAGGAGTATGCGAGTATCGCTTAGCTGCGCAGCGACGTCTTTGCCGTCGCGCGAGACATGCACTGCAGCATATCCGCACAGGTATCAGTATGCAACAGAAAAAAGTGATAACGAGAAGGCGCACATGCTGAAAACTCTGCGTACGAAGCAGAATATATCTCGCTTGAGAGTGTTGCTTCTGCCGGTAGCAGCACAACCTCGTCCTCATCCGCGGTCCCCTGCCTCTGGTTGGAAGGTGCGAGGGGGATGGGCATGTGCACGTTTGCGTATTCCATCTGATAACTGTGAAGGACCAGAACGCACTGCTTCGTTTGACGCGAGAAGACGCGCAGCGCTGACGTTGAGCAGATGAAGACGTGCCGAGGGGAGAGCTCAACGTAGTTGATGTCGCCCTGCCCAGGCTCGCCCTGGACGCCGTGGAGCTCGAATGTGCGTTGACCCGTGCGGACATCCCAGATCCACGCCACTTGGTTCCCGCAAATGAGGAGGTCCGGGTAAACGAATCGATATGCATGCGCTCCATCGGGAGCGGTAATGAAAGACCAAGGACGAAAGTGCCCTCGTCTGTCTGGGGAGGGGTGGGGGTGTCCTTGACGAGCGTAGCGATAGGCTGCAAACTGGCGAGCGTCCGGTGGTCCGTAGGCGGGAGGAGGGAACTCAGAGTATATAGACTCGAGGCGCCAAACTTCTTGATGCTGGAATGGACGATCGAAGATGAGGAATCCGTTTTCGTACTCGCAATGGGCGTTTCGGCGAATGTACGTCTGCACGGATGCGTGGATATGGAGTCCTGAGATAATATCGGTGCACGCACTGCGTCGAGCGACCAGAGGATACGGCCGGTGTCCAGATCGAAGACAGTGATTCCGCCAAATTGATGGGTTGTAATGAGAAGTCTGTGCAGCTCGTCTACTTTTAATCGATGGACAAAACCGGGCTTGACGGCGTAATATCTCGTAGACACCTTGCCGAACCCGGTCCAGTTGCGTTGGAGCTGATAATATCTTTTGCCTGGGTGCTCATTTTAGGACTTCATCACATGGGGAATTTACCAGAGTACTCACAATACTGGTACCAATCGGGCGCGTTCTGGAGAAAGTCGAGGCAAGGATGTGCTCCTATCGCGTCTCGGAGAAGAGTGTCCTTGGAATTGATGAAATTGTGCTGGAGAGCGGCGTGGCGATAGATACTGGACTCGTTCTCCGTGAAGAATGTGTTCCAGACGTGCGACGTCAGACGCAGAGCACGTAGTGCTTGTACCGGCAGGTAGGCGAATATCGTGAGCAGCAGCTCCGTCGGGAGTGTAAACAGCTCGAGCATGATGTCCTGGAGATATGATCTAATGAGACGGGCATGAAACGAGGAGGCGAGGGATGATGAAAGACGTGCTAGACATCGCATATATATGGGACCCTGGCGGAATTCTGTCAGACCCTGAGGTCGGGGGCTCGGACCAAACCCCGGACACCGGCGCCGGACCGTCTTGAACGGTACTTGGGCGTGGGTGTGAGCGTGGCCCGCGTAGCCGGAGGCATTGGAACGATAGAGGTCGGAGGTCGGGCGAAGACCTGCGCCGTGAGTCATACGTCACTTGGCTAGGGTTCTGGCGTGGCTGGCATTGTTGGCAGAACACATCTGACCGAGAGTGCGGAAACAAGGCGCAATCTACCAGACATCCTGACACTGCTGAGCGTCTGGATGGATGGAAGATCACACCGTCGTGGGTACACACGAAGACCCGTGTCTGGGTATGACGGGGAGATCGCCTGTTGTGGAGATGAGGCCAAAGAAGGACCAAGGCCGCAACCGGGCACATGAGGCACATACAGCGGCCCACAGAAGACCAGAAACGTGATCATCGTGAAGAGCTGGAAGAGCGCTGTGCCCTGCACGCCCACAATGACGAGGCCGCGCTTCGATACGACCCTGGATGAACCCGGTTTCAGGTTTATCGTGCAGTGGAGATCGGAACAAGAGAAAGATGGGCCGCGACGAAGGTTTGCGCGTGAAGTAGAGGAAGAAGAGAACTCACCGTCGGCGGTGACGACCGCCGGCACTGGTGGGAAGGATCTGCAGAGCTTGATGCCCAGGATGCGAACGGAGGGCGGGCGGGGCGGTAATGGTGGGAGCAGTAAGAGCAGGCCTAGGGAGGATGGAAGTTGGATTCTCAGAAGAGAGGAATGTCGTCGGGTGCTTGGCAAACCGCTGCCACTCGATGTATGCGCTCAGATTGGGCGACTTGCGAAGATCCCTCGGCCCGTCGAGCCGTGCCTGCTCCACGTGCCCAAGCAACTAGCGCCGAGCGCGTCTGCACACCACTGGCGGCTCAGCCTGAGCTCGTTCTCCAGCCCGCGTCCTGCACTCCCAACCCGTCGCCTTCGTACCACCTTGACTCGCCACCGCCGCACTCTTCCCGCAGGCCTTTACCTATGGACGCTGCCATCCAGGCCCTCGAGCCAAAGATCCGCCAGATCCTCACCGCCCCGGGCACGGACCTTACCACCATCTCCGCCAAACGCGTCCGGAACCGGCTGGTCGAGCTCGACCCTTCGCTGTCCGTCGAGTTCGTCAAGGGACAGAAGGAGAAGATCGACCAGGTCATTGAGGGCGTCTACAAGGCCATCTCCGCCGCCCAGAACGGGGGCGGGGGTGATGCGGAGGATGAGGAGGATGAGGAGGAGAGCAGCGGCCCCGCGAAGCGCAAGCGCGGCGGCGACGCGTCGGACGACGAGTGCGGTGCGCGTGTGGCCGCACCCGCGTCGAAGAAGCCGAAGAAGCAGAAGAGCAAGCAGGAGATCCAGGACGCTGAGCTCGCGCGTCAGCTCCAGAGCGAGTTCAACCGCGGCTCGCGTAGCTCCCGTGCTACCTCCTCGGGTAAGGGCACGCCCAACGGCGCGAAGGCCAAGAAGGCTCGTAAATCCAAGAAGAGTGCCGCCACCGTCGATTCGGAGAACGAGGACGATGACAGCACGACGGAGAAACCCAAGAAAAAGCGTGGTGGAGGAGGGTTCAGTAAGCAGTATGTGCTCAGGTTCGTGGTCAAAAGATATCCGCGTGGTGTTCGCTCCAACCGTTTAATCTGCGGGCTGTTTAGTCCACCTCTGGCCGCCTTGTTGGGCGAGGAAAAGGCGGCGCGTACTCAAGTCGTAAAACTGCTCTGGGACTACATAAAAGCGAACGAAATGCAGAACCCCAGCAACCGACGCGAAATCGTGTGTGACGACGCATTTAAGGCGGTTTTCAAGTGTGATCGGATCGATATGTTCAAGATGAACAAGGACCTCGGCCAGTGAGTTTTCCCCTTCAGGCCTCCTCTGCGCTTGTTCATCACCGCGTCCTCCAGGCATCTGTATGAGGCTCCTACCGAAGTAGCGCCATAACTCCGCCACTTCGTTCTATCTATGAGGTGCGAATACCGGCCCTTCAATCCTTTCGCGCAAGCCCCCTTCACTTCAATATTCAATGTCAATCCCCACCCCATCCTACAACCCCCTTCGGTCCCCTACTGTCATCGCTCTCCCGGACGAGCTGGAGTTTTCCCCTGGGTTCCGCCACCTCACTCCCTACTGTACCGACATGCGACGTATGCCCAAGGCGCCCCGCTACCCTGTCTATAATACCTGCATCTCCGCTGCGTGCGTGTACACTACTCCCCGCCGTAACATATAGCCATCTTCCCACACGAGTTCTGTATATACAGTAGCCTGAATCTGCAAAACATACTCGGCTCTTGCGCACCCTGCCCGCAATAAGTAAATACGGCCTCCCGAGCAACTCGGTGTTCGTCCGGCAAGTCATTACGGCCCCGGGAACCGCGCTATTCGCCAAGCTCTGGGCTTGAAATAGAGCTTTGGATAATTGCCACGATGGCTTCAGAGGAAGACACAGCGGTGATACCGGAAACCTCGCTCTCCTCGTGCTCCGCTACCATGGTGATGCGGCGCACAACTTTGGCGGAAGCCTTGATAGCACCTTCCTGCGTAAGGGACTTAGTGCGGTTACCGTCATCCAAACCACGACCCCAACTCACCTGCCACAACACCCACGCGAGGAAGCGCACCGCGTGCGTCCATGCGTCCTTCTCGGCGAGGGCGTGCTCCGCATACAACCTCGCCGGCGAGCGAGGGCTTGAAGGGGACCCGCTGAGCGCGCCACGGAGGTACAGCCAAAGGGTCTCGTGTGTCGGGTACGAGCGCACAAGGGAGAGCGCATGGCTCGCAGCACTCCCCTCATCTTCCCCTACGTGCGCCAGGGCGATGTTGGGTGTTGCCATTGCGGATCGGGGAAGGGCGGCCTCGAGCTGGCACGCGTACTGGGCCGCGGAGTAGTCTGCGACGTGCCGTGCGAGCCAGGCGCGCGTCCAGCGACGCTCCTCCGCCATGAGGGTGGAAGACGAGGACGAGGGGAGAGAAACGATGTAGGAGAGGAGGACCGCGCGGTGCGCCCACGCGTGGTAGTTGCGCTCATAGAGCTCGCATGCGCGGGCGGTCACATCGAGCTCAGCCTGGAGGGCGTCTGCGGGGATGAGATAGTGAACCAGGGTGTCGTCCGCATCGCCTTGCACGCGTCGTGGAGTCGATACGCCGTCCGTGGAAGGTGAAGGAGAAAGTGTGGACTGGTGTATGCGCCGGAGGAGCCAACGGCGGTGATGCCAGAGCGTGGACTGTTTCGACCCGTCACGGAGGGTCAACAACGCGTTCGTGAACCCCAGCTCGATCGTCGGTGACAAGTGACCGCCCAGTATGAGTGTCTTGCGTGCGTTGAGCGCGGTGTGGTGTGCAGGATTCACCACGAGGAGAATAGCTGACATGTCGTGCAGCTCGCGTATGACGTTCTCTTCGAGGGGAAGCAAGAGATTTCGTTGGAGCGCGCGCAATCGCGGCCTCAGGTGATTGAGGAGCAACCCAGCTTCAATGTATATTCTGTAAACTAGCTTCTGTGGTATGCCTAGATTGCGTTCTATGAAGAGGAAGGGGGCGTGTTCTGGGGGCGTCGACGCAGCCCAGTCGGATCTGTCTCCAGGAAGAAGCTCGATGGATATCCTACCAGATCACACCTTCAGTGATTATTGTTCGCTCACTAAAATTCCATGCACTCACGGTGGCGCACTGAGTAAGCGGCCGAGACGGCTTGTCATGGAGTCGGGTGAGCTCATGGCGGTCCTGAGGGTACGTACGGTTTCTCCACAAGCTTAAGCGCCCCAGTGCTTAAACCTGAGTACTGAGCAGCTCACGGCACGCGTGAAGTCGGGAAGCGCGTCCTCCTCTTCCACTCTCTTAACCTCACTTAAACAACATCGAGACAAGCGGGTGGCAATTGCGTAATCGACAGTAGGAGTGAACAGAAACAGCGAATTGGACGATAAAGAGCATAGTAAAGTAGCTGAGCTAGACTGGACCAGACGAACGCAAATAATTGTACAAAGATGCGGACTACGTCTCTTCACCAACAACAGTGGGGGCGGTCTCTGCCACTTTCCCCTTACGGGCACGCGGCCGCTTCACCTTCTTCGCCTGCTTCTCCCCATCCTCCCCTACGCCAACCTTGTCTTCCGCCTCATCACCCCGTGCACGCTTCTTCCCGCGCTTCACCCCGCTTTTCCTGCGCTTCCCACTCGCGCCAGCAGCGGCATCTACCTCGGGGTCCGACTTGTCGCTCTCCCCGACCTCAGGCTTGAACGCGGCGTTCTCTCCAGCGAGCTTGCGGCTCTTCTTGCGCTGCACAACTGGTGCTAACGCAACTGCGGATGCGACCGCGGCTTCGGAGGCGTCACTAGCCGCACCACCATCGCCATCGGGCTGGACAGGAGCAACATCGAGTTGCTTCTTGCTCTGGGCCTTAGACTTGCGCTTGCGTCGTGCGGAAGGGGCCAGGGTGGATGCATTCTCGGAATCTGACCCATCTGAGGAGCCACCCGCGGGCTTGTAGGCGAGCGCGTCGGCGGCGAGCTTGCGGCCTTTGCGGACACGTGCGCTGGCCGAGTTGTCAAAGTTCTTCTCAGGGGAGTGTGTGGCCGAGACCGACGCGCCGTTCTGAGGGTCGAACTGGGACTGGGTTGGACTTGGAGGCGAGGCTTTGGCGCGCTTCGCAGGACGATGCTCCTCTTCCCAGTCGGAACCAGAGTGACTCGAGTCATCTTCCGAAGTCGACGTCAGGTCGCTGCCGCTGAGTGCTTCTTCCTCTGGTGTCCGCACCGGACGCCTCTGTGACGTTGAGCCACGACTGCGTGAAGTGGACGCGGAAGCATGCGAGATTGGGGGCCGCGATGGACGCATTCCAGCGATGGATGCTGATTCTTCGGCGATCTGCGCAGCATAGGCAAGCTCCTTTGCTGCAACGCCGCCACCCTCGTCTGCGGCGATGTCCGTGAGGAGTTTGGACGGCTTCGTGACCTTGCCTCTGCCTTTTCCCTTCCCCGAGATAGGCATGAGTGCAGCGCGGCGCGCCTCGACCTCCTTCGCAGCTTGCGAGATCTCGGTTACAGTCATCGGCATCTTCTTTCCTCTGAGAGCTTTCATCGCGTCGCCGGGCCGCGGGACGTAGAGCACAACATGTGCCTTGAGGACATCCATGCCAACGAGTTGGTGGAGGATGCTAAGGAGGTACCCCGATAGGTGCAGTTGGTTGATCTGCGGGATCATTGTCGGGATCTCCGAGGGCGCAACGCGACCGTGATCGGTGATATCCTCATCGCGCATGAGCTCGACGTTGTTGAGCGAACAGCCGGGGACGGCGAAGTGTAGACGCCAAGTCGCATCCTGCGAACGCGGGAGAGAGATGAGATTGTACACGCAGTTCGAGCGCGTGACCGGCGCTGAGCCGTGCGTGTGCGCGGAAAGGGAGGCCCGGAGACCACGGCGACTAGGAGAAGGGACGGGCCGGGAAGGAGAAGCAATCTCAGATCGGGTCTCGGACTGGGGGGAGGCAACCTCAGACTCGGTTGATAGCTTTCTTTCCTCAGTAGTGTTGATATGGATAGAAGGCTGCAGGAGGGATGGTTGACGCCTGGGAAGTGGGGGAGGAAGGCTCGGTAAAGTAGCCCTTGCGGCCAGAAGCTGAGCTCCGTGGCGATGGCGTAGGACACCCCCATCATGAGAGAAGTGGGCAGCAGCAAGATTAGCAGCGCTGGTGGCGAGGGCGTGCATCAAGGCAGTGGGGGATGAGGGAGAGCCGTTGGATATCACGGAAGAAGCACGCGACGTGTTGCGACTGGTGTCGAGCATCAGCTTGGCAACGACAGATGAACCTCCAGAGCTTGCTTCGGAGTGCGCGATGGAGACGTTGTCGACTTGGTCATTGTCAGACTCATCTTCACTATCCTGATCTGCCTTTGCTACGCCCTTGCCTGTCTTGGACTTGGTAGCGGCGTCTGCCTTACGACTCTGCGCAGTCTGGGCCCGAGCGAAACGAGCTGGCCTCGGTGGGGGCGTCTTGCGCTTGCGCTTCAGCGGTCGTACTTCATCGTGGACCTCATCCACCTCGGTGTGCTGAGAGGCAGAGAGTTCTGCGGCCGGAAGCGCGTCAGGTGCTTGTTCCGTGTCTTCGGCGGGTTCCATCGTCTTCCTGTCCGGCTCGCCAGCGAGACCATTCGTCGGCCTCTCGCTGAAGGGAAGATGAGTATATATATGCGGTACGATGGAGTGACGGCTTACGTTGTGGATGAAGGAGGAGTAGGAGGAGAAGCATCCTTCGGTTCTTGCGTTGAAAGAGGATCGATCTCCTTGGCCTCATCCACCTTGGGTTTGACATCGAGAGCGTTCTCTTCAACCACCTTGATTTCTTCGACCGCTTCTGAGGCTTCGACGATCTTGACATCGTCGGCCGCCTTGCCATCGTCGATAGCGTTGTTGTCCTCGGGCTCGGGCGAAGAGGTGGTGACTTCAATGGTACGGGTGGGCGGCTCTTCGCTGAGCTCTCCCTCCGAAGGCTCATAGTCCGGATCAACTTCACCCTCGGCGTCTTCGTCCTCGTCCTTGTCTGAGCTAGCCCCCTGAGATGGAGAGGCCGGTGAGTCGGTAGTAGCCTCCACAGGTTCCTCGATGTCGGCTACAGGAGAGGCAATATCGTCCTCGACTTCGTAGCAAAGGTGAATATATGCACGGATCATATGCAAAGAAGCCGTACCTGGAACTTCTGCGACCTCCTCCGCAGCCAACACGGCCGTTGACACCGCATCCTCAACACGTGCTGGGTCCTGATCAGCCTGGCTGGCCGTATCTTGCGCAGGGTTTCTGTCTTCCTCTGCGTTGTGTTCAGGGGCGGGCGAGCCGGATCCTCCATCAGTCAACGGTGTGAACAGGCCACTCGCACTGTGGGTCTCGCCTGCGCCAAGTTTCTTGAACACTGGAAGCAGGGCTGCGTGCGCCGGACCGGCTGACTCGATCACAGAGGGGGTGGCTTGCACGTTAACGGAAGATGCTTCAGAATCAGCGGTGGGGCTGGCAGGGTCGGCAACAGTGGGATCGGCGAAAGTGGGCGCTGGGAAAGTGGGGTGGGGGTCGGTATGCACGAAAACACAGGTCTCGACTTGGACCTCGATGGGAGTCTCGGCTGAGATTGAGGGCGGTACGGAGAGCAGGTCGAGAGTGAGCCCAGGAACCGAAGGCTCTGGTTCCTACAAGAGTGTATACAATAAGTCAATGACGACAGTCTTCTGACGACAATAGTCTTACCTCGGTGTGTCGCCCATCAGTCATAGCCTCTTCGACCAGGTACTCCATACCCATCATGAAGGTATCATCGCCTGGCACGGACACGACCTCAACATCTTCGCCGGGCGTAGGGACCTTCACACTTTGATCTCCGAGTTCAGTGATTTGCGGCGCTGGTACACCTTTGAGAACCGATTCCCCATCGACGGATGTGTCAAAGATGTCGTTGACGAAGTCCTGCACCACTTGCTGCTCGAGTGTGGCTGATATGTGCTCGGGAAGCACCACAGGATACTCAGTGACTCCACTCAAACCACGTTCTCCGGGACGGCTCGGGGGAGGTCGCCAAAGTCGACGACAGGACTAACGGGTTCGAATACACCCATAACGCCCAGGTCGTAAAAGCCGTCAATCTCGGCATATATGTTGATATCTGCATTAGAGGAGAGGTCGGTGACAGCGGGTAGAGAGGTGTCGGGAGGCGATAAGGCCTCTGATGACGAGGGAGATGGGTCTGCTGGAATGGTAGAAGCGATTGGCTCGGTAGTGGCAGTGTCGTTTAAAGCAGGAACTTCAGTCACAGGCGAAGGCACGGCCTGAGCACGTGAGGCACGAGCGGCCTGGGCTTCATCGCTGCTGCTGGCGACATCGTCGTCGTCATCCTGGTCTTGGGTTTGCTCTTCGACTAGATGACCCGAAGCCGTTGCCACGCACCCAGGGGACGTAGGAGGCCAGTTCCAGTCGGTATCCCTATGTGTTGACGAAGGTTGCGAGACTCTTCAGTGCCGTTTTCGCGGCTGGGCACCCCGCTATCGGGAGCGGGGGAAGTACCCTTCCGGACAGCTTCTACTAGCGCCTCCGCTTTGTCGTCTTCGCTGTGAAGCCCGTCGACATCGATACCTTCCTTGGCTGCTGCATTGGAGACGGCAACCTCTGAGTCTTCGATTGTGTCCGTAACTCCAGGATGGAAAGCCTGCCACTGTCTCGGGGAGTGAGGTGTGAAGGCGTGGCACCTTCAGAAAGGGCAAGAACTTTATCTCCACCAGAGTAGAAGTCTTCTGCGTACTTGCGGGGACCCTCCCAGACATCGGCGAGCTCAGAGGAAACCTCAGCATCAGCTTCCAGAATCTCTGCAGGGGGCTCAATAAGAGAAACAGCAAGTCCATATATGCGCCTACCTTCTTCATCGGGCTCTCGAAGTGCATGAGGGTCGACACCTTCGAAGGCGCCGTCGGGAGCATCACCGCCAGAGTAGAAGTCTTCGGCGTACGTCTTCGGGCCACGCCAAGCATCGTCGATTTCAACCGGGGCTTCCTCCTCGACTAAAGCGCATACGATTGGATGCAATGCTTTGAACAAAAGTGGCATACTTACCTTCGCTGTCAAAGAGCTCGTCCTCCCCCGCGCTACTACCCCTTCGTCCATTTGCTCTCCATCCCGGTCTTCGTCGTCATCTTCGAGGAGTTCTCCCGCGTCTTGTTCGTGACTGTCGTGCACACGATCGTCCTTGCGGAGGAAGCGAGCGGGGACAGCTGAACGGGCAGGGGCAAGGGGTTCGGTTTCTTTCACGTCCATCTCCTCATCCGAGTCAAGAATTTCGGTAACTTCGTGACCAACGGCTGCCGGGCTAATGCGGGGTTGCTGATCGACATCTTCGTCAGAGCCAGTCTCAGCACCTTCATCGTACTCCTCGTCGAAAACTTCGTCTTGAGGGAGAACACGAGGCCGTTCCTCGGCATCATCGGAGGCATACTCGTCGTGTCCCACTTCTTCTTCCGCTTCTTCTTCACCCCCTCGTCTTCCGCGTTGTATATGCGCGCAGGCCCCGCCACAACTTCTTCGTCACTCCCCTCGTCAAGCTGACCACCGTCTTCTTCATCAGACAGTAGGTCAATTACTTCGGGGGAGTGCCTGCGCGGACCACGGCCTTCGTCGCTCTCTTCCGCCGAGCCAGACGCGCTGTCGCTCTGCTCGTCGTCTTCCTCGCCTGACCACTCTTGCCCTTCGCCGTCATGTTGCTCCATGTCGCGCTGCTGACCATCCTCGTCGAAGTCTTCTTCACGCGCCCGCGCCTTGCCTTTCGCGAGCCGTCTTGCGTGAACCTCAGCGAATGAGTCGTCCATAATTTCCTCTTCGTCCATGCTATTGGACCCCGCCGGCCCGCCGACGCGGTCTTGTTCGTGTTTGAGAAGTGAAGGCGCATCATCTCGCCCGAGAGCACGCTTTAGAGCACCAGTGATTCCGTCGATCCATGCGTCGAATTCGGGCTGGGTGAACTTGTCGTAAGGGTTGTAGATGGGGGCGCGGGGGACCTTCGACGCGCTGCCGCGAGGTGTCGGATGGGGGGCCCCGGGTAGCGGGGCGTGGAAAAAGGCGAGGCCATGGCGCTAGTACGCCGCTATGAATGGGCCTGAGCCAGAATTATGAGAGGGGGTGCGGGACGAAAGGCAGAGTCAGAGTCGGAAGACAAGCGCAAGGTGGATTGAGACGCGGGTGGCAGAAGCCACTCAGTCTGACGCGAAGGATCTCAGATGCTGACGTCAGCAACGCGAGCCACGGTCACGAGTCTCACTCGTCCACTCATTGCAGCGTTGATCCGTCGAATCTCGGTCTCCTCCACTTGACTGGATACTCTCCTCTCTTATCCATATCGCTTCTGCGTTCCGCTGGTGTGGACATCCGACATAAGGCACCCTCTATTCCAACCAGGGCCTCCCACATGCTGAGGCCCTCGTCAGGCAGTCTGTTGCACGCCTCTGCCTACAACGAGTTAACATAAACACTCTCCCTCGCGCCCGCTTCTACATGGACCACGATCAACGGCAACTCAACTGGGCTGCGGGCCTCTGGTATGGATAGACTGCGAGATGACGGGTCTCTCCCCTCGGAATGACAAGATTCTGGAGATTGCCGTGAGTCTCCCAGCCTCTGCTCCATGGACATGTGTAATTGACGGAGGTTCAGGTGCTCATTACGGACGGCAACTTGAAACTGATGGACGAAGGCGTCGAGTTCATTGTTAAGATGGACAAGGGAACGCTTGACAAGTATGTACCCTTCTCTGCCGATTCATGCGCCAGAATCCTCCAAGAGACTCAATACACATGTGATGACCAGTATGTCGGAGTGGTGTATCAAGACTCACGGCCAGGTCTGTCAAAAATCAGTTTGCATGTCACTATTAGTTAGGACCGACAAAGATACTACTTCATTAGACTGGTTTGACTCAGGCGTGTCTCGACTCCCCTTACACGAGCGAGTTTGTGCAAGAACAAGTGCTTAACTATATCAAGAGGTGGATCCCTGCGAAAAACACGGGCATGTTGGCCGGAAATTCTGTGCATATGGACAAAATGTTCCTCATGGAACAGATGCCGGACATCATCGACTACTTGCATTATCGGTAGGTGCTTGTCATACCGTACACAATGCGTTACGTCCTAATGTCAGTTTCCAGCATAATCGGTGGGTCGTGAGTTCTACGTCTGAGAACACCATCTGATTGGTGGAACGTTGCTATAAGATGTTTCCACTATCAAGGTAACTTCATTCATTCGATGTGATCGTGCTTGCACTTATGTTGTAATACAGGAAGTCGCGCGTCGGTGGTATCGACCACCCGCCACGAGGAGATCCCCTGAAGAACCCATGCACAGGTTCGTAGCTTGCACTATATCCCTCCTTTCAATCCCTCATCTTGCCGCAGAGCACTTGATGATATCAAAGGTTCCATTCGAGGTCTGTGGTGTTACCTTATGGGATTCCCCTATACTTATCTTGACTTTGTTAGAGCTGCGATGGTATCAAAAGAATATCTTTATGCCTCCACACCTGGCCCCACCCGTAGACCCGACCCGAAAATATTAGCTTGCGCGAAGCGCCGTACTCCGTACGTCTTGACGGCACCCATATCTATCGTCAGTTGAGGCGTGCTTCGACACTCATGACTTACACCTTCGTTCAGGGCCATAAATCTCGATACATCTTCCTTACAATGGCGACACGGTGGTCGGGGAGCCGGGCGTTGACCTGTATTAGTAAGTGTCGTCCTCCCGAAGATATTCCCTCTTACGTTTATCTGGCCACAGAAGCGATGACCGTCATCGATGGGACCGTTTGTGTCAATCGCGCTTGCCGTGCGATGCTCTATGAACGTGCAACCTCGGAACACTAGTGGTCACATGAATTACAAGAAGATATGGGCCTGACTATCGGCATGATGAAAGGTGGCCTGGAATGCTCGAGAGTCTGTGAGCTCCGTTCCGACATGTTGATAACGGATTTACTCCCCGAGAGCACACCGAGCCGCGATATGCGCATCAGTGTCTCGGCGACACCTCCTGGCTGCGCTGTTCTCCAACGACCCCTTGACGCGCGCATCGACGACGTCGATCCGCGCGTCGAGGAGTTACCTCTTCGGTCGGATCCTGCAACTCGCGTCTATAATCTCCTCCAAATGCAGCCTCGGCCTCACTGGGAGACTTCCGTCCCTGGATGCTATTCAGTCTCTCGAGAGCTCGACGCTCTGTGCGACTGAATGGCGGATGCGGGGTACGTGGGGCTCGATATGAAGCCCGTGGTTCTAGCACACACTCTGTTTCCCCGAGCGCGCTATCGACGTCACCTTCTCTGCTCATCCAGGCCGCTAGTTCCGAGGATGCTCCCGTTCAGGTGGGCATTGGACTGTCGCCGAATTCACGGGCTGCCCGGTCACATTGGGTCGGTTATCCGTGCGCACCGAGCCTTCTGCGCTCTGTCTGCCTCCGTGGCGGTAGACACACTGGCAGCTGGCCTGTGTAGGTCTACGGACAGTCTCATATGATTCTTTGGAGTCTATGCTGTGGTTCACTCAGAGTCTACCTCCAAATGGAAGCTGGCAACACCAGCGGAGTCCGTTCATGTGCCGCATCCGTCTGTATGGTAGTGTTAGCTTCTCATGATACTTACTATCCTAGGCATTCATTTCGGCTTGCGACAGGGCATGATAAGGTCTCATCCCACCGCAATGGGGGCGTTGGTCAGATCCTGGCGCAAGTATGTTGAACTGCACTATGTATATCGCGTTCAATTCGCATCTGACTCTGTCGACTCCTGCGCAGCACACGATCCTCGGACATTTTTGGTTACTAAAGCTCATTCCTTCATGCGCCAACCAGGACAGCTTCTAATACCTCCACCGACACGGCCGAGCCCTCCCCGGTACATCCGCGGCCGCACGCCGTATGTCGCGCTTCCGAATCGATGTATAGGGTACCGTGGTATCTCCTGAGAACCCGTATATCGGAGTCGAAATCCAAGGTACGTCCCTCCACACTAGCGGAGTTTGGTGGGAGTCGCTCTTCCCTCAATTTGTATTTCGCCGCCTAGACACAACAAGACGCGTCGCGGCACACCTCAAGCTCTCAGCCAGTGCGCTTCCCCTCCTTCCGTGCACCTGTCTAGGATGGCAGTGGACTGCCGCCGCCACTGCATCTTCCGACACGACGGTGGCCGACAGTGCCCGGCTGGGCGAGCCTACGCAAAGCTAGACCCCGCAGCTCAACTTCTCCAACGCCTGCTTCTGGCTGGTCTACTGATGCAGCGAACGCAAGCGTTGCCACAGGCATGACAGTGGCATGCGGTATGTTCAGTGTACTCCCGCGAAGTTTCAATGTATCATGCTCACGCTCGACTGTCTAGACCTTCGGTCCACGGCCTAGATCTTATCATTTGTGCTATGTCCGTGTATCTATGGGCCACTGTCTACGCCGCATCCACCGGTTTCAACGCTCGGGTTGAAGGATGCCAGGCACTCCTGTGTAGTACGCCCCGGAAGACGCTCGCCCGATGTTCGCCCATGACTCCCGTCGAAAAGCAAGATTCTTAGGATGGTGCACATGGAAGCGGAGCATGAATGGCGCGCTGGAATGCCGAGGGCTTCGCAGGACCGTGCCACCGACTGCCGCAGGCCGAGCACTCGCAGCGATTCGTGTCCCGACCTAGGCGGGTGGAGACGCTGCGGCTCCGCCCCCGACCGGAAGTGGTGGTCGATTAATGGGTTCGGGCTTTGTCTGCTTTGCACCGGGCCAGAAACAACGTTTGGAAAACGTTCAACCTAGCGCGTAAGGCGGGATGAAGATAGCAAGCTCACCGGGAGCCTAACCTCGCGCGAACGTGGATGGGACCCCGAAGGTTGTACCTTTGAGCCGCCCGCGCAAGCCTGCGTACGATGGTGTCCAACGCAAGGCCGTCTGCCCCCAAACACCGATACCAACCTCTATCCAGTAACATCTTCGTGCGATACCCCGGCTCAACGCATTCAACAAGCGAACCTACTGCGCAGCACGCTGCGCTTTGCCCCCGCACCGTGCAGCGGCACCTTCAGCGCGGAGCCGCTCGCAGTACCGTTCTGTAGGACCGCGATCAGCGCAGGGATCGTCCCGCTTGCGCCCTGTCCGTCCGCAGAAAAACCGCGGTCCGAGCCAAAAGCAACCGCGGCGGGCCCCAGGGGAGCGGACGTGGGCGCTGCGGGCCTCTGTTGGGGCGGGGCGCGGACGGGGGAGCCTCCCGGGACCGTGGGTCCGCACCACGGTTGGCTGGATTGGGTGGGACGAATAGGCTGTGGATCTCTCACAGTGGCTGGCGCTATGCGGGTGTGTGGGAGGGCGGGTCGGGTTGTGGCGGGGGCGACGGGATGGTTTAGAGAGACCCTGCGGTTAGACGGGGTAGATTGTGTTCTGCCCCGCGGAAAGCGCGGTTTTTTTTGTGAAAAGGGAGCCGGATGGTTGTTGTGTTGCATACTGCAGACTAAAGAGGTTGGTGGTTGAGTGCTTCAATATCTGCTGGAAGGGGTGCTATCTAGTGTCGGCGATTGTTATGCTTGGAAGTACTTGTCCAGGACTCTATTGTAGCTGTCACAATACGCCAAGGATGAGCTGTCGACTTGAAACCAACCTATGTGCATTCGGCGTTTACGCTTACAACGAGGGCGATACATCCTGGGATGCATCATTACAGAGAGGAAGGCGCGCTAGGGCCAGGGAGGCCGCAGGGTTCCAAAGGTGCTGCCAACAGACAGGCAAATGCGGGCGTGGCGGGTGCTGCTGAGCGTACGTGCAAAGGGCGAAGGCAACGAGGGCGGGAAGGCCCGTGGGCACGTTGCGGGCCACGCGGGCGGCTGAGAATTGTGACTTGTCTGCTCCTCCTTCGACCGGAAGACCCGCGCTCGACAGCAAGCACAAACGACCCAGCGTTTCATCTGCGGATGTCGAGGGACACAGCACATCCGACGATGCAGACTCCGCCGAGTTCGAAATGCGGAGGGGGGCCTTTCGCCGCGCTGCACGGAGGCAAATTGGGCAACCGCCCGGTAGAGGGCGCGGCCCCTTGCGCCTCCCATGCAGCTCCCGCCATGATCAGTGGCCCGCTCGATAAGCTGTGCGAACGACTCCGCTGCCCTCCAGGGGGCGGATTCGGCTTCCCACCGCGAGCCCGGTTTCCCGGAGAATGGACTCGCATCCACCTCGGCTGCTCCCCGCGCATACATCCACCTCGGTTTTTCCCTCGGTCCATCATCCGCTCCCCACATTCAGTCCCTCCCAATCCACCCTCCCAGCCTCTTAAGCTACCCACTCCTCCGGTCCCAGCCCATCTGCTCGCAGCACCCCTGCGCCTTATCATCCCCCACCCGCCCCCACTCCCGGCCCGCTTGGACATCTCGCCTCATTCTCCTCCCTCAACTCCATCCCGACACTCCCCCCGCCGCCATGGGTCCCAACGACTCGCACAACCCGACGCCGCCCTCGGTCTCGGACCTTGAGAAGGGCCACCACGACAGTCTCCCGCCACCGCCCCCGCTCCCGGTCTCCTCCAGGGCTGTCATCCAGACCGCGACTGTCGCAGGAGAGGCTCAGTCAGGAAAGGACGAGAAAAGGGCAGACCTCGCGCTCGCGCAGGCCAAGAAGGACCGCCCGTCACCCAACAAGCCCAAGCGTCGCGCGAGCAGATGGATCCGCTTCCAGCTCTGGTTCAACACTTACAGGCACGTCCTGCATCTGCTCGCGTGGACACCCTTGATTGACCCGTTCTGCAGGAAATTCTTCCTCTTCGTGACGAGTCTGAACCTCACCGGTCTCGTGCTCGCTGCGACAAACACCTGGTCATATCCCCGGCGATACACCGGTGCATTCGTTCTCGGCAACCTTCTCTTTGCCATCCTCATGCGCAACGAGCTTTTTGGCCGTCTTCTTTACCTTATTGTCAACACGTTGTTTGCGAAGGTATGTAAACCTACTCAAGGGCACCATCCCGGAGGCTGATCCTTTTCATGATCCAGTGGACGCCACTGTGGTTCAGGCTAGGCTGCACTTCCGTCCTTCAACACTTGGGCGGCATTCACTCGGGCTGCGCGACTTCGGGCTTCGTCTGGCTCATCTTCCGTGTGACACTCATCTTCATCGACCACAAGGACAATCACGATGCGGTTCTTATTATGGGCGTCATCACCAACCTCGCCGTCACTATCAGCATCCTGAGCGCCTTCCCTTGGGTGCGCAACACGCACCACAAGTACGTGGTCTCGTATCCGTGCTCGTTACCGTCTCTCACTCCTTCTGCAGCGTTTTTGAACGGCACCATCGTTTCATTGGCTGGTGAGTACCCCCGTCCGCTTTTGGTACTCTAGCGCCCGTTGTACTCACGTACTCCTCCCCAGGATTGGTCTTCTCTCAAGTAGGTATCCGTTTCTTGGCGGCTCTCGGCCAGCGCAGCGGTACGCTCGCACACTGCCCTCTGGCGCCAGTTAGTGCGCGCGCGTCCGCAGTGTCGTGGCCGCCGTGCGCGTCTCCGCGTGCTCCATACGATATCTGACACCGTGTCTGCTTTTCTTAGCGTGGGTCTTCGTTGTGCTCGGCGACAGCTACGACCTCGACACCCATTCGTGGAACCCAGATGGGATCCGCGTCATCCGTCAGCAAGACTTTTGGTTTGCGTTTGGCATGACCATTTTGTGCGTACTCGGCCGCCGATGCGCCGCTCCACCCGGGCTTCTGCGACACGAGAGCTGACTATCTGCACCGACAGCATTCTTATCCCTTGGTTCACCGTCCGTGAGGTTCACGTTGACGTCGAGGTTGTGAGTGCACTCGTCCATACCGGGCCCAGGCCTCCGCCCAAGCTCGTGCTAACCGCTTTCGTCGTATCTCTGCAGCCGTCGCCCAAGGTCGCCATCCTTCGTTTCGAGCGCGGCATGCAGCAGGGTCTCCTCGCGCGTGTCTCCCGCTCCTCGATTATGGAGTACCATGCGTTCGGTATCATCTCGTGAGTTTCTCCTCTGCAACTGCACCCTCGACGGTCGCTCATCGGCCGCCGCGCCCACAGGGAGGGCACGCACGCCAAGTACCACTACCTCATCTGTGGTGTGCAGGGCGATTTCACTCGCTCGCTCGTCAACGACCCTCCCACGCACCTCTGGACGCGTCAGCTCAAGGTACGTGCGCTCCACGGCGTGGGTCGTGTTTCTGAGTGGCTGATGGACGTCGTCGCGCAGTTTGCGGGCGTGTCGAACACGTCGACATTGTACAAGCGTGGCATCCGTGTCTGCACCGGCACCGGCCTGGGCGCCGCTCTCTCCACCTGCATCCAGAGCTCTGACTGGTGAGCTTCCTTCTTTCGTTTTGGCGGTAGGCGGCGCAGGCGCAGTGAGAGAGATCTGTGTCGCCTTCCCGCGCTGTCAACGGTACGCGTTAACCCTTGCGCCGCCCAGGTACCTCATCTGGATCGGCTCCGACCAGGAGAAGACTTCGGGCCCACCATCTCCGGCCTTATCCACAAGCACATCGGCCCGGAGCGTATGTGCCTCTGGGATTCCAAGGCGCGCGGTACGTGTTTACCCCCACCACGCTCACCGCCCGCCTCTCACGCTAGTATGTTTCTCTCGCAGGCGGTCGCCCGGACGTGATGAAGCTCGTCAAGGACGCGTACCACGAGTGGAACGCGGAGGTCGTCTTCATCACCTCCAACTTCGCCGGGAACGCTGAGATCATGGAGGGCTGCAAGGAGGCCGGGATCCCTTCCTTTGTGAGTGCCTCGCGCTCCGCCTGTGCTTTTTCGTGCCGTGCTAACCCGCTGCTCCGCAGGGCACGCTCTGGGACTTCTGAGCGCTGTGCGGCGTGGGTGCCCGCACCCGCGCCCCGCTCCCAACTCCCACCGCGCCGGCATGCGACGTGAGACGGTCCCGCACACCCGGACGGCACCGTGCGACGCCTGCCGTTCCCGCCCTCTCCCTCGCTCTCGCCCGCCCGTCGTGTCCCCCGGTCCTCGCGTAGCTAGCCTAGCATACACCCACCCACTCCGCTGCCGATGCGCTCACGCTCACATACGATATCATAACGACCGCGGCGCGCGCGCGCTCCCACCCCGCCGCCACGCCCACCCCCGCATTTATCTTATTCTTTTTCTGTACACCACGCATATTTCTCGCACGCCGCCGATGTCACGATAGCCAGTCGTTGTGCTTTAGTTTAGAGATGGCACTATATTCCGAACGCCTTTGGTGTGCGAACCGGACTCTCGGCAGCTTTATAGAAGCGATTCCCATTGGCGGTAGGCGCGCACCGGGAGGACGCTTCGTAAGTATTCGAGTGACCGACCAATCGTGTTGATATGTACAAGCGGATTCAAATAGTGAGGCCCTGGAAGTGCTGAGCTGGATGTAAGGGAACCCGCAGGCCGCCTCCGCGAGTTGTCTGTTCTTGACGAAGTCAGGTTGCCCACGGACGCGCAGTTTGTCCATTGGTCGGTTTCATGGGTGCCAGAGCGCGTTCACGCGCAAGGTTAAGCACACATCGGCTGTAGGGCCAAGAAATGTGGATTATCATTACATGATACAGGGTGAGCAAGCAGAGAGACAGTTTGACGGAAATGGGAGATATGCAGGTGGAGGATACATGTGAAATGCAGGGCAATGGACAGGTCGTACAGGTGGTGTATGTGCGTATATATGGACGCACTGGGCACATGAATAAACTACACGGAAATTGGGATGAGAAGGGTCCGGAGGGGTTAGTTGAGGTATGTAGCTTGGACCACTCTTTGTCGTTCGCGTTGAAGTCGACGCCTTTCTTCCGCCACCACTCTCGCGCCTTCTCCCCGCCGCCGATGGCGTCTTCCAGGGCCTCCTCGATGTCGCACATCCGGTACTGGATCGGCAACCCGCTCTTGTCCCACCACTCCAGCACCTCGGGCCGGTTATGTCGCGACGCCCCGGTGAGCGTGTCTGGTCGAACACCATCTGGAGCCCGCTCCCGAGCCACCACTGCAGGACCTCGACCTTGCCGTGGCAGCTGGCGTGGTAGAGCGCCTGGCGGTCGTACTTGGGCTCCAGCCCGGACGCGGCCCACCACTCGAGCGCGTCGAGGTTGCCGGCGGTGCTCGCCATGTCCATCACGCGCCCGATCTTGAGCGGTAGCCGCCAGAGCGGGGAATTCGCCTTGTCCTTCCACCAGTCGAGGACCGCGATCCGGTTCTTCTGCGACGCGCTCTCGAGCGCGGCCTCGGTGTACTCGAGCGGGATCCCCGAGTTGAGCCACCAGTCGAGCGACGCGACCTGGCCGTGGCGCGAGGCGCCGTCGATGGCCTCCGCGACGGAGCGCGCCCTGGGCGGCGGGAGGATGTCCGGATGCGCGTCGTGCGTGTACTTCCACCAGGAGAGCACGGCCGTGCGACCGTGCAGCGACGCGGTGATGGGGAGCAGGTCGTCTTTGTAGAGGGAGAGGAAGAGCGCGCGGTGGTGGGTGAAGAAGTATTCGAGGACGTGCACGTAGCTGAATCGTACCACGAGCACGGCGCTCACGCGCGTGGGCCGGTGGGTGGCTGGATCGGCCGCGCGGATAAGGGGGATGTATCCGGAGAGAATGGCGTAGTCGGACGAGTGCGCGCGCGCCCATGGCTGGGGTGGTGGGAGGGAGGTAGGAACGCCGACAGCTTTAGCGAGCTCCCAGTCGCCGACTTGATCCATGATGTCCGCAAGTATCTCAACGGGAAGGTCGGGCGCGAGCACTTGGCGACTGCGCACCTTGGTCGCATCGGGGGTTTCGTCCTGTATAGATGTAGAACGCTGGGGATGGGAGAGGTGGTAGGTGTGGATGTCGAATTGTGCGAGGCGCGAGGCTAGCTCGGAGTCGGAGCCGGTAATGGGGAGGTTGCGGATGCGGAGGAAGAGGAGGAGTTGATCGCGCGTGAGGCGGCGGTACGCCTCAAGGACTTTCTCTTGTTCTGTGGGTGCGGCATAATTCTGGTTCGTCGTCAGTATTCTCGGCGAACGAGGCGGGTGAGAGGGGCTTACAGCCATACGCCAGGAGCTCTGGGTTGTGGGAAGACAGAAACACGAGAATGCTCTGCTTCAGCGACAGATGGATCAACAATATTCTCGACTGGAAGGCGGGGAGACGGCGGACAAGGTGATGGTTCAGGATGAGGAGATTACCCATCATTAACCCGAAGAAAGTGACGATGTCAATGTATGCCAAGTTACTTACTAGAAACCTATTTCGGGGTTAGGTGTCTGAGTAGGGGTTAGCCGACGTGGCCGTGTGCCCAGCGCTCTGACCTCATCATCCACCTTCCCTCATAGCCCTCACCTTTCGTGTCCACCCTACTGGCCGTCATGCCTTCGGCGGACAGGAAGATGCGGAAGGCTAGCTTGGCTGCCTTCTGCATGGTAGCCTTTGCGGCGCTCTCCAACGCAAACGTAAGTTACAAGAGCCTAGCTTCGAGTTACATGAGAAATTTATGTAGTCACGTTGTAGGACGCGTCGACCCAGCGCACAGAAGTTTCTGGAGGGATTGAGTCTGCGTCTGAAGGCATTGACTCTGCTGCCGAAGGTATGTACCAGCGCCATGCATAGATGTTGCTGTCCTAATCTAATGGCGCAGCGTCCAGGGCGTACCGCCAGGCCATGTCGACACTTGCAACCTTGACTGCCCTCCCATCTGCACCTTCAGACGAACCTTCAATACACACCACGTCCTCCCCACTCGCAGCTCTCCTCCCGAACATTCAAGGGCAGGGACCCATTGCTAGTGCTCTGCGAATTCTCGTGAAGCTCGGCCGACACTCTTGGGTACCTTCTTTCGTCACGGAATACATCTCCACGGAGTCGACAGGAAGTAGGAGAAAGGAAGAGGACCATAGAGGGAGAGCGGTCAAAGTGATTGACCTCTTGCACCATGCGGCCGACCTTGGAAACCGTGATGCTCTCTACACGCTTGGACAAGTCTCCTTGGTGCGCCATTCTCTTCGTTTGCACGGTCACTGGTCTCATCCCGGGTATAGTTCCCACCAAATACCTACTTCCCCACTGATCCAACGACCGCGTTCGACTCATTTCAAGCACATGCCGACATGACAGGCAATGCTTCATCCCAAGCTTTGGTCGGCTTCTTCCACTCCACTGGATATCATGGCGTCGTCCCCGTAGATGGACCAAAAGGTCAGCTATACCTCACGTTTGCGGGCCACGGAGGGCACAAGGGCGCACAGATGGCGCTCGGTTACCGACATTGGTCAGGTATTGGAGTTAGTGAGAACTGTTTGGCGGCGTTGAACTGGTACGAGGATGCAGCAGAACAAGGTGTGAGCGGCTTCCATTGCATTGAGCGCATATATTCATCTCTTCGCAGCGATGGCGAAGTTTTTATCTGGCCCTCCTGGTGGACGAACGTTGCCGCTAGTTCCGCCACGACTATCAGATCTCGTCGGCGGAGTGTATGGTCCGGGTGCGAGTGTAGCATCAACAGGATTGCAGGCCGGACGCGCAGTCATCAAGACCGCGAATGCACGGGCTGCGGGGGAGACATGGGACGACCTCATTGAATACTACCTCGTACGTACCTGTGCTTCTTCAAACTCTTCCCTCGCTGATTGGCATTCGCCAGTTCAATGCGGACCGCGGGGAAATCGACTTCGCATATCGCTTGGGCAAGATCTTCTACCAAGGCAGCGTCTACCCTTCACCTGGCGGCATTGCGTCCGGGGGCGACGGCGCAAGCGCGATTCCTCGCGATTTCCACCGGGCGCGGTACTATTTCAACCGCATCGCTCGCATCGTCTGGCCCCGCGACCCGTCGGACCCGCGCCGCGACCGTGCGGCACCGAAGGAGGAGGGCACTTTGCAAGCGAGCTACGCTGCCCTCGCCGCGGGCTACCTCGGGCGGATGTACTTGCGAGGTGAGGGTGTGAAGCAGGACTACGCAATGGCCAAGATGTGGTTTGAGCGCGGAGCGGAGCACGGCGAGAAGGAGTCGCACAACGGGCTGGGAATCATCTGGAGGGACGGTCTTATGGACGGCAAGAAGGACCTGAAGAAAGCGATGAGCCATTTCCACGCCGCGGCAAACCAGGACCTCGCCGAAGCGCACGTCAACCTTGCAAAATATCACTTCCGTAAGTCGTGGATTATGATCCTATTGCTACTTTTCAAACAATTGGCGCAGATCGAGGAGAGCTCAAGCAGGCCACCGCACACTTCGAGAACTCCCTTAGGCTTGGCTCGCCCTTCGAGGCGTATTACTACCTCGCCGGTATCCAGGCCATGCAAGCTCGTGAGCGGACGATTCCTCACGAGATCGCGGGCAGTTCGTGCGCAGTTGCAGTGTCTTTCTTCAAGCTCGTGGCTGAACGTGGCTCCTGGGATGACGACATGCTCCGGGAGGCTGATTACTACTGGAGCCTCGGCACGGAGCGAGGGGGCGAGATGGCGATGTTGCGCTGGTGGATCGCGGCGGAGCGCGGGCTCGAAACAGCGCAGAACAATCTCGCGTACGTGCTCGACCAGGACAAGAGCATACTACGCTTCACGCGTTTCGCGCCGCACTCGCCCTCAAACGACACCGCGCGCCTCGCGCTTACGCAGTGGATCCGGTCCGCAGCGCAGCGCAACGTGGACGCGCTCGTCAAGGTCGGCGACTACTACTACCACGGGCTCGGTGTTCCCGACGAGCCTGAGGGCGCGCGCTGGGAGAAGGCGGCGGGCTACTACCAGTCCGCGGCGGACACGCAGATGAGCGCTCTCGCAATGTGGAACCTGGGATGGATGTATGAGAACGGCGTTGGCGTTCCTCAGGACTTCCATCTGGCGAAACGACACTACGACCTCGCGTACGAGACGAACGCGGAAGCGTATCTGCCAGTGCTGCTGTCTCTCCTCAAGCTGCATGCGCGGAGCGCATGGCATACGCTTATGGGCGGCCAGGGAGGATTGACGCTCTGGGATGGGGACGAGGAAACCAGTGAGTACTTTCTATTTTGGAGTCGATTCGCTATGTTAACGGGCCTGCTCCAGCTCGTTCATACTACGACAACCCCGAGATCGACGCGGGCCAGGATGGCGAGCACGCGGACCCGCGTGGGGCCACGCAACAGCCGGCGCTAGACGAGATCGACGACGCGGATGACGGCCCCTGGTACATGGGCAAGGCCCGTGACGAGTTCAACCGCCGCCGACGCGGCGGCTCCGTAGATGGAGACGGGGAGGAGGATCCGGTTGAGTGGGCGCGAGAACGCCGGCGCGAGGAAGCGGCTCGTGAAGGCGAAGACTACGGTCCTGAAGACTACTTCGACGGTGCGACGCGGGGCGGTGTGCGCAGAGAAGCGCGATACCGAGAAGAGGAGGGCGAGGTTGACGACCTCGGGGAGACAGTGCTGATCGTGGTGTTGTGTTTGCTTGTATCGGGGCTCCTGTACGTGCGTGGGCGATGGATGGAGAGGATCCGACGCGACGAGGAGGAAAGGAGGAGAGCGGTGGGTGGGGCACCACGCAACGACGGAGCACTGGGGGTCTTCCCACCACCTGGAGACCCCGCGCGGGATGACTGGGCGGTTCTGCGATGAGATCTGTATGTAAACTAGAACATTGGATAGCTACCTATTTGCGGGTGCTTACTGCTAGCACTGGACTGAACGCTGAGTGGCATTCTTAAGTGTAACAAATGGGGGGAATGTGCCATGAATGGACCTTATTCGATCTCGAGGATTCAACTTGAGATGTGCCATCGTACTGAGAGTTTATGGCACGCAGACCAGAGGGCATGGACTGCCAGCATTCGACGACGACTCCACTAAAGACACCATGCGCCGACGCTGCCCTCGTATTCTATTCGTCCCCATGCAGCCCTGCCCTTGAAGCCGCGTGCGACGACAGAATAGCACTGAAAACCCAACAAGCATATTCTCTCTAGGCAGATTTTACATCTCCCCAATGCGATTGTTAGGCCAGTTCAGTTTGTCTACATCTGCACAACAAGGGTGTGTGAGACTTCATACGCCCCAATTGGCAAAGATCTCGAGGCATGACACTGCATACTTAGATTCGCATGACGCATGGCTAGAGGCGTGGCCAGAGGCATAGCGTGCACCGTCAACGTCCGGCCCATATTTATTCATCCTGATTCTTGATCTGAGTTACATATACGCATTATATCACCTACTCCATGAAACTGCAACGACTGTGTATGACTTTGCATGCACCGAAACCCGGACACTACAACACATTCGACTAACTGCGAGGCCTATCGTGACCATCCAGTACTCGTGACTGGAGGAGCGCGCGGACCTCGATCGACTCCCGGTGGGGCGTGTCCTTCGGGCTGGTCTCATCCTCGAACGCGGTGTGGGGCATGAGACGCGCCAGGGTCTCGTCGGGGTCGTAGCACTTGATGAGGGTGACCTCGTCGGGGGCCTGGTCCCGGAGGTAGTACCACTTCTGCTGGGGGTTGTGGCGCACGCCGTACGTCTCGCCCCTGCGGGTGGGGTAGATGAAGTCGATCGGGATCAGGTCCTTGGGGTCGGCCAGTCCGAGACCGCGAGCGGGAAGTGCGCGACAGGGTGGTGAATGGGGCGCCAAACGTTGATAAGGCGCACGCGCGACCCGAGGAGACGATCTGCTTCGGCGGGGAGGTGGTGTTTGACCCGCTCGACGCTCGCGCTCGGGGTTTGGTCGATGTACACCATCAGCTGCGCGGAGCGGAATCATGAGCACGCAGAGAGACTACGAAGCTGAAGATCACTCACCTCAGGCCCGCGATTCCCCGGCTTGTCCGTGGTGCCCTCGGCAAGCTTGCGCCTGGAATAAGAGCACATGTCAACGCGATGAACTTGTCCCGTTCGCGGGACCCACCTGAGGGTATGATCAAATATGACGACGCGCTTCGCACTCGTGGCCTTCTTCAACAGCCCCTCGACTTCAGGGTAGTATTGAGCCTTGATGCACTCTTCGTCGTCGAACTCGCGCTCAACGCTCGGTGAGTTGATAAACTGAAAGCCGCCCTTGTCGAGAGTCAGCTCGTCCTCTCGGCCGCGGGCGTTGTGGATAGTCGCCGGGTGAGAGATGATCTCGAAGTTCTTCCACTCCACGCCCGCAGGAGGTTCCTCGATATACTGGTAGGCCTTATCGTCGCCGGGAAAGTACTGCGGCGGTGGCCATTGGAACAGTTGCGAGCGAGGCGGATTTGAGGTTTGTCGATCGAGGAGTGCGAAGAGGTTGGAGGGCCGAATGTCTTCGAGCCCTCCCTTTTTATTCTGTCGATGTCCTCAGACTGTGATTTGACATTGAACAGTCGACCTGATAACCTTGAGTGAGGAGCGGCCGTTGTGCGCCTTCATGACGCAAGTATGGCTCGCAGCAACGCTCCAAAACGGCGAAGTCTGTCGCGATGGGAGCTTGGCGCGCTTGGTTTTGGGTCGGCAAATATAAGATCAGGGCCTCAGGCCGCTCACCGTCAGTGCACAATGACTCAGAGGACAACCGCGCCAGATGAAAGAGCGCAGTGTACAAGTCTGTGGTATTTAAAACGATTCGTCAAAAAAGGTGCCATCGTGATGGAACTTGAACAGGCAGACTTATCAGTATTGAAGCAAGAGGCCCACCGAATGCCAATATTCATAGGTTTCACCACAATCTCCATACGTTTTGCACATCTGGCATCCAGTCAGCTTCAGCCATGACATGCGTCTCGTCTGCCGTGAGGCAAGGTTTTCAAGAGAGGCGGGTTTTCACTAGCACTCTTGGAATCAATGCGATGAGCGAGGAAAGCGGCCGATGTCGAGAGCGGTTGAAGGCGTGCCAGACGCCTAGCGGCATGAATTCAGAATTGCCAACGTACTTGGGCTTGACTTGGGCTTCGACCCCTCCAACTATGGAGCGCTGAGGATTTCATCTTCACCACTCTCCACTTCTCGTTGAGAAATGGAGAGAGCGTAGATTTTTGTGTTTGCTACGATACGATGCTCAAAGATGTGCAGTACACCTCCGTCCTGGATGAGAGATTAAGGAGCGGCGTCATGCTGCTGTAATTGATATAGCTATATCAGCCATATGTCTGCTCAGTGCTGGCAAACTTACAGATGCAGAGGCTATGTTCCCAGCCGCGGGAATAATGGGGAGGGGGGCCGTGGATGCTACGAAAGAAGGAGCTTGTATGGGGCCAAGTCGAAAGGGGTTGCAGTGAGGGGCTGAGAGAGACACGGGGTACTCAAACAGCTAGATCTATACAACGTATGTGGCTTGACACACATGGCGGAATGGCCGAGTGGTCTAAGGCGCTAGAATCAGGACTAATAAGGTTCATCTAGTCCGAAAGGGCGTGGGTTCGAGTCCCACTTCCGTCATTTTGTTTTTCGCAAACCAAGGCGCTGACTCCTCTCCGATACTGCAGTCACGCAGTTCGCTTGTAGGTCTGCCTTCTGTTTCTTCGTGAACGACGACTAGCAACAGGGCCCAATTGGCATGGGTGTCCATGGACTCACGACGTATCTGCGCGAGAACAACCATCTGCTCTCCCGGTCGCTCAGCCTCCCCCTCTCCCAGCCTGGCCCGAATACCGTCTCGCTTGTCGTTGACGCCTGGTCGTACGTCTCCTTCTTCTCGCATCGTCCTTTTTTTCGTCATGCTCGCAAATGGAGGACCCAGAATGCCGTCATGCTCATTTGGATTTCTCTGACTGCCAGGTTCATCTATGAGGTCATCCACTGCGCCGACCTTCCCTGGGTGTATGGAGGGGAGTATACACGACTCGAGAGCCTTGTAGGAGATGTCGTGCGGGCGTGGCTAGCCGTTGGCCTCGAACTCCATTTTGTCTTTGATGGTGCGTTTTCCCTCTCGCCTCGCGCTCTCCGACCTTTGTTTCTCTTTTCATTAGACCAGCTGGTCTCCGCAACTCTTTCCCGCTCGCGTTCAGGGTCACACTCCTGACAATGGAACGAGTTTATCCTGCGAGTATTTTGAGACGACGAGTCCTATATGCACTGGTGTGACGGGTGCTTTGCCTATGAGGACGGCTTTTTCTTACCTTCGGTCGAGTGCTTCATCCAACTGCGACTCTCTGACAAGCAAGGACACAGGCCCGTACCCCGAGCTCAAATTCCCAACGGTACTCTCCCGCATGACGCACACGAATATCCAAGCCGGCCTCATCTTCTTCCGCACATCACCCACTGCACGCTCCCAGCCCCGCTTCCTCCGCGAGACTGCGATGCTGCCCCCACTCGCCTACTCCGTTTGTGTCGACGCGCTTCTCCGCCTTGCCTCGTCCTCTTCTCCTCCTCCCTCCGACTCTCCAGCTCACAGAGCACGACTGTTCGTGCACTTCGCGGACGAAGAGGGAGACCCGTACGCTGTGGCACTCGCCGCTCGACTGGGCGGGTACGTCGCGGGAAAAGACTCGGATTTTGTTGTCCTCAACGCCGAAGGATATCTTGGCTACGTCCCACTCGACGAGATTGTGTGGACGGCCACGGTCGCGACCCCCGACATGGAGGGAAGCGTCTACGCGGCCTCATCCGTCGCGGACACAGAATACGCCGAAGACGATGACGGATTCCAAGTCGTAAAGAAAGGAAAGAAGGGGAAATCAAAGGTTCGGAAGCCCTCAACCGCGCCCGACGGCCCAACGACCATCGTCGCCGGACGCGGTATCCTCCCTCCCTCCGCGCTCCCGGCGTCCTCCTCCGACCTTGGACCCATCGACCCCGCACAACTCTCGCTCACCATCTACGTCTACGCCCCCGCGACGCTCGCAACGCACCTCTCCATCCCCGTCTCGCTCCTCCCCCTCCTCGGCGCCCTCCTCGGGAACGACTTCACCGCCGGGCCCACGCCCTCCCCGGGAGACGACAGCCCCGCGCCCTCGCCGGCCACGACCGCCGAGATCCGCTCGCGCGGGCGGGCGAACAACCTCCAGCGGCTCTTCTTCAACCGCCAGCTCACCCTCCCGCAGCGCATCAGCCGCGTCGCCTCCACGCTCTCCGGTCTGCTCGCGTCCGCGGTCGGCACCGTGGGCGCGGGCGCGCGGAAGCGCGGCCGGAAGATCGGGAGCGTGATGGAGCTCATCGACGCCGCGGTGGCCGCGCTGCTCGTCCGACCGCTGGACACGTTCGCGACGGGCGAGCGCGAGGCCGTCGTCGAGCGCATTGCGGAGGCGACGCTCCAGTACGCGATCCCACGCCCCACAGACGACGGTGGGGACGCTGGCGCCGCGGGCGGTTGGGCGTCCGCCGCGTGTGCGCTGCACGCGGTCGAGGCGTGCCCGCTCGTCGCCGGGCTCTCGCGTGTCGTGAACGCACGCGCGGAGGAGCGAGAGGAAGGCGGGCGTGGGCGCTGTGCGGCGAATGCGGGCGCAGACTGGTCGCAGACGATTCGGACGCGGTATGTGGAGGCGTACCGCGCTGGGCGGCTCGACCCACACGCGCTCGACGCCGTCGTATCGGGGACGAGCTGGCCCCGGATGTTTTTGGAGGACCCGGACAAGGAGACGGTCACACGGAGCGTGGGGCGACCGCTTCGCAGGTGGATGTGGGCGGTGTTGGATGCGGGGGTCGGGCTTCCAGTGCCACCGCCTGTTCAGGAGAACGAGGAAGATGAAGCACATGAGGATGATGATGAGGAAGATGAAGATGAGCTGATCGACGTGGAAGAAGGCGAGTCCGAAGAGGAAGAGGATGAAGAGGGGGAGGATCCGCTCGCGCGGCTGCGCGGCGCACTGCAAGACCTGGATGGGGAAGGGCAAGCTTCCTTGTGCCGGACCAACAAACCCTTTGGACAAGATAAACAGAACCACACTCGCGCCAACGGCTCGTCGATTCGGCGGCCCACCAAGGTCATCACGGAATACGTGCGGCGCGGGACACGAATGGCCCCTGAGGAGGTCACAGCCTCCTCCCTCGACGCGTTGCTCCAGGAGACACCCCTCGGACCCCCAATACACGTCCCCAGCGAACCGGATGGGACAAGCCCACCCCCACAACTCTGGCCCCGTGACGCTCGTCTCGCGGTGTTCCGCGCCGCCGCTGGAGAAACCGCCACCACGGCGCTGGAGGGCGTGGATGACGGCGACCTCCTCGCCGTGCTTGGCGTGCGCTACGTCGTCCGGCTCATGGATGCGCGCGCACGGGAGAACCCGGTGAAGGAGCGCATCCAAGAGCGGTGGACCGAGGCGGAGGCGCGTGCAGTCCTCACGTGCCTCACGTCGTCCGCCGAATTGGACGAGGGTGCAGGGGAGGACGGAGCGGAACGGGTGGAGGTGAAGGAGCGGCACGTCCAGCTCGTCGTGCAGACGCAGACGGCGCTCGACGCGCTCGAGCAGCTCGCGCAGGTCCTGCTTCTCGACGAGAGGAAGGTGATGGTCGCTCCAGGGAGGGTCTTCTCGGGCGCGCGGTGCCATGCGATCCTCGGCGGACGGGCTGCAGTGGGCGCAGTACGAGAGGAGGTATGGACGGCGTGCAAATCGGGCCTGGGAGGTGCGTTCGCGCCTCCTCCGCAGAAGCGGGCGAAGGACAAGAAGAAGGCGGTCAACCCTGGTGTGCAGGAGAAACCGCGCGGGAAGCCGGCTGGGAAGGCGGGATTATTTGCAATGCTAGGGGACGCATCGGCATGAAAGGAGATGTTCGCATGTGAGTATGCTTTATGTATGCCGCGCTCGATCGCACGCTGTACGATGAACTCTGCGCTGTAGCCTTGCAACCTGTACCTTCTGACCTCCTGTATATCGTAATCATCTTTGACTTAAATCTCGTTCTTGGTGCACCTGAGGAACGCTAACGGCGACCATGGGGATCGTGACAGCATGGGTGGCTGACGCGCGACAACTTCCCGTCCTATGAGGGCTTGTCACAACTCCGCATTCAGCGAAACTTGGTTGCTGATTCTGGAGTTTACCTCTGTTTGAGACCAGTCGTAGCCTGTGAGTCACCAACTCCATCAAGCGAGCCCGAGAGAAGTCCGCTCGATCAGTGTAAGGATGATGTTGTAAGCGATCCGAACCAGCATGTTTGGCCGGTTTCTGCACTCCTTGTAAATACACCATCGATATTTTTATTTTATGAGTGAAAGTGTGGTAAGTAGAACAGTGTAGACCATCATGTTCGACCACACTGCCGGGCATCTTTCCGAATGTCGCCGTCATTGCAAAGCAGTCTCACGGGCACCCCGCCTCACTTGCTTCGCTCACGTCACAGAAGTTGGCCACGCTGACGGCCCTGCAAGCCTCGAGCCACCCGATGTGTTCGATCAGGAGTGTCGAGACGCTTTGAAACGGCTCCAACCCGAGCCTTCCGGGGGAAAAGAACCGCTATTCCGTCACGGATATACAGATCACCAAGTTGACTCGCCCATTACCCACGTTTGGATCGCAGTCCATTTTCTGGTATTGTACGGAGCTGGCGGCCATCCAAGCTGTGTCCACCTCTGAATTCTGCGGCCCCAGATTTTTCACGAGGCGTCCACGCTGTTGCGCCTTTCCGCACTGCGACGCCGGCCCCTGTCATCTTTAACCTCGTGGTCGTCTACATGCCGAGGTTGGGGCGGCGCTTACCCGCGCATTCGCGGGTAACTAGTGCCGCAAATGGCCGACCGCAGGGTCCTCGAAGGTGACGGGAGTGGTAAGCAAGGGTAAGCATCGCTCGTCAACGCACAGAACACCGCGCAGTATTACTTCACTCGGGCTGTCTTGGCGCGCACGCGGATCCATCACGATGAAGCATCAATTTCGCCCACCATGTGTTCTAACTCGCCCCGAGTCCATCGGCGTGCCCCAGTCGTGCACCGGCAAAACGATCCTCCACGCGCTCGGTTCCCGTATAGGAGCCTTACCAGACATGCGGTCTGATCTACACGTCCTGAGCAAGGAGCGAGTCAGGAATGCAGGAATAGGGCACTCCAGGGCACTGCGCACCGCTAGCCCCGTTGCAGCGAGCTTGAGACCGAGCCTCGATCACACTCCTGCAAGGGTGGGTCTTGACAAGACCAAAGATGGCTTCATCATTGCACCGCGGCGCAGCACTGGGTGCATCGGCCCATTATCCAGACGAGTAGCTAGTGTCGTCGCTCACCTGTCCAGCTTCTTTTGTATAACCTCTGGGCCGATGGCTTTGGTCCGTTCTGCCGTCCCAGCTCGTCCCAGCCACTAGCTCGAGTCAACGTACAGCCGCGGCTCGAACCCGATGGATTTACGCCCATCGCCGCCGCCGCCACCGCCGCGTCTCCCTCGCGTCCTCCGCGAAACGCGAGTCCGAGCGAGGGTCGGCGTTCCCTGGGAGCCAAGATTCAATGGCCCCGCGCCAGAAGTGATGGCGGCGACACGGGGAGGCAGGAGCACCCACATGGCCTGCGCGCATACGAATAGTGTCGCCGGGGTGGGGGCGGACTACGGTCGATATCGCGGTCCGGGTGTGGCAAGCGACGCTCGACGTCCACGCTGGCGTGGATCTAGGCCACAACCTGCGCTGTCCTGCGCGGAGGATGCAGTGCTGTAAGGCCCGCCAGGGGAACAGCGGAAGCTCGAGAGTGGGCGCACCTCGATGCACGCGCTGCGCACGAGGCTCCGCGAGTGATTACGCGCAGCGAGGCCTGCAGGGAGAGAAGACACAGCCCTGCGCTGCACGCTTCGCAACCAGGTCCCAGTCGAGGGTTGGGAGATTGCATGTCAGAACTAGATGTCTTGCCTTCCGCGCGCGGATATATTGCTGACGGCACCCGTTGCCGGTACGGAGGGATTAGAGACTGCTGGTTGTCTCGAAGCGACGCTGGGAAGGATACCGGCTGGGAACGGTCAGCACTTATGAAGCCGCCTACCGAAGTCTAAACGGGATCTCGTCTAGACGACGCCCCAATCGCTGCTGAGATACCGTTTTAAAGGCCCAGAGGTCCAGACCAGACCTTCCCCACCTGCCCTCCCCGCACTCGCGGATAACCTCATACCCGCCCGCGACGAAGCACTTGACACTCGCCTCCACCTCCACTTCACCCTCACCCTCACCCCCGCCCCGCGCTCTCACCCACGCCCGCCTGCCCGCCGCACACGATGGCCGGGAAACCCAAGGCCCTCCACCCGCTCGTCCCGCTCGCCTCCCTCTCCTTCTCCACGCACCAGATACCCGCGCACAACCTCATCCCCAACACCTCCCTCGCCGCGCGCCCGCTCATCGTCTACCGCGCGCCCTTCGCGACGACGCCCTCCGCCGAGCAGATCGAGGCGCACCTCCGCGCCGTCGGCGTCTGCTTTCCCATGTGGCGCTGGCCGATGTACCCCGAGGACCACTTCCACACGACCGCGCACGAGTTCGTCGTCGTCCACCGCGGCCGCGGCCGGCTCAACTTTGGCGGCCGCGGCTGCGCCGGCGCGGTCGAGGTCGAGGTCGTGCCCGGGGACGCGGTGCTCATCCCGGGCGGCGTCAGCCACGCGCTGCTCGAGGACCTCGGCGAGAAGGAGGGGCTCGGCAGCTTCGAGATGGTCGGGAGCTACATGGAGGGGTCCGAGCACTGGGACATGTGCTACGGCAAGCACGGGGAGGAGGAGCACGTCGCGAACATCCCGAACTTGACGTGGTTCGACAAAGATCCGTTGTACGGCGAGGGCGGGCCTGCGGCGAAGTGCTGAGAGTGGGTGTGGGCGACGCGAGGGACGGCAGTTGTGAGGTGTACAAGGACTATGGGCGAGACTGGTGATGTACTGGTACTGCTCGGTCCAAAAACAGTCTGTTATTGTCGCGATCCTGCGGGTTCCAGGGCGTGCGCAGGGCCCAGGTGGCCGCGAGGGTCGAGCGAGAGAGGAGATGAGAGAGCGAAGGCAGGAAGCTGAGTCCGCGGAGATAGTAGGACGAGCAGCGCTGGCCCGATCCCGCCGCCAATCCCGCGATCCATTCGCCCCTGGCCCGCGGCGCGGGTCCTCCACGAGCAAGTTCCCCCGGCCCGCGAACGGACGAACGGACATTTCGCGCGACATGGATGGGTGCGGCCTCTCGAGACAACATCGCGATCATACATTGCATAGAGATGTGCAAGTATCGTACAAAACCCGGTAAAGTACAACAGAGAGACAACAAATGACAACAAGAGACAGCGTACAGGTCCAGAAACAGCGAATCCACTCCTCGTCGACAGCGCGAGCGAGACTGGCGCACCAGCGCATAACTTACTCGGCCACACGTCTCAAGCACCTCGCTTTCTCCTCCTATCCTCCTCGTCTAGTCCCAGGCTCAGCGAGCTGCCCGCATCTACCGGCGGCAGCCTCAGGTTCCCAGTGTTCACACTCTGCATGCTCCCACTCCTACTCCGGCTCCCACTCGAACTGCCACCCCCGAACGTCCCCTGGCTGCCCATCGACAGCTTCGACCCGCTCGCGAGGCTCTTCCACGATACCCCGGCATGCCGCGTCGCCGTCGCCGTCTGCACCGAAAGTCTAGGGGCCGGGGCCTGTATCGGGTTCGTGATCGCGTTGAGCGTGGGCGTCGTCGTCGGTGTCGGTGTCGGTGAGGCCAGTCCAGACGGCTGCCTCGCCCCGCTTCCGTACGGGAACGCGCTCGGGGGGTGTGGGTGTGGGTGCGGGTGCGGGCGCTGCCCGTGCCCCGCCAACGGCGACGGCGAGCGCGGCGCGGGGGGCGAGTACACCGCCGCGTCGCGGTGCCGCCTGCCCGCGCTCGCGCTCGTGCCCGCCGCGGGCTGGGTGAGCTCGAGCTCGCGCGCGTACGGGTGCCGTTGTCGGATGTCCGTCGTGCTCATCCGCCGGAACGCCTCCGTTGGGCGCGCCATCTCTTTCTCCCCCTCCGCGTCCTCCCCGGCGTGCGCGTGGGGCCGCACCGTCGCTGAGCTGGGCCGCGAGCGCGGCGCGATCGCCGGGAACCGGTTGCTGCCGCTCACGCTCGCGCTGCGCCCCAGGCGCGCGCCCTCGCCGCCGCCAGCCTTGAGCACGCTCGTGTTGAACGCTGCGGTGAGCGGCAGCGGCGTGCTCGGGCCCGTCCCTGCGCGCGGCCGCCCGGACGAGGTCGAGGTCGAGGTCGGGCGCCCGGTCAGGCTTGGGCGTCGCGCTTGTGGGCCGTACCCGCGGTCGGGCGATGCGGGTGGCGATGGCAGCTGCAGCGAGCGCGTCTCCGCGAGGTCCCCCCCGTCCCCGTCTTCGTACAGCGGCGCCATGCGGAAGTTGGCCATCGACGCCGCGGACGACGATACCCCGGGCTCAGCGGCGAGTAGTACGGCGCGGACGGAACGAGCGGGGCGGACATTGGCGGCGCGTTCGAGTGTGGGGGAGATGTGGGGGTGGGGGGCTCGGGTAGGGGCCGCGGGGCGCGGGGGCCGCGAGGAGCGGGGGCGTATGGGTGGTCGGAGGGGACAGAGGTGAGACGGCGCGCGGCGTACGGGTGGGGGAGCGTTGGGTTGTTCATGTACGCCGCATCCTCTGGGGAGATGGGGGTTATAGGTAGTGAAGCGCGGCGGGACGCGCGTGCACTGGCATTGGTAGTGGTAGCACTGGCAGCACTGGCCAGTCCCGGTGGAGTCGGATGGGACATGGGGATGATGGTACTGCGGGGGGATGCGAGTGGCCCGAGCCGGTGCTCTTTGAGTGGGTGCTCCGTGTCCGGTGCGAAACCGTCGCGCGGTCGGTGTGTGCGTCGCCGTAGATCGCGTCGCCGTTGTCCTCGTCGTCGCTCTCTCCGTCTTCGTCGTTGTCGTCGGCGAACGCGAAGAAGCCGTATGAGTGGTCGTGAGGAGACGGGTCGCCCTTGTGGCCGGCCGAAGAGGCAGCGACGCTCCTTCTGGGAGAGCCGAGGAATGAGCGGGAACGGAGGTCGGACCAGGTCAGAGCAGAGATCGGACGGAGGGGGTCAAGTAGGAGCGGCCGCGGGGGCTTCTTGGCCGGACCGGGGAACAGCTTTTGATGGCCCACCGGTCTCGCTCTTCGCGCGCCTTCGCGGACCAGGAGGCGGCCGCGCGCGCGCGTCGTGCGACCCTGCGGCGAACGAGCGGCACGGCAACTACCACAGCGAATGCGACGGCGGCGACGGCGCCGAGGACACCGAGAATGGTGGGGACGCTCGGTAGCTGCTGGTGTTGACCGGAGGAGGAAGACGGCTGAGATGGTCGATGGGGTGATGAGGCGATGAGGCGATGGTGGGCGATGGACGGGGAGAACAGAGGGCAATGATTAGCGCCTTTGCGGATTCCGTGACAGCGAAGAAGATCGCAGGGGCGGTGTGGGTGTGTGCTCACATCATCGGCGCACTGTGTGCAATTGGCTGCGACGGCCATCGGGCGGACGGCGAGAATATGCTGAGCGCTGAGCGGCGGAAGATCAGCGCGAGCGAGGGCGTGGCGGCGAGCGTGGCGGCGGGCGAGGGGATGAGCTGGAGGGGCAGGAGGGTTCCCCACGCCCGCGCGGGGCCCCTCTAGGCTTTAATCGCTGGCCGCGGCGCGATGACGGTATGGTGGCTCCTGGGCGAAGAGGATGAGTAGGGCGGATAAGGCGTGGTGGGGCCGCAGTCAATGCCCGCTCCGCCCACGCCCACACGGTCACGCGCCGCGTTACACGGGTGCGTGTCACGACTCACCGGGATTCAACCCGCAACTCGATTCGAAACCGCAAGCGTCTTGGTATGGATTTAGCAGTGATATTCCGCCGTCGCCATCATCCTGCGCGGGCACATCCGTGTGGGCTCCACTCGACGATCACGTTCCGCGCTCCCAATCAGACAACGTCTGCGCTGGGAAAGGCTGATGAGAACGCGGTCGCGTGGACGGCGCAGGGCCAAAACACGAAGAGACCGGCGGACTCGTGGTGACGTGGGTACGAATCTGCTTGGAGGGAACGGATATCCGTCTGACGTCCTTTGGCGAGACTGAAAAGGCTTGTGGACCGCATTCTCGAAGCCATCCGGATCGCGGTCGGCTGGGCATATCGAAAAGGGTCAGTTTCATGTCTAGATGCAGCACATGGAAGCCGGTGAGTTACGTGGGTCCTCGTGGATGCATCGTCGTGGATGTGTAGAAGAGAGGATCACTGCAGACTGCGTAAGCCGGCTGTCGTTGAGTAACCGAACACGTGATCGTGATTGCATCGGCGCCTGTTTCTGAGTCGGAGAATCAAATGGGCTTGCAAAATTGAGGCTGAAGTACTGCGTCTTTGCGAGGTTCTAACATCTTCCACGATAACCTCACTTCTGCGCGATGCGACACCCACAATCTACCTGAAAACGTTGTGCAACACCGGAGACTCGGTGGACTGGGCGTTCCGATATCTGGCCTAATTTCCGCCCATAGACTTTGCGTCATCGCTACAACTCCCCGCGCCGACCCAAGCGGCTCATCTTCCATCTCGCAGTCTCTGGAACACTCCATATGTTCTCGGCACACGGTCATCATGTGAAAACCCTCCTTTCACGCCCTCGCCTCGGAACCATTTTCCGTCACACTCATCCCGACATGCGCCCGATGTCATCCATCTGCCAACCGTGTCCGAGCCCGCCACCTTCTTCTATAGTCGCTCGGACTCGCCGGCCCCCTGACGAAACCCATCGTGCACCGCCTCGCTTCCAGGTGCGATCTTCCCTCACTCTCTCGTAGCTTGTACTCAGTGCTCACCCCCTATGCCGATGTGTTTCCTCTAGAATTCTGTTCTTCCCTCACGTCTTCTGTAAAACTCAACTCCTGCAGTCGTGCAGAACTTCGAATCAACGGCATCATATAACCTCAGGTCAGCAAACAAAGCGGCCATCGAATCGAGCTCCGCTCCTGCCTTCTGACCTCCTGCGAAATCAGTGACCCCTGTACAGTGACTTCATCTTTCCGCCGTGAGGCACCCCAGATGAAGGAAGCAGGTGCCATCCTGAACACAACAAACCTTGTCCATCGCCACTTTGTCCCACTCGGATCTCGAGCACCAACGGACCTTCTCCCATCTACTCAGCGCAGCGCCGCGACCGAGTCCGACATCCCCATTCTATTGCTTCCGGTGCTCAGGCGATATCCCGCCAGAGCCACCACACCTGCTGCCGACTGTCGACATCTTGCAGCTCCGACGGTCATCGGAGGGCATTCCTTCTCCTGCGCAATGTCCGTAACCTAGACGCCCGATCCGTGCACCCTTCTTTGGGATATCTTCCGTGAGTGCGTCACGATCTACCACTCAACCTTTCAAAACTCATCCTTCCATACAGCATGCACCACAGAGCGCACTTCCACTTCGATAACGCACATGTTGAGTGGCATGTTTCGGCGCACGCACTTAGAAGCCGCGTCCGTCGTTCGCATTTGTTTCCAGGCGCAGGCGCGCCAAACAGACGTGCATCTCGGGGCCTCAAACACGCACATCTGCTTCTGTACTTCGCGTCAAGATTTCACTCCGCCGCGCGCTTCTCAGCCGCTCGAACACGAACTGCTACCCGCGTCCCCCGCAAGTCGCAGGCGTTTGCTCAATACGCCGGTTTCGCGCAAGGCACTGCAAAGCATCCGCCGCTTTTTGGCTCGGAGTACTCGGCGCCGCCAAGCAATCCCATCCGCCCGCTCGCCGGCAGCTGCGAAAAAGCAGCCTTCGCGCGCAAGTACTGCCTTCAAGCCACCGTCGAGCACGCCATACATCAGCTTCTCCAAATAGCTCGTGTCACGCGCGTTCCCCATCGCCCGACCGCTCAATGCGCGCGGTCGAGCGCCCCGCCGGGGCACTTTGCAAAACCCCGCACTCCTCGAGGAAGCGATCGCCAAGGGTCCCCTCCGCCGGCAGCTGCCGTATCAACCCGCTCAAACGTCGCTCGTCCACGCCATGCGACGTGCATGCAAAACGCTCCGGACGAACGCGCCTCCGGACGCGCGTGCGCTCCGACCCGCTCCGACCACGAACGCCTCCGCGCTCGTCGCAGCGTCTCGAGCTGACGAGCCAAACTCGGCGCATCATCGCACCCTCTGCGCGTGATGGCTTCCAACGGCCTCCGGATCATCATCCACTCAAATTTGGAGAGTTTTTCGCCGCGCACCGCCCTTCACGAACCCAATCCGAAGAGGCCTCCTTTACACCAATGCCGGCCACCACGTGTACGCGATCTCAAAATACGCTTCAATGGATACATCCCTTCAAACGCCCCCCTTGTCCGCTCTACGTACCCCTCCGGCGGCACGCGCCGAACACCATCGAATCTCCACAGCTCCATATGCAGGCCAGACCCGGGCAGCGATTGAGTTCAATGCTGGTTCTCTGTCACACCATTGATTCGCACCGAACCTCATCCCGGGCTCCATTGAGCCCGGTCAGCTGAGTGATTGCGGACCCGCACGCGACATATCAAACTTTGAGCGTAAGTACTTGTTTTCGACCACTTACCCGGTGGACGGGCAGCATGCCGTGGCGAAATGGCAGGTGCAGCTTGGATCGAGATGCGCTTGGCTTTCTCGCGTGGGAGGGATGGTCAGGTACACGGCCTTCATTCCTCCTGTCGTCTACGCGCGCACTCGATGAACGACCCTCTTACTTACCGACACATCCGTGGGGCTTTCACGCCTTTGATTCGCCGATGCCGAGACTCACATAATTCCCGAGCAGATCGCAAGCTCGGTTCCGTCCGTCAAGGCCGGTGTCGCCCACAGGTACACCCATGGACTCAGAGCTTTCCCGCTCGACAGCAAGGTTTCGGCCCATGGTTCACCCGTCGTACACCGCTGATCCAATCTTCGCGCCATATTTCTCGTCCTATCACCGCGCAACCGACGTTCGTCCGCACTCCCGAGCCTCTCAGGATTTGTTGACCTCCGTTGTAGGCGCAACGTGATTGTACGCGCGGAAGAGGCCGCATTCCGATGTTTCCGCCATGAAATCTCATGTCGCGAGCACAGCCAGAGGCAGCCTCGTGCTCCAGTCAAGACTCCGGCCGATCGGATGTAGCTTTGCGGCTGCTTGGTTGAGGGCCGAGCTAAGGAGGGGAAGTTTTGTGGATACTCCCCGTTCGTCGGCCTATTGGGCATGACATCGGCGGGATGTGCGCTGAAATGCTGACAGTGCGCCAGAACTCGGTTGCACCGGACGCTTGAGTGCAGTATCAGCACTAGGGAAGCACTCGACTCTTCGGTCAGCAACTCAGGACGTGCAGTACTTTCGCAGCAAGAAGAACGGCATGATGCAGCTGCTGCGACAAGCATTAATCAGTAAGTAGTCTAGTAAACACCAATCAAAGTTCTTCACTTGTCTTGGGCTCAGGACAAGCAGGTACTTCGTAAAAGACTTCCGGCCGCCCAGCGAGCCGCACGTCTCACGCGCCCCGGCCCCGAGCTGTCTGTTGTAAATATCCCTTTCTCACGGAGCAGGATCCCTATCTGTCCCCATTCTCAATTCAACTGAATGAGTGACGAAGGCAGGGTCCTGTCGACTAAGTAATGTCAAGCGCGCGGTTGGCGCCCCTACGGTCACGGGGCACTGGGTCGGACTGACGCTTCTCGAGTCTCAACTTGCGCTTGTTTTCAGCACCCCGTCTCTTCCGTCATGCCATCCCATGTCCGGCGGTATCTCCCACACTCTGATGTGCCTCACTCAAATGTCTGCAGACAACTTGCTTTTTTGCACCCTTGTATCAGCATCCGAACACATGTCTGCGCCGCGCCCTGCTACTTGCACTCAAGGCGACCAGCTGACCTACCCTGCATCGGCAGTTTCTGATCTCAGCAGCCTATTTCCCCGCCCCTGCATCCATTTCTTGTCAGTCTTTCCTGCATCCGTTCCTTGCGCGTACAGCCCATCTTCTGCGCATATACCTTGCATACATCCTGTCTCTCAACTGCTAGGTCACAATCACTGCCCTCTCAGCCGTTATATTGTAACGTTCTTTTCGTCTCTGTCAACCATCCTATAGCTACCCCTCTTGCAGAGACCAGTGCCAATGCGCGCCAAAAATCGCATCGCGGGGCCGCAAATGAAGTCTCCCTCAAAGTTCCTTCACAAGGGCTTGGTCACACTAGCCCCGGATGCGGACGGTCACCTGCGCGTGGGGCCGGAACGGCGGCCGCCCGATTCCTCTTGGAATTAGTGCGTAGTGCGTGGTTCGTCTTCGCAGACGTGGGCCGGCACGTCTCGAAGTATATATACCGCGTCATCATCGGCCTGCCTCCCGCGCAGGGCTTCACGTCGCCCTCTCAGCACCTCTGGACTTCACCGTAATTGGTTCCAGGTGAGCATGGCTTGATTTTTGCACACACAATGTGCCGACCTCATCTCCCTCCGCTTCTTCCCGCATCCTCTGTCTTTTGTCCACTCCCCACTCACCCTACCCATCTAGTTTGCACAGGCATCCACAGCCATGTCCGACGAGAAGCACGACGACGTCAAGTACGTCGAGAACGTCCAGTCCCCGTCCGATGCCGCAAACGTACTCCCCGACGGCGAACTGCTCGCCGAAGACGTCCGCCCCGAGGCCGAACGTCGCCTCGTTCGCATTCTCGACATGCGTCTCCTGCCGACTATCATCCTCATCTTCATCATGAACTACATCGATGTGCGTCTTCCTCGCTCTCTCGCTCAGCATGCACGCCGCTTCCCCACACCCGCACCCGCTTTGTCGCTTCGGACAGGCGTGCGAGCGCGTGGCCGCGTGGCCGCGTCCTCTCGTAACGGGAACTGAACTCTCCCCAGCGCGTCGCAGTCACCTCCGCCCGTCTCAAGGGTCTCGTAGAGGACCTCCACCTGACCGGTGCGCCTTCTCCTCGGACGCGCGGCTGGACGCTCATCCTTTTGGCCCAGACATTGAATACTCCACGATCCTCGCCGTGCTCTACGCGTCCTACGTGCCCGCGCAGATCCCGTCGAACATGGTCAGTCCGCCCGCCGACTGCTCGCGTCCTTGGACTTACGGCACTTCCCCACAGATTCTAAACCGAATTTCCCGGTAAAGTCGCCGCGTATCCGGTCCGGCCCGGACGCCTCTGACGTCATCCCACACCCACCAGGCCATCCTACTACATCCCCGCCTGTGTTATGGTCTGGGGGCTTACCAGTGCTCTAACCGGAGTGTGTATAGCATGTGCTTGATACCGGAAATGATTCTGACATGTGGCATAGGTTGCAAAGAGCTATGGTGGCATGGTCGCCGCGCGGATCTTCGTCGGCATCCCCGAAGTTCGTCTTCTCCACGACCGGTCCCTTTCATCGGCACTGATCGCACACACAGGCGGCCTTCTATCCCGGTGCGATATTCCTCCTCTCGAGATGGTACACTCGCCGGGTAAGTTCTCTTTCCTAGTGTCTCCGCCAGGCTCATACCCACGATTCTTCCTCCGTCCAGGAACTCGCCTTCCGGTCCGCAATCCTGTACGCCGGTCTCCTCGTCTCGAATGCGTTCGGCAGTGTAAGTTCTACTTTATCCGCTTGACGCTGCACCGCTCCATGGTGTGCCGCTCCATGTTCCTGACTTCCGAGTTTCCCTGGCCTATCTTTGTCATTTACCTGTGAACATGGACGCATGAATTGACCTCTCGTGACCCTCCAGCTCATGGCCGCCGGCATCCTCTCCGGCATGGAGGGAAAGATGGGTATCCGCGCCTGGCGTTGGTGCGTTCTCCGTCTCCGTCTCCGTTCCGCATTTCTCATGCTTGTTGTTTTCCAGGCTGTTCTATATTGAGGTTCGTCTGCGAGGATAGCTAAGGTCATCCTGGAACGGTACTGATTAGGACCTTTCCCACAGGGCGCGATTACCATTACGATTGGAATCTTGGCCATGTATGTTTCCGTTCTGTCTCCCCCTTCGTTCACATCGCTGATTTTGCGCCAACCACAGCTTTCTCCTTCCCGATTACGTGCGTTTGCTCGATCCGCATGGACCATTTGAGAGGATGGTACTGAGCATAACATGACGACAACAGCCTCACAACACGCGCTGGCTTAGCCCCGCCCAGCGCCGCCTCGCTCAAGTTCGGCTTGCTGAAGATGCTGGTGAGGCCGACGAAGACGCGACGAATGAGTCGTACGTCGGCTTACTTTCTTCTCGTCAACCATCTAAACACGATCTCATAGTGCATTCACCGGGCTCATCATGGCGCTCAAGGACCCGAAAGTTCCGCTGTTTGCGATTATGACCTGCTCGCAGCTACTCGGCCTCGGTTTCGTGAACTTCTTCCCCACGTGCGCACGCTCCTCTCCCTTGGGCAAACAATCCAAGCTGACACAGGACCGCAGGATCACCGGTACCCTCGGCTTCAACACCACCGTCACTCTTCTCCTCGCCGCGTAAGCCTCTTTCCCCTCCCCTAACCCCATTCCTACTTAGCTCGCTCCTAATCAGCCCGCCATGGATTCTCGCGACCATCGTCTGCCTGATCAACGCTTGGCACGCCGACCGCTCTGGCGAGCGTTTCCTGCACATCGTGCTCCCTTGGTGGGCCGTCATCCTCGCGTACATCATCGGCGTGTCCACCTTTGCGACCTCGGGTCGGTACATCGCAATGATGCTCATGTGCTGCGGCTACGCCGGCTTCGCGCTCACCCTCGTCTGGGTCTCGAACGCCGTCCCGCGCCCGCCCGCAAAACGCTCCGCCGCGATCGGCATCGTCAACGGCTTCGGGAACATGGGCAACCTGTGCGTACATTCGTCCGTCTCCCTCCGTCGAACGCCATGCTGACGCCCGTGTGTGTGTCTCCAGGATCGCCTCGTTCACCTGGAAGTCGGAGTGGGGCCCGGACTACCACCCGTCGATGTTCATCGGGCTCGGCGCGCTCCTGCTCGCGACCGCGCTCGCGCTCGCGATCCGCTTCATCCTCGTCGCCCAGAACAAGGCGCTCGATCGCGCGGAGGCGGCGGAGGCGGCGGACCCTGCGTCGCGCGAGCGCGTGGAGGAGGCGGCGCGCCTGGAGGGCGTCACCGTCGAGGAGGCACTGCGGCGCCGGCGCGGGTTCCGGTACCTCGTCTGATGGCAAGGTGTGCGCTAGTGTGTGTATGTAAGATAGACAGTACTTGTGGCTTAGTCTTGTGCCATGTTGCACGAACGAACAGTGCAGAGATCGGATTTCACTGGACGGTTTGCGACGATTGCAAGTATTCGGAGGAGTGGAAAACTCTACATGGTGCGGGAATATAGTCGTAGAGCGGTGCTAGAAGAACAGAGGGGGCTGTCGAGATAGGAGACAGCTACGATATGAGCCGAATTCCACCGATGACGACTACGGTTGGTAGCCGGGCCGGAGAGGGCCGGGGAGCACGCGAAGGTGCGTCATGGCGCCTGGTGCGAATGGCGCCCGGGAACGTCAGCAGAGCGGCACCGAGGACCTGTTCTCTCGCCTTCCCTTGCCTGCTGCCTTCTCTGCTTCTCCTTCTCCAACTGTGGACGCCTTGGACTCGAAGACACGATATAAGCGCGTATAACGCGTTAAATACTCCCTTCCGCGTGGCCCACCCCTCTCTCATGGCCGCAAACTTCAGGAAAACTCTGCTCTCGGCCAGCACAACGGCAGCCAAGCTGGCGAGCATGCCCAAGGCACCCCGTCTTGCCATCTCTAGGATCGGCGCACAGCAAGTCTCTGTGCGTTGCTTTTCGCAAAACGCGCTCTCTGCGCCAAGCCCTAGGATCCACCTCCCGAGACGAACGGACGTGAGAGGCGTACCGAGACATAGGTCCTACGCAACGTACGTCGCACTACTCTTCTCGTTTTGTCATGCTCGCGTCACCCGGTCAATGCTCCCTCTGTATACCGCATTTCCCTTTCCACCGCTCGTGCCAGACTGCAAAGGGATGGTGGCCCGAATGCAGGCGAAACCGTCTTCGAAAACCCCTCGTGGTCGAGGATGACGAGACGGTTTGCCCATCTCAGGATGGTACGCGGATCTCGCTTGACCAAGTTGAGATGCGTAGCTAGACGCGTCCGTCCTCGGGGTACAAGAGTCGCCAGATGTTGCGCAGTTTGCGTGGTCACTTTTATGTACCATTTTGTTTGAGCCTACAGCCGGCTCGTTCCTTCACCTACCAAGTTATGGCTTTCCGTCACTGACTACCCGATAAGCTAGCCGCGTCACCAATGGCATTTCCCCCAAGTCCGTGCTCATCGTGAACAAACTACGCACACAGCCGGTCATTGACGCAATCGACACTTTGCTCTCGTGAGTATGTGCTACTTCCACCGTCTTGCAGTTTATTGACTCGTTCTAAAGGTATATACGGGAACAGTATCCAGAAGTTACGGTATACCATGAAAATCGGCCTGATATCCCGAAGGGTGTAACAGTGTGGGAACCAAGTACGTCCTATATGTGCGTATGCTGTGCATCGTCCTCAAACCTTTCTGGTCCAGCACCCGACGCCCCTCCAATAGATCTCGTGATCACACTCGGGGGAGACGGGACCATACTCCATGCGTCCTCGCTGTTTAAAGTTGGCGCAGTCCCACCTGTGCTCAGCTTCTCCATGGGCACGCTCGGTTTTCTACTGCCCTTCCGTGAGTACGCCTCGTCCTGCACGCGAGTTTTGACGCATAATGGTGTCACGTAGATATCGACGACTACACCAGGGCGATCGACAGTGCGTTCGCAGGGAAGATAACGGTGCTGCACCGCATGCGTCTGTCGTGCACGTTCCAAGACCGAATTGGTGCGCCTATTGACACTCACTGCGAAGGTCTGTGTCCACCGGTATTGCGTTCCGCGCATGAAGCTCATCGGGCAGTGTGTGGGATAGATTGGCAGGTCATGAACGAGATCGCACTACACCGGGGAGCGAGTCCACATCTCAACACAATCGACGTGTATGTGGACGGGCAGCATCTGACCGAGGCCGTGGTACGTCGTTGTAGACATCGTCGGCTGATGAGTTCGCTGATGGACGCAACGTCTTCGCGTGCCTCTGCAGTCGGACGGCCTGATCGTCTCGACCCCGACCGGTTCGACGGCATACTCGCTCTCAGCCGGCGGTCCCATCGTCCACCCATCCCTGAGCGCGATCGTCCTGACCCCAATCTGTCCACGGAGCCTCTCGTTCCGGCCCCTGGTCTTCCCCTCATCGTCATCCATCACCCTCCGAGTGCGTCCTCCGTCCCTCTCCGTCCCCTGCGCCGCCCTGCTCACCCTCTGGCCCGACCGACCAGATAAACGAGCGCTCGCGCTCCTCCGCCTCGCTCTCGATGGACGGCCAGACCTCGCACGTGCTCAAGCCCGGCGAGAGCGTGACGGTCCGGGCGTCGCTCTACCCGATCCCGTGCATCAACCGGTCCTCGATCTCGGAGCCGCAGGACGCGCGCGAGGGCGTCGAGGGCGCGGGGCCGGGCAAGGAGGACGACTGGGTGCGGGACATCAACAACCTGCTACAGTACAACGCGACGTTCCGGAGCAAGGCGCTCGCGCGGCATCAGCGGACGTAGTCGCGAGTTGGAGGGGGGAGGGGGGAAAGAAGGCAGCGGGGTGATGAGTGCTTGTGGGGATGGGAAGGATGTCTGGTAGGGATACGGTCGGTTGTGCTTCGCAGGATCGGCGGGTTCGGACGCTGTCACACTACTCTATCCACAAATCACTATTTGCAGTCGGGCTATGTGCTGCACTCCATCACCGTTTATGACGCTGACCAGCGTGTGTGCTCTAGTGCTTGCATGCATGAGTACGGCTTGTACTTTCAGAGTGATGACTTGCGTAGTCTCAAGTTCAAAGTGAGGTTTAACCGTCATCACTTGACCCCAAAGCAAACAAAATGTACATCCTGTAGTGCGGGAACCTAATAGTACCAGTAGTCGTAACATACAGATACACCAGCAGAGTCTAACGGAGCTGCTCTACTTTCACTTAACCACCGTGCTCGTCCCCGAAACCTTGCGATTCCGGCGCACAGTCTCCCCAGCCATGTAGTACCCCTCGTACCGCACGTCGAGCTCGTACACCTCCTCCTCCCCCGCCTGCCCTGGTCCCCCCGACGAGTCGCACGGGTAGCTGAACGACAGCCGAACCTGCCGCCCCGCGCGCCCGAACGTCCTCCGCCCCGCGTCCCACGTCTGCACGAGCATCCCCTCGTCCGGCTGCACCTCCTCGTCCGCTTCCCCCCTCCGCCTCTGCCCCTCCGCGCCTGCGCCCTCACCCTCGCTCTCGCCCGCGTCCTCGGCGAACCGCACCGTCGCCCACAGCTGCGCGCGCTGCAGCCCGTCGCTCGCGCACACGCCCACGAGCACCGCGAAGCCCAGCCGCCCGCCCATCCCACACGCGATGCGCCCCCTCGCGCCCGGCGCCCCGAGCCGCACGCCTCCGTTGCGTCCTCCTCCTCTTCCCCCTCCCCCTCCTCCTCTTCCTCTTCCCCCTTCCCCTCCCCCTACGTCGATCACGAAGCCGAGGCGGCGGAGGCGGTCCGCGGAGCGCGCCGCGAGCGCGACCGTGCACGGGGGCTCGAAGAAGACCATCGAGCCCGCGAAGCCGGAGTCGACGGCGGAGGAGGAGCGCGCGCCGGAGGAGGAGGCGGCGGCGCTCGACTCCGCGACGCTCCGGCGCGGGTGCGCGGGCTCGGCGTGGATGTGCAGCTCGCGCGGGGTCGGCGGCGGCGCGGGCGTGCGCGCGAGGAGCGCGGTCGGCGTGAACGCGAACGGGGAGGCGGGCCCGGCGAGCGAGAGCGAGAGCGGGGCTGCTGGGGAGGCGGGTGTGGACGCGGAGGCGGAGGCGGAGGCGGAAGGGGGGCGGTCGGTGCCGTACGTCGCGGAGAGCCCCGCGAGGTCCGCGCCGGCGGGGAGGAAGGTGCCGCGGTAGTAGTGGTTCCGCCGCCCGCCGCGGGCGATGAACCCGCCGACGAAGTGCTTCCCGCCCGCGCTCGCGCGCGCGCCGCTGCCGGGTGGGTGCGGAGGAAGAGCGCGACGAGCCGCCCGCGCCCGTCCTCGCACGCGAGCACCGCGAGCACCGCGTCGACGCCCCCCGACGTCGTGACGGGCACGACGGGCACGGTCGTGCGGACGCCCGCGCTCGTGTGCGCGTAGTCGGGCACGCTCTCCGCGACGCCCAGCCTGTGCGCGAATGCGCGGCTATCGACGGGGCGGAGGTCCGCCGCGCCGGCGAACTCGCGCGGGCCCGGGGCGAAGAGGGCCTCGTACTCGGCGCAGGGCTTGTAGTCGTGCTCGCGCGCGGAGGCGATGAACGCGCCCGCGCGGGGGTCGCGAGGACGCGGCCCCAGGCGAAGATGCTCTGGTCGGCGGAGCGGCGGACGATCTCCTCCTGGAGGCGGACGAACGCGTGGCGGCCTTCGCCGTAGATGGTGGGCATGTACACGCCGAAGAGGCCCATAAGCGCGTACGCCTCGTCTTCGACGCGCGTCGTCGCGCGCCCGGCGGCCCAGCTCATGCGGCACGCGACGCTGACGTCCGCGACGGCGCGCTTGTGGGTGAGCACCTGGCGGTCGATCCCGGTCACCTTCTCGATGAGCGCGGCGAGCCTGCGCTTGGGGCCGATGACGGACCAGTCCGCGGCGAGGAAGATGACGGAGGGCGGGGCGACGAGCTCCTGGAGCGTCCAGCCGCGGGAGAACCACACGCTCGCGCAGAACGCCTGGCGCGTCGCCTCCGGGCTGCCGCCGCGGGGACGTCGTGGAGGTAGGCGTAGCACATGGCGGCGGCGGCGTACCAGGTGTACATCGAGTTGATCGCCTCGGAGAGCTCGGTGCTGTTCGCCTTGTCGATGCAGCAGGTGTCGATCCACAGCCAGCGGAAGCCGTCTTGTCGCGCGCGGGCGCATGCCTGGCGGACCTTGGGCGACGGGCGGAGGAGGGCGCGGTCGGCGACGCGGCGGAGGGCGCCTGCGCCGGACCGGTGCGGGGGCGGAAGCGGGGCGTGTCCTGGAACGTCTGCTCGTTCGCGCCCCAGACATGGGAGAGAATGGCGTAGGAGACCGCGGTGGGAGTGTCGAACCAGTGGAGGAGCACTTTCTCCGTCTCGAGCAACCACATCCGGGTGCGTCTGTGGGACGACGATAAGCGTCTCAAAGCGAGATGGAGAATAGAGAACAACGCACAGAGGATGTCAGGCACCGGCCCAAGTGTGGAGACCGGGGAAGCCAGCGCAGATGTGAAGGGAGGGGAGGGGATGGGGGTGGAGGACAGAGGACAAGGCGAGACGGTGGCGATGGTCGCGAGTCAGTGGACGGAGAAGACGTCTGTTCTCCCGAAGGTTCACGGTCTATGAGACCTCGAGGACCGACAGATAGACGTCGAGCCCACGCCCGGCGGTGAGTGCACCGCTTCGTTCGACCGACGGTTCCAGGTGAGAATCCCGACGGGGGGCGGACAGGCCAGGCGCGGTCCCCGGGACGAACACGCCGTCGACCTCGTCCAGCCCTCGGCGCATGACGTCTAGGGCGATGCAAACAGCGTCGATGAGGCTGAGGACAGCTGGCGCGAGAAGGCGGGCGTGAGTGCGAAAGTGCGCGGTACCGACCACAGGGCACCTTCTTGCGAACGTTCCCGCCCGAGGCGGAACAAAGCGAATACTCTAGAAGCACTAGTACGCCTTCCGGGTTCTGGTCCACTGTAGGAATGTAGATTGCCTTGGGCGCGCAGTCTTGAGAGAGATGCCGTGAATCACGCACGATACGGACAAGAGAGACAGGAACAAGAGGGAACAAGGAGACGACAATGACGAGGCCCGCGCCTATACACATCAACTATTGTTAGGAACTCTGGCGGCGGTCATCCGCGCGCGAACGCAACATGGCGGCAGAGGCATGATCATGAGAATGCATTGAGGTCATGTGAGGTACGGTACATAGATACATAGTAGTTGAGCTTCATCATAAATCCGTCGCGGACGCACCAGAAGCAATCGACAGGAACAAGATAGAGTAGAGCGGTCAACGAACGGGGGACGAGAGAGTGATGAAAACAAGGACAACGAGAGTGGGACAATAATGCGTCGAGAAGATGCGAGGACGAGGGACGGGGGATCAGGAGCAAAAAGCAATATCTATTTTAATGGAACGGGTGGGGTACTGGGTCCAGCGACGGGAGGGGACACGGCGGCGGCCTGCGATGGCTGTCTCTGCTGCTCCTGTTTGGCGTAGTCCTGCCGCTGGAACAGGAGCTCGGCCCACAGTGGGTTTGGAGGAATTCGGCCGATCATGGCTGTTAAGATCTTCAGCCTGTGAATCGAAATTCGGTGGTCAACAAGGGTCAGTTTCACATAACAACGGTGCACTCACCAGTCCTCCTTCTCCTGATCGGTGTCTGCGTAGAACTTAATGACATCGGAGCCGAATTCGAGCCGGAACGCCCGCTCGACGCTGCCCACGCCGTACAGGTCGTCGTCGTCGTACGCGGGGCCCGACGCCGGACTGCGCACCGGCGCGCTCTCGTCCTCCACTTTGGTGGCTTTGCGGAGGTCGATGCTCGCGATCGCCCGACGCGTGATGTCGTTGTAGGCGACGAGGCTGCAGCCGATGATCCGCAGGTGCCGTCTCCTCCATGTCTGCACAGGCACACAAAGTCAGGGGCGGGACGCGATCGGCGCAGGGTGAACTCACCGTGCAGTCGCCACCGATCTGGGTCAGGGTGCCTTGCATGTAGCACGACTTGTGCCAGCGCGTGTGCGTCAACCCACGCGTGCACTCCTCCAGGCTCTGCGGCAGTTGCGCGGCGGGGATGCCGGGGAGCGGGGGAGCCTGAAGACTTGCAGGACGATCTCCCCGATCGTCATCTCGTGGCCGGCGGACCCTGGCGTATCGTACTTGCATCCGACGAGCGGATATGCGATCTCCAGGAGACGGGTGTCGCAGTGGGCGGCGATCTGGTTGAACTCCACGAGCGTCCGCGCCAGCGATCCATCGGGCTTCAGGTACCTCGCCAAATTCTCCGGCGGCTTAAAGTTCGGGCGTGGTGGTGCAGGTGCGGGAGCAGGAGGCGGGGCAGGGGAGGCTTCTCGCTCCAGCGTCTTGTTCTTCTTATGGGAGCCGAGGCCAAGGAAGCTGCGCATCCCGCCGCTCTTCGTGTGAGTGTGGCCTTTCGACGGCGAGGGTGGGACTGGCTGAGGAGGTGGGCGAGCTCGAGCTAAGGCCGCTGGCGGTTGGAGGGCTTTGATCTGCGCCGCAATGTGGGCCTCCTTCTTCACTTTGATCGTAAGAGTGAACTCCAGTTTGCTGTGCTCGATCCTGACAGGGGGTCAAAATGTAAATCGACGCCCCAGAGACAAATTACGCACAGCTCAAACTCCTGGTCGATGGTGCATTCTCTGTCGAAGGGGGAGTCCGGGGTTGCTACGAAATGAATGCCGTTGTTGAGGACACAAGTGATCTTGGTAGGCTCCTTAGGGACGGGGACCTTCAGACCACGGAGACCCATGACTACACCAGGACGATTAGGGGCAACGCGATATTAATTTGCGGCAGTAAACTTACCACGAACGAACACCTTGCCATGAGCTTTGCCGGTTTGTTGAGCCTCGCGAATAGCGCGGATTTGCGACGCGAATTCGTTCTGGCGGACGAAAGTATCAGTATAATGACACAGAGAACACGACGAGGTCATACCATATCCGACGGACGTCGGATCGAACGCCATGCTTTCTCCGTCGTGTCGTCACTGAGGCCAGGGGTCGACGACCTGCCCGTATCCGCAGAAGCATATATGGTTTCGGTGTGCTCCCGAACATGGTATTTCTGGTGCAAGGTTTGTGTCAGCCAGAACGAAGTGAAATGGGGCGAACGGCCAAGAAAACGGAGGGACTCACGCTGCTGCGTTTGGGCACTTCGCGCTTCTTGAGCTCGCGGTTGATGGTCTCGGCCAAAGGCGCGTCATTAGCACGGAGGGGGAGAAATCCAGAAGCCCGTCGTCCTGCGAGGCAGCGCCTCGGTGATGAGTGGATGGGGCCCGCGGCGCAAGGAGGTCGTCGGCGTCGCCGGTGCTCCGGCTGCGCCGCCGCGCAGGGCGAGCGAGCGCAGTGAGGTTGCGTGTGGCAGGTGAGCGATCGAACCCGTCCTCCTCCACCTCGCGCATCTCGCGCCGCTTCGCTCTGATGAGCTCCTCCCGCGCGCGGATGGCGTCCTTGGCCGGTAGTGGGGGCGGAGCGGGTGAGGATGACGAGGAGGGTGCGAAAGCGGGGACCACGATGCCGGACATGGATGCCTCCATGTCGACGTCGAAGCCCATGCCCTCGTCGTGCTCGATGGTAGGGAGCGCGAACGTCGCGGCCTTGACGCCCTCCGTGACGGCTTCGACGCGCAGCATGACGTTCAACTGTGAGGGCCCGTCGGTGTCCGTGTTGGAGAGCATCGACAGGTCGGCTTGCGCGCTTAGCTCTGCGGCGCTCATCCCGTTCGCCCCCGCGTTCTGGGCCATGTCCTCCATGAGTTTGTCGAGGGCGGAGACCTCGCCAAGGCGCATGTTGCTCGGCTTCGCGCGCGACGTGAGCCCGGCACTGACGGACATGCCTTCTTCGCCGAGCCCGAAGCCGTGCTCGAAGTCAAGGTCCAGCCCTTCAAGGGCGCGTTTCGTGTCCATGTCCAGTGTTCTCATAGTCGACGCGCGCTCTGGAAGCGATGGTCGAGGAGGATCGGTCGGCTGGGGCTCCGGGTCGAGTGAGAGCACGCCGTCATAAGTGTTGGCGTGCGTTAGTGGGTTGCTGTACTTCGCGTCGGCGGCATCGGCAGCGTCGTCCGGCTCTGTGTCGTGAGACATATCAACGTCCACATCGTCTTCAGGGGAAACCGAACTGGGTGCGCTTGAGATGGGGCTTGCGGACTGACTCGCGACAAGGACCTCCTCGCTCTTGCGACGGAGCAGGCGCTCTTGGATCACCTCACGTGTGATAGACACGTGCGGGCTTGCGCGTCGGTTGATCAGGCTGCCCAGGCTGGAGGTGCTGGGGGGCTTGAAGAGCTGGCGCTGGAATGGTGAACCCGAGCCTGAGCGAGGTGAGTTCAGTCGCGACGGGTTGATGGCGGGGGTCGAGCGCGCCTCAAACGATCTGTCAATAGAGCGGTCGAAGGAATGATCGGCCGGCGTGCCAGATCGTGATCGTGAGCGGGGTCGAGGTGATGAATTGGCGAGGGGAGCAAACGATGCGCCAGTGAGCACATCGCCGTCAAAGCGAGTGTCGGCGAGAAGGGAAGTCTCGAGGGTCGTGAGCGAGACCTCGGAGTGACCGATTGAAAGGTTCGCGGGGTCGAGGGAATCGGCGGAACGTACGGAGCGGAACGACTCCTCGAACGGTGGTTCTTCGTCCTGGATCGGGGCTTGCGGGCGTTGAGGCAGAGGCGCAGCTGAAGAGTATGCGTCAATAATCAGGGATAGGATAAATGAAACTATATCGCAAATGGATTGTTTCTGTGATTTCCCAGTCTTCGAAGCCCAGAGTCGTGACGACGAACAACGCGAGCAACTATTGCGCCGCTAAGGCATTCACCCGCCTGACCATTCCTCTGCAACTTCGCAGTCGTTCCCCCATCTAAATCACATCACTGCAGCGAGCGGCAACGTACACGCGCACCTAGAGCGCATACGGCATGTCGCTGGACTCGGAAGGGGTATGCAGACATTCGGCAATGAAGGACAAACTCACGCGAAGGACTGCCGGAAGGACTGCTGACTTGAGGTGAAAGCCTGTGACCGATCTTCGCGGGTGACGGAGAGGGTGGCAAGAGTTCGGTGTCCTCCTCATCTTCTTGGTGTGGGGGAGTCTGCGCGCCCGCCGCCTGAAGCATAGAATTCACCATGCCCGTGATGCTGTCCTCGTTGAGCCGGAAGCTCCCGTCGGCGGCCTCCATCGCTTGATCTTGGTCCGGGTCGTGCTCGTAGCTATAACCGTAGCCATAGCCGGAATCGTCCTCGTCGAAGAACAGGTCCTCCACGTCCTCGTTGTCCGAGAACTCCAGAACGTCGCAGTTTTCGTCGAACGTGACGGTCTTGCTCAGCTTCTGCTGTGCGCGCTCCCCGGCGGTGCGTGGCCCGTGCATCTTGCGCGGATTCGAGAGCGCACTGCGGATCGGGGAGGGCACGGGGATGTTGGACAGGGTGGCACGCCTGGGGGTGAGCTTGGGTGGCACGGCAGGAGGATCGTCGGACGAAGACGAGGGGCGGTCGTTGGGCCGACGGAATGTGCTGTTGGTGACAAGCTCCTTCTGGATGAGGCCTTGAAAGGCCTTCGACTGCCTGCGCTTGAACCCAAGCGGTTTGTCCGACTCCGCCTGCGCGTTCATCGAGTTTGGCCGCGGACGCTTCTCGCCGCTGACCTTTCGCGTTGGTGTCGATGATGACGCGGCCGGAGATGCAGCCGGGCCGGACAAGAGGCTCCGGAAGGGTGATTTGGTGACGAGGTTTCCTTCGCGGACATGTTTGAAGCTGTTCGAGGACCTGCGCGCGACGGGTAGCTGGGAGCGCGTCGATGGCTGGCGCGGTGATAGCCCCAGTCGGGGCGACTTGGAGATCCGGAGGGGTGTGGTTGGGCGCGCGCCGTCCGGCTCCGGGGACGTCGATTGGATGCGGTCGCGGAGAGGGCGCGGTGCACTCATTACGGCGGGCGACTAGGAACGGAGCGGAGGCGGCGGGCGACGAGGAACGAGGCGAGCGGAGAGACGCGATGGTCAGTTTAAACGAGGGTGGGAACGGTCCTTTGTTCAACAACAGGACACGTGACCGCGTTCCTCTCGCGCGCTCCGCTCACCCTCTTTAAGTCTTGCTTTCTTGAACATATCCTCCTCTTGCTTCCTGCTTTGTCAGGATGTCCTCTGCTTGTCAAAGGACTCACTTTGCATTGCGTTTCTGATCTCTCCCACTCATGCGGATTCCCACAACCCATTCTGGCGGTCTTAGAAATCGATGTGCGTGTGTCCAAAGTGTGCCAGGGGTTCGTTTCCAACTGCGTAGGGCATGAACATCGCGGGAAGTAGGCACTTACCAGCCACATATCAGTTATCTTCATCTCCTGCGTCCTCCTGTGTCGTACAAACTCCGAGCCCTCGCGGGACACAAGCATTCACAATCCTGTGAGGCCAAAAAAGCCATTCTCCGACTATCTCCCTTTCATCGGCGCACTCCGCGCTCAGTTACTCCCACAAGAGCCACTGCGACTCTGTGCATATGGGCATATATCACTGTCTGTTTTTTGCGACGCTGGTTTGTCTTCTATGACGCACGGATGGAGGGCCGCCAAAGTTAGTTTGACTCGCCCACTTTAGTCAATAGCAATGAGACAATCGTCCACGAGGTTCATGCGCAGAAACTCGGGTCTTGTCCCGTAAGTGATGTCTCCAGCGAACGCACGCATGTCAAGATCGAAGGAAGCACACGAAGGATACCTCCTGGGTTCAGAGGCGATCTACTTATGGGCAGACGCATGACTTAGTTTTGGATATGTGCACTCGGCCGAGGCATTTTGAAGGCCTGATGTTGGAGATATGGATGTGGCGATATGTAACAATACGCAGCGGATCTGACTGCCTGGCCTGTTGTGCTTAGGAACATGACTGGTGTCCACGCGAAGGCGACAAGTCCGGGATGCCAACCCAATTGACGACGCCAGCGCTGTGGGTGTTCGTATTTCCGCTGGAGAATTACACTTCCTCACTTTGAACGCAAGTTGTCACGGCTATCTCGGAGAGCAACTGTAGACGCATGGTGTATACAATGACAAGAAGGATATTTCTAAGGTGCCAAACACACCGCAACATTCCAAGTCCGAGGATTTAGGCCTTTAGGAGTGGTGCCGATCTGGCCTTCCCGAGTGTTCTCTTGAGAAGTCGGAGCACAGACTCTCCTGACGTGCGAATGTGCGGATGGACACCGCGGATACGCTATTCACGTATACGCGACAACGTAGCCCCAGCAACAATCTCGGTGACGTTGGCCCTGTTGAACAGCGCAAACCTCGTTGCTCCTGCGGATGAACATGAGAAACGCTGAGAGACTTCCGCACCAGCAACAAATGTTCCTACGAGCCTCGGGCGCAGTTGGCGTACAAATTTAGACCAGCGCACGAGCGAGTCAGATTGCATCTTCGGACGACGACCGGTGCTGCGGTCACGTCGACGTCTACTTGGACCGCTGGATGATAGGCAGCACGTTCACCGCATGCTCCACGCTATGGTGCCGACATACGTCGCAACGGATGGTGAGAACAGACGATAAGCCCACTATGAACGGAACTCAGAATAAGATTAGCTCAAATGAGAACACAAACAGGCATGGTACGCATACAAATAGCTGGTGGAGTGAAGTGATGGAGGCTGCGCTAGTGAGCGCTCCGGCCTAAAAGGAAGTACAGTATGGCCAGATGTGGCGGCGCGGGAGGCGATGGGAAAACGAGGACAGCAGGGGACGAGTGATGCCACGATGGCTCGACGTGCGCGTGAGGGGATGGGCGTCGTCGTTTGAGAACCACGGGCGCGGGTGTGCAACGCCTGCGTGAATTTGTAGCGCCAGGAGCTTGGCAGGGCCGCAGAGCATGCGAGAGAGAGAGAAAGAAGGCTGGAGATGCTGCTATACCTACGACGGGAATCGGCCGAGGGGCGGACGAGATAAGATGGGAAGGATAAAGGCGGATCCGAGGTGCTCGTGGCCCGGAACAAGACGCCGCAGGGTCGAAAGAGGCGGACGACGGATGACGGGCGGTAAGTATACCTCGGGCCAAGGGAGGGCCAAGACGGCGAGCACTCGTGACGTCGTCCCACCACAGAGGCACAAAAGCATCGTGGCGCTGAGCGTACATAATTATCAGCGACCGAAGTCGTCGAGGAAAGCGGCGCGGGTTTCGTGGGAGCGGTTGCAGCGAAGGACGGCAGTTGCGCGGCGCGGAGACGGACAATCGATGGGCAGCGAGCACGAACAGCTGACGGTGGCGGAGAAGAGATAGGCAGAGGCATGTCGAGCACAAGACAGGGAACAGGAGATGGGCGGTCTGCGTCGAGGGCGGTCTGGACGGCTGGCCAAGGCAAAGGGCGTATGTCGGGGGTCTGCGCGGGGGATGGTTGCCCGGCAGGCTGGACGGCGGCGTGATGAGCTGCTTGAGCTGTGCACGGCCATCACGATCTGCGGCACATCATACGATTCCGACGCTTCGCCGGGGGAGGGCGCCAGGTGCTCGTCGAGCTTGCTGGGCTCGCAGCGCGGGATACGAGAGCGAGGACGGCCATCGGGACGAGGACGGCGGATGGTGGCGGCATTGGGCGGACGGAGGAAGCGTCGGTGCCGGGGGACGGGGACGGAGGGCGTCGGGATGGCGACCGGGAGTGATCGGGCGGCGAGGGACGGCCTGGTCGTGTCTGGCTGTGGCCGTAACTGGGCGGCAGCGGCGCGCCCTTTATGGCGGGCGATCGGGGCACGGACGGTGACCTGCTTTCCACTCCGTGTCGCCTTTTCTTCTTCGCGCTTGTTCGCTCTCTTGGTTGACCCCGCGTCCCCATTCCCTTCATTTGCTCCCGCGTCCGGCACGCCTCACGACCCCGACGTTAGACTCCCTCTCGTCTTTGCCCTCTTCATCTTCTAATCCCTCCCCCGCGCCTCCGCCTTCCTCCGCCCACTCCCCTCTCCATCGATGTCTCTCAAAGCCGAGCTCGAGGCCTGGGCCTCCGCGCTCCAGGCTTACGACGCAGAGGACTTCGAGAAGAGCTTGGAGCTCTTCTCCACCATCGCCGACTCCTCCAAGATCCTCACCAACATCGGCCTCATCTATGCCACCCTCGGCGAGCACGAGGCTGCCGTCGAGCAGTTTGTCGCAGCCACCGAGCTCGATCAATATCTCGCTGTTGCGTGAGTGTTTTCACCCTCTGCCCTGCCATGCACCCTTGGCTTGGCTTGTCTGTCCTACAACACTCTTCTCGCTCGGCCCTGCCATCTGCCTCCCCGCCCATGACAAGACCCCCCCTTTCCTCGTCCTCGCTGCCCACAATGCCCGAGCATCGCGCAGGCAGGTCGCCCGGCCGTTTGTCGCTCAGCATGCTGGCCTGACGACCGGGTGCCCTGACTGCCCCCGGCAGGCTCCAACAGAGCGGAACCGACCACTCCCCCTGTCGCCGTCCATGCCGCTCCGGTCCTTTCGCTCCCCGGTCGCCGCCTTAGTCGTGTTGTCATTCCGTTCATCATAAATCGTGATTGAGCGCTCGTCGCGGTTCGGATGGGAATATGCCCAGGACAACCGTCTGCTTGAACGTCCTTTCTGTTGATTCTACGCGATTACTGGTTAACGAACGACGCGTTCGATATTGTTTGGCATCTCTCTTTCCGTTTCCGCACTTACCATCGTCCTCTTTGCTCACCTCTTTGCTTTCAGCTACTTCCAGTGCGGCGTCTCCAACTTCCTCCTCCAACGTTACGACACCGCCTTCAACGATTTCTCGTCTGCTCTCCTGTACCTGCGCGGCAACCAATTCATCAACTACGAGCAACTCGGCCTCAAGTTCAAGCTCTATTCTGCCGAGGTTCTCTTCAACCGTGGTCTCACCCACATTTACATCGGCAACCCCCAGGATGGTCTCGCCGACATGGAGGACGCACGCCGTGAAAAGGCGACAGAGGAGCACAACGTGATCGACGATGCCATCCAGGACCGTGGCGATGGTTACACCGTCTTCTCCATTGTGCGCATTTCTTTCGTTGCTTGCATTCAATGCACTGAAAACCCTGCAGCCTGTCGGTGTCCTCTATCGTCCCGCGCAGAAGAAGATCGATAACTCCAAGGCCCGTGACTTCCTCGGGAAAGCTAAGCTTGTCGCCGCGGAGTCCACCAACGACCTCTTCACGGAGTTCACCGGTGTTGCCCGTCTCAAGCAGGGCATCACTCCCACTGGTGTCTTCGTCGAGGACGGCCCCGCGTCTGGGCTCAGCCGTGCCGCCACTGTCGCCGCGCCCTCCGTCAGCGTACCCAAGCCTGTGAACGGCGACGACCCAACGAGGCCGCCCCCCACTGCTCTTCAGCGCGCGAAGACGACGATCGCGGTCCCTACCGATGCTCGCGAGCGTATCCGCGGCGCCGCTAACGCCCCTTCACCCGCTACCCCGCCCAAGACGTCTCCTACCGGCCCCACTGGTCCCAGCCTCGCCCGCAGTGCCACGTCTGGCGGTATGGGCCGTGGCGGCCCCGCCGGTGGTCTGAACGGACCCACACGCGGGCTCAGCGTCCGCAAGGGCGGCTCGCCCACCGGACCGAACGGACCCGCGCCGCCGATGCAGGGCGGTGGCGGGAACCAGCGGATGACGGAGTTCTACGACGACTACCTCGAAGGCTACGGCGGTGCCGATGACGCGCCCCCAGACGTGCCGCCGCTCCCCCCGACCGAGGGACGTGTCGCGAACTGGGCAAAGGGTGTCGGGCGCGCACCGTCGAAGCTCGGCGGGCCGCCGAGCAGCTACGGAGGCAGCATGGCGTCCGGCGGGAGCATGCGGCGGAAGCTCACACGGCGCGGGACGAGCCGGACGGTGGGCTCGCGCTCGGGCGCGAGCTTCTACGGCGGGTACGAGGAGGAGGAGGAAGGGTACGTCTCGGGCGAGTACGAGGACTTCTTCGAGATGGTCAAGATCCGCGTCAAGCTCTACTACCGCGAAGAGGTGCGCGGGATGGCGCTCCTGCCCGAAACGCCTTTCGAGGACTTCGTGGACATGGTCAGCCGCAAGTTCGGCGTCGTCGTCGGCGCCATCGGCATGAAGTTCAAGGACGAGGACGGCGGCAAGGTCACGCTCCGGGACGACATGGACTACGAGCTCGCGATCGAGACGGCGCGGCACAGCGCGAAGGGCCGGCCTGAGGGCCGCCTAGAGATCTGGTGCATGGATGAGTGAGCTTGTGTCGGGTCGTGGTGGCGATTGTCTCTCTTTTCCGCTCTCTCCCTCTCCCTCCCTACTACATGTCGCCTTCTTGGTGGATCTCCTCTCGGTCTCGCGTATCCTCTCATCCTCTCCTCTCCCGTCCTCGCACTTCGTCGTCGTCATCCGTGCCGAACCGTGATGTGTCCTATAGCACTGTATATCCTCTCCGTCTTGTTTATATCTCCCGCTTGCACCTCGCTTGTGGGCTAGTCCGCTGCCAACTTGCGGCCTCCCGGTGGTCGGTGCTCCTGCTGTATCTAGCTATATATTATTGGTAATGCGAGCCGTCACTGGAGACTCCGTCGTGTGCGTGAAGCGTGTATGTCCGTACAGACATGCCAGTCACTGGGCGGATTGGGCGACTGCTGAATACATTCGTCCGCGGAACCCCAGAACCCGTTTTCACGGTCACGTAATTATATGGCTTCGGATCCTGTAAAGGAACAGCGCTCAAGCTCAAGTAGGACTCCTTGTCTTTCCCTCCGACGAAGCCCACTTCTTAGGCCGTGCTCCCCACGTGTCTTGTACACGATAGCACGAACGATATATCCACTAGTTTCGTCCAATGTTTACCGACAGGCTTGACAGAACGCGCGTCGCGCAGAAACCAACGACGATTATAGGGATCTGAGAAGCTCATGTGAATGTTCTCTGGTGAGCACGCCTTTCCTTGTCCTCTGCGACTCGAATACTCACGCGTTCTGTGAACAGTAAAGTATATCCGGTCTGCTGATCGCGAGCCACGATCGATGACCGGTGCCCTGGTCGCCAGCCCTCGCCTTATCGCCGTCGCGGCCGACCAGGCCTCAGCAGCCACTTGGACCGCCCCACCTGCCCCCTGCCCCCTCAACCACCATGGCCTCTCTCGACATCACCGCCGTGCGCGCCGCGTTCCCCGCGCTCGCCTCGGGCGTCCTCTTCGGCGACAACGCCGGGGGCTCGCAGTGCCTCGCCGACGTCGCCGCGCGCGTGTCCGACTACCTCCTCCGCGCGAACGTGCAGCTCGGCGCGGACTACTCCGTCTCCGTGGCGAGCACGACGCGCGTCGCGGACGGCGCGGACGCGGCGCGGGAAATGTTCAACGCGGCGAGCGCGGACGAGGTCGCGTACGGGAGCAGCTCGACGATGCTCGTGGAGAACCTCGCGCGCGCGATGGACGCGGACGTGCGCGAGGGGGAGGAGATCGTCGTCACGGGCGAGCACGAGTGTGAGTGTGTGGTCTCGCTGGGGGAACCTCGTTGGACGGTGGCGTGGATTGCGTCCGTCGATGTGTTCTACGCGTGCCGCGTCTCTCGTCGTCGCGATAGGTCGTGCGGCGCGCGAGCGTGCCCTCGGTGCCGCCTGTATGTTCTTATCCCTTGACTCATCGTGCTAACTGGTATCGCAGCCAACGCCGGTCCGTGGAAGCGTCTTGCGGCGCGGCGCAACGCAACGCTCAAGCTCTGGCCCGCGACCCAACTTCCCGCATACCCAAACAACCCCTACGCCGTCGGCCTGCAGCTCGACGCTCTGCTCCCTCTCATCACCGCCAAGACGCGGATGGTCGCGTTTACTGCGTGCTCGAACATCCTCGGCTCCATCAACCCCGTTAAGGAGATTGTGGCCGCACTGCGCACTCGCGCGAAGGAGCTGGGGGCGCGGAAGCTTGAAGTTTGCGTAGACTGCGTTGCGTACGCGCCACACCGGGGCATAGACGTGCAGGACTGGGACGTGGATTACTGCTACTTCTCGTTCTACAAGGTGCGTCTCTTGCCCGCGATGCGTTGGTCACTATAACAACGCAGCCTGTCAGGCGACTCCTCACCACCTATCTCACCCTACAGGTCTACGGCCCACACACCTCCGTGCTCTACGCACGCAAGCCCTCGCTCACCGACTCGCTCACCTCCCTCGGCCACCACTTCCTCCGCATCGACTCCAAGCCGTACAAGCTGCAGCCGGGCGGCCCCGGCTACGAGCTCACGTACGCCTGCACCGGCGTGCCCCCGTACATCCGCAGCCTCACCCCCGCGGCACGCTCGCGGCGGGCTGGGCGGCCGTCGCCGCGCACGAGCAGGCGCTCCTCGCGCCGCTGCTCGCGTACCTCCGCGGCAAGGCGGCGCGCGGGGTGCGCATCGTCGGGGACGAGCAGGCGGGCGCGGCGCGCGTGCCCACGGTGAGCTTCGTCGTCGTCGGCGCGCGCGCGGTGCGCAGCCCGGACGTCGTGAAGGCGTTCGACGCGAAGGGCGACGTGAGTGCTAGTGTTTCCGCGAGGCCGACGACGGCTGACGCGGGCAACGTTGTGCAGATCGGGATCCGGTACGGGCACTTTTACGCGTACACGCTCGTCGACGACCTCGCGCCGAAGGTGGACACGGACGACGGCGTGGTGCGCGTCTCGTTCGTGCACTACAACACCGTCGCGGAGGTGCAGCGCGTCATCGACGTCCTCGAAGAGGTCCTAGCTTGATTGGATGTGCGGGTTGCGCCCAGTCTCCTCGGCTCAGCCTCGTTGGAGACCAAAACAAGTCGGGAGACATCAAGCGTTGAGCTGGCCCAAGTGGTTTCTGCCCTAGGTGCTCGGGAAGTTTCTCGTCGTCTTGTACTATACCGCTACCTTTCTACCAGGGCTACACATAGTGACCAGATTGCGTCATCACGTTCGACTTCGCACGGCTCATATTGGCGCAGGGGACAGGAACAGGACCGCCTTCATTCGACCCAGACGTCCCGACTCGGTCGCAATCGACTCCCCCAGGTAGCGGTAGGCGCCACGTCCGTTGCGGCACCGGCACGGCACGTCGGTGCGGTGCAGGAACGTCTTCCGCGCAGCTGTCGTGCCTGTGCTCAGATTGACCCGACGTTGGGAAGCTCGAGGGGCGATGCGGGCAGGCGAACTTCGAGTCCCGGACTGCGCAGACTGGATGGGCATGGGGCTCAAATATTCTCGGGATGCGCCTCGCCGGAGTCCTCGATCGCCTCCAGCGCAAAGCCGCTCTCGAATCCTTTCAAGAGCACTGCCATGCGGAACAAAAGTCCCAGCCGCGGCATTGCGCGGCTGAGGGCACATTCGGACCTCTGGCTCCTCGGTTCCGATGGGTCGTACATACTTGAGGCCCGGTCGGAGCGACGGGCGCGGCCCTTCTCTAGCCCGCCGGATAAGTCGGGCCTTGCTGTCGCCGGAAATCGGAACTTGCCTCGGTACGAGGGACCGCCTCCAAGTTTTGCGTGCCACCGCACATGGTACTCGACACTACCGCCATGTGTCCCTCTGCACAGCGCTCTCCGGGCACAGCGCCGCTGCCAGCGAAGAGATCGGCCTCAGTCCACAATTCATGCGGTGAGGAGTCTGCCGTGTCCTACTATGCGGGCGCTCACGTATGTCGAAACGGTTGAATGCTCGTCGGCGCGCCTTAAATAGGCTCGAAGCGATGAGCAGGCAGTGTCGCGTTCCCCCACATCTCGTACAAGGATTGCGAGTTGAAGTGCGGCGCAGATCGAGGGGTGTAGGTGTACGTGTGTCCACGGTGACTTGGGTATGTGTCTTTCGAATGGCCTCGAGGCTAGTCGATCGAGCGAGGGCGCGCAGCTCCTCGTCCCGGCGCTCGGGGAGACGCTGACGTCACTGGGCGTCACTGGGCGGCCGGTATGTACTAGTCCGAGTGTCTGCGATCTGACATTCGCTATTCACTGTCGAGTCTAGCTGGCCACAGGTTTTTGCGCCCGACGTCTTAGCTGGACAGCCAGCCATATGGTATGACTGCGCACAGAGCAGGGCTTTCGTCCCTTAGCATACGCCCATGTCAATATAATGTCTGCGGTGGCGAGAGTTTCCGTGACGACAAGAAGGTCTGCATCGCCAGTCAATAAGATTTGCAAACCCAGAGCCATGTTCCTAGTGGCAAGGCGGCCAACGCCGTGGGATACTAGCACAGGAGTGTAGTAGAACGCACCTGAGTTTCAGAACCGGGAACACCCGAGGTAGAGTTCAAGTGAATGATATAGCAAAGAGTTATCGATACATGCGAACAAATATACACTTGAAAGTGAGTGAATGGGTAAAGTATACGGGTAGTAACGAGCCGCGGTGGGTATCGAAGTGCCGTGCACCTTAGTCCTTGCTCGAGGGAGCCAGTGGTAGTCAGCGAGTCCGGGCTCTCCTTTCTATGTCACAAATACAAATTGTCCAAAATGAGAACAAAGGAAAGAAAGCCAGAGGATGTAATCACTGCGGTCGCCTCGACGGATACACGCTCGTGACGTACGGGCGGCGCGTGTACACCTGTGGGCGTGGCTGCTCCTTCTTCGGCGCAGGCGCAGGAGACGGGGACCGCGAGTGCGAGCTCGTACTCGACCGGGCTGGGGAAGTAGTACGCGACGCAACTGGAGACGACCGCCCTGCGAAAAACGCGACGGTGTCGTCATCGGCAAGTTGAAGCAGGCTCGCCGTGGGCGAAGATGGCGGGGAGGTGGACGTCGTGCCGGAAGAGACCGATGCCCGATCTGTGTCGAGCGAGGGGGTGGCGTCGGAACGGGAGTAAGCGGGCGGGATTTCGAAGGTGCACGCCGAGGACTTGGGGCTGTCCGCGTGCTTTTCGTCTCCCGAGGGGTCCGTGACAACAATCTGAGGCGCTTTTGGACGCTTCTCAAGATCATGTTCCGACTTGGTACGAGTTGACAAAGACGCGGAAGAGGGGGCGGGAAAAGAGGATGAAGAAGAAGACCCGGAGCGGGCCCAGCTGGTAAGACGCTCCATGAGGCCGTTGCCAGAGACATAGATGGTGAGGACCTCGTGTTCGCGGAAGCGAGGCAGTACGAGCGGATAGGCGGTACGACCGATGGCGACGCGTTGCGGAACGTTGTTGAGCTGACCGATGACGTATATGCCCATTCGTTCAGTGGCATAGCGCCGGAGCTTAGGGAACGTAGTTCGCGCGAGCTCAAGTGCGTCCTTTTTCGATAAAGTGAGATTCCAGAAATGAGAAGAAGGGAAAACAACGAACGTCATAGGTGGCTGCGGGTGCGACATAGGCCATCTCACTCTTGTACTTGATGGTGTAGAGCGTGGGGGGTCCTCCCGGAGTCCTGACTTGCTGAGGTTCGGTGACGGGAGCGTCCATATCGTCGGTGGTGTGGTGGTACAGATGTAGAGTGCGAGGATGAGGAGAGGTGATCCACCCGGCGAGCTATTATACAGCCAGCCATGCTGTGGTGAGAGCTCATACGTGGTCGAACTTGGCTGTGCCTGCAGTGCTCCTTTGGGCACGTGCTTATGAATTTGCAAATGCACCTGCCTGCTCCCTCTCTTGCTTCTTCCCGCATCGGTATAGAACCCCATCCTGTGTCGCTTTCGGTAACATCGCTTCTCGCGCGAAGGGGGTCACAGGACTCGCTGCTCACGGGTAAGCGTCGCATTGTGACTCCGTACGAATTCCGCTCTGTGTGATTTTTTTCCGAATAGGCCTATCGATTTGATAACGGCTGAATTGGCCAGCCACTGCACAGGACCATATACACCTTTCATAGTCGGGACGTCGGGGCTAGGCAGGGGCGACGAAGCCGGAGCGCGGGCGTCGTCGGGCAAGCGCTCAATCCAGTTCGGTTTGCAGCGACTCTCAGAGCTGGACAGTCCACCCAAAATAGGTGGGCTCGTTTGGTGTTGCCATACTCGTTGATTTCATGGCGTCTGGAATAGGTTCATTGTTGTCACGGGGCGCCTTCATTCTCCCTCATTGTCCGCCGACTCGTTCCAGGGTATAGCTTCAATCCACAGCCTTGCCACAACTTTGCGCATGGGACGAGTACGACTACGACGAGCGCACCACAAGCCCATGTGGCAGGTGATACACCTGAAGCACGTGTGTAAGGGAAGCGCCGTGGCTTTGCTACAAATCCCTATAAGTAGCCAACTCGTCTGCTGCGTTGCATTTGGGCGCATCCGCTCATGCACGACCTGGACACGTCCGCATTTTTCTGCGCCGGGTCCACATACCGATCGAGGTCCCTGCCTTAATCAATTCATGTTTGGCAGTTCAGGGCAACGGCGCCATGCTTCGCCCTCCGCCACTCCAAATATTACTGGCGGGGTGGCGACCTCTCTGCACTCTCTACTTCTCGCTCCTCTCTGTTCGCCCTTGGGCTTCCCTTCTCGGCCCTTTGTCACTTTCCCCTTCCCAAACCGTATGCACCTAGCCGTCTTCTCGCGCCGGTTCTGGGCGGTGTTGACGTGCGCCGGGGTCGCGCTGGGCTCATATGGACGTGACGAATTCGCACGAGAAGACCTCTGCGCATACGTCGAAGACAGCATGACCATCCACGGAAGCCGCGTCGGGGAACTGGGTGGGTTCCCATCCTGTTCTCGACCACTAGTCGCGGTCCACTGACGCCGGACACCAGCCCAGTGCGTGTGCCAGTCCGAGGTATCTGCAGCGGTGCGGGAGAACTCCGTTCTGGCAGAGGTTCGTCGTCCCATCGTCCATCGTGCGCACCGTCCACCGCTCACGTCCGCGCGCCAGGCCGCACGCCGCGCAGGGCCTGAGGTCGTCGCGAAGGCGCTCGAGCACATGGTGCGTCCCGTCCCGTGCCTCTCGCCCGTCCCCCACAACTGACAAGGCCGGCAGATCATCCACGCGCCGAGCGCCGAGCTCTGCCAGTACCCTGCGCACGCGACGTCGAAATGCGCGCGCTGGAACCCCTGCGCGTTCACGTGCCCGCCCGGGTTCACCGCCACACCCCCGGGCCCGTTCGCGGCGCACGGCCGCTGCGCGTGCGACGCGCCGGGGAAGCGCGTCTGCGGCGGACGGTGCGTCGCGGCGCGCGCCGGCTGTGCGGGCGACGCGCAGCTCGCGATGTCGGTCCTGCACTCGTCCGAGGATCGCCCGGTGGAGGAGGAGGAGGAAGAGGGGGAGCGGGTGCGCGCGCTCGACCGGCGCGCCGGGGGCGTGCTGTCGGCGGGGCGCCGGAGGATGTTGTGTCCGACTGGGCTCACGCCGTGCGGATCGCGCGGGACAGGAGGGGGCGGCCGAAGGTGGTGCCCGCGGCGTGGGGGGCGTGGGGGGCGTGGGGCGGGGGCGAGCCGGGGTGGGACTGCGTGGACGCGGAGGCGGACGAGAGGAGCTGTGAGTGCTTCGCGTTTTTGTGCGCGTGCGCGACGGGTGTCGGGGCGAGGCTGACGTATTGAGCTGGCAGGTGGCGGGTGCTCGACGCGGTTCGACGCGTACTCGCCGGTCGGGCTGGACTGCACGGAGATCCCGGGCGCGGAGAAAACGCGGTGCGTGCGCGGGAGCTGCTTGGTGTCGACTTGCCGGGAGGGCCATGAGATCTCACTCGACCGGACGCGGTGTAGATGGGTCGACTACTTCTGAGGGTGGCCTGCCTGGCCGCGGGTAGTGTAACACTTGCTTAGAGGTGAAATATAGACGTACGTTTGTAGCTTGCCTGATCGTCTCGAGCTCGGGCTTCGGGTGTGGGCGGGGTCTCGCGGGCGTGCGCTGAGTTGGAAATTGATAACCTGCAGCCTCCGCCGCGTCGTGCGCCTAATGGGCGCACTCTCAATTTCGAACCACGGTGTCCAAGTCCACACAGGACAACATCATGGCCAGTAATACGTATTGCACCGGGTTCGGTGCCTCGTGTGCACATCTATGCTCTCCGCTCCGCATATGAGAGTCAGTTTGCGGTACACCGACAACCCATAGCAGCGTTGCACGCACGATCTGCACGTCGTTGCCTGGGTGCGTGCGGACATTTGCATTCCCTTCTTCCGCGGTTTCCCCAATTATCGCCTTCCATCCCACTTTCCCCGCCCGTCCGGACTGCCAATTTCTCTCTTTGCCGCCCCCGAGGCCTCGACGACCGCATGCGCGCAAGAAGATCATCTGACACCACGCTTCTGAGCGTGCACGCCACTGTGTGCGCCGCCTCGCGGCGGCCACGTTTCCGATGTATCTGGCGTAAGTACCGCAGCACTTCGCCGCTGGCCTAGATCCTGCAGCACACCGCGGCGCGTGGGCTGTGGGTGCAGATGGCTATCGACATCGGATGCCCGATTGCGTTCTCTGGCACTCTGGCAGACTCCCGCGACGGTGATATATTTCGAGCGACCGGTTGTCGGCCAGCTCTTTACCCCCATGCTACCTTCTTTCAAGCCCACCCTCAGCTGGATTAAAGGTGACATGGCCAAAGACCACTCCAGGAACTCTAGCGGGAACCCACGGGCCGCTGTGGGACCGCAGGCTAACAAAGCTAAGGTGAGTGGATCCTCATCTGCGCTCTCGACTTCCGCTGACCGCGAGGCGGATTGTAGCAGGGAAAGAGCGACCCGACGAAATTGGACACGAAGGAGAGCTCGATCCAGCAGACATCCGCCCGGATTCAAGTCACGCCGCCATCCCCTCCACTCAGCCCTGAAGAGAAACGGGCCACGCTTCCCAAAACCCCGTGCGGCGATGGCACGACAACAAACGGCCAGGCCGAGACGAACCAGGCCGAGGTAAACCCCGCGGGTCCTCATGAGCGGAGTACGAGTGGGTCGACGACAATCACGCCGGGGCAGCGCCAGTTACCCAGCGCGGACGCGGCGGCTGTAGCCGTGTCTGAACTTTTGGGAAATATGACGGGGACCTTGGACACGCTGAGGAAGACGTTCGAGGTCCTACAAATACAGACAGAACGCGTGGCGGCACTGGGTCCGATGGTCGGCGCGATGAACGATGTGAGTCGCGGACGGGATTACGTTGGGTATCCCGTGTGGACTGACCGTTTATAGATCCGCCTGGTGAAGTCAGACCTGACGCAGCAGCACATCCACCAAGATCACAGAATGGAGCAGGTGCGCACAGAGGTTCAAGAAAAAGTCAAAGCGCATGTGCGGGAGAGCTTGCGCCCGCGCGTCCCCGAACTCGTTGCAGAGATCGTCAGGAGGGAGGTGGCAGAACGGGTGCGGCGCGAGGTGAGTAGCGGACGATATCCACCGTAAGTCTATGCACTCTAATGACGACTCATGCGCGGATACAGTTGAAGGAGAAGATACCTGAGCGCACGCGAGAGCAGCTACGAGCGTACAAGATGCAGGTGTTGGAAGCCAAGATGCGCCTTCACAATTCGTAGGTTTTCCTTTCCCGCTCGGGGTGACTGTTGCTCACCATGACCAGAGAGGCACGGAGGGCCAACGCTCTCATCCGCAGCTCCGCACTGCACGAACCCCTCAAGCCACTTCTCCGCCCGCTCGGAGTTCCCCAACCCCCGCTGTCGCCGACGGCGACGACAGCATGTGGCTCCACACGCGCCACAGTTGGTGGCGTAGCCCCAACCCCTCCCGCGACCCTCAAGACTAAGGCCGGAAAGCATCTCACAGTCGACACGGCCGCACATGGCACCGGGGAAGACGATGCGGAAATGCCATCGAGTTCACCTCTCTTCCCCCGTGACCTCGCCACGCTCGTCCAGCTCGGGGCGGACGAGGCACGTGCCCTAGTCAGGGATTATGGGCTCGTTGAGGATGTGGACGAAGAAGAGGAGGCAATGAAGGCCAGCGTCGGCAAGGGACTGCGGGGTGGTTCGGGAGCTGGGAAGAAGGGACGCCCCGTCAGCGGACTCACCGGCCTCAGCGATGCATCCGACTGGGCAGGGCGCGAAGGCTCGCGCGAGGACCACCTGAATCGGTTCATGAAGTATATCGGGGTGAGTCTGTGGCTTTATCGAAGGCGGGAATGGCACTGAAGAGGTTTGATTTCGTTGTATTCGGCGCCGTCGACTTCTGTGTCGGCAGGTCGGCTTCCAAGTCCTGCCAGCTGCCGGCCGAGTTGTTACGCTGGGCGGTGGCAGCGGGGCAGCGACGATTGGGTCCCCGCTCATCGAGCGGCCCGAATGGGCATTCGTACGGTGATCATGCGCATGCCGCAGGTGCGCCTCATTCCAAACGATTCTTGATGCGACACACCCACACTCACCCGTACCACCTCCAGCTTGCGCGCCGCTCCATCCGCTCGCCCGACACATTCACAACATCATGTCGTCGACACCTGTCGCCCGTCCGTGTACCGCCACCCCCAGTGTATCAGTACCTACCGTCTGCATCCGGCCTCCGCTGTCTCTCACCGTCACCTCCTGCACTCTCCACATCGCTGTCTCGTCCGCACTCCTGCACTCTCCTAGCTCCTCCCGGTCGAGCCCCTCACACTCAAGACCGAGCACCTTCCCCGGTTTGCGTCACATTGCGGTGAAGAGAATGTGATCTCGGTATCGTCGAGAAATTGGACCACCACCTGTACATTGCATGTGTATGCTATCATTGCTTTTCGCGTTGTGGACATTATGCGTGTACGAATATGTACGGACTAGAGAAATGTATGGACTACACTAGAAATGTATCACTCATGCTTCCACTACTAGGGTGATGTTACATGAGAATACATCAGTATGACACTACTGTGGAGAATTACAACTGCTTGAGAGAAGCATCGGCAGTGCCGCTCTCATGCTTGCGAACAGGCTCATGATAATCATCACGACTGTCGTCCTTGAATGCCTCGACGTCCTCTGAATCCATCATGCCTGCGACTTTGTCCGCCTGCCATTTTTTGAACGCGAATCCCGGACCCGAGTGCGAGTAGTCCTTCTCATTCGCCTGATCCTTGTGGTACTTGACCTGCGGGAAGTCCGACTCCGCGGTGTCCGGGTCAAGGGAGAGGGAGACGATGGCGTTGATCGTGGTTGACTTCAAGTTCCCCGGGAACGTCCACGTCTGCCCCAAGGCCCAGTCAGCTTCCCCCACATTCCACGCCTCATATCAGGCTCCAGCCTCGCGCAAAGAAATGGACAGACTAGCGCACCTGCTCGTTCTTGAACCGAATAAGCTCCCGGTCGTTGCGCACAACCTCATACCCCTCGTTCACGCTGCGCGCGAACAGCTTTGGGAGCGCGAACCACTGCCCGGCCATCTTGTAGCGGTCGTTCGCGTACACGAACTGGTCATCGTATACGCAGTCACGGGTGTAGCGCTCCACGCGCCGCCGTGTCGGCTGGCACGAGTAAAGCGCAAGAATGTCGTCAAGAAGAGCCTGTCGTGCGGGCGAGAGGGGAAGCGACTTCGACCGGTCTGGGTGGTAGTCATTGGAGGTGGCGGTCTGGCGGACCTCGAAGTGCTCGCCAGGAAGGCGGGAGTCCTTGGGTAGTGCGGCGCCGGACATGAGACGAGGAAGTGACACGGTCCGAAAGTGGGGAGTGCGAGCGCGACAGAGCATGCAGCCGTCGAGCAAGCAGAGATGGGGTACTCTTATACCAAGCTCGAGGAGCTGACTCCATGACGCGGAGGGTTGAGGCCTTGAGGTCATAGCCGCGATCCCTGAAGCAAGCTCGAAGAGTTGAGGCGTGAGCGCCGACGTCAAAGATGACACGAATCCCGCCACGACGACAAGCATACAGACAGCATCGACCAACGAGCGAGAGGGGGTAGTGGTCAATTGGTGAGAAGCTTCAAGCTTCAAGTTCAAGCAAACGGGGAGCGGAACGCGACGCGTCAAACACGGATCACGTGTGCGCGTGACAAACAAAGCCACACGCGTCTCGGTTCGCGAACACATTGCTATCCGCTCCCAGTCCTCCTCCTCACCCGGCATGGCGGACTCGTCCGCTAAGGCCAATGGCAAGCGCACACGCTCACAGACGACGCTTGATGCCTTTTACTGCAACCTAGCCGAATCACCACTGAAGCAAGCCCGCTCTCAAGGCCAGAAGAGACGGTCGGAATCCATCGAACCGCCGCCTCCCTCCCAACCGCCGGCCTCGTCTCCGCCTCCTTCTCTACCACCTTCTAGCTCCCAAACTCAACTTGATGCAACCACTCCTCCCTTGAAACGACCGTCTACGCCGGGCAAGGATGCCGCGCTGGCAAAGGAGCGAGATCAGAAGCGACCGCGGCATAACCTCTTCCCCACCAACAAGCTCTCTACCCGCCCCAATGCCCCTACGCCCTCGCCCTCCCCATCGCGCCGCGCACAGTCTGTCCCACCTCCAGTATCGTTCGATGTTACCTCCGACGTCCTTCCCCTTCTCGATCTCAACATGGTTCCCCCATCCCCGCGCCGGTCTCCCCAGAAGCTCCGGATCGCGTCCCTCCCGCCCGACCACACTCCCGACCCCAAGAAAGGAACCCCAGAACTGGTGACAGAGCCTACCTTTGTTTTTGAAGAGATAACCCTGGCACGGAATGAGGTCTCGGAGACGCTCCCCCCGAAGACACCAGAGTCGCCTCTCACACCGTTGCCACATGAGGACGACACCATGCAGGACATCACATCCGACCCGGTCACGAACATGGAGGACGAGCCGACACCGCGCGCGAAGCCTCAGATGTCCGTCAAGCCTGCGAAGTCGATGCTTGGCGTCGCTCCTGCACCTCTCACCCTCCGACCCGCACCGGCGCCGCGCAATGCGGTCCCGGGGCCGAGCAGGGCGAGCAAGCCGCCGTCCAGCATCGGGATAGCGAAGCCGCCTTCGGCGAACACGACCGCAAAGCCACCCTCAACTACTGCGAAAACTGGCAAAGGGGTGAAGGGCCGGATGAGGACGCGCCAGACGTTGAATTCCACGGCGGTCGCGAAGAAGGTGAAGCATCCGGGTGACTCGAAGGCTCCCCTGGGTAAGCGGCCCATTCCAACCAAGAGGGCGATAGGGAAGGCCCCGGAGCCTCCGGTTTCTGATATCTTTGCGGACCTATGTGAGTACTGTTTTCGTAATTAGACTAGCTCCTCAGAGACACTGCCCGCGAGAATGGCCGGAAAGCAATCATGTTATTGGTAGGCAGAATCTCACTTACCCATAGTCACAATCGATCACGAAGCTGAGGCATGCAGTGGTGTTCGCTTGAGCAATGCGGTGCATATATGCACAATCAACTCGTGTACTATGCATTACAATTCACAACGACTGACGAATGGACTACAGTGAAAGTCAGCTCTCCGCGAACCAAGCGTGTCCGGTCCCCGGGCGCCGCATCTTCCAATCCACCCGACTCTCCAGAGGGTACTCGGCTACCGGGTCCTCACATATCTTCAAATTCAAGCTCATCTCAGCCCACATCTATGCTCCCACAAATATCTCGTCCCCGTCCATCCCTCATACCCCAGCCCACCCCAAGAGCCAAGTCGGTCCAGCCCTTGCAACCCAACCAGACTCGAAGGATGCCGGACCTAGAAGGAGACCAAGATCCAACTCGCAGGCTCCGCGGTCGTACGCGCTGCCCACCTCGAGCTCAGTCGCGAAGGTGTCGGCCACTCCCAGCAAGCCACTTATCGCTGCACCGAACAGCTCAAGCAGCACCCTCGAGACCGCTGTGCGAGTCCCGGCGGGGCCGTTCGACTTCACGTACAAGTCTGGGCCGATGATCACGTCAACGCCGAAGCCGGGCCCTAGCAGAAGCCGAACCCCCATGCAGTTCGGACTCAAGCCCGCCACCTTTGACCCTCCCTCTGCGTCCGACACAGATCAGTCGGACAGTGAGCTGGCGACGTCAACCCCGGCCCCTGCTGTTGCGCCGAGGGCGCCGTCGGTGGCTCTCACACCAACACCAGCATCACTACCGGAATCGGCATCGCAGGACGGACTTGCGAAGCACAAGGCGGGCGCGCAAAAGACGTTGGACGGATTCTTCAGGATCGCGACACCGTCAGCGTCAGCGTCCAAGACGCCCGAAAGCTCCGCGGCATCAGCGGGTTCCACAGCAGTTACCTCAGAACCACCTGCTATCGAGGACAAGATGGTGCAGGCGGAAGATCAGGCGGAGACGTCGACCCAGGACAAAGAGGCGGAGATACTTGCCCCACAGCCTGACCTTATATTCAACACGGACGCCTTCACCATCGACAGCGGATTCCAAGCCCCTGCTGACCTCGCACCTGCATCCGCCGAGGATGCTCCTCCACTTGAGTTGGCTATCCCCAGCAGCCCCACCCCTGACATGGAGACAGAACCCCTCTCTCCTCTTACGGACACGGAATCGGACGCGGACGCGGAGCCTCCGACCGCACCTGCCCCGGTGGCCAAGGAGACCAACGATAGCCTGAATAGGTTGAATTCGATCCTCCAACGCGTGAACGACCCCGCACGTCCCCCGCTTACACGACCCAACACCAGCATTGGCTTCAACCGTAGCTTGTCAAGGAATTCCGACAGCGAGGGCTCGTTCACGAGACTACGCGTAGTAGACGATGCGCTCCCGGGTAAAGTCAAGGGCAAGGGCAAGGAGCGGTTGAACATGCGGACTTCGACGACGACGGGCGTGATCCCGACTCCCTTGGCGAGGGGCAAAGGCAAGGAGCCCACAGCGGGACAGAAGAAGCTTACGCAAACGACCCTCATGCTCCCCCCACAAGTCCCGGCTGGTACTCGCCGGGGACTGAGAAGCTCCGCCAAGGTCGTTCCCCCAGCAGCGGCCTCATCGAGTAACGGCGCTATCGTCGCGGATGGTTTGGCGAAGGTGCGCACAGATACTCTTATAACGGGTTACTGGCGCTCACGGCAGTGCGGTGTAGGCTATGATGGCCGCGGCCGGGCCTTCGTCTAGTACAGCTGCGCCCAGGATGGGTTTCGCAAAACCGACGGGCTCAAGCCTTGCCAAAGAAGTCCAGCGTCCTGCGCTCGGATCGAGCTTGGCCCCCGCCAGCGGGCTGCGCTTCGGCGTTGGTGCCATCGGCGGCGGCATGTCTGGTGCAGGTCGTGGCTTGTTATCCCTCAGAGGACGCGGCGGCCGCGTTACCCAGAAGGTCAGCAAGCCCAGCGCTTTGTCAACGGTCATCGGGAGCCCGGTCAAGGGCGGCGGGCGAGCGGGCGCCGCAGGAGACGATGTGCCGATGGAAGACGTGGTGACCGAGGAGTCAGGTGCTGAGCCTCTAGAGGAGCGGAGTACGAAGGACAAGATTGACGAGTGGCTGAGGAACGCGCCCAAAGACCTTCTCAAAGAACTCGACGAAGCCTCCGGCAACGAAGTCTCCGACAACGAAGCCGAGCCAGGGGCTACAGACCCTGCCGCCGATGCGGGTCCGTCAGGGTCGGACGTGGGCGCAAGTGACGTGGAGTTGGCCAAGAAGAGGGCGAAGGCGAACCGACGCGCAAGCATCTCCCACCTGCTTGCGCAGAGCTTGTCTGCGGTTCCGCAAACTTCTGCGTCTGTGCTCGACGTGAAGGGCAAGGGTCGCGCGGTCAGCTCGTCGTGGCTCGTCGGGCAGACGGTGCAGGCCCCAGACGCTGCGGCAGCCTCCGAAGAGGCGCCGGCGCCGGCGCCACCCCAGCCAAGACCGCACTCGCGCGCGACGCGGCTAGCAACGGGGGCGTTGTCGACGCCGCCGAAAGGATACAAGGAGCCGTCGCTCAGGAGCTCGTTGAACGGACCTGACGGCGGGGGTAGCGCCGAGAAGAAAGCACCGCCGGGTGGAGCTTTGGGCGACTTCTTGAAGGACTGCCGGGTATTCGTGGACGTATCGGGCACGGAGGACGCGGGGTCTCTGTTCATCGACATGTTGCGGCATATGGGCGCGAAGGTGAGTTTCCGACTGCTCCATGGACCGGGGCTTTCTTCAGCGTTGATGATGGTGCATGGGCAGATTGCAGCGAAGGTCGGCTCAAGATGTACGCATATCGTGTTCAAGGATGGGAGCCCGACGACGCTTTCGAGGTATCGGTAAGTCGTCGCTCCAATTTCTTTGTATGGATGAATGCTCACGAGACTGCGGTAATAGAATGCTCGACGGTCCTAAGCCATTCGTTGTAGGCGTCAGTTGGGTCGTCAAGTGCGTCGAAGAACACAAGCGGGTGGATGAATCTGCATACCTCGTAGACGTCGATAGGATCAACGTTGCTGGTTTCACTAAGGTCTGTCATTGTTCGCCCCCTCAGAGTTAACCGCAACTAACACAGCGTGGGGTGTGCAGAAACGCAAGTCGATGTTGCCGAAGCAGTACTCTCCAGTGAAACCTTGGACCTCACCAGACAATGCTGACGCGTCTGGTTCCGAGTTGCTACCTAGTCTTGGGAACGCCGCGGAGGGCGCAGCGGATCACTCCGCTGATGTGTCGAGTGAGCTTACCGTCATATGTTTCTCAAATGGTGAAGCTGACATGCTGCCCGTGTTCATAGTGGAAACCGACCCAGATACCAGTATGCGGACTCAGGCTGTGGATGATGAAGACTCGTTGCCTCCGCTAGAGCGGGCTCGCCGGCGGAGGAGTATGCTACCCACTCGCTGATATTTTGTGACATAGCACTAATATGTTTTTATGTACGCTTTGCGACCTTTACGAATCTGATCACGAGTTGGGGAGCATTAGGGGCACAGCATCGACGGGCCGCGAGGCTCTGCTCGTCCAGATGACCGGGCCGTTCAACATGAATGTACCTCTCAGCTGCCCTCTACAGGCCCCGAATCTGACTCTGTCGGAAAGCTATCATTAGCTCGGGATAAGCGGCTGGCTCTGCTCGATTATTTCGTCACCTCCTTGCCTCCTGTCCTCATCTGTGATAGGAGTACGCTGCACGATGGCGGCCGATATCCCATCCTTCACGCTGAACACGGGGTACAAGATGCCATCCGTAGGCATGGGGTACGTGCGATCCGTCTGATCTGCAAATAATCCACTTGCTGAGCTACTGAGTGTAATCTGGCAGGTGCTGGCTCGGTCCGGCTGGACACGAGGAGACCGTCGAGCAAATGTGCAAGACCGCACTGGAGGTACATTCTAATCACCCCTCTTCTCGCGAAATCAGTTTGTTCACCTCGATCCCATAGGTCGGATACAGGCACATCGACACCGTACGTGTCTACCTCATGCGCTCCCGCAACTTGATATTCAACCGGTCCCCACACAGGCTGCCGGGTACTTTAACGAAGCCGCCGTCGGGCGTGCGATCCGTGCCTCCAGCATCCCGCGCGCGGACATCTTCGTCGTCACCAAGCTCCCGAACGGCGACCACGGCCGCGTCGCCGCGTCCTTCGCGGAGTCGCTCGCAAAGCTCGGGCTCGACTACGTCGACCTCTACCTCATGCACTGGCCGCAGGCCGCAGGCCCCGACGGCGCGACAATCCCGCGCGGCACAAGCCCCACGTTCGTCGAGACGTACAAAGAGATGGAGAAGCTGCTCGCCACGGGCCAGGTCAGGAGCATCGGAGTTTCGAACTTCTCTGTCAAGAACCTGGATGAGCTGCTGAGCGCGACGGACGTCGTGCCCGCAGCGAACCAGGTTGAGGTGCACCCGTGTCTACCGAGCGTGGAGCTGATGCAATACTGCGAGAGCAAAGGGATCTTGGTGACTGCTACTCGCCTTTGGGTATGTATTATGAGAAGTTTAGAGTGGATATTGTGGCTAATAAGGTGAATCCCAGGCCGACCGAAGGAATACGATGGGAAGCCGGTGTTTCTCGAGGACCCGGATGTGGTGCGAATCGCAAGCGACCGTGGCACGACCCCAGGGCAGGTTGCTCTCAGCTGGGGTGTCCAGAGGAGGACGGCCGTGATTCCCAAGAGCGAGAATGCGGGACGTATCAAACAGAACATCTCGGTTCGTCGTTATCCCCGTGTCTCGCTTAAACGGGATGGTGATTCTTTGCGCAGCTCGTGACGCTTAGCGCGGACGACATGTCAACAATGGATGCAATCCATAAGAAACCAGGCTTGCATCGATCTCTGCTTCGCTATCACCTGAACGCAAGGATGGCACCGTGTTTGGGTGGACGTACGAGGACATGGGATGGAACATGACCAAGGGCGGAATTGTGGCGCAGTAGTTGGCAAGACTCATGTGCGTGTAATGAGTCAACAACTCAAAGTCGGTGCTGTGTTGGGAAAAAATTAAGCCGCTACCAGGGTTCGAACCTGGGTCTTGGGAATGAGGGAGTCGGGGCGCCTCGCAGAACCGAGGCTCCTCGACTCTATCAAAATCCCAAGTGATAAACCATACACTATAGCGGCGTTGCGTGGGCCCTTGTTACTGTGCTACAGATACGTTCTGTAGGGTCCATCCTCATGCGCTTCGAATGGCTCCAGGGATGCTCTCGGCCAATAAAACTTCTAATTGAAAGAACATAAGTGTAGCTACGAGCTAGAGTAGGTGGTGGATCCTCGAATACCCCTGCTCACCACGAATGAAACTATCACCTTGCGGGCGGAAGCGAATACTTGGCAACGCCATCTACCGCATCAGTCACTATCTTAACATACCGCTTGATAGCAGCAACCAAGGGGGCGACTGGCGGTGGCGGAAGTAGCTCCTCAAAGGGCGTACCCACCGGAAACCTACGATTCTAGGTCAACCAGCGGGCACGCGTGCTGCGAGGGAGAAGAAATACATACCCGTTATTTACGCAGTACACGTCTGCGTCTTCGAGGTGCTTAGTCGCCTGGAGGAGGAACCGAGTGGCCATTTCCCCCACCTCGTTGTTCTCCGCAGCCTCGGTCTCCGTCATCTCGTAATGCCACGGGTGTGCGCGTAAGGATGCGCGGCAGTGGTCGGCGTAGGAGGGATCGCGCTCCATGAGGAAGTGAGGGAAGTATCGGACAAGGACGTCGGCGAGAAGAAACTCGTCGGCTTCGGGGTCGGAGCTGCGCCAGATGTGATGGACGTGCTAAGATGTAGGGACGAATGAGGAGTGAGTCGATAACGGGAATGCGCGAAGGGACGGGACGTACCAAGAGGCAAGCGCCATTGACGACCTCGCGGTATACCCTACGTTGAGCAGGCGGACGCGAAGGACGGACCAGATTCCCTAAAGCATCCCGTGTTTCCGAAGAGAGCGTGCTATCGGTGCAAAGCGCATGTTGGATGGTGGCTATGGCGATGCCGCGCAGGACTTCGAGGTGCGCGAGGAGGCGCAGGAGGTTGGGTATGTCGCTGAGCAGAAGAGAAGGCAGGAGGATACTACGGATGGCATGAGCGAGAAACGGAAGAGACGGACAGGTATCCTGAGGAGCATGGGGGAGAACGTTCTTCACTATGGCGTCTTGTGTTGGGAGGTGAGAGGAAGATGGGCGAACAGTGCGAATGGACACTGACCATACACGCGGCGAGTGATACCATTAAAATCTTCGTATTCATCGTCTTTGACTAATTGAAGTCGTGAACCGAGCCGGGCAACATAGTCTTCCCCCAACGATCCAGGCGAAATCATCGAGGCAGCCATCAAAGAGCAAGGATTCAGCGCGCGACTCGGATCGACACAACTTGAACTTCAGCTGTCACGGTATGCGACGCGGTCACGTGGCTCCCGTGCTGTCACAAAACTCTCTACAACAGATGTCACAGGTACATAGGAAATCGTAAGTTCGTTCATGAGATTAGCAGCGAAGCGGCGGGGCACCGTACAGTACAAGTCCATATAATGATAACTAGCGGGGCGTCCGGGTCGTCTACCGCATCCACATCTACGTCCACATCAGCGGGCACAGAAACAGTCCTCGTCCTCGCTCAATAGCCCGACGGGCGCGCACCTGTCTTCGTGGTGTCGTATGCTCGTATGAGCCGCGCCTGGTCCTGACGCGACGCGTTTTCCGTCTGGCTGAACGCGAACCCACGATTCCGCCGCATGCGCTGCACCGCGCGCACCTTCTTGATCGCCTTCTGGAACCTGCGAGATCGATGAGAAAAAGGCGCGTAACTGGCATGCGGGAAGATACGCACTGTTCTTGCCTAGGACGATAATCCGGAATGTTGTACTTCTGGATCTCTTGCGCGATGTGGTACGTCTCGGGCAGGTACGTCCGCTTGTAACTACGGTCACTGTGTAAGTATACTGCGTAACGGGGATCGCGAAGAGCACTTACTATTTCCACACAAAGTCTCGGGTGAGACAGAGGATCGGCACGAGCAAGAGGACGAAGTAGAACACAAAATCTGACCACAAACGTGGGACGATGTTGGCGTACTCTGTCGAGAAACCAATCGCGGGCGCAACCAAGGCGTAGAGCGGGAGGAAAGCCATCGTGAAAATGAAGGAACCAGGAATTGCGGCGACAGTGTACTTGGTCCACAAGCTAATGAGATGAGACATTAGAATGACCAAAGCCAAGCTCAAACGGGAATGACGCACTCAGATATCAATGCAGCTTTGCCGAGGACCGTCAGGAGGACGGCAAGGTACAACATCGTTCCCCAGAACCAATGACCTGAGTCGTATCCGGTAGCTTGCTTGAGGTCGCCCCAGAAGAGGATGATGGAGAAGCCAAATGTGATCTGCAGGAGTGCATCAGCTAACGCGGTTATCTTAGATGTAAGATCGTAACATACAACACTGTGGAACAACGCATTGCCAACCCAGAGCCAGAACTGCGTACGCGTGAAGAACGCATTGCGCTGACCGAGCATGTACAGTTGGGGGTACCGATCGAGGATACGGGCCGAGACGAACTGGTCGAAGACACCGATGACGAGTGGCGGGAGTACGGTGAAGACGACGTTGTACAACGAAAGTGTCCACGACTCGTAGGCAATTTGGCCGGAGAAGTTGTTGAAGAATGAGAACTGCATAGACTTGTCAGACGGAGCCCGAGTATACTGAAATTATGGCATACCCAAAACTGCGTCATGTATAACACAATGTTCTTGTAGAAGGAGTCTAAATATGGCGGGTTGGACACATCCTAATGGAGATGCATTCATCGACTCACATAGCAAAAGCTTGGACAGACGGGTGTAGCTCCACGATCCATGGACGAGCAAGAGCTTCTTGAGGAAGCGGAACTGCGAGATGGCCACATCCGCAGCACGAGCAGCTTGCAGACCCTGTTGCCAGCATAAGCAAGCATCCCATGAACAACAGATGGAATCTACGTACTTCAACGCCAGATATACCGACGCCAACGTGCGCTGCTTGGATCATACTGACGTCGTTAGCACCATCGCCGATCGCCAACAGGATAGCTTTCTGGTTCTTCTTGACGAGCTTCACGACAAGTGCCTTCTGGAGCGGAGAGACACGACCTACAAACGGAGGTTAGGTCGATAGAGATACACTATTGAGGCGACTCACAGCAGATAACAGCTTTGCAAAGAATGGCGAGCTCGAGGAAAATCTTCGAAATATCTTTCTCAAGCGCGAAAGCGAGACTCTTGCCATCTGCAGCGCGCCGAGTCAGTCAACATTGTGCTTGTAAGCCGTGACACGCACCGATGATGAGCGCTAGATCTTCCTGGTCACCCTCGGAGTTGCGTTGGCTCTTGATCGCGTTCAAACGCTTGCTGAGGAACGCTTCTGTCTCATGGGCGGTTTCTTCGTTGACGATAACCTAGCACGCATGTAAAAACGGAACAGGTCGAAACGACGATACGTCCTACTCACCATGTTCATGGACTCAGAGATCAACCTGCATGACATGCCAATGTTGATTGCAGTTTCTTGCCTGTCGCCCGTGAGGACCCATACCTAACCAGCTATATAAGCTATCCACTCAAGGACGCGCCCCCAAGTTTACACACCTTGATACCGGCCATCTGAAGCGTGTGGATAGTGTCTGGGACACCGTCCTGCAGTTTGTCCTCAATCGCGGTCGCACCGAGTAGGAACATGTCACGCTCAATGAGTTCTGCGGCCTTATCGAGCGCATCACCACGGCCATTGATTGTTGCCGCGGCTTGGTCATAGATCGTCACCCACTGCTTGTATTCGGCCTCAGGGATGTCGCGGTACGCGATGCACAGCGTACGGAAACCGTCAGTGGCGTAATCCTGTGTTCATACGAGTGAGGTGAGCGGGAGAATAAAAGGAGAATTCAAGGCGACAAACCTCAAGATGAATCAGTGTTTTCTCAGTGAACGGTTGCCCCTCAGAGAGACGCTCGAGAATGACGGTATCCGCGCCCTTGCAGAAGAGCTTGATCTTGCCATCCGAACAGCGGACTACAGTGGACATGCGCTTCCGGGTAGAGTTGAACTCGCAGACGTTGAGAATTTCAAACTCCTGCGCCTGCCCGTGGATGTTGACAAAGACTGACTTCGGCTTGCGGGTCTACGTCGCGGAGTAAGTAGCGGAGTACGCCTCCGACAAGTAGGTGTGCAAAGCCAGAACATGAACTCACGTGGAACTGATATCCAAGCAACTCGGCCCCGGAGACAAGCGCGGCCTCGTCAGGGCTCGACGCCTGGTAGCGCATCTTGCCCTCGTGAATCTCAGGGATGACGGTGTGACAGACAGCAAGGAGGGTTAGGAATTCGTTCGCGACCGCAACCTGGGGGTCTACGCTTGTGCCGACGTCCACGAACGGGTTGGCGCCGCCCGAGACCATGGCTCGCAGGTCTGCAAAGGAGCGCCATGCCTCCTTGTCGTCGTCGCCGTCTCCGCGGTGGCTCTCGTCAACGACGTCGGCGTAGGCGACACCTCCAATTGAACAGAAGCGGAATTCCATCTCATTGCAGGTAAGTGTTCCGGTTTTGTCGGAGAAAACATACTCAATCTGGCCGAGCTCCTCGACAAGGGAGGAAGTACGGCATAGCGCCGGGGTGTCCGTCTTAGCGTAGTACATGTCCAGGTCGGAGTTGATCAGCTGGGCCTGCTGGAACTTGACGACTTCCATGGTGACGATGAGCGAAATAGGGATGAGGTTGTTGTAGAGAATGATGAACGTGAGGATGTCTAAGCGCAATGGTTAGAAAGGTAATACATACGGACCACAATGTCCTAACCTTCAATGAAGCCCTTCGCCCGCCCGGAAATTGTCGAAGATTCAAGTAAATACCATTGTTGGCCCGAGAAAAACCACTGCATGGAGGTTAGGGGTGTGGTGCAAGACGCAAAGACATCGCTCACAGTACGGATACTGCTTCCAATGGTGGAACCAAGGGACAGGGCCAGAAGGAATAGGAACAGGAAGATGATGTGCACGTTTACCTGACGTTCGACGGAAGTACGTTTGATGGGAGCAGCACTGCGAGGCGTCAGATAGGGGTGGGTAGGACTGGGTAGGGGGACTCACGTTGCATTCCGCATCAACTTCGTCTCATGTCCCGTGAAGACAACCAATCCGTACGCCCATGGCGTATTCCTGATCTGCGCGCCTCGGAGAAGGAGCTGGTCTGGACCGAGCGGGATTTGTTTTGGGACTCCACCAGCAGTTACGAGGTCGATGGTGCCTTCGTAAGTGTAAAGCGAATTGTTCGGATGTTCAGACCTCAACGTGCCGTGCAGCTGAGTCACGAGGTGCGGCGCAGTGAGGCTGGACGTTTGTGGTGAGGCCTGCTTGATCTTCAGATTCGTTTCGCTGCCATGCGGTAAGGGATGAGTGTTGAACCGGTTTACGAATGAGAACGAGATAACGCACCCATCCAAGTTTGATGTCTCAATATAGCAGAAACCCTCGGGCTCACTGGACGCGATCAAGAGGACGTCTGCGGGGATGAAGTCATCGCTCTCCATACGAATCACATCTCCGACCATAATGTCCTTCCATTTCTTGTCCGCAAACGTTCCATCCGATTGCAGCACTTTCGCGAGGCGCGAGTTTAGTTCCGAGTCTGATTGGTGCCGTTTCTAAAACAAGCGTGCGGGGATGAGGGACATCAGCGTCTTGTGGGACTGAGCCGGAGACCACAGCCATGCACAGCCGAGAATATATCAAGAGCGCCGTCCACATAGTGGTCCCATCGCTGACGGGAACACTGGGAAATGACACCCAGTGGCGTGTAGGAGGACGCGGGGAGATCGCGAGGGTGGGAGGATGATAGAGGGGTGCGTGCGATGGGCAGTGAAAGCACTCACCAGGTCCTCCTGCGTTTCCTTGAATGCCGACGCTAGAAGTACAACGGAGAGCGGAGCAATGGTAGTATAACGGTTGGTGGGAGAAACATCCGGTATTTGTTGAATGAGGGCGGTGAAAAGGAAGAAGAGGTTGGCATATTTCGAGAATTGCTCTGCGTGAACCAAGGTAAGCACAGCGGGCGATGAGAAAAAATAGAGAGGGCGCACCGAAGAGGAATTTGGGGACGAAGGTAGCGACGTTGTATTTGGAGGTGGAAACGTAGTTGTTGCAGAAGTTCGCGTTGGCGTCAGGGTTATTGAGGGCGACGTCGCGGGTACCGGTCAGAACCTGCTCCTTCTTCTGCCATGGCCATTTGAGCGACTTGAGCGACTTTGCGAACGAACGCGACGGTTTACGCGCGTGGGTGCGCGTAGCGGAGGAGGGGCCGGGAAAGGAGGCAGAGCCTTGGAAGGGCTTCGCGCCCGGCTGGTCGTCGTCGAAGGACCACTGGTCGGGTTGGATTGTCTGGGGAATAGAGAGCTGAGAGTGGCCAGCTAGCGGCGCGGCCGAGCGCGCAAGAGGGAGGCCGCTTTCCTTGGAGGCCATCGCGGGCGAGCGACCAAAGGCAGAGTCGGGTTCGTCCTCGTCATCGAAGAAAGGGTCGAGAGCCTGGCCGGTGTTAGGGGAAGAAGCGGGAGGATATCCGGAGTTCGCGGGCTGATACTTCTGGCGCGAGGCGGGGTTTGCCTGTGATACGAGGCGAACAAAGTCGTCGCTCATCGTATCCAGCGATGAGCTTGAGGAAGGCGGCAACGAGGTCGACGGCGGGAACGGTGAGAGACTAGGCGCCTGCAACGGCCACTACCCATCGCCTTCCCGGCACGTGCCGGCAGGTTCACTGCCCACATCATCTACGGTACAAGGTCTTAGAAAATCTGAGATTGTTGAAAGGGGCCGTATTCCATGCTCGTGACCTCATTGTACAGTAGAGAACAGGATGGAAACGCAATCATGACATGACCGAGACAGAAGAACGGAAGCAACTAGGCTCAGCGCTAGCGCCCATGTCCTCACTGTACGCTCACGGCTCGACCGATCGAGTGAACGCTCTTGCTCCGCATATTCTCATCGGGAACAGGCCCATAAACGAATGTGTGAATGCATGCACCTTCTTCAAGGACTTAAGAGTGCGATCCTAGCCTATCACACGAACAAACAAAGCTGGGGCACCTAGGATGATGAAGGAGTGCTGACTGAGCGCCGCAAGCAGAGCCGGGGTACGAAGGCCTTAGCCTGCCTGTCTGAGATCGACCCCACACTCCCTCTGGCCTCCTCTAGGATTATGGTATCTGGAGGCATCTTCGGCATGTACGCGCGTTCGCTCCCTGCAGCCCTCTCACGCGCGGCCCCGGCTTGGTTACATATAGTCCGCGCGTCGCCCCACCTCGCGCTCCGACAGCGCCGGCTCGGTCGGAAAACAAACTGCCCAACTGTCCTTTCGTCCACCTGGTCAGCATGCCCGTCAGCTGAGACCCCACTCTCCCTCTGGCCTGAACTCTTTCCCTCTAGGATTTTCTGGAGGATACCTTCGACATGTTCGCGCGTTCACTCCCTGCCCTCTCACGCCCGGCCCCTTCGTCTCTCGCGCGCCATATAGTCCGCCCCTGCCGTCGCCAGCAACCGCAACATACGTACTCGACCTCTGAGAGCTATCACGCGCCACCAGAGTCACGTTTTCGCCGCTATGCACGTCGCACTGTCATCTCGTTCCTCGTCGCGGGGGTCGCGTACGAGACTGACCGCGAACTGAATGCGTCCGCCATCATTCGCAACCTCCGAACTGTCTACGCGGTGAGTCCCGTCTTCTTGCTGTTCACGCACACAAATATACCCTTCTGTCCTTTCACGCGAGCGCACACTTCTCAGCTTGCATTCTTCACGTAACCGTTGCTGAACTCATTCGCCCAGTGTGCCATTATCGCGCTCGACTACAAGATCAACTTTACACCGGAGAATGCTGCTGGCATTCCTGCCCTCCAGGAACGAGTCGCGAACCGTGTATACGACCTTCTGGTTGAGAACGGCGGTCTCTACATCAAGATTGGTTCGTTCTTTCCCTTTTTCCGCCACCCCATGCCCATCCATCGCGCACATAGGCCAGGCGTTCGCGAACAACGCTGCGCTCCTCCCGCGCCCGATGCAGGAGAAGTTCGGCACCCTCTTCGACGACGCTCCCCAGGTGCCCTACTCCACCATTGAACGCGTCTTCCGCGCCGAGTTCGGACGCCCACCTGCAGGGCCAGACGGCGTCTTCGAAGTTTTCGAGGAACAGGCCGCTGCAAGCGCGAGTATCGCTCAAGTGCATCGCGCAAAGCTGAAGACCGACGACGGCTCGGAGCAGTGGGTGGCGGTCAAGATCCAGAAACCGGCCGTGACCAAGCAGGTGGAATGGGACTTGAACGCGTTCCACGCGGTCATGTGGGTGTACGAGCACTGGCTATTCCACATCCCCGCATGCTTCGCGTCTGGTGCGTCCCCAAACCGCTCCTTTCTCCGCCTTCTAACATCTCTGCCAGAATTCATCACCGACCACATTCGCCGCGAGCTTGACTTCGTCGCCGAGGCCGAGAACTCGCGCCGCACCGCCGCCTTCGTCGCCCAGGAACCCCACCTCGCCGACCGCGTTTACATCCCCCACGTCTTCACGGAGCTCTCGACGAAGAAAGTCATGGTCATTGAGTGGATCGACGGCGTGCGGCTGAGCGACCGCCGCGGTATCGAACGCCTCATGGGCGATGACGCATCCGTTCGCCTGCGCGCCCCGCTCCCCGCCGACCGCTTCCCGAGGCTCAAGGGTGGCTCAGAGTGGGTGATGCGTACGATGGTCGACCTCTTCTCCGCTCAGATATTCGACTGGGGCTGGGTCCACTGCGACCCGCACCCGGGCAATATCATCATCCGCCCGCACCCGACGCGTGCGCACCAGGCCCAGTTCGTCCTCCTCGACCACGGGCTATATGTCAAGGCGACGGAAGGCTTCCAGGCACAATACGCGCGGCTGTGGAAGGCGCTGCTTACCGCGGACTTCGACGGCATCAAGAACATCGCGTTATCGTGGGGCATTGGTGCCCCGGACCTGTTCGCGAGCGCGACCCTCATGCGCCCGGTGCGGTTCAAGCAGACGGACACGGCCAACTTCCAGGAAGTGAACGAGTATGACCGCGGGGTGATGATGAAGGCGAAGCTGCGCCAGTTCCTGACCGACACTGACAAGATGCCGAAGGAGCTGATTTTCATCGGCCGCAATATGCGGTATGCATCCCCAATCTCTGCGTACGGTTCGGGCTACTGACGTGATCCCCGACTACAGCATAGTCCAGGGGAACAACCAGGTATTTGGCTCGCCTGTGAACCGAATACGGATAACGGGCTACTGGGCGTCGCGGTCGCTCGTGACGTCGCAGGACTTGTCGATCGTAGAGCGTATACGCGAGACATTCGGCCATGTGTTATTCTTGGGGGTCATGCTCTCGATCGACGTTGTATTCTGGAGCATGCGGCTGAAACAATGGTTCGCGCTCCGGTTGGGCCGGAAGGGCAACGGTTTCGAGGACGAGCTCGAGCGCAGCATGCGGACGTTTGTGAAGTCCAACCTAGGTATTGACATGCCTGAGGACGCTTTCGATGGATAGAGAGGGTACGCTACTAGATGCATGTAATCTACTTTATTGCCTCGTAGATAACTAGCCCTGGATCGCCAAAAGGGATACGGAGAGCATCTGCAATGGATGGCATGCTGACAAGCGAAGACCACCGCGGGATACCAAGCTAGCTGCGCTGCGTTTAGATCTGGCTTGGAGGCGCGCGGTCCTGTAGGATCCTGCCGTTCGGGCCGGCAGTGTAATGCTACCTCGGACCTCCACTCCGTCGACGGCGACGACGCCTCGTACACGATGGACAAGTTCACGACTCTCGAGCCTGTCCGGCTCCACAACGCCCCCGTACCCACCCCTCATTCCGCCCGCCCGTCCTCGAACCGCTTCTCATTCCACCGCCCTGCGGCCGCCGCTCCCACACATGTTCGTACGAAGAGCTACGCCCCCTTCCAGCTTATCGGCAGGCTCCCCGTCGACCTCCATATACTCGTCCTCACCTATCTCGCCGTGCCTGATATCTGCGCATATGCTCGCGTGAACCGTGCTCTTGGGAATCTTGCCAAGGACGACCGCGTTTGGGATGCCCGCTGGAAAGCGTTCGCCATCGACAAGCACAAGCTTTCACCCGTCCTCGACTCTCTCGAGCATAGGCTCAAGGTCCAGAATGGTCTCCACCGCAACGACGCGCCCCCTACTCTTGCCGCAGAGAGCCTGGATGACGACTTTGGAGACTTCGCCTCCATCGACGCCCAAGCCGGCGAGATGGGCGACTTCGTCGGTGCGTTTAGCATGCCCACTCCTCGCACTCCCGCCTTTGTCCTCGCCGGCCCTCAGGCGAAGACGAGCCGTGCGCTCTACATGCGCGCCCACTCCCTCTTGCTTCCACTCATACCTGCTCTCTCGGCTCCTCCCCATGCCGTCCTTTCCAAAATCTTCCCTTCCCCGGCCCCGCCGCTACGAGATCAGGCCCACACCCTTCGCCTGCTCTCGATCTTTCTCTCTCATACTGTCAAGCCACTTCGTCATTGGGAGACACTCTCTGTTGCCCTCCGAGCGGGCATTGACCGTTTCGAAGACGGGCTGCTCACCGCGTTCGATGTTGCGGACGGCAAGGACGACGAAACCGCCATGCGAGAGGCTGCGGAGGCTAGCTGGGAAGTCTGGGATGGCACTGGCGGGGAGTGGGAGTTGGGTAAAGTCTGGGCGGAGAAGCGGGAGATCTTCTACGAGCAGAGCAAGTGGAAGCCGCTGGACAACTTCAAGTACGCCTTCTCTCTCCTCCTCGCATCCCACCCTCTCACTGTCGCTCAAGCCAGGATTCGCAGCTTGACTTCGACGCCATGGACGAGTTCATCGCAGATATCCTTGCTGCTCTCGAGGAGCACGGCGCGCGCGCCGTTCGAGTGTTTCCGGCAGAGGCGAACGTGCTCGTCTCGTTCGCGGATCGACTTGCGAACGAAGTGGTGCGTTTACCGCGCTCCCATCCTGTGGATGGCTCAGTTCTCACCTTACCACTAGGTCGGGGACTACATCACTTCATTACTTACTCGCGCCCGCGAGATCTCGAACGCGATATTCCTCCAAGCTACCGCGGCTAGCTTCAAAGAGTCATGGCGAATAGTGGATACGATCATCAAGGTCGGCTCTCAAGGCTCGAACACACCATTTCCGAAGACTCAGGCAGAGGACGTCGTGTAAGTGATTCTCCAGGTCGCTTCGACAGCGCCGCTCATGCATTCACCAAGCTATCGCATGTTTGAGCAGAATATGGACGAGTACCTCGATGAGGAGGTCGAATTTGTCAAGCAAAGTTTTGAGATGACCTGCCGTTCATGGGAGAAACAAGTATGAGGCCCCACTTCGTTTGCGCGCTCACTAATTTCACCGCACGCAGCTTTCGGAACACCGAATCGCCACCGACAGTTCGAATGCCGACCACGCCCGCTTCTTGGGCTCCCACAACCCTGCGCAAGTGAAGCGGACCGTCCTCGCCTCATTTACCGATGTCCTCCTCCTCCCCGTTACCATCGTTCCACGAACGGTCGGGGCTGTGGGCGCAGCAATCACTACCGGCGGGAATGCTGCCGTACAGGGTATCCAGATGCTCAACCCGCAGCGGTGGGTAGGACCAGGGATAAACACCGGCGCATTTCCGTTCGCTCGCCCGTGGAATGCCAACGAGAAAGAGGGCTATGTCCGCAATTTCGACAAGGACAATGGGATGCTTTTCGACATCGGTCCGGACGACGACGACGAGCCGGAGGTGTTGAACGAGAAGCAGTCGACGCCGCGATGTACGCCATCTTTCCGGTGCTCGGTGTTTTCAGCGCTTGCTGACAGTCAGCCGTAGCGTCATTGACGGTTTCCGTCGCCGAGAGCTCGGCCAGCACGGCGCCGACGTCTGTACAGTCAACGAGGGTGTCCACACCAAATCCTGGCGCCACTCTCGACAAGCTGGATCTTCTTCTGTCCCTCGACATTGGGCTTGAGCTCATCCAAGCCGACCGAGAGTCACTCAAGCGCGCAGAGACGTTTGCTGGATACCCGGGGTCGTACGGACATCGCGTACGCGACACGATGGAGGAACTTTTCGTCCTGCTCCTTATCTCGCTCGGTGAACGCCACATCAAGCCAGGCTTCGAGACGTAAACCATATTCGTCGTTTTCTCTCATCACAGGCTGACGGCGGCCCCCAGCGCAACCGAGCGGATGAAGTCGTACAAGCCCAGCGAGCACGACGAGACGAAGAGTGTCGCACCACTGCTCCAGTTCTTTGAGCTCGTGCACGTCGGTGATACGATGCAATCCATGATCCAGTCTACTTCGATAAAGAGCTGGTGAGCACAGTCGCGTGCGAGACACTGCGAGGGCTGACGTTAGCTTCCGCAGGCGCCTCACATCGACCGCACAGACTTCTTGAATACGGTGGTGCGCGAGAAAAAGCGCTTCGAGGATATCCTAGACGACAGCGTCGCCGCGGGTCTCAATGCCGCTACGGACGCTCTCATGAACCAGGTCCGCAGACGCGCTACCACGTTTGAGAGCGGCTCGCTGATCTTTGTTCGCGCAGGTGGAGCACATCATCCAGAAGCTCACAAAACCACGCGAGTACTACCCGTCGGAAGATACCCCGCTGGAGCTCGGTGCCACAGAGGGCTGCCGAGAAGCAATCAAGTGCCTGCAGATGCACTGCCAGCTGCTCAAGGGTAGCACGAGCAAGGAGGTCCTCGAGGTGTTCTACCAGGAGGTCGGGATCCGTCTCATCGCGTCAGTGTCTTTTGGTTCCCTGTTCTCCATCTGTGCTCCTCAGCTTACGCACCGCCCGCAGCATCTTGCAGAAGCACATCAAGCGGCAGATCATCTCGCTGAGCGGTGGTTTCCTGATCATCGCCGACCTCAATGCATACCAACGTTCATCACGTCGCTCCGGGTGGCCAGCATCATCTCCGAATTTTCGTATCTCAAAATGCTGGGTCATGTGTACGTCGTCGAAGACGCCAAGGACCTCGCGCAAATCGTCCGGGATGTGACGCGGTACGGCGGCGCGTACCGCCCCGAGGTGCGTCCCTACTTCGAGTACCACGCGCATGCGCTGACGGACATCCGGTTTCCCAGGACATCTACGAGTTCATCCAACGCCGGTCGGACTGGAAGAAGATCGAGAAGACAGTGGACAAGACGATGTACAACCTCTCGTTCAAGGAGGACTGCGTCATCTCATGATCCACCTACTCCGCTCTCGCTCGCTCTCCCGCCCCCATCAGGCAACAAGTGGTCGATCCACCGGAGATACGTCCAGTGCCGTCAAACCGGGTACTTACGCCCAGTTTTGTTGCTTCGGCTACATCCCTACCATCACCTGAGTCTCGTCGATTGCGCACCCCGCGACGGCGCTGAAACCGGGCCTTCGCGCGATGAACCGTACCATGCAGCGGCAGGCGTCCAGTAAGAGCTTGTCCGGTGGCCCGTGCTCATGTGCACTGTACTGCTACATGTATGCTACGCTCGTGGTGTTGGCTGAGGTACTGGAGCTGCTGGATGGATATTCAATGTAAAGGCTGTACTATTAAACATCGCCTGTGCCTGCCGAACGAACATCGGTATCATGATGATGGGTGAAGTGTTCGGTAGGTGTTGGACGGCGAAAGCGGACGAGGGCAAGACAAGCAAAAAGGGCGGAGACCTGGACGAGATTAAACTCGGCGAACGAAGTAACGGAAGAGCAGAAGAGCAAGCCTAGTCCATACTCGTCCATCTCGAGAGTTCAAGGCAAGAATACGCGCGATGCGCCAAGTTAGTGTAGTAGTACAAATATATCATTGATCGTGGAGCGCAACGGCAAGGTAGCCAGCCTATAGTGCTGTACGAATGCGAGGTGGTGGTCTAAGATGACTAGAGAGTTATGTACAAGATATGTGCGATATCGTGCCGCATGCGACTCAACACATGCGCGGCGTGGATGTGAGTGACGTGATATAAAAACACAATAGACCGTGATAATAGCGACTATACGAGGAGTAGTAACATGAGAACGGCCGATCCCAGATGTAAGATGCAATGCGAGTCCGATGATGAATGCGGTACGAGGCTGCGTATGTGAGTGAGTAGGTCCCGGGCGCGGATGAGCGCGGGGGGACGTCTAGAGCGCGTGGGCTTCATGCTCGGGATGTTCTTCTAGAGGTGTGGGAAGGGACGATGAGATGTTTCGACTGTGTCGTTGCGCCGAGATAGGGGATGATGCGGTGGAGGTGCGGTGGGTGTATGCGGGAGAATGCATCGCATCGGTCGAGACCGATGGCGGCCGCGAGTGCTGGAACGACCATCGTCGGGGGAGGGTCTCGCCGAGCGTTGTGCTTGATGTGGCGCTCTGAGGTGCGTAATGCGAGAAGGACTCCGTGCTTGGTGGTGACGGATTTTCCGGTCGTGCGACGATGTACTGCGAGGGGGTCGTCGTGATCGTCACCGAGTTCTTCTTCTCCGTGACCGGGCTTTCGGCGTCTTTCTCTTCGACCGAAGAGCCAGTGTGGCTGGCGAGGGACCGGTGGGCGGCCGTACGGCCACGGCGTCCACAGGTGCACACGAAGATGATGAGACGCCAGAGGCCAAGGTGGACGAGGAGGTTGAGGAACAGAACGATGACGGCCACCGAGTAGATGACAGCGATAATCGCGCCGATGGCTACACGGGGGATGGCCTTCACGGAGAGCGTCTCGGTGAACGCGAGCATCAACCCGCTGCAGACCAGACGGGAAATGGTCAGATAGCCCGCGAGTACGTCCGAGCCGCGGGTGTGGTGCGGCTTCATGACGATAATGGAAAGGAAGAGGAAGAACTCGGAGATGACGAAAATGACCGCCTGAGCCATCCCATGAGTCGAGCCAAACGCCGTGACAAGGGCCTTGACCAAGACCGTCGTAAGCACTGGGCCCACGTAGTAGACCCTGTTGGAGCGGTATGGGGAAGTAAAGGGAGCGACAAAGAGAGAGGGCGTCTCGTTGGTCCATCTAGCATTTGGCAGAGATGCGCGAATGGCGAAGAAGGTGGCGTAAAGAACGAAGCCTGCCAACGCCAGGAGTGCGATGACGGAGAGTAAGACGGAGAGCCACGAATCCTTGAGGGTCCATTGGTAGAATGCGAAGACCGTGATAGGCAGCAGTGACACCATAGCGATGCGCAAGCACCATGCCTTAGCGAAGGATGGAAACCTGGCATGGAACTCCATGATATCCGGCCTTTTCTCCGCCAGCTTTGATCGTGATAGAGCGAGGGAAATGCCATAGGCAAGTCCGAGGGAAGCGATGACGATGGCGACGAGGATAAGGAAGATGAGGAAAATGGTCATGAACGCATTCGCCGTTGCGATGCCCAATGTGTTGGTGAAGATCGGAATACCCGCTTGAAGCACGTCGGTCGAGTCCTCCGTGACCGTGGCTACTTCGACGCTGCTAAGGACCTGAGAATGGAGGCCTGTGGTGTTGAGCGACATCTGGGCGAGATCGATTTGAGGCAATGACGGAGCCGTTTTGACAAGGCTTTGTCCGCCGAGGACAAAGTTGCTCTGCCCGACGTTGTAAGGGCTCAGCTGGCGGTTGACGAACGAGATGGCACCGTCGCTGCTGACGTTCGAGAGAGAGCCGCCGGTCGAATGACGCATTTGGTTGATGGCCAGCTGGATGGGAGATGAAGAGGACATGGTGAACAGCCCGACAGTCCAGGCGAAGTTGAAAGTGAATGACCGGTAGAGAGTGGGGTAGTTAAGGGAGAGAAGGCCGGAAAGGGCGATGGACTGAAACAAGGACATCACGTCGAGGAAACGGGTAGGAAGGAGAGAGGTGTCGGGATCGACGACGGAATGGTAGATGGCGAGAACGAGGGCAAAGAGCGCGATGGAAGCGGTGGCCCACTCGACCGCAGATTGATGTGTTGACCAGCCGTTGGAAAGCGTTGTCTGGAGACACGCTTTGACTTCACCGGTTTTGACATCGGTAAGATTGAGCTGGGCAAAGGCTTCCAGGTCGGGAATAACATATGCAATGCCCGGGATCTGGGAGCTGACGTCGAGGCTATCGGGGAGGGAGATGGTGTCCGAACCATTGAAAGTGTAGACCGGAAGGGGACAGAGGGCGCCACCGAAAAGCGAGCAGATGTCGATGGTGAGATCAAGGGGCTGCATGCCATAGACGTTGAGGAGGAGGTTGGCATTGACACTTGTGTTGGAGTCCTGGGGCGAGTGAGAACAGAAACGCAAGGAAACCAAAGAAAAAGACGTACGACACTGGCGACGACGATGTTGAAGACGACAGACTCATTGGCCTGGAAGTAGGCGAGGTCAAATCTTTCGACAAGAAGACTCTCTGGAGGAGCACAGTAGGTGACGGAAGAAGTGACTGCATACACGAGGTGAGAGGGCGTTGAGGGCGTCAGAGACAGCACTCACAAAGGGACTGTTCTCGTGCGTCTGCGAGGGGGGCGGTAAGAAGGAAGGAGGCGAGGGCGAGCCGCGACCAGGCGGAAGGAGAGAACATGGGGACAAGAGATGAGGAGGACGCTTCCGGCCGTGGGGGATATAAGCGGGGGCGGACGAGGGAGGCGTTGTTCTTACTTACCGAGTCTATTGTTCCGAGTGGGCATTGTTCTCTGGGCGCGCGGACGGGCGGGGGTAGAAGAGGGCGGGCGGAGTGGGGCAGGCACGAGGACGCGCCACGGGCTGGGGTGCAGCAGACAAGCTTCTCCTCAGCGGCAGGGATGTGGTCGTCGACGGGCACTGGGCAGGTCGCGGTGGGGTGACCGCCTGGTCCGTCAGCGTAGGTATGGGCGTCTATACGGCGCTCGGGGACGGCCCGCGGCCACCGCTCCCGTCGCGCGAGGCGTCGGTGGCCTCGCTTGTGCAAGCCTGCTGCGTCATGTTCGCCGCGACGCGCCGCGAGCGCACCACCCACCTCAAAATAGTTCTTACTCGCACCGCCATTCTGCCTGCTGTCCCGCCAGAAGACTTTCCTCGACGCCTCTGCTCCACCCCGCCCGAGCCAGCCTTCATCCGCACGCGCTATCAGCTGCACCGTGACCCATCTCCGCCTTCACCATGCTCACCTCCGCTGATCCAGATCAGTCAGGACGCACCACATCCGCAATTTGTTTGGCCGGGGACTACATCCGAATCTCCGGGTGGTTTGTTGGGATGTACGGGTATATTATAAATACCACAGGTGTACCGTACGCATTGCAAGGACGAGGGAAAAAACAAAGAGCCTAAAAACGACCGAAATCCAAAGGACGTTCACATGTTCCATTTGAAGGTCATCTTGTTATTGAACGTTTGAACATTGAACACTGAACGAAGCGGTTATTGGCGCCCGTGTTGGGCGCTAATAACGGTGGCTGGCCTTCAGTCGGAGATCAAACATTTGCAAACCTTATTGTCAGAACTGCAATCGCTCGTCCACACACACTCGCCGACCAGGCCTCCGTTCCCTCAAGCCTCAAGACCATCCGCCATGGGTCAGTCTTCTGCCCTGCTTTCGCCTTCGCTTCCCTCGCTAACATTTCTATCTTGCCCCTCCCGTTCTCGTTGCAGGTATCTCGCGCTCTTCGCGACACAAGCGTTCACATACCGGTGCACAGCGCCCCCACTACCGCAAGAAGAGAAAGTTCGAGCTCGGTCGCCAAGCCGCTTCCACCAAGCTCGGCCCCAAGCGTGTCCACAGCGTCCGCGTCCGCGGTGGTTCTCTCAAGTATCGCGCCCTTCGCCTCGACTCGGGTAACTTCGCCTGGGGTAGCGAGCACGTCACTCGCAAGACGAGGATTATCGGTGTCGTGAGTTGATTGCCTTGCGGTCACGCCAGCTCCCTATGTCTCCATCCTCCTGTTTTACCCGCATATTTGGCGCTGTTTGCATATGTCTTGACGTTGCTACTTTGTCTCAGGTCTACAACGCTTCCAACAACGAGCTTGTCCGCACGAACACGCTTGTCAAGAGTGCCATCATCCAGATTGACGCTACTCCCTTCCGTCAGTGGTATGAGGCTCACGTATGTTCCACCTCAAGATCACTTGAGATTATCCAGACCATTGACGATCGGGTTCCACGTATGTAGTATGCCCAGCCTGTGACCAAGAAGGGTGCGAAGAAGGATGCCCCTGCTGAGACTGAGGAGGAGAAAAAGCAGTCCAACCACGTGCAGCGCAAGCTTGAGGAGCGGAAGAAGGGTGCGTTGTCTCGCTGTGACCACCGACATCGGAACATATCATTCTGAACGGTCTTGTGTAGACGCGAAGATCGACACCCTGCTCGAGTCGCAATTCGCCGCGGGTCGGTTGTACGCCGTTATCAGCAGCCGGCCAGGACAGTCGGGCCGTGCGGACGGTTACGTGCTTGAGGGGCGGGAGCTCGAGGTGCGTTACCTGCATGTGCTCGCGGACTCCGCGAGATTGCTCACGCTATCACATGGCCTGTAGTTCTACCTGAGGAAGATCAGGACTGGCAAGCAGAAGCACGCGCATGCGGCGTAATGACGTCGCGTGATGCTTTTTGTGTAGTGCTCTTGCCGTACGCGACCTGGGCGGGGGAGGCCGCCCGGGAGGGGCCCGCGGGGTGTATTCAAAATGGCCCGATGACGACGCACACGCATGTTTTGCACTAGTACTGCTGTCCCCTACTGTATGATGAGTATGACCACCCATGCGCCTCCACGATGTGTGAACCGGGCGAGAGACAAGGCCGGCGGCTCGGGGCGAGAGACGTCCCAAAAGGCGGCGCGGTTCGGGGATAAGGGGTGTTGTTCCCAGCCGGCGGTTGTTCCCAGCAGAGGAGGCGCGGTCGGTGCTGGTGCTGTGGCCGGCCGGACAGACCCTGACACACTCCGTTGGCGCCCGCCCAGGCGGTCCGCAACACGTCGCGTGTGGCTTTTCCTCCTGCCACTGCCTTCCGTCCCCATCCGCCCTCCCGCCGCCCTCCCCTACATCGCGTGGTCGGCGTGTCTCTCAGCCATGCCTCCCCATGCGGCGGGCCCCAGCTCCTCCGTCCTCAAGGGCGCGTGGCGGCCCACCAAGATTATGAACATGCGCGACCTCTCGCATGATGACGACTTCCTCAGCCACCTCCTGGTTGAGAAACTCGGGACCGGTGGTTTTCCTCTCGTCGTCCACAAGATGGACCCATCCAAGAGGCTCCCAAAGACAAACCCGGAGGACCTCATGCAAATCATTCGTCGCGTAGGTCTTTCTTCGCCGCTGAGTTGCGCTCCATGACCACTCAACGCGCCTCTCCCCTCGCGTCCTTCGCCACGCGTAGCTCGTGGCTTTCAAGGGCCCCAGCCAAACCGCCATCCGCCAGGCCGTCGATGATCTTCTAACGTACGTGTTCATCTCCTCAATCCGTCTCTCAGCCACGTCTCAATCTCAACTGTGTCCCCGACTAGGTTGAACGCAGTGCGGTACTATATTCAACCATATACCCAGAAGCAGACTAATGCATTCGCTACGTAAGTATTGTCTGCAACCTCCTTTCATGCGGTCGCGGCTTTCTCACTGTCGCGAGCACACTACCAAAGGCACGCCTCTCGCTACTTTGAGCTCTATCTTCCATCTGGTTCCATCGAGATCGCCCACACCTCCCGCTATTCACATCGAACAGGCAAATCCGAACTATGCATCCTGGCCACTCGCCCTCTGGTCCCGGGCCAAGTCATATCCGAGCTGAAAGGGTCCATGGCAGATTTGACAGATGAAGAAGACAAGGAGCTCAAGGGTACGGACATTGGACGCGCGGAAGGCGTTGGCATCCGTCGCGACTTCAGCGTCATCCACTCTAAGCAACTCAAGAAAAACCATCTTTTCTTGGGCCCTGCCCGGTTCGTGAACGTGAGTGACGCCGTCGTGCTTCGATCACTGTCTTCCTTTTGACCGATTGTCCCGCTGACATATGTGGTCCGGCACAGCACGACTGTGACCACAACGTCGAGCTTTTTCGCGAGGGCCGCTACATCACCTTCCGGGTCATCAAGCCCATCGGAGTTGGAGAGGAGGTCACAGCACATTATGGTGATGGTTATTGTGAGTGGCATCCTTCTGCGGTCTCCCTACCAACGTTCACAACCGCCTCTCAGTCGGCCGCAATAATCGTCACTGCCTTTGCCATACCTGTGAGCTCAACAAGCGCGGTGGATACGCTGCCCACAGCGACGAGCTGTCAGACTCTGGTTCTTCTCCCGGCGACTCCTCATCGGACAACGACGAATCTGACTGGACTACCGATCGCGAGGATGCCCAGCCCGCCGTAGCCGTCAACATCAACGAGCGCCGTACTCGCCGTGGGGTGTATGCTGTCCTGAAGAAAGAATCGGCTGGCTCCGACGCGGAGGTGGACGGTGACGCCGACCGTGATGTTGTTTCAGAGGTCCCTGTCGTCCCACCGAATGGGCTCCTCACCCCCCACACAGAGACACCTCCTGCGGAGAGCAGACCGGTTTCCGCGGCGTCCACCCCGAGGAAGGCCACACCTCCGAAGACCTTCATCATCTCTACCCGTGCCCAGAAGGCGAGGGCCGCGTCCGAGCTCGAGAGCATTTCCGCTGCCGGGAAGGGCAAGACACGTACTACGACGTCGCGCTCCGCGTCGGGGGCACGGCAGCTCGAGACGCCCCCTCTCACGTCCGATAACGGCTCCGTAGCCGAAGGCCCCAGCCGGCGGTCGTCTACACGCCTTCGTGCGCGCGGAGACACAGCAGCGCCATCTGGCTCGCGCGTTCAGACACCAGTGCCGGATCGCAAGGGCAAAACACCGGCGTCAGGCTGCCAGTCCACTGTCGACGTCGCTGACATCAAGGGGAAGGGAAGGGAGGACCCGGACATGGAAGGTCGTTCCCTCCGGAAGCGGCCGACCATCCCGTCTTTGGTCGAGGCGGCTGCCGTGGCGGCGGCGAAGAAGCCCCAGGACGGGCCCCGGGGCGTGGACGGCAAGCTATTGCCGACATGCACGACGTGCAAGAACGTGTTGCCAGTCATCTCGGTCGAGGACAAGGTGGTTTGGAATGGTGCGCCAGAGAAAACGGGCAAGCGCGGACGGCCGAAAAAGCAGGTCAACCAGGAGTGCCCCAGGTGCGTGTCATGTCGTCGCCCGTATTCAGCCTCCTGCCTGGTTGACGCTCTTCGTTCTCCGTAGGTGTATGCGGCACTATGCGATCTACGCCGTCCGTTGGCCTGAGCGGGCTCCTCTGGATGGCACCCCCGCCTTCATTCCTACCCCCGAGAGTTCAGGAGCGCCACTCCCGCTCATCCTCCCCACAAGAGTGCATCGGCCGTCGTGTCCAAGGTGGCCAGCACCAGCGCTGGACCCTCTCGTTCAGCATCTGCTGTAGTCCGGCGACCGCTGAAACGGCAGCAGTCAGAGGAACCTGCGACGCCTGCCCCGCCCAAAAGGCAGAAGGTGGCCCCCGCGCCTCCGCGTCCACGCGGCCGCCCGCCGAAGAATAAGGTCGGGATGTCCAACAAGGCACGCGAGCTGCTGGGTGTCAGCGAACGCCGCAGCGAACGGACTCGCGTGCCCAGCCTCAAGCTCCGGGAGAGCGAACCGCCTTCAAAACCTTCGCCGGCCAAAGCCCCTGCGTCTACCTCCTCTTCCGCATCCGAGCCTGAGCGTGTGGCGCCGTCGTCGTCCTCCCTCACTCCACCCAACAGCGACGTGGGTAACCGCCATCTACGTAGCTCCGGTCTGAACCCGCCGCCGGAGCCTCCCAGCACACCTGTCGTGGTCAAGACCGAAGAGCTCCCGAAACTGCCGACGCCCAAGTCCCTTGCCGTCGCGTCGCAGCCGCGCGAGACCAATGGCCGCTTCGGCAAGAAGGAGTCGACAAACGGTCGCTATATGCGCAAGAACTTCCATTTCACTGCCGGGGGCCGACGTCTCGTGCGCTCGAAGAGGCTCAGGCAGCTTATGCAGCACCACCTACCAAGCGACGATGCGGAAGATGGTGAAGAGCTGCCGTCCATTTCCGCCAAGCGTGTCCTCGACGATGCCGAGGACTTGGACGACGAAGACCGAGGGAAGCGCCGCAAGACCGAGGACGACGATGTCAAGGTCAAGATCGAGGGCGAGGAGGCCAGCTTGTCAGCAGGGCCCAACGACAACGACGAGGATGGCGGCTCGGCGGACGAAGCAGAGTCTAGGCTCTTCCGTCGTCCTACCATGATGCCGTCCAAGAAGAGGTTCGGTCTCAACCTCGGGCCCAACCCGCACACATACGCGCGCCGCAAGTGGGTCCTGTCGGTCTCCTCTGGGGACCAGGAGGACGTCCCGGAAGCGACCACGTCGTCCAGCGTTCAACACTCTACGGACGAAGACCTCGAGGCCCCCGTGACTCCGGGCGACGATGAAGATGCCCTGCAGGAGGACAAGTCGCCCGAGGACAACCCCGATCTTGATGATGACGTGAACGAGTCCGACTCTGAGTCGGAGCAGGTGTACTGCCGCCCCAAGATGTCCTTGAAGTCGGGCTTCGCCGGTGCGCACACCTACAAGCCCAGTCCATTCAACATGGCACGACGACGCTGGGCTCCCCCGGTACCCACTCCTGGCGCCGGATCCAAACTCTCCTCGAAGGTCACTGCAGACGAGCTGGCGGGAGCCGATGCTGACCCCGGCGCATCGTCTGAAGAGGTGAGCGCATGAGCGCTACTTCAAACCCAGCCGCTGGCCCGCTGACGTCGACGCGCTTCGCCACGCAGGAGGGTTTCCGCGGCCCGAGCATCATGTCCATCTACAAGCCCGGCCGACGCTCGTCTTCGTCTTCTTCCGCGCTTGTCGACCTCAGCGACAACTCGGAGAAGATGGTCGAGCGCCTCGTCACTCCCGACTCGCGTCCCAGCTCGCCGGTTCCCTCCCTCCCGCCGCCCCTGCCTCACCTCAGCGGTCGCCGAGCATGGGCTGGAAGCAGACCGTGCTCCTGCCCGTAAACGTCCCGTTCCTGCACGCCGCCGCCGCGGTGACCGTTACCGCCGACATCTCCCCCGCGCCGTCAAAGTTGATACGGAACGGGTGGGAGAACTCCGACGAAACGGATTAGACCGTCTGCCCCCTCTCCCTGTCTCTCCAGTGTAGTGTTATAACACCAGACAATGTGTTGGACACGAACCACCTAGATCGCTTGCGCTCTCTTATTGCTTCCTTATTGTACCGCTACTGCACACTCCTCGCACATCGTGTTCTCCCATCCCGGTTGCTCTCCCATCCGCCTCCCCCCACTGTTAGCATATACCTCTTCTCCGGCTGTGTATACGTGTATCTAATAGCTGCTCGAGTGTGCCTCGGGCCGTCTAATGGCGAAGTTCAGCGTGCGTCGATCTGGCATGGCCGCAGGGATGAAGAAGTCAAAGGTCTTTTGTTGCTGCTCGTATCAGTACATGTACTCTATTCTGGCTGCGCCTACTGTTGCCCGTCCGGTTTTAGTGAGCTGCGCCCCGCCCGCAAGATTTCGTCTGTCGACAACAGGTTCACGGCGATGACCGAGCTGCGTGCGGACCGGTCAGACGCGGTGCAAATGGGGAGGCGATAGAATGCGATGCGCACCATGAGTGGAGCATCTGCCTCTTCACCCTGTAGTTGTCCCACACGCCCTGCACGGTCGGGTCGAACGGCTCGCCAGAGTCGAGGTCCAGGCCGACCGCGTTCCCTTCCGACTGTTCGTCCTGCACGACGCCGCGTGCATCAGCCTCGGCCCGGACCGAACCCGAACGCAAAACAACCACGCACCTGCAGCGCGACGATGGCGTCCTGCACGTCGAACCCGCCGTTCGTCGCGAGCGTCTTGGGGATGACGAGGAGCGCCTCCGCGAACGCGTCGACGCCCATCTTCGCGCGGCCCTTGGCCGTCTTCTTCACCGCGCCCGCCAGGTGCGCGGCGCACGCGACCTCGAACGCGCCCGCGCCGGGGATCAGGCACTCGTCCTCGACCGCGTTCTTGACCGCGCGGAGGCCGTCGCGGAGCGCGTCCTGGGTCTGCTGGATCGTGTGCGCGTTGGGGCCCTTGATGAGGAGGGTGACGGACTTGGGGTCCTGACCTCCTCGACGAACGTGAACTTCTCCTCGCCGAGCGTGTGCTCGTAGACGAGCCCAGCCCAGCCGAGGGCGTCCGGCGTGAGGTCGTCGACCGAGTTCTGCGCGACGCCGCCGCAGACGAGCTGCAGCCTGTGAACATGGAGGGGTGAGCGGATCCGCGCGCGAACGGCCGTACGGTGCTGCGTACCGCTCCATGTTCCGCCGCTTCGCGCGGCGGAGGGCGAAGATGCCGTTCTTGGCGAAGATGTCGAGCGAGAGCGGGTCGATGCCCTTCTGGTTGATGACACGAAGTTCTTCTTGGGCTCGCCGCTGCCACGGCCTGGTCGCAGACGAGGTTCTTGAGCTCGACGATCTTCTTGCACTTCGCGTCCGTGAAGCGCCTCTCGGACTCGACAAGCTTCTCGCGCTGCTCCGCGGACGAGTAGAAGAAGCCGGAGTTGACCTCCCTGCGGGCGCAGCGCAGTCAGCGGCACGGGACGCGGGACACGGGACACGGCGGCGGACAGAACGGAACGAGACGCACGTCTTCTCGTACTCGAGGCTGACGTTCAGCGTGAGGATGAACGCGTTCTCGACGCGCTTGGGCATGTCCGGATGCCGCGCGCCGTGGTCGAGGACGAGCCCGCGGATGAGCTGGGTCTCGGACGAGGTGCGGTGCTGCATCTTCATGATCTCGACCATGTGCAGGTCGATCGGTTCGCGGAACTGGTCAGCGGCATCTGGCGGACGCGGTCAGCACGCGGGCACGGGGCATGCTTTCAGCAGATACGGACCGGTGGATGGTGCGGGCGGGCGGATGGTGAGGACAGCATCGACACATCGGCGGCGAGCTTTTTGGCAAGGGCAGAGTTGACCTTCGTGGCGAGAGAGGTGTAGGCAACGTTGATGAGTGTAGGGCGGTCGAGGGTCACAGGTCGGCGGAAGGTGTCTAGGAACTGGGGGTGTGGATGGTGGATTGGGGGCCGCGCCATGAACGGTAACGAAACGTACCGACAAAGCCTCCTTCTTCGCAATGTCAAAGCCCTCGGCGATGACGGTAGGATGCACACCCTCTGAGATGTAGCGATCTGCCTGCTTGAGGAGTTCGCCGACGAGGAGGACGACGGAGGTGGTGCCATCGCCGACCTGATCGTCTTGTGCGACGGCGGTGCGGGCAATCATGGCAGCGGTCGGATTTTGGATCTGCATCTCGGAGAGGAGGACCTTGCCGTCCTTGGTCATCTTGATCTGACCTGAACCGTCTACGAGCATCTTCAGAGTGCCTCTTGGGCCTAACGGAGAGATGAGTGCGTTGGCGGAGCGGGATCACATGCACGCGCACCGAGGTTTCCCTTCACAACATTTGCGAGGCCCATCGCACCGGTCGTGTTGACCTGCAGAGGAGCGTAAGAGGGGCCAGGAGGGTGGTGAACAGACAAAGAGTCGGACCTGGAGCGCGGCTGCTCGCCGGACACTCTCTGCCTTGGGGTTGATCAGTTCTATGCTTGAGGACATGGTGGAGGGTAGTGGTCCAGAGGCCGTGGCTAGCGATCCGAGTGCACCAAAATCAGCTGGGCGCGCGCCTCGACCATCTCGCACGCGTCGCGTCGCGGCCCGGCCCGCTTCCTCCTCCGAACTCCCACCACAACGTCAGTCCAACCGTTCGCAGTCTCATTCAGGCCGCAAATAATGCACAAATTGTTACAAGCAAAGATCCGCATTTCTCTTTTGCTCCCCTGGCTGCCCACGAGCTCTTTCTACGCTTCACCGAAAGCCCATTTGTGCACGAAAGGTCTGCCCAACATCATCAGCAGGCCTCTTTCCCTAACACAACGCGTGCTGAACTGACCGTACTCCGCATAAGCTCAGAACCAGGGCCCGTCGCTCACTTGTCAATGATCGAAGCGAACGGCCCCGCCAGGATCTGCGCATTCTCGTGGTCGAAGAAGTTGTGCTCGTCCGGCACGACGACCCTCAGATACTCCTCATCCTGGAAGATCTCAAAGATCTTGTCCAGGCTCGTCGCCTCGAAGATCGCAATCCCCCGGAACCGCGTCTGCGACTTTGCCAGCGTCTGCGCCGCGATCGTGCTCTCGTACTTGGGGTCCAGGTGGAACTGCCCGTCCGCCGTCAGCGCTGTGCGGCACCAGGCGAGTGCCCGGCTTCCGTGCCCCGACACTCACCTGCTCGTACTTGAGCAGATTCCGCTTCGCGATCGCGATCGAGGAGAAGATGTTCCCGTGCACGTTCAGCCAGTAGTCGTCGAACTCCTCGAACGACAGCCCCGGCTTCGGCGCCATGAGCACCGCGAGGCGGACCCGGTCGGTCCGCAGCGTCGGGGGAGCGGCGGGAGCGGAGGGAGTCGGTTCGCCGGGCATGGCGCGTGTATGAGTATGAGGAGGAAGGACGGCTTTCGGCTGCGTCTGACCCCTTCCGCAGACCGCGACTTATATACACGACCGCCGACCCAGCTCCCCAGCGGCCAGACTGCTGGCCTGGCCACCCGGACTCACGGAGCAGTCCCTGACCCCTGCGTGGACGCGTCATTGGACTTTTGGCCTATTGCCTCCGAGGATCCCGGGCCCGATGCCTGAGAGTTTCGTCCTCCGCGATACTCCTCGATGGCGAGGGACGGTACCAGCCTTGCCTCGTTTGTGGGCTAGAAGGCCCGCCTGTGGGTGCAGACGCTCTGGTTTCTCAAATACGCCCACAACAGATGCGGAAGCAGCCGGTGCGTGAGAGGCGGGAGAAGTTGAGCGAGTGCGTCCATTCATGAGAGTAGCGAGGAGAATGCGGTCGATAACGCTAGACGTGCACACCCGCGTCGAGCCTTGTCGGAAATGAAGGACCCGATATCGATGATCTGGCTCTTGGTTGAGGCTGCTCGACACGAACAGCATCCCGCCGGAAGAAGCACACGTTCAGACTCGCGGAATGGTCATGAGGGCGAAGCATATTAGCAGTCAATGTATTTATTGCGTCTCGGAAGTAAGTACAGGAAGTTCGTAGCTCCAAATGTCCGTCAGCGTGAGTACAAATAGTAAGCGTACACATCTCCGTCAGTCTCAGCACAAAGCATAGGCAGCGGCAAGCGCCCCCAGCAGCAACGACCGCCCTCCCAACACTCCCTCCACCCTGTGCGCGGCACTGGGGTCCCCGGTCGAGCGCACGGGGCCCGTCGGCGCCGCCGCGCCGCTCACCGTCGCCTGCACGCCCACGGTCGGGACCGGGGTCGGGCCCTGCTTCCCGTTCTGCGCCGTCGCGGCGTCCGAGAGCGCGGCGAAGCCGACCGCCGCGGGGCTGGCGCGGAAGACGGAGTAGACGTTCTTGAGGAACGTGTCGCCGATGATCCACGGCGGCGCGGTCGTGCCGGAGGTGTCGAGCGCGAAGAACGCGCCGACGCAGTTCTCGCCGTCGAGCTGCTCGAAGATGAAGTCGCTGCTCGAGACCGGCCAGGAGACGCTGCTCGCGCCGAACTTCATGCTCACGCTCACGCTCGAGTCGCACGCTGCGCGGAATCGGGCGTCAGATGGACCTGCGGGCGGTTGAGAAGGGGAGGAGAGAGCACGCACGGAACGCGAAGAACCCCTGCTGATCGCCGGTGAGCGCCTGGCTGTTGGGGATCTGGGCGTAGAACTGCGAGACGACGTCCGGCGGGCCGGCGACGAGGGTCGTGCCCGTGTCGATGGCGCCGAAGGAGTCCGACCCGGACGGCAGAGTGACGGCGTTGCCGTTGACGGTCAAACCTGGCGCGAAGATGAGCACACGAGGTCCCGACAGGCAGTTTGGACTCGAGCGCACCTGTGAGCTCCTGGATCCAGTACCCCTCCTGCCCCTGCGGGATGGGCTGGAAGTCGATGTTCCCGGTGAACAGGGAGCTGTTCGTCGACCCCAAGCTGAAGGTGCCTCCGGGCTCATCCGCGTCAGACTGACGGCGGAAGTCGTGGAAGCGGGTGAGCTGGAACGCCATGAGCGGCTCGTCGAGGGTCCCGCTGGTGCTCGCCAACGTCTGCCATAGAGGTGTCGCGCCGGACGACGAGATCGACTGGAAGCCGAGACCCATAAGGCCCGACAACGGGGCGGATATGGTGCCCTGCTCGAGCGCTGTCGCGACGGCTACGGCCCGGCACGAGGACAGTGAGAACGAATACAGGCGCACGGATAGGTGGACGCTTACCAAACGTCTGCGCGGTCACCTCGAAGCCTGCCAGCTGGACAACATCCTGGCCGAGCGTGCCTTGCACGCCTCCTGAGCCGTATGTGATCGAGAAGGGGGTGTTCAGGTTCTTGAAAGTAGAAGAGGCTAGGGAAGCGGTGGAAGGTGAATGGCAAGCGCGCAGCGAGGAGACTGAGGAAACATACCTGACGGTTCAAAGGTGGGGATGCCAGAAGCAGCTCGCGAGGACGCTACGCTTGAGGAGGCGAGCCAGAAATCCCTGCAAACGAGTTGATCGACCTATGGAGGACGGGAGAGGCACGGCGGACTTACGATGAGCCGGTATCGAGGATGACGTTGTACGCGACGGGTGGAGTGCCCACAGCCACCGACCCGAAGTAGTCCGAGTCCGCGCCCTGGTTCGTGAGCCTGGGACAAGGCGGATGTGAGCGAGAGACGAAGTGCAGGGCTGCAGTAGTGGGCGTACAGGTTGAAGCCGTTCGCACGTTTCCGCCCAGCGGGCGTGGCGACGCCGAACTTGGTCTCCAGTGCGGCCTTGTGGGCGGCGAGCCTGTCCATCGCGCTCAGCTGTGGACTGGCTCGCCTGACGAGCGGGAGCGACCGCGGGAGGTCGACATGCGTGGGGATGGCGGCGACTTGCTCATGCGCGGCAGAGAGAAAGGCACCGAGAGCGAGGAAGGAGGAAAGGCGCGGCATGAAGAAAACGTAAAGGTGGAAGAATCCGGGGAAGTGGACAAAGAACCGTCCGCGCGAGGAGATGATATAGAGTAAGAAGGACGGAACGGAAAGAGAGAAAAAGGTGGTCCGAGCCTGCGGAGCGGGGACGAAGGCGGAGGGTGAGCGAGCGCGGCCCCACGACGACGACACACGCCGCGGGTGTGCCGCCTGTGCATCGTGTGAGAACGCAGAGACGCTGTCCCGCGACCACAACAGCCATCCGCCAGGCAGTGTGAGCGCGGATGGGCAACCTGTCCTGGGCGGGTCGCTCATCCGGCCTCCAACGTCGGAAGAGTCCAAAGGAGGAATGCTAGTTTACAACACGCGGCTCATACGACCTCATCCGCACTGCGCAGCCACCCGCCAGCCTCGTCCATAACCCGCTACCCGCGCGCTCGCCCGCCCGCAGCCAACCATCAGGAGTCCGTTCTCCACGCACCGATCACCTCGTCCAGCGAGCGGATCGTCCAGCCCGAGCCCACCGTCGTCGACATCTGCGTCCCCGTCACGTGTACCAGCTCCTTCAGCCCCAGCCCCAGCACGTCCCCGTCCAGCGGCCCCTGCGCCCCCGCCGGCAGCCCCATCGCCTGCCGGTGCGTCTCCCGCGCAAAGTTGCGGAGCGCGACGAGCACGCTCGACGCCGGCACGCTGTTCCGCTGCAGGTACCACGGCAGGTGCTCCAGCGCCGCGTCCGCCTCGGATTCCGCGATCTCCTCGCCCCTCGCGTACCGCCCCAGGAGCGCCTGGAACGGGCCCGTCATTCGGATTGCGTCCAGGCTTGTGTCGAGCGCGTACAGCGTCCCGGACAACGTGTTCTCCCTGATAAGAGGCGGCCGCGCGTTGTTCTCGGCACGGCCGCTGAACCGTCGTTCGTAGATCTTGCTGTAGAAGTCCGCGGCGAAGCGGAGGTCTTGCAGGCGCAGGGTGAAGTACGCCGATTTAGGGGACGTGGTCCGCATGTGATAGAGCGTGAGCAGCGACTGCAGCGTCTGAGGCTTGTCCTGGACGATGCAGTCGAGCAGCGCCGCGTGGCAGTACGACTGGAATTGTCGCTCCTCTGGCGTCTCCACATTGTCTTTGCAGAAGAAGTCGGCAAAGGCCAGGAACAGAGTGTTGTTGGACGAGGACGAGATGAAGTCGTGCAGGTCGCTTGCTGGATGGGCTTTGACGTCCGTCGCCCGAGGGAAGTCCAGCGTAGCAGCGTCTCCGCAGGACGACCCCGACCGGACGAAGAGACTCCTACTTCCCTTTGGATCTTCTTCGTAGCTGAGAAACGCGGTTCGTCGCTTCACGAAGAGCGTCTGGCTGCGCAGAAGCGATTCCCGATGTCGGGGTGCATTCGCTATGTCCATATAGAAAGGCCAGTAGCGCGGTGTGTCGACCCTGATCGACATTATGTTTTCCACCTGTGGGACAAGTGTCGGTGCGATGAGATGAACGTTGCCTAGCTGGAGCAAATCCCTGATCTTGAGCTTGACAGGAACATACACCAGCTCCCGAGAATCTACGTCGCGAGCGATCAGGCAGCGAGGTTCAGTGGCAAGGACCCATAGATGGCGGTAGGCTTGCAGGTAGCTCTTGTTGTCCGAAGAAACGTGCGCAAAGCGAGGATAGAACGCGGCGATCATGCACGCGATCGCCGCGTCCGAGGTCCCGAGGGTATACCGGCCACCGCCGAGGAAGAGCAGGCCGATGGACATGTGTGTTGCGACGTGTGAGCCGTAGCGGACAGGATGGTTGTACATCCCGTACGCGTATCGCAAGCGGCGGAAGGTGTTGACCTCGCCCGTACCAGCCATGATCATCGTCAGGCTGATAGAGATGAGGTTGAGCCCTTCGCGGATCGCAGAACGCTTTATGCGGTGGTCGTACGCCATACCTGAGCCGCTCATCAGTAATGTAAGCCATGAAGGGATCGAACGACGCACTGTTAGTGTATGCCAACTGGCTGAACATGTCGTAGTACTGGATCACGAGCAGATACGCCTCCTCCCGGGCAGTGCCAGCGTACTTCAGAGCGATCGCAAAACACGCTCCCGCAAGGATGTTGTAGTACGCCAGCTCGTACGCGTCGTCAATCTGCTTCCCGTTGAACCTCGCCTCCATCGCGGCCCTCACCGCAGGCGGCAATTGTTCCAGCGTCCACTGCTTCGTCGGCTGTATCCGCGACCACATGATGATCGCCCTACACATCGCGCGCATCATGAGGAAGTTCGGCTGGACGTGGTTGATAGCCTCGAGGGTGTCGGGGATGGTGAGGATGTCCGCGACGTCCTGCCGCTCGGTGCGCAGGTACATCAGGCCCAGCGCGGCAGTCGCCGCGGGAGACGTGAGGTTGACGTCGAACGTCGGCCGCGGGACTTTCCCGCTGTCGACCACGCGTGGCTCGCCGTGCACGAGCACCCGCATGCGCTCGAGGATGGACAAGTCCGCCGGGATGTGCGAGCCCTTTCCCAGGAGGATCATGCCGCCCGCTAGGGCCGCAGACAGCGTATATGCCTCCCTGTAGTCGTTGCTGATGTCTGGCTGGTAGAGGTCCTTGCGGCTGATCTGGTTCAGGCAAATTTCCGCGAAGCGTCGATGCTTGGTACCCATGTATAGCAATCCCATCCCCATGAGGCCAGCAGACTGCGTGATGAGCGGCACGTTCAGGTCGACATCGGGATTAGGAAGCAAGGCAGGGGTGTGAACGGCGATAAGCTTCGTGACATGACGGTTGCTGTTCCCAACGTTCGCCGCAGCCAGACCTAGGAGAACGCCAATGGATGTCAACTCGTGCTTGGGGGTGAGGTAGCCGAATGTGTGCCAAGTCAACATCTCGCGCAAATGCCCAGTGAGTCCGAGCGCGTAGAGGAACCCGGCATGCTCCGGGGTGAGCTCGCTAGGTTTGTTGAACTTGATCCAAGAGCTCTCCAGGGCCTGCGCTTGCGAGGAAACGCGTAGACCTGCCGCGACGCCGTTGTGGAATTCGCCCCAGGTCATACAGTCCGTGGGTACCTTGCCGTTATCTGGTGTAATAAGCATGTTGCCAGGTTGAACGCGCACCGTGAACTCGAACTTGGGGATTGCGAAAGACTCCTTGGTGACGGCAAATGTAGTTCCGAAGGTGAAAATGGCGCGACCTAGGGGAAGAGCGAGCGTGCGCTCTGCCATCCGAATCGCTTGGTGCTGTTGCTCCCGCATTTGCTCGGCTTCACTATTTCGACAGTAAGCACCCAACACCACACCGATTCATGAATGCTCACTTGAGCTCCGGCCTATCAATGGCACGGACAGACGGAACGACCGAAGAGCACAGCATGCGTGCGGCCTCATCCAATCGTCTGTCGGTTCCAAAGCGGATGTGGGAGAAGTCGTGGTCGAGTTCCACGCCAGTGATCTTTGTCGGATCCTTGGACACGATCTTCCGTACTTCTTCCATGAGCTGCCGTGAAGTCTTCCGCGGGCCTGCTGGATGCTGAAGATCGATTAGCCAGGTTATCCAATCATAAAAACAATAGCACATACCAGCACATCCCTCACAGTACGGTACCCATGGTGCGCATAGACGGCCGGACTGGAGCTGAAACCCTCCGCAAGATCGTTTCGACCAACAAGGTTATAGAGCGCGATAGACCAATCTCCGCCTGGAGAAAGCTGCGCGGTCCGCAAAGCTTCTCGTAGCGGCGCCGCTACCCCGGGACTAAGATGGTTGAGGATCGTCAACGAGATGCCAGTATCCTCGATTGCCTTTAATCCTGCTTCCGCACGTCTCCTGACGTCGAGCTTGTTGTCTGAGAGGGCTTTGTAGATGACGGTAAGAGCGTGCAGGTGTCGGAGGACTTCTTGACGACCGAACGCGAACGAGGGGTGTTGATCGCGAGGCGCAAGGACGTTCCAGCTTTCTCGCCACGGAAGACCCCAATCCGGGTTGTTGAGTCGCCCATAGAGGTGGCTGATCATGTCCGACGGGACGATGGGCAGGTGATCGTCAATGAACTTGGGTTCTGTAGCGGATGCCGTCAATATCAGCCAGCCACTACATCCAACATAATCCCTCACCCGTGAGAGACGACGTCGGCCATACTGGCAACGCGGTAGGGCAGTATCTCTTCCAGTAATCAGCCCACTCCGGTCGGACGACCATCGCGAGACGGCATATAAGCGGAGCCAGACGGATGACACCCTCCACTGAGGGGAGGAACACCCGCTTCTCCTCGGCCACCAGGTGCAGGGCATGGAGGACCGACCCGATGAGCGGATGAGGCTGGCGATCCGGCTTCTTCCATGTACCATGGTGCGGGACTCCCGGAAGCTGCAGTTTGCGAAGAATAGGGTCGTGTCGAAACTTGTCGAACGACTCCGTCCCAGCCATCTTCGTCCATAAGTCGTCCTGAGCTGGCGCAGCTGAGGGCTCTTTGTCCTCCAGTCCTAACACCTGCAACAGACTCGCCTGGAAAGCCTGGAACTCGGCGTCGATGATGAACGAGTATTTTGTCTGCGCCCACCTGTGTAAGAACGTCTTGTGCAGCGTGAAGAACATGTCCGCGGGCAGGGCGAACGAGACCGCGAGCAGGCTGTCGGAGACCAGGTGGTCACGCGCGATGAGATCAAGGGAAAGGCGATGAGCAGTGCCGTTCGAGTACTTGAGAGTGACCGACGAATATATCGGGTGTTCTAAGTCTACGAGGCTTGCACGTGAAGACGTGTTGAGTGTGTTCAGGGACAAAGGAAGCGCGTGGAGGCCGTGAGTGAGGAGCGAGAGCGTTCCATCGGGTTTCAAAACCAACAGGTCCGCGATAGTGTCCCTGGTCGCCCGTATTGACGAAATGCTGAGAGCGGGGAAACGAGCAACAGGTTGAATGCTCATCGTGCCGTCTGCGTTCCGTTCTACGGCGAAGATTTGCAATGTCTGTGTCGCCCTCAAAATGAGCCCGAGTAACGACCGTACTTTCTCAGCGTCGAAACGTTCGTCAAACGCGGCCAAGGCAATGTGCTCATGGTCTGCCGTTCTGCACCAAGCGGCGTCAGTGTGAGGACCAGAGGCGCATATAACCATCACTTACGCAGCTTCAGGTATCGTCTCTTCGTAGAGTTTCTCAAGCCAAAATTGAGCCCTCATCCGTTGCTCTTCAGCAGGATCGGGCACCTCGTCAAGGTTCACGGGTTCTGGAGGGTCCGACCGGTTTGCTTCAAGTTTGCCTGAAGGGCCAACCTTGAAGGGCACCTTCCAGTTGCTGCCTGCACCAGACACTGTGCCATTCATTAGGTCTTCCATTGTCGTGGTATTGTTGAGTGCAGGCGGAAGACCTGGGGTCGTGGAAGAACGTTTGTGGTCCGAGCGTCCAGGAGAGGCGAGGATATCGTTGTCGGCCGCAGCATTTGTCTGGCGAAGCTGCGCAGATGTGTTGCCGGACATGGAAGAACGCTTCGCATGCTGAGGGTGGGGTGTAGGACGAGCTGTAGACTGCGCAGAGCTGGGGGGCGGAGGAGCGTAGGCATAACGCCAGATGGTGATACGGTTCAGGTCCGCATTCAAGGTCGCGATGAGCTTGTCGGTCAGGCCCCACGCATGCTGTGACACCCAGACGATGCGCTCCGAGGGCGAAACGACGTCGTGGTCTGCAGCGTAATCCGGTTCGATCTTGAGAGGCAGCGAGGCGAACCCACCGCTTATTCGATCGACCAAGCCAATCGCAGCAGGTTCGGAGAAAGGGCTCGTGAGGGAGAAGACCGTGGTGATACCTCCGTCCTCTGAGTCCCCATCTCCGGTCTCTGCAAGCTCCCAACCTTCGACGACGCGCTGGATGAGGAGGCCGTGGGGCTCTGCCGGCCATGCGCGCTGGACGACGAAGGGGAGGTTAAGGGTGTACTCTGATCCATTGTCCATGAAGATGCGCGCGGTGCCGCGCAGGAAGATAAACACGCCCTTGAGACGTTCCTCCCTGCCCTGCCCATCGCCGCGTTTCTTGTTCGTCTGCGCGCGCGCGAATGCGCCAAATGCGGGGCGTTCCAGCGGGTCGACGTCGAGCGGTAGCTTCTCGGTCGGGTCCTCGCGGTAGTAGGCAGGGGTGTTGGGGGTAGCGGTGTGAAAGAGGGTGGATTGATAGAGAGTCGCGATGCATGCGCACTGGATGTGCTCTTCGAAAGACCACTTTTTGGTGAGCACACCACCATGACTGAGGGTAACGGTGGACGAGTTCCAGGCGAGGACTTCTTCGCCAGAACCACCATCAACAGTGGGGACGCAGAAAACAGAGGATTCTGGAGATTGAGATGGACCATGAGCGGCACTGAGAGTCTTGCGGATGGCTTGGAGAAGAGGAGATTCGGCGGTAACCTTTGCTGGTCGCGGAGAGGCGTTGCGGGTGAAATATGGGGAGGGGGCGTGAACGGGCTTGGAAAAGAGAGATAGGTCGAGGGGCGCATCTGGGGCGGTCATGACGGCTGCATGCGCGAGGATGCTGGGTGGACGAGGTGGTTCGGGGACGGTGCTGCGGACAAGGGCGCGAGTGCGCGCGAGGCAGAAGCAGAGCGCGTCAGTGGCACGCGCGTCGCGCTGAAGGTCACGCGTCCAGTCGCGGGTTCGTGCCGCCTCCTGGCCGCTGGTCCGGGGACGGAGCCATCTCGTAGCCGGCTGAGCATCATGGTCAGCTCTCGCCCCCACCGGGCCTACCCCGCCTTCACCGCACTTTCAATTCCTTGCACCCATCATCAACCATGTCCTCTGCAGACGAATTTCGCCGCCGCACGCTCGCGAGGCTCGAGGCCGTCAAGAACCACCTCCCCTCGTCCCCGCGCGCTGACCGGCTGAAGGACAAGGTCTGCATAATCACCGGCGCTGGGTCGCTCAAAGGCATCGGGTGCGTCGCGCCGTCCCCTGCCTCCGTAATCATGCTCATGAACAGGCGGTGACAGTCGCGCTTCTGCCATCCTCTTCGCCCACCAAGGTACGTACAAACGCGCACGCCCCACTCGCATGTAGCCCATCTTGGTGCGTTTCTACCAGGTGCCCGTCACCTTTACCTCTCCGACTACGATGCGACAAACCTTCCGGAGCTCAAGGCCACAATTGAACGTTCCTACCCTGACGTCAAGGTGCGCTCCCCCCTTACCGGTCTCACCGCGAGCCCTTCCTCACGTTCGGCGGGGCGCAGGTCACAACTCAGCAAGCTGACGCCGCGGACGAGGACACCGTCAGGGGTCTCTGTGACCGGGCGATGAAGGAGGAAGGCCGTCTGGACGTCTTCTTCGCCAATGCACGTGCTCCGTCCTACTCATGCTTTGATCCTGCATTTATGCTGTGGTTTGCTAGGCCGGCTGGGCCTCGTCCGCTTTCCTGACGGACATCGACTCCAAGCTTTTCATGGAGTCCATGCGCATCAATGCTCTGTCGTGCGCCCGTTTCCTCTCCCTATACGCGCACACTTCCACAACTCGTACCCTACCAGGTGCCTCTTGGCCGTCAAGTATGCCTCCGCCGCAATGCAGAAGACGAACCCGTCCCGCGGCAAGGAGCACAGTGCCGGCAGCATCATCCTCACCGCCTCCGTCGCGGGCATCCGCTCCGGTGCCGGCACCACCGACTGTAAGTCCAAACCGCCTCGCCCGCATTCTGACCCCGCGCTCACGTCTCTCCAGACAGCGCCAGCAAAGCCGCGTGAGTAGGGCTTCCGCCACAACGCGCCCATCCGCTCACCCACGCGTCCCGCCCTGCAGCGTGAACAGCATCGTGATGACCGCCTGCAACCAGCTCGCGCGGCTCGACATCCGCGTCAACAGCATTTGCCCAGGCCTCATCGAGACCGGCATGACTGCGACAGTGTTCGACGCGGCGCGCGCGCGGGGCACCGAGCGCAAGATCGGTCAGCTCAACCCGCTTGGTCGGTACGGTGTGCCCATAGGTTTGTCCGCTCACGCCCTCTGTGGTTGTTGTTTGGGGGTACTGACATATTATTAGAAATTGCCAATGTCGCCATGTTCCTGGCCTCGGACGAGGCCAGCTATGTCAATGGGCAAATGTGGGCCGTCGATGGTGGCTTGTCCAGCTCGCACCCCGTCGTCCCCGGAAAGCTGGCGTGAACCACCTGCCGCGACCCGATCGAGCGAGCACCTTCCATTGCGTAGTCGAAGGGCCAGTTATGAAAAGAGCGCCTTAGCGCTTACGTGTCCCAACTTCTCGGGAGCGGCTTGAGTTGTGCTCACCAAGGATTGATGTGTTCATACATTGTATACAAAATGGTGAACCTCGCGTCGGGTATATTCATGCACGCTTAATACCACAAACATTCAGTCACCCCAGTTCTTGTGCTAGTCGGTCGGTCGGACACCCTCCGACGCGTTCTCAGGCGAAATACCTCGACGATCCTCCTTCCTCTAACAGGCGTTCCACAATCAGAAGGCTCCCAAACGATAAATGATTAGCTTACCATCCGTGTCCCATGGCTCAAACCAAGATACAGTCTAAAAAGGCGTTCGCAGTCTTCATCTCCATGGAAGGGATAGTCAGCGCCCAGACGGTAGGCCGCCGCGAAGCCAGACGTGACTGCAAGCTCGTGCATATTCAGGACTAGAACGGAGGTCAACGCGGCGCAAGCGTCCAGGACTACGGCACTCACTAGACCATGCCCCCGCGTAACTGTCGGCAAGTCGTCAGTCGGCGTCCATGCTCTCCACAACGTAGAAGAACGCACTGAGTATGCCGCTTGCCATTCACAAACATCATCCACGGCACCACCCCCGCATAATGCTGCCACCGATGGCTCTGCTGCTTCCACCACTTCTCGTGCACCCTCTTTTCTTCCACGATCTCCCCCACGTCCATAGATCCTGGCTCCCGTCCCGGTCGAGGAAGATAGTCTGGAACACGTGCCTCTCCAACGGCGGCTCCGCCAACCCCTCCGCGTTCATCCCCGTCCGCACCTCCTCTCCTACGCTCTCCAGCGCCGGGTCCTGCGCCCGCCGCGCTGCCTCGGGCGGCGGCTGGCACTCGTTCCGGTGCGCCGCGCGCTCCTGCGGGTCAATGGGTCCTGCAGGCTTCTCCCCGCGGAACTGCGCCTGGTAGTGCGTGAGGTCGAAGCTCATCTCGATCTTCGCCCGGTCGCGTTCGTATTGGCGCGTGTAGTACAGCGGCCGGAAGTTGTGCGAAGCGAACGCGAACGCGTCCTCCATCCGCGCGCGGTCTTGCGCGCTTGCGCCCGCGCTGAGCGGCGCGTTGTGCTTTGGACTGTACTGAACTTCGTAGTTCTGCGGGCGCGCGGAGTCAGCGGGGTGTTGTTTGAACGAGGAGCAAGGGCGCGCACCCGCTTCATGTACTCCAGGTCGCTGTGCGTGATTGTGACGTCGTGGAGGTACTTGACGTTCCCGAGCACGGTCCGTTCCCTCCAGGTCGCCTCTTTTCCCAGTAACTTCAAGCAGGAGTCCGCGTCGACGGCCAGGATGAGCTCGTCGAAGAACGCGGTTTCTGGCTGACACTCGTGTCCGGTATCAGCCTGCCGATACTCGATCTGCACGGGCCCGTCTTTCTTCGCCGCACGGGACACAATCCTCAACACTTGGTGTCCAAGCTTGAATTCAACGTTGCCGCGTGACGAAGTCTCTTCGACCCACGCGCCGTACACATTCTGGAGCTAGATACGTGCGCAAGTCGTTCAAGTCCCGTAGATCTCGGGGCGCGGGAAAAACGTACCTTCGGGAACGACAACATTGTCGGAATAGACGCGAGCAAGCTCTTCTCATTGTACTCGAACAGCTTCATGCTTGGGTCCATGAACACGCGTTCCTGCGTACTCTCGTTAACATATTTGCTCATGTGCCACGGGGGCACACTCACCAGAATGGCTGACGAGATGTACGGTGTCTGATTGCCCGTGCCAAAAAAGAGCGCGACGAGCGGGTACACCATCCGCTCGGCGAACCCGGTCGAGAAGCGAAACATACGGAGCATCACATGCACCGGGACGACAGCAAAGAATGGCTCGAGTCTCTTAATCGTCTTGAGCGCGCCGCCGAACCGAGCGATGTCCTTCTGGTACTCCGCGACGAGCTGCGATGGGAACACGTTCGACCAAAAGTGCTCTCCCTTGCCGAAGCTGATCCTGCGGGAGGCAGACGCAACGGGCGGTGAACAACACGCCCTTCCAGGGACATTGCGCACCAAGGGAAAGGGATAACGACACTCACTGCATACCGACCTCCGTCGCCTCGAAGCCGAGCATGCGGAACATGCGCAGGGTGTTGAAGAACACGGGGCTGCACCCCTGTACCCCGTCGTTGATGTATGCCGCACCGTACGTACCAGGGTCGATATCGAGCGAGGTTGCCATCCCGCCCGCGACAGATTCCTTGTCAAAGACAGTGACTTCAAAGCGGTCGGGGTGCTTGCTGAGCGCGTACGCGGCAGACATGCCTGACGCACCGGCGCCGACGATACAGACGCGCTTTCGCTGCGGTGCAGACATGGGGTAAGGCAGAGGGCGAGGGAGGCCGATGTATGCGCTCCGTTCGCACTCGCTCGCCGTCTTAAAGGGCGTCCCCACCGTCGTCACCGCGCGATCGAGCCCCGCGTGCGTGTTGGGTGCCTTTGGCGATCGCTCCAGACGCGGTCACATGACCGCGTCGCGTCTCGACCAAACCCAGGTATCCATCCAGGCTGCAGGGTAGAGTAAATACACGCGAACAGTTAACTCATCGGCGTGCATCATAGATCGAGGACCTGGGCCTCTAACCACGCCCAGAGTTTCCGTCCCAGCTGTCGATCCTGTGTCTCTTCTCGTGCTGCGCCTAGCCGCGCCCACGGGACCAAATACTGGGAACGCCGTGTCAGAAAAGGCGAAATGCCAGCAACGACATCAAGACGCTCACCTGGCCTCCTAGCCGGAGCCCATGGGGTGTCGTACCGGCCCATAATGGTGTCAGCGCTCCCATCGATGCTGGGTATAGCATGGGCGCCTGAGAGACGCTGTGAGCATGGCGATCTGCGGCATGATGAATGGCAGACCCTGACCGAAATGACTTTCTCGAACGAAGAGACGTGTCTTTGATGTTCAGTTTTTATGTTTCCCGGATGTAGTGATATCGAAATGATCCCCTGGTCACCGTATCGTCTTTGCAGTTCGGATGAAAAGACGACGGTAGCCTGAGAGCGGGCATGAACACTCGATCACGACCGGAACGCGATGTCAAAACGAGACGACTCACGAACTTGCTTTGATAGTGTAGTTTCTGGTTGCCAAGTTTCATTCGTTTTGGGTGATCCTGCAACGTATCGAAATCGATGCCGGACGCGAACGAGTGAGCCATCGACGAGATGTTGATTACACGCGAATGTCGATCCGACGAGGTCGAGGCGCCGGTAAGGAGGAGCGGGATAAGGAGTTGGGTGAAGTAGAAGTGACCCAGGACGTTTGTGCCAAACTGGAGGTCATAGCCGTCGGCAGTCAACTGCTCGACAGGGGGGAACATGACGCCGGCATTGTTGAAGAGGACGTCGAGCTTGGTTTCGTTCCTGACGACAACAGATGCAAACTCGGTCCTAGAAAGACGAAGACACAGAGTTGGACAGCGTACCTGAGGACATGGTGTGCCGCAGCCTTGACGGAGGCGAGATCGGCAAGGTCGAGGTGAAGGAAAATGGCGTCCCTGCCGGTCAGCTTGCGAAGGTCTTGGATGGCAGCAAAGGCCTTGGACTCCGAGCGGGCAGCCAAGTAGACTTTGGCCCCCCGACTGAGGAGAGCCTAGCACAGAAGAAGGGTTAAAGGTGGATGATGCGGGAGACGGTGGAGAAGGTGCGTACTCTGACAGTCTCCTTGCCTACGCCGGTGTTCCCGCCAGTGACGATCATGACCTTGCCTGCGAGGTTGGACATCTCAGAGACGGACCATTGTGGTTTTGGAGGGACATGTGCGAGGTGTGAGCGGACGTAGGTGCCCATGGCGGAGACGGGGGACTAGTGCGAGTGAGTGGGTCGAGGTGTGTGCGCGGGGCGAGAGGGCGAGGAGGGCGGGACGGGGTGGAGGCGGAGAGCAGAGAACGGAGGCGGGTGCATAGCTATAAGAGGATAAAGAGAGTTTGTGGATGGGACCGGAGGAGCGGGACGTTTGGGAGAGGCGGCAAGCGGGACTAGGCTGGAGAGGGCTACAGGGCGGTCGACGGTCGAGGACGATCACCAGCCACCCGCTTGTTCAGGGCCTTCAATCGGGTTTAATTAACCTTCAGCCGCCGGCCCGATTGGCGCCCATCCCGCTACCCGGCGGCCTGTCCCGCGGCGGTCGACTCCTCCACCCCCGGGTTGCACCCACTCCCTCGTCTCATCCCCGAGCTCGGTCACACACCGCGACCCCAGCCCGCCTCCGCCCCCGCCCATCAGATCTGTGTCAGCTGCGAGGATGACTGCGGCCACGCCATCTTCTCCCACTCGCACTTCTCACGTCCCTCCTCCCGCGGCGTGTGCACCCCCGTCCTCTAAAGGAAGTTATATTGCGTCGCCCCCATCACATCTCCTCCCACAACGTGGAGGTGTTCGCCACTTCTGACCGCGACCTTCATCTTCGTCCATCTCTCCTCGCTTGGCCTAGTCCTCCAGGAATGCCTGCACGTGCTGCGTTACGAACGTTACGTCCTCCGCGTTCGCACCTCCACCCGCTAGAGAGGGCCATCCGTCAGTACTTCGCGCCCGCCCAGGGACGACAAGCCGACGCACCCGCATGCCCCCACACGCTTTCAATGACCGCCAACTCCCCGTCTCGCAAGCCCGCCACCTCCAGCTCGCTATCCTCCGGCTACACCCGTGCGTAGCGCGCATCGCACGCCGGATAAACAGAACGCCCGCCAGTCAGCCGCCGCGCTCCATCTCGACAATCGGAATGAAAGCCAAAGGCGAGAAGCAGCTCGCAGACGCAGGAGAAGCGGCCGAAGGCGAGGGAAGCGAGAACCGCGCACTCACGCAAAAATATAGGTCTGTCCGGCACGGCATAATCAGCCCCCGCGCGCGGATCCCCGCCAGCGCGCCTGCGAAGTCCTCCACACCCGGGACGACGAGCGAGATGTCCCCTCGCTGCCACGTCTCGAGCAGCGCGAGCATGTCGTTCGCGTCCCAGTTCGCCACGTACCGACCTTCCCAGACCTCGCGGAGAAATGCGTCCAGGGTCGGGTACCTGCAATATACCAGTCAGCCGCGACGGGTACGCATGCCGCTCGTCACGCTCGGCAGGCAGGTGGGGACCGAGGGTACGTACGCGCCGCCGAATTTGTATAAGTGTTGGCGGAACCACTGTAACAAACAGATAAGGCACCTTGGAACGCCAGTCGACAACCGCCCACTTGATGGGCAAAGGGGGGGATTTCACCAGAACAAATTGCTTGAGAATACATCTCCGTCCTGACAACATGACGTCCATGATGAAATGTGGGCCATGTGCTGTCAGCTTGGGGCTTATCAAGTTCTGCACGGTCGCACGAGTTTCCTTCCAGCAAAGACAAAATATCGCCACGAAAGAGGCATATCTCACGTCGTTGGGGTGAAATCCCCCCATCCGCCTGTCCATCCCATGCACGCATGCTCACCGCCTGCCCGTACGCCCATGCGCTGTACGCCCGCCCGAACGCGCGGATGCTCCGCTCGGGCGGCGCGGTATAGTGGCCCTCCGCAAAGTCGGCACCCGCCTTCATCGCCGCCTTCGGGCCCTCGAGGAAACTGCGACCGACCGGCGCGATGAGCACCGTTCAGCACCATCGGGAACCCCGCGCACCAGATGTTGTGCGGGCTCGTCCGCGCGGACGAACAGATGGCCACGAACTTCTCCACCACGTCTGGGTACATCGCCGCCCAGTGGTACGCCTGGCATCCGGCCGACGTCAGTAGGCCCCTCGCACGCCGCCTGACCCTCGGCTCCACTCACCTGCTGCCCTCCCATCGAGAAGCCGATCGCGCAGCGAACCTTGGAGACCCCCAAGTGCTGGAGGACGGCATATTGCGCGCGGCTGCAGCGTGGACGGTCCACATCCGTGCCACCCGTCACGCGTCATATATCATCGATCAGCAAACGACGTGACGGCGTACAGAGGCGCACGCGGAAGACAGATGTCGCAGAGACGCACATGTTGTCCGCGTACGACACCGCGGGGAAGTACGGGCCGTTGTATGGCGGCGGCTAGGGGAGCACGGTTCAATAAATTTAGGCCGCGGTCGTGGCCAGCGCGGGTGTAAAGCGGTCGGCGCTGCGTACCGTGTTCGACGGCGAGGAAGACTGATGGGACGTGCCGCGTCAGATCCCAGCGGTGCGCCGCGTAATTTAGCCACAGGAGGCTGGACGCACCTCGCCGTTGCAGAACAGCGCGAAGGTCACGACGAAATACCTGCGCGGGTCCAGGGCCTGGGCGGTAGCATTACGTTCGTCACGCCATTCGTGAGACCACAGAAGGCTTAGGCGGCACCTTATTCTCCCCGACAAGGTACATCTGGCCTGGTCCGGGTCGGCCCCCGCTCAGTGATCGTACAGCGGGTGGCGCCACGAACTGACGACACTTACTTCCTAGCGCCAATTTCGCCCCGTAGCACGTCGGAAACACGATGCAAGGGTTCGACACGTCCCCAAATGTCTGGTACGCCGTCACCGCGTCAGGCAGGACGCCCCCGTGGACCTTGAACCGGCCGTGGTGGTGGTATTGGACACCGCTGTCTGCCATCGGAGTCAGTCGCAGGGAAGGGAGAGTACGCGGGAGGGCGCGACGGCACGCGTTCTTATGGGCATATGAGGGCCTGCCGACTCCCACGCCCCGGGTGCCCGACAAGGGTAAGTGGGAACGAGAATCATCTGACCCTGGCGGCACATATAGATTGCTGGGTGAATCCGGATATTTTAGGAGCAGTCGTTCGGGAGGTAGACTATACAAGGACAGGTCTGCACACGCACCAGATTTAGGGCGGCATCAGCAGGGGTTTAATCCATTGTCCATCGCAGTCATAAGACTGCATGTTCGTTGTCGTTCGAATACTACAACGATTTTGTGACAACCAATCGAGGCTACTAAGTCTAGGCGATGGCCGACAGCCCTCGTGTCTAGAACTGAGCCACCGTAAACCCTTACTTGATTTCGAGGAGCTTGACCTCTACAGGTGAACGTGAGTGATCCCGACAGTGCAATTGAGATTAGCCAGCGCACCGAAGATCAGAGTCGAGTTGGCAGGGATGCCCGGCATCTTCTTCTTGCCGTAGCCCATGGCAGCGGGAATGGTCAAAATTCGCTCCCCTCCAACCTGCATCCCGGCAATGCCAACGTCCCATCCTATACGTTATTGAGACGTCAGTCGCAGCCGGAAAGGGACCCAAATAGGATTGCGAGAACGCACCCTTGATAACTTCCCCGGCACCAAGGCGGAATTTGAACTGGAACATCACTGTCAACGCTGACCCGGATGACACGACAGGATGAACAAAGCGCTCACAGGAGAACCCTTCGTGTTCTTATCGAATTCCTTGCCGTTCTCGAGCTTGCCAATGTACCGCATACCAACGGTGTTGCCGCGCTTAGCCTGAGGACCCGTCCCGACGGTGGTGTCCGCGATCTTCACACCTCCCTGCAGCACCTTGGCGTCGCCTTTCTTTCCCGCGTCACCCTCCTCCTTGTCCTTTCCCTTGTCCTTTTTGTCCTTCTTATCCTTCTTGTCCTTTTTGCTCTTCTCCGTCGTCTTCTCCGCCGGAGGCTCGACAGCCTGACCGTCTGTGCCCTTCTGCTTCTTCTTCTTCTCGGACTTCGAGGCCTTAGGGCCGTCCGTTTCCATCACGTCCGACTCACGAGGACGCTTTTTCGACGGTTGCTCCACTTTAGGCTCGTCCTCCACAACCTCCTCGAAACGGCTGCGAGCCGGTCAATGCCAGGATAGCATACATAGCGGCAATAAACGTACTCCTCGTCGCTCATACCGTCAAGCTCCGCGGGGTCGATCTCGACGTCCGAGCTGACATCCTGGAGGTCGAAGTCCTCTTCTTCGTCGCTGAACGGATCCTGGTCGGGCGAACGCTGGTCTGTTCATTCTGGCGTCAGCGCGTGCGAAACTCGAATGGGACTTCAAGGGAACGTACCGATGTAATTACCAGTCAGGTAAACCGTGCTGGCGGACGCGAGGGCTTAAACAAGCACGGTCAGAGGTACAGTGCGCAGAGACTCACTTCTTCCCGACGACCTCAACGACATACTCGGAGTCCTCGTTCAGCACGATGTTCACAGTCGCCTGCTCAATCTGCCAGAGACATGAGTCAGCACAAATTCGTTTTGGAGAAGCCCACGCACGCACCCTGCCGCACGAGAGGGAGCAGAGGATAGTGGACGTGACGTTCTCGCCCTCCATCTTTTCCTCTTCCTCGTCTTCGTCCTCATCTTCCTCCTCGCTGTCCTGCCCCGCACCCGGAGTGCGGTACACAAGCCTCACACTAGTACGTCCCGTCGTGTCCGCAACCTCATCACCGAGCGCGACGTTCGTGATGCGGAGGTCCGCCGGGGGCTCAATCAAGGCAGACACGCCCGGCTTGACCTCGAGACTCCTGCAAAGCGAGAGAAGACACGTTTATGTGAAGGCGTGCGTTACGCGTCAAGTGTGCTCTCGTACGTACCAGAGAGCGACGGCAACGGCCATGGTGGACTGGGAGAGGTGGAGGAGGTTGGAGAAAAGTTGCTCGAGGCAGGCGCGCCCCACGGCACAAATTTGGGCGCGTGTTTCGCGCTTCGGCGCCTACCTGCTGCCAGGAGACGCCCGCGGCCGGACAGATGCACTGTGATCTGAAGTCACTTCGTCCTCGTCCCTTCGCGCTGCCCACAAATCCCTTGAATCGCTGCCATGGTGAGCACATATGGATTTTTGAAGGGTCTTAGTACGCTGATGTGAGCATCTTCCTATGCAGTCTAACGTTCTTCGCCCTTACCTTGCCGCCGTCCGGTCGACACTGACTGCCGCCCTCACGCTCGAGGACTTCTCCTCTCAAGTACGTACCTCAAGCCATCATTTTGCGCGCGAAAAGCCTGACATTACATTTTTCAGATTGTAGAACGGCACAACAAACCAGAGGTTGAGGTTGGGTGCGTCTACATCGCGGGACCCGCTGATCATCCTACTGAAAGGCTGTATTCAGCGCATCGAAAGAGGTCCTCCTCAACCCTCTCACGATCTCACGAAACGAGAATGAGCGCGTTCTAGTCGAATCCTCGGTCAACTCAGTGCGGATAAGCATCAAGATCAAGCAGGCGGACGAGATCGAGCGGATACTTTGCCATAAGTTCACGCGGTTCATGATGCAGCGAGCGGAGAGCTTTATTGTGCTTCGGAGGAAACCAGTCAAGGTGTGTTTCCATGCCTGCCTCTTTTGTGCATGCATGCGACGTGAAGTATCATCAAGGGCTACGACATTTCCTTCCTCATCACCAACAACCACACGGATACTATGCTGAAGCACAAGATCGTTGATTTCATCACTCAGTGGGTCTTGCCTAGTCACTGGGCGCTGGGAAATAGGAGTGTGCACTTACACCTATGCCAGGTTCATGGAGGAGGTGGACAAGGAGATCAGCGAGATGAAGCTGAGCCTGAATGCACGCGCTCGTGTTGTAGCAGAGTCATATCTCGGCGCAGTGAGTACACGATTCCCTCAATATCTCGTATCACCAAATGAACTCCTCCCTCGTCCGCAGTTCTCTTCGTGAAATGTCGCGTGACTTGTGCTAGAATGGAGGAGATGCAACCCGGGCTAGGGCGAGTGAATGTCCAGACCACTCCCGATGGGGCATACGCCAGGACATGTAAAGTACTGGGAAGGATGGTCAACTGTAGCAACATAGATTCAACGTTCGTCTGTCCGCCGAGATATCTCTTCGTGCATGCAAATCTTTGGGTGGCTTCTTGTAGAACAGGTGGCATATGAAGTCTAAATTCGTCAGACGTTGAACTCCGCGGAGTTGGTCCAAATGCCTAGTTGGCAGGAGCATGGCCAGTGCACTACGAGTAACCGCCTTCGTCCGTAGTGAATACGAAGCTTACATAAGCCGGGAGACGTGTTGCAGAAAATCCTTACATACCGCAGCAGGCGGATGTATGACGTACCGTCGTACGTGCGACGCGTGCGTGGCGCCGGTCAAGTTGCTCTCTGCGGCACGGCAACGGCAGGTTCACCCGGCTTTCCCTCACCCATCATGCCCCTTCTCCCCCGTTCCCTCCAGGCCATCGTCGTGGTCACCGCAGCCATTGTTTTCTTGGGCACGCTCTTCTCTGTGCTCACTGACTCCTACCTCGACACCTCTAATCCACTCCTCACCACACTCCCTCATCACCTCTCCGCGACGCACCGCTTCGCATCGAAGAAGAACATACTCAACGTTTACTTCACCAAACGTCTCTGGGCCTGGTCGACCGCGACTTTCCTTGCCCTCTTCACCACCTCCTCCGCCCCCGCGCGCCGCGCGGCTCGCGCGGCTCAATACGTCCTGGCCACCGCCCTCTTCCTTGCCTTCACCAGCTGGTTCTTTGGCCCCTCCTTCCTCGACCGCCTCATCCTCTCCACCGGCGGCGAATGCACCCTCCACCTCCCGTCGGGCGACGCCGTCGCGGTTCCGCAAGAATACTGCGTCTCGCGCACCACGCTCTCCCCAGGAACCCACCCTGCGATCTTCGCGGGGCACCTCCACCTCCCCTCCGACGGCTGGACGGGTGTCGCGCGCCTCCGGAAGGGCCACGATGTGTCCGGCCATATCTTCCTCCTCACGCTCTCGTCCCTCCTTATTGTGGACCAACTCCGTTGGTCGTTCGGACACGCACGGTCCGCGGCGCATACGCTCGCGGTCGTGTTTGCGAGCGCGGTCCTCGGCGCGTCGCTGTTCGCGATGTACACTACGAGCGTGTACTTCCACACGCCGCTTGAGAAGTTTACGGGCTACGGTGAGTGGAGTCGGTTCCATTGCAGCCAGAGGTCTCACAGAATGAGCTAGTGCTTGGGCTGGTGTGCTTCATGATCACCCGCCTCCCCCTCTCTTTGAACGCCGTCTCTGCCTCGATACCTGTCGCTACCCCTCAGTGAAAAGGACATTTTTGACCATCGTGAGTGGTCTTCTGCATCGTCTCCACCTCTCTGATATTTTTCATGAAGTTGACATGACGCGATGTAAACTCGACCCTGTCGAACAAATAATGCTGCTTGCGAGTGTACATCATGCTGTTTAGAAAGAGATAGGTCATAACTGTGCACAAATTGTGCACACAAACAATGTAGTGGGTATATGCAGGATTCTCTGAAGATGTCGCGCACTTCCTCTTCGCCTGTCCTGCTCACACCCCGTGTGGTCTTTTAGATGACACTGGAATTTGACATGGCCGCACATTGGCGACCCTGTTAGGCGATCTTGCGTCCCTTGTCAAACACCTCAAGAGCATACGTCGCTTTGCGGACGCCTTCGAATGCCTGAGCGCCGCATGCACCAAGCCCCCTCTCCCTCCTCACCGCGTCACCCCAGACACGTTGCTTGCTTTTTGAATGCAATAACGTCCATTTCAATGCCGCATCCAACTCTCCTGCACCTGCAAGATTGGCCGACGACACGTGTCCATACGATAAACAAGGCTTAAGGACCATTTAAGTATCCAGCTCTCTTGCGCGTGGTGCTAGAATTTGCAAGGGAATGATGCACCGCGTGCTCTATACTATTACATCCTTGTTACGCCCTAATGTACTCTTGATTTACACTCCCTTCAACGTTCACTGCTCCAACCAGTCGAGGAAGTCCGGCGTGAAGTACGTCAGAATGAGTGTGCACCCTGCATACGGCTAGTGAGCCGAAGTGTTCAGAGGTCCCAACCATAGCAACATACCTGCGCGTACGAAACTCTCAACAGTCTCAAACGCCATCGTCTTCAGATCGTACACACCCGCCCGCGCTCCAGCAACAATCATGGCGTATTCGCCGCTGACCTGGTAGCACGCAAGGGGGTGGTCGCGGGCGAGCTCCTTCGCGTCCTGGATGATATCGAGGTAGGGCATCGCAGGCTTGACCATGATAATGTCCGCCCCCTCGTTCACGTCACGCGTCTGCGCGAGACCCACGTCAGCCGACAACTCCCGCAGCGCAACAACCAACACTCACAATTGCGCGCCGCGCGAGGCCCTTCGCCGTCGGCGGGAGCTGGTAGCACTTGCGATCCCCGAACGACGGGGCGCTGCCGGCGGCCTCGCGGAACGGGCCGTAGAGCGAGCTCGCGAACTTTGCCGAGTAGCTCATGAGCGTGCAGCGGTTCCCGAAGCCGCCGTCGATGAGGGCGCGCTTGATCGCCTTGATGCGGCCGTCCATCATGTCCGAGGGCGCGACGCAGTGCGCGCCCGCGCGGGCGTACGCGAGCGCGACCTCGGCGATGCGCGCCGCGGACGGGCCCTGGTCGAGCGAGCCGTCGGACGCGAAGAGGCCGCAGTGGCCGTGCGACGAGTACTCGCACAGGCAGACGTCGCACGCGATGTACATGTCCGGGAAGAGCGTGCGGAGGAGCTTGATCGAGGCGATGACGGGCCCGTTCGGGTCGTCCGCGGGGCCGCCGCGCTCGTCCTGCGCGAGCGCGCGTGAGCGGGCGGGGGGCGCGAGACGGGAGACGGACACACACCTTGTGGCAGTGGAGGGGCACGCCGAAGAGGATGACGCTGCGGAGGCCCTTCTCGACGAGGGGGGCGAGGAACTCCTGGAGGCGATTGACGCCCCACCTGCACTGGCCGGGGAGACTGGAGATCTCGACGCGTGCGTCCGGCTCGTCGGTGATGAAGATGGGGTACATGAACATATTCTTGGTGAGCGTACGCTGTCCCTGCCAGGAGCGCGACAGCGGGTGCTGGTAGCCACCCTGGAGGATCGAACTGGGCGCATACACTCAGGCAGTGGGGGACGCGAGAGGGCGAATGACTCACGAGATTTCCATTGGCTCGAGAGGCTGGTAAGGGTCGGACGGTGGTGGAGAGGCGGGGGAGTCCAGGGTGGGCGTGCGAGCGCAGTGAGGACGATGGCGGTTTTAAGAGAGCGATGAAGAGATGGGAACAAGCGACGTGGCCAGGCGGCGGTTGGTATACACGCCGTGCAGTGAGAGTGCGACAGTGCCTGTCATTCTGGATCTGCAGGCCGGGTGGGCGCGCGACTAGCGTCCGCGCGCGCCTTCCGGTCCTCCCCGCAATATTCGTTCGCTTTGCTCTTGATCACCACCGTCGTAAACTCGACCTCGCTCCCTTCACCACGCGCACGAGTACGAGCACAAAGAAGCCGCTGGTGACAGGATGGGTGCGCGCGAGTGTGGCACTGGCAAAGCGGACTATCGCCGAGATCAGACTTTCCCACCGTTAACGTGTCTTTCTCTCGTCCCATGCATTTGCGGCTCACACAGCCCGTTGCCCGACCACCGACGGACGTCGGCCACTCTCACTGCTTGCCATTTCAGCCTTTCACAGCACCTAGCTTTGGCGGGCGTGAGAGTGGCGGGGCGGCGGGTCAAAGTAGGCCGCAGTCCGATTCCGGTGGTGGGGGAAACGGATACAACACTCCACACTGCCGGCGAGCCGCCCTTGAGGGACTCACAGGATCCTGACAGTTCTTGCCTGGAAGTGATTGCCACAACCACATCAGAGCGCGCGGCGCATAAAGCTGCCCCACAAGAAGGTGCCCCACCTCTCCAAGCGGTTCGCGCAGCGTCACTGCAACATCATGCGCTCTCCAGTTCGTCGAGCTCTGGTCACGATGCTCTCCTTCCGAGCCTCGGTCCGACACTTCTCGGGAAAGCCCATCGCTCGCGTGCTTGGAGCGCAGCACGTCTCCAAGTATTTAGCGCACCAAGGAGTTGTTGCCTGGCCCCCGAGCTCCATCCAACTTCTTGCCCCCCATGTCCACCAATATACGTGCGTACTCACTCCCCATCCCCCATGCTCTCGCACTCGTTCACCTCCCTTTAGCCCGCATAGTGACTCCCGAAGCATACCCAATGACCGAAGAGCCATCGTCTCTCCCCAACTCTCGTTCACCGACCCGACTTCTTGGCAAAGGCATCGGTTTCAGCAACATCGCTGCGTCTCCTCAGCGAGACCATCCGCCCATTTACGTCCCCCTTCCTCCACCGCAGGATAACGGCGCTTCTCCTCCACGCAAATGTTTGTCCACTATGCACATGCATCCCAAAACCTCGTAGGCTAACTACACTGTGCCTCGAAATAGGGACGCAGATGGATCAAGACGAGACGGATGAGAAAGCACGTCAGAAGGCCATGAATGGGCTCGTGGCATCCTGGATGGACCGCCTGCAGCTCATCAGTTTGATCGTTGAGTCCTTGAATGCCGGTCCGGGCGAATATATGCATTGACTCGTCATCATAGACGACATTCTTTGCAGCGATGGAATCTCAACTCCTAGGCACAACCGTCCCAGATGAACCCGGGAATGACTCATGGCCTAGTCAACTTGCGAATGTGGTTCTGACTGGCGCCCTCGTCGTCCACGTCTTCGCCGCCATCCTCGCCTTCCTTGCCGCCTTCTTTCTCATTCGCTACAAGCTCGCCACCGCAAAGCGCGAAGAGCGCAAGGTCGAGTCAGGCCTCGAGAGCAGCGCCATCACACCCTCGAGCAGCACCGGCCCCTCGCGCTCTGCGACCGGGCAGACCGACCCGCCGATCTGGTCGGCGAACCCGCACCTAGAGCAGGTGGGCCCGTTCCGCCGCGGGCAGCCGCCAACGCACTTGCTCGACCACTGCCACTCGCTCTGCATGTGGCTGTCGATCATGGGCTTCTTCTTCGCGCTCGTGGGTGTGCTCTGCTTCGCTTGGTCAAGGCTTGCGCTCAGCGGAGGCATCTTCGCGTCGGTGTGCATGGGCATCTGCCTCGTTACCGGCGTGGCTGCAGTCTTCTGGCCCATCTCTGGGCCTCATCGCTGAGCTCTGTCTTCGTCTGGCTCTGCTTCAGTTGTACTACATTGAAACACATTATGCACACGACGTTTTACCTGTAGCAGTAATTTTAATCTCTCGTGTTTTGGATCTAATAATATGATGTTACTGTGTTCCTTCCTGCGAATCAGCTTTGAATCGGCGCCCGCGCAAGAGTTGCGCACATGCCGGCATTGAACCTCTTGCCTTTTGCCACGACATAGCGGTCTCGTCGCGAGCCACACATCCCCCAGTCAGCGCATAATCTGCGGTCCCTGTGCACCTTTTTTTAGCATCGCCCTGCACTGCCATTGACACTCACTGTTATCATTTCGAGCCTTGACGGCCCCGAACTTCAATGTACCTGGCCAGGGACTCATGCGGCGCCCCCGGCCCGGTACCACCCATCGCTCGAGCTGCAGCACCGTCCACTACTTATCCTCCAGCACCCTCAGCCGTCTCCCTACCTCCCTACCCACATCCTCTCTCTTCGCGCCACCACCACCACCACCACACCATCCATTCCCCCAAGATGGGCAAGAAGAAATCCTCCGCGCCGCCCGAGTCGCACCTCGTCCTGCCCCCGCACCCCGCGCGACCAACACCGACCCTCGCGCCGATCGTCGACACCCACACCCACCTCGTCTCCACCTACACCGCGTACCGCTCCAAGTGGCCGCGGGCGCGCACGAGACCATCTTCGACTTCGTCCGCGCGCTCTACCCTCCCGCCGCGGTGCGAGCGATCGTCGACGTCTGGTGCGACCCGGCAGAGAACGGGCTCTGGCGCGAGCTCGCGGACTCCGCGCTCGAGGAGGCGGACCGTCGCGACAAGTGGGGCGGGGTCGAGTATTGGTTCGTTATGGGTGCGTCTTTCAGTCGTCTCTGGGGGGCGCGCGAGGTTGGCCGGGGCACTGATGCGCCTCTACGTCTACTGCAGGTGTTCACCCGTGAGTTGAAGCATCAGGTCATCGTCTTCCCCTTCCTGAGAGCTCCTTCGTGCGCGTGCAGACATGAAGCCAAGAACTACACCGACGATGTGGAACGCGCGATGTGGGTACCGTCTCCACATGCCGCTTCAAGTTCGCGCAAGTTCGCTCACCCCACCGGCACTCTTCGAAAGTCTAGAGGCGATGGCCCATCCGCGCTGTGTCGGCTGGGGCGAAATGGGGCTCGATTACCACTACGACAACTCCCCACGCGATCTCCAGCAAGAGGTCTTCATCCGCCAGCTGAAGCACGCCGTCCGGCTCGGGAAGCCGCTCACGATCCACACCCGCGAGGCCGAAGAGGACACTGAGCGCATTCTCAAGGAGCACGTCCCAACAGACCACAAGGTGCCAGCTCTATGCTCTTCGCACGCTGCCGCAGCTCAGTGAACCCCGTGCCGCCGCAGGTCCACATACACTGCTACACCGACTCTCCCAAGTGGGCCGAGCGCATGCTCGCGCACTTCCCTAACCTCTACATCGGCATCACAGGTCAGTCTCTCGCCCCGCTCGTCCGCGCTCCGCTAACCCTCCCGTGCGCAGGCGTGATCACGTATGCATCGAACCTGAACACGGCTGAGGTCGTCCGGCGCCTCGCCGCAGCGTCCCTGCGGACCGACGCGGCGCTCCGGATTCTGCTCGAGACCGACGCGCCGTTCATGGTGCCCGCGACGCTCTACCCGTCGCTGCCGACGCTCAAGGGCCGCCTCCCGCTCTCGCACTCGGCGATGATCCCGTGGACGGCGCAGTTCGTCGCGGACGTCGCGAACGAGCACGCGTGGACGCGGGGCGAGCCGCCCTACAACGCGCTCCGCGTCCTCCGCGAGGGCGAGGCGAACGCGAAGGCGGTTTACGGCGTGTAGAAGGAGCGGGCCGGGCGATTGGATTAGAGGGGCGCGATGGCGCGCGGTGGAACGAAGCAAATATGAAGTGCACTCGCGCGCGCGTTGTGTAGCAAGCTGCGGTCGGCGGGCTCGGCCTCCGTCCCGTCGGCATCAACGATTGGGCGTTGAGAAGACGGCGGAGTGCCGGTGCCCTCACGCCTGACAAAGCTCATGGGCGTGATGGTCGCGGAGGTGAGCGAGCGGGTCAAGTGGACCAACGCGGCGTCCCCAGGCGCGCGATGGCCGGATCCACGGAGGTGCGGATCGGACTGCAGGAGAGCGCGATGACGAAGTATCGCCCTGCCGGCGAGGGAGGAAGGGGGGAGCACGCCGAGGCGCGCGCGTCTTCGAAAAATACTGAAAGATGTAGGTGTCACTGGTCCAGCCTCGTCGCTGGGCGTGAAGGACTGGACAGCAAGATGGATGCCCGGCGATAGCCCACGTGCGAGAACACTTGAATAGATAGCTATGTTAGAACAACAGCTACGCAAACGAAAAGGGTGTGGTGGGTGGGCACGAGAAACTTTGGATGGATGGTAGACTGATGATACGGACCCGCAAAATATTCCGTTCGCTTAGCCACCTACTTATGGCCGTCCCCCTCCTACTTGTCGCCGCCATTGCTTTATTCTTGTCTGCCTTCTCCTACAAACGGAGCGAGCGCGCGAGTTTCTCGTAGTCGGAGGCGTAGCGGAACAAATCGTCGACATCGCGGAAGCCCATCGGGACCTTCAGATCCTTGAACGCATTCACATCCCCTTGAGCACGGGCATGAGCCAGACGCAAGTTGGCACATGCAGCCAACAAGCCATATCGCGCCTCATCCAACTGCGCGATCGATCGAAGATGGTGGTGCTTTGCGGCCCCAGTGCGATCTTCGTGGTCCCGGCGGGGACGCTTGGAGGGCGTCTGCGTGTGGTGCGACGGGCCCACAAGGTCTGGATGTCCACAAGCAGGTCCTTCATATCGGCGTCGGAATCCATGGTTGACTGTACGAAAGCACGCGCCTGAACGCGGTCGTACGTGAACTGGAGCGGCTCAGTCTCGACGCCCGCGGGGCGGGAGAACCCTGCACCATCGCGGAGCGTAAAGTCTGCCGTAGTGCTCCGTTCGAGGATGTAATCCACAAAGCCCTCGCCGAGGGCACGACAGCCAGGGGGGGCCCTTAACGAGCTCGAAGGCGGTGCCGCTGAAGACCGCAAGCAGGCCACACGAAGCCACTGGGGGGCAAGAGTTCAGCACGAGAGAGAAGCAGAAAAGGCACTGGAAGACATACGAGAAACAGAGCCCTCATTGCGAAAGCCGTACAGCGCGCAGTCCACCTCGTTGCGGCAAACAATGCACTTGTACCCTGAACTAGTGGTGGCGCAGCGGTCGGATGAGCCCTTGCGGCGGCACTGGTCACACAGGCTGGCAAGGTGCAAACGTGATCAGCTCTGGACAGCGCACTGGGAAAAAGGCACGAATGCACAAGGACTGAGAAGCTAATGATGACTTTCCGCGTGCGGTAGTCCTTATGGAGCCCCGCCCTCGCACCCAACTTGCCCGTTGACAGCCGCCCCGCTCGCCGACCCTGTTGGCGGAGAAGAGACCGACTTCCATGTGCGCGCCGTTTGGCGGTTGGGAGAGCTGTAGTTGCGCAAAAACGCAGCCTGCATTGACAAGCTCCTGCACCATATAATCGCGGTCGGTGACGAAGCACGAGTCTTCCATGTTGAGGTCCTGGAAAACAGCCCACCAGCTGGCCTCTTCTTGGACCATCGTCCAGCCCGAGCGTCGGAGGTACACGGCCCTTGCGACCAGCGCGTTGAGCGCGTCCTCGGCATCGAATGGAAGTCGGTTGGGCGGCGCCTTGCGCAATTTCGTCACCCAAGTCCTCACGAAGAGGTGGACCTGTTCAGGGAAAAGGTCGTCGCTGTGCTACCTGGAGGTCGAAGATCAGCCAACACCGACACCGTGCAGCCGTGAGAAACAATCTGACTGTGGCAATTATACTCCACGGTTTTGTGGAGAATTCGGTGAGCCGCGAGCGATCCCACTTCTCAGTTTTCGGCGGGGGCTGTAACTCTTTCAAGGCAGAGAAAAGCTTTTCTCGATCATTCCCGACAGCAATTGGGGCGGCCTCCCACTGTGGGAGGCGTGGAGCGTGAATAAGATGACGGACCAGACTTGGGGTGATGGGAGTGGCCATGTTGGAAAGCAGTGACGAGGTAGTATGAGTGTACACATGTACGATCCAGGCGCCTTAGGCTACGTACATGCGGCAGGCAGGAAAGGTCCGTGCGTGTAAGCTCACGTGGCATTGTGGTGTTAGGCGCGTCTGTTTGAGGCTCGCCGACCGCATACTTATTCCACCCTCCGCGCTCGGGAACGGCGGAGAACACATCCGTGGTGCAGGACAGGGCGGATTTCATACCAGACCGATGAGAGTCTGCGGATGGAGTCGAGCATCCGCCCCCAACTCAGCGCTCGGCCTCTCTCCCCCGAGCCCACGACTGTGGAACTGCCGAATACGAATGTCATATATCATATAGCAAATTCACTCATACACATTCCGACCGACCGGAGCCTTTCATCGCACCGTACTCGAATCCGAATTCAATGTTACCGATTCACCGCTGCGCACTCGATGTGAGTTTCCGACCTAATTTCCACCAGTCCAGCTACCGTTCCAACTCCCGTAAGCAAACCAGCCAGACAGCCGTGGATAGGTACGAAAGAACTCACACAGCCGGACCAGGGATCGGGTATGCACTCGTGTTCGAGTAGACGTCGTACGCAATTCCAGGACTGTCGGATGCCAGTAAGCGCGAGCTCTCCCTTGTGCAATGCAGACACTTACGTCGTCGCGGTGTACGCGCCCGGGAAGGACACCAGTCCGCTCGTCGGCAGCGCCGTGCCCGAACCAGTGACCTTCACTTGAATGCACGACGGGTAGAACTGCGCGCCCGGGTACGTGTACGCCGCGTGGAGCGCGATGCTAGAAGGCGCGAGCGTGTCGCCGACGCCCTCATCAGCGCTCTGCTCTCTGCCGGACGGGGATGGCGAGGCGCAGGCTCACATCTCGTGCCGGATCAGGTACTGCCCCGCCTGGAGCTTCGGCGGAATCGTGAATGTGTAAATCGACTTCGAGGCCGTGAGCAGGTCGGTCGCCGCCCAGAGCCCGCTTGCCGTCTTGCCGGCCTCAGCCACCTTGAACCACACGGCGCTGCAAGCGTTCTTAGTGAGGATAGTGCATGAGCGTGCGACAGAGGAGGATCACGTACGAAGTGCCGGGCTTCCACTGCGTGACGTCGCTCGGCGCGCGGGCCATGTATGTGATAATAGGGCCCTTATGCCTGTCACACATCGTCGTTGTCAGTAAATGCGAAAAGCGATGCGAGGAGGTGTATCTCACGAATCTGGCCAAGTCGTCCAATTGAGAGCCATCTGGGATCCCGCCGCTACGGTGGCATAGATTGGAGCCGGGGACGAGCCAGGCGCGCCGCCATCGGTGTAACCATTGCACTGGATGCTGAAGAAGAAAACTCTCAATCCATGTCAAATGCGACTTCACAGAGAACCTACTCGATCAGTGAAACATCGGTAACCGGGCCTGCGACGAAGCATCTCAGCGCATGCTACGAGGCCGAGCAAAGATTGGGAGATCGCTCACCATTTCCGGGGATGGGGCGAATGATCCTCTGGGGAGTGGGACTTGTGTATGGGTCAGAGTACGGCAGGTAGCCAGTGTAGTGAGTGGACCCCACGGCGACGTCTTGGACGTAGCCGTGCGCCTGCACAGAGGTGGCGGAGAGAGCCGTGAGTGCAAGAGCGCAAAGAATTGAGAGCATGCTTGCGAAGTGGCACAATGCTGACCCACAGCGAGCCGCAAGTCAGCTCTTTATACCGCGCAGTGCGAGCCTACCGTTCGTGCCTATCCGTACGTCGCATGATTGCGAGTATCAAGTGTTTTCCTCGCCAAGTGTCGCAATGACGGTCGAGAACCACGGAGCGTTAATACGGTTGCTAGCGGTCCGTCACAGTGAATGACAATCCCTATCATTGGATCTTGCCGTGGGGGAAAGAGAAGCGTTGTGAACGAGGCATAATTGCCCGAACGAAGCGTTGATCCGCAGACGTGTGTCACTTGCCATCGTCCACCGCGGTCCCGCGATCTTGGCAATTGAGATTGAGAAACAAATGACGCACTAGCGGAGCTTTTACGGGCGACGATGCACCGAAGTGGTAGCACACCACTGCTCATTCAGAGGACGGCTTCCGAGTCACCTTTGAGAGCCTCGTGCGTCAGAGCATCAGAGATCTGTAACAAGAACGGGAGCCACCTCCAGGGGAAGTTCTACCGGAACGTATGTCTAGACTTGGGTCTCATGTGATGCAAGCACTAGAATGCGGGTACTTGCACTGTAAGGAGAAAGTTAGCAGGCAGATGACGAGCGGAACAGCGGAAGGGTATACCAAGGATTCTTCTCGCGAAAACCTGCAAATCACTTGGGCATATGACCCACAAGCAGAAAGATAAGATCACCATCACCATCACTAACATCGAGCGCCGCGGCTGCATGTGTAGGTTCTGAGCACGCAATTCCCCGCATGAACTACGTCGGCTGTGATCGTAAAGAGGAGAACAGTTGCTGGCATGGGCGCGTAGATTGCGTGTCGGAGTTTCAAAAATGAAACACGGTTACGGCGCTTATTCTCGTACTCAACGTCATGCACTTGATCAGATCGACAACTACAGTCAAGGTGTTCGATGTGGTTGTCACACAACGGCTATGCTCTTATTTGATAAGTATCTGCCACATCTCGGGTGTTTTCCACCTTCCTGAATCCACTACGGGACCCTGACGAGTTTCAGGATTTCGCTCGTTGAGCGCTCGCTCGCACTAGTAGCGCTACTAGTGCTAGCTCCACTCCGACCGAGAAGCCCTACGTTCCCTTCTCGCGTCTCTCGTAGAGCACGGCGGCTGGGGTGCCGACTTTGGTCGGAATTCGTAGGCTTTCCACGGATTCCTGCGCCGTCACTCTCGCTGACCATCGCGTCCGGCGCTGTTTCTCTACCCGCCGTCGCCAAACGCTGTAGCTTACAGGAAGCAAACCAGCCTCTCGAACAACAGAACAAGGATTTTTCCATCGAGTATATGTGGCTGACCGGATCGTGGGTACTCACCCCACGAGACAGTGTGTTGACAGTTTGACTTATTCACGCACAGGGAGTGGGTATGCTCACGGATGAATGAAGCGATTTCGGTGTCCGAAATCTTTCTTCGTGTCCTCTGACTGTCTCCGTGCTGCAAGAACGTCTCCGCATACAGCTACTACGCCCGTGCGAATTAGAGCTAATTTCCAACTGCGAGACCAAACTTACTCCTCCTGTCCAAGGTGGTTACCGCTCGCTGATTCTTACGGCCTCTGGCGGCAAATCGACCGCTTCCTGTACCGATCGGACGATACATCGCACTGACGGCGCGCTACAGCCCTCTTGGCCTCCTCCAAATGGCGCTGACGAAAGTGCATAAAAGACTCCCAGCATCACAGAGCAACAGCAGGATCCCACACCTACTCTTCGCTTTTCCAACACACCCACCTCATCTTCTCCCTTCAGCCCCCCACCTCTACATCGCCATGTCCTTCAAGACCCTCTACACGGCTATCGTCGCTACTCTCATGGTCGGCGCCGTCCAGGCTTTCAACGGCGACGGTGATCCCCACACAGTGCCCTCCTCGCCCGTCTTGCTGACCTAGACTTCCTCCAGCCACATTCTACGAGCCCAATGGCGGTACCGGTGCCTGCGGCCACCCCATCCAGAACACCGACTTCGCCGTTGCCCTCAACCCGACCCAGTACGCGGGTGGTGCCAACTGCGGTCGCACGATCACCGCCCACTGTGAGCTTAACGTCCCCTGTAGCCGTCCTCCCGCCGAGTGCTTTACTCAATCCGACTTCCGTCGCAGTCCAGGGTGCTAGCGTCACCGCCACCGTCCAGGACCTCTGCCCCGGCTGCGGCAACGGCGGCATCGACCTCACGCCGAGCGCGTTCCAGCGGCTCGCGAGCCTCGACAGGGGCCGCATCCAGGTCGAGTGGGACTTCAACTGAGGTCGTGGCGGCGCTGTCGCGACGTAATAATAATTCCACATCTACCGTCTCTTTATTCTGCGATTAGACGTCTTGTACTACAGTCTCAGTAGATGTATTCAGACCAAGTGGAGTTTCGGTTCTTAATAGACCTCTTCCGGTATTTCGGACGAGTTCATCAGCATCATCAACTTGTGTGCGCTTTCCGCAGTGTGAATTCTATACCCTGAGCGCAAACTACAAAGCCGAATCCATCTGAAAGCAGTGCATCCGGTCGTCCGGTTCCGAAGCGCCGAGTCCCCGAGTCCCGACCGCCCAATCTGGTGGCACTGCCAGATCATCAACTCCTCTTTTCATCGAACGACGACCTCAAGTCCAAGGGCATGATTCCAGTCCTCGCCTATTTGCACCTTCCCAAGGACCACTTCTTTTCTGATCATGAGGTTTCGTTCAAGGTGCTTGCAGCGAAGAGCAGCAGCTGGCGTTTTCGATCGCCTCGGCCACACCGCACAATTTCAACAGGACCGCTGCACGTTCGGACGACCGGAGCGCACACGGGTTGCTAGAAGCACTGGGAGCAGTTCAGTAGCCTCGGTCCGCGTCTGTGCGCTGGCGGCAGCGGCCACGGCGGTCCGCTCGCACGGCCTTCTCGTGGCGCTACGTCACTACCGCCAACCACATCTTACGCCCGGGTACTAGGTGGGTCTGTTCCACGCCGAGACAGGCTCTGACATGGCACGCAGAACTCAGACAAAGATGATCATGCATTAATTGGACACTGGCTGTGGTCTGTCCGCATGCTGGGTCGCAAAGGTGCCGTAAAACATCGCGGAAGCTCGCCAGGAGGATTTCCAACCACTCGCACAACCTGCCACAGCGTGGACGGCGGCGCCCCGCCGTAGGGACATGTGGACGCGGTGCTTACTGTGTTATGCACATGCATGTGCGCGAGAGCCGAGCAGGGCCCTCGGGCATTCAGCCAGCAACTCAGCGTTGCGCGTTTGCCTCACCGCGCCGCGCGGCGGCAACAAGACGCTCTGGGTGCTCGCGTGCATTATGTAGCGAGAGCGTTACTTCTGTAACCTGTCGTACCATCTAACCAGTCGTGGGTTAGCACGGCGCACGTGCGCCTCGGTGCAAATCGTGGTGAGTCCGGAAAATCCAGAATCAACACCTGCGGCAATTTGATTTACTCATCGCCTTTACAGGTTTGCTGTTGCTAGCAGGCGTATAACCGCGCTGCAGTCTGACTGCTCTCGCCTTGGGTGGTCATAACCAAGGCGCATCTTTGGCAAATGCTCGAACTCGCGTTTATAGGAGGGCAACTTCTCCTTTCTTAAACATCGTCGAGTCGATATTGGCAAATACGCCGGAGGCAGAGATGGACAACGACACCTCTGGAAGGATGTAATCCCACTTCTGCGGTCTGCGCTCCGCTCGCGGACGCAGGATGGGCGCCGTTGGACCGGGTCTCGGGCAGGCTAGCACTCCCGGAACGAGTATTGGTCTTCAGCTGCGACCGCCCTTTGTCCAGCCTGGCCTCCTATGTCAGCGAGAGCCTCCTGGCAGTCGAGGATGATTTCAACATGTGCAACGCAGCGCCGTTCCGCGGGTATAAAGACTGGTCCAAGACGCACCATAACAGCAGGATCTCATCCTACCAGCCTCTCTCAGCCTTCCAGCACTCCAACACCCTCCTCTTCATTCGAAGACCACCTCACCCTTTCACTTCTACTCAACATGTTCTCCAAGACCTTCGTCGCCACCCTCGTCGCCGCCGCCCTCGCCGGCACGGTCCAGGCCTTCTCCGGTGACGGTGGGCCGCCCTCTCCATCCCACCGTACCCCTCCGAGACCGAGCTCATGCCCTCCTCTCCTCCAGCCACCTGGTACACCCCCAACGGCGGCTTCGGTGCCTGCGGCGCCCCCAGCCAGAACAGCGACCTCGTCGTCGCGCTCAGCGCCGACCAGTACGCCGGCGGGGCCAACTGCTTCCGCCACATCGGCGTGCACTGTACGTCGTTTTTCTCCTCTGTTCCCGTTCCGGGCTGACTCCGCCTCCGCAGACCAGGGCAAGTTCGTCGACGCGACCGTCGTCGACCTCTGCCCCGGCTGCGCCTCGGGCAGCATCGACCTCTCGCCCTCCGCGTTCCAGCAGCTCGCGAGCCTCGACGTCGGCCGCATCCAGGTCACCTGGAACTACGAGTAGAGGGTCGCGCGGAGCCGCTCTCCTTTAAGAAGGACAGACGGAACGTTATAGCCGAAGGGTCTAGTTAGACACGAGTTTAAAGGATTACGGCGGGCCAGACACCGCTGTGTATGATGCACCGGTGTCACGGCCGGAATACATTTGTTGCTGCTACTTCTCGCGCGCACAAAGCCCGCGCCTGACGTGGGCACGCCGCCAAGTCCCCTGTTCGTCGAGACGAGTGTCAAGACGAGTTGGTTCCGTCCCTGGCCATGACGTCCGAGGGGGGAACCTGACCGAAGGCAGTCCGCACTGGTCGCCGACTGGGGCGCGGCGACGGACGAAGCACTTTAAACAAGCGTCGATCGCACAAGCGAGCGCATTCTGTGGAGCCGCCGAGACGGCTTGCCACAATTCCGCGCCGGCCCGGGGGAGGCCCGGCGTGGTTACACGGTTCACGCGAAATTGGGAGCAGTCGCGACGGAGCGCGAGAACTTGTCGAGATGGTACAGTGTCCAACATTCGACATCGCTTCGCTCGCAGGGCTTCCCCGGACAGGGCAGCCCCGGTGCACGCGGGGACCTCCGGTGAAACCAGGCGGTACGCGAAGCACGACGGGGCGACATTTATGCCTCTTCGCGCGGAGGAGGACCGTACAGCCCCGCGAACGAGGGTGGCAGACGTAGTGCTGCGGGGCACGTTTGCGAAGCGTTGAACGTTGAGTGTGGCCACCGCCTCTGCGCCACCACGTCATGTGGGGCGGAGAATGTCGCGGACCGAGGAAGCGTAGACTAGCGTGATGAGGCGATGGAAGCTGACGACGGGGGTGTGATCCTGCGCAAGAGCTGAACGTGATAGTCGGTGATAAGAGCACTACACAGCATCGACGACCATCGAGGCGCGCGGGCATCCAATTCTCCACTCTGCTCCACGGTCAGCAAGGCAAAATACAGTCTAATCGAAAGCGGGCGACGGCCGGTATCGATCTAAGTCCTCGCCCGCGCGCGCCATCCACTGTCTAACCGGTCGAGCAGCGACTGGACCTCCTTGACCGCGCCTTTGCGTTCCTTGCGAGCGGTTTCCCACTCGCCCTCGGCGGTGATGGCGTCGAGCCGGAGAAGGCTTTGGAGGAGGAGCTCGCCGAGACGAACGTGCTCGTGGGCGAGGTCTGCTGGAGGGCGAGCGGTGGAGGCCGCAGCGGAGGCCGGCCGAGGAGGAGGGGCAGTTGGTGTGGGCCCGGGGCCGACGTGGGCGGCAGAGGCGGTGGGGGCGAGAGCGGCGAGGAAGGAGTCGACGTCGGGCTGGAGGGTTGCGCGGACTTTGTCGAGCTCGGACCGGATCTGGGAGAGGATGGTGTCTTCCGTGCGAGGCGGCTTCTCCTGGAGGGACGCCCTGGACGAGGGGGGCTTGATGGGGTCGCCGCCGCCAACGAGGGCGATGGTGCTGCCCGGCTTGAGGGAGTAGGCGGACACTGTCATGGATGAAGCCAGTGACGTCAGCGCGCGAAGGTCACAGGACGCGGCAGACGGGGGAAAGAGGTCGGCAGTGACGGCATCTGCTCTCGTCCCCACCGGTCTGCGTCCCGAGGCGGCGACGCGTGCGTGCGCGGAGATGAATCCACTCGGGACACGTGCATCGATCGCCCCCGGCGCGTCCGCAAAAAGAGGCTCACGTCGCCCCGCAGCAGACCAGGACAGCATCGGGCGTGTACTCACCCGGTGCGTTGTCGTCCTTCATCACCGCCCCGGCGTGGATAAGCTTGAACGAGTCTCGCGGCAGCTGCGTGTACGCCGCGATCTCATCTCGCAGCTCGCCCAATTTTGAGGTCGGTGGAGGCAGGGTAAAGCGGAGTCTGCGAGCGCGGCCAACGCGTGTGTTCGCGCCAGATGGACGACGGAGAGAGCCCGCATGGTGGATGAGCCGTTAGTACGCTGCGGACGGGAGCAACAGAGTGGCAACGCAACGCACTTCTCCCTGCCCCATTTCACGTTGATGCTCATGTGCTTGCTCTTCCGCCTGCCTGATCCGAAGATGTTCTTCGCCTGAAGGTAAGCGACGCTGGCGAGAATGAGAAGGAGGGGGACGACCGCTGCGCGGGAGTCAGAAGCGGAACAGGGTGCGAGTCGCACAACGTACCGAGCTGGACGGGAGAATACAGGGTGGGCAGATGGCGCGAGGCGCGGGAGGGCAAACACTGAGGCGACGGGACGGACGAGGACGAGGGCTGGCGCACGCGTCCGGAGCGTTGTCCTCGGGCGCCCGGGTGCGCTGGCGGGCGTGGTAAGCACCTGCCGGAAGGGGCGGTAAGACTCCGGTTGTTATCTCGTGCTGGGGATCACACCCTCTCCTGCTAGTGTGATGTCATCGTATAATGAACCCGAGCTCGCTGCAAATTTGAATTGATCAGATCCTACTTGCACCCTTACTTATATCTCCTTTCCTCCGTCCCCTCCTCCGCCCGTGTTCTCCCCTCCCGCTGCCCCGCCCTCCTTCCCTGACATGTCCACCCCTCCGCCCCAGGATGGCGCCGTCGCCCGCCCTCCCCCCGTTCCCATCACCCGCCCTGCACCAGCTACTGCGGGCAGGTCCGTCGCCGGCCTTCTCAACAACCGCAGGCTCGTTGGGTCCACTCCCATACCCCCTTCTCTCCAAGCCAAGATGGCTGCCGTGAGCCCACTCTCCTTCTGCTCTCTTATCGACTATTCATCGTTCCCGTCGGCGCCTCCCCATTGTTGTCCGACGTCGCGCCCTCCCCGCACACCAGTTCGCTAGTCGCACCCCCAATAACAATGTCTCCGTCGACGCCGCTACAGATGATCTCAAGAAGGCCGGCATCTCCGAAAGGGCTATGCCCCCACCTCCCCTTCGTGCTCCCGCATCAGCACCCGCCCCCGGGGGGCGTCCCGGTTCGCTAGCTATGGGCGGACTCGCCGCCCGCCGCATGGGCAAAGCCGGGCTTCCCAAGCTAAGCGGAATGGACATGGGCCTCCAGAACGCAGGACTTGGTGGTGGTCGTCCCAACCAGGAGTCCGAACAGCCTCCGCGGCACGGCCCTTCGAGTTCATTCTCGACGCCGTTCGCCAACTTTGGCAAAATTGTGTACGTCCCTCCTTGCTCTTTGCGTCCGCCGCTTTCCTCACGGACTCGCAGCGACCCCACGGGACGCCTCGTCTTCAACAACGCCGTACTGCACGAGAAAGGCGTCGATTTTGTCGGCGGCGCGTCCTTCTCTATCAACATGGCTGAGCTGCAGTTGGACGAGGAATTGGGAAAGGGCAATTATGGAACCGTGAAGAAAGTGTTCCATAAGCCCACCAAAGTGATGATGGCGATGAAGGTGTGTTACCTAGCCTTCGTACGACCATTGCATTCTCAGCACGCTTCCGCAGGAAATCCGTCTTGAGCTGGAGGATGCGAAGCTCAACGCCATCATCATGGAGCTGGACATCCTCCACCGCGCAGTCGCTCCCGAAATAGTCGGGTTTTATGGAGCCTTCTTTATCGAATCGTGAGCGCACCCGATATTATCGTCAATGCTGACGCTAATTTCATCACGTTGGCTCCAGGTGTGTGTACTATTGCATGGAATACATGGATGCCGGATCATTAGACAAGTTGCAAGGCGAAGGCGTACCCGAGGACATCCTGGCCCGTATCACTAGCAGTATGGTTCGGGGACTCAAGTTCCTGAAGGATGGTCTCCAGATCATTCACCGTGGTGAGTCTCACTCATTTGCTACGACTACGCGATGTTCACACAGCACGGTATCAGACGTGAAGCCTACCAATGTTCTTGTTAATCGGAAGGGTCAAGTTAAACTGTGCGACTTCGGAGTTTCCGGGCAGCTTGAGAAATCGCTTGCCAAAACTAACATCGGCTGTCAAAGCTACATGGCCGTGCGTTTGTACTCTCTAACTTCTGGCACCGCAAGACTAAAGTCACTTCTTCCCCCAGCCCGAACGGATACGAGGCGAATCTCAGAACAACGTCGGAACATATACCGTTTCGTCAGATGTGTGGTCCCTTGGATTGTCGATCATCGAAATGGCTCTCGGTCATTACCCGTACCCACCCGAGACCTACGCCAACGTGTTCGCTCAGCTCACTGCAATCGTCGACGGCGACCCCCCAGAACTTCCTGAAGACTTTACGGGGACTTCCAGAGACTTTGTTGCCCGTTGCCTGCACAAGATCCCTGATAGACGAGCAACGTACACTGAACTGCTGGTTCGTACCCTCGTTTTGACGCGCATCAAGCCTCGTAATGATTGCTCCGTCACAGGAGCATCCGTTCCTGGTTGAGGACGTCGGTCGCGATGTAGACATGGCTGGGTGGGTGGAGAAAGCGATAGAGGCACGCGAGGCTCGTATCCGAGCACATATCGAAGCTCAAAATCAAGAGCCAACGTCGTAGACCCTCAGCGAACACGGGCCCCACACCACAGCTCGCGGACTCGAGGCTGATTTGCCTCGTCTGCATGTACTGGCCGCTTCGCCCGGTTTCAGACGTCAACCACCTGGCTTATACCGGGGTCAAACATCTTCAGACCCCATCGCTACTATCCTTCGTCTCGACGCTTCCCAGCACACACACCTACCCACCAAGACGTCGTCTGCGGCTCCAGGACCACACATTCCGCTCGCACTTCGCCTCCAACCCGATCCACACGATGTACCTCGCACGTGCATATCTCCTACCGACGTCCGGACAGCTGTTACGGTGGATAGATTGGTCGTGGAGCTTGGTGTTGGGCTTTGGCTGTGACCGGGGCCTTCGCGATGGGTGACTCGCGCCATGTTGCATGTCGTTCGACGCCAGGGGCGAGTACTTTGTCGTTTCTTGCTTGGCGTCCATGATGTATGCGTCGGGCTCGCAGGCGACGGGGATTCCGGCTGCAACTATATATCATAGTCGCGGTATATTGCACGCATGTATATACGGTTCATCCATCCTCGCGACGTACTGGTTTGCGTGCGCAGGTGGATGTGTAATGTCTACATATTCTTATGGTGTCTTTAAATGTGATATTCGCGTCAAAACCGTTCCGAGTGACCTAATAAGTGGTATGCGACGTCCACAGAAGAGTGGCCGTAGAACGCATGTCACGTGGCGGCGCGAAGTGACACGTCCTCGGACCAGTCGCGCACTGAAACGTTCTCCCCGTCCCTCGACGTGTTCTCTGCGCTACCCGGCCTTGGCAGATATTCAGCCCTCTGCTGCAGGCGGCGTTTGTATTCCATCCTAGTTTCCTACTCTCTCGTCTTCCAGCATGTGGCTTTCAGATGGGCAAAGTGCGTCGTCCATATGCTCGCATGCCTCATGATTTGTTCACCCCCGGCTCCGCAGAGATCGGTGTCGCGCTCACGACATTCGGGGGCCTCTTCATGCTCCTGGGGGTGATGCTCTTCTTCGACGGCGCGCTGCTCGCCTTGGGAAACGTATGTCCACCGCGCCCTCTCTCGTGGATCCGCCTCGCCTGACACTCCGCCTGGTCGTGTGCCCCACACGTCCTTCACCGCAGATCCTCTTTATTTCAGGGCTGACCCTCATCATCGGGCCCCACAAAACGTTCTACTTTTTCGCGCGGAAACAGAAGCTGCGTGGGACGCCTGCTTCATCGGCGGCATCCTCCTCGTCTTCTTCAAATGGCCGTTCGTGGGCATGATCGTAGAGACCTTCGGGTTCTTGAACCTCTTCGGGTGCGTATCACGCTCTTCGCCCACCCTGCACGCACCCTGTCCCCTCCCCTCCCCACCGCATCCCCCTACCTCCCACGTCATTCTCGCGCCTGTGTCCCCCGCGTCCAGGGCTCGACTGACGCACGGCCGCAGGGATTTCTTCCCCGTCATCCTCACCTTCCTGCGCCAGCTGCCGTTCGTCGGCCAGCTGCTGAACATGCCGTACATTCGGGATGTGAGTGCCGTCTTCATTCCCCTCGCGCGCACGTCCGCTGACGCCCCGCTCTCGCGTTCGTGCAGGTCGCGGATCGGATCGCGGGCTCTCGGACGTCTATTGTATGAGCCATGGTCTAGTGCAATATACTCCACCTATACACGCGACGCTCCGCTCTGGCGCGTGTGTACCGCACGCTCACCGTTGTGCGGTCCGCAGCAAGCTGTGCGACCATACTTAGGACACAGACTGCGGGGCGTGCGGAGGGCTGTGTGCACTGGACACCTTGTTCCTGTTCGCGGTAGACGGACACAGTTCGTGAATAAGTTACGAAGCGCGTCCCTGAATGTTCGACGTTTTTTTTTTTTTTTTTTTTTGTCGTCCTCGTTTAACGCCCTCGAGGGCAGAGCCCTATGGTAGGCGTACAGTACACAAGCTAAATCTACGCGATCAGAGTGGGTTCTCGACACGGGGGGGGAAAGCGTCAGCTACACAAATGCCCCGGAGGGCGGGAGAGATGCGGGGGCGGTACCCAATGTTCGACGTTCAAACGTTCAACGTTCAGCGGTCCGTTCCATCGTGCCGCCGCCCTCCGAAGACTGCGGATTGTGGCCTCGGGATGTCAGCACGGCGCGCTGCGCGCAGCTGAGAGATATGTTGCCCCACGAGAGTGAGACGATATTCGGTCTGGCGATTTCTCGTTCGGGGCTCTGCTTACGCGACGACTAACGTTGTGGCGCGTCCTCTTGGCGATGCGAGAGCGCGGTAACAGAGCAAGCGGCAGAGGCGAGTCACGGCGTCCAGTGCTCATCCGCCCGTCGCCAAGGCACCTGTGCTCGGATAATGAGGTGAAGGAAACATGATATAGTATCTAGCTAGAGGGAGTGTGGATGTGATGCAGTGCAACTAATGGTCATTACGGGTACGTAGGCACATCAGACTGGTCGGCCGGTCGGTTTCCATTGTCGCCAGCGGTCGCGGGGGCTTTGTTGGCGCGGATCTCGGGCATGTCCAAACAAGTCTGGTGTTGAGTGTAGAACGCCAAAGTGAATGTGAAAAGACACGTCTGTGCGCGAGGTGCACACACTGTGGACGCAGGAACAGTCGCGATCTTTCGAGTCAGCGCTGACAACTCGGCGACGAAAGAGTGGAAAACGGAGGCAAAGGCTAAATTTAAAGCGGAGCTGGCGAAGTCACACCCGGGACTCGGGAGCGCGATCACATGACCATGTTGACATTGGGTTCACACGCGTTGGAAACCGCCAGCTGGGCCGTGGCATATACCGCAAGGTGCCACTCCCCCAACCACATCCCGTCCCGCTCACCTCCCCGCCCGTCCCGACGACGGCGCGTTCCTCTCCGCTCCTGGCCGCCCTCCGGACAAGTCAAGCCTGTCTCCCGGCCCGCCTCTAGCATTTTCTCCAGTCCGAACCACCCTCCACACCCTCCTTTGTCCTCCGCAGTCATGCTCCTCTCTCCAAACCGCGAGTACGTCTCGTTCAGACAATCAAAACGCGACTCCAGCATGTCTCCCTGTCGAGCTTCATCCCCCCTCTTCCACCACACACCCCCCAACGCCAACTCCTCCCTCACGTACGACACGCCCATGCTTTCCCCATCCCCTCGCAAGCGACGAGCCCTCCCCAGTCCCGGTCCAGTGGACCCGGACGATGTCTTCCAGTCTCCTCTGCGGAGCTACAACTTCCACTCCCACCAAACGCCCCCGGGGCCGCCAGATTCGTCCATGCTCGTCGACGAAGATACGGATCTCTTCCTGGGCCCCTCCCCATCCTCCTCCGCCCCGTTCGCATCGTCCTCCCCTGCTTTCTTTCGAACGCCGCGTCGAATTCCCATGCGAGATCTTCTGGGCGGCTCCCCGCAGTTCTCACCCGATCGCCCTGCTTTGTCCCTCAAGCGTCTCAACGGCTCATCGGGACCGTTCCAGCCCGCCGGCCTTAGCGTCAAGCGCAAGTCGACCACCACGCCGTCGCGCAGTCGCACCATGACCCCGCTGAACGTCGCCTCCAACGTGGTCCTGGTTGAGGGAGATCCCTCTTCACTGCTCTTTGACCGGCTCGCCCCCCTCTCCGCTCCGCGTTTCGCACTGCACACGCCACACAATAAAGTGGAGACGGAACTTCACCTGAAGCGACAGGCAGAGACAATGACCATGCTGAGCCTTCGCGACCTGGACGGCTCGGGAGACGAGAGCGGCTATGACTCTGACCATCAAATTGGCTCTGTGCGGACAATGGGACACCAGCCCTTTCTGCTTTTGGACAGCCCCGGCGGCTCCGTTGGCCCCTTCGCCTCGACAAAGGCTCGCATGAAGACAAAGGAACTCTCCAGGGCGGAGTCACCTAGCCCTGAGTCTTCAAGCCTCAGCGACGTAGCGACCAAGGACGATGAGGTGGCCGAGGCGGTCTCTCCCGACGGCCACGTTTCCAAACGACGTGCTCGCTCCCGCCCCGTCTCTTTAGAGCTGCTTGAAGCGGTCCACAATACGCCCGTGAACCCCTTCGGTCAGGTGAGTCCTCATTTTCCTCCCCGCCCCACGCTCCTGATAGCCGCGGGCCTCACCACTGCAGGTTTCCTTTACTCCACGAATAAGCCATCCAGCGTCTCCGAGCACTGTAACCTTCCCTTCCGCCCGCAACATGCGCCCCCGCAAGACGTCCGACTCGTCAGTTGCCTCATCTGATGCCGGGTCTCCTCGTCGCCCCAGCGCTGCCGGCGCTACGCGCACAAGGACGCAGTCTCACACTAGCCGTACCCTCAATCGCCTTCAGAGCACGAGTTCCGCCACTCTGTTCTTTGGTCCGTCCATCCCCAACACTGCGCGAAAGGAGAAGAAGTCGACGAGGACTGTGTCGACGACCAACACTCCTGTCGCTCCGCGCACGCGCCGGGCGGAACAGTCCGCAAAGGCCACTAACCGCCACAGTTACGCTGGGGCAGACGGTTCGCCCACCTGGGTCAGTCGCTCTCCCGCGACCCCAGGTCTGCCTTCAACGCCACCTCCCGCCGCTGGCCGGAAGCGGGTGGACTCGGACGACGCAGAAGCCGATCTTTTCTTCAACAGCGGTGCCGCGGACTCGTCCTTTGCCATCAGTCTGAAGCGACTTAGCACGCCCAGCCCGAAGAAGAAGCAGAAGCGCGAGTCACTTGACCCACTGCCCAGGAAATTTAGGTCGCGCGACTCCGGTGTTGTCCTCACCGACAGCGATGAAGACCTCGATCTGCCGTTGGAGACCGACAAGAACTACCTCATGGCCGCTATGCCGCGAGCCTCGAGTTCCGTGAGCACGGTGGCATCCGACGACCATGGGCTGCTTACCCCTGGGGTCGGCCCCTCTCTAGAGTCCGGCTGGCCAACGGTCGTCAATCCCAGCGACGATGCTCCCGCGACCCACATGGGCATGGGCCGCAGCGTTGACGCGTTCATCCTCAAGACGCTCGCGCAGGGCGGCACCGTCGCTACCCGCGGGGACGACGAGCATCCCAAACGCGCCCCAGGCACCCCCGTGAAGAAGCTCAAGACCGCACACCTCGTCGGAGGTGTCCAGCGCCCGTGGCAGAGCGCCGTGGCGCACAAGATCGGCTTTAAAGAGTTCGACGACGGCTCCGTCAACGGGATGGGGAAGAAGGCGAAGCCTCGCAAGAGTCTTCCGGCGGCATTCCCTGGCCTCGGCCGCGCGAAAGAGAACAAGACCGCGAAGAAGGAGATGCCACCGCCGCTTCAGGTGGACAGAGACGGGGAGGCGGAGGAGGATGTGGAGAGCCCGACTATGCGGAGGGATGCCAGATACGATGGATTGGGGCTGGGTCGTCCGACGACTGGGATTCCCCAGTTCGCGCGACCCTCAGGCGAGGGGCGACCGGCGAAGGGGCATTGGTTGATGAGGCGAAGCAGCAGCGGTGCGTTCTCTAGCTCCAGCGATGCATCTTCCATCAATGCTACCCCCACGAGACTGACACCGAAAGGTACGTTCCGACGTACGATTGTCTACTGTGGAAACGATTAACGTTTACTCGTAGAGTGGGGTCTCCCTCCTGCTCGCGTGCCCACCCCTTCGTCCCCTCTGAAGCGTGGTCATGAAGACTCTGCTCGCTCTGGTACAACCTCCGGCTCATCATCTGGCACCACTACCGCTACGAACTCTCCCACTCTCCTCACACGGCATCCTTTCGGCAATGTTGCACCTCGAGAGAGGCACAACAGTCAACTTCCCCTCGGCCTCCAAACGCCCGCGCTGTCTCTATTCACCCAACGTCCTCACACCCATGCACATCCCGCCCGGCAAGTACATCCACAAGTACCTATTCGTCAGGCACGTCTCCTTGGTCCATCGAGCGAGGAACACGTGGGCCGCTTTGGACGCGATTTCGCCGAGATCGACGAGCTGGGGAGTGGGGAGTTCGGCCGCGCGATGAAGGTCCGGTACAAGGACCCTAGTCGCGGCGCTGATATCTTCGCTATCAAGAAGTCGAAGCGGTTTGAGGGTTTCAAGCATCGGTAAGTGGTTGGCATCTCGATAGGCTTGGTTTTGTGTCTGACTTGTTTTGGCCCTCTAGACTGCGACTTCGTGAGGAGGTTGAGATCCTCAAGCACCTCTCGGACATCGCCTCACGCCACGGCAGCGGCGGTCACCCAAACATCCTTGGCTACATCGATGGCTGGGAAGAAGACGAGACGTTGTACATTCAAACTGAGCTTTGCGAGCTCGGCAATTTCTCGCATTTCCTCTGGGAGTACGGACGCGCCTTCCAAGTTCTCGATGAGGCTCGCGTCTGGAAAATCATGGCCGAACTCGCTTCTGGACTCCGCTTTATCCACGACGCCAACGTCATCCACCTCGACCTCAAGCCCGCGAACATCTTCCTCACAGGCGAGGGGCGGCTCAAGATCGGGGACTTCGGCATGGCGTCGCTGTGGCCGCGTCCCGTCGGGGAGGGCGAGACCCCTATCATCCCCGGTATAAGACCAAAAGGCTTCGAACGTGAGGGCGACAAGCTTTACCTCGCACCGGAAGTTCTTCAAGGCCGGTATGGCAAGGCGGCAGACGTGTTCAGCCTTGGGATGACTATGCTGGAAACTGCTTCCAACATCGTGGTACCCGACCAGTACGTACTTACAGTTCCTCGAGTGGCTCTCGTGCTAACAAGCTCCCTGCAGAGGTGAAGCATGGCACCGTCTCCGTCGAGAGGACTTCAGCCAAGTTCAGCTTGACACCAGTCCCGAGCTGTGGGACCTGCTGAAGAGCATGATGCGCGCTGCTCCCGCTCTGCGGATCGGGATCGCACTTGTGGATACGCACCCCGTCGTAATGCGGGCCCGTCGGTCGATGGAGCGCATGCGGTCTCAGTATGGTCCCGTGTTCGGTGCTTCCCCTCTCGGTGCTGTTCCTCCAGGCTTCTTGGACGAGATCCTCGCTCGCGGCGGCGGCCACGACGCAGACGACGATTGGGAGATGGATCTCGAGCTCTGAAGTCCCCCGTCGTCTGCCGACCTCGTTGGGTTGTACATAGCCGCTGGTGGTGATGGGGTGGATGTGAGCGATTACTCGCTGTGTAGTGTTGTGGGCTATGCTTTCCTCTGCCTACTTTTTATTCCTCGTTATGACCCTGCTCGTTGTTCTATCGCTGGCTCGCGCCGCAGGGACGGGCCAGCCTTGGTTATGACCCATATTCTTGCCTACTTATGTACCACCATTTGCAATGCCGCCTACCTTCCCCTCTCGTATGCCCATTCACATTCCCGGTCTCATCATGACTTGCCTATGGCTGTTTCCTTTCTCACCACACATACAGTATCTGCAATCGCTCGATCACCTGCATCCACCTCATCCCACCTCCCACATGCGGACAACGTATTTATACCCTCGCACCCGGTCGTCCCTACCGCTATCGCTACATAATCCCTCGCACCCGGATTTCTTCTTCCCGTCCATCTCTCGCCGTCGCCCCCGCGTCCTGGCGGGTGATGCGTAATGTTCAATGTTGGTACACTAGATAGATCATTTGGTTTTCACGCTGCGTGCACGCCCGTACGTCCCCCCGGTTTCGTGTCCACCCGTCCGTCCACTACCCCTCGTCCCTCGTCCCCTCAGCACGTCCACCTCTTGGTTACTACTCACGACTCACGACCGCACGACCGCCCATCCTCTCCCCACTCGACACGACCCCGGAATCGTTCAGTTTACCCTGTGTTATTATCGCACCCTGTCGCACGCACCTTGCATTTGTTGGTAGTCAGTCTCCCCGTCGGGCACTGTAGGTAGTAGTAGAAGATACGGAAATGCACCTCTCGCGCGATCAGTGGGCTTGAAGTGTGCCGTTTGTGGTGTTTGGAACTGGGTTTGGCCGGCCCTGAAGGCGTCGGTGGCGTCGAGTGGTTCGAGTTACGGCGCGGAGTCCCAGATTTCGAACTTCCTTCTCACCATGTCATCTGCAACATGTTATTATGAACGCGCTGTTTGTGACCTCAAGTCAGATATCCAGACTCGAACGCCTCTGGCCGCCAGTTGCTTTCTTCGATATCGCCTGAACCGCCGGACTTCGGACCGCCTCTCGCGTGGGATTCATATCGATATGGACGACACGAGAGAGCTCGCATGACGAGGCTTCCTCTAGCAACCGTCTCCTGCGATGGACAGCACTTTCAACGTACTCATCGTCGGTGCTGGAGAAATTAACTTTGGCATGTCGCGAGTGGCGCATACATGCTCCTCCGCACAGTCGCTGACGACGCCGCGCCGCAGGGTCAGTGGAAGGACCGTGGAATCACGCAAGTCTTGTGCACTCGCTGCTTTAGGTACCCTCGCACTGACGAGCACGCCCGTCACAGAGCCTCCGACTCGAAAGGCAAGAGACCCGTCTCGTCCCAGCTCTCCATGTGCGTGCGCTCGCTGACGACCACGCGGCGCGATCCAGGATCCTCGGCCCACGTCTCCGCGTCGTCGGTCTCATCGACCCCGACGCTGCCCGGGCTGACGTCGCGTTGACGTCGAAACTCGCCTCTCCCGCCGCCAGCTCCTGGAAAGACTGCAAGGCGTTGCCGTCCGTCGCCGCAGCTGCCGGGGTGCTCGCCCTGGGCGCCCTTCCGCGGTCCGTCTCCACCCCACGTTAACTGGCTAGCAGGTAGGCTGACCCGCGGCGAGACAGGCTGGCGATCGTAGGGGCGCCGCCGGGGGTGCGGGGGAGCGACGAGCCCGGGCGGGATCTGGAGCTGCAGCTCGCGCGGGCGTTCCCGGGGTGCGCGCTGTTCGTCGAGAAGCCGGTGAGCAGCGGCGGGGCGGAGGGGTGCTGGCGGGTCGCGCGGGAGCTCGCGGCGCGCGGGACGCTGGTCGGGGTCGGGTACATGCTCCGGTATCTGAAAGGTGCGTCGGAGAGGAGATCTCTGGAGGGACGAATATGGCGGCCGCTGAGGAGACACACACCGGACAGCGGTGCAGACGATCAAGTGCGCACGTCTGCCTCCGCCGGTCGATCGATGGTTCTCGCTGATTTCGAGGGGGCAGGGAGGCGATCGCGGCGGAGGGGCTCGTCGTCATGGGCACGAATGTGCGGTACGTCATGGCCTAGTGAGTGCTCCGCTCGTCCCGCCGGGCGGGGGTCTGATCGCTCCCCGCGCGCTGGAGCGAGTACGCGCGCAAGCCGGTGAGTGCCGGCGGGGAGCTGTCGATCGTCGCCGTCTGAAACGCTTCCGGCGCAGGCCTGGTGGGACAAAACGATCTCGGGCGGGGGTGAGCGCGAGCGTGTCGGGCTCGGCCAACTGCTCACAGCGCTGACCGCCGATGGGCCCAGCCATCGTCGAGCAGGCGACCCATTTCTGTGAGTGCCCTCAATCCAGCGCTCCCATTTCTCTCATTTGTTTCCAGGCGATCTGTCGCGTTACTTCGCGGGCGACGTCCATCTGCCGTCCGTCGTCGCCCACTCCGTCCAGCATCACGAGCCTCCTGGCCATCTTTCCGCCAAACGGTTCGACGAGGACCCAATCCCCGCTGAAAACCGCCTGCCCAGGCTCACCAGCGCGACCTGGAAATACACGCACGGCGCCGTGGGTACCCTCACCCACGTGATCGCGCTCCACGGTTCGTGCGCATCCCCTCTTGAAGCAGCAGGATCGATTGCCTCACCCGCGGTGGACCAGGGACTACGTACGACACCGAGCTCGACGTCTACGCGGACGGTTACCACTTCAAGCTCGTCGACCTCTATTCCGCCCCCACGCTCTCCATCCGCATGCCCGGAGCAGTCGAGCTCGGTGAGAGACTGCTGCTTCCTGTGCACATGCTCCCCGCCGCTTACCATTGCGATCTATGCCGTCAGAGATGATCAGATTCGGGGACGTGAGCCTCTCTTTTCCCACTCGTGCGCCCGTGCCTCCCGCTTACGAGCTTGTTGCGCGTGATGGCCGCCATAGGACGACCCCTTCGAGACCGAACTCGCAACGTTCATCGACGTCGTCGACGGCCGGCGCCCCCGCGACGCCATCCAGAGCAGCTACGCAGATGCCATCGGGACGTACGAGCTGGTACGTGCGCCCACTCCCCCTCATCGAGTGCGAATCTAACTACAAACGCTCTCAGACGTGGGCGATCCGGCGCGCGAGCGAGCGCGCCGCCGACGAGTACGGCATCGCACCTGGCGCAGCTGGCGATTCTTAATGTTAATGTGATGAGCGCATGTGGTGTGCGCAGGACCCCCGGCTTCTTAACTTCATCCCGCTCTCCTTAATTGGACCCGTCGCTGTGGTGTGTGCGCGCCGTGTATGCGCTCGTCGTACACGCCGCACCGCACTCGGGACCACGCCCGACCGACCGCGGCAAGCACGCGCTGCGGGATCAAACGTCCGACGAGGACGTGCGACGACCCCGGAGGATCACCCACTGCACGATCGCACGTACCGTCCACCGTCCGGGGTGCGCGCGCGGGGGGACCATGTGCTCTCCCACTGCATCCCGGGCCCTGCGTCGCGCGCACTGTGTACGCGCACGACGGAGTCGAACGCGCCGGACGACGCGCGACGCGCGAGGACACCGACGCAGGGTCGTCGAGGTATGGTGCGCCGCGCTCGACGCCAGCCCGCCCGCCCGCGCCCTGCACCCGCCGAGGCAGGACTGCAAGTGCGATCGAGCACGCAGGGAAGCCGCCTGCAGATCCCGTTCCCTGCCCTGCCCTGCCCCGGCCCGTCCCTCTCGCCGCGCACCCAGAACGAAGATGGTCGATCTCCGAACACCGTCAGGCCCCCCCGCCGTTCTGTGCTGCGCTGCCCCCCGCCCATCGAGAGCAGGCACGAACCGCAACCGCGCGAACTCAAATTCAGATCTAACGGCGGGCAGGGGGGTGCCTGCCGGCACGTGCGGGTCAGCAGTGCAAGGGTCGACCGTCGGGCACGCACGCACTCAGCACAGGCGGAGCACTAGCGGCCCCAGGCACTCCGGCGCACGAACCCCCGACGGCGAGCCCTCCGCGCGAGCTCCGCCAGGTGCTGCTGCAGGGTGGGTCGCTCGACGCGCGCCTGGGAGCCGGGGAGAGCGCGACTGGACCCGCGCGGCTTCTCTGCCCGGCCGAGTGCCACGGGGCGCACAGCGATGTGGGGGCGGCCCCACCCCCTCCGCGAAGTTCGCCGTCGAGACTGTGCAAAACGTCGCGAGCCCTCGACAGGCAGTGGGATCGTCACGGTCCTGCTTCCTCGCTCCCACCCTGCGCCCGACGCGATGCATGTACATGCGTCTCTGTGGTCGACGTAGATCTGCACGAGAGAAGACACAGCGTGTGGGACATCGCCATTCCGACGACGCGTCTTCCGCCCGCCCGTCTGTCGCCTTGCGCACTGTCACGACGTGCAGACAGACGCCCCGGTGCGTGCCGGGGGAGGCTTCTGCGGATCCCTCTGCGACTTCGCGCGCGTATCCGCTGCGTCTTCGTCACGAGTGAGTTCACCCCTCCACCAGCCGCCACCGCGTGCAGCTGATCCAAGACATATCCCAGACGAACCGCTTCAGGCCTCGGATCTCTCGCCCATCCGGAGCCCCGAACGACCGCTGCCGTCGGACGCCGCCCGCGCTCGCGGGTGGCGGGGCGGTAAGTAGGACCGAGCGTGCGTGCCTGCCGGCGCACGCGCGCGGGTCCGTACGTTGGTGTCTCACCGCGCCACCGCCGGACGAGAGGCGTGTCGTGTCGGTCACTCAAGACAATCCCACGTGGCGCTCGCGGACCGCCGCCGGCCTGACCCGCCCCCACTCGTCCTCCGTTACAAGCATGAGAACTGCGATCGAGCGGGTCTCAGTCAGCGCGCGGCCGGCCGCACGGGGCGTCCGGTGGGGTCGACGTGCGCACGGATTGGAGGCGGCTCGCGGCGCGCTCCGGAGCGCGTTGACTGGCGGGGCGCTCGGTCGCGAATTGTAGCAGTCGGTTTACCTTTAGAGTTGGCGCTCAGCCGCCGGGCGATCGTACGTCGTCGTGTTCATAGGGGGGGCCGCGCCCCGTATTGCGCGAACAGGAGCGCACGCTCGAGGAGGATCGCGCCAGGCTCCAGTCCGGAACCCCTCGCGCGCGCGGGATCGCTGCGCCAACGTCGGCCCGGGGGGGGGCAGACTGCGTATGTAAGAAGTGACGGAGATCGAGGGATCGGCGGCGGGCTCTGCGACCGGCCGGGTGGTTTTGCCCCCCTCTGCAGACTGCGCCCCTCTGTCCAGCGACGACCGTGCACGGAAAGGCACGCCGCCGCGGCTCGAGCTCGCGCGGGCCTAGCGGCCGTGCGCCCGTGCGAGCGCAAAACCGAATCTCAATCTCGCACGACAGACACACGTCGCGATCGACGTCGGGCGCCCCGCCTGCCCTGCCCCGTCTCTAGCCCTCTCTCCCTCCGCGCCCGCACGTCAAGGTCGCGTCGGGTAGAGAGAGAGATGAATAAGCCGTCTACGCTATCAAGCAATACAAATCACACAGTTTACCACAGAGGACGTGCGTTGCTACGTCGGCGGCTCGCGCGCGCGAGCTCGCTCTTAGCGGAACCCGCGTCCGTGAGCTCTGGGGTCTGGGAGCTGCCAGTATGTAAGTGCTGGGCACCGGGCACTGGCACCGCCCTGGCCGCGCGGTTCACGGCTCCGGCGTGTCACGTCGTCGCGCCGTGGTTAGCGTGTGTCTCGCCACCTTAGCACTGGTAGTGACTAGTTCCACGAGCGCCGAGCGTTCCGATAACACCCCGGCGGAGCAGACGCCCCACGTCCGCATCCTGGACTATGCTCGCGATCGCACGCAGAACGTCGACGCCGCTCTCGAGTCGACCGCTCGCCCTCAGCTGGCGTTCATTCGGGCCTCGGTTCCGCGCCGAACGAGCACTCCAAGTGCTAACTAATGTCCGCACCGCCGGCCGGTCGCCGTGCACGAGGGCACGTTAGCTCCCGCGCGCGGCCACTAACCTCGAATGACGAGCACTGTACATAAACGTTCAAGCGCGAACGCCGGACGCTGGCCTGGGACGCTTCACGCGCCTGCCTGCGAGCTGCCAGCCGGAGACGTCTGGGGACGGCGGTGTGCGCTTGGGAGCTGTGCGCATACGGTGCGGTCGAGCGTACTTGGAGCACTTACGTGTGGCACATGCGGCGAAGCTCCGAAGCCCGCGAAGCTCGAAGGTGCGAAGGCGTGTACACACATACGTGAAGCTTTGAAGCGTGCGCCAGGCTGGATGACGTCTTCCGCGCGTTCGCCCCGCCCCGGGGCGGTGCACGCACGTCCTCCCGTCCGTGCATGCGCTCTCGGAGCGCGAGCGGACACACGCTGTGCGTGTCGCCCGCACTGTCGCTGCCCAAGCAAACGCTGCTTGTTTTTTGATCGGACGCGTGGGCCGCGACAGGTCCGGGTGCGGCGCCTCCCAGTCGCTTTCCGACGTGAGCTTGTCAGCGCTCGCACAACGGGCGCGGCGAGCTCAGCGGCCGGAAGCCTGCGGTGCCGCGATAGTCTAGTGGTGGTGGCGGCTCACGAGACGGGGCGGTCGTCCGGTGTAGGCTGCCCCAGGCAGCCTTTCTGACCGTCCGGTGTGCGGTGCGGTGCCTGCGGTCGACGTTAGGCTCGTCCTTAGGTGCGCCACAGGTCCGCCTTGGTTTGGGTTGCCGGAACACACGCACGTCGGGACTGGCGGTGATGGACAACCTTCCGGCCTGTGGCCTCTCTCGAGCGACCGAGGGCTGCTAGAACGCAGGGCGCTGGGACGGAGACGACGCGGGAGTGAAAGGGGGAGAGCCGACGTGACAGGACGAGGGTTATCGCCGTAGATATGTTCCCGATGGCGATGATCTTGCAACGCGACCCTGGGCGCACGCCCGGAGACGCCCGGGCGGGCGGCCCAGCCAATCACCGCCCACCCGCCGGCGTTGGTGCTCGACCGCATCGCGAAAGGACTCGCAGGACTGAGTTGCGCGCGAGCCCAGGCGTCGCGCGCGTTCGCGCGGCACGTCGCCCGTCGCCATCACCGTCTCGCAGTCGCGAGCGACGGCGGCACTCGCTGGAGCCCCGAGCTGAATTGGTGGGGGAAGCAGCGCAGACGCATGACACCGTGACACGAACCATCGCGCTCGAGGCCTCGCGCTGACAGCACTCGTCGAGTGCTCGGCCGCAGGAAGGCCGCGGGCCCGCGCGGGGCGGCAGCGGCAGCGGCCCCGCACGAGTCGACGTCGATGTCGACCACCCGCCGTCTGCGCTGCGCGCGCGCGGGCCAAGTGTTTCGTGCACCCCGCCGGCCGATAATGAATATTATGAATTTCGGAGGCGAGTCGGGGACGACGACGGCGGCGGCGGCGGCGGATCGAGTGCGCTGGGGCGGACGACCATGTGGGCGCACTCGCGAAGTCGCAGCACGCGCAGGGTCGCGGGGACGTCGGGCGGGCGAGGAATAGACTTTGCGGAGGCTGTCTGCGCACGCGTCGGGCGTCGTGCGCGGGCGCGCGCTCGTGCTGGAGGAGGGACGCGTTGACGCGTTGAGGCCGCAGGCAGGCCTCGCGCGCGAGCTCAGCGGCGGACAGGGACGGGGGCATGTAGCCATTCCCGGCGAGGAGCGTGCATGCCCGCGATCGCCCGCTCAAACCCCCGCCGTGCGAACGGCGCGCTGGGTGGCTGGGTCAGGGCGTGAACATGGCCGTCCTGCGTCGAGTGTGGGTCGGGGGATGGGAGGAGGAGGGAGCGCGCGGGGGGAGGGGCGGTCATGGGGGGCGGCGCGTGGGATGGAGGAAAGGAGGGCGCGGGGGCGATGTCGGCGCGGGGCGGGAGATCGTGCAGATCGCGGGGGCAGGGCCACGGCAGGGAGCGCGCGTGGATGGCCCGTGGGCGAGGCTTCCGTGCGAGAGGCGCCCGAGGGTTCCTGATCAGACCGCTGGCTACGGCAACCGCCCCGGACAAGAGCCCTCCAAGTCCCTCCTGCCACCACTCCCGCCTCGCCAGCGCCGCCAACTTTTCGTCTTCTTCTTCCCTCCGCCCCCCTCCTCCTCCCGTCCCCCTCCCCCCCGCGCAGGCGACCACCCGGCCGTCCTCCGATGCTCGACAGCCCTGCCCACGATCGTGCGCCCCATCAGAACCCCCGACATCCCCAGCCCGCGCTATACCACTACCCCCACTCCGTCTCTCTCCCGCACAACTCCATCCACCACCACCCCTTCCCCATCCCCACGCCGTCCCTCGACCCCGCCCCCCACTACCCCCTCGACCACCCACAAGACTCCCGCCCCTCCACACCCACACCTGCGTCCCCGCCCTCCTCCTTCCGGCATGGACCCTGCCCAGCAGGTCGACGTCCGTTCCTTCTTCCCCTACACCCCCAACGAGGTCAAGCACCGCAAGCGCACCACCCGCTCCCAGCTCAAGGTCCTCGAGGATGTCTACACCTACGACACCAAGCCCAACGCGTCCCTTCGCAAGAGCCTCGCCCAGGAGCTCGAGATGACCCCTCGCGGTGTCCAGGTTCGTGTTTCCTCAACCTTTCACGCGCTGTCCGCCCCTCCATCCCCCTCCCCGACATTCTCCCTCTGTTGTTCTCCCGCCCCTGTGCACGCTCTTATCGTCTACCTTCTCCCAGGTTTGGTTCCAGAACAGACGAGCCAAGACGAAGCAGCAGCTCAAGAAGAAGGAGGCTCAGACCGCCGCGGCCGCCAAGGGCGCATCCGCCTCGACTGACACGCTCCCTGAACAGCCTGTAACCGCTGCTCTTGACGATTGCGATGATGAACTCAAGGACGAGGACGCGCCCTCTCCGGCGCTTCCCGCGACTCCCCTCCCACCCCACGCAGCCGAGGACAGCAGGGGCCAGGACGCAGCGCAAGCTGCCCATTCAGACGTCCCGCCCGTCTCGAGCGAGGAAGAGCTCATCAAGCCAGCTACCGACAGTCGCAGAGGGTCTATCGCACCACCCCTCCCGCCTCCGACATGGGCGCCGTCCCCCTCTACCTCGGCCCCCGCCCTCCCTCAGCCTGCAACGACGCCTTCCTCTCTCAGCAGCCCGAGCCTGCCCGCGCACGCGCATGCGCCCGTTCATGTACGCAATCCGTCCGCCCCGCCCCCTCCGAACGCGTACTCGCACTCCCACATCGCTCCGGCCGACGTCTTCCACCGTCGTCCCTCGCTTCCGGGCACGATCCTTGCTGGCACCGGGCACATCAGCGGCGCCCTCCAGAATCGCGGCTTTAGTCCCTCGGCGCGGAGAGGCTCCTCGGACATGAGCCGCTACTCTAGCCATCCGTACGCGCGCCATGCCGTGACAGCGAGCGGTCATGGTGGGATCCCGGAGAACGAGGACGCGTGCCCGCCCCCTCAGCTCACCCGTCGGCCGTCCTCGTACACCGGCCAGGGCATCCGTTCGGGCGTGCACAACCTCCATCACGCGCACTCGTTCACCTTCATGTCCTCGCAGGCACAGCAGCCCCCGACGCTCCCGACCCAGGCGCAGTACGACATGTCGCCCATCGCGATGGCTGTCCACCACCCGCACAACTACGATCTCTCTGTCTCGCGGCACTCGATCGATGGCTCTCCCCGCGGTCTCATGCAGGCCCACGCCCACCTGGGCCACCTCGGGCCTGGACCGCTCGACAACGGCGCAGGGTTCAACATGAGCATGGGCAGTGTGGCGCCCCACGAGCAGCACCAGCCAGCGTACGCGATCTCCCAGCGGTCGATTGCGCCGCCGCCGCCCGGCCCGCTTCCGTCGCCCAACTACTCGTTCGGGAACCCGTTCGCGCCCCCGGCCAACTCAGCGTCCACGTCGTCGAGCAACTCGGCCAGCACGACGCCCCCACACGGGTCGTCGCCCCCGCTCTTGTCGTTGCCCAGGCGTCACAGCGAAGGCGGTTTCTCCGACGCGGACACGGAGGAGAGCAGCGCGGGCCGTTGTCGCGGTTTGGGAGCGTGGCGAGCGTGGGTGCGGGCAGCGAGGTCAGCTGGACGAGCGCGTTCACTTCGGACGGAGGGCACGTCGAGGGCGCGGAGGACGCGAACATCTCCGCGAGCAGGCGGCAAAGCTGGTGAGTGTCCTGTTCGTTGTCGCGTTTCGTCTCTGCGTTCCCATTTCCCCTAAGCGCCGTCGCTTCTGCCTCCGACGGGCGCGGCGGCCGCTGCACTGCGAGCATCTCCCGCTGACCTGCTGTCCGTTTTTAGCACGTCGGGGCCCTTCCTCGAGATGTTCTCCGACCTCGACGTCAACAGCCGGAGTACGCCCGCGCCGCCGGTGGGCCACGAATCACACCACCTCCAGCACGCGTCGTCGTCTTCGTCGTCGTCGCACTTGTCTCCGATCCCCTATCCTCAGCACCTCGCGCAAGGGCACTCTCCCGATGCTCTTGGTTCCCAGTCCCCTCAAATGCACTCGTCCCCAGACGCCGACGGGGGCTATCCGTCGCCATCTTCGACGATCTCTGCGGGCAGTGGACACAGCCACCAGCACACCATGATGGCAGATCACAACAGCCAGCAGCTCCAGCATGGGATGGGTCAGAGCCACATGACCCACTCTCGTTCAAGCACCTCCAGCGAGCTCGCGTACGCGCTGCAGGCTGCGCCGGAGTACCCGTCGGCGACCTCGGCGAACGTGAAGCAAGAGAGCGCGTCGCACTTCCGGTACCCGCCATATGACCCGAACCCGGTGCCGCAGACCCAGGGCGAGATGCACAACTACTACCCAGTCGAGCAAGCACACCCGGAGTACATGAAGCAGCACGTCGCGCACTTCCCGACCGTGTACGAGGAGTGCGTGTACCCGCCGCCCGCGGAGGGCCACATCTCGGGCGAGGGCACGGACGGCATGGGCGGTGGATACCCGACCGGCGCGATCGAGCTCGGGCACATGTGCGTGCCCGCGTCCGAGGGCGTGCACTTCATGGGCGGGTACCTGCAGTACGCGTCGTGACACGCCCGCCGCCCGCTCCTGGATCAAAACGCGCCCGCCGCGGGCCGCCGTGTACTATGTCCTGTTGTTGTGCTCTCTCCTGCTCTGCTGCTCTGCCGCCGTCACCCCCGCCGGCTGTACCTGGCCGTTGTGCCACCTTTGCTGCACCTGCCCGTCCCCTGCTGTTAACCCTGTCTTAATGCTCCTCTTACGCGCATGCTTTCGCCTCATCCGCTCCTCGCAACCGTTTTCCCCGCGCCGCCCGCCGTTCGTTCGTCCTTCTGCGCGCGTGCCCCTGGCACCCAACGACTTATCACGGACTTGCGTCGTCCTCGGGCCGTTTGTCTCTTATTTACATCCGTAAGGTATCTCTTTACAATACAGCCCTTGCGGCCCATGTACACCACCACCCTACCATCCCTGCTCGCTCGTCCGGTCCCACACTCACGCTCACACTCACACCCTCGCTTCCTTCTCGCGCAATCACCAGCCTGTTGCATGCATCCCGTTCCCCGTCCTCCTGATTTCCGACGACCCCCGATCTCCGAGCTTCGATTGCCCACCCTGCCTGGTGCGCGCTCAGGTGACCGCGTCCGTACCCTACACCTCTGTATAGTGCCCGCCCTCTCCCCAGCCGCGCTGGCTGGCCCCCAACCCACACCCACCCTTCATTTAGGCTCCCTTACCGACGCTCCGCCGCGTCGGCGCCGCCCTCACGACCCCGTCCACGCTCATTCGTCTGCCCGCCCGGTCGTTCTCGTCTTCGTCTTCCCTTATTACTCTTATCTTTACGTCGCGCCCGGCCTCGCACTGTTTCCTCTCGTCTGTGTTTCCTAACTCACTCTCACTCTCGCTGCGACTCTCCAGCTCTCACTCCCTCTCACTCTCGCCCGCGCCATTCCCCGGTTTCATCTCCGCTCGCTGCCCTGTGCATAGCTAGTTATCGCTCCTACCGTACCCCCTCCCGCGAGCCGCGTTCGCCCGCCGCTCCGGTAATGACTCGTCGAGTCGTCCCTCCGTACCCGCCGACCGGCGGGCGGCCCGGGCTTCTTGTACATACTGTACAACCGACCTTATATCGAACCTCGAACCAGACACCCGCTACACACGGGCAACGGCCTAGCTTCGGAGCTCGAAAACGCGTAGAAAAAGACTGTGAGAGATCACATCCAAGGGACAAAAACGAATAGTGACCTTCCTTGATGTAACTAAGAAAAAGACAATAAACGTGTATAGTATGCGAGTAACAAAGAATACAAGTGAAACCTGTGTTATTGTCGAACAAGTGGAGAAAGTCACTAGCTCCTGTTTTGTGCCTTGAAATGCACTCCGCTACGTTCGGCTCCGAACCCCCCGTATGCGTTGGTGCCGATCAGGTGCGTGTGCTCGCGCGCAACAGCCACTGCCCGAAATCTGAGATCGCGCGCGCGCGGCGGTGCCCGTACGTGCCGCCTGGTTCGCCGCACCGAGGCTATGCGAGATGTGGACGTCTGGACACTGGTTCGGGGGGAGCATCTGACTATGTACATATGCACTGATGAGAAGGAGACCGAGAGAGAGAGAGAGAGAGAGGGCTTCTGGCGCACTGCGCATGCGGGGGCGGCGGTCACTCGTACGTAAGTGCGTATCTGGCAGGACTGAAGGGCTCCATGGCGTGCATACCCGAGACCCGAGGGCCCGAATCTTCGCTCCCAGAGCTGCTTGAAGCGCTGCGTATGTACATACCTTTCGTAAGGAGCCCGACGCCAAGAGCCGTCCCACGCAATACATGCACCAGACCCCAGCTGACCCCTCCGCTCTGGACCCAAGGCGCGCGGAACGGGGCAGATTGCAGCGCGATCACGCGACCGCCGCCGAGTCCCGACGCCGTACGTGCGACGCGACCCTGCACGGGCCTGCACACGGTGCAGCAACGTCGCGCGCTCGAACCCTGCGGCAGGCGAGCGCCCCCACCCTTCAAAGCTTCAAGCTTCACTCCTTCGACGCGGAAGCCCTTCCTGCATCCGATCGAGCGCGAGCGTTCGCGGAACGAGCGACCGCGGCCCGCTTCCCTGTCGTGCGGACCCTCGAGCTGGCTACGCGACTCCGGGCGGGCGCGTGACCGCGCAGGGACAGCGCTCGCGGTCCCCGCTGGAGGCCACAGGCGAGACCGAGACCGAGGGCACCGGACGCGCGCGCACGCGAGCTCCGCGAAGGACGGGGTTCGTCGCCGTCGCCGTCGGCCGACGCCAGCCGCCAGTCGCCCTGCGCCAGGGCCGTGGACTTGTCGGTGAAACCAGACGGTCGGACGTCGACGGAGAGGGTCGACCCGGCCACCGTCACGGGTGACGCGGACGACTGCAGGATCGGAAGGGGGGAGACGACGTCGCGGAGTGGCTGTGGCTGTGAGCGCGCTGCGTTCGGGCGCGGGCCTCGAGGCGCGGTGCGCGTCGCAAGATGATGTCGATGACCTCTGGGCCGCAGAACGACCCCCGGGGGCGACGTCTGTGGATGGATCGACCGGCGCGCCCCGCGTTCTGGGCGGGAAGGCCCCCGAACGCGGAGTCCGAGGCCCCAGCACGGCCGTCACAGAAGCGTCGACGTCTCGATGATCATGAACGAGGTTCGAGGGGTTCGTTCGCGATTCGGCCGCGCGGCGACGACGACCGCCCCGCCCGCGCGTTGAAAGACGCCAGCCCGGGGTCGCGTCGCGCACGAGCACCCGACAGGGCCGAGTACGTACACGGCAAGTGAGCGCACACGCACCGACGACACCCATGCGCGCGGCCCTCAGACGGAGGCGCGCCCGCAGAGCGCGCGCTAGCCCGTCGCGACCGTCGTCGTGGCCGCGCCGTGCGGCGGGACCGAGCCCGCGCGCTCACCCACGGCGGGAGGGTCCGCGCAGAGCCCGGGAGGTCGGCGCACCGCGGGGACGGCGCGAGCCCTGCGCAATGCGAAGGCGATCGTCGGGAGTAGTGTTGATGAGCTTAAAACACTTGAAACGCTGCTGTGGACTTGGAGATGTGGGAGGATATGGAGTTTGTGCGTGCGATGCTGGGTGATTGCAAGCTGGTGGGCTACAGATGGCCCGGGGAACCTGGTCGGGCGCCCGAGGCTTGATACGGTCAATGATTGGCAGACGGCAACGCTTGCTCCCAACTGTCATAGTTGGTAGTATACAATCGACGCTGCTTCGAATTACAATTTAGTGATATTGGTGGGCGGTGGAATTGGCGGAGGACCGAACGGTGGGGGACCATGTGAATGCGAATGAATACCAGGGAACCTAGGACCATACGCCAACCAAGAGGGCGTCATGAGACCGCCGAGAGGCGTTCCTTCTCGTCCTTCGCCAGCTAAATTGCTCCCACCAGTTCCAGAGACTTGTGCCTGGTTCGTGAGGATGTCGTGCATCTAAATAACCACACCAATCAATACTTCCACCAGTTCCGCCTGAACGAACAAAGAAGAGCATACCTGCATGCGTAGTCCATGCATGGCAGCTCGCACACCCCTCAGCTCCTCCGTTGTTCGTAGAGATTCCGCCGCTCTGGCAGATGCATTGGCCCCAAGCGCGCCTGCCAAAGTTCCGAGGGACGAATGAAGAGAAGCGAGTGTGTCAGGAAGGGGCATGGTCGGATCGAGTGGTGGCAAAGAGATGGCGTAGGCACTACCCGGATATGACGATGCCCCATGTGGATAGGAGCCATGCGCCTGGCCGGAAGTCGCAAACGCATGTGTACCATACATCCCCGTGGGCGGGCCGCCCGGAAAGATAGCCGGGAAGGTCCCAGTAGGAGGACTGGCCGGACCTGGGGGTTGTAACGAGGACGATGGCTGGGTGGAATGTCGCGCAGGGTTCGACATACTTCGACGGCGGTCATCGGTGGCAGACGGTTGTTCCAGAACATCCTCAGCTGGCGGAAAATACGAAGCGATGTCTGTGGGGTCTGGTGAAGCAGTGTGCTCTGGGACAGCGGGAGGAGTTTGCATAGGATCTCGAACGACCGTTCCTGCAGACAGGTGCATGGAAGCATCTGCATCTTCAAATTGAGAATGGGCCATGATGCGAGCCTGGAGATCTTGGGGATACCATGGGCCAAGGGCGTGCTTGACGGCGAACATCTCGCTCCGGAGGGTGTGGACGATGTTCTCCAATGCGGAAAGGCGGACTCGCAGCATAGCATTCTCTGCAACTAGATCCGTTGAAGCACGAGAAGTACTGGTGGGGGGTGGGCAAGAAGAGTCCGACGAGCCAACGTCCTGTCCAGGGGTGGATGCTTGGCATACGAAAGCGTGAAACAAAAGACTACGCACCTCCGGACTCTCGTGCTCGTCCCTCGCAACATCCTCTACTCCTTCGGTATGGTCTTTCTGAGCAGACGAGAGGGCGCATTTATGGTCTTGCAAGTCCTTCTTTAAGACGCGACAAGAGCATGATTCCTCTGGACATGTGATTTCAAGATACTGGCAAGCGTCCTTGAGGTGGACAGGGAGTAAATGTCGTTGGCAGACTGCTCGACACCCCAGAGACTGTCGAGGACAGTTCACGACCAGCTCATCTACAAGCTGTGCGGGTTTTAGATACCGTCATTTTGAAAATTTTGAGAAGACGTACGTTGCGGATGAGAGGATCGGCGGGCTGAAGATCGGCGAGGGCGAGAGGGGTGCGGTCGATGGGACACTGTTGATTGACGGTGATGGCACTGGCAATGCACTCGTAACAAAAAGTGTGGAAACATGTGCGGGTGGTGTAAGGACCAATGAATGGTGATCTGAATGGCGGCAGACCACTCAGACGGTGAGTAGTTGGTGACTACCGGGATGGGCGCACCTGCAAATGCAACAGCACTGTATTGCCTGAATGAGCTGCACAGACACACAGCTATGGTGCTACTTACAAGATTCGGGTTGGGTGACTCGAGATAGTTGTAGGAAGTCATGAGCTGGGTTGCACGACTGGAGTTGCCGCGGCGGAGCTCGGTGACCTCTCACCCGCCGCGCGCCAATTTGCCCGAACGGATCCCCCGGCCCGGCCCCGGCCCTCCGTGAGCCGCCATTCGGTCACAGGTCCTCGTGCAGTGGACTGCGACGGTAAGTGCGAGTTCCACCCTCTCCCTCCCATACTACGCCTTGCACCCCAGCTTGCTCGCGTCAACAGCGTCGTGTCCAGACTGTCGACTTCCGCTCGTGCTACCTTGCCGCCTGCATGGGGACCTGTCGCTGTGTCGACCTCTGCACTACTCCTCAACCTCGCTCACCTGGACGCATCTCGATCGATGCACAGCGCACCATCGGTCCGTTCAAGCATCATCTTGCGGACCGGGGTCCGTTTTTATCTCTCCTCTTAAACTCGGCGGAATGCCGTCCTCCTCCACCTTCGTTCCGCCATGTCTTCCTTCGCCGACACGACTCCTTTCCAGTCCAACCCGATTGAAACAAAGACACAGCTCGCTGAGTACCTCATCGGTCTGCTAGATCCTTTGGCCCCCACACATCTCCTGGTGGCTCCCGTATTCATCTCGGGTTCACTGGCACCCACTACGATGAAACCGCTGCCCAGCTCGAGGGCTTCTCTCGGCCCATCTGGGGTCTGGCATCTCTCCTTGCCGGCGGAACGCCTTACGCTGGAGTAGAGCGCTGGGTCAGAGGCTTCGCCAGCGGCACAAATCCCGACCACGAAGAGTTCTGGGGCCCCATGCGCAACAAGGACCAGCGGATGGTCGAGTGCTCCGCCATCGGCTTTTCGCTTGCTGTCGCGAGGGAGCATATATGGGATCCATTGCCAGACGAGGGGAAACGCCATCTCGAAGAATGGTTGGGAGGGATGAACGACAAAGAGATGCCGAACACGAATTGGCTCTGGTTCCGAGTGCGTAACCAACCCCGCATCTTTTGCATACTTTGTCTGAACCATGGCCCCAGGTCTTCTCCAACCTTGGGCTGTCCAAAGTTGGCTCCCCTCGTTATGATGCGAGCCGTCTGAAGGCAGACATCGATCACTTGGATACCTTCTACATCGGCGAAGGCTGGTCACGGGATGGCCCAGAGGGCGTCGTGCAACTGGACTATTATTCCTCCTCCTTTGCCATTCAGTTCGCCCAGCTCGTCTACTCCAAGCTCGCGCAAAAAGAGGACCCGGTACGTTGCGAAGAATTTAGGAACCGCGCACGCAAGTTCGCCCTTGACTTTGTGCGTTATTTCGATGACGAAGGTGAGCGGACCTTTTATACCCTTTACCGTCGACGAACTCTGACATTCCGTCTCAAGGCCGGGCGGTCCCCTTCGGCAGGAGTCTCACATACCGTGCGGCCATGTCTTCGTTCTGGGGGGCTCTCGCCTTCGCAGACGTAGAACCCCCGGCGCCGCTCACATGGGGCGTCATCAAGGGCTTGCAGCTTCGCAACCTGCGCTTCTGGGCCCGTCAGCCCGGCGCGTACTACAGCGACGGTACCTTCACGATTGGCTACTGCTACCCGAACCTCAACATGACCGAGAACTACAATTCGCCCGGAAGCCCGTACTGGTTTTGCAAGGCGTTCGTCACGCTCTCCCTCCCAGAGTCGCACCCTTTCTGGGCTTCCGCCGAGGAGCCCTACCCCGACTCGCTCAAAAACTCGGTCGCGTCCCTGTACAAGCCCCTGCACATCGCGACCAACCTCGGCGGGCACACCTACATCCTCTCCTCCGGCCAGCAATGCTCCTACCCCGTCAAGCAGAGCGCGGCCAAGTACGGCAAGTTCGCGTACTCCGCCGCCTTCGGGTACTCCGTTCCCGTCGGCTCCCTCACGCTCGAGGAGTACGGCGCCGACAACACGCTCGCACTCTCCGACGACGCCGCCGAGGGCTGGAAGGTCCGCCGCGCGACCGAGGACGCGCGGTTCGAGTCCTCCGCGGACGGGAGCACGACGTGGCTCCGCTCGAACTGGCGGCCCTGGCCGGACGTCGTCGTCGAGACCTTCCTCGTCCCGCCGACGCCCGCGGCGCCGCTCTGGCACCTCCGCGTGCACCGAGTGCGCACCGCGCGCGCGCTGCTATCCGCCGAGGGCGGCTGGCAGGTGCACGGGCAGGCGCGCGACGGCCGCGCGCTCGAGCCCGCGGCCGGGGAGGCGTTCGGCACGCACGAGGGCGGCGGGGAGGCGCGCGCCGCGAGCGCGGCGGGCGTCGTGGGCGTCGCGGAGCTGCGGCCGCGGGCGAGGCCGAGCCGGGTGGGGCGCGCGATGCGCACGGACGCGAACACGAACCTGATGGTGCCGCGCGCGGTGATGCCGACGCTCATGGACTCGCATGAGGCGGGCGGCGGGGACACCTGGCTCGTTACGGGCGTGTTTGGGCTGCCGAGCAAGGCGGGCGCGGAGGGTGCCGCGCCAGGTTGGGAGGCGGAGTGGGAGAAGCGGCCTGCTATCCCGCGGGAGATCGCGGCCCTTATGGAGTAGAGGTCGGGACGCTGCCGAGACCAAACATAATTGTACTAGTGTATCTCACCGTGTTGTTTGCAATTAAGCCGACCGATTATGATTGCGAAGAACGAACAACAAGAAAGCGATCGATGCTACACTCCTAGTCTAGTAGAGTGGTCTCAGGCCTGCAAAGGGCTCTCCTCTTCGCCTGTGCCATTTTTGACAGTCCCATCCTCGATAGCATCGGCCTCAATATCTGCATCGACGCCGTCCGCCTTGCTGTCTTCTGTATCTTCAGGGATCGCCTCCAAGCCGTCCGGGGAGCTAGACTTTCCGTCCACCGCCATGGCAGGATCATCCATCTGCAGTGGCACGCCCGCGGTGAACACCTCGCTGAGCGAGCCGACCGTTGAAACCGCCATGTCCAGGACCGCCTCTACGCGCCGCTTGAGCGCGTCGCTCGAGCTCGTGACAGTCTGCGCCGGTCCGTCAGCAGCCGTGCTCCAGCAGCACACAAGGAGAAAGCACGCGGCGGCTCACCATCGAGAGCAGGTTGATGACGGCGTCGACGTCGTCGAGCGTGACGAGCAGCGCGGGCTCGTGCGCGTCCTCGCCCTGCTCCACGTCGTCCCCCGCCTCGGGCATGTGCAGCTCGACGTCGCCGAAGTGCGCCTCGAGGAACCACGCGAGGCGCGAGATACGCTGCTGCGCCGTGCGCTCCTCGTCCGGGTCCGTGTCCGCGTGTGGGTGCGGGCCCTCAGGCGCGTGCGCGTGCTTGTGCGGGTGGGTAGTCACTGCGACCGCATCGCCATCGTACGGTCAGCGAGGGGAAGCGGCGAGAGCGAGGCGAGAGCGCGCACGTTTCACGGAGGCGGGGCTCGAGTCGATGCCGTTGATGAGCGCGAGGGTCGAGTCCGCGATCATGTCGTTGCTCGCGCTCGAGTCCCACTCGAGCGTAAGCTCCTGTTCCTTCGTCATCTTCACGTCCACCGCACCCATAACCTGTATCACGAGGGGAGAAGGTGTCAGTAGATGGGTTCCCGGGGAGAAGTGTGGCGAGTGCAACGCACCCGCATCGTGGGGACGCCGTCCTTGTCCAAGCCGACCTCGACGGTCCCGTACATGCCCTCCAGGTGCCACCGAACAAGCTCCCAGCCGACACCAAGGGCGACCGTCTGGCGCTGCGTGACGGCGCACGTCGTGAGGCCGGCGAAGTCGCGCAGGTCGCGGGGGTCGAGGAGAGTGTACGAGTAGTCCTTCGCAACAAGCAGACCCGACACCGTCGCTCCGGGTTGGGGGGGCTTCGCGGCGAGGGTACCGATTGCCTGTACAATACATATCCGTTAGAAGATAAGAGTCCTGCACGAGATGTGCACTTGCCTTCGCAACACGCTCGCTACGGAACGTCAGTTCAAGCGTCTCCAGGTTCCGTGGCATGTGGATCTTGACTTCCTCGTCTCGACTCCGATACCTGTCTTGCATGGCAGCCTTGAGACGACCCATACCTGTGGCTTCTCCGTGCACCAGTACCTGGAGGTCTGTTAGATATCTGTAGGCTCTCCAGAGATGGATGCTCACGATGTGTTGTGGCTTGACCAGTTCCATGAACTCGGAATTTTGCGAGTAGTCGACGTGGGCGCTGAAGGAAATGTAGTCGACAGAAAGCTTCCTCGGTAGAGTCCCTCCCTTCATAGTTTGAACCTCTTCCGGCTCGTTGAGGATATCCTAGGAGGCGACGAAGGAAGAATAAACATCAACTCACGTTCTCTCACAGAGGGGGCGCATCACAGGGGGGGCGAGAAAACATGTCCATTGCTTCGCAGTGTACATACAACGCGGTCGAAGAGGTACTCAAAGATCCCGACACTGGCCGGCCCTGATGGTTGTCACTCACCCTCGCCAACGTCCCTTCGACGGAGTACCCTGTGACGATGAGGCCGTTCCGCGAATCAGGGGCCCAGAGCTCGAAAAGCTCTCGGCTCGCGCCCGAGTTCATGAAACCTGGTGAGGCTAGCACGACACAGGGTGGCCCCTCCGCGATTTTGCGTTCCCATCCTCGTTGGCCCGAGACGTTCGTAATATGTCTGAAAGCCTGATTAGCATTGAACGCGAGGATATGAGCAGACGCACTTGAATACAAAGGGGTTGTCGCGCTTGGCAAATCGGGTTCGCACATTCGCATTCATGGTGTGGATATATGTTTGATACACGGCCATACACTTCCTGGCCAGACTTGAGGCATAGTATATTGGTACATTGTGCAAGTCCGGATGCTTCGCCCAGTATTCGTCCAGAATAAGAAGCAACTCTTGTGCTCGCCCCAGAGCAAAGGTGGGGAGGAGCACATGACCCTGCCTCCGAATGATCGAGTGGACGAGGTTAGTGAAACGCACTTCCTTGTCCTCTCTAGGCTCGTGACTTTGGACTCCGTACGTGCTTTCGACGATGAGCACGTCTGGATGCACAGGCGGAATCTCCGCTTTGACAAGGTGACGGTCTTCTTCTCGAGAGTAGTCACCAGTGTAGAGGATTTTGAGGCCAGCAATGTCGATGAGGAACATGCAAGCTCCGAGGACGTGCCCAGCGTGGTAAGGCGTGAAGGAGACACCAGGACAGGGGGTGATGACTTGGTGCGCGGAGACGGGGATAATGGAGGCAAGAGACATGGACATTTCCAGTGGCGTGAACAATGTGTCGGCCGAAGACGAACTAATGATTCACAAGCGGTGAGGGTAGTTGGGAAGCGGAACGAAGGGCGCTCACCTCATACGAACGAAGTCTTGCATCATGAACTTGTGGAGGGCCTTCGTCGGGTGGGTCATGTACACTTTGCCTTTCCCGTCCCGAAAGTTCGTCTGCCCAGCATCTCAGTCCACAGACCACCAGTCAGGTAACAGATGACGCACCTTCTCCATGATGTATGTTAATGCGGCTGCATGGTCAAGGTGGAAGCTAACGCGCGAACGTGAGCTTCGACTCGGGCCAGCGAGTAGTATACACTCACTGTGTTACGAGTAAAACGTCCACCGTACTCCAGTCCAGGTCATCCACGAACGGCAGGGAGGCAATGCCGCTGTATGCGGGATGAACACCCGCGTCGCAGACGATTGTTCGCCCGCGATATTGCAGCACGCAACATGACCGACCGACTTCCTGTCCAGCTCCAAGGGGTGTAATACTGAGCTTGGGCACGTCCGACATGTCGGCTCAGATATTCAAGCCTGCAGGAGTGACGCAGAAAGGGGGGTCCAGTGAAGGGATGTGGTGGAAGATGGGGTCAACTTCAATGGATGCGCGAAGACAGGCGAGGACGCGTGCCACTCTGGTGCGTCAGTCGGCGTCTGGGGCCAGACGCCCTCCTGCGTCGTCTCTTTTTCCTCCGCTCTTGTTCTGCTCTTACGCCTGCTTTTGCAGCTGGTCTCTCGCATATCATCGACGATGGTGTCCAAGCAGCGGAAGCAGGGATCAAGTTTGCTCAGCGTCAAGGCTAAGGACCATGCGCGCGCCTCTACCAAGGTCGCCGCCTTGAAGAAAAAGTCAAAGCACCGGAAAAGTTTGTCCAGCGGCCAGGCTGCCGATGTCGCTGCAGACATCAACAGCATGTCCTCAGAGATCCGGTCTCTGAAGACCAAAGTGCGCATCTCCTCATATCTATTCCCCAGATTTTTTGACCTACATCCGCTCAGCAACCGCCGCAACAACAGCTGAAAGCTCCGGTTCCTCTACCTGAAGTTGCCGTTCACGATTTAGCAGCGGGCTTGCGAGGCCTTTGAACATGACCGTTCTATCCGTTCGTCTTGTCGAATTCTAAACACATGACTCGAGCTTATCTCGTTTGGCGCAGCTCGATGATACGTGCGCATCATTACAGCGGCCTCGCACCGCGGCCCTCGGCCCTCGGGTGCATTCAGGTATGCGACCACGTAACACCCTCTTATTCGTATCCTGAACCAAGTACCCGTGCAGCTATGCAGTCAAGCGCAACTTCGCTTGATGTGTTGTGGTCAACCGTTATACACCGTGCACGATTCCGATTGGTGTTCGGACATGAATTGCAGCCACACCGGTATGGGGGTATAGCATTTGCGTAGGTCTCCATTTCGGAGCTATCTATCTCTTCACGAGCTAACTGGCTGGCTTCCGCACCCGCGTACAGCGCTTTGAGCGCTTGCTTCATTCTCTTGCTTCAATTTCAGAAGCCGAATCGTGTGCCGATGCGCCCCCCTCCACTCCACCAGTCACTTTGTTCAGTCGTGCATGGTAGTACTTAATGGATCTTCATGTGAAGAATCACGGTGTATGAACGATGGAACCTTCACAGACATTCAAGCCCTTATTTCCCCATCATCAGGACCGTCGCTCTCCTTGTCGTCCACAGGAGACTTCACCCACAAGTGGACCCGCTTCCCGTCGAATAGTTCTCCAATTCTATGTAAACGCACTGTCAGCACTCAAGCAGTATACCAGAGGCGCCGCGCTCACTTCTGTAGGGTGTAGCCTCGCGTTTCGACGATCACGAAGTATATCAGGATGCCGGTTACGACGAGAATTGCGGTGCTGCGGTGCTTCAGTACAAGCCATACAAAGACAGGTCGGAGCGACTCACTAGAACCGGTACAACTTCCACCCGATCGACCGCACTGCTCAGTGGATCAGTAAAGTAGTGCAGGTGGAATGAGGTCGGATGAAATGCAGACTCACTTGCGACCGGATTCGCGTATGCACTGAACACAGACAGCGCGTTGACAGTCAGCGACTAGACCATCATCCCCTTTCCGCGCATACTTCGGCCGGGTACGTGAAGAAGATAGAGGAGCAGGATAAGAAGAAGGCCCCGTTGTAGACCCACACCATCGCGACGGCGGCGACCCCAGCGCTTTTGCTGCCCGTCTGTTCATAAACGGCGGTGGATAGGATGAGGCCGACATTTGTACAGAAGACAGCGATCCACGTCCCGAGGAGCCGGGGGCGGCGGTTGATGATTTGGGTGAGCCAGAGACCAACGAAAGCGTGAACTATCGTACAGAATCAGCGATACCATGGAGATTTAACACTTGCCTCGGTTTCTGTACCAAGGCTGAAGTAGAGTGAGTATAGCGTGGTCATGGTGATGCAAGATCAAACCAAGATACCAAGTGAGAGTCATTGTTGGGGATTTCTCTGAAGGCTTAAGCTTCTTTGGCAGTACCAGTGCGCTGAGGCGACATCGCGGTGGCCGAGACAATATTCGAGACAAGGCAGTGAGCCGAAGAAAAGCTGCGAGAGACTTCATCGTGGGGCCACTCTTGTAATAGGGAGGGGGAAAAGCCCAGATGCCGGCATCCCGCCTATGTTTGTTATCTCGCTCGAAGGACGCGTGAGCAAAGACGCACTCCAGATCCCGCCCTCACAAGCGCCCTCACAAGCGCAAAATGCGTGATATGACGCGTGACTGACGCGTTACGACACGCGTCTTCTCGCTCGTCACGCTCCAGCACGTCCACTGCCGGTGCCAGTAGCTAAGACGCGTCAACGGCCCTGACTTTTACCTTCTCCTCCTCCCTCCCTCTCGCGTTCCGACATGGCAGTTGTCCATGTAAACTCTGCTCACGGCCCAGGAACTACTTCTCTTGCCTTCTCCCTTGACGGATTGTAAGCCACTTCTCTTGCAACTTCTCCGAATACTTACCCTCCTGTCCCAGACGCGTCTACACCGGCGGTGCTGACAGTTTGGTCCGGTTATGGGACGCGGAGAAAGGAGAGGACCAGGAACCACCAAGCGCTGCCGAGGCGGCCGATGAGATCAGTACACTGGCACCTGCGGTACGTGTGTAGCATCCGCCGTGCTCTCTTCACTCGCTCACTTCGTACGAGTAGACTGGCTGCTGGCTCTCTGGCAGCAAGGATGGCGACGTCAGACGATACAAGAATCTGGCACCTGGCTCCGAGTCGACACCCATTTTTACCGGTCTTGTTGCAAGCGCAAAAGGAGTTGCGATCCGATGTGTTGCGGTGGATCCTAAGGGACAGAGGGTCGCAGTCACCTCAGAGTGAGTTATGGCGTCACGGCAAGCTTTGCTGTCGTTCTGATAGAGTCCCGGTTTCTTCAGTGAACCCAATATAAAACTCGTGGACCTCGACGATATCACGAAAGTCGTCATACTCGAAGGCCACACCAAAGCAGTTCGAAGGGCAACCTGGCATCCATCTGGAGCTCTCCTCGTATGTTCTATCACGTTCTCTAGCGTTCCCGTCTCTCAATCCCCATAAGACTACTACTGGTGCAGATGGCAAGATCATTGTGTGGGATGTCTCAGGGAACGACGCGAAAGAAGAGAAGGTGATCGAGGGCTTGGCCCCCTCGGTCTCAGACACAGAGTAAGTTTCGCAGCCATTGTGCAAGTCTTCCATATTTATGCGCGTCTTCTAGGTCGGAAGAGTTTGGACACGACTGCTCCGCGGTATGGCATACATCAGGACAATATTTCTTCACCGCAACTCGCACGCATGGTGAGTACGAATGGTGGATTTCTGCCGTATGGCATCTCATACTTCCGCAGAGATTGCCACGGTCTTACGAAGCAATTGGTCCAAGTCCTCCACATTGTCGGATGATGCTTGCACCGGTGCGATTACCGCACTTACACTGTCGAAGAACGGGGTGTACCTGGCAGCCGCGTCCAAGTCTGGCATTTTCATTTGGGCAACACAGACCAAGCAGATGCTCATTCGGTACGTATCCCCTACCCACACACGTCTGCATCGAGGACTCAGAAATTCGATAGATACCAGGGCTCGCTGACCTCGCCAATCAACCAAATGCTCTTCTCCCCCACCAAGAATCTTCTCGTCTGGGTAGATTCTTCCGGTGACTTGACCCGCTGGCGAGACCCTATCCCTTCATCGCGCCCTGACCCGGTCAAGTTGAGCGCGGGTACCACTACTATGGGAATTGTCGTGAAACGGAGGGGCACCCCAACGTTGTTCGACGATGACGCCGATGTAGCAGCCGCGGGCTCAGCAAATGAGAAACATGTGGAGTTTGACGACGACTTAGGCATCGACCTGGACAACGACGATTGGGTATTGGACGACACTGACGGAGGGCTAAATGATGATGACGGGGAAGCAAGACGTCTGGCCTCCGAAGGAGGTGTCAGAGAAATGGGTATGAATATCCATCGGTCAGTCATCCGTGACTCCTGCTGAAGTCTTGCGCAGTCAGCGTGACCAAAGCTCAGACTGCTTTCCAAACCGGCTCAACGCCAATGGACAACAAGAAGCGCTATCTTGGTAGGGATAGTTGAATTCAGCGATTAAGTTACCTCTCAGTTCTTGCCTCCGATAGCCTACAACATGGTTGGTGTCATCGAAGTGACCGACCAAGATACTCACCACATCGTCAACGTCGAATTCCACGATCGGTCTGCACGGAAAAGCTATCACTTTACCGATCATTTCCGCTACGACATTGCCTCCCTCGGTGAGCGCAACATTTCATCGCTTCGAACTCGTGTGCTGACAGGCGCTAGGTGAACGTGGCGCACTCTACGCCTGTCAACCTGAGACCGGGCACCCCGCCCATGTCATCTACAAGCCTTATGGTTCATGGGCCTCCCAGTCGGAATGGACCTACGAGCTACCGAAGGGCGTGCGAGTACTGGGAGTTGCTGCCGGTGGAACTCCACCGTCCAAGTCATTGCGAGACAGGAATGACGTCGACATCGGAGGCCAGGGCAACGTCGTAATTTCTACCAGTGACGGCGAGCTCATCTTCTTGAGCGGGAGCGGCATCGAGCGCACCTGTCTCAGCATACCCGGTGACTTCGTCACGATGGTGGCTGGCAGCGAATGGGTTTTTGTCGTCACGCGTGATGGCAGCACTACGATGGACGGTATGTAACGCACTCTTTGTCAATCTTTCTGTTCAAGACTGACTCTGCTTTCCTCAGGATCACAGAACTTGATGAGTAGACTGATCAAGTTCGACGATTTCTGCATACTGCAACAAGGTATTCTCCCAATCCCCAAGCGGCATACACTGAAATGGGTTGGTGTAACGGAGGAAGGGGTGAGTGGCCTACAATCGAACTTGGTCGCGATAGTAATGAAATAATTCGCTTGCAGGCTCCAGCCATTTACGATTCCGCTGGCATACTCAATACTATGCCCCGCTTCCGCATACCACTCTCTGCGACGTGGATGCGAGTACTGGATACAAACCGACTGGAACGGCGCGAGGGCAAGGACGAGTCTTACTGGCCTGTAGGCGTCGTGGGTGAGAACTTCATGTGTTTAATCCTGAAGGGTCGGCAAGTACATCCATCTTTCCCTCGGCCTCTCATCCAAGACCTGCCAATCCGGTTGCCCTTCAAGCGAACAGAGCCCAAGGAGGCACCGCTAGAGGAACAGTGAGTTGGCTTTGTCCTAGACTTGGCAGGGGTATCTGACGAGGACCGCAGGTTCGCGCGCGAAAGCATGCTTCTCGACATTATTCGCGACGGCCTCGGTGAAGAGCTCACCTCCGACTCTCTCACCTCCCGCGAGCTCGCACTCGACAAGGTCCTCATCCAGCTCATCCAGCACGCCTGCAAGACCGACCGCCTTGCCCGCGCCCTCGACCTCACGCGCATGCTCCACCTCCTCCCCTCCTTCGACTCCGCGATCAAGATCGCCGGCTTCTACCACCTCATCGGCCTCCAGGAGAAGATGGAGATCCTCAAGGAGGACCGCCAGGATGACGACCGCCTCGAGGGCCTCCGCGAGCGCCGCCGCCAGCTCGCCGGCGACTTCGCGCCCGTCCCCGCGCTCCGCCTCCCTGGGGCCGGAGCCTCGGGGCAAGGGTCGAGCAAGCCGAAACCGTTCCAGGACTTTCGCCCGCCGCCCGCGCTGCACCGTCCCGGGCTGGAGCGTGCGCGCGCGGCGGAGGTGCCGTCGCAGATGTCTGAGGACAGCACCGTCTTCGGGCCGTCGTTCGCGGACAACACCCAGACGCAGGATAGTGATTGGTCGTCACCCGACGGCAAGCGGAAGCGCGCCGCGGACGACGAGGGCGCTGCCACTGAGGTTGATGCCGGCGCGAAGCGTCGCGCGTTCGCCCCGGAGTCCGCCTCGACCACGTTGAAACCCGCCGCCAGTGAGTGCTCGGGTTTTGGTGCCCGGTGGTGCGGGTTGTGTCGTGCTGACGTGTCGCTGTTACTTTTGTCCCGCAGGGAGTAACCCCTTCGCCCGTAAGCCGGGCGCAGACAACGGTCGGAACCCGTTCTCTCGGAGCGCGGATGCGAACAAGTCGCTGCACAAGAGCGAGAGCTTTTTCACGAAAGTCGACGCTGCGGAAGCCGACAAAGGCAAACGTACGTGATGGTCTCCCGAATCTATGGGACGTTCACGTCTAACGAACTTGATGTATAGGCTCCGCGCCAGCGAAAGGCAAAGGGAAGGAGAAGAAAGAGATCGGCCGTCAGACAACGCTCTTCGGTCTTCCGCCCGGTCAGACTGTAGAGAAGAAGGCGGCCGGGCGGAAGAAGAAGGCCGGCACTCCTGCAGAGGACTCGCAAGAGTCAGAGTTGAAGACCCAGGCAACTGATGAGCCACAAACAGACGTCGCGATGGAGGACTCTCAGGCAGACACCTTGTCTGGGGGCGACACGCAACTGGAAGAGCCCACTCGGCTGGTGAATGGGCAGGCTGAGAATGACGAGGTCATTGAATGGCCTGACTCCCCTGAGCCTAATGGGAAACAGCTCGAGGTAGAGGCAGATTGATCATGCATTCAGCTCAGCAAGCGGATCTATCTATCGTATTGTCCATATGTATTATGTTGAATTGGTTGCCCTGGAAATCTTGTTATGCGCATTCGCTATAAACACAATACCCTCTGGGCTATTGTATTGCAGAACAAGCCCGCTTGATTACATACGGTCGATCCGGTCGGGCGGTGGAGTCGACGTAAACCGAGGTTGCATAGCGAATCAGTGTTGTTTGCCGAAAAGCAAGAAAAACGACGATCACAATATAGAATCATATCACCCATCCATAATAATGGATAAGCTCTGGATGAGTGTACTGTAAGTGCAACTGCCCGCATGGACATGGAAGAGATCATACCTGGGGCTTGAACGGCCAGTTATGGAATGCTCGCAAGATCAAAGCCCAATCGGATGCGTTCAACTCTGAGATGTTCTTGGTGACATTGACTCGCTCGTGGCGTGGCAACATGGTATCTGTCAGAGTGCTGACCAGACTGGAGGCGCCAGGGGCAAGGGAGCTGCAGACAACGATTAAAGGAGCGTCAAGTCAAGAAAGGTATCGCGTACTTCAAGGCATCCTTGAGTAGAGTATTCCTCGTAACGAAAAGTCTTCGGAGGACGTAGTCCCATTCTTCCATGGCGCCCGGTGTAATAATCTGGGCCCACCAGGTGAGCGGGAGCAAAGCTGAGCGTGATGAATCTCAAAGACTGACCTGATCTACGTATGGAATCGATGTAAAAGCGTGCATAGGCTTTCCCATAGTTTTCGAGGATTTCCGTGCTGGAGGATAGAAACAATCATCCCAGGGCCCCAGTCGCCTGCTGTCAACGGCCGCAGTTATTTCACAGGAGAGTTCTGCGATGACGCCCAACTTGCAACGCAAGCGGGAACCCATTGGTGAAGTCAGACGCTGAAACGCATGTTCCGTGGTTAATTGAATAGAGCATCAGCGTGGTTATCACATACGTTCCAGATTTGTTGACTTGTAATGAAGCTCATGGGGACACGGCCGTATTGGAACAGCCACGAACGCTCCGGCACTGTACGGCACAACTGGGAAATCAGCTGTTCCCCGGATACAGTGTGTGGTAATTGGGCGATGAACTGCAAGTCGGATGCTGCGGCCACGTATTCAACACTGCGACAAGGTCAGACTAGGATAAGAAGACTCACTTCCAGATTCCCATGGCACTGATTGGACGTCTTGCAATAAACCCCGTTCCTCGATATTAGAGTAGGTGTCCCAGACGTGTCCGCTTAGAGGAAGAACAGTTACACGCGAGTCTAATTCTTCAAGAGGCTAGGATGTTAAGTGAGCCAAGACCGTATGCTAAGCAGACAACTTACTTTCAAATACTTGAGGAAGTGAGGGAGTGGTTCTACTATAATGAGCTTTCGTAGCGTTGACGGGGGATGCTTTAGCAGAGCGCGGGAGAGAACACCCGGCCCTACCATCATTAGGTTTTTAAGCGCAGTGTCGAACGGAGGTTCGACGCACCTGGGAAAGCCTCTATGACCACTTTGCCCTCGCCACTGTGGCCTGGTGTCGCCTTGAGAAATGCAGTTGCAATTTCGTCAGCCATGTCGGCATTCTTGATAGTCACCGCATCTCGGGTAACAACAGTGTTGAAAGGGAATTGTGTCCGCCATTGCGCGAGCGGAGGAAGCTCGAGGTTGTCCGGCGCGGTCGCAAACTTCCGACAGGGAGAACATGGGCGGACCACGACACGCTGAGCAAGGATGCGCAGCATATCCTCAGGGTAGTGTGCAAAGCAGGAAGTTTGGACACCGAGAGGGTGGGTGACCGTCAAGGCGAGGCTTTCGGGGCGGAAGAACGACGCGACCGCCCCAGTCTCGTCACGTTGGCGCGCACCCAAAGTTGTGACCGAATGTGACGGACGCGTCCGTAACGGACCGCGTCTTGCAGTGTTGATGCTCCGCGCGAAGCTTGTGTGCACTTCAACGACCACCAGGTCCTTCGACCGGTTTCCGGTCTTCCCTCTCCGCCGCTCACCACTTAGAGGGTGGTCTCTTTTGTACTATCCTCGCGCTCCCTCCGTTTGAGCATCATTGCCGTGATACCACCGAGGTGCTCAGCATGTACATCAAGACCCTCACCATCCAGGGGTTCAAGTCCTGTAAGTAGACTCAGGTATGCACGACGGCTTCATTTCTGATATTTGTGTCAGACCGCGACCAAACCCAGATCGAGCCATTCTCTCCTAGGCACAATGTCGTGGTAGGGCGGAATGGGTCAGGAAAGAGTAATTTCTTCGCCGGTGAGCAGGCTTCCAGTAAACGTTGCGCTCAAGGGCTGAAAATTTCGGTTCAGCCATTCGGTTTGTCTTGTCGGATGCGTACACATCCATGTCTCGAGAGGAAAGGCAAGCCCTCCTGCATGAAGGCGTCTCCACCACCCAGACACTGTCGGCCTTTGGTATGTCATACCGGTGTCACCTTCATGCCGTCCGTTCACATTGTCACCGACCAATGCAGTGGAGATTATCTTCGATAACTCCGACAATCGCTTCCCTACAGGCCGAGAGGATGTAATACTTCGTCGTACCATCGGTCTGAAGAAGGATGAATACAGTCTGGACAAGAAGAGCGCCAGCAAAGCCGACGTCATGAACCTCTTGGAAAGCGCAGGGTTTAGTAAGAGCAACCCCTATTACATTGTGCCGCAAGGACGAGTGCGTTTAGATCTTTTGAGGCCCCATGCTCGTCCGACTGACAGCTTCATAGATCACGGCCCTCACAAACGCCAAAGATCATGAACGGCTTGCGCTCCTGAAGGAGGTCGCAGGAACCAAGGTTTACGAGCAGCGACGAGCGGAGTCTCTGAGGATCATGGCCGAGACCGACGCGAAACGCGCGAAGATTGGCGAACTCCTCGAGTATATCGACACGAGACTCACAGAACTTGAAGAGGAGAAGGAAGAGCTAAAGGAATTCCAAGAGAAGGACAAAGAGCGGCGGTGTCTCGAGTATGCTCTGCACCAACGGGAACTTGAGGAAGTCGGGGCGACGCTAGAAGAGATTGAAGAGGAGAGGAGAGGAGAGGTGCACAGTGCCAATGTCAGGCGAGAGCAGTTCAACGACCGTGAGAAGCAGCTGCAGGTGAGTGCTTTCCACACCCCCTCTGCGAGATCTTGAACTCACTAGGCTCGATCAGAACTTCGAAAGGTCCATTACTCAGCTGCGAACGACTTCGACGACACTCAATCTCACTCGTCAGGGTGCCCAGTCGGAACTTACAGATCTCATTCGTGCACGTACTGAGCTCGAATGCACACTCGATGATCTTAGACTTGCAGCGGAGCGTGCTGGCGGAAGGCGGGAGGGCCTCGAAGCTGAGTTGGCCAGCATAGAGACGACTATCACTCAGAAGCAGCACGAGCTGGCCGCCCTTATACCCGACTGGGATCGTATCCGTGCCTCCGAGGCCAACGAGAAGCAGCAGCTCGATCGTGCCCGTGCGCAACTGGATGCTCTCTACGCCAAACGAAGACGACTTGACAAGTTTCGCACGAAAGCCGAGCGAGATCGTTACCTGAAGGCAGAGATTGCGGGAATGGAGCAGTTCCGGAAGACGCAGGCGGCGGCTCTTGTGAACCTCGAGCAGGACCTCGCTAGAGCACACCAGTCGCTAGCAGAGGTCAATGAAGGCATCCAAGCGACCCAGGCCAAGTCGGAAGATGGTCGAACGCAAGTCCGGGAAATTGGTGAGAGGATCGCTGCCCTAAAGGATGAGCAAGCGGAGAAAACGGAGCGGAGAAAGGAGCTATGGCGAGAGGACGCGAAGCTCGAGTCTTTGGTGACACAAGCCGCAGACGAGCTGCGAGGTGCGGATCGGTCTCTGGCTGGTATGATGGACAAGGTATGTTCTCCATCTTAGAGCACTCGCTGCGATCCTGAACCAGCAACAGGATACTGGGAACGGTCTTCGGGCGATCGATCGTATCGTGGCCAACTCGCCGAACTTCGACGGTGTTTACGGTCCACTGTACCGACTGTTCGAAATCACGGACGACAAGTTCAACACCGCTGTCGAACTTACCGCGGGAAACAGGTATGTGCTGTTGGACCGTGTTCTCGCGTCAGCACGGTGCTTACACTCCTCCAGTCTTTTCCATGTGGTCGTCGACACAGATGAAACAGCTTCACGCGTACTCGACATCATGATGCGCGAGAAGAACGGCCGGGTGACTTTCATGCCCTTGAACCGTCTGAAGCCCAAGATTCCCAACGTCCCGAATGCACAGGACGCCATCCCTCTCATGGAGAAGCTCCGTTTCGACCCTAATCACCTTAAGGCGTTCCAACAAGTGTTCGGTAAGACCTGCGTCTGCCGCGACCTCACTATCGCCTCCGCCTATGTCAAGTCGCACAACATCAACACAATCACCCTCGACGGCGACAAGGTCGATCGCAAGGGTGCCCTCACTGGCGGCTACCACGACGTCCGCCGGTCCCGTATCGAGGCGATCCGCAACGTCACCGTCTGGCGCGCCAAGTTCGCAGAGAACGACGCCCGCCTGAAGGAGGTCAAGCAGACGATCGCGACGCTCGAACAGCAGATCACCAAGCTCGCAGGTGACATCCAGGTGCAGACCGCGCGCCAGAACCAGGCGCGGGCGGTGCGCGAGAGCGTTGGGGAGGAGGTCGCGGCGCTCTTGCGGGAGAAGGAGCGCCAGACGTCGCGTATCGCCCGGCTCGAAGGCGAGATCGAGGACTTGCGCTCGGAGCTGGGCGGGCTCGACGCGAAGATCGAGGGCTTCAAGACTGAGCTGCGAAGCCCGATGACGCAGAATCTTACCAGCGAGGAAGAGGACCTCATCGAAAGCCTCGGTCTCGAGCTGGAGCACCTTCAGAAGACCGTGGTGGAGCTCGGCAAGGAGAAGAACGAGATTGGGGGCCGGAAGAACTTGCTGGAGATCGAGCTTAACGAGGGGCTGATGCGTCGGAGAGAGGAGCTACGGTTAAAGATCGAAGGCCTCGGAGCTTCTGAAGCTGGAGATGCGAGCTCGGAGGACACACTCACCGCAAAAACCCGAGAACTGAAAGCTCTCAACAACTCCATCGACTCGCTGGAGAAGAAGATCGCGGACACGGACAAGGACATTGAGAAGACCAATAGCCAGCTGCAGGCTCAACGTCAAGAACTTGAGAAGGTGCAAACGCAGCAAGCCGAAGACGTCCGTGGTATCTCGAGGCAACAGAAGAACACGGAGCGGTACCTCGCCAAGCGTCAGATGCTCCTCAATCGCAAGGACGAGTGCAACCGGAGTATCCGAGACCTTGGAGTGTTGCCGGAAGAAGCATTCGAGAAGTACACCAGCGAAAAGTTGGATAGGGTACGTTCCTCTTCAACACCGCGCACGACTCTGGCTCATGGCTTCACTCCAACAGCTTGTGAAGAAGCTTCATGCAATCAACGAAGGCTTGAAGAAGTTCGCCCACGTGAACAAGAAGGCCTTTGAGCAGTACAACAACTTCACCAAGCAACGCGACCAGCTTATCCAGCGCCGAGAGGACCTTGACAAGTCGGCGGAATCTATCCAAGACCTCGTCAATGTGCTTGACCAGCGCAAGGACGAAGCCATTGAACGCACCTTCAAGCAGGTGGCCAGCAACTTCGAAGAGGTCTTTGAGAAGCTGGTTCCAGCAGGTCGTGGGCGACTCGTCATTCAGAGGCGGATAGACCAGGTATGTGACTATGATAATCCATATCGTTCTCTGCTCATCGTTCGACCTAGGACGAGGAAGATGCCGACGAAGTTGATGAGACGCAGCAGAGCACGATCGACAACTACACTGGCGTCTCGATACGAGTATGCGCTGATGTCCTCGTCCTGGCTGAGCGACACTAACTGGCTATCAGGTCTCGTTCAACTCCAAAGTCGACGAAGGTTTGCGGATTCAACAGCTGTCTGGTGGACAAAAGTCTCTCGTTGCCCTTGCAACAGTCTTCGCTATTCAGAAATGCGACCCTGCGCCATTTTATCTATTCGACGAAGTAAGTTGGCCCCGCGCCGTAGGCTTGTGCCTCAGGCTCACAACTATTGTCAGATCGACGCCAACCTCGACGCCCAATACCGAACGGCAGTCACAGGTAAGGTCACTTCCCGGCGCTTCTTACTCGTAGACTAACGAGATCCCCCGTAGCCATGATCCACGAGCTCTCTGCCACGGCTCAGTTCATCACCACCACTTTCCGTCCCGAGATGTTGGCGACTGCAGACAAGTTCTATGGTGTCATGTTTAACGCCCAAAAGATTAGTACCATTCGAGCCATCAAGCGCGAGGAGGCGATGGAGTTCGTCGAGCAGGAAGCGCAAGCTCAGTGATACCCTGTATAGACCTGTTGTTGACTCCCAGTCCACGTCGATTGTCATCTGCTCTGTTCGCTATCGTTGTATCATTGTACCACCAGGATTGTATCACTATGATTAGAACCATCATAATGTGGCGCATTTACCAGGATGGCAGTACGACCAAACGACTTAAATATCTTGCATTTGCCCTTGACACAAGTGACGAGGGCGGACCAGTGGCGGACTGCGCCGCGGTGCGCATGCGTCAAGCGCGTCGCAGTGGACGCGTCTCGGCTCTCTGTCCCCGACCGCCTCATCCTCATCTCGAGACTGCTCGTCCATCGAGCACCATCCTTTCTGTGTACTTGCTGCGCAGCCCGTCGTCTCTTCTCCTAGCCTCCTACCGCGGCCCTGCTCGCTTCAATGCCTCACACCACTCGAGGTTCTCCCAAGCGGAAACGCCTCCGACGATACTTCTCCGCCTCTGCCGCTACTGGCGCACGCTGGAACCCCAAGCTCCTTGCTGTTCCCGGGGGCTCTTCTTCGTCCCAGCCGCGCAAACGGAGCGCATCTGTCTCCAGTGACGAGACCTTCGACTTTCCGCCCGACCACACTCAAGATAACTTCCAGCCCGATGAGTACGTGTATAATGAAGCTGCCCACGCCTTCTCCTCGCGCAATATCCATCCCGAGCCCACCCCACAACGCCAACCGTTGACCTATGCGTCTCTGCCTCCCACTCCGATCTCGCCTTCTCCGCCCCTTCAGCCCACCCTTACAGCCCCTCTTCCTTCGTTCCCGAGTCTTGACTCCATCCACGAGCCTCCTTTTTCAATATGGGACTATCTACGGGAAGAGATTCTGGCTACCGACTTCGACTCTCACCAGGAGCTCAAATGGGAACGAGTGGGAAACTTCCTCCGAATGCCCATTGCGCTCGAGAAGGTTGTAGCCATACCTGGTCCTGTAACTTAGCAGACAAACTCAATATATCTTCTTCCTTAGATCTTCTTCTTCGGCTTCATCGTTTGCCTCGACTCTTTCATGTACACCTTCACCATCCTCCCCATTCGCTTCGTCCTTGCCGCCTGGCGACTCTCCCTCAATACCTTCTCCTGCAGTGCACCAGCCCTTCCTCCGTCCCAAAAGGCAGACCTGTTGCGTGCTCTGCTGCTTGTCCTCTCTGTCGTTGTCCTTGCTCCGTTGACGGATGCCAGCAAGCTCTACCACTTTATTCGGGGCCAGGAGACCATCAAGCTCTATGTCATCTTCAATGCGCTCGAGGTGAGCCGCAGTAGTCCGACTAGCGCCCAAGGATGCTAAATGTCGCCTCTGACAAGATCGCCGATCGTCTTTGCGCCTCAATAGGCCAGGACGTGATAGACTGTCTCTTCTCCCGATCGAACCTTGAAGCTATTTCCCATAGAAAGCGCCCCACGTCGCAATTGCTCTGGACCTTCGTCTACTTCATGCTCGCCTTGGTCTACACAGGTGAGTGGCATTCAGCCTGTTCAGTATTCGTTGTTTGAACCATGCCATCCAAAGTGTCACACGCCCTTGTCCTCATGTATCAGATGATTTCACTGAACGTAGCAGTAAACTCCTACGACCATGCACTCCTCACTCTTTTGGTGTCCAATCAATTCGTCGAGATCAAGGGCAGCGTATTCAAGAAGTTTGAAAAAGATAACCTCTTCCAGATCACATGTGCAGGTCCGTACTCATTCTCCCCACAAAGAGAAGATAGCTCACAACAGTGTTCAGATATCGTGGAACGTTTCACCCTCGTTCTCATGTTGATTGTTGTCGCCTTCCGCAACCTCATAGAACTCTCGGGGTCTACCTTTACTTTCGGTGAAGGTTTCGCCTTGCCCACGAGCTTTGGCTGGTTCCGCGGAAACAACGTTGTGTGGACCATCTCATACGTACATATCTCTTGCTCTTGTCTCCGCACCCTGGACACTCACCGAACCTTTCCAGCCTGTACTTACGGTCATGGTCTCAGAAACTCTGGTGGACTGGCTTAAGCATGCCTTTATCACCAAGTTCAACCACATCCGGCCCTCAGTGTACGAACGCTACACCGACGTGCTCTGTCGTGACCTCGCAAGCGGGAGCGCGGTCGGTCGCCGTGGGGCTCGCAAGGCAGTTCTCCCCTCTCAGTGACCCGCTCGTTCCCAAGCTCATTATCTGCTCGCAGCACACCTACGTTGACCAGTCCCCTCTGGTCGCTCGGCGTTTGGGCTTCGCGTCCCTGCCCCTCGCCGTGCATGCGATCCTCATCGGCTACCAGTCCGTGGCGCTCCTTATTTCCATGCACGCCGACGAGTCCCCGCTCTGGACGCGCCCGTGGAATGAGTACACGCCGAACGACTGGACGAACTTCGCCAAATGGGCCGCCCTCGCCGTCCTCTGTTGGGGCTGGTGCGTCTGCCCGCTTCTCTCCTCACGTTTCTGCTAACCCCACGGACGCCAGCTTCCTCGTCCTCAAGATCATGCTCGGCGTCCAGCTCGTCACGTACGCCACTCGCCGGCGCGCCGGCATGGAGGCGCGCGAGGACGTAGACAAGATCAACGACTTTGGGCGCGATCCGATTGGGGAGGGCAAGGAAGAGAAGGTGCGTCTTCGGTGGGCTTGGCCTTTGTTCATCGGTCGCTTACGGCTCGACTGCGCCAGAGGTACAACAAGGAGCTCAAGGGGCTCCTCGACAGCACACGCGACGACGCGAGCCCCGTACCCGACATTGGCGAGCGCAAGCCGGGCGACCCCGGGGGAAAGAAGAAGCGGCTGCAGCTCGACGAGATTACGCGCTTCACGATGGTCAAGCGCATCTGGTGATCTCGCTCCGCCGCTCATGTACTGCAGTTGCGATGCGCATGCCCGTCACGACGTATAATGATGACCTTCCGTACCCTTGTGCACACATACAACGCTCGGATAGAATAACGCCATTGATAAGGGCGCAACTACATCGTACACAATCCACACAAGAGTGGGCTGCTAGCGATACAAGAGATACAGGGGAAATAGTACAAGGAGTGTGTGTGGCGCGATGGCGCAGATGGAACCTATGCTACAACATTATAACAACGGAGAATCATGAGGGCAAATATGCGAAGCTCTAACGGTGGGGAGGATGATCTAGGATCAACAACTAGAAGACGTAACGGGGTGAAGGAGTGTGCGGTGGACTCAGAGGACTCCAGGCCCTTGCTGAGAACGTAACGGTGAAGACGAACCGGGAAGTCGAATGCCGAATGCGCAGAGAAAAATGGAGAAGCCGGAAGTGCTCGTCTAGTTCTGTTTCTTCGAATGCGCAGCCGCTGCGTCTGGTTCGAGACCTCCCGCTGCCGCTTGTCGCGCGCTGCCTCGAAGCCGCGCCGCGCCGCCTGCATGGAGCCGGCGGGCTGAACCGGGTGGGATCCGTGCGCGTGGTCCGCGGACGACGACGGGGTGCGATAGTGTCCCTGGGCCGCACCGGCGTGCGCACGGCCGTCGCGCGACGGCCGAGTGTCGTGGGCGCAGGCCTGGCGGGGCGGGCATGGGCACGCTCGGGCCGTAGCTGGGGTAAATGACCTGCGCGCGGCACGACGCGCCGCGCGCGAGGAGCAGCGCCGGCTCTTCGACGCGCACCGCATGCGGGCGCGCGCTGTCCTTGATGAGCACGCACGCCGCCGCGGGCAGCGGGCGCTGCGGCGGGAGCACCCGCTCGCGTGCGTGTGCGTGCCCGCGCCGCTCGTGTTCCTCGGAGCGGCGCGGGGTCGGGAGCCGCTGCGGGTTGTCGAAGTGTTCAACGGACCGCTCGCTCGGCTGGCGCTGACGGTGCATCGTGGGGTGCGCAGGCAGCGCGGGGACGTGCCCGTCCGCGGGCGAGGGCCCGCTGGAGGACATCGGGGAGGACTTGACTGTCCGCAGCTTCGGGTCGGGATCGTGCGCCCTCTCCTTCTCCTTCTCTTTCTCCTTCTCCCTCCCCCTCTCCCTCTCCCGCTCCAGCTCCCGCTCCCGCTCCCGCCCACGCGTCTGCGCGGGCTCCGCGTTGAGGGTCGAGTCCGCGGATGGGTCGCGTGAATGCGCGCGACGGTGCATGGGGGGCAGTTCGGCCTCGCTTGCGGAAGACGAGCGGCGGATAGCGCCGCTTCGTCGCACCGTCACCTGTGTCTCAAGCGGTGGCTCGGCGGCGGGGGCGCGGTACTGCGCGTGCGCCTGGTGCGACGGGGCCTTGGGACGCTCTCTGTGCTTGCGGGCGGGGCGGGCTGTTGCCGGTGGGGGAAGGTTGGTCTTGCGCGGGTTGAGGGGCTGGAGGGTTGCTGCGCACTCGAAGGTGCTGTCTTGGGACGGGCTGCGCCAGTGTGCGGGACGGGTGTATGGGGCGAAAGGGTCGTACCGCACGTCCTTACACGGGGGATCGGGCGGCAGGTCATCTTGTCCGCTACCTTTTCTTGTGCCGCTGGAGTGGTCTGGGAACGGCACGGTGCTTGTGCGGCGACCATCGTCCAGAGCGAGTGCACGAGGACGCTCGGGCCTCCGAGAGGTATTCATGCTCCGGGTTACCCGCTCCTCGACTTCCCTGCTTGTGTGATCGCGTACGACAGGTGATCGGCCGTCCATGCTAGGACGACGGATGGGAGGGCTGATCCTTGCGCCCCGCGTCCATTCCACACGTTGAGTTCGTCGAATGGTTTAACGTGCGGGAAATGGATGTCCTCTTTGGAGACTTTCTGACGCGATGTCTGCCGGCTCAGGGAGGGCAGAATATTGGGTTTATGCCTCTTGTTCTTCTTGTCGTCGTCAAAGAAAGATTCACCATCCTGCTTCGTGGGACGTGAAGTGAACGCATCCCTAGTGGAGACGTATATCAATATGGCATCCAGTCAACGGCCGATGCGGGCACTAACCGAAGGGAGCCGGAAAGTTTGCGAATTCGCTGCATTGCGGTGCGATCCCCGAAGGGATGGCTTGCGAGGGAAGATCGAGAGTGGGCCCGGGTCGGGTTTGTGGGTATATTTATGCTTGAGGGAAACAGGTCGAGTGGCGAGGAGGGTGTCGCTGGTGCTTCTGGACAGGAGGCCGAGACTCTCTTCGACACTCAGCCCTGCCACTGTGGTCGAGTGGCTTGGGCTTTGCGCACGTCTGCCAGCGGTAGCTATCGCAGAGACTTAAGCGATGTGGCGGCAAGCCGTCAAAGCAGTGGTCTGACCTTATATGTGGTCGCTTGCGCCTATGTCGCTTGGTTCATCCTGGAAGGAGTGGCTCAGCTGGAAAGAGCACTAAGGAGAGCGCTAACCATTCTGACCAAAGCAGAGTAGAGAGGACCATCAAAAGGGTCATTGTGGAATGCGCTCAGGGGTGCTTTGTTGATCTTGAGATCGAATGGGCCCAGTCGCCGCGAAACATGCGCTCACAAAGACGTATGTCGGGCAAATCATAATGACACGCTGCAATCTGATCAGACCGTCATAGTGTGTTCTCGGTGATCAGCAGACATACCTATATGCATCCCGTAAACCCGTCAAGTAAACGGACCGGGGACAAGTCTGTACTCTGTAGACTGACCACAAGCCGTGACAAGCGAGGGCAAGCACCGGCACCGGTACAGTTCGGATCTCGGATTGAGATCATGGTCAGATTTTCTTGCATGTGTGTCATGGCTTGGGCTAATGGTGGTCGAGAGCAACTGTGCTGCTTGGAAGTTGGACGTTGGACGTTCAAGAACTTCAAGCTTCAAGCTTCAAGCTTCAAGTTTGAGTTTACGGAACTTTCCGCATCCGGGTCTAGACGCGCAGAGCGTGGGAGCTGGCCGGCGCGGTGACGAACATGTCCGATTTGTGCGCACTCTTGCCCCCGAGGCTGCGCGTGCTGACCACTCTCGTCCTCTACCGGGCCCCAAAGTGGCAGCGGGCGCAGTCAAGATTGACGTGTCGACAGGTGAGATTCTCGCTTGCTCACGAACGTTGCCCGTCGTTCACGCCCTCATCGCTCGCACCCTGACGCAGAGACATCGAACATCCGGTCCAAGCTCTTCATAATGCATAACAATCCAGACATTCACAAGATCCACCTCTCTCATGTTCGTCATCAGTTGCTCCATGCCTGATTCTCTGTACGCCATTTCTTCGCTTCTCTCTGTTTCGGGTCTCCGCAAGCCCCGTACTTGTGCTGTCTAACCAATGCTGTACCCCGTTCCTTGCCAAGACGGCCCGTGAGTCCCGTTCTCCGGTTGCGTGTAAGCTAAACGTCCGATTTGCGCGCTGTATTAGGTTGCCCATCATGCTCACGATCACCGTGCTGACGCCGAAACATCATCTCGAATAGCCGCTTGTTGTACCGCGGTCCTAGTTGGATGGCATACGCGACAACGATCCCTCGCCCGCGAACTTTGCCGTAACCTCCTCCTTGCGGTATAAAACCTGCCTGGTCCGGGCCCTTTTATCCTCATCCCACTCCCCTTCTGCAGTGGTCGACTGCTCTCCGCTCTCTTTCATCTTCACCTTCTCCGTCGACTGCCCCTTTTTCAGACCCGTTCGACATGAAGTCTTCTGTCACCGTCTTCGCTTCGGCCCTCTCAAACCTCATCCTAGCTGCTTTTACCGACGCTGCCATCATCGAGATCGATATCTTCAATGCTCCAGGTCGTCACTCCCCCTCCCCAGAGGCGGCACAGTCCTCCCGCCTCCTTCTGTCGTCGGTAATTGCGAAGGGTTTCGAACAGGACGGGTAAGTACCCATTTCGTTCTCGCTGCTTTTACCCTCGCTCACTCGACGCCGTTCCGGCCTCAGCACACCCGGCTTCACTCCTTCACTCACGTCCAACAACAACTTCATCAACTTTTGCGCCCTCTACCCCAAGATGAACATCACCAACGGCAGGCTCATCAACGAGGGCTCCTGCAACCAGACCCCGATGGGCCTCCTCGCCTCGATCGACAACATGCCGTCCGTCAAGTTCGTCTACCCAAAGAACGGCGGCACGGTCGCCCCCAACACCAACTTCACCGTCCAAATGGCGGTCCGCCACCTCACCACCGGCTGGGCCTCGAATGCGCTCACGAACTTCTACGCCGCGCCGCAGACGCTTGACGCCGCCACGAACGACATTCAGGGCCACTCGCACGTCGTCATTGACCGCCTCCCGGCCCTCGACTCGACGGCGCCGACGGACCCGAAGAATGACTTTGTGTTCTTCGCCGCGCTCGGCGAGCCCGCCAAGGACGGCATCCTTTCCGTCACCGTGGGGGGCGGCCTGCCGATGGGGACGTACCGCATGGCGTCTGTCAACGTGGCGACGAACCACCAGCCGGTGCTCGTCGCACCCGCTCAGCACGGTGCTCTCGACGATATGGTTTAGTGAGTACCCGGCCCGTCACTTCCATGTACTTTCCCATTCTGACGGCGCGGACCTCCCTAGCTTCACTGTCGCCTGATGGTATCTGGCAATCTCGGGCTATGGGCCGAGTTTAATGCGATGATGATATATCGCGATCGTAAATTATTAACCTTTGCTGTTGGACACTTCCTATACTATTTGGTTTCTATTAAACCGACTGAGTTCACCATGCTCGACAAGTGCATGCTCCCCCGAGATCGCCTGCCAACTCCTGTTTTCAGCTGCAAGCTCTGTGCACCTCCTTACGTAGATACTGCCGCGCCACTTTGATGCTACGTGAGTCTGAATCAATTGTGATCTAGTGCTACACAACTCATATCTCCCTTCTGCTTCATCCATGGATACAGAGTTTACATTTTCACCTCTTCGTTGATGCTTGAGGGGTCGATGCCAAAGTAGCCCCTTTCCGGTGGCAAGACGCCTTCTCTGCATATTTGGGTGCCTCGTATATCTCCAGTCCCCTTTCTCGCGAGACTGGCCTAACTTCGACCATCATGAAGTACACATTCTACTTCCTCCCGTGCTATTGCATTTTCTTGCTGACCGCGTATCTTCTCATCGCGGTATGTGCCGTCTTTCTCTCATAGCATGCCACGAAACTCACCAGGGACTTGTTAGGCATCTATATCAGCGGAAACCCCGTCATTCCTCAACGTTGGGAGCCTTCGTTTCGGAGTGTTCGGGTACACCGGTTCGTCAAAGCGCATCGGATGGTCTTTCCCTACCGAATTGGCGTAAGTGTTCCGCCGCGTCTCCCCGCAGAGGCCGTCCTCATCGCGCACCCTACTACAGAGATGGTGCTCTCAACGGGCACTTTTTCCGTCGCCTCACCCCTGCCCTGGTCCTCATCCCCCTGAGTACGCACGCCTCCTACCGTCCCTTCGGTTGTTCTCACCGCCGCCCAGGTGCTGCATTGGCAGGCGCCGCTGCCCTCTCCGGTACCATCGGCATGGTCTTCCTCCCGATGTGGGAGATACTGCACCAGCGGAGCCCGCTGGGCAGCTTCGCCGCCACGGGAATCATCCTCATGGCCGCCTTCTCCCTCCTCGCCTTCCCCATCGCCCTCGTCGCCTGGATCCTCGAGATGATCCTCTTCGGCGTCGCGCGCCAGCGCCTCCGCAGCCACGGCGTCGACGCCGCGTGGGGGAACGCGAACTGGATGGTGCTCGGGGCGCTCTTCACCCTCCTCGTCGGGCTGGCGACCTTCGCGTTCGCTGTCGCTCTGTCGATGGTCTGCGACGGGTGCTGCGGAAGCGACCGGGACTTGGAGCCTGGTGTGACGATCATCGACAACGCCGTGAATGGTCCGCCGGACGTGTTCACCGTTCGTCTCGAGGATAACGGACAAATTGTGACGACTCGGCGGAACGGGCCGGTGGACGGAGGCGACGATCCGAAGGCGCAGGATGATGGGTCCTCGAAGGGCGATCGCAAGTCTACGGACAGCAGCGACTCTACGGTCGTTGACTGTGGTTACACAAAAGGATAGTGGGACGGGCGTACGGTAGCATAGGGCCCGGACGTCACCGAGTGGTCAACTTGTAGGACAGCGGGCAGGCTCAAGCGCTCATCACCGACGGTCGTCCACAAGTACTGCCAGTAGTTGGCACGACTAGGCTGTACGGATAATTCATCCTGGTACACACGCCCTCGGTTATGCCAAGACGTGAACGTACTTGGAATGCAGAACTGCCAGGGCCATGAAAGCATCGCCAGGCCGGGCCGGCTGAGTGGGCGGCTAGTTTTCCCGAGGCTGCGTTAACGCCTTCTGCCCACCTCCGCCACTGCCGCTACGTCTAGGCGTCTACATTCGGTCTCAAGCTCTGTGTCTCCATCAGCGGTCACTTCTGCTCACGAGACGGTGCCAGCGTTTGAAGATCGCAGGACGGCCGTCTCGAACGCCACCACTATGTGGAATATCTATCTGCCGTGTCTTCTGCCGTCGACACCTCAAACTTCAAAGCTTCACATAACGTCCTGGATCGCTTGCCACCCGGTGTGCTGTCGCTCTGGACATACTGCTCATTCCATCTCCCCCGTCGACCGACCGCCTAACATCAGAGTTCTCCATTCTGCGACTATCAAGACCGACTGCGCCACTCACTGAACCTAATAAGACAACTTATTGGCGCCACTGGAGACCCGATGCGAATGTCAACTGAAAGCCTCAACACAGCGAATAGTACCCAGGCTCCGGATGCGTAGGGAGGCAGCTTCCTTTTTCGGATAAGACATCGTCAACTGCGCGCGTCCAGATCCGTATGAAGGACACAGCTGTCGGCGCCCACAAACCCTGCCTTCTCGGGCGCTGTCATTGTGTTTCCGGTTTCCTATTATCTGGCATCGGCACTGACCTGTTCCTTCAACCACTCGGTATGCGACAGGCCACTGCCATTTGCAATTGTCATCGAAACATATATACACCCAAGTCTCTCCACCCTGCCCACGGTGTCAGCCCTACCGTCTCCTACTCCCTCCGCTCTCCGCCTCCCGTGCCCGTGCCACACTATGGATCGTACGAGCTTCTATATGGCTGTCCCCGGTCTCGTTTTTACACTTGTGGCGTTCATTTTACTCGTCATCGTGAGTCGAATGCCCCGGTAGCGTTCATACATTACACCGCGACGTGCTCACCGTTCCCTTCTGAAGGCTTCGGCGACGCCCCCGACGTCGAACGTCTCCTCGTTCCTCGACGTGGGCGGAGACCTCCACTTCGGAGTGTTTGGGTACACCGGCTCCCCCAAGACCGTCGGGTGGCACTTTCCCGCCGCAGTGGCGTAAGCATCCTGCATTCTCGCGCGTACCCTCACGCCCTCACACCTTGAGCAGAGACGACTACCTCAACCAAGACGTCTTCCATGACCTCACTCACGCCCTCGTTCTCGTACCCGTCTGTACGTGCAATTCCCTGGCACCGCATGCTCCCCCCCTCACCAAGTGCTCCTCCCCTTTCCAGGTGCGAGTCTGGCCGGCGCCGCCTTCCTCATCAACCTGTTAGGCGCGACATGCGCCGGTTGGGTGGCCACCGCGTTCGCGTCGATCTTGTCCACGATCGCCTTTGCCATCCTCGAGATTGCCTTCATCCTCGAGATGGTCCTTTTTGGCCTTGCGCGAAGCCACTTGCGCGAGCGCGGCGTGGACGCCACGCTGGGGAACGCCAACTGGATTGTGCTTTCGGCGGGGCTCATTCTCGGCTTTTCTGTAACCCTCGGCTGGCTTGCCACTTGCTGCCAGGGAGTGCGGCGAGAGATCAACCGTGGTGACCGGTGGTAGAGAGTTACGCGGAGGCTTCTGTGGACGGTCACCTGCGGTGGAAGTGACGGACATGATGTAGCGCTCTCACGAAGGACAATTTCTGGCCTTTTTTGTTTCCGGTGCTGCGTGGATTCTGTCGTGCCATAGTACACATACTACTAGTTCGGCTTGGGTTTGGTGGCTCAACTCGTCTGCACGTGGTGAACAGAGGCAGGGTCACGCGAGAGGGAAGCTCTCGCCAACGGTACCTACCGCGTCAGCGGCCTCGAATCGATTTTTCAAGATCTCAGCTAGATCTCACTGCGGTACTACTGGAGTGCACGCTCGGAGGTGCATCATCAGCAAAGGGCGTATCTTCTTGTCACGCATCGCGGGGTCTGACCGCGCTCGGCGCTTCCTGATAAGGGCATACCGTCTTTTGTCTGCTAGACAGCTGATGGTAATACATGGCAATCAATTGTCTGCTCTACTATTGCTTGCAGAGCATGGCATACGGAAGATGGACCAACGCCCGCAAGACGATAGTTTGACATGTATGATAACGTATGGTGAGATGGGAATACTGGTTGGCACATTATATATATTGCACACTCCTATCGTGCATTCCGCATGGCTCGCGAGCGCGCGGTCGAGCATGCGCACGGGCGGGCAATGGGGCCGTGGCCGTCGGCGCGCTGGCCCAGACGTCGACGAAGGTGAGGGTCGGGTGGGGCGGGAGGCGGTCCGCGTCCGAGACGTCGTTCTCGCGGCCCTCGAAGACGAGGTGGCGGAGGCGGGGGAAGAGGTGAGCGCGGAGCACGCCCGCCTGGACGCGCGTGACGAGCGGGAGGACGAGCGCCGTGGCGGCGTGTCGGGCGTGCCGTCGGTGTGCGTGGAGGCGGCGGTCGAGGCGTGCCGCATGGGGCGAGTCGGGGCGGGGGCGGTCGAGGCGGTCGACATCGTACGCCTTTGAGAGGTCGAGCTCGACGAGCTCGGGCAGGGAGAAGGGCTCGCGGCCGGTGGGGTGGTCGACGTTGTTCGCGAGCGTGCGGAAGTGGGCGAAGTGGGCGAGGACGTGGAGCGCGTCGTCCGGAATCGAAGGCTGAGCACGGCTTGAGCTGCCTGGAGGGCGCTGTTGGCTGCGCGCTCTGCTGATTCCGGACAACGCACCCAGAAGCGCCGCATCGCGATAGGCATGCATAGTTTTAAATACTTTGTTAGGGTGGTGGTAAAAGCGGAGGCCCATGATAGATGGAGGTGGGGGCCATTGCGCGCGTTCAGCGCCTGTGCAGACAATAAGACGCGTCGGCGCGGGCTGCGCGTCTACTGAACGCCTCCCGCAACCGCCATCATCACTCCTGGTGCCACTCGCCTCACAGTCAGGTATATGAAGAGCACATACCTGGTGCGACATCTCCATCCCCATTTCCTCCTCTCATTTGATCACGATCTTCCCCAGCCTTATGCAACGCCCGGGGTGAGTCGGACACGGCCACAGGTCCCACCACACCCCGGGTGGCAGGTGGCTCAGAGAATGGGATCAGGCGCACACCGGTACGTAGCCCAGTCATGCGAATGTGTCTATCTGAGGTCCAATCACGCGATCAGGCTACCCTTGGTGCCTCCAGTCGGACTCACAGCAAGCGCCCCGTTCCGGCTCATGTCCCGCCCCTGCCGCTCCAATGCAGCCGCTTCGTCGCGCCGATGGTCCTCGTCGCCCCCTCTTCTTGCACCCGGATAAGTACGTCTTATTCTATATCTCTTTGTGTTGATGAATGACTAGTCGCTCAGTTACTGCCAGAAAGTCCTTGATGCGAAAATCGAGACTTTCGAGGCCAAAAATTACTTTACTGCAATGTAGAACCTCTGTGAGGTCGACCCGACCAGGCCACGGGCTCGAAAAGGGCTCCTCAAGGGCGAGTTGATACTCAAGGTAAGCGTCAGGTTTGTACCATACGACTCAATTAACAGTTACATATTGTTACCAGGCTTACTGGCAAGGCCTTGTACGGCAACCCGACGGCTGCGATCCGCGGCGATGCCGGCGGGTTTCTCACTCGGAAGCAGCCGGGCCAGAAGTCCGTCGCCGAGAAGACCAACGTGGATGCCGACAGCTTCACGCTGTACTCCGTCGTCGCTACAGCAGCGCTGGTGAGCTCCTCGGCGACTTCGTGTGGCGTTTGCTGATGTGTATTGCGTCAGGTTCGCTTCTACGTAACAAGTGAGCCAACCTGGAGCGACACCGATGGGCGCTGGGACGTCAACGATTTCGTCAACGGTTTACTCAAGTCAATGCGGCAGAAGCCCAACTGGGCTATGAAGCTGAGGTCTTGGTGAGTCAAGTGAGTATCGCTTTTCCGTGCAGTCTCACTGCTCATCGAGACGTCGACTGACTTATACTACCTCAGAGAGCTTTTTGGGAACGGCCACGAAAAGTGTGCAGTCCGTCCCCCGACCACTGCAGGCGATCAGATGCTTGAAGAGAGCGACAACGAAGCGGAGACCTGCGACATCGATGAGCCTTTCGGCGACGCGTCGGGCGGCAAGGATTGAACGGTATTTATTGCATGCGCTTATCTCCGGCAGCACTCACTCATCGTCTCGTCTTACAGACTCCGATGGGCGTTCAAAGTGCGGAAAGCTCGCGATTGAATTTTGTTCTTGCGTCTCCATACCTCCAGTAGTCTCGTACTATATCTGTCATTATCTGATAGCTTCTTCTGAATGATTACTGTGTGTTTTAATCGACCACTATCCAGCCTGTGTGTGCTACAAGATGCGATCTTACATGCCAACCTATGACAACGGTCTAAAATCATTGCGTCAGATTACCATGTCCCGCCTTGTGTATGATCGGACAACTACCATGCGTGCAGCCAGGTATTGCCATCGTCTCCCTCGTGTATTGCCATCGGCCCCCTCGTGTATTACAATGCGCGGCGGGAGAAGACAATTGTCCGACCAACCGGCGTCTAGCAGGCGGTAGATTGCCATGCCAGACGACCGATGGCCGTCTACGGCTACCACCCTGTAATACGTGATATGTCTTGTGATTACTTACCATGCAATACGGCCGTTGATCACGCACTGCAACGCATTATCTTCAAATCCCCCGTTTTGCTGATGATGATGACGTAGGTTGCCACCGGGCCGGCATCATCCGGCGCCTATGAGGGCGCCTCCACGGTGGCCACTCTTCTCTCCCGTTCCGGATCTCGTGGCGGGACTCGAGCGGCTTTATTTATTGCAAGCAGACGTCGTTCTCTATTGTAGGCTCGATCATCCATCCGTTTTCGTCGTACCTCCTCAAACGGCTGGTCGAACTGGTGGGGGGTTTTGGCAGGTGCACCATAAAAGGAGAGCACGTGACATGAGTGCCCTCCCCTCGCTCCACTCCCCCGCCCAAACGGGCTCGTTGGGGCACGCCGCTCCCCCGTGCGCGACGGCTTGTGATGGCGGTCGCGTCGGGAGGCGTCACGGAGGGCGCGCGACTGGTCTCTCGCGCGACCAGTCTCGCGCGCGACAGACCTCCGCGCACGCGTGCGCGCCACTGCGCCCGCGCCCCCCTCGACGCCCACGAAGGCACAGAGTCCTCACAGACGGACGAAAAAGGAACATCACATATAACTAGCCACTAGTCGTAGTCGATAGCGCCCTCTAATTAGTAATGAATAATGAATCCGGGACTTCTTCCTGCACAAAGGGGGCCGCGCTAGTATGCGTACCGAGTCCCTCGGCTTCACGCTCTTCCATTAGGCCGTCTCCAATGTCCTCGAGGTCGTAATTGGATGTGTGGCGCACGAGGAAGGTGGGAACACAAACCTGTACTGCTGCCTCCGAGGCAGACGCAGCCGGGCAGTGAGCGAGGAGTTCGAGATGCAGGATTGAGTCAGCGTCTCCGTAGACTCCTGCAAGCATGCGTGCGCAACACATATCAGAGACTTTGGCCTAGGAGCTGCATGTCCGCGTCGAGGGGGGCGCGGGCGCAGTGGCGCGCACGCGTGCGCGGAGGTCTGTCGCGCGCGAGACTGGTCGCGCGAGAGACCAGTCGCGCGCCCTCCGTGACGCCTCCCGACGCGACCGCCATCACAAGCCGTCGCGCACGGGGGAGCGGCGTGCCCCAACGAGCCCGTTTGGGCGGGGGAGTGGAGCGAGGGGAGGGCACTCATGTCACGTGCTCTCCTTTTATGGTGCACCTGCCAAAACCCCCCACCAGTTCGACCAGCCGTTTGAGGAGGTACGACGAAAACGGATGGATGATCGAGCCTATCTCTATTGAATGCGAACTCGCGGAACGTCATCGCGGCTGAAATTAGCCGCAAAAGGAAAGGAGTTCATCAGGTCATCGTCATCGACCGGAGCGGAGGCCGATGAGATCTCAACAGAACCCGGACTATGTAGGACGGACGGAGCGGCTGCTGCTATTTTCACAGGTAACAAGGCTTGAGCGTGTGCCAGCATATCCGACATACGTAGAGTGGTGCGATGTATTTACTGAAGTCCCCGAGAGGCTACGTACCAATGTCGGCTTACGTGCGGTGCATGGACTCTGGAGGCAGAAACTGGACCTTGTTCCTGGATTGCTGCGCCAAACACGGTGCTGCTTCAGGCAGATATGTTGACCACGGGGCAGTGCGCCACTCGCGCGATCTTCAGATGTGGCCGGCACGAGCAAGACCACAGCCCTTGACGCACCGCTTTGCGCATGCGAAGCAATGAGGGCCGTGGGCTGCGCGTGGCGGACCTCGGCGCGAGGGAGGCGCGTTCCAGATGTTCCCGGGCGGGCTTTGAGCGGCGGCGGGATGGTCGGAAGCAAGAGGGAGGGGCTGGAAAACAGGAGGATGACGGTGAGCGGCAGGTGTTCCTGTGAGGTCAGCGCCTGCCTCTGCGCAGTGACGTACCCCGCACCAGTTCCATCTAGACGCGTGCCCTCCTGACGTCACTCTCCTTCGCCTTATATGCCCCTTCACGCCATCCCTCGTCCCCATCCTCTCCTCCCGCACTCCGCCCCTCGTGAGTACCCCGTGCCTCCTCCGAATCTCGACTCACCCGTCCTCTCTCCAGCACGCACACCCACCCTCACGACCTAACGACCTCGTCACAATGGCTGCCGGCGCTGCTGTCCCAGGCCTCTTCTTCACCTTCGCCGCCATGGTCCTCCTTATCTTTGTGCGCCGCCCGCCCTCTCCATGATTGTCGTGCAATCCTGATGAGGTGGTTTTCAGGCTTCAGTATCAGCTCCGACATGGAACAGCGTATCGTTCCTCAATGTTGGACGCCTTCACTTTGGCTGCTTCGGGTTCACGGGCTCCCAAACAAGTGTTGGATGGTTCTTCCCTAATGCCTTGGCGTACGTCTTGCCTACCGCCTCCCCATTCCGACTTTCTCACCCCATCCACAGTAGCCAGCGTCTCAACGATGACGTCTTCCACAGCCTCACCTTCGTCCTCGTCCTCATCCCTGTCGGTATGTGCACAGTTCTGTTGCGCCACTCGTCTGCATTCTCATCTTCTTCACACGTCCACGTCCAGGCGCCGGCTTGGCTGGAATCGCTGTCCTCTGCGGCCTGTGCGGCGCAGCTTACCACCGCGTTGGCACCGTCTTCATGACTCTCGTCTCCGCCCTCGCCTTCCTCGACGTTCTTGTCGCCTGGGTCATCGAGATGGCTCTCTTTGGCACCGCGCGCCACGACATGCGGAGTCGCGGCATCAACGCACAGTGGGGGAACGCCAACTGGCTCGTCCTCGGTGCGCTTGTTGCCCTCTTCGTTGGCTTCTTCTTCAGCCTGTGTGGATCCTTTGGCCACTACAGCCGCCGCAGGGCAGCCGCGTACTGAGCAGACGTAGAATCGCGCATATGCGCTTTCTCTGATCCCCGTCGCCTCCAAAACTGTTTGGATTGCCTTCTGAGACGAACGCTTTCACGACTTTTCGACATACTTTGACGATTCCGATAGTCACGCTTGTTCTTCCCTGCGTTGACGCTGTTTATTTACTGTATTATCTGTGACTTGCTTCCCCTCATATGCTACCATCAGTACCATGTACCACTAGATCTTTTGCTAATCCAACGCTGTATTACCATCATGGACACGTGATCGCGTCTCAAGATAAGTGTGCGCATGTTGCTGTCGTTGCGTTTATTTCATCACCACCTCACCTCCGACGATTTTCGAAGGTCTGGCAGCCTCATGTGCTAGACCGCTAGCACCACTTTCCCGTAGTGCTCTCTCCAGTCAGCGTCTGTGACTGATCCACGTTCACTCCGGAACGCCTCGGCAACGGGAATGGCGTACACATTCGCAACCGCGCGCATACAACGGCGTGCACGCTGACCTTACTCTTTCGTATAATGGGCGTGGCCATCTCGACTGGGACTGAGTACGTCGATTTTTCCATCTTTCACACAGACTTCCATCTGACCCACGCAGTACTACAGACCTGTGGACAAAACCCCGCCGCCATCGCTGCAGCAATACTCAGCCGGGTCCACACACCCTCCTTCCGCGTCGGAGGCCCGACAGTCCCTCGGAGACCTTCGGCGAACCCACTCCGCCCTCGTACTCGTCCAGTCCCACGTCTCGTCGAAAAAGCGCCTCTTCCTCTCTATGAGCCCCGCCGCAGCTCTGCCGATTGACGTTCCCTCCTCGAGCTTCCCGAGCTCAGCTTTCGACGACCAAGCATACCCACCCGTGCTGGCGCGCATTCCAGCTCCGATCGGGGGCGTCCCCGCCCCGCCCGACTTCGCGCCATCCTGCTTGTTCGCCGTGCTCTATGGACTCCTCGTCCCACTCGCGCTCTACCGCTCGTGCGCGCGCAAGTCGCGGAACCTGATCGTGATCTTCTCGCTCGTGGTCATTGTGGAAAGGTACGTCTCCGTTCCGTCCACGACGATCTTCCTGTCTGAGCTAATTACGGTGCGCCGCAGAGTCGCCTTCTTCTCCACCCGCGCCGCGATCTCGCGCTCGTTCTCCACGTCGACGCGCGCGTCCCCGGCCTACCTCGCCTACGCGCAGAGCACCCTCGCCGCTGGCTTCGTCTCCGTCGCCAAGGATCTCGTCGGTGCCGTGCGCGCTCTCCTCGTGCGTGCCGGCGCCCGTGCCTCCGCTCGCCCGGCCCACACCGCGAACGGCGAGCTTCGCAGACGAGCCCGTCAAGCCCCCGCGCGTCACACTCGTCCCTGCGCCGCTCCCCTCAGCGCATGCCGGCCTCCCGCGTCTGCTACCGGTGTCGTGGATATGGTCCCGGCGGCAGTCGGCCTCGGCCTCACTCGCGGGTCCCTGGATGACGCGCGAGCGCGAGCGCGTGGCGTACGAGACCGCCAGCGTCGCGCTCTCGCTCGCGTTCCTCGTCGCCCTCGCCCTCGCGCTCTCCTCGGGCGCCACGTACGCCAGGGCGCTCTTCTTCGAGTCCGCTGCGGCGCAGACGGTCTCTCTCCGGTGCGTACGCCCCACGCTTACCGCGGATATCCTGGACTGACGCGCTCCGGCGATAGGTACGCGAGCGCCGGCCTCGCGCTCGCGCTCGTCTCCGTCGTGCACGTCCTGGCGTACTGGGCGTGGGTGCGGAATCCGGCCGCGGTCGCGCTGTCCTCGGTCCTGCTCATCTCCGCCGTGTGCACCCTGCTGGTGAGCTCGCTCGTCTACGTGGCGTCCGCGATCCGCTCACAGATGATGACGCGCAGTCCGTGGTAGGGATATACAGGCTCGTCGTCGTCGGCCTCCTCACGGACGACATACTCTCGACGGACGCCGGAAGCCTGAACGGCGTCGGCTCGAAGATGGCGTTCTACGTCTTCCACGCCGCAGCGGAGTGGATGGCGATCGCTGTTCTGCTGTGTGCGAACGCGCGGGAGCGGTTCGGCGCCGTGTGGCTGCTCAGCTGTGGCGGATCTGCATGATGTGTGGGGCAAATGCTTTCGTCTCGCTTTCGTAGACATCACCACAGGCTTAGTGTACATGAACTTGGTGTACATGAAAAAGAAATCTGCGCGGTCATCAAAGCTCCTTGTGGGGAACGCTCGGTCCGTCCCCGGTGCTTTCTGCGAGCGGAGGCAACGAAGCAATCGGCCGCCCGATCTGTCGCAGGTCTTGTACCCTCCAATGAAGCTCGTCGCCGCTTGCTCTGTCTTGGTGCTCCTCCAACCAAGCGAGTGCGCTCCCGATGGCTTCACGGACGCTGACCACGTCCGTGTTTGCGCTCATCGTTTGAATCTGTGTCATGAGCGTGGAGGCAACGCCCCGCAAGTCGCTGATGGCGTGTTGTCGCCGCTGGTTCACGTACTTTTCGTCGCTGTCGTACATCTCCTTGAATATCTCCTCGATTTCCTCGTACGTGAGCCGGTCATGTGGCGGGTCGACAATAGTAATGGATTCCGACTTGCCGCTGGACACCACAGCAAACCAAGTCGTGAGTGTTATCCCCGCGTATAGGAAGGCGCTCACTTACCTCCCCAAGTCCGTCACCCTGACCGTGATTACACGGGTCGCGTCGACATCCATCGCCACCTCGATCTGTGGCACCCCTCGGGGAGCGTGTCCTATTCCCTTCAGCTCTACGCGGCCCATCTCCCTGTTGTCCGTCGTGAGCGGCCGCTCGCCCTCGAAGACGCGCACCACGACCGCGTCCTGGCCGTCAATCGAGGTGGAGAAATTCGCCCTCACCTCGCGCGGCAGGACGGAGTTGCGCGCGATGAGCGGCACGAAGATGCCCCCTGCGACCTCGATGCCGAGAGTGAATATGTTGATGTCGAAGTCTCCCGTGCAGAGGTCGACGTCGGTGTAGCCGGCGAGAATCGCGGCCTGGAGCGCGGCGCCGTACACGGCCGCTTCCTCCAGTGGGGGGACACCGGCCGAGGTTGCGTTGAGGTTGAGAGGGTCTTTGCCGAACCAGTCTCTCACCAGTTCTTGCACCCGAGGGATGTGCGCCCCGCCACCCACCAGGAGAATCTGGAGAGGAATTCCGGCGTCAGAGCCTGCGCGTCGACGATCCAGACACGAACCCACCTCGTCGACGCCGTCCGTCGGAGAGTCCTCTGCCATCGCCCGCTCGATCGTCTTCACCACGCCCTCGAACCAGTCCGCGTTGGCATCCTCGAACTCGGCCCTCGACGTCCTCCAGACCGAGTTCGGCCTGCCGTCGACCCAAGGCTCCTCGAGCCCGACGACCGCCTCGAGCGCGTCCGACAGCGCCATCTTCACGCGCTCCGCCTCGCGCTGCACCCGCGCCATCTCCCGCGTGTTCCCTCCCCAGAGCTGGGCCGCGACGCGCGCATCGAGCGCCCGCCCGCTGAGCCCCGCGTCGCGCACGTCCGCGAGGACTTCGAACACACCGTCGTCGATCGCGAGCAGCGTCGCGGAGAGCCCGCCGCCGCCGGCGTCGAGCACGAGCACGCGCGCCTCGAGGCGGTCGCGCGCGGGCTGCATCAGCTCGAGGCCGTGCGCGAGCGCCGCGGCGGTGGGCTCGTTGATGAGGCGCAGGACCTCTAGCCCGGCGAGCGAGCCTGCGGTCCTGAGCGCTTCGCGCTGCGCGTCGTTGAAGTCTGTCGGGAGGACGTGAGGACGAAGAGAGATGGAGGGAGCGGGAGGCGCGCACGGAAGGGGACCGTCACGACGGCTTGGGCGACCGGTTGGCCGAGGAATGCTTCTGCGTCTGCTTTCAGCTTCGAGAGAATCGCGGCCACCATTTCCTCGGGGGTCTGAAGCTCTGCTTTTAGATCGAGCGTTGCAGAATGCAGGAGCGTGGCTCACGAAGTCGCTCCCGCGAGGAGCTTGCATCACTACCTGGCCGTCCTGCTGGAGGACCTTGGACGGTCTTTGGGTGGGCCATAGCCCAAGTGCCGACAAAGCGACCTCCCACCACCTTTCGGGGCGTGCTTGAGTCTCTCGCCCAAGCAGTTGCTTGACATCAGGAATATAACTCTTGAGTGTGTCCGGACCCGAGATCCACTGGTCAATCGCAGCGTCGCCGGCTAATCTGTGTTCGACCATATCGTATGAGGATTTCATCCGCGTCAGACATTGACGTCACTTACAATTGACCGTTTTTATGAATACCAACCACCGATGGCGTGCTACGCTGACCGCGCTCGTTAGGAATCACCTCCACCTGCCCATCAGCACGTTTGACGGCGACGCGCGAGTACGTGGTTCCAAAGTCTGTCGCTCGAAATCAGTTGGGCCGCGTGTGTGAGTGGTATGCGTGGGCTTTACCGATGCCGACGATGACGGGGCGCTCATCTTCAGTTGTAGTGTCGTGCCCTTTCACGGCTACGGGACATAACAAGAGAATGGCGAGGAAAGCAAGGAAGACGAGGGCGACAGTCGAGGCCACTCGTCGCGATTGTTTCCGAGTGGGTCGAGCCATTGGTGGTGGTCCGTGGGCGGGCTGGGAGAACGTTGAGCTGATGGAGGGGGGCGGAGCGAGCTTGGCGATGATATATAGCACCGTCTCGGCTGCTCTCGACACGTCAGGTCCCAGTTCGCCACGAAGACACCGGGCTGGTGGCGTTGCCACTTGGTAGCATCTCTCCCTATACACGGTCAGCCACGTATGTTGGCGCAATGGGTGTTCTGACTCTATGATGTGTTGAAACAGTCGGTCCCGCTTTATTACATCCACGTTGACGTGCACATACAGCCCCACCTTGGCGCCAGAGAATGTATTCGTTGGTAGGCGTTGTGGAGGCCCTTGAAAGAAGAGGAGGTACTGAAGCTGTACATACACCATCTCCCTGCGAGATAGTCGGAATCCGTCGTGGGGAATCTAGAGTTATAAGTTCGGGGGATAGGTAGAAGTGCACATCACATCAACCTTGATTGTCTGGATTTCGATACTTTTGAATGTGATCACAGCATGTCTGAGCGTCGAGACGGATAGCGTTCTGAACGATGGGGGGAGATGAGAGACAACCTGGGTCGTACCTTTCAATCCCGGCAGCCCGCAGAGCGCGAAAGGCGCCCAAACCGTGCCCTAGTCGGGATGAACGGTCCGGAAGGCCGTTCTCCTGACAGAAAAGGAGTGGTAGTAGGACATGCTAGTGATGATACATGTACATAGGATACAAGTACCGATACCCCGTAGCTCAGCGCATCCGTATAAATACAGGCATCAAGGGAGCCCGCCCTCCACTAGAGTAGACAGCAGGTAGGCTCGTAAAAACTTAAGCGACAGTAAAGCTGAAGCAACCCGGTCAGGATTCGTTCCGCAAAAGAGAGAGCAACGGGCACTCACTAGATCATGTCATCTAGAGCACCGTGCTGGGCGACTGCGACGAGCGCCGGCTGGTGGTTCGCCGCGGTGTTGATCGACGCGAGGCGGTAGAACCCGGCCGGGAGCCCGCCGCCGACCTCGACGTTGAGCACACCCCCAGAGGCGGGCGCGTTGAGGCCCTTGAAGAATTTGAAGCCCGTCTTCGGGTTCGTCGGCGTCGTCGAGTCGAGCGCGGGGAGCGCCTCGATCACGACGTGCGAGTGGCCGGTGATGTCCCCCGCGGCGTTGGTGAACTGGGGCGCGGCAAAGTAGTTCGTGTCCGGGTTGACGAAGCTGCCGGTGTCGAGGTGGAGGACGTTCATCTGGATGGTGAAGTTCGTGTTCGCCGCGACCGTCGCTCCGTTCTTCGGGCTCAGGAACTTGGACGACGGCATGTTGTCCGAGGAGGCGATGATGCCCATCGGCGCCGGGTTGCACGACCCGGCGGCGACCTGGAGACCGTTTGTGATCGCGAGCTGGGGGCTGAGAGCACAGAAGTTGATGAAGTTGTTGGTCGAGGTCTTCGAGGCGACCTGGCCGGGGGAGGGACTGTGGTGAACAAGTGAGTGGTAGCCCGCGGAAGAGGCGAGAATATCGTACGTTGACTGGCCGTCTTGCGCGAAGCCGGTGGCGATAACAGAGCTGAGCAGAGTGGTCGAGGTCTGAGCCGCTTGAGCGTCTTCGGTGCCGCCAGTTGCCGCCGTGCCGTTGGCTGCGTTGTTACCAGCGGCAGCAGTGCTGGAAGCCTGAAAGTCGTGTCGTCAGACATCGTGATAAAAGCATGGCATTGAATAATTACCGCAGCAGCACTAGAGGAGGCAGCCGAGGACGCCGGGGGAGGGACAGCAGCCGAGGATGCAGGGGGAGCAGCCGCCGCGGAAGACGCTGCGGCCGAAGACGCCGGAGGAGCAGCCGCCGCAGAGGAAGCCGCACTGGTGGCGCCAGTGGCAGCAATGCGAGCGTCACGGTCAGCAGCAGTAGTGCAAGTAACGCTTGTTCCAGCAGAGTTGACCAGGGGAAGAGCAGCGCAGCTGATAGAGAGGTTTGTTTAGTCCATCAAGTTCGGCCTGCCGGAAAGATATCAACTTACACCTCGCTGGCGGCGCAGGGCTGAAGAACGAACCGCCCGTTCACGCACTGGGCAAACTCGTTGTTCACACAGGCATTCTGACCCGAGGTACAGGGAGAGGACGCGGTCAGGGTAGCGAACTGCGCGCTGTCAAAGTTTAGAGAAATTGTCAATAAAACATTCGCAGCAGACTGTCAAGAAGGCGTACTTTTGGGCAATGGCATCCTGGCCGTTCTGGAGCGTGAAGTCGGCACGAGCGTAGTACCGCGGCCGGGCGGAGACGGAGAGAACGAGAGAGAGAGCGACGGCGCAGACGGACAACTTCATGGCTGAGGTCGTGAAAACGAGGAAGGCGGTCAACGTCTAGAAAGGAAGGAAGGCCCGAAAGCGGACGCTAAGCTGTTCAGAAGAAGGAATAAAAAGGACCGATAAACGATCACAGATCGTGTACGTTCAGAAGAGAAGGGTGGGGCGAACGAGGGGCCGTAGAGGAGGCCCAGGTGGGTTTTATAGCCGCCACCAACGCCTCCACAGGGCAACGACCCCAGAGGGCTCCGCATGCCACCCTGCCGTTCGTGTCGCAGGTTGCGAGACACATAGCCTGTGGCAGACGAATGCGACATCAGCGCGGGTAGCCAATATATTTCTGGTGACCGACCATCCATCTTCGCACTCAGAATTCGGACCTACAATCCGGGAGCCACTAGGGCTCGGGGCCGCCAACAATGATGATGCTTCGTTCCTGGGGAAACTCTGTGCGCGCGAGCTCGGGACGCAAGCAACTTGAGCTTCATTGCTAAGAATAGGGACTGCGACGGGAACGCCACCAGAGGACAGCGTTGCGAGGGTGAACAGACAGCGGGATTGGCTTAGTTGAGAGTAGGATACGAGCGGGAAAAGGTGGTGTCCGGATACTGTGCACTGTGGTATGCGAGGTCTTGTTGAGTGTGGACTAGTCTCCCCTAGGCAGCCCTTCTATCAAAGGACGTGGACGTTGGACGCTGAAAAGTTGGAGCCCGTCAAGCGCTCGATATCTGGCACAAGCGAGCTCTGCCACTCGTGTCCGACCTCGTTCTCCGCCGACATCATAATCGTCCCCACTTCATGCACTTGCACATGTAATATGCCTTGAAGTGCGGTCCTTTCCAAGGGTTGCTTTGCTTGCATTTCGTCCGGAGATGACTCCGACCCAATCCCTCAAGGCTCTCGGCGCCAGCCACATCGCCCTTCTGCACACTGCTCCGTACCGACTTCATACGTACGAGTCATGAGTGAGGATAAACCGGTGTTGGACTATTCGGTCTATCTGGTTACGGGAAGAGAACTGCTGCCAACAGGAAAGGTGCGCATCCGGTCGCTTTTCAACAAATGCGCTACTGATATATGCTACGTTAGACCTATCTTGAATCGTTGGAAGAGGTACTGGCGTTGTATGCATACTCCAGTCACGCATTCTCAATCCTTTCCAGTCTCTTATAGGAGGCGTTACGTTGGTGCAGGTTCGGGAGAAACAGGTTGACACGGGCGAGGTATGTTTCCACTTTCTCCTTTCATGAATCTCCATATCCCAACGCCCTGCAAAGTTCATCCGAATCGCACAAGCCACAAAGGAAGTCTGTCGAAGACACCAAGTCCCTGTCCTCATCAACGATCGCATAGATGTTGCCCTTGCGATCGGAGCAGATGGCGTTCACATAGGCCAGTCCGACATGCCCGTGAGCATCGCCCGAAAGCTCCTGCCCCCCAATGCGATCATTGGGATGACCTGCAACACGTCTGAACATGTCCAGCAAGCCATCAAGGATGGTGTCGACTACATCGGTCTAGGTCCTGTTTGGCCCACGACTACGAAGAAGGACGCCCAGGGAGCTGTAGGTGTGCGAGGCATAGGAGCTATGTTGGAGATCCTTGAGACCGTCCCGGAGGGTCGGGGAATCAGAGCCGTTTCGATCGGTGCGCTCTGCTGCTTTTCCATCCTCAATCGCTCTCATTCCTTGACCAGGAGGCATCAAATCAACCAACGCGTTGCACTGTCTCCACGGGTCCGTATCGCCATCGGGCCGCATATTGGACGGACTTGCCGTTGTCAGCGACATCGTGGCTTCCAATGACCCACGTGCAGCTGCGAACAGGATTGCATCCGTTGTCCAGGCATTCAAGACGAACCCAATCACTACCTTTTCCTATGCACCTTCGGCCTACCAGCCAGCCTCCATCAAGCACGCCGTGGGCGAGTTGCTCTCTGTCGTAAGGCAGCACTCGCCCCTCATTCATCAGGTGCGGTCCGAGTGCATCATCTCGAATCCTTTCCCAATTCATTCTTAACTGTAACGCGGCGGCAGATAACCAACAACGTCGTCACCACGCAATCTGCCAATGCCACTATCGCCCTCGGCGCGTCGCCCATAATGGCCACCGCCCCGGAGGAGATGGCAGACCTCAGCGCCGCCGCCGGCGCGCTGCTCGTCAACTTCGGCACGATACAGAACCTCGACGGCATGCTCTCCGCAGGTGCGTCCCCGCGCGGTATCGATCTGTCATAGAGCCTCAACTGACGCGCACGCCCGGACCGCAGGCCGCAACTACAACTTGCGCCGCAAGCCCGTCGTGTTCGATCCTGTCGGCGTGGGCGCGACTGCGTTCCGCAAGTCCTCGGCCGCCGCCCTCCTCGACGCATGGCAGGCAACGGTCATCAAAGGCAACGCCGGCGAGCTCGCTGCGCTCGCGAACTGGGCTGAGGTACGGCCTCACCGCGCATCCGCCCCCCATTTTATATGCTAACGCTGCGCCGGATTTGCTCCCGCAGGTTGAGGCGAAGGGGGTCGACAGTGTGGGCAAAGGCTTCGCGGACCCGGCGGGCTTCGTGCGCCATCTCGCGAAGAAGCAGCGTGCGTCTTCGGTCCCGCATTCCTCCGCATCGCTCTGCCCTCACCCCGAGAACACCTACCAGGCGCGATCGCAGTGCTCACCGGCAAGGACGACTACATCTCCGACGGCGACCGTGTTGTGCGGCTGTCCAACGGGCACCCCCTCTTAGGGGAGATCACAGGCTCCGGGTGCATGGTCGGTACCGCCGTCGCCACGTTCTGCGCGGCCGCCAGCATCGCCGCGATGAACAGCCGTGCGCCCGATGCTCCTGAGGATGCTCAAATTGCGCGCGGCGACATGTTCACCGCCGCCGTTGGGGGGTGCGTGGCGTCCATCACCAGTCTATTCCTGCACCTCCTTTTTCCGTCTCCCCACTCATCTGTGCGCACCCTTTTCTGGGTTCACATGGTGTGGCAGTTTCTTCTTCTCGTGCATGTGCTCTTCGCGAGGAGGAGGTGATGGCTCACGTTGTTCCTAGGGTGCTTGCCATCACCATAGCATCTGAGCTTGCTGCGGCTAAATCCGACATCGTCCGAGGAAGCGGGACGTTCCTCCCGGCTCTCATAGACGAGCTAGGTGCGCTTACCCCCGAGAAGATTGTTATTCATGCCAAGGTGGAGGTGATGTGAAGACCACGAGAAGCACGAAAGCCAGACTAAGCCTAGCTTGTATTGTATCTCAATTGCTACAAACGTTCAATAACATCTTCTATTCCAATTTCCCTTGCTCGTTTCCTCGTTCGTCACCGTGACCTCCGCTCCTCACGCCCCCACTGGGACAACCGCGGCGTTTGGGACATCGAGGATGTGGGGAAACGGCGTCCCGGGCGTCGGCTGCAGCCAGTTCTTCCCGTCGTACTCCGCGTATGGCGCCGACTCAACCATGTGGAACGTGTACGCGTACCGGGTGTGCGCGCTCGTGTTGCGCTCCGACTTGTGGAGCACGCTCCCGTGGATGAGGACCAGGTCGCCTGTAGACACACGTCAGTCTCGACGGCGCCGGCTGCGCAGCCGCCAGACGGGGAGCGCACCGGGCATGCATTCCTCGAGGACGTAGGTGCCCTCCGGGCTCTTCGGGGCCTCTTCGGGGGCGACGAGCTGCTCGAACCCAGTCCCGCCCCCGGGCAGCCGGACGAAGCGTTTCGTAATGGGTGCCGACAGATGGGATCCCGGCAGGAAGGACAGCGCGCCGTTCTGGGGTGTGCATCTCTCCAGCGGCATCCAGAACCCAAGGGCGGTGGGTGGGTTGGTGTACTGCGCAAGAGATCGATCGGCTTTACATCTCCCAGATGGTACACAGACGCTGACACTCACCAGGAACGTCCTGAAAGCGTGGTGCACCGCAGTTGAACGATCTGTACATGAGCCTCGTGTCAGAAGAAATGCTTACGAGTCGTTGTGTTCCGGGACTATAGGCAGGAGTTGGATCAGCCCAAATGCCAACCAACCGGACTTGAAGAACTTTACCTTCGCCTCCAATCTGTGGCTGCTTGCAGATGACCATCGATTGGAGCGCTTCCAGCACTCCAATGTCAAAGCCAACGAGCAGAAACGAGGGCACGGCACGGCGCACCAACTGGATCATGATGGAATTTGAGGTCCCGCACCACGGCTCTCATCTTCTCGTTTTCCAGCGTGATCTTCCGGAAGCTGGGGTCGTGTTCGTGCAGCCCTGCCCGCCTCTGTTAAGATCACGACCGAGCTTACTCTGTGTTCAGAGAACATCCTCACCGTGACCGATCTTGTTTACGGCTCTCGTCTTATCTCTGTTGAGCTTGCCGTCTTTGTCCACCGCGTCTTCCTCGAGGAAGTACCTGATCTTGTCCCCCGACGTCAGGAAGTAGTCATCCCCGATGTGGTTGTCGTCGCCGGTGGTGAACTTTGTCTGTGCAGCCACGTGTCAGCCCTGTATCGTTCCACCGAGGCAGGAACGTACGAGAGGATGGCTCTCGACATTGAACTCCTCCAAAAGCTCTTGAGTACGCGTGAGCAGCGTCTCGACTTCGGCGGGTTCCAAGAAACCAGGAATTTTGAGGTAGCTGTTCAGAGCTGTTATTGGTGAATACGTCGCACGCAGGAGCTCACACGGACCCGTTTGTCCTGAACTATGAACGCAATGATGTCATTCGGCGATGATGATTAAGCGAGCAGAGAAGTACCTGCGCAACTTGTTCAGGAGTAAGATACTCGAGTGTTTCGCTCATAATGGTTGCACCTGCCCAGAGTCTTGCAGTTGGCGGTTGTAGTTCAAGCGCGCTCGTGAGTAGCGCTCCGATAAGCCGGCAGCGGCAGTGCCCAGCTGACCCTGATCAAGCCAGGTCAGGGAACGCACGAGACGTGATTCACACGAGCATACGTCAACGTTTCTTGAACACTGGGAAACTCGCTCTTCGGATGTCCACCCACGCATGCACACGGAGTTCATTGATCAAAGTTTAGACCATCTGGGAACATCTTGTGGAATATGATTGCGCTGCAACTCCATCACCTCCATAGCCCATCTCAGCTGCTCAGACGTTCAGCCCTTCGTAAGGCGATCCAAACAGTTTTGCAGGCGACGAACAGACGGGGTTCAGAGAAAGCGTATACGCGATTCCACGTCTGCCCAGTACGCAACTGCCCTGCGGCGGCTGTAGTGGCCAAAGGAGCCACACAGGCTGAAGAAGAAGCCAACGGAGGGCAACCAGCGCGCCAAGGACGAGCTTAAATCAACACCGCGGCAAACCACCAGCCTGCGCTCGTCGTGGCCCATCACGGTGCTCTGGATGACATGATCTAATGAGTGCCCGCTGCTCTCTCTTATGCCACATGCATCTTGACCGGTACGAGCCTACCTGATGTCTGCACTAATTCAGGGAGGCCCTTGTCTGGGCGAACGTAATCTGTAATCCACCCACCACGGAAACGACGGGGCGCGGGGTCAGCCGAGTGGGCCAATAAGTGGTGGCCCTCCTTGTGGCATTGCTCTGCAAAGCTTGACAAAATCTTGTTGTTGCGCGTGGCGGGAAATAGAGGGTTTGGTCGGTCCGGTCCGTCCAGGTGCAGGATTACCGTCGGTCCAAGGCTCGCGCACTAACGCGCGGATAACAGAAGGCAAGAAGCTATGCTACAAAGTTCGAACTGCTACTAGTCCTGGTCGTCATCGATGTTCTCGCCACGCGCGAGGCGGCCCATAAGGTGGTCGATCTTGACCTTGTGGATCCGATGGTGCTCCTGCCACCCCTTCCACGGATGGTGCGGATGCTGGCCGGTGCGCAAGACGGTCAGCGCACCGCCCAGTCACTGCGACCCCACGAACGCGTGCTCACCCGTCGACCGAACTCCTGGAAGATCTTGTCCGAGGTCCCGTCCGGTTTGGAGGAGAAGAACTTCGCGAGGAGCACATCGTCCTGCCGGCTGTACCGCATCTTCTTATCCGGAGGCGTTGGCAGGGGCTCGTCCCCTGTCGTGTGGTGCAGCTCGTGCTTGTGCCGCCTGTAGAACTTCATCCAAGACGCCCTCGAGTGGTGCGGAGCCTGGTCAGAGGCAGACCGCTCAGCTAACAGTCCCAGCAGCCCCGATCTGGGGCCGGCGCACCTTCATCGCGACGTCCTTCCAAAACGTGACCATGTCCAGCTTGCCGCTCTGTGTCCGGCTGCGGTACTCGTAGAAGCGGACGAGGAACACAACGTCCTCGTCCGTGAACGCGACACCCTTGCCCGTCGTGCTCCGGTACAGCGCCCGAGGCGGCGTGGGGGACCGCGCGCGACCGGTGCTGACGTCGTTCGAGACGGCTCGGTACGCGGCTGCGATGGACTGGGGTCCGTGGCCTGCGGGGATGCTACCAGCACTTTCATGGTCGTGCGGGACCTCGCTCGGGCCGGGTTCGTGATCTGGTACCGCACCGGCGTGGTCGTCGCCGTCGTCGCCGAAATCCATGGCATATCCTCCCAGTCGAATCTTGTGCTTGTTGCAATATCGACGCCACGAATAGAATCTGCACTCGCGATTAGATAGGCGTCCCCCACCATCGGTCGTCAACTCACGTGTGATGAGGTGCCTAGTCCCGTGCTCAGCACACAAGCAGGAACGGCAAGTACAGAAAGGTGCTAACCTTGATCGCTATCCGCTCGCAGATCTCACGCAAACTGAGGACCAAGCCTTGCTCTTGACAATAGTCAATGTAGCGCTTGAGATACTCGATATCATCGGCGGTGAACAAGTTGCCGCCGTACGTGCTCTTGATAACGCGAGTGGGAGGCGTTGGCGAGCGCACATGCGTATTGCGTCGATTGGCAACCAAGGTGGAAGCAGGAGGCGCCGGCTGGGGCTGCATCGGGGTCGGTATGCAACCAAAACACAAACACAGGAGACGTACGTGAGTCTTGGTACGCTTCCGGCCCCTGGTAATCCTCTCTTCCGACCCCTCCGCGTTCAGCTCGGCGTTAGCTTCGGAGGTCGAGGGACCAGCATCATCCATGTACTGATCTGGTGCCTCAGCATACGCTTGGTCGTACTAGAAGCACATGATCAGAAGCGGGCGATAACCGGCCGTCCAGGATAACTTACATGCTGGCCGTAGTAGTTAGGCTCCGGTGGTATCCACCCTGCCGCCCCCTGGTCTTCGCGGTACCTGTACGCGCTGTACTCTTGCGGAGGTGGTGGGGGCGGGGGAACCATGCTTGGAGGTTGCTGTTGGATTGGATGGTACGAGCCATTCCATGCTGGTTGCTCCTCCGGATACCCAGGGTGTCGCTCAATAATGTGATGTTCAGGTTGGGGCTGAGGCGGAGGGGCCGCCGGTTGTGGCGGGGGTGGAGGCGGAGGCGGGGCCAAGTGCGTCTGCGACGGCGCAATGCCGTTCGGGGCCTGCCATGTCTGTGGTGGGCCGGAGGTTGGGGGTTGCAAGGCCCGCGGTGCGACATCCATCGGGTTTGTGTACACCGCGAACGGGAACGAGCCCGCGTGCGCGACAATGGGCGCGGGGTGGGCCATTGAGATTGATGAGGGCGTCGGGACCGCCGAGGGGTGTATATGCGTAGGTTGCGGGTGTGCATGATGCGGAGGCGGTGGGGGCTGCTGCTGCTGAGCTTGAGCCTGCTGCTGTAGGACTTGATCCGGATGAACTTGGTGCACCATCTCTTCGTGGGGAGGCGGGGGCACGTGTTGCATCGACGGACCCGGCTCCTGCAGCGGCGGCGGCGGGTGGTGAACAACGGGACGTACCCTGCAGGCAGGCAGAGGGTCAGGTAGAGTCAGTTCAGATATAGCTCATTGGTAGATGGTGACAATGGGACAACCCACTCCTCGGTGCCAGTCACTTTGCATCCCCCGAAGTTGGTCTGGTAGGTTTGCAGGGCACCCTGCTCGACGCAGTGCACAACCCACTGGGCGCTGAGGACGATTTTCCCCTTCTTACCCGCATATTGTCGGTAGAGGCTCTGTCCTGACTCCTTGTGCGGGTCCACTGTTAACGGGGCGGCGTATCAGAAGTCGTCGGAATGAGCTCTTGCCGCTCTATATGCAACATGCGCCTTTGGAGAGTCACCCACCTAGGATATATGCTACTCCACTATACCCAGGGGATACGATTCCGCCATGTTTCTGTTAACCAAGTATATCAGACCCTCTCACATGAGCAGGAGCGGCACGGCGTGCGTCCACGGTCTCCCAGTCTCAAGCCTGCCGTCCTTGCGCCTCCGCAATACGAGACGAACCCAAAGACATGCCAAAGACGCGTCGCCGCACGCCGCACGGACGACATACCTGAATGAGGTCCACGAGCTGGTCCCGGTTGTCGACGTCCTTCTCCACGTAGATCGCGAGGGGGGTGCCCATAAGCGGGTCGAGGAAGAGCTCATTCTGTGCCCCGTGCTCGTCGTCGGGCGGGGATGTTGCGCCGTGTGTTTGGGGCGGGTGCTGGGCGTGTGCATGGTCGCGGCGAGCGCGGTTGGAAGTGCGTGTGGGTGCCATGGGTCTTCGCCCGGGGTCCGAGTCGTCGCGCTGAGCGAGTCCAAGGGGGACCGGGCGCTTGCCCCTTTGGCCTCCCTGGCGGAGTTTCAACGGCCTAGGCACTGCAACTCAACGTCCGCAGCCAACGCTTGAGCGCTTATCGTGAAACTTGCTTTGCGCTCCATTCACGCGAAATCTGCGCCTCTAGCAGGTCTGGGGCAGCTTTCAGGTGGAAATACGTACTCTCGGGGGCTGTAAACAAGACCAATCCGTCGTAAAGGGAATCGAATCTGACTGCATCCTTATTTTCACTCACATTGAGTAATAGATCCCCAGGTCCATGAGCATCACTCTCTCAGAAACCATCTTAGTCGTTCCTAATCTTGTCGTTCATCCCGGCTGCGATACAATGAGACAACCCTGACATTCGCTTGACGGCCCCTCCGGCAGCGTCGTAGGCAGAGTTGGCCAGTAGCGGTGAAGATATCGAGCACCGTGAAACCGAACATCATAGGGATCGCAGACATCGTTTGGGGGAGTTCAGAGAGCGACGAAGGAGAGTGGGGGACGGAGGGAACGAATGACTAATTTATTTTCTTGAATAGATGGTGCCTGCTGCATGTTCAAAGTGCAGGGTGGTGGAGGAAGTCAATTCGGATGGTGTCCAAAAGCTCTTTCTGACCCTAAAAGCATGCATCGAGGAGGCTCGAGGAATTCTGTGCTCATCTTATTTTTGGAATGGCCGAAGCGGAATTGAAGGCCTGTACTTAATGGGCGCCTGCTCTTTGATGAATTTCCCATCAAACGATTGCTTTTGGTTCCCACGCAGCTCTCACCAACTCGTCATCATACATGGGATTGAAGTCGTCTTGAATGCCACTCCCCAGCCCCTACCATGAGGTCTGTCAGCCTGGCACGTGCAAATTACCAGTGTTGTGAGGGAATTTACACTTCATGCGAAGCAACAAGATCAGGACTTGCATGCGACGAACGGTGTGAGCCAGTCAGTTTCGAACTTGTTCAACGGCACTGACAAACAAACCCGGACTGATCAGGCGATTACCAGAAGCGTCTTTCTTTCTTCCAATCTTCCACAGCTCGATGTCGCCTAGATCGAGCAACTGCACCGCGATGGTTGACGAACACAAAAGAGTTGACGCGCAAGGCGAACATATGACCATTCATGCGACCCTCGATACGTATCGATGACAGGCCAATTTCCGACGTGCTTGTGTTGGTCCTTACGCCAAGGTGGATGGTCTTTTGTTCAAGGTTCTCCACAACTTCTAGTCAACCTTCATGCACGCAAGCGAACATGACGCGCGCTTGACCAGTGAGCCTCATCGTCCTCCGCCCACAAGCGATTCATTGCAAACGTCGTGGACAAAAGCCTGGCACTGGCCCCCGGCGCCGAATAGCGAGCACACTGTGTCACAAATAGTGGGCTCGCACTGCTCACGAGACCACCGCAAGTGTCCCAAAATGGCGAGCCTTGGGCGCGACAGCTGGCCAGCCCCAGACGTTGAGCCTTAGGCCTTACCTTGATCATGAAACGCGACCCACAGACCCGTGCATTCGCAACTGCCTTACATGGCCCGCCGGACCTGATCCACAGGATGCACACGGCGCAAAGCAGCGCAAGCTGGTCGGCGGTGGCGTAGGGTCTGACCGCCTCGGCCCTCACAACGGGGCGGAGGGGTTCGTCGATTCGACGCCATTAACGGCGTGCCAAATACTGCTGGCCTCTTGAGCTCCGTGCCGAGGGTTGTGTGCACAGGGCGGTCCTCCCGACGGGTACGCATCAGTATGTCTGCCCTCTACATGTTGAGAGTTTGGACGAACTCCATCCATCACGCTCTCGCTGTTTCACCCCACCTGCGCCCGATGATCTCGATGACGTCCGCCCAATAGCCATGGGCACTCTCCGCCGTGTTGGCGGATGAGCGTCCGTTCGTTCAACCTCGGACATACTCGAGAATAGGTGTTCATCACGGACGCGGCGGTTTGTGCGCTCATCAGCACCCCGTATGGCCCCGTCACGGTGTAGCAGGCACGCCGAGCGCCATCGATTCATCTTTCGTGCGTGCTTCTCGCACGGGTACAGAAGCCCTGTGGGCTTATGTTTGATCTCTACACGATCACACAAGACAGCTGGTATCGGCCATACACCCGACATCACCACCAAGGTCGGAGCAGATGCCATGCAATCCGTCTTGATGCAGGGGTTCTTTCGCACAGGTGATCTGCGGCAGCACATGCTTCTCTTCCCTACCCGTTCCTGGATCCCTCTGCCGAGCCTCGAGAAGGGGCAGACAGCGTAGCGGGCCCGTTTCCTCGGGCCTTATTGTCCCGTACGCCCGTCCGCGCGGAATATTTCGCAGGGCCAGTACACGGTGACGCCATCCGGATCGTTAACATACTCAGGATAGTACTATGTATCACGGAACTATTCATCAGCCGACTTTCCCCAACAAGTTGGTCGTTTATCATGCATGCGCACACCACCCACTCCTGCCCCGGCACTGAAATCCGTTGGTGCCCAACAAGTAGCGCACTCTTGGTCGCCCTCTTCCAAGTTCCTGCTCTGACACGCTCGCGGGGGCTTGGGGAAGATGAAGCTCGTGTGAATGCCTAGCGGCCAATACCAATCCCCTCGGCCTAGACGCGTCTCCTCTCACCCTTGTCTCTTCCCCGTTCGACCCACATCCCTCGAAGAATGGAGTGCGCGCGCCCAGCCTCTTCTGTCTTTCTTGTTGCCCGTTCTGGGCCCGAAGAAGCCCGAGGGTCCAGGCGTCCAAAACGTCGCCCTTCTGGGCAGATTTCCTTGGTCGTCCACCGTCGCCACGCAATTTTTACAGTTCGCTCTTGGCTAAGCACAGCGCATGCCGGAGGCTGCCCGCCCGGCTCGGTGGAGTCCGGCTCGAGCGCGCAGGGCACCCACCGCACTCGCCCCGGAGGATCACGGAACGGGAGCGGCGCAAGACCTGCGACGGCCGCAGATATCGCGCGGGGCCAGCGCCGATTGCACCCAGTTGCAGCGCGCGGGGAACTCCGAAGGCGTCTTTGGTGTCCGCCCACCCTCTCGTCCCAGCTTCTCGTCGCGGCCCGCGGTTTAGCGTTAAGCTCTGGGATCCCGCGCGCAGCTGTCCAACACCCGCGCCGTAGCTAAGGGGACCAAGGAGGCCGCCCGCCGTGCGCGCGGGAGCGCGGAAGTGCGATAAGTGGGAGGTGGGAGGTGGAAGCTGCCGTCGCCTGCTTCCGCGGGGAACGTTCCCGCGTTGCTTCCCGCACCGTCGCTCCAGGAGGGCGGGTCCGTCTTGTCCGCTTTCCCAGTGCTGAGCTGCACGGAAACGCATCCTCGCTCGATGTCGATCGATGCTCGCTCCTCGACGGGGGTGGAGGAAGGGATAAGCGGGGGCTGTCGGAAATCCGTGCATGCTTGTGCTGCACAGGCTCCACTGGCGGAGAATGCTCCTCCACGCTACGCGCGCAGCCTCGTTGTCTTCTGAGGGGACCTCGATCATGTTCCATGCACGCCGTCCTCCGCCGTCTGTCTGTCCGGTCGGTGGAACACTGAGGTTTGAACTTTGTGGGGCAGCCACAACGAAGGACCGGGGTGGAGTTTGTGTGCACCGCTCATACACCGCACCGGGAGGGACGTGTGCGCTATCACCGCGTGCGTGCTGAGAGCAAGGAAGTGCCGCAGCTTCCCAAGTTGCGTAGCAAGAGTGCTGGATATTGAATATTGAATACTCGGCCTCGGCGACTTGCGAGCCCCAGCATCTTGCCGCTCGAACCAGCGAGTGAAGACCGACAGAGGGTAAGCTCCACAAACGGTAAGACGCGCTTCCCACCTTGGTCAATGTTGACGGAACGACGATGGGAAGAAAGCCGGGACAACTGGTGCGTGCCGTAAGCTCCTCGGTCGCGAGACCCACGGACGCTTCTCGTGATACTTGTCAGAGCGGGCGCGGTGTGGGATGAGGGAGCCATCATGCATGTGTGCGCGTCCACCGAAAGCGTAAGTGGGTGCGATCTCCTACCAGCGACTCTATTGCCCCCAAGTCGCCGGCAGGGTGCGCCCCGCCTTAAGGCCTTAAGGAGAACCCCCGGAAGCAAAGGCGCGGTGGCAGCTCAATGAATGCGATGCGATGCGGGTGCGGTGCGCGATGCGTCCGCCCCACCGCCTGCGAGCCCTCGCGACATTGCGCCGAGACGGGAGGCGTGCGCGACCTGGGCGTGCTGTCGAGATGCGAAGATGGTTGCGGTGCATGACGAACCTGACGTTGCAGTGGGAACGACATGGTGCGGCGCGAGCGCAGGGGGGCGCCTGGGATCAGGAAGGTTCGATGATGCTCGCGTGCGTCCATCCGGGGGGAGCAGATTCGCAGAGTTTGTGCGGCCGCGCGGGCCGCCGAGCATCTCGCGCGGGCACCGTCCATCTATCAGCATCGGGGCGGGGTCTGGGCGGTCGAGGGCTGGGGGAGCACTTGGGAGGCGGGGGCGGAGGAGATGTTGCGTGGGACGGCGCGCGGGTGTGCAGAGCGCGTTCGACAGAGCCGGTGGCGGGGGCGGGGGCTGACGACGGAGAAGGCGGAGGGCAGGGCGACGACGCGGGGAGAGGCGGGAGGCGGGGCTCGGGCGCCGCGGACGAGCGCCTGGGCATTGGCGTCTGTGATGGGGGCCAAACAGGGCCACACAGGACGCGGAGTTGATTGTTTGTGAGAACGGGAACGGGCGTCTTCCCACCGGCCAGGCCAGGATCCCGTCTCCATCCCCCTTCCATCTCTCAAGCAACTGTGCTCTGCCCGCCTCCTCCTCCTCCCCACGCCCTCCAGAGGCTCCTTCCCCCCGCCCACCATGGCCACTGTCGCAGGCCGCAAAAAGTCCTTGGTCACCTCCCTCCCCCCCAGCATCGACTCTCCCGTCGCCAACAATACCCTCCTCAACAAGGCTGCCTCCCAATCCACCTCCCTCTATCAGCAATGCTCCTCCCTACGCACTCGTCTAATGCACCTCCAGGGCTTCTCGGACTGGTTCTCCATCGCTGCCCTCCCAGAGGCCTCCCGTCGCTCCACTGACCCCGTCACCCAACTCTGGGACGTCTTCGCCCTCGGCGTCCCGCTCTGCTTCCTCTTCAATCTCCTCCCCTCCGTCCCTCCCATTGCCGTTGAAACCGACGTCCACTCCTTTGACCCCGCGAACGAGCGTGCCAAGAAGCATGCCATCGCGCTCTTTTCCATCAACCTCAAGCAGGTCCAGAGTTGCGAGGGTTTCACTGTGAGGGACATCTATGACAGGAACTCCACCGACGGTTTCGTCAAGGTGAGCCCCCCACCGCATTGCTCCCCTCGTCGTGCTCACCCGCACTTCCGTAGGTCGTCAACAACGTGATCAACCTTGTCCAGCAACTTCCTGAGGATCTGTTCCTTGAAACACCGCCTTCGTCACCCACGCTCGCGTCCGCACTAGCCTCGACCGAGTCTCTGCCCTCGGACAGCTCAGCGATGGCGACCGTCGTTGAGCCCGGAGGCGCAAGGGCGAACATCATCAAGGAGCTTGTCGACACGGAGCGGAAGTATGTGCAGGACCTGGAAGTCATGCAGGTGCGTTGTTTTTGGTGTCGGTCGCGCACGCCGGGATTTACCGGCCTGCCGCTCTAGAAATACTGCGACGAAGCCGTCCAGGTTCTCGATAGGGACACGCTGCATCTGCTGTTCCCAGGTCTGAACAAACTTCTCAACTTCCAACGCAAGTTCCTCATCAAAGTCGAGAGCATCGCCGAGCTGGCGTGGAACGACCAGCGGTGGGGTTTCCTCTTCTCGGACAACGTAAGTGTATCCGCGCTTGCTCTTGCGCGGGGAGGGTGCTGATTGTGGAATTGCCCTTGTGCGCATACGCGTGTTGTCTCCGCTCCGACAATCGACTGGCCGATTGGGGAACAATAGGAGGATGACTTTGCCGTCTACGAGCCGTACTGCGCGAACTACACAATGGCGTCGGAGATCATGCAGCAGGAGGAGCATAATCTGATGGTGCGCACCTCTCTTCGCCGCGACTGTCGTGTGGACTTGGCGGTCTCCTTGGTTGCGGAGGGCGCTCACGCTGATTTGCCAGGCGCTTAATCACATCATCAACGTGAGAGGGGAGCTGCCTGCGTTCCTGATCAAGCCCATTCAGCGAGTCTGCAAGTACCCGCTCCTGCTCGAGGTGCGTTTGCCGATGTCTCCGATGGCCGTCGTACTCATATTCCAATGATAGTCTCTCCTCAAAGCCGTCGGCAAGTCCGATTACCCGCACATTCAGGAGCTCGGGGAGGGTGTTGCCGCCGCCAAACGCATCACCGATAAGATCAACGAGGCCCAGCGTCGCGCAGAAAACGACGCAACAGTCAAGAACCTTGAAAGCCGTGTCGAGGACTGGAAGGGCCACCACATCTCCAACTTCGGTGCTCTTCTCCTCGACGACATCTTCAGTGTCACTAAATCAGAGGTCGACCGCGAGTACCACGTCTTCCTCTTCGAGAAGATCATTCTCTGCTGCAAGGAGTATGTCCCGCAGCCAGGGAACGGCAAGAAGGTCGGAAAGAGCAATTCCATCCTAAAGAAGCCGTCCTCCCCGTCTACCCCCATTGGCCTTCCGGGCGCGGGCTCATCTAAGAAGAAAAGCACGCCTCTTCTCCTCAAGGGCCGCATCTTCTTGAACAATGTCACGCAAGCCGTCCCCAAGACCAACGCTGGTGCGTTTCCACGCTTGCTTCTTTCCGCTGATAATCTGTCGATGCTCACACTGTCCCGCTCGTTCGATCAGGTCAATACTCTCTCGCTGTCTACTGGCGTGGGGACGACGACCTCGAGTTCTTCACTCTCCGTTGCCGCAACGAGGAGCAACTGAAGAAGTGGGAATCTCAGTTGAACCGCCTCATTCAGGAGACTGCGAACCGCCGGACATCAGACCGCAACCTCGCCCGTCTCGCACAGGCCATGAACGCTCCCTCCCCTCAGATCCGGTCCGCACACTCTTCGTTCACACAGGAGCGCGCTTCGATGTTCTCGAATGCCTCGAGTTACGCAGCAATGCCACAGACTGCCTCTCTCAACGGTCGCATGCGCCATCCCTATGCCAGCGAGGAGGCTGTGCCTTCGTCGTCCGCTTCGCATCCATACGGCAACGGCTACGCGCACGGCCCACAAGGCTATCCACCGCACGAGGGCTTCGATGTCGACCCAGACGACGACTACGAGGACTACCCTCCGGCCAGCGCCAGCTCCCCATCAGGTCGCGGCACGCCCATGGGCAATCCAAGGCGTCCAGACTACCCGTATCCCCAGAGCGCACGTCACAGTGGACACGCAATGTCACCGGTCATGCCAAATGGCATTAGTGGCCTCCAAGGACCTGCGTCAGCTCGTCCGGTGATGTCGCGGAACACGCAAAGCTATGCATCCGAGGCCAGCTTGAACCAGTCCTCTCGGCCGGGACTCCGGAGCCAGTTCAGCTCAACGCGGTTGCGCGCCGCCTACGACCAGCCGGACTCGCGTGGCGCGAGTCCGATGCCCCCACCGATGCATCAGCCGATGCGCTCGCGGAGCGTCAGCCAACCCCAAGCCTACAACCCCCCACCACAATCGATCCCGCCGCCGCTCCCGACATCGAACCGCGGCGAATGGGCCCAGGGCTCGATGTCAACCAGCAAGCGCGGGAGCGGCTCCAGTCAGTCGACGGACTCAGCAGACTACTCGCCACACACAAGCAGCTCGCCGATCACACCATACGGCTCGAGCGAGTCATCGCTCGCGGGCATGTCCAATAGCCGCGGGATGCACTCGGGCATTGCGCCACCTCCGCTCAAGGAAGAGCTCCGCCTGTCGCCGCCGGTCAAGATCAAGGTGCACTTCCACGAAGACATCTTCGTCATCCAAGTTCCTCGTGCGACCGAATACGCCGAGCTCGTCGACAAGGTCGGAAAGAAGATCCGCTTGTGCGGTCCCCGGCGAGACGACGGCCCGCTCCGCGTCAAGTACAAGGACGAGGACGGTGACCTGGTCTCCTTGGGGTCGACGGAGGATGTCCAAATGGCATTCGAGTCGTTCCGACCTGGCAACCAGGTCACCCTCTACGTGCAATGAGCATCGTGCTCTGAGTCGCGTTTTGTACACTTACCTTTTCCCGCATCCCTCCGCCTGCGTTACATCATCCTCGTCTCTCTCGCATCGCCCGCCGCACTCATCCCTGCCCGCCCTGCTCACTCATATGCACCCACACTCCGGCTATCCGTCATACGCCTCGTATGCATAGCCGCCTCCGTCAATTCAACACACCCATTCCGACGTCCGGCAATATCTTTATCAACTGGGGGCCTCCGTCACATATGCACACACTCGTTCTCTCTGTTTCCGCTCTTCCCTCTCTCCCACGGCATGTACGATCGTTATTAGCATTCCCTTCGCTCTCGGTACATTATCGCCTCTCGATGTCGTCGCTCGCGTACATTGTTATTCGCGCGTCCTTACTCGCGCGTCCTCCACCTATGGAGCACACTCTCATTTCGTCCTTCTCTTCCCCTCGGCCCCCAGGCCAGGCCACGTCCCCCCTCACGTCGACGACCAACCCTTCCCCCGCGCCGTCCTCACGCTCCTCCACACCCTCGTACCACCTCTCCCTGCCCCCCGTCCCAGTCCCGCGCGCGGTTGGTCCCCACTCTCATCCGAACCACGAATTGCCGGAGCGTGCACTGCGAACAGGCGGCAGGGACGTGGGATGCCCCGTCCCCGTCCTCGTCCGCGCCCGCGCCCGTGTTGTGCAGGTCTCCTTTACTACTACTATGTGTATCATCTACTAGAGTCGAACGGTTGCTTAGGCTGGCCTTCATGGAATATATTATCTTATTGAATCGCGCACACTCCACGATGGTGCCCGACGCTCTCTGATGGTATCGACGCGCCCGGACTTCGGGGTGGAGCGCTTGCTGTAAAACATAAGTTGCCGCGTTGATTACTTGGGAGGACTGAATGGTCGGTGACCAAAAACCGGCGAATAACTCATCGGCCCAGGTACGCGAAGGGCACATATGGAGCCTACGTAATTAGATGGCACTAGCAGGTCGCGCTAGCGACGCGCTTCATGGGTGTTCATGGGGAAGTGGAGATCACAAGAAAGTACACACGGCGGCGCTGCAGGGTCGCTTCAGGCTCGTACACACTGGGGTAAGAAACCAGGGTCTTCGGAGCGCTTTCTACAGCTAACCCCGCGCAGTCCGCAGCCGCCCGAACCGCCCGCCTCGGAAATTGGCATACGTACGCTACTCCGGCGCAAGAATACTCGGCCCCACGAGCGGCACCCCGCTGCGCTCGACCTCGAACAAGCCCTCCGCGAGTCGGCCGACGTCCCCGCCGAGGCCCCGCGCGCGCGCGACGATCGCGCGCGGCAGCCCCGCCGCCGTGCGCGCGTACACGTCCAGCCCGGCGGGCGTGAACAGCGTCTTCTCGAAGAATGTCACCGCCCACGCCGGCTCGCCCCCGCCCCCGTCCTCGCCGTCCGCTGGGCCCTCGGGCGGCGACGGGTCCGCGCTGCACCCGAGCACCTGCCAGCGCGAGGACGCGATGACGAGCAGGCCCCTGCCGCGCCACTTGTACCGCGTCGGGGGCGCGCCGGCACTGCCGAGCGCGCCCTCCCGCTCCGAAGCGGCGGGCCCGTCACCGGTCGGCGGGGAGGCGCTGCGCGGGCTCGCGACGTGCGGCGGGACGACGAGGGTGTCGACGCCGACGACGCGGCTGCGCGGGGCGGAGGGCGGGGCGGCCTTGGCGCGGTACTCGACGACGTCGTCGAATTTGACGGGCGAGTCGGCCGCCTTCTGCGGCTTGAGCGCGTAGGTGATCGTCACGTCTTTCTTATTCTGCGAGGGACCGTGTGTGACTGGAAGGTTGCCGGGTTTCCGGCAATATGCGCTCACCTTCCACAGAGGCAATGTCGAGTGGGTCACATACCTGCCGACATACATGAGTGAGCTCCGAGGACAATCGCCAAGCGAGCGAAGCGCACCATGTCCCCATGAACTTGTGCAGATCCAAGTCGATAGGCGGAGTGTGAGTGTCCGGATGGTGAAGGACGACCGCAGCCTGCTCTGCCATGCTGTCGTCGTCGTCAGGAAGAAAGAGGCTGCCGACACGCGAAGCCTCGTCTTTGTTTAGCCGAGCAAGTCGGGTGCATGTACTGTACGTCATCGATTCATCGCCAGCCTTAGGCCTGCTGCGAGACTGACTGTGTATTGCGTGCTAGGAGACCATGCTAGTAATACATCTGACCCACTTTCCGACAAATATCCCGCCATCTTCCATCCATTCGATGTATGCTGCAAGATAGGGGCATCTATGTATCATACTGTACAGAAGACTCTAATGGCCGTGTTGTCCGTGTATGGCCTTGGCGTGTGATGTTGCGAGGACCGTATGGTGTAGATATGAAGACGAGCAATGAAACGAGGGCTGAGGACTACAAGGCATCAGGAGAGATGTCGCCCAGGGTGTTCCGGTCCGCAACGCTATGTGCGCTTAACAGCGACTTCGACTCGTCGTACTCGGACTGCAAGTCGATTGTGTCCTGCAAACCGCGACGATCAGTTCGACTACACATATTGGGATGGACGAATGACTCACATCGAAGTAGTGCCGAGCCAGACTACGAGGAGCTACGAGATCCCACATCAGCAACGGAAACATATGATGGTGAATAATGACACTCACTCTTCGGAGTCCTAGCTAGCCTGCACGTCGCACCGCTCTGCAGGATGTGATACGCCACGAGACCGGACCTACAAAATTTGTGAGTTGCGGCCGAGACCGATGTCACAACCGGATCTTTACCATCCTGTCTGATGAGATGCACCCAATCCTCGTCCGTCGTCAGCATGGAAGAACTGTTGCAGGGTGAGCCAACTTGTTTCAAAAGCGGACCGTAGGGCGTGCATACTTCGTAGAACCACACGTAATCCCGGAAGTGGGGATCGTGATCGAGTTTCGGATTACCGCCATTCGTAGAACGCTTCCCTTCCATGTCGCGGCCGAAAATATGGATGATGCGGTGTTGAATCTCTTCGGCTACTTGCACCAGATTCATGTAATCGCCGCTTCCAGTCGGGCACTCCACCTGGACGCCCGGGTTAATGATGAAGCGGACTGGCACTAGAAAAACAAACCTGCAACTCGTCGCCATAGAACTGATGGAAGCGCTGAAGGCTTTCAATAAGGAGGAAGTTGACAGCAAGCCCTGAAAGATCTTCAGCACGGAGAACATTGATGCACGAGGAGATGTGCATACAAATGGGCCCACGCCAGTTTGAGTTACCACCGAACATGCCAGACTTGGAATCGCCCGGCCAGTAATTGATTTCGTAGCGTTCGCCGTTGACATCCATCCCCCACGGCTGATCCTTGTGCTTCTTCGACAGCCTGCAGAATGATCAATTACCGTCGAAGAAAACTAGTGGCAGGACTCACGATCGAATGCCATGCTCGCTGAAGAACTCGTCCTCGTCGAGCATCTTTTCCAGGATCCGGATGAGACGCTCCTTGCTGGCCAGCGCGAGCAAACGGCGCTCCCCACGACCTCTCGCTGGGTCAAGCCATCAGGTAATGGAAAAAAAATGCGGTGGGAGACACCGACCCTTCATGTTGGCCATGTTGCGATCAGACATCTCGGGCCTGTTGTCGATGAACCATTCCATGCGCTTCTTGAAGCCAGGGAAGCGGTTGACGACGGCGGGCTCCAGAACGAGCGTGGCATAAAGAGGAATGAGGCCGACGAGACTGCGAACGGGAAGCGGCATAGTGTGACCGCTGGCAAACTGGATAGCATCGTAGTACATGCCATCCTCTTCACTCCATAGACTGAACTCGTCTTCGCCTTGTCCGCGATACGTCATGGCATCGGCGATGAAGATGAAATGCTACAGCACAATCAGAAGCAGTAAACTCGTCGATGAGCTGCACTCGTACCTCGAAGAACTTGGACGCAATGTCCTCGTAGGTTGGGTTGTGCTTGGCCAACTCCAGAGCGATGCTCAGCCTACAAAAGCTGAGTATGGCCCACGACGAGAGAAGACAAAAAAGCTCACATGTTCAGACAGTAGAACGCCATCCACGATGTTCCGTCTGCTTGACGAAGCGTTCCTCCCGTGGGCAGAGCTTCGGAACGGTTGAACACTCCGATGTTGTCGAGACCCAGGAAGCCGCCCTCGAAGACGTTGTTACCATCTGTATCCTTACGGTTGACCCACCTATCGAGATAGATCAGATAAGCGAGGAGGAAAAGGTCCTCGAGTGCGTACCAAGTGAAGTTCAACAGAAGCTTTTGGAAGACTCGCTCCAAGAACGACAAGTCTTCGCGACCGTACACCTTGCGCTCAATCTTGAAAATACGGAAAGTCGCCCTGCGAGCGATGAAAACCTTGCAACCATGAGCGAGAGCATGAATGCTCACCATGCGTGTACCGGAGGGTTAACATCGCCGAAGTTCCATTCGTAAGCCGGGATCTGTCCATCGGGCTTCATGTACCACTCGCGCGTCAACAAGTCCAACTGCTTCTTGGCGAAGGCAGGATCGACGATGGCAAGAGGGATGCAGTGGAACGCGGTGTCCCACGCGGCGAAGAAGGGGTACTCCCACCTTGTCACAGAGTGAGTCCCAGGGTGGTCGCTACAGAAAACGAGAACCTACTTGTCGGGCATCGAGAGGATGTCGGCGATGTGCAGATGTTTCCAGTCCTGCAGACGGAGCATGAGCCAATGTTCCATGCGACGATCACGCTACTTACCTTGTTCCTAACCCATTTCCGTTCTGGCGGAGGAGGCGGTTGAGCGGAATCGCCCTTCAACCAGTCCTTTTGAATGAACTGGTAATACTGCTTCGTCCAGAGCATACCACCCATGGCCTGCCGCATGATCTGCCTGAGATCGTCGCTAGTAGGACCCGTGATAAGTCCGGAGTAGAACTCGTTGCCCTCCTCGCGACGCTCTTCCACGTTGTCGTCAAAGATGCATTCATCCACGATACTGGGGTCCTCAGCGGGCGAGTGAGGAGTAAGCTTGAGTCTGACGACGACACATCCACCTTCAGGCGGAACGTTTTTGAAAACGTAGTGGGCTGCCGCTTTGGTGCCCTTCTTCTCCGGGTTAACGAAGGACGGACCAGTAGGGAAGGGAGTACGAGGACCGAGTTCTTCATCCACATCCGGACTATCTTCCGGGAGGCACTGACTGGCGTAAGTGGAGCGGATCCGAGTCTTGAAGAACCCAGGTTCGTCGCCTTCAGTGTGAGGGCGATGGAGGGAATGATGTGATCGTGGAAGCTATCCTTGACGTATGGCGTTTCGTTCTGACCTCCGTACAGACGGTTGTAGTTAGTGTTGTTCTCCGTAAACAACAGCTCTGGTTCCACAGCCTCCACCTCGCCGTTGGGACCCATCTCAATCTGGCCTTGGTTGTCGACCGATGGGGGAGAAGGAAGACAGTATAGATTATACTTGCCGAGCGTAGGATGAACGGTCTTGATCACATTCTCGCCGACCGCGGACATGTGAGGTTTGGGAGGAGGGTTCTCGGACCACGACCAGGTATTGGGGAACCACAGTTGAGGGATGATGTGCAGCGTAGCAGGATCGGGGCCGCGATTGTACGCGGTAATGCGAACGTAGACGCCGTCGGGATCTTGCTCGTCCTTCGCGTACTGTATGCCGTCTCGTTAGCTCTTCCGACTATCTACAAAAGATCAAGACTCACCTCCATGAAGACATCCCAGTACCTGTCCTCCGCAAATGCGTCCGTGTCCAAGATCTCGAACTCCGCCACTTCCCTGTCGCGGTTGACGTTCTCGCGAACGAGCTCCTCGTATGGGAAGGCCTTCTGCGGGTACTTGTATAGGAACTTCATGTACGAGTGCGTCGGCGTCGAGTCCAGGTAGTAGTATAGCTCCTTGACGTCTTCTCCATGGTTCCCTTGATGCCCTGTAACGCCAAAGAGCCGCTCCTTGAGGATGCGGTCTTGTCCATTCCATAGCGAGAGCCCAAAGCACAGTCGCTGGTGATTGTCCGAGATCCCCCCCAGGCCGTCCTCACCCCAGCGGTACACTCGCGACCGCGCATGCTCGTGGGGGAAGTGGCTCCACGCATCGCCATTGCTCGAGTAGTCTTCGCGGACCGTCGCCTAAAGCAAAGGAAGAGAAGGGACGCACAAGCAAAAACGCGCGCGATCGCGTCACAGCCTCGTGTCAGCACATCCACGCATTATCGCGAGCAGCAGGACAGCCGACGCACCCACTGCCTGTCGCTTAGATAGGGCCCCCACCGCTTCCAGTGCGCCTCCTTCTTGCCATCCTGATCTAGGCGGAACCTCTCGACGCCGCGATACTGGTCGCCGAGCTGCTCCATGAGCCGCTCGCGGAACGTCTTCTCGTCCTCCTTCGGCGCGCCCTCGGGCTTGTTGAGTTTCGGCGGGGCAGGGCCCGCCTGCGACGAGTCTGTGAGCACGGGGTTGGGGATATTGATTGTGAGCGGCTCGGTGTTGGACCGCGTGGGTTTGCTGCCATCTTCCTTCGCGTCCTTGTCCTTGTTGTCCGCGAGGGGGACGGGCGGGGCCTCGCCTTGGCCGCCAAAGATCTTCGCCTGGAGCTTCTTGATGTGTGCGCTTTGCTGCGCCATGGCAGCGACGGCGTGGGGTGGGGGGAGGGAGAGACGCGAAGACGCTGAGGGAGGGCGGACGCGGCTTAAGAAGAGATCGCGCTTCGAATCTAATAAATCGCCTGTCAGGCCTGGGTGCCCGCGAAGTCCGGGTTCGTTCTGACGTCATGCGCGCGATATCTCTGCCTCTGATCCACGAACGCCGTTCTCTCCGCTCATCAGACAAACGAGGCTCCGCCTGGTTCTGCTGTACGTCATGCTCGTCGCTCTGCACCTAGTTGGGGGCATGGTGCTCACACGGTTTGTCCGATCAGACTGTCGGGCGTTGTAGGATGTAATACTAGTTAATGTCATAAAATGCTGCACCTGGGATGCGACGACACAGACGGTACGCTAGAGAATGCAAACGTGAATGGTAACGGGAGACAGGGCATACGTGAATGGGGAGACGGCGTGTAGGTAGGCAGAAGTGCGGTCAGATGGGTGTATACAAGAGCGCGGGCGAGACAACAAAGCGAGACCTCCGACTACGTCACCAAACAAACGGCAGTCCATAGCTAGACCCAATGGTGCGGCGGGTTTCCCTGCCCTGCCGATGCGCACGCCGCGACATACGGCGGCGCGGCTATACAACTGAATGTAGAACCAGCCACAAGAAGCCCAATGAACGTGGATATGGGGGAAGCGACCTCGCTTCAGGGCCGAGAGCTCTCGCCCACGGAAGCGGCCAGCAGTACGCTCTGCGTCCAGTCGTCCTGCGGAGTCTCCTCAACCTTGATGTCGATCGAGGGCGTCACCGAGACCTGCGAGGCGGACCGTGCTCGCCCCGCTGCTGCGGGTGCGGTGGATACCTCGGGGACGTACAACGACGCCGTCCTGCCGCGGTAGAAATCGGCGATGGGCGTTGACTGTGGGGTTGAGAAAACGGAGGAGCCGCCGGAATCCGACCGCGAATTCATGCCAGGGACCTCGAGCCTGCAGCGTGAAGCCAAGGAGCCGGTGGACCGCGCAGCAGGCATGTTATGGATGTCGCGCAACTGATTCAGACCGCCGTCGAAGCCGAGGCGTATGGGTGACGAGGTGATGGTAGTCTCCAGTCGTGGAGGGGCATTCCCGAGGATTGGCTGGTCGACGGAGATGGGTGCGCTGATGTATAACCCAGCAGCTGACGAACTGCTCGACACTGTCCGGAAGGAAGCGACGAGGTTGACTTCTTCGTAAAGAGGAGGTTGAGCGAAGGGCGCTTGGGACGCTTCATGACGCCCATCTCGTCGCAAGTAGTCTCGGTCGGGGAGGATTCGGAGCGGAGATGGGGGAAAGAGAGAAGGGTGTAGGATTTGCGGTGTGAGAGAGGCGCGTGGGTTACTGGTGAGTGAGGAACGCTGCCGCCTTGTGTTGGGAAGGGGACGGTGATGTCTCTGGGTTGTGGGGCGAGTGACGGGAGGGAGAGCGCGGCGACTTCTGGGATAGCCAAGGAATGCGCGGAACCAAGGAATTTAGCGTCCTCAGGCCGGAATGAAGGGGGTTCAGGAGATACTAGTTCCTCGGAAACCGACGAGGAATCTAGGGAGTCGGATGAGGACAGAGGTGGAACAGTGGTATCGTAAATTAGGGGACTAGGAGTGCGGGTGGGGACATTAGAGGTGGGCTCGAGGGCGGATACGAATGAGGCTGAATCGTCCGGGCTGTCGCGGGGAGTATCCGGCGCATCGTCCAACTCGATCACAGGTAGGCGCATGTCGATCACCTGGTCAGGGGGCGGAGGCTCGGAACGTTTGGCCGTGCCGCCTTGCGCGGCTGCGCTTCCTCGCAAAACGGCGGCGACATCTATTTGCGCTGGAGGTCCGTTCCAAATGGAGTCGGACTCGCAGAGAGCTCGAAGGAGCGTCGGGGACATGTTCAGACTAGGACAGAACACGAGCAACAAGTTACCGAGGGGCATCTTGGTCTCCTTCGAATGGGCAGCGGTCTGCTTGATGAGTTCGACAACGGTGAAAAGGAGGTCGCGGTTCTCTTGAGGTAAACGTGAGATCAGCCACGAGAACGCAGTGAGCTGGGACTCCGAGATGGCGCGTTGTCCAGCGAAAGTGGGCATAGCGAGGGTCGACAATGATGGTGGCTTGCGCAGGGGGAGGTTGGAGCCGTTCCGAGTCGGCGTCTGCTTGGTGACATCTTCGCTCCGTCTGCCAGCGTCGTCCACGAGCGCGGACTCAAAGTAGGGGAGCAATGCTCTTGTCAACACAGGCTCCGGGACTAGGATGACATCAGCAACGCAGTCCACTTTGACTCGACATGGCCACTCACGCTCGCGGAGGAAGGTCTTGAGAATGGAGGAGACGGCATGCGGATCCAGATCGCCGGGATCACATTCGGCGAGGTTGTAGTCCGCACCTAACATGCAACGCTATGATTAGAAACCAGCGAACGTCCGAACACATGCGTGGTCTCACCTGCATCGAACTCGGACCGCAATTGGTTGACGTGGGATGACCGTCCACTGATACTGTTCATGGCGACCAACGTGAATGCCCGCATCATCGCATGACCAGAATGAGACTGACCGAAATAGGCCCTCTTCCTGGATACCCCAACGCTGAATGTGCTGCGCACAACGCACCACTAGCGCGGGAAGCAACCTCGTCTCCAGGGGCTTGAAACCAAACGTCTCCTCGCTCTCAGAGCCCAAGCGATCCTGCACGTCGTCGATAGCCGTGTCCCTCACGCAGTTCCTCAGATCTCGCTGGAATACCAGCCCTCTTGCCTTCGCACTCCGTATACGCCGGCCGAGGACGGGCCCGGACGGAGAATAATGGTCTTCGGACGACGATGACGCCAGAGACGAGATGCTTGACGTGTTCGAGACTTGCGGGACCTTTCGCCTGGCTTTGCGGCCGTGTGCACCGGAGTTGTGCGACGAAGCGTAGCCGGAAGCACCGTCGGATACGCCGACAGAGGAGGAGGATGAATAGCCCGAGTGGTTCGACGCCGTAGAAGCAAGCCCCGTGAATGCTCGGCCGACCTTCTCGACGGCCCGCTTGCCGAAGCCCATCGCGAATCCAGCGGCTGGGGCCAGGGAGCCGGTCATACTGACAGCGGTTTGGCGGAAGGTGGGGTTCACGGGAGGGGGATGGGGCTGACCAGGTTGTCGTCTTGGCTGCGGAGCGGGGGGAGGGGGAAGGGGTCGTTCGGCTAGCGCTTGTGGTGACGGGGCTGACGCCGCTGTCCAAGCCGCGAGTTTGCCGCGAATGTTGTTGCTAGCCGACTGCGTCGTACCAGCGGAACCCACTGGGGCGATGAATCCAGCAGCCGCAGTCCGCGTTAATGTAGGCGTGTCGCGAGAAGACGCAAGGGGCTTCTCGGGGGTAGTCCGGGCGGGGGTCTGGAAGGGCGGATGCGAAGCTGCCGTGTCGGGTCGACGAGCTGAGACTAAACTGAGGGACGCGGACCGTCGATTCCTGGCTTTCAATGAAGGCGTCGGGGAGGGACGGCCCGATGCAGGTGGACGGGAGATGGAATCTTGCTCAGACACCGAACCATCTGCCTCTTCAAACATGGTGAACTCTGCATCCGTGATGAGCACGCTCAGCCGCTTGTTGACGGGCGGGACGATGGTATTGCCTGAATGCGATGATTCTGCGAGCGAGACGGGACGCGGCGAGCGGCTGCCAGACAAGGAACCCGGCCGAGCTGTTGAGTGACTTGTCATGGTCGCATCACTCTTCCTCCAGTCGTCCTTCATCTTCTCTTTGTCCGGCCTCTCCTGCCGTTCCGGCGAGGTCGTCGGTTGCTCGACCGGCGGCTGTGAAGCCGCATCACCGGTTTCCGATGGCCGCCTCATGTATTGGACGTGACTGAGGGGAGGTGTCTGCCTCGGGATTGGCCCAACCGTAGGGACCTGAGCGGCCTTGGGTGGGGTTTGCGGGGGCAGCGCTGCCGCACTGAACTTCGCAGCCGACGCGGTCTTGGGGGGCGGGGTGGGAGGCGGAGGGGACGTGGGGGACACATGTGGCGTATTCCATGGCGCGACGATGGCGGGGCCTTCGAGAGCCGCAGGACTTGCCTTGCGTGTACCAAAGACGTTTATCGGCAGCTTGAGCAGCTTCGGGCCCGCGAGCCCTCGCGATGTTTGCCGCTCCAGCCTGAGGTCTCCGCGCTCGACGTCGGACATCGTAGACGGCGGGTTGCTGGTGCTTGCCCCTCCCGCACCGCGTTCTCTGCTCACCGACCGGTACATACCCCCGAGCATGGCGGACAGGTCCTCCGACTTCTTCCTGCGCCCCACCCAGGCGCGCTTGATCCGGTTGCCCGCGCCGTTGGAGCTTGAGCTGGGACAGGGAGAGACTGGTGGGGGACTGGCGGGACCGACGGGACGAGCTGGCGCTTGACCCATGCTTCGAGGGGAAGCCGTGCGGGGGGCGGGAGAGAGATGGGAGGGCGAGAGGGTGAGAGGGAAGAAACGGGGCTTGGAGGAGGAGGAAAGCGAGGAGACGGAGCGATCGGAGGCTATGATATCGGACTGACTGGAATTCGAGAGCGAGGCTGCGGGGAGGAGATCGGAAGACGCCCTTGATGAGGAGAGGGAGGAAGAGAGAGAGGAAGAGGACGAAATGGACGTGGGGACGCTGCTGGACAGGACATGTGTATCCGTAGTTCGGTGCTGCGAGGAAGGCATTTTGCTTGGACCTAGGCCGAGAATAGGGCGAAGAAACTATAAAGATACGTGGTTTGAAGGATCAAGTGCGCATCGAAGCCACCAACGCCTGGAGCTGGGGCCGAGAGTCAGATAACAGACCGAAGCAAGGCCAGCGCAACGAGGACGCGGTGAGGCATGCTCACATGCGCGCACGGGACACTCACGATGACTGAAACCACCGCCACTGGCTGTGCGGGCGTGACAAGGCCTGCGAGCACGCTGCGGGCGTGCACGTTGCGAGCGTAGATGGGCGAGAGGGGGTGGTGCAACGGGGGCGTCGACCGTCGGGGTGCAAGGGAAAGCCAACTACGCGGCTACCAGACTCGGCTGCAGGCCAATCACTGGCGGAACTTCCCGACTCGTGCGCACGATCTCGCCCCTGGTCGACTGCCCGTGGCCAGTTTCGCATCGGCGCCCATCCAGTCGCTCGCACTGAGCCTGTTGCTATGTCCTCAGTTGCCTTTGTAAATCTACGTAGTACAATGCGAATACTCCATCTGCCTGCCCCGCGCCACTACGCACGCTCGCCGCCCCCTCTACGCGTGCTCTACGCGCCTTCCCCGCCGCCGCACACACCCCCGTCATGATGCACCCAGAAGCTCCTTCACGAGCTCGTACGTGAAGAACGACGTGGCAATGCTCGGCGCAACTTTCACTGTGATCTCCCATCAGCACGCCCGTTTGCCCATGACGCAATTCAGACCGTTCTAAGCACTCACGAAGGTTGGGCCACAAGCCCCGGTACAGGCCCTGAATGCCCTCGTTCCTGACGATATGCTTCAATGCATCGAACGCGCCTGTGTACTTGTACCCGAGCGCATCCAGGCCGGTCACCTGCATCTTCCGACGCAGCACGTCGAATGGGTATGTGAGCGTCTGCGATATCGACCCAGCCAGCGCGCCGCATGCTAGCTTGCGATGGGCACCTGTCTTGCCCGGAGGTGTGATGATGCCCCTCAGGGCCTCGTATGTCGCGAAGTTGATCCCTGGATGAGCTCGCACCGTGAGAAGGATCGGACGCGGGTTGCGGCATCTACGCACCAACATAGGGAGCCACGCCCATCGCGGTGGGTATCAACCCGCGGTACAGCGCCCTGAGCCCGCCTTCTTCCCGCATCACCTTCAAAGTCATGCCCAGCACGGTGAGATCCCTGGGAGTGAAGACCGACGAGTTCTTCGCTGCGGCAGATGCGGTGTGGTATCCGGATGCGAGCGCAGGTTTCATTGTGCCCGTGGGGGCTGCCGCTGATGTCGATGTGCCCGCCGACTGCATAGGTATGGACGCCGTGACAATGGACAGTCGAGACCGTATAAGATCTAGGGGATATGTTGTGCCTGAGGGACCAGCACCACATGGACACATCAGTCTCAACATAGCTGTCGGGCCGCGCGAGTGAACGTGCTTACAGACTGAGGTGATGCCTGCTAGTGCACCTGCACATAGACGTATAGGGGTATCCAATGGTTTGGCTCCGTATCCAGTGAACCACTGAAGCCTCTCGGTTGGTCAAGGGGCTGGTGTCAAAAGAATCTCGGCGTACCTTCTTAAGCTGCTCGTATGTTGTGAACTGAACCGCGCTGTACTGACGGTTAGCCAGCCTCCAGAGTAAAGCTCGAACACAAAGCATACAAACGCACCTATAGGGTATTATCCGTAGACAGTTGATGCCATTCCCTCGCATAAAGCCTTTAAATCCCTCTTCTCTCCACATCCGAACAAGACTCGCCACACCCCCTTGTACTGGTTGCCTCCCTGGGGTTGCACTTGTCTGCACAGTTCCGAGCGAACACCGCTAGATTCAAGACTTGGAAGGACGCGGAACTGAGGGCACACTCACTGAATGATCTTCAACCTCTCTAGCGGGCTCACAACCGTTCGTGAGGTCGCTCCGGCGACGCCCCCCGCGATGAAATAAGATGAGAGCTGTGGGCTCAGCCACGCCACAGCCTGCTTCCTCTTCTCCTGCTCCGTCATAGTGACTGTAGTTCAAGGGATATTATAAATGATAGTCTCTGTGCGTCTGAGGGGCAGCGTCGGTGGCAGCACAGGCGAACGGTGCGGTGATGTCATACCTAGGTGTGCTTAAAACTGAATACAAATTGCGTCGGGCTTCTGCTTCGGGTCGCCCAGGCCGCGGCGGAGGGATCCAAGGGGGACGAGAGGGCGGGGGTCGACCAGGGTGGGCAGAGAGTGTGGTCGGTGTCAAACAAGTGAGGCGTGGCGGAGCGGGAACGGGGGAGGCGGCGCCGGAGGGCTGCAGGAAACGAAACGGATCTCGGACAGGACTCCAGCGCGCCTTCGGTCCGCGCAATTTTGCCACGTGCCACAGACCTAGGGCTACCCCTGCTACCCCGCGCAGACCTCTCACGGAACGTTGTCGGCAACCGTCGGCGAATGCCCTTCCACAAACAGCTCAATGACAAGCGGATCGTCGTCCACGCATCGGGGAGCTGAACCATCAGCATCGGATGGGAGAAGCACTAAATACACAGGCTCAAGAGATGCGAGCAACAGGACAGCAGTTGGCGCGATAAAGTAACAAGTCCGGAGAGCACGGGCTGCTGGCCTTTTTCGACTACATATCACCGTCAACACGACAATCATTTCCCTATCTCCAGCGTCAGGTTTCCCTTATGCGGCAGCAGGAGGAGCTTCTCCGCGAGGCTCGTGGAACCCAGAGCCTGTGGCGTCACAGAGGTTAGTACCCGTGCCCGGAGATGGACATAAGAAGGCTCACCACGCCCTCGACCCCGGCCTCCACGACCTCGCCAATCGCCATCGGAGGGACCTCTGCCACGGTATCCTAATAAGAGCAGTGTAAGCGGAGATCTCAGCATTCCATCATTCAGATAAACGCACCTCCACGTTCACCACCACGGAATCCACCGCGTCCACCGCGCTCACCGCCACGGTCACCTCGGAATCCACCACGGTCACCGTCACGGTCACCTCGGAATCCACCGCGTTCACCCCGGTCACCACCACGGTACGCACCACGCTCGCCGCGGTAGCCTCCTCGGAAGCCTCGACCTTCACCCCGATCTCCTCGGAAGCCACTGCGACCGCGTCCCCGGCCCCGATGATGAGTGAAGCCATCCTCGTCCACCACCTCTCGCCCATTCACTTGCGGAGTGACAGGCGCCTCGGAAGGAGCAGAGGCGGCGGCTTCGGGGACCGGAGACGCTTCCCCCGACGTCCCGTAGTGAGCCTGGAGGTTCTCCAGTGGAGGAAGATCGCCCTGATCTTCGTCCGCCCAGTTGAGCTACGAAAATATATACGTAAGAATCACCCCGTTACTAATGGCAAGCAGGAAAACACATACCTCGGTTGTAGACGTAACGGTGATCGTCTCTTCACCAACGTGGTGCCCGTTGACATCGGCCTCGATAATTGCGTCGGTGACTTCCACCTCGGAAGGCCTCGGCCCTTCGGCTCGGACATCCACCCAGCTTTCATCACGACTTTCCGCCTCAGGCTCGGTGGCATCAGCGAGCTCATCCGTCATCATAAAGCGAATGCCTCCCGCGGCAGTCACAGAAGGTGGGACGCCGCCAACAGAGACAGAGGGGACGCTCTCCTCCGGTGCTTCCGAATGGAGCTGAGGAGGCGGGTTCAAGAATTGCTCCTGAATCTCCCTGATGCGCGAATCTGGATTTCATGTCAGACGATATCGATGTTCTGTCACAGAAACACTTACATGGAACACCAGCATGTTCTCCTTCTCCAGAAAACATTCTCCGGATCGTTTCAGTCTTGCTTTCCGGCTTCTCGAGGAAAAGGACCTCCGATATTGAATGGATCGCCGTTCCATCCGAATCGCTTAGGTTCAACGCCAGCGCCATAGGATGCCTCTGAGCAAGCATACCCTGCAACCTCAAAAATGTGACAAGCTCGGCGGTCCGTTGGAGGTTTTCGGCCTGAAGCAGGCATGTTCATCAGTAAGATGCGTATAGAGCGATGTATGTATACGTACTTCTGCAGCAGCAACTGCTTCCTGGATCCGCTCGGCCTCAGCCCTCGCAGCGCTGGCACGCTGGAAAGCGATCTCGTGCACAAGATCGGCTTCGTGAGCCTGCAATAATGTGTAAACGCCGCAGGCCAAGTGCATGTGGGTCTCAACATACCTCGATCACCTTCTTGACTTCATCAAGTTCCTTGCTTACGGCTTCCAGGACGGGAAGCGTTGTCAAGAGACGTTTCTGGTCATCGTTCAACTTCTCGGGATCTTCATTCCTGTATCCTTGTATGCGGGTCTTTTCGTTACACCATGTGAGCAGGCATTGCGTGCATGAGGACAGGCAGGAGGCATGACGTATGCAAGTTGGAGGCACAGGAGCGGACAGCGAGTCGAATCATTACTCACAATTTTCTTGTTGTTCGCCTTTAGCCTCTTGTTCAGCATGTCCACGATGGGGCTAAGCTTGATGTCCGGCGTGGGCGTGAGCCCGCCCTCGGACATTTGAGACACGAGTTGAGGCGCAACAGCCCCCTCCTGAACATCTGAGGCCTCTGGAGCTTTCTCAAGCAGTGCGGCAGACGTAGAGTCAGGAACGACGAGTTGAGGGGTCCCTTCGCCGTCCTCCTTGGCCTTGCCGCCCTTGCGCTTCTTCTTCTGCGATTTTGGAGGGGCCACAGGAGGCGGGGCACCTGGCACGATGCGGGGAGATGGGGCGGGTGAGTCGGGCATGGATTTGGGCGCGGGTCTCGAGCGAGGTGTCGGTGGTGCGGGCGACGACAAGACGAGGGAGCAAAACCGTCGAGCGGACAGCGGGACGGGAAATTTGGGTTTGGGTCAGTGGCGAGACCAGGAAAGCGTCGGCGGTCCTATTCCCACGGATGCTCCTCTGCGTCGGGATCCCCGTCGGACGCACCCATCTTGACGCGGTTCCAAGCTGCCCTTTGACCTTCGCCGCCAATGTCTTCTCTGTTCCGTCCTCACGCCTTGGCTCCTGCCTCATCCGCGCGAAGGCGTGTGTATTCTGAAGGGAACAAGGCGGACACGCGACTCACCTCGGCCTGCCATCCCATTCTACGGACAATGCTTTCAACGAGCTTCATGGTGCACGATTCCACCTGTCCATAGATACTCATTCGAGTGCGCGGCGACCTCAGATGATACCGATGTATTTGCCTTCACTCTGCTCGTCCAATACGCAATCAGTCACCCCAATGCCGCCGTGTCAGCCTCAGTCGCACTGTCTGCCATACGAACATGTCAGCCAAAGCGGACGACACACCAGGTCCTTGGCCGAGCTGCTTAATCTTTCCACCTGAAGGTTCACTCGTCAAGTCGCCTCACCATGGATGCAGACTTCAGCTCGAATCGGTGCGCCACTCCTCTTGAGGAATACGAAGTGCCTACCCGTCACTCGGAGCTATGCTTTGAAGACGGGAACCTCTCCATCATCATTGGGAAGCAGTACTTCATCGTCCACCGTGGTGTCTTGTGCCTGCATTCGCAGGTCTTCCACAAGCGTATCAAAGCCATCAAGTCGGGGGATGACCGTTTGCTGGAAGGACTGGCGGTGCTCTATCTGGATGACTCTCCCGAGGACTTCGCGCATTTTCTCCAGGCTCTGTACGGGTGCGCGCCTCCTCGAATGTGTCCAAACCTCTTTCTCATGCCTTTTGCAGCTTACCTCACAACAACATCGCTGATGAGTTTACCGTGACTGCGGCCATCCTCCGTCTGGCAACCAAGTACGAAGTCGAAGTTTTACGCGAAAACGCCATGCGCTGCTTGTCTCTCTCTTGGCCCACGACTTTGCAACTCTGGGAGTGCCGCGAAAAGGCCGCCACCACTGTCGACGGAGTCTACGCGCCTCGCCCCATCTTACCCCATCCCATGTGAGTACATCCGTGTTTACCGAACAGTATCATTCTCTTGACACTTCAATCAGCCCCCTTATCGAGCTTGCACGCGAGATCGGCGCCCCGCAACTTCTCCCATCCGCATTCTACGATCTCTCTCGATACCTCCCCAGCCAGATGATGGAAGGACATATGGCTTCGGACGGCACACACTACACTCTCAGCCACGACGACCTCTGTCGCGCCCTGCGCGGGAAGGAGCAAGCGGCGCGCTACTTCTCCACCTTCATCGTGACCGAACTCGAGGGCCGGCCGTACTCCTCCCTATGCGTCCACCGCAACGAGATCCACCCCTCCGTCAAGCGCTCCTGCCAGATGGCGTTCGAGGCGGTCACGTTCGAGCTCATCCGCGACGTGAACGGCATGGTCTGCAACCGGAACAGCGACCCCCTCTTCTCTATCCTGGAATCGGTCGCGATGCAAACACGCGACGACCAGCCGGGCGTGGAGAACAGGGTGGCATATCGGGCCTGCGAGGCGTGCCGTCTGGAGTTTCGCGCTGTGGTGGATGCGGGACGGGAGGAGTTCTGGAGGAACTTGCCGAGCTGGTTTGAGCTGGATCTGAAGACGTGGGCTTGAGGTTCCCTTCTTTGGTATGTTGTCTTGTATGGGATCTCTTTTGTTTATTACAGCTGGTCCTTTGTATGCACAACAAGTTCGCGATGACATGCATCTGTTGTTTCTGCACTTTCATGCGTGACAGAACACGTCTGGTCACAGTGTGACTGGACGCATCCGAAGTCGTTCTTGAATCAAGCAGTCAGAATGCGCGACGTTGTTCTCTCGGCTGCCCTGTTGCACCACTACGTAAGTTGCCAAACTTTTTATGAACTGGTTCTGAACGTTTTTCAGATGCCGCTGAACATGTTCTCGCCTGAAGTGACCGATATTACCCTCCATGATACCGACTTTACGGAGCTCGGCTGGGACTGGGAAACCGAAGGCTACGAGTCAGACATGATGCTAGAAGACGAAGAATATGTACCGGCGCAACAATTGGTGCCACATGAGTCGGATCTGCTCGAACTTGACGATGGAATGGATGCTGTTGACGTTGACTTTGGAGATGATATCATCTTGGATGAGTTCGATGAGCCCGCCGAATGTAATTCGTCCAGGTACTCAAGTTTTCCTCCCCCGATGATGCGTGTCAAACTAACTAGCTCCACAGAGATGAAGTCCTCGAGATCCTGGAAGACTTCGTATTGTCTTTCCTCGAGCAACTGTCCAGTGCGCTTGAGAGCGCATATAGTCAGAACAAGTCAAAGGATTCAAATGAACAAAAAGTGAAAATCCTTCTGGTCAACCGATCCAAAGGGACATTTAAGAAGTACTGAATTTTTTTCACTGCCGAACATCCGATCTCAGCTAAGGTGGTCATAAACCTCGCAGCGGCGAAACGGCTATGCGTCGACTGATCTTCCCAGGGAATGCAAACTCTTTAGGTCTGCTTCACACACCGCAGGCGTACACCCCATCTGACCATCTACTCAGCTCAACTATTCAAGGTGATCGACCACATTCATGAAGCCCTGGTATCCGGCGTATCAATTACCAAACGGTAGAGTTCCCCTCCCAATCGCACTGGCTGCTTTGTGATGACATTGTGGAGCAGCGACATCTACTACAATGATGTACAATTGTTCGGAAGTCAGGTCAAGGTCGACCGAGTACGTCTCCATGCCGTTCACTCGACGCATTCTAGCCGAGCCCTGCTTCGCAGCTCGTCGACGATCTCGCAGCAACTTTGCACCTGAGCCGATCAGATTTGAATGTTGTACGTATGCATCCCGTATGCACACCTCCTCCAGCTGATTCTCCCTCCAAAGCGAGCTTCTTCGAAAGGCTTGGTCTGTGGATACGGTTTCGCAGTCCACATGAGAAGCGGAGAGTGCGTTGAGATCAGCCCAGGCAAGGCCAGTCTCCTTCCTTCACGGTCAGGCGTCTCGGATCCATCCTCATCCTTGCACAGGGCACACTCATTCCTCAACTAGAAGACGTTGCGCGATTCGAAGTCGGCGAAAACCTCTCCTGGGTGCTCGTTGTGGAGAAAGAAGTCGGTGTAGTTCGCCCGATCTCGGTCCTCGTTGTCTCATCGTGTCCTCGCAGGCTGTCTTCCAGACTCTTTGCACGACTCGATTCGCAATTCACGAGAGTGCTCCAGGTCCTGGAGTGATTGTGACGGCAAGGCATCTTTTCACTCGTACGCGATTTCATATAGACCTCACTCTGCAGGGCAAAGGATACCCGGACATGGCGACAAGGCAGCTGGTCAAAGCGTTATCTGACAACCTTCCCATGAAGTCCGTCTGTATCTGTTACCTACCGATGACTGATGTTGACATGCCCTCAGTGTTCCTATTCTCGCACTCGTTGATGGCGACGCCTACGGCATCGACATCCTGTCCGTCTACAAGCATGGAAGCACGGCCCTACGTCATGAGAACGACCGTCTCGCAGCGAACCGTGTTGAATGGCTCGGGCTTTGGTCTAGCGAACTCACGACGTGCGTACCCGCAGCATTCCGCTTCCGCCTATTGACACCGATCGTCTCGGTCCCATTCACAGGCTCGGCATCCCGAAGGACGCGCTGCTTCCAATCACGAAGTACGACGAGAAGAAGGTGCAGCTTCTTCCACTAGCATTCGTGCAAGCACCTACTGAACGTTTCTTCCCAGGCGCGCAAGCTGCTCCAGCGCGACGGCGTGCCAGCGGCTTGGAGGTGAGCGATCCAGTCGTCTCTTCCGCCCACGTTCACTGAAACGGAAATCCGTCTTATCGTTCCTGTGACCTTGCCAGGAGGGAAATCCAGCACATGCTCTTCTGTCGGCGTAAGGCGGAGATCGAGGTCTTGGGACTACCAGGGCCTCGGATCTTGGCAGCTCAGCCGGGGACCACTCCCGCGAAGAGGGCGGTTCTGAGAATCCCCTCGTGCGATATATCGCCAGGAAAATACGATCGGCGTGCGCCGAAGCCCGCTCAGCATCCACTAAAGTCGGGCACGGTCATCGCCTTCTGACCCTGGGAAAACGTACTTCACTGCTCGTACTCTGATATAATCGCAACGGAGCATCATGGTATTCCACATCCGTACAGAATCGTAACATGACCGACGCAGACTACAAAAGGGCGTGCGCTATCTGTCCATGTCCTTCTCACCATGCACATATCACATGCATACCTCATGCTCCTTCCGAAGGCGTGTACCGCGGTGGGGGGTCGGCTGGGACGCTGGAGCCCTCTCCGATCCGCCCCTCGCGCATCACCGCGTCCTCCGAGTCCTTCCTATGATGCGCCTCCAACTCCTTCTGGTATACCGCCAGCTCCTCAGTGAGCGTCGAGTCCGTCGTCCGGTGGGACGTTTGTGTTGACCCGCGCGCGAGCAGCGCCACGCCGCTTTCGTCGTGGGTCCACGCAGATGGCGCGGTCGACGAGCGTCTGTTCGAGCTGCTCCCGCCACTGTAGAGCGAGGTCCCGCTGTAGTACGACGCAGACGCGTGGCGCGAGACCGGCGACACCGGCGAGAGCGAGACGAGTCGCGCGGCGGGGGCCGTGGCGGGGTGTCGCTGTCGTACGGGTTCGGAAGCGGGGCCAGCTCGTGGGTTTCGGTGCTTGCGTTGTCTTGCTCCTGCCGATTCGCGGCAACGTTGCGCATCTCATGAGGCTGGGCTTGGGTCTGGGAAATGGGCATCCCGTTGCCGGTCTTGGCTTCCAAGTACACGGGGGGCGGGAGGCCGCCGGACGAGCTGAGCAATGTGGGACTCCTCGAGTGGCCGGGCTGCGAGAGGAGCGGCGAGGACACCTCCCTCATCGGTGACTGCCCCATCGCGGCTTCTCTCTCCTTTGACGCCGTGATCGCCAATACCCTAGTTCTCCTCCTCCTGTAGCAGCACCACGCGAGTAATAGCAGGAGCAGGATCAGGATCACTGGCCGCCGGGTGAGTAGAATGTCTAAATCAGAGACCCACTGACACTCACAACAACCGATCACTATTCCAGCGACCTGCCCGCTTTTCAATCCACTAGCAGGGGTTACGCCGTGATGTTGGTGAGAGCCCGAGCTCGAACTTGAATCGCTGTCGCTGTCGCTATCACTGTCCGAATCCGAGTCGGAGTCCGAATCCCATCGTCTCCCCTGCCTTTTGTTCAGCTCTCACGAAGGTGTCGGCATGCAAACACGACTCACCGCAGAAAGAGAAGTGCGATAGAAGCTGCCCTGCTCCTGCCGGTGAGAAGGGCGATGAACAGCGCGAGCAGGTACGAGGTGGGAAGGGGGAGCAGCATGGAGGCCTGAGGCAAGCCGCGAGGGGGAGGTATTTTGAGTGCTCGCATTCGGCCCACGGTATTTGGGGCATGGGCCCGGCGCACCGGCGCCGCCTAGAGACTTCGAACTCGGCTTACGAGCGGATTTGTGAATGCAAGGGCCGATCAGAGGTGGAGTTGATAGAATTCCTCGCGCAGTATCCCGTGTATACCGCAATCCTGATACCAATCGACCAATGAAGTTCTTCAAGAATGGGTCTCTGCGCTGGGGCCGTAGTAGAACCCAGGAGACTCGAGGTCTCTGTGCGACATTCTGGTGGGAAGCGTCGCGGGCCGGCACCACGAGGGGGCCGCTTTCCGGCATCTGTTTCGGCGGGAGGAAGAGAAGGAGCTTTGCAAACTCGCACGACCGCACAAACTCCGCGGGTGGCGCTGGGGATCGAGACGCACGCGCGCGACGCGTCGGTCACGTGCGCTAATGGGAGACGCGTCGCGTTGACTGGGCGGAGTTCGAAAGCGCGTCTTTCTCGCCATAAGCGCCAGGTCCGCGCCTGTCGCCTCTTGCTCACCATCCCCGACTCGCTCGTGTCCTCGCCCGGGTTGCGACGCGCTCTTTTCCTTTCTCTGGCTCTTCTCCTTGTTGTTTGTCTCTGACAATGGCCCCAAGTCGGACAGCACCGGCACCGTCCTCGGAAAGCGGTCCCACCAAACCGCCCACGTCGAAGGTCGCGACTTTCCCTCCGTCTGCGATGGCGAGAACCTCGCCTCCCTCCCCACCCCCGACCCGAGTCCGAACCCGAAACGTGCAAAAACGACAGGTGCGCTCGTTGAAGGCGATGGCAACAAGGAGAACATCCCCCCCTTCGTCACCGAGGTCATCAATTCATCCTCTCCCACGTCCATCCGTCGAACTCGTTCACTTCGCCGTATGAACACTATGGTGCATGAGTCTCCGTCGCGGACCAACAGTAAGAAACATTGGGTCGTGCTTGATCGTTACTGACGTGGTCGTCAGCGCCTCGCCGCTATTCATCAACATCCAACCTGCGCCACGCAGTGGCGACCCCCGCCACTTCGCTTTCCCAGCTCTCTCTAGCCACGCCTCCCCCGAGTCCCCCTATCATCCTCCAACCGTTGCATGTTCGCGTCAAGGCACTTCTCCGCCCAACGTGCAACGACGGGCTTGAGATGGCTGGTCGCGAACAAGAGCGGTCTCAGATCGAAGCCTTCTTCCAGGACTTCATCCACGGCGTTTCCAACAGAAGCTCAAGTGCCCTTTACATCTCGGGCTCCCCGGGGACAGGCAAGACGGCGCTCGTCAATACTGTGCTTGAGGCTCTCAAAGATGACGTCATGAAGGCGAACATAGAGCTTATGGTTGTCAACTGCATGGCTTTGAACGGCGTCGACGCGGTCTGGCAGCAGCTTGCGGACATGACCTCTGCGAGCGCGAAGCCGAAGGGTCGTGGCAAGAAAAGCAAGGACAGCCCTCAGCAAGTCGTGCAGAAGGCTCTCACAACCAGCGAGAGGAAGTGGTAAGTGGAGAGTGTCTAGTGGAATCCTTGCCGGTGCTAACTCAGTGTCACAGCATTGTTGTACTTGACGAGTTGGATCATATTGCTTCCTCATCTCAAGCGCTCTCTCCGTTGTTTGCATTGCGCACGCGTCTTCCGCAAACATACGCCTTGTCGGTATCGCCAACACGCACACTCTCACAGCGGCGTCTTCCACGACACTCTCGGTCCAGTCCCTTGCCGGGGTTGATACGCTTCACTTCGCACCGTATAGTGGAGAGCAGCTGTTGGGCATTCTCCGAGCCAGGTTGGCACCTCTTTCTGCCGATGATGAAGACCTCGCGGCTCGAGCACAGAAGTTTCTTCCTCTTCCGGCTCTCACTTTGCTCTCGAAGAAGATCGCGGCCCAGACCGGCGATGTTCGTGCGGTGTTCGAAGTGCTGCGCAGTGCAATCAACATCGTCATGAATAACGTTTCTTCGGAAAACCCCTCGGCGCTCCGCTTCCCTCTGTCGCACCTGCTCATATCCTCGCTGCTCTCAAGTCATACTCGCCAGCTGGAAAGACGGCCCCCTTCCCACCCCCTCATCTGCGCCTTCGACTGTACGCAAGGCCAGCGATAGCGAGACGGTGACGAAGGTCCGTGAACTTGGCCTTCAGCAACGCCTCGTCCTTCTGGCTGCGCTGCTTGCCACCAAGTCCTCGGATGCAGGTGTCTCTCTGAATGCATCATCGCCATCGCGCTCCCCGGTCAAACGGACGCAGTCGACCGCGGCTGCGCAGCCCTCGACCGGCAAGATTGCAGCCTTCGACATGGGCCACCTCCACGCCTTCTATACCGCAATCCTAGCTCGTGCAGAGAGCAGCGTCTTCGCACCCGTCTCTCGTAGCGAGTTCGGTGATCTCGCTGGCGTGTTGGAGGTCATCGGTCTCCTTGCCCTTTCGTCGAGCAGCAGCCTGCCTTCCACTCCCCGCAAGGCCGGCAAGAAGTCGTTCAGCCGCACAATGTCGTTTACTGGCAGTCCCAGTACTCAAGATGTTCGCTTCGTCGAGGACGTCCGCCTGGATGAGGTTACTCGTGGCCTGGGCCTCGGTGCAGATGACACACCGACTGACGCACGTGAAGAGGAACTCCGGGCCATCTTCCAGCGCGAGCAGGCCCGCATCGCCCGGGAGGCGAAAGCCCGCGGCCGGCCCGTGCCGTCGAGGTTGTTGGCTTCGAGGACGCCATGGAATCGTAAAGGGCCCAAATCATGATATCATGGAATGGATGGTTTCCTTCGGTATCTCCCCACATCTTTATGATCTCTCATTATTTTCCCAGCCCCAGCCCCAGTCTCCTATTTCCCCCTCTCTCGTGTTTATGCTTGTCACACTATACATGCTCGCTACGTGCTCTTCCTCGTATGCCTCCCCATCACACATCCCCCATCGCTTTATTATCGCATCCGCTGCCTCGCCATATGTTGTGCCGGGACTCTCATGCAGTGATCAGTCGGTGCTCCGTCTCCGGAACTCATCAAGTAGTGTTAGTAGTATCCTCATCAATCACTGTAGTATACCTCCATCCCATATTTTGCTTTGTTCTAGGCATCGTTTTGTACGCGGTAGAATCGCGATCGACTGCAGTCGTACCAATACATCTCGTCTCCAACAATATGTACACGCATGCTCCTGAGCGGACTGCAACAAGTGGCCTACCTCGGATCTCCTGCGAAATACCCTTCTTGGTCCACCATTCCGTCATGTTCAGCCTGAGCGAGAGCTGATGGAGATTGGCAGTGGTCCCCGAGACCCGCTGACGCCCCTGCATCAAGTGGAGCGGAATGTCGCCCAACACGAGCCCCGCGCTGTCCGCCTCCTTCTCCACCAACGCCGTCAACACCTTCACCTAAGGTAACCCGGACACGTTAGCTTTTCCCGCGCATTGAGCAGCATGACAAATACTCACGAACGTCGCCATTCTGCCCCGGAACCTGCCCCACAGATCCTCCAGCGCCGGCGCGGCCTCGTACTCCTCCACCGCCCCGTCCCGCAATCCGCCCGCGAGGACGCCGAGCTCGAGCACGAGCTCCATGCACCCCCGGAGGATGTCCCCGACGACCTTCTGGCCCGAGCGGAGCAGGCACGCGCTCAGCACGTCGTCGAGCACCCGCGAGTGGTGCTCCGCGAGCGCGAAGACGTCCGCGAACGACGCCTTTGCCTCAGCCCGCTCGGGCGCAGCGTCCCCGAGACCACTGGCGGAGAGCGACCCGGCTACACCGGCGTGCGGACGGTCGGTCGCGGCAGCGGCGGCGTTGAGGCGGGCGAGGAGGCCATCGATGTTGCTCCCGATCGCGACGTCGTACACGTACGAGGCGAGCGCCATGGTGAACGCCTGCGCGACGAAGCGGAAGTGGAGCAGGAGCTTGTTGGCGGGCGCAAGCGTTGGGAAGAGCGGGGTGGCTTGGGCGCGGGTGAGCCGGAAGAGGGTGCGGGCAACGTTCTCGAGGCGCATGAGGCGGAGGTTGAACGCGAACATGCGGTGGTATTTGGACAGGACGGCGGGCGTGATGAGGACGTCGAGGGGGTATGGGGGTTGGTAGTGCATGTAGAGGAAGTCCAGAGCCCTGTAATACTGTCAGAATAGTGGTGACTTCTGCAGCCGTATACGCACTCTATAGCTGCGAAGAAAATATTAGTGATCGGACACGAGTGCCAGGTAGAAACTCACACAGTGGGTTCAGCCACTTTTCCTTGCCCGTCCCGATAGGCAGATCACGGATTGCAAACCCGAGCCTCCATTCCGCCTCCTCGACAATCTCCGCATGCGCCTGTGTAGCCGCATCAACATGGTCTCTCTCCTCGCTACCGCCGACGACCCGGCCCTCCTCTAACGCATCGACAACGACCGTCCTGAGCAAAAAGTTGAGATCGGATCCTAGGGGTGGCCATTTGTCGCCAATGGTCAATGCCGGGGAGAGCGCAATTGCCCGTCTTGCCTTCTTGGCCTCCGCTTTTCCAGCCTCACTCGCCGCCCTGCTTCGACTGGTGCTTTTGCCGCTCTGGCGCCTTGAGCGCTCCCTCGCCTCGCTTGCGGCGTATGTGCGAGAGCCCACGCTGGAGCGCTGACATCTTCGGCGTCCGAAAAGAGGGCATCTTGAAGGCGCGCCTTGAACGAATGTGAGGTGATGAGGATGTATCCGCGGAGGAGAACGAGATGGGTGTGGAGGTGAAGAGGTGTGGAGGGCGAGAGGAACCTCGCACGAGAGCGCCTGAGAGCGCCTGCGCATGAGTGACCAGCGGGGCTAGTACGCGGACGGTCAATGGGCGAGGGACGGTGTGGACGAGGAAGAGTATGTGGGAAGTCGTTGAGGAACTCGGAGAGAGCTGTTCGGACTCAATCCCGAAAGTAAGCCGGCGTGTTCCCCTGGGTGGGATTGTGAGCTGGAGCAGGGTCACCAGGGCGGAGATCGAAGATCTTGAAGCTTTGCATGACATTTATCACATCATCTGCTGCGGCCTCATGTGGAGTGTCTTGCAGGGTGTTTTTTCGAGTGCGGGGATGAATGGGCTGATCGCGAGATCGTCTTCCATGTTCTCTAGTTGTTCTTCCGTCCAAAGCCAATTGATGTCCGCACGAACTTGGTGGTCGGTGAGCAGCGCGTGTTGGGAGTCTGCCGCATGCAACAAGGCAAGAGATTTGCGTGCTCGCGTGAGAACCTCAACGAGGTTGGGACGATGAAATCCGGGAACTCCAGCTCGCTATCTTCATCGTCATCTCCAGTGCGTTCCTCTCATGATCGTCGTCGTCGGGCAATAGCTGGTTCCGATTACCGGGTTGTCGTCGTTTTGACGGATGTGAAATATGTCTGCGCGAGTTTTCTGTGTTGTATCCGACTGAGGTACAAAGGTGTTGGAAATAGCCACGGGAGGTGACTGTAAGCGTGTATGCAAGTGTTGCGATGACGATGCGTGGGGAGGCACTTTCTATATGGTCCGAAAGATGGCTGTAGATGAGCGAAAGAAGGGGGGCCGGTGATTGTGGTAAATCGGCGTAGTCAGAGGGTTGTATATTTTCTTCCTGAAGATCAGCGTCAGATACGAGATCAACCTGTGCGTCATGACATACCCGTCGACACAGCCGTGCTAGAGCTTCAAGGATCCTCTCCATTTCTTCATATTGTGTCCAAAGTGCCGTTAGCCTGGCGTCTGCGCCAGGTATGGCCCTTACATCCGCAGGTATACATTCGGCACTCCTCCTTAAGCTTGCGAGGATAGTCGAAAGCGTATGCACAAATGCATGGATAACCGGAGTTGAGTGCGCTTTTGGACGGCTGCATGTGGATAATGAGACGAAGAAGCAATGCGAATTTCAGATTGTCTTGCCTTGCTTGCTCCGTGAGCAGCTCGAGTCGACGCATGAGGTTTCCAATGGTAAGGAAGCGCTTCAAAAGACTTGTTCATGCATCGGCACAAAGCTTGCGGCAGTCCAGGTCGTCTCTTACCTTGAGCTCACGATCTCATCTTTCCCTACGATTACAATCTCTCCTCGAGGCCTATTTTGCAGGTTTCTGACATTGAAATTCTCTGAGACATGGTCCCAGATGTGTAGAGACGACGACGTGCCGCATACTGTCAGGATTAAGGACTGAAATAATTCAGGCACATGAACGTAGACAAGCCGCACATCTGGGCGTTGGACTGGCGGTCGAAGGCTAGAGAGCAGTCAACATTGGAACGTAGATCCAAGCGTCATCGCACCCACTGATATCGAGCTGACGCGAACGCTGAGGTGTTCTGTTCAGACAGGAAAGGGGACGGAGCAGCGTGACGGTCATAGGACGAGCGAAGCGCATCCCATGAGAGGACTTGATTCTGCTCGCTCGTTCGTGACCGCATATATGGAATGAGCAATCAAAATCTCACCATATGCCCATGCTCACGAGAGACTGCTTGTCGCCACAAGGAATCCGCTGACTCCTGCCTCCTGACTTCGACCAATCTCAAGGTGTCCGCGGAAAGTGCTTGAAGCTCCGGAGGTAACGAGATGCGCACCAGGGGCGGTGGAGCAGAGTGTCTTCCTCGAGGAGACGAAGGGTATCCATGATAGGGTTCTGTGGCTTGTCATCTAGGCGAGGGATGAAGAAACGCGGAGGAAGCTCAGGGAGGGCTTGAAGACCAGGGACCAAGATGGCCTCCTCTGAATGGATCATCTGAGAGAAGTGCATGGTGCCATCCATAGCGAGCAGGTATCGAGTGGGTTGGGAGTGTTCCTAGTACCTACGACCAAGGCAGCCCAGATACTCAGTCGACATGCAGGACGTGCGCAAGCGTGACGGGCTGTGACAGGACGTGTCTCTAAATCACGCAACGCGACGCGGTCAGGTGCTTGCGTGGGAAGTTGAGGTGCCTGGTTTAGACGCCTTTCAATCCGATTATATCGGAACGTGTTTCCCGTCCTCCGCCCGCCCCAAACGAGCACCGTGGGCTCCAACCGGTGACCATGCGTCTGCACCTAAGACGGGAAGAAGATGGAGTGTGCATTGTGGACTGCCAGGGATGCACAAGAACACCTCTCAGCTCAACCCCCTTAGTCGATGCGTAACAGCCTACTGGAATACGGTTCATCATGCAAAATAATATGTAGATACGACGGCAGACTATCCGGACTTCGTATTCTACCACAGAACCAGAAAATATGAGTTGTAACTTGGTCGGTGTCAAAGTGTGGGAGGTGCGGAGTGGTGGATGCGACGCGTCGAGACTCGAAGGCACGCGTTATTTGTTTGGATTGATGAACCAGCTGCCCATTTCGTCACGCGCCTTCACCCAGCGCTGCCTCACCTCGGCCCTCTCCTCTCTCCAACCACGACCTTTCAACCTTTCCCGCCTTCTTGCATCCGCCCCTTGGCCTTCTTGCATACACACTCCTCCCTCTCGCTACGCTTTCCCGCGTGGCTATTCCCCAAACACGCATGGCCACGTCCGGTCCCCTCCCCCGCAACCCCTGGCCACTCGTTCCCAGCCCCACGACGCAGTCATGTCCATTTCCCCATGCCGCACATCATACAAGAAATCCTCCTCGGCCCTCAAACGCCCTCTGTCTCCTGAGCCTGCGGCAGAGGACTACGACCAGAGCCTGAAGCGCGCCAAGACTTCAACATCACGCTTCGTTGTCGTCGATGAATCGCCTCTCCCGGCCGCGGCGGCTCGTGCGGAGGTGAAGAGGGAACGTGAACGGCAGAAGGACAAGGAACGCATGGTTCGAGAAGAGACTTTTAAGGCCAAGTACAGTCGGGCTTTCCCTTCGTGGACCTTCTACTTCGATTTCGACTCGAACACTCCGGAGACTGCTGCGATAAGGAGCCAGTTGGAGAAAAGGGTCTCATACATGCAAGCGTGAGTGCTCATGCCATGGTCCAGCGCGGTTGCTCATGTGAACATTTGTGATGTGACGTACAGAAATCCGAGGATTTCTTCTCCAAAGACATCACTCACTTCATCACCCTGCACGACATTGACGACAAAGAGAACAAGGAGAAGAGCACCACGAAACGAGGTGCGTCGGCGTCGGCATCGACCTCAGCAGCCCCTGGTGGTTTGCTTGGGAGTCCCATCAAACTGCGTGGACGGTAAGTTTCTCCTACTTCGTACTAACTCCGGCTCATTTCCGGTCGAAGCGCTCCTGCTGGAGCTGGGGGCGACTCCTTGCTGGACAAAGCAAGATCGTTCAACATGAAGATCTGGTCTGCAAACAAACTGCACAACATCCTCGATCGCTGTGATGCGCCTCGTGGTCCGTCTGGGACGACCGGCTCTCTCCCTAGTCGCCATGATCCCCTCGCAACGCTACTCAAGTCCGAGCAGTTGCATGGCACGATGGAACGTGACCCGACGCAGCGCCGACCCGACTGGACCTACTTTAGCAAGAACACATACTTCGTTCTTATTGAGGACCTACGTCAAGAGCTCGCCACGATCAACGCAACAGAGTACCCGATCACTCGCACCAAGGACGGCCGCGAGATTGGCGGCTGGCCCGTCCTGCACTGTCACCCGCTCGCCCGCGGCCCGTTCCTCCTCTACGATGAACGTGAAGAGCGTCGCCGGGTCAAAGCCGAGCGGTCCGAGAAGGAGCGCATCGAGGACCGCGCGCGGCGCAAGCTCCGTCTGCAACTGCACAAGCGCAAGGCGCAGCAGCAGCTCGTCCGCGCCCGGGCGCTTCAGACGCACCAGCTCCATGCGCAGGCACAAGCCCATGCGCAGCACCAGCACGATCTCCGCCGGAGCGCGTCCCTCAACAACCTTCGCCGCCGCGCAACCGCGCCCGACGCCTCTGCAGCCTCCAAGCACCCCGACATCGACCTCGACGACGAGTTCCCAGACGACGAGCGGGAGGGAGCCCAGGCCCGCGACGAGTCCGTCATCGCCTCGGGCTACCTCGCTTCGGGGGCGTACATGGCCGCCTCTGGGAACAGCGTAAGCCTCACGTCCACAACCGGGACCACGTCCACCGGGGGCACTCTCCTCCGCTCGCTGCAACTCCCCCCGGGCTTCAAGGAGAAGATGCAGAACCAAGTACCAATGAAGCGCCTCGGGTCTGGTGTGGGCCCGTCCGTAGACCGGGCAAACAAGGAGAACTCCATGGGCCCCCCAACGACGATTCCGGCGCAGGCCAAGCCGCTCCGGAAGAGCAAGAGTACAACGACGCTCAAGCTGCCGCAGCGCGACGAGGCGACGAAGCCCGGCTACTGCGAGTGCTGCCGCCTCAAGTTCGAGGATTTCCGTGAGGTTCGTCCCCGTCTCCGTCCCCACTCGCCGTCCGTCCTTCGGATACTTATACTTGCTCCGAACAGCACGTCCTCACGAAGAAACACCGCAAGTTCGCCGCGGACGATAACAACTTCCGCCGGCTCGACCAGTGCCTCGCGCGCGTTCGTCGACGCACCGTGCACGAGGTGCGCATCGCAAACGAGCACTTCCTGCGGGAGGCGTACGACACCGATGCGGAGGGCGAGGACGTAGAGGGCGATTCGGATTCCGTCCTCCCGCAGCTCGCTGGCACCGACGAGGATGTGCAGTGGGACGAGTGGTTGCATGCAGGCAAGACCGAGATGGAAGCTTGAGGGTCTAACCACGGTCCGTCTTCGTCTCTCTTGCTACCCCTTTCCCCGTCCTTCTGCCACGAACCGATCCGCACGCGTATGACCCCCCATGCCCTCGCTCTCAAGATCTTATCCATGCCCCCCATGCCGCCCTCGTACCTCCATTTCGCCGGTTGGATCCCCGTCCCCCGCTTTCTTGCACCGCGCACTGTACAACACCACCACCTCGTCCGCACGCCCGCACGCCCCTCCGCACTGCAGTCACATCGCATCTCGCACGTCCCGCTCTCCGGCGTCCCGTCGCTTTCTTCCTGGCCCGTATATACCTCCCTTCCCCGTGCATACCTGTAGGACCACCAGCCCCAGCCCCGTAATCGCAGCCGCGAACCGCTTTCCAATATTAAGGATATGTGCCGTGTCAACATCGCGCTGCCCGCGAGAATGCCACCGAGCCCATTCTGCCGCGGGCGACTATTCCCATGTGGGGATCCAAACGAGGGTGACGATCGAGAAGGCGAATTTTGGCGCTGAAGGGCACCCGGTCCCGGAAGACCGCGAAGGGGCTGCGGCGACAGGGCTTGACGGCGCGATGGGCCCGCAGCACATGTGGCGTGTGTGCAGGGTGAAGATACTATGTCACGCTCGTGTTTATGATCGTTCAGTGCGTTTCGTCGGCCACCGCAATATGCGGCGCTACATCGCTGTAAATCCCCAGAGAACTAATGCTACAGAGCTACGTGGTACACGATGAGTGACTGGAATCGTTAAGCCACAAGGGCTAGTCGTGAAGTAGTGAGACAGGCGCGGAGAGTATCGACGTCTGCGTGTGCGCGCATGTACGCACGCACGTGACGAAGAGCAGTACCACAGGCCGTCGTTCACTGGATCGTCACAGTGAGGACGGTGACGATGCCGTCGACGGCGATACCTGTGACGCGACAGGTCAGACTCGATCGAAGAGCGCACGGAGATCCAATTGCACGCACCGTGGTTGACGCCCGCAGAGCCGGCGGGCATGAGCCCGGTGACGTTCTGCGCGGTCGTCGAGTACGTGACACCGCCGAAGGACGTGGTTCCGACCGCAGAGGACACAAGAAGGTCGCGGCCGACGTTGTAGCCGTCCGGGACGATGTTGTGGTTCTGGGACGCGTCTTCTTCCTTTGAGACGCTGGGGCGTCCGCGCGTGCGTTGATCAGCATTTGCGTGCTCGCGCGCACAGAGGGGGAGGGAGCGGCTTACGCGAGGAACGCGGCACCGCTGTTTGCGGAGGGTCCGTTCTGGAAGTAGAGGCGGAAGTGGTTGCCGCCGAAGAGAGACTCAAGGCAGGTGCCGAGCTCGGCGTTGCCAAAGTCCTCGCGGAGCTCGGAGGTCTGATTGACAGCCCCGTGGCCGTCGCCGAGGTTGGCGGCGAAGGGGTTGCCGAGGTGAATGCCCAGACACTCCGTCGACCTGTAAAAGGGCGTTCAGCGCTGTGCTCTTTGTGGGACAGCTGGGCGCAGAGAAGCGGCGTGGGACCGCAGAGCCCGAAGAGCCCGAAGCGTAGCCGTGTGCGCTGGCTTGAAATATTGAAGGCCGAAGTGCAGAAGACGACTCACAGGCCGATCGCCCTGGCGAAGTTGGTCATGCCATCGGTGGTCAGGACGTCAGCTGAGCTGAGTCCCGAGACGATGACCTAGCAGTGTGTGTGAGCTGGATGAGCAAAGAAAGCGCATACAACAGGCGCGAACGCGACTCACGTTAAGGGGTTCGCCGAGCCCGTTACCAGCGTCGATGAACATGGAACCTCCACCGTCTGCGGGGTTGAAGAAGGCGACGGTGCCCGCCGGCTCGCGCCTCATGGGCTTGTGGGCCAGGGGAACGACACGGGAGTAGACGGTGGGTGCGCCCACGGCGACGATGCCGGCGATGGCGAGGAAGGAGATGGTAGTGAGCATCGGCATCTCGGACTCGGGACGGGCGCGGGTGGGGGAGGATGGAGGGAGAGAACCTCACGAGGAGGCGGGGACGGCGGGTGATGCGTATTTATACGAGGAGAGAAGAGGGCGAGGTTGAATGGCGTTGCTAACTAAAGCGCAGGCCAGGGCTGGGAATCGAGAGCTCGGTTGAAGCGGGGAAAGCATGTGGGCTGGAGGGGGAGCAATGACTGGAAGAGGGCGAGTGTGGCATGCACGCGTGCATGGGCGGGCCTGTCGGCATCCACATGACGGGTTCGGAGGGGGCGGGTCGCTTGATATGGGCAGAAGGCCTCGCTGCGAAGCGGGTGTAGGGAAGGTGTAGCTGCAGACCTGAGATCCACCTCGGCAGGCGCCGGCATTGGTGGAGGTGAGACTGATAGACGCCTGTTCAGCTCTGCTTCTTCCTGCAATGCACATGAGCGGGCTTCGCCACGTTCGTGCCCGACAGGTTCGCAGGGGCACACGTTCATTAAATCCTCGCCCGCTGCAATATTTGTGTGCATGCTGCTGTCTTCTCCAGTCCGTCAGTCTCTCGCCACCCTTTCCGTACCTGTTATTCCCCAGTCCGTACTAGCACAGATGCCATCTCGCTTGCAGCAACGTTCGCGTGTGCCCGCTTTCGAGACCTTCTCGCTTCGTTAGCACTGCGGTTTCGGCCTTTGAACCCACTCCCACCGCGTGTGCAATCGCCCAGCTGCCCAGGGGCGACTGGACTCTACGTAGACTGTAGACCATACAGCGTGGCGTGCTAATACCCAAAGAAGTCAGGCTGGTCAGTTCGGAAGACCGGGTGGATTTACCGGTTCAGCATTGATTGCGACCCAATGGAGCCCAATTTTCATATAGAGTTCGTCGCCAGTAACCGCGCAAACCCGCGAGCAGCGTGGCTGGGGACTGTTTGGATGTTGCCGGATCTGGCGTATGAAATCACGGTGGCCGGAGAGAAGAGGGGCTCGAGACCTTGGCGGCACTCAAGCCAGCTTAAGCTTGCGGATCCATGTGTGACATTTCTCCATCACGGTCACAGCGCTGACTAGGTTCGTTTCGCCCAATTTGGTTTCTTGTCTGTACAACCTCCCGTTTCCCCTTCACCTCTCCCTCTCTCCCTGGCCGCTTCCGTGGCTCTCGGGTTTACAGGCATAAACTGCCTCGCTATATATCTCTCGACTCGCAAGCTTTCTTCCTTTGAACGGCTAACCACGGCGAAACTCCTTTCACGTGCAAGACAAATATCATTGCCGTTTCTCCCGGGTTTCCAGTCCTGAGCTCTCCCCCGGTGATCTGGCTCCTGTACGTCTCCCCCTGCTTCCCCCTTCATTCCCAATTTTTTTTCATCCCAAATGGCTCAACCATTTGCCCCAGGAGGCTCCATCATGGCCGACTCACCAGCCCAAAGCGAATCGGCGAACGAATCCGGTGACGATGGCCAGTTGACCATCCGAATACCGAACCCCAAGGTTTTTATGGCGAGGCAGTCGCAGTGGAAGGGAAGGAGGGGGAAGCCGCGCTGTGACCATTGCCGGTTGAATAACCTCAAGGTGCGCCTCATCCCGCACACTCATCTTAGTCTGTCTCAATCCTGCTCAGTGCGATCGGGTCTTGCCTACCTGCAACCACTGCTCTTGGGCGGCAGGTCGTGAGTGCAAATACACCCCGCTTCCTACTCCTGCCCACCGTGGCATCCCGCGTTGCGACCGTTGTCGTCTGAACAACCTGAAGGTGCGTTTCATTTCGGATCAATGCTGTGCGCCATCCACCCCATATTCACATATCGTCGCCTCAGTGCGACCGAAATCTTCCCATATGTAACCACTGTACAGAGAATGGCCAACCGGACTGTAATTACACCCCCAAGAAACGCCACAAAGTCCCGAACGACAATGGTGCGATAGGAGCCCGCCCTGTAATGCCTTACGCGTCTAAAACGGCTGCCTTCCTGGTCAATGACCACCAAGATGAAGAAATGCCTCTGGATAACGCCGTACCAGGGCCTTCTGCAGGGCCTTCGTATGATCTCAAGAATCTGGCGGAGCCGCGCATCAGGCAGTACATGCCTCCGGATCGCTCGACTTCCGGCGGGACGCCTGCGGAAGATGACTCAATGGATATTGACCAAGACCGACCATATCAACACCGCGCGCCTGACGGTACCTTCTCATGGGTGCGTCGTGTGATGTCACGCCAACTGTGTATCCTCTGATTGTTTCCCTTCAGCCCGAACAAGGGATGATAGTCACGACCCCTCACGTCGATCCCTGGATGCACCCGCATTTCGTGCCGCTCCCCGACGTTGTGCTCCGCGGCCTCCGCAACGTAAACGCCATCGAGATGCCTTCCCGGCACCACTTCGAGGACGCGCTCCAGAAGTTCCTCCAGGGCCTGACCCCCGAGCTCCGCGACACGGCGACATTCCCGCTCGAAATCTACGCGGACATGGCGACCGCGGTCGCGAGCGGTCGCGCGAACGAGCTCCCGCCACGCCTGCAGCTCTGGACGGCGTGCCACCACGCGCGCGCCGGGTCCGCGAAGCGCCACCTGCTCCTCCTCCCGCGCGACGCGTTCTACCACATGGCCCGTGCGGACGAGGAGAAGCTCCGCCGGAACTACGTCGCCCAGGCCGACGGCGAGGACCGCTCCGAGACCGCGCTCCGCCACGCCGCTGAGGCCGGGCTCAGCCCCGCGCAGGCCACCGCCGTGTTCGAGCGCGTGCCGGTCCAGAACCAGATCTTCGACGTGCTCGTCTACACCCACCGCAACCATGGCGCGTCCAACACGATGCTCTTCGAGTCGCGCCGCATCGGCGTGGTCAGTCCTTTTCTATCTTCCTCTGGACCAGCGGCTGACTTGGACCCACAGGCGACCATCACGTGGCCGATGGTGGAGATGTTCATCCGTCTCTGCCCGCTCTGCAAGCTCCGTGCCCGAGGTGGGCGCACCCCGCCAGCGGAGGAGCAGCCGCTGCCGCAAGCTCAAGTGCAGCAGCCGCAGCCGCAGCCGCCTTCCGTTTCGGCGCCCGTCGCCATCTACCGTCCATCGGCGCCCCCGGTGTTGATTCCGACGTCCGCGTCGGTGGCTATCCTCAAGCGGTAGTGTCCCTCCCCGCCATTCGCCTCGTCTTGTTCGCTGTCCAGGGTGCACGGGCTCTCGGTCTCTCGGTCTCTCGGGTTCCTGCTCGTTAGCTCTTTTATGGATACGGTACGATAACAAGTATATTCTGTTCCCTTGACGGTGCTCGCATTCCTCCTCACATACGCTTTTGTTTCTGTGGCATGGTGGGCCTCGCCCATATTGGCTGCTCGTCACTCGAACTTGTACTTCTAGCAAGTCTTGGTGCTCCTTAAGTGCTATGTATTGTGTATTTTCAGAGACCAGGATACCCAACAGTACTAACACGGGTCGATCGGAGTCGAAGTCAATATGTGGTATTGAGTCTCCGAGCCAACTCTCCAACGTTGGGCCGTCGCCATTGGATCACTACCAAGTCAGTCATATTCCAAGTATTCGATTGTCTACATCTCACGGAAGGACAGTATACAACGAAACGCCGACAGTACTTGCGAAACAGACCTCCGCCGCCTCCTTCTCCGCCATCTGTTGTGTCCAGGAAGATCTGGCCTCGTCTAATGGAGCCGTCATCATGTATGTCGCCCGTAGTATAGGGCATGGATACACCCGCCCGGCAGCTTCGAACATCCACAAAATCACGGACGTGCCACCGTCCATTGCAGCGGCATCGTGACCTGTAGCTCCTATCTTATCTGGCGCTTTCATACCTTGCGCGAAGATGGACTTCGAAGACCGACAGACTTTGTTCCGCGACCAGATCCTTCCTGTCTCACTTGATACCTACCGCGGCCCATGCACGACGGGCAACGGCCCAGCTTCGGAGCCCGAAAATGCGTAGAAAAAGCCCGTCAAAGGTGTCATTTTCGGCAGGTATTTTTCCAGGGGAGAAAAAGGGTGGGAAAGGCGAACTTTTATGTCAAGTTTGTGTGAGTCGTAGAGTATCCTGAAAGGTGACGTTTTGGGTGAATTCTTCGGCCCGACAGAATACTGTGCTCAGAACAAAGACATTAGAAATCATATTAAAGGGCAATAGAACGTGTATAGTATGTGAGTAACAGACAAGTTAGTACGAGTGATAAGTAACGCGTGTTACAGCTGTTTTCATAACGATGGGCCCTTGATGGGAATTAGACGCATAAGCGAATTGAGTCGGAGTCTTAACAAAACATGCGACCCATCAGCATCATGCGCAGAACGCTTGCGCAAGGCTCTAGCGCCAGCCCGGCAGCAGCCGGCAGCGTGATGGGGCCATCGGGCCGTGCGCGCGTAGCGGGCGGGGTTTTAACTTTTAAACAGCCTATTCGAGGACGATTAGCCGAAGGGCCTATCGTTATGAAAACAGCTGTATTGAAATGGGCACCAAAGGTCTCTTTATCGATCCTTTTCGGCACCCCGTAAAGCATCCGGAGAAATTGCCCATTTTAGTGCCTTTTTCGCACGCGCACAAAAGGCGGCAGAAAAGACACCTTTGACCTCCTTTGACAGGCTTTTTCTACGCGTTTTCGGGCTCCGAAGCTGGGCCGTTGCCCGTCGTGATGGTAGCCGATCCCTCTTCTGAGTCCACCTCCCCTCACAACCTGCGATCTCAGATCGTCTTCATCACCTCCCTCCTCAACTTGGCTCGCCCCAACACCCTGAGGTCATGCGACAAGAACGCATATAACAGGAAAGCCGGCGTATGGCATGCCACCTCCCTCATTATGGTCCCTGGAGATGAGGAGACCGATCGTGTGGGAGCCAAAGTTGTCGCTGTGACGGGCCGCACAACTCGTGAAGAGATCGGTGTGCTTCTCTCTCGCAACGTCTCCCAGCGGGCAGACGCCACCCATCTCTCTCCTCCCTTTGTGGGCCTTTCTATCCACGGCCATCAAGTCAGAAGTGCGTCCTTTCTTGTATATCACGGCGGTTTGACGACGGTGGGCCCGAGCGGCGTGGGCACCATCAAGGAGTTGGATAACGCCCGCAAAATAGTATTTTTCCAACTGGCTGTCTCGGTTTGTTCTACAGCCGTGCTGATCTCTTCATTCAGCCGTCATCCAAGGGAATGACCAGGATTCGGCGAAGGCCGGTCAGACATCTAAACAAGGTGTGTTGTCTTCCCATGAATTTGCGCGACGTATTTCTCATGACCATCTCAGGCGACGATGTTCCTGCCTTGGAATTCGAGTCTTCCCAACAAGACCAGGACCTTCTTATCCGATACCTCCAGACCATCGTAGACGTTTTCATGGGGCTGTCGTCGCCGGCCGATCCTCCGCGTGTGAAGGCTGTACTTGTGGACGATGTGCCTTCAATGATAATTCACAGCTATCTACACATTCGAACTCACTTCTGGGCGGACGTCGTGCTCGGCGCGGCTGCTCGTGGCCTCACCCGCGCAACTTCGCGGTGTCCTGCTTCCATATACTTGCACTTCAAGTGCTGCCATCCGTGGAGTCACGACGGCTGGAGCCTGGCACCGTATCCGTGGCCGCAACGACGATGACCATGGCAGGCACAGGCGCACCGCTCTCCGTCCGGCGGGGCGTCGGGTCCGTGCTCGCGCTCGTCACCCCGCAGAGAAAACGAGCATGTCTCAACATGCTGCGTGATCGCCACCTTCGCAACTATTCTCCATTTCCTACCATGTCCTCCCGGGGCATCCACTTCTCATTCCATGTGGTTCCGCGTGTTATCAGGCGCTACACAGAGACAGTGGTTTGAACTCTATGTATTGAACGTGGCTTGAACTATCGCTACAGTGAAGGATGATAAGGTCTAGGCGTCGACGACGCGAACGTAGGGCGGACAGGCGATCAGGACGGTCAATGGGCTCAAGGATAAGAACGCGATGACGCCTGCCCACGAGATGACGATGCAACAACAGCCACCTGCGCAATCATGGCGAGGCGACGTGCGCCGGCGTCGACGGCAGGCTTGGTGTACTACGAGAGCCGGAGCGCGACGATCGTCGTGTCGTCCATCCACCGCTCCTCCATCTCCACCGTCAACGTCCGCGACACGAGCTGCGCGTCCGCGCCGCCGATCGCCTCCCGGAGGAGCGCGAGCGCGAGGTTGGCCCGTCTCCCTCCCGGACTCGGGCCGGCGTCCGCCGCGCCCCCGACCGCGCCCGCCCACTCGCGCGCCATCTCCCCGAACGCGCACCCGTCGTACAGGTCCGAGAGCCCGTCGCTCGCGAGGACGAGCACGCGCTCTACCCGCGCCCCGTGATCGAGCGCGCGGTGGTACACGTCCGGGGCGGCGGAGAGGTACGGAGGGGAGCGGATGCGCGGGACGTGCTGCGCCATGGCCTCTGCGGCGAGCCAGTCGGCGTCGAGATGGCCGAAGACGAGCGCGGCGTACGGCGCGGGGAGCTTGAGCCATGCGTCGCCGAGCGCTGCCAAGGTGCATGGAGGAAGTCGCGAAAGTTGTACAGTGGGGCGGAGTCGTCGTTCCAGTTCGTGCGGTTCAAGTTAATTCCGAAGGTCATTGCCAAGTGAAGATGAGGAGGCGGGAGGCGGGCCGGTGGAAAAAGGACGATGATCCGGCGCGGCATACCGGGACGGCGTGCGGGACGGGGAAGGTCGCGTTGACGACATGAGGACGACCGAGGAAAGCCGCAAGGTCCGTGTATGCGGTCGAAGATTGAGGCCGGCGGAAGCACGCCGTTCGATATCGGCAGTCGAGAAGAGTGACGGACGCAACGAGGACGGCCACATGGTGCGTGGGGTCAAGATGACGCACCATCGGGCCATGTACCGCCGGGGGATGCGAGCCAGGGAACAAAAGGGTCGGTAGTCGATTGAGGGCGGCAGAGCGGGTGACCCATAATGCAACGAGCGGCGAGGGGAGTAGCCAAGAACATCCGAATCATGATAGTGGTGGAGCACTGGTGAGCCGACGCTGGGCGCAAGCGCAAGCAGAGCCACTCACCACGCGTTGGGGCAAGGAAGCCCAGTACCCGGTCGTTCCATGTGCACTCAGGCTCGTCTGGATGTTCGGAGCGGATGCGTGCCAGTTCCTGTGGGTTACCACCGTTGTGGATGACATTGAGCACCGTGCCTCGCCACCCTTCTCGTCCGTCCTTCTCGGCTAAAACTGAGGGACAAGCCAAGCAACGGCGTCACAACCAGTAGTAAGCGTCCTGAAACTCCTTTGCAAGTGGCTCACACTCACCCGCGACACAGTCTCCTATGTTGGCCACCCACAGGTTCGCCTGTGTGGGGTCAACGAGCGCAACGAGCGCTGTCGAGCCTCCGAACGCGCGGGCAGCCCTCCAGTGTCCCGCCGCTCCATCCCCAGGGCCTTTGCCCTTGTCATTGAGGAGAGCGTGTGCATGACTTGGATCTGCGTGTGTAGGGTCGGCGGGGAACAGGGACGTGAAGGCGGAAATGAGGTCGGCGTCAACGCGCTCGAGCGTCCGGCGCAGGAGGTCTGCGACGGCGTTGGGTGGGCAGGACGGCGATGGGGCGGCGCGCAGAGCGGCATCGAGCTCACGTCTGAGCAGGGGGCCGACCACGGCGGAAACGTGGTCGACTGCGTCGTGATTCATGTGACCTGCGGCGGGAGAAGCGATATCAGCTTCGCTCGCGCTCCGTGTCCCAAAAGCATGGATTGCCACAGCGAGGCAGAAACACCAGCCTCGAGGGTGAGGGGGCAAGGGCACGAGAGACAGAGGCGACATGGGAGGCGGCAATCCGGGAGATCACGACGAGACGCACCGTCGAACACGGCGGTGTACGTCCAGCTCCCGCCGGGGAGCGGCCACTCCTCGACGACATAGCGGTCCTGGGAGCGATGGTGCCACGAGCGACAGGGCTGGAAGGAGACAGCGTCGACGGCGAGGGCAGAAGAGCTGGGACGTGGGTTCGAGGTGGAGGGGAAGGTGCGCGGCTCGGCAATCCTCTCGAGGTGTTCGGTGAGGGCAGGCTCCTGGAGCATGCGGTACGTCCAGCGCTCTTGGCCGCCGCGGTCCATGTCGGTGAGCGCGAAGTCTTTGACCTCTTCGAGGGCGCGCTGCTGCTCCTGGCTCGTGGCTGGTGTGAGGGTAATGACGCGCATGCCCATTTGTAGCCGTGCTGGGGGGAGGCGGGGGACGGGGGCGGGCGGGAGCTGGGCGGGGATGGGATGGGGGACGATGGCCTGGACTAGGGGTGGTTTTCAGCCGAGAGCGGCGGAGGCGTCGGGGCAGGGCGGGGAGGAAGGCGAGGGGGAGGTGCGGGCGGGGCAGCGGGGTCGCGGGCCCTGGGGTATGCCGCTGATTTATGGGGGTGATGCTGGGGATGCATGTGGGGGCAGGAGGAGGCCGCACGAGCGGCACCGGGCGCGGGCGAAGAGAGGAATTGGGCGACCGAATGCGTGCGCGCGAAGCCGTCGCGGGCGAAGCGTCTCCAACGGCCTCGACGCCCCCGCCAGCGCCATCGGAGCGCCCGCCCCGCTGCGGCCGTGTGCTGCACAATGAGCTTGGGCCTGGGCTCCCCGGCGTGAGCTCGAGTCAGAGCCTGTCGATTGTCCTACGGCGCTCGTGCAACATGACGACCAGCACCGCGCGAGCGAGCAAAGGACGCGAAGACGGAGCGCGTGCACGCCCGACGCGTGTCGCCTCGAGGGCTGGGAACGCGGCGCACAAGATGGACAGCGGGGCGCGAGGAGCCATGCGCGGGAGAACGCCGGCGGGGAGAGCCCAGTAGGTTGCCGGCGAGCCCTGGGGAAGCCTGGGGAGCGTCCGTGTCTGTGGCGAGAGGAGGGTGAGAGCAAGGCGCGCGAGCCCGCTGCGCGTCGTGGGCGTTCCCCTCGCTTAAGCAGCTCGTTCAGCCACGCTTGCTCCCCCTGCCCAAAGCCGGCAGCGCGCGCCCACCCACATCTCTCTCCCGACTCTCATCCTCTCCCTCCCAGCGCGCCAGAGAGACAGCGCAAAGCGCGTCACGTCCTTTCGTCCACATGCCGCCGGCATTCTATGATCAACTCTGGCAGCTTCCCTGTCCGAGACGTCGCTGGCCAAGCGCGGGCGAGAGAGCAGAGGGAAGACGTACGCAGATGCAAGAAGATGGCTGTATGCACTGTCAACATCACCGATTCCCCTTCGCTAGACAGCTGATCCATCGACGCAGGCTCGCCGCTCTTCGCGCGCGCGTTCATCATCGACGTTGCTCAACAACGCCTTCCATCTCACCACGCGGCCGCGTTCAGCGACGTCCGCACCTCGTCTCATGCGCCTCGAGGCCATCCTGGAGCGATAATACACTTACTCCGCAGGGCGCCAAAACAAATACTTGACGAAGCACTCCTGGCTGCGAACTTCGTGAGCCTTACCGTGCCGCTTTCTTGGTACGTAATCCCCCCACCATTCGGAAACGGCTCGCCCCAGCCCACAGACTCTGATCCTCATGTATTTAGCACTTACATTTGCGGTGTGCCGAAGCCCACGGGAACCGCCGCCCGCCCGTTCCTCGGGAGAACTCCTACTCAACTACTCAAAACACTCGCAGCATCTCTCCTCGATCATAGACCCCACCCTCCCTCGGGGGCTTTACAAACGAAGCTCGAAGCACGGCCGTGCATCTGCCTCCCCAGCCCAGACCGGCCGAACGCAAGCACTAACACGGACCACTCCTGCCCTCGTGCGGCAACCGCCGCCACCGCGACCTGTGTACCAACGATTCAAGCGCAAGCCTCGTGCCCTTGCGTCCCCCTTCTCTGTAAATTATTTGTTCCATCATTCGACGTCAGCGCTTCTGCGCTCATCCACGCGTTCAGGGTTGACTCACGGCGTAGAAGACTGGCCCGCCCAAGCCGCCGCAGCGTCCTCCGACGGATTCCAGCGAGATCCAGGCTCACGTACGTGAGCCCGGTGCATCATCGCCCCGCGTCGCCCTTCAGATCACGTTGGCACGCGTACTTCGGCACTCTACAGGTACGCTCATTCCCTTTTCCTTTCCTTCCGTCCTCCTTACAGCACTCCGCCGATTCCAGCCCACCCGCACTCACGGCAGACCGGCGCCACTAGGGAAGACGGTGACGGCAGCACCATGAGGACAACGCAACGATCCATGCCAATGTTCACGGCACATCCTCGTCCCCAACTCCGCGGCACGGTCCGCCCCATCCGCAGGCCTCCCCGCGTCCGTCCGCTCTTCGTCAGACGGCCAGGCCAGTCCTCCCCAAGACGTGGCTGCTTCGTGAGGGCAAGCCGCCTTTCGATGGACGGGACGTACGTTAGGGCGACGTGATGCCTGGTACGCGCACTCATACGCGTACGTACGCGGTACGTCACGTACGCTAGGTGGTTGAGGCTTCGCGGACTGTGTCGAGGATTTGGCGCCCGCTGATCCAAGCTTCCTGTTCGCCGACCGTACCCCCTGCGGCCAGGATCGATTGCGGCACCGTCCCCGCTGAAGCTCGTGCGGCCGCCGTTTCCAAGGCCAATCGCCTACCCTTCCACTACTTGTGTCTTCAACAGCGCCCCCTAGGGCTCCGGATCACCACCGCTGAAAACGACTGTCAAGCCGACCCATAGAGCTTATCGCATGCTGACGCGGACAGATGATGTTTTGTTCCGTCTCCGTCGCCTTCATTACGGCCCCGATCGCGGTTCTTCACTCGCCTACTGAAGCTTCCGGTGTTCAAACCTAAACGTTCAAAACTTGGCGTGCGCTAACCAATAACAAGCCACATTTTATCCCGACTTCTGGGGCTCTAATTCTTGCCTTCAGGACGCCGCTCTGTCAAAATGAACCCTCTTCCACCGGGCGCGAGGTATGTATCCTTCTTCTATCTGGCGCTACGGTACCATCCGTACAAACTTCGATCTGCTGTACATATGCCTCGTTATCCCATTCCTGACAACACCCTTCACAACACTGATGCGACGAAGACGGCGACAGTTCAATGCGGTCGAACGCAATCAATGTCATCCACGCAGCCTCTGCACGGGAGTGACGCCAAGGGACGACAGCACCGTCCGGTCCTCGCGCCAGCGCCGTACAATCGCAACAACTTCTTCCCCATCGTGGCCCGACCGTGATCGCACCCAGTGCCACAGCGGGCGACGGCATCGATACACCTCTGCACCGAGGTTGCCCCGCGCGCGCGCCCTCCGAGCGTCGTACAAGGTCCTGCATGTACATGTGCAGCGCACATACATCTATCGATACATCACGGCACGCCCTGGACGACCCGCGAGCCGCACGTCCAGATCTGCCCTCCTTCCCGTCTTCCCCTCCCGCCTCGTCCCCGCCTGCACCCGTGTCCATCATAGGCCTGGCGTGACGGAACGCAAACCTTGAGCTCTTGAGCTTGAGCGTGTCGGCCCCCCTCGCGCCCGCGCCCGCCGGGAAGGGCATCGACGAGCCTACGCCCGCGTACGCGCGTGGTTATCCGCGGCTTCTGCTTCTGCGCCCGCTCCCGCGTGCCCCCCGCGCCCGCCGGGCTGTGCGCACGGTGATCGGCACCAGTGCCGTCAAACCGGGCGATAGAGCGGGGAAGAAGGCGAAGGCGGCCACGACGACAGCGAAGGCGAAGGAGAGGGCGAGGGCGAAGGTTTTGGCGGGGTTCTCGAAAGGGGAGCGGGAAGCCTCAGACCGGCGGCGCGGTCGCGGGCGGGGGCGGGGCATCGCGCAGCTCGAAGCTCGCGAACGCGAGGTCGTACCCGCCGAACTCGTAGTTGATCTTGTCCGTCCGCTTGTAGAGGCCCGCGGACCCGCGCCCCTCCCCCGCGCCCGCGCCCGCGCCACTCGCCGCGGGGAGGGTGAGCGCGCTCCGGAACGCGCGCTGCGCCGCCTCCACCGCGCGCCCGTCCTCGCCCTCGGCGGCGTCGCTCGAGATGAAGAGCGTGAGGGTGAGCCGGCCGGGGCGGAAGATGTCGACGACGCGGCGGACGAGCGTGCGCAGGTCCGGGACGCGCGTCGGCCGGTCCGTCGGCGCCGCGGGCAGCGGCACGTTGCACTCGAAGCTCGCGTACGACCAGCCCGCCTCGGGCGTGACATGGATCGTGTAGTAGCCTTCCCCAGGACCCTCCGCGGACGCGCCCGCCGCGGGAGCGTCCGGCCGCCACTTGAGGAGCGCGTTGCAGGAGTAGCCGCACGGCGCGAACGCGTACGCGTCGAGAGTCGTCATGTGCGCCGGGAAGATGTCGCTGATTCCGAGCGCGGCGGAGAGCGCGAGGCCGTCCGCGCGCGCGCCGGCGGAGCCCTCCGCGGGCTCGCTGAAGAAGAACGGCGCGCTGCCTTCCGGGATAGGTTCGTCATCAGGATCTCGATGGTGTAGTCCGAGGCGAGCGCGTCGTCCGCGTTTGCGTTTTCCGGTGCGGGTGTGGATGTGGTCGCCTCCTCGGGCGGAGGCGCTGATGCGAGCAAGGGAGAGCTTTGGGCAGATGTCGCGCATAGTTCGGTGGGGGAAGTGAGATAGAGTAACCAGTGGTCGCCGTTGACTTTTCCGACGGTGTACGCGGAGCCGTTCGGGAAGAGGTTGTCGAGGAACTCGATCTCCGTCGTCCACTCGCGATGGGGCCCGATTTGGCGCTCAGGGAACATGAACGCCTTGCGCGAGTAGAAAAGGCGGTACACGGACGGAAAGCCGGCGTGCTCACGAGCGATCTCGAGGATTCGGGGAAGACCGAGAAGGTTGAGCGTCGTGCCGCACGTCTTGAGGATAAGTCGGTGAGGGGAGACGAAGAACGAAGATTCACTGAAATACGATGCATCAAAACGGCTCGTAGATGAGCATCTGCATGCGGGGAATGGCATGCTCAAGAAGCGATGCGTGGACTGACCTGAGCAAATACGCGTCAAGCTCCGTGCCCTCGACTACGGATAGTATTTTGCACTTGACGATGTCAAGCATCTCTTCCCAAACGGCGCGGGGAACGGTGCGAAGCCCAGTCTTGCCATCCGCGCTGTCGCGCGGTTGAGGGCAGTCTGCGGGGGAGGGCGCAAACCAAATTTCAAGCAGTTTCTCCGGCCCCTCAAACGGGCCTTGGGGCTCGCTGTCGGCCATGGACGGGATGAGGGTAATTTGAGAGTTGTGGCAGGGAGTGGAGGGGAACGCTAGCGCAGCGCGGGGCAGCAGGCGTCGTCGGGAACGGGAGACGAGGAATGCATGAACTGGAGCGGTGGCGAGCAGGACGTGCTCAGCTGAGTGCGCAGGTCGAAAACCCGGCCGATCGATGGCCACTCGGCGCGCGAGTGGCTGTGCCCTTTTCCCTTTCAAGCATTGCCCCGGGCGCCCCGAGCCGAGCCATGACGCTGCCCACCGAACGAGCGCTTCCGGTTCTCTTGCCTCTCGAGCCGCCAGCACCCGACGTCGGTCTCTCGCCTCTGTCCCCGACGTCCACTGCAGCTCCTCCTTTACGCCTTCACACTCCCGCTCTTTGCACGGTATCTTCACCCGCGAGCATGGTCCGCAGCTACCTCCTCCGCATCCCCGCCGTCCGAGCCCTCACTGCACGCGTTTCCCAACCCCTCCTCCCGCTCTCCCGCATCGCCGCTACCGCACCCCGGAACTCCCCTGGGTCCTCGCTTGCAGGCTCGCGTCCATTTTCCCACTTCTCCGCCCGCCTCACCGACTCGCACGGCTCCTCATCCTCGACATCCTCTGCTGGCTCGGGAGCGGGCTCTGACCCAGGCCTGCCCCCAATGCATCGCTCTCCCAGCGGCTCAAGCACCTCATCAAGTCCTACGGCTGGTACGCGCTCGGGGTCTACATCATCCTGTCCGCCGTCGACTTCACCGTCGCCTTCGCCGCGGTGAACGTGCTCGGCGCCGAGCACGTCTCCCGCGTCGCTGCCGACGTCAAGGGCTACTTCACCTCCCTCATCCACACCACCCCTCCCGAGCCTGGCCGCCAGGAGATGGAGCCCGTGTCCGCGGGCGGGACCGGCCACGAGGGCCTCATGGCGATGATCGTCATCGCGTACACGATCCACAAGACCCTCTTCCTCCCCGTGCGGATAGGTCTCACCGCGGCCGTCACCCCGCGCCTCGTCCACTGGCTCCGCGCGCGCGGCTGGGCGGGGAGCTCCGGTGCAAGGCGGGCGGCGCAGGAAGTCCGGGAGAAAATCCGAGAGAGGAGAGACAGGGATTGAGCGCCGTGTGCGGCGCATCATGTTCCTGTTCAGACGGGTCTGATGTCGGCGGAGACATCGCCGACGCCTTGAGGTGCGTGTGCGCCAAGCTCATCCCTGAATTTCCTTGCTCATGAGTTGAATGGGGGCACAGGGGTTTCGCGCACTACTCATACACATTCATACACTACGGCAAGACGCCCACAGCTAATAATCACGACTCGATGACACGGCAAACCGTTGCGCTTGTCGCTTAAGCAGGAGGAGCTTCGGATTCTGCATGGTTTTGTTGGTTACTGGTACGGATGGCGGCGAGTGTCTAGATGCACGTACCCTTAAGAATCCCCTCTTTCACAAGCTCTTCAGGTTTCGGGCGGGCCTGGAGTGCATGCTCGAGCTTGTCCTGCGGGTGCAAGTCCATTCAGCATAACTTGTGCGTGCCCGATCCTATCCCTACTCACCTCAAGTTGCGACCGTTGCAGCTTTTCCTTCGCTGCCTGCAGCGCCGGGGCGACGGTGTCATCTAGAACATAGACAAACTTAGCTCCCCCCGGGTACCCTCGCCGCTCGACGCATACGCCCCGGGGATCAAGTAGCCACACACGTACCTTGAGAATGTTGCGGTCGATGAGATCCTTCTTTTCCGGGCGGTGCGCAAGGTTCTTCTCCAGCACCTGGACCGTCGCGATGTCGATGGACTGCTTGCGCTCTGCGGCCAGCTTCACGGGCGTCTCAATGCTTGCTGTAGGCGATGATATCATCCGCCGCAAAGGTCAGTGAGGCGGCGGGTGCGCGGGGCAGATGCGGTACGCACCCATCGTTGCGGCTATATGTATGCTGATCGGAGGGGGTATGGTGCGGTGCGTTGGCTTGGGGCAGGGAGGTCAAGGAGCGAGGCGCGCCGGGAGGCGAACGCCTTCGGTTTCTATAGGGCTGCTGAAAGGGGCCCAGATCGGGGGGCGCCCTCCGTCCCGTGACTTGCATGGATGGCTCGGCCCTCGCACCGCGCGCACTCGATTCGCAGACTCTGGTACCGCAGCATGTGGACTGGTGGTAGGTGGGTGGTGCGCGCCGCCACTGTCGTAACAAGTACCCCGAGTATATAGGCGGTGGCTCAATCTCAGCCACCCTCGCTGCAAGATCACAGCACCAAGGGGGTCGAAGGGAGAGTGCAGTGATACGGCGAAATGGAGGTCGACTGGGGCCACGACCGCCTGTCTCGAGGGCACCGCGGCGGGGCCACCGTAACCCGCACCTCGGTCTGGGAGGTGCCATGGTGATGGACGAATTTCGAGGTAATGTCAAGATTGCAGACCCCGAATTCCGTGGTGTGCAACGCTTCACTTCCTGGTAAGTAGTGAAACCTAGAGCGATTGCCCACTCTGAAACCATCGCAATCGTCAGGTATGGATGTCATGGATATAGAGAAGTTCTCGACGACCAGAACATTCATCGACATGGAGCCTGACGTCAATTCAGCTCATGTCAGTGTCGTAACGACATGTACAACAACCCATGGTTAGAACGTTCAAAGAGGACACACCGTGGACCCAATAATCACCGACTTGTCTGCTGCTTTGTCGCAACTATGAACGTCGAACAGAACTCACCAAAAGCGCTCAGGAAGAGGACAATCTGGATCCATACACCGTTCAGATTACACAGAACCATAACGAAGTACAGTATCGCCAGAGTCCAAGCCTGGTTAGCCAAAGTCTCGTCCCGAATCCATGTCATGCACGATAGTATGTACGTACGAACAGCAGATGCCTGAACCCCATCGACCTCTCGACCTGCCGTCTACTGCTGGCGTCCCCGGACAGGCTCAATCGTCTTGAGCCGGCGCGCGGCCGAGTCCTCGCGGCACGCGCGCACGAGCATCCGCGTCTCCTGGATGCCGCGGCGCACGCGCCGGACCTCGGACTCGACGTCGCTGTCCATGCTCTCGAGCAGCTCGAACAGGTCCAGCACGCCCCTCGGCGGCGCGTACCCCGACCCCGGCGTGAAGCACGGGGAGCGCGGGGACGGCGAGGCGACAGGGAGCGCGCGGGCCGCTGCGCGAACGCGAAGCCGGGGTGCTGGAGGTGGCTGGTGGTTGTGAGAGCGCTCCCCGCGTTCGTCGACGCCGGCGCGGAGTGCGGGGTGCGCCCCGGAGGCGGGGCGGGGAGGGCGAGCACGGCGCGGTGCCGATGGTGATGGTGGGCAGCGGGCCGGCGAGGGTCGCGAAGAGGTCGCTCGGGAGCGCGAGGTCGCCCGAGAGGAGGGGCGGAGGGCGAGCGCGGGGAGGTGCGGGTCGGGCCCGGGTGGTTGGGCGCGGTTTGGGTGCGGGTGCGGGCGCGAGTGGACATGGCTCGCGGGTGCGTCTTGGTAAGGAGCGTGGTAGTGCTGTGGGGGGTGGAGGGGGGCGCGCGGCCGTGGAGGCCCGAGGTGGGCAGCAATAGAGGGCGGTGGTATGCTAGAAGTGCTGATGGGGCGAGGAGGGTCGGTGGCCGTTATATAGCCCTGGCCCATCGCGAGCGATGGGACGTGTCCACGCGCCGCACGCGGGCGATGTCGCTTCAGATGGTGCGGCGGGCTCACCTGCGTTGGCACCAGCGTCGGGCACCAGCTCCAGATATCGCTCCATCGTTGCTCGCGCCGCCAAAGGCAACCGGTGGCAGACGCGAACGCAGCTAGAAGACGCGTCGAGCATGTGGCCGATCGCAGCGCTGGGAACTTCGCAAAGGCGTCTCGGATGCTTCGGGTTATGTAAGCACCCTCCTCGCTCGCGGCGGCACCCGTGCTCAACGTCCCCAACGCCCTCCTCCGCATCTCTCTCCTCCCAATGTCTCTCGCCCGGGCGGCTGGCGCCGTCATTCGGCCCTCCCAGAGGGCCACCACCTCTCTTTTCCAGCGCCGTGCCGCGTCGTCCCATTCGCACGACGAGCACCACCACGAGGAGCACCAGGACTCGGACACGTACGAGCCGCAATGTGCGTATCTTCACCCCTGCGCGCGCGGGTTGCGTCTTGAACGAGTGGCGGATATGCAGCGTGGAACACTCCGTTCTGGCGCAGGGCTGTCCTCGCCAGTTTTGGAGTCGTCGCGTTTTACAAGTACGCCCCCTCCCCCAACGACGAGAACGCGATCACCAAGTCCATCGCCGCCAACATGATCTCCTCCGACGTCTGGGAACACAACTCTCTCGACCACCTCTACAAGTCGGCCGAGCGTGCGGTGGTGAACCTCTTGACTGCTGATGCGAAGCCCCCGCCTGTCCACCGCCTCCGTTTCCCTCAGTGAGTGCTTCGGCGTCGTTCGTAACGCTCGCCCGCTTACGGTTCCATCTCGGCATAGGCGGATTGAAATGTATGCTCCGAGTTCGCACCCTGTAGGTATCAAGCTGTAGAGGACAGGGTTGATTCCGAAATACATTGCTGCTCGAGCGTCCCATTCTTCAGTGTGTTCTCCGCTTCAAATCACTCTATTTCGGCACAAATGCGGCCCCTTTGAAGGCGGCACGTTCTGGGAATGGCTCGGACCACGGCGCGCCCGTCATCAAGAGTATATCGAGTATCTGCCGTCTGTATGATATGTGCTCTCTTTCCGAGCTGCGCTGATTCAAGAAGCAACCATGATACCGGTAATCACTCCAACAACCGTTCATCTAACAACCGACATGAAACCCGTGGCTCGTGCGTGTTCAATCCATCCGTGGCGTCAATAATGTACATGCTGAAGAACATCCAACAGGCGCTTGGTTGAGCATAGACGCCTTTCTATCACTCTAGTGTGTACAGACCAAGACGTACTCCCTCAGTTTTTCGCCGCGGCTCTGTACTTCTGCGCCCGAGTCTTCTTGAGCTCCTCGACCTGACCGAGCGTCGGGAGCACGAAGTCGTACTTCCACACCCACACGCGCCCGGACTGCACCTCGCCGTCCGCGAAACCCATTGCCGCCCAGCGTCGCGGATCTTGCTCCTCGACGAGCTGACAGATGAGCGACTTCTTGGTGGCGAAGACAGGGTCCGTGCCGAGGAAGGGCGAGTGTGATGGGTACAGCGCCGAAGTCAGCCTGATGAGCACTGGCGTATCAGCGGGGAGCAATGGAAGAGGGTAGTCGCAAACGCACTCGTCGTATCCGGGAGCTTTGACGTTGAAGTGAATGTGCGATGCACGGTGAGGGTGACGTCCTATGTAGGCACGCTGGCTGTGAGGACATTTCCAACTCAGTACTCTCTGGACTGAAGGCTTACCCAGAGCGTGTAACAGATCTCCGATGGGTCCATCACCGGGCTGGTGCATCAAGGCTGTCAGCCTCAATACTCGATGGAGATGCATCTGTGGACTTACGATGGGATACGCAGTAGGCAGGATACCGCGGTAATTGAAGGTCCCATCGGGGTTTGCGACGATGGTGCCGCGGTCGTTGGCCTCCTCGCGGTTTGGGTACTGGACGTCATACAAGCCGTCTCCGTCCGCTTGCCACTGTCTCGCAGGTAAACAGACGAAATGTTCTCGCGACGCACAAGCACTCACGATGTTGCAGTTGCGCCTTTGACGACTTCTCCCTGCAAGTTCTTGATCGTACCGGCGAAGTACATGGACTCTCCTGTGGTCCCCTTCTTGGCAAGTGACGAGCCTGAGGGCACAGTAGGGGCGTCTTTCGTCCAGAACGGCCCCTCCTCGCATCCATCCGTGCAACCCTTGAGGCCCACATCCCCAATCGTGAACCTCCCTTGTCTCGCGCGAGATCAAATGAAGACGCACCGGAGGTTTCGGATGGTTGACCTCGTCGACGAGCGCGCTGAAACCAAGACAGTCGCTGAGGAGGACGAACTCGTTCTTGTATTCCGTGCTCTCCTTCCCCGCGCGCGTGAGGAAGGTGACCGCTCGCAGCCACTCGTCGTGCGTTAGTTGCGTCTCGCGCGCGAATGCGTGCAGGTGGGACACGAGCGACGTGATGAGCTCGAGCGAGCGGGGGTCTTTGCAGAGGCTCTGATGCAGCCCTTGGACGCTGCGCGAGCACACCGGGACGCATATATGAGCATTATGAGGTCGGCGGGGACACGAGAGACGCACTGGTCGGTGATGGTGTAGTCCGTCTCCTCCCGGAAGTCGCGCTCGAGCGGGAGGTCGGTGGGGATCTCCTTCTCGAGCTGCGCCCGAATGGCGCGCCCGACGAGGAGCGGGTTCTTCATCTGCTGCTCGGAAGCCATGTGTGGTGGATGCAAGAGAGATCAAGAGTTTACTGAGCTCGGCCGGGGCCCAACATTGAGCTTAAGTATCCCCAGCGTGCAGCCCAGGGACGACGGCGGCCGCAATACTATTATCCGATGGTGGCTGGAGGGGCGACGCGCAGGTGACTGTCTATCTCGCGCGCCGTGTCGTGGGGCTGCGGTGCGCCCGGCGTGGTCACTGTGGGTGAAGAAGAGAGCCTAGCCGGCGCCCGAGCTCTCACGCCCACGCGTCCTGTGACCGGGCAAGGCAGCCAGAACAGACCTGGCCACGGCGGGCAGACAGAAGCGGGGCGACGTTCGTGGTATGGGGCGCTCGGCGGGCCGTGAGCGAATGCGGAAGCAAATGAACCCGTGTTAGCCACGCATCGCGGGCATTAATTGCGACCCTCGCGCGCGAGTGTGGGCGGTTGCTGGCTGCTGCGTTGCCCGTGGCGGGGAATCGAGGCTCGTCGAGGCGGGTGCGCGTTTGTGGCTGAGGCAGCATTCGCGGCGGGCTGCATGTTCATCGCAACAAGCGTGCCTGTGTGGGTCGCGGTGGCCAAAATGGGCGCTGAGTCAGCAGGACGGGTCGCCAACGCGCTCTCCACGCATCCGAACACGACAACAAGGCCAAATCGTTGACCGACGGTGCCGACGGCTCTCTCTCTTCCACCATTCGGTGCTCGATACCCCTTCCCTAGCACACGCTGTGCTCCTACCATGGCGCGCGATTCCCGCCGCAGATCACGCCCGACGGCCGTCCCCCTTCCCTCGCTCCCCTCGCTGTCCTCGCCCTCCTCACTAATGCCGCTCTCGCCGCCTCCAGCACTCCTCTCGTCGATTTCAACCGCATGGGTACCGTCGGTGTCGCCGGAGCCTTCGCAGGTCTCGATGTCGTCACCAACGCCTCCTCTGTCTCCTTCGACCCAGAGACCGCATCCCTTCTGTCTCGGACCGCCGATGGTTCCCTTTCCAAGATCGCCTCGACGAACACGGGAGGGAGCATCTTCGCAGGGTGCGCCATCGACGACGTCTTCTACTTCGCCGGCTCCTTCTCCTCCGTAGGCGAGACCACTGCGAGCAACGTCGCGTCCTTCGCGGGCGGATCCGTCGCCGCTCTTGGCGTCAACGCCCCCAACGGCGTCGTGCGCGCACTCTTTTGCGACACCGGCCGCAAGCAGCTCTGGGCGGCGGCCAGTTCACGTCTCCCGGCTCCGCCGTCGCCGTTTGGGATGTGGCTTCCAAGGCCTGGTCTGCTGCCCCCTTCGGCGGCCTTCCTGGCGCGTCCTCCCAAGTCTTGTCTATAACGTCCAACTCGTCCCAGTCCAGTCTTTTCATTTCCGGTAGCTTCGTTGCCTCCTTCGGTAGCGGATCCGTCGCGCCAACAACACCAACAACCCCGCCGTCCCCTTTTCCACCGGCGCGACGCCCTTCACATCCTCTCTCGTTCCTATTCCCCTCCAGGATGCGGAGGTCGACGCTGGCCCTTCTACCACCCAGACCGGCTTCTCCAACATCTCCAACATCCTCTGCCCCGCAGGTGTCGATGGTGCGGGCAGTACGTGGTTCGGATCGGACGGAGGCACCGCGGTGATCACCGTACGCAAGTTTTCTTTCCTGAGCGCGGTTGGTATCCGCCTTGGCAACACTTTCCTCAACGGTCGCGGGACAACGGCGTTCAGGTGCGTTTTTAATATTCCCTCGGATTGCAGCCGAGGTATTTAGCGCGTCTCCGCAGCGTCGCCACCATTCCTGACAATGCCGTCCAAACCCTCACCTATGTCGACCCGGCCGACAACAAGAACAAAACGTGCACAAACAGCTGCCCTCTCTCCACCGATTCCAGCGTTCTTTACCAAGACTTCTTGTTCGATGCGGACCTGGACATCACTGGCTTCCAACTCACGCTCTCGGGCTTCCAGGGTGCGGGCCCGGGTTTGCACATTCTGCAGCTGCTGTCGTCGGGTGCCTTCGCCTCTGCTGTTCCCGATGACAACCTCCCGTCGTGCTTTGCGCCTGTCGCGTCGAACACGACGATGACAGGAACGTGGACCCAGAAGAGATCTTCCACGAGCATCTCCGGCACGACCCAAACTGTGCTTGTCGCTGATGTGGACGCCAACACTTCCGTCGAGAAGGCGCCGAGTTTCACCTGGCAGCCCTACGTCTCCGCGTCCGGCGAGTACCAGGTCAACATGCTCGTTCCCGGCTGCACAAACTTCCAGGATTGCGACCTCCGTACCACCGTGTCTGTGCACGTCTTCCCCGGAGAAAACATGGACCCTTGGGTGACCGATGTCGATCAGACCAACAAGGAGGACAAGACCACTCTCATCTACAGCGGTCCTATCTTCCCCACCACGCCAGACTTTGTCACTACCGTCTCAATGGCGCTCAACGATGACACTACCAAGCAGGTCGAGATGGTCGCGGACCGTATCCAGTTCATCCTTACTAGTGCGAACACGACCTCGACCAGCTCTTCGAGCTCCAACTCGACCGCGAGCATCTCCAACCGTGGGTTTGGCTTCATCGAGTGGCCTCTGGGTAGCAGTGCAACGACCACAAACAACAGCGCGATCCCGACCGCCGCGATCACCAGCCTCGATAATGCTGGCTTCGACCTTTTCAACGATCTCGGGGGTTCGACCTCTTTGACTGGTGCAGCGGCGTCCATCGCGGCTGTTGGTCAGCACCCATCAGGGATGGTTTTCCTTGGCGGCAAGTTCAGTCTGTCCAACGGCACCGCTTCAGGCGCGAACAACATCATGGTGTTCAAGAACGGTGCTCTCGCTGCGCTTCCCAACGGTGGTCTCAACGGCGCCGTAACGTCATTGGTGGTTGACGGAGACCTCGTCTTCGTGGGCGGCTCTTTCTCCGACACTGCGCAACCGTCCAACAGCGCGCTCCGCGGCATCGCTGCCTACTCCGTGTCCAGTAACAGTTGGCAAGCCCTCGACGGTGGCCTCAACGGCGGCGTCACCTCCCTTGACATCGCGAACAACCAGCTCCTGATGACGGGCAACTTCACGCAAGTCTTCACGTCGACAGATAGTGGTTCCGGTCAGGACGCCTCCGGCCTTGCCGCGTGGGACATCGCCAACAAGGAGTGGACGAACAGCGGTGGCTTCCTCATCGGTTCCATGACGTTCGTTGGGAACGGCACGTCGAGCGACACCGAGTTTGTCGCTGGTAGTGTGTCCGCCTCGCTCGGGTTCGGGGCGTCCGGATTCGTCACAATCCAGAACGGCAAGAACGGCGAGCCGGAGATCACGCCCCTCGCGGTTTCCTTTAATGGCGCTTCCTCCTCCTCCAACTCGTCCTCCAATGCGCGCCGCTCGCACCATCGTCGCACTCCCACTGGCTGGATTTCCAACATCGTCAACGTTTTCAAGCGCGCCACGACTTCAACCAACCTCGCGCCGCTGCCCAGCGCTCCCAGCGCTTCCGCTCCGGCGGTGCTCGCAGGCGCGTTCTGGACGAACAGCTCATCGTCCAAGGATGTCATCATCATCGGCGGCAACTTCAGCTACATCGCCAACGGCGTGAACGCGCAGAACATTGCCGTGTACGACGACGCCGCGAAGACGGTCACCGCACTCAAGGGCTCGCAACCGAAGGGCGTCGTCCGCTCCCTCCTCGTCTCTGGCGACTCGCTCTTCGTCGGCGGCGAGTTCTCGATCGACGGGCTTTCGACCTCGGGCTTCGCGCTCTACAACCTTGCAACCCAGGTCTGGGACATGTCCGGCGTCGACTCGCTCCAGGGCAGCGACGGCGCCGCCGTCGTCGTCCGCTCGATCAGCAAGTCCACCGCAGACGGCAACCAGATCATTGTCGCTGGCTCGTTCGCGCAGGCGGGCTCCGCCGCGTGCCGCGCCGTCTGCTCACTCGACAGCACAACGCGGGTTTGGGCGGCGCTTGGGAACGGTATTCAGGGAGATGTCTCTAACGTCGTGTACTCTGGCGTAAGTTGTGTCTTGGAGTTCGTTGAGCGATCGCTGACGTTTTTACTCGCAGTCTGAGGCGCTCATCGTTGGTGGTTCCATCGCCTTGGCGGACGGTACCAGCGCCAACGTGGCTACCTACGCCTTCGCCAACTCGACTTGGTCAGCCGTCGGTGATGGTAGTGACCTGCCTGGTCCTGTTACTGCTGTGGAGATCAACAACAACAACGCGAGCAGCATCTTCGCTGCCGGCCGGTGAGTTGGGCGCATCCACAGGCGCCATTCATAGCCTAATGCACTTCATAGTTCTACGGACAACACAACGTCGTTCCTGTCCTTCTGGAATGGCGTGTCCTGGACCTCAGTTGGTGAGTAATCCAATCGCTTGCTACCGGCACGCGCTGATTGTTGTATATAGGCTCCACGCTCCAGAGCACCACGGAGGTAACCCAGCTCAGGATGGTGCCCCTTCAGAACAACCACAACGCGAACAGTGTGATCGAGACAGACCGTGTTCTTATGGTCTCTGGCACGATCTCCGACTCGTCCTTCGGCAACGCTTCCACCGCACTTTTCGACGGCAGCTCCTTCCTTCCGTACATCGTCTCGACTTCGCAGTCCGGCTCCCCCGGTGTCGTCGCTGGCCTTTTCGCCTCGCTTTCCTCGTTCAACTTCAACCAGCGCCACTTCCTCGCCACTGGCGTCGTCATCCTCATTTCCATTGCCATCGCCGCCGGTATCGTCTTCCTCCTAGCGCTCGTCGAGATCCTCTGGACGCTCTTCGCCCGCCGCGACGACAAGGGTATCAACAACTACGACCCAGCCGACACCGGTGCGGACGACGACTCGACTCACCGTCCGTCGTCCCTCCTCGAGCACATCAACGCCGCGACGCGCACGACGATCCTTGGCTCAACAGCGTTCGGTGGAGCCGCGGCCGCGGCCGCGGCCACCGCGCACCATGAGAAAGGGGCCGGGTACGGGCCCGCAGCGACGCAGGACGATCCGTTCGGTGGCCCCGACGCGAGTAACTACGTCCGCGCGGACACACCGTCGGACGCCCTCGGCGGTGCACTTGATGGTGAGGACCACAGTCGGCCAGCCCACGCCCGCTACTCGTTCGACGGGAAGGGTGAGGGTGAGCTGCCCCTGCGGACAGGTCAGGAGCTCGAGATTCTCGATGATAGAGACGCTGCGTACGTCCCTCTTTTTCTATATTCTACGCTCCCGCGCTCAATGCTAATGTGTTTTACGTTCGCTCAGTTGGTGGTACGCGAGAGACACGCGCACAGGCCAGGAGGGCGTCGTTCCCGCCGCGTATGTGTACTAGTTTATTTTTCCAGTGTTTTTGGCTTGGTTCGCAATTGAGAATGCTTTCGTCGCATCGTCGTCATTTCATGTCCTGCCCTCTCCTCCACTCCCAACTCGGTCCGTCTCGTCTACACAACCCCCCATACCCCATGACAAGATCGACCTTCAGGTCGTTCGCTTATGTTGGCTCCCCGTCCCAACACCTTCCCTGGCGCTAGGTCCCCTTCCTCCCCTTGTGCTTCGTATCCAGACACTCGAGTCAATCTCGGCGCATATGACACTTCTAGCTGTTCCTACTACAGATTCGATATTCATGATGTTCTTCGTCGCGTACAGGCTACACTACGTACGAGCCATAATACAAAGAGATGCAGTGAACATAGAAGAACATGCGTGAGAGAAGATACACGGTCGACGGGGGTGACTCCTAGGGCATATTGGGGTCCCGGAAGTGCTTCTGGTTGTTGTGGATGAACCCGACCTTGGTCCTGAACTCCTCCCTCCGACGCTGGTCGCGGAATTCGCGGATGTGCCGCCCTGCGTGCCGCGCCTCGCCCGCGTTCCGCGCCTTGACCACCTGCGTGCCCTGCCCGTACGCGCCGAACCCGCCTCGGACGGGGACGAGCGCCGAGTTCTTGTCCGCGATGAGTCGGCGGACGAGCGCGGCGCCCGAGTTCGGGTCCTCCACCCGTCCCCCACGCGGTGCCCCGGGGAACGACTGCGCGTAGTAGCGGCGCATCGCGCGATGGCCAATGCGCGCGCCCGAGGGCAGGACGAGCTCGTAGGACGAGTCGCCGTATGTGACCTGGTTGTCGGGCACGTCCTCTTCGTCTTCATCGCTATCGTCCTCGTCTTCGGTCGACGACGCCTCCTCCTCGACGACCTCGTCGACGTCACCTTCACCGTCGTCGTCCTCCCACTCCTCCGTGGCATCGTCGCCAGCGCCTTCCGCCTTCGCCGCCGCCTTCTCATCCTTGCGTCGCTGGCGCTCCGCGCGCCTCGTCTCGCGAGCCTCTCTCCGCGCCTTGCGCTCCTCCATGTCGGGGTACGACGCCTCGAAGTCGTAAAAGTCCGAGACCTCGAGCCGCTCCTCGTCCGTGTCGTACGCGATCTTGCAGTGGCCCTTGTCGCGCATGTGCCGGCGCACGGCGTCGTGCGTGCGGAACGCGGCGTCGCAGAACACGCACGCGTTCCCGACCGCGGTCTTCTCGCCCAGGTAGCCGACGAGGCCGACGAGGTCGACGAGGAAGTCCGCGTCGGGCACGAAGAAGCCGTGCGCGCGCGACATGTGCTCCAGGTTCGCGTCCAGGCTCTCGCTCGCCGGCGCGGCGCAGAAGAGGCACTGCGTCGGGAGGAGCGCCGCGCGCGCGGCGGCGATCTTGGAGTCGATCGTCGCGTTCACTTCGTCCTCGGTCGCGTCGGCGTCGACGGAGAGCGAGACGCCTTGGATTTGGGAGGCGACCTCGGTGACTGCGGCGTCGGTGGGAGGGGCGGGGCGGGCGTCGAGGGACCGGCCACGGGCTCGGCGCGGGTGTCTTCGGGGGTGGCCTGGGGGGCCTGTGCCTTGGTCGCGGCGCGAAGCTCGTTTTCCTTGTGCTTCTTCGAGGCTAGATGCGACCGGTAGGCGTTCTCGGTTGTGTAGCTCTTCCTGCGCTCACAATGAGCCGCTGGGCGACATAAAGAAATTTTATTTCTGCTCACCCACAGACCTCGCACGACGATCCTTTAGGTGAGGCCATAACCGCGGTCTCCGCCCTCCTCTCGAGGACCTTCTGGTTGAACAACGCAGCGCTGACAGGGGGGAGGCTCGCGACTCGACGCTTCATGTTGTATCTGTGGTGATCGGAACGGTAGTGCTCCCCTGGTTCACAGATTAGTCTGTATAGATCACAAGAGGTAGATGCGGCTCACTCTGATCCTGCGCGGTGAGGAAAGCGATTGTGCATGATATGCAGGTGTAGAGATTTTGGTGGACCTCTGGCTGAGCCGGTAGAACGTCCATCATGGCAGGGGGTGGACTAGGGGTATGCTACGGATATGAAGTGTGTTGTCGCTGGGTTTGCGGTGGATGAGATGAGTGTGGTGAATGCCAGTGGACAATGGGAGAGAGAGCTTATATACAGTGGCTGGGGAGTCTTTTACGGCCCCGCGCCGATTACGGACGCCGATTACAAAACACCGCAGAAAACGTCATCCACGTGATGTCTCTCTTCCGCGCTTCTTCGGTTGACCCACTTCGGTCTTCGCAAGTACTGCTTCAACCGGCTCCGCATGATTCACGATGAAACGAGAGAACAGACAGAGTCAGCGAGTGCTGGGCGTGGGCGTATAGCAGTCCGCTCTGGGCACAGCGGTGACTGCTAACGCACTTTTGACTCTCTGGGCAGCAACCGCGGATGCAGGAAGCATGCAAGTGAAAAACCCGTCTCGGCGAGGCCTAGGTTGATGGACCCGGGACTAAAGCCCATGCACTATGGCATATTATTGTTGTTGCCGAGATTCAGTCCGCTGAGGCCTGAGTGTATAGTCTTCTGGCCACAGATATAGACATGATTCCCAAGAGACATGAACATTCTCTAGTGTGAGGAAATCCAGAGATGACAGAGGTACAATACAAAACAGTGGGCGATAGCAAAGACAGTGGCACAAACGAGGGACATATATGCACCAGTTACAGGATGGTGATGCACTCTACTACAGAGACAGTCAATAACCTGCAAAGAGCATAGACACAGTGCAGCACTCACCACTAGAGGTATGCCAAAGCGTGCAGCACGCTTCTTCCGCCGTTCTATTTCATCCTCATTCACCGGCTCTGCGGAACGCTTCTTGTTGCCGGTCTCCTTCGCCACCTGCGTCGTGGGTGCCTGCTCACCAAATCGTGCCGCACGGGCAGCAATCTTGGCTTCGTCCTGTGTGCGGGACGGTGAACAAAGAAACACGCAAAGGGCAAGACGCCACGCACCTCGGACAGAGCAGGCTTGGAGGCTTTGCCGTTCGCCGCACCCTTGCCACCCTTCTTCGCGGGTGCGACCTTCGGTTCTACCAACGCAATGCCGAAGCGCGCAGCGCGTGCCTTTCGTTTCTCGGCCTCGTCGTCCACTACCCCGTCCACTTTGTCGGCTGCTGGCGCCGCAGCATCCTCCGCAGGCTTTGTAGACGTTTTGGACGCGTCGGGCTGCAAAGTGTACGACATTACGGCATGTGTTGCTGCACAAGGCGTGACACCTACCGCTTTCGGTGAGACCTGTGACGCAGGTTTGGGTGGGGAGGAGGGCGCAGACTTGGGCGCGGACGAGCTCGAGGGTGCAGCGACACTACAGGGGGTTTAAAACGCGCAAGGAGGCAGATGGCAAGAGTACTCACGTTTTAGGTGGTTGTGGCTGAAACGCGACGCGACGCGACGAGTGAGTGGATGGCGCGAGAAGAACACGTCGGAGGACATACTGGAGTAGCTTTGGGAAGAGAGGTCGCTGCGGCTGAGGGCGCGGCCGGAGCGGCTTGGGCCGGGGTGCCGCCATGGTTCTCATTGTAGACGGCGACGGCGTCGGGGGAAGCAAGGATTTTGGCAATGAGATCAGCCTTGTTCGCGCGGGCGGGGAGCGCGAGGTTGGCCTTGGCGCATATGTCCTTGAGGTCAACGACCTTGAGGGCTTTCCTATCGCGGGCGTGAGCGGGAGCGCGGGGGAGGGGAAGGACAGACGTGCAGCTTTGCTTCCATGGTGGTGGTAGGTGGCGAGAAGGGGTTTCCGGATTGGGAAGTGGAGGGGCGTGACGAGGGGTGACCGGTTGACCAATCGGGACGGAGGGCGGCGGTTCTTACTGGGCGACGGCAGCAGCAGCTGGTTGGCCAACGCTCAGCCCGACCAATCACATACTCATTCCAAGAATCATGGACTCCGTCAATCATCTCTTCAATTCAAACGCATACGACTACTGTACGTGCTCCCTCCTGCCCCCAACCCCCGCTCACCCCCCGCCAGCGAACAGTGCGCTCTACGGCCTCTACGCCCAACAACCACCCCAGCACCCCCAACATCCCCAGCACCCACAGCACCCCAGCACCCACAGCACCCCACACCCGTTCCACCACCATCAGCAGCAGCATCCCCTTCCGCACCCGCACCCACATGCCCACAGCACCTCCAGCACCCCCTGCCTCACCCACACCCGCATGCTTCCCGTCACCCTTCACCCGGCCCTTCCCCCCCTCCACCCCATCCCGCACTCCCCCCACCTCTTCCTGCCTCACCACCTCCCCCAAGGGCCCTCTCCGCAGGAGCAGCAGCTCCAACAGCCTCCACGCGAGCCGGATCCTCCGTAGATCAGATCCAGGATGATGCGCCTATGGACGAAGAGCCTCTCTACGTGAACGCAAAGCAATACTATCGCATCCTCAAGCGTCGTGTCGCTCGTGCCCGACTCGAAGAGGTTCACAGGCTCTCCAAACAAAGAAAGGTGCGTCCCCTGTGTTGCATTGTCGTCTCCTGCGGCGATAGACACCCATCCCCGCCTCTCCTAGCCCTACCTGCATGAATCTCGCCACAAGCATGCGATGCGCCGGCCCCGAGGCCCAGGGGGCCGTTTCCTGACCGCTGAAGAGATCGCGGCCCAAAAGGCGCAGCAAGAGGCAGAGGCTGGGCCCTCAGCCTCGGCCTCTGTCGACGGCGAGGGCGAGGAAGACGATGCGGCCGACGACCCACTCAAAGACATCGAAATGACCATCGATAGCCCCGGCGAGCCCCCCAAGCCGGACATATCTCAATTGCCTCAGCCTCAACAAGGCCAGTTGCCAGACACACAGCGCGAGATCCGTGTGCCCGCAGGCGCACCAGGCCAGCCTCTGTTGCAGCCCCGCCCTCAGTCTGCCATCTCGACCTCGTCTGCCATCTCGACCTCGTCTGCCATGCAGCCGACGCTCCAGCCCCAGCTCCAGGCACCTTCTACGGCGCAGGCGATGACGCTGCAGGTACAGACTCCTCAGCCAAAACCCCAGCCGTCGCCGACTCCTATTCCCTCGCGGGGCATGCAACAATCCCCACTCCCTGTGCAGTCCCACAGCCAGCCCCAGCCGCCGCAGACCGCTTCTCCGTTCAACCTCCAGCTTGGGCACACCGCTGCCCCCGTAAATCTGATGAGCATGGCCTTTTCCCCGTCCATGTCGCACCCTACGACCCCCACGCCGCTTTCCCCGTCCGACCCCCTTGACCACCTGCAAGTGCAACCGCAGGATCCCTACCACACGCACCCGCAGCCGTCGCACCCACACCCTCATCCGCACCCGATGCACCCCGGTCACGGCCGTGGCCACTCTCACGCGCACTCACATCCAGGCCAGCCGGGGCAAGCGGCGCACAGACACCCTGGACAGCCGGGACAGGTTTCCAGCTCCGTAGTCGGACAGGCCCCACCGCCGCAGGGGTCGCAGATGCCGATGCGCCAGCAGTACCACGCCGCGATGCAGATGCACCACATCCCCCATCCGCACGCGCACGCGCGCCACCACGCGTCGTCGATCAACCGGCTCTATCGCGCGCAGGGCGACCACAATGTCATGAACATCTCCGCCGAGGGCATCAAAGGCGACATCCAGCGCCGGGGGAGCGACTCCCTCATGCGCTTCGGGAATGCGGCGAACTCGAAATGAGAGGCACCGCGGCGAAGTAAAGCAAAGCAAGGGCGGCCACAGGCCTGCAGTCGCAGGTCTCGTGGGCAGTGCCCAACCAGAAGTTAACGAGTCTGTCCGTCGTTCTGTTGTCTCGCGCTTCTTCCTTGGCAATGTGTTAATCTTGTCTCGAGTCCTCGTTCGTATCTATGCTCGCGGTGTATTCGAATCTGTTACTTCTCCCTGTTGTCTCCGCTCGCAACTTACAGTCGTTGCAGTTGTGTCGATGCTCATCCGTACTTATTGCGCTAACCTCGATATTTGTTGCTCACTTCGCTCGTGTCCATGCTTTCCGGCCCCGTACCTTAGAGTTCTCGGTCCCCTTTGCCCACACAAACCCCACAAATGCTTACCAACCTCCTGCACAAACAAATATAAGCCGTAACTTGTGCAGTCGAATCGTACTTGTACGCGCACGTTGGCCTGTCGTGTTTAGCCACGGTGTTGGGAGTAGGTTTCGTTATCCGATCAAATTCAATCGTCCCTTGTTAACGCTGACTGCCTTCATTCGCCCACATCGCCAATAACGAAGTAATCTACCCGGCGCCATCACTCGCCCAATTCCGTCGCGCGCTGTGTCTGGGCTAGTGTGCGGCAGCGGGGCCCTATCGCGGCACGCCAGAATTCGCCGCCGCACGTGGGGCCAATCGCGTCGACCGACGAATGGACGCAGACGTCGATGCCTCGAGTCGCGTGCAGGCAGTACGTAGGCCTCGAGATCTCGCACCGCATCTTCTCCCAGTCACTCGTCTCGCGCGGCCCGCGCGGCACACGCAGCGATTGGCCCGACTCAGAGCATCTCGACGTCCATTGGCTCGTACTCTACGTCCCCCTCCGCTGCCGACGCGTCCTCCAACGCCATTGGCGTGCCCACGTCTTCAAGCGCCATCGCGTCGTCGTCGCCGTCGCCCCCGCCCATTGGCTCCCCCACTCCGCCGTCGCGCGTCCCGGTCCCGGTCCCGGTCTGCAAACGCGGGCGCGTGACCACCCCCGCCTCATCCTCCGCCTCCGCTTCCTCCACCGCGCCGGGGGTCACCACCGCCAAGGGGGGGAGCGGGCGGTAGAGCACAAGGGCGCCGCTGCCCGCGGGGACTGGAACGGGCGCGAGCGGCGGGCGCGCGAGGCGGCCGAGGAGCGCGCTCGAAATCGCGTACGCCGGCGCGTCCGCGGCGGCTGCGCCGCGGGGCGGGACGTTCTCGCGCTCGCTGTCGGGCGCGTCTTCGGCGTCCGAGTCTTCGAGGTCGGTGATCACGATGCCTAGAGCGTAGAACGCGTTAGCTACCGTCGTGCTCGGCGGGGGCGGGAAAAACGGGGAAGGCGGGGGAAGAGCGGGCGTTCTGACGACGTGGCGGGAGACAGCAGCCTCCAGCTTGAGTGACTTAGGCGAGGTGAAGGGCGCGAGGGCAGATACGGCGCGATCGACAGTGAAGACCACCGCGTCGCGCGTGAAGAATGCGCGTGCAGGATGGAGGAACGCGGACTTACGGTCTTTCTCGACCTCATACCACGACGGGCCCTTCATCGACACCTCCGGCAGCTCTGGCACCTCTTCGACGATGCCATTCAACACCTCGACAGGCTCTTCGACTGACCCGGGGAACGCTGTGTTCATGTTCGTCGTGATTGGTGCGTACGCGGAGACCGGCATGCCGTCCACCGGCCCGTTCGTGTTCGTTCCGGGCCAGAGTGCAAGTACCACGGGCGAAACGGTGGCGGCTGGCGCGAGCGTGAGCTTCGACAGCCCTGTCTCGAGTACGTCGCATCTTCGCCTCTTGGGGCTCGGGGCCGGAGAAAGCGACCGGCGCGAGTCGACAAGGGATGGGTTGGTGTAGGCGGATGGCGGGGAAGGTGACTGCTCGTCATCATCGCTGAGTTGTCGTTTGAGGGAAGGCATACGGAACCACGGGTGGAAGGCGTGTGGGTCAGCCCAAGCAGTGGTGGCGGTCATGGTGAAGAGTACAACAGACGGGAGTGTTGGTCTATGTATGCGTTCAGGCTGCGAGGAAGGAGATTTATGCGGTGGCTGCCCGGCGAACAGTCCCAGAACGTTCTAGTCGCCCGTGCCCACTTTGGAAGTGTGGGAATCTGGCTCTCACAGGAACGTTCTCCACTATACGTACCAGAAGTGCTTCGAGTCGAACGGCCTACAATCGCACAGAAAATAGAGTAGCAAAAAAGACTGCATGTCAAGGTGGCGTGCGTTACTGCATGGGACAAATACAATGCATAGCGATCATAATACCACCGTCGATGAGATAATGCATATGTAGCTCCAGAAAAAGCGTCTAGCCACGCTTCTTCGATACACCAACAGTCTTACCCCGACGACCTGACCAGTAGATGAGCCAGAAGACCTATGCGCGGGTTGGCTGAAAGACATACCGGTCGTCTTGGTGTGCTGACCCCTGACACGGAGACCCCAGTAGTGACGGAGACCACGGTGCGCCCGGATCTTCTTCAGCCTCTCGAGGTCATCACGGAGCTTCGAGTCAACACCGTTGGAAAGAATCTGCGAGTTCTTTCCGTCAACGATGTCCCGCTGCCTGTTCAGGAACCACGTTGGGATCTTGAACTGCGTGGGGTTTTGGATGATGGTGACAAGCCGCTCAAGTTCATCGGAGTTGAGCTCTCCCGCACTGCAAATGCCCTGATATGAATGGCGATTCAAGGTCTAGACAAGAAGCGAACGCACCGCTTGTTGAGGTCGACATCGGCCTTTTTGCAGACAAGGTTGGCGTAACGGCGACCGACACCCTTGATCTCAGTCAAGGCGTACATAATCTTGCGCTTGCCATCGACGTTGGTGTTGAGGAGACGCAGAATGTGCTACAGTGAATGAATGAATTTCTGAGGATTGGGGGAATTCGGCGCAGTATGACGGACCTGGAACTGCTGGTGGGCCTCGGGGACATGGAGAGACATGATGGGCAACGGCAAGGGACCTGTGATATAGCAAGAGAGTCAGTGAAGTCCGTACTCACATAACTTCATCCAGAGTTCCGGGATCCCATCCACCCTCAAGACCCAGCCATCCCGCCAATCCTCCGTTCAGAAGCTCTCTGACGGCACACCATACGGCCCATACATCGATGTAGGGGGCGTGAGGGCAGCATCTACTCACCGAGAGTCTTGACGGCCTGTGTTGGGTACGAATGTGGCGAGAGACGACGCACCTCACAGAGATGGGCGTCTGGCAAACGCCGTGGGCGTTTAATGCGCCAAATTGAGACTGGGCGCTTGATCCGAACTGCCACTTGTCGTACTTGTCGGCTTTAACAAGCCTGAGGCTCCAACAGGGCCATCCCTTTACACATGCTCCCTATGTCTGCCATTCTTAGGTGGTTGGGTCGTTGACTGTAAGGCTTCGTACATTTGGGAATGGATTCCTGTACGAGACAGCCCGTCTCTGATCTCATGCCACTGCGGTAAGGATAATTGAAGGATAACTTCGAGGACTTATATGGGCGGGTCTCGGCTTCCCAAGTACAAGTAATGGCTTCTTGCCGCGGCTTATATCAAGCCCTTTACGAGGTAAGATACCTCCTATGCCTAGAAGGATTGGTGCTCACTGTCCTTCGGGTACGTTGATAGAGGGAGGTAGGGGCTTCTCACGTAGACCATTGACTCGCTCACAGCTTCACTGGAGCGTCTTAATAACCCCCCAAACCCCACATATTCCCTGAGTCGGACTCTTCTCGCAAATCCACAGTATGATTACGTCGCCGCTGTCGTATAAGACGGGATCTAAGCTTCACCCAGGTATATATATGAAAACTCGGGATGGTCGTAGATCCATGCGCAACAGCGGCTGCGTCGACTAAACCCACCTCCCTGTTTCCAGCCTGGTTGCTGTCACGAAATTAAGACGAACGGCTTCCGACTTCGCGTCGTCAAAGTTGCAGACTCGAGTATACAGGTGTTTTAGTGCATCCCGTTCTAAGACGATCTACTAAGCACGGTTTCACGATGATGACGTACGGGTCTCTCTCACTCGTCCATACCATGCACTCAACCACTGTATCTCAATGGCTAGGGATAAGTTCTCATTTCAGATGAGCAAGCGTTCGAGACCATCAAGGCTGGAATCGATGCCGTTTACGAGGATGTCAAGATGGTCGTCAATCGCGGTGTGTTGCTCGTCATATCAAACCACCATTTATCTAACCTGACAAACAAGCTGCTTTCTATGTGCCATGAAGGACTCTGCCCTGCAACCTGGAGCTTATTGCACGGATCTTCGGCAAGTACCCTGGCTTCGCCGCTCGCCGACAGGAGTTTTCCTTACCGTCAAAGTACTCTTTAGGTCTTTCCTCGCCATCCAAGACACCGTGACCGTTTTGACTCTGCCGTGCCGCATCGTATGGGTCGGCGACCTCAGGCCCGGAGACAAGGTCTTTCCGTTGCCGATATCATTACGAGTGCACTCGCTCTAGTGCCATGATCGCTTCAAGGGGAGTTCGAAGTTGACGCAAGCTCCGTTTGTGCGGCGTGCGTTTACAGGTCGAAGGCACGAGACAGAGATAACTTGACCGCGGCGAGCGATAGTATCGCCCCTAACGAGGACGAAGAACAAGAAACAATCCGCATCTTGGAAGAGCACCCCATGAAGGGTAGATGCGGTACGACCGTAAGTCAGATCGCCGAGCCAAGCCGAGCGACTGGCAGGAAAGCTTTGCCGGGCTAACCGGGTTTACAGTAGACACAAGCGCTGTGCCGCGGAAAACGAGAAGGAAACCAAGCTCGTACCGACGGGCGGACAATCTGAATCCGTGGTCGGGGGAGCCTGGCCGCCGGCCTGCGTGTTGTACTATGACGTTCCTTGTTACAACATGAGTCATCGTTTCAGCATACGGAGACATTCCCCAGCATTCGCCGAACAACGATCGTTTTATCCATCAGAGTCTTGCCCGAATCGCCGTGCGGAAGTGACCACAAACGGCCTGGTCCAGTGGTCGCAAGATCGTCCCTGCAACTCGTGTGCGTGCGCCGTGGCATTGCGCACCTCGGACGTCCACTCCGCGGTCAGGCGACGCGATCTTCCAGAACACCGGCCGCGGGATGAGCTGGGATGAGCTCCTAGTGCGGGCCGACGCTTGGGCTCGCTTGGGCCGTGCCACGGCTTGGCAAGGGCACGCTTATGATCAGTTCTGACGTCGGCGTCACGACCGGGCCTTGTGTTTGAACACTAGGGTCAGTTCACTCTTTTAACGACCATACACACATATGTCCTCCACTCCCCCTATAGTTTGCATAAGTGCCGACATAGAAACATTTACAATGTGTCTATCAGATTGGAGGGTCTCGATAGGGTCCCGCCCCGGCGCGCGCTTGCAGGCGCTTGCCCACTGTCACGCCTTTAGACAACCTTTAGAGCCCAATTCTGTAAGTACTGTCCACGCCCACAAAGGCGCGCGCATTCGCTCGGGGAATTCGCCAAACGCGTGAGGACCACACTCCCAAAATTCCAATTGAAGCGCCGGGAAAGATGTTTCAGCCGAGACACATCAAGGGTGAGATCTCTTCCCCCACCGAGATGAGTGTATCCTCGAGATCGGACGCAACTTGCGCTGAGGGGACGCGAAACTTCACCCACGTTAGGTGTCCGAGAAGATACTCTAGCTAGGTATGTATTTTTATCAGTGGAGAGACGGGAGCACGATTCCCGTTTGTCCGAACACCAGGTATTGATGGCTAGATCTGCCCACAAGGTCACCCCGGGACGCCCGACCCCTTTCACAACCTCTCTGTCAAGTTTTGAGTTTCAACGCTCGGCTCAGCCCCGTCATTGGACATCTCTCCGTACATAACGCCAGGGTGCTCGCTCAATACGCTGAATGAGAAGGGATGCAGTGAACTCCGACCTAGTAAGACCCAAACTCTGATCGATCACCAGCGGGACCGGCCCTCGCGTTAGGCATCCACTTGCGCAGGCACGCGGAGACAATATTGAATGCTTCCGTCATGAGCTGACCACGCCCTTTGCACCACGGCCGCCAACGTCATGCGCGTCTATTGCGCCAAGGACAACCCACTACAGAGACGACAAACGCCATCACAACGCCCCCTGCCAGCGATGTTTGTTTGCTCCCTTCCTTTTTATCCAATTTGTGAGGGGGAGGGGCTATGGTAGACAGTACGCACGGAAGGTGGGGGGGACGTCATGTCGCCGCCGCCCTCCGAGGAGGGGCCAACGACGTTCCAACGACTAATCTGCCGAAGCCTTCTCCTCCACCTAACACCGGCACGGATCTCTTGGGACCAATCCGTCACGTTCATCGTCGACTCCAGGCACTAGCCGCGCGGCCACTCTGACGCACCCCACGCCGAAGAGGAGGCGCATCAGGGCGATACCTGGAAAGGCAAATCGTCAAAGGGAACTGCGCGACGACGGCGCGATCAGTATTTTAGCACCTTTTCCATGAAACGCGTGCTGCGCCACCCAACGCTACCATTAACTTATACCGTTCTTGCGCCCCTGCCAACAACAGCCACGCGATGCTCCCCGATCGTTTGACCTCCTCCGCTCTCTCATAATCATCCTCCTCCCCGCGGTTTGGCCTCCTTCCCCCCGAGCGCCGTCCAATTTCTCTCACCAGGACGCAGCGCCGCTGTCCATCCCAACTCCCGCTACGCATGCGCGCCACAGTCAGCAATGCGTGGCCCCCAGAGCCACCCTCGAACGAGACAGAGGCGCAGAAGGCCACCCGACTCGAGGCTGAGCGCGCAGCAAAGGAGATCAGGTGCGTGGTTTCCCTTCTCGCAGAGCAGAGCACTGACTGCGCACCAGCGATGACATTGACAAAGCCATCGAGGCGGAGCGGCAGGAGTTGCGGAGAAACAAACCTCAAACGAAGGTCCTCCTCCTTGGTTTGTACAGCCACCCCAGTTCGAGAGCGCGTGCATCCGCTCACGTTCCCTTTCCTCTCGGGGCGCAGGTCAAGCGGAGTCGGGCAAGTCCACTATGATCAAGAACTTCCAACTCTACTTCTGCCCGGCCGCCTTCTTCGCCGAAGCCGAGGCCTGGCGCACAGTCATCCACCTCAACCTCGCGCGCTTCGTCAACTTCCTCCTCCACATCCTCACCAACCCCCGGTCCTCGTCGAGCAGACGCCCAAGGACCTCGACGACCACGGCAGAGGTCGCGCGCGACGTGCGCATCCTGCAGATGCGCCTCTCCCCGCTCAAGCAGGTTGAAATTATCCTCTCGCGCGCGCTCTCCCCCGACGGCACTGGAGTCGCGACCTCGCCCGTGTCATCCCCCACGCTATCTCCCACGGACAGTCGCGTGAACGCGCCGTGGACCGGGGAGGTGCCCGCGACCGAAATTTCGATCAGGAGCGGGTCCGGGTGGAAGAACATGATGCGCCGGCGGCGCGGGTCGCAGACACAGAGGCCAGTGATGATCCAGCTCGACGAACTCGACGATACGCGGAAGGTCATCGACGCGTGCAAGGAGGACATCGCTGCGCTGTGGAAGACGGCGGGCGCGGAGATCATTGGGGAAATAGGGATCGACACCCACCACCATGCGAGATAGTACGTGCGAAGCGCTCTTATGTGAGAGCAAGTTGACTGGCTGATTGCGCGTTTTCTATGTTTGGGCAGTTTCCTGGACGACGTGCAGCGGGTCGCGGACATTGAGTATTTCCCTACAACAGACGATATTCTTCGGGCCCGGCTGCGCACAGTCGGCGTCGAAGAGTACCGGCTAACGATGGAGACCGCAGCAGAGAAAGGCAACGACTGGCTCTTCTACGACGTTGGTGGTTCGCGCAGTCAACGTACTGCGTGGGCATCATACTTCGACGATGGTTAGGGTGTCTGAGTCTTCAGAAGAAATATCCACTGATAATAGTCTCAGTGAACGCTGTCGTCTTCTTGTGTCCAATGAGCGGCTTCAACCAGCGGCTAGAAGAAGACAGGAAGGTCAATCGACTGGTATGTTGTTGTCTGTACCAAGTCGTTCATCCGCTGAGGGTTCCATGTAGGCAGATTCGCTAGCCTTATGGGAGCAAGTATGCAAGAGTAGGCTCTTGACGAATGCGACCTTCATTCTTCTCCTCAACAAGGCCGACGTACTATTTGCGAAGTTGAAATCTGGCATTCAGTTTGAAGACTACGTGTCGAGCTACCGCGGTCGCCCCAACAAAGCCGAAAATGTTGCAGAATGTAAGACAAGATTCTTAGTGTAATGGGGTGAGCAGCGTGCTGACTTTTGATAGACCTTCGCGATCAGATGATCCGAACACATCGCATACACTCTCCGAAGAAACGCCATCTACACGCTCACATTACATGTGCAGTTGTGCGTATCCTCTCCTCTCTCTTCTTCGGCAAACCCTTATTTCTCGAGTAGGAGCCCAAGATCATGGCCACCGTATTAATCAGCAGTGAGTGATCATTCTGCATATGCTCGAACCGGCCTACCAATTCTCACTTCTCGCAGTCCGAGACACGGTTCTCGTCAACGTCCTCCAAGAGACATCATTGTTGTGAAGTCCGCGGCGACAGGTACCCCGCCGGCTTCGCAGGTGAAGTTGTACACAACGACACCCTGAAGGCCGCACGGACAGCGGTCCACACACTCCTTCGCCCAGCACTGTGATCGATCCAAATTTATCCTCTACTTATCGCTCCTTCCCTTCGATTCATATCGCCGCCACGGAACTCGACCATAATTTGCTGTTGTACGGTTAGTCTCTAGTAGTAGTGTCCCCCGTTCCGCCGACTTTCCGCTCGGAAGTGTCGTTATACAATTAGGCCTCTCCACACAGACATGTATTCCTACGCACACTCATCTCTCCGTCTCGTTTGCACTAGCACGGTATTGAATACCCACGTATACTCCTCTACACTGGATATCCACATTGACGCATCTAATCCACTTACACTGATTACGAATACACATTTTGAATAGTACGAAGCTTGGAGTGCAGAGGGTCTATATGAGGACACGCTTGAGGCGAGCCTTGCCATGGACATTTAGTCCGCATGGCTACCTCCGAAAGATAGAGGTGCATCCATGTATGCCTTGATGTCTTTATGGGGAGAACGGGGAGGCAGAAGAAAGTCGAACAAACAGTACACACTTGAGGTTGTCACAGCTTCAGCTTTCGACAGAAACGTCGGACCACACAAGAGTGAGGCATTTGCAACCCGTCACATGTATTCCGTCTAGTGGTGCTCTGAATGCCCGTGACCCTCTTCGTGGCCACCGTGATGACCATCGTGATGACCCTCCCATGGATGTCTCAAGCCCTGTGCAGCGAATGAGCATATGCTCGGAACTGGATGGGTGATAAAGACATACCAGAAGCTTCGCACCATCTTTCCTGCAAGATAATGAGTGACATAGAATGCATAAGCGGATGAGGAGCACGTACCTCGCGCGGTAGAAGATGAAGAACCACATCGTTGCACCCAGCGTGGTGGCGAGGAACCTGTGCGTGAAGCCCGGAAGGTGCGGGTGGAACCCGGTGCCTGCGAGGAGATGCATCGCGGTGAGCGAAAGTCACGTCGTGCACATGTAGAGCAGCATACTCGAAGGACCGCCGGCCATGATGGAGGAGAGCGGGGAAAAGGTGTTTGGTGGTATTGACGCGCACTCAGGCTCATCCCTCGTCGCCGGCGTTCAACGGAGCGCTTCCTGTGCGCAAGAAATCCTGCAGGCGCCGCTTGGCTCTCCCGCACTCTCCGCTGTCCTCTTGTTACTCTCCCCTCTTCGGTACTGCTGTGATGGGGCAGAAGAAACGGAAGCGGGATGGCTATGAGGAAGGCACGCTTGTCACTTTTCATGCTCCGGACAAGGTGTTCTCCAGGGTGTACAAGGGTGCGTTTAGCCACCGTCCCTCGTGTTGCATTTTGCCCATATTTTCACTTCAATATAGGCGAATCTCTGAGCGAGACACGAGAGCAAGTGCGCAAAAAGCTGGATCTTCCGAATGACGCGTCCATGCGATTTGCGAGGATGCATGAGGGAAACGTGATCGTGCTGGACGATGGTGAGTCCCGGCCACAATTTGTTCTGCGCGCCGTTTCGTCTCATACCCCTTCAAGAGGATGACTTTGAAGCCTTCCGCTATGTTGCACGGAATTGCGACTCCATTGATGTTTCCGTTTTTGTGGGGTCCCAACCTTCCCCCATTTTCGCTTCGTCTCCTGCTCCGGGTCCTCTCGTCCCGGTGTGTTTTCAAATAACAACGCGAGGTGTATGCTTTCGAACTAACATCGATCAGAATTCATCTCGCAAACGCAGTATCAAACGCAAGAACGTGTCGGATGTTGTCACTCCCTCCCGCGGTACAACTGGAACGCCACCAGCCGAACAGTCCGAGCCTGATCCTACTTCCTCCCAATCTCCCGCCCCAAACCCTACCATCGACGCAAACGGCCTACCAAAGAAGAAGCGCGAGCGGAAAGCGTCCACTGTTCTCGATCCACCAGGTATGTTTTCCCAACCCGAGTTCTCGTAAATGCTCTAAGTGCTATTACCGTGTACTCGCACCCTGTTATACTTGCATATCCCCTGCATGTCGTCACTGCAGATAAGCGTACTCGCGAGCAAAGTCAGCAGATATCGTGTGGCGGAAACTCTTCGATGCCCTTTCCCCCAATTGCTTCGTCCTCGGCGGTGCAACTGAACACATCGTCTTCCCCTCCCAAGAAGAAACATAAGAAGGACAGAGATATTTTCGACGTGTTCCATGCGACTATTGGAGCTTCCGCGGAACCTTCTGCTGAAGCAGGCAAGAAGGGAAAGCGGAAAGTAGGACACGTGTCTCTGGAAGAGCACGCCGTAGCCGGGAGCTCACGTTCAACATCTCAAGATGACGAAGAAATCCGCAAGCCACTCACGAGAAAGGACCTCGAGCTTGCAGAAAATGCCTCAGTCGAGGAATCCCTCGAAGCTTCAAGAGTTGATGCGCGGTCCTCCAAGAAACGGAAGCGGGTTAGTGCAGACCCTGCGCCAATCCCTGCCATCCAAGTGCCAGGTGAGCAGATCTTCGCGAGGTCCAAAAGATACCTGCTGACGAACTATGAAAGCTGCGCCGTCATCTCATTCTGGTATGCCGGTACCTGCCATAGCGTACACTCTGATTACTGAACAACTTGTCTAGTCGATAAGGAGAAAAAGAAGAAGTCCAAGTTCGCTGACAATGAAACGATTCCTCCTATATCATATACCTTTCCCTCCCAGGAATCTCCTGAAGATGCTCATGCAGTTGAGAAACTGGCTTCCAAGCGCGGGAAGAAAATGGACTTGCACGTCCCGTCGGCTCAGATTCCTGAAGAGACCTCTGGTATGTCAGGATAACAACAAATCCCATGTGTCAACTTTGATGCCATCCCAGCCATAGATGTCACTCAAGTAGATGTCGCAGGCTATGGTGGTGATCCAACCTCTGCCAAGAAAGGTAGACTTTACTCTTACGCGTCTTTAACTCTTGTGACACCAACGACTACTCGCAGGCAAGAAAACCACGAAGCATATGCGGTCTGTAGGCACTGGCGAAGCTTCTTCCGATCCTCCGGCTGTGGACAGTTCTACGAGTATGTCTCACACCTCGTCTATATTATCAACGGTGGCTTATATTTACCAGCAACCGGCGAGGATTATCTTGAAGCGCCTCCTGCTCCAAGTGGGGAATCCACACGGAAGAAGAAAGGCACAAGTACAGAGGCCCTGAGTGAGCTCATTTTTCTAGTACCATATCGCCTTTGATTTACCATATTTCAGTTTTATCACCTGGGTCTTCATCTGCTTTACCTTCCGCTTCATCACTCTCGCCGTCCACGCCCGAAGTTCTACCTACCGGGAAACGAAAGACGACCAGGTCGAAACTGAGTCAGACGTGGGGTCCTAACGACCTTTCAATAGATGAAAACTTGCCGGACAGTGCCAGTGCACTAGCTGACGCGATAAATCGGGCCTATGAATCTTCGCTTCACCTTCCTGCATCTCCCGACCCAAAGCCTGTTAACGGGGGCAGCCTAGACGCCGTAGTAAAGCAGCTGTATTGCAGGACGTCACGGAGCCAGTAGGGGTGCGTTCAGCTGTGTTCCCATATCTGCAATAACTCACCACTAGAGGAACAGGAGGAAACCATTGTCAACATTGCCGCCACTGTCCCACAGCTCGAACTCTCGACAACCATGCTCACCCCGCCGCGTTCTCTCGACCGCTCGAAAGAAACTCCTGCGCCGTCTTCACTACGACGCCATTCCTTCTCATATCGCTCTGTCTCATCCCCTCGTCTCCCTGCGGGTTCTGAGATATCCGAAGTCGCTGTTGAAAGCAGAGACGAAGGCAGCAGCAATGAGAGCTCTGACAGCGACAGCGACATGGACGGCCAAGACTCACCGTTCGCAGCGACCGCCTCCTCTATCTTGCCCAGCACGCTTACCGCAGACCCGGCAACCTCGAGTCTCTCCTCTACGCACCCCCAAAGGCGCGCAAGAGCATCCTTGATCAGATCCCTTTGTCCTCCGAGTCGAGCTCCGACAGTGACTCAGACGAGGAATTACCACACGACGAGGACGCCGACACGGATGAAGAGGAGAAGAACGACAAGGCCTTCCGACGGATGTCGCGCAAGTTCAACCGCGAAGCGTCCTCGGAGGACGAGCCACAGCCCGACGCTGAACCTGGCCAGGAGAATGCCTACAGCGACAACTCCAACGACGAGGAGTCCGCCAGTTCTTCTCTTGTTGTCCCAGATCCCAATGAGAGCCTCGACAACGCAGTAAGTGTACTGTTATCAACACACTCGTAAATCCCCGCTAATGTGTAGCAGGACGCCCGTGAGGTTGAGAACGACATGCTGCTCAAGAATATCTCTGCCAACACCAAAGTCACACGGCGTTCTGATGGTGACGACTCAGATGGAGAGCAGCCGAAGGACCATGCGCACCAGAGCGATGAGGACGAAGGTGACGACTCCCGGGCCGAGGTCCCAGAGTCCCCCCAGAGTAGGCCCTCAGGACCGTCTGCAGTTGCAGGTGAACCCAATTCCACGGAGAATCCAGCAGAGGTTGATCCTCACTCGCTGCAGCCCGACGCAGTGTTAGCGGCCCTCGATCATACCAAGGACGGAGAACCAAGAGAGCTGGATGAGATAGAAGAGCCTGCAGTCGTTGCACCCGTACAAGACGAAAGCCTCGAGCAAGCAGAAGAGGACGAAGGGGCGCACGGCGGTGCAGAAGTTGCCTTGGAACCTCACGAAATGTCTCCTGATATCGGTCTACCTGATCAACCAGTCGAAGAGGACGCCACTATGGACGCAGGGATCATCGTCACCGGACACCACACTGAAGATCCCAACGACCCCATCGAGTCCTTCAGCTCCGTGGATGAGAAGGACACGGGCGACTCCATTGAGGAGTTCGAGGACGACGAAGAAGACCCCGCTCCCGCTTCCGGGCAGGTCACGCCACCTCTTCCTAGCACTCCCGGCACGGTCCACCGCATGCGGGATAGGCATGGGCAACTCACTCCTAGTCGCCGGAATTATGCCTCGCGCCTTTCGCAGCGGGTCCTCGGTGAACTAAAGCTTGCCAAAGAGGACGTCACTCTCAGCGGAAGCGACGGGACTGCCCACGAGATCATCGACGATGGGGACCTGGCTCACGCTTCGGTAGAAGGCCGACCCATATCTCCTGAGGAGCCGATCAAGGACTTTGAAGAAGCTCAAGACGAGCAGGAACCGGAGCATAAGAAAGAATTGGAGAACGGGCACGAGCAAGAGAAGGAGCGGGAACAAGAACAAGAGAAGGACCAGGACCAAGAGCAGGGGCGGGAACGGGAATGGGAACAGGGACAGGAGCAGCGTGAAGACCAGGAGGAGCACGAGGGGCCTGTCGTGCCCGACACCAATGCCACTCAGCCAGCAGCCGAAACCGCTCCCAACGAGAACCAGAGCGAAAGCGAAGTGGACGCTCCCGAGCGGGTCCCTGAGACCCGCCCTCGCCGCTCTACACGTGCCGTCTCGCGCGTCTCGCTCGACCCCTCCCAGGAGCCGCTGTCACGCCCACTCGCGAAGCGCAAGTACGTCCGCCTCAAGCCGGAGGAAAAGGCACAGCGCGAGGCGGAGAAGCAGGCAGAGCGGGCTCGCAAGGCTGCGGAGCGGGAGGCGAGGCGCCTGGAGAAGGAGGCGGCGAAGGAGGCCAAAGCGTCCACGCGCGGGAGGGGCAGAGGCAGGGGTAGAGGGCGAGGAGCCTCGGCGAGGCCAGTGTCCACTAAGTCTCAGCGTACGGTGGAGGAAGAGGATGCCGAAGACGATAAGAAGAGCGAAGATAACGAGCCTTCACAGGACGGCCCAGCCACCGCAAAAATCTCGTGGACAGCGCTGCCGTCGACGGAACCGCGGGCGCAGACGGAGTCTGTCGGCGAGATGTCTATGATCGACGAGCTGCAGCCCAGCAGTCCCGAGCCCGTCGTCCCGAGCCAGCCGAAGCGGCGAGGACGTCCCCCCAAAGCGCGACCCGTGCCCGTGCCCGAGCACATATCTACCCTGGAAGCCCTCAAAGAGAATGCGAGAGACGCGCAGAACGACGAGGACGACCCTTTGACCATGGTCACGCCTAAACCAAAGTCGGGCAGGAAGGAGCCGCTGTTCATTCCCTCCAGCAGCCAGCAGCAGGAGACGCCGTTCGGCCGCTTCGCACCTGCGGACGCCAGCACGCCGTTCCCAACGATGGGCTCGCGCGAGGCCGGTCACAGCGACGACGACAGCAACGGTGGCGACGGACCCGAGCCCACGCAGGGCTCAAGCTGCCCAGTCAACCCGCCCGGCAGGGCTGGTACTCCAAATCGTCATACCCGTCGCTTTCGAACCTCTCCCAGCAGCTGTTCGCGAACACGCCCATGTCGCAGTTCTCCTCTCCCATCCACTTCCCCCAGACCCCACGGCAGAGCCAGAGCGCCGCCAAGCCCATCGCCGATGAGAAGGAGGAAGAGGACGACGACGACGACGACTCGTCCTCGAGCAGCGAGTCGGACTCGGACGTCGACGCAGGGAAGAAGGCATCACACATCCCACGGAGCAGGCGCGCCGGTGCCACGGTGCAGAAAAAAAGAAGAAAGGGCTCCTGTCTGCGTACAAGTAGTGGTGTTGCGGTGTCTCCTCTTTGCATGTGTTGTTCTTCTCTTGGTTTTCGTGCACGTATGTCTTATCACTCCGTCATCCTGCCTCCCTGCATACCGCATCGCGTTTCCCAACATGCGTACATCTTGCATGATATCCCACCATATCCCTCTTTCTCGTTTGCGTTTGCATTCCTAATCATGACGGCAGCAGCTGTCCTCTTGTACTTTCCGTCGTCCCCATTCCACCACCCATAGTGCTACCTTACCCTTTGGGCCCATCACACGACGGCTCACCTGCCCGCTCAGAGCCTTTGTAGAACGAAAATCCCATAATCAATATGAGTACAGTACATTCCGATCGAGATCGATAGTCCACACTGAGTCCGATCAGTCCACAACACTCAAATTCAAAAGCTGCCCCTGTACATCCCTGCGTGCCATTCCGGCTGCGCCGCCCCGCCGGCGTACGACGCCGGCGTCGACGACGACGACGACGACGCGGGGGGCCCGGACAGCATCTCACCTCCCCCTCTCAGCTGGCCCGGGCCAGGAGGCGGCGACACGTCCCGCCGCCGCGGGCGCCGCGGGAGCGTGGTCGCCGGCGGGGGCAGCTCGGCGGTGCGGCAGGCGTCGATGAGCTTGTAGCGGAGGTCCTGCCAGGCGAAGCGGACGCCTGCGGCGGGGCAGGCGGCGTGAGCGCGGCGGCACAGAGAAGGGGGGCAGACGGGAGGGGGGAAGAAGATACGCACGTCCGGGGGGCCAGAGCAGCATCCAGTGCTCGACGAACTCCGAGAACTGGCATGCTACGGTGAGCGCCGCGGTGAGCTCGGGGTCGGCCTCCCACAGGCTCATCGCTCTACGCGTGGGGAGAGCGGGATCGGCGTGGTCTGCCGTCAGCGGCGGGCACTGCGACTGGAGGACGGAGAGGCGGGCGCGCACCTTTTGACGTTGGCGATGTACCAGAAGAGGAGCATCGACTTGCGGTGGTCCTTCGCCATCTTCGGCCGTGGGTCGTTTATCGCGCGGTTGATGTACTTTGCGACCGCCGTGATGTATCGCACTGTCCCGGGCGCGGTCAGCTATAGCACGGGCCGCCGGAGCCTCTGCCACTCACACCAGGACATTGCCTTGTCACGGTAGAAGAGCCTCCCAGTCCTGTGTGCGCCGTCAGCACCTCCCCGCACTCGATCCGAACAAGGATATTGAAACTCACGTGGTGATCTGCGGTATGAACCGCTGGAAGTCGTACGAGGTCAGCAGCCGGAGCAGGAACAGCATCTCGCGGCCCTGGAAGCCGAAGCTGCTGTCCATGTCGCACGTGTGCCGGGCCAGGCGGGCCTCGATGTCGTCGATCTCGAGCCACGCCTGCACGCCGTGGTGCGCGCGCTCGGCCGCGCCCAGCGTCGGGTCCTCGCGCACGCGCTGGCACACCTCGAGCAGGAGCATCGTCCGGAGCGCGAGCGACCACATGTCGTCCGGGTCCACCTGCGCGCCCGCCCGCGCGAGCGCCTCCCCGGCAGCAGGAGCGCGAACTGCGGGTGCGGGTCGCCGGGCGTCGGTCAGCACGGGCCCACGGCGACGAGAGCGAGGACGAGGGGAGAGAACGGAGGGACGCACCGTTTCCGGCTCGGTGACGAACAGCTTGCTGTGCCCGAGCCGCAGGCTCGCGGGTGTGGAGCAGGTGTACGCGGTCCGGTTGGAGACGACCATCACGCTCGCCCAGACGAGCCGGCGGGCCTCCTCGCGGAGGAACTCGGCCTCGGGCATGCCCTCGGGCCACATCGTGGTCACTGTCCAGTTCGGCGCGATGCGCTGGACCGCGGCCACGTCTGCCGAGCGAGTAGCTCCGGCAGGTGCACCCGCGCGGCAGCCCCGTGGCAGGCGTGCTGCCCGCGGTGTACGACGGATGGGCGAGGCTCCGAAGGAAGTGGTAAGGGTCCTCTGCGGACGTCGGGGAGCGGGGGAAGTGGCCGTGGCTCGTCGCGGGTGCGTTGATGTAGGAGTCGTAGCGGGGCCCAGGGGTGATGAGCCCGAGGGTCGCGGCCGGATTCGCAGTGCGCCCGCCGCCACTGGTGACGACGAAGGGCGAGGAGCCTTTGGTTTTCACGGATGCGTCGAGTTGAGAAAGCCCGAAGAGTCTGACGAGGGAATCGAGGAGGAGTAGCGACGAGTTGGAGCGCTCGATGGTCTGTCGCGGATGCGACTGCATCTCGAAATTCGCGATCAGCTAGGCAAGGCTGGAAATCAGCGGACTTCAGACGAGGGAATGCAGTGAAGAGCTCACGAGGGCAGCTTGGGCGAGGCCAATGTCGACCCAGCCCGAGACTAGCGAACCTTCGAGAGCGGCATGGGCCATATCAAGCAGCTTCAGTGCTCGGTCCCGTGCCTCGGCCCCGACTCTGCTTCAGACCCCAATGCCAATGTCCCCAGAGCGAGAGCACCGAGCAAGAAACTAGGTTGCATGGAGTGCCTGCGGATAGGGCTGAAAAGAGTATCGAAGAAGCGAGGGATGTGTATGAATGAGATCCAACAGGGAGACGAGTGGAACATAACCCGGAGGTCTCTGACGATAAGCCTCATTGCTGAGCTGCGCTGTTGCTGAGAGAGTACAATGGCCAGACGATCTTCTGGGGACCCGAACTCCTGGTTGTAAAAGCCAAGAAGAGCGTCCCACCATGAATCTCGAGCGTATCTGCTGCTCGGCGGTCTGGCGAACTCGTCCGTCGGTTCGTCCTCGGTTTCGTTGGCGCCGGACTGGTCTACATTTTGGCCGGATTCCCAGGGAAGAGTCATAGAGAGCTGGGGGTCGGTGATCAACATGTTGTTGTACATGTTGGCGTCGAAGAGCATAGGGTCGCGATGTTCCCAGACCATTTCCTAAGCAAATGGAATCTGTTAGCGGCGCATACAACGAGCATATGTGGCACTCACCTCGCCCAAGTCGAGCATGGCGACATCGTCGTCAAGCGGCAATCCCTCGACGAACGGGTCCTCTTCGTTGATACGGGACTGGGCATCGGATTCGGATGGTGAGCTGACGCTCTCAGGTTGAGGGCTTGCGGGGCGTGCAGGCGGTTTCGGTCGGGCAGGTTGTTTCTCTGCGCGGTCTGGGGCTGGGGCGGGAGCAGTAGCAGTAGCGCCACGGGATCGGCGGCCCTTGTCAGGGCCTTTGCGGTTGGGGCCCTTGTCGTAAGAGCAGGGGTCAGCGCCGTTGGGCCTCTTTTCGCAGTTGCAGCAGACAGGCTTGGCGCCGTCACAGCGGACCTTGCGAGCACGGCTGAAGAGAAGAAGTGGGGGTAAACACGAGTGTGAAAGAACATGAAAGAAGGCGGACCATTGGTAGCATGCGACGAACACGCGGATGCGGGGGTTGCCGCGGGCCGTTGGTGGTTGACCTGGGGCAAGCTCGACCTTGGACCTAACACGCTTCCGGGCGGGCTCCGTGGGGCCGAGAGCGGTGCGTGGGCGGCTTGGGCCCGGGTGTGTTGCCTCTGACTCTGAGGGCTCGGACCAGGTGAGGTCGGAGGAGAGGCCGGACTGGGAGTGCGGGGAGGCAGTCGGGGCCGGGAATGTACTGGGGCCGGTCGGGGCGGAGAGCAGACCGAGGGCAGCGGTGGGATCAAAGATGGCGGGGTCGACGATGAAGCTGGGGTCGCCGTCGCAGTAGAAGGACAGGTGGTCGCTCGCAGCCATCGCAAAAGGTGAGCGAGACCCGCGGCGGAAGTGGCGGGGACCAGGAAGAGAGCAGGGCTGCGGGCACTTGAAACCAGGCAGCGCACTTCGTGACCCTGCATCCTTCCGGCGCTCCCGGCAACCTCTGCCGCCCACGGCCGGACACGCCAATTTGCCTCCGTCCGATCGTACAGCCACGCACGACAGCGTGAAACATACCCCTCCCGTCCCGACTCCCAGCCTCGCCCTGGGAACGCAGCTGGTGGTTACGCTCCCCAACGCCGTCCACAGGCGTGCCACAGAACAACGCTGCGAGAGCACCCCTCCACACACTTCGCTCTCTCGTACATTCACACGTGCCCGCACAGTCCACGCAACCGCCAGGTACCTACTCCCAATCACTGTCTCCATCAGACTCCCCCGATTTCCCGGCCCTTGTGTCCTTGCCACCTTTCGCAGCCTTGGCCGTGCTCGAACCGGCCGCTTCCGCCTCCTCTGAAGATCCTCTTCATCCTCCTCTCTTCGTCTCTTCTTCGTCATCATCTTCGTCGTCATCCCTCCCCTCTTCATCCTCCTCTCTTCGTCATCTTCGTCGCTCTCTTCGTCGTCTGGAGATTCCCCGCGTCCTGCTTTGCACCAGCAGCATCAGCAGTCCCGCTTTGACTGACTTGCGATGAAACCACATCGTAGCTGTCTTCGCTGCTTTGCTGGGCTCGTCGTTCCAGACGCAGGTCCCTTTGCTTTCCCGTCGGCCGTGAGTAGCCCTGCTGACGGCGCTGATGATTTCGCCACTTCTTTCGGAGCGGCGCGAGCAGTCTCGGGCTTCGTCGGCGGAGATAACGTCTCATCATCGTCATCCTCCCAGCTGAACTCTTCTTCCTTGTCGTTCGTACCTAAGGTGGACGGGCGGAGTTCGTATGCAATTAACAGGATATCAAATGTGCCGTACATACCTTGAATGAGAGCCCTCCTCTGCGCCTCCTCCCTCTCCACTTGATACACCCGGAAGAAGTACCGGGTCCAGAACTCATCGGCAGTGAGATGCTCAGGGACTGTCCGCAGATGTCAAATGATTCAGTATCTCATTCGCGCACGACGAGCACAACACGCACCCAAAGCATCCATCGTCGCCTTGAGAGCGTCTCCGTCCACGGGATCCGCGAATGCGCGCGCAACCTTGTTCTCCCAGGCGGACGTCCCGAGCCCGCGATCCTCGGAGGCGGCTTCAGTTGCGAGCCAGGTCGCATGCATCTCCCGCACGTTCCCGTCCTCCGTCGGGTCCGCCTTGATCACCTCCGGGTCGTGCCTCAGCTGCTTCAGCATCGACTCCGCCCGGGTCGCCACCGCGCGCAGCGTGTCCACCGACGGCCGGCCCGACCCGCCAACTTCTTTCTCCCTCTCCTTCCCCTTCCCCTTGTCCTTCCCAGCTGTCTCCACGCTCGCCGCCGCGACCGTCCCTGGCAACATCCACACGTCTGTGCCGTCCCAGATGAGGCCTGCATACGAATCTCCCTCCTCCGGAGGGACAACCTTCACCGCGTCCTTGAGGAACTCGCCCGCGCCCTTGAGGAGCCCCTCCGCGCGCTGCTGCGCCTCCTGCAGCGCCCCGGGCGCGGCCCCCTGCACGCGCTGCAGCTCCGCGAGGACCGTGCCCCGGAGCTGCTGGAGGTCGAGCTGCGCGCCCGCCGCCTCCGCGCGCGCCTGCGCCGTGTGCAGCGTCTCACGGAACGTCTCCGCGAGCTGCGCCTGCTGCTGCTGCAGCGCGGGTGGGAGCGACGCCTGTAGGCGCGAGAGCAGGCTCTGTGTCTGTGCTGCGGACGGCGCTGAGGGGGAGGCAGCGCCCTCGGGGCTTCGGTCTGCCGTGGCCGTCTCCGTCTCCTTCTCCTTCTCCTTCTCGGGCGATGCGGTGGGTGTAGAGGGGCTGGCGGAGGCTGCTGCTTCTCTGGCTTCGGAGGGGAGAGAGGCGGCCTGCTCGGTCGCGGATGCTCCGGAGTCTGGAACGGCGGAGGCGGTGGGGGTGGCAAGGCCATCGGCGGTGAGCTTGGTGAGCTCCTTCTGTGCCTGCTGCACGACGGATCCGAGGTCTTTGCGCGCGGTCTCGAGTGCAGTCTGGCTCTACGGTGGGAGCGAACACAGCATCCATGAGACGCGATGAACGGTCGGGGACCACACAAGCAGCGATGGAGAAGAGCACGTACCTGTTTCCTGAACCCACCCCAGAACCGGGACAGCTGCCCGACGACCTGCTCAACCTCCTCGTTCAGGCTCTGCGACGGTTGGGGATTGGCGGGGGGCGTCGTCGTCCCCGGTAGCTCATAGGTGTCAAAGAAGTTCATTGCGATGAGTGAGGTGAGGTAATAGAGGTCATGGATGGGTACGAGAAAGTGCTGAGATCGCCGGCCATGGCGAGTATAGCAACGGCTTATCTCGGTCCTCGGGTTATTACTGCGCGGCTTATGCCGATGGTGCTTATTATAGATGCTTATTGTCAGAGATTATCTGTGCTGTAAGGGAGATTAGATGAGGATGTATGCGACGCTTAATATTGGTCCCACGGGGAAGGACAAAATCTGACGTCTTCGGCCGCGAGTCAGGAAATTTCTTGCACACGCTCCACGACCTCGCCCCAAAGCCCCGTCCATCCTGAGCGTCCTCGCTCGTTCATGGTTTTCACTCAGAACACACGCGACGAGTCAGTCCTTCCTCTTCGCTCGCTGTCTCGTCAATCCACCACGGGCACATGTGTTGACCCGTCTCTTTTCTTGCAGTTACCTGAGCGACCTCGTTTTCTCTCTCCTCAGCCACTAAAGCAGCTCCTCCACGACCATGTTCGCCCGTAAATTTCTCCATATCGCTCGCGCGTCTTCGCGCGGGCTTGCAACCCATGCCCCCTCGTCATCTACTATGCTACCCGCCGTGCTGCACCTCAAGACCGGGCAGTCGTTCACTGGCCGTTCATTCGGCGCCCCGAAGAGCATCTTTGGAGAGACTGTCTTTTCGACGTCGATCACCTCCTGTACGTCTTGTGTTTCTCGAGGTGGCAGCGAATGACTCACCGACGCGTCATCGTACTAGACACCGAGTCTATGACCGACCCCTCCTACCGCGGTCAAATCCTCGTATTTACCACTCCTCTCATCGGCAATTATGGCGTTCCCAAAAACGTTACTCCATCGACAGCCAAGACGTCGGTGTTCTACTTGAATCAGCCAACATCCAATGCACGGCGTTGTCGTTGCCGACGTAGCCGAGAAGTTTTCGCACCATGCTGCAGTTGAGTCCATCGCATCGTGGTGCAAGCGCAACAACGTTCCCGGTATCACTGGCGTCGACACTCGCGCGATCACCACCCTCCTCCGTGACCAAGGCACAACCCTCGGCCGCCTCGCCATCGGCGCTGACGCGTCTCTCGCCCCTCCCTCCGCCGAGGAGTACTGGGATCCTACGACCGAGAACCTTGTCAGCCAAGTCTCTACCAAAACCCCTTACGAGCTCAACCCCACTGGCGACGTCAAGATCGCCGTCCTCGACTTTGGTGCCAAGGCCAATATCCTCCGCTCCCTCATCCGCCGTGGCGCCGCGGTCACCGTCCTGCCCTGGAACTACGACTTCAACAAAATCCGAGATCGCTTCGACGGCCTCTTCCTCACCAACGGCCCTGGCGACCCGAATCACTGCATGGAGGCCGCACTTCACCTTCGCCGCACGCTGCACGAGTGGGACGGCCGGTGTTCGGGATCTGCATGGGCCACCAAGTCATCGGGATGGCGGCCGGTCTGGAGGCGTATCGGATGCGGTTCGGGAACCGCGGGCACAACCAGCCCGTGCTCGCGCTCGCGTCCGCGGGCTCGATCCGCGCCGGGCGCGTGTACGTGACGAGCCAGAACCACCAGTACGCGCTGAAGCTGGAGGACCCGTTCCCGGCCGGGTGGGAGCCGTTCTTCATCAACTGCAACGACTCGTCTGTCGAGGGCATCAAGTCCACTTCCGACTCGGGCAGGAAGGTCTGGGGTGTCCAGTTCCACCCCGAGAGCGCCGGCGGGCCGTTGGATACGATTGAGGTGCGTGTCGCGCGACGAGTCTGGTTGCGCGCGCGGGTGCTGATTGTGTGCGGGTGTTTCCAGATGTTCACCGACTTCTTGGCGGAGTGCCGCGCCCACAAGCTCCAGCTCAACCTGTCAACGTCGCAACCCATGGCCGCTGCGGAGGTCATGCCTGAGCCAGCTGTCGAGACTCTCAAGCCTGTGGCTGTCGCTGCATGATGTGTGTGGAGAAAATGTATATCGCTGTCTTTCTTCGAAATGCCATGTTTCCTGGACTGTATCTCGGGCGTGGGCGAGTGTGAACAAGGCATATCTGCCATCTTGCTGCCCCTTCGTGATCACTGCCCGAGGTTCATCGTATGTCACGATTAACATTCTGTGATCTTTAGACAGGGCGAATGCAGCTTTTGTATCAACCTCGTAGCTCCTTTTCAATGGCTAGAGGGTGAGACCGGTGCCACCAGGTTCAGTGGAGACCACATGTCGCCGGACGGCTATGGGTGACCGATGGGAGACGGCCCCGGTCAGCCAGTGGGACCCCTAGCCTTACGCTCGAGGTGTTGGCGTGAAACAGATCCCGTGGGCCGAAGAGAAGAGACAAACCCTGAGGTGTAAGGCGAGATATTGTGCCCGGCGGGCCCGAGGAGAAGAGAGTTGCAGACGATCCGAGGAGCTGGCGGCGAGTGTTCGACACTATCGTTTTTCCCAAACCTAACATGGCGGCGCCTGCGAACGTTCTGCTGCCAGGATTGATTCATCCATGTCTTCCATAGAATAAAGCGTGAGTGCTGCCATATTGTGCCCTGCGGCAATCGGACGCCCATTCGTCTTCGATTGCTTCTCATGCACTTTGAGCCTACGAGTCGGGTGCAAAGACAGCATGCATGCCACCGGTGTAGGGTGGGCTGGACTTGACCCACTATCGTTGGAAACCTCGCCTTCAAGGATGGGAATCAGATCCGGACGCAGCATATAATGTTTAACGCGAAAAAGATGACAAGAGCGGGATTCGAACCCGCGCCCAGATACCTAGATGAGAATAAAACCTGCACACGCAGGCAAGCTTTCGCTTGACTCACACGCCTTGGACCGCTCGGCCATCTTGCCACGATGAGTGTTACAATCTTTCTATTATACGTCGTTTCGGTCATACATTGGACTGCAGCGACTCACATTCGACTTGCCTTACAGACTGAGACTGATTCCACATGGTCGCAGTCTCTTCAAGTGATGTACCGTTTTCCTGTATCCTTCACGCTTGTTCACGAGACGTACTCGGTGGCTGCGAGGCTGGTACATAGATGGTGCAACTTCGGAATGCCGTCGCTAATTTAACGAGCGTCTGGTGTCCCCTGGCCGGCCGGGGTTGGGACTCGGTACACCGTCGGCCAACGTCGTGCGCGCCATACTACCTTCTTTCCTCCGCTTCATACGCCCGCTCTGTCTTCGCCGCCCCAGTGGTGCCACGCACACGCCTCTCGTCGTCGTCGACTCGCTGACCGCGCCCGCGGCCATGCTAACGGCATCACGTAGGCCGTCCACACTCGACGCCTGGCTCGCTCGTTGGGGTCTCCTCGACTGGCTTCGCCTCCTCTGGTGCGCCGCCGTGCTCTGGTTTGAACTTGCTTCCTTCCTCTGGGCCCTCCGCACATGTTCTTGGCCTGACAGTGCGCTTTCTCTGGTATGTGTCACGTTCCTCTGCGCCCCGCGAGCCCTTGGAACAACCCTTACACTTACTCTCGCACCGCGATCCCTAGTCCCATGAGAGACCTGCGCACGTCCTCCTTGTCGCAGACCCGCAGGTGAAGGTCCCGCTACCCTCGAATTTTGTGGGTTCGCTTTCGCGGTGGATTTCCGATCTTACCCTCCGCCGCCACTGGTTCTTCGCTTCGGGCAAGAACCCAGATGTGGTTGTCTTTCTGGGAGACATCCTTGCCTCATGGCGGACGATAAGAACGGACGAAGAGTAAGTGCTCTTCCATACGAATACCGAGTTCGTGCCCCCGCGTGGATCGCAAGCCGACCTGGCTCTCGTCCAGATACGAAATACACTACCGCAAGTTTATGGACCTCTTCGGGCGCAACCGACGCGTGCCGTCATACTTCGTCCCAGGGAACAATGACGTGGGGTGCGTATCGCGTGGCCGTAAACTCCGGCGCAATATTAAGCTCCCACAGACTCAACATCGACCCCACTGCCGCCCGCCAAGCAAGGCTGCGATTCACCAAGCACTTTGGGCCGTTGAACCAAATGATTTCCATTCGCAACCACACACTCGTTATGGTTGACGCACCCGGGCTCGTTGAGGAAGATTACATACGGGCTGCAAAGTCCACAGAGTATAAGGACTGGACGCCGAAGCCCCACGGGCCTGTTGAGTTCATCCAGTCGCTACGACAAGGTACGTTACGTACCGGGCGGGGTAAACATGTCGCGGATCTGATTGAGCTTGAACGACCAGCCAATGAGTCGAGCCATACCGTACTCTTCTCGCATATACCGTTGTATCGACCCGATACAGCGTCATGTGGACCTCTTCGGGAGAAAGGGACGATTCGCCGCGGAGCCGGGTCCAGCTACCAAAACACATTGGGCAAGAAGACATCCACCTACATGCTCCAGACCCTCAATCCGCAGATGGTATTTAGGTAGGTGGCTCTACTTTGCGTGGAAAGCAACTTCTAATATCTAGCAGTGCGGATGACAAGGATTACTGCGACTATATCCACGTCCCTCCTCGCAACATCGGTTCTAACGCCTCCACTACCTCAGAAGACCAATCTGAATCTTCAAGAGCGCAGAAAGTCCGCGAGGTCACCCTTAAGGCGTTTTCTCCATCAACAGGCATTCACTATCCTGGATTCCAGCTCCTCTCTCTCGCCACCCCCACATCCGTCGATAGACCATTCGTCTCGACGAACGCCTGCTTCTTCCCTGACTACCCCTCAATCTACGCATGGCGTTACTTGCCTCTCTTCCTCCTCACAGCGATCACTCTTGTTGTTCTCCGTCAACGCAAACTTAAGACCCCGCATCATCTCCCTACACATCACCGCCGCTCCACACTCGCCCAATCTTTTTCCATCTCCTCCCTTCCCATCCCCTCGTGGACACAAACCTCCCACCCTCCGACACCCTTCACCCAGGACTGGGCTCCCTCCACCCCCGGGTTCTTCCGCTCCCGCACCCCAGGCAGTCCCACCGACGCTTTCCCCAAGGACTCGCTTCGCGCCCCCACTATCTCCCGCTCCGTCTCCGGCACCTCCGTGAACGGTGGGACCGGAAACGGAAGTGGTAGCGTCCCTGCAACGCCCACGTTCCGCGCGACTGCCACCAGACGCACGCCCGCGACGGCAGTCTCTCGGGAGCGCTCCCTACTGGGCCCGCGCACCTTGACGCGGATGAGCTCGAGGACGAGTTCGCGTACGGCCGCTACGACCAACGCGTCCCGTTCCGCCCGAAGGAGTGGGAGCGCGGCCCGGGCGGAGACTCGCACGCGGACGACTATCCGTTTCCGCACCACGACCCCGACGTGGCGAGGATGGGGAGCACGGCGGTGGCGAGGGGAACGGCTTCGCGGTCCACGGAGGCCTGGGAATGACGTACTCGTTCGGAGGACGGAGAAGGCGGATCGCGCTCGTCCCGCGGTGGGCGCGCCGCTTGTGGGCATGGGTGACGAGAGCAAGGACGGGGCGGATGGCGGGCGCGAGGGCGAGGGCGGGGCCGCGGAAGCCGACAGTGCAGTCATTTGCGCGCAGGATCGGGCTGGATGTGCTGTACGTTCTCGCGCCAGCGGTGCTGCTGTGGGCGGTGCTGGCGTTCGTGTTCCGGTGAGTGCCCTATGGGATGACCAGGGGGTCGAGCATGCATGGGTGATGTTGGGGCGCATATGTATAGGATAGGACGCCGGCTGGAATGCCGGGATGGACAATCACCAATAGATATTATAGACTCCAGCTTCGTGCAAGTTTGGATGTATCCTTGGACACTCTACATACCATCTGTATGCATGTACGCTCGTCTCCAGCGTGGTAATCTTATTGTCTCTATGAACCAACAGGCTTCAAAGCTTCAACATTGCCCATCAGCAGTTCAGAGTGCTACTTCACGATGACTGAGACCAAGGGCACGAAGACAGTGTGATTGACCTGACTGATTCGTACATGCAAACTCAACCCTACTACCGACTAGAGTGCTTCCGAGCACAGGCACGTACAGACCTGGGAGGCATCCAGAAGAACTCAGATGTAGTACAGTTCGCAAGGCGCGTTCGCGGAGGTCCTGGGGTAATTGATTTGTTTGGTGGCCTTCTTCGAGGAACTCCTCAACTCAGGCCCACACGAAGGAGATATCTCCATCGCGGACGGTGGACTCAACCAGTCCACAGGTGCAGACCCGTTGCGGGGGTCTGCTAAACGCACGCTCGCTGCGAAGGGGACACTGAGCAACAACAACGACGGGGAGGGAACGGAGAACCGTACATGGTATGCACAGTCGTTGCTCTTGGCTGCTGGGATTGGACGTGGTGCCTGTCTGAGTCCATCTCAGCTGACCCGTCTCCTTCTCCAGCGCTCTCGGCCAACCGACCGCACTGTGAATAGGGTCAGCGTGAGTAGAAACCGACAAGACGCAAGGACGACGTACTCGGCGCTCTCTACCACTCGTCCTCGGAGTTGCTCTCGGTCCGTCTCTCGCTCGTCTCGATGCGCCTCCTTGGCGCTCGACCACGGCCCTGGACGCGACCCCTGAGCTCCTGACGCAGCTGAGAGGCATGCATAAGGGAGGGATACGGGATGAGGACAATAGAGGCTTACTGGTGGCATCTGGGTCACCTCTCACAAGGCACGCGTGTGTACAAGTGAGGAGTCCATTGGAGGGCCGGATACGAGGCGCACAGCGGTTGATAAGGACCTGTCTTCAGGGCCGGTCGTGGCCGTCACGTGTTGTGGACGCGAGCGTGTTGTGCGACGCGCCCTCCCAGCTGGACACTCGCGCCACGACTTTCCATCCTCTCTCCGTCTTTTCCTACTTCGCCTGATGCCGCCTGTAGCGAGGAAGTCGAGGCGCAAAAAGCAAGCCAAGGACAAGGACAGCTTCGTGCGTGTTCACGTTCTCGACGCCTGCTGTTGGTCTGATCTCCGTACTGTTCATTTGGTGTAGTCTCGCCAGACCTCCCTTCTCGACGCCTTTGGCCTCCGCTCCGCCGCCAGCCAAGCCGGTTCTGCAGCCTCTGCGGCCCCATCCACCGCACCTTCCCTCGACGGCTCCGTCACTGGCGACGATGTCATCGACCTCCCCTCATCAGATTCCGAACCCCCTCTCAGCGTCGCAGAGGTAGCGCCATCCAGTCCGATGACACACAGTAGCAATGATGGCGTGGAGGACACGGGAAATCTGGTTTTGAAGCTTCAACCCGGTGAGTAACATGTTGCCACCCACCATCCCTCGCTAGAGCAACGAAACCTCCAGGCGGTACTCTTCAAAGAGGCAGCAGTCGGGATGTCCCAATTGTTGTCGCGGACAGCAGTCCCAATACCTCCCCAGTCTGCGAGGCAAAGTCTCTTCGACCACCTCCGAAAGCCGCCTATTCGATCTTTGCTCCTCGCAAGCAAGCAGGCGAGAAAGCTTCTCCAGTCACGGCGGTCTACGGCAAACCGTCTGTCAAGCCCTCCGTTCCTTTCCCAGACCAAACCACCCAGCATGTGCGCGGACCGCAGATTGTACCTGACACAACGTTATGGAAATACTCGCGCCGCGAACGCCACCGTCCTTTGAATACACTCCCGGAGGATACTACGATCTATTCGAAGCTTGCGTCCTCATCGTCAACTCACCCCGCCGATGTCCCTCCTTCCTTCCCAATCCCACTCCAGCACGTCAACTCCTTGAGTTTATCCGAGAAAGAGGACCACGCAGCAAGGATTTTAACGACCCATCGTGGATATCCTGCTATTCGGCGAGTACTGGACGACTCCCTCCCATCCAGCTTGGAGGCCTCATCGAGTCCCAATGTTCTCTGGAGCGACAGATGGCGTCCACGACGTGCTGATGAGGTACTGGGAAACGAACAATCTGCCATGTACTTGCGAGATTGGCTTGTCACTCTCAAGTTGCACATCGCTGGCTCTGGGAATGTTCCTCAGCCAGTTTCGGCGAACATCAACGGCAAGGCGACGAAGGCGAAGAAGAAGGGGAAGGCTCCCCGCGGCATCAAACGTCCTCGTATTGTTCGTGACGTTGAACGAAAACGACGGCGACTTGACGCGGAGCTGGAGTGGATTGTGCACGACTACTCTGACGAGGACGAGGACCCCTTAGATATCATCAACATGCCGGACGACGATTGGCTTTTCTCCACAGCTGCCCAACAAGAGCATGTCCCGGACGTTGATCCTCCTGGTCACCCTACCACACCCTCCCCTGATGATGCAGTTCTACCCTTCACCTACAGATCACCTCGTTTTGGGCCCACAGTTTGCAATACGATCCTCCTAACTGGTCCTCCTGGATGCGGCAAGACCGCGTCTGTATACGCATGCGCAGAAGAGCTAGGCTGGGACGTTTTTGAGGTGTATCCCGGCATCGGCGAGCGCAGTGGAGCGGCACTGCTGAAGCTCATCGGCGAAGTGGGAAAGAGTCACCTCGTACGCCAGACACAGACCGCGCCGAACCAAAAGGGGCCGACGCGCAACTTCTTCCGCAAGCGCGGTGTGGTCCACTCGGACAACGAGGGTGAGACCCCGCTCGACTGCGGGATTGACCCTCACCCGGAATCCGACTCCACGGTACAGGGGCTGCCTGCAGCGGCATCTGAAGTATCGCAGTCCATTGTGCTCGTGGAAGAAGTCGACGTGCTGTTCCGTGAGGATGCAAGTTTTTGGCCGGCCCTCATCAGGATCATCAAAGAGTGCAAGCGCCCCGTTGTGTTGACGTGCACAGGTTAGACCATTACCCTTACGAACTTGGTGGCTCCCGTTGCTGAGCTCTCTGGCAGACGTCGCGCTCGTACCAGTGCTCGATCTTCCGCTGCAGACGACCCTGCACTTCTCGCCCTGCGCAGTTTCACTTGCGGGCTCGTATCTCCGCGCCATATGTCTCTCAGGGAACTGTCTTCTGGACGCAGCAATGGCAGAGGAGCTGTTTGTGGGCGCCACAGGTCCCTTCCAATATCTAAGTCGCTCTGGAGACCACACTCTACATCCCAATGGTGCTCCGCGGCCCCAAATGGATCTTCGACGCGCTATCAGTCAACTACAACTAGGCATCCATACGCCTTCTAGTACAGGGGAATATGCTTCGGCCCGTTGCGATCCCGATGCTGCGCGAAGCTCCCTAGAGAAGTTCAGACGCGTGGCCTGGGCGATGGAAGTCTGTTCTTTCACAGACAGTGGCCTGCGGCGACCCAGGCACGAGCTTTTGTGTGTGAGTGACCCATCATTTCACAGCTTTGCTGCAAGTTATCGACTCATTACCTCTACTTCTCTAGGATATGCTCTCAAACATCCCTTTGACCAACGGTGACGAGGTCATGGGCCTCAGGCATTTTGCATATGAGCCTAGCGATATTGGACGCTCTCTGCCAGTGACATTCTCAAACTATGATATGGACGAGACCATCTACGACTTTCTCTTGGATGCTGCACGACCCCATTACCCGCACCGAATGACCTATGGGACCACTCCTCAGACCCGCCGGCGACACATACTGTTCACTTCGACGCTCTCCTCGATGTATTTGACGTTCTCCGCATCCCCCGCGAACAACTCCTCCGTGACCCACAGTCCATATTCACGGACTACGAGTCTTGGATACGGTTCATGGTTCGCGCCGACGACGCACGTGTCGCTCTGTATCAACAATCGGAGTCCACGGACGGAAGTGGACGCCGGACGCGGAACTCGCAGCGCCTCCAATGGGCATACGATCGCTACTCGAGCTCTCCGAGGCCACCGGGACATTCTCATGCGAACAGCGCTGGGCTCAGATTCTCCGGATACCTCCCCTCCCTCCTCCCAACCGGATATGGACGCACCCCTGTCTACTGCCGCTACTCCCATGTAAACTTTGATTGCAGTGTCGCCTAGGACGACCAGAGTAGCTGCCGCCGGCATTGCATTGCCTCCACGAGTCCCTCCGAAGAGACATCACGTTGATGTTGCGAGAGTCCCCTCTCTCCTACCGGTTCTCGTTGCCTAGCCCGACAGGATGATCAAGCGCCCCCTCTCTCTCAGGAATGGACCCGGGTTTGGAGCGCGTGAGGTGAACAGCACGCGCAGCGGAGTGCACCGTGGGTCTTCCCTACGTTCCTAGCCCCAAGTGACCAGGTCGGTCTGCGCCGATGCACGAAAGAAACGACCTCGAGCAGACTTAACGTAGGGTGTGCACGCCCACCTGGGCGTGCACATACTACGAGGCGCGGGCAGCCCACCGGCGTGTCCCCGTCTGTGAGCGGGGCGCGGTGATATCTCCGCCCCAAGTTGGGTCCGTCTGCGGCGTAAACGGGCCCGCTCGCCGTGCGCAGTGGGAAGCGGGCATCCGTGCCCACCGCTTCACCGGGCTCGGCACCGTTTCGCGCTACATCGGATGGGGCACGGCGCGTGTCCTGGGAACCCGCGCCGTGCTCCACGCGCAATTCCGTTTGATGTTTGTCCGGTTCTCACCGCTCTGCGGGCGGAGCACTGGGACGCTTCTGCAATTCGGATTTTGTCGCGACGGAAGAAAATAGAGACGTCGCCATTACGGCGGATACGATGGTGTCCGAGACCTTTTAGTGGCCAGGCGCACTGCCAGCGAAAGGCGTTCTTCCGATCCCGAACCTGCGACATGCCGGGGCGGACACGGAGGAAGCGGTACGAAAGACGAGTGCGGTAGCGGTGGCTGTGGCTTCACGAGTCACGTACTGCGGGGCGTTGGCGTAACCGGGTGCGATCCCACTGCGACGAAAAAAGCTGGGAAATATTTCTGTGCGCGGTCCACTGTGTTGCTGCCATTCCCTGCATACTTCGTGCCAATTCAACGGTCGGAGCTTCCTTCCTGTGGCCCGTGAGATTTGCCAGTAGGTAATGGCATCCTGTGGAAATAAAGATCACTGCGCTCACCGCCCAAGATCAGTCACGGAGTATGTTTTGGCGCTGAATAAGCTATTCTTCCATTCCACCACGGAGGCTCGCTAGGACACCAGCCTCCTCCGATCATCGCTGATTTCTTGTGCAACCTTTGGACGGTGGCCTCGATGGCGGCGACCCGAGTATGTATCTCAACCTTCCATCCCATGTCCGTAGCAGACAACTGACGTGCTGTCCTAGGCGCCGAAAGTGATAGGTACTTGGAAACGCACCGAATCCGAATGCCCAGGCCGAAACAATACGCACGCTCCGATGCGCGGCTGCTGTTTGACGAACTCGAGCGGCCATCCCAACGCTGCGGCCGTAATCCCCGCGCAGCCAACCCTAATCATCAACCTGCACAGTGCACAGCGCTTTCGCCTACGCTTGCCTCGCATCCCGTCCATCGGTGCGAGCAACAGCCTCGACAGCTCTGTGAACCGTCGCACGGATCCACGTCCAGCGGCGGCGCGATGCGGCATCACCGCCTCTCGGATTGGCTCGTACAGTGGGCGCCGACCGAGTCGCATCCTCAGCCCGTACCCCACGCGGCTTCCAAGTTTTATAGCGCCAACAGCATATCGCGGGGTATAAAGGTCACTCAGTCTCCAGCTGGACTCACCATCATCTCTTCGGGCATTCTTTCCTTCGCCTCCAAGCATTCGCACTGTTTTTGTTTTCTCTGTCACAGAAGCCTTCTTATTCTTCCTTCAACTTCCCGATGTTCTCCAAGGCTTTTGTTTCACTTCTCGCCGTTGTTTCCGTTGTGAACGCCGCCCCGCGCCGTCGCGCCGACTGTGGCAACGGACACGCCGCTGCGGACCAGCGGGTGAGTGCTGTTTTGACGTTTATACGCTTTCGCTTTCCATTGACGTAGATGATACAATATAGTGCTGCGTGTGGTTTGACGTCCTCGACGACATCAACGGTCCTGACGGTCTCTTCGACGGGGCCCAGTGTGGTGAGGAGGCGCACGAGTCAATTCGTGTATGTATTATTCCGGTAGACGTGAGCTAGAGCATTGCTGACATTGTTATGTAGCTGACTTTCCACGATGCCATCGGCTTCTCCCCTGCCCTTACTTCCCAGGGGAAATTTGGTGGCGGTGGAGCTGGTACGCACTCCATTCCACAAAATTCGACGCTATTCTTACTCTTCCCTAGATGGTTCCATCATGAAGTTCCTCGGCACTGACACCGACGAGACTACCTTCCCTGCCTCCATCGGAATGGATGAGATTGTCGGCGAGCAGAAGCCGATTGCTTTGAGGCACAACGTGTCTTTCGGTGATTTGTACGTTACTTACGCCCAATCCTGGTGATCTACGATACTCACATTCCTACAGCATCCAGTTCGCTGGTGCCGTCGCCGCGACCAACTGCGGTGGTGGTCCGCGCCTGCAGTTCCTTGCAGGTCGTTCGAACGACTCCCAGGTCTCGCCGCCAGACCTCGTCCCCCTCCCCGAGGACTCGGTCGACAAGATTCTCGCCCGCATGGGCGACGCTGGCTTCAGCCCTGAGGAGGTCGTCGACCTCCTCGCGTCGCACACCGTCGCCGCCCAGGACAAGGTCGACCCCTCGATTCACGGTAGCCCTTCGACTCGACGCCCTCGACGTTCGACGCCCAGTTCTTCGTCGAGACCCTCCTCAAGGGCACGCTCTTCCCCGGCGACGGCTCGAACACCGGCGAGGCCCAGTCTCCGATTCCTGGCGAGTTCCGCCTCGCGTCGGACGGCCTCCTCGCTCGCGACTCCCGCACTGCCTGCGAGTGGCAGTCGTTCGTCAGTGAGTGCTCGTCCCTCTTCTTCGGGGGTTTCTGGATTCTAAAGACACCCGGCTTCCCTACAGACGACCAGCAGCTCATGCTGACCAAGTTTACCGCCGCCATGGCTAAGATGGCCGTCCTCGGCTTCGACCCCTCGACGCTCGTCGACTGCTCCGAGGTCATCCCGTGCCTTCGAAGGCCGAGTCCAACGTCGCGGTCCTCCCCGCTGGCTTCACGCTTGATGACATCGAGACTTCCTGCTCGTCCACTCCCTTCCCTTCGCTCGCCACCACCCCCGGCCCAATCGGTTCCGTTGCCCCTGTGTAGGTCTCTTCGGCCGTCTCCGATGCAACAGACAGCTAATCACGACTCGCTCTCTGCAGTCCTGACAGCTAAATTCACCGCCACTCCTTCTCGTTGCACGCTTGAGGGAACAGGATTTCTGACGACTTTCGGGAGACGTTGAGAAGCGAATTTTGAACATGTTGGTGGTCTATACGTATTAATCTAAGCTAATTATTGGACCATCGCCTGAAGTGATAGGAAGCATATAGTATTACGATAGGGGTCTCTGCAGCGCAGGCTCAAGCACGCCATTCATCGAGCGTGGTCTGAGACTGTGCCCCAGCAGCGTCTTGTGCGTTGCCTTGTCGCTGAAGGCCAAACAACTCGACGAGTTCTAGGCGGACAAGGAAAGCTGTAAGCGATCGGCGAATAGTCTAGTCGACATCAGAGCTGACCTTGCAGGCGAGCTTCCTTCTTCTGGCGTTGAGTCTCTTTGCCCTTGATGCCGGAAAAGGCCTGAGAGAGCGGCCAACATGAGTATGACAACAAAAGCATCACGTCGCGCTGCTTACCTCCTTGATGAGTTTCTTCTTCTTTTCTTGGATCTCGATGACCTGGTAAGAAGTTAAGATAGCACGAAGCACTTAGAGACCATTGTCATTACCTTGGACTCAACGTGTTCTCAGCGATGAGCTGGTAACATGGACGGGCTTCTTTTGACCAATACTATACACAAATTCAATGCGGATCCTCCCAGTAATACACACTCGAGGCTTACCGGTTGCAGCGGTCAATAGCTTGGGACTCAATACCTTCCTGCCACCACCTATGTCGCGATGTGAATATGGAAGGATCATCGCGAATTGCGAATGCTTACGGGTCCATCCTGTTCCGAGGGCGTGAGCGATGTGAACGGCGAGCGAGAGAATGACTTACAGGTAGACATTGTTCGCAACCGTCAGGTTCAGCCCGAGCGCGCCAGCCTTCAGTGAGATGAGCATGACGCGAGGATTGACACCGTCCGACTCGACAAGGCTAGAAGCCATAGTCGCAGAGGTCGCTGAAACCTTCCTCGCCTTGCCTTTGCCTTTACTTTTAGCCTTGCCCTTGCCCTTCCTCGACTTGCCGCGTGCTGGGACGTCGTCGTCGTCGTCGTCAATGAAGTCATCATCGTCATCTTCATCTTCTCCCATAACGAAGTTCTGGTCGCCGTCGTTGTCCATAGTATCGTCTATGATTGCCTGGGTGGCACGGCCTCGGCGCGAAGAACGCGGTGCGTCGTACGTTTGCGTCACTCCTTGGATCGAAGTTGGGAGACCATCCCTTTGTTCAATCGGCACAGAGAAGCGAGCGATGGTTTCCTGGCGACGGCGGGCGGACATCTGACCGTCGAAACGCACGTAGGGGATACTAAAAGAATCATCAGTACTCGTAGCCGCAAGGCTGACGAATAACTAACCCGGCCTTCTCCAGTGCCTCCGCATCTGCGAGAGAGGTGAGTGACATCCCGAAGCGTGATCCGCAAGATGATTACCTTGTCCAGGAAAGACGTGAACTGAGAAAACACGAGGGACTTGTCCGTGTCTGGGGTAAGGCGCAGGAGAGTAACGAGCTGGTCGATCTTTGCAGAAGAGCCGGTCCTGAGGTCATCGTCATCGTCATCGTCATCGTCGAATCCTACGGGAGCTTGTGTCATATCGGTTGGCTCCGGAGGTTCTATGAGCTGCATGGTTTCAAGGGGACGACGGTCCTAGTAATAAAAGTGAGCAAGAGCACCGAATAGCAGCCAGGGACACTTACCATCGGACATTTGGGGTCACGTGTGACAACCTCCGTAATGCTGGAGCACCCGTGAGCAATCCTAGTTTGTGTGGATCAGCGGATAAAAGACTTACCATGCGAAACAGAAGCGATGCCCGCAGTAGGTGATGCGAGGTTCGGTGAGGGACCCGAAACAAATTGGACATTCTTCGCAATCCTCGATCGCTTGAGCAAGGAGAGCTTGCAAGCGCAGTTTCTCTTGAGGAGTGACTAGAGTCGGTGCAGGCTTATTCTCATCATGGTCTTGAGGGCTCGCGCTCAATTGTTCGAGGTAGTTGGGAGGAAGCAGCCCAGGATGCAACGCCAGCTGGCGCATCCGAGTGAGTAGACTCAACACGTTGGATTGGACCTGAAAATATACATTAAGGATAGAAGATTGAGAAAAGATGAGAAACTCACAGCAGTCGCTTGCATCGAACCGTGGGCGTTCAAGAGGTTTCCAACCCGCTCTTTGGTCAACAATTCCACAGTGTCGTAGAGTTCCTACGACGAAAGACATGAATGCAGGGCAACCGGGAAGTTGAACTCCACATACTCGGGCCTTGGGGTGCAAAGTGACAGGGATGACGACGACGTCCACCTATGGAAGCGGATGAATGCGGATTACGAAGCTTGCCACAGGAAGGACATACGGGTGGAAGGGGTACAAGAGGGTTCCCATTCTTGTCTTGCATCTGGGAGGTGATGAGGATAATATTCACTATGGAAGATGGGTAATGACGCACTTCTTTCGTCCGTCGTATGCAAGCGTGGCTCATAAGTGCCTGCCAGCAGTCAGAGAAACGTCTTCGGTATCGTCAGATGTGGACGTACCCTCAACAACTCGGCACCCGCTGGGTCGGCGTTCTTCAGTGGACGAAGAACCATCCGCTTGTAAAAATCTTCGTTGTCAAGTGGCTTACAGATTCTCAGGAAAGTGATGATAGAGCCCAAGTCCTTCAAATAGGTCAATCATCATCCGTCCAACGTGTCTGTTAGCAAGTACCTTCGGAGCATTGATCTATCCCAATGCCCGTCAGTAAGCGAGTGTGGAGACCGAGAAGAAGGAAGCATACGATGGGAGTTCCAGTGAGGATCCAGCGACGTTGAGCCGTAAGAGCGCACACCGCCTTCGCCATCTTCGTCTTCGGATTGCGAATGTTGTGACCTTCATCCAAGATGATTCTCTGTGGATGAGGAGGCGTCAATATCTGACAGACGCGCCTTAGACTCAGCCGCTTGCCTTCCAGGCAAGGTCGAACAACCCCTTGTTAGCCTTCATCTTCTTCTTTGCATGCGACGTCGCACTTGCAAGCGCCATTTCATGGTCTTGTACCACCGTCTGATACGTGGTGATGACCACCTCATACCTGTTCAGCTCTTCGGGAGCCATGTCGCGCGTCTTGCCATAATACACGCAGGATGTGAGGACGCCTGGTTGACAATGATCCTCGATCTGCTTCTCCCAATTGGACATCACAGAGAGCGGGACAACTGTTTGTAGCTTAGAAAGATATAAGTGGAGGGAAATAGGTCGCGGACGCACCGATAAGTGTCGCGTTGGAGTGGTCGCTCGGAACATCTTGCTTCGTTGCGAGTATGAGCGCGAGCATTGTGAGAGTCTTACCCAGACCCATGCTGTCGGCGCACAACGCTCCTCGTCCGAGCTCGGGGGCAGTCTGCTGCGGAGTCTTGGTCGCGACTAGACAGATAATCAGCTAAAATCTTTTCTCGTGTCAATGCCACACTGACTGTTGTAGTAGTAGGGCTTTTGAAGAGAAGCGGGTCAGCAACGGAGTAGTGACACAATACGTATAAAGTGTTGACCTTTGGACCATTCCTGAATTGCCAGAATTGAACCGGTGGGTCCGAGTCGGACTTCGGAAGGACGGGGTATTCGTGTTCGACACACCATTGAAGAGCTTGACTCTAGTCTCGCGACGCGTCGGTTCATATGATGCATATAGATTGAACACGGCGTACCTGATGTTTCAACAAGTTGACCTTGAGATGTCCGCTCGCGATTCCTGGGGGGTTCGGATGTACAGGTAGAGCTAGCACGTCATCAACTGAGCATAAAGTGTCCAAGAGTGATGCACGACGGCCCTCGTCATCGATTTTCCCAAGGCCATCGAGCATTTTCCTAAGGTCTTCCGCCTTCTGGAATGCTTCTTGTTGCTTTCTCATGGCTTCCTGTTGTTTCTGATACGCTTCTTGCTGCTTCCGTAAAGCCGCTTGCTGAGCTGCTGCTGATGCTGCTTGACCGCTCCCTCGGCCATTGGAGCCGCGCGTTGGGAGGACGAAGAGGCAGGGGCAGGAATAGGAGCAGACACCGGAGCAGAGCGCGGTGCAGGGGCACCCGGGACGGTGCGGACGCCACCGGGAGGGACTTTAGGGAAACCACGCTGGCTGGGGGTAGCCCAGAGAAGCTTCGCCTCCAAGATGTGCCTCTTGTCTGACGGTCCGTAGATTTTCAACATCCTGTGTGCGGGGGTGAGGGAAAGCACGAGAGATGTTTCAAAAGGTTGCCCACATTTCAAGGGAATAACAAAAGCTTGTCACTATCATCGGGTTTGTCAGCTAAACAGCATGGATAGGGCATTGAGCTATACATACAATTCCCTTGGCGCATGACACCTTCGACGGTGACAAGACCGCTGTCCATTAACGGCGCGAGCTTCGAGGCAACGTTCCGAGGGACGTGTCCCACCTGGAATACACTCGGCGTTCGGTTCAAGTAATGAGTTCAAACGACGGACCTGTACTCCCCCGATATTCTTGACCTGGATAGCATTACTAGAGAAGTGATGGCACGGCTTTGGTGTCAGTGCTATGGACGTAAACAGGAATACACACCGATCGTATTTGTTGTGAGGTTCCCTGACAAGCGTGACTTCTTCTCCGACACCAACAAGACCTGCCAGGGCATATGGTAGAATAATGATTTACTAAGGGAAAAGGACACACCTTTGTAGTACTGTACACCGACAATACCGGTCTTCGTCATCACATACAACTCATCCGCTGCCTCCTCTTGTGGCGGTTCATCTTCGACTCTTCCACACGTTGCGGCACAGGGGGACCCGAAATCCGGCGGAGGGGTTGCGATGCGGGTGGTTGGGAAGAGCTTGGCTGAGACAGGCTTGGCTGGGAAGAACCGGGCGGTGGAGCTTGAGAAGACCCGAAAGAAGCTTCATACTGCAGCTTGCGTTTCTTCTGGCTAGGACCAGGGGTGGAGAGCACGGCTTCGGCGCCCTTGGCAGACGGTGGGACGTCCTCGAGAGCAACGCGTCGGAGTCCCACGGCGAGGCGGACCTTGCTCTGATCTTGAGCCCTACGACGCGGCATTCAGCATTGTTCGCGTATATGCGCATAAATGACCCATACTGGAGATCGCGGAACCCAGGAACGGTGTCTACTTTCACCATCGCCAGTCTCGCGAGAATGTCAGGCGTCACACATCCCCTGATGGCAAAAGTCAATCACAACTTTTCATGGGACGCATCAGTGCGCTCACCAGTGCCGCCACTCGACCGTTTCTCCGTACTTCCCCGCGTGGATCTCCCCGTACCTCAAAGAGCCCAGCTCTATTGGGGAACCTTTGCAAGGTGGTGAGCCATTGCAGGTGGCGCGGCTGCTTTTGCTATACTGTAAAGGGAATGAGTATGGTACGGACGCGTCAAATGACGTGTATTCACTTCAAGTAGGTGTAATTTAGACATGTGTGCTGACAGTGTGATGGACGGGTGGAAGGAGAAGCGCGACCATCCCTGTCTGGCGGCCTCGACGACGCGACGCAGATACCGTGTGGCATCTTGTCACGTGATCGAATCGTCCCGGCTCTCATTATTGCCATCCTGTGGCCGCAGTCACCGGATAGCGCAAAGGTCGCTGCTTCTCCACCTCATCCCTCGCCGAGACTCCCCACATCTCCGCAATATGCCATGTATCCGCGCCTAGTAAATTTCTTTCGCTTATTCTGGCTGCTGCTTGTCGCGTGGTATGAGCTCGGCACATTCTATCATCACACAGCTGTGTGTCCATGGCCGGACCAATTGTTCATAAAGCCGGTACGTTTCTGTGCAGGTTACCAATGAGCACGGATTCATGGAAACAGCTGAGCTAAGTATAGGAGGACTCTCCTACACACGTTCTCGTCGTCGCAGACCCGCAGATACTCGACATGCGTTCCTACCCCGACCGTCCCCCATGGCTGCAAACGTTGACTCAACTCATGGTCGACCTATACATCCGGAAGAGCTGGCGTGCTGTTCTTCGTCGTCGTCCGGATGCGATTGTATTCCTCGGAGACATGATGGATAATGGTCGGCTGGCCATGTCTGACCAGGAGTGAGTCGTTACTTCATGCCCTCATGCATTGCGTCAGCACCGAAGCCAAGTCCCTGTTTGTCAGATACGAAGCCTACGTTCGGAGATTCAGGAGTATCTTCGCAGCCGACAGCTCCGTCCCAATGCATTACCTTCCTGGGAACCACGATATCGGGTAAATGTCTACCATTCTGCCGTTTTCGTAGTATATTCACTGAAGTACTTCTGCCAGTTTAGGCGTATCGTCAGAGAAATACCGGTTTGATGAAAACGCTCTACAACGCTATAAGTCTCACTTTGGTCCCCTCAACCAGCGTGTCTCCATCGCGAACCACACCGTTTGGATGATCGATGCGCCCGGGCTCGTCGACGAAGACCGGGAACGTCTTATCGCCCGCAAATCCTTCACGGAATGGGCTGAAGCACGTCCGGACCGGACCATCGCATTCGTGCAGTCTTACGTCCAAGGTACGTCCGTCTCATTCTTTCATGCTCGGAAGACCGGCGTGGTATCGTCGGCTTTTGAGCGCGGCTCACCGTGCTCCTACCCGGATACTTCTTCCTTCAGGAACGAGACCAGACTCGGCGGTTGACCGTACCGGTACCATTCTCTTCACGCACGTCCCTCTCTCACGACCTGAGATGTCCCCCTGTGGTCCACTCCGTGAAGGGAGAACCCTCCGCCAGGGCCGAGGGCTGGGATACCAGAATCTACTTCTGCCAGAGGCCTCGCAATTCCTTTTGCAAAGCATCCGGCCTTCCGTCGTGTTCAGGTGTGCTTTCGCGTTCCTTCTGTGCCCCTTTGTAGTATTCACATGCGTCCAGTGGCGACGACCACGATTACTGCGAATACGAACACACCTACACTGGCAGCAAATTACCAGCCGTCCCCGAAATAACTGTCAAATCGTTCTCTATGGCCATGGGCATCCGCAAACCCGGCTACCAACTACTATCTCTTATACCGCCGAAGCAGTACCAAAGTGGGCCTTCGTTCGCACACCAGCCATGCCTGCTCCCCAACCAGCTCAGCATCTATCTATCCGTCTATGTGCCCTTCATAGTAATAACTTTATTGGCCCTACTCGTCTCCAACTTCCGCCGCGTCTCTTCCCCTCCGCGCAGCGTCACCTCCCCCACGCAAGACACCGTCAATTTCGATCTACCACCACCCAGCGCCTGGCGGACAAAGGGGTTCCCTCGCCAAGCCTGGTCAAAGACGTGGACAATCGCTATCGGAGGCCGCCCACGCAACTTTACCCTCTCTCCCGCCGGCTTTCGCCGGTCCATCGTCGCCTTTTTCTGGACGGGCGGCAGCCGGGCGCCGGACTCGACCCGGGGCGGCGGGGTGCTTGTCGGGTTCCTCAAGGACTTCAGGGAAGCGGCGTGGGCACCGCTGGCCCTGTTCGCGGGAATAGCGTGGTGGGCGTGGTGACAGTCCGTGAGGGAGCTGTGTGCTGTCATGTTCCTGTGTCGCGTTTTGTACGGGGGTAGGGGTTGGATGGACGGATGTACCGCTCGACACCATGAATGACACTCAGTTCTTGCCGTCGTGTTCTGTCGCCGGGTCGCCGTTTTGTCCGTTGGATGTGTCGCGCCGCGACACATCCTCCTGTTCCTGGATGGCACGGTTCCACAGATCCATGTCGAGGTCCCTCGCCTCTTGCGCGATGATAGCCCTGAGGACGAGGCGCGGGTCTACTTGCACCAGGGGCGCTGTCGCGCTCAAGATGGGCGTTGGGAGCGGACGCTGAAGTAAACAGCAGTCTCAACACGCTCGTAATCCTGGACACATAAGCATGCAGGCACACCTGAGAGCGTTCTAGGTATCCCAGGGCCATGATTACCGTCCTCCGGTCACGCAGCCAGGGGGTCGGTTTGACCGGGTTCAAACATAGAGATACATCGACGAACAGAGCGTCTGCTTCGTCGTGGATGAGGACCGTTGCAGACGAAGGATCATAATCCAAAAGGCTGTAAATGCGTTGAATAATCGTCAGACAGAATTTTCAGTCGAAAGCGGGTCTCCTCACCGTCCCGCCACCCGCAGCTTTCGTTCGACCAAACGAAGAGAGATGCTCGACAACATCGTCGGAGTGGCGGATTCGATCTGTTGGTTCGGCATCGACCCTACGTTGGTTCACAGAGCTCCCTAGAGCAACCGACAGGCAAAGCTTCGAAGATTTATGTCGACTTGTGGGTGGTTACGGATCGCGCGTCGGTTTCGGACAACATGGATCTGGGCCAAGCTCCAAAACTCGAACATGTCCGGCAGTCGGATTCTCGGACCGGCCGCGCCGAACCTGACACCATCGTAATCATATGTAACTCGCCGCCGCGGTGGCTTTCCGTTCAGGCAATTATGTTAGGGGCGGCCGCAGGTTATTGAGATTGCCGGGGACCTCCGCAAAGGCTGGTGTCACAGAGGCGATCGCCCACTGCGCGATCACTCGTGCGTGCCCCGCGCATGTTCATATCGAAGGCGGAACTTCCGCAGCGTCAGAGTAAAGCTGCCCGGTGCAAATACGCGAGGATGGTTCGAGTCTTCGGACAGCGCGAGTCGTGTTCTGAGTGAAAGTTGGGATGGAGCAAAGAAGCTACACACGTTGCGTTTGTTCGCCAAACTCAGCATCCCGGTTTCAACTAGAACATGCATCGAGGGAGCCATGTCCTTAGAAGCATGCGCAGCTGGCCCTGACGCGCCGACCGCATGGCGCCGTGGAGAGCTTGTGAATTCGGTGCGCATGATGCAAGCAGAACGAAGAGGAGTATGTTCAAGTGCAGGTGGCGGAGCTATAAGGATTGCATGAAAATGAATGCAGACAATATGCACATCGGCAGTGAAGGCGAATGGATTGGGCTTTGGAGACAAGTCCGGAAGGCTGTTCGAAAGTGCCATACCAACATGCCTCGGTGCGAATGTGAAGCGCACGAAGCTCCAGAGCCCGTATAGAACAGGGACAACAGGGACCTTATCCGCCTGTCAATGTCCGTAATACCCGGACGGTCGTACCTGTGGCAGACACGTGGGCGTGCGTGGAGTTAAGGCCATGTAAGGGATTGTGGCTGCTGTGCCACCACTTCATCGAGGAGCGGGCGAAGACCTCTCACGCGCATCTGAAACGCGAAGAGATGCGACGCAAGGACAGATGCGTCGTGGACGCCGACACCGACGTCGACATCCTGCGCGCGCCGTCCAGGATGTGGCCTCGCGCGTCCAACGTGGACGTGAGGCACAGGAACGAGGGCGAAGAGATGACGTTCAAGACGCCGCAGCATTCGCCTGGAAAACTTGCGAACGGCGGACGCGTCGCAGGCAGAGCGCGTCCGAACAGAAAGGCCGAAAGGCCTGCACACCGCGCGGCCTCGCGGGCCCGCCTGGAGGACGTGTAGTAGGTAACCGCCGTTGGAGTGGGAACCGGGCACACGACGAGGTGCAGTGTGCACGCGTGCAGCTAGGTGCAGCCGCAATACCGGCTCGCTGGTTGATGCGGTGGGCAGGGTGCGCGCGAGGGGAATAAGAGCGGTGGCTGGCTGGTAATGGAGGAAGCGATAAGGTCGAGGAGGAATGCGGCGAGAAGGGAGCCTCAAACGGACCGGGAGGCCATCAGCGGTCCAGAGGCCCGATCGCGCGTAGCGAGGTTAGAGAGGACCCGATATATTCCACCGTCACGGAACCTGACGCAGGCAGAGCATGCATAATACATAAGGTGGGCGAAGCACAGGCGACATCCCTCTTGGACTCTGCGCTGCACGACACTCTTGGCCACCTCTTGCCTGCCTCGGGAGCATCTCGGAGGAGCAACGCGCGCGGACCACCGGACTGCTGATCCCGCACCTTCGACGAGAGAAGACAGACGACAGACGGAGAGACATGCACGCACGTTGGTCGGCGTGCGCGGAGGCGCGGCGGGGGGTGCACTGGCCAGAGGCGGAGTCGAGCTCGTCCGCCATCGGCCGGCTCTCGCTCGGGGGCGACGAGGACTGGGCGCAGGCGGCGGGCGAGCAGCGAGGGCGGGCCGTCGGGGGAGCCCCAAGGGCGGCGGGCGGAATGGGCGGGCAGGAGGGCCAGCGGCGATCGATCTGCGAGCCTATCCGGGAAGAATCCTCGCCGGGCAGAGACGAATCTCCCCGCAGGGACTCGCGGAGTGCGCCCTCCAGTCCGTCCAGGCTCAGGTTCCTCGACACCACATCGATATTCCCTCCCCAACCCCACCCCGCTTCGGACATTTCCATCGACGTATATAAACGTCGCCACCGGCCCCGTCTCCCCCCAGTCCGCTCCGCCTCCACCCCGGACCTCCCCCTTCTCATTTCGACCAACACCACAAAGCCTGTCCGTCTCAACCAGCCGTACGTGCCCCCTCCCTCCCCGACGCGTTCCCCGCTCATTCCTCCCAGAACCATGGCCTCCGACTCCCTCATGCCCAAGAGCGACTCCTTCACCAGCGCCCGCGTCCGCGGTGCGTCTCACATCGACTTCAAGACCTCCACCACCGGCGTCGCCGCCAAGGCCATGCGCAACGAGCTCAGCGCGCTCGTCAACACCGTGCAGGACCCGGAGACCAAGAAGGTGCGTTCGCTCTCCATATTCTCTTCCTCCGCTGTATTGAGATCGGCGCATCGCGTTCAATCAAGGCTTTCGACACCGAGATGCAATCTTTCTTCTACCTCTTCACCCGTTATCTCTCGGAACGTGCTCGTCGCCAGGATCTGTACGCGTCTCCTTCATCACCACGCGTCTGCGTATTCACTTGTCCCTTTCCCCAATGTAGCGACTGGGACCGCATCAAGTCGCCCTCCGATGACAAGATCGTCCCCTACACCAAGCTTCCTCAGGGTTCGCCCCAGAACCTGAACAAGCTCGCGGTGCTGAAGGTGAACGGTGGTCTTGGAACGTCGATGGGTACGTCATTCGCGCATACACACTCTCGCTTGTCCTCAACCCGACTTGCCCAGGCATGACCGGCGCAAAGTCCGCGCTTGAGGTCAAGGACGACATGACCTTCCTTGACCTGACCGTGCGCCAGATTGAGCACCTGAACACCACCCACCGCGTCGACGTCCCTCTCATTCTCATGACGTCATTCAACACGCACCAAGATACGCTTCGCATCATCAAGAAGTACGCGAACCAGCAACTGCGCATCACCACCTTCAACCAGTCTCGCTACCCGCGTATCTTCAAGGAGACTCTCCTCCCTTGCCCACACACCGCAGACGATGACAAGAAGCACTGGTACCCCCCTGGCCATGGTGACTTGTACAACGCGCTCCTGCACTCTGGCGTGCTTGACCAACTTCTCGCGGAGGGCAAGGAGTACCTCTTCGTGTCCAACTCCGATAACTTGGGTGCAGTGTGAGTACAATTGCCATCTTTACGCCATCAAAGCGGTCTAAGTTGTTGGTACGTAGTGTCGACCACCAGATTCTCCAACACATGATCGACACACAGGCGGAGTTCATCATGGAGGTTACGGATAAGACGAAGGCGGATATCAAGGTGCGTAGATCGTTATAGGCGTCATGACATACGTATGCTGAAACGACTACCATGTAGGGTGGTACTCTCATCGACTATGAGGGAACCATTCGTCTGCTCGAGGTCGCTCAGGTGCCCAACGAGCACATTGAAGACTTCAAGTCGGGTACGTCAATATGCATGTTGTCAAGTGTTCGTTCATTGACGGCGCCACAGTACGCAAGTTCAAGATTTTCAACACCAACAACTTGTGGATCAACCTCAAGGGTACGCTTTCACACTGACAAGTTAACGGGCGTGTAGTAACAGTCTGCGAACAGCCCTTAGGCGCGTCATGGAGACTGAGGGCATGGAGCTTGACATCATCGTCAACCCTAAGACGACCGACGACGGCCAGGCCGTTGTTCAGCTCGAGACCGCCGCCGGTGACGCCATCAAGCACTTCAACAACGCGCACGGTGTCAACGTCCCCCGTAGTCGCTTCCTGCCTGTGAAGAGCTGTTCGGACCTGCTCCTCATCAAGTCCGACATCTACTCGCTTGAGCACGGTCAGCTCATTATCAACCCTCAGCGCATGTTCGAGACCACCCCTGTCATCAAGCTCGGCGATCACTTCAAGAAGATTGCTCAGTTCCAGAAGCGCTTCAAGAAAATCCCCAAGATCATCGAGCTCGACCACCTGACTGTCACGGGCGATGTCTACTTCGGTCGCAACGTTACGCTCCGCGGCACCGTCATCGTGGTGGCGAATGAGGGTCAGCGTATCGACATTCCGGACGGCTGTGTGCTTGAGAACCGTCTCCTGTCCGGTAACCTCAACATGACCGTGAGTGCAGTCTCCTTGACGCATGCGTCTATGGCTAAAGTGCCGCAACTCCTAGGAACTTTGATCTGTGAGGACGCGTACAACCAATCCCGTTGGCTTTCCCGTACCTTACTTTACGTTCGCGGCGCCCATTTCTCCGTCACCTCCCCTTGCATCTCACTCATCTTCCACCCATCCACGACCTTCGCGGCCAAATCACATATACTACTGGCCGTGCATCAGGTTGCTCACGCTGTCGCGCTCCACCAGATTCCATTCGCTTTCGTATAATTTTGCATAGATGTCGGGGACGTATACGGACTATGGCCACGGTTAGGCCGAAGCAAAATGTTTTTTGTACGTGTACCTAGTTACAATGGGAAGATATCACGGCTTTTGCTGTTGCTATTGCCTGTGTGAGGGTGTGCATGTTACATTGTAGTAAGGTGGAGGTCGAGATCATTGTCAATCACCGACCGTTCCGTGATATTCATGATTGGGTCTTTAGGGAGGTTCATGCCGCTCAACGTTTCAACTACTTGGGAATGTCCTCTCTGTATTAGTCTGGGCGTGGAGAACTCGGAAGGTTTCTCAGAGTACAATGACAAGGAGTAAATTTTGATAGATATATAATATATTTAAATATCCAATGAAACATGGCCGCCTGGCGTAATGGCAACGCGTCTGACTACGATGAGCTGCTATCGGAGACTGCAGGTTCGAGCCCTACGGTGGTCATTGGGATCCAAAAGCTCATTTTTCACATTTTTTCCACATTCTATATCGTAGTAATTCCCTGAAAGACCGAGCGTGGTTTCAATCACACTATTGTGCGATATAAAACACATCAGATGCCATCCTCTATCTTCAATTATCCGGGAACCTGAGGTTTTTGCATGCCAGCTTATGCAGTTCAGTTTTAAGCAGATCTGTGGCATTGGGAAATAACGGAACCAACCGGACAGAGCCTCCTGGACAGGGCATTGGCGCGAATTTCCCAATCAATAAGATTAATACGGATCCTCGAGTTCCTTGAGTAGCGAACTGATATATCTGTCTTTCATGCTTTCAAGACAGAATACTAATACTGAGAAGGATGTAAAAATGCAGCCAAGAACTATCTATCGTTACGCGCCGCAACGGTACGGCTATTGTCAGAACAAAGTGAAGCTTGAACTTGCTCTAGCGCAATCGTCCCGCTGGGCCCCACGACCTCGTGGGGCAGTTCTCTAAAGCTTCACATCCGGTCTTCGTCCGCCTTCACATCCCGCGCATTCAGGCAGGCCGTCTTGTGTTCCTGACCGAGTCTAGCCTCGATATTTGAAGCGCGGAGCATGCCACCATCACAGCGGCCCCTCGTCCGCACACGTACTCGCGCCTGCCCCGTCGTCTGCGAAGGGCGTCTTCGCCCTCGCCCCACGCCTTCGCCCGATGCCACGCGCCGCATTGTATTGTGTATTGTGATCCGCTACGTCACGTCCAACGTGCTCCCTGCGCGTAAAGGACAGAGCTGGACAGAGTCGGAGGCTCCCAGCCAACGCCCGACGCTCGGATGTCAAGAACGGCGCGGTCGCAGCGGCACGAGGCCCGACGCCTCAATTGCGAAGCGCGGCCGAAGCTTGCGAAGCGTGACACGACGGGAAGACGGCAAAGCCGTGAAGGCGGAAGTCTAGCGTTCTGTGTTGGGCCGTGCATCCGCCGTGGCCGTCGCGAGCTGGGTCCGTGCGCAGGGAGGGTCGGCCGGTGACGGTGGAGCGTGGGCCTGTGAACCGTCCGGGGACATGGAACTTTGTCAACGTGGACGGAGGCGCGCGTGGTTATCGGCGGAAACTTTGCGCCAGGTCCTGCAGGGCCGAAACGTCAGCTTCCGGGACGGAGGAACGGGACTCGTACCGGATAAGGTGCGCTGGACGGGAATCGGCGTCTGCAGTACGCGGTGGAAGAACGTGTTGGCGCTTTCCGCGAAAACGTACACATTCACCGAAATCGAGACTGTCGGCGGACGAGGTTCCCTTCGGGTCGAGGAATCCAGGCTTGGCTGAGATAGTGCGAAAGCTTGCGGACATCGTCGTCATGGTGAGTGGGCGCAGTTGAGCGGCGTGTTCTTCTAGCTTCTTGCCACAAGCAGCTGACACGCGTACGCGATAAGGCCGGCTCGCATAGACTCGAGGCAGACTATCATAGTTAGTCGAACGAAAGCGGAAACAAAAGAAGGAGATCCGAATTACAGTAGCAGATAAATATTACGGGTGGCTAGAAAGCCAGACAGCAAGCATGTCTGATGTACACTATTATACGAGTGTCCGTCTGAAGAAATGATGAGCGTCCCGACCAGAAGCTCAGCTGCAGGGAAGCGACATACCGGAAAGAAGGTCGTATCTTCAACTCTCGCCGCCAATCCCGTCATCTGCGATGCTTCGCCCGGATGACCCTGTCATATGACTCTGCGATGGGGTTTCGATACGCCAGGACAGTGAGATGTGCGCTGAGGTAGGGTGGAGGCAATAGCGGGTGAATCGTCTCCAAAGTGGCGTTCTGATCTTGCGGGGGGAAGTGGGATGTGATCATGATGGGTGTGCGGGTGGGGGATGGGGCGGATCGCAGAGTGAAGTTGGTCAGAGCGGCGATAGAGGAGCTGGACGAGATGGTGGACATCGTCCGATTCCGATCGTGGTTTGATCGGCCAACCTTCTCGCTGGCGGATGGACCGACGGGCATGGTCGCGCTCGATGCAACGGAGGAGGTGGAGGTGCGTCGGAGCTGCCGATGGGCTTGTGAGGAGGCGGGGGAAGATAGATTCGGTGATCCCGACACGGTGCGGATGCTCGTGGGGGAAGCGGCACGGAGACTTGTAGGAGAATTGGAAGCGGTGGTCAACTGACCGGAGGCAGAGTCTGGCAGTACAGTGGCCAGTGGGGCAAGTCCAGGAGGGGCAAGGGCGCCTTGACCATACGAGTTTCCTCGGATGAGAGGGTGTGGTCGTAAAGTCACCGGGGAGGTGATGGAATGCGTGGAGGGTGGACGCGTCATGGATTGTCGCTTGCGGGCGTTGTCGATATCCGGAGAACGACGTGGAGGAGAGTGCGTTTCTGAGCGGGCCTTGCTCACCGGCGGTGTGGCACTTGAAATCTGGATTTCAACTTGGGGGCGCAGGTGATCTTCCTGCGTTGGCCTTGCTGCAGATTCGGACCCCGTATTCTGCTCCTGGGCCGATACGGGACGCACCGTCGGAGTGACAGGAAGCTGGCGTGCCGTATCAACACGAGGCAGCGAAGGTGGGGCGGCCTTCGGAGTCGCGACATCGTGACCGACCGAAGCGTTCAGCTGCTGAGACGATTTAGAAGGCGCAGCGAGGGCTACGAGTCGCTTTTGAGCTTGCTCGATAGGTGTGGGCTCCTGGTCGGACTCATTGTTCGGGGTCGCGGCGCCGCTCTCGCTCGAAACCCATTCGTCATCATCACCCTCTTCCTCGGGACTTGATATAGAAAAGTCGACCTTCTGTTTGGCCGTAGCCCCATTATGTTTGGCGGCGGCATTAGGGGTCGGGGCCCGACGAACGGCCGCGGCGATGTTCTCTCTTGAGTGCACGCGGACGCCGCTGTTGGAGCGCATGAGGTGCGCGCTGGCGACGCGCGCGATGGGCTGAATGCAGTAAAGACGCGAACAGAATGCCATACGGCCATCGTTGGCGTGCTGATCGTCCTGTAGAACATATGGCGACGTACCTCGTGATGCATGTGAGAGGACTTCTTCGCTTTATCGCCCGTGCGCGGGGGTGGTGGGTCCTTCTGAGTGAATTGGAGGTTGAGACCGGCCTTAGAAGAACCACCAGAGGAAGTACGAGAGTGTGTGCGGACCATGCCGGGGCGATGGGCTTTGGCTGGCATTGTAGCAGAGTTATGTCGCAGGTGGATGTGGACAGAGAGGGGCGGAGCAGCAGCAGAGGAGTAGCAGCGCCTGCAGCGCCTCAGCCCTCCGTTGATAGGCCGGAACTCAAATCGTTGCGTGCCGAAAACTCCGCATTGCACGTGCTCCCTTCGCCTGCGCGCCTTTGGTGGGACACATGGCATGCAGACTCTATCATTTAACTGGCTCCTTCTTGAGTCTGCGGATTCGTAGAGCACCAAGCACTCGTCAGCACGAGACGAACTGCCCGTCTTGAATCCGCTTGTCGGAATCTGTCTCGGCCTCAAAGTCAGACGCAGTGGGATGACGTTAAGCGCACGTGACCTCCGCCAGAATTTCTTCGAGCGAGAGGCGCCCAAATTGCATCAGTCCTTCCTTCACTCGCCCTCCCGAGATCTCCAAAAGTAATTGCCCGTCATGGAGCGCGTACAGTTCCAGCAAGAGCAGGTACGAGTCGCGTACTTGAGTAATACAAGCGTCGCTAACTCCCAGCAGATGCTCGCAGAGCTGAAGGACCTCGTCCAGAAAGGTCTCTTCACTCAAGTATGTATACCGCATACACCCTGTACTCGTATTCCAACAACTATGTTGTAATTGACTGTCAGAAACTTACATGCAGAAAGAAGCAAAGCAGATCATGCAGAAACGCACTGCGTTCGAAACTGCACTTGTTCGTCGGATTCCGAAGAAGAGCGACTTCCTCCGTTATGCAACCTACGAGATGAGCTTGGAGACATTACGAAGACAGCGTGCCAAACGTCTCAGTATGCAATTTTTTCTTCCCTGGCATCTTTCGATATTCTGACATGCGGTGCCATTCCTCCCAGACCTCGAAAAGGGTTCGCCTACTATCTCCGACTACGCCCTCGTTCGACGGCAGTTCCAGATCTTTGAGCGCACCTTGAAAAAGTTCAAGGGTGATGTGGGTTTGTGGATCCAATACATCCAAGTCGCGAAAAAGGAGGGCGCGAGGTCTTTAGTGGGGCGTATCACTGCAAGGTGAGTAGCTTCTTCATGTCCCTGCGTTCATATGCCCACCTCCCGGCCTCAAACGCCCGCGGTCTCACGCATCCAGAGCCCTGCAACTCCACCCCGGTGTGCCGTCTCTCTACGTGTTCGCTGCGTCCCACGAGTTGGAGCACCTTTCTCCCTCGGCCGCGCGGGCACTACTGCAACGGGGCCTCCGATTGAACGCCAACAGCGTCGAGATGTGGCGGGAATACGTGCGAATGGAGCTCGGGTTCGTGGAAAGTTTGCGCCGGCGATGGGGAGTCCTAGGGATCGACGTCAAGGGAAAGGGCAAGGAGGTGGGAGCGGACCACGCCACGGGTACGGATGGTGGAGCGAACGACCCTTGGGCCGGGCTGGGAGACGAAGATGCGGAGGCTGTTGGCAACACGTTGCCCATGGACGTCGACCCAGAGGAAGCTGATGAAGACGAAGCCGCACGGAGGGAAATCATGAACGGGGCGATTGTGCGGTCGGTCATCTCGAGCGCGGTCAAGGGTCTGCACCTAGTTCTTTGCTGTATTACATATACTGATACCCTCGTCACAGCGATAACCAAGGTCGAAATGTTCGTCGCACTTCATGAACTAATATCGACATACCCTTCACCTCCTCCCCTCAAAGAATCGCTCCTCGATCACCTGCATGATCTCCTTCACAAGACTCTACCTTCTCACCCTGCCGCGATAAAATTATCCTCAACACGGCGACTTACCCCTGATCTTTCCGGCGAGCCGCTCGTAGAAGCATTGAAGTTTGCGAATAGCAACTTTCGGCGAACGTGAGAAAGGCCGTGGATGATGGCGTTCCAGGCCTCGCCGACGTGTACTCGGATTTCCTACTAGAGTGGTGCGAGAAGGACGTTGATAACAGCCTGGTGAGTCCTTGTCTTTTTTTGGTCCGATAGCCCTGTCTCCCATGACGCCGTTGTTGCAATGCTTGATCCCTTCACGAGTTGAACATTCAGTCGTCTTGGCGCAGTCTTCTGCGCACTTTATCCCCACACTCGTTTCATGTTCCACTTTGTCGTATGGGACCCGCGCCACATTAAGGCCGATTGCGTTCTTCCATATTCTTCCGATGTGTGCACCTACCATGTACAAATGCTAATGCCTCACATGTTCTATCGCAGAAAGCCTACTTGATCACGTCCCTGCATCTTACGATCCACAAGCTCACCAGCCCGGCTCCACCTGTACTAGTGGCGGCACACATACGGTTGCTCGTGACATATCACGCGTCCCTTGGATCTGCTTTACTGCCCCCCAAGGTGAACACGCCTGACGGAATCCTTCGCGCTTCACGTAGGCACACTACCAAGACACCCGCAAGCGCAACCGTATGGCAAGCACGTTTAGACGCCGAACGCCAGTTTGCCGAGCCCGAAGCCGTCAAACGTGCATGGGACGACGCGCGACGACAAGTCCAGGGCGAAGGATGTCAGAAAATTTGGTTGTGGGGTCTCGAGTCGCACAGCCTATCACGTCTTCTGTCCCTTTCTTCCGCGGTCCCAGGAACCAAGGAAGGAAATCTGCTCGTCGACCCAGAAGCGACCGCAGAGGTCGAGCTCCTCGAGGTGCGCAGTCCTTCGCTCCGTGCCTCCCTGCGCATACACTAACGTTTACCGGTACCGGTGCGGTCCTCGCTCGCGTCTCCCTCTGCACAGCAATTGCTGCACGAGAGCCAGCTTATCCGGGAACCGGTCGTGGCGGGCGCGATCCACGAGGAGCTCCTGATACGGTACGCGGCAGCGTCGAACCGCGCGCTGCCGCATCACCCGCACGCCCCGCCACGGCCAAGCTCCACGTCGGCGATGGCGCCTCGATCGACCCGCGTCCCCGCGATGACGCCCGATCGCGCGATCTCGAGCCCTCGCACGCCTTCTCTCCGTGTGGGGACTCGCGCGTCGAACGCGGAGAGGGACGCGGAGCTCGAGGCGCGCCTCGCGCGCGTACAGAAAATCGGCACCGCGTACCGGCCAACAGCGCGGGTGTGGGCGGAGCTCTTCGCGCAGGAGACCTCGCCCGCGCCCGCGTCACACGCGCGCAGCGGAGGTGGTGCTCCAAGTGCAGCAGATACCGCCGGTGACGATCCGAGGGGTTCTGGCGCCGACTATTTTGGCGGCGACCGGCGTGTGCTTGAGGTCATTTATGAGCGCTGGCGGCGCTGCGACGGGGTGGCGGCGATGTCCGCGTGGGCCGCATGGCTACTGCGGAGTGGGGACGGCAAGGAGGCGATTGCGGTCGTCGCTAGGGCGCGCGGAGTGTTGGGCGAACAAGACGGGTTGGAGGTGGAGCGGCGGTGGAAGCGCGTGCTCGATGGGGACACGGCGGACGATGGCGCGGAAGAGGAGGATGTCGAGGAGGTGTAGGGTGGCCGCGACGGGGCCGCATTTACACATGTCGTAAGTGTCTGGATAAACCTACTTCGAAGTACGATAAGTCCTTACCATAATTGACAGCATTCGATAAGTCTCGCCAGATTAACCTCCGACCTGGTGACAGAACGCGCTGCGCAAGCACGACTCGTGAACATGCCTGCGGAATCGGATCACCCGTCGAGCTCTGCAGCGTGTATGACAGCCCTTCGGCTACTATCACTGGAGCCCTTTCCGCCGTGCACATCAGTCCAAGCAGTTGAAGAGAGCGTTCTGTCGCGGGTCGACGCGGACACCAGGCGGCTTTCTCACCTTCGTTCATTCCGGATACATCGGTTCGGTTGCAATCAACACGTCGTGGCCTCGCGCAGCGCGAACAAAAGATAGTGGCATATCACGTAACCACCTTGCAGTTCGCTGCAACCTGTTCCAATCCAGCCTCCGGAGATCGGTAAGTTTATGCTGTGTAGAACGACCGGCGAGCGACAGTTCTGGCGTTATCTGGACTAGAGTCTCCGTGCCCTAAGTTCATGCGTTGACGCAAGTGATGGATGGAAGCCGTGCTCATTTCGCTTGCAAGCGTCTCGCCTCGTGCTTCTTCGTCCTTGAACTGGTGGGCGCAGGGCAAAGTAACGCGTAGGCTCATCCGAAGACGCGAGTTGAACGTGTGGGCGCCCTCAGCTGCCGGTGTCTTTGGTCTCGTCCGTATTGGGCGTCTTACCGGCGCTTCAGTTAACGGAAGTCTCGGGTTGAGAAGAGGATCTCCTCCCGAGCCGCCGTCCGGACAGATAAACCGGCTTTCAGAGTATTTGGGTTGGAGAGGGCACCGCCCGCACGTCATGCTGGAGGGTCCTCTGCGGGAGGACGTCGGGAAAGGCTGGAGGGGGGTGGAAGAATTCGAAGCAGGAACGCAGCATGCACACGCTTCGACACGGGGATACGCCCCGCGCGGGCTGCGTTCCAGAAGGAGCGCTGCCGGCGGCCTGAGGCTCGCGAGGATCTGAATCTGGATCGCTGCCTGCGAACGGTCAGTCGGACGGACGTTGGAGGGACGACGTCTTGTGCGCGCGTGCGACACCGTCAAGCACCTTGTCGCCAAGCAGCTGCATGGGAGCAGGCGGACAGCCTGGGACAGGCGCACCGCACCCGCCCCGAGGACCTGCAGGCGCGAGGGCGACACCGCTGCAGAGATGAGATCGTGCTGTGGATCACGGAGGTGCCTGGCGCGCTCGCGGGGAGCATATGGCGCACCGGACGCGCAGCGGCGTCTCGTATAGATGAGCCCCAGAACGCGCCCAGAGGCGGGCGTGGGCGTTGGGCTGGGGAGGCTGAGCACCGGCGACTTTATGTAACGGATGAGACTTTTGACAGGGCCGTCCGGGCGAGCGGAGACTGTCACGAACGGTCGTGTGGTGTGGTGAGAGAGGGCGGGAGCGTGATCAGGACGAGCACAAGGACGGTCCTGGGCGGTTCTCAGGCGGTCCCGGCGCGCGCGCACGCGCGGCGGAGGGGGCGGGTGGGCGGCACGGGGCTCGTCGGCCGCACTCGATGGGCGGGGAGCGCACCAGGACGGTGCGTACGTGGCGGGCAGCGGTGGGGGCGGGTGGGTCGCGGGGGAGGGATGGCCGGAGGGGGTGATAGGGAGGCACATGGGCTTGGGAGCACGCGGACGGGAATAGAGACGGGTGGGTGGATGGATGGATTGATGGGGGCTGATGGTATTGAAACGGCGTGCACCGCACTGAGAATAAGCCGGGGCATAAGCAGGAATAATATTGGGCGAACTCAGGAATGGTAGAAGAAGGCGCGTGGTTGCGTGGAAGGGGAAGACCATGTGCTGCGCAAGCCGTGCCCATCCCCCATAGACCTAGCCTAATCTCCTCGTGCCGTCTTCTCTCTTCCCTCCTCCCCCTTCTCCCCCGGCCCCCAAGCTCTGTGGTTGTCGGAGCAGCAGCGTCCCGCGGTGAGTGTCCGCCACTCGCCCCCCTCGATCGACTCGCGTCTGACGCCATGTGCTCCCTCGCGCCCGTTATCCTGCCGCGCCCATTTCAATCCCCGCCCCAGCTTTGCCTCCCGCTGCCATCTCCCACAGGTCTGCCCGCCTATCGCTTCCCCAAGCCAGGCTCCCGTCTCCCCTGCAGACGTCCTGGGGCGTCCGAGTTCCCGTGCGTCCCTCAGGAGCTCGTCGGAGAGCACTCCCCCGTCGACTGGTCAGGTTCCGCCCACCCCCCGCCTCTCTGCATGCATATCGAGCCAGCTCTCGCCCGTCTGTAGCCTGCCCCCTCCCCCTGGACCTCTCGCCCGACTCTCTCTCTTGAGAAAGACCTGAGCGCAGAACCGTCTTCCCCGGCCTACGACTCCTAGCTCCTTCTAATGTTGCAGTATCCAGTCCAGCTCCCCCCACTCTCCCTGTCTTCCTCCAAGCGCGCACCCGCCTCCGGCAGAGACAGAGAGCAAGACGACCACCGAAATGGCTCTCTCAGACTCGCAAAGTTCGCCGTTCATGACCGGATCGTCGTCCCCCGCCCCCATCCCAACGTCCCCGTAACATCCATCTCGATTCCTCATGCCTTCTCCCCCTCCTCGTCTGCCACTGCTTCCACGTACCCCTCCCCCCTCCCGTCTCCCATCTCCACCACCCCTGGCAAGCTCATCCATCGCTCACCTCTCACTTCTTCCCCTGGCCAGCTCCCCAGCCCCGTCCCTCGCTCACCGCACCCCCTCCGTGCCAACCTCCCGTCGTACGACAGCCGCTCAAGCGGCCAGTCTTCGTTGTCCTCCACCATCGTCGACGTCCTCTCACAAGGAGACCTGGTCGGAGAAGGGTTGTATCTCCAGGGCGAGGCCATCTACCGAGTCCCGATAAGCTCGTCTGAGCCGCGACCTGACTACGATGAACCGGCGACGGAGTTTGAGGTGGTTCGGAAGTTGGGCACCGGCAGTTACGCTGTTGTGTACCTCGTGCGCGAAGTTCTGTCGCGCCCCCAGCCCTCGGATGATGGACACCCCACTGCCCTCGGACGTATGGACTTCGACGAGGAACCCGGCAATCGGTCTACGGAATATGGCCGCGAATACGCTGTCAAAGTGCTGTCGAAAGCGAACCTCGACGAGGAGGCTCTCGCAGCTCAGCTATTCGAGGTAAGAGCGCATATATGCACCATTTCCTTGAGGCTCGATCGCTGACTGTTGTTCTTTGAAGGCGACTGTCCACCAGTCGCTTCCGGCACACCCAAACATCGTCACGCTTCATCGCACGCTCGAGACCCCTTCCTTTTTGCTTCTTTTGCTCGAGTTCGTGCCAGGTGAAGATCTTTTCTATTTCCTCGAACAAGCCCGCGACCACTACGACACCGACCCCGCCACGACCGACCTGTCGACCTCGCCATCAACTTCGGACTCAAGTTGTGCCTCACGCACGCCGCCCACGCCAAGCCTCCTCTCCTCCCTCAACCCTTCACAGTTGCTCTCGCGCAAGCGCTTGCGCCTCGTCGCATCCATGTTCTCACAGATGTGCGATGCCGTCGCCACCTGCCACGATCATTCTGTGTTCCATCGCGACATCAAGCCCGAGAACTTTATCGTAACGGATGGTTGGACAACGCTCTCCGACGGACGGACGGAGCGCAAGGTCGTCGTCAAGCTCACAGACTTCGGCCTTTCCACCACCGATGTCGAGTCGGCGGATATGGATTGTGGCAGCGCCCCCTACATGAGTTTCGGTACGTTGCATGAACACTACCGTTAAGACATTCTCACCGTGTAAAATTTTAGAATGCCGTAATAACCTACACCCTACTTATTCTCCGCGAGCTGCCGACGTCTGGTCACTTGGTATCGTGCTTATCAATATGTGAGTGAACCGCGCATATAACAGAGAACCTACCTAAATATTGTTGTAGGTTGTACCATTATAACCCTTGGACAGACACTACGCTAGGCGTGTGCTCGTCCTTCCAGAGCTACCGCCTCCAGCCCGTCAGCTTCCTCATGCAGCGCTTTTCGGGAATGACCCTCCCTGTTGCCGAATTTTTGGCCAACAACGTCTTCTGCATCTTGGATGACCCGAAGGACGACTCCAAGCGGATCTCTGCGCACGGCTTCGGGAACTGGATCAAGGATCTCCCTACTCTCCTTGGCGGCCCCTCGCACCAAGGCCACGGCCGCACCATTTCGATGTCATCCATTCAGGGCCACCGTCTTCACTCCATTCCCCACTCTCGCCGTCCTTCCCTGCGCAACTCTATCGTTGCCGGCGAACGGATGTCCAACCGCGCATCTCGCAACCTGTCTCGGGCACCTTCTCTGGGACCTGCCTTTGAGCACCAACTTGAGACCACAAGTGCTCATCTTCCGATGTCCGACACCAAGATTGAGGAGGAGGGCACATATGGGGATCAGTTTAACGACCATGACGACAATAACGACCACGATGCGGAGGTGGAGGGTGAGTCGAACTCGCGCTCGGCCTCCACCCACAAGCGACGGAAGCGGGGTGCACGCAAGGGCAAGGGTTCCGTGTCGAACATGGTGTCCCCTATCTCGCCTTCGTCTGCTCACGACGTGACTCTCGACACTCTTGCGCAAGCCTCACAGGCGCTCGCGCGCGAGATCTCTCGGACGTCGCGTCAGCCCTCAATCTCGCAGATGTCCCCCGCTCCGGATGTTCGTCTTCCACAGTACCCCATCTCTCCCGGTATGGCCATGCCGCCTTTGTCGCTCCTTCCCGTTGCTGCAGCCGCATCAGCCCCATCGGCCAGCCCCACGACTCCCTCGATCTCCAAGAAGTCGTCCAAGTGGAAGCTGTCCTTCGGTAAGAACAGCAGTGCCTCTGCTGCGAAGTCAGTGGTCGAGGATGTTCCACCTTTGCCCACTGAGCCTCTCAAGCACAAGTCCGAGACGGTCAACAATGTCACGAACCTGCTTATGAGCTTGAACGCTCCCTCCTCGCCGCCTGCCCGAACGCCGAATACCGTGACCCTCGATCGCGAGCGCGACTTCCACGACGATGCGAGCTACAGTCGCGGTCGTCGTGCCAAGAACTCTCCGTACACCACCAGTCCCAATGGCAGTGCCACGTGGGGTCCTTCATCAGCTTCGCCCTTCCGCTCCTCGCACCCGCGTGGAAGTCCCGAGCGTCGCTACAACGGCTCGTTTGTGGCTAGCGGTGACAAGCGATCCGAGCGCGGTGTCTCCCCTTCCAGTACCCGTAGCGGGCGGCCCCTCGCTTCAAGCGCCAGTTCAATGGCGTCTACCAACTGGAGAAGCTCTATGTCCAGCACTGGCACGTCGACGTCGGCGTTCACGAGGTACAGCAACAACAGCACTCGCAGTGTATCGACCGCCGCCACTAGTGTCTCTGGTCAGAGCTGGCGCAGCCAAGGCAGCCGGATGACGGTCGACTCCCAAGGCAACCCGATACAGATGCCGGCCAATGTGAAGTGTACGTGGCTTGGCCAGATAACCATTCTTGGCGTTCTCACTCACCGGTTTATTATAGTCGTTACCGGTACTCCGTGGGAGCTGGACCAGCTGCCCCGTCAGATGTACCTGAACCCCGACGACGCGAAGTTTGGTGGTCCGCCTGCCCGCAAGCGGCGGGCCAACAAACCAAAGGACCTCACTTTGGACACGATCAACGAGCGTCCCATGCATCCCAAATCTCCTCTCGGCCAGCGCCAGGATGCGGCGACCAGTACGACCGACCTCGACCGTGGCGACGGCAATAGGGAACGGGAAGCTGTGGAGCCTGATGGGTCTCCGCGTAAGGTGCAGAAGGGCCAGATCAACGCACTCGCGAAGATGCTCTCTGCCCTTCGTCGCTGAGCGGGCCTTGGATGCGGAGGTTGCAGAAGGCCCCAGTCTCGTTCTTCCGTCGTCATCGTCACTGCGTCAACACTTCGGCGTACACGTTGATCTCAACAATCTTTGCGCACGACTGCGCGGCGATCCGCCAATTCGCGCGCTGTATTGGTACTGCATCGACGGGCACGTCGATGTACGGTTCCGTGATTCGAAAGGACACTCGAGACTCGTTCCTTCATTGTCGTTCTGACTGCACACATTCTCTGCCCCGGTTTCCTTTGTTGGCACTGTCTGTCGCAACCCGCATCCATCGCTCCCATGTATAGTTCCCCCTGCTGCCCGTAATCCAAGTACCCTCCTCTTCGCCCGTATCTGTCGCGTTAGCTCATCACACGACACCGGGCCGTTGCCACCACACCCCTCACCTCTCCCGCTTAGACAACTTGCCTGTCGGGCTCCAACCGTAGCGTACTCTCCAAGCCACCAATGTCTCAACTGCCTGTACGATAATCCTGTCGTCGAGAATACATTGGTTGGACGTAGTACCCCACGAACCCGTCCGCTGCGTCGTCTTCGTTGTCATAGCTGCAGCCCCGTCTAGCCCCGCCGTCCGCCATTTTGGCTTCACCGTTCGTATACATCCGCCCCCTCGTTCTGGCCCGTCATCCCCCGCACCTTCCTTTGACTGGATCCGCTCTCACTCTCGCACATCGATATCCGCAACGCACCCACACTCCCTCGTTCCTACCCCCTGCCCTTCCCGGGCCGCGTTCCGACCCACGACCCACGGTCCACGGTACTCGCTCGTTTCTGCCCTGGCTGGTCTGTATATTACGTCGTCGTTCTGTAGTAGGTAGGTAGGATCGCGACCACGGACGCTCCTTTGCAACCCCTTGTTCTGTCTCTCTTATTTACTTGCAACCTTTCCTTACAACCCACTCCACCCTCGTGTGATCAGTCTGCCTTGTTGCTCCATCCAGCCGGGTCGGGTCGGGTCAACACCTCCCTTCCTCGGTCCTCCTATCGAGCTCGCTAAGTTGCTAGATGCGTCTCGTTCCAGGTCCTAGGTTCCGGGTTACCCGCAATGTATACAGCTATCTTGTTACAGTACCACTAATAGAAACAACACATCAGTATTGGCTCTAATTTAATTTAATGTCTGTCGTCCTGTCCTGTTTGGGTCTCGCGTCCTCCACCTCGCCTCCTGGACCACCTGGACCTCACATCAATCAGGTCCCCTTAGCCTGGGGCACGGGGGGGGATGGCCCGGGCTAAGGAGACCTGAATCCGTGCTCCCGCGCATGTTTGAATAATGTCCTCAATAAACCCGAGGCAGTTTCCCTGAAGGGAAGTATTCGAACGCCCTCCCTTCCAAGTCCCCCAGCCCATCACGTGTCCCCATCCTTCAGATCTCCCATCAGTCCGCGTTATCTCTCCTGCCCCCGCACGCGTTATCTCCCGCGCCCACGCCCACGTTATCTCCCGCGTCGGCGCCGCGCGCCTCCCTGCCCCGCCACCCGTGCTCGCTGTGCCCGACAGTGAGCTCGCTGTACCTGCACCCTGCCTCCCCCTCCTCTCCGTTTCCCTCCGTTCTTTTTGTAATCTACTTGTATTCACAATGCGCACCTAATGGTACACAATTCAATGGCCACACCTTCCTGGGTGTGCCTGCACTGAGCCCTCAAACCTCCCAAAATGCGTGCAATACAGGAACATATACAAGCACTCAAATGATCGGCTAAGTGCTGCATCAGATAGTTGTAGATGAGAGCTACTCTATCATAAAATCGCAGGTGGATAGCTAGAGGGGTGCAGGTATGATGTCATATGTTATTTCAGAATGACATACCCCACAGTGATATGGTATATGCATATATCGTCTTATGTACACCCCGAATCGTACCTAGAGGTCATTCAGAGCGCGTTGCAAAAAGAAGCAAGTGAATAAACGATGTCGTGGTGAGGATATGACATATGCACAGAAGGGGGAGTTGGCTCGAAAATGCGGCCTTCATATGTTTTTGTGTGGACCTCTGATCACTTCGCATCTTGTTGCATTACGTTTATATGTATATGGAGAGCTCAGATCGTCAGTTGTATGCTTATCGGTGAAGGATTGAATACAGGCCATGATATGTCATTATTCTATGACATAGAGTATAGCGAGATAGCATGCGCTCCGATTGTTATTATGAAAAGCGGAACAGAACGGGGTGTTCTTCTGCTCAACGATGCAGAAAGAATATTGAAGAATGGTCGAGAAGTGGTTGAGATATGTCAGATGAGCTTGAAGTGTGCAAAGTAGTGTAGGTGGTTCAAGGGCGTCCTTTGTGCAACCTGCCGTTCTAGACCCATCTGACATATCTCAACCACTTCTCGACCATTCTTCAATATTCTTTCTGCATCGTTGAGCAGAAGAACACCCCGTTCTGTTCCGCTTTTCATAATAACAATCGGAGCGCATGCTATCTCGCTATACTCTATGTCATAGAATAATGACATATCATGGCCTGTATTCAATCCTTCACCGATAAGCATACAACTGACGATCTGAGCTCTCCATATACATATAAACGTAATGCAACAAGATGCGAAGTGATCAGAGGTCCACACAAAAACATATGAAGGCCGCATTTTCGAGCCAACTCCCCCTTCTGTGCATATGTCATATCCTCACCACGACATCGTTTATTCACTTGCTTCTTTTTGCAACGCGCTCTGAATGACCTCTAGGTACGATTCGGGGTGTACATAAGACGATATATGCATATACCATATCACTGTGGGGTATGTCATTCTGAAATAACATATGACATCATACCTGCACCCCTCTAGCTATCCACCTGCGATTTTATGATAGAGTAGCTCTCATCTACAACTATCTGATGCAGCACTTAGCCGATCATTTGAGTGCTTGTATATGTTCCTGTATTGCACGCATTTTGGGAGGTTTGAGGGCTCAGTGCAGGCACACCCAGGAAGGTGTGGCCATTGAATTGTGTACCATTAGGTGCGCATTGTGAATACAAGTAGATTACAAAAAGAACGGAGGGAAACGGAGAGGAGGGGGAGGCAGGGTGCAGGTACAGCGAGCTCACTGTCGGGCACAGCGAGCACGGGTGGCGGGGCAGGGAGGCGCGCGGCGCCGACGCGGGAGATAACGTGGGCGTGGGCGCGGGAGATAACGCGTGCGGGGGCAGGAGAGATAACGCGGACTGATGGGAGATCTGAAGGATGGGGACACGTGATGGGCTGGGGGACTTGGAAGGGAGGGCGTTCGAATACTTCCCTTCAGGGAAACTGCCTCGGGTTTATTGAGGACATTATTCAAACATGCGCGGGAGCACGGATTCAGGTCTCCTTAGCCCGGGCCATCCCCCCCCGTGCCCCAGGCTAAGGGGACCTGATTGATGTGAGGTCCAGGAGGACCCCCGACATCTCCCTCAGAGGCCGTTGCCAAATTTTTCAAAAATCGCCTGCAGTGTCCGTCAGAAACGGCCTCCGGCCGGCCCTTTTGTGTCCGGATTGAGCATGGCCTCAGCGCCCTGAGCGTGATTCTGTCCGGATTTTCGGAAACGGCCTGCCGATGGGGTCAAAATGTCCGGATGCAGCTGGAAACGGCCTATGGAGAGCGAATTTTCGTTCATGAGACACCAGAAAGACATTACGTAGCTACAACAGCTGTGAATGTGCACATATGAGCACCCTACACCATGTCCAACGTCGATAATCAAGCGAGAGCACAACAGGATCTAAGCGCCAATGACCTCGGAGCCCGTCGCCTCTCCGTCATCATCTTCACCGCCCATGGAGAAGAGAGCTCTTGGAAGAGATTAGGAGTGGTCGACTATAGCTTTGATAATTAGTGGTTTAAAACGAGAGTTGATTCGCCCGGGGAGTGCCCCGGCACCAGCCCGTACCCAATGGCCAGACGAGCGTGCCGACGATGCCGCTGATATATATTACCGTTTGATCAACACGGACCATGCGTCGCGACGACGGTTCATCCCAAGGAGCGGACGCTACGAGCTCACTACGCTCGTCCAGCCACCGCGCGCCCTCCGGGAAGTGCGCGCGCGCAGCACGGTGTGCCCTCCGAGGCGTGCGCGCACCGTGACGTTCTCCCCGCGTCCCGACGCGTCTCCGCCCAACGCTACAGCCCGGGTCCGCGGCCTCTGACGGTCACCCGATGAGTATGCGCGGCATAAGCCCCTCTCATCGGGCAGAGCCTAGCCTTTCCGTGCTGCTGTCAGTTGAGCAGGCCTCTCGCGCTCGTCCCGTCTTACTGATAACTTTCCGTGCTGCGCCATATTTGAGTCGAGTTTTTCTGAGTTACCCTCCACTATGCTCACCCAGAACCCTTTTTTGTTTTGTCTCCCACCGCCGCACCCAGCCACGCATTGTAGCCATCCGTCGGCCCCATCGGTCCTATCTTCGCATTTCCGGGGCACCCGATTCCCGCGCTATTTTTCCCCTCTCGCTCTCATTCTCGTGTATTGCGGTTTTGCGCGCGAACCTCCTCTACCTCGCTTTCGTCAAGACCCTTGGACAGACCTCGAGTCGCGCGGGCGATTCGGCGACTAGCGCGGCGCGGGAACGTTAAGAGACGCCCGACAACTCGTAGTCACTGTGCAGGCATTGATTGATGCCATAATGGTCTGATTTGTGTGCCAAGCTACAACCACAAGGACCGCTTTCAAATGGCTATAAACCTTTACTTACCTGGCCAGCGTGCTGGCGAAATCAGTCACAAGGCATCAGTCACAAAGGTAACTGGTTTCTGGTGTACCGGCGCTACGTCCTATATACAGGTGCCAACGGCCTCCTCAGCCTGCCTGACCGGCTGTCCGGACCATCGACCACGGGATCGACCCCCCGCCTTCCGGAAAATGTCCGTTTGGGCCTAAGCGCCCCACGGCATAGGCACCCCCAGACCGGCGAAAATGTCCGGAAACCGCCAACGGCCTCTGAGGGAGATGTCGGGGGTCCTGGTCCAGGTGTCCTGGACCGTCCTGCACCCCGTCCCTCGCCGCTGCGGAGGCCACCGCTTGGACATGGGGGGCAGGAACGCCGCCCCCTGAGCAACGCTGGAACAAGCACGTCCGCGATCTCCGCACTGCTGCGTAACTACGCTGGTTAGGGGGCGGCATGAAGTGATATAATCACCCGTGTCCTCTTCCTCCGCGCCGAACGCACGCGATAAGCAGATCGCGAAGAGGCGCTGTAGCCTTTGCCCCATCGGATCCGTCGGCGGCCGTGCTACGCAGACATGTCTGCGTCCGTGTCCGTGTCCGGGCGACCACGCAGTGCCTCCGCTTGCACCTGGGCCTGGGCCTGAGCATGCGCTTGTGCGTGCGCTTGCTGCCGCTGGAGCGCGGCGAAGGCGAGGTTCTGCTCCGCCGTCGCCTGCTGCGGCGCGTCCGGGGGCACGAGCGTCGCGGTGTCGACGAGGATGGTGCCCCCGCGCGGGTGGGGCGCGTGCGAGGCCGGGACTGAGGCCGGGACCGGGGAGCCGGGCAGCGAGGGCTCGTCGTCCATGTCCGCGTCGCTGTCCGAGAGGCCGCTGCTGGAGGAATGCGCGTCGGCGATAACGTAGGTGCCGTGGCTGAAGGTGCGGACGAGGTTGACGTAGTATTCTTGCAGGACGTCGCGTGTGCACTGGGCGGAGAGGGTAAGCGTGACGGTCGACGCGGCGTAGGCTTGAACATATAGCCGCGGTGCAAGGAGGCGAATGCACACGTTCGTCGGCTGCGCTCGTGGTACGGCACTTGAGACACGTAGCAACGCGAAGGCGAGGCGTGCCCTGCAGCCGGGGGGAAGCAGGAAAGGGCAAGAAGAACAGTGCTCACTGTGAGTTTCCATTCGGTGATCCGCAGGAACTCGCGCTCGAGCACGTTTAATTCTGCAACGGAAATGCCGCCGACCTTGGCGTAGACAGTGTTGCTGCAGAAAACATCGCAGAGACACTTGCTGGACACACATATGGCAGAAATGACGAAGCGGTGACAGGTGAGGGAAGAGAGGACGAAGGCGGGCATTCGGACAGAGATTTGATCGATGTAGTGCAGTGTGATGAGCAGACATACGCGCTGGACGGTGGGGTGAGCTCGGGCCCTCGGGCGCAGGGTGCGGCAGATGCGCACCTCGGCTTTGGTGAATCGGACAATGCGTCGGAGATAGTCGACGACGGAGATCGTGGGGGCGACACGAGAGTGGAAGCGAGTGAGAGATTCGCTGTGAAGGCGGTGTGGGCGGGGGGCGGACGCGGCGTGGGCGGGTACGCACGGTAGGAGTGGGATTTGGTCGTTGTGCGTCATCAGGCGTTCCATCATATCGGCTGCATGGCGGGCGTGAGCGGGCGCGGGGTCAGGCAGAGCAGGACGGACCGATGAGCTGGACGAGGACGTCGACGTTGACATCTTCGAAGGCCGCCGGCAGTTCGACCCGCTCTGGCGATTCCATCCACCCATTGCGGGCCGCGCGTCCGCCGGTGCCCGAGTCTGTGAGCGGAGCGGCTGCAAGGGTGTCGGGGCGCGGCGAGGGCGGGACGGCGAGCGAGTGTGCCAACCCTACCACCCTATCGCGGTCTGTGGCCAGCGGCCGCGGCGGGCTCCCCCCAATCCAGCGCCCCGCCGCTCCCGGCCGCCCATCCCGGCATTTCCCGTCCGACTATACAGCTCTTCAGCCGCTCTCTGAACCTTATTCTCTCCCCGTGCGAACCGGCCACACACACCCGCCAGACCGTCCTGCCCACCGCCGCCGCCGCCCCACCTTCTCACCTCCCCGACCTCCGACATGGCCCCCAAGCTCGTGCGTCTGCATCCCTGTGCTCCTCGCCCCCCTTATCTCACCCTTTTGCGCGCTCCAGGACCCCAACGAAATCAAGATCATCTACCTGCGGGCTACGGGTGGTGAAGTGGGTGCCTCCTCAGCACTCGCTCCCAAAATTGGTCCTCTTGGTCTCGTACGTGCGCTTTATTTCTGTGGTGTTTTGATGCGAGAGATTAAGAAGCTCTCCGATGCAGTCGCCGAAGAAGGTCGGTGAAGATATCGCTAAGGCCACTGGTGCATGGAAGGGTCTCCGTGTAACCGTCCAGCTTACCATCCAAAACCGTCAAGCCAAGGTCGACGTTGTTCCCTCTGCCTCCTCCCTTGTCATTAAGGCTCTTAAGGGTGCGTGGTTTGTGCTCTCGTGTACTTTCGGCCTCTAAAATGTGCTTGCATTCCTCAGAGCCCCCACGCGACCGCAAGAAGGAGAAGAACATCAAGCACTCCGGCAACATTCCCTTCGACGAGATCGTCGACATTGCGCGCACGATGAAGTCAAAATCGCTCGCCAAGGACCTTGCGGGTTGCGTCAAGGAGATCCTCGGCACTGCGCAGAGCGTCGGCTGCACCGTGGAGGGCCAGCCCCCACACGACGTCATTGACCAGATCAACGAGGGGGAGCTTGAGGTTCCAGATGAGTAGACAATGTATCTGTACTGCATGTTTTCTATTCCACTCTTTGGCTCTCCGTCTCGCCTGACTTGTGTATGTCCGGAAGGAAGGCGCGCATGCGGAGCCGTGTGTTGTGTATGTACGAGTATGATATGCCTCGTATGCACTGTTGCCACGCATATGTATGTGCGTGTTGGGGTCTTTCTCGTTGCGGGTCGTGTCGTCGCGCTTGTCGTGCATTCTCCTTGTCCCTTCGCCGGAGTCTGCCTCCAGCCACAGTCTGCCACACTTCCGGTGCCGCGGAGTTCTCCGGGCCGAGCATTTGAGTCGAGCATCTGAGATAATCCGATCGCCATTAGCAGCGGGCGTCTATCTACTGTCCAGGAGACAGCTTGACTCGTCTGCCCGACTCACAGGTTGCTTCACTCCCACTCACATCCCTGCACCCGGGGGCACCCCGCCCTCCGTACAGCATGCCATTCCCTCCCCATAACTGTGAGCCCACGAGCTCATGAAAAACACGCGATCTAACGTTCCCCTTGTTCAGTGTCCGCCTCCTTCAACTTTGCGAAGGAGGAAGAAAAGGTCATCGAATACTGGAGGGAGATCGACGCATTCCAGACAAGCTTGAAGCTGTCTGAAGGGAAGCCCAACTACACTTTTTATGATGGACCTCCATTTGCGACGGGTCTTCCGCATTACGGACATTTGCTTGCTGGTACTATCAAGGTGCGCCTCATCCCACTCGCTTAGTGACCCAAGTCCAACTCTGGATACCAGGACATTGTGACTCGTCATGCCCATGCAAGTGGACACCATGTTATCCGTAGGTTCGGATGGGATACCCACGGCCTTCCAGTCGAGCACGAAATCGACAAAAAGCTCGGAATCTCGAGCAAGGAGGACGTGATGAAGATGGGTATCGACAAATACAACGCAGAATGCCGCGCCATCGTCATGCGGTACTCTTCCGAGTGGCGACGCACCGTCGAGCGCATGGGTCGATGGATTGATTTCGACAACGACTACAAGACTTTGAACACGACGTTCATGGAGAGCGTCTGGTGGGCGTTTTCGGAACTGTTCCAGAAGGGTCAGGTCTACCGGGGCCTTCGAGTCATGCCGTACTCCACTGGATGCACGACGCCGCTGTCAAATTTCGAGGCCGGTCTATCATACAAGGACGTGAGCGATCCCGCCGTCACCATCTCCTTCCCCCTCGTCGATGATCGCACGACCTCTCTTCTCGCGTGGACGACGACCCCATGGACACTCCCCTCCAACCTCGGCCTTTGCGTTCACCCAGATTTCACATATGTCAAGATCCACGACGATGAGCGCGACCAAAATTTCATCATCCACGAGGGCCTGCTCAAGACCCTCTACAAAGACCCGAAGAAAGCGAAGTTCAAGAAACTCGCCACTTACAAGGGTTCCGACATGAAGGGCTGGAGATACGTTCCGGTGTTCGAGTACTTCACGGAGCAGGTGTGTGCTCTACAGATTATTGTGCATGCCATCACCTTTAATCGTGTCCCGACGCAGTTCGAGGACCGCGCATTCCGCGTGCTCAACGATACCTACGTTACCGCTGAGGACGGCACTGGTATCGTCCACCAAGCCCCTGCGTTCGGTGATGATGATCACCGTGTCGCCATCGCGCACGGAGTCCTGCGCCCGAGGACATGCCGCCTTGCCCACTCGACGATGCTGGACGCTTCACCTCCGAGGTCCCTGACTTCGTTGGCATGTACATTAAGGTGTGGCGCATGACCTTGAGTATATCAATTGCACGCATTTATTCAGGACTTTGCAGACAGCAGACAAGGAGATCCAGAAGGTTTTGAAGGCGAAAGGCCGTCTGATCGTCCAGTCTACCCTCAACCACTCATACCCCTTCTGCTGGAGGCACGTATTGGATGTATACACTCCGGACTCACTGATTAACTCAAGCGTTTAGGTCAGGGACACCTCTCATTTACCGGGCCATTCCTGCGTGGTTCGTTCGGGTCCAACCCATCGTCGACCAGCTTGTGGCCAACAACAAGGAAACGCGATGGGTGCCGCAGAACGTCGGCGACGGTCGCTTCGGTAATTGGATTGCCAATGCACGCGACTGGAATATCTCTCGTAACCGGTATTGGGGCACACCGATCCCTTTATGGGCCAGCGAAGACATGCAGGAGGTGCATATCTTTCGCGTCCTCCTTGGTGGATTCTTTAACCCATTCTTGATCAGATCGTCTGTGTAGGCTCTGTCGAAGAGCTTGAGACACTCTCGGGGGTCAAGGGCATCAGCGACCTCCACCGGGACAAGATCGACCACGTCACCATTCCTTCGAAGGAGGGAAAAGGTGAACTGAAGCGCATTGAGGAGGTCTTCGACTGTTGGTTTGAGTCCGGAAGGTATGAAATGGTGCAGGACTCGATCCCTGGCGCTCACGACCTGTCCTTGTGTAGCATGCCCTACGCGCAGCTCCACTATCCTTTCGAGAACAAGGAGCTCTTTGAGAAAAGCTTCCCTGCCGATTTCGTCTCGGAAGGTATTGACCAAACCCGTGGTTGGTTCTACACTCTGCTCGTCCTTGGCACGCACCTATTCGGCAAGGCCGCGTGGAAGAACCTCATCGTCACCGGTCTCGTCTTGGCTGAGTGAGTTTCATATCATATTCTTGGATGACCCTTCCTTATGGTGGATATATTTTGTCAGGGACGGCAAGAAGATGAGTAAGAGTTTGAAGAACTACCCTGATCCCAACGAGGTGATCAATCAGTATGGTGCTGACGCCACTAGGTAAGAAGGCCCATCTCCTGCTCCTTGCTACTCTAACTCCGCAACTCTTAGAATGTTCCTTGTCAACTCTCCTATCGTGCGCGGTGACAACCTTCGTTTCCGTGAAGCTGGCGTCCGCGAAGTCGTTTCTCGGGTCCTTCTTCCATGGCTCAACTCCTTCCGCTTCTTCCTTGGACAAGCCGCACTCCTGAAGAAAACTTCTGGTCGCGATTTCATGTACAACACGCATGCACCTCTTTCGCAGAACGTGATGGATCGATGGATTCTCGCTCGTTGTCAGTCCCTCATCCGTCTCGTGCACGAAGAGATGGCAGCGTATCGACTGTACACTATCATCCCTCGATTGCTCGACCTCGTTGACGAGCTGACCAACTGGTACATTCGCTTCAACCGAAGACGGTTAAAGGGAGAGGACGGAGAAGAGGACGCCGTCGTTGCTCTCAACACACTTTTCGAAACATTGCTGACACTGTGTCAGACGATGGTGCGTCGAAGAATGCTCTCACCGCATTACTATAGCTGACTTTGTCTCCGCAGTCCTCATACACGCCGTTCTTGACGGAGAACATCTACCAGGGATTGAGGTCGTTTATCCCGGAGGACCCCAAGGCTGGCGACGTTCGTTCTATCCACTTCTTACCGTTCCCCAAGGTCAAGGAGGAGTATTTCAACGAGGACATCGAACGGAAGGTCAAGCGCATGCAGAGCGTTATCGATCTCACCCGGAATATTCGCGAACGTCACAACCTCTCGTTAAAGGTTTGTCCCCTTCTGCATTTCCGTCGTCGCTGGCTTATATTGCCTGCCAGACTCCCCTCCAAGAACTCCTCGTCTTCCACGCCGACCCGCAGTGGCTCGAGGACGTCAAGGAGCTCCAGCGCTACGTCCAGTCCGAGCTCAACGTCCGCGATGTCGTCTTCACCTCCGACGAGGCCGCCGCCGGTGTCAAGTACCGCGCCGTCGCCGACTGGGCCGTGCTCGGTCGCAAGCTCCGCAAAGACCTCGGCCGCGTCAAGAACGCGCTCCCCAACGTCTCCTCCGACGCCGTCCGCTCTTACGTCTCCTCCGGCAAGCTCACCGTCGACGGCATTGAGCTGGTCGCCGGCGACCTCGCCGTCCAGCGGTACATTGAGCTCCCCGAGCAGCAGCCTGGCGCGAGCGCCGACGCGGTGCAGCACGCCACACATACGGACAATGAGGTCGTCGTCCGCCTCGACGTGACTGTGTACCCCGCGCTCCAGGTCGAGTACCTCGCGCGCGAGTACATCAACCGCGCCCAGAAACTTCGCAAACGCGCGGGGCTCCAGGCGACGGACGACGTTGACGTCTACCACGCGTTCGAAGACGGCGCCGGGGACGACATCAAGGCTGCCGTGGTTGAGTACCAGGAGCTCGTCGAGCGCAGCGTCCGGAGCGTGCCCCGAGACGTGAGCGAGCGCGGGGAGGGGAGGAAGTTACTTGCGGAGGAGGAGCAGGAGATCGCGGAGGTCAAGTTCACGCTGTCGCTTGCGTGGCGGTAGAGTCGGTGGGCGGTGGGGTCGGTGTGCGGCGCCTTGTTCATGACAGACAGCAGAAGAAACCATGCAGTGTAATACAGTAGTGTGTGCATCTAGAATACGAATACAATGTAGCCAAATCCAATCCTCTGAACAGCGCAGGGTACAGTGTAATGGGAGAGCGAATGCGGAGAGAGTGGGATATTTCGGTGCACGGAAACGCACCAGAACCCGGCGCCGCTCACTTCTTCGTCGTCCCAAAGCCCGCAAAGCCCATCATCGCCATCATGTCGCCGCCGCCTCCCGCTCCGTCCGTACCAGCGCCCGCCTCTTTCGCGAGCTCGACGCGTGCGCGGTCTCGCTGCGCCTTCTTCGCCGCCTTCTTCTCGTCTCGCAGTGCCGCTTCGCGCGCGCGCACTTCGGCGAGTCGTTGCTCAAAGTCGAATGACTTCGCGTCCGATGCCTCTCGCGTCTTCTCGCGCAAGTATGCTATCCGCGCGCGAACTTGCTCGACGGTTGAACGCGCGATCTTCGTCGTCTGACCCAGTGCGCGAAGGTCTGTGAGTTGAACAACGACATCAGTAAGCCGTGGTGCGGAGGCAACAAGGGCGGTGCTCGGAAAAAAGAGGAATTAAGAATACACGTACGTGCGCGTCCGTTGATATGGTCGAGGTACCCTGCGCTGTCCTTGTACGTCCGGTTACACGTCTCGCAGTAGAAGCCGGGCACTCCAGGGCCGCGGTTGCCTGCGTTCTGAACGACCATCGTCTTCCCAAGGTTCTTTTCGAGTTCGAGAGGGCCCTCGCGCTGCTTCATGAGTTCCGTGGGTTTTGGCAGGTCATCTTTGCGACCTCGTCTCGGCTTCTTTCCTGGGACGCGTGCGAGACAGACCGAGAATGATGGACGAAGGAGCAACGAGTTAGCCGGGCATAGCTCACAGAAAGCTCGCGACGTACCCTGCTTCAACCGCTCTTCGTTCTCCTGCATCCGCTCTTTCTCTTCCTGGTCGTGTTTCCGCGCCTTGTCGGCGTACTCCTCCTTGTCCCATTTCTTGCGGAAGTCGGTGTCCCCGGCTCGCGCGCCGTACGCACCAGACTTTCCGGACATGTTGAAAGCGACTAAGCGATTAGGGAGAAGGTGTGCACGAGGCACGGGACCAGAGCTAGAGAGAAGTGAAGCTCAGGCAGCGTTATACCGGCGTTCCAGTAACGAGTATTGGCGCTTGAAGGAGCGCGTTGTTTGCGAGTGTTAGAATCGAGGCTGCCTTCACCGTCGAGAGTACTTACTGAATGTACATATAGCAGCATTGACATCAACGTCATAGGTTGCATGCTGAAACAGGTGCGTATGTTTGTGAATGGTTTCTTTGCGTTGAGAGGTGAATCTGTCCGCCCTCTGCTCCGTTCGACGAAGGACGCATACAGGTGCCCGCAGGAACGTGCCAGAACATGCGGGAAACAGGAAGTAGACAATAAAGCAACTATCGCCATATAAATATCTCGGTGCGTCTCCTCGCCTCCTCTCTTACTCCAACCCAACACTCCTGCGTGCAGCATGCCGGACTCTTCGACATCCGAGGACTCGCTCTCAGACGACAACCCCCTTCCCTCCGAGGGACGCGGGTCCCGTCGAGATACTCATTCAGCCGGCAAGCTCCGTGAGCTCTCTGCGTCTTGTTGAAAGCGTGGTACACTCACTTCGTCAATGCTACTAAGCGCTCACGGCCCTCGAATCGATGAGCAGGAGCCAAGTCTCGCAGTACGCGCTGAACATCAGCATCGATGAGGGAGGCTTCGAGGACGTCAAGTTCTTCGCCTTCTCGCAGCGCATGCCCAAGGGTGGCAGGGCGCATGCTCCGCGTGGGCTCTTCGGGAATAGCACATGCATTCGCAAGGTTGCGCCCCATTTCGATGCAGGTGAGTCTGCGGTGCTGCGGCAGACATCGACGTCATGGTAGGAAATAACGGCTCATAATCCATCAGTGCTTGCCACACAGGGGTGGGCAGAAAGTGCCGTCGCGGATATGGTGGCCGGCTTCCCTGACGGTCGTTGGGAGTCGACTACCACTGAGTATGTCTACGCAGAGGATAGTGACCTTGAAGACGTCGAAGACATGACCGAGGGTGAACCTGCCACTTGCAAAGTACAACACGTTCCAGACGTGTCCGGCACGGAAGTCGTAAGTGGAATCCAAACGCCCTTGTGACGGTTTTGCTTAGGGCGCATTCGTTCAGAAGCCCCCCCAGAAAGAAGACGTACAGGCGGAGAACACTGCCGAAGCCGTTGTCGCCGAAAACACGAGTATGACGTTCACGCCACACGCGGTTCCAGGCAGGACTGGGCGCGTTATCTTTCTGAAGGACATCGCTCATCGGACGTGAGAGTGCTTTGTCTCATTTTCACCCAGCACACACCTTACAGGTTCTTGTTCTTTGTAGGTGGCGAGCCTTCATTTTCTACACGTACTTCGGGATCCTCTCGTTCGCACCTCTGCGGTCGGACCCAGTCACTGAGGAGGAGGCCGGTCATGTCGGACCGTTCAAAGCGCCCCAATGCTCCCCGAAGTCGATGTACCGGCTGGCGGACAAAGTAGGTATCAACTTAGGCCTACAGTTCACCATGTTGAAGGCACATTCTTCGTTGCAGTACGGAGTCCAGGTCGTAAAACAGCAAGCAGCGGCCGACATCAATTCCAAGTTGACGCCTAATAACATCTTTCAGGAGCTGTTCTCGTCGTTCACGTCCAGGTGCGGTTCCATCCACTTGGACCGTGTACTGGTCCAGAGGCGCAGTACCAGTGCGAAGTCACTAAATCCTGAATCGTTCTGCAGTTTTCCCGAGATCCTTCAGCTCGAGGTCGACTATCTCTTCGCGAATCTAGATCGCGCTCAAATTATGAAAGAGCTCCCCATTTGGATGGGATACATGGCCGAAGGGAGGTTGCCGTCAGAAGCTCCGAAAGCAATGTCTATGTTGATCACGAAGATGGCCGCGGTGGTGTCGAAACAGCGAAGTTCTTCCGCGACCCCGGTGACCTCGAGTTTAAGTAATGGCACCGGGAGTGGGCAACTTGCAAAGTCGCTTAATAGGCATAGGTAGGGTAGAGATGCAGAATAACGAGCGCAGTTTCGAAAGACAAGCCGCGTAAGAGAATCCCATGTCTTTATGACGTCTCAGGGGAAGTTACTAGGCGCAAGCGGGTGGAGCATAGGCGCTGTGAATCTTGGCCTCAACCATGACTTGCACATGGTTCGCATTCAAGCAGTTACCTGCAGGCGACGTGCATCCCTAGTACGGGCTGAGGCTGTCGCTCCGTTATGCGAGGTACGTACACTATTGGAAGGTGCTGCGGTAGGCGACGGGCGACCATACTTGACGTGTCACCGGCCGGCCGAAGCTGTTCCCGCTCGGAGCCTCTTTCACCAGCCGGCCGATGTCTCTGCGAATGGGTGTCTTCCGCTCCGCAGGATGGTCCGCCTAACTGGTATGCCGCAGCACAGTCGTAAGGTACCCACGAGTCTTCAGCTTCAGTCGAGTATATCACTGACGTCGGATTGCGCCCCCACCCAGCCTCCTCTGGCACCGCAATCTTCTCCCCTCGTTTGACATGTCGTCTGACTCTCACTCCCGCCCCAGCGGCTCTAAGAAAGACCCAAAGGGCGACACTCAACAGAAAAGTACTCGCAGGCTGAGGACAACCGTGCAAACCATGTCGATGACGTCCGAGAAAAAGGAGCAGATCCAGCGTGCGATTATGATCGCGAGTATCTCTGGCAAACCGTTCGAGGACCTCAAGATCTGGGCGTTCTCTCGACGCGCAAACACCGGAATCGTCGACAAGCCGTGCGCCCTTTTTGCGAACACTACGATGATGCACAAAGCCACCGATCACTTCAAGTATGGTGCGTGTTTACATGCCAAACCACGAACCTTGTCAGTACACTCATTACGAACAGTGCTCTCGCAAGGATTTGTAGAGAGTCGCATTGTCGATATGGACGCTCCTTATCCAGTTGCGCGCTTCGGAGGCTTGGAGGCGTACGACTATGAGTCTGACAGCGACCTCGAAGATGAAGACGACGAGGAAGACGAGAATCTGGACGAAGCTATTGATTGGGGCGTGTTCACGCACGATGCCATTCTCGCCCGCGTGGGCGTAAAGGTCTCTGAAACGTCCACTGAGGCGCATAAGAGTGTACGCCCGTGTCATCAACCGGGTAATGGATAATTACTGAGCATGGATCAGGACGAGACTCCGGATGGTGACAAGGACGGAGAACCCTCTCAACTCAATCCCAAAAGCGACGTTGCGAAGGTGACTAAGAGGCCGGGCAGGGTGATTTACGTGGATGACGTTGCGTGTCAGACGTGAGTCGATCTTTCGATGTTATACCTCCGCTGAGTCCTTTCAACAACTTTGATGGCCAAATACAGACTGAAAGCCTTCATCTTCTGGGCGTACTACGGCGAGCTTAACTTCAGATCGCTGAAGTCCATCAGGAAAAAACCATTTGCACGGGAGCGCCGGCCCGAACTCGCGGAGACTCGCGTGCCCCGAGCGACGCGTGGGAGATCTCCAGAGCACTCTGGAGCAACCACCGATGGCCTCGAGGACACCTGAGCGGCGCGGGAGACTCCGGCGTTCTTGAGAGTCTTGCAGACCGCTCAGTTGGCCTCGAGTGTTTCACAGGGTGCACGGTGGATCTCAAAACTTTGGCTGGACACTCAGGATGTTTCGAGAGTGTTGGCCAGGGGTCAGGAGCTTCCGGGGACCGGGACCTGGGTGCTCGGGTGTTGGGGTGTTTCGCATCGGGACCTTTGACGGACGCGAGCACGTAGTAGTATAGTTTGGTGACATAATAGGATGCTTCGGCTGTGAGATGCTACCTTTCCGGTTCACAGCGCTATTTGAGACCAAATGTGCTCGACTGAGAAACCGCAGTTGCATCAAGTATTGCACTATTACATAGTAAATACTGGGTGTGTAAAGTTTAAATAAGCACCTCGGGCGCGGGAAAGTGGACGCGTGCGAGGTAGATGCGTTGAGTGTGGCGAAGTGAACATGTCGGTCGCGGTGAGATGGACGTGTTGAGCACAATGAGACGGCGTCGAGCGCAGCGAAGTAGACGCACAAAGAACGACAAGACAGACGCGTTGAGCGCGGCGAGGTAGACACGTCGAGTGTGGCGAGGTGGGCGCGTGGAGCGCAGTGAGACAGGCGCGGCGAGACGGACACGTTGAGCGTGGCGAAGTAGACAGCAAGGTGCCAGGCAACGAGGTCTGTGTACAGAAGGTGATTCCCACGGCAAGCGCCGGCCGCGTGTGCGCCGTCGGCGTTGCCAGCGCACGCGTCTTTTCTTGTTTTCCCCCACTTCGCTACTCCTCTCGGCGCCCCTGCTGTCTTGACTTCCCAGTCGCTATCGCCCTCGGCCACGCTTTTCTCGGCAGCCTCTCCCACGACCTTCTCATTCACGACCTCTCCGCCATTTCTATTCACCCCCTTCGATGTTCCTGTCTTTAAAATCCATTTCCTTTCGACTCTCGAGCTTTGTCTTCACCCCGATTCTCACCACTTCCATAGCGCTCCGCACACACTATTCGATCACGGAGACTGAAAGCGTCTCGCACGCCACTCGGGGGACGACACAAATGCATGGCACGACGTGCATGCTTTGGCGCTGCGGCGGCCGACACGGTGAGCTTTTCCCCCTTCTGATGCTCTGCTGCCGCGTTCCCAGCCCGCATTGTCGTCTGACGCGCAATTTGCTTGAAGCCCCAGCCCAAGTCCATGCGGGTGGCACTACACACTCGCCCGACACCATCCTCCCTGTTCGACGACGATACGCAGCTGCGTTCCTTTCGTACGTAAGTACAATTTCTACTTGTTTGCTCTTGTATTGCGCCTGTATATTCATGGGCAAGTCCCGCGATCCCCTCCGTCCCAGTCTGTGTCTGCTTGCGTCCGCATACGACAACATCACGGCGCTCATAAGGTACGTCTCCTCCCGCTCGTCTCCCTCTCCCCCGCTGACAGTCTTTGATAGATGAGAACTCGTAGCCTTGCTCGCTCCTCCCGTGAGCTACCGTTGCGCGTTACGCCTGGTTAGGCCCGCAACAGTGAAGATGTGCGCCCAGTCTCTCATCATCATGGTCATATCCATACGGCGTTGGAGGCCATACCCAACATGAGCACAAGCCCGGGGAGCGCGACTACGCGCGCAACAACGCGTGCGCACCGCCGGGCCCGAAGCAGTCACAGATGGCCTGCAGGTGCGGGTCCACGGCCATCGGGTGCTCAGGCGCGACGTGGAGATGGAGCTTGGGGCGCGAGGAACGCGTTGCCGGTGAGCGGGATTCTGTTTGGGTGCGGGCGATGCGGTGCATGGAGCCGCGCTACGCTTGAACGTCGTGCGGGTCGTAGCTGTCAGGGCCAGGGAGAGGTGTCGTGGGCTGGGGGTGCGGAGATCGCTGGGCGCAATGGAGCTGGGTAGGAGGGTGTTTCGTCACCTCGGGAGTGTTGTAGGCGACCAGTAGTACACGCTGTTTTGCCCGTCAAATCAATATATTTTATGCCTGTCCAATGAATGTGCGATATGGATGACCAGACCCCAGGATTTGCACTGGTGCAAACGTACTCGCGACTGCTCCAGAGTACTCTGGAGAGGGTGCTCGGAGCTACTCCAGAGCACTCGGTGAGCTGGCGCCAAGACTCCAGAGCACGCGCGAGCCGCCCGCCGAGCTCTGAGATGCTCCATAAAAGGGTACTTGTCTCAGGCTGCTCCGGCTACTCTCGAGACTCCGTTGCACTCTGGAGACAAGGTGTTTTTGCCTGATGTCTCAACAGAAGATTCCACCAGCGACGAGCAAAGCATACGATGCACCTTTGTGCTCCCCAAAGTCTATGTATCGCCTGGCGCACAGGGTGCGTCTCGCAGTCTTCGCTTGGACATGCAACATGTCTTGAATATCGCCCAGTACGACATCCCGGATCTGAAAACGGCCGCCATCAGAGACATCTCAGCCAAATTATCCGCCGAAAATATTCTCGAGGAAGTCTTCTCATCCTTCAGCTCACTGTACGTCTCGAGCGTGCTGCATTATTCGCTTGCAGGATAACAAATACTGACAGCATTAAAAGATATCCGGAAGTCCTTGAAGCTGAGGTACGGCTCCTCAGGGGATGGCTTGGACAAGAGACCATCCGACGGCGCCTTCCTACGTGGATGGATGCCATGCAGAGGGGTGAACTTCCCACAGCCGCGGCATCCGTGTTCTTATCGCTATTGGGCTGCTGAATGGCAGGTGCGTTTCCTCATGATCGCAGCTGATGGAACTAGCAGCACTGACGTCGACGTAATAGGTTGCATGTGTATGTTTGTGGGACCATTCGACTCTATGCAAGGAGTGTTTCGAACGTGTTACGCTACTGGTTTTGGGACACATCAGGAAAAAGTGCGTTACGCGAGAGCCCCGGCCCGGACTCGGGATCACACGCTTGTTGCCAGTGATGGCCGGGAGAGCACTCGAGCGCTCTCGTTTAATGACCGATGATACCGAGGTCGTCCGAGCGGCAACGAGCACCACAGTGAGCTCGCGAGCTCTCCCGAGTCGCAGTGGTTGCTCACGACGCCTTGAGAGCCACGACCAGCTCCAACCGAGCTCTCGCGTGCGTGGGTGACCTCACGAGAGGACTATCGAGATGCCCACGGCGCACGGGATACCCCGGGAGTTCGGGAAAAAAAGGTCTACAGTGCGCACCCATTTGTTGCACCACTAATATAACATTGACAGAAGATGCATAAGTACTCGGTACATTGTATGTATATCTGGTGCACCGTTGCGAGCCGCTTGACACAGCGCGAAGGTGCAGAGGTGTGCAGGCCGAGGCGCACCGCCAAACCGTCGCACTGCTTGAAACGCACTTTGCAGAGCCCTGCGTCACCCAGCTCTTCGTCGCAGACAGCAATGTCGTGCGCATGTCACAGATCTCAATCCCGCAGCCTCCACACTGTCGTTGCAGACACATTCCATAGCCCTGTGGGGCGGGGGAGAGGGGAAGAAACACACCTGCGTGAGGCTGGCGTCCGCGTGAAGGCCGGGCCAGAGCGTCATGGATGCTCCGGTCCAGCAACAACGCGCTGGTCAAAGCCACACTCCAGGACGTCCTGACTGCCTATGCCCACTGCCTGTCCTCGACGTGGGGCTGCGCAGGTGAGAAGCAGCTCAAGGAGGTGTATGCGAGTGTAAAAATGCATGGTATGTACGTCACCTTGTCTCCATGCACTCTAGTCTCCTCTCCAATCCCACCCATCGCTAAATGCGCTTGCAGAGCCTCAGGGCCGCTGGCACCCCTCCGCCGGCTGCGCGAGCCTGAGGACGGGGAGAACGGCAAGGATGCGTCCAGGTTCGTGCACATGTTTGCGCGTGCGAGGTGGCGGACAACGCAGGCGCCGTCCGCCTCGAGTTCCAATGCGCGCACGCGGACGCGCTTGGCCAGACTCTTGTCCGCTTCTTGTTTGTGTTCCGGCGCGGGACAGGCGAAGTGATCGTTTCGCGCGACTTCTCGGCCACTGGTCTTCGTGGGCGCGCAGGAGGTGTTCGACAAGACGGGAATAAATAATCAGTATACGGGGCCGAAAAAGAGGAGGCAGAGGAGGGAGGTCGAGATGGCGCACCTGGTGTTGTACACGACAGGGCCCGAGTCTCGTTGGGCGGGTATTAGATCATAGATGTACGAGAGGAGCGACCGCCAAGCAGCTATGGAAGCTGATTCCCACGCACTGACCAGGCCTGGCCAGCGCGCTCTTTGCCAGCACAGACCTATTCCATCATTTCGCTCCTCGTTTGCTCACTCCCCCGTGCCCGCATCTCAGATGGACCTCGGACGTACTAGCTTGACTGCTTCCACCAGCTCAAAGTTTCCTCAGACGCGCTCCAAGTCGCATCCGCAACATGCACCGTGCTGACCAAGCCTCAATATCGACAACCTCCTGCGCACACTGTCGGCTGCGTAACTCCTTGCATGGCAACATTTACGCTCGCGCTCGGCCTTCTGGGTGTGTGCGCCGCTCACGCCATCGCAACTTGGTTCGGCAGTTGCACCCGACATTTCCAGCCCGAGCTTTTGTCGGACGAGTGCGTGGCAGGATGACAGTACGTGACTGCGACCACAACCAGTTTGTTCAGGACTTGACCCTACTGACGACTGCATGTAGGCTACAGAGCCATGAAACTGGTCGACACAGCGCCCCACCACTTGCTCCCTTCTGCTGCCGCCCACCGCCCATCACGCATGAGTCGTCTCCTCATACCCTCTGCCACGCGTGCCGTGTTGGGCAACTGCTGTCGCGTGAGTACCCTTTCAGGGGAGTGCACGCTCCCTCGCACACATGAGCTCACATCCACAACATATTATTTGCAAATACTGACATCCTCTTGGTGTCATTGCAGGCGCGAGCGTGCGCCGTGCACCCCAACGTCGCGCTCACCGCGAGCAAGCTCGGCGTCCACTCGGCTGGGAGTTGGCCATCGGCCTCAACGCATCCGTGAACAGCACTTTCGACATCAGCCGGGGCCACGTACCACTGTGCGTCTCTCTCTTCGTCTGCCCTTTCCGCCTCTGCCCCATCTCGTTCTCTTCCCGCCTTCCACACCCCGCTCACACGCGCACGCACAGTGAATATCGTCGAAGACGCCTCCATATGCGTCTACTCCACCACTGCGATGCTCCCTGTGAACAAGGTGACCATGTCTTTTCATTGCCCATGGACGTGCAGCAAACACTCGTCATCGGCAAGGACTGCAAGCTCGCCGCGTGCGGGTCCCCGGCGCACACGCTGGGTCGGTGCATTCGCCGTCGACGACGACACAGCTGTCCGTCGCGCGCGCCACATTCCCCGCAGCAATTGTGCCGACCGACGACGCCACGCTGTCGGTGTGCGCAACACGGTGTAGCGGGCGTGTTTGGGGTTGTCGCTGGCGCACTCATTGCTAGTGTGGACTGCACATGTGCAATTATGTAGCGGCCTGAGTGATTATTTGTCGATACCAGAACCGATAGCTGTACTAGTATGAACAATATATCTCGTTCTTAATTCACGTCGCGGTGGAGAATTATGGGTATCCAGAATAACAAGCAAGATCGGCGGTGCTCCTGATGCTCACGGAGCCTCTCGAGCACTCTCGAGGCAATACTCGAAGCAGCTCGGGAGTGCTCGCCGAGCAGGCAGCTGGGTCTCCCGAGCGTCCGCGAGGCGCCCTGCCAAGCTCTCGTGTCTCGAGAGAGGGGGACTTGTCACGCCGCGCTCGAACTGCTCTCGAGCCTCGGGTGCACTCCCGTGACATGGTATTTTTTCCTGATGCATTGACCTGTGGATGGACGAAAACAATCTGGATTCTTTTCGTTGCGAATAGTTCTCACCTAATACTGGCGGTGTATATCTGAATCCTGGACCCAACAATGTGAATCATGTCACATAGACCTTGTGAGTAGTGTCCAAACGAGGCGTCGGGGATGCTTCGGTCGACGCTCATGCACGACGTCACCGCACCATCGTGACGACCGAGCGGTATGCGTGGACGATCGGCTGCGTTCCATAAAGTCTCTGTTCCTGCAAACCATACTACACATATGCTTTCAACCCATCGCTGGTCGCCCACCATAAACTCGGCCACCGTTCGAGGCATCTCTCCTAAATATCTTGCTGCCCGTCGCGTGGCTGGCATTCCAGAGGTTCCAATCAACGGAAGCAGGAGGTGCTGGGGCTAGGCCCTCTCTCTCCTCTTCCGTGGCCGCGGATGCAGCAGGAGGTGGACTGGCTCTGCTTGGAGGTGAGTGTATGCGCATTGCTTGTCATCCGTTGGTCTCACACACAGGTTGTGTGCAGTCTATGCCTTCTACCATTTCCCCGAGGTCAAGGAGGTAGTCGACGCGCACAAGACGACCGCGCAGTACTACAAGAAAACCAAAGAGACCATCGCCGCCGACGCGCCCAAGAACCCGAACGAGGCGAGGCTCTCAACTTCCTCCGTTCCGCAGCCCAGTCCTACCTCATCATCATCCCCGGGGCCCATCCTCATATCAAGGCCGTGTTAGACACCATCGACGATCTCCATAACTCTCACAGGGACGAGTTGAATCGTATCGTTGGGGATGTCTACGACGAGGTTAACGTCATCGTCAAGGACTCACCGAGCGTGGACATGGGCACGGCCATGAAGATTCTTGATGTGCTTTGCAAGCGTAGCGTCGAGCTCGAGGAGTTGGGGAAGAAAGCGGGGTCGGACGCGCTAAGCTCATTGAGCTCGAAGTATCCACAACTCATGGGAAAGCTTGGAAGCGGGTACGCGGAGCTGAAGAAGTTGGCGAAGTCCAACCCAGAGGCGAAGAAGCTCTGCGGCGAGACAACGAAGGAGGTGAGTCCAATCAATAAGTCAACGCTTGGTGAGGCACGGAGACGACACGTGCAGATTCACGAAATCTTCTCCGAGGGCTTCTCGCAGGAGAGCGTGAGCCGGGCCCAAGACTTGATCCAGTCGAAGACCACGGAGATCCGCAAGATGGCCAAGTCGTATTCAGAGCAAGCGTGGAATGAGGCGACGAAGACGTACGGGTAATCCCTCGATAAGCTCCCGAGGTCAAGCAAATCCTTTCCGACAACGCCGACAACTTCATCGCTTCCACGGCCATGACTTTGGGGCAAGGTCGGGGAGGCCTGGAAGAAGTTTTCGGGAAGATCAAAGACGCGGCCAACGGCGATATCACCAAGGACAAAGCGAAGATGAGGGAGATCGTCGAATACGTCCGCGCGAAGGCTCATGAGGCGGAGGAGCAGGGTGGATGGCCGCCGGAGCGAGGGAGCGAGGGTCTTCGGACCTGGGTGCGACCGATGCCAGGAGGTGAGGATGCGTTGAAGCATGTTCCGGGCGTGAAAGTCTTGGTGAAGCTATCGTGTGAGCACGGGGAGGATGCGAAGAAGTTGGCGAAGGAGACTTACGACGACCTGACGAAAGTGCCAGAAGAGAAGTCGAGGTAAGCTCAGGATTTGAGCCAGAAGGCGAAGGATGATGTCAAGGAGCATTGAGTACTCAGTATGGTAGTTGGTAGCCGGCAACACGCTTGAAGTAGCTGTTGAAGTTAGTATCCATATGATGAAAGTTTGCCGATGTCGGTGCAGCACACGCAGTGCATACAACTGCGCAGACAGAAAAGACCGGCGAGCAAGGCGAGGCTTCGGCGAGGGTCTATACCATCTAAGCACGACGGCGAGATGCGATAAGGCAATTGACGATCACGTGATCCATGGACATGGGCACTCAGACCAGTGGCGCCGCGGCACTCACATATGTGACGCATAGGGATAGAATGAAAATAATAATAATAATAAAGCCGCGGCACTTACACCCCTTGGGCCCTTAGTCCGAGCTTCGCAGTACAAGTTTATTATTCACGGGGGGCTTCGAACATGGATTGCTCGAGCCGTGCAGGGCTAGCATACGGATGCATGGCGGGTAGAACCAGCCTTTCGACCAGGTGTGTTGTGGTACTAGATATCTGCTCCATGGACTCACATGGAGCACAATGCCACCTTTTGAACGATTGACACAGACGTGAACAGATGATCCTACTACATCCATGCCAACTCTAGACTTCCCCCATTGCCTCTGGGACCAGAAAAACCCAATCGGTCCTCGATAAGAACACGGGGCGAGAACTTGTTTATTCCTTGCGCGATATCCCTCAACGGCCATGATGCAGTTCACGCTGTATTATGACACCAGCAGATCACCAGACGTTTCCAGATCCAGCATCTCCGCGCCATCGGTACGTACATATTGGCTTCTTTGATAATATCACACCCTGGCAGAATCTGAACTTCTTGTGGTGCTGCGGTAGCTTCAGGCCCTATTTACCAGGCGGGTCCACTCGGCGGTCCCACATCCCCCAACAACTTTTCCAGGCTCGATCCAATCTTCAGCTATCCTCGCTTTAACATGAGCACCAAAATAAAGAAAGGTCGCTCAAAAGGGGCTGCGAAGACCCAACCTCCTCCGCGCTCGTTTGTATCGTCCACGTCACTCACCCGGGACGTGGTCCATCGCGCTACCCTTTTGGAGAGCATGTCAGGCCACGCCTTCGAAGACCTCAAGTTCTTTGCTTTCTCTCGGCGCCAGGGCGATGGCTCGGTCGGGACGCCTCTACCGCTGTTCGTGAACAGTGATCTCATCAATCGGACGACAGATCACTTCAGAATCAGTGAGATGTGCCACGCGTCTCGCGGAGGGTGTATCGCCACTCACCCAACGTTCCAGTTCTCTCAGCCGGGTTCGCGGAGGGCCGCGTCTCTGACTTGGAAGCCGCTTTCCCCTCTTCTCGTCCGTCGACCACGGATGAGTATGATTACTATGAAGACAGCGATCTTGAGGACAACGACCCCTTCGACGAACATATCTCGGCCACGAAACCGGCGGTCGCAGACGGCGTTGACGAACCGGATCAATTTCTCAAGGGCGTCGGTGTGATGTTACAGCCCTTTGCAATGAAACGTGGAATCACTCACGCGAGATCATTTGTTTGTCCCGCACAAACAAAGCCTGAAAAGGCAGGCCGGCAACGTGCGGCGTGACATCTCAGTCACAGGCAGAGACTGGACGATGGGGCCCGAGGCTGCCAGCACGCTCTCTGGCATCTGCCACTTGCTCTCATGCCATACTTCACCACACCTCTGACTCTTTTGGTGAATGTCTTTAGGTGGTGATACACACGTGTCGGGCAGACGCATGAGACCAGCGCCCGTGATCAAGCTAGCGCCAGCAGAGTCGTCCCCGACATCCGTGAGCCGTTCCGCCTCTCAAACCTATCGCAACCCGCTTGTAAATGCAACAGGATCACTGCGGAGGCCTACCTGTCGAGGCGCGACGCACGCGAACTCGCCGCGGTGCCCTCCGGGCGTGGCTTTCGTGGTTTACACCGTGTGCACCCGAGCACCACCACCCATGGTGTGACGCCCTCCTCCTCTCGTGAGCATCCCCCGTAGCTGTCCCCATGCGTTTTCAGATATTATCTGGTCCGTTTTCTGTTTCGTTCCTGCTCCTGTAGCCACCGCCCTCGCCGCCATTCTTAGTTCTCCCTGTCTTGGTCGGCAGACTTGCTACCTAGTGCACACTCATATACACGCTCTCCCGAACCCCTCCTGCTGATTTCCACATGTCATGGCTGCATAGTATTCTGTCTCGCAGTAGTACGTGCGCGTATCTTGGCACCAGTACAATCTCTTTTTGTACACGTGCTGTGTGGGTACTACTCCACTTGTCTGGCCTATCCAGCTCACTTCCTCGCCATATCCGTGTGCACAGTGGGCTCACTCCGTCTCCTCTCGGCTTCGCCTGCCCCCACAATCGCCCTCGAGTCGTCCTGTTGTGTTCTGTTGCGTTGGATCTTCGCCAGCGCTAGTCTGCATCCGCGTGGGCGACGCCCGCCGCGTGACTGCGACGTCACGCCGCACGTTGCCGGCCTGCCTTTTCCGGCTTTGTTTGTGCGGGACAAACAGATGATCTCGCGTGAGTGATTCCACGTTTCATTGCAAAGGGCTGTAAAAGGAATGTCTGCAGATGTCGAGGCGGAAGGGGCGGTACGCTCACCCTTGTTATATTGCGAACCGATGCTCATTGGAAATATTAGCCATCCGCATCAGATATCCCAGACCAGAAGGTGCAAGACTCGCAGGCACAGGCAGATTCCTCAAACGACCACGGCTCCATCTCCCAAGTGACAAGCAAACCTGGGCGGCTTATCCACGTTCAACACATTGCCTATGCGACGTGAGTAACGAGATTCTTGTACCTGCTGTAGCGGATTTTTCATTTTATATTTCGCCAAGCATGAGGGCTTTCGTTTATTGGGCATACTTCGACGAGATCAACTTCGCACCTCTGAAATCTCAACAGCAACTCCGTGATAATGCGAAAGGCAGCCCCGCTTGTTCACCGAAGTCGATGTACCGTCTTGCGCACGAGGTAAGTTGTCTCTCCATTCTAATGCAGACCGATATTCTAATCGTCATATGTAGTATAACATCGACGCTCTCAAAACGAAGGCTGCTGATGACATCAAGTCAAAGCTTTCGGTGGACAACATTCTCTCAGGACTATTCTCGCACTTTACATCGCTGTATGAACTCTCCTGCTAACGAGTGATGCCACCTGACAGCTCGATATGGTCACAGGTACGACGAGATCAGGACCATAGAGCAGGAGTTCTTGCTCGCGAACATTCAAAACACGAAAGTGCAGGCTCAACTCCCCGCTTGGATCAAGTCTATGCAAGATGGCGAACTCCTTGAAAACGCGCACGAAATCGTATCATCGATTGTTGTGAAGGGCAGCGCTACGAAGAATTGTCCATATGGATGCGGCGGCGGTAACCTATACAACGCCGCTGTTTATCGATGTGCCCGAGGCCATAATTACAGTTGATGCATTGCGGCCGATTTCACTCCTGATGTACGTATACAAACGTTGCTCTAGCTATCGTAACCTCGTCGCTCCGTTCAAGTTATCCGAGCGAATACTGTATCTACGATATAGTACTGCCTTGCGCCTCGAGTGCGCAGAACCTTCCTCCAACCGTCATTCGTATGCGCACTTAGACACCGCGAGCCTGACTCGGCGCGGCACCTCCCACGTGAACATCTCCCCTGGCACAAGCGTACGAGATATATCGTAGCGCGAGTGCACGAGCATGAAAATCGCGGAGGTTGGTTCATGGAGGAGCAAACGGGAAGGAACCTTGTAGTAGGGAGAGAAATCTCGTGAACGCGTTTATGTCGTAGGGATTGATCCCAGTCCAGAGCCCCTTTACATAGGCCGCGATACGACGAAGTGATGCTTGGAGGAAGATTGGAATGACAACGCACGAAATTCCCTCGAAAAGTCCCCAGATTCCAAACAAATTCTTCTACAAAACGACGCCCACACCCGGACAGCGTCATCACTTCAAGGGTGGTAAATCAGTTGCAGTGGGGCCTGGGGTCTTCGACTTCAGTCGCGTCGCTTGGACATGCCAGGGATGCAGAGAATGGGAGCATAGACCGATAGTGACACAGTAGAGTACATCCGAGACGAAGTTCTAAACTTTGACGATTCCAGCGGCTGGGCGGTCCGTGCGGCCGGGCAGCCCACCAGGGCTTTCGCTCGCCTGAGTGGCGCCTCGGACATTCTCCAATATTTCCCTTCGACTCATCCTTCTCGCTGTCGTCCAGCAATACACGTACGCATTCTGATTTTACCGACTCTCTCTACGACCTCCACGCTCTGTTACTGCACCTCCGGAATACCCTCGAAGCGCCCAACCTGACTGAAGCCTCGTCAGACTCGTCAAGCCCATGGCATTGCAGCTCACATGAAGCGGTATCGTAGCAATAAATATGCTCACAATGGTGTGAATATTTTTTTTTTACAACTCGCCCGCGACCCATGGAAGGCGTGCTGCGGTAGCCTCACAACGTGTACCCAGTGTCGATGCTTCCGATCCCGCATTAATTCACGTCGCTTCCTTCTTCCCGTCGTCTTTGCATAACCCAACCCATCCACATCTTCACTCTCCCGATGAACTCCACTGGATACGACGACCGTGGCCCAGCAAAGGCCAAGAAGAGCTCGCGACCAGAAATACTCCCTCTCTCCATGGCGTCCGCGACCCGAGACCAAGTCCAGAGGGCAGCAATGCTCGCAAGTGTCTCCGGACGTTCGTTTGAGGATATCAAATTTTGGGCTTTCTCCCGGCGGTCCCACACCGGCGTCGTCGACGAGCCGCTCCCGTTGCTCGCCAACAGTGGGCTGCTGCACAAGGTTACGGACCACTTCAAGTTTGGTGAGTCTCGTCCTTTCGATTGGGTTAGCCTTTCGCCGACAGGCTCTCCGCAGTTCTTTCTACGGGCTTTGCAGAGGGTGATGTTGTGGAGATGGAGGCCCCGTTCCCGTCGACGCGGTCCTCCAGGTCGGACATGTACGACTATGGCGCCGACAGTGATCTCGAAGACGAAGACGAGTTCGAGGGAGAGCCTTCGGGTGAGCACACCAAGCATGATACCCTTCTTGCACGCGTAGATGTCAAGCTCGGCCCATCGGTGAGCGGAAGAGGCAACGTCAAGGTAGGGTCTGCAGGCGCTATGCTCAGTACTCAAATGCTTATAACGTACTATACCAGGACGAAAACTCGGACGACAGCGCAGAACACAAACAGATGGACTCTGGCATCAGTCGGGATGTCGTAACTATCAGAAAGCCGGGTCGCGTGGTCCATGTGGAGGACGTTGCGTACCATACGTGAGTCAAGCTATTTTCTTCAGTCAACTTTCGGTACCCTCTAACGTTGATCTGTTTCTCATTAGCCTCAAGGCATTCATCTTCTGGGCCTACTACGAGGAGCTCAATTTCGCTCCGCTCAAGTCACAGCAGAAGATGTTGCCCACAGAACAGAACGCATACAACGCGCCGTTCTGCTCCCCAAAATCCATGTATCGTCTCGCTCATAGAGTATGTGTGATCTGCTTTGCTTGATATGCCTTTGAAGATGTTAACCGTCAAGCAGTACGATATCCCGAGGCTGAAGGAACTCGCTCTAAACGACATCCGCTCCAAGCTCACGCACGAGAACATCCTCGAAGAGCTCTTCTCCGGTTTCACGATGCTGTGCGTATTCGCCATGTATTCTTTCTTCCGCAACAGCAAGTTGATCAACAAGATCGACTTTCTCAGATATCCTGATGTTCGCAACATCGAGATACAATTTATTCGCACCTGCATGAACCAAGAGACCATCCGGAGACGCCTGCCCTCGTGGATCGAAGCCATGGAGAAGGGAGAGCTACCAAGAGGAGCAGCGGGAGTTGTGTCAGCGTTGTTGGGCTGTGCGTGAGTGAACGTGATTTCGGAAAGCTCGGTCGATCGACGTAGCTCCGCCGTACTACTCTAACGCCGCATGTCCGATCCGTTCTTCTTGTATCTCTGCTGCGGTAGTCGTTCGGCCCGTAATGCAGGTGTTCAGCACTACTGCGTGGGACGCCTTCCGACATAGGTGCGTACTCCGCGTTTCCAAGTTCTCGAGCGTCATCTTACGGCACAACTGTTGAACACCGAAGTTCTGCACCCATCACATGTCCTCTATGTGTGCTGCGGCAGCCGTGGAGCGAGCTTTATCTATAGATGTCTGCAACTCTTGCTAGATGGTCTACTCCACTCCTGCAACGTTGTCTGTGCCACCCGCTCTCATCGCGACGCTTCGATATGATGAAGGCAAAAAAGAAGGGCAAGTGCGGGCCCGCCCAAGCCACAGCAAGCTCAAGCTTCTCCCCTCCCAGTAAACCCACCCCGCTCATGTCGTCGGCCTCCACGCCTCGGGTTGACGTGCAGCGCGCGGCGCTTCTCGCGAGTCTCACCGGCCAGCCGTTCGAGGACCTCAAGTTCTTCGCCTTCTCGCGGCGCCACAACGACGGCGAACACGTCGTCGTTCACACTCCCCTCCCGCTTTTCGCTAACAGCGCACTGATTCATCGTACAACGGACTACTTTGAGCTCAGTGCGTCTTCTTTCTCCTCGAGCATGGCGCGCATGCACTGATGCATCAAGTAGTGTTCTCTGGCGGATATGCGGAGAACAAGATCTCTGACATGGACGCTCCGTATCCGACCTCGCGGTCGTCCGGCACGACCGGGTATGGCTACTACGAAGACAGCGATCTGGAGGACGATGAGGACGGTGAGGACGACACGCTGCCTAAGGATGAGTCCGCAAACTCCGACCTGCTGAAGGGCATCGGAGTGAAGCTGCCACGAGCAAGCAAAATGGTATCCGAGGTATGTGTCGCAGCAGCCTTGTGCAGTTTTCATCTCTGACAGGTGTGTCACGTAGCAGGAGGCTGTGGCTGAGGTAGACGACTTGGAAACGACCGTTCGTGCTGAGGAACGTGGATCGACTGCAGGGGAAAGCAAGGCCATCAGCAAGCCCGGTCGTGTGGTCTACGTTGTTCACAATGCGTATAAGACGTGAGTCGCACGCAACGGCAGCATGCAAGCGATCTGACTTTGTTCAGGCTCAAAGCTTTCGTCATCTGGACGTATATGGACGAGGTAGAATTCGCCCCGCTCAGATCTCAGCAAGTATCGCCAAAGCAGGGACGCGTTCTAACATGTTCGCCAAAATCAATGTATCGTCTTGCGGATGAAGTATGCCCTTCCCATTTTGACTCGTATGCGATCTCAAATCTGACCGCGAACGCAGTACAATGTGGATGTTCTCAAGAAGAAAGCATTGGATGACATCAAGTCGAAGCTGTCACCCCACAATATCCTCGAAGAAGTCTTCTCTCACTTCACATCGCTGTCCGTCCATGTTTGACTAGCTTGTTTTAAGTCGCGTGCTGACTATGCTTACATGCAGATACGACGACATCAGGGACATGGAGCTCGAGTATTTGCATGCAAACATCAAGGACAGCGGCATCCAAGCACGTCTTCCAGCGTGGATCCGTTCGATGCAGGGCAACGAGCTGCCGGAAAGCGCCTGTGACATCCTGTCTTCGCTCGTCCTCAAGATCATCAATGGGCCTCTTCCCCAGCCCAGTGACCCAAAACTCAAGAAGTGCCCGAACGGATGCTCGGCTGCGAATTACACATGCAGAAACTGCGGTACTTACTTCTGATGTACTCCTGAAGGCTGTAGAAATGGCGCATGTAAACGTCCGTTGCTTTCCACGTCCTCCCATGGTAGTCCATGCGGCTTGTGTGCTCGAAGAACTGCATCACAAGAGGACGACGGAGTTCACGATGCCCACATGATTCCCGCACCACTGATCATGAAGCTCTCAGAGACGTACATTATGACATCCACGACCGACACGTGCGCTTCAGCCACCGCATCCTCTTGGTATCCACGCTGCTCTCCAGGTCTCGCAAAGCCGAGAATCGCCGGATCGCCAGCGCGCACGTCTCGCTCCGGAATCTGCCCACCAGCCTCTCCTGCAGCCTCTCCTACCGCGTCCCATGAGCTCGCGACGACGCCTGAGAAAAGCACGAAGCACTCACCGCCACCCCGCCTTCCTGCCGCTCCCCAGCCCGCGTCTCCTCCGATCGACCGAGCGCCGTCCACCCCTGCGTCTGGCGCACCCCGACCTCCCCAAACGCCGCGAGCCAGACCTGCCACAGACACTGCTCCCACTCGCGCTCGCGCGCGCCCCCGTCCCCGCCGCCGCCGCCGAAGAAGCGCTCCGTGCACCACGTCGGCGCGTCGCGCGGGAGGACGAGCGGCGCGCCCGCCGCGAACGGGAACGACGCGCGCCCGCGCCGCGTGAGCACCGTCGCCGTCGCCTCGCCCCCCGTTCGGTGAGCGTTCGCGTCCGCGTGAGGGAGCGGGCCCGAGAGCGAGCGGAAGAGCGTTTTGGGCGGCGCGGTGGCGGAGAGGTTCGCGGGGAAGAGCGCGACGGTCGCGCTCGGCGCGAGGAGGCGCGCGAGGTTGAGGAGCGCGTTCGGGTGCGGCTCGGCGTTCGGGGGCGCGTGCAGGACGTGCGCGACGAGGGTCCGCCGGAGGGAGGGGTGCCGTTTCTGGGCGAGGAAGAGGGCGGAGAGGAGGGCCTTGTGTCGGGCGGAGCCGCGGGGGCTTGGGGTGGTGATGAGGAGGCTTATGGGGCCTGGTGGGAGGCATGGAGAGGGGAACGAGAGCGAAGGGAGCGCGACGCACCTGTCCACCGTTCTGCCCAACGTGGTACCAACTCTACTTCGTCTTCAGTGATCCACAAGCAAGCAGAGAGTGGCGGATTTTCGTCCAGCTTAGTGGACAGGACGTTGGGATCAAGCGAGGTGGGTGGGGAGAGGAGAGGAGAAGCCTTGGACAACAGGTGCGCCAGAGAAGTGGACTCTGCGTTCCAAAGAGCCGTGCTTAGCGAGAAGAAGCCGCGAATATACGCGGACATACCTTGTGGCGGTAGAGACGTGCCCAACAGTCTTGTAGATAGACTTGTGGTCAGGAACCCAGAAAACAGAGCGAGACTCAGAGTGCAGTAGACGAGGGAAATCAGAGACATCAAAGAGATTGGAGCTAGATAGGGCCGCAGAAAGCCAGGAAGAAGTCCAGAGAGCCACAGGTTGAAGCGCAAAGCGAGGGATCGCCTACTAGAGTAAGAGTGTCCTCTCGCTCTCCGGGGTCGTCGAATGGGCGAAGTACGGATTGTGGCGGACATTGAAGAGGATTCAAGACGCCTGTCGACCATTTTTGCGCCTAGAGAGCCCGGGGTATCAGACATGGCAAAGCGGGAGAGGATGAATGTGAGAGTTGGAATTGGACTTGAAGCTTGCCTGCAAGCGTCCCCGAACCCGCGGGCCGGCCCGTAGTACTAGCCTTCATGAATGTACATATGCAGATCCACGAGATCTTCTTCAAGGGCTTCTCGCAGGAGAGCGTGAGCCAGGCCCAAGACTTGATGCAGTCGAAGACCACGGAGATCCGCAAAATGACCAAGTCGCACTCAGAGCAAGCGTGGAATGAGGCGATGAAAACGTACGGCCAATCCCTTGATGAGCTTCCCGAGGTGAAGCAAATCCTTTCCGACAACGCCGACAACTTCATCGCTTTGGGGCAAGGTCACGGAGGCGTGGAAGAGGTTTTTGGGAAGATCAAGGAGGCGGCCGACGGCGATATCACGAAAGACGAAGCGAAGATGAGGGAGCTCGTTGAATACGTCCGCGCGAAGGCTCATGAGGCGGAGGAGCAGGGTGGGCGGCCGCCGGAGCGGGGATGGGAGGGTCTTCGGACCTGGGTGCGATCGATGCCAGGAGGTGAGGATGTGTTGAAGCGCGTTCCGGACGTGGAAGTCTTGGTGAAGCTGTCACGTGAGCATGGGGAGGATGCGAAGAAGTTGGCGCAAGAAACTTACGACGACGTGATGAAAGTGCTCGAAGAGAAGTCGAGAAAAGCTGAGGATCTGAGCCGGAAGGCGAAGGACGATTTTAAGGACAAAACGTGAGGACTGAAACCGGTAATTGGTAGGCAACGCGCTTGAAGTAGATAAACTTATAAAGCTAGTATCCATATGATGAAAGTTTGCCGATGTCCATGCAGCACACGCAGTGCATACAACTGTGTAGACAGAAAAGACCGGCGAGCAAGGCGAGGGTCTATACGTTTAAGCACGAGTGACTCCTCTGATAGAAGGGCTGCCCTGTGGAGACTGAGTACTGAGGTAACTGAGGCCTGCCAAGGCATGGCAGTCAATGACGACCACGTGATTCATCGTCATGCGTGGCGCCGCGCCTCGCCGCGCGGTCGTGCCGACCACCGGCCAGACTCAAGATGTTCGTCGCTCGAGCCACCGTCTTCCACCATGAAATCCCCCATGCGAGTAGTCATGCTACTCCGCACACGCAAGCTTCGGCCTCATGGTTGTTTCCTGCCCTTGCCTTTAAAATGTTCATCGCTTGCTATGTCAACCTGCAAGACAAGTGGAAGTTGTTGCGGCTCACCTCATCGAGGTTCAAAGTCAACATGGAATCACTGACTCAAGGCAACCGTATTATTACCGACCAGTGCACAAACCTGGCGGGATCTCCGAAGAATTTCCTGGAAGTCTGCAATTCAGTTTATCGCCGGCCGGTGCTGCGGTAAGTGGGCTTCTACGACTCGCACTGAAGTCCCCACTCCTGTGCTATAAAGCCGTCCCGCAATCAGCGTCCTTCCGCGCCCCACATTGTCGCTCGGCATGTCCGATCCTGATGTTGCCTCTCTCCCGCCCAAGAAGAAGAAAAAAAGCAAGAAGGGACAAGGGGATACTATGAACGTACCTGGGAGGACCAAGAAAGGACGTAAGATTGCCAGCTCCTCTCCCACTCTGGCTGGCTTCCACCACATTCCGATGAACTCACCTGGGCCCCGCGACGGTGACCCCGCGAAGGCCAATAAGAGCCAGCGACCCGAAGTACTACCTCTCTCCATGGCGTCCGCGACCCGAGACCAAGTCCAGAGGGCAGCCATGCTCGCAAGTGTCTCCGGACGTTCGTTTGAGGACATCAAGTTCTGGGCTTTCTCCCGCCGATCCTACACCGGCGTCGTCGACAAGCCGCTTCCGTTGCTAGCCAACAGTGGGCTGCTACACAAGGTTACGGACCACTTCAAATTTGGTGAGTTTCGTTGTTTCGATTGGCCGGGGGTTTCCTGACAGGCTCTACGCAGTCCTTTCTACGGGTTTCGCAGAGGGTGGTATTGTGGAGATGGAATCCCCATTCCCGTCGACGCGTTCCTCCAGTTCGGACATGTACGACTATGCCTCCGACAGTGATCTCGAAGACGAAGACGAAGACGATTTCGAGGGGGGTGAGGGAGGGCCTTCGGGTGAGCACGTGGAGCACGATCCCCTTCTCGCACGCGCAGGAGTCAAGGTCGACCCATCGGCAGGCGGAAAAGGCAACGTTAAGGTAGGGTCTGCAGGCGCTATGCTCAGTACTCAAATGCTTATGAAGTATCCCAGGATGAAAACTCGGACGACGGCAAAGAGCACAAAGAGGAGGGCTCTGGCATAGGTCGGAATGTCGCAGCTATCAGAAAACCGGGTCGCGTGGTCCATGTGGAGGACGTTGCGTACCATACGTGAGTGAAGCATTTTTCTCCGTCAACGTTCAGCACCCCCCAACGTTGGTCTGTTCCTCGTTAGCCTCAAAGCGTTCATCTTCTGGGCCTACTACGAGGAGATCAATTTCGCTCCGCTCAAGTCACAGCAGAAGATGTTGCCCACAGAACAGAACGCGTACAACGCGCCGTTCTGCTCCCCAAAATCCATGTATCGTCTCGCTCATAGAGTATGTGTGATCTGCTTTGCTTGATATGCCTTCGAGGATGTTAACCGTCGCGCAGTACGATGTCCCGAGGCTGAAGGAGCTCGCTCTCAACGACATCCGCTCCAAGCTCACGCACGAGAACATCCTCGAAGAACTCTTATCCAATTTCACGATGCTGTGTGTATTCGCTGTGTATTCTTTCTCCCGCAACAGAAAGTTGACTAACGAGATCGATTTTCTCAGATATCCTGATGTTCGCAACATCGAGATACAATTTCTTCGCACCTGCATGAACCAAGAGACCATCCGGAGACGCCTGCCCTCGTGGATCGAAGCCATGGAGAAGGGAGAGCTACCAAGAGGAGCAGCGGGAGTTGTGTCAGCGTTGTTGGGCTGCGCATGAGCGCACACGGTTTTGAAAAGCTTGGTCACACGCTGTTCAGTCGACGTAGCTCTGCCGTTTTCCAGCACCGCATGTCTGATCCATCCTTTTTGAATCCCTGTGCTGCGGTATCTGTTCGGCCCGTAATGCGGGCGATCACTACTGCGTGGGATGCCTTCCAACATAGGTGCGTACTCCACGTTTCCTTCTCGAGCATCATTTTACGGCACACTGGCTCAGAACCGGAGCTCTGCATGCATCACATGTCCTACGTGTGTGCTGGGGCGGCCCGGGGCGACCTTTATCTATGGATGTTTGTAGATCCCGCTAAATGGTCTACCTCTCTTCCAACGCTGCCCACGCCCCCCGCTCTCGACGCTTCAATATGATGAAGGCAAGAAGAAAGGGCAAGTCCGGGCCCGTCCAAGTCGCAGCAAGCCCAAGCTTCTCCCCTCCCTGTAGACCCGCCCCGCTCATGTCGTCGGCCTCCACGCCTCGGGTTGACGTGCAGCGCGCGGCGCTTCTCGCGAGTCTCACCGGCCAGCCGTTCGAGGACCTCAAGTTCTTCGCCTTCTCGCGGCGCCACAACGACGGCGAACACGTCGTCGTCGACGCTCCTCTCCCGCTTTTCGCTAACAGCACACTGATCCATCGTACAACGGACTACTTCGAGCTCAGTGCGTCCTCTCTCTCCTCGAGCATGGCGCGCATGCGCTGACGCATTGAGTAGTGTTCTCTGGCGGATACGCGGAGAACAAGATCTCCGACATGGACGCTCCGTATCCGACCTCGCGGTCGTCCAGCACGACCGGGTATGGCTACTACGAAGACAGCGATCTGGAGGACGATGAGGATGGTGAGGACGACACGCTGCCGAAGGATGAGTCCGAAAACTCCGACCTGCTGAAGGGCATCGGAGTGAAACTACCACGAGCAAGCAAAATGGTGTCCGAGGCATGTGTCGTAGTAGCCTTGTGCAGTTTCCATCTCTGACAGATGTGTTACTCGGCAGGAGACTGCAGCTGAGGCCGACGACTTGGAAACGGCCGATCGCGCCGAGGAACGTGGATCGACTGCAGACGAAAGTAAGACCATCAGCAAGCCCGGCCGTGTCGTCTACGTTGTTCACAGTGCGTACAAGACGTGAGTCGCACGCAAAGACAGCCTCGATCGAGATGCAAACGATCTGACTCTGTTCAGCCTTAAAGCTTTCGTCATCTGGACGTACATGGACGAGGTGGAATTCGCCCCACTCAGATCTCAGCAAGTGTCGCCAAAGCAAGGACACATTCCAACATGTTCCCCAAAATCAATGTATCGTCTTGCGGATGAAGTACGCCCTTCACATTTTGACTCGTACGCGATCTCATATCTGACCGCGAACACAGTACAATGTGGATGTGCTCAAGACGAAGGCGTTGGATGACATTAAGTCGAAGCTGTCACCGCACAACATCCTCGAAGAAGTATTCTCTCACTTCACATCGCTGTACGTCCATGTTTGATTAGCTTGATGTGAGTGGTGTGCTGACTATGCTTGCATGCAGATACGACGACATCAAGGACATGGAGCTCGAGTACTTGCATGCAAACATCAAGGATAGCGGTATCCAAGCACGTCTTCCAGTGTGGATCCGTTCGATGCAGGACGACGAGCTGCCGGAAAGCGCTTGTGACATCCTGTCGTCACTCCTCCTCAAGATCATCAATGGGCCTCGTTCCCAGCCCAGTGACCCAAACCTTAAAAAGTGCCCTCGAGGATGTAGCGGGTCTCAGTACAGGTGCTGCAACTGCAACTGCAACTTTTGAAGTGGTGAAAGTACATAGGCAGGCTTCGCGATTCCGTTGCGTCTGCTGTAGTTGTCCGTGCAACGCTCATGTTTCTCTTCGACCTGTTTTACACATGAATGTATGTTCATTGTCTTCGCATATGGTGTTCATGAGAGTACGTTGATAATTTTTAGAACGCCCACGATCCCATATTCTCAACGGAGGCACAGGCTTCTCCGGGCCGCTAGGTGCTTTGAGGATCCATCAGTACGTGCGAATTCGTATGAATTTCCAATGCGTCGATGCTCGTCTGAGTGAAACTTCCCACCGCCAGCGTGCTGCGGTAGCGCAAAGGATTATAAGTTTCGAAATGGAGGAGGAGCAACCGTTCCTGCGCCTGTTATATTCTCCGTTCACTCCGTAATCCCTCCGGCCCAACACCACCATGAGCTCTTCCACGCGCAAAGCAAAAGACGAGCGAGGCCATTCGTCGCAGCCTTTGGCTCAAGCGTCGATGCTCGCACGGCCCACCCCATCACCCACAAGAGACGAGGTACAGCGCGCGACTCTTCTAGCGAGTCTATCCGGCCAGCAGTTTGAAGACCTCAAGTTCTTTGCTTTCTCGCGCCGGCGCGAGGGCGGAATAGTCGACACGCCCCTGCCGCTGTTCGTAAGCAGTCCGTTCATACATCGGACGACAGATCATTTCAAGCTCAGTATGTGCCTCTCTCGTTCTTGTTACCTGCCATACTATAATCAGTGCTGATGTGACTGATATTAGTGTTCTCCAGCGGATTTTCGGAGAGTGGCTTGTCAGACATGGACGCGCCCTTCCCCTCCACCCGCGCTTCTGCGACGGACCAATACGAGTATTGCGAGGACAGCGATCTCGAAGACGACGAATCTCATGATGCAAACAAGCTCTCAACCGAAGCGGCGGAGAATAAGACCTCCCCAGCTGAGACGGATCTTTTGCATGGCGTTCGCGCGAAGCTGCCATTAAGTAAGGAAATGCGACCTGAATCTCCAACGGTATGTTCATGTCCTCTGGGCGTAGGTGAGTCCGACTAATTTTGTTTGTACCCCATAGGCTGAGATCAAAAGCGACGAGGCGGCGGATAGCGCAGGCAGGGATAACGGTGTCTTTTCCCTTAGCAAGCCGGGTCGCGTTGTTTATGTGGAGCACATCGCCCATACGACGTGAGTTCTCACCCTTCCGTCAAAAAATGATGGTACCGAGATTGTGCGCAGTTTCAAGGCATTTTTATTTTGGGCGTACATGGATGTCATCAACTTTGCGCCTCTGAAGTCCCAGCAAAGATTGCGGGTCTTGGAGACTAAGTCGGGCATCCCCTTGTGCTCTCCCAAGTCAATGTACCGCTTGGCTCACGAAGTGCGTGGTTATTTTCCACGCAATCCCGTTGGCTAACTCCTAATAGTACAACATTGAGGTGTTGAAGACGAAGACTGTGGAAGCAATCAAATCAAAACTGTCCCCGCGCAATATTCTTGAGGAAGTGTTCTCCCACTTCACATCCTTGTACGTTGCTTCGCGCCGTGTCTCAGCAACCCGTCGCATTTACAATCTGAATTGGCAGATACGACGAGATCAGAATCGTTGAGTTGGAGTATTTGCACGCGAACATCAAGGATCAAGGCATTCAGACGCGACTTCCGGTGTTGATCAAGTCCATGGAAGATGGCGACCTCCCGCGGGGCGCCCACGATATTCTATCTTCGCTCATCATGAAGCTCATCATGAAGCTCAATGTAAAGCCTCCGCTTCCTGTTGTTCATACCGTTACATCAGAGATGAGAACGTGCCCGCGAGGATGTCCGGATGATAATTACAGATGCGAATACTGCGGTACTTACTTTTGATGAAGGCCCGAAGGTTGTAGAAACAACGCCTATAAACTCCCATTCCCCTCCGTGTTCTCCCATACTAGTCCATGCCCTCCTTGCGGCTTATGTACCCAGCAAATGTATCACAACTCTGTAGGAAATATCCTGCGTGGCTGAAGTCCGCCAAAAGACGGCGGAGTTCACGATGCCCACATAAATTCCGCACCACTAATCATGAGGCTCTCAGAGACGTACATTATGACATCCACGACCGACACGTGCGCTTCAGCCACCGCATCCTCTTGGTATCCACGCTGCTCTCCAGGTCTCGCAAAGCCGAGAATCGCCGGATCGCCAGCGCGCACGTCTCGCTCCTGAATCTACCCACCAGCCTCTCCTGCAGCCTCTCCTACCGCGTCTCATGAGCTCGCGACGACGCATGAGAAAAGCACGGAGCACTCACCGCCATCCCGCCTTCCTGCCGCTCCCCAGCTCGCGTCTCCTCCGATCGACCGAGCGCCGTCCACCCCTGCGTCTGGCGCACCCCGACCTCCCCAAACGCCGCAAGCCAGACCTGCCACAGACACTGCTCCCACTCGCGCTCGCGCGCCCCTCCATCCCCGCCGCTGCCGCCGCCGAAGAAGCGCTCCGTGCACCACGTCGGCGCGTCGCGCGGGAGGACGAGCGGCGCGCCCGCCGCGAACGGGAACGACGCGCGCCCGCGCCGCGTGAGCACCGTCGCCGTCGCATCGCCCCCCGTTCGGTGAGCGTTCGCGTCCGTGTGAGGGAGGGGGCCCGAGAGCGAGCGGAAGAGCGTTTTGGGCGGCGCGGCGGCGGAGAGGTTCGCGGGGAAGAGCGCGACGGTCGCGCTCGGCGCGAGGAGGCGCGCGAGGTTGAGGAGCGCGTTCGGGTGCGGCTCGGCGGACGGGGGCGCGTGCAGGACGTGCGCGACGAGGGTCCGCCGGAGGGAGGGGTGCCGTTTCTGGGCGAGGAAGAGGGCGGAGAGGAGGGCCTTGTGTCGGGCGGAGCCGCGGGGGCTTGGGGTGGCGATGAGGAGGCTTATGGGGCCTGGTGGGAGGCATGGAGAGGGGAACGAGAGCGAAGGGAGCGCGACGCACCTGTCCACCGTTCTGCCCAACGTGGTACCAGCTCTACTTCGTCTTCAGTGATCCACAAGCAAGCAGAGAGTGGCGGATTTTCGTCAAATTTAGTGGAGAGGACGTTGGGATCAAGCGAGGTAGGTGGGGAGAGGAGAGGAGAAGCCTTGGACAACAGGTGCGCCAGAGAAGTGGATTCTGCGTTCCAAAGAGCCGTACTTAGCGAGAAGAAGCCGCGAATATAGGTGGACATACCTTGTGGCGGCAGAGACGTGCCCAACAGTCTTGTAGATAGACTTGTGGTCAGGAACCCAGAAAACAGAGCGAGACTCAGAGTGCAGTAGACGAGGCAAAGCAGAGACATCAAAGAGATTGGGGCTAGACAGGGCCGCAGAAAGCCAGGGAGAAGTCCAGAGAGCCATAGGTTGAAGCGCAAAGCGATGGATCGCCTGCTAGTAGAGTAAGAGTGCCCTCTTGCCCTCCGGGGGCGTCGAGTGGGCGAAGTACGGATTGTGGCGGACCTTGAAGAGGATTCAAGACGCCTGTCGACCATTTTTGCGCCTAGAGAGCCCGAGGTATCAGACATGGCAAAGCGGGAGAGGATGAATACGAGAGTTGGAATTGGACTTGAAGTTGGCCGAGAGCGTCCTTGAACTCGTGGACCGGCTCCGGCCGGCCCGTAGTACTGCGGCGCCTGATAAGCGCCCCAACCACGGCTGGTGGCACGGCGCCTCCCACGCAGCCGTCAAACGAACCCACACAACGCAGCGCACCTGAACACCCCGCGCGGGCTTCTCAACGGCTTCTATCCCCTTCTCGGAAGCCCCCGCCGGCCGCGCGCCCACACCCGTACGCACCGGCCGAGTCCCATCCCCCTTCCGCCCGGGTCTCTCGCGTCCCCGTCGCTCAGGGATCCCATCACAACGTGCCGCGCTTCTGCCCAGCTCCCGGGCTTCGTCGGAACGTCGCTGAGTTTGTCGCGGCGCGCACAGCCTAGCGGCGCGGAGCCCGGAGCGTGGCGAACACACCGCGCGCATGCAAGGGTCCCCAGTCTCACACACGGGCTCTGTGACCGACATCCCAACGCGTCTGGCGCACAACGTGCTACACTGGGACCTACATCTGATGACCCTGACTCGCTTGCGCCCCCAACGCACCTCGCTTGAATGTGGCAGCACTATCTGAGCACCGTCAGTTCTCTAGTCCGCGCTGCATGCGGTCGACTGTTGCGGACCCTTGGTTCGAACGATGGAGCGCGTCGCTGGTATCATTTGATCATTACGTGCTGGGCAGGAAAGCATCGAGGAGAAGTAATGCGCACAGGGACCGGATTACGAAACTCGGTATGCAGAAAGACAGGCGAGGGTCGGTAAATAAAACGGTATATCGTAGGAGGTGATGCACATTCGGCGAGATGACGGGTATGGACGGCGAGGATCGCAAATAGGGGGAGAGAGAATTCGATGGAAGCACTGAGGTACTCGTGTACGAGGCAACGACAAAGCGAATGCGAACGATGCAACGAAGAGCGACGAAGGAATCAGCAGAAATAGTAGTACATTCATAAATACTTCAACGGGCACCTGCGAGATCGGTCATAGTCCTGAAAGCGTTCGGGATCGGCGAATCTAGGTTTTATGCGTATCCGAAATCACTGGCGATTGGGGGTGTTTAAGGGCGGCTGGTCATGCGAGGTGGATGGGGACGATGATGGTACAGACCCCCACCGCCAGAGGGATGATGATGAGTTCCAGGAACGAAGAGCGCTCCGCGGTTGTGCTGACTGCGTTCCTTTCGTCGAAGGTGGGTGGGGGCAGGGAACGGTTCGTGCAGACCCTGATTAGAACCGTCGGAGTAGTAAATCTTCGGGCGCCACGCTTCCTTCTCGTCCATGATACAAGAGTTCTTGAACTTCTCCACCAGAGACTCCTTCCCTCTACACAGGAATGCGAATGGTCAAGACAACGCATTAGGGGAGACAGCAAAGACGTACTGGTATGTAGCGTAGCACATGTGCAAGGTTTTCTCGCTCGAGTACATGTTCCTTCGAAGCGGCCGTAAGTCTGAATGCATCAATACATGAGACGTGAACGAGTACCATTTGACACCAATCTGGGTTTTGGCGAAGTGGAGAAGGTCTTGGACCGTGATGAAGTTGACAAAAGCGTAGCCTACGTTGCACCCTATATCCATCCAAGTTAGCGTGATTCAGGGAAGCACGACATATATGACCGACCGTTTTGGAAGTCCATACGAAGGTACATGAAATCGATGCGACGAGGGCAGACCTTGTCAATGAAGGCCTTCAGATCCTTGTCGGTCATCTTGTTCGGGATGTTCTTGATCATGACCGTTGTGCGTGTGTCCGTTCCGTTCTCTATTGCCCCAATGTCCAAGACATTCTTCGCTCCGGGCGAGCGCCCACCAGCTTGAGAGAGATCGGCTGTCCTGTTTCCTTGAGGGGTCGACGGTTGGCGGCCACCATAGACGGGACGAGGGGGAGAGGACGAAGGGCTAGCGAAGATAGTGTCGACGCTCGGGGAAGGTCGGGTAGGTGGAGCACAGGGAGACGTATACGCTGGACCACGGGGACCAGGAGGGATCAAGTAGTCGACTTGGGATAGGTGAGGAGCCGTGTACGTCCAGTAAGCGTTGCTGGCAGTTTCGCCGTCACGAGACCGATACCCAGTAGAGTCATGGCCGTAGACAGGATACTGGAACGGATGGGGGTGGAATGGGACCGGACCAGGTGATCCGTACACGTAAGGGCTATCGGGGTATCCGTACGGGATGGGAGGCCCGTTGAAGTATCCCGGGGGCGCCTGCATTTTGGGTAGTCCCGCGAGGTCGTCGGCACTGGCGCTGATGCTGCGTGGTCGCGGAGGTACAACGTGAGAGACTTCGAACGCCTGCATCGATGACGATTTAGCGACGATATGATATTCAAAACAAAGTAAAGTACCTTTCCGACGGCGTCGAAGAAAAGATGGTTCGATGAGCGGCGGCCATGATCTTGACAGCCGTCGTCGATGCCATGCGTTCTCCTCGCTATATCATTACCGCCCGAGCCGTCGCTTGCACTGACGCTTCGAGGTCGTGTGCGATCTAGAACAAGAGTTACGGGGGTCAGTATTTCGTGACGGCGGCGGCGCTTCATAAATTTCGTACCGGTCGCACCGGTTTGGTCGTTGACGTCCTAAAATGAGATACATCACGACAATATTCAACTCCATACGCAAACTGGACGTACCAATGAGGATGGGTAACCCATCTGCTGAGGGGATGATGGGAGACCGCCGTGAAGAGTATTCGGGGCAAATGCCAAGCGAGCACCGAAAATCATGCGATTGTTCAGCGCTTTGCGAGCGTTGGCTGCATCCCTGCAATCGTGATACTCGACGTGGAAAGTCTAACATGACAAGGCATGAGACGGGTATCTAATACGCAAAGCGATAGAGATCCTGACCTGGTCGTGAGGATGCGCCCCGACCCCACTGAAGGACGCAAGCTCTCCAAAGGATGCGAACAGCGTTCGCACATCGTGCGGGACAACCGAACGACCTTCTACCGTTATGCGGAAGGCGCCGTCCAACTCGCTCACGAAGTCCGACTTTCCAAAGAACTAGGTTCGCGAGACGGTGAGCATGCAATGACTTTGGGGTGCTGAGTATCGTACCTTTTGGACCTGGGCAGGGTCCATGAAAGCTAGCGTCAGACAGACGTCAGACAAGGTTGAGATTCGTTTCCCGGATATTTGCCGCATGGCGCGCCCCGCATGCCTGGTGTCATAGAAGGCGAGGATCGCAACTCCGTGAGACTGCTGAAAGCGGACTTGGATACCCTTGACGTCCCCAAAGCCATGAAATACTTCCAGCAAAGCGCTCGTGGGAGCGGATGCAGGGACGTTGCGCACCTGTGGCATTGATCAGCTCCATTCATACGCAAGGCACAATAGGAACTCACCAGAAGTAGCCTCGTGGGATGCTCGCTGGACGTCTCTCCAAAATCCAACTCTGACATAGCATCATAGCCATCGGCCTGAAGTGGGCGCTCGTCCCGCGGAGTTATATCCACGCCAGCGAGGCCAGAAGCCAGAGAGGTGATGTCGTAGGCCTGCCCGTCGCCAGCAGCCACGGCGTCTTCGTCGGACGAGGAATGCGAGTGTGAACGGGCGCTAGTGGGCGTGAGATAACCCATCTGGTGAGCGTTCTCGAGCTTGGCTGCGCTCATGACAGTTGCAAGGCCAGAGGGATATGCTAGGGTGGATGGAGACTTCTTGAGGCCGTGTTCGGCAGGGGCCCAGCGCGGGGGCGTGAGCGGGTCGCAAAGAGTCGACGGCGTGTCTTGAATGTGGGAGGTGAATGAGGAGGGCGTTAGAGGGGGCGTGAGCAGCGCCGGCGGCCTACGGCTAGAGTCAGAGCTCTCTGTAGTGGTGGGCGACGTCGACGGAGATGACGCGAGATCGAGCGGCCTGAGATGAGGACGTCTAGTGGTGCCGGGCGAGAGGACGGGAGGCACGAGAGAGCCGTAGTGATGGGGAAGCCTAGATTAGACGTCAGACGGGCGCGAGGAGTGCATGTATGCGCGCATTGAGAGTGGACGCGTACCAGAGGTTAGGAAGGGAAGGGGTGGAATGGAGGCGGGGCGGGACGGAGGGCCTTTTGTCGGCGAGCTGGGACTGTGGGGAGCGGGCGGTTAGCGGACGTGCGAAGATGACAGGAAAGCGGTACAAACATCTTCGACGTGATGGGTGGTGGGGAAGGGTATGGCGTGGATGTCCATGGGCATGGCGGTGAGGGGGGACTGGGGGCGGGTATTAGACAAGGCGGGGCGGGGACAAGGTTCTGAGAGGCGCGTGCGAAGATGGCACGAGGAGCCGAACAAGCACTGTGGGCGCGTCTGAGCAGGCAAGCAAGAGCGCGGAGGGCAAGAGGCGGGCGACGGCGAACAAGACGGGAGGAGAAGAGGAATGAGCGTCGGGGGTATAAATGAGCGGGCGGGGAGGGCGGGCGACGGCGTGGAGTGGCCAAAGACAGCAGAAGAAGGATGGAAGAAGGCGGCGACTGGAGACGACCGAGCAGGCGCGAAGAGGGCACGGGCGGGCGGACTTGGGGGCCCGGCGGTGTGTTGCATTCCCCGCGGATCCCGACACGAGCCGTGCGTGTCGAGGCAGCCGACGCCGCGCCACGCAGGCCCGCCCCTGCCATGTATGCGTCCCAGATCGGACGTGGGCTCAGCTGCCCTGAGAATGCCTGTTGCACGCCCGACGCTGCCACTCGCGACCCCGCGCCCGCCCCGCCTGCACACCGATCGTGGCGGACGATCTCGCGCGTCTTCGGTGCGGCCACATCCGCCGTACGTCCGCCCGCCGCCCGGACACCTCAGCGGGCTCGGGCGCAGGCTTGGCCGGTTGGCCAGTCGCAGCAGTGCTCGGAACTGAGATAGGAGACCGGCCACGTGGAAGGCGTCGCAGAGGGAACCCAGGCCGTGGAGAATCCAGCGCCGGGCCAGAGAGAGGCCAGCTGTACATTCATCCTGAGCCACTCGATTTCGACAGTCGGCGTCAGGTCCAGATGGCAAGAGGAATTTATCGCACGCAGGCATTCTCCGTGCCGTATACGAGAACTCGCTCCCACGTTCTCACGCCACAGTACATCGGCGTTGACTGCCAGTCCCTCCCCGCTGGGCCCCACGTAGCACCTACAGCACCACGCGCCTCTGCACATCCTCCACGAATCTCTCGCGCTCTGTATGTCGTGAAAGGCAGCCGAGGGGCGAGCAGTCGTGATGGAAACCACGCCGAACCAAGTAAACGCCCACGCATTTCAACCATGTGGCTATCCTTCCGGCGTCGTTGTTCGACCATCTCCCGCTTTACTGCGTTGCACCCCGCAGCTTCTATGGGCGGCATCTCCCGGCCAGCCTTGTGAAGGTATCCAGAACTTCTACGCCACCGGTGCAATATGGCCTTTATGCGAGCTGTGTATTCGGACGGAAGGCCCACAAAGACGTCATCGACGGTCTTCCAAGGGCCGATCGGTCTTTTCGGAAACAAGATGGGTTCCGTTGTCTGTGACAGAGAAAAAACTGGCCGGCTGCTCGTCGGTGGCGGGGGTGGTATCGATGCCTCGAAGCGCAGATCGTCGAATGGATGCTCCAATTAATCAACGACACAGATGAGTCCCCGCCTTCTTAAAAACGCCGCATCTCTCAGCACCCACGATGATAGCTGCGAGATCTCGCAGCCCAACCCCAGAACTGCCATCCGACAGGTCGCCATCGCCATTAATGTATTGTTGTCGCCCATCGCACAAGCCCGGTCGGCCAGGACGGCCCTCAGTGACCCAAGCTTGCGACCCATACGGGCAGAGTCTTCGAATCATTACCGGGGAGAGCAGGTACGTCCCATGCACGTCATGCCATCCGCATCCGGTTTGCTTGTCTCCTTACCCACGTCACGTCAGTCTTCCGTATCGGGTTCATGTCTCTTACCGTCCGCAGAATGCGCGCCACAATGGCTCCCGAGCGGCCATTGGGTGATGATCCCGAGCGCGGTGGCAGATAAGGCAGCTGCTTTTCTCACTCGAAGTACTGGTCGGCTGTTTCCCGACGATCTTCCCCCGTTTTCCCACAAAGTCTGAGGTGTCTCTCCGGAAGCCCAGTCTAGTCGCAGATAGCTGCCACCCGGCCCAGCGAATGTGAGAAGGACGACGCCGACCGCCACGCTCTGTCAGTAGGTATATGCGCACGCCGCGGATATGTGTGGGCTGAAACCATCTCTCGGCGTCTATTCAATTAGAACGGCATACCGGCGTGTCTGTCCGCGGTTGGTATTCCATCTACGCTCACGAGCTGTGGCAGGGCGCTCCTCTATTCCAACCTACGCTGCGGCGCCACAAAGACCATCAAACTCGTAAATGGTTTGATATCATCCAGTGGCAGGGAAGTCACAACGATTGGTTTTGATGTTTCAGGTCGCTCCGAACTGGCCCGCAGGTACGGACTCCGGAGATTGGGTGACTGTTCCTCCACCCGCCCATCTTGCAGTGGCGTCGTGTGGTTAGGGTATCGGCGCAGCGGCACAGTTGCGTAGCCGGCGGGATTCACCCGTGCAGGCCTGTGTTACCGATGGGCGTGGAGCTCGCTGGTGCTACGGTTCCTCGTGTACGTTTCGGCCAACCACTCGCCTCCATGCAACCGGGTATGGGTCCGTGTGGCACGGTTGCGTGAAGCAAGACAGGGCCTCAGCATGCCGAGTCTGCGTCTCATGATTGGGATGTCCCCTATCAACGTGCGAGTCATTCTTCTGTCCAGTGCTGCGCTGCACCAGCTTCGCAGGAACCACGCGACACTGCACCGATAGTGACAGTACCTTCTGTTTCTCAAAGCCGCACAGGTGTCTGATGATCTCGTCAGAGCCTCCTGGTTCCTAATCTCGTTGCACCTGCAATATGCCGACCCACCGTACCCTACTGATTGCAATGGCGCCAGTCCGATTGACGTACACAACACTGGAACCCCTTCTAGTGAACGCGCTTGCACTCGAAGCCATTCAGCTCGGGTTTACGTTATCCGCGGTGTCGGTGGCCAAGGATTGATTTGAATGTCAAACTTTCCAGAAACAGCAAGAAGGTTCCTCCAAGCGACGGGCGCTTTCCGCGCTTACCGTAGCAGGCCGTTCGTGCCGTTCGCCGCGTGTCGCCAAAGGTCGCCAACATCCGATCTCTTCACCTCCTCGCAACGACCTCCTCCAAGCTACCATCGCAAACCCACTTTGCTCCCGCCTTTCCAGCCCCAATGGACGCACAAGCTCGATGTCTTTGGGCTTGATAATTCATTCCCGTAGTCAAAAGGGTGAGTTCGCCGTTCATCGAACCCATTTCACCCCCCGGCTGTCGCTCGATCTCTGGAGGTGGCTTCGTGCTATCCTTCGGGGGCAGATGGGTGGCTCCCTCTGCTGTTCTGTCGCCCACATCGTCGCGTCGTGGCTTCAGGTCGTTGAAACATCTTGCTGTGTGGTTTGACCCTCCAGGATGAAAAGGTCTTGGGTTGTACCGGATGTTTGTGGTTCTCGCGCTTCTGCCCAGGTATTTCTACTTGGGAGAGGAGGTGCGGGATTACCGTCGGGGAGCCATCGGCCGGTCGGCTCGAATGAAGGGTTTCTGCGAGGTCAAATCTTGCGGCAGTTGTGCGAGGAGGACCTGTTACGCGATGTGGTCGAGCCCACCTCGGACGATGCGGCCGCCAGTTCGAGTATGAGGCCATTTCCCCCCTGTTTTCGTTCACATGCCTTCGAGTTTCGTGGCAGAAGATCGGATGTTGTCCACAGGGGTATCCTGCGGTGTATGCTTGGCACGAGTCGTTCCCCGGGATCGCGTTGCGCGGGCGTTCCAGACTCCCGCCATGTTTTTGTCTCTTTGCTTCGACATCTACTGGCCACTTTGCACGTTCTAATGTTACCTGCTTTAACTCACAGCCCCACAAACCGGACCCCTGTCGTCGATCCGTGTCCTCAGAGCGTTGCCTACATCCATCGATATGCCACGATCGATGTCCTACACCCGCCGCCTACGACTCTTTCGAGATCGAACTCGCCCTCTTGGTTCTTGAACCCTGAAAGCTTGAACATTCGGCCCTTCATCGTACCATTTGCGCAAGTTGAAGCTTGGGACAAGTTCGATTGGGTGGCGCCTGTGGTCTACAACACTGCTAGCGATGATGAGGCGATCTCCAGAGGAGATCTGGGTGTACACAATGAGGTGCGTGTTAAAGTACGACAGTTTTTGTTTGGTGTCTCTTCCTCCGTCGCCCTATCGCTTGATCGTGATGCGCTGCTGGCGTATCCCGGTCAGAGGCTTGTACTCATCGAGCGCGGCCCTGACGGACCTAACTGGGCTCTAGCTCCTGTCCCAACCTGGTGCTTTTGACGGAAGGCTACCATGGACTGCTTCGCCAATCACCTTCGCGTTATGTCAACCATGTGTTGCGACGACGGCACTTAAAGATCCAGCTCTGGGCGAATGTTGGGTGCATTGCAATCTCCTTGAGGTTTCTGTTCTCGAGTACGAGGGGCGACCTTGGTTACTTTTTTGTGTGACGTGTTCATGTCGCCCCCAGACCCATTCCTGCATTCCGTGCGCAAGCTGACATCATCTCTACGCAGGTTTTTACCTCGACATTGCGTCACGATGCGAGCAGTACCAACTCTGTGCGTCTTTCTCTCTATCTGCCCTATCGCCCGAGTCCCAGACGTTTCTGTTGGGGACGGAGTCGTGACTTCTTATTATACGTATCTGGCTTCCGCAAGTGAAAGCATGGGTGCGCGTTCGGTCACTATCGTGTCTTCGTCTCGCGTCGGCCAGCCGGCACTCCGGCGCGCGAGGAGGGCGCGGTCGGTGGCCTAATGAAACCCTGTGCGACACTTGCGCCGGCCGTCGGGTGCTTAGAGGGACTCCGCTTATCGAGTATGAGGGGCATATTGACTTGGGACGTCACGCCCGGTGCTTTTTGACTGACTACAGTGCGTCGATGTTTCAGATGCACAACATGCAACTTGCTTGAAGATGAAGGTCGTCGGAGAGGCGCAAACTTATACTTATCCAGTGCGTTGGTCTTCCTCTGCCTTCTGCACGTCGGCTATCGCTTGGGTTTCGAGTGCGGCTTGTCATGCCCCTCGGATGTATTGGGAGGTGGCTACCCTTTGCAATGCTGCCGTGCGCACCATTTCGTCGACTTCGCCATAAGTCCGGATTATGTCGCTACGTCCGTCCTCCGGCGACCACTCTGACCAGCGATGCCCACGGACAGTGTGGTGCTTTGGCTCATCGCCGCGTAGTGTCGCGCCTGTGCATATTCGTATGGGCTACGAGCTGGAGAGATCGGCTGACCGACGTAGCGATTGCTGGATGGGTCGTACGACGTTGTTTCGCCAACTTCAGAGGGTGCGCGTGTGCAGTCCCGAGTATGAGGCCATCTACCTCATGCGTTCATTTCACGATCGGGGATCCCATTCGTCGTGCTTTGTGACGTTCTTGTAGCTGACGGTGTCTGTCTTCCAGGGGTGTCAAGGATGTCAAGGGCGTTACATGCTCAGCAAGAAACGGGTACGTCACATTTTTACTCCGCTTCTCATATTGTCCTTGGCCCTATCGCTCGATTCCGAAACGTGTCACGCGAATTTCGGGCAGGAGCGGAAATCTTCGGCCCCTAGCTAGGCTAGACGGAACAAACTCACGGGTGCGGCGCAAGATAAAGCGATCCGTCTACGACGAGTCCACATCTCAAGAGGTACTGCGTCAGCTGCGGGTATCTCTCGGGCCTTGCGTCCGGACCCAAGACCCGATCGGCCCCGTAACTGGTACCTCTGGGGATGGGGATTTATACCCGGTCGTAGACAGTACGATGGCGATATGTCGTACCATTGAGTTTGCTCTGCGGAGAGCTCCTGCTCTCGAGTATGAGGGGTGTTTACTTTCGTCCGTCGCTTCCACTTTCCACCCATCTACTGTCACTCGGCCTGTCGAGTAAATGGACTGATGGACTTATGTTGATCTAGTTGCGTTCTGTCCCGTTGGGGAGTCCCCCTTTGGAACAAACACGGCGAGTGTTCCGATGAAGATCGCTGTCCGACCAAGGTACGCTGCATTCATTTGTTCGGTGCTCTGTAACACGCCCTATCGCCCTACGCCTGGACACTTCTGTGACTAGGGCGGAGTCGTACATCCTTGCGCATGGAGTCCGGGGGGATCTAGCCTTTGTGGGTCTTGGGTAGTACGAAGTGCCTGCTGTGCTTGCAACGTGTTGTCGACACGCGTTGCATGGCGTCTCAGCTGTACGAACCGTGCTATTCCCACAAATTCTCTCTCCCTTGAGTTGGTCTCTAAATTGCGCGGGGGATTCCGTAGGCAGGGTATGAGGGGCTCGAGGTCGCCTTCGGAGCACGGGCTACTATCGCAGATGCTGACAAAGAGATAGATGCACCATGGTGGACGTTCTTCGAAGTAGCATCGTATGTACCGCGGATACTCGAGTAGATCGTCTTAGAGGCCAATTATCAACGTACGTGATCTTATAACATGACCTGGATGCTTGTCTGACGCGACCGTAGATCAGCGCCTTGGTGACGCTTGATCTATGCTGTACTGTTCCTGAATAAATCGCAGAGAGGACATTCACTGTGCTTCACGGTTCGCCTGAAGATCGCTTCCAGGCCCATTTATCGTCTGTCACAACATCCAGAACTTCGAGGCCGCGAGCCCCGTTCGTCTGCTGCTCGATCCATTCGCCGTCTGTCAATCTATCCGTTGTTCGCTTACGATTTCCGGAGTTTTTCTATGCTACCACTTGGCCGATCTATATCTGGAGATCTGTGACGCAGGCGCAGCGAGTAATCGGGCCCATGGCCAGCACCATAAAGCCCGAGCCCCACTCCCCATCGACGACATCCCCTCTCCCTGCATACACCATCCCCAATCCCACAACGACCCCCGCACACCACCCCGTGCACGCAAGTATGACCCGCGTCGTCGTGAGTTCCTCTGTCCTCCTTTCCTCCATGAGCCCTATCGCCCAGCGCCGGGGAGCGTCCATGCGGCGAGCCCCGGACAGCCGCGCAAATCCTCCTCAGAGGCACCGCGCGCCCGCTCGAGCGCGCACACCAAGCCCGTTCCACGCGTCCCCCGGACGCCTCCGGCCGGCCACGGGGGCAGGAGCGCGCCCTTCGAGAGACGACGCACCGAGAGCTGTGTTTGTGTCCGGCCGTCCGAAAGACGGTCGCCCGTCGAGTCGAGCGAGATCGTGCAGGCTGCGGGGCTCCGCGGCGCCGCCCGGGAGTTGATGTTGCGAGATTGACGTGCGGTGGTCCGTGCCGCCGAGGTGGGGGACTCTGGATGGGCGTGCGTGGGAGGCTGCACGTGCGGACGAAGATGGGAGCGGCTGTGAGCTGGGTATGAGGGGCTTTCGTCGTCTTTCGTGCGCTTGGACCGTGCTAGGGGGCGTTGACTGATACGGTGCTAGATGGGGTTCAAGTAGGACGCGATGGCAAGTTCCATGGGATGCGACGAAGCTGCGGCGCTCTGCCCGAAGAAAGGTCGGTGTTTTTCATACCACGCTCTCGACGACGGATACTGATGTGTCTAGGGGTCGCAGCGACTCTGGCAACACGCGGCCTTTGTACCGTCGGTACATACGGCAGAAGCCATGCAGGACCTGCCACCAGAGCTGTATCTCGTCGGCGCTCACTATCGCGGCGATAACCGGTTCGAGTCGCGGCTCCCTGTGCGTAGTGTCAGTTCTCGAGGGTATCACGAACCAATCGCGCTGACTTACGTGTATCCCGGCTGGGACATGGTCCCATGTCCGTCTAGGACGACAACGGGAACTTCATCTCCGCCTCGAGCGGCGGCCCACATGCCCCTCAGTTCGGATTTCCTGAGCGGGTCCTGTCTCTCGGGGTTCTCGAGATACCAGCTGGCCTCGCCGCGGGGGACGTGGGCGTCGCCTGTGATCTTGGTGGCGACGACGCGGCGGGTCGCGGACTCTGTCTGTCGCCAGAGATAGAGTACTTCGAATCCGTGCGGTCCATAGTCTCCAATCCATATGCCTTCGAGCGCGTCTGGCGACCACGCAGGGTTGGCTGGATCGAGCAAGGAAGGGTCGACAAGCTTGCGGGCGGTGGACCTGAGCGCATAGTAGCGTGGCGGGGGCGGGTCCAGGGCGGGGTACGGGATCGACGGGGTGTGGAGAGCGGCGCACGCGCACCGGTCGGCGGAATCGCAGCGGATAACGATCGAAGGGAGGGCGACGGCGGGGAAGTCTGGGGCTGGGTACGCGCACACGGCGGGCAGACGCGCGGCGGGAAAGATGTCGGCCAGTTTCCGCTGGTCAGGCGCGGGCTCGTTCGTCACCAGGATGCATGGCGCGCGTCGGCCGCCGGCGCCGGCGGTGGCAGGAACGAGGTGGGAGGAGGTGGGGTCGAGGTCGAGCCAGGCGGCGGTGTAGGGCGGGAACTCGGGGAGGTTGACGGGCTGGCGGCGGTGGATCCGGAGCTGGTGCCGGAGCTTGCGGCCGTGGAGGCGGAGAAGGGAGGCGAGGTGTGTGTGGACGCGGCCCCGGGCGTGCAGAAGACGCGGGCGCGGGGACTCGTCACGCCGGCGGGTGGGTCGCCGTCGGCGCGGAGGGGATCGAAGGAGATCTTGAGGGCGCGGACGTAGCGCAGCGAGCCGAGGAGGTCGAGCGGGGGCGGCGGCGCGCCGAACCCGGGCCCGGGGCGGGTGGGGGCCGGGAAGCGCCAGACCTCGCCGACGATGCCGGCCTGCTCGTGCTCGTCGCCGGGACGAGGCGGAACTCGAGCATGTTCCCGCGGAACGGGTGGTCGTTCGCCCAGAGGCCGAGCAGAGGGCCGTACGGGTGCAGGAGGTGGGCGTAGACGTCTGCGGGCGAGCGGGCGCCGAAGCGCGAGAGGTCGCGGACGCCGTACGCGGCGCACGCGCGCTTCCAGACGGAGTCGACGGCGAGGTGGGCGTGCAGGGTGCGGCAGGTGCTGCAGAGGTGGACGAGGTCCGGGATGGAGGCGAAGTCGAGCAGGGCGTGGATGATGTCGAACGGGAGCTGCGTCGCGGCGGCTGCGGTGCGGAGTGGGACCGCACGTGGGGCGGCGAGGGGAGACTCGGACTGAGACAGGACGGAGGGCGGAGGAGGCATCGCCGAGCGGGTCGCGATCGTGGTCGACGACCGGGGGGGATCGATCGCAGCAACGACGTCCAGCGCCGGCTGGGTGCTTCCGGCAACGGCCGAGACCACGGTGCTGCGGTCTGATGCAGATGCGCAGCGTGCGAGTCTCCCTGCGATGTTCTTCCAACTTCTGGGGTCACAACTGCGAGTATAGCCGGACGCTGGTTGTGATGCTACAAAGACCGAGGCGTAAGTCACCTACGCATGGTTAGACACCCCAACCAGATTCCGAGCGATCCCCAAGATCAAAGGCGAAGGCGGTAGACAATAATGGACATCGTTCTACGGCGACGGAAGCCCGCCTTCGCGCGGGTGACATGTGCGCATATGTGTCCTTATGTATGCACGATATCTTTCTCGGTCGGCCCCGCGAGGTCTTCCGCGACGCACAAGCGAGTGAGTGTATTATCCACTAAAAGACATATTACGCGTACAAGGTCCGGGTGAAAACAGACGATCGGACACCCCCAGGGAAAATAACGATAGCGCCCGCGCGCCGCCCGCGCACTCCTCACTATGAGCACTGCCCAAGGAAACTGTTCTTCGGGATTACCTGCTGGAAGTCGTCCACCCACGTCGTCAGCAGCGGGTTCGTGTACGCCTCTTGGTACCTATCACAGTGTCGTCAGCGCGCTGCCCAAGATCGGGATCAAAGGGGAAGGAGGGGCGGAACTGACTGGGCGATGTACGCGGCGGTGGGGAAGTCGTCCGGGTCGCAGCCGACGTTCTTCGCGCTCGGGTCCTGGTACACGCGTATCCAGTCCACCCGCATCTTGGTGGGGAAGACGAGGTCGGCGAAGTCGACGGCGCCGAAGGACGGGGAGATCCCGAGGTTCATGATCAGGTACTGGGGCGACGGCGTCAGCGACGGTCCTGGCCGCGAAACAAAGAAAAGTAAGGAGACTCACCATGGGCTCTTGCGGGACGACGCGCTGGCTGATCTCCGTGGCCGCGTCGGGCCCGACGGCGGCGGCCTCCATCGTCCACGCGAGCGAGCCGTCGGCGATCCAGGCGATGTACTGCCGCGAGGCCCTCAGTCACGTCACGGAGCCGTCGGCAGCCTCACGAAGGGGGAGGAGGACTCACGGCGCCGTCGACCCCAGGCTTGTACTGGAAGCCGTACGTCGAGAACGCCGCGCCGTTCAACTCGTACGCGGTCTGGTCTGCGGGCGCGGGCGCGACGTGAGCACACGCGCGAGCGCCGGTCGGATCCGAGGACGCGGAGGGGAGACGCACCGGTCGCGGTGACCACGGAGGTCGCCTGCTGGTACACGCCGCCCTGGTAGGAGTTGATCGTGCTCTTGGTGTCGTCCGCGACGATGAAGCCGGTCTGGGTCGCGTTGTACCCCGCGTTGAACGGCTGCGCGCGCGCCCCGTCAGCTCGACCGCCCGTCCCCGTCCCTTCGTGCGCGCGGCCCAGAACACTCACCGCCCACTGCCCGGACTGCGACACTCCGCCCGCCGACGTACCCACGGGCGTCCCCCCAATCTGCACGAACACATGTCAGGCACGTCCCGTCCGATCGACACCGGGGCGGGAAGACGCACCTGGGCCTCGAACATGTCGATCTCGGGCGACGACCGCCCGACGTACTCGCCGTTCGAGTGCACCGGGCCGGGGTGCGACTCGCCGGGGCAGGTGCAGCGCGAGAGGCGCTGGCCGGGGAGGAACGAGAGCGCGCCGCTGTCGCCGTTCTGCGCCGCGGCGAGCGGGAGGCCGCCGTTCGTCTGGTTCGCGACCGTGCCGACGTCGCACGAGTCGTACGAGTACGGCCACTGTCAGGCCGTCGGTCAGCTCGAGACCGCGAGGAGAGCGGAGAGTGCCCCGCGCACGCACCATGCCGTCGAGCGAGGCGCCGTACCCGGCGCGCCCGAGGTTGCCCATCGCCCAGATCGCGGGCCAGAGCCCCTTGACGTTGTTCGCGCCGGGGAGCGTGACGGAGGCCTCGACGAGCCCGCCGGTGAAGCAGAACTTGTTCCACGAGGACATGAGCCCGCCGGTGTAGTTCAGGTCGTGGTTCTCCTGCGCGGAGAGCGTGATCTCGAGCGCGCCGTCCTTCGTCATGATCGCCGAGGGGTCGTACCACTCCAGGTTCCCGGTCTGCCAGTAGTGGAGGTCGACCGCCTCCCAGTACGGGTCGTCGCCCGGGTAGAACGTGCGCCCGTCCGTGTTGAACTCGTCGCTGAACACGAGCTCCCACGTCTGCCCGCTCACGTAGTCTGTCTTCGTCTGCACCTCGAGTGGTGTGTCCGTGTCGACGAGCGCCCAATTGCCGGGCATGAGCGGGACCTGCCCGTGGCGTTGATCCCGCCGTAGTTAAAGCCGCCCTGATTCGAGGGCTTCGCAGCGAGGAAGTATGACGCGAGCGGGAACCCCGCGCTGTGGTGGGGAGAAGGTCGTCCGTGAGCATCGACGTCTCTCGCCGTGCGCGGCTCGGCTTACAACAGGCCGACGATCCCGGTGGCAAGGATGAAGATGCAGCCGAGGTTCGTGCAACCGCGGGCGGTGATGATGATCCCGCCTTTGTCGGTCTTGTAATCCCGCCGCGGGTCTGGGTTGTGGAGCTTGTCGTCGGCCTCGGGGCCGTTGAACATGGCGGTGGAAGCGTCGAAAGGAACGGTGAACTGCAGGTGAAGGCAAGAGTGAGTCACAACAGGGGTCGTTTTAGGATAAGAACAGGCTTCTACTTTCTCGGAAACTGAACGAGCGGCATCGCTGCCTCCCTGTCGGCAAAGTTGTATCAGTCAGGGCGCCTGTCGGATGGCATTGTACGCGAGCATACCATGGACGACATGCTGTTTGTGAGGCTGGACCGAAAACGGCCTGCCGGGGCCACCCAGGGAGCCTGGGACGCCTGGGGACTGCCCAGGGGCGCGTATCCGCTCATCGTGAACGGAAGCGCAGCGCAATCGAGCAGGAGGGGGTCCTGCACGGTCAGCAGGGACTGAGGAGGAACTTGTTGAAGGAGCGGAAGGGGGCTGCAGAAGGCGCGGCCGGAGGCAGCCCAAAAAGACCCGTGGCAGGGGCGATGCGGAGGCAACCAGGGACGGCGGCGGGTGACAGAAAGTAGTATGAAAGGCGTGTGCGCGCGAGGAATTCCAGCAAGGCGGGTGGGCAACGTCGTCCGTCCTTGTTGGTTTCCGCGAGCGTTCGGTGGGGCGAAGGAAACTGCGCGAGGCGCGACTGGCGCGACGGATATATAGGACGCAGGCCTCCGATGGCCGCAGCTGAGGGAGCCACGAATGCAGAATAGCGCGGGATCTTGCTCGTAACAACCGATCGGAGCCGCGCGAATCTGCGCGCTGCCGTCCGTCCGGGGCTGTTGACATGCTGTCCTCCTTACGGTACACACGCCGTGTAGAAGACAGCCAGGCACAGTGGCTTCGGAGACACGTCCTTGCTGGTGGCTCGATGTGCACGGAGGGGGAGGACAAACCGACGTGCCCTGGGAGAGTTGAGGCTGGAATGTTGGGATCAAACTCGCCGCATGCAAGATCGCTTATTCCTCACCTGGAGCGACGACAAGGCGCGACGAGCGACCGCATGAACTCGACGCTGCCCTAAATTAGACGGGCGCTCCATAGACGCCGACATCACCACCTCTCCCTCGTCCGAGTCTTCGTCACCGTAAATCTCGAGCGGGAAGCTCAACTCGCACCGGAAACCATAACAGTCGGGGTCTATCGATTTGACCCAGCATCCGCCTGCCGGCTTGGGCGTGGTGTTTCGTCATACACGGCCGTACGTGAGAGCCCGCTTAACGAGCCGACTCGGGAGGACGATAAACGACTCGAAATCAATCACCCGCTCAGCCTCCAAGATCCACACGAATGCCCCGCAATGGAAGATCCACGCTAGTGCGTCCGCCTTCCAATCTGACCGGCAAGCGGGCACGGCCGATATAGGGTTTACAGTGTCCGTAACTGTCTGTATACTCTGGCGTCCTTCCATCCTGTGTCCACCAAATACACCAGCTTGTGGGTATGAACTGCATATACGTGTGACCAAGAACGGGTATCACATCCGTGCCTGAGCAGGCAAGTACGGCCGCGAGCGGGTTCCAGAAGTAGTGGTCGTAAGCTATCGTAAACGAGAAGGGCCAGAGCGGATAAAGATGCGAAAAATGTTATAACGTGGGTAAATCGATAGGTAGATGCGAGATGCGAGTCCGTGTTAAGATCGACATGCGAGATGATCAGTCGTGTTGGTGTTCGAGCTCGTCGAGGAATCCGAGCCACGTCTTCTTGTCGATGACGCCCTGGTCTGGATACCGGTGTCAGCGCATGAACATCTTTCTCGCGAGCAAGAAAGCACTTACAATGCCCGTCCGTGTCGGTGACGACGACGTACCGCGCACCGAGCTTGGTGAAGAATTGCTGCACGAGCTCGAGCGGCGAGTTGTCCTGCACGGTGAGCGGCGCCTGGTCCATGTACGGGCTGAAGTCGTAAGGGTCGAAGATGTACGAGCCCGTCTCTGCGAGCGAGGACACGGATGCGGTGAGGTGACCGTGCCCGTGGGGGTCCGTTGGGTGGAAGGAAATCACCTCGTCCGCGTCGTCAGCCACTATGCCTATTGAGCGTACCATAACAATAAGTGGGGTCCTCGTGAGGGGTGAGATAGGGAAGACGTACTGAGAGCGTGCTCAAGCTCGTTGGCGCCTATGTAGCCAACCATCCGCATGTTGTCCTCTTCATCGGGTCGCAAAATTGGGAAGCCACTGTCCGAGTGGCCGGCATCGACGAGGCTTTGAAGCCGATCGCAGAGCGTCTTCACCGTGTTCGTCCTGTCCACGCGGATGACTTCAACGTCTCGATCGGCCTGTCCGCGTCGAGAAGATGTCAGAAATGGGTACCGATCGGAGGCTGAAGAAACGCACCACTTCGGTCAGGGTATGCGCGCCCCAGATGTATTCGTGCTTTGCATCGAGGTAAGGTAACTGAGAGAGTTCGATCACGAGGTCATATATGCCCTTCGGTTCAATGGCGTCCGCAACGGTCTTTGCGACAAGGACAGAGAGCATGACCGGAACTGCGTAGGTCAGGGTATCCGTAAGCTCAAACATGATGACAGCCAGGGAGACAGTGGTGCGCTGATCAATTTGATTAGCATCATAACCATACGGTGCTGTGAGGATTGACCTACAGTAGCTCCCGCGAGTGTGGCAGCGGCGCCAACCATGGCATAAAGACCAGGAATTATGCAGTTCAGATCGCCACCGCACGGCTTGAACGCAGGGCTGTTCGGATAAGAAAACTGAGCCCATTGAATGAGAATTCCTACAACACGTCCAGCACAGGCACCGACTACACGCGAAGATTAGATAGTTCAACGAAAACGAAGGGATCTTGACTGACCTCCCAGAGTAGGGATGAAGATACCCGCGGGAACCTTGATGCCGAATGTTACAATCGTGAGGACGCCCTTGACGAACATTGCGATCAAAAGAGCACTGATGATGGGCACTGCTTGTGTAGGAGGGTTCAAGACGCATAATCCGGAGTGGCTGTTGCTGCTGCCTTCGCGACATTCTGCGAACAAGTTGTAGACCAACTCAGTTCCGCCCATCTTGGTGTAAGGGTTCAAGAAGCTGAGAATGGCGGTAATACCGGTTATCTATGCAGTATTTAGTAAGGTTGCAGAGGGATGATAAGCAGAAGACGTACGAGGACAACCTCCATAACAGGATAAGTCTTCATCCAGGTGCCGTTACGAACATGACGACTCCAACGGTAATTCAACTTCGAGAAGTATGCTCCGTAGACACCCTGAACCGCTATCAGCAAATGACCGAGTGACAGGCTTGTGAAACACCTACACCAAAGACGCCGAGGAGCAAGAAAGGGAACAGCTCATATGCGTGCCAATCCTGTGGTGAGAGATATGTTATTTCACGGAATTGCTCAAGAGGGTCAGGAACCAACCTTGTCATAGGTCACTTGGAATAGTACAAGCTTGCCGCTTCCGAAGGGATCCAGGAAACGAAGGGTCACGGCGGCGACCATAGCGCAGAAGAAACTGGGAGATTGGCTGTGGGTACGCGTACAACCTCATAGACACGCATACACTCACCTTCTCCACATGACCTTCGCCGGGAAGAAGTACGACACCTCCTCCAGACTGAAGAGTACACCGCCAACGGGGGCACCGAAAGCAACAGCGACACCAGCGGCGCACGCGGCACTGAGAACTCCGCGACGCTTGCCTTCATTGGTCTCATACTTGCTGAAGATACGACTGACGATGTTGCCGATGCAGGATGCGATGTGGACGAAGGGGCCCTCCTTACCTGTTGCACGGCAGAGGGATGAGCATTGAAAACCTCATCAAGGTTGAACCTGCTCACCTAGAGACAAACCCGAGGCGACGGAGAGTGCCAGGCCAACCGACTTGGTGAACAGGGTTCGGCCACCAAGATATCCGTGAATCACGAAGCCTGCAAATGTCATGAGATTCAACTGTTCGTATCGTATCTCGAACGAACTGACCTGACAGGATGGTTTTGATCTCCGGAATCCCACTGCCTGCAGCCTATGCAAGCGATCCCTAATGAATACGCATGACAAGCTTTGATGCTGCGGTACGTACGTAGTAAAGCACTTTGCGCGGCGTCCCGCTTGGAGGATTGGCCATGCTCTTCGCATCATCGCCTGATGCGAACGTTGGCGAGAGCACACCCGAGTCCTTCCTTGTGACAAACGAGGTCGAGGCAGTGAGATAGATCGTCAGCAGTGACGAGATGACGGCAAGCAAAATCTAGCACAACATTTGAGTTTAATAGAGTTCCATATGCCGTGAGGTCGTGTGCGTACCGCGATAGCAATGTACATGACGTAGTCAATCGCCTCTGCCTCCAACCAGCTCGAGCTGTCCGCCAGCGGCTGGAAGTGTTGATCCCAAGTGCGCCACGCCGGGCAGTCCTCCTCCACAGCGACCGTGACGAAAGACGGGACGAAGACGGACTCATCTGCCTGGGTCGGACAGCAGAACCGCTTCGCACGCCAGATGCTCGTCGTGCAGTAGCCCTCCTTGACGTCGAACAGCCACTGCTCCGCGCGGACGATGAAGAACGCGACGATGGCGGTCAGGAAGCCGATGACCGTCACCGTGATCCATCCGATGGAGCGGTCGAGCTGTCGGTGGACGCGGCCGCGCTTGCTCTTGCGCCTGAGGAGAGCGGCTTGGCGGGCGGTGTCCTTGATGGCGTCGTGCAGCCAGTCGACGGAGGTGAAGGACGAGTACCAGACCCGGACGCCGTTCGTCTTCATCCCCGCCGCTTCAACCTCGCCCTCGCCCTCGACGACGGGCTTGTCGTACGCGGAGATCGGCCGCTGAGAGGTGAAGTAGCTGCTGTTGCGGAGCGAGTGCGGGGAGTTCATGCTCGGCGTCGGTGGGTTCGTCCAGCGACCTTTGGGGACGAGTATGTCGGACAGGTTGGAGAACGCATGGCGGGCGCGGAAAGATGCCTTCTGCTTGCCGTTGCCATTGGCGCCGTGGGCGGTAGGGAGGGTACCGTAGGAGGCGGGGCGGGGACCAAGCTCGGGGCGGAGGGCGGAGGTCTCAGAGGTCTGCTCACCATCGACGGCGCCTTGAGACTGAGAAGACGAGGTCCCAATCTGGAGCAACCGCTGCCGCCTCCATTCGGCTGTTGAGGGCCCACTCAAAGGACCCGATGGACCGTCGTCGCCTCTGAGCGCCGCGTTACTGGGGCTCTTTGACAGCGGCATCTGTGTTGGAGCTATGTCGGGCAGGGGGTATTGTTGCGCGTCCTCAAGAAGCGACGGAAAGCCTACACCTGGCAAGAGAAGCAGTACGAGGTCAGAAGGACTGTACCAGAACGCGTGCAAAAGGTGCCGCCACTTACCGAAAAGGTACGCAACTCACAGCGTCCAACGGAGGTTGTGGGTAGGCCGACGACCTAGAGGAGTGTCGAGCGACCTGAACGAGCGGTCGACAACTTCGTCCTTAGTCGTCGAGCGTCGGAGGTGCAGCAGACAAGGAGAGGATGGCGGGGCGCGCCCTCCAAAGACGGCTTGTCTCGTGAGCCTGGCCAAGCCGACCGCATCCGATCCTGCCGCGCTCTTCTGGGCACGTGCAACTAGACGCCCGCCCAACGCGCGTCCGCGTCCGACGAGATCGAGGGCATCAGCCACTTCCAAGCCGTTCACGACCCCCTCCACGCAAAATGACCACCTCAGGACTCGGCGTTCCCGTCAAGCTTCTCCATGAGTCTCTCGGACACATCATCACCGTCGAGCTCAAGACCGGCCAGCTCTACCGCGGCAAGCTTGCAGAAGGTGCGCTCCGCCTCGCGTACTTGTGCGTGCGTGCTGACCTTTCCCTCCTTGCCCTCTCTAGCCGAGGATAACCTCAACATCTCTCTCAAGGAGATCACTGTGACCCAGCGCGATGGCCGTATTTCCCAGCTTGATCAGGTGTACATCAGGGGAAGTATGGTCAGATTTTTCATTGTCCCGGACATGCTGCAGAACGCGCCCATGTGAGTCCTCACTGCCTTGCCCTGCATCCGCATCCTTGCTGAGCGCACTCGTCGATAGGTTCAAGCGCGTGGGACCGAACGCGATGAAGGGAAGGGGTATTGGTACGGCTCGTGGAAGGGCTACAATCATGCGCGGTACGTGCGCCCCGTCTGTTCCACTGCTCTCCTCGGCTGATACTCAAATTCCTTCGCAGCGAATGGTATGTTACTCCGACATGTACCAGGCCCCTCCATTTATGCTCACTGCTTTTCTAGCTCGTCGCGGTCGTGGCGTCCCTGCCGCAAGAGGCATTCGTCGGTGAGCGTCGAACAACTGCCCAGGCTCAGATGTTGTGCGCGTCTCTGTCTCTCCAAAAGTCTTCGCATAGTTGTACTGTTATTAGCTCTTGCTTGTCCTGTATCTCATGACGCGGCGGAATGTGCTTGTGGGGCCATTTGGCAAGAAGGACAACAGAAGGATCGCATAAAATCTACCCAATCCAGCACGACAGCATTCCAGACCGCAGGTATCGTACACACAAGTCTGTCCACGAGGCGAGCCTGTCAGTGGCAGGCCATGCCCTTGGCGTCCGCGCCGCCGGAGAGGACGGCGTCGATGTCCATGCGGGGCGAGAAGATGAAGTGGCCGAGGGCCGCCCCGAGCACCGTCGCCGCGATGAGGTACGCCTGCGGCCTCCTGGTCAGTGCCTCTCCAGCGGAAGGGCCCGAGGAATGGGGGACGTACGTTGTAGGTCATGAAGACCAGCATGAGGAAGAACGAGAGGAAGACCTGCGCGCCGTACAGCGACGCGCGGGTGACCCTCGCAGACAAAGGCAGCAGCACCCTACACAACGACACCAGGTCAGCGCATTCCGTCCCGACACCAACACACACCCGACACCCGCACGACATGCCACACAGCAACAGCGACAGCGAGCAGCAGCAGCAGCCCAAGGGACACTCACCCGTCGCGCGCCTTGACGACCACAGAACCGGTCAACAACCCCGCCTCTTCCGAGTCCTCCTCCCCCGCACGGATCGCACTCACCGCCGCCTTGCCCTTGCCCTGCGCGCTGAGCGTCGCCGCGACACGCACGTCCAGCGCCCGCACCGCGACGCGCATGTACTCGTACAGCACCCCGAGCGCGACGACCGCCGCGCACGAGAGCACGAACGCGCCCGTCGAGGAGACGTGCCACTGCCGGAAGACGATGCAGGTGTCCTCGATCTGCGTGTTCCAGAGCATGTTCATCGAGCACGTCGGCGGCGTGGGCTCGCCCGGCATCGGCATCGGCATGTCGTGGCCGCCGTGTCCGCCGTGGTCGCCGTGGTTCATCGTGAGTTTAGGATGGGTGAGGTGAGGGGGAGAAAGTGGTGGAGGTAAGGAAGAGGTCGGAAAGAACGGAGAATGATGGTGGTATCGAGGCTGATGTGGTGAGACGGTCGAGGCGAACGAGTCTGAGCGAGACTGAACAGACGCCCAGGTACATGGAGCGCATTGGTATATATCAGTCCAGCCCCAGAGTCGCACGCAGCAAAGCTTCCTTGCGCAGTCTGCGGGCGGTAGTATGATAGATTAATGGCAACGCTGAACATAATTAAAGACGCAGCCCATGAAATGCCTTAGCGGCGTGTTCTGTGCTATGCATGCATACACGGAATTCCCAGTCCAACTTTCCTCACTTCGAAGGTGCAATCTTACATCTACGACGAGCGCATATTTGACCGAATTCAACGTGACCTTCTTGTTGATTCTATTGATCTTCACGCGAGGGCCTGAGTTGACTGTGCTCGCCGTTATGTCTAGAGATGACAAGACTACGGCCGCGGTACGTTCAGCGATGCGAAAGCAAGGGAGACGTCGATTGCCAATAGTACATCCTACAAAGTGAATCTTACACCTCGCGTCGGTCATGCGCCCGTCATCTCTGCGTCGTCGTCCTTCTTCCCGAGCCCGTGTTTCTGGAGGAGCGCGTCGATCTCCGAGGGCTTGTAGATCTTCGCCTTGGGCTTCTTGTTCGCGTCGAGCGTCAGTGTCGCGAACTCGACTGCGTCGGGGGCCCCATGTCAGCAATCGGCGAGCAGACGCACAAAGCGCGGGGGAGAAGAGGGGTAGAGACACGCACGCTTCTCGCTCCCCAGCGTCGTGCTGTCCATCGTCTTGCTCATCACCTTGAGCACGAGCTCGATCGCGTCCTCGACCGAGATGTCCTCCTTGTAATCCTGCTTGAGCAGCGACGTCGCCGTCCCGTTGTTCGCCCCGATGCACGTCGCCTTCCAGCCAGAGTAATTCCCAGACGGGTCCGAGTGGTACAGCTGGAACTCGTAATGTGGTCGTACCCCGCGTACAGGAGCGAGACACCGAATGGCCGGAGACCTGCCGACGCGAGGCGAACATGAGACACGGAAGCGATGGAGAACTGGCACACAAGGACGCACCTCCGTACTGCGTGTAGCCCTGTTTGAGATCGCATAGCCGCTGCGCGAGCGACTCGACGGGGATGTCTTCGTTGTACATGAACAGGTGTCTTTGTGCCGCTTGCCGCGCGTAGTTGACGAGGGAGTTGGCGTCAGCAGTGATACCCGCGACCCCGGCCACGACGTTTCTGCACCCCGCGCGCATGAAGACGGGGAAGCGCAATGATTGAAAACGAGTACGCACGAGTTCAGAAGGAAGATCTTCTCGCCACTGCCGCCGTACCCGCCGTCCTTCGCCCCAGACATGTCGAGGAGCTTCCCTGTCACCTTCTTCTCCGCGGCAAGCACGACGCCATCCTTGGAGAGCACACCCAGAACCGTTCCAGCATGCGAGATGGCCTCCATGGCGTATTCGACTGCGATTTCGGGTAAGCACGGTGCGAGACGAGGTGGACGACGATCTCACTTTGGTAGAGACGGCCTAAAGCATCGAGTGCATGTCAGAACAGCATGGTAAAGAAGGGCGCGATGCACTTACCCTCAGGCGAGAAGATGGTAGTGCGACCTAACGCGCATGCATAACGTCAGTGCCATTCGACGAATCGGAGCCATGTACGCACTGTCGTAGCGTCTGGCCTGCAGAATAACAGTCAGCAGAATGAATATTGTGGAACATAGGCGACGGCATACCATGATGGAGGATCAAGAGGTAATGGATGAAGATGAGGTGGCGGCAGCGATCTCAAGCTGGGAGTTGACGCGTCCCACTCGCGAGGCGTACGCGTCGGTCGCGTTCGGCGTTTGCCGAAGTGGGCTTACAGATAGGGAAATGTCGTATTCCAGGTATAGATTCGAGCATACCCATGGGTTGAGCAGGATCGGATAGTCAGTCTTTCAGTCCTTCAAGCCTTCGGGGTTGATCCATTGCAAAGGAAATTACCGACAACCTTTCTGTGTGGCGACGCCAAGGTGCTGATATATGTCCTCATGCTGTCAAAGCACACATCGCTCCGAAAACTCCTCCGACTATCTGGAAGCATGTGAACAGAACCGCAGACCCCGACCATAGTGATGGCCCTGCGACGCGCAGAAGGCTAGCGTCGGGTCGCACTCCGGGACTTCGAACTCCATGCGTCCGCGTCTGCCGTGGATGTCCCGATCCCGCACGTCCGCGGACGTGCTCATGTCAATACTCGGGCGCGACGCGAGGTCCTGAGCTCCCGCCGCGAATGGACGCATGGCCACGTCCGGGCTGGCAGCACTAGGCACGCGGCGTCGGCTTGTGTCGTGAGCTCCTGACCGCAGCAAATTCTCAGTTCCGAAACAGCAGTCGACCACGCTGTGGTCTCGACATGCGCTCGCGCGCCGCCCGACTGTATGAAATGGAGGCACCTGTCGCAGGGTAAGTAGGACTCAGACGTACGTCGCGATGACCCAAGGTGACCGGTGACCCTCGCTTGAACCCACGGGTGCGACACCGGAGACATGTTCGCCGGAATGTGGTCAAGGCCGAGACAGTGCGCAGCCGACCGCGTGCGCCGACAGAGACGCCATTCTCCAATGAGATCAATGCAGGCATTAGGGTAAAGAGCAAATACGCGTATTTATACAGCAGCGCGGGGCTGGAGCGCTGCGGATAACAGACACAACACTGACAGACAAACAGACAACACGACGAGTGCATACAGGCCTTGCAGGTTACGATCTGCTTTTCCGGCAAACAACTTGCTCTTCAGGTTGAGGTAGGGATCCAACGAGCGCTTGATGGCTCGGGGCTTCGGGCTTGATGTGGTCTAGTCGTGCATGTCGTCGTCCCGGGCGACGAACGAGTCCTCGTTCTCGTCATCCTCGGCGGCCTCGCCTGCCTGAAGGCCCGCTTTCGCGTGTGCTTCAGCCGAGGAGTAGTCGACGCGAACGCCGCGTGTGCGGCGGCCCCCAGTGATGATGGCAGACGTGTCGATTTCTTCGAACTCTTCCTCCTGCACGCGTTAGACGCGTCGAATGGGCGTGCTGGTCAGTACGGGGCATGTCCAGAGATGGGAGAGGCGTTCCCCGACACAAAGACGCGTCGACGCGGGAAGGGAAGCCACCGACCTCGGCCATCTCCTCGTCCTCGTCCTCTTCCTCCTCTTCCTCTTCCTCATCGTCATCATCGTCCATGGATGTGTCCTCGACCATCTTGCCCTTACCCTTGCTGGTGAGCGGCGAAGCGGACGTGGGCTCGGCGCCGTTGGCGGAGGCGGAACTGTGCGGGCTCCTATGTCAAAGAGAGGTTGTGGCGGGTAACAAGAGACATACGTGGGGACCGTTGCGTCGGTGGCCATGTTTGCACGCGTCAAAAGAGGAGCCAGGTACTTAGACGACCGTAGCGGGCGTTGTGGTGGATGGTGACAGAGCTTGGAGGACGCGACGCGTACCGAACGCGTCTGCTGACCAGCAAACTGTTTGCCTGTGTTTGGGACGGCGGGGCGCCCAGAGTCCGGGATTGTGCCGGGGACGGGTCGGCCGGGCTCGGCGGCGATGCGGGGAATATTGGGTGCCGCACGCGAAATGTAAGGTCGAAGACTGACTTGGACAACAGCGTGCGACCAGGCCTGAGGAGGATTGGTTCGATTGCGCTATCGCCTCTCTGCGCGCACACCCAAAGGAGCCTAGCTGGGCGCGGCGTGCGGTGTGGTGCGTCGCCCGCGCGCGCTGCCTGCCCGCCTGCTGAAGGGCCGGAGGATCGGCGCGGCGGAGGGAGGACAAGGGACGGGCTGCTGATGTAACGAGGGCGGCCGCGGAGGCCAACGACTCGCGGGCTCAGCTGGTGGAGGTTGCCCAGCCACACGTTTCTGCCGGTTACGTCCACTGCGCCAGCGCATGCGCGGCTTGCCCCTGGCTGTCTCGAACCCCCTCCCGATGTGCTCTCGCGCGGGCCCAAACGCCATCACCCCTTTCCCACTCAGCGCCCCGGACGCGCCCCCCACCCCGACCAGGAGCGGGAGCCATCAGCCGCAGGCGGGGCGGGCGCGCGGGAATAGTGTGCGCCAGACACAGGAATCCCGCCCGCCTTCTGAGCCGTCGCCCAATCTGTCACGCTCTTCATCCGCACGAAGCGCCAGGCTCTCCTCGTCTCGTCTCTCCTCTGCCCTCCGCCTCGCCGGGCTTGCTCCTGATCCTGACTGCGCCCGCGAGACGATGCGCTCCTCCCGCTCGCGCGACGCCCCCACCAGATCAAAAGCCCTCCTCACCCTCAAGCTCTCCGGCTCCTCCTTCCTCGACACCGTCATTCGCGACGACCGCACCAAAGACCCTCTCTACATCCTCGAGACCTCCAACGACCTCACCACCATCTACCGCCTCGACCACCCTCGAGACGAGCCCATCAAAGCCGCCACCGTCCAATGGCCCCTCCACCCCGTCCGTGTCAAGGGCAAGTCGGGCAGGACTGTTCAGATCGGAGGCGGCAGCTGGAGAGAGGCCGAGGAGTTCCTCAAGTCAGGCCCCCTCGGCAACACTGCGTCCGTCCTCTGTCTACGATCCCGTCTGTCATTCTTCTCACCTCTCTGTCCGCAGTGTGCGCAAGTTCAGCCTCCCCCACTATCCCAACAGCCTCAAGTGGAAGCTCATTCCTGGCAACTGCTTCTGTGTATGTTCCCCTCTGACGCGTCCACCGCCGTCTTTCGACCGTCATGCTCACTCACTCCCCTCGATCCCAGTGTGTCACCAACCCAGTAAAAGGTCCTGTCGCGGTTCTCGATGCGGCCACCCTCAGCGCCCCGCCCCGAATAAAGATCTTCGACACACTCATTGACAAGGATGTAGCGCGCTCTCAGGACAACTACAAGGGCATCCCCACCTTACTCCTCGACTACCTCATCGTCACCGCCTTCATCCTGGTCACAGACGTCCAAGAGTGGCTGGACCGGCCTCGAGACTCTCGTATCCCCGGCGGCAGCTCATACACTGTCCAGCGTTGGTTGGCGCTCATTCACAATCGGCCACCACCCCCTGAACCCGAACACCCAACCGTCGATCTGAGCCTGACGGTACCCTCGACCCCGCCTCACTCTGCGACATTCCCGTCGCCCGGAGGACTTTGGGAGACCCAGAGTGGAGTTACATCGCTGTCTGGGTCGAATGGTTCGGGTTCAGGTGCGTCGTACATCCAGGACCCTTTCTCCCCGACCACCCCCGGTACACCCGCCACGCCCGCGACGTCAACACATTCGTCCGCCTTCTTCTCCCGTGGGATCGAAGAACCTCCCCCTGTTCCGCCGGTACCGGGCTCTTCGTCAGGCGCGTCCCCTTTCGCCTACAACGCGCAGTCGTCTTCGCAGGCTCGCGAGCGTCCCAAGTCAGGGCCACAAACCTCGTCGCACGCGCCTAGTTCGTCGACGTCCAAGCGGCATACTGCGCGACATCCATACGGAGTCACTGAGGATGGGGAAGACTCAACACCCTCACCACGACCACGACCCTCTCAGACGCTGTCTCTGCCGCCTGGCTCTACGATAGCCGCCTCGCTATCTACGTCAGCTCCGCCCACACCCCTTCCTCCACCCCCCACTGCTCAGTCGACGTCGTCCAACTCCTCCACCTCGTCTCGGCCAGCTCGTCGATTGCCTACTCCACCAGGGCCCGCGCCCGAGCATTCCTTTGCCCAGCCATGGCTAAACCCCTCCACTCCTACTGCATCTTCATCATCATCGTCTGCCCTTCCGCCAGCGCCATCTGCATCAACGTCGAGTCCTGGATCTTCTAACCCAAACGCGCGTGCTGCGAGAGCGTCTATGCGAGGTGCCCTGCGCAACCACATCCCACCACCAGCACCACCCCCTCCACAACACACGCTGCCTTTGCCCCCGAAGCTTGCTCAGGAACAACAGGGGCACGGTTCGCGTATGCCGGCGAGACCCCACACAGCTTCGGAGATTGATGGGATGGGCCGGCGAAGACACTCTGTGGCGAGTTCGGGGAGTACTCCCAGGCGGGCCCTTCCGGTCTACATCCGTACGCCGCCGCCGGACAGACCTCGCAAGAGCTCTCGGAGCGAATGCACGGGATGCGCTTGTCGACTTTGCCGCCACCGCTCACCACCCCCTCACGCAGTGCACACGTCGGGCATACACGAGCCCCGAGCCAGCCGGCGCCCGACTACGACACGCACTCGTTCGTCAACATGGCGCCCCCATCAGTACCACCTGTTCCGGCGCCTACCGGTGCCAGCCCTGGTGCCAGCGGTGGGCTGCGCTCGCCCTCTACAGGCCGGCGCGTGCTCGCCGTGGTCAACATCGACGTGCAGTCTCAAGAAGGTTTGCCCGAGCGCAACATGCGAGTGCGAGGCAGAATATCGTACGCCGAGAGCGTGTACGAAGCCCCGCCCCCAGCATATGACGCCATCGACTTCTCGGTCCCTCCAGTCCCTTCAGTGCCCCATATGCACTCGTTGTCCCGCATGGCGTCGCACCCGCATCTTTCCGTTGCGCAGCCGATGTCGCATCCAGCCCCGGGGGCGATCACCCCACTACCTGTGCCGCCAACGGATCCAGGAGGGGAGGGACAACGCGCGTCATGATCCCGTCGACACCGGTGTTGCGGGCACTGGTTGCATTTCTCTCGCCTGGGTTTGGGAGAAGGCTCATGCGGTCTCGTCCGTCGGCTCGCAGAGGGCGCGCCTTGCGCGTGGTCTCGTTGCGTCTTCGCTCCACGCTCCTTAGAAGTTCTCGACCGCGTGCCATGTTGTCTCTCTACGTCTACCTTCTTTCTGCATCCACACTCATTTCCTTGTCTATTCTCTGACCATAACATGTTCCGTCCTTTACTGCAATCACGATCTAGTGCATCCATCTACACGTATTTCCTTCATTCCTCTGCCGACCTACGCCAGCTATTGGATCTTGACGATCTTGCTGTTGTTCAGTGTATCATACTACCGATTGCCGCTTCCCCCGCGTTGTTGCCCTCACTCCCACCCCTCTACATTCAATCCCTGTAGTCTTTTTCGCTGGCCCTGGACCACCATCGGTTGGTCGCTCCAAGATTCGGGCTCCCCATATCGTACCCGTGCCACGTCGTAATGCCAGTCCATACCCGCCGCACCGATATATCCACTTCCTCCCCTCCACAGTCGTCCCTAGTCCGTCTGACCAGGCTCGCGTCCTCCCCCACCATGTAAAGCGGCCTTCGTAAGAAGCCGCCGTCTGTTCACTTGCTCTCCTCGCACCGCATCAATCGTACATATTGCATATGGCACGGCCGCGCAACGAGTTCTGCGCCGTCTGGACTCACGATCTCCTGGGATCTATCGTATATCCCTAGTCTCACTGCGCCCCTCCCGCCCACCTCCCCGTGTTCCGTCTACCCCCTTACATGCACTGCTTCCCTGTCGTTCGATCGAATCCCCCGTCTCCTTACAGTATCCGGTCCCTATTCCTGCGGTCATGTCCGCTGCTACTTCTACGCCAGACACCGTATCTTACTGCGCGCGCCCGCCGCCCCCTCCCTCGACGTCCCATCCACTAGCTAGCTCCCGTCGCGCGGCGCCGCGTGCTGGCCGTTTTAAATTGTACAGGTCCCACGCGCTGTGTACTTCTACCGTATTCTCCCCGCTACCTACCTAACGAACCCCCCCCCCCCCGCGCACGCGGCCGTCACACACACTGTCCATCACCGTCAATCCCAGATCTTCTCGCCGTCCGCGGTTTCCCTCGGTCTGCCAGTGCGCCCGCGCCGTTGACGGCCAATCAGGGACGCTCGCGCTCGCGTCCGCGTCCGCGCATGTGCGTGCAGGCTGCGTCGACGGCTTCTCCGCCGCACGCGGTCTCCCGGCACTCTCGAAATCCCGCAACAGGCGCCGCGTTCGGCCTCGTCGTGAGGTGCGCGCTGCGCATTCAGTCGCAGGTGTGGGCGCGCGGAGCCTCGTCCTCGCGACCGAGCCCTCGGCGTCCGCGCGCTGATTCCAGAACAAGGACCGTGGTCTGTAGGGTGTGTGTACGTGCGTGGACGACGACCACGGGACCGTGCGTGTGCAGCAGCACTATGTGCCCCCGTGTCATCGGGAAGGACAGCGCGCGAAGAGACTCAGAACATGATCATCGGGCCCCACTGTATGAATAGATGAGACAGTGTTCATAGGATACGATCTCTGAATCCTCACGGTTCTCGTCTGGGCCGTCGTCCCCCAATACTCATCGAGCTGCCATGAAGCAGTCATCTCCCCACCCGCCTGTGTGACCCTCCCGGCCGTCTTCGTCGGCACCGGCCTCCCGTACACAGCGTGATCGTCCTTGCCGGGTTGGCGATTCCAGTCCAGAGGAAGTGTCGAGCGACTCGAAGGCATGCTCAAACCCGACTGAACTCTCCTTGCAGATCAACCTCATTCACGTGGGCTCGCCGTTCTTGCGTTCCCCGTCTGCTTTGCATGTGTAGTACTGTATTATACTCGGATTGGTTTTGATCGCTTCAATGAGCAAAGGCGACCGCGACGAGCATCGCGGTTGGAAAGGCGGAGTCACCGGGATTAATGATCCCTGTTTGACATGCTGTGGATGGGCGACAATCCTGAGGCCTGGACGACGCCTGCGCGGGCCACTGTTTCCCCGTAAATCCCGCACAGCTGTGGGTGCGCGCAGCTGTTGCCGGCGCCGTTCCAGTTGTCGCACTAGCTCACCGTGCGGGGATACTAGTACAAGGGCCAGAGCCATGCGCGTCGTCCGCAGCGCTTCCGCCCGCGCGTCGTGTTCGATCGCGATTTCCGAAGCCGGGCTCCCCGACCCCGACTTCTCCGCACTGCTTGCTACCGGCCGGCCAGAGCTCCTCCGCCGTCGCTCCGATGTGTTCGGTGTGGACCAGGCGGTGGACGAGGTACCGTCAACGTTCAGCGCGCGGCTCGAAGGGGGCAATTGGTCCGGGCGGCGTGCCGGAGTTCCGAGATCGCGCGCGCACGAGACTCCGCCTTGCAAGTTTCGATTCGGACCTCCTGGGCGGTGGGTAGCCGCGTGCTGCTCTCGCGGTCTGTTGACAGTCAAAAACTCTAGGAAGACGCAGCGCTGTAGGTGCCTCGCAAGTATATGCTTCGAGGTTGAAGCAGTATGATTGAGCGCACGTCGAGCGCAGTGCTCCTTCTCTGGCATCTGCTCCCGCTGCCTGCAAGGCCCGCGGTCACAATACGCTCTAGTCTTTCCGCAGCCCACCACCGCGATCTGGGCAGGGACTTGTTCGAAGGCAGAGCACTTCAGCCGTTCGGGCGCGAGAGCCGGCGGGTCAGAGCGGGCCGGTGCCGCCCCGCAATGCCGTTCCCCACATCGAGACTGGCGAGCCTGAGCCCGACATTTGTGCGTCCCGCTCCGAGCTGCGTCCATTGATAAACCCTCTCTCCCCGACTTTCTCTGCTTCGAGGTCGGTGACAACCCTTGTTGCACTTCTTTTCTACACCCCCAGCATCGCGAGGGACCATCTCGCATTCCCGCTCGCCTCGTACACCCTCCCCGCACGCCAAACGACATGTCTGCATCAGAGTCTCACGAGCAGCAGCCCGTCGGCGAGCACCCGAGCAAGCAGCCTATCGTCATCGTCGTCATGGTACGTCCGTCCAATATCCGTCCGACACTGCCCACCTCTCCCCGCCTTCCGCCCCCGCGCGCTCACCCCCGCCCCGCAGGGCGTCGCCGGCACGGGCAAGACCACCCTCGCGACCGCGCTCGCGACCCGCCTCCGGTTCGCCTCCATCGAGGGCGACGCGCTCCACCCGCCCGCGAACGTCGCGAAGATGTCCGCCGGGACGCCGCTCACCGACGCCGACCGCGAGCCGTGGCTCGCCCGCCTCCGCGCCGCGGCCGCGCGCGCCGTCGCGCCCCCGCACGGGGCGCGGGGCGTGCTCGTGACGTGCTCCGCGCTCAGGGCGTACTACCGCGACATCCTCCGCGGCACGCGCGCGGTCGAGGGGGCGGGGGAGGAGGGGGAGGAGGAAGCGGGCGGGGAGATGGCGAGGACGCCGCTCCCGACGTACTTCGTGTACATCAAGGGCGAGCGTCCGCTGCTCGAGCAGCGCATCGCCGGCCGCGAGGGACACTATATGAAGCCGAACATGCTCGACAGCCAGCTGCGCACGCTCGAGAGCCCCGAGGGCGAGCAGGGCGTTGTCGTTGTCCCGCTTGATGCTACGACCGACGAGCAGGCTGAAGTTGCACTGCAAGAGCTCAGCAACTTTGTACCTGACTTGCTGTAGCCGACGTGGGTTCGTGCATTCGTGTAGAGTTCGAAGTACTTGAATATTCAACGTGTACCATCTACTCCTCGGGCGGAACAAACTGCGAACCTTCTTGCCAAGCTCAGAAATTCTCAACAGGCACACCTCAGCACACACAAGTTTTCCTCAACACGTATCGCTGCCAATTCTCCACGTCTGAGCTACGTACATCACAGTTGGGGTACGTAGGTATAAAGGGGACGTCGAACGAGGACCTAGGCGAGTCGTAGCGCGACCGCGCTCACAATCGTCAACCGAGCTCGAGCGCTCACTAGCCAAAGACAAAGCAGTTCATCAACCCGAAGGGAGAACGGCCGTCTGAGGCAAGGAGATCAGCATCGAGACCGGAATCGGAAGGCGAGGGGTCGAGCACTATCGTAAGAGACCAAGTACTACGGCAACCGGAGGTAGGGAGTGGACGACAAATCGCTGACGAACGATGAAGAGGATTTTGTCTCTGGGATATAAGGGAAAAGAGACCCTGGAACGAGAGGAGACGGTGGAGTAGAGATAAATAGAGGAGAGATGCATATGACAAGACATAGACGCATACCATAAAGGAGAGGGTATCACACTGTCCGCGGAACGATCAGAACACACTCACAGACGACGTGGGGCCAACGACTGCCGAGGCAGCCGAGAAGTCCCACCCGGCCAGCTCCAAGTCCAGAGCCGACGGAAAGTCGTCGTGCGAAGCGCCTGCGCTCGCATCCAGGGATCCTGCGTCTTGCTGAACCATGGGGAGCATGGCCAACAGTCTCTGCATCTCCACCTCATTCTCCCAGTTGATCTCCGGCAGCGCGGGGGCTTGTGTCACTGACGCCGCGGGGGGCGGCGCAAGCTTGATCTCGGAGGTTGACTGGAGTTGGGGTTGGGACGGCGCGGCGCCATCAGGCAGAGGAGCCTGAGGCGATACGGGGGAAGGCGCGAGAATTTCACGGAAGAGGTCGTCCATCGCGACCTCGTCGACCGCGCCTTCGCTGAGGTTGATGACCGGCGGATATGAGGAAGGGGGGATGTTGAGGACCAGCTGGAGGCGATTCGACGAGCATTCAGATCCACCCGCTGCAGGGACGCCGATGATAAACGAGGGGCATCGGCGATCGCCACCCGTGCTAGGTGGCGAGTGGAATCGAAGTCGTCAGAATCAAAGAGAGTACTGGAACCGGAAGAGGAGTTTGATGGTGCGGGCGAGATGGGGAAGACGGGGGAGGGGGACACGAGCACGGGGAATGTGGTCGTGAGGGGTTGACTTGACGTATCTAGCGCTGAGGGGTTGGAGGAAAGAGACATCGGCGAGGATGAGGGTGCCGACAAAGGAGCTCCGGGGACGGCAAGGGGAAGGCCAGAGGCGGCTAGCGCCTTCATGACGGCCTCCCAGCCGGTCTCGAGGGTCTTGACCCGTTGGCGGAGCTCCTCATTCTCCTTCTCCTTAGCCCTGTCCTTCTCGCGCTCGCTGTTCTGCTGTTCGTATTGACGTGAAGGGTGGGGAAGACCTTGACCTGCGCGCAACTGCCTGTTTTCCTCCTCGAGCTCCGCGACGCGACGCTCAAGATACCCGAATTGCGCCTTGCGGCGATCGCGGGAGTTCTGGGCGGCGATGCGGTTGCGGTGAGCACGAGCCTCTCTGCGCTCTTCGGAGGTGACTTCAGAGCGGGCGCGCTTGCGAGGGGGACCCGCAGGCGAATCGGACTCGTGCGAATCGGGGGAGGGAGCGTCGACTGGGGAGGGGATGGAATCCATGTCGGCAGGGCGCTTCATGAGTGTAAAGGTGGGGGTGGACGTGGTCGTGGTCGTGGTCGTGGTCGTGGCGAGGGGTACGTGGTGCGAACAGAGAATAACGAGACTGGTCTTGTAGGCGTTCAGACTGCTTGAAGGAGTGCGGGAGTACGTGGTGGTCGTTGGGAAAGCGGTGTGGACACGTAGGACCACGTATGTCTCCTTGTTGTCGGCTATTTGCCCTGTCCCTATATGGCCTTCACGTGCACTGCCCTCCACGTTTGCACTGCGCTGCGCTGCCCCGTCCGGACATTCTCCGCCCGCCACCAAACAAATCGGATGGGCAAGAAAGGCAAGGACCAGGGCGCCGCCCCCAGTCTAGGCAGCGTCGCGAACAGAGACATCACCCAGCGCATAAACTTCCTCTACCAAGCCAGTTCCTATCTCTCCTCCATCTCTCCTGCCTCTTCATCGAGCGACCGGCCCCACAAGAAGGGCAGGGGAAAGAAGAAAAATGCGATAAAACATCCCCAAAACGCCGCTGAGCTGGCCAGATGCTATGCAGGCTGCATGCGCCTTGTTGGCCAGAAGTCCATGGTTAGAATGTGAGCCGCTCGCACGCTGCGCCTCGTACGAATATAAACCGCTCTCCAGGGATCCTTCCATCAAACGCACGCTGTGCAGGCGCTGCGACTCGGTGCTCCTGCCAGGTACCACTGCATCTGTCCGAGTAAAGCGTGAGTGCTTTCTCGCCAACATTGTCGCCAACTGACGCGATCTCGTTTCTGGTCTCAAGCTCAGGGCACCCATGGACACTCAGTCACGTATACATGCCTTGCATGCAGGGCGTCCCGCCGCATTCCGGCGCCACCGGTTTTTGATCCCACTGCTGAGCCATCGACAGCGGACAACGCTGCTCCCGCTGCTGTGTCTGCATCTCAGGCATCACCCGCGGTGAGCAGTCTACAAGAGAGCAACGATGAGCCCCAACCATCTTCAAATCCAAGTAGCACTGTGTTCAAACGTGGGCACCGACGACAACTTTATCCTCGACTACCGCCTCTATTCGCTAGACCTGGACACATCGTGTTCCGCGGGAACGATTTACGAGATGACTCGTCACTTGTTCAACATAGACTGTGATCGATAGGTGTGCACGCGTTGCCGACGGACAGGGATGAACGCTTGTGCTGACCTAGTCCGCATACAGGCGGTTCGACCCAATCTCAGGAATGGTTCTAGGTGCCCTGCAAGTACTGTGCAGAAATCGCAGTGAAATGACTGCCATTTGTATCGTAGTAGTCGCACGTGTATCCATTATTTTACACTCACCTAGTGTAGTTGCAGGGGTCTCGCAGATCCGTCCTCCTACCCAAGTCTACCGCCTTCTTTCGCGCTCTTTTCCGAGTGAAAGGCAGTGGGCCCTCGCATCGCGCCACGACATAACCTTCTTGCCTCTTCCGATCGAGACTGCCTCGAACAGTCCTACAGATCACCCTCAACCCGTCCGGCGCATCGACCTTCATCTCGATGGCCTACTTATGAGACTCTCATGATTTCGGGACAGCAGCCGTATATTCGCTCAAGATTCCAAAGCGAATGTCCACATCTGGCATTCACACACCCACTCCCCCGCCCATCTACAAAACTTTGGGCGAGCAGGTTCCCGGACGTCGGGACCACGATCGGCGTGCGAGCACTTCGGCGCTGTCGGCGGACAAACGATATCTCCTCACCGACGTCGCGCTGGCCCCCTCGTCCTCGTCCTCGTCCTCGTTTTCCTCCATCAAATGCAGTTCGATCTGCGTCTGGACACTGTCCGACCCGGTTTCTGTGATGTGATATCTCGCACCAAAGCATATTGGTGTTCAAGGGATGAGCAGCACACGTTCATACAACCACTGGGAAGGTGTAGCAGCCAGTTGAGTAAGAAAACTATACATTGCAATGATTTGGCACTGCCGAATGGGACCATCAACCGACAATTCATAGGAAGTGTAATCAAAGCTCACCTGTACATACACTCTTTCAAAAGCAAATCGTCCATCCATCATGCAGTTATACAACGTTTCAATAGTAAGCATCCGCCCCTGCGTAAGACTTGCTCGAGCCGGGGGGCGATGACAAGTGAACGTCATTGGTATCGGGGGATGCGTCCAGCAGCTCAAGGTCCTCGGCTTGCTTCCTGGCATACTCCACAGACCCTGGTCCAAACGCTGGAACCGGCTTCGAGTATGCCTTTACTGCCACTGCAGCGACACCTGCGGGAATCATCGCTTGGAGTTCCGATTGCGGGGGTACGGGTGGAAGGCAAGCTACGCATCCATGCGTCAATGACCGCCGCTGGCAACAGGATGCCGGCTCACCGTATCGTTGATCCTTTTGTACCCCACCAAGAACGTGTTCGTGCTCCCCAGCTCCTCCTGCACCCGCGCCTTCCGCCTCTCCCGCATGTCCTTTTCGCGCTCGCTGCCGATCATTCCTCCGAGCCATGGCCGCTCTTGAGCTCTTCCAGCTCACGCTTCGCCCACGCCAGGAAGCCGACCGCGACGCCGCCCTTCGGCGTGCCCCCGTTCTCCCCAGCGTCGACCCCGAGCCACTTCCGCGCCAACGCCCCGTGCAGCGCCGCCTCGTCCGCAAGGTACCGCCGCAGCTCCGGCGTGACCTCGTCGCCCGCCTCCTCCCCCGCCCCCGCGCCCTTCTCCCTGTCCCGTCCGAGGCCGAGCCGGAGCTTGCTCTTCCCCGCGGGGCGCGCCGCCCCAGGCGTCTTGACGAGCGACCTCGCGGTCCCATACAGCGCCGCGCACTCGAGGTGCAGCTTCGCGACGAGCGCGGGCGCGGGGTGCGACCGCGGCAGCGGCGGGCCCGGCGTGAGCGCGCTCTCCGCCGCGGCGCGGGAGAGCAGCTTGCGGATCGCGAGGCTCTGCGCGTCCGCGAGCGCCATCTTGCCCAGCCCGATCGCGACCTCGCGGCTCACGTCGGGCGGCGGCCGCGGGCAGGGGACGGTGCCGAGCGAGAGGAGGCGGGCGCGGTTGGCCTCCCAGGCGGCGACGGCGTGCTTCCCGACGTACTCGTACAGGCCGGCGGCCTTGCAGAGGAGGGTGATCGCGAAGGTGAGCCGGTCATCTTTGGCTTTGCGGTCCGCGTCGGAGGTGGAGCGGTCGGTCTCGTAGGAACCGAGGGAGTGGACGACGGCGCGGGAGAGGTTGGAGATGGAGAATGCGTAGGTGAGGAGGACGAAGATGACTTCGGTGGAGAAGGCAGGGAGGGACAGTCGTGGGGAGTTGTGGAAGAGTGTCGCGGACAGGGTCGTCCGCCAGCTGAACACTGGCGAGAACGTGAGGGTGTGTAGATCTGGTGATGTTGAAGCAAACGCACCTGGCTCGGCTTTCAACACGATCTCAGCAGTCTCCACGCAGCTCAGGATGCCATACAGTTTGGGGATGTACTCGTCGAGAACCTGACAACATCTGTATGAACATCCCACCTGCTCCTAGCCGTCCAACGCACTGCATCTCACGTAGAATGACTTACCTTGACGAGCTTGAGGAAGTCCTTCTCGCCAATATCGGCGCGCTTGCTCTCCTTCAAAGCAGCCCGGAGATTCGCACGAGATTCCGTCGTCTCCGCGATGTGCGTGGTATAGGTAGCGGTGGAATCCACGCAAGAGTCGGCGAACGAGAATGCGCCGGTCGTAGGAAGCTCATAGAGGTAGCCGGTCATTGCGGGACGAAGACAAGGACATGTTGGCAGCGGTGGGCGTCGGTTCAGTGCAGGTGCCCGCTCTCAGTTCTCTCATCGCGGCGATGGCGGGTAACTGTCATCCGGCCCGAGCTCTACCGGGGCCGCGTCTGCTGCGAAATCCAAGCTCGTCGACTTGAAGCTATGTGCAACGCTCAACGCTCACATGAGAGCATGCTCTTCATGTGTTCCTCTCCAAAGATGATCTACCGCGCCGGCCTGAGACGTCGTCATGCCCGCGTCCGCTCTGCTCACGTTTTCGAGAACACGACCCCCGGAGTGATGCCATCTGCGATTCCGGCGTGCAGGCTCCAGAGGTTGGGATCTCCCACTGCGTCTCGTCGCCGCTCCTCTCGACGCACACGCTTCCTCGGACCGGTCCGCGGCAGGCAACCGGCCGCCGGCGACGGGATCTTAGGTATAGCCGTCCCGAGCAGAACTGAGAAGTCGGCGCAATGTGCCTGGATGCCCGCCCGCGCAGGTGGCCATGTGCGTGAAGTACCGTATGTAGTACGTGCTGGCCGGTCACGGACAGGTTGCCACCCAGGGACAGAACGACGGACGCGTGCGCGTGTCCGTCCGGGTTTGTCTCGCTCGCGACTCGCGAGAAGCCTGATGTTTTGGTTAGAACTCTCAGACCGTGGATCCGATGACGCGGAGGACCGAAGTGGCCGGCATCAGGCCCAGGGCGAAAACTTGCTAGGCCCGACTCGCACGCCGGGGCGACCATCTTTCTAGTGCCACATTAAAGCCGAAAGAAAGACAAGTAAGGTTTTCTCTCGCCATAGAAACCATAGAAATACTTTTTCTGGCTGCGCATGGATTTTAAACCTTATAAACAGCTCCAGAAAAGCTCCAGAAAAATGGTGGCCCGGCGTGTCGAGGATGCAGCATGGGAGTGCTTACGTTAGTGAGCCGATCGACATACCCGTGGCCAGTGGACACATCGCACACGCACTCGGGGGACGGGCAGGAGGGCAGCGTGTTGCGACCGGTCGTGGCGCTAATCGAACAACACAACAGCGGCGGACAACAACAGAACCGGGGGGACCTGGTGACAGCGAGCGGGTAGGGCAAGTACAGTGTGGTGGTAGCAGCTGTATCGACGGCGGAACGAGTAAAAAGTGAAAATGTAAACATGCGAGAGATGCGTGAGGCAGATGTTGAAGAAGATGCAAAGTGCAAGGTGAGATGGGGAATGGGGCAGGGGTCTCCGATGCCGGGTGACGGACGGTGCGGCGAGGCTGTGGGTGCGGGCCAGGACATAGCGTAGAGGGCGGTCACTAAATGTGGGGGCAGTACGGTAATGGTACGGGCACGGGGCGGGACGGGCATGTGAGGAGGGGAGTAGTGTACACGGGCGAACGCCCGGCCGCCGCAACAGCGGCAGCAGCGTGCGTTCCAGCATCGGAGAGGGATATGGGACGGGGATGTGTGGGCGGGGTGGAGGAGGGGCGGAAGAGGAACGCGAGCCGATTAGGACGTCACGATAAGTTAGCACCAAGCAAGACCGGTCCGCACGGCGCACGCAAGAGTTAAGATGACAACCCGCGCCAGGGCGGGGGAGGGGAGGTGGTACGTGGTTGGGGGACGTGCGAATGCGAGCCGTGTCGTATGGCCGTCAAAGGAGTGGTGGTATGTACACGCTATGTATGCGGGAAATGTCAAGAACCCGGTCACGATCGTTCACGCAGGTGCCGCCCTATCTGGAAGCCGAACACGCTCGTCGACGATCCCGGGGTCGCCTGCGTCTGTGCCGGGCCCGTCGACCCACCCTGCGACACCGTGGGGTGCGGCGATGGCGTCGGCCGTGGCACAGGCATAGGCGTCGCAGGGTGCACGGTCGCAACGGGGCTGCTCGCTGCGGCGCGTGCCGCCGCGAAGCTCGCCGCGGTCGCGAACTGCGGGCCCATGGGCGTCGGCGGGTTCGACGCCGGCGCGCGTCCGAGGATGCGCTGCACGATCATCGGCGGGACCTGCTGCGAGCCGCTGGTCTGGGACATACCGCGGTGGTGCGTCGGCCGCGCGGACGACGGCGAGTTCGGAGGGAGCCCCGGGGACGACGGTAGTGGGGGGTGCGGCGGGCGATGGGACGCGCTGAGCCTGCGGGACTCCCGGCGGGACTCGGTGCGGCCGGAGAGGATGGAGGAGTGCGTGGAGTGGCGGAAGTGGATGTCGGAGACGGTGTACGGGATAGAGTCCGTCGGAGAGGGCAACTGGTTGACGGTGTACGGGAAGTCGTCCGCATCGTCGTCGGCCTCGTCGTCATCTGCGTCGGTGCGGTCGCCGGATGTCGGCGAGTCGATCCGGAAGGCGGCGGCGGAGGACGTCGGGAGCGGCGGGGACGGCTCCGCGTACGAGGGCGAGATCGGGTGCATCGAGAGGTTCGCCGTCGAGATCGACGGACGCGAGACGGACGAACCGCCGCCGAACGTCATCGACAGCCCGAGCGAGATGCGTCGATCCGGGGGCAGCGACGCCCACGTCAACGTCTGCGCGGGCGGCGATTGAACGTGCTGACTGCGATCGGTGCGGTCGGTGGTGCCCATCGAGCGCGAGTTCGAGTGCGAGTTCGAGCGCGTCGAGCGCGACGAGCTACGCGACTTGGTCTTGCTCGTGGAGTTGGATGAGCTCTGGCGCTGCGACCGCAGCGACGTTGACGCCGACGACGATAGGTCCAAAAACGAGTACATCCGGCCCCCCGTGGTGCGCGTAGGGGACGGGGGCGTCGCCGCCGCCGCTTCCACGGGAGGGGCGTACTCAGCGAGCGCCTGCTTCAGCGACGGTGGCAGCGAGACCGCGCCCGCGCTCAGGTGGCGGTCGCGTTGGTGCTCCTCCACGTCGCTCGCAAACTCCACTCGCAACGGGGAGATGACCGCCTCGGGGAGATAGGACGGCGCCGGGACGCCCAGCATCTGGCTGTCGCTCAAGTCGACGTCTTGCAGCGATCCGTACGGCCCTGGGCTCGACCTCGAAGGCAGGGCTGCGAGCAGTATCCCGCGCGTCGACTCGCGTGGCGCGCACCGCCCCGGGAACTCCCGCGGGCCCTTCGGCTTCGTGCCGCTCGGCGAGGTCGGGGACGAGATCACGAGCGTGTGCCCGGGCGGCGAGGGCGTCGACGGCACCGCGGAGGGGGGCAGGTACCCGTGCGGGTTCTGGACGATGGTGAGGTCGGGGAGCTCGATCGAGTAGCTGCCGTCCGAGTTCTTCGACGCGCCGCTCTGCCGCAGCGCGCGCGCCTTGCCCTTCTCCACCGCCGAGAACCGCCGCCCGTCCGCGCCCTCGCCCTCGCCAAAGTCCGACTCGTCCGCCGAGTCCCCGTCCTTCTCCTGTCCGTACGAGCCGTACTCGGTGCTCGGGCTGCAGATGTCGAGCACGCCCGCGGGCGCGATCACGGCCCCGGGCAGGTAGCCCGGGTCGAACATTTCGCGCGCCTTGCCCGCGACGACGGGCGTGGGGGACTCGTGGCGACGGTGCGGTAGGAGGAAGGACAGCCGGCGCGCGAGGCGCATCTGCGGGCTGACGAGCATCGAGCGCTTGTGGTGCTCGCGTCGCCGGCGGCGGCGTAGGCAAAGCACGACGAGCGCGAGGATCAAAGCGACGAAGAGCGTGACGCCGATGGCGATAGCCGCGATCACGCCTTGAGGGAGACCCGAGGGGGACTCGGAGGCCCCAATGGGGATTGCGCTGAACGAGGGCGAGGGAACGTACGGCATCGGCGGCGAAAGGATGTTATAATGCGTCGATGTCGCGTCCGACGTCGGAGTGAAGAGGACCACAAGTTTGGCAGGAGTACGGCACAGTGGATATGGCGAGCGGTGCGGGGTGAGGGCGAGCGGATCAAATGGTCAGAATCCGCGCTGCGCGAACAAAAAATTGGAGCACGTACCCACTCTCAACGCGCGTGACGTTGACCGCACTGAGGAAGAGGAGGGAGCCTGCGCCATCACCCGCGCCCGCCGGGCCTGCGTTAACGACGTCGATCGCGTGCATGACCGAGGGGTCGAGCCCAGTGCGGAAGAAGAGGAGGGTGGGGGCGTTGGAAGTGAACGAAGCACGTCCAGAAATTGAGATGGGCTCCTCCTTGTCGAGCGTTACGTTGTACGCGCCCGACGCGGGTGTGGTGAGACCGATGATGCTGACAGCGGAGCCTAGGCGGAAGAAAAGAGCGACGCAGATGAGCACACAGCAGAGCGAATTCCGAGGAAAGACAGTGGAGGGGAACGGGCAAGAGGCACGGGGGCGGGGCACAGAGGAGGAAGGCTATATGGAAGCCGTCGTCGGTCTCAGATCAGGCGCGGACGACTTGCGCATTTCGTCCACCGCTGCTTCTCGCACGATGACGGAGGAATCGGGTGTGAGAACCCCGCCTCAGAAGCGCGCGCTTGCACGGACACGCCCCCATCACCCGCCCGTCGCCATCGTGCGAAGCGCTGGGCCTGCACCTTAGTCCGGGCACTGCCCGCCCAGGTCTCGCGAGCAAAATCAAGGCTAGCCACTCCACGAATCGCAGCAGGCCATTCGCACAAGAAGGCACACGCACCGTTGAATGTGAGCGAGGCCCGGTCGCCGACGTTTGAGCTGCTATGAAATATGGCATCCGAGTCGGGGAGCAGCCCAGACTGAAAACTCCAGCGGCCACGGAACGCGATGTCGTCGTCCGGCACGGGAGACGTCACGGCTGTCGCGGTGGAAGACGGCGTGGCGGCGGACGGGCTCGTCGCAGAAGACGCGGGCGGCGCGGGTCTGGGGAAGCACGGAAGCGGAGTTAGCTAGGGTGTCAACGAGGGCAATTATGCGAAATGAGAAGATGACCGCGAGAAGCGTGGCGACAGCGGGCGCAAGGGCGAAAGAGTGGGTAAAGATCATCGTCGGGCGTAGAATGAACAATTCTATAAAGAACATGTACGCAACATGGGTGGGAAGCAGGTGGCGGAGATGAGTGGGGGCAAAACGGTCTGGGCGTGAGCAACAACAGATGCGGAGAACATAACGATGGGAGAGAAATACTGAAAGGAGTCCTATTGCTGCGCGAACGAGGCTAGATTGAACCCGGAACATTGAGACGTTCACTCACCCTGGCTTCCCGGAATCGGATATCACAACGGCACGGTCGAAGGCGATAATGGGGCCGGTCGTCGAGTTCCCAGCCGTCGCACTGTCGTCCGAATTGTGCATCGTGAGTTGCAGGACATGGGCGCCATCGGACAGATTCTTGAATTGAACGAGGACGTCGGTGACGGCGTCGTCGACGGTGGAAGAATGGCTGATGTTCGATAGAAAATTCGTCGTGTCGGTGCCATCGAGGTTGACCGAGTATGACGCGACGAGATTGCTTCCACTGGGAGGGAGCACCAGTGTGCCAAAAAGCGTGATGTCTGTGCCTGGGGACTTGCGTGAGCCTCGGTGCACTGTACTCGATCGACAACAGGCCGCAACACGGTGACAGCATTTTCAGGACGATGGGCGTCTGTTAGATACGACTTGGAGCTTTGAGTGCTGATTGCGCCTACTCGACGCAGCGGCAAGTGCACAACAACAAGCTCTGCATGGTCCCATAGATCCGTGGGATGTGGACGAGGCCCATCGTCCTGAAACAGCCCGAACACAGAAGCCAGCGCAAGAAGTGGACAAGCAGCGTGGACATGCCGCGCGCGCGAGCTTCTTGCGAGGCACGCCCACAACCGCGCACGACGGATCCGCAAATCGAACATCAGACGGTCGATCCGCGGACGAAAAACACTGGGCCGCGTATGTTTCAGAACTCTCGGGGCGGCGACCACCGACGAATCGCTGCTCCCCGAGCAACAGGATCTGCTCGCGCCGACCGCAGTGACGCGGGGCGCGTGGCGCGCTCCTTCCCATCACGCACGGCCGCACGGACAAACGCGTCCTTCTTCTAGGCGCCCGGTGCACATGCCCGGCGGAGCCCCGAACGCGCGAAGAGGCAGATCTGGGATGAGGCCCTCGTCCTCGGCTGGCACGACATCGCGACGTGCCCGGGGTGCCCGGGCACACGCGGCGCCGTCGTCCGTGCGCGATCCCGTGCTCGCTGGGAGGTGCGCCCCCGCAGCGAGCACAGGCGTGCCGACGCGCGCGCATATATGGAACGTCGGGGCAAGAGGGGAAAACGCGTGCTGATATGGGTGAATGAGGGTGACGTACCGTTCCAGCTGACCTGAAGGCTCGCGCCGTCGCAGGCGGTGAGGTGCAGGCTGGTGCCGTTCCCGAGGGCGGAGGCAACCTCCGAGTCCGCGCCGGTGGCCACTGTGGCGAATCCTGTGAGCGTGTAGAAGGGGTTCCAGCCGGTCGCAACGTTGGGGATGGTGAAGGTATCGGCAAAGGGCTGGTAGACGACGAGAGGCGAGGTGTCGTCGATGGTGAGGGGGAAGAGAGGATTTACGGCCATGCATGTAGGACAGGTCGCGCGGGCCGCGAAGAGGAATGGGAGGGGTCGTTAGTAGCAGAGGAGATATAGCGCGACAGCCCGAGGGTCGGAGGGCGGTGGAGAGGTGGCCGGGAAGTCGTGAGAGGAAAGGAGGAGAAAGGAGGGCCGGCCTGTGGAAGGCGAAGGAAAGGAGACGGAGGTGGTGGACGAGCGGTGGCCGTACGCAGCGTCGACGGAAGGGAAGAACGGGACGGAGGGAAGGGAGGTGGGATATAGGCCAAGGGAGCGCGTCAGCTGCTGGGGCCGGAGGCGCCAGGGGCGCACTGGGGCGCGAGGGGCCATCTTGATCGCGCGCGAGTCTCTGAATCCACCAGGCGTGTCTGCGAGCGTCTGCGACTGACTGTCCGTGTTCAAAGTCCGCCTGTCAGTCGACGGTAACCGGCGTCGAGGGTTTGGCAGGAATCGGTAGTCGCGGTCGACCAGGCCCACTGGATGGAGAGCAGGGTAGGAATGTTCTCTGCTTTCCAGGTCCTTTCCCTCTCGACAGAAGGCACTCGGAAATAACGCTGCGATTGCGCGACGAATGCGGCAGAGAAGAGAAGACAACCATGGGAGAGTTCGACGTGCCGTGGCAATCTTGATGCACATCTGGCCTAGCACTTGGAGCGCATATGCATCCGCCCGGTGGAGGTGTGGGTGGATGTGACAGGTGACAATCACGCCTGTCATCAGCGCGTTCGCCCTGCATATGTCGTCTTGCTCGTCGCACGCATCGGAAACAATCGGGATAGGAGTCACTATTCCTGCGTATGTCCCGCATAGATCTTTTTAGGGTGCTCACCAAAATCACTGTCGACACATCCAGGCTCTGTGACGCAACGAGTGACATAAGGCTTTGCCAATCAGCATCCTCGATCGGTGAGGCTGATCGATCTGAGATCGAGATGGCACCATCGGGCGTTCTCGGGGGGCAGCCTGAACGCCAGCCGATCGTCGCCGCCTGGACCATCGAGCCCGTGCAGCTGCGCTCTTTCTTCAGGTGCGCGAACGCAAGACGACGGTCTGACATGGCGCATCAACCTCCAGGAGCCTATCCTCTGTCCTCCCACTCCATCCGATTATCGACTGGCGCCCAAGGCGGTGTGATTTCGCCCGAGATACCCCGGGCGGTCTTCCCCAGCCTCCGCCCAGTCGGATCTTTGTCTCTTCGCCTTCGGGCCGGTCTCCTGCCACCTCCCTCCAGAGCTTGCAATCAACTTCAAACGTTCACCTCTTAGCGTCTTCCCTTGGGCTTCTACCGCGGCCTCGCCCTCTGCATATTCGAATCGACGGTCCCGTCACCCTTAAAGAGGCTCTCCCCCACAATGGCCTCAAACCTCCTTCCGGGTCGTCTTACGTATTTGGACACGATCACCTCAAGCCGTGCGTCCTCCACTCTCCAACCGCTCCGACTCGTATGCCCGCCGACGTCGTCAGGCGGCCTCATGTACCCTGTGGAACCGCCGGCTTCGCACGCTGACGACACCGACGCGCCCCGAACGCCTCATGCATCAACCCCAACCGCGGCGGCTGCACAAGATGACAAGAATCCCCGGCCTGCACTGATCCCGCTGTCTCGCTTGGACCACGGCACGCCCAGAGCACGCACTTCCTCCGGTGTTCGAGGAGCCGTCGCGTCCAAATTTAATTATCGGTGGCCGGGGCTCGTCGAGCGCGGCTCGACGCTGATCAGCCAGGACGCTGCGAACACAGCCTCGCGGCCCGCCCAGCACTCGGAATGCCCACGTCTCCCTGATGGACGCCGTTGGTTTGGCCGCCAGGTTTGTGCTCCGATTCTCGCACAAGTTGAAACAAAAACAGCGGCTTGTTTTGCTGCTGCTGCGCGCCCTGTAGGTATTACCGCAGATGTGGCGTTTTGATAACGCCCTCGGAGCCAAGACGCGCTACGCACCACCACCGTTGTTCTCCCCGAGTGACCTCGCGCCACCCGCGCAGCAGGTCTAGTGGCGCGCAGTGCTGCTGCTTTCCTGTGCCCAGTGCTACTGTGTCACTGTGCAGTGCGCCTGCCACGCCTGCGGCCGCCACCCCAGCGCACGCAGGTGTCCGAAAGGTTAGCTCGGGCTCAGATGAGCGACTGTGATTCATGTCGCTCAAACGCTGCCGCTGCAGCTAGCGGCGCTGTGGCGCTCGGCGTCAGGACCGATGTCGTGTTCACGTCAGGTGCGGCAGCTGGACGCACCTTGCTCCCATGCACGGCGGCTGAGCTGACAGGTTTTCCTTTTCAGCAGTCGACAGGAGCTCAGCGTGCATGATGCGCGAGGCGCTGAAATGGCCAGGAAATGTGGACTCTATTCTCTGCACAGTGCCACAAGGAGCTGATCAAAGCCCTCTCGGATAGTACGCGTGCCACCGCGCCGTCCACTTTCCGCACAGGAGCAAATGCGGGCGTGCGGCCCTGCTACCCGGGCGGGACCGCGCCGTTGACGGAGCCACTGCGTCCCAGACAAGCCAGCACTGAGCGGGCGCCCGCCCTATGAAGGTAGGTTTGATATCGCGTCGCAGAGCCGGTGGCGTCCGGTCCGTTCCCGCTCGCACGTACACCTCCTTGGTCAAATGTTCCCACATGCTCATCTCCTCGACAGACCGGCGGCAGTAGGGCCCGCCGTGGCTGCCAGGTGCAGACGCCGTACCCGGGCTTCTCGCGGACGCTCCTCTTGTTCCTTGCGCCTAGCTCGAACCCACCCCACCTGCCTCGAGATGTGCGCGCGCGGTGGCGCGACGTTCTCGGTTCCGTTCTCGTGGCCGACAACCAGAACGCGCGTTCGCACCACGCAATAAATCTCGCGAACGTCGCTACCCCAGCCCAATCGCCGCAGTGGTGGCGGCTTCTCTTGTCCGCCGTCACGACCGGGAGTGGCTGTTAGCCGTGCGTCTCATTTTGGCGATCTGCGTGTGACTGGGGGAGCGTGCGCTGATGATATCGATCACGCGGATGTAGTTGTCGCCATGCTAGGTTCGAGGCGGTCGTCGACGGCGTCACGGTCTTGAAGGTGGCGTCTGTGGACTGGCGGCAGCTTTGAGGATCGGGGCTAGATGATCATGATGAAGAAGCACGGTGAATGCAGAAAACGTCTCGTGACGCTTGTCTGCGGGGCCGATCAAACCTTTCTGGCAGCGCACGAGACACAGCCCGCGATTTGTTTTGAGCACTGATCGCGCTGGAAGACGATTTATCTATAGGACGCGAATGGGTGGTTACACGGCAACGGAGGCTCCTGAGGCCTGAACGTCCAGGCACCGAACTGGGACCAGTAGCGCCCCCCCCGACTTCGCCGACCTCGATCGTGGCTGAGCCGCGGCTCGGCAGCCAGTTGTTCCCCACTGAAGCCACAGTCTCGAGATCGCGGCACCGGAAACAATCGGTATGTCCTCGTGACGTGCTGTGCACGACACCGCTTCGTTGCATCCTCCTCCCCTCCTATGTCGTATGTCAGAATAGTCGACTCCGCCGCATGACAATGGTTGCCCCGTGCAGGGTTCTCCCCGGGCTGAGCCGCTCCAAGATTCAAATGTCATCGACCTCTCTCAAACGGTCGGCCTCCGACTTCGATCCTCAGTGCGTTCCCATGATTGGTCGCCCTGCTGTGGGAAGACGTTATTGCTATCGTCACACTGAGTTGTATAACGTGACTCAGCTCGATCGAGCCGACTCGATGTCTTGGATCCAGGAGTCCTTTGAGAGGTTGCGTGCCTGAGCTAGACACTCATAAATCAGCCTGTGATCATAGAAATACCACCAAGCCAAACAGCACCGACGCTGCTTGATGTCGCAATGGCAGGGTTGTCGAGGAAGATGACAAGATGGATCGATGATGTCAGTCCTGAGTGTTCAGTAAGAGATCGGCCCGTCCGGTCCGCAACGGCCCTCCGTAGGGCGACCGCCGCCACCGCACCGGGAGCTCTGCTTGTTACCATCCTCCACGACTGCTTCGCGAGACGTTCTCATATTGTGTTTCCTTGGGCCTCATGGCGCCCCATACACGTCTTGCTTAACGTGATAGCTTCCCATCAGCTCCCCAGGCCCGTTAGTCCCAACTTCGTGTCACATTCAACATCATCGCCCCTCACGACCCCCATGCAGTCCAACGTCCCACCCCCCAGTACTGGTACCTCTCAGACTGCTGCGCCGCCCGGGACAGCGGGTTACCTCCAAGGACTTCTTTCGCGCGCACGGGCTGCCCACCCAGACATCCCTATGGATCCGGTAGTGCTTCAGTCTCTGCTTCTCTGCTTGATTGCGCAACCCCGCACCCCGGTCGGGACCAACAGGCCGGACAAGAACACTCATGTCGGGGTCCACCTCATCCTGAGAACGAAGGAGGAGGATGTGAGCCTACTAGTCAATATAGTCGCGCTTGTGAGTACTGCGTTCGTGTCGTATCCACCTCGTTGATTATGTCTACGCCAGATCCTGCAACAAGTGCTCGGCATCCCCGCGCACAAGCAGAAAATCTCCTCCAAATCCTCCTCCCCTCCCTCCACCGTCCGTGCCCGCCGTCCGCGCACTCGGCAACAAAGCTCCTCCTCCTCGATCCACGCCCCCTTCGAGCGCCCCGAAGCCTTCCTCCGCGCCCTCTTCTTCCGCCGCGCCCCTCCCTGCTCCGTGCCCTCCCACCGCAGCCCAACCCCCCGCTCCCGCGCCGACACCACCCCGCGCGCGGCCCCCGTCCCCCTCGCCGCGCAGCCACCTCCCCGGGCCACCGCGCACCACGCCCCGCGGCGGTCCGCGTCGTTCCCGGCCCCGAGCACGGACGGGGAGGAGGACGGGTACTTCGACGCCGCGTCCCTCGCGTCCTCCCGCCGGCCGCTCCTCGCGGGCGGCCACACGCCGACGTCCACGCTGCGCTCGCGCCGGCCGCGCCGGCCGGGGAACGGCAGGCTGCGCACGGACCCGCTGCCGCTGCCGGCGCTGTTCGCGCCGCCGGGCATGGAGGACGTCGCGGAGGACGAGGACGTGGGGACGGCTGCGGGGCTGGACAGCGGGCGCGCGCAGAAGAGCGCGGCGGGCGGCGAGCGGGGATGCGAGGCGGGGGTACCCTCGGTGTATTCGATCCCGAAGGCGGTGGTGGTGTCAGGGCTCGAGCACACCGTAGCGGCATCTCAGCGTGCTCTGACGAGAGTGTTGGCGGAGCGGAGAGTCGTTTTGGATGGTCTTGAGGATGACGATTCGGATGCGTCGGGGCGGGATCCTGATGTTGAGGATGGGACGTGGAATCTGCCCGATGGGTTTGTGATGGTCTATGTATGCAAGGCAGACCCTCATGAACGTCCTGGACTCTTGCGTGGCCTGGTACGTCAATAACATGTCGTTTCGAACTGGCCAGCTGATCTCTTTCAAAGCTTGATAAGTTCTCCATGAGTGCGGACATCGCACTCCACCCCTCCATCCGCCAGAGCTATGTCGCATACCGCGCATCGTCCTCGCCGACTCCGCGCGGAACTCCGTTGACCTCTCCTCTCTCTCTCCCGCACGCCTCAAATCCCTTCTTCACCGCCCCCGCTCCCCCTCAACACTCCCCGAAGCGCAGGTCAGCACCCCTACCCCCACCCCCACCGCAAGCCCCGCCGGTCCTCCCGCCCTCCGAGCTCGCCCAGCTCCGCACCCACGCCCGCGCGCACCCGCCCGCCTCCCCGATCTTCTACCCGTCCGTGCACGCGACGGTGCCCGCGTCCGCGCTCGACCCGCGCAGCCCGCCGCCCGCCGCGCACGCGGCCGTGCACCGCTCGCTCGACGCGTACCTGCTCGACCTCTTCGCCGCCGCGCGGCACCACCCCGCGCTCGACGGCACGCTGCTCACGCTGCACGCGCACGCGGCCGCGGACGCGCTCGCGCGCGCGTTCCGCGTCCTCCACGGGGACACGCTCGGCGCGGAGCTCGTCGTGCACGAGGCGCGCATGGCGGCGGCCGCAGGCGGGAGCACGAACGGGGACGGGGAAAGCTGGGCGGAGGCGAACGAGGGCGCGTGGGTCGGCGCGGAGAGCGTCGCCGGTGGTTTGAACCGGAAGGATGGGGGCCTCGGGATGGAGGGGGCGAACTCGCCGGAGGTGCGCGTGCAGGGCGAGGACGGCGCGAGCGTCCCCGCCGCGTACGACCTGCTCCTGCCCCGCGTGGGGTTCGGCGCGGAGAAGGACTCGGGCGCGGTGGACTTGGGCCCGGCGGAGGAGCTGCAGGCGGCGCTCGCGCGGGGGACGCCGGAGGTGTGGGATGTCTCGGAGGAGGACGTGGCGAGGGTGTTTCCGCGGGTGGTGTCGCACCGTCTGCGGACGCGCGATGGGCCCGACGACGAGGTGTTGGGGAGCGTCGTGTGGCCCGCTGTGCCGCCCGATAGCGGGACCGGGGGCGCGACGGCTGCTGGCTCGGAGGTCGGTGGGGAGGGCGTGAGGCTGGGGTGGGAGAGGAAGAGCGTGAAGGAGATCCTCGTTCGCATCCTCGCGGATGTTTGAGGCTGATGTCTCTCCGCCAGCGTTATGTCTTATACACTACGATATAATACAATGGCAGTATTTCAACGAGGGGCATTGGACAAGCCTCGATAGGGTTTCCACGCAGTGACAGTTGCAGGAGGCACGAAGTGAACTGGCGCGCCGTCGAAAAGTGGAGAAACGCGAATGTCACTGTCCTCCGGTCGCTCTGTATGCATTAGCATGGTCACCAATCAACTTCTCATGCTCCGGCGAACGGGGTTTGATGGTGCAGCGAAAGTCTTCAGGAAACAAAGGCTGAGTACACTCTGAGTTTTGGCTGAATCGCGAAGCTTTGAAGGGGTGTCCGTGCTCAATGAGAAGACGTGATATCTAGCCATTTAGATGTCAAAAACATGCAAGACAGAGGCCGGCAGATTCTAAGTAGGTATGTATATATAGCCATAGAGCCCATTAGCGAGTCAGGATTACGAGCAAAAGCCGACATGCCTTCTCCCAAACCCGAATGCCACTTGCTTTAGGTAGAAGATTCTCTCGTCGATGCGCCATTTGCGGATAAAACGCGACCCATGGCTTCACGGCGGTCGGAAAGTCGAGCACGTTGCCGACGATGATTGCCAAGTTATCGTATGTTACGTTTCGGAAGCTCAGAGCAGTGGCGAGCCTCGTACATATTCCCTGTCTTCCTTGCTCTCGTTTTCTTGAGAGCAGAGTCTGTCGTTGAAGGCGAACAAGGAGTCCCAGTTCAAGATCATGGGCGGCGCTTATTCCTGTTGATAAGATAAGATGGAGGAAATTTCGCCGATCCTTGGGTGCGTCGGAGATCGTGCTACTGGGTTTCCCTTCTCCTCCATCCCGCCCTTTCTCAACATGACAGAAGGTGTTCACCACCATCGTCCCACCCTCAAGCAAGTCAGTGCCCCTCATTGGCTCGTCACTCCGTGCGCAGCCGCGATTTACGCTCGCAGTCTCTCAGAAAAACAAGGCATTCAAATCAAAGCATGCTTCGAAGGGATCGTTGAAAGAGGCTGCCAAAGGTACGTTCCACTCTTCTCATCAAGATCTCTGCAGTCGTCGACTCTCCCGCAGGTCGCATACGCCGCGACTCCCCAAAAGCGAACATTGCCTCGCACGCCGCCGCTCAGCTTCGCACCAATCGCCGTAACAGCGCGAAACAAGTCCAGCTCAAGAAGCGGCAGACGATTGTCTCCGCGACCCGGATATTCAGCGGGATCGACGGCGCTCCAAGGATCGTCGCGGTTATCCCGCTCACGGAGGACGTGAATACACGGGATATCACTGCAAAACTCGCAGAGGCCATCGATGGGTCGCTGGAGGAGGACACCGAGACGGGACTGCAAAGGCTCAGGTACGTCTTTCTTTACTGTTCTGTGGTGCGGTCTGTGACAGAAGGGAACGAGCAGAGCAGAGCGATTCAAGACTTCGCTGCAGTTCATCCCCCTCCAGTACCGGCAGATGTATGCCTCGCTCGACGCTTGCAAGGTCGCCGACTATGTCATATTCGTGCTCTCTCCCAACGTCGAGGTGGAACAGTGGGGCGACACTCTGCTGCGTACCCTCCAAGCGCAAGGCATCCCCGAGGTCGTCACCGTCGTCGCCGCCGACACGCCGATGGAACCCAAGGAGAAGCCTGGTGTCATGAAGTCCCTGCTGTCCTTCGTCCAGTACTTCGTCCCGAGCCAGACGCGGGTATACGACATGCACCACGCGTCGGATGCGCTCAACGCGCTGCGGGCAGTCTCCGAGGGCAAGCCATCGGACGTCAAGTGGAGAGACGGCCGCTCGTGGATCCTCGCGGAGAAGGTCGAGTGGGCAGACGAAGTGCTTAGCGTCACGGGCGTCGTCCGCGGCGCGCACCTCAACGCAAACCGACTCATCCACATCTCGAACCACGGAGACTTCCAGATATCACGCGTGAGTCCTGACATCAGTCGAGCTGGAAGGCAGCTCCGCTCACCTGTCATTTCGCAGATTATCTCCGCGCCGCTTCCTCGTGCACCAAAAGCTGGTCATACCACCGGGATGGATGTCGAGCCGGAACTGCTCGCGGAGCCTGATGAATCCTCAGCGGATTCGCTCGTGTCCAGCAACGACCCTGACGACATGGCGAACGAGCAGACTTGGCCTACGGAAGAGGAGATGAAAGGCGCGAATGGTCAAAACGGTGATGCCGTCCCCAACGCGAAGGCCGGGACTACACCGAAAGTCATTCGCAGGGTTCCTAAAGGCACTAGCGAATATCAAGCAGCATGGATCGTTGACGAGAGTGACGACGAAGGTGGGGACGACGAAGACGGGGGCGAGGGTGGTCACCACGACATGGAGGAGGCAGAAGAAATGGAGGACCTGCCTGTCGCGGAAGATACTGAGATGGAGACCGAAGATTTAAAGAGTGTCATGTTCCAGGACCTGGACGAGGATGAAGAGGCGCGACAGTATGTTCTCCACCAAAGCGTTCCGGATGTTGTGCTAAACAGCCACTTAGACTGCAGAAATGGAGAGCCAGGAAACGTGAGGAAGAGGACGACGCGCAGTTCCCTGATGAGATCGACACTCCTCTAGACGTATCCGCACGGACACGGTTCCAGAGGTATCGCGGATTGCGATCATTCCGGACAAGTCCATGGGATCCGTATGAGAACCTCCCCCGCGACTACGCCCGGATCTTCCAGTTCGAGGACTTCAAGCGTACTGAACGAGCGGTGAAGAGGAGAGCGGAGGAGGAGGGTGGCGTAGAGGTAGGTCGCCATACTTCCCGCTCTAACCGAATGTATGTGTGTGCTCATGTGTCTGCGTAGCCCGGAACGCGTGTTACGATCTATTTGAAGGACGCGCCAAAGGAAGCAGCCCGCGTTGTCTCTAGGAAGCCATTTGCCGTCTTCACTTTGCTGCAACATGAGCACAAAAAGACGGTCCTCAACTTCACAGTCCAGCGGAATACAGAGTACGACGACTCTGTACGTTCAAAGGTACGTGCCCTGAATTTGATTGTTGCAACGCATGTCCTAATATCAAACCATACAGGATCCTCTTATTCTCTGCGTGGGGCCGCGTCGTATGCGCGTGAACCCTGTCTACAGTCAACATACGCGCGGGGGAGGCAAGGGACCTAACAACGTGCACAAGTTCGAGCGTTACCTCCGCCATGGCGTCACCAGCATTGCTACTATCTATGGCCCTGTTGTGTATGGCAACCTCCCAAGTTTTTTCCTGCGCGAGACTGGCGACGCCCAAGGTATGAATGTGTCCACATATAATTCCGGACACATGCCTAATGTTAAGACCAGCTCCCGAGCTGGTCGCCATGGGCAGCTTCGTTCATCCGGACACCACGCGCATCGTCGCAAAACGCATCGTGTTGACCGGTCACCCTTTCAAGATTCACAAGAAGACCGCGACGATCCGCTACATGTTCTTCAATGCGGGTGCGTACACGCCTTCCATGCTTCCTCTCGCTTGTGTCTCTCACTCATGTTTGATCTCAGATGATATCGCGTACTTCAAGCCCATCCAGCTGCACACGAAGTACGGCCGCTCCGGTCACATCAAGGAGTCGCTCGGCACGCATGGGTACTTCAAGGCCCACTTCGACGGCCCGATCAGCCAGATGGACACCGTCTGCATGGCGTTGTACAAGCGAGTGTTCCCGAAGTGGTGCGAGCTCTGGCAAGAGAGCGAGAACACCGCTGCAGTCCCTGCTCGCGACGAGGACGCCATGGAGGAGTGACTCGCTGAGTTGTCGAAGTAGGCGGTGTGCTAGGATTTGTACCAACTGCTGTACCACGTGTATGTAACATCTGAGTTGTTGTACATCTCACGATCCCATGCTCTGTCAGGACGTATGGTCAGAACTGATACAGATTCATGGTGAGGGCATCAACTGACCTCAATAGGTGCTCTCGGATGCGGCACTTGACCCATCTCGTCTTACTCGTCCTCCTTGTGCATGCTGTGAGTATCGCGATCGTTGTGTTCTCTGACAGAGGTGTGTACTAACGGAAGCAGTAGTGATATCAGTCCTGTGGGCTGGGACTCCGACGCGTGCCAGAGCCGATTTCCAGGCTCTATGCCGGTCAGCAAGCCCCGCAAACAACCCCCTCTCCATCTGCCACATTGCGATCGTTGCAATGATGATCCCAGGAACGTCCCGCAGACGCAGCACCGACATCCGACTTTGCTGAGTTGCTGCCAGCTGGTCCGCCGCTGTGCCTTCCCAAAATTGAAACATCATGCCGCCGTGCCTCGCCAGCCTGTCGCTAGCCTTCCGCACCGCGCAGCTCGGAAGGATCGTTATCTATCAACGTGGCCTATCTGGATGCCGGCCGGCGCAGTCTAGTTGATCACTGTTCGCGGAAGTAGGGCTTCGCATACTTGGATGGGTTTAGACTCTAGAGCTCCGGGGTGGCCAGGTCCCAATCAATCTGTCAAGATCAGCACAGGCGTCGCAGTCGGACTGAATGACAAACGTACTGCCGCCGCCGGAGCGCATCGGCCGTGACGCGTCCGTGCCTGGGCTGTTTGCGGCGAGTTGTACTAAGAGCGGCCTCGGATTATGAGTATTGGAAGCCAGGAGTGAGGCAATAGTGCCCCGTTCAACGGGTGTGTTTCATGACTTAAACGGGTGATAAGCGGACTTCATTTATATTCAAGCGACTACAATCATTATCCGGAGACAGACACTAAGCACGGCCGAAGAACGGAGAGAAAGAAGATGAGAAAAAGTGGGACGCGTGTGAGCCAGTGCAGGTTCACACTACTGGCGACTGCAAAGCGTCAAGAAAGGTCAGCGAACCGTCGCCAGGTGCACACGAGCCCCCTACCTAGTAGAGAGCATGGATGTACTTACACGGCACACAAACGAGCGGCGCAATGTCGACGCACACCTTATCAACGGCGATGTTTACGCGGAGGTGCCGGTGGCGGCCATCGTGACCGTGCGGGAGACAGTCCAGGTGGTGATGGTCGTCTGAGTGGTGACGAAGGGGGCCACTGTATAATACAGAAAACGCCAGTCAGCAGGCTCGACAACGATCCAGAGTAAACGAATAGCGCACCCTCTTGGAAGACCGGGAAGACTTGAGACGCGGTAAACGTCTGGGTGGTGAAGAAGGTGGTGAAAGAGGGGGTACCGGTGACCGCGTCGTCGCGGCGGTCGGCGGGCTGCATGTGTGCGCGTCAGTTGTACTGTTGCGTCGTGAGCTGCGAGAGAGGGCATACGACAAGAGCGGAGGCGACGGCGGCGGTAGCAGCGAGAGTGAGGAAGACTTTGAACTGCATGGTGCGAAAATGCAAGCGTGCGCCGGAGAAGTCAGAGAAGGGAAAAACGAGGGAGGTGAGATGAGCGGACGGAAAAGCAAGTACTCGGTGCAGAGCCTGTGGGACCCCCAACGCGAGAGACGGGCCTTATATTACATCTAATTGGATCATCGCCGCACATATGCCTCAGCGTCCCACTGCGAGAATGTGCCGCCGCCGGCTTCCCTGGTTCAGTGCTGATGCAAAGCGACTCTTGAGCCGTCCGCAGCACTCGTGGCCCTGGCGGTGGTGGAGGAGACCAAGCTGATCCGCGCAGCTGGATCCACGGCGGCGGCCGGAACTGTGGGAATTCCGCGGCCCGATTGTGGGTCACGGCGGAGAGCGTGACTCAGAGAATGATAAAATGTTGCCGCGACGATACAACCTTTGGGAAATCGAGACATTCCAACTGTCGGACTCACCTGTTTGGGATTGAAGTAGTATTTACTATTATCCAGCGCCACCTCAGACCAGACACTTATGATGCTACAGCCGCACCGCCGTGTACGCCTGACAGTGAGAACGCAATAGCGCCAGGGCCCAGCAGCGAGACCCACGAAGGTCGGAAGTCGGTCTGCCGTTACAACTGCGCGTACCTGCGTTTTTTCGGTGTTGGCGAAAGGGGAAGGACTGCCATCGGGCCGGAGGTGGCAGTGGGTGGATGGCCGGCTCTCCACCTCACCGTTTTCCGGGTTGCCTCCTCCCTCCATCCTCGTTACTCTGCCCACCCGGCCCTTTCTGCCCGTCGTCCCACTCGAAATGCCAGCCAGCGAAGCGGTCTCCACGCACAACGGCAGCCTTCTCGCGTCTCTACTAGCCTTTTCGTACGCTCTCACCTTTGACAGATGATGTCTCTCCAATCTTGCTGCCAGTGATCGCAGTCAGCCGTGCGCTTTCTACGGAGCGATCCAGGTGATGAGCCAGACGGACGGCCAGTCCTATCTCGAACGTAAACTAAAGTGAGAACCGTTTGCACGCCGCGCCGTGCCGTATTACCCTCGTGCCTTCCGAGTTGATCCTTCTTCAAACAGCCTTCCTTCCCAATCGGATGCGACTCTCACTGTGTTCCCACAACAGGCAGCAACGGACCGTTGCGGCCACCTTTGTCATTCTCAGCCCGGCGCGATGATGTGCGTCGTGCCTGAACCAGTAACGAGTGGTTAGCAGACGATCTGCACACCCCTGGATGAGCCGATCCCCGCGCGACTTTTGCGACGGCAAAGATCCCAGATCCTGGGCCCGCTCACAGCGCTGTGCAGATGCCAGATTCCTGCCTGCGGCATGACCGGCATCCCCGCTCCCGCAAGCATCAGCAGCTCACGAAGCACGTACACGGAGTGTGCATGCCTGCATATAAACTCCACCCGATGATGCCGCTCTCCTCACCAGCAGCCTTCGGTCGCTTCCCCTTCCACCGTCCTCTGCTCCTCCTTTCTCTTTTCTGCCCACCATGACTAACTTCAAGTCCCTCGTTTCCACTGTTCTCCTGGGGCTCTCCTACGCCCACCTGGCTGCTGCCGCAATTGGCCCCGTCGCTGACCTCACCATCACTGACGGCGACGTCACCCCCGATGGTTTCACTCGCCCTGCCGTCCTCTCCAATGGCCAGATGCCCGGTCCCCTCATCAAGGGCAACACTGTAGGTTGTTTGTGCACATTGAAGTCAGCATTAGCTCAAATCTTCTCCAGGGCGACAACTTCCAGATCAACGTCATCGACAACCTCACTGACGACACGATGCTGACCGCCACTACTATCGTACGTTCTATGGTATTTTCGCATGGTTTAATATCATACTCACTTCGGTTCATAGCATTGGCACGGCTTCTTTCAGTCAGGCACCAACTGGGCCGATGGTCCGGCTTTCGTCAACCAGTGCCCGATCTCCGCCGAGAACTCGTTCTTGTATGACTTCTCGTCCAAGGGCCAGGCCGGCACCTTCTGGTACCACAGCCATTTGTCGACCCAGTACTGCGACGGTCTCCGTGGCCCGTTCGTCGTCTACGACCCCAACGACCCCCACGCCTCGCTATACGACGTTGACGACGAGTCCACTGTCATCACTTTAGTGGACTGGTACCACACTCAAGCTCGACTCGGCCCCCGTTTCCCGTAAGCATCACCCTCATCTGGAGTGTGTTCCTCTTGAACAACCAACCGCCCATCAGCTTCGGTGCGGATGCCACACTCATCAACGGCCTCGGTCGTTCGACCTCTTCTGCGGGTGCGGTCGCCGACCTCGCGGTCATCCATGTCACCCAGGGCAAACGCTACCGCTTCCGTCTCGTCTCGCTGTCCTGCGACCCGAACTACATGTTCTCGATCGACAACCATACGATGACCATCATCGAGGCGGACTCGGTCAACCACCAGCCTCTTACCGTTGATCAGATCCAGATATTTGCCAGCCAACGTTACTCTTTCGTCCTGACCGCCGATAAGGACATTGATAACTACTGGATCCGTGCCCGTCCCAACATCGGCACGACCTCCTTCGATGGCGGCATCAACTCGGCCATCCTCCGCTATGATGGGGCCCCGGAGATCGAGCCTACCACTGAGTCGTCGACCACCATGTTGCTCAACCAGGTCGACCTCGTCCCCCTCACTGACCTCGCTGCGCCCGGCGAGCCCACCCCCGGCGGCGTCGACCTCGCGATCAACATGGCCTTCAGCTTCAACGGCACCAACTTCGCGATCAACGGCGCGTCCTTCACCCCTCCCACCGTGCCTGTCCTGCTCCAGATCATGAGCGGCGCGCTTGACGCGTCCGCGCTCATGCCCACCGGCTCCGTCTACACCCTCCCGAGCAACGCGACCATCGAGCTCTCGTTCCCGGTCACCTCCACGAACGCACCGGGCGCCCCTCACCCCTTCCACTTGCACGGCCACACCTTCCACGTCGTCCGCTCCGCCGGCCAGACTGACTACAACTACGTCAACCCGCCCCAGCGCGACGCCGTCTCCACCGGCACGGCTGGCGACAACGTCACCATCCGCTTCAGGACCAACAACCCCGGCCCGTGGTTCCTCCACTGCCACATCGACTTCCACCTCGAGGCCGGCTTCGCCGTTGTCATGGCTGAGGACCCCGCCCACGTCGCGCTCGCCAACCCCATCCCGAGCGCGTGGGACGATCTCTGCCCCACCTACAATGCTAAGTACGTGTCGTCGTAGATGGATCACTCAACTGCAGCGTTGTATATGGCAAAAAAGGGGGTTTGCAACTTTCTTTTCTCCGCTGCTTTTTCTGTTGGATAGTACTGTATACAGCCGTTCTATTGCTTTCTTTGATCATTTGTTCTCGCTCGCTCCGTCACGCTAGTCTCGGGTCGTCTCTTGTCTTTTTAGTCTCTGTTAATTACTTATACAATATGTACAGTCCACACCCACACTCGTTACATGGGAAGGAAATATGTCACCGGATTGTGCTCTATAAGCTCTGGGACCTCGTGTGCTATTATAAGCAATGTGTGATCAGATACAACACGACGGCCGAGTAATGATACAAGGTAACTCTATCTCATTCAATCACAGCTTCGAGTAGAGTCGCTCTCAGATTGGCAGCAGCGGTCCGCGCTTCTGCGCCACGCCCCGCGCCCCGACGTCCTCGCGCGCAACCACGGACTCCAACGGGGAAAGCTCGAACCCGCTCGCAGACTCTCCCGCGTCACGTTTCGACTCCGTCGCGACCGTCGACTCCGTCTGCGCAGAAAGGGCCGCGGTCAGCGCCGAGCCAAAACAAACAAACCGCGGGTGCATGCGACGCTCACCTTCGCGCCCGAGTCCGAAGACGCCCGCGTGGCCTCGTCGAGCCGAAGCGGAGCACGGTCGAGGTCAGCGCCCGGGGCTCGCGCTCGACGCTGTACCCGAACGGCGGGGTGAAGGTGTCGTCTCCGCGCGCGCGCTCGGCGAGGGATTTGCGCGAGTTCAGGCTGCACAGGTCCCCCCCAGCGTTCCCGTCAATACCGCCGAGCCGTTACACGCGGGTGGACGTATGACTCACGCAGCGAGGAGTGTGTTTGCGTACACTGCGTGGGATGGCAATGTGAGTGCTCGGTTAGCAGCGGCCCTGGGGACTCGGCACGGGCGCCAAGAGATCGAGGTTGGGGTGGACGTACATTTGGGCGCGGCGATGCCAAAGCGGCGTAGATGAGCTTGTTAGGACAGATGAAGCCCTTAAAGCACGCCGATAAGCATCTCGATGTCAGGTCGGAGATCGAGGACGTACGAAGAGCAGTGAGAAGAAGTTGACGATGCTGTGCTCGAGGAGTTCATGTCAACGTCCGCAAGCGAGAGCCCTCAGCCTACCAAGGATACGCACCCAGTGATAAGACCTGGGATTACACACGTCAGTGTAGCTCGTCTGGATTCGAGTCGGTGCGGACGTACCGGTGTTGACGGAGTACATGATCATGACGTCAATCATCGTGTCAGTGCTGGCAGGGCGGTGAGTATGCAGATCGCCGAAGAGGCGCCCCGTACACACCTCTTGATGCCGGTGCGACTCCTACGCAGCATGTAAATCAGGACGGCGGTGAGGAGGAAATCAGCCGCCACGGCAAAAGTGACGCCAACAGAAATTAGGTACTGTGTATGTCCCTCAGCGAATGCACGGTCAGAAGTACAAAACACATTACGAACGGTATATGGTTGGAACTCCTCATATGTAACAGAGGTGAAGCTGAATGAGACATCAGTTGGTATGCATGCACGCTGACTGTCGTTGGACCTACGCCTTCATAGACGATACTGTACGGAGTCATGAGTGGATGCAAAGCATGAGCAAAAGAGTGCTCACCGATGAAGAAAGCTGTGAGTTTTACGAACGCACTGTTAATGCACACGTACCATCACGACGTGTAGTTCGCCTACGCACCAACTTCAAGCAAGCATAGCAGGGTCTAGACGCAGATAAGCGTGTGCGATTGTATAAGGCTGAGGTGACACGTACCGCCACCGCCACCACATATCGATAACGAGGGCCAACTGTAAAATGCGGAGGGTTGAGTGAGACATGAGAAGGTGGTTCAGTGGAACAACGTACATATGTACACCCGTCTAGCGAAGAAGCTACACAGCACCAGCCCCTGATCAGCGGCTGTGCGCGCACACACGGCACATCCACAGATATCCTCACCTTTGCGATGCGATTATAAGGAGGCCCTGAGCGCATGGTCAAAAGACCGACGCACGGAAGAGGCTATCTTTAGACTCACGGAAATAGCAGGGATTACCTGATGGGACATTATCTCTGGGGTGAGCGCTCCTCTAAGAACCATCTGATAAATGCTCACGTTGATGGACCTTTTAAATTATCTGTCAGTCATGCCGAATACTAGAGGGCACGCGTGTGAACGACATACCATAGGTTGTATTCTAAACTTGCGGGGTTGAAGTAATTTGTTACAAGAGACGTATATCTGGAGGCCATGAGCACGGGGGTAGTTTAACTTGAGGCGAGAATTCAAGACACTCACGATACGTGCATGCTGAACACGCAGAGAAGTGTATCGAGGGTCCTATAGGCGATAGATTGAGTGCACTACCTTGCTTTATCGGGGCGCAAAAGCATACATTACAATGATCACCTGAGGTTAAACGATCCTCCTGGTGAGTTTGAAACACATCACAGACATGCACGGCAACGTACCACTCCTTTAAGCAGCCATGGATCTCCAGAGTAGGTGCTGAAATAGCGATATGCTTGGTTCATGTAAGCCCATATAGCCTACGCAGACACCACGTAAGCGCAGCTCTCCTGGAGGAAAGCATGACCGTAGATGCTCACAACAGACCAATGAAAGTGCCAATGAGAACCGGGCCCAGCGAGTCGTTCAGATCCGGCGGAGACGAAAGAGAGACGGGCGTGGACGACTCGACATGAGGGGTCGTGGTGGAGAGCGTAATGGTCTGGGGGAGACGCCGCGCAGTCACCTGCAAAGGGCAAGTTATGTACTGCCCGTGTGGCCACTGTCAAGTTATAATTTGCTGGCAAGGGACTCACAAGCGGGTCCGGGCCGCGTTTCGGCGCTTATTACAAGCGAATCTCCGCGGTTTTTTGGCCGGAAAGCACCCTAGCGCCTGCGTAGACACGAATCTAGTCACTACGTGTGTCACCGGTGGGAAGCAGGACCGCGCGCACCTTGTTGATTTGTGTCAAGAGAGTTCGTGAAAGGACGTGAGGAAGGGAGCGGGCCGAGACGAGAGTGATGGTGGTAGGTCGCAAAGCGCAGGGGCGGCGCAGCTTCCCCAGACGAGGGCCTCCCCGAGTTATGCATTCGACGGACGGCCTCGAAGGCGATGTGTGATCCGGGTGCATCGGTTTCTGCGCCGCACTCACCCCGCGCTACGCGCCTCGACACCACCAAGCCTGCGCTCGATCTCACCTGACCTCCGCACCGGACGCATGTACAGCGGCTCCGGTGCGTCGCGGGGGCCGGAGTTGGACTGGATTCGATCTGTGAACGAGGTCAACCGTGAGCGCTGTGAGCTTGGCACGGAGTTCAAGAGGGAGAAAACTGGAGACACCGAGTCCTCGGCGGGGAGACCGAGTCGCGTGTGCCGGCAGTAACGTAAGGGCGCGCCATAAAAGGCACTCTCGCGTGGCGTTATCTCCGGACATTACGGCGCCGGGGCACACATTCGCCCACGCCCCGGTCTCGGTTTGTCACAGCATGCGCCATTGGTCTGCGACCCTGTGTTCTCGATGGGCATCTTCAGCTTCTAGCAATTGTGATAGGAGGGAAACATGCTCACCATCGATGCCATAGTGTTCGCAGAGCAGTGCTGCTGTATCAAATCAGAGGAACGCCCAGCGTCAGTGTACAGCCTGCTCAGCAGCCCCGCGCGTCACTAGAATAGTCGTTCCAAACCCGTTCCATTGACAGCAATAAAAAGCGCCAGACGCCATATCCAACAGAACCACAGCGACATCATGAAGGTGGTAGCGTCTCTCTCCTGAGCCCGAAGCTCACGAAGCGCTTGAAGTCTGAAAATACCTCCCGCCGCCCTTGATCCGCTCTTGCACCCTCCGATCCTCCCGAAGGTGTGTTCATGAGCGGTGGAGGGGATAGCGCGGCGAGAATGCTCTCTCCGGTCGCCGATCCGGGAATGAGCGATACGCGGCTCGAGCCGGGGCTGGTCAGGTTGGCGATCAGGCCGGGGTCCATATCGAGCGAAGAGAGGAAGGAGGTGCTTTCTAGCTCCGGTTTGACGCTCGTGATAGTAAGGAAAGAGTCAAGAAGGTCGTTCTGCGTGGCTTTTGGCGTTCCTTTGAGGTCGAGGATCTTCTGGAAGTTGGAGAATGAGGCGTCGCCAATGACCAAGGTGTAGTTGAGAATGAAGCCTTCGGGTGGGTCCTGCAAGATGGTGAAAAAGAGCTAGAAGGACAGGAGGAAGATGCACTTACTACCGGGGTGACAATGACCTTCAGCAGAGCTTCCAAGCGCGTCGTCTGTTTGGCGACGCTCTTCGTATAACTTTTAAACACTGTTAGGTCAAGCACCATGACAGGCGAGAGAGAGGCCCACTTCGATGTGGAAAGCTCTTCCCCAGGTGCCTTCAGCAAGCACGCCTTGATGGCCTGAAGATCAATCAAGAGCTACAGGGTGTAAGTGTCAATACCCGACGCGCGAAGGAAATCTGGGACAACCAACCTGTTCGGCACCGATCTCCATTAGAGGTCGACTCCGAACCAACGCGTTTGTGAATTTGGCAGATATTGTGCTAAACAAGCCAGATAGTAAGGGCTGCGATCCCTTTATGATTGCTTCACACATACCTCGCCGCCTTATCAAAGAAATTGCGGAGATACCTCTTCTGTTCCACAAGTGGCTTGACTGCATCCAACACTTGCTCAACTGCGTTCGTGAGTTCTGGCACGTATGCGGACTGCCCGCTGACATGCTTGAGGTTCTGCCATGGGGTGCGAGATAATATCGAGAATGGGGCATCACAGGAGTTCTCAAGCTCGCGTAGCATCACTCCGATGGCAGCGGATATAGCGCTAGGAAGAACGATCAGCGCACTCAATCCGAACATAAGGACGGCTGCAGATTTACCTGACAAACAAGTCACGTTCCTCCTGCAGAGTGATCTTCTCCTTGAACGCCTCGTCGCACTTCTCCCGAATATTCTCTTCCAGCTCGAGGGCCGTAGTTTGGCAGTAATCGGCGGTGTTGATGAGTGTGCATGCATTCTTGAGTTCTGACATCTCAAAGCGGCTATCCACTGATCGTCGAGGCGCAAGCATAGCTGTCTGGGGTTTCCGTAAACTCGCGACTAGGACCTCCTCTGTAAAATCGATGATAAGCGCAGCCCTGGAGGTCAGGATGGGTCAACGCACCTGCATATATGCGCAGCCACTTCTTGAACAGAGCACATAGGTCAAACAAAGGCTGTCCGGTGAAGAGACTTGCGCACTGATCCAGAGTGGACGCATAGAAGTAGAACAGTTCGGTGGACGAGGGAGGACAAGGATCGGAGGTTCGCCATCCTCATCTTGGGTCGTTGTGGTTGTTGCCTCGAGTGACGATCGTGATTTCGCTCCTCTGTACTGGGCCAGCATGTCCGACAGTATCCTGTAGCCATGTTCAGCGAGCTATAGTGACGTGACAGAGAAGAGATATATACTTGTCTTGAGCGTCGATGTAAACACCCATGTGTGTTTCAAACGCGGATGTGATGGGCTTCGATGGTCGACTTGCATTCGATGGGGTGGCGAATTTCAGGATTTCTCGTAGCTACCTTGCATTGAGGATCCAATTGCAAGGGTCCGGGGAAAACGCTACTCACCGGCGTTCCATCTCGTTTCGAGATGTACGCTTCGAACTCCATTGTCTCCGCCAACGTATCCAAGAGCTGCTTGACGGAAAGCTCGAACCAGCTTTGGAGAGCAGCACAGTCATGTCGTCCCTAAGAACGATCGAACTCTGTTTAATGCGACAGGGCCAAGTGAAGGTGGAGCCTACCTCGTAATCTCGATGAACTTCGCAGTCAGGAACCAGCCCACTTTCCACTCTGCAGGAACACCCTCCCTTGTTCTGTCTCGTGTGTTTGTAGGAGTCGACGGAACCAAGCGAACCGGCGCGACAGATTGTCTAGCTGCCCAGCCTCGTCTGTCGCACGGAATATGCGGCGGTACTCCTTGAGCTCCAATGCGACGTACTTCTCCACAAACTGCGCGCGCACTTCGGGCCCAGAACGTCGAGGACCAAGCATGCATCCGCAACCACGGAGGGCTTGATAGGCTTCGCGGGGTCTTGCATATAGCTAGACACCGTTGGGCAATGAATAGACGGGCACGGTAACGCACTCACAACTTATCCCAGTCTTGGTCCACCATGGCGCGTAACTCGGTTTGAATCTCTTGTATGCGCCGCCATAACTGCGATATTCGCTGAACTGACAGGTACGGCTTGAATGACGCGCCAATTTGCTTGACGGCCTAGCATACGGCGTCGGCACGATTGAAATGCGGCAAGCGGATAGAACGGGACTCACTGCCAGCGACTGCACGATATCGCGGTACTTGCGCTCCTTGATTTGGTCCTCCAGTTGGCTCAACACGTTCACTGTACAAACAGCTCAGGTAAATGCGTGGAAACGGATGTAAAGGGTACACACCAAGCATCTGCAACCTCTTGAGTGTCGTCATGCTCAAAATGAGGTTCTTTTTCGCGAGGTCCAGCACTTGAATCTCGCGCGTGATATTGCGCACAACAGCTTCGGACTCGGTAGCCTTCTCCCGTATCCGAGACATTTGTCCCAAGAGGTCCTGAAGTATGCCAAGAATGACGTTTGAAATCAAGGAGAACGCATAAACACACAATGACGCACCGAGATCATTTCCTGGATGAGCTGCATCCGGCTAGGGTCTTGGTCCTTCCTCAGCTCTTCCCGAAGTGCATCTATCTCCGCTTGCAGTTCACGCTCGTTCTGCGCAAGACGCGCTTGTACGGCCTCCATCTGACCGAGTGCAGCCTCTACGCGCAAGAAAGGTCAAGCCGTCAGCTCCGGGACTCCATACGTTCTCAAGTGGACCTCACCATCTGGGAAGTACTCGTTCAAGACAGGGACGGGATTGAAGTCATTCGTGAGTTTGTCAAGGGCGTCTGCATCTTCATGCGCGTGAATATTGAGGATACGTTCAATGGAGAGAATAAGGTCGGGGGGTAATTCGTCTTCTCGTAGTCTTAGAGCAGAGAGAGGCGCGCGAGTAGCGTTCATGGTCATGGACAATGTATGATCCGGGGCAGAAGACAAGTGACAAGAGAAGTCCCAAGCCTTGAGCTGATCGGCGAAGCTGTGGATTAGCCTGCGCTGGGGCTTGGTGAAAGTTCGGTGAGTCTCAAGAGCGTTGGAGCTTCGCAATGGAAATGACTGGCCTGCCACAGCGCGCCGGCAGGCGGGCCGATTCATGAACGGACAGGTACACGCCTGAAAACGCTGAGCAGTGAGCGCTAGTGAGCGCTGTACAACCAGCACCATTTTCTTGTTGTTTTCCTTCCTTCTCCCTCGCCATGACCGCCGGGCCACCGCCGTCTGCGGCGGGGCCATCTAACTCTGTTTCCCCGGCCCCGCCTACCACAACATCCCAGCCTTGGTCGTCGTATACACACTCGTTCCCTGCCAATGCTCCTGCTTCTTCGCCCTCAAACCCCTACCTCGGTCCACCCGCTTCCTCCTCATACTCCACGGCACAATACCAGCATGTCACGACAACCAATGCAAACCCCGGCGCCACGCCTTCCAACTCTTTTGCACAGCAGGGAGGACAGTCGTATCCTTCAGGGTATGCGCCAGCTCCCTCGTACTATCCACCACCTTCCATCCTGCAGGGCCTGCCCAGCCATCTGCGCCCGGCTACTCGTATTATCAATACCCTCAGAATGCATGGTCAAACGCGTGGCAATCAAGCCCGTACTCCTATCCTTCCGGAGGCTCGCGCCCATATTCTGCGGCACCTCTCCAAAGTGCCCCGATGCAGTCTTCTGTGCCCAACTTCTCGGGAGCCGCAACCCGACCTACCAAAGTTCAGGAGCCGACACCGCCCCCGCCCCCAGAATTCCGCAAGGGTTGGGATCATATCGTCAAATCATTCCTCTCTGAGGTTGGATTCTCACAGGCAATGAGAGGCTTCGACGCAGACATGCTTGTCGTGAGTGAAGAATGGGAACGGAAGAAAATTCCTGAGGCGTTGGAACGACTGTTGCGTCGTCTTAAGGTGCGTGCCCGTTGGACTTATTACTCGTCTGCCCTTGACTGAGTGCTGCATAGGATCTTCAAGAGCGACCCTTGGAACCCACCAAAGGCGAATTGCCTGAGCCTCCACTGGAGGAGCGCAAGTTAGACCATTTCCATTTAAGCGACGGTACCAAGCCTCGTTCCCATTCTTCTGTAAGAGAAATCACACTTAGCCAGTCGTTAGTGCTCCATTTACCCCTCCTCTCAGATTACGAAAGACATTTCGCTGTTCCTCGCTCAGAGTCGTGCGAGGAACGATGCTTCAAACCGAAGCGAATTTCTCCTGTCTCTGGCGGAGAAACGAAGACGCTTGAATGAAGAGGGTGACTCCGAAATGACAGCGCCCATACCATCATGTGCGCGAACTGATGCGAAGACCCAAAACCGGGACCTACAGATGAAATATGACATCGCAAAGAATGAAGATGGACCCCTCCGACGCACGATGAGGTCTGACGCTCAATCTGATTCACTCGGGGTCGATGTTGGGAGGAGCGCGGATGTCAAGCAAGAAGCGGCAGATTATCCTAGCGCCGCAAAACATCCGCGCTGGCCGAGCGGTTAAGTAACATTGAGCAGCATCTTGCGATCCGCTATGGTACGGACTCAGTAGTGTACAGCCTATTCTCGCTAACGCTCCTGGAAGTTCCCTCTCCTCCTCGCTCACTTCTAGATCGTTTACGGTTCTTGGAAGATCATATCGTCCATCTAGAGAAAGAGTATCCGCCTTGGGCTGCTCTTCACTTCAGTCAACCTCATCGCGGGGTCAGTGAGAACATTTATTGTGGGATCGTTACAAACTGACAATCATCGGTAGTGGCCACCTCCCCCACGTGCAACACCGATTATCGTGCCCTCACATCTCACGGACACCAACGCCTTGAAGCCTCAATCTACTTCGGGCACAGACGAGGTACCTCATGATGAGTATGGCGGTGGTAGCTCAACGAGGGGGAAGAATAAGATGAGAAAGACTAAGTCCAGCCTGCACCGAGCTGTGTTGGAGAGGGTCGAGGTTCAGAAAGCAATTAATGATCTTGCTCGCGATGGAGGGTGAACAAGACTAAGATTACATGCTTATATATGTTACTGGCCATTCCTTTATATCGCCCGCCTAGCTCAATCGGATAGAGCGTCAGACTCTTAGCTGCGGGTGATCTGAAGGCTGCGAGTTCGACCCTCGCGGTGGGCTAGTAACTTTTGTTCCCTCGGCGTCCGACCCAGACAAACATGGAATGTTGCCTCATGCGAGTCTCTCAGGGTGCCATCCATTTTACCCCCTGGCGGGGAGTCACCGTGAGTCGCGCTTTGGTATTGTGTGGGTTGTGTGCCAGAGAGCCACGTGCGGAGATCGATTACTGGGAGTTAGCTTGCAATAGAAACAGCCGCCGTGCGCCCGCCATATAAACTCCCTTGTTCTCCCTCCGCCATCCACCGCCCCGGTCCTCACACGACTGTCCTCGCCATGCATTCACTACAGGTCCGCCTTTGCTCCTTTCGTGACGTCTCGCGCCCGCTTACCGCCAACTCAGCGTTCCCTCTGGTCCGTCCGCGAGTATCTCAGTCCGGTGCGCCATTCCTACCGACTTGTCGACTGCACTCGTGGAGTTTGACCGTACGCACGCGCGTTCCAGGTCCTCAAAGAGAGCAAGTTCAAAGAGCACGGCCGCATCACCCCCGGTGCGCCCCCGATCTCTCCATCCGCTCCTTCCTGTGCGCTTACGCCGTTTATCAGAGGAGTTCGTAGCCGCAGGCGACTTCCTGGCCTACAAGTTCCCCGTCTGGAAATGGTGCGTGCTCCTTACTGCCCACCAACTCGCGCGCCGCCCACGCCGATCTCACCGACACGTCCCGCCACCGACAGGGAGTCCGGCGAGTCGTCGAAAGCGCGCGACTACCTCCCCGCCAATAGGCAGTATCTGCAGACGAGTGGGGTGGCGTGCCTCCGGCGCGCGAGCACGCTCGCGTACACAGACGCGGACGAGGACGCGGAGCGGCTGCTCAACTTCGCGGACCCGGGCGCGGGCAAGGAGGAGGAGTGGGTCGAGACGCACGCCGGACGCTCCGCCTCGCACGACACCCCACAGAACGTGGGCACGATCGACGACATCCCCGACGTCGACGACGCGGACGCGTCACATGCGATGGGCGGACTCAGCCTCGGGAGCGGCGCGAAGGGCGAGCCGGCGGAGATCCCGGACATGGACGAGATCCCAGACATGGAGGAGGACCTAGAGGAGGGCGAGGACGAGGCGACGGCGGCGCCCGTGGTTGCATCTGCTGAGGGGTGAGTGTGCCATCTTTGCGTTGGGACTACGCGCGCGTCTGGTTCTCACCGACGGGTGGCGGCAGAGAGATCGAGGTGGCGAAGGGCAACCTGCTGCAGGTGCGGACGTACGATGTCATGATCACGTACGACAAGTACTACCAGACGCCCCGCATTTGGCTGGTCGGCTACGACGAGGTGCGCTTTCCTGGCCTGTCCAACGGTTTCCTCTGTCGCTGAGCGCGGTTCTAGAACGGCACGCTCCTCACGCCTCCGCAAATCTTCCAAGATGTCTCAGCCGACCACGCGTTCAAGACGGTCACGATCGAAGCCTTCCCGCACAAGTCGTTCCAAGCCGCGTCGGTGCACCCATGCAAGCACGCGAGCGTGATGAAGAAAGTCATCGAGCGCATGAACCAGGGCGTGATCGAGGAGCAGCAGGCCGCTCGCAAGGCCGGGGCGGACAAGAAGAAGTGGTTCCGCCGCGGGACCGGCAACGGGAAGGACGACAAGACTCCGCCGACGCCTGGGGAAGATGAGATCGAGGGCATGCGCGTCGACTTCTACCTCGTCGTCTTCCTCAAGTTCATCGCCTCAATCGTGCCCACGATCGAGGTCGACTCGACTGCTGCCATGTGAGCGCAGGAGCAGCTCGTTGCGCAGTGAGATGCGGAGATGCCGCGACATCATAGATTGAAGGATACCTGGGATTGTATGCAGATCTTGCTTCCAGTTCTGTACTGCTATGTAAATCACGCAATGTATAACGACCACGAGCACTCTTCAGGAACGATAATGCCGAATTCTTTTCCCGCGGGCTAAATGGTTTACAGTAGTCGGGTCTGAGCGGAGCTTCAAATTCAGGATATTTTGGCAGCCCTGTCGCAAGTTGCGACCATCACTGTTACGTTGCTCTCGAGTTGCTCTGTCGTGGTCTCGTCTTGATCATGTCCTCGTCACATCCGCTTCTACAGGATGATATCTTTCATGCTGTACTCGAATACTTCTCTCTCGTCGAAGATCCCCGCTATTCCTTCATTCAAGCAGAAGACAGTTCGTGGAGAAAGCTTTCCTTTACTCCAGCAGACTACTCCAACAGAGGGAGAGATTTGAGCTCTCTGGCCCTCGTCTGCAAAACATCCGCAGAGCCCGCTTGCAACGCATTGTGGAGAATCCTTCCGAATGGCTTCCATCCCCTCTTTCGCGTGTTTTCCGCGCTCAGGATCACCATGGTCCCAGCCCAACCGACGCCGTTCGAGAGAGATGACTCACCAGACTTCGGGTGAAATATGTAGGCCTGTCCCGATCTCAGACGTCGGGATTTTGACTGACATTGATGTCCCGCAACATCACAGGTTTGGGATCGCTCACTCCCTCCAAATGACAGGGAGTGGGAGCGGTTCAGGCATTGTGCCCAGCGTGTCCGGTTTTTTGTCTACAACGGCGTAGATCGATGGATACACCCTCCCTTCTCCACCATTATCTCTCAAGCAACTGCGGGAAGTACTCCGTTGTTTCCAAACCTGCGGGCCCTGTTTTTCCCAGTATCGAGAAAATACCCAGTCGAGAATGCCTTCCTCAGGATGCTTGTGACCCCCCATTTAGAAGCTTACTGGACCACTCCGACACAGAGCACACAACTTGCACAAGATCTTGATATCGTCGCATCCATGAGCAAGCACCTATTTCATCTCTCCGTGGGTTCGGAACCTTGGCAATCCGTGTCTCCCCACCTCCACCTAGGCGACTTCCATAATGTCAATTCCTTAGAACTCGAAACGGTCGACAGCAGCACTGATGCACTGCGTGCGATCTCCGGTCTCTCACATCTCCATTCCCTCAGGCTCAAGTTCCGCTATAAGGAGGATACGCCCGACCCCCCTCCACTGCCACGCAAGTCGTGGCCCTTGCTCCGACGGCTCGCACTGTATGGGTCTTCGAAAGCAATCGTCCACCTTCTCAACACCATGTACGCTCCTCTGGAGGATCTTTTTATTAACACCGCCCTGCGGTCATACTCCGCCGGCCAAGACCTTTTGAAGTCCATTGTACTTCTGTCTTCCGAAAACCCACTGAGCCCCCCGAGGACGCCTCCTCCCCTCACTCTCCGCCACCTCGACTGTGACCTGTCCGTGTTCGATTGGGACCGTCGCCCCTCCTCCTCCCTCCTCCGCCTCGCCCTTCCCATAATCGAGAACGCGCCCGCGCTCGAAGCGCTCGCCCTGCACCTCGACCTCCGCTCGCCCGATGCCGCCAACTTGTTCACTCCGGGCGGTCAAGTCGCCTGCGCGCTCTCCGACGCAGACTGCAACACGCTGGCCCGCGCGCTCGGTCCGCGCGTGCGCCATCTCGCGCTCTCCTCCTCCGTCGCGTTCCCCGACGCCCGCGCCGCCCCGGTGGTCCCCCGGGTGCGCGCGCTCGTCGACCTCGCGGACGCGTGCCCGGCGCTCGAGGCGCTCGCCGTGCAGGTCGCGGACGTCGACGCGGAGCAGCTCGAGGAGCTCGAGAGGCTCGTGGCCGCGCGGGGGAGGGAGACCGCGTCACGGCTGCGGGCGTTCGTCGTTCGGGCCGACTCGTCAGTCGAGTCGAGCCGGGAGGAGTCTTCGCCGCGCGTCGCGGATGCGCGGCAGTTGGCCCGCGTCATGCGAGGGCTTTTCCCCGGGCTTGGGGCTCTGGACAGGGACGCGACGGAAAGGGAGGTTTGGGCGCAACACAACGGGCGCTTTGTGCACTACGGTGTCACAACGCGCCAGGACGCGGATCTATACCTGGATGAACTGCACGCGCTGTATGTTGCGGAGGAGAGGCGCTGATGGGAATGAGGTGCGATATAGATTTCGATTCTAAACACAGTACACTAGCAAATGCAGTACAAAGTCACATGGACCGGTCGATCTAACGATACACTTGGAGGATACAAAACATACAAATAGAGCCCACACACAGCTGTCGTGCACGCAATCATCACATTGCGTCTTCACGGCGTCGCGCACCGTCCCACACCATCATCCTCAGCGACCATTCCGACGCGTTCGCGCTCGGCATCCGAGAGCACCGCCTGTGTGTACTCGTCGACCTGCTTCTTGGCCACGACGACAACAGGCTCGCCGTCCGCAGCCGGGTCCGCAGGGCGGAGCTCCAGGACGAGGAACGGGCGCCCGGCGTCGTCCGCCTGGTCGGGCGGCGAGAACGCAAGGACATGCCCCCCGGGCGCGGAGACGTCCATGCCCTCGTGGCGGAATCCGAGGCGCGGGAAGGACGCGTCCCAGTCGAAGCGGAAGAAGAACGACCGCGGCGCGCGCTTGGTGCTCGCGGACGAGGACGAGGACATGCGGGAGGAGGAGGAGGCGGTGACGTACGACCGGGCCGAAGACCCAGAAGCACTGGACGAGTTGGAGGCGGAGGAGGACGAGCGCGAGCTGCGCGGCCCGGGGCGCGGTGATCCCGACGAGCTGGGGCTCGCAGGCGGGGGCGAGGGGCTGCCGCGGGTGCTGGAGGTGGTGCGTTCGATGCGCGAGGCGGCGCGGTATAGGCCGAGCTGGGTGTCCCGGACACGGAGCACGACGGGCTCTGAGGTAGACGGGGTGCGGGGGCTGGTGAGGGAGAAGTTCGCGCTCAAGCATGGGGCCACGGAGGGAGAAGGCGAAGACTCCTTGGGCCACGCGGGCGGGACTTCAGGACGCGTCAAAGAGATCACGGCGTCATGAAAGTCGGCCCCGGGAGTTCGAGGGTCCTTGGCGGAAACAGAGTCCCAAACGACACTGTAATGACCAAGGTACGGGTCGAGAGAGATGACGGCGAGACGAGACTGGGAGTCAGGTTCAGCACGGTGCAGTGACAAGGGTCAGTGGTGATTACGCACCATGAGGTTCAATTTGCCGTTGAGAGTAATGAGAGGTGTCAAGGGAGACTTGACAGAGTGCTATGAGGTTGGACGTTGAGACGATATGGAGAGTAGCATCTAAGCGGCTTTATATGTCGTCTGGTTCCGCATGTCAGCCACAGACAAAGCGGGTTTCGAACGGGACAAAGCGAGTGGAAGCCTCATCGCGGTGGATCGACGACCGCACGGAGCATAAAAACACTGCATTTCACCTCCTGTTAGTGCTGCATGTCGCCGAGATGAATAAGTGGCACGCATGCTCTATCATTGCCCGCTTGCAGCGCCATGTTTAAAGACAAAGCGACCACGAGCCTACCAGTAGTGGCGAGTGGCATGCTCGGATGCCGGAGACTGTGGCCCGAAGCCGCTAAACCGTCGCCTGAGGGGCATGGCCTCTGTTCAGGCTGTTCCAGGTTGATTGTGGTCCACAAGCAGTGGTCGAGGGAATCAAGTGGACGATGTACGCAGGCGCCGTAAGGTGACGCATTTGATGCTTACGTGATATTAGCGCCAGAGTAGAGTGGTGTCAGCAAAGTCGTGGAGGTTCAACGTCAACGTTTAACTGTTACATTGCTCTCTACCTCAGTGCGGCGCACTGTCCATGTTGAAGCGTGTGGCCAACGTCGCTCAAGTTGGCCAACGACAGTGGCCTCGATCTAGAGCTGCGCCTCGCCACCCACAAAATAAGCATGCGTTAAGCATGAGTCGGGAAGGATACCGTTGTCTCTACACGCCAATTCACGTCGGTCAGCATTGCCTTTCACTGGTTGCCGTGAATTTCTCACTGCAACCAGACCTTGAGGGATGGGAATGTTTTCAGTCACACGGCAAACACGCGGGAGCCACGGTGCACACCAAGTATAGATGTCTTGCCCATTGGATGGGGTGTCCGCGAGATGCCCATTGCCGTCTCTGGTGTGTGAGGCAAGTGACAAGTATGGGGGGGTCTTTCCGTATGCGATACCCACTTCAATTCCTCCAGAAGTCTTCCCATATGCTGCCCGAACAGTAGGTATGCCGGTCAAAGTTCTCACTGCCTAACGTCACCCTGCTCTCAGAGATAAGGCGCCACTTTATAGTCCAAGATGGCACCACGGACACGCACCTTTTGCTGAGGTGTCCCTCGAACAGCCAACATGCGATCATTCCCTCGTGTCGTCTCTGCCTGGCTAAGTCTCGTCTCTGTCTTCGGACTTCTCGCTGCGCTGACCTGTTCTGCAAGTGGGGACCAGCAATCGGTTGCCGCGAGTGCTGTGACATTCCCCGACCTCTACGAGGCGTCGATTTCCGAGCTGCAAGATGGGTTGGAAAAAGGACACTTCACCAGTGTCGACCTCGTGAAGGTGCACGATCTTCCCCTCGGGTCTCCTCTGTCCGCTGACACTTTTCCGCAGGCGTACTTTGCGCGGATCGAAGAGGTCAACCTCCAGGGGCCTGCATTACGGGCCGTCCTCGAGATGAACCCCAGTGCCATCGCAGACGCAGAAGCATTGGACCAGGAGCGGAAACTGCTGGGCGCGCGCGGACCCCTCCACGGGATCCCCATCCTCTTAAAAGACAACATCGCAACCGTCGCGAAAGAAGGTGTGTGCTCCCCTCCCCGCGCTCTGATTACCCTCATACTCACCCTCCCCTCACATCTCCAGGCATGAACACTACCGCGGGCTCCTTCGCGCTCCTCGGCTCCGTACCCCCGCGCGACGCGCACGTCGCGCACCAGCTCCGTGGTGCGGGCGCGATCATCCTCGGCAAAGCGAACCTGTCCGAGTGGGCGCATTTCCGCGGGAGCGTGCCCTCGGGCTGGTCCGGGCGCGGCGGGCAGGCCTCGAGTCCGTATGTCCCGCTCGGGGACCCGTCCGGCTCGAGCTCGGGCAGCGGCATCGCGAGTGCCATCGGGCTCTGCGCCGTCGCACTCGGAACGGAGACGGACGGGTCGATCATCCAGCCGAGCAACAACCAGAACCTGGTCGGGATCAAACCCACCGTCGGGCTCACCTCGCGGGCAGGCGGTGAGTAGTTGAGTCGCGCTCGGGCGTACGCGCGCAGTTTCTCATCGGGCTCGCTTCCGGAATCACGCAGTGGTCCCGATCTCGTCGCATCAGGACACCATTGGGCCCATGGCGCGCTCTGTCGCGGACGCGGCGGTCGTGCTGGGCGCCATCGCCGGCCGCGACCCGCGCGACAACTTCACGCTCGCGCAGCCCGCGGTCGTCCCGGACTTCACGAAGGCGCTCAACGCGGACGCGCTCAAGGGCGTGCGCCTCGGCGTCCCGCGCATGCTCTTCGCGCACTCGAACTCCGTCGTCGTCGCGGCGTTCAACGCGACGCTCGACGTGATCCGCGGCTTGGGCGCGACGATCGTCGACCCCGCGGACTTTCCCGACATCGCGGAGCTCTGGGCGTCGAGGAACGAGTCGATAGTCACGCGGACCGACTTCAAGGTGCGTCCGCCCGTCCCGTTTCGCGAGCTCGCGCCGAGAGCCGTCCCAGGTGCAAGTAGCTCAGTACATGCAAGAGCTCCTTGAGGTCCCGTCGGACGTGCGCACCCTGGCCGACCTCATCCAGTTCAACACCGACAACGCGGACCTCGAGCTCGTCGCTCCATTCTGGACAGATCAGTCAGAGTAAGCCTTGCACCCGTAGAGCCCACGGTGTGTATGCGCCCTCAATATTGCCCCCACTCCCCACAGATTCGTCGTGTCCGAAAACACAACCGTGAACCAAGCGTACTTCGACGCCATCGCCTTCGACCACGACCTCGGCGGCACGCGCGGGATCGACGGCGCGCTGCAGGCCTTCGACGTCGCCGCGTTACTCATGCCGAGCATCGTCGCCTCCGGGCCCGCGGCCATCGCGGGCTACCCCATCGTCACTGTCCCGCTCGGCTTCATGCCACCGGGCACGCCGCTCTCGCCCGCGCTGCCGACTCGCTCAAGCGGGCCGAACATGCCCTTCGGGATCGCGTTCGTCGGGACGGCGTTCAGCGAATTCAACCTCATCTCGTTCGCGTTCGCGTACGAACAGGCGACACACAACCGCCTCAAGCAGCTGGCGTTCCCGGCAGCGATCCCGCAGACGCAGCTCGCGGACATCGTTGGGAAGAAGTAGTTCGCCTGGATTTCGGGGGGTGGGGACATGGTAGTAGCACAGTGAGGATACATGCCGGGATGTTATACACAACCTGCGATGATACAATGCGATGCCAGGAACGTACTCTACACGGCACGGCGAGCGCCGCCTTCTCAGCCCGTCTTGTTTTTGCTTCTCCTTCCGACCTGCGCCTGGAAACCGGTCTTGATGGTGTTGACGGAGCGCCGCGACCCGCACGACTCGCACGCCATGAAGAAGATACGGTTCTCCTTCGTGAGAAGCGTGTCGGGGGACTTGCACGTCTTGCAAGTGACATACTCGACTGCGTACAACTAGTTACACAACGTTGCGTATGCGAAGATGGAAGCGTACCGATGTAGCGACGAAGGACATGCTCGATTTGCTTCTGCTGGAAGCGACCCTTGATGACCAGTCGACCGGAGCCGTCGACGGAACCAGTGGTACCCATTTCCGCGAACATGTACTGGATGACGTGCTCGGGCTGCCGATGCATACGCTTGCATATGTCCGAGACGTTGGCGAAGATGGACTTCTTGTTGCCTTCGCGGAGAATCTGGGGAGGGGCGATGGTGTATCGCTTGCCAGCGGAAGTGAGGAGAGCAGGGTTGGATGCGTGCAGTTGGCCATAGAAGCGATGGAGGAGCTGGAACGGTCCAATGTGATTAACTTAGTCGAATCGTGGAGGCACATGACAGACTGACCTCTTCGTACGTGTAGTCACGGTCGCTCTTCAGCCAAGGCTCGTTGCCTGAGTCCAGACTGACGCTCTCCACACCACCCCGCGCGAAGGGGTCATCGCCGAGTTCCACTTCGTCTATCTCCGGTATCTGGGTGTCCTCTCCACCCTCGTCTTCATCCGCATCCTTCACTTTCGCCTCGTTCAGCTCCTTCTCAAATGCCTCGAGATCCAGGGCGGCCTTCTTGGAAGACTTCTTCTTTTTCTTCTTGAGATCAGAGAAGTCCAAGTCCTCACCGGCCGCTGGTACAACCGGAGTAGCGGTACCCGACCCGTCGGCCTCCTGAACCGAGTCGGTGAGCATTCAAGCAGACACAGGCAGTATCAAAAACACGTACGAGGTCGAGAGGGATATCCTTCTTCTTCTTTTTCTTCTTCAAGTCACCAAACATTGCCTTGAACTCGTCATCCTCCTTCTTCTCCTCCTCATCACCATCAGCCGTGCCATTCTGCTTCATCCGCTCATGCAGGGTGGTAGTGCCCATGTCTACCGCCTCTCCATTTGTTGTTGTGTTGTCGATCTCGGTAGGGGCGGGAGTCGTAGGGTCGGCGTCAGCACCGAGAGGGTCCTCCGAGAAGGCGACGGTCTTCTTCTTGCGCTTCTTGAGCGAGGGATCGAAAAGAGGCTCCTCAGACATGACTGTAGTGTACGAGAGTTGGTAAGAGCGGTATGGGGGGCGACGAGTGCGAGCAGCAAGAGTGCAGGCAAGCACGGCTGCCTACTTATCGCCTGCTGCTCTTGATCAGCGACTTGCGATGACTCTATTTCAAGCTCCGCCTGATCTATCCCGCCCACGCTCGAAGCGCCGACCGAACCTGCACCCGCCATTTCCCGAGGTCGACGTCGACAGCACGCACCACGACGCCCACCGCTCTTTTACCCTCCCCTCCCGCTATGCTCGCTCGCAGCACCTTCGGCCGTATTGCTGCCCAGCCGTCCGCGCTGGGGGCCGCACCCTCCCAGGCCCGCAACATGGCCACCCTTCGTGAAATCGAGTTGCGTCTCAAGTCCGTCCGCAACATTGAGAAGATTACGAAGGCACGTCTCCGCCCGCGTGCCATGGCCCCGGGCGCATGCTGAACGCGTTTCCAGTCCATGAAAATGATTGCGTCGACAAAACTCGCCAAGGCGCAGCGCGCCATGGTTGCGGGGAAGGAGTACGGTCTCGCCAACTCAGGTGTGTCCCTTAGCTCCGCATGCCGTGACGCGACCTCACTCGCGCGCGTCGACGGCCAGAGATTTTCTCGCATGCGGCCCCGGAGGAGACCGGCAAGCGCAAGCTGTTCCTCGTCATCTCCTCCGACAAGGGCCTTTGCGGTGGTATCCACTCCTCAGTGTCCAAGGCCACCCGCCGCGAGTTCGCTGAGGCGGGCAAGGTTGAGACGGACTCGCCCATCATGGTCATTGGCGACAAGTCGAAGGCCCAGCTCTCCCGTATGCTGCCCAAGAACCTCGTCATGAGCTTCAACCAGATCGGCCGTGACATCCCTACATTCGCCGACGCGGCTGGTGTCGCCGACCTCATCACCACTTCCGGCGTCGAGTACGACACCCTCGCGATTGTCTACAACAAGTTCGTGTCGGCCATCTCGTACGAGCCGGCCATCATGGAGGTAGAGCCGGAGAAGATCCTCCAGGAAGCGCGTACGTTCTACGTTGCTTTCCTCGCCGTACTCTCCCCTGAGTTTTTCCACAGCTGGCTTCCGTGCGTACGAGCAAGAGGATGACGTGACCCGGGATCTCTCCGAGTTCACCCTCGCCAACGCCATCTACGCCGCCCTTGTCGAGGCGCACGCTTGCGAGCAGAGTGCACGGTGAGTCTTGCCTGTAACCTCCGAAATCATACACTGGTTTACGCGCCCATGTCTCAAGTCGCAACGCCATGGACAACGCGTCGAAGAACGCGTCGGACATGATCAGCCGTTTGACGATGCAGTACAACCGTGGTCGCCAAGCTGCTATCACGAACGAGCTTGTCGACATTATCACCGGTAGGTACCGACGTTGGTCAAAACAGGATTGCGATTTAACATCGATGTTACAGGTGCCAGCGCGCTCTAGAGATGGTGATAGCCTATACGGTGGAGGTAGAGTACTCGGGAGTCTGCGTGCCCATGCCGTCTCCGCTCCGCCTTCTACTGTAGTACTCGCACGAATCCATATGCTGTAATCCTCGCCGCTGAGTGAAACCGTGCTAGGTTTGAGACGGTCAACGGTACCTGTGTATGATGCACTGGTGCAACATCAGGCGCACTGTCACGCATACGGACGCTCCGGAAAGGTTGTGGTCTGTTTGACATTCGAAAAGTCTAATAGATCTCTCGCATTTCAAGTGTTCCTTAGTCCTCTCCGCCGTTGGACCATTTTGTGACAGGACAATTAGTACCACCTGGCGTTGTATAAGCTCAAATGGATTCTCTCTCCTTGTCCGTGTGTTGCCGATCCTACAGCCATGGAGAGATCCACTATAAGCCCCAGTTCTATCGGCGCTTGTGTCGCCTCCGAAAGCGACGCAGACTCACCCGGACCTCCCACGCGTCTTTGCGACAGCCACTCATCCAGCGGCCAGGCCAGCGAGCTCCAACTTCCACCCTCTTCTTCTCCCTCGTCCCTGCTCCCCTCTTCACAAGTTTCCATCCACACCTCGAAGGTATTAATCCACGATGGCGATGGTCCACCCCTCCCGGATGGGCCTCGTGCCGCAAGATCCCCCCTCGAAACGGCGCTCCTCCCCTCCGCCCGCACGCGCGGACCTGGACAAGGACGACCATGGGCGCGACAAGCGCGACGGGCGCGAACGTGACAGGGACGGCGACCGCGACCGGAGGAGGGACGGCGAGCGAAACAGGGACAGGAACCAGGACGGCGACAGGGAGAGCGGCCACGGCGACCGCTCGCGGCGGCACGACCGGGGCCGGGCGCGGGCGGACGACTACTTCGCTGAGGAAAAGGAGAGGGAAAAGGACAAGGACAAGGACAAGGACAAGGACAAGGACAAGGAGAGGGACCGGGACGTGGACATGGACAGGAAGCGGAGGAGCCGCAGCCGCAGCGCAGATCGCGGGAGGGACAGAGAGCGCGAGGCCCGTCGAGAGCGGGACAGGCCCCCACACTGGGGTGGCGAGGACGATGGACGGGGGAGGCGGGGGAGTCCGGAGTATGGGGACTACCGCCGACCGACGTCGCCCAAGCGGGGGAGGGACGGTGGGGACGGGGACGGGGCGGAGAAGGCGCCGTGGCGGCAGCAGGAGAACATGTACCCCAGTCGCGGAGGGCGAGGCGGCCCTGGGTATGGTGGCGGCGGGTACGGAGGAGGAGGGTACGGAGGCAGTGGTGGGTCCGACTTCTTGGACAGGTGCGTCTCTCGTTCAACAAAGGCTGACGAGATGAGGAGGCTGACGCGTGGGGGGTGTTGCAGTCGCAGGCAGCAGCGCGACGCCAGCACGATCATGGTCTGGCCGCCCTCACCGAAGGCACCGACCCGGGTAGAGTACGTCTTCCTTCAGTTCTCAGCAATACCAGCCATGGCTGAGTCCACTTCTACAGCTCGCCCACCCGGGGCTCGAAGAAGCACAAAAAGTCACGCAAACGGCGTCGCGACGACTCGGACTCTGACACGGACTCAGACGACTCCGAGGCAGACCGCCGCCGCCGCGAGCGCAAGGACCGCAAGAAGTCACGCAAGGACCGGAAGGACAAGGAACGAGACCGCGACGGGTCTCGCGAACGCCACCGCCGCCGGAGCCATGCATCTCGCTCGCGCAGCCAAAGGCGGAGCGAGGGCCGACGGAGCACGACGCGGACCAGGAGTCCAGACCAACAGCCACCCTTGACACCGCCGGACGACGACGCGTGGGTGGAGAAGCCGGCGACAGGCTTGGTTCCCTCGTTCGCCCCCACAGGCTCGATGGCCCCGCCCCCCGTCCCATCTGGCAAGGGCAAGGAGAAGCAGGACGAGGGAGACTCGTCAGACGACGATGTGGGCCCGCAGCCGTTGAACGTCAAGGCTGCGTCCGGGCGGGCCAAGGTGGACGAGCGGCAGTATGGCGGGGCGTTGCTCCGGGGAGAAGGCTCCGCGATGGCCGCGTTCCTCAAGGACGGCACGGACGTGCGCATCCCACGGCGTGGTGAGATCGGGTTGGAGAGCGACGAGATTGCGGCGTACGAGTCCGTGGGGTACGTGATGAGCGGGAGCAGGCACAGGCGGATGAACGCAGTGCGGATGCGGAAGGAGAACCAGGTCATCAGCGCGGAGGAGAAACGCGGCATCTTGAAGCTCCAGCAGGAGGAGCGCGAGCGTCGCGAGGCCATTCTCCGCGAGGAGTTCCAGCAGCTCGTTCAGGATAAGCTCAAGAGTCAGAGTGGTGGCAAGGCTTGACCCTCGTGGTTTCTGTATCTCTGAGACTGCTATAATATCTCGTACTACATACTGGCTCGTGTTGTAATTGCTAAACAAGTTGCAGTCGACTTTTGTGTGTCACGTGCCCAAAATTTGCCCGGCTAGATTTCTGATTGGACGAGGCGGCCTCAAGCCTTGCCCGTCCGTCTCTGCGAAGTGCTTCACTCTTTGCACTCTCTCCTCGCCATCCAAAATGGTGTCTTTCCAGTGGGTGACTTGTTGCACTGTATTTTTGGCTCTGCTAACCTTGGCTCAGGTGCGATGGTGAGCTCCCTGCCTTCGCTAGCTCTCTGCAATGCGATAATCCGCGCAGGACGCCCTCTGACCCCCTTACCCACCTCCCCCTTCGCATTGATGTCATCCCGCACACGTACCCTCCTCTACACCGTCGGCACTCGCAGGCTGCGGCGACACCGTGAAGAAGCCCAAGCTCGAGAAGCACTACCAACAGTGCCACAGCTCCGTGAGCTGCATCGACTGCAGCACCACCTTCGCCGGACCCGCGCAGTTCAAGGTGCACACCGCCTGCATCAGCGAGGCCGAGAAGTACCAGAAGGGGCTGTACAAGGGTCCCAAGGTCCGTCCCATCCGTCCGCCGCCGTACCGCCCAGACTCACCCTCCCTTTCGTCCTCCCTTGGCCCCCAGCACAACGCCGGGGACCAGGGCCAGGGCCAGAGCGCGGCCGGCGGCAGCGGGCACTACAACCGCGACGGGCGACCGAACGCGGCGGGCCACGGAGGCGGTAAGTATCCGCACGGCGGCCGAGGCTGGGGGACCCGCTGTGAGGCATCTGGCGCTAACGGCACCCCCTTGGGCACCCCCGTGCGGATGTCGCCCGTCACAGCCGTCGCCCCCGAGGTCGTGTCGCCCGCGGGGAAGGGGAAAGCGAAGGCGAAGGCCCCGGAGAAGGCGGTGGAGGAGGTGGAGGGGGACGCGCCGGGGGAGGGCAAGAAGAAGGACAAGAAGGAGAAAAAGGACAAGAAGAGGAAGTCGGTCGACGGGGAGGTTGAGGACGTGGCTGCGGCTGCGGCTGAGGTGCGTCGAGAACACCTTTTCGTACCATCGCGCTGGAGGTTGACGATGAGGCCAGGAGGCTGAGCAGCCGAAGAAGAAAAAGACGAAGCACGCTGACGCCGCCGCCGCTGTGCCTTCGGCTGCTGAAGGTACTGAGACGGTCGAGTTGCCGGAGACGGCGGAGAAGAAAGCCAAGAAGGACAAGAAGTCGAAGAAGAGCAAGAAGGAGGACGAGCCCGCTGAGCCCGCCGCACCCGCGGAGGTACCAATGAAAGCGAAGAAGGCCAAGAAGGAGAAAAAGAGCAAGTCGACGGCGGCGGCGGAGGATCCGGCACCAACCGCGGAAGTGCCACCCCCCGCGACGGATACCACATCGAAAAAGCGCAAACGCGACGAAGTGGAGGTGGATGTAGAGGCTCCAGCGGGGGACAAGAAGTCGAAGAAGGATAAGAAAAAGTCGAAGAAAGGTGGGGCAGAGGAGGCGGACAAGGTGGACGTCGATATCCCCGCCTCGATTGCTGAACCTATGCCAAAGGCGGCCAAGGAGAAGAAGAGCAAGGAGAAGAAGGAGAAAAGGTCCAAGAAGGACAAGTCGGAGGTGGAGGCATGAGCTCGAGCGAGTATGGGCCTCTTGTGCTGGTCGTATGTTCGTCTGTTTCCATGTTTTCTATGCTGTATATTGTGCTATCGCTCTGCTATAGCTATGGGCTACATCGCTATCTCTTCATCTCCTTTGGATACCGCGTCCGATGCCGGCGCCGAGAATACGCGCGACCCCGCGCCTGGACACCAGCGCGATGTGAGGAGGAGCAGTCCACCGTATGCATTACACAGGATCGGCAAGACAGGACAGTTCATCAAAGAGGAGATCCGCCGAACCACCGTCCTGTGCAAGCACACGGTGCGACTCGGGGTCATGGAATATCGAGTCCTCGAGAGGCTCGGCCGCACCCGCCATGTGCGCAACTTTGCAACAGCCGCGTGAAGCGCAAGGTAGTCGGGATTGGGCAAATCCAAGCCCCTCCTTAGGAGGCCCGAGCCCGGGGATGTCGAGATCATTGCGAACTGTGAATGTGACTTGAGCGGGCCACTTATACTGTTCTAGAAGGTCTGGTGGATGTGTTTTCACGTAGTAGGTGTTCGGCTATACGTGCGATCAACTTGGAACGGTGCTGTGAGCGTTAGAATATCGACAAACCGTGCTAGTGCTCTCAAACCAAAGATCTAATTTGTCCATCTGCTCATGAGCGAGTGTCGAGAGGGTCAAGAGGTTGCACAAGCGGTGGCAGTTGTTCCCGTTCAACTCGATCCACGCTGTGGGATAACCAAAGCGTGTCAAGACCGCCCACAAGCCTTTCGCCACATCGATCTGCTACCAACATTAGTTCTTGTCTCAGAGAGGGAAATGATGACCCGCCTTCTTGAAATCGTCACTGGTGAAGTTGTTGACAGACTCGGGTATGATATGCGCACAGCGGGTGGATTCGATAGGAGCATTGGACGGAAATTTGTCCCGATGCTGTTTCCACATATCGGTGTCATATTTCCCGGTCAGCATACACTGACATCCATCACGGAAGAGTGCCTTTTGTGCATGGTGAGTGATGCGACTCATACACGCCGATAGATGCAAGGCACGCACACGCTTCTTTGCTTTCGAGTGATTTTGCGGGGTAGGGACGAGCTGGGGCTCGATCTCATCCGCAACCCTATCGAAGGACGGCCTAGAGGGGTGAGCTGACGTCCTAGGCGTGGGTTCCGCAGCAGATTTGACTGGAGCGTAATCGATGGGCCGCCGAATATTGAGGCAGTAATAGGGGAAGCTCACAATGACGAATATAGTTGTCGTAGTAGAACTGCCCAAGGCTGACGAGTTTCTCATGCGAACCTTGGCAGGTCTTGATCTCAGCTGAGAGACGATGACACGCCAGCTCGTTGACAGGTTCGAGGAGGAAGCCCCCAAGAATGCGAATGTTCCGTCGCTCGCGTGAAATCGTAGTCTGCCGCTTTGAACTTTCGTTCTCGATCGCCTGGTCTTCAGCTGGGAGGATATAGGCGATATACGCGCTGTGTGGTTGTAGAGGCATTCTGATCACCAACTCGTCGTCTTGACGAGGCAAACGGGGAAAAGCCTGCATAGACATGATGGCGGGGACAACGGTGGGGAGAATGACCGCCACCCAATGGCCAGGCGCCCAACGCCGTGCTGGACCGGGGACGCGCGTCCGATGAGCCACTCTCGACCACAACTCCGCGTGTGCTAGTCAAAGGAGGAGGCCCAGATGCTGTCTCAGACGATCACGCCGACTTCTGACACGAAGTCGAAGGTGATCACGACCTTCGCCGATCGTCCCACGTTCTCATGTGCTCGGTGCGCAGCGGTCATCGTGCGTTCCTCGGATCGAGTGGTACCTCTCATGATCGCTGAGCTCGCGCACCTCCAGGCACTACAAGACGAGATCATTAGCAAAGCGTTCTCGGCCGAGACGGTCGTGGCTAGTGCGCACGTCTGCCTCAACCATCGCGCTGCGTTGGGCTTACCCTGCAGTACCCGAAAAGCTTGGTGCATTCCACCGTGAACTTGAAGATGGGCAAGCGAGAAGACCGTCCTCTCATGTGAGCTCGCGGTACAGCGTTCTCTCTGACCATGCGCCCGAGCCCACGTCGATGATGTCGTTGTTGCAGGACTGGCGTGCATACCGTCGCCGATGTGTTCTGCATGGGCTGCAACGACCGGATGGGCTGGTACTACCACAAGGCGTCTGACCATACGCAGAAGTATAAAGAAGGTGTGTGCCTTTGCGTATGTTCCGAGACCATGCTTAGCGTCATGCTCGTTAGGGAAATACCTCTTGGAACGCGAGAAACTCGTGAAGGAGAACAAGTGGACTCTTGACGATCCAGCACCATGACAGGGGACCGATCACATCCATGCAACGGCATCGACATTGTACAGTCTCTCCGTTGTTTACTAGCCTATTCAACCATCTCTCTTCCATGGAACAGGCTTCGAGTGTGTGCACACGGGTTATACTTGACCACGACTACGTTCGGTGCCCCAGTGAATGAGGAGGCAGCTGTGGAAGGAGAGCGTGTACGAATACATCTTGGTATCCCCACCCATAATATTTGAGACGAACATGCCGCCGGCCGCGGTCGTGCAGCAGAAATGTGAGCGAAGCGGTTGGTGGCGATCCGAGGCTTGACCCAGCTTGGCCATCGCGCGGGGTTTGCAGGATTGTTCGGTGAACATGCTGATGAGTCGGGTGTTGACAGTGCTACCGTTTTCAGAGCCCGTCAAGGCCGAGGTAAAGGTCGAGACCGGCGTCGGTGTCCTTGCGTGCGATTCCGCGCGAGTCGAGGGTGCCGCCATGCCGCGGGATGAACGCCCATGGCATCACCTCACACCTGCACAATGTGACATGGTGGTTTGGTGCCACTGCACGAGCCTGGTTGTCCGCATCTCTCTCCCTCTATTGCCCTCTTTCTCTCACTCTACATCGTCGCCGTCATGCCCCCATCAAAGCCCCTCCCTCCCTCTGGCAGCCCTTCCCTCCGGGTATGCGCTGGAGGACGACTGTCGCTCCGATGCAACCTCCTGTTCCACCGCGTTCATGACCGGCATCGACAGACGGGACGCGTTCAGGGGACGACTACGCTGCATCGTATGTGGGGGCGAGTGCGGTTTGAACCATCGTCACATCATTCCAATTTGCGAAGACGAGACGGTGAGTCACTGAGGGTCCCAACCATGCTCAGCGCCAATGCTGTTTCCAACAGTGGGAAGACCTCCGGCAACGCTCTTGGATTCCCGCCACTGCCAAAAATCAGTGAAGCACGATCCTAGGAATGGTGTCTTGATGTGTCCATCACACCACGTCATGTTCGACGGGCTCGTGTTCTTTATCCGCTTCATACCCCAGAGTGACCTCAAGGTGCGTTTGATCTCTTGTTTTTAGGTCCTACATATAGCTCCTGATCATCTCGAACCAGGTGACTCGCTGCTCCTCAAGCCACATTCTACCAGCCGGTACCGACCGCGGACGATGGTCGCGCGAGGCGTCCGCTCCCTACGGACAACGAATCGATCGACACGATTCTGTCCGCGCAGCGCTTGATGCCGACCTGGCGGGCGTACGTGAGGGATACCACCACGTGGGATGAGACGGCGGAGGAAAACACCCGGAAGTTTCTCACTACTGTCGGTGTTGAAGACTCGCCGGCTGGGCTGGAGCAGGATGTTTAGATGTGACTGGCATGGCATCTTGGACTTTGCACACAGTTGGACTCTATGCACTTTGTTTTCTCCGTAAGCTTGCGCGAAGCGACCAGGGTCCCCGATATCAAGCGGCTCCACGAACGAGCTTGTGCAGGACAAGCATCGAGAGGAGGTCATCGACGTTACATTGTACGAAATAGAGCACTGGGTCGGAGCGCAGTATAGGGGTCTCGCAAAGACAACGAAGAACTGTCGCAGAACATATTGGACGAACGAAACATTGGATCTGAGTGAGACGGGAATGTGACCCAACGAAGTGAGGTGGACTAGACCGGAGAGTACGCATCGCGGAGAATAAGAATTCAATGAGAATCCTGCAGGCTGTTCTGTCATGTTCCTCCTCCTTTGCAAGGACTAGCAGGTTCCTGGTTTCGGACAACATACACATAATCCGAATTGCCGCGTGACGTGACGGCAGTGCAGTGCGACTAGAGGAATCGATTACACACATGTACAAGTAGAGCACCGTCATCTCCCCAAACACACCTGCTCAGAACCCGCTCGCGGTCACGCGCAGCTGCTCCAACTTCTTCAGAACCTCCCCGACCGTGCGATCCAGCTCGCCCGCGATCGCGCTCTGCTTGGTCGCGGGCAGCTTCGCGAACGCCTCGCACAGGTCCCCATCGACGACGGCCTTGACGGGCACGTAGTACCCGCGCCACGCGAGGTGGTCGCGGCCGACGAGACTGAGTTGCTCCGTGCGCATGTGCTGCTCCAGTGTCGTCAGGAGATCGACGTCCTCCTTCGACACAAACGGTACGAGGATGCCGATCGTGCCGTACAGCCCGGTGTAGAGGATCACCTCGCGACCCCCAGCGACGAGGGAGACGCGATGGAGGGATGTGACGAGGTCGTTGACGTGGAAGTGCGCGAGCATCACCGTCTTGTGCGGCGCGCCGAAGAGCTGGCCCTTTTCGTGCAAGATGCCTGCGCCTGTGGGGTCGTCGTCGACCTGGTCCGAGATCTTCGCCTCTAGGCGGTTGACGAAGACGTTGCCGAAGCGGTCGCTGGCAACGACGGTGTTGTAGTCCAGCATTGTGGTCGATGTGACCCAGCGTTGCTGCACGTCGTCGGCAAACACGAGCAACTTGTTCTCTGGCGGCTTGTAGACAGCATAGAAGACAGAGTCCTGCATGTCACCAACGATGATCCTCGACCCTTGAGTGTTCAGAGTGACAATGGCCGAGCTGAAAGTCTGGGGAATCGACGTTAGTACACGTCTGATCTGAGACGGCAAAGTGCGTACCTTATTCTCTACTTTGCGAAGCAACTTTTTCTTACCCATATCGTACAAGCGAAGGGCCTTTCCAACACCAGCGACGAGCTTACCCTGGAATGCCATCACAGCGAGGGGAACGTCGTTTGTCTCCGTCTGCAAAGCTTGTAAGCTTCTGATAAGAAGGGTTATCCAGAAACAACGAACCTTGTGGAGTAGCTCAAGATTGCGACCGTCTTCCGTGAAACGATATGTGCGCAAAAAGCCACTCGTACATGAGCGAGGAGCAAGGAACGTGTCTTGCGCCGTGCCGACGACAAGATGCAACTCGTTGTTCTTGGCAGAGAACGGGACCATCGCAATAGAGAAGGCCATCTCGTTGTTGTCCAGGTGGATGATGTTCACCGTCTGAGACTCCAGCGGGCTGATGATCCGGATGCACGAGGCCCAAGTACCTGCAGCTGCTTTGGGCCGTCCGAACTGCTCTGGAGGAAGCGAGAGGACCTCATCGTCGATTGACTTGCCATTGTCACGCTACATGTGAACATCAGTAATGGCCTATGAGTGACAAGAAAAACACATACCAAAGCCTGCAAATGCTTCGTCGCTGCCGCCTCGCTCAAGACGCGATGGTCACCTTCGATTAGGTATAGAAGACCGTTCTTTGGATGCGGGATAAATTTGCGGGGTGTGTAGGAAAGTGGCATAGAATCTTGCTTGAGCTTTGTGCCCAACTTCGGAATCTGGAAGATCCTGGACAACCAACAGTATTAGCGTGCGGCTCTCATTGACGGAGTCACGAGGGCAGGGAGGCCTCAGAAGGAACAATTGACGTGTATCCAACAGATGAATCACGAGGGTGTGACCCATTCAAAGGGTGATGGTAAGGCGTCGTCTCTGGTGACCCGCCCAATGCACATTTATGCTAGAAATACACTCACCGGAGTAGGCTTCCAGATATGCCGATGAGACCTTCTGTACAAAGCTCTGCCGAGAAGCTCCATGCATAGTCCAGGTTTTCGAAAATGAGGGGCGTAAAGTGCATGAAGTTCTGGTAGGTGTAATTGAGCCAGGGGCGGGAGGACAGTGCAAGGATGGCTGGGTTCTGCTGCACATTGACGCGAAGGAGACGGACCGGGCGGGTACCCAGAAACCGTGTCCGGGTGTCTGTCAGTTGTCCGTTGACAGGGTCAAGAACGGTACGAAGCAAGACACCGTTTTGAAGGCCAATGTTGACAAACGTCGTTGGTTGCACTTTGTTGATACCGGCGTCAAGCATGTCGGCGATGCAAATGGCCGATGGCGGCGAGGTCAAGGCTTGTAGACTGATAGTCTCCAGGGTGCTCTCAGGATCAAGGGAGACGATTCGGACGGTCTGGTCCTCACATCCGACTGCCTAGAACGATACTCAGCTCTGTTTCATCAAAAGAAGCACCCAAGTCAACTCACCAGGAAAGGAGTTCGTTGACGGCCTTCAGGAACTTCCGCGATACTCAGGGCCAAAACCGTACTGCCCATAGCTTTCCGGTCCTGGTACTCGTTAAGCTGCCCATCGAGGTCCAACTCGAAGTACACAAGCTCAGCCGAGGACAACGCAACGACTACTTGGCGTTTGTTGGTCGTAGCGCAAACGATGGTCCTGCCGGCGGGAACTCGCCATTCGTTGACACGGTGATCGGCGAGTACGTGCCGAATGCCGTGAGGGTGGACTTGGAGGAGAGCATCCACGCCGATCTGCTGCACGGCGAGAGTAGGGGCGGAAGAGAGGAAGCCAGTGTCCTGAACTTCCTCGATGGTCTCGCCGATACACAACACCAGCGTACCGTTGACGAAAGAGAGGATGATGTAAGAATCATACGGATCTGCGTGTGCACATACATATCAGCATTGGACTCGAGACGATGTGAACACTAACTCACCATCTTCCTTGAGCTTCGTCGTCCATACCGCGTTGGGTATACCCGGCAAGATGGAGCTGACAACCTCCTCAACTTCAAGACCATGTCGCAATGTCCTGAACGTACTCCTTGCACCACGGCCGCAAGCCGCGAAGATCTGAGGCGTGTCGGAATTTGGAAGGAGATTCATGACTTTCGAATCAACGATAGGGTTCAACGATTCCAGCTCATCGACAAGCGTTAAGTTGTCCAGAGCTCGGGGACGGAAGTAAGCGCGAGGGAGAGGTTCGGCGGGATCGAGCATTCCTTGACCAGGGTAGTCCGTTGAGCTGAACTCTGGTTCATCATCGTCATCTCCGAGCTTCTGGAACTGATAGAAGTAGCTGCGATAATGGATAGGAATGAGAGCCGAATTACACAGGAGTATTGGGTGACTTACTGGTTGCCAAACTCTGACGCTACAAACAAGAAGCCTGACTTCAGAATGCATAGACTGGACGCGACAGGAACGGTGTCAAAGTACTTGATTTTGAGTGACCTAACATCCTGCTCTTCATGCTCAATGGTGACCTTGTAGAGATCGCCTTCCTCGCTTTGAAGCAGGAAGAAGAATGCACCCTGCATGGCATGTGAATGGGTCGGCAAACTGGAGGTAGGGAAAACGCACCTTCATCTTGTGCATGACAGCAGAGGTGATGATGAGACCACGGTCCGAATCTTCTAGCGGATGCTTCCTCCGAGGAATAGGGACACGGTGTTGAGGGGAGTCCATGTGGCGGTAGATGATATGGTCTTCGCAGCATACAAGTACACCCGAGGGTCCATCATACCTGTCCGAAGTCGCGAGCTGGCCACCAGGGACTTGTACAAGGAGGTTAGCCCGGAGGTCCGTGGGCTCGCTCCATTTCCTTACGACGTGGTTCAGACCCAAATCCAACTCGTAATAGGTGAGCATCTAGATTCGGGAAGACATTAATGATACGCTTTACGACCAGCCATCAAAGGCGCACCTTCTCCGCGTTGTTGAAAGCTTCTCCGGTTGAATCTTGGTCAGACTCTGTGTAGTCTACTTCCAAAGCCGCAAACGTGGGGTTTTCGAAGCCAACGTCGAGCCCGACGATGTGGTGTATGATGGCATTGTTTTTATGCGCCTCCAAAGGCGATGAGATGGTCAAGTTGGCGGCAGCGTCGCGGTTCAGGATGTAAACCAGCTTTGCTTTTTCTACGGCCCCAATCATCACGGCGCGTCCTTTTGGGTCTGTTGCGAGATACTGTCCAGGGACGATTCGACGCGCCCCTGACTTCCCGTAAGTTTCTTGGTGGACCTTGACAAAGCTGCTCGTCTTCGGGTCGTAATCTAGGATGACAACACGGCCTGAATCTGACCCTACGATCACATAATCTAAGAAAACGGGAGGGTGTGAATACAGCAAAAACGAACGAACACGTACAACGGCGCACCCTTAGTACCGCCAGTCAACCTGAACGCCGCGAGGGACCTAATAGAGCCGAAGACATCTGAGGCGATGACGGTGAGGACCTTGCCGCTTTGCACATCGGGTCGGAGAAGCTCGAGGCGAGTGCCGCGCGAAACGACTATCTCTTGCGTGCGAGAGCCAGAGAAGTTGCCCGCCACGGCATGGGTAATTGCGGTGGGAGGTTGAAGGGTGAGGTTGTACAGATGCATGACGAAAGCAGAAGAGAACGGTGAGATCAATCAGAGACGGTGCAGTGAAGCACCGAATGTCACTGCAGAGAGCAGGACGGGAGACGATAGGGGACTGGGAGGGTGGTGGGGGTGGACGCGAGGTGGTCGTCTGCGTTGCAGGCGTTCGACGCGTTCACATTTGCGCGCTCACAGTCCCGGGGTCCTGGCAGACTATTGACACCCCTATTCGGGGCACGAAGACTTGCATCGAGTCAAGGCTCCGCTAGCGTGATATGCAAATGAAAACAGACAGTATGCAGACCTGACTAGGATTCCCAGTCATCGAAAGCGGCATAGCTCGACGTCGCCTTCTTCCTCCCTCGACCACCAGATTTCCCTCCTCGGCCTCGACCACGTTTGCCCCCTCGCAGCGAACCTTTGCGAGAAGGACCGCCTCCAGGACACGCTGAAGTACAAGCGTGCCAATAAGTAATCAACGTGATTTTCGGGCTGGAGCTCAAGCACTCACAACTGCTGTAGTGCCCAGACTTGCCGCATTTGAAGCACGCGTCTCCACCGCCCTGGCCGCCGCTAGGGCACGCTGAAGTACAGGGATGAGCATAAGCTCTGCTCCCAATTGGGTAGATCACTCACCACTACTGAAATGTCCTTCTTCTCCGCACTTGTAGCAAGCGGTTGATGACCCCCGCCACCGCCGCCTTCCCGTCGGCCACCACCTCCACCGCCGAAGCTCTTTGCTCTCTTTGATGGTGGCCCTGGAGCATCTTTATTCGGGCAGGCTGTTCGCGTAGTCAGCATCAGATGTACGATCTAAATTACACGATAACTTACCACTTGCCCAGTGACCCTCCTGCCCGCACTCGAAACACCCTCCACTGTTTCCCCCTGACTCAAAGCCGCTTGGTCCAGATACGCTCCTCCGAGGAGGTGCGGGCGCGTCGTTGCCCACCTCGTCGGCGAACACGAAGTAATTACACCCCGCGTTCAGAGAATGGGTTGGACACGACCAGAATTTCCTGCCTTGATTCGCTCCATTCTTGACCTCCTTGAGCGTCGGAGTCAGACCGCACTGACACCTCCCTGGCGCAGTACCGATACCGTCAACCGCAGGCGTGCCGTAGGACCTCTTTGCTGGGATGGAGGGCGTAGAGGCGGAATGAGCACGAGATGCCGATGCGAATGATGGCCCGTTCGAGGTAGAAGCTGATGTGCCCTCCATCCATAAGAAGAAGTCGCAGCTCTTGTTCTCGCAGGTCCAGAATTTGCGGCCCTTGTTGCCGTTGGTGTCCTTCGTGACGGTACGTTCCACAGCAAGGTTGCCACAAAAGCATTTGGGCGGTGCACCGCCGTTGGGGGGAGGCGGGGCTTGTCGTGCAGGAACGGCTCTTGCAGGAGCAGGAGCTCTGGCGGAGGCAAGTGTAGGAGCCGCGGGTGGAGGGGCTTGCTCCGTCTCGCTCCAGTCTACGAAGGTGAGCTCAATCAAGTGCAATACAGAAAGGGCGCACTAAATTACCCACAATCGTCAGTGTCATCCGCTGCAAGTGCTGCTGGAACTGGAACTGCTGGAGGAGGAGGCGGCGGCGGTTGTGGTCTGCCGTTGGATGTCGGGGCCGCGGCTCCACGCCCTCTACCACGTCTTGTCCCTGTCGCAGCAGACCCTCGCGTCGAGCCGTTTCTGGTTGGTGCTCTGGCTCGTGTAACTGTGCGCGCCCCTCTTCCTCTTCCTCTTCCGCGCCCTCCGCCGCCTCCGCCTCCACCTCCGCCCTCGCCATCATCGTCGTCACTTTCGTGGGCCTCCCCAAGATCTACATCTGGAACAGGCCCCTGACCATTGATACGTTGGCCAACAGCCTGATCTTTCACGTGAGCTTTTTGTGCTAGGTTGACACAGCAGGGACGTACATCAACCAGCTTCTGAAACTCGATCTTGGTCTTCATGAACATCTCCTTGTACTTCTCGATGCTCTCGTCAAGGACTTCGCGCTTAGACTTCAGTCCTCGGCAAATCTCAACCATACGGCGTTCAGTCTAATGGAACATGAGCGATCATACACGATTATACAGTAAGAGGACTTACTTCACGGCGCAACTCCGGTTTGCTCAGACTCTGATCAAATCCAATGGTATCGTAGCCCTCAACGAGGCCAATTCCGAGTGTCGATGGGATGAGGTATTTGGTCTTACCCTGCATCCGCTCTACAACATATCCTCGGTCAACGATGGTCTGTATATGCTGAGCAATGGTTGCATCCGTGCCTAATCGCTGCATTAGTGACGTGCAATGGCGGGGGAGTGATACACAAACCGATCCCATGCTCGTCCATGAGGCCAACCAAATCGGCTTCGGTGAGTAGATTCGGTTTCGAAGTCTTGCCCTCGTCAAGACGGCATTCGGTGGGGACAAATATCTCCCCTTCTTGGAACTGCGGTAACTCCTTGTCCGCCCACTTATCGTACGGAAAGACGTCGAGATAGTTTCGTTCCCTGATGGTCAGGCCTGCGAAGACATGTCAAAGGAGTTGTCAAGGTTGATACTTGATTGCATACCTGTCGAGTAGAACTCTTCTTCGCCATACCTGACGTCAACGGTGGTTTCCCAACCAAGAGCGTCGGTCGAACAACACGCCAAGAAACGTCGTGCAATGTACTCGTATACCCGTTTTTCGTCTCCTACGAGATTGCCGGCATGTGCTGTCGGGTGAATGGGGGGGTGCGCGTGATCGTCGTGCTTGCCTCGGCGAGGGGCGCTGAAGCCGCCGTTTTGCAAGCTATGTCAAGTTGTCGTTAAGCGCTACAGAGGTTGAGCATAAGGAGAGCTCCGAACCCTGCTGCAAATCCTCCCCACGCGGGATCCGCACTCTGCTTGCCAATCAGAGTTATGAAATCGAATTGAGGGTCGTATACGTCAGTCTCCGTGCGAGGATAGGAAAGGAAACCTTGCTGGTAAAGCTTCTCGGCGATCTTCACATAAGTCAGGATTTGTACAAGCACGAAGGTCCTGAAGGCGCTTACATCAAGAGCCTTCTTCGGAGATATTTTGAGAATTCTAGAAGCGGCTTTCTGCAAGTCTACTGTTGTCAGTGGATAGGGCTTGCTAAAAAATAAGCGAGTTGGTGCTGGTTGCAAACGCACAGGCGAGATCACTCACAATTTCTTCTTCTCTTTAGACGTCACTTTCGAGACGCGAGCTGTCGCTGACTCCAGTGCAGCTTCATACAATGCCCACGCGGTCTGAAGATCGAAGATGTGCCCTCTTCGCCATGTGAACTCCGTGTCCACGGGTTCGTCGCCATCGGCAGGTGGCCGTGTCAAGGATAGGTATATATACCAGAACAGCTCAGGCTTGAAGTTCTTGAGCTTGTTGTAACGTGCAACAACGAAGCCTAGCGTAGGGAACTGACAAGGACCTGTCAGGCCAAGAAGTCTGAGGGCGAAATTCACAGACGGCCAGGGAAGTGGCGTGCGTACAAAACGTACCATATGAAACAATGTCTTTCTTCAAAGCCTCGAATTTCCTCTGGAGCTGTAGGGTCTGCAATCGAGTGAATGCCGAGCCGACACGCAAGTCGAGCAGAATGCGAGTCTCGACAGCATTCGACTGTGCCATGTCGAGCGCAACAGGATGTTGTGCGGCGTTGTGGATTTGTCTGGGGTGCTCGTGGTTGGTGACGAGAGAGGGAGGGGGACGGCCACACTTACTGTGCGATAATTGCGCTGAACCTTGCTCTCTGCACGACGATATTAGGGTTTCCATTCTGGCAAATCTTCATGATCTCCGCTCCGATGTTTTCTCCTTCTCGGTCGCAGTCGGTCCATATCATGAGCCTTTGCGCACCTCTTGCTTCCTTCCTTAGATTATCCGCGATGGCTTTAGCGTCGGGTTTGACCTTGGTCTCGATCTCGGCCTCAAAGAGCGCAAATGGGTCGCACGAGGTCCATCTGGAGTACATGGAAGAGAAGTCGTAATCCATAACATGACCAGTGACGGCGGTCACGGTGAAGAAAGCATTGCCATGTGGATATCCAAAGTCGTAGTTCTTGATGTACTTGTTGCCAGTTGGTCTCTACAAGGGAGTAAGCAAATATATATGTCTTACATTTGGAGAGACGTACCGTCCTGAATTCTCCGCCAGAGAGAATCTGCGTGACAGACTTTGAGATGGATGGCTTTTCGGCCACACACAGCACCTTCATTGTGTCGATGAAACGCTTGGAATGGCGCGAATAGTGGGGAGAGCCCCTGAGGCAACCCCGTCTTCAGTTGATGGGCTCCCGATTCAAGTCAAGGCGGGAGGACTGGAGCTGGTTTGTATGCACTGGTGGTTTGCGTTCAGGTGATATATCAATCCGAGCTCGGACGAGGAAGCTGCACACTTTGAATGGGCAGGTAGTGCAGACAGAGACGAGATGAAAGCGAGCAGAGGTAATACGTGAGTAGAAGTTACAACACGAGGAAGGTGGGTGGTGGTGGGGCGCGTTCAAGTTAGCGACGGCGTACGCGACAAGACGCGTCGCGTCGACGCATGTCATGTAGTCATGTGATCCTACAATACAAGCGATATTCCACTCATCGCCGAACAGGATGTCGCTTGCTCACTGCGCTTGCTCGGCGGCAGAGTCGGAAGAATACGCCAGCAAAATGGATTTGATAGTCTCAACAGTGTCGTACACGTCCATGGGGACTGCACCGCTGCGAAGAGTCAAGGTGGATCGAGTTTCGAGTAAGCTAGACGGAAGTACATGGGTACATGCAACCTGATTTCATGCGTTTTGTTTTATCAACTCAGCGGCCCCCTCTGTGCCTGCTATGCGTTCCAGACGCAGCCAGTCGTACTTCGAGTACAACACTTTGCATGTTACGTCCGACGCGTCAACATCGTCATCCAAAAAGGGATAAGACAGGAACTCCGTGTAGAACTGAGGATGGTCAGGGGGAGCGTAAAAAACAAGATTGCGGATTCCTCGAAGTTTGTATCTAAACAACATGGTTAACGGTGTGGGGGGGTCATCTTCATTGAACATACCTCCGGAAGAAATGAAACCGTTCGCTAACGAGCAAGAAGGCTTTCTTCCCAGAGAAGAAAGCTTGGCGTGCCCGAGAGATATCTTGGTTTGATGAGTACCTGTGACCGTCACATCAGTGTGTCGAAAGGGTAAAAAGCATGATCACACTTACTCGGACAGCACAGCGAAGGAATGACCAGCGGTCTTCCGGAAATGATTCTGAACCCGAATGAAGTCGAACGATGATGGTACGAATATGACAGTGTTCGCGCTCTGAACAGCAGACTTCATGATCGCCGGGAGCATCTGTTGTACTGGTAAGCCGGTGAGACAATAACTTGAATGGGCGATAAATTACCTGTGCCGTGAAGTGTTGGAACCTCTTGTCTGGCTCATCCTTTGGATTACTAGAACTAATGTGCACAAAGTTCTGATCGATGCCTTCAGGCACTTGAATAGGAGGCCATTTCCTTTCCCCGCGGACCTTTCCTGCGACATTTTTCAACACCTGATTGTAGAGTGCACGTACTTCTGGTGTATCGTATGCGCTCAGCACAATGCTCTGACGGAGGTATGTCGAGCTAGTAGCAATCTTAATATAGTCTCCGATCGAGTATGGGATAATTTACGCACTGTCCGTCAAGATACCAAGGTTTAATGCGAGAGAAGTCAACGTCATGGGATTCTTTGGGCATTTGGTTCAAGTGGGTGAAGACAAACTATTGCGGTAATTAGAGCACTGGAGGTTCGTAAAGCCCGTCAGGGACCGACCTGAACATGTTCCCAATTTTGCATTGTCAAGGCGTCTGTCTGGTCCATAATGACCATCTCGATGGACGAGAGGAAGTCTCCATTTCTGGACCATAAGTATGAGCGACGAATCACCACGACATATGACGTCCACGCACTGTTCCTTCTCGACGGACATACGAAGTCCCAGAGGACTTGCGACAATCACGTCACATGCGTAGAAGTCCGCAAACAATTTGACGCTGTTTTTCGTCAGTTTCACGCCCAACCTGAAGCTATCGTCGACGTTTCCTTTGAACATCTCGACGTGATCTCGGGGGTACGCCCCGGGCTCCGCGCTGGCCAACTTATCCACTGCACCCGGAGGGAGGCCGTACTCGGTCTGGAACCGCGCATTGTTTTCGATCTGATAGTGCGAGGTCGGGGTGTGGGACGTGAGTGCCGATATCCAGCGCAAGGCGAAGGAGCGGAAAGGGAGGAGAATGAGCACGGAGGGTCGCGTGAAGCCTTGGTCTTGGACGTCCTCAGGTGGCTCGTTGCCGGCTTTGGTCGCGTGCGATATGCGCTCGTTGTTCTTCATGATACGACGGCGCTTTCTAAAGCCACAAGTTTTAGCAGTCGCGTAGAAGCGGGTACGAACGCACCCACTTGGTGATATGGTTGAGTGCATGTAGAGCCAAGGCTTCGCGGACAATGGGTTGAGCTTCCAGCGCCGTCCGAGTGAGATACAAGTCGCGGTACGATGACAGCATATTCAGCACATCATTCTGGAGCTCAACCATTTCTATACGGGTGATTAGACCAAGAGCACAACACGTGTGTTCAAACAAGACGTACCTCGAGGCAGTTTGCTCTGCCTCGCCTCCATGGGCTCCCGAAGTTTTTGTGGAATCTGGGGCGAGCGATTCATTCGGGCGCACAGACCCCAAGGTTCACCACATACCTTGTGCTTCGAACCAGACACACTGGAATGCTCGACACCTTCCGGTACTGACTCAACCACGGCTCCCATTTTTCCGCACTTGTCTCTCCTCGTTGCCCATTCACGTCGGTCGACTGCCTCGCGCGCGCTTTGGGTCAACACGCTTGGAGTCAGGCCGAAGTGTGCTTCATACGGATCCGCGCCCGCTGTTCGTCCGCATTGTGTTAGCATCTACAAGGGTCGAAGTCTACTCCCCCGAGTGAACAGACTCACCATCGTCTTCGTCCACAGGATTCCCCTCTACCTCTTCGCCCTCTACGCCTCCCTCTTCGCCCTGGGCTCCTTTCTCCGCGGTAGTTTCAGACACAGTCGCAGTGCTCTCCGAGTCCGGCGAGAACTGGACCACACGCTTTTTGTTCAGCTTTTCAGCAGGCTTGCTTTCTTCGTAGTACGTCCGCTTGCGCTTGCCAGTTTTGGTGGCCGAAACGTTGAGAAGAGTCAAGAGCCGAGTCGTGGTAGAGCTAGAGTCGTCGATAGCCATAGCGCGAAGGAGAGAGATCATACAATGACCAGTAAACAGCCGGGCAGCCACAATAATTTCATCCGCGCATTTCGATCATGATCACGTGCATAAACAAATAGGCGCCGAATGGCAAAGGTGCACACTTGAGTACAAACATTGTTTCACACATACTATTGGCACGACCCGTAATGAGAAAGACCCTAGTGTTGAAAAATCCGGTCTGGCATTCCTCTCCCTCGTCCGACAAAAACCAAATTCTACTGTACATTGGTAGAGCCTTTCGTTTGAGAAAAGAACGTCGCGATTCTGTGCAGCGAAATCAGTCTCCACACTAGAATACTCCGAGCCCAGTTCATCCGCTGTGAAAAATTGCTACTTTCATGGCATGACATTGGCTTTAGCATGGGTACGAAATCCGACCATTTCACACCGGAAAGTACTAGTCGAGATATTCGTGGTTTAATATCACGGGCGCTTGCATTTCTCAACACTGTCCCGATAGCACGTTCATCTGAGCTGCATGGTCACCACGCTGGGAATCTCACCAAGACCACTAGGTGGTACAAAACTGAAACGCTTTGCTCGCGCGAACGCGAAAAGGGGTCTCAGCTCATTATCATAATAACATGTCCAGACAAGATAATTACAGCGTCGACTTGACAAAAACCATGCGGTACATCCAAGAAGTGCGTGCAGTGTGTATACTATGTTGCCGTGCATCCACCCGGACCAAAAAGGCCGAGATGTGGAGGCGTCTACATGGGCTCGGTCTTGATGTCCCGCCTCCGTGGCCATCTTCCGACGAGTACGTGCGGGTGCGGTTCATGGTTGAAGAGCGAATGGGCTGAGCGCGCACTGGTTCCGAAAAGTGCTCGCGGAGACGACCCTCGACTTGACGATGAACCTGAAGATGTAACGTGGTGAGTGTCCAGAAGGAGGAATCCAAGAAGCACAACACTGACCTCGCCACCAAGACTCCTGAAGATCTGGAACACAGGCCCGACCATTCCAAGCTGGACGATGAGGTACCTAGGCAAGAACGTCAACATACCGCCCTCGCTTTTGAAAACAATACACATACGCGGAAGCGAGGAGCAAGAGGAGCATCGCGAAGTAGATTGGGTTGAAGAGCACGACCATCGCCTCGTTCCAGCCGAGTACGACGAGCACGCCGTACATCCAGTAAGGGATTGGGCCACGCTCGAAACCATGCTGCGCTTCGCCTCAACGTAGTACGCGTCCGCGTCCTTCCGGAACCGGTTAGTGAGGTCGAGTGCCTTCGTCTCGGAGAAGATCGTGAGCGTCACAGGGAAGTCGAAGTCCTCCGAGTTCGTAAGCGGGTCGGGAGCTTCTGAAGGAAGGCTGAACTCAAGTGACGCGTCGAGCGGTTTGATCTTCCAGTACACGGTGATGAGTTCGAGGGTCTAAGAGCGAACGTTAGCTCAAGGCCCTCTGGTGGACCAATGGAAGCATATGGACCAACCTGTTCCTTGCCTTTTTGAACGCGCCATCGATGTCATCATCCGGCTTCCACACACGCGGAGTCCCCGCCTCATCGTAACGGAAGCGCTCCTCGAAGTAGGTGCGCAGGTGGCCCAAAAACACGGCGTCCGCGGTTTGCTCGTCGATCTTCGAGCGGAGCGCGAGCCATGCACGCTTGCGCAGCGACGCAAGCGCGGTCGTGTTTTCTTCTCGGTGCAATCGAAGCTCTTCGCTTTCGTCAGGTATGCCGCTTCTGCCTTTTCGAGGGTTTCACGGAACACCTTCAGCACCTTGTCCCACATGTCAGCCGTAGGTTTGTTCAAGTAGAGCTCGACCGGGTCAGAAATTTGTTTCTTGAAGTTGCGCTGTAGGAAGAGGAATCAGGAATGGGCATTGGGAGCCTCAACTCTGATAACGCACCTCGATGAGGTTGACCATCTTCTTCGTCTCATCTTTCCTGCATTGATCCGCGACCACACGGGCCTCCTCGCGGAGCAGACTGAGCTCCTCTTCGTACGACCAGTCGGTGCCCTCGACGATAGCCTCCTTCGCACCCTCCAAGAAGCGCACCTCGAGGCGGTCGCGTGCTGCGCTGACGACGTCCGCAAAGTTGTAGCCCTCGCCGCGCATGCCGTCAAGCATCTCCTTCTTGTACTGCGCTAGGCAAGCCTTGTGGAGGTTCTTGAGCTGCCCAAGGAAGAGCGGCGAGAGCGTTGAGTCGAGCACACCAACGAGGTCAGCGCGTTTGCGCTTGTAAACGCCTTGGTGGTAGCGCGACGCGTCGCGGTCGTATCGGTCTTTGCGTTATCAGTGCAAGAGCTTGCAGAAATCTCGCATGGTGCGCACCCAGAGCCTGTGTCCTCCATGCACGCATCATCTTGCCCAGTTCGTTAACCACCTTGCCAGACTCGACTGGTCGCCGCTGAGGCTTGACCTGCTCGTTGAACTCTGTAAGAGCAGCACTCGAGATCTCGTCGCAACGGAACTGCGCAAGGAGCTCGCGCTGGGTCGGAAGATCGAGATCCTTGTTGGTTTGCACTTGTTCCTATGAGAAGCACAATTCAGTCTCCGACACATGTCCCCGGCACGCGTATACTCACCCAAATGCCCTCCATGTAAAACGCGACGCCATCAGCCGGAATGCGCTTGTGGTAGGAGGGAGAAAAGAGGAAGTCGTTTCTCGACTTGTCAAGGAATCGCTTCCTCAGCTCTCCGATCTCGGTCTCGAACTTGTCAGCGGCAAGGATCTTGTGGGGGAGTGCGGCGAAGGAGAGGTCGAAATAGTCCGACAACTGTTTGTCCTTCAACTCCGCGGGTTTCGATAGCGTCTCCCAGATCTTCTGCATGTCCGCCGTCAATGTCGCCCGAAGGTTCTCCAACGGTGTAGCACCAATGAAGTCACGGATGACGAACAACAACAGTGTGCGCTGATTGCGACTGTGCGCATGCGTGAGCTGAGGTGTCGGATGTCTTCAGTGAGAGCACGTACCTGTCAGGGGTCTTTTTCCCAAATAACCCGAGATTAACCTCGAAAACAGTCTTCAAGAGTCCCATGTTGGCTCCCTGGTAGAGACCAACTTGGTGCTCCCATATGTTTACAATGAGAACCTCCGATGAGGCCAGGGAGAAGAGCGCAGACTTGCGCTCGAAATCCTACGAACCCGCTTGAGTTCTGAGTGGGGTTCACGGACGCTGACAGACGCACCTGATCCTCTCCGCGTTCGCGTCCATCTGTTCCTTCCACATCCATAACCAACACGTTCATCCCTTTCCCCTTACACATCCAGATACCTGTGAGGGGCTATGAGCATCTGGAACTTCCACTGTACATTTTCACACCCCAGGATCCCAGCCCACATCGTCCTCACTGCGCGCGTCGTCTAATACGCATACATGTCAGGATCCTGGCGGCGTCATATGAACTGACTGCAGGCGTGCACCCAACCGCGTGCCTTAAAGCAATCAAGCGCCGTCTTCAAGCGCAAGACCTCCTCGCCGTCTCGCGCACACCCTCCGAACGACTGAGAACCGAGTGCGCGGTCCACACAGGTGGAAGGGCCCAGGATGACGACTCAAGTACTCACCCTTCGTTGTTTGCTGTCGTCGTGTCTCATCCATGACGTCAAAGTTTGTGCCAAACAGTCGGTTGAGCAGGGTACCTGCGTGGAGGAGTATGGGTACATCGGACGCTCAGCATTATAGGAAAGAACACGCACTTTTCCGGTAGACTGAGAGCCGAAGACGGCGACGAGGTTGTAGTCGAAGCCCGCGCTCTGGAGGCCCCACTGCTCGATCTGCTTGTCGAGGTCCTGGCTATTGACATTGACCCCAGCCTGCGCTCAGTATCACCATAACTTGACCATTGACGGTATACCCACTTGAACTCCTTGTCGTCGTTGATAATCTGCGTCCGCTCCGTACTCGCATCTGTGCCGGACGCGGATCCATTCACGTAGTGACCGTTGGGGGCCGCGGAAGACATCGCGGAAAGAATTCTGGCGTGGGCCGGGCGTGAATGAGTGAAGGCGGGTTCAAGGGACTGAGCGATATGTGTAGGGATGGTCGAAGGGGCCGTGCAGCAAGCACGGTGTTGCGAGAGGTGCTGGGCCGGGCTGCTCAAGGCGCAAGCTCTGTTATGGGCCACGCACGTGATGGGAGTGCTGGCACCGGCGACTGCCGCGTGGCCCAAAGCGGATCCCAGTTAACGCCGTCGTCGAGTCCGACATTGCTTCCTCCATCTCCGCGACGGCGCAGAAAAAGGGCGCCGCTGCGCTGTACATATGCCCTTCGCTGGACCGCTGCTTTCGCGTTCCAGGTTATCTCCGATGATACACGCTCGCTCCTGGTGAAATTCGCACGACACGTCTCCGATGGGCACCTCTCCCGCACTGCAAGCACGCCTGTTAGCGACATCTGCACGATGCAGTCGCGCGGGGTCGACGCGGCCTCGAGCCGCTCACAGCAGCAGTAGCAGCAACTGCCCGCACAGATTGATCTTCTCGAGCGCTATCGTGGTCTTGTGGCTCTCGGCCGCGTTCGCGAAGATGAAGAGCAGATACGCGTGATTATGCAGGCGAGTACCAGTGCCGATCTCGGTCAGGCAGTCCACTGACGCATATACCCTATAGTTAAGGCGGCTGCACAAAGAATTAAATGGATACTCCCCACCTGCAGTTCTTGCTCGTCACCTCAATCTAAAGCATGGGCCCTGGTGGAAAACGGAAGATGACACGACGCAGCCACCCTCAAACACACTGAGGGAACTCATACCAGTTAGAACACACGCAGAAGAGATAGAGTCCTGACGACACCGAAGGCAATTAGTTCCAACCTCCCATATATACCACGGACTAATTCCTATCTGCAGGGCCTCCTTATCACTGGCCCGCCAGGGTCTGGAAAGAGCTTCCTCACCGACCTCTGGTTCTCCACCCTTCCGACACCGTACAAAGCCCGCAAGCACTACAATGAACTCGTGCTCGAGATCTATCGCGCCGTGTGGGAAGAGACGCGTCGCCGGATGACAGCCCTGCACGCCGCCCCTGGCCTGGCGAAGGCCGCGATTCCTCCACGGCGACGGTCCCGCACCCGCGAAGTGGAACAAGCTCGTCCGCGCGCACTGGCGGCGTCTCGTCCAGTCCGGCTCACTCCCCATTCGTTGGGCTCGCCGCTCCGACAGTGGTCACATCGGTGCATGAGCCGAGCATCGCGTACGCTGTCGCACGACGACTCGTGCTCCGGCACTGGCTGCTCGTGCTCGACGAGGTCCAGCTGCTCGACGTCTCGAGCGCGACGCTCCTCGCCGACGTCCTCTCCTGGTTCTGGCGCATGGGTGGCGTTGTCGTCGGCAGCTCGAACCGGGTCCCCGACGACCTCTACCGAAACGGCGTCCAGCGCGAGCGCCTCGAACCATTCGTCGAGGCGCTCAAGGCCCGCTGTCCCGTCATCGTCATGCGGGCAGAACGCGACTGGCGCGTGGTGCGCGGCGGTCGGGGCGGCGCACCTGGTTCACGTTCGCGCAACGGCGCGAGTTCGGCGCAGCGCTCGCGGACCTCATGCGCGAAGGGGATGAGCACGTCGGCACTTCGGATCGCGGTCACGGCATGTCTACCCCCGCATTTGTAGGCGGCGCGGTCGACGTGCAAGTCTTCGGACGCCGCATCCGAGTGCCGTGGGCAGCGAACGGCTGCTGTCGGTTCACCTTCGCCGAGCTCTGCGACGAGGTTCGCTGGCTTCCCTCTCTCCTGTCACGCCTACTGACCGCGTCCGACCCGTTGCAGTCCCTCGGCCCTGCGACTACATCACCTCGCCGCGCGCTTCCACCCTCGTCCTCACCGATGTACCCGTCCTGCACCTCTCTGCGAAGAACCAGGCGCGGCGCTTCATCTCGCTCATCGACGCGCTCTACGAGGCGCGCTGCCGCATCGTCGTCCTCGCCGAGGCCGCGCCCGAAGACCTCTCTTCCCGACGGCGCAGAGCGGGGAGAATGCGCGACGGCGTCGACGTGATGATGGCAGAGGCCGTCGCGGAGACGCAAGACGTCTACCGTCCGAACGTGTCTTCGTACGATGCGCCGAACATGGCCGAGGAGCCCCGTGCGCCCACGAGCGCGCTCGCGCTTGACACGCTCTCCATCTTCTCTGGTGCGCCCTACTGCTCTCCTCTCGCCCGTACGCGCACCTGATCCGATCTTCAGGGAAAGACGAGCAATTTGCGTTCAAGCGCGCGCTCTCGCGCCTACTGGAGATGACGAGTGAGGAGTACGCCCGCGACGAGACTTGGGCGCCCCTGCCCGCCGCCCTGCGCAAGTGGGAGCGCACCAGCGCGCCGGCGATCGCACCCGCATCCGCCTCAGCCGCAGCGTCACCTCCATCCTCACCACCCTCGACGTCACGGCCGCTCTCGTCGCCGTCGTCCCCGCCTCCTTCTTTGCTAGCCCTTCCTCAGGGCGACGACTCCGACTTCGGCGAAGAAGCGTCTGTGCATGGCCACACTCATGCGCCTCCCAACGCCAGCGCCCCTTCGTCGCATACCGCCGACCGCCCGCCGGCGCCCCAGCTGAGCGCAGACCACGTGTGGGGTGTACGTGAAGACTGGGGGCCCCGCGCACGCACTTGGGGCCGTGGTGCTGCCGCTTACGACCGTGGAGCACAACAGACAGAAGAGGATCGGGAGGACGGCAGCGGGCGCTCGCGCGGTGCAAGGTAGCACCATCGGCCACAGTCGCTAGCGTTTGGTACACGCCCGTGTCGTCGTCGCACGAAGGTCGATGTAGCATCGCACACATATGTCGATGGGGTCCCCGCGAGCAATTGCGCCGAAATCTCGACGAGATCCCTTCCGTCGAGCGCTTCTGTACCGCGGCGAGGGCCTAGACCGCCGCGGCCCCTCGATCCAATCAAACTTTTCTCACCCGCGCAGGCTCTCGCAGTCCGAGACCTTGGAAGAGGTCCATCACCCGTCGCGCGCGGTCTGGACCGCGGGCCCCTGGGTGCGATTGGCTCACAAGCTTTTAGGCTTGCCGCTACTGAGGCCCTCGCTGGGTCCGAAAGCCGACCTGCCAGCGACGTGCGCCGGAATTCGACGGGCCTAGGCCTGGCCGTCCGGTGTCCAAAAGCCGCACGACTGGACCCAGATTGGGGTGCAGGCTGTGGGTGCTGGGCCTACCGCAGTTGCGTACATGGCGATCGCGGCGGCTGTGCCAGCTGTCCGCCCGTTCTTTCTTACTTGCCGCATCGAGCGGTGGGCGTCGTCCCCGGGCTTCGCCATGCCTCCCGCCGACGTGCGGAGCCTGGCGTCCCGCTCGCTGGCGTATGGTCCCCGTTCCGCGCGGGCACCTATGCGCGCGCGCAGGGGCCTCACAAACCGGACGTGCGTACAACCCCGCTCGCGCGCACGGACGCGAGAGCAGGGTTTGACGTGCCGCACCCACGGTCACAAACCCCAGCGAAGGTTCGAGAGACCCAGGTGGCGCCTGCCCGGCCGCGCACATACTCACTAAGACTGAGTAAGTACTGTAGTGCACCGGCTCGACCCGACGCTAGCGCGAGCTAACGCGTGTGCGGCTCAACGCTCTTGCACGCGCACTAAGAGCTGCAGTCCTGCAGTCCATGCACGCGCGCTGCGAGCCGCGGCCCCTCTTCCCGTGTGTGCACGAACCAACCAGGCGGCGACGGCGGCGGGGCGGTAGTGCTGCCCGACGCACTCGCCCACGCACTTGCGGGCCTTCGGGACATCGCGTGTGCGGCGTGACGAGCATGCTACTTACGGTCGACGGCCTCGCCCGCCGCGGACGAATTCAGCGAAACGCGTGCCTGTCCCCACGGACGGCGGGGCTGCCAGCTGGCCCTGGTCTGCCCTGGTCCGCCCCTGCCACGTCCGCGAGCCGCGGGCCTCGAGGCGATCCCACTCAGACAGCGCGAGGACGGCTGAGGACGGGCGGACGGACTTACGTTGCGCGGGTGCGAGTCCGCGCCGCGTCCGTGCGCCGTCGTGCGTCACGCGCGCCCGGGAACGTAAGGGGCCACGGGACGGCCGCGCGGGCTTTTACGGGCTTCTTGCTATGTATTAGGTGGGTGCCCGGCCGTACGGGGGTGCGGGGATACGGCGTGCCGGTCGCGAGAGGCGACGACGGGTACGTGGTACAACAACAACACGAGGTGCTTGCACGGGAGAGGATGGAAACAGGATTGAGGGTTCGCCGGAATTGTGCTTGCGGAGGGAGGCGTCGCGCTACGACTTTCGACAGCGCGGCGATCTAGAGCATGTGGGACATAAACGAGCATGTATTTGAGTGTTTACAATGTGCGGGTGCAAGTGACGACAACTGCAGCGAGTCGACGCGGAACGGGGAGGTAGTGGCACAGGTCTGGTATCTGAGGGTGGGGGCAGAGAGAAACGACTATCACGAACGGGCAAGGGCGATCGAAAACGCGGTGAGGCCCCTGCGGCGCCCACGCGGAAGAGACGGATATATAAGGCAAGCAGAACAAGAACATCACCACGCGCCGCCCAAAGCAGACTGCGCGGGACGCAGTGAACGAGAGCGTTGACCGAGCGGCGAGGGCCTCTTGCGATCGCGTGTGCGCAGCAAGCACAGGGCCGCCTTTCTCCGCGGCCCGGGCAGCTGATCCTCCGCTCCCCACGCGCGATCCTCGTATTCCAAACACGGGCGGCGACAACGCCTTGGCCGCTGCTGCGCGGGCGGGCGAGAGAGAGGAACAGCCACCGCAGCCTCGCCTTGCCAAACCAGACGATTTTGTGGCCAGCGTTTCCGAGCGCCCGTGGCCCCATGACGCGCCACAGCCGGGTGCGTCTTGCCCGATGTGGGCCATGGACGGAGGAGCAGGTGCGAAAAGGGCAGGGACAGATCGCACCATCACCGCCCGCTCCCATTTCCGATCCCGCCCACTGGACAAGTGCTGGTGGAGCTGGGGCCTGAGCAGGACACGCTCAGCAGCAGTACTGGCCGCATGTTCCCCCGGTTGGCTTCAGGGTCACCGCAGGAACCCCCCCGTTGTCGCTTCTTTGTGGTCCGTTTCGGGACTGCTTTGTTCTTGATGCGGAGAGACTTGCGGGAGCAACCCACCGGCTTTGAAGGAGACACAGCGGAGCAACAGTGATACAGAGCAGGTGCGAGCGGTACGTACAGTGCGGTGCCGGACAGGACAACTGAGGACGCGGTCTGGGGATCCGGGACGACGAGCGGTATACATGGAGGACGGGACGAGGGCCCAGGGCAGAGGCGGTGGCGAACCGCGAGGCAGCAGGCGATGGTCCGGTCCGTGCGCCAGAGCAGTGGACGGGGAATGTGCGGGGGGAGCGGTGCTTGCGACGATAGACGGCTGGTACGGTGCGTGTGCGGGATGATGGCGAGAGGCTGGCGGAAGCGATAGTGATGGATGGATACGATGAGGTGTATGCGATATCGTGGTTAGCGTGGTTGTAAGTCATTAGGCCGCACCGTGCGGCGGCTGTATCATCGTGGTGGGGAATATGCGCCGTGACGAGTTAATTAGTGGCTATCCGCCTCGTCCCGCCCCCATAGTCGAGCGCGGGCGCGCGACCGGCTTCACGTCATGGGGACGGCCCTGCGGGGGACGATCACTTGGAGGTGTTCTCCGTCGAACTCGGCTCGGACCTGGGTGAGGATGGCGTCGTATCCAAACGATATCCGCTGCTCGAAGTGGCCTGGGTTCCCCATCGGCCGTCAGCTTTCCGAGGTCCGTTCCGCAGCGCGAGAGGCACTCACCCCCGTTGGGCTCCCACGAGTCGGCGACGACATGCAGAATTCGCCTCTTGCGCGATGAAACCGTGCTGATGGACGCGCGCAAGTGGAGCATCAGGGTCTGCGGTCACACGTGACAGGAACGTGCACTTACATCGCGTCCCGCCTGAAACCTGGTAAGCGGACCACGAGTCGGTATTCCGTCGGACGCGTGTCCACCGCGACATAGCTGTCTTGTGGCGGCGGTGCGTGCGCGAGGAACGGCTCGTAAGGTGCTGCCGGTCCGCGCGCTTGGCTCAGCGGTGGTGGCGGCGGGGTGAGCACCGTTGGCGGCGCAGGCGGGGGATAAGGGCGCTCCGCGGATGTGGGGTGGTGGGGGGAGAGGGCGGAGGCCGAATAGGCGCGGTGGACGATGCGGTTCGCGACGAGTGACATGAACTCCTCATGTTCCATCTCCGACACCAGCGATGGCGACCGCCGCGCAGCCCACCCCGACGATGACGGCACCAATGACGTCGACGCCTGATGACTCCCAACGCTCGGCCGGCTCGACGATGGCCGTGTTGGCGCTGCCGACACCATCTCCACATCCTCCTGGATTGGTCCGCCCGCGAGCGCAGGCAGCGTGTGCAACGGTGTGTCGGCCGGGAGCGGTAGACTTGCTGTCGACCCCCGGTCTGGCACTCCGGGCGGTCGCATCGGCCGGGGTGAGATGATAGCCCGCGACGCGTCGGGCGACGAGAACGGGCGCGTGAAGAGCGGCAGCGCTGTCGACGATGACGACGACGACGCTAACCGCGGCGACTGGGGACGGGGGTGCTGTACGCCACGAGAGGAGTGGAAGAGCGTACTGGACGGACCCGAGTCCGACATGTCCATGTAGTCCGCGACCGACGCCCTTGACGCTTTTGGATCGCCGCCCATCGACGTGGGGGGCGACGACGAAGTCGACGGTGTGCTGTCGGAGGACGAGCTGGCGGCGGTCTCGCCGTAGGCCTGTCGTGACGAATCTGGCCACGAGTCCGATGCGAGACAGGTGAGGCGGGTGGGCGAGTTGGAGTCGATGCCGGGGCCTTGTGAGTGGGATGTGGAGGAGGATGGTGTGGGGTAGGAGGGTTCGCGGTGGGGCATGTATGGCAGAGGGATTTCTCTAGGCGAGTCGAAGGAAGCGTGGCGTTTAGAGTATGACGACGCCCGGCGAGGGGCGGTCGGGCGGGCGGCGGCGGCGGAGGCGGAGGCGGAGGCGAGAGGAGAGTAGGGGAGGGGAGAAGCGGCGAAAGCGGGGGAAGGAGCTGGGAAGTAGAGAATTATTGGATCAGTGACGGAGATCATATGAGCGCAACATGGCCACCCTCTCGGCAAATATGCATGCGCGACGCCTCACCCACGGTGCCTCTTGCCGGTCACCCGACGGACGAGGGACCGGCGACTGGAGTGATAAGAACACCAAAGTCAAAGCCAAAAGGTAATATTCCAGCCACACTTGCCCGCTGTGCTCATCCTTCTCCTCCCGTCCCCCGTTGCTGACCGCTCCGCTCGCTCAGCATCTAGAGTTTGCTCTCCACTGACGCGCCACGCAGCCCTGCAGTCGTCATCGTGGCGGATCAGGCGGTGCCTCGAGAGCCCCGACGGAACACAGGTATTCCCGTCTGACGTGATCCCCTTCACGGGCACAAACGCAGACCAACAGGGGAAACGCGAGACCTCAGACAAGAGGCACCGTCGGAGACCGTCCAGGAAAGCAGGCGCGAACCAGGGCGCGGGGAATCGGGGTGGGAATGCTCACCTGGGCTGTCCCTGCCCGCACTGCGCCATTCTGGGTGATGCTCGCGCTCGAGCATGGCCACCGACCGCTCGTTCCGTGTGGCTGTCTGATCGAGAGCGCGGTTGGGTGCTGGCGGGGATGACGTGGGCGGGAAGTGTACCTTGCTGGGTGCCTTGGGCTGCACGAGCGGCGGGTGAGACCGACCCTGATCTTGCAATGATAGTCGCCCGAGAGGGTAGGCGAGGATTTCAGAGTCCGACGAGGATGTGGCGGACTCTTCGCTGGTGAGCGAAGGCACGGAGGAGGAAGAGGAGGAGGAGGAGGAAAGATCCGAGGAGGCCGATGGGCGGGAGGACTGCGGTCGCGGTGCAGCGGGGGGCTCGGTTGGAGACTTTGGGGAAGGGGATGGTGGTTGTTCGCGAAGAACGGGCATGGCGGCAGGACCTGCGCGGGATAGAAAGGCAGGAGGATTGTGGGGCGTTTTGGCGTGTTATACTCGTCCAAATGTGCCTTGGGGCCGGGGGACAGCTCTCTCGCCTCCGTTCGCTCCAGCCCTCCCTCAGCGCTGCCCTTGGGCGTCTCCCGCCCACTGCGCCCACCGACGTCATGCTGTGCCCAGTCGCCCGCCGCCGCACCTTCCTGTCGGGCTGCCAGAAGCCATTCAACACAACAACAATCATGTCTCTCCGTAGCGGCTTCCACAGGCATTTATTTGTGGTCTCTGTGGCACCGTCGGCGGGCCAGGGCTGCCATGCGATTGCATCTTTTCCTCGAACCACGAGAAGACGCGCCCTTGGAGTCCGAGCCACTTCGCGCCCCCGCTGTCCACGGGAGCCCGCGCCTGTCCTCTACTTCACCCGTCCAGCCGCAAATATGGTCCGAGTGGGGCGTACGGCAGCGCCCTCGACGGAGAGAAGTGTGCAGTATCAGGAAGAGCCCCGCAACAGGGGGCCGTTCCTACAGTCGGCGTAGTCGGGACATCGAAGCCGCAGCACGGACGTCGAAAGGAGAACGTATGGGCTGTGGACTGGACATGCATCACCCAGGCTCCGCGGGGAATTAATTTCCCTGTCAAAGTGATGCGCAGAAGTTCGGTGCGGAGCAACACCCCGAGTCCCGGCCGGACACGGAAGTGAAAGCGGGGGTGACTCCGTACGTGGTCGGGCCTTGCGTGAGGCAAATTGACCAGCCCGGTCAGCAGCCTGCCATGCGTTTTGACGACAGGCTCTTGTGAAATGAATACCTCGCATTAACTGCTGTTCCCGACATTACCGTAATGCGGCGTCGAGTATCAGACTCGAGGAGAATCATCACGTGGTTATCGGAGTGTGACGTCATGCCCCAATCGCTGAGACAATCCTCGGTTTCCAGGTACATGATGCTGGGCTCATTCTTTTGCCCTTGCTCCCCCTTGGTCTTCTGGATTTCGTTTGAATGCGTACAACGACTTCTCGACTTTTCCCCGCAAGGTGTGGCCGCCCCCCAAATATGTTTTCCCAGCTCCAAATGAGAAGATAAAGTGCCACCCGCAGCGAATTTCCATATCTACACACATCCCTTCCATCAGCTCTTCCCCTATTGTAAGCCACGCATCTCCGTCGTGTCCGAGCACGGCACCCCCCGTGAAACCGGGGTCCAAACCGCTACCAGGTCCGCCATCGAGCGGGAGCGGGCGCGCGGCCGGGCGGGGAGCGCGTGAACCGCTCTTCCCCATCGCCGCATTGTCCTCGTGTGCGCGCATCGGGGACAGGCTCGGGCACCGCCGCACACCGCTGATGCTGTTCGTCAGTGCGCGAAGCCGCCGCGCCACCCTCGGGATCCGCGCGTTGCCGGATCGCCCGCGCGCTAGGCCTTGGCGGGAAAGGCTCAGTCTTCTCCAGCCGCACGAGAGCGGAATTCCTAGGCATTCTGGAAGAGGTGGGGCGTTGTGTTGGAAGCGAGCGGCAGATGCCTGCGATAGGCATGCGCACACCCAGCTAGCCACTGCATGGGCGGTCATCGGGGCGAACGCGTGACGGTTCCTTCCGACCGAGTGCCAGTGCTTTCTGGGCAGGACGGATGCGCCTTGCGTATCATGCCTTTGCGAGAATGACAAGGGATTACGAGGAGAGTGTAGGAGGGCGGAGGGCGGGCAGTGGTCCGGACCGATCATCGAGGCGGCGACGATTATGGCTACATATCGACCGGATATCTCCGTCAAGTTCTTGCCATGCACCTGGCAGTATAGCACTCAGCTGGATTCATTTTTAGGTGCACGATTATCCTGGTCCCGAGGAGATACGGAAGGAGCTGGTGCGTCGGCGCGGGAGGAAAGACCAGGAAAATTACGACCAACTCTTCCACATCTCTACCACCTTCCCGTCCGCGCCGAAGGACGTCGTTCGGGACCTTCGCAGCTGACCCAGAGAATCCGACTGTTATCGGTGCGTCGGGCCTGCTGGAACTGATGTGGTGACGGGCACGAGGCAGCCTAGCTACGTTACCAGTCGAAATTAACTCGTACAGCGTAAGTACCCATTCGTCGAAATGCGGCCGCGGTGGGGTACCTTTGTTCTTCTGGCCATCATCGTGCGGAATTGTAGCAGCCCCTGATGCTTATCGTGCTGTCAACTCATCAGCTCCTCTGCGTCTCCAGGAATGCACCACATCCACCTGGAGTATGTACCTCAACATCATCAGCGGTCATCGAGAACTGGGGAACGATTCACCTGAGACGCTACTAACCCCGTGTCCGTGGTTGTGGTGTGTTGGAGACGTCTGGCGCATTGAGTATACCACTTTGCGGCCAGTGTTGACCACCAGGAAACTGAGTGTCCAGGCCATTGCCATCTGGGCCCGCGCCGCGCCGCGCCGGGTAACTAGGGCGATGCGGAAAACTCCTCGGATCTTTGAGGTCCTCAGTCCTTCACGTGCACGAAGGCGAATGCCAGACTTGTATCCTTACCGATTGCTGGCGTACGTGCTGTGCCGCACTTCTATCTCTCCGAGCTCGCTGGATGCGAACGGAAATGCGCATCTGTACTAGTACAACGTCGTCGGTGGGGCGAGGAGGGGGTAGCGGCGTTGAAGGTGTTGAGGCCGGCGGGAGATCACGGGTTGGCTGGTGGAGAAAGTGTGCTGCTGGCGAGACGAGCGGGCTCGTGCGGAGGTGGGTCGCATATGTCGTGGCTGTGGCATAGCTGTGGCAGAAATTGGGCTTGGCGCGTCGGCAAGTTGGCGTTGAGGTGGGCGCTTGCAGCCACCACCGAGCTCTTCTCCGCCAACCATCGACGACAATGAACCCTTCTCCCCGCGATCGAAACACACGCCGCGCGCGCTCTCGACCCCGCGCGTGACCGATTCACGGTCTAGACATTCCCAGCGCACAAACACCCCGCACGAGCGTAGCTTGCCATGTGACTTCTGTCTAAGTACTTCACTGTGGGCGCGGACCGGCTGTGGTCCCAGCCGTGGGACGTGTGCAAGTGAGCAAACTGAATCGAGCTGCTGCTGACAGGTCCTTAGGTAGGGCAAGCCAAGAGGAAGCCGCGCCGACGATGCTCGCCTCCAGCTGGGCTCGATCGCGGTTGGCGCCTCTGGACGTCCACCGACCAGCAGTCGAGGATGGGTGCCAGCCCCCGCCGTACATAGTCCTTCCCTCAGCACGCCCGCCTCGTTTCTTCTATCGCCCCCACGCCCTCTCTCCCCGCCTTCTGGTATCGCTCCTTTTGCCAGCCTCTCCGCGAGTCTCCGCGACTCCTCTCGTCTGCTCTCCTCCCTGCCTTTCGGGCTACCTGTGTCGTTTTTTCTGTCGGGATGGGTCGCTTGCACCAGTTCGACCTCCGCGCCGCGACCTCCGCCCTCTCTCTCTTTGCCTCGGCGTACGCAGCCGCCACACCTGGTCAGCCTGGCACCAGTAATGCTCCCCTCGGCTCCTTCAAGATCGTCGGAGACAGCATCGTCAGCGCTCAGCAGGCATGTCCCTCGCACCACCACTTTGCCGCCTCGACGTCTAATGCCCGCTTTCCCCAGCTGTTCCTCGGCACCCTTGACAAGGTTTACATCGTTGACAAGGTTGAAGACAACCCCACCAAGATCAACGGTCATCCCGCATGGGCTGCTGGTATGCATATATGCCGTTCGATCACCCCTGCTCTACTCACTGGCTTCCTCGCAGAGTACTCCATCAGCACCAACGATGGTCGTCCGATGGACGCTATCACCAACACGTTCTGTGCTGGCGGCACCGTCCTCGGTAACGGCACTTGGATCAACGTTGGAGGCAACCAGGCGGTCACCGCTGGAGGCGTCCAAGCCGACTCTCAGACTGGCGGCGGCCTGTACGATGACCCGGACGGCGGCCATTCGTACGTCCAATTTTGTCTTCTCTTTCAAGCTGGCTAACCTCCACCCCAGGATCCGGTAAATGAGTCCGCTCGCCTTATGCTCGTGCGCTGTGATTGTGACAGCATACATTTGGTGTGTAGGTTGATCGACCCCTGCGACGACGGGAGCTGCGAATGGACCACGACCACTCCGATGACAACCAGGAGGTGGTACCCAACCCTGTAAGTCCGTACGGGGCGTGGAGGCATGCGGTGCTAATACAGCGTTCCTACAGTGAGACGCTCGAGGACGGGTCTGCGATCATAGTAAGCCTTTCATTACAGGTGTGGACTTTCATTCAACTGACGCATGCTTTGAAGCTGGGAGGTTGCGACAACGGAGGGTACGTCAACGATCGATCCCAGGACAACCCGACCTGGGAGATCTTCCCTCCGGACGGCAAAGGCATCATCAACTCCCCACTTCTCGCAACCACCCTCCCTGCCAACCTCTACCCCCTGGCGTGGTCTCTCCCATCCGGGAAAATCTTCCTCCAGTCCAACTGGAAGACGTCGCTCCTCGACTGGAAGACTCAGAAAGAGATCCCGCTCGACGACATGCCCGACGCCGTCCGTGTTTACCCCGCCAGCGGTGCCACCGCCATGCTCCCGCTGACCAAGGACAACAACTACACGGCCACTCTCCTTTTCTGCGGAGGCTCTGACATTCAGCCGGACCACTGGACGCCCAAGGCCTGGGAAATCGTAGATTACCCCGCTTCCACTTCATGCGTCCGCATCACCCCCGATCTGTCCCGCTCGTACGTCCAGGACGACCCGCTCCCAGAGGGCCGCTCGATGGGCCAGTTCATCAACCTCCCGAACGGCAAGCTCCTGATGCTCAACGGCGCGGAGACCGGCACTGCGGGCTACGGTACTCAGGCCTGGACAATCCAGGAGTCGTACGCCAACAAGCCCGTCCTCATGCCCATCATCTACGACCCCAGCGCAGCCCAGGGCTCGCGCTGGTCGCGCGACGGTCTCTCCGCCTCCACGATTCCGCGCATGTACCACTCCAGCGCCACACTCCTGCCCGACGGTGAGTCTTCTTCTCATCTACCACCTCTTGTACTAATAGCGTCTGCAATGCGCATAGGTTCCGTGTTAGTGGCTGGATCCAACCCTCACGCGGACTACGCAGTCGACAAGGTCACCTTCCCCACCGAGTACCGTGTCGAGTACTTCTACCCGTCGTACTACAATGAGCGCCGGCCCGAGCCTGCTGGTCTTCCCTCGACGCTTTCATACGGTGGGCCGTACTTCAACGTCAGGTTGAGCGAGAAAGACCTCTTCCACGACAAGGGCAGCGTTAAGAGCGCCAAGGTCGTCGTCATCCGGACCGGGTTCTCGACTCATGGGATGGTACGTGCTATTCTCCTTGCGTCATGGGATGCCGCTGAACAAGGGACACCAGAACATGGGGCAGCGCATGATCGAGCTCGACTCGACGTACACCGGTCAGCCTGACGGTAGCGCGACGCTTCACGTCTCCCAGATGCCGCCCAACGCGGCGGCGTACCCTCCCGGCCCTGCTCGTACGTCTCCTTCCACCCCTGGCTGATCTTGTAGTCTTCTGAGCGACCCCTTCCCACAGTCCTCTTCGTCGTTGTCAACGGAGTTCCCTCCGTCGGCGTCCAGGTCATGATCGGAAATGGCAAGATTGGCGCTCATGCAATGAACCCTGTCGCTGAGCTCCCGAGCTCTGAGACACTCACGAGCTCTGAGGAAAACACGACGGGGGAGAAGCAGTCGCAGGGATCTAACTCGGCCGCTGCCTCCGTCTCACCGTCGCTCTCCGCGGTCGCCGGAGCGTCTATTGCGTTACTCCTCTCGCTGCTGTGAGTCATGGGGCACGTTGGCTTCGGCCAGTGGCCCACGTATCTTTCACTCGCATATATCCTGGGCTGGCGGGGAACCATGATGACTCGGGACTCGGGAGCTTCTTCCCTCTTTCACGCTTGCGCAGCAGACTCTGTCATTTCTTCACGTACTTTTTTACTATCCGTTGTCATCACCGCCTGCCTCCTACCCACCCACACCAGTAATCTTCCCGGACTACCGGACCCCATCTACCCATCCCCTTCTGCTCTCTGTCCAGCCGCGCTCCATCGGCAGCGACGATCCACTCGTTACCAGGCTTTGTACTACTATCTTGGGATGGAGCTCACTTGCTCGGACAGCACCATAGGACTGGTCAAACACACATCACATTACCCAGCGCATTTAGTATCATGGTACATGTACTCTCTCAGGCTTCTCGGCTTACCTACCTGGCTGCCTGGCTACTTTATTGCTGATTTATACATGCGGAATCTTTGCAAACAACCGTGCGAAGTCTACGCCGGTCCATGGGTGCTCATAGCGCTCATAGTACGGTGCATGACATGGCCTTCTTGACTTTTGCTTCACGGTGAGTCGGATGGCACTTGGTGGGATTTGGCGTTCATTCTCCCTGTTCACGGCCGCAACGAGCCGCGGCTCGTCCTCGAGCCCGTCCAACATCGCCCATGCCCGGCCGAGAACGTCGTCATCGAGCGTGACCCCGCACACGTGCGCCCACCGCCGCCCCCACCAAGCGCACGCGGCCGCGGAGAAGCAAAAGCGAAGGTTCAAACGTTCAACCTCCCTGCGTCCTCGAACTTCGAGGATGTGGGGTGGGAAAAGATGGAGAGAATGGGAAGGCCCACGCACCGGTCATGAGGCCTTGAGGCCCTCGGCATCTTCGCACGCGAGGGCGTCGAACGTGTTCTCGCTGCAGGCAGGGAAAGCGAAGCTAGGGAAGGCGCGGTGAGCGAGAGTTACTTTGGCAGGAACGGGCTGCTCATCCCCGACAGCTGGTACTTACAGCGGACGCACAGTGCGCATCGCCTCCGGCGTCCCGCGTGCTCGACGGGCAGGAGGAGGAGCTGGCGGCAATACGACCATCGCGGGTCGGGATGTCACGTCACCGAAAGCCAGTAATGGTGTTGTACGTTTGACCCCGAATTCGACTACAGCGATCGCTCGCGCAGTTCCCGAAAGGACATTGGAGAACAACCGGGAACTGTCCAAACAATCATAGTCGACGGGAGATGACTAGATAACGTGAGAAGCTGACAGCTCACGTCTTTCAAGGTGGTTGGAGCGTGAAGGCCACGAGACTAGACGTGGTTGCTTTAGGCGTGAAGGTATCACATTTTTTTCGGATATATAGCTACAACTTGGGTCTGAAAAAGACACAAGCTCAGCACGAGTCAAACGAACAGCATTGCCATAACACACCTTCTATTTAGTATCCTTAGGACTGTTGCGTGTCTCTACATAGGACAGATATCATGGCTGCGCATCATACGGGGGCAGCCCCCACTCCTCTGGGACAAACTCTTCCAGAGACTTTAGCGTAATGTCCGCCTGTTCGTCCCCCGATGGCGTCTCTGCTCCAACGGCCAAGAGATTCGCATCGGGTACCCACACCACTGCAAGAATACACCGTCTGTTGAGAAATCAAGAAAGCGAGCAGTTGGCCGAGCAAACTCACCGCTCATCCCGGCCCTCTTGCCCGCCTGCACCCCGGGAATGCCATCCTCAAAGACCAGTCCCCTCGCCCTCACCGCCCGCGCCTCCTCGCTCACCCCGCCCTCCTTCATCTCCCCCGTGCCCACGTCAAGCCCGAGGAACTTCTCCGCGGCGACGAGGAAGATGTCCGGGTGCGGCTTCCCCCTCCCGGGCGGGAAGAGCCCATCGTCGGCGCAGACGACCTTGGCCTCGAAGCAGTCGAAGAGCGCGCCGTTGTGCGCCGACTTGAGCTCGAAGTTGCGCCGCTGCGAGCCCGTGGCGAGCGCGATCGGCACCCCGTGCTTGTGCAGGTGCCGCACGAGCCTCAGCGCGCCCGGGAGCGGCCGCACGGACGGCCAGCGCTCGTCCTGGAGGTCGCGCCGGGCGGTGAGGTAGTAGTCGATCGTGAAGCTCGGGGGGAGATCGGGGAAGAAGGAGAGCAGGTGCGCGGCGGCTTCGCGCTCGGCTACGCCAGAAGGGGGAGGCGGGAGCGGCCTTGAGCCCTGGGTGGTGCGAGGGGGGCGGAAGGGCGGGACGTACGTTTGCCCATGAGCCCAGCTTTGATGTCCCAAGTCATCTCTTTCCCGTGAGGGGCGAGGAGCTCGTCTGCGCGTCGTGTCGGTCAACGACATGGGGCGGGGAGCTTGGGAGGCGTACTGGTGACATCGGTGTAGACCCGCTCGGAATCTATGAGCAGTCCTGTGGAAAGAGTGCTTGTCTGAGCTACGATCAAGAGTTCGTCAACTATATGCTCACCGTCCATGTCAAACACGACGTAGTCGATTTTTGGTCGCGCCGCTCCAGACATGTTGGGTATCTATGCTCGAGTGCCCCGAGTCTTGGGGTCAGTGTGTACGAAGAGATGATGGACGGACAATGAGAAGACCGCTGAAACGGGCCGCGTTCCAAACGGACTCGGCCCGCAGCGCCCGGCCTGTGATGTGTCGCCGGAGTCTGGTCGTCCAACTCTGGTCCTTCTCCGATGACATTTTGCTCGAACCCCATCGCTCGTTATAACTTATGATGCATCGTCGCTGCAGTCGGAAATGAGCGGTGAGCTACGGAATACACCCTTATGAAGACAATTCTCCCTAGCGTCTTCTAACGAACGGACCACTAAATAGGCTGAGTAGGCTGCCTTCTCTAGTGGCAAAAGGTGAGCCTATAGTATAACTTCGTATCTAAATCACACAGTATCCAGGTGCAGAATCTGCGACCAAATGTTTAGGGGCCGAATAGTACCAGGTCAGCTCCTTCTCAGCACCCCTTCGCGTCGACACCCTGAGATAACGTGCCACTCTCAATATGTGACCCATGGGACGCTTCAGTGATGGCGCAAGTGCCTCCCTGAGGCTGGAATGGCGTGGGCTACCCCCACACACGCTTGTTTAAGAGCTAATATTCGACTGGCCGCTGGAAGAAGCGCCCTGCCTCGATATCGACACGCTGGGGCGGCTCTTCAGATGCGGAGAAGTCTGGTCAGTGCTCTCAATCACAACTTTGACGAGTTGAAGCGTATATTCATGTAAATTTGTCTCAGCCCACGAATTTGCCATGTATCTCTCTCACTCACCCCCCTTTGCACAAGAATATAACACACTTGCAGCCTTTTTATATATGCGGCTTACGCGTATGAAAGGGAGTCACGACATCGAGCATTTAACTGGGCTCCGAGGATGTGGAATCCCCACATCCTTAGCCTACGGCTTCTACCACTTGAAACGGGGCATCGTCTGTGCTACCATCGCTCAAGACCCCCAGGATATCGTCCACTTCGGCGGCTAGCTCGGAGAAATCTCAAATCTCCTGAGGACCCTCACGGTTGACACGCACATGGAAGGACCATAGCGAGTATAAACTAGGTTTACTCGTTTTCGCCATGGGAGCTTTGGCGCATATATAATGATGTCTTGGCCTCTGCGGCGCCTGACGGTGGGGGTGATGGCCAAGTGTTTGGCGGGATGAGGCCGAGAGGTGAGTGTCAGACGAACGTCTGCCCGAGGCGCCCCCGAACTTGACAACTAAGGGAATTTGTCAGCATGCTCCTCAACATCTTTGCTACATTCTTGGACCTAGGCCGATCGCTATCACCTACTGGCCCAGGCCATCAATGCATCACCTCTTACTCATCTGTTGTGACTACGTTGTGGTGCTGATTCACTGTCTCACCTTAGCGCTGTGCAATGGCGGTAGTGACCAGCTGACCCGCACGCCGCAAGGTAGCGACGGTCGGTTAACCGATACCTGCGATCGGCGAAGCCACTGATCACGACATATCGACACCATAGATTAGTAAATGGTCGGTGTTTGGTACGGCTCGAATCCCCTATATAAAAGTACGTGACAGGTCAAGCAGTCAACTTCAAGTTCATACCCAAGCTCTCGATAACACTCAAGAATACTACCGTACCATGTCAGGCGTCAAGGTTAACACAAACGTAAAGGCTACCGCCGTCATCATTGGCGGAACTGGACTCCTCGGTATGTGCTCTCCAGTAAAGCTCGACACGAAAGCACCTCCTCACTGCTCTTCTGCTACTTTAGGTGTTTGGATTTCTAAGGTCTTCCTCACCGACTTCCGCTCTGCCTTCCCCACTGTCCGCATCACCACTCGCGATGTCAACGCCGCCAAAGCCCTTGAGCTTGCCGCACTCGGCGCCGAGCTCTTTTCCTTCGAGGACTCGCTCGACGAAGTTCTGAAGGGTGCCGACGTCGTCATCAACACGCTCCCGACGAGCGTCCCCGACGCGCACAAGAAGGTTCTCGCCGCAGTCGCAGCGAGCCCTGCGAAGGTGTACTTCCTGAGCGAGTTCGGAATGTGCGTGACGCCGCGCAGAACACCAGAACCTCCCCGCTGACGCTCCGTCCCGCTCAGCGACCACGCGCGCACCAGTTTCCCCGGGTACGAGTTCAAAGAGTGGCAGTTCAAGCACGAGCTCGCCGCCGAGACCCGCGCCGCGCTCTCCGACAAGAAGGTCATCGCTCTCTACACCTCCATGTTCCTCTTCCTCCTCGGCTCTCCCTTCGGTGCGCGCCCCGTCCCTCTCGCCCCTTTCGTCTCCCCAGGCCTCCGCTGACCCCCCCGCCTGCGCCCCGACAGCGCCGCTCCTCGGGCTCGACATCAAGAACAACCAATTCAAGTCGCTCGGGCCCGCGACGACCCGCTTCACGCTCTCCGCGACGACCGACATCGGCCGCGCCGTCGCGCAGCTCGCGCTCCTCGCGCTCGACGCGCCCTCCGCCGCGCGCGTGCCCGACGTGCTGTGCATCGCGCCGACAACGACGTCGACCGCGGCGCTCGCGGAGACCGTCGCGCGCGTGCGCGGGGTGCCGGCGGGCGCGGTCGAGGAGGAGGACCTCGAGGCGTTCCGGAAGGCGCTGCGCGAGGCGCCGGCGGGGAAGACCATCATCGACTACCTGAGGTGAGTGCGGACCGCGGCGGGGACGGGGACGTGCCAGGCGCTGACCGGGGCCGGACGCGGCGATGCTTAGGGTGATCCTGGGCGAGGGCGCGGCGGACTTCTCGACGGACAACGGAAACGAGCTCGTCAACCCGGGGGAGAGCCTGTGGAAGTGGACGACGGTGGAGGACGAGCTTCGCGCGGGTGCGTGAAGGCTTCAAAAATGACTGTATTGTAGGATTCGATTTTGGGGACAACGACGTTGGTTTGATGGCGCGGAGAAGAGAGCGTTTGGCCTTTGGCACGGAGTATCGGCTGCGACGTGGCTCTATACGTGCAGCGGAACACTGAAAAGTTGAACTGTGTTCCCATCGAGCACAAGAGCACAGCAAAACGATGCTGGCAAGATGTGGAGCATTACCGAGATGACCAACTGAGAAGGTATAGCTGTAAGATCGGTGGGGCGGGGAGCAGCCGCTTGACGCTGTGCGAGACGAAAGTTCCCCAGCGCAGCTTCTCAGCCGCGACTTACCAGCGTGCTGCTGTAGTGGACTCCACAGTCACACTGTACCAGTGAGAAGATCGTCCTCATTCCAGCGACAACGAGGCCAGAAAGAGGCAGAAGACTCACGGGTCGGAGAAGCCACGGACATGTGCAGGTTTTTAATAAACGCTTGACCAAACCGGGCGATGCGTTTCTCGCGGGTTCCTGCGGAGCCTGCTGGACGGAATGTGCCAGTTAAGCACATTTAGAGGTAGAGAGGCAGTTTCGCTATGCTATGCCCGGAACATTGGTGAGGAGTGACTCGAAGGACCGGGCATCTGATATCTGAATGGTTTGACAACCTGACAGATGACAGTGAGACACAAAGTGCAAAAGCTTATAAGTGACCCTCTGGCCTCAGGGCGAACAATGATTATCAGCCTCGGCGGCATGTACAGAAGGCTTCGGAAGCGCGATGAACCTCACCTCCGAGCCACATACGGGAGCACGGAGGCTCGAGAGGAGAACGCCTGAACGATACGCTCGCACTGAGACCTGGGGGTGTGCGGATGTCGGGTCTGAGATCGAGTCCGTTTCCGCGGGTGCTTGTTGTCAGCAGAGATCATGCAGGGAATGAACACATAAGTATCTTGGAGTGAGAGCAAGCCCACCAGCGCCCCCAAGTACTGAGGCGAGAGTGGGTCATCATCGTACCTCCTATACATATACCCATAGACTCCTTCCGGCCTCCGAAGTGGTTTCAGCGGCTGAGACCGTTCGGGACACGGGCATCAACGTTCGAGTTCGAATGATGCGTTCGAACTCGAACGCATCCGCGACATAAATTCGCGGCTCGGCCTGAGTTCGCCGCGTCCGCCGTCCGCGGAAGACGTGTGCGGGAGAGGACGATACGGCTGTGCGCTGATGGCGCCCGTCGCGGCTGCTATCCACGGTGCCGGCCTGGGCTGGGGCGGGCTCGATCGGCAGCAAGGCTGGGATTTTTAATCGTGCCAGTGGCGGACGAGCTAGCCGACGTCCTAGGGCGTGTCTCGCATGTGAAACGACGTCTGGCACGCAGTGCGGTGTCAGATTGGGCGGAGGAGTGGTTGTCTGACCAAGGCGAGAAAGGACTGACAAAAACACTAGTCGGCGCGGTTGCACGCGTCGCCTTATGGCGAGCGCATCGTGCTTTTTGGAGATGGTAGAGATGCGCGATGAGAGCCAGTCTGGCATAGAACCAGATAGAACCCCGTCGCGTTGCTGATGGGTCGTATCATCCGATGAACGTGCTCGGAGACGTCGAGCGGGCCGCTGGAGAAAACACGGGCCGAGCCACGGGGGCTTTGTGTGCGACATCGATGACGGTCGGGTGCATGCTCAAGTACTTGCGAGGTATGCCCTTGTTCTTATGAGGAGACGCGTGGCGGGAGCGTTGGCCGGGCACGCGAGCGCCGCGTGTTGGGTGGGAGAGGCACGGTGGTGGTGACGATGAGATCAACAAAAGTAGGCACGGCGGAGTCTTCCAAGACGGCCAACATTCCGGGGGGCGATATGGGATAATTTCCGGGGGGAGCTATCTGTCCGCAGTGGGACGCGGGCCGGGGACAGAGGCGGGCGACGGTGTGCGCGGGGTCGACGATGTCGAGCTCGATGACCGCCACGGCAAGCGACGGGAGGCGTCAAGGAGGCGTTGAGGGCGGGCGCCTGGGGGCAAATAACTGGCGGGCGGGGGGCGGAGCGGGGGGCGCAGGACTTGGACCCGGACCGTCACCTCTTCGGGCACGCCTCTTCCACTCCTTTGTTCCCGTCGCTCACTTTATATCCCGCACGGCCACGATGGCCCATCGGCGCACTTTCTCTGCCCGCTTTCCCGACATGCACCATGTCGCCCTCGACTCCCCGCCCCTCACCCCCATGCCCAACCTCGCCCCCTTCGACTTCTCCCGCAAGCCCAGGGCACAGTGGATCCGCATGACCTTCCTCGCCCTCTTCTCCCTCATGGCCGTCTCCGCCTACGTCCTCTTCCTCTCCCCGCCCGTCCTCCACCCGATCGCTTTCGACCACTCCGACCATCCCGGTCCGTCGCGCTGGACCCCAGACGCGCTCCGCCTCGCCGCGATGCGCAACCACAGACCACCTCCCCCCGGCACCACCACCGCGTCCCGTCCGCAAATCCGGCTGAACGAGACGGAAGAGCTCGGCGCGCTCTCAAGCTTCATAGCCAGCCTGCCACAGAACATGATCCCCCAGACTATCGACGCGTCGCACCCGCTCGACCCGCAGCTCGTCCTCGACTTCGACACCCGTGGCCCGCACGCAGAGGAGGAGCTCGCGGCGGTGATGGACGACGTCTGGGCGCGGAATCCGGTCATGCTCTACTCCAAGGTGCGCTCTCTTTCTCGTCGCCCCGCGTCCAAAATCGCAAGCGCGCTCTCGGACTTGGCGGTGGCGGGCGGGTATGTCCAACCGAGTCGGTGGTGCTGATGGCCGGCCCTCTCCCTCCCAACTAGATCCATTCACCCATTTCGCGTGAGATCAAGCAGACGCTTGCGTCGCTCTACCTCAAGCCGGCCCCAACGATTGTTGAGGTCGACGAGCGACGTGCGTGGCGTTGGCTCGTTCCACCTCGTCTTGTCCCACTGACACGCTTCCCTTCCCCTAGCGGACGAACATGTTCTGACGCCGCTCCTCTTCCGCCTGACGAAGCAGCGGGAACTCCCGATCCTGCTCGTCGGGGGCAAGGTCGTCGGCGCGCCAAAAGACATCAAGGAGCTTGCCGTGTTGGGCACGCTCCAGAGCGCGATCACGGCCGCGGGTGGCGTCGTCGACGGCGCGCGCAAGAAGAAGGCCAAGAAACTGTGATCGGCCTCCCGCTCCCCAGGCAGGCCTCCGGTTTCTGCTCGCGCTCTCTGCTCTGCACGACTCGCTGCAGGTGTACATAGATCCGCCGGCGACTGCGGGTGGCCGTCGGACTCGCCCACCCGCGGCTCGGACCGAAGTGCTCGCCGAGCCAGGGGCGGGTGGCTGGTCGACCTCAGCCCCGACGGACTTGCGGACCACGGCTTCGGCTGCTGTGGTATAGAGGCCCGTGTAGCAACACTGTCGCATATATAAATACTCACTTAGTCTTCCCCCACCCGAGCCGGCAGATAGTCCTCCTCGCGTTCACTCTCCCGACTCGAGCACCCGCACGGCACACCGACTAGAATGTGCATCCATCTCCCTCGGACCTTGCATGCTCCCCGACATCGTGATTCCGTCTGCCTTGCTGTGCTCCTTCGCTATTGCCTGCTCGCTCTACTCCCCGGTGGTGCCCCCGCCGCGCCGCTCCCAGGCGACGTGTGCCCAGCGTTCTTTTCAGCCCCCTTTCCCGGTGATTGGCATTTATCGTACATACCCTCCGCAGCTCCGTACAAGACATGCCTCGTCACGACTATCTCCCCTTCCTCGCCCTCCCCGCCCATGCCTACTTTACAACGTGGACTCCAAGTATTACGGCTGCTTGGTTTAAACTTTTTCTTCGCCGCTCCTCCCCGTGCGGTCGTGGTCGCTCTTCAGGCGACCGGACGCCGTTCTGTTTGCTTTATAGCTACCACACTGCACCTGCAATCACACGACATCTGCGCTCACGAACCCTTTTCACTTGCCGTGCCGCGATCACGACCGCGGATGACGACGGACGAGCTCGGTCGTGGCTCCCGTCGAAACTCACGACCGCCGGTAAGACGTTTGAAATTTGAGGCGTGCGCGACCGGCCGGCGCTGCATATGCATGGTCATGGGTTCAGGATTCTCTCTCCATCGGCGACCGCAGTGTGCGTTTGGGGGTGGCCGGCACTGGCGCGCGGTCGGTGGTCGGTGGTGGAGTGCGAATATTGGCTGCACATGTGGCCAAGAGGTGAGGCCGAGACCGTTGGACGGGCGTGTCCAAGCGGCGGTGCCCTTTGTGGATCGACGACGCGTGCGGTTTGCCTCATGCATGCTATGCAGGGAAGGTGTCGGACGTGGAGCTTCGGTTGGTAATTTCCGCGAGTCAAACATGCGCTTGGCGCGTGTCCGCGCCGTTCTATCCCCTTCCGCGGCGCGCCCTAGCGGCGCGCGAGGTGAGTCCGTGATGAAGATGCCGGGCAAACAGACGGGCCCCAGCGCACTCCGGCGGGTCGTGACGTCTTGAACGGTCTGGTAGCATAGATGGGCAGGTTTGCGGGTCGGAGAGTCATTTGCCGGAAATTCAAAGCTTGAAGCTGGCCCTCTTCAACTCACCCAGTTGACGACTCACCACTACGTGCCCTTTGGGCCCTGCATGTTCTCGTGATTGTGTCTTCTTTTGTTGGTTCGTAATGGTGAAACCACATGCTGAAAGTATCACTCACGACGGTCCCGAATGCGCTGGATGCGCATGCAGTCGCGGATGACCTCGACTGCTGCCGCTGCAACAAACGAGTTTTCCAAGACCTGTGCACGTTCGACACTAGGCTCAGTGGGACATTGGAGGACGTGTTGGGGGAGGCACGTGTGTATCTATTCAAAAACATGCGGTGCACTACTGACCTTCGTTGTGTCTGTAGGGGAATCATCTCTACCATTGTCTGCGAAGAAGTTGCCGCAGGGTGGATCACGGAGGCTCTCACGACCATACATATGTTGCGAGACGTTTCTCCGTTGTTCATGGTCGTGAGTGTATTGTACATCATCAACAAAGGAAACCAGATGCGGATGGAGCCCTATTGGAGCCCTGAAGGTTTCACGCGACTTGACGGATCACGTCCTCAACCGTCTTCCACTTCCAGAGACTCTGCCCCGGGTTGATCAGCTCGTTGTCGTTGTTCGCCGAGAAGTCGACGACCCCCTCCCCAAGGAGCACCCTGCAGCCTCTTATCAGCGTCCTCGTCCTCCCTCTCAGCCCCCATCCGTCCGCTCACCTCAGGTAGTCGACGAGGACGTCCGTCGGCTTCTCGCTCAACGCCCGCTTGAACGCGCCGAGGCCCCCCCCCTCGACCGCGCCCCGCGGCACCCCGCGCACGCGCGCGACCGCGAGCTCGGCGTGCGACGTCGTGTTCGGCGCGAGCCGCACCGTTCCCGGCACGCGCGCGGCGGTCGCCGGGTCGAGCGCGAGGACCGCGAGCCGCGCGACCGCGCGCCCGATGTCGACCTCCGCGGACGCGCTGAAGCGGGACGTCGCGGGCCCGAGGGACCGGTAGGCGTTGCCCTGGATGTCGAGGCCGAGCAGCGGCGCGGTGGGGCGGCTGAAGCACATGTCGAGGAAGAGGCCGGTGATGACGGCGATGACCTTCTTGTCCGGCATGGCGGCGTGCGTGTCCTTGGCGATCTCGCACTTGACCTGCCACTCCTCGTGCTCGTACCCGGGGAAGTCGTTGAGGGCGTAGTCGCTGTTGCCGGAGAGAGAGAGGCGTTTGGTGAGCAAGGCCGTCTGGGATCGAGTGGGAGGGATACACTCACCCGCCGAACTCGCTCATGAAGTACACTTTCGCGGGGCTCGCTGCGACCGCTGCGATGATCTTCTTCCCGTCCGCGGCGGGGATGTGCGTCGGGAGCGTGTTGATGACGACGTCCGCGCCGTTCAGGACGGTCTCGAGTGAGTCCTCGAAGGAGTAGAGCTCGGCACCGAGCGCAGCAAGCTCGCGGGCCTTAGGGGAGTTGACGGCGCGAATCGTGATGCGTACGGTAGGGAAGGCAGAACGGAAATCGGTAAGCAAGGTCTTCGAGGTCCAGATGCCTGGCCAAAGTAGAGCGGACAAAGCGGTGAAGTCCTCGGCCGTCCGTCAACTGGTTTTCGCCTCCGGAGGACCTCTCAATGCCCGGGTTCCGCTCGAACAGACCTCCAGAAGGCAAACATAGCTCAGTTCTTGTACAAATCCTTCTCGCATCGCTAGGTGAGGAAAGGGATTGACTAGAGGCAGCGCGGTGGCATAAAAGCTTCTGAGCGGTAGTAGAGACTTGTGTTCAACGACTCGGCAAGCTTTTAAATTTGCGTAGGATTGGGCCAAGTGACGTCAATCGAAAAGAAAAGCATCGCGAGACAGACGAGAAGACTCAGGGAAGCAGGATCGAATGTCGGTGAGAAGGAGCAGATGGTGAGACAAGTGCATGCTTGAGGGAGACCGCAGCAGTGCCGCCAGCTGAGCTGATCATGCAATGGTCAAAACGCGTGACGTCATCGCCGCGCCTTTTAAGGCTAGTGCGAGACTCCAGGGCGTTCCTCTGCGCGTTATCATCCTTGCCCATCGCCCGCCGGTCCTCCCTCCAGGACCCTCCTCCCCCTCCACCCGCGCCATGTCCACATTCCGCACCCTCATCCTCGACCTCGGCGACGTCCTCTTCACCTGGTCCGCCGAGACCACGACCGCGATCCCCCCGCGCCAGCTCAAGGCGATCATGGACTCCCCCACCTGGCACGACTACGAGCGCGGCCGCCTCGCGCAGGCCGCCGCGTACGCGCGCGTCGCCACCGAGTTCGCCGTGCCCGCCGCCGCCGTCGACGAGGCGTTCCGGCAGGCGCGCGGCTCGCTCCGCGCGAACGGCGCGCTCCTCGCGCTCGTAAGGGACCTCAAGGCGCGCCGCGGCCTCCGCGTCTTCGCGCTCTCGAACATCTCCCGCCCCGACCTCGACTTCGTCCTCGCGCTCGACACGGACTGGGCCGTGTTCGATGGGGTGTATGGGTCCGCGGCGATCGGGGAGCGCAAGCCGGACCGCGCGGCGTACGAGAGGGTGCTGGAGGACGCGGACATCGACCCGGCGACGGCGGTGTTTGTGGACGACAAGTTGGAGAATGTGGAGGCGGCGAAGGCGCTGGGGATACATGGAATTGTTTTTGACAAGCAGGAAGGTGTGTTCGCGGCGTTGCGAAAAGCTTTTGGGGATGAGGTGGTAGAGGGAGCGCCAGAGAGCATATAGTAAGCCGTGCGGTGTGTAGTCTTGTTGGGCGCATTTTTTTTCATGTTTTGATCTGCCCAGATGTCAAGGAGTGGGACGTACTGTGGGCCACTGTCATGGCTTCTGGAAGACTCAGCTTGTGCCAGACGCATTTTGGTTGATTCAATCTCACGCGATAGCTCATACCGCAAACAGTCATTTCAAACTAGATGGTGCAGTTCACAGATACACTTGGTTGAGGGTCAAAACGAGCTCACGCCAGGAAAAACTCAAGACGCTATCTGAGTCTTCAGGAACTCAGGCCTTCCCCTCGTCGAGTTCGTCCTCCAACGTCTTCCACTTCCACAGACGCTGCCCAGGGTTGATGAGCTCGTTGTCGTGGTTCGCGGAGAAGTTGAGCTTCCCTTCCCCAGTAACCACCCTACCAGCCCTGATTAGCATTAAACACCAGCAGCGCACAATACATCCCCACTTGATGTAATCGAACAGGTTGTTCGTCGGTTTCTCGCTCAGCGCCTTCTTGTAAGCCGCCAGGTCCTCCTTTTCGACCGTCGCGAGCGGCACACCTCGCACGCGGGCGACGGCCGCCGCAATGCCGGCGTGCGACGTCGTGATGGGCGCAAGACGCACAGTGTCGGGAACGCTTGCGGCCGTGGCCGGGTCGAGCGCGAGGACGGCGAGCTGCGCGACGGAGCGCGCGATGTCGATTTCCGCGGACATGGCGAAGGGCGTCGTCGCAGGCCCGAGAGACTTGTAGGCGTTGTTCTTGACGTCAAGGCCGAGCATGGCCGCTGACAAGACATGAGGATTGTACGAACGGATACTGAGGGATCGACGCACCGTATGTGGGCGCGTTCAGCGTTCCGAGGAAGACGCCCACGAGGAGGAGAATGATCTTCTTGTCGGGCATGGCGGCGTAGGACTCTTTGGTCATCACGCGCTTGGTGGTCCACTCAGAGTGCTCGTACCCCGGGAAGTCATTCAGGGCGTAATCGCTGCACGCGACAGCAGAGCGTCAGTGCGCACAGACTGGAGCGAACGACCACGGGAAGTACTTACATGCCGAACTCGCTCATAAAGTAGACTTTGGCGCTGCTCGCTGCAATTGCCGTAGTGAGCTTCTGCTTCTCGGCCTCTGGAAAGTTCGTCGGGAGGGTGTTCACGACGACGTTAGCACCCTTGAGAGCGTCCTCGAGAGCGTCGGAGTTGAAGACCTCAGCTCCGAGCGCGGCGAGCTCGCGGGCCTTGGGGCCGTTGACGTCGCGGGTGGTGACGCGAACGGTAGGGAACACGGAACGGTAGTCAGTGAGGAGGGATTTAGTGATCCAAATCCCTGTAACAAACAGCTCTTAGTCCGCGTTCCATGAGGAACAAGAGGTAGAGACGGCACACACCTATCAAGCCAGTGCCGCCAATGACCACGGCGGTGGCTTTCACGGTGGAGTTAATGGCGACTTTGGACATATTGTGTTCGACAGGGTTCAGGGAGGGTCGAGTTGTTGGGCTACCTCTGACAGATGTCCCGAGCTTTATAGCAGCGGCAGCCCCAGCTGCCATGACGTCTAGAGGATTGTGTCTTCGCTCAGGGGTAGTTTCGCATGATCGGACAGCCAATGCGAAAGCGTAGAACGTAATTCCCCTCGCGGCATAGAGAGATATTTCACCGCGAACGGAGGGCTACCGGTGTGTGTGGTCGCATGAGCATAGCTAGGGGCGGTCTGAATCGCGATCGGAATTTACGACGGCGAAGTGCGGGGATGACAGAACGAGTCGAGATGGTACAGTAGTCATACCAAGGGGTGTCGCGTCCTGGGTAAACTGTGCAAAGGGCGCTGATTCAGCACTTGCACAGGATCGAAACTGAAATGTACAGACATGGAAGACCTGGAGCGATCACCCCGGCGAAGTAATACGGTTGGCCGAGGACTCGCTGACTCCGTTGGCTCGGGTATGCTTCGGCGGTCGTCCAAACGCTTTCGCTTTCACATGGGAGGCCGCGGCATAGACGCGGTCCGCATATCTTCTTCCCGGTATATAGAGGGAGGTTCACGAGCCTAGGAGAGGAGGCAATCCAAACGGGTCAACGACTTGAAGCTGTGCAAGCAACACTGTGATTCGGAAGTTGCCGGAAGCACTTGCTGATGTTAGCCCCCCCGATGTTCAAGGCAGAGTTGCCGGATGCTCTTATCGCAATCTCGTGTCGCCCGCTCGGGAACCGCCGACCTTTCTTGATATGATCAACCAACGCACCGCTCAGCCGGCCAAAATGTGTCGAAATCCAGTGAGCGTGGGATTAACAGCATCGTAGCCGGCGATGCAAACGATCCATGTACACACCAGGCGTCTAGGAGACTAGAATAGCCCGCCCAGGACAAGACCCGCCGAAGCCAACGTCATGCTCAACACGAGCACCGGACCCGCCACGCCCGGCAACCCTCCGCCGCTCGTCTGCGGTCACGGAGTCCATCAGCACAGGTCTCGTCAGGGAGAACTCAAACGACGGCGCGACGCACCTGCACCTCGATGAGCTTCGCCGTCTCCGTCACGACGCCCGCGGTCGACACGGGGCTGCCCGAGACGGAGAGCGCCTCGGTGCAGACGGCGACGCCGTTGTTGACCGTGCAGTCGTCGAGCAGAGCCTGGGAGTGGTTCGTGCCCGGGACGTCGATCTTCAAGTGTGCGTCGGTGGGGCCCGCGACCATTGTGGCTGGGCGAGCGGGTGAGATGGTGGGAACAAAGAGCGGCAGCGGGTGGAACTCCACGTGACAGGGAGGGGGAAGAGGGAAACGACGACGACGTACCGATGACCGTCGTGGCGTTGGGCACTATAGTAGGGGCAGGACCAGTGAAGGTACTGCTCCTGTTTCCGACCGCGAGCTGCCAAGTGGTGTGCCCGCTGGAGTCGACGCCGATGTTGACCGCGGTGACGGGGAAGGAATTGTTGTTGTACCCGGGGATGAACAGTGACACTGGTGTGGGGGCAGCGACTGACGATGATGGGTGTTAGTCAGGCGAGCTTCGAAGAAGATAGCGATATGACTGACTGGCTTGGGAGAAGAATGCGGTGAAAACAGCGGCGAGAATGATGGAAAGGGTGTACATAATAAATCAAAGAAAGCAAGAGACTAGCTCTTGAACGTGAAGTGAAGAGGGAAAAGGGAAGAAAGAAGGAGGAGTGGAGACCTCTACCTCAGATAGGTCCCGCAGTATATATCATGCTGCTGCGGGATTGAGCGTTCCAACCTCTCCTTCTGTGACTAAACTTGAGCGCAGACCTGGGCGCTGGACGTATGGGGGCTCGTACGCAGCCCTGTTTGATAGGTTGTCCTCCTGCGATCTCGGAAGCAAGATTTGGCCGGAGTACTTGGATGTTTTGTGCTCCGAGTGTGTGAAGCATCAATGAACACGTTGTTGTGCGTGATCGTGCCGAAACCTATAGGGGTAATTGCCGCTGGCGGGCTGTTCTAAGCAAAACACGCAAACCTTTGAAGTCGACAAGCGACTTGCTATGCCCGATGATGCCAGGTGCACGGGAAGCGTGTGCTGTAAGTCGGTTCATCTCGGGTGAGAGTGCAAACAGTGGATGTTGAACGTAACGTTGAACAGGAACGCGAAGTGCAGCTGAGGGTGGCACGCTGGCGACATCTCGGAGCTATGCGGAGTCTGAAAGCGCCGGGACCTCCCGAGCAGTGGCTCGGACACCCCTTGCACAGCCGTGCACTGGTCAGTGGTCACATATCCATCTCTGTCCATCCCACCCACGTCAACTACTTACACCACGCGCCGAACTGCATATGTAACCAGTGGCATCACGCTCTTTGAGGGATGCCGTAGGTCGGCTCAACCGGCCCCAGCTGCTTTGTCACTCTCACCGACGGGTTAGTGATTCCTCAGCCAGCCTCTCGCGAGTCGCGCAAACAGATCTCAAGTGTTCGTATATTATTGAAGTGTTGCGAACTCTTCCTTTTCACCACACGATTGACTCAGGAGCTGGCGGCACGAGCCTAGATCGTGGTTCACGCGTCGCGGGAATTTCGCAAGGCTCCGACGACCACCGCCCCCGCTGCGAAAGGTACGTCCCGGCCGTCTGTTCCCCGCCCCAACGGGGCTCATCATCACACAGACGGCGCGCCTCCTTCATCGCGACGACTTGAGCTACGGGCCTCGACATTGCAATCCCAACTTAGCTCTTCGCCGCCGCTTACAGGCTCGAAGGGAGATCTGGGATTGCATACGGCACCGTCCCAGGCCCGAACGACCTGCGCGCGGTCCACATCCTCTAGCGCGCACTGCCGCGCCTCCCGCCCGAGGTGTTGAACTTGAACTCGTCCCCGCCTAAGCCCCCACCGCAGGTCTCGCCGCAGGTGCTCACAACCTCCGGGCTCGACCGTGACGGCAGCGCGGACGATTCCCGGCGCGCGGTACGGCGCCGCTCCACGAGTGCGGCGACAACCTCGAAGACGGCGAGGGAAGAATCAGGAGTCGCGTCCCCGCGTGGCACGCACCTGTCGTCCCCGGCGTCCCTACAGTCACTGCACTTGGCGTCGCCCATGGGCTCGGCGTACGCGTACTAAGAGGACGATCGAAGGTATCGAGCGCGACCGCGTCGATGCCCCCGCCATCATACCACACTCGCCTGTAGCAGCATCCCCTCCTGGCGCCGACGATCGAAGAGCTTATGCGCCGGCTCCCATTCTCCATCCCAATCCCTATGCTCGCCGTGTCGCTGTTGGCGTTCCAGAGGCCGAGCTGACGGTCGCGCGTGCCCAGGACACTCGTCGCAGACCTTGATTGGCACTCGACGACGACGACCGCCACCACGCCACCGCCACCACGCCGTATGACACGGGGAGATACGACAGCGACAAGTGCATGCAGACAGGATGGGAGATACAAACCTCACGCAAACTCAGGGTTTTCGCGATACAGAATGAATATTTGATGATGCAGCGACATGACTCCTGCATCAGCGACACCTTCTCGACTATGGTCGGCTATTCTCGGCTGTGCCAGGTCGTTGAGGGCGATGACCTTAGATCTGAGACTTGAGTCGACCTCGTAGAATTGAGAAGCAATAACAGTCAGACAGTGCTCCCTCCTCCTCCACCTCCTCCTCATCTTCCTCCTCCTCCTCCTTCTCATCTTCCTCCGCCCGTGCCATGTCCGCATTCCGCACCCTCATCCTCGACCTCGGCGACGTCCTCTTAACCTGGTCCGCCGAGACCACGACCGCGATCCCCCCGCGCCAGCTCAAGGCGATGATGAGCTCCCCCACCTGGCAAGACTACGAGCGCGGCCGCCTCACGCAGGCCGCCGCGTACGCGCGCATCGCCGCCGAGTTCGCCGTGCCCGTCGACGCCGTCGACGAGGCGTTCCGGCAGGCGCGCAGCTCGATCCGCGCGGACAGCGCGCTCCTCGCGCTCGTCCGCGGCCTCAAGGCGCGCTGCGCCTTGCGCGTCTTCGCGCTCTCGAACATCTCCCGCCCGACCTCAACTACGTCCTCGCGCTCGAGGACTGGAGCGTGTTCGACTGCATGTACGGGTCCGCGGTGATCGGGGAGCGCAAGCCGGACCGCGCGGCGTACGACAAGGTGCTGCAGGACGCGGATATCGACCCGGCGACGGCGGTGTTTGTGGACGACAAGGTGGAGAACGTGGAGGCGGCTAGGGCGTTGGGGATCCATGGGATTGTGTTTGACACGCAGGAAGGTGTGTTCGCGGCGCTGCAGAAAGCTTTTGGGGATGAGATGGTGGAGGGGGCGCCAGAGGGCGTATAGTAAGTCGTGCGGTGTGTAGTCTCGTTGGGCGCATTCGTTTATGTTTTGGTTTGCTCAGATGTCAAGCTCTGGGACGTGCTGTGGGCCATGGACATGCATTCCGGCGGATTAGTGCAATTCAGCTTGTGACGGACGCGTTTTGGTTGATTCAATATCATAGCTCGTACCTCAAACCACACTAGTAGTCACACTAGCATCCCTACCTGATGCAATCGAACACGTTGTTCGTCGGTCTCTCCGATCGGCCTTTCAGGTCCTCTCTTCGACCGTCGCGTGTGTCACGCCTCGGTGCTTGCGAGTAGAATACGTCTTTGTAGCTTAGATATCGGGATATTCGTAACTGGGCTACGGAGGGGGCCTCGTGAGCTGGAATCACCCGTCTTCTCCTCCTCGCACGCGGGTACTTAGCCGCCGCCGCAATGTTGGCGTGGGCAGCCGTGATGAGTGCAAGACGGGCCGAGAGTGTCGGGAACGCCCGTGGCTGTGGCGGGTCGGGACTCCATCAAGGCTTGAGTCGCCGGCGTGTGACGTGGCATCCGCCAAGTCTTGTCCTTCATCACTTGTCTGCTGGATTAAGTCGCGACGCTTATGGCACCTTCTTCGATCCAACCAAGGACTCCTTTTGACGATTCAGACGCCGACATCATCTTCCGCTCTGGAGATGGTGTACACTTCAACCTCTACAAGGTTATTGTGGCCAAAGCGTCTTCGGTGATGAAGGATATGTTCGCCCTCCCAGACACTTCTCTTACCCCGCAGATCGTCGAGCTCACTGAGGACGCCGAGAGCTTGGAGCACCTCTTCCGCCTCATATGCCCTGTCAAGAATCCCACCCTGACGTCCGTCGACGCTCTCAGCGCCGTCCTGAAAGCCGCACACAAGTACGACATGCAAGCCGTCACCGAGGACCTGCTCCCAATAGCTCGCCAGCTCATCTCAACGGACCCTCTCCGGATCTACGCCGTGGCCTACGTGCTCGAGTTGGAAGAGCTTGCGCGAGAGGCCGCCTGGGGGCTCCTCGACGACTATCGATTCATCACCCCAGTGGACCCTCCCCCCGAGTTCAGCACTCTACCCGCGCTCGCGACGTACCTCGCAGAAATGTACCGCATCGACTGTGCCGGAACCGCGCTGCGCATAGCGAACGGCCGGCATTGGACGGTGAATGGCCGGCACCACAAAGCAGTCGAGGCGCCTGAAGACGTCAAGAACTCGTGGGCGTGGGTCGCCTGCCCGGAGTCGCCAGAGACGTGCCCGCTTGGGGAGGAGAAGATCGACATCACGGCGCCGCCCCACCGTCGTTACGGACCGAAGGTGTTGGCGGTGGTGACCCCGCGCGAGTGGTGGCTGGTGTACATGGATGCGCTCTGCGAGGAGCTGAGGCTCCACCCCACCCCGCGGACTGTACGCCAATTCATCGACCACCCAGGTGCTTTGAGAGCTCTTCGAGAGGCGTCAGACTGTCCTACTTGCGTGCGGAAGGCTCGCGATGACCTTGTCGACTTCAACCAGTTGCTGTCGCAGAAGATCGAAGATGCGTTACAAGGGGTGGGGCTCATAGCTTGTTTTCACTGTCGGTTGAGAGCTGACCTGGTGGTAACTCGGATCTAATGACTTCTAGATCAGAATCAAGCTGCCATTTGCTCCAGATCCCGCAGACAAGAAGGCAGGCGCGGCGAAGTGACAGCTGGGCGGCGCGGCGACGATTCCAGACTCTGGTTTATGGACGCAATCACTAGGAGTTGTAGGGCTGCGTACTTCAACTTCCAACGGGCGTGACACGCTGGTGGGCTCCGCGGGCTGCGAATATACTCTCACATGTTCGGGAAAGCGTTCAATGATATCACCCAAGGTTTCGTACGAGTTGGCGTCTGACGCCTTACCCAGTGACAGTGGTGTAAAGAGGGCGCACAGTTTCGCGCCTCGCTCCAGCCTTCGCAATTGTGACACAGACGGCCTTGAAGAGGATACTCATTCTGTGTGTGGCTTCGAAGTTGGAGAGATACGGATAACGTAATCCTGTAGCTGATCATTGATGCTTTTTGGTTTGGACTATTCCGGAGGCCGGGCCGGGGGCGTGGCAACTGACGCAAGCCTGCACGGCGCGTCCTGCTCCTCCAAATTTAAACCTGCACGCAACCACCACGTTCACTCACTCTCCCATCCTCCCCACCGCCGCCGCCGCCGCCCCATGAGCGAGTTTCTGCCTGAGCCGGATGTGCAGACGATTGAATATGTCATCGCTGGCGCTTCCGGCGAACACAGTAACGGATACGTGCCGGAGAACATCATCCTTGACCGTCCGCGCGACCAGAACAGCAGGTGGAGCGGCACGCTCGTCACAACCCCCGCTCACAATCCCGCCCCCAATAAGCAATGGATCCGACTCAAGCTGAAACAGACGTCCATTCTCAGTGGGTCGCTGCCGGGGACCCCTATTACATCATACCACTGACGCGCTGCAAACAGAGGGCATCACTTTTGGCAAGGTCCGTCGAGACCCCCGTCTGAAAGACTGATTGTTCTGACCGGCTCGTCTCAGTTTTACAAGAGTCAGTAAGCGCATGGAATTCCATGAGTACTTCTGGTGCTCAAACCGCTCAGGCCACCCATGTAATATGAAGGAGTTCAAAGTTCTGGTCGGAATGCATGAGACCAACATGACGGAAGTATGCCGCTACCCAACTTGTTCGCAACCATCTGTTCAAGATGTGTACCCATCTAGATCCTCCATGCAAATCTCAGGAACGACACTGCAGCGGAGACCTTTTCTCTCAAGTCAATTAGCCCCGTCGGAATGCCATTTCCTACAAGATTTGTTGAGATTGTACCGCTGACGTGCGCATTCATACATACTCGCTCCGCAATGGCACTAATGGGGGTGAAGTGGGCATGGTCCTACCTTCAACACCTCCATCTGGCACGTCTCATTATCTGGCATCACCGACGAGGCATATGTGGAAAGGATACGCATGAAACAGCAAGAGGTCGTCCCCACTTCCTTCACGCTAGCTTATCATACTCATGAGTTTGTACGCATACAGTATCGTGAAACACTCACACTCAGGCAGATGCTCAAACACCTCCGCCAGCGCCGCTTCCTCACTCCCATCGCGCAGATCCTCTCCCGCGTCGGCGTCCAGCTGGAGCACACTCTCCTCACCGATCTCCACGCGGCCTTCGTCCTCCGTGGGGACTGGTCCGGCTCAGAGAAGCTCCTCCGCGACTGCGCAGCGGCAGGTCTCCTCACCCGCTTCCGCCACGCCTGCCCCGCGCACGCGCGCTGGACACGCATCCGCGGGCTCGACCCCGACGGCGACGTCCCCTGCCGGCGCGGGGGCCACGCGATGTGCATCGACGACGCCGCGCGGAGGGTCTACCTCTTCGGCGGCTGGGACGGCCAGCGCTCGCTCGACGACTTCTGGGCGTACGACGTCGCCGCGGATTCGTGGCGTCTGCTGAGCCTCGCGACGAGCCGCGAGCCGGGCGGACCGTCCCCGCGCGCGTGCCACAAGATGGTGTTCGACGACGCGACGGGCGCGATCTACCTCCTCGGCCGCTTGGGCGATGCGGACCCGGGTGAGACGCACAGGCCGCGGGGGGCGAGCGGCGCACACGCGGGCACGGGCGGCGGGCCCCCGCAGGCCGCCCCGCCGACGGACGCCGAGACGGCGCGGAACCGTGCGGCGGCGATGGCGTCGACTGCGGCGCCCTTTGGCGGGGCGTGGCCGTCGCACTGCTCCGAGTTCTTCCGATACCAGACGCGCGGGCCCGACGCCGGGAAGTGGGAGCGGCTCACGAACGACACCGCGGTATGTCCGCAGCCGCTCGCGACGTACGGCTTGAGCTGATCGCGAGTGCATAGGCGTCCGGCGGGCCGCCGCTCGTATACGACCACCAAATGTGCATCGACAGCGAGAAGCAGATCATCTACGTGTCTGGGGGGCGCGTCGTGGGTGAGCATGAAGCGCTCAGGTTCTCCGGGATCTACAGCTACGACATCCGCGCGAGCAGATGGAAGATGTACAAGTGAGTGTTTGCGCCGGCCCTCTCTCGCGCCGATCGCTGAAGCACTCTCAGCATATCCGACACGTACGCCGCGCACCCATACATTGTTCCTCGTTGGGGTGCGAAGCTCTCTCTCTCCCCTTGCGGGTTTAAACTCACCGATCGCCTCTTGTTTCTTAGGGCATTCCATGGTCTTCGACCCCACCTTCCAGACGCTGTTCATCTTCGCCGGCCAGCGCGACGAGAACTACCTCGCCGACATGTACGCCTTCCACATCCCGACGAACACCGTCACCGAGCTCTTCGCCAACTTCTCGCTCGCCGGCGGCCCGCTCCCGTGCTTCACCCAGCGCGCGGTGATCGACCCATCGAAGCGCGAGATCTACGTCCTCTGCGGGCTCACCCGCCGCAACGGCACGGCGCACCCCGAGCTCGAGGCCGAGGGGTCATACTGGATCTACCGCTACGAGCGCCCGGAGCTGCCGGGCAGGTGGTCGAAGATTTTGCCCAGGGGAGATAAGGAGAAGGAGAAGGAGAAGAAGACGGAGGAGGGCGAGGGGGAGACGCCGCAGCCGCGGTATGCGCACCAGGTAGTGTACGACGCGACGAGCGGGTCCGTCTTGATGCATGGAGGGAACGCGGGGGTTGGCAGGGACGCGGATGAGAAGGTCGAGGAGCCGGCGGCCCGTACGGATGGGGAGGCGGGGGCGCCTGCCGCGGCGGAGGGCGGGGAGCACCGGCTGGACGATTTCTGGCATCTGGAGATCGTGAGGTACGCTGCGGATCCCTACTCTGAGCTCTCCATGGCGACTGACGTGAAATCCCTAGGCCAAGCGACGAGGAGATTGTTCGTCGGGCGGTATATGAGGTCCGGCAACAGCAGTGCGTCCTTGGTGAGCCCATCCCGCTGTGATACTCGACTGAGATCCTGTCCCCGTCTAGATTCCGCGAGATGTGCGAAGACGGGCCGCCGATCAAGGCCCTCACTTTCATCCAGACACGCGTCTCCTCAGTCGTGAACCACAGCGACCCCGAAGAGGCCCGGACGTTCCGCGCGCTCTTCTCCACCCACCTCCTCGCGGCGCCCAGTCGCATGCTGCCTTCCGCCGCCTCCGGGGCCCCCTCTTCCTCCTCCAGAGTCGCCACGCCCACGCCCGCCACCATCGCTCTGCCCTCCGCCGCCGGCGCACCCCAGCGCGCGGACACCCCACCTCCGCGCAAGCGGTCGCGCCCGAACACGCCCGAACCCGACAGGGAACGGGGCTCGGTGATCAAGTGGGACACGGACCCGGCGGAGCTCGAGGAGGCGGGGGCGAGCCCGCCGTCGCCGGAGCGATACCGGCAGCGGACGCAGATGTTCGAGCGGCTGCTCGCGTTCGTGAACGAGGACGCGAAGGAGCCGGGGACGGATCTCGTGGACATGCTGGCCACGGACGGGTTTGTGATTTGAGGGGCTCGCTCGTTTGTGTACTGTATTGAAGGATATGTTTCGCGTTCTGCATGTGTATCACTGTATCGTTCTAAGCTCGACTGGGTTCGAATGGCTCTCATGGGCTCTCATTCAGGCGCACCAATAACTTGCTTGGCCCCTGGATATATCATGATTACTGTCCTCCTATTTTGCACGGTCCTCCCTCGCGCGTCCCAATAGTAAAACGAAAATGCGTTCACTGTTGTTACAACTAGCAGAATACACATTAACCATATGCACGTCTTTTGACTGTCGTGCGTCCTCTACTCGTCGAGGTTGATCGCCCGACCGAATTTCGCGTAGAGCGCAACCTTGAGCTCTTTCATCGTGCTCTCGCACTGCTCTACGTTCGAGTTCTGCCGCGACAGCTCGTCGTTCAGCTGTGCGACGTCGCTCTCAAGCCGCTTCATTGCGCGCGCGTGCGGGAGGTGAATGAACGCCTCGCCAATGCGGTACCTGGTGTACGGCGCGCGTGAGCAGGGCGAGTGAGAGGCGGGAAACGCATGACGGGCAGGGTGCGCACATGACGGGTTGGTCCTCGTCCGCGAGCTCAAGCTCCATCGAGATGTCATCGAGAGCCTCCTTCTCGGTCTGGCGCAGGAGGGGACGTCGTTTGAGTGGACGCGCGCAGGAAACGGAGGGTGTGCGCACCTTCAGCGCCGCGATCTTGTCTTGGATCGATCGCAGACGGTTGTTCAGCTTGGAGAACGAGTTTATGCGCTGCTGGTCCTCTGTCCCGTCGTCCGTCGGCATCCCGCCCTGCATTCTCTCGCGTGATGAAACGGGCACGCACCCCAGGTGACCTCCGTGTTGTCGTCGTTCTCATCCTCCTGCGAGAGCTGGGCGGCGGTCAGCGGGGGGCGGTGGCTGGGCGGGGTCGATAGCGTACGTGCCATGCGCATGGTGGTCGGCGAAGCGAGGGAAGGGCGGAGGGAAATCGGAAAGCAAGGCACGCGCGCAGGCTGGCAAATCGTCGAGAACGCACCCAGCACGGTTGGCGCCGGCGACATAGCGCGATCCACACGGGCCGCAACGAGTCCCGGGCAGCCGGAGCCCTGGGCACATGCTCCCCGTCGTCTCCTGCGCCGACACGACCGCGTCCGTGCTTGCGGCGGCGACGCGTACATATCGTAACCGCCTTCTACACAGTCCTCCCGCCGTCTGCGCGCTCACGCCGGCTCATCTCTTGACCTTTGACCACGTCAACGGAGCCCGCTCCTCTCCTTTGACTGCGCGCTGTAGCCCGCCTCTTCTTGCTCGCTGTCTCCAGTAGCGGCACCAATCGCACCATGGACAAGGCTCGCGCCGTCGTGCTCGCGCTCTCTCCACGGGCAGGAGCCACTGGCAGAACTTCACGAACGCGGTCGTCGTCTACCTCCTCCTCTCGCGCACCCTCAAGATCTCGCGCCACCTCCGCGCGCGGGGCATCGTCCGCACTGTCCGCGATTTCTACAAATGGGTTCTCCAGGTCCGTCTGCCACCCCTTCCTTCCTGCTGCGGCGCCAATGCGGATCCATGTCGCATGCATTGTCCGCGCGCTCCGTTGCTCTGCCACAGCGGTCCTCTGACGAAACCTTGGCTGCGTGTAGGAGGCGATCCTGCTCGCGCTGCGCTTCCCGTCCGCGAAGAAACAGGTCGACGAGAAGCTCGGCAAGGCGCGCCTCGATGTCGAGGCGAAGATGGTGCCCCAGGGCCCCGGCATCACCCGCTACCTCTCCCTGCCCGCCCAGGGCCACGACAAGGACTGGATCCTCGCCGAGATGGCGAGGATGGACACGCTCGTCGCCACACATACCGACTGGCACGACGGCAAGGTCTCCGGCGCCGTGTACCGTGAGTCGTTCGGCCCTCTGTGCATTTTTGTCCGCGCGCTGGCGTCATGCTGCGCGAACGGACGCAGGCCGAGCGGACGCTGACGTTGACGCGCTCTGCTGCGCTTGCTGCTTGATTCAGACGGCGGCGAGGACCTACAGAAGGTCCTGGTCGCCGCGTTCGACCGGTACTGCCTCTCGAACCCGCTCCACCCGGATGTGTTCCCGTCGGTGCGCAAGATGGAAGCGGAGGTCGTCGCCATGGTCCTCAAGATGTACAACAACCCCGGTGGCGCCGGCACCACCACCTCGGCGGCACCGAGTCGATCATCATGGCCGTGAAGACGTACCGCGACTGGGCGCGGGCGACGAAGGGCATCACGGAGCCCGAGATGTACGTGGCTGCGCTCCGCGCGTGCTTGTGGTTATTCTCATGCTGGCTCCCTTGCAGGATTGTCCCCGTGTCTGCGCACGCCGCGTTCGACAAGGGCGCGGACTACATGGGCATCAAGGTTCACACTATCCCGATCGACCCCGACACTCGCCAGGTCGATCTCAAGAAGGTCCGGCGCGCTATCAACAGCAACACGATTATGGTGCGCCGTCCCCCACTCTGCTTCACGGATGGTACTGCTGACGCCCACATCGTACACAGCTCGTTGGCTCGGCGGTCAACTTCCCGGATGGCTGCCAGGACGACATCGTCGCGCTCGCAAAGCTCGCGCACAAGCACAAGATCGGCATGCACGTCGACTGCTGCCTGGGAAGCTTCATCATGCCTTTCGTCAAGGAGGCCGGCTTCCCTGTCCGCCCATTCGACTTCTCTGTACAGGGCGTCACCAGCATCAGCTGCGACACGCACAAGGTGCGCGTTCTGACTCACATTCGCGGTCGTCGTCTTGCTGACGATCGTGGTTTTCCGCGACAGTACGGCTTTGCGCCCAAAGTGCGTTCCATTCGGGAAAACGATGAATCGCCGACTGATCGAGTGTTGTTGTAGGGTAACTCGGTGATCATGTACAGAGATGCCGAGCTGCGCCGTTTCCAGTACTACGTGAACCCCGACTGGATGGGCGGCGTGTACGCCAGCCCTAGCATCGCCGGCTCTCGGTGAGTAGCTCATCTCCGGTCTACATAGTCTCGAACCTACCCTCCACCCCACAGCCCTGGGGCGCTCATCGCCGGAACTTGGGCTGCGATGCAATATATGGGCCACTCGTGAGTCTCCTACTTTGATCGCCACGAGATGGGCGCTGCTTAATCTAAGGCCTTCCGCAGCGGCTACCTCGAGTCCTGCAAGAGCATCGTCGGCGCCGCGAAGACGATCGCGCAGCGGATCCGGAGCGAGATCCCGGAGCTGCGCATCCTCGGCGACCCGCCCGCGTCCCTCGTCGCGTTCGCCGCCGCGAAGGGCGTGACGAGCTTCAACGTGCACGAGGTCGGGGACATGATGAGCAAGAAGGGGTGGCACCTCAACGCGCTCTCGAACCCGGCCGGGCTCCACATCGCCTGCACGGTGCGTCGTCCTTCCCGTCTGACGCCCGGTCCGCGCGCTGACGACGTCGCAGCGCCTGACGGTGCCGATGGTCGACAACCTGATCGCGGACCTCAAGGACGCGATCAGCGAGGCGAAGCTCTCGCCCTCGGGCGAGGGCACGATGGTCACGGTCTACGGTGCGTGCGCCCTCGCGACCGCGCTCTTGTACGTACTCCGGGAGGGGTGAACTGACGGGCCCTGAGCGCGCGCAGGTCTCGGCGAGTCGAGCCCCGTTGGGTACACCATGGTCGGGCACGTCGCGACCGCGTTCCTCGACACGCTCTACAAGGCGTGATCGCGTCCGCGTCCGCGTCGCACGCCGCGACCGCCGCGGAACAATGTGCTTTTGCGTTCGGAAGGATTGTTCGAGACACTCAAACTGAACGCTCGGAATCTCGGCCGTTGCTGTGGTATGTATGTCGTCACCGTGGACAGGAACGGGGTGTATACCACTGGACAGCGCTTTCTGATATCGTGCTCCCACACATGCTTCTTCCCTGGGTACTTGTATACCTGTTGTAATCACTCCTTTCGCACATACGGATCATATAACGTCGCGTTTCGTACGCCCACACTCAAACCCGCGCTTGGCAAACGCTGTCTTATCTCCGAGGTCGCAAACCACGGCCGCCGAGCTTCCATGCGCCCGCTTCCATTCGTCCCGCGAAGCTCGGTGCTCGCGCTCGGCGCAGGCTCGAGACGCCTCGCTCGCCTCCCAAACACGGCAGGCCGCACGGCTATGTCTATCTCCGTCAGCCACCAGTGCCCTCCTCCATACGACATGCCGCACCCCTGCCGCGCTCGACCCCGTCGGCATCTCTGTCGATACTACTACCGAGGTCTGCGAACCCTCGCCGTGTCAATCGCCTTCTAGCTCGTCAACGTATGCGCTCCGCTGCCCACCAGAAGCAGCGTGCGCGGGCTTCCATTCTGCGAGCGCGTCCCAGCCTCCAGGCACACATACAGTGTGCTATGTTGCAGGTGGAGATGGGGGTCTGGACCGGCGGTCGACGGCGACGGCGACGACGCTGCTGCGGTCGGACGAAGGGTCCCACCTGCGAAAGTTCACGAAGCGGAGACGAGTTTCGGGGTCGTTCTTGCCTATTGTCGCAGTCGAACGCACTCCCGCGCACGCGCACGGTCCCTTTCTGCCTTCCCAGTCCTGTTCTCCCCCTCAAAACCCTAACTCATGTCATACAGACTCGAACCGCACGCGGTGCCTAGAGGCGACATCCGGGGCGCCCGGCCCGTTGACCGGGCCCCAAACCTCCGGGCAACGTCCAGTTCACCTTCTTTCGATGGACGGGCGGCGGGAGCATCACGCAAATTTCGACAAGCACCAGGAGGGCGGCGCTGCAGCTGAGAATATGCACGCTCGGAAATCGCGCGGAACCGCAGAATGCGTGCCCCTCTCGTTTCAACCTTTGTCAAACTTGAGGCCGCCGGTGGACTCGGGGGAAGTGGGGAAGTGTGGTCGCCAACGAGGCTAGGGCCTCAGAGATAGTGGCGTAGAGCGTGTGTCGAGGAAGCAGACATCTATAGGTGTATGGTTGTCGATGAGTGGGTGAGGTACAGGCTCGAGGGGAGGGCCTCGAATTTGTTGCCTCCGACGGGGCCGTATCGAGACGCCGCTGTGTTTGCGCATGGATGCGATCTGTATCTATCGGTGGGTGTGTAAGCACGCAACCGGATCCCCGCCGTGTTCGAACAGGGAAACAAAAGAGGACGGCACCGCAGCGCGATAGAGAACCCGCCCTCGAAATGGACACCGGGAGATAAACATTTGAACGAGGGAGGCGGTGGCGACTCAAACGCCTCCGCCGGCCCCGAAGGTGTTGGAAGAACCGTCACGCAGCCGATAAGATACCTATGATAGGAAGCGTGAAGAAATGACACCACCGCCGACGGTCTTTGGGGCGCGAATGTCGCGACCTCGGACCGCCTCGAACGCGCGATCGCTTTCTTTTGTCCGAGGCATATGCTCTGGCTCGGGCGCGGTCTAGACTCCCATCGACAGGACTGAGCACAACAAGTCACCATCTCAGACCTGCGCGCCCGACGGCTTTCAGATACGAGATAGCAGGTTATACGATCTAGATACCGGATAGACGGACGGGCGAAAACGCCCCAACGGCCCAAGGGAGGCCGCGACAAACGATCGCGGCGGCTGATTCGTGCGCGCGCGATCGTAGTTACTGGCCGAGGCAGGCACCGTCGCCGGTCGTGGCACTGCTTCGAGCACGAACGTGGCCGCGGCGCGCTCGCGAGGCAGGCTGGAAATCTTCGTTCGTCCTGCAGGTGTCGCGCGCGCCGGACTCCGAGAGCTATCGCGAGCCTCGCGCCGGCGCGCACGTATCTCTGATGGCGCGGGCGAACGTGCAGCTGGGTGGTCGACGAGCTCGCGCGGCCGTGAAACGAATTCCGAGTGGGAAAACGAAGGATCGCAGCCGGACGGTGCAGGTAAGCTCCGATCGCGACTCCGACTCCCCGAGCGAGGGGCGAGTGGCAGAACGCACGCTCGCGCCTCGAAGATTCGCCTCGCCTCGCCTCGCTGCTTTCTCCTCGCGCCGGCACGCGCGGAGCGAAGCAGGACGGGGGCTGCGCGTGGAAACGGCCCTGCAGATCGTCCCAACGCGGGCGGTGGAGCATGGCCTGGCGTTCAGCGAATTGACCGGCGAGGGAAGCCTCCGCGCGGGTGGCACCAGGATGCCGAAATGCTCGATGCTCGTGAGTCGTTGTGGCCAGGCATGTTCGAGACGGGTCCGCGGAGATGCGGGGACGTTTCTGGCGCGTTGGGTGCCGTAGCGGCCCGTTTTCGTTATCGAACGAACAACACGGACGGTGTGCACAGCGAGAGAGAGAAGATTTTGTGATGACGGGTGCGAGCATGAAGGATGGCGCGTACGGCTACGCTCGCTTCTGCGGGATTCCGTGTTCCGGTGCGTGCAGTTCTTCCAGCATCCGCGTGCATGGTGTGACATAATCCTAGGAGACGTAGAAGGGAGCGATCAGGAGTGTTCAGACTAGAACAAAGGACAGCGAGGGACGAACAGTTATGTCGTCCTTCGCGCAGAAGAGAGACCTGGGGGAGACAGATGGCCGCAGAAGGGCCGAGATGGGCCCGGGAAGGGAGGCCGTGCCCGGGAAGTGGAGGTGCAAACAAGGAAGGACGCAGGGCGGGCCCCGTCCGTCGGGTGGCCCCGAAGGAGAATGCTCGGCTCCTGCAAGGGCTTTGTGGCGTTGCTTCCTGGGCCTCGGGCGAGCGCGAAAAGGCTACGGCCAGCGACGGTGCCTGTTGCTATCGATGGTCCACCGCGCGCGATAACGGCTGGCGGTGCGCGCGCACGGTTGGGCGACGGAGGGGAACGGAGGGGCGGAGGGGACGTCGCGAAGGCGCAACGCGGCGGCGAGCACGGAGCCGTACTGCACCGACACGAACCGACACGACTCGATGAGCGCCCGCGGGCGAGACCGGCGGCACGGTCCGAGGGGAATATGACGTCGGGCGCGGCCTGCAGCTTTTCCCGGAAAACAAATATCGGCGGACGCGATCTGCCCGCCGTCCTGCTCTCCTCTGCTCCAGCCAGGCCCTGCCTCTCCACGGCAGCGGCTCCCAGCCCTCCTCCCCAGTGCTTGCCACCATCCCCCGCCTGCGCCCAAACCCTCGTTCGCGCACCCTTTCCTGGCTTCTGCCGCCGTCACCCTTGTCTCTATCCCAGCCCTTTCACAATGTCTTATGTACTCGCCCGCACCCCGACCCCCCTCCCCCACCAGAGGAGGACGCGCTCGCGGTCGCCTTCATGCTGCACTCCGCCCCTTCGAGCACCACACAACCCTCCCGCCCCCACCAGAGCTCCAGCTTCAGGCTCACGCTCAGCAGCACCCCCCACACCCTCGGGAGAGGCACGACCGCCACGACATGCCCCACAAGACCGACAAGCACCCCACCTCGAGATTCATGTCAACCAGGACATCCTTTGTCTCCGCGGCACCGGCGTCGATGTGAACCCCTCCCTCCTCAGCGGCAACGTCGTCCTCCACCTCTCCGAGCCCACATCCATCAAGGAGATCACCCTCCAGTTCAGAGGCAAGGCCCGCCTCCCTGCCTCCGCCGCAGAGCCGTGAGTCTTCCCTCCTACGCCCCTCTCAGTCCATGTGATCTCCCTGCCCTTCACCACTCCCGTCCGCGGCCCGCCGCATGCCAACCCTGATTGCATTCACCCACCTCTTGACTCGCACGCACTCCGCCCTGCCCGTCGCACATGCCGCGTCCTGCCCGTCTTGCTTTCCGCTCCGTAAGCCGTGGGTTCCATCTGGAACTCTCTCGCTATTACGCACTGTGCGGGGTAGTGCACGAGACCACGCTTCTCCACACCCGCCCTCTCTTCCTTTTCGCCCTCGTGACAGCATTTCCGCCGGATTTACATGCTGACGCGCCCGTTAATCCAGGCTCGCGCTCAGCACCTCCCAGCTGACCTTCGTCGTGTGCAATCACGAATGGTCCTTCCTCGAGGGCGACCGCCACCATGCCCACACCCTCAAGGCCGGGCGCCACCTCTTCCCCTTCCAGCTCCAGATCGGCGGCTCCCTCCCTTCCACCATCTACACCTCTGCCATGGGCGGTGCCTCTGTCCAGTACAAGCTCCGCGCCCAGCTCGTCCGCGGCGGTTTCGGTCTCACCCATCGTGATATCACCGCCCTCCAGCCCATTACCATCATGCGCGGGTACGGCACCGAGGCGCTCGAGTACCAGCAAACGCTCGAGATCGAGAACACCTGGCCCGAGAAGCTCATGTATTCCATCATGATCCCCCACAAGGCGTGGGCCGCCGGCGAGCGGCTCACCGCCATCGTCAAGTTCCAGCCGCTCGTCAAGGGCGCCCGTGTGCTCGCCGTCACGACGACGATAAACGAGACCGTCAAGCTCTGGTCACGCGCGGGCTGCCAGGACAACACCCGGGTCATCGCGAGTACCAAGCACGACATCGTCGACGGCAAGGCCGTCTGCGTCCAGGAGCAGCACCATCGGTTCCGCGTCCCAATCCTCGGCGGTTCCTCGACCTCTCGCGTTTCGACCCCCGCGCAGACCCCTGGCCACGCGCACTCGCACAGCACGGGCTCGTACTTCCCCCCCGTCGCCTCGTCCTCGAGTCACTCCACGTTCCATTCTCCCGCGCATCCCCCCGCAGAGCTCCCGTCGCTCACGAGGGCGCATACAAGAACGTCGTCGAATGGTGCAGCGTCGTCGTCGACCGGCACGCTCGCGCCTGAAATGTGTCCGCAGGTCCCTCAGTAGGGACGTCCACGGCGGGAAGCACGGCGGATCTGCAGTCACAACCATTCACGTCGCCTTCAGACGACCTGCTGATGGACCCGGCAAACGATGTGGTTACTTCTCTGAACGTCACTGTGCCGCTGCACGCGACGCCCAGCCACTCGCTAGAGGTTAGTCCGATCTCTGTTTTTGATCTGTGAACCTAGTACAAACCTTCCCATTAGCCCATTCAGGTGACCCACCGTGTCAGGTGGTCGATCCTCATCAGCAACCTCGATGGACACACGTCCGAGCTCCGCTGCTCCCTCCCCATCCACGTCCTCGACCACCGACTCGCCGAAGAAGCGCGCGTCGCCACCCTCGCCACCCGCCGGCTGCTCCTCGGCGCGGGCGACGTCGACGGCGGCGAGGCCGTTCTCGGAGACGAAGACGCGGACGCGGACGCGCTGCCCTCGTACCCTTCGCACGTCCGCGACCGGGTCGCGAACGCCTACCTCCCGGACGCGGCGACGATGCGCGTCGCGAACGCGTGGGTCGTAAACGGCATGAGCCCCACGATCGCCGCGGACCGCGCCGGCGCGCACTCGGGCTCCTCGAGCGGCATCGAGAGCCCGGCCGTGTTCGAGACGTGGCAGGTCGGGCCCGGGATGACGCGCCCGCTGCACTCGGAGCACCTTCCGCACGAGCCGCAGCCAGGCGCGCACCCGCTCGAGTGGGTCAACACCGAGCTCCTGCTCAGCCTCGGACGGGAGGCCCCGGAGGCCCCCGCCGTCGTCACGCAGCGCGCGACGCCCCCGAGCCGCACCCCGCCCGAGTCCGCGCACGCCAGCAGACACGGGAGCCGCTTCCCCTCGCGCCGCGGGTCTCGCGCGAACTCTCGCGCCGGGTCCCGCTCTGGCTCGCCCGAGCGCACACCGCCCGAGTCCGAGCACGGCGCGTCCGCGCCGCCGCCGTCGGTCCCGGCCGGGACGACGTTCGTCCACGGCCAGAGCACCGCGAGCCGGCACACGAACGGGCTGTTCCACATCGCGATGAAGCCGTTCTCGAGCCTCGGCTCGACGTTCACGCTCGGCTCGCGCTCCGGCTCGCACGCGAACCTGCAGGCACTCGCGGCCGCGGTCGCGCACGGGCACCCCGCCGGCGCGTCGGGGGCGTCGACGCCCGCGGAGGCCGCGCCGGTGCCGATGACGTCGCAGGAGATGCTCCACCACGCGTTCACGCAGGTGCCAGACTACGACATGGCGAGCCGCGGCTTCCTCGGCGGGGGCATCACGCCGCTCGAGAGCGTGCGGGACCTGCCGACGTACGAGAGCGCCGTCGCCGGGGGCGCGCGCAGCTTCAGCGACGGGGACCTCGCGGGGATGTTCGCGGCGCACGGGGCGCGGCCGTCGTCGGTGCCGCCGCGGTCGGGGGTCGCGCGGTCGTCGACGTCGACGAGGTGAGGTGAGGGAGGTCGGGCGGAGGTCCGCCTGCGTATACCCGGCTGTCGCCACCAAGACATATCCCCCCGCTCGCGCCGTGCTCGCTGTGTATCATTATTTCTCTCTTCCCTCTTCGATTCTTCGTCCCCTCACATCTTCCACGCGACTCCCGCGACGTCCCCCACCTAATCCACATGCGTCTTTCAACTATTCACACGTCGTCCAGTATTCCCTCGACACGTATTTATCCGGACACCCCTCATGCCACTGTTACCCTAGACTGCCTCGCCCCGTTCACCATGCATCATGAAAGCTCACGACTCGCCATAGACATTAGACCGAGCGCGCCGCGCCCCCACCCCTCCGCTCCTTGCCCCACTTGTTGTTCGTTCTCGCCCTCTGTATTCGTACCGCACCCCATCACGGCCGCTCTTTCTCTCCACCCACGGTCCACCACTCCGCAATTGACACCTAAGTACGCACCTCTCGGCCGGTTCGTTGTATAATACGCTCCGCACACTTCTGATCAATAATCCCGTCCGGACGCGCATCTGAGTCTTGAATCTTGATTGGGTTCACCGTCCCTCGTCTCGCTGCATCATCAGTACCAGTAATAACGCATCCCCCCATCCGACGTCGCTGCTCTGCTTCTGCGTGCCGAGCGGCCATTCCGCTACTTGTCTTGGACGCGTCGCTCAAAGCCGCGTCCGCCTCGACGCGTTCTCGTGCGCCCCACGTGACCGTTTCGAGTCCGACCGCGCTCCGTCGCGGCCGGGCTGCCACGGTAGATCTCTCCGAACTTCCCGCATCCGCTCCTCGCCCGCCGAGTTTTCAGTACGGACTTAGACAGCGGGCACCGTCAGAACAAGTCGTGCCGCCCTGTCCTCCGCACTGGGCCCTTCCTCGGCTACCCCGGGTGCCGCCCCCGTACTCTCTCCCGCCCCCCGGGGCATTTGTTCGGATAACGCCATTTCCCTCCGCTCTCTGACTCTATCCCGTTTAGTACTGCCTGTAGATTACGCCTACCATAGGGCTCTGCCCTCGAGGGCGTTAAACGAGGACGACCAAAAAAAAAAGTCGCGCCTCCGCCGTGGTGCCGCCCTCCTGCCACGTCTGTGGCCTGCCCGCGTGGCTCGGGGACGGTCGGGGGCGAAGCAGGAGCTGGAACAACTGGGACGGAGTCATAAGCACTCCAAAACCGCACTCAGCCGCTCGCGCCGCAGCTGCGGTCTACTTCAGGCCTTCGGGCCGCGTCAACCGAACGCTTTTTCAGCAGTAACAGTGGACCTGCGGAGTGCGACCCAGGGCTCCCTGCAGCAGGAGCGCATCGACGCGGAGCACAAGGTGATGCGGATACGTGAGCGAGGGAGAGGGAAGTCATGGAACGATACTGTACAGGGTGAACGTTCTCTACATGCGGGGGTGCTTCGGGGCCAACCGTATGTCCCAGACATGTCTCCAGGCGGACGCTTTACGTTCCAACCTTCTCCGTCCCAGTGACTGCCCGGCCGGCAGCAAACGCGACTTTTAGCTCGACCTGGCGAGAAGCAAGTCAGATAGGCGGCGCCCAAGCCAGACGACTTTGATACCACCCACCTTGTCCAGTTCGTCGTCCACCCTTTGCGCGAGAAGCTCATTGAAGCACTGGACATCACTCGGGGCGTGGCACAAACACGCAGGACATCCCCAAGCGTTCTTCAGTGCCTTTTGAGATGCCGGAGTCGGGAAGAAGGAGCGCACTGTCTCCCCACACGGACAACGACCAACAGCGTCGGCTAGAGAATTGATGTATTTGCACCACCACTTCTGCGCGTGGACTGCGGCAGCGTTTCCGTCCCGAAGCGCATATGAGAGGATGATAGAGCCGGGGCAACAAGACTCTGAATGGGCGTATGGCTGAGTGTTTGCCCAGACCCAAGAGCCGGAAATGTCCACTCCGTTGCCGGGGGTGCCTCCGCGAGATACCGCCATACGATGGTCCCCGGAGAGAGGCCACTGCCGATCCTGCACGAGAGCCCTCGCTTTTTTTGAACACGTCACCCTGTACACCGTCAAGTTGTGGAGCGCGATCGCGGGAATGTCATCAAATTCGGCAGGGGGGTTCTGCCGAACGTGGAATGTCGAGTCCCGGACGAGGAGTTTCGCGGACTCGCGGACGAGGTCCTCGAGACGGCGCTTGTACGCCATCGCGTAGAGGCGCAGAGGGTCGCTCACCATGAGCAGGCGCAAAGACGGGCAGAGGTTCGCGATCGCGACCGGCATGTCGTACTTGACCGCGGCGGCGAGGACAGCGTCGGCGTCGTCGAGGGAGGAGAAGGTGGGGCGCTCGACGGGGCAGAAGAGGCGGAAGAGGCCGTCGAGCGTCGTCGCGCTTTCGGTGAGGTCCACGGTTTGGGGCAGGCCGTCGTCGGGGAGGGTGAGCATGTCGCGCATGACAGAAGAAGCTTTGGCGACGATGTTCTTGTAGAGGTTGAAGAGCACCCCATCGGAGGAGCGGAAGATGATGTCGGCGTCGGCATCGTCGAAGGGCGCTCGGGGAGTGGGTTTGGAATCAGAAGCCATGACGAGGGAAGACGTGAAATGCGAGCAGGTTGGGTGCGCCGGTAAACTCGGAAGCGCGGAAGGCTCAGTCTCCTGAGCTAGATATATAGACTACAGCGATAGCTGCTGCGGCAAGCCGACAATGAGACCCGAGGGAAGGGGGATGCGAGCTGCGGTAGAAAAGCATTCTATCAATGGGAAAGAGCGAAGCTCCACCTGCGTTATGGACACGGGGCCTATATGGCACACCCCATCAGCACCACAGTGTACCGCAGCAGAAGTGCGGCAACTCACATGCACACAGCGGAGAGTCTGGTGGCAGGCGCTTCCGAGGGTGTGTATGGAATACAACTCCGTACTCGAATGTACATCAGGGGAATTGGCGAAGATTCTGGGGTAGAGTAGGGTCCGGGCGGACTGTTTGTACTGGGAATTGGCAACCTTCACTGACCAGCTTGGTCCGTCCCAGAAGTCCGTTCTTCGGAAAATGCGACTTTCAGCAGCACCTGCGACAGACAAGAGGAGCGATGTCAGCGCGCAGTAAAGCTTAGAAGTTTGTTACATTACATTCTCCAACGCCTTGTCTACTCGTTGCGCGAGAAGCTCGTTGAAAAGGACGGCATCGCTGGAGGCAGTTTGTCGTCTCGAGGCGCTACAGAACTCGCAATGTCATTGCAAGCCAACCAGCGCGCTTGCAATCCAATTAAAATCCGGTTACGAGATCTTCGGCTTGCAAGGCCGATTTGGATTTTCCGACACGCCGTAGTTTTGGCCACTTTGCTGTAGGGTTTACAGAGCGTGCTAATGACGAAAGAAATGTCGCCGTCCAGTGAACATCCAGATCCGTGTTCGCGGAGCCCGGTCCAAGTATGGTTTCCAGTGAACATCCAAGTTAGGTCTTCTGCGACCGATTTCGTGGTCGCGGCAATGTCCTCATGGTAGAGAGTCAAGTGATAAATCGCTATGGCCGGAAGAGTATGGAGCTCGCGTGGGGGTGCGACAGGGATATGGCAACGCGGGTCGCGGGCGAGCAGCTTAGCCGTTTCGCGGACTAGGGCCTCCATCCGAAAACCATAGGCCACGGCGTAAACCCTAAGAGGCTCGCTGGGCACGAGAAGCCGCAGGGAGAGATGGAGGTTGTCTACGACAGTAGGGATGTCGTACTTGTGCGCGGCCGAGAGGACAGCACACACGTCGTCCAATGATGCGAATTCTAAGCGTTTGGCGGGGTAGATGAGGCGGAAAAGGGCGTCGAGTGTCTTGGCATCTTCGGCGAGGTCCACAGTCTGCGGCAGACTGGCTTCGGGGAGGGTGAACGTGTCGCGCATGACAGAAGAGGCTTTGGCGATGATAAGTTTGTGAAGGTTGAAGAGGTCCCCATCGGAGGAGCGGAAGGTGATGTCGGCGTCGTCGTCGTCGAAGGGCGCACGGGGAGTAGGGTTGGGATCGGGAACCATGACGAGGTGGAAAGTGACAACGAAGATACGCAACTGTCGTGCTATGAGCTCGAAGCCGGGTACAGCTGGGTTTCCGGCAAAGAGAAAGGACTTACGAGAGAGATGACAGCCGGAGTCAGGGAAGAAGTTGGCTGTGGTAGAGAGGCCATCGACTCGTGAGAAGATCATGATCCAACTCTGATATGATCGTGACGCCCAACAGGACTCAGCACTACGCAGGCTGTCCAAGGTCGATCTACATGTGCGCACGTGGACCTACGTGGACACGCTTCCAGTTCGATTAGTTGGGATGACAATACATTGCTCCTTCGCATCTTCACTTCCCAGAGTCGCTCCTACGACTAGCCGGATGATAAGTTCGGTTGAACCTGCGAACATGGACAAGGTCACTTCCAAGCAAGCACGAAGAGGCGACTCGCACTGCTCACCTTGTTGACAGCATTTTCTCTCTGCGCATGAAGAGAGCTGCATCCGTGAGGCTTCGAGATCGCCCGTTTCTGGCACAGCCTACACTTCCACGCGCCAAGTTGCGGCACGTCTGTGCCCCTTGTCGGTGAAGACGTGTGTGCGCATCGTGTCACACAACGGCCGGTCGTGGACGGCGGCGAGTATCGAGTCTATGTATTCCGTCCACGATCTACCTGTCGGCACAGAAGGAGGGCCGTTGACGGTTGGGTCTCCAACGTTCGCAATGGCTCAACATGTGGCGGGCTCTCCACGCTGTTTCTCACGGACAGTGCAAGCGACCCACGCTCACGAGTCTTTCAGCTGCGAGACGGACGTGGCGGCCTTGCTGTGTTTCCCAAGGATCCACTTCTGGTCCGTAGCGGCGATGGTTGCGACGGAAATGCATTGCTTGCGATACAAGTGCGGCTCCGAGACGGTTGCAATCACGGGCACCAACGAGAGCTCCACGGGCGGGGGATTGGGGAGGTGGAACTCGAGATCGTCGAGTAAGAGTTCCGCGGCGTCACGGACGACGTCCTCTGGCTGAAGCGCGTACGCGAAGGTGTTCTGAGTTCTCGCATGAACTTGCGCAGAGCGAGGCCTAGGTAAGCCTTGACGGTCTTCACGGCATACTTGACCGATTTATCGCTGCTTGTATGACGGGAGTATCATCGTCCGTGGATGCGAGGGCTCGAAACGAAAAAAAGAGGCGGTCCGGCGTCTTCGCCTCGGCGACTCCGTTTGGCCCAGGGCGTCTATGAACACTCGCCTCCGTCGCGCACTGGAGGAAGGGCCCAAGTACCGTCGAAGCATTGCACGACGTTCAAGCGACACTTTATTCAGCTGCTGACTCTGCGGGTAAGTGAGCTCGTATACGGTATACCGATCGAACAAAGTCCATCCACCGCGACACTGCCCTGAGATGTCCAGACACCGGCGCCTCGAGCCCTATCGCCCTGTACAATGTGCATTAGCGTTCGGGGTGTAAAAGGGCACTGATTTTGAACATGTTTGCAAACAGTATCAATAATAACACGTTTGCAAACAGGTATAATTAACACGTTTGCAAACAAGACCAAGTATCAGCGCTCCGCTTCGAAGGCTCCAGTCCATGGACCATGTGCACGTCGGCGTCGTCAGCTCCCGTATCACCAAGAAATACTTCAGAACGCGGCATCTGTAGCCCCGGGCCTTCGCGCGAAACTAACCACTCGCAATCGGCGCATCCGTGACAAAGTCCAGCAACATCGCGTTACCTGCTGGCAGCTTGCCACCTCAACCCACTCCCGGCGAGCGTCGAGGACATCGGCACGCTGAGATGCACGCGTGCCACTGCTAGAGATAGTGGACTCATCTTTGTCCTCCCCTCCATTAGGCCGCCTGCCTCCGGCTCGTTGTCGTTGTCGTTGTTCTCCCAATCGTCGTCATCTGAGTCGTTGTCGTCATCGTCGCTGCCGTCTATGCCAGTGCCGGTCCCCAACGTCCAGCCGAGCCCTGGGCGCCTAGTCCCCAGGCGGTTTTCCCGTGCTGGCAGCTGCCTGCCCGTCTGCCCGCGCGCCTGCTCTCCCCCCCTACATCCGGTTCTGCGTCGTACCATCCATCGTCTTCTCGCGCCCGCCCACCACACCCTTTCACTCGTGTAGTTGTTCGCACATAGCTGCCTATTGAAATGTTTTGCATGTGCCACGGGCTATCGCCGGACATCCCAAATCGCGGCACGAGCGATCCCGCCCATCCGGCGGCTCGCTCCGCTCCGCGTCCGTGCCCGGCTCTGCCGCGCCCAGGCCCAACCCTCAAGGCCTCACTGTCCGGTGTACGCCCGCCGACCTCGTAGAGCCGTCACACCCAGCGACGAGGCTGGAGTACAGTCCCAATCCCCCTCAGCATCGACCACCAGATCTCATAGTAGGCGCGCGCTTGCCTATTTGTTTGCAAACAACTCAAAACCGGACCTTCCCAGACACGACGGGCAACGACCCAGCTTCGGAGCCCGAAAACGCGTAGAAAAAGCCCGTCAAAGGTGTCATTTTCGGCAGGCATTTTTGCAGGGGAGAAAAAGGGTGGGAAAGGCGAACTTTTATGTCAAGTTTGTGTGTGTCGTAGAGTATCCTGAAAGGTGACGTTTTGGGCGAATGTTTTGGCACGACAGAATACTGTGCTCAGAACAAAGACAATAGAATTCATTGTAAAGGCAATAGAACGTGTATAGTATGTGAGTAACAAACAAGTGAGTACGAATGATAAGTAACGCGCGTTATTGGAATGGGTACCAAAGGTCTCTTTATCGATCGTTTTCGGCCCCCCGTAAATCACACGGAGAAATTGCCCATTTTAGTGCCTTTTTCACACGCGCACAAAAGGCTGCAGAAAAGACACCTTTGACAGGCTTTTTCTACGCCTTTTCGGGCTCCTAAGCTGGGCCGTTGCCCGTCGTGAGAGGGCCATTACACACCCGTTTGTAAACAGTGTTTGCAAACGGTTATTAAAACTTTGTGTGCAATTATTTAAATACACCCCGAACGCTAATGTGCATGTGCTCACCGTCTCAGCTCACCGTCCCCTGAGTCGTGTCCGCCTCCCTCATTGTTTCACACCGCGCCTTCTGTGTATACTCGTATACTTGATGCACAAAACATATGATTAGTGATTAAAATGTATTTATCAGTAAACTACTAGACAGTGGTACTATCGAGTAATGGCGGGGCCGCGGTAGCTCGCCGCAACCCCGGAATGAGATCTCCGAGCCGGGGATGCCCAAATGGACGACCTCAGCGCATGTTGGGCATCGATAGTGCGACCGACGGGGCGGAACTACGACGTCGAGGGCGAAGTGAGGTGGAGAAAAGTGTACTCACCAAGCCAGAAAGGGTCGCCGGCACTCACGGCGACCCCGAAATGCTCAACTCCGAGCGGAGGACGTCCTCGGCATGTCGTAGGCGTCGACATGCGGACAGGCCGGGTGGGTGGAGCAGGAGGGGTGCGCGGTGGACGTGCGCATGGAGCGTCCGTGAGCGGACGGCGCAAAGGCCGTGCTCTCGACCGAGTCCGACGGGGTGCGTGACGGAGGGCGCGAAGCGGGTGAGGCGGATGAGGAGAGGACCCCAACCAGAGTGGGACCACGCTACCTATGCGACACGGCAGCAACGACCGCGCAACACGACCGCGCCGGTAGAGCGAATGGCTGTTTGGACGTTCTTGTTGTGGCCAGGACGAGGTCGGCGGCACGAGCGGGGCCTGGGGAGGGGATGACCGAGATGAGGAGGGGACTGACCGAGACGGGGTGCTGCGGCCTGCCACACGCGACCCGGAGATTCCGATCTGTGTGCTTAGTACGTCCGGGAGGATGTCCTCCCGCGTTGTGGATGTCGTGGGCGAAGGAGGACGGGACGGAGGTTGAGGTCGAGGGGGGAGTAGAGGTTGGAAGCGGCGGACACAGAGTGCCCTTGAGGAGTACAATAGCAATCAATGGTTCGGACACGTACCCTCCATCGACTGCTGAACGGGGCGTAAGGCGTGCAAACGAGATAGAGAGCAGAGAGTGTGAGAGGATGGGGCGCACCCCGGGCTTGCCGCCCACCGATGCGCGTCTCCCCGGATCACTGGCACCGAATTTCATGGATTGCCTGCGGATGGGCTATGATGACGGATGCTATAAGAAGGCTGGCACCGGGGAATTACGAACCACGTCCTTGAAGCCGGTTGAACACTGTCAAAGCACCCATGCTGCGCTGTGAACGGCGCGTCAGCGACTTCGTCAGTCCTCGGATCCGAGCTTTCGCTGGGGCTCGCTTTCGAGCGTAGGGCCGCGTATAAAGGCCCGCATGCCATACAACAGTACTCCAGCATACTACACTCAACGTCTTCACTCGCACACATCTCAGCAACTTCCAATCGAGCTTGAACATGTCCACCGTCAAAGTTAACACCAACATCAAGGCCACCGCGGTAATCATCGGTGGAACGGGCCTCATCGGTGCGCACAACTTCGCCGCTTTGTCCGCTCTACTCACTCTTCCTCCAGGCATCTGGATCTCGAAGGCCTTTCTCACCGATTTCCGCTCTGCCTTCCCTACCGTGCGCATCACGACTCGTGATGTTAACTCCCCTAAGGCCCGCGAGCTTGCCGCACTCGGCGCCGAGCTCTACTCCTTCGACGACTCGCTCGACGCCGTCCTGAACGGCGCGGACGTCGTCGTCAACACGCTCCCGACCCACATCCCCGCCACGGACGGGAAGAAGATAATCACAGCGGTCGCAGCGAGCGCCGCGAAGGTGTACTTCATGAGCGAGTTCGGCGGGTGAGTGCATCCCTCCCACCCGATCCCAGACGGCCTCGCTCACCCGACGCTGCTCTCTCCGGCAACAGCGACTACGCCCTCAACGACTTCCCCGGGTACGAGCACGCGGAGTGGCAGGTCAAGCGCGAGATCGCCAAGGACACGCACGCCGCCATGCCGGACAAGAAGGTCATCGCCCTCATCGCGGGCCTCTTCCTCGGCGCGTGCTTCAACTCCCCTTACGGTGCGCGCGGGGACCCCCACCCTGCTACGCTCGCTCACGCCCGCCTCTCCCCACAGCGCCGCTGATGGGCCTCGACGTCAAGGGCAACGCCTACCGGTCCCTCGGGCCCGCGACGACCCGCTTCACCGCGTCCGCGGAGATCGACGTCGGGCGCGCGGTCGCGCGGCTCGCGGTCCTCGCGCTCGACCCGGCGACCGCCGCGCGCGTGCCGGGCACGGTGCGGCTCGCGCCGAACACGACGTCGCTCGCGGAGCTTGCGGACGCGGCGGCGCGCGTGCGCGGGGTGCCGCGGGGCGCGGTCGAGGAGGAGGACCTCGGCGCGTTCAAGCAGGCGCTGAGCGAGAGGCCGGCGGACTACAACCTCGGCGACTATCTGAGGTGAGTGGGCAGGTGGGGGGTAAGAGGGAGGCCGGGGACGAGGACGCTGATGAGAGGCCGCAGGGTGCTCCTTGGGGAGGGGAAGCTCGACTTCTCGGCGAACAACGACAACGAGCTGATCAACCCGGGGCAGAGCCTCTGGAAGTGGAAGACGGTTGAGGACGAGATCCGTGAAGTCGCGTGAAGGCTTTAGGGCTCTATCCGTATTGTTGGACTCGCTTCTTGGGCGATCCTTTGCTGATTATGTAACTTTACACTCACGAACATGAATGGCGGAGAAACATATGGTTGTGAGAGTCGCCATGATTCCCCCTTCGGCGACTTCTTCGCAGAGACACAAACACCGCGGATAATAGTGGGCGATCCTACGTCACTGTGGCTGAAGCGATTTGAGGTCAGGACCATGCGAGCAAGCTTCAATCAGAACCCTGCGGGCTGGACCGCCTCCCAATCCAGCCTCCAGTCAGCCTCACCTGGGACGCTGGACGCTCATCCAAAGACTCAATTGGGAACCTCTCGTCGAAAGTACCCCCCGTGTTTTTTTTCTTTTCCACCATGACTCCCCTTAACATCACTTCCACTCAGGACTCTCTCGTTTCGCTGCCGCTGGCTGGTATCGAGTCTCTGGCACCCACGAGCTCCACCTTTCTCGAAGGCACGCTCGCCACCATCGCTCTATGCCTGTTCGTCCACGCCGCGCCCAACATCGTCGAACGATTCTTTCCCCGCGCCAGACCCGGGAGAGGCGGTGGGCTGGACTGGGAGGCAGGTGACAAATCGGGCGTTCCGGGTGAGGAAGGCTCGGACGAAGCCAGCGAGGAGACGATCCGGGAGCTGCGGTGCGAGCTGCAGGACGCGCGCGCGCGGACGTCCAGGATGCGCGCGGAGCGTCCGTCGCTCGTCTCCCGCTCCAGCACTGACACCGCCCCGCGGTCGAGCCAGGTGTGCAGATCTCCGTTGCGACCCTCTCTGGTCGCATCCGACTGATGCAGGCTGTCTTCCGATGCACTCTTCTGCGCCCGTTATGCAGGAACTCCGTCGTGGCACTCGGCTTTCCATAACACTCTCCCTCTTCCCAGCCCAAGACGCGCCGCACAACCCCCCGCGGCCCGTGTCGCACACCAAGCCCAAGGCTCGCCCTCCCCGCCGCCCGCTCCTCTGCACCTCCCTCCTCGCGCCCCCCAGCACCCCAAAGCACGCCGCGCCCGTCGACTACGAGCCCGTCGGGTACTCCCCGTTCCTCCCCCAGGGGCTCCTGCCCGACGGTCCCGTCGAGCCCGTCGCCTCCTGCACGCTCTTCCCGTCGGAGTTCCGCGCGCACGTCGAGCGCGTGAGTGCGCTCGCGCGGTCCAGTGGGGACGTGCGCCGCGAGAAGCAGGAGGTCATCGCGCAGGCGACGCGCGAGTTCCAGCGGTCTGCCAGTGCCCCGTAGGAGGGACTGAAGGTGCGTTTCGACGCTGCCGGTCGTGCGACGCGTCCACTGACCGTCTGGCGTTCTATTAGTGCGAGCTGCAGAAAAATGAGGCCGGTCCTTTCGAGGGAATCGTGACTACGCTCCGCGGGAGCAATCAGATCCGCTTTCTCGTGTTGGATGGATTCGTGTTTTCTGGTCATGGACTTTGGGGCACGTTGGAAGGACTTTGGATTTCGGACTTCGTGTTCATGGACTATTTGGACTTGGGACTTCCCGTGTAGATTGCGATACTTAGCAGTGGACGTTGACCGGTGACCTCTCACGACATGTTCGACCTTGCTTCGACATGGAAAAAAAATCCGTCCAAGTTATGATAGCCATTAGAATATCAGTAGGGCTAAATATCCAAGTGAAAGCTTGATGCAGAGCACAGTCTCCTCCTCCTCTCCGAACCACTCACGGAAGCAGCATGAAGCGCGCGAGCAGCCTGGGGAAGTTGATTGTCCCCAGCCCCGTCACCGGATCCCACCCATGCGTCGCGTTGAACGCCCTATCGCGCTCACAGCCGCTGTTGAACCCCTCCGTGATGTCGTGGAACGCGTCCGCGAACAAATTCGAGTAGATCTGCACCCACATAATCCACCGTCAGCATCTCTTGCCCAGTCAACGCACGCGCGCGGCGGTCCGCACTCCACACTCACCGCCGGGTTGATCCACCCCACCGGCCCCTTGCCCGCCGCGCGCCGCGCGTCGTTGATCGCGGCGACCATCGCGCCCACGATCGGCGTCGACGCGGACGTGCCGTAGAAGCGCTGGTCGTCGCCGTCGTCGACCGCCGCGATCGGCCACCCGTTCGCGGAGAGGTCGGGGATCGCGCGCCCGGAGCGGTTGTACACGCCCGCGCCGTACGCGGGCGCGTGCTTGGCGAGGTAGCCGCCCACGGCGCGGTGCTGCCAGCGCGGGCGCGGGAAGACGTTCGAGAAGCCGCCGCCGGAGGTGAAGTCGTTGGAGGCGAGGTAGACGGCGCGTTCCGGGTCGGAGGCCTGTGGAGGTGGGGTGAGGTGGGTTGGAGGGGGTGGGGCGAGTGGAGGGGAGACGTACCGATTTTCCTGCAGGAACCTGCGTGGCGCCGACGGCGGTGATGTAGGGGCAAGTCTGGGGGAAGTTGGGGAGGAAGTTGCCCTTGCCGACGGCGTAGCCGAACGAAGAGTCCGTCTTGCAGTAGTTCTGCACGTTCGAGGCGACTCCGCTATCCCCAGAGGCGAACAGGAACGTCGCGCCCATCAAGCTCAACTGGATTCCACGATCGCCAACATCAGCATAAGCAAAGAGGGCAGAGAAACAGACGATTTTCGCACTTTGCCGAACTCATCGCACTGGCGTTGCAGCGTCCGCGAGTTGCCAAGCTCAGGGCCGGCATAGGACACGGAGACAACGTACGACAGCGGCGCGGAGCCGCAATTGTCGAACTTTGAAGAGCTGTTGGAGCAGTATGTCGTGTCCCATCCGTTGAGCATCTCTTCCCAAGACCCCCCTACAACGATCCAGGGTAAGCGATAGACTCGATTGCAAATCGCGCAACGACTCACCCCCACCCACTTGGTAGAGCTGCGTCGACTGGTTGCCACCAATCAGTCCCATGATGAGCTCGAAATCGAGGTTGGATTCGCCGATGAGATTGATGTTAGTCTCCGACGCGTTGATCTTTCCTGTTTGAGACTTTTGAGCGACTGCAAAACTTGGCGACAGGCCCATGTGCGCTCACCCCCGTTAATGCTGTTGAGTACAGGGCGTTGACCAACGACGTCCGGCGCGTACTTCTTGAAGAAGATGTCGAGATCCTTGGGGGTGTATGTCTGGGTGGTCAGTTCCACTGTCAACAGGTTAGCATGTTTGAACTCTACACCAGGCCTCAGACGCGACGCACCGACACCGACAGCGTTCAGATGAGACGCCCCAGAGCCGACCGTCTCCAGCGGCGCCTGGAACTCATATTCGAAGTCGTACAACTTGCGCAGACAGTCAAGCGTCACAAGCTCGTCGCACCCGTCCGTGCTGTTCGAAGAAGACTGGGAGAACGACGAGCCCTGAGAAGAGCATCAGCACGCGCCCGCCCCCACCTCCCCCACGACCCTCGACCGACGTACCGTGTGCCCGAGCTTCCGCATCGGCGACCGCACCGGCCCCATGCCGTCCATCCCCCCGTCACGCCTGCGCACCGCCGCGCCCGCCTCCTCCAGCTGCGCGCGCGGCTCGACGACGTTCACCGTTGGGCTGACGACGTCCACGTGCGCCGCCACGTCCTCGGGGAGGAGGTACCCGTGGTGCGCCGCGACGCTCTCCGCGCCGCTGCCGTCGTGGCGGTAGACGAAGTAGCGCGCGGCGAGGAGCCGCTCCGCCTCCGCGACGCTCACGTCCGCCTCGACCGTGCCCCCACGCACGCGCGCGGCGGCGACGCCCTCGGACGCGAGCCACGCGCGCACGGCGGTGAACGCGGCGTCGGACGGGCGGAACGCGGCGGCGACGTCCGCCACGGACCAATGCTGGCCGTACGAGGGCGAGGAGGGGTCAGCGATGGCGAGGAGGAAGGATTCGAGCTGGTCGATGTTCTCCTGGCGGAGGGCGATCGAGAGTGGGATGCGCGTGTCGGGGTCGGCGCGCCGGTGGAGGGTCCAGCCGTGCGGGAGGGAAGACGGGGGTTCGTGCTGGACGCGACGCTGGAGAGGTGTGAAGGCAGCTACGGGAGAGACCAGTGAGGTTGTGAGCCCGATAAATAGCCAGAATGAAGAAACAAGCATCGCGAAGAATCAAAAGGGAAGAAGAATAGACAAGGAAAACGGGAAGGAGTCAGGGACACTATATAGCTCGCCCCCGCCTATGAGCAGAGGCACGCAAGCAATATCCGCTGGCATCGCCAAGAATCTCAAACGCGCCCGTCCGAGGTACATCACCGCCCCGTCACTGGCGGTCTGTCCGCGCGAGAGCGACTTACGGGAAGCGCCGCCCGAGCGGCGGTGAATTTGACATATTTCGATCAGCGGCAACAAGCAGCGTCAACGCCTAGCGCATCCTGTGTGGTGAACCGATGCTTTCCCCGAGAACGAGCACGTTATTCATCCGGCTGCTTCGGATCAATAAAACCCGGCGAGTGAGACCGTCCTGCATTCGGCAAGCTTTCAAGAACGAATTTCAAGAACAAAAGTTACGAAGCACAGCATTCCAGTAGGCCGTTCCTGACAACGCTGTGAGCAAGATCGACATATGCCAGGTGCTTTATGGGACAGGATAGTACATACCCGGTACCCCTCAGTTTTTGCGTTTGAAGAGATAGTGCCCTACCCCCCATCTATCCAGGTCAATGAGCAGAGCCGCGCTGAATGTGAAGCTAGGACACTGACTCTTGTCCGTCATTCATGGCAAAGAACTCCGCGACCGTGAGGTAAAAGACGCGCCAGCTTTGCACAGGTCAATTTTCCCGACTAAAGCGGAGTCGCGAAACCGACATACCGGTTGAATGCTATCCGACCCTCCGACTTGTCGAACCCCTGTGCTACGGCATCCTTCTCAAGCTCCGAAATACCGACTTTGGCGTTCGCGTCTTGAATCTCGAGCCAATGCTCAGACGTCCGCCCATAGTGCTTGCCATTGATGAACCAGCTGCGTATATGCGTCAAGTCGTCCTGGAAGTATAGCTTATACCACCAGTCGGAGCCATGAGCAAGGTTGTGTATAGACTTGATGTCATCAACTCACCATAAGATCGTGTGACGGCATGGTTCCACCTGTATATGTATCAGTGACTGAGACCAAGCGCGTATGGTGAGTTCAGCGCACCTGAAAAGAACATCCTGGCCATCCATCCATCACCAAGTTCAAAGTGATACGGTATGCTTTTGTGGCAGAATATATGCAGGAAGAAGAGAGACTCCTCTGTCCCGTTGGTGGGACGCAGCCAGGAGGCCACCTTTGACATGAGGGCTTTGTAGTTCTTCATATGTTCGAACATCTTCAATTAGACGTATGAGCTAGTGAGACACTCCGCTCCAGCAAAGATATGTACCTCGATGGAGAAAATGCGATCAAAGCTACTGGGACGTTAATAGCAGTTCCAAGGTGGGGGTAAGGAACTTACGCTCGTGAACCATTGAAGTCAAACGTGTTGACATCCGCAGTGATGATCTAAGGACACATCAAGCCTGTACCTCAGTGTGAGCAAAAGAAACATACCTCGAGGTTGGTGAGGCCACGTTCTTTTGCTTTGCGGTCGATGTACTCCTTTTGGGTGCGCGAGTTGGAGAGTCCGGTGATTTTTGACTTGGGATACTTTTGCGCAAGATAAAGGGAGAGACTGCCCCAACCTTGAACAGGAGTGAGATCATGAGAACTCACAGGGGAATGACGACGCACCACATCCCAAGTCCAAAACGTCTAATCCGTCCTTCATGGACGCTTTCTCGCAATAACTCTCCATCATCAGAACTTCTGCCTCCGCCAAGGTCTCCTTGCCGGTGGGGTAGAGACAGCAGGAGTACTTGGCGCAGGGTCCCAAACAAGATAGCATGAAGTCCGTGGTTACCTGTGCAAGCTTCATGAATTGTGTTGGGGGTCCAAGGACAACGACGCTTACCTCGTAGTGTTGCTCATTCGCTTTCTCTGGCAGAATGGCAATCTTGGGCATGTTGCGAACATCTTCTATCCACTTCATCCTGGCGGCATAGTTTTTCTCGAAAGAGCCATGGTCGATTTCGCGCAACCTCTGGCGAGAGAGGGCCCTAATGGCCAGCCTGAGAACGGGGTCGGGGATGAGACCCTGTGAAGGATGAGTGCCTGTTCAAGCCCTGTTGGCGACAAGCAAGGAGGGGATGTCACACCTTGTCGAGCAGACTGTAGCTAACCTCGAGGATCCGGTCGGTGGTGCGGTCGGCGAAAGAGGGCATAGCGGTGTAAGGCGGAAAGCAAAGGTGGAGGAAGGAGGGATGGTGGTGGTGGGTGAGAAGGAGAAGACGTGGTCGTCATCGCGGACGTGATGCCCGCCGCCGAGGTCGCCATCGCGGTGTGCGGCGCTGCGATTGGAGACAGCGACGGGCGCGATCCCAGGCTAGTAGTCGACATTCCGTGGAAAGTCGCCAAAGAGGCCACCATCCGAACAGCCGGCCAGGGCACCGACTCACCGAGGTCCGACGAGGTGGACGCGTCGCGTTTGCACCACGTGACCGCATGAATCGCCGACTCTCGACCCCCGTCGCGCGCGGCGCCACTGCCAACGGTTGACCCTTCCACTCGCGTGCCCCGCTCGTGTGCCCCTCCTCCATCCTCTCTGCGCCCGTCGCTCCCATGCCTTGACTGTTGACCGCTCCAGCCATGCACGGCGTGAAGCAGCTCCTCCGGCACTCGAGCCGCGGTGTCGCCCTTGACCGCTACTCCACTATCCGCACTTTCTTCAGGCAACAGTCCATCCCGGCTTCCCCTGCACCCTCAGTCACTCTCCGATTTCGCCTGTCGTTGCGCTCGCCTACCACACAATGCGTCCGACTCTTCTCCATCCGCGCACCCCTCCAGGACTCTCACAGCCAGCAGCCTTCCAGCCCACAGCCCCAGCAAGACGTGAACAAGCCCACGTCCTCAGAGAAGGAGAAGGACCCGTCACAACACAAAGACTCTTTAGAGCACCTCGGCCTCGAACACTATCCTCCGTTCTTCCGACAACTGGCTCTGTCACTCCCCCATTTGCAGAGACCGACTCGCGAAGACTTCCTTAAGGCTGCGAACGGGTTTTGGCAGAGGGCACGGATCCGCTTTCGATGGCTCACCATACGGTCCTTCCGACGGTACAATGCGGACGAGATTGGAGCGTTCTTCACTTGGTTCCTCATGAGCCAGACTCTATGGCTGTTTGTCGGGACGTGAGTGACCGATACTTGTTCCCTTTCGTCCGACTCTGACCATTTGTCCAGGACAACGTTTTTCTCCGTGGTATTTGCCATAGCAAATAGTCTCAGTCTCCAGGGTATGTCCCATCCATGTGATTGCTCGCGCGAGTTCTCATTCCATCTCCCGTCTTGGCGTCGCGAATCAAACGTTCAGAGTACATTGCACGCGCAATCAGCGACTACCTCACTTCTGAGACTGGGATCACCATCATCTTCGAGTCTGCAATTGTCCCCAAATGGCGTGACTCGCGCATCTCTTTCAAGAACGTCTTCATCACTCGTCGCCCGGACAACGTCCGCTTGCGACAGAAGACACTCGAGGGATTGGGACACTCTGTTGCTGCGGGATACGACTTGAGCAACCATCCGTCCTACCATGTTCGAAGCGACGAGGAGGAAGACGATGAAGTGGACGACTTTTGTGACGAAGACACGAACTACTCCATGTTCGACTTGAATGTTGACTCGATAGACGTGACGCTCTCGTTTGCACAGTGGTTTGAAGGCAAGGGACTGGTGGTGGATGCAGTGATAAAGGGTGTTCGTGGCGTGCTAGGTGCGTTACCCCTTGCTTTCTTGCTGTCCCTCAACTCACTGGGCTTTAAAAGACCGTCGGCACGTTTCGTGGGATCCTGACCATCCATGGGATCCCGCTGAGTACCGCCACAAAGCGCAACCTGGAGATTTCGAGCTCGAGTCACTGCAAATAGAAGACCTCCTCTTGACCGTGTACCAGCCCAGTCACTTCCGCCCGTTTACCGCCTCAATCTTCCGCGCCGACATCCGCACATTCAGGAAGCAGTGGGCGTTCTACGACTTCCTGCGCGCTGAGAACGTCGTTGGCCAGTACGACAACTGCTTGTTCAGCCTACACCGCCCGCAGAGCATCGGGCGAACGACGGACCAGGACTTGAAAGATGGCAAATGGAGCCGTATGGTAAGTGCCGCCAGCTCGTCGTTAAGGATACACCCGCATTAACCCCCTCGTCCAGTCCCGCTTCCGCATGGATGGCCTCAATATCGACCATTTGCAGTCTATGTCCACCTCCGGGGGGCCATTCTCGTGGCTCACCTCCGGCAAGGTCGACGCCGTCTTCGACATCAAATTCCCCCGCGACCCGTCCGAGGGTCCCGCGCTGAACGAGCTTCTCGGTGAGCTCGCAGACCGCCTTGCGGACCGCCTTGCGGACCGTCTGGCGGATCACATTCCTGGAACGCGGGAGCTCGCCAAGCCGCCGCTACTCGCACCATCGGATGAGGACGACGAGCAGATCGAGGGCGACGACAACACGCCGAAAGTCGTCGTCGACATCGACCTGCGCTTCCGTGACCTAAAGGCTGTCGTGCCTCTGTTCACGAGCGACCTCAGCTACGTGAACAACGCGCTCATCCGCCCTATTGTGGCTTTCATGAAGTAAGTATCTGCTCCTTCATTAATATCTCGTATGCTTATTGTGGTTCCAGTGCCAACCGGACCCTTATCCCTATTCGTTGCCGCGTTGTCCAAGACCTTGATAACTTCAGTGGTTGCTGGACGATGTGGGAGACGGGTCTCATGGACGTCATTGCCATGAAGGTCAGTGCTGTTCAGGTCAGCACTCCAAGACATACGCTCACAGGTTGTTGTTAGGTCTATGAAGCGATGGCGTACCACGTCACACAAGCTAACTTCCAACGACGCGTGCGTGCAGTAGGCGCATGGAGTCTCCAGATGACCGCGAGCGCACTCATGTCAACCCTGCGCACGCTTCTGGACCCCATGACCACGCGTCTGCGCGAAGTGTACGAAAGCAGGACTGCCGCCTCTGAGGTGCCTCTCGGCTTCCCGCTCCTCCACCAAGTCATCCTAGCCCCATGAAACGTATATTCAAAAGTATTGTACGTGCATACCTAAAGCAGATATCAGGCTCTAAATTTGTGACCACCGCGCTTCCGTGCACCCTTGTCCTTTCCGTGTAACGACATCTCACGACTATCCCACATATACGTACACACTCATTCTAACTTCGCCTCTCTCATATGCGCTCTACACGTACACGCGCCCCTGTTATATAGAAGTCATTTCTCGTAGCGCTTCATCCAGTGTGCGAGCGCGATCCCAGCGCGCACGCGAAAAGCATCGCCACAACCCAGAGGTATCCTCCTAAGAGATGCCGCGAGGCCGACAAAGCAAACAGCGGGCTTCAAGGCGGACACAGGTCAGACGACTGGTCCTTCCGAGCCCGGAATCCGAAGGCGACGTACCTGACGACAACGGGCCCGGCCGTCGCCGCGAGCGACTGTAGCAGCTCCGCGATCCCGTTCGCGGTCCCGAGCGACGCCGACCCAGGCGTGTGGTCCTTCGTGAGGATCATCACGATCCTGCCGCGCCCCGCGCGGCGCCGTCGGTGTCAGCTTCGCCCCTGAACGGGGTAGCGCCCCCACTGCGGCACGCGGACAAAACAGAACACTCACGAGAACGCGAGGCAGCCGAGCCGCGAGAAGAAGAGCGCGGCGGCGACTGCGGCCCACGTCTCCCCGCGTCCCGTCGATGAGGAGCGTGCAGCGAGCGCGGCGAGGGGCAGCGCGGCGAACGTGAGCGGCCAGGCGTACATCGTCGCGGCGAGCGTCGCGCGCGGACCGCGCGCGCGGAGCACGGGCGGGAGGGAGAGCTTGAGCGGGATCGAGGCGAGGCCCATCGCGGAGAGCGCGTGGCCGATCTCGGAGGGCTGGGGGCGTCGTCAGTGGCATGCGCGCAGCGGAGGTGATGATAGAAAGGAGAAGGAGGAGGAGAGGAGAGAGGGGGGAGATGCACGGAGAGCGCGAGGCCGCCGTCGGCGAGCGGGGAGTAGGCCATGAGGACGAAGACGGTGGTGAAGGAAGCGCCAAAGAAGGCGAGCACGCCGTTGGCAGCGAAGACGGCGCGGAGCGCGGGGATTGAGAGTAGCTGTGGTACGGTGAGCGGCCCGAGTGGCTCTGCTGGGGGTACTGAAGGGACGGGGAGGAGGGGAGCTTCTGGGTCGGAAGGTGAGGTCGCGGATGGTTTAGTTGGTGTTCGCTTGCTAGGTAAGGTCTAGAAATCGGTAAGCTGGAGAATTCACGACAGATGAAAGAGAAGGAGCATACCTCGTTCAGGACGAGTACAGCCAACAAGGCACCTCCTACTGACAACAGGGCAGATACCAGGCAGGGAAGCAGGTAAGGGTATGTGCACCAAAGTGGACTGGAGAACAGTGCCGGCCACTTGTCCGCGGGGCTCTCGAGCGAGCCTCCGATCAATGGTCTGTACGCAACATGTCAGAAGTGAAGGCAAGTGGGAACCACAGAAATTGTAGCCACCCCATCGTGAAGCCCACAGCTGAGACGATGTCGTACAGCAGAAAAGCCAGTGTTTGGTTCGTTTCATCGGATATTTCCCCAACGACGGAGTGGATCGCCCCGGTGATCCCGTACACGAACCCGGCTGCAAGTCGTTAGCAGGATTCTCCGAGGTTTCAAGAAAATGACGCACCCAACAGCCTGTTCACCAGCAGAGTGGAGAGTGAACCCGAGAATGCTAGAAGCAGCGTGAAGAAAGCAGTCCCTGAGGTGCCGAGGGCAATGACGGGTATTCTTCCAATTTTGTCTGCATGACTCGTCAGACGAACAGTCTAAATCGTCGGGGCAGATAATTACCAGATGTTCGACCCCACACAAACATGCCCACGAATTGCGCTGCATGGAATGTACTGGTCTGAACGCAACTCGTTCTCAGTACACTAGAAACAATGGAAGCCACATAGACATACCGCCCAGCCACTGTAGTAGCCCGTGTCCGCTCCCGCAGAAGCAGCGAGCTTACCGATGAACACGTTGACGTACGGGAGCACTTGTGTGAGCGCGACGGGCAGCGTGAGCTTGATGGCGCATATCACAAGGAATTGGGACTTTGGAAGAGGGTTTACCCTCTTCCTCTCGCTCTCAAGGAGTGGTCGACGCTCCTGGGATGTTTCACGTGGAGACATGGACCGGAATGAGTATGGTGTCGAGGTCGCTAAGCGGGAAGCGAGGTCGGGGTAGACGTGGTCGCCAGTACTCATGAAGAAAGACAAAGACCACCAAGGTCAGAGCGAAATCCGCCGCAGAGTCGGTAGAGGTCAATGACGACAAGGAACGGGCAAGCGCAGGAGGCGAGGCTTACCAAGTGAGAGTCGTATGTATATGACTTCTTCTGTCAAGCACGCACGTCGCGTTCTGCATGACGCCATGCCAGCATCTGAAACAACGTGAGAACGCTAGGCTGCAGATGCTGAGTATATCACTCCAGCCACACCGAGCGCGGCCACACTGAGGAGTGTGGAAATCCACAAGCGCATAAGCACCCGTTTCGCCAGTCGGCATCGCTGCAACTAAGGGCAAAAGGGGCGAAAGAAATGAAGAAAAGAAAAAATGCTGTGCCGCGTCAGTGATTTGTCAGGATGACGAGTATCGCGTAGAACACAACAGAATGAGAAATAATGCGCCATCGAAGACCACTGGAAAACGGAATCCCGCCCGTTGAAAGAATTATGCTGACGCACACGCACTGTATTGTCTAGTGGTCACACTTCCGCATCCATTGGGCCACCCAAATCCCGGAGCAAGACGCAATAACCATAAATACCACCCACAAATACCCGCCCATGAGGTGCTTCGACGCGGATATGGCGAAGAGTGAGCTTGTCGGCCAGCCAAGATCAGTCTAAATAATGATGTCGCAACAAATTCGAAACTTCCTCACCTGACCACACTAGGTGCAAACGTCATCGCTAGTGATTGCAACACCTCGGCGATCCCGTTTGAGGTACCCAAGGAGGCCGATCCCGGAGTGTAATCTCTGGTGAGGATCATAACCACCCTATTGTTGCACGTCGTTAGGAACATAGCGGAGATACTCATGCCCAATACGCACCCAAACGCCATGCATCCTAGTCGCGAGAGGAACAGGGCCCCGGCGACCATTGTCCACTTTGTCTCTGCCGTCCCAACGCGAGCGGCCCACGCGGCCAAGGGAAGCGCAGCGAACGCAAGCGGCCAAACCCGCATACACCACGCGAAGACGGAGAGCGTACCGCGTGCGCGGAGAACAGGAGGCAGGAGGAGTTTGAGGAAGATCGACACGAATCCCATGGCAGAAAGCGAGCTTCCGATTTGAATTGGCTAGAGTATAAGAGAATGTCGGTGACATAGAGTTCAGAATGGCTCAAGACGACGTACAGAGAGGGCGAGACCGCCTTGGTCAAGAGGCGAATACGCCATCAATACAAAAACGTTATTGAAGCATGAACCAAAGAAAGCCAGGGCGCCGTTGGCTGCGAATGCGGCACGAAGACGGGTATTGAGATAAGCTCCTTGACGCTCATGGGTTCGGCAGCGGCAGGTTGGTTGTTGGGCACAGGTGACGTTGAAGGGGACAGGAGTGCGTCGAGCTCTGATGGTGGAATAGCCTCGGGCTTCTTCTTGCTGGGAGAGTCTGCAAATGATTGAGCTCATGTGCCACTGTCAGGTGTAGTGTAAACCATCACCTCTCTGAGAGCGAATACAGCCAGAAGTGATGCCGCTGCGGACAGAAGAGCAGAGACCATGCTGGGAAGAAGATACGGATAGGTGCGCCACATGGGCTCGAGAAAGTGTCTGGCCACTTATCAGCGGGACTCTCCAACGCTCCTCCAATGAGTGGACTACAGCATCTCATCAGTAATGCGTCTATTGAACAGTATTGAGCCAAAGGCATACCCGATGACGTAGGCCACTGCGCTGACGACGTCGTACAAAGGGAAAGCGATGGACTTGTTGGTGTCGTCGGAGAGCTCACCAACGACCGAATGTATAGCCCCGGTGATCCCGTAGAAGAATCCGGCTTCGAGATTGAACGTCAGTTCAGCTACGACTCACAGTCAATCTTAGCTTTACCTAGCAGTCGGTTGATAAGTACACCGGAAAGCGACCCCGAGAAGCCAAAGAGCACGCTGAAGAGAGCGGTTCCCGACGTCCCAATGGCGAGTACCGGTACGCGTCCGATACTATCTGCAGAACACCTCAGCGACCTATATGCTGAAGAGGTATGTCGAGAACACACCAGAAAGTCGCCCCCAGATGAACATGCTTACGAGCTGGGCTCCGTAGTATACACTGTGCTGCATCCAAGGCAATCAGTTTGGTATTCGTAGCAACAATAATAAGTGACTAGGCACACCGCGAGTCCGCTATAGTAGCCGGTATCGGCGCCTTCAGAGGCGGCAAGGTTTTGGATGAATACATTGAAGTATGGAAGGACTTGTGTTTGTGCGATCGGGAGAGTGATCTTGATAGCATAGACGACGGCGAGTTGAGCCTTTGGTAATGGGGTACGCGGTTTTCTAGGGGTATCCAGAAGTGGTTGCTGTTCGTCGGAGGACATGGTAGGAATCAAGGGTGTTAGGAATGCTCTCGAGCATATGGCAGAATGCGAAGGTAGCTACACAAACAGTACTCTACAAGCCCCGGTGAGAGGCGACAGCGGCGTTGTAAGCACCGTGGAGGTGAGATGAAGACGACTGTGGCCTCGTAGCACCTCGACTGCGTGACGTCTGCAGGCGGTGGTGGTGAAAGACAAGAGGCCTGACAGAAGTTGGTCATCCAGTGCGATACAACAAGCGCGGGCTGCGGTCCGCTGCCCCTAACCTCGACGTCGCGGTCGGCTCTCAGCGGGTTGCGCGCAGACAGAGCTGCGCCCGTCCCTTCTCTCCTTCTACCACCATGGCCGACTACACCAATCCTCCGCCGCCGTATCCCGGCCACTCTGGCAAGGCCGCGCCCCCGGGCTATGACATGGAGGCTACCCAGCCGCTCTTGGCAAGCCACAGAGCGGGCATGTCTGGTGCAGGGGCCATCTACCACCAGCCCCCGCTAGGTGCGATCCCTGACGACTTCCTGGTGCGTGTTTACGATGATACGGATTTTTCGAAGCTTATGGTCTACCTTTAGTATGGCGCCACAGTCGCGGAGTGTGCTCTTCACATCCGCCATGAGTTCGTGCGGAAGGTGTACACCATCCTGTGTGAGTAGTCCCCCCAATCCCCCCGCGCGTCCCCTCATCACTCGCGCGCATCTCCGCAGTCTGCCAGATTGTGCGTGCACAGGTTCTCTTCTTGTTTGACTGCCGTTCATGTCCGGTGCAGGTAGCGACAACAATCGTTGCCGGATTCATCTCCAAGTCGGAGGGCGCGGTCATGTGGGTTCTTGAGAAGTATGCACTATACCCCATCTGCTTCGCCGCCTCGTTCTCACCTGCCTCATAGCCATGGTCATTCTATGTACCTCTGTTTGGAACCCTCATCAACCTCGGTCTCCTGTACTGGCAACGCCACAATGTCCCGCTCAACTACATCCTCCTGTCCACGTTCACTCTCCTCGAGGCGTTCACCCTCGGGATCATGACGGCATTCTTCGATTCCGAGATTGTTCTTCTGGCACTGTGAGAATTCGTGTTACTGAGAGTGCACGTCGTCCCTGGTTGGACTTACACTTTTCTAGGCTGATCACCGTTGGTATCTTCTTGGGCCTAACGTTGTTCACTCTTCAATCGAAGGTAACGTTTTGCATGCAATGGTTTGTGCTGTATCTGAACGTCGCCCCCAGTATGACTTCTCCGGGATGGGAGCATGGCTCTTCGCTGGTCTCATTGCCCTCAGTACGTACCTTAACGAGTTCTCCGCGGTCCTTATCACTCACAGCCTTCATAGTGATGACCGGTATCGTGGGCATGTTCGTCCCGTTAGGCAACACCATGAACCTCATCTATGCCGCCGGAGGGTGCCTGCTCTTCAGCGGCTATGTCATCTACGACACCTATATGATCACCAAGAGGCTGTCGCATGACGAGTACATGGCTGCGGCCATCAGCCTCTACCTCGAGTGAGCCGTCTCGCTCGCAGCCTTTACCCTTGCTAATAGCATTCTTCGCGTAGCTTCATCAACCTCTTCATCAACATTCTGCGTCTCCTGAATGGCATGAACCGTGACTGAGGCTGCATCTGAAGGAATTGATGATGCTTTTGGATAGTAGTTGCTTCTTGGACTGCTTTGTGTCTCGTATGATCTTCTGTAGTTCACTGTATTTGATAATGGAACCCACTCTTCTGTCGTTCACCGTCCTTGAGCACAACCCACTGCCACGGCACTGTTGTTTGCGTGCACCTTTGTGACCAGATCTCCCCGACGAAGTGGAACGAGGGCACAGCACAAGAATATAATAAAGCAAAGCAACACAGCGATCGACTTTAAGATTCCACCAGTCGAGGTAAATATACGAATACAGTAAGCACGCATCCATGTTAAAATCTCTAATATTATCACCCTCCGAGACCCTCGTCCACTCAACACAGCTCCCGCCCGTCCGTTAAACCGCCGCCGAGGCGACGCCAGGCGTCCCGGATCTTGTTCAGCTCGTCTTCGACCGTCTTGAGCTCCTCCGCGAACGCGTGCGCGACCTCGGGCATCAGGCTCTCCGGATCGACGTCCATCACCGTCTCTTCCCCGCTGCGGCCCGCGTTGATGTCCGCCAGCAGCCGCGCGGCCGTGTCCCGCAGGAGCTGGTGCCGCTCGCAGAGAGCCGTGTACGCCGCGTGGCACACGCGCCAGTACTTGCGCAGGTCGGGCGAGTTGCACGGGAACGGCCGCCGGGGGGTGAAGCGCGCGAAGGACTTCACCGGCTTTGCGCGAGGGGGCGCGCCGTCGGACGACGCGGAGGAGTTCGCGGTGGCGGCCGGAAGGAGGGGTCGTCGTCCCCGTCGGCGTCGGCGTCGCCCTCTCCATCGGCGGACGAGGACGTGTATATCGGCGAGTTCCGCCGCGGCTTGGACGACACGCTCCGGCGGGGGATGGAGTCCGCGCGCGAGTCGGAGCGCCCGGTGCTCTTTCCGTTCGACGACGTTGTCGGCTTCGTATCCGCGCGCGGGGGCAGCGGCGACCGAGCGACGGACCCGCGCGGCGGAGAAAAGGCGAGCGCGGGCGATGCCTCCTTCTTGATCTCGACGGTCGTGGGGGCGGCAGGGATGACCGTTCGGTCTGGACGGGCTTCTTTGGCAGTGAGGCCCTGGCGCGCTCCGAAGCGCTTAAGGGAGGGTCCAGCCTGCGCTTCTTCGCCGCACTGAGGGGTGTCTCCCGCTCCGACTCCGAGTCTGCGATTTCATCCTGCAGCCGCTTGTTCTTCTTGAAGGTCGGCAGTTGGGTGGCGGGGGCGAAGCGAGGGCTCACCTTGCTGCTCGCCGACGGCCGCTCGTCCTCGATAGACGGGGCGTCCCAGCTGCATTTCGCTTCCGGATCTGCGCCGCAGCGGCGGCCACAGAGTTGGCGCGGGATCCACCCGCAGATGGGGGCGCAATGGGCGGTTGCGGCTTGGCTGGTCCGGACGGTGCAGGCAGTTCGCGTCGCCTCGCGTCGACGGTCTTTTGGGCGGCATGGGGGAGGCGGCACGGGGGTCACTCACTGGAGGTGTCGCGGATGGCTTCGCCCTGTAGCCCGATCCTGGTTGCCGCCGGCCGCCGGGGCGCACGCTCGTCGGGGTGCCCACCGAGCTGAGCTCGCCTTCATCCAAGTCGCGGTCGACCGCGCGCGCCTTCCCCTTTTTGCTCTCATCCTTCGCCGGCACGACGATGTCGGAGACCCGGCTGCGCGCCGTATCCGCCTTCGTCGTCTTCTTGGTCCCCTTCGAGGTCGAAAGCACCCCGTTCCTCGGGCCCTCTGCGCTGGAGCCTGCCCGCGAGGAGGCTCCGCTTGCTCCGCAGCCTTGCTTTTTCGTGGACGCACGTGGTCCCAGACCGGATCCGTGTCCGGGACCTTCAGGAGGTCTTTGAACAGCGAGCGCGCTTGAGTGGCGAGGCGCTGTCGCTCTGCATCTGTGAGCTTGGGGTAGTCCCAAGGCCGGACCTCGCGCCACGAGTTGATCTTCAGTCGCCACAGCGGCAACGACTCGGAGCCGTCAGGGTCATGCTCCGCGACCTTTGCCACGGTGGTCATATGAGATACGAGATGAGAGCTCGTAAGAAGCGGGATACTCACCGCGTGTATAACGGACTTGATCTCGGCCTGAGGCATGTCTCCCGCACACATCTGGATGACCTTGTCCATCGGGCGTGACCTGAGGGCCAGGCAATGTATCACCCGCGACCTCGTTGCAGCGCCTTCCTTCGAGGATCCAGCAGAGCTCGAAGTGGCGGTCGCCGGTGGGGGTCTGGCGGGAGGCAAGGGCTCTTGTGCTCGCCGTGGAACCACGGGCCCCTTCTCTTTCTTCGTCTTGCTCGCCGCTTTCTTCGTGGGTTTGCTGAGGTCGGTAGGTGGGCATCGAGTTTCTTGATGGACCGTCCCTTCCGGAAGGCCTCCGCCTCAACCTGACGCTCCCGAACTCGTTGGCGAATCTCGTCGGAGAGCTGGGCGTCGACCTTCATCTTGCCGACGACGTTCGCGCATAGTTTGAGCGGCACCATGGGCTTGCCTTGGCTGGCCACACGGAGGTAGAGCTCATGCGGAAGGCTCTCCTTGGATTGCTGGACGGGGAAGAAGGAGTCGCCGATGTAGAGGCCCTATATGCGCAATAAATGAAGAGCCAGGACGCTCTGGGAGAATATTGACACGTACAGGATTGTCCCCGAACTTGAATTCGACTTTAGGGAGGTCTTCGAGCGCGTCAAAGGTCTCCGCGGACATGCGGAAGAGCATGGCATGTTTGGGCTTTGACTGTTGGACGGGAACGCCCTGGAGGGGCAGACTGGCGTTCTGCGGAAGAGGCATGTCGGAATGGCGACTTGGTGGGGGGTCAGGAGTGGGCAGCGGGAGGGCTTGACGACGTGAGTGGCGTGGCGAGGAGAGCGAAGACAAGAGACGTCGAAGGGGCGGGCGAAGGGACGAGGGCCGGGTGCGCGGGCCTACGCGCAAGCCTGAGTAGGCGCGGCGTGACGACGGCGGAAGGCAAGAGGAGGGCGGAAGGAAGTGAGGAGGTCGGAGTCGACAACTGTGGCGGGTCGTGGCACAGCCGGCTCATAGATCATATCAGCCACGTGCGGCCGGCGCTAGCCCCTATCTCTCCTTGTCTGTGGCCAACTTAACCTTCGCGGGACCATTCACTACATACGCTGTCTGTGCACTGAAGTTCTCTGTTGTAAAAGCGGACATTCAGCGCAAGTTCTTAGGATGTGCTCTGCTGTAGCGGTCTGTGGAGACGCGGGTCAGGGCTACCGGGCCCACACGTACGGTTTGCCCACTCCCACACGCGGCGAATTTCTCACGCAGAACAATGGATATTGAATGCTCGACGGTCGCGAAACAGTCTCGCGTTTCCATGTTCTTGTTCTCCCTCCTTGACATGGGTACGACATTCCACTCCTGGCTTGTTGCCCTCGTCACTCCCTGATACAAAACCAGAATTAACGGGGTAAAGCCACCAAGTATCGTGCTCCGAGTTGCGTCGATTTCGAGCCTGACGTGATGAATACTTCGCCATTCAATATCTTGGAAGTACCCGTCAAGCAAGTACGACCACCAAAGGCACGGGAGCAGTTCCAGCTCGAGGATTCCTTGCCAATATTTAGGTGAATCTGCATCCTTGTACTTATATAGTGGTAATCTAGCGGACTCGTATGATGGTGCGCCACCGTAGTTGGAGCGTACAGGGAATGCGCTGCCCTGCCGTCGAGAAAAGTGCCAACGAAAGACAAATCGGTGATCGCGAAGAATTGTTGAAGCTGACAACAGGAACTACTCATAAAACCTCCGACGAGCTTGCAGCGGGGGCTGAGTTTTTCAATGCACGCTCAACCTCCTCCTCGGTGTGTTCCCACAGTCGTCTTTTAGCTTCCTCATCTGCATGCAGCGGCGTCGGTCCCATATCGTCCCCCCGAGTGCCCCGCCTCTGCGCCCCAGGCCCGCTCTGCAACATTCCGTACAGCATGCTTTGCCCGCACTCTTCAGCCGACGACGTGAGGGGATAGAGGAGTACGTTGAGCAACGGATTCAAGATCCTCGTCGACCAATGCATCCGCTTTAGGATGTTCGTCCGCACTCCGCCCGGGTTCCCCTGCACGAACGTCAACCCTGGATGGCGCTCCGCGAATGACTAAAACAAATCAGTTAGGGTCGAATACGCCCTTCAAGACCGGAACACCCACCAAGAACGCGAGATCGGTGTACGTCGGCCCGACGATCCCCGGGTTGGAAGACATGTAGTTCTTTTTCAGCCCAAGGTTGTCCACATCAAACGCCACCATGTTCGCGCCCCCGAGCACTGACATCACCTTCGCGTGCTCGCCCCGCTCCTTCGCCTTCTCCAGCAGCGGCACGAGCTCGCGCACGAGCAGCCACCGCGCGTAGTAGTGCGTCCCGAGCCGCTTGTCCAGCCCCTCCGCAGTCTCCACGCGGCCCGCCATGCTCAGGTACCCCGCGGTGAGCACGAGGAAGTTGATACGGTCGAGCTGCCCGCGGAGCTCCGCGGCGGTCCCGCGCACGTTGCGCATCAGCGACACGTCCGCGCACTGCACGAACTCGTGCCGCGCGTCGGGCGTGGTGGGCTTGGGGAAGGATGCGATGACGGCGTCACCCGCGGCGCGGTCGCGGCCGACGATGACGATGTGCGCGTTGCCGTGCGTGGCGCGCGCGAAGGCCTGGGCGGTCGCGGCACCGATGCCGGAGGTGCCGCCGACGAAGACGGCGACGGGGACATAGGAGTGCGAGAAGGCGAGGTTGGCGGCACGTATGGCGGAGAGGGAAGGCATGTGAACGGGGTATATGGTCGCGCGAGTGTCTCTCCACGTTTTATACTGGTTTCCGAACTGCGCGCAATGAAATAATGCTCCACGGATGAGTCCCGAAAGGGCGACGTCAGTGGGTGTTTCCGCCGTGGGCCGTACTTGGCCGCGCAGACGCGCGTGTGCTGTGCAAACGCGTGTGCGCCGTGCAAACGCGTGTGCGCCGTGCAGACAGGACACTCAGCTTGAAAACAAAAATGCCGGTGACCGGCGATGTCGCTTGTTCCATGACAGCACATTTCATTCGGCCTCATCGAAGTCCATGGTACAGATGCGACACTAATCCTTATGGAAGGTGCGTCTAAATCGAGGTTACCCTTCTGTTCAACGAGAAGTTTGAACAAGTACTGACCTCGATTGCTCCCCCCACGACGAATTGTTACTATCATCACAAAATAAGGCGGTGGGAGGACCAAGATGTTGCCCAGCGGCGATTGCAGAGTGGAAGATAGCGGCGGAGACGAGTTTGCCTATAAATGTCAAGCAGGCGGAAAGTCATCAAGCGCGGGCAGAAGACACACTCGCAGCCTGCAGGATTGAAGAAGATGGTTAAGACTCTAGCGTAGCGAGAACTCGTTGCGCTCTGTTCATCACAGGACTGAGTGACCGAGCTTTACTGTGTTGTGCTGTCGCCAGATGACCTTTGTCGACGTGAGTTCGCTGCGGAACTGGGAGGCCTTGCAAGTCTGTGGAAGGACCGGAAGGACCTCTAGCCTGCTTGATTCTAGGTGAATGTTGAGGACAGTGGGAATCAAGCTTGCGTTTGAGGGCATTGTGCCCGCGCGTCATCTAGTCGCAGGAATCATCCACAGCGCATATATACAGATGTACGACGAGCTCACCATTCTCCCCGGCGCAAGTGCGTCAACGTCCACACCATCACTCACATCATCCCAATGCATGCCTTCCATCCCCGGGTTCTCTTCCGCACCAACGTTTTGCACTGTTTCATCTTTCAGGTCCTGCCAGATTCACACAGAAAAGCAGCTGAGTTATATGAGCCCTGCAGCTGTTGACCATACCTACAGAGCTAAAAAGAGAACGTATCACTTGCAGATGATAATCCTCCTGGGCTTTGAGTTGGTGTTCCAGCGCTGCGATGTGGTCTTGTTGTGTTGCAATTTGAGTTCTGAGGGCGTTGACTTGGGATTGCAAACCAGAAATATGGCGGTTTTGTCTTCCGAGAGCCTCTCAAGATACTGAAGTTTGATTTTGTACGTTGTAAAAATTTCCATGAGGTCTGCTGTGGTAGGATAGGATAGAGGGCAAGCAGGGATCGTGGAAGACGAGGTTCAAAGTGGGATGTATGCGCCCGCGTCCCAAGCGCCTGCGACCAGTCCACCCTCGGGCTGTGCGGTGGCCCGGATGCAAGGCACTCAAGATCGAGCACTTAAATTTGGCCCTTGGCCACGATAAGGACGCAGCACGCCTCAGAAAAAATGCAAAGTCTGAAGGATACTACAAAGACATTATATGGCTAGTGACTAAGGAAATTAGGTACGTCGAATAGGAGTAAATGTTGAGCTATTAAGTGAATGTATGAGAGGAATAGAGTCAAGCGACACTCCGAGACAATTGTACAAGCGGGAGCGACTATACTACAGAATTATGGCTATATGCATATGCGAGGCACAACCTACAACGACAACTCCAACGCAGATAGTCATAAGCGAGCAAACTCCATCTCAAGCTCCTCGGTGCGACTGTGGCCGTCGAACGCGTCGACGTACGCGTCGCCCTCGTACACCGTCAGCCCTTCGACGAACGCGCCCCACCGCTCGTCGCTGATGATCGGCGCGCGCACGTACTCGGCCACGTCCATAGCACGCACGAGCTCGCCGAGGAGCGGGAGCACGCGATCGTGCGCGTCCGCCGCCTGCGCCTGTTGCGCCGCGCGCCCGAGGCCGTGCTCCACGTAGAACGCGGGGTCAAGCCGAACGCAGTTCGCGACGTAGAGGTCGATCAGCGCGGGCTCGACGCCCTGCGCGACCGCGGCGTCGTACGCCATGCGGTGCCCGATGGCCTCGACTGCCGGCTGGCATGCGGGGAGGACGATGCGGGATGCGGCCTTGCTGCGGTGGCCCCCGGCGGCGGCAACGGCAGCTCGGAGCTCGGAGAAGAGGACAGCTTCGCGACGGGCGAGGAGAGAGTTTGGGTCGGCGGGCTTAGGGAGCTGGTAGCGGTCGAGGAGGAGCTCGTTCACAAGACCTGGAGACCACCCTTCAGCGGGACGCTCGAAGAGGTCGAGCAATTGAAGTACTCACGGATGGCAAGCCCGAGGATGTCGCCCTCGGCGATGGCTACTCCGCGCATCCCACTCTAAAGATGAGATGTAATGTTAGAATTCCAATCCTTGCAGGCCCGGGACGACGAGTACTCACGTGAGAGCAATTATCTGGTTGTGAGCGAACAAGCCCTGGGCGCCGCACCGCTCAGAGATCCCCATCGCGTCCTGCTGGGAGTGTTGGACCATAACGGACTTGAAGACCGCTGCAAGGCCACGGCGCACACGCGCGTCCCGCTCCGAGCAGAACTGCTGGACGATGGAGCGGTGGAGCGCACGGAGGACGTGCACATCAGCGACGGTCCCCACGAGCGGGATTTGCTGCGTGCGGAAGGTGAGGATGGGCATACACCTGTCTGGCTTGTCCGCGGGCCCAACTTTACGGCGGAGGGAGTAGAGCGTGCCGACAGTCGCGTAAGCTCCATGAAGGGGATGGCGATGCTACCAAGCGCAACCGTCCCGACGCAGATGCGGCTGGTGATATGCATGAGGTTGTCGTGAAGGTTCGCGGGCATATCCAGGCTGCCGAGGAGAGCGGAGTGGCTGAGGCGGACGTTGGTGAAGGTAGTGATGGAATGAGTGACGGGCTGAGCACCATCGCGGAAGGGGAGAAGTCTACGCCAAACATGAAATCAGGACCAAATAATGGTCGCGAACGTAGACTCACTTGGACGTTACACCGGTGCACATTTTCTTGCCGTCGTTCAATGCCACGATGAATGGGCGATGCCCGCGGTTCTCTCCGTCAACGATGAGTTTTGCGAAGACGACGCCACACAGGGCTGGCCGGCAGGGACAGTGGGTGGCATGAACCTGAAAGCGTTATCGTTAATGATGGGCCACGCAGATGTAATGGCAAACGTACTTTGAGGCCTGCGGAGTAGGGGAATGGAGCAAGAACTCCCCCGATGGAAGAAGAGTTGCCGTAGTTTCGATATTGCTGATGTCAAGACCGTGTCCGATCTCGGTGAGCATGTATTGACCGCTAAAACGACGTCAGAATAAATCACAAGGACATAGAGAGGTGCTTACTGCTTGCGGTACCGCAAGAGGTCGTCGACTAAAGAGACAAGTTCTGGGCGATGCTTGCTGTAGAGGGCAATCGTGCCCGCGCAGAGGTTGTATTGGATGGTAAGGAGGGTGGTAGCGGCGGGGTCCATCGCTGTCGCAGGATCACTGTGCATGTCCCAGAATTTGGGAGTCAAGTTGTGCACGTCGTCGAGCGTCATCCCTACAACGTGGGCGCACGAGGGGATCGTGAGCAAAGGGGCACATGACAACCAAGGACCGATGCCCACTGTATGACAGTCCAATCGCTCTGGCCTTCTCGTAAGAGAGAAGAGCGCGATGAAGTGGGTCCATTGAATGCACGGGTCGACTAAAAAGCGAGGTCTCAGGCAGGTGGGAAGTGCGCCTTGATGCGGTCGAGGAAGACATGTTGTCGGTGAACAGAGAGGAAGAACAGACAAGATCGACGGGGACTGAGGGGACGAGGGTGCTGTCTTCAGGGTTCGGTCTTGCAGCTTAAGTACATGTGACGGAGGACGTACTAGCGCCATTGTGCTGTAACTTGTGGAAAGGCGAGCTTGGCAATCGAGCACGGTACCGCCGGATAGTGGTTGAAACCAACCCTTACCGTGGGTCCGCGCATTCGATCCTGACGCCCCACGGAACAGAGTTCATTGGCACTTGAAACCACGGGAAGAAGACGCTTGGTGAGAGAGAGAGCGAGATGACGCCTTGCTCCATTCGCGGCGGCTGGGATACCAGAATAAGCCCTGGTGATATTGCGCGCGAGCGGATCAGGGTTGCCTGAGCCGAGGCCGCGGCCTCCCGCAGCAGGAGATCTGAGACTGTAGAGGGCAGGGAAGCGGGGCATTGATCGAAAGCAATTTTTGGAGGCTCTTTCCTTACATAGGTGGCTGTGTCTTGAGATTGGATTTTATAGCGGACCCATTAGTTCGGCTGCTATTGCCCTGATAATACGGTCAGGGTGATCCGTACTAACGACTTTCCCGGACGCCTAAGCTGAACCCTGCTGAACCGTGGAAGCCAAGCAGTCGGCTAGTACTTGTTGAAGGCCTTTTGGGATACAGAGTCAGTATGTACACCTGACTAGAACATAACTGACGCCCTCAAACTTCTACACCGTGAGTCAGAAGCCTCCTTTGGCTTCACCTGTAGAAACGGATCACGACTCACCATGTACATGAGCTCACGCGTTTCAGAACATATGGACTCCATCTCCAAACGCCAGGGTCAAGCGCGGGCCCCGAAACCCGCGCCAGGAGCGATGTCCCTGCTAATGGCGTTGACGCCCGGGCCGGTCCTTTCTCCATTTGCATGACTTCCGGACGTTGTGCTGTCGCGTTGGCCAACAACAAAGCAGACCAACCGGAGACCGCTGAGCAGCGGATGACGATCTGGATAACGTCATGTACGGCCGGCTACGTCCGTCTCCGCATCAGTCGTTTGGCAGGACAGTAGGTGTCCCACCTCTCGCGGGAGCGAACCTTCTCAGTCTCGATGAGCGAAGACTCCAACTCTGCCAGGATAATGAATATCAGTTTACAGTCCTAGAGTCACTTTAGAAATCATCCGTTCTCACTGAGATCGAAAGCGCTCTTGATGTTGCCTTGTCGCAAAGCGCGGCAAGGGACGTCGGAGTCGCTTCCGCCCGTACGTCGGGAATAGCGCTCAGCTGAGGCCTCGTTTCCGAACGAGGCGGGGGGCTGCCCCGTGCGGCGTTACTGTACCATTTCGACCCAAAGTTCATGTCACGCGTCACGGAGGCTCATGAACTTCCGATCAAAGTGTCACGGAGGGCCATGAAAGTACTTTCCGCCCACGGAAGGTCACGGCGTCTAAATTGCCGCCGTTCCAGCGGTCTGAGCGACGAAAAAACGACGGATTATGCACAAGGGAGGCATTACATGTCTATTGAGATAGTCAGACTGGAAATATAATGATGGATACCCACTCTAGCTTCATCCTCTTCTCTGGGCTGCGTGGGAAGAGGTCGCCTTCCGGATTAGGTGCTCACAAGGCGCTTAGATCCGCGCCAGCACGCTCCCAGCGGATATCCCGACCTGTTGACATCGACCATCCTCTTGTGCTCTTCGTCGTCGACTTGCGACGGCTGCCCTCGCCGATGGCGAGACTATTGGTCGGATCATGCGTTTCGAGGTCGCCCGTGACTGGATCCTTCAGATGGAGGGATGCCTGGCGCGGGTATCAGGTGCAAAAGGTCCGGGCGAAGGCGATGCGACAGATGCAGGCTGCTGTCTGCGTCTCTGGCGATTGAATTGCACTACCATTATAGCCTACACATCATAATTATTTCAGCCAGAGCAATGACACCGCTAGACAAGCCGCTGATATTCACAATATTGCGCGTTTGTCATCATCATATAGTCGCGGGCGGCTAGAGGGTCGACCGGCGCTATGAACATTCATGGTGTCACAGGGGCCCATGAACAGGGCGAACTTTGATGTCCGCGGTCACGCAGGGCCATGAACTTTTTCGGCTGGAAAAGTTCATGGTCACGCCCAAAATCGATGAACTTTGGGTCGAAATGGTACAGTAGCTCCATATACGAGGTGACGGCATTTTCTGATTGCAGTGGAGGACATGAAGTGATGAACAATGGGGAAGTCAGCGCGTGTGGCCCTGCACGGCTCTCGGACCCGCGGCGATCGCAAGCGCAAGCTCTCGGAAGCGTAATCCCGCATCGCCAGGAAGAACGTCCAAGCGCGGTTGTTACCTCAGAAGGCGTTCGTATGCACCGTCCGTCGCAAGCCGGTTTCAGTACTGCCTCTAGCGGAGTACGGCCATGTCTGCGGAACTTCATACGTCGTGATAAGTTGTGGGGGGGCTGTCGGTCGCCGTGTTCGGGGATGATGCCACGCTTACTGTAGAGCTTAAAATGCTGGATTCAGCGGATGCACAAACGGGTCGTGGAAGTACTGACTCACCTGAGGCACACCTGAGCGCCGAGCGCCGAGCAGTTATCAAAGCGACGGCAGTCCTCGCATGCTCCATCTGGCGATATGAGCTGTAGATGTACCTGCAGCAAGCAGCGCTGCCTCACCCGTAAGGCGGTTCATGGTCGGCAGTGACGGCGAGCTCCGAGCGGTGCGGACGAAGCCCGAAAATACTCGCAAAAAGGCTGTCAGGAGTTCTGCGCGCTTCCGCGTGTGCAGGAACGACCCCCTGGCACCGTCCACCGCTTCAGCCACACCTTATTGTTCTCGACATTGAACGCGTGGCGTGCGCGAGGTCAAGCCCACCGCGAAGAGATAGAGATAGAGTATACAGCGAAATAAAGTACAGTATAGATACAGTTGTGTCGTGTGCGTCGCGTCCAGCGCATCCTGCCGAGTACCCCCACCTTCACCTCCCACCCCACCCAACCCCTCACGCGAGGTCGAGCACCTCCACCCTTCCCATTGCGTCCCCAATCGCGATACGCCCCACAGTGTCCTCGAACGCGGTCGACACCATCATGTACTTCTTCCACAGGATCTCGTGGATGTTGCACCGGCGCCAGTACAGCGCGTCCTTGCAGAGCTCGAGCCGCGCCACGCGCTCCTCCGCCGCCACCACCTCGTCGCTGCACGTCGGCGCCGGCCCCGCCCCCGGTCCAGGGCGCCGCGCGGGCTCAGGCAGCTCCGCGCTGCCCCGAACGCGCGCCTTGCATGCTTTTGGGTCCCGGTCGCGCGGCGTCGCTGGACGGACGGTGAAGCCGACGAGGCAGCGCGCGGGCGTGCGCGCGTGGCGGAGGGTGATGTTGCGCGTCTCGGTCCAGAAGCCCTTGCCGCTGGGGCCGACGCGGAAGTCGCAGCTCGAAGGGGCGACGCTGACGATCGTTGTCGAGCGCGAGGGGAAGATGCAGGGTATGTACTCCATTGTGGTCGGCGGTGCGCCCTTCTCGAGCTCGGTGCGTTTTGCCATGGGATTCGGCAGGAAGTCGTACTGGTGCAGGGTGTCGAAGCCGTCGTCCGAGTACCGAGAGAGCACCGTGACGGGCTCAGAGGGCCAGTCTGGTTGGTCTTCTGACGCGTCGTATGGTGATTGTCGGAAGACGATGGTGGCGTTTGAGGCAGAGATGTCCATCTCGATCGACACGCTTGCTGACACCAGTGAAGGATAGGACGCGCGCATGCCTTTCCAGGTTGGCGCAAAGAGGACCTCAAAGGCGCGTTGTCGTATGACCAAGAGATATCGGTTGATGACCTTCACAGCAAGCACCCGGTTGTCCTATATCATGATACCGTGAGTACTCCACGCAACTTTAGTGAATGCGCAGTGACGACGTACAGTCATTTCCGACAAAGCGGCGTTACCGAGCGGCTTCACATGTGTGGGTGCCCCGAGGAAGCAGACATGCATCGGGTCGCCGAACACGAGGTAGTCATCATGCAGGTAGTGGAGGGGGGAGACGACCTCCCGGCGGGCGCGTAGTTCCATTCGGCAATAGAACCGCCCACGGAACTTGTCGAAGGAAAGCGAGCGACATTCGACGACTCCCTCACTGAAGGACGGTATAAGAAAGAGAGTGGTTGCCTCGCGCGAGAGCGGCGAAAGGGGGAGAAAGCTCACGCGGTCGGATGCGCGCTCACGATCGCCACCGTAACTTCGCCCTTTGGGTCGTCATTCACCACCATCCCCTCGATCTTCCTCGTGGACACCCACTCCGCGACGCAATACGCTTCGGATGAGCCAAGCGGGATCTCCCATGCGGCCAGGGTCTTCCCGACCGTGGTGAGGAGGTATTGACCGTTGTGTCCAGGGAGGAACGCGACGTGCGAGACCGCGTGGGGGCCGTCGGCATCGGGGTCGCGCGACGATTCGGCACAGAACTCGATGGCGGCGCGTGTGACGGGGCGAGGAGCGTTCCAGTTGGCGTGGAAGCGCGAGGCATGCACAGTGCGGGCCTCAAGGTGCTCGGATGTGAGGGCTTTGAGGTCGGTGGTGGCGGCGGGGATGGGGAGACCCTTTTGGACGACGTGCCGCTGGATCGCGTCGTACCAGACCCAGCGCAACTTGCTCATAGCGCAGAAGCGGCGCGATGTCTGTGAGCGGGGGCGAAGAGGGTCAGCCTGCTGTGTATATATGCTTGCAGAGGAGATACGCGAGCGGGACGTACCGCGCGGAGCGAGAGAATGTCGGGGACGTCGACATGGCTGATGACGAGAAGGAGAACGTCGTCCGGAAGCGCGTGCAATGCAGGTCGTCTGCCGGCGGGGGTCATGGAGGGCGCGGGGGTCAAAGAGGAGGAGGACGAGCAGCCTGCACGGGGGCAGTCTTGTACTCCCCGTCCGAGTCCTGGCCCGGAATCCGAGCCCGAAACAAAGCCTTCTAAATCGGGTCGCCGCCACGTGCGCTCCTTTCACGCGCGCACGTCTCCTCACTGGCGGCCCGCCACACGCTCTCCACGCACACCATGGCTTCCAACCCGCCCCCTCAGCCACCCCCGCAGAACATTGCCCAGCAGCGTGCGGATGGCGCCAACAACATCATCACCGCGCTCGGGAACGCGTTCAAATCGCAAACGGGAGACCCGCTCTCGGGCGAGCACATCGCCCAGCTGCTCATCGCGAACATGAACCAGCTCGGGGAGCTCGCTAAACAGGGCAAGCTCACTCAGCAGCAGATTGTTCAGGTGCATACCTCAGTCATCTGCAGGCGACTTGTGCTCACTATCCCATAGCTGAAGCAATACGCGGAGAAGCACAAGGTCGCGAGTGGTGCATCAACAGCTGCAGCAGCTCCTGTTCGTCCTGTCTTTCTTACAACCTGTGTTCACGCGCGTATTGATGAGAGTCGTCACAGGGCGCGCAGCCCGGTGCTTCTACCTCCGCCGCGACGTCGACCACCACCTCCACTCCAACCATCCCAAACACCGCGTTTAAGACCACAACCCCCAGTCCTTTTCTAGGCTCCACGTCCACAAGTGCCTCACAATACCCAATCACCGCGAACCCAACAATCACACCACAAGGGGCCGTTCAATGGCAGCCTGCACAACAGGGCCGGCCATCCCTCACAGGTGGCCTGCCCAGTGGACGCATATCAGGTGCGCATCCCCGTCCTTACCCTCCATTCACGTTTCCTACCCTCCGTTCGAGCCACCGAGCCACCCAAAACCGCACCGCAAGAGTGACACTGACCAATGTTTCACCAATTCTACATAGGCGCACCACCACAGGTCGCGAAGGCGGAGGACTCCATGCTCAACCTCGACGATAACCGCACCCGGCGGAAGAACACGCCCGGGGACCAGAGCATGCGGCGCTCGATCCAGGACCTCGTGTCGAGCATCGATCCGAACGTGAAGATTGAGCCCGAGGTCGAGGACCTCTTACTCGACATCGCGGATGAGTTCATTGACTCAGTCACCAATTTTGGCTGCCGGCTCGCGAAGCACCGCGGCGGAGACACACTTGAGGTGAAGGACCTGCAGCTGCATCTTGGTGAGTGGTCGTCTTGTCTTGATCGTGTGTGCGGGCTGGACGCTGACTTGCGGACCATAGAGCGGAACCACAACATTCGCATACCCGGATTCGCGTCAGACGAGGCACGAATATCGCTGTCGCAGACCACTATCGCCCCTGCCGCGTCAAACACGACCTCGACGAAGAAGGGTGCACAGAACACGCAGATGACGCTTCGCAGTCACCGGCTCTCGCAGGTTCAGTTCGCCAAGAAGGAGGCGAAGCTCATGTAGATGGTGTGAGGGCTCTCGTTCCTGATACGCTGTTGGACTGTTGGTACGCATACACCCGCCTTGTACTATGATGGTGATACATACGTTGGATGAAGGACTGTGCTGACTGTCGGGGCATGGCGCACATCGGGGAAGGTGTTTATGCACTCCTGCTTGACTCGTACCCTTACCACCACTAGCACACTCACCCCTGGGCAGAAGTGAGATACTTGAAGAGCTATTTTGGGAGTCCCCCACGAGTTCCAATAGCGACACGTCTGTGAACAAAAGCCAGCGAGAAATCCATCGCAAGTGCTGGGCAGTACCTGCAAAGGTCGGTTTGACTTCCTATGGCAAGAAGCATATACTGAGCGCACTGACGAACTTTTGATGGTTTCCAGAAAAGCGAGCCCGCCGAAAGTTCGCGCAGCGCCGGCGACCGCTTGCCAGAATCTGTGTTGTACCCTCGATATTCTCTCCCAACGACAGCCAAGCGCGTTCGCTCAAACCAACCCCAGGCCTACTGCAGTCGTCGCTTCCTCAAGTCCCGGATTCCCCGCGTTTTCGCGTAGGATCCTTCCTCAAGAAGCGCATTAAGCACAGCGGTTTGTGACTTGGAGCATAAGGCCCAGTGCTTACAGGACTAGGGGGCGTAGTAGTGCTTTGCCTATGTTCGTGGAGGCTGTGTTATTTAGATCTTGTGCGGGAGGAAAGCGTATGGGAGATCCGCCAAAGTTCTTTGCTGGTGTTGGGTGTTGTCTGTCAGCTTGAAGTGACAGTACGGTTTCCTGAGTCGTCGTGGCTAGGCGTGAGCATTCAAGCGCATAAATGTTGGGCCACGTACAATCCAAAGGTCGAAGCGATGACCGACACTAAACACTATGAACTCTCATATGCACTCCCATCCGATCTGTTCCATTCCCTAGGTGAATATATGCGCGCACACGGCATGCTTTTTATGTCAACGAAGTATCCATCCATTGCCTATATTCCGTCCACAGTTGTACAAAAAGGACACTTTACATCGTGCGGCGATGAACCTGCCGGAACGCACGAACCGGCCCCTGCATGTTCGCAGACGGAATGTGCTGCCCTCCGTGTCCTTGCCCTATATGCCCCTGCGCCTGCTGCACCGGCCGCCTCAAAGCCTCGGTCTGAGGACCGCCGAGCTGACCCTTCCCTTTCGCGCTCCTCCCCTGCCCATCTCCCTGTGGCACCGTGCCAACACCCTGCCCCTCGAGCCGGTCGGCTCCAACGTCGCTCGCCCCTGCGGCGGCCTGGTCCACCTTCTGCTCTGCTCCGGACGTGTCACCCTCCTCGGCGTACTCCCCAGCGAGCTCTGCGTCCTCCGCCTCCTGCTCTGCCTCGTCCGTCGGCAGGTCCGTCGCGTCAAGCTCCGCCGGGGGATGGATACCCGGGCGGTTGCTGTCAATGTTGACGAGCCCGACGCGGCGGCGACGGGCTTCCTCCTCCAGCGCGTACGGGTCCGAGGTGTCGAGGTCCGAGGGCAGGCGGCTCGGGAGTATCGCGTCCGTGCTGAGCTCGAGCGAGTGCGGCGCGCGGCGGACGAGCCCGGTGGTGCGCTTCGTGGTGCGCTGCTGGCTGGTGAAGTTAGGAGCGACGGCGGAACGGGAGGAGTCGCTGTTGAACGCGCTGGCGAGCGAGTCGTGTGTGAAGTAGCCAAGGGTGTAGCGCGACGCGCCTGCCGCCTTGAACCCGGTCCCGGCGAGCATGAAGGGGGCAGCGACCGCCGTCGTGGTCTTGCCTACGCCGGAGCTCGCGTCCTTAGCGGTGGAGTCCGATGCTGCGACGGGGTCCACGGCGGGGGTGCTCGAGCGCCTCTGGTTCTGGTGGGTCTCAGTGACGTATGAAGCGGCATGGCCACCGTTGGGGGCGGAGGAACCGGGAGAGGTGGCATACGAAGAGGGGAACTTGGACTCAGGCTGGTAGGAGGCGCTGGTCTTCGAGTACATCTCGTCATCGGAGTATTGCCCTCCAGCAGAATAGCGCTGCTCCGGAACATAGTACTTGTCGCCGGAGTAAGACTTGTTGCTGGTGTATTCGACGGGCCTCGAGAAGTACTTATCGCCAGAGAAGGACTGTTCGCCAGAGTATGGAACGCCATCAGAGTAGTACTTGTCGCCGGTGTAGGGAACGCCGTCAGAGTAGTACTTGTCGCCGGTGTAGGGAGCGTCCTTAGAGTAGCCTTCGACGCCGGTGTAGGGAGCATTCTTCGAGTAGTACTCAGCGCCGGTGTAGGGAGCTTCCTTCGAGTAGTACTTGTCGCCAGTGTAGGGAGCTTCCTTCGAGTAGTACTTGTCGCCAGTGTAGGGAGCTTCCTTCGAGTAGTACTTGTCGCCAGTGTAGGGAGCTTCCTTCGAGTAGTACTTGTCGCCAGTGTAGGGAGCTTCCTTCGAGTAGTACTTGTCGCCAGTGTATGGAACATTCTTCGAGTAGTACTCAACACCAGAGTAGGGGGCATCCTTCGAGTAGTACTTCTCGCGGGAGTAGGGAGCAACACCAGTGTAGGGTGCAACGTCAGAGTAGGGAACAGCCTCAGAGTAGTCTTCAACGCCGGTGTAGGGAGCGTCCTTCGAGTAGTATTCGACGCCGGAGTAGGGAACACCATCCGAGTAGTACTTGTCGCCGGAGTAGGTAGCGTCCTTCGAGTAGTACTCAACGCCGGAGTAGGGAGCGGCCTTCGAGTAGTCTTCGATGCCGGAGTAGGAAGCGTCCTCCGAGTAGTACGTGTCACTGGTGTAGGGAGCGTCCTTAGAGTAGTACTTGTCGCCGGTGTAAGGAGCGTCCTTAGAGTAGTACTTGTCGCCGGTGTAGAGCGCGTCCTTCGAATAGTACTTGTCGCCAGTGTAGGGAGCGTCCTTCGAGTAGTACTTCTCACCGGAGTAGGAAGCGTCCTTCGAGTAGTCTTCGACGCCGGAGTATGAAGCGTTGTCGGCGTAGTACTTTTCGGCAGAGTAGTCACGATCGCCAGAGTATCGAGGGCTGTCGGAGTACGGCTGGCTGGACGAGTGTTCCTCGTGGTAGACCACATCGGTATCGGCGCGTCTGGAACGAATGGCGGTGGCAGCGGCAGCGCTGGTGGGGGAAGGAACAGCCTGCTTGACCTGGGGTACCTTAGGAGCGAGAGCGACGAAGGCGGCGGTGGGATTGATGCCGTAGTCGGCCTGGCGGAAGCCAACGTTGCGGGCGCCGAGTAGCGAGTGACCCAGGTTGTTCGCGCCAGCCTTATTCTGCGGGGCATCGGTGGGCATCGGCGGGTTGGGGATCTCATCGGGGAGGCTGAGCTGGACAGTGTACAAGGGAATGAAGGGAGGGATGCTGATGACAGTCGTGATGGCAAGAGGGGCTGCATAGGCTGGTGCTGATAGTAGCGCGAGGGCGAGACCAGAGAGGATGAGAGGACGCATGACGATAGAAAAGAGACAAAACAAGGATCGTGGGGTGTCTTGACGGTTGTGAGGCCGTGTGGGCGTGGGGGTAGAGATGTGTGCGACGGGCAGTGGTGGCAGTCGGGAAGAAAGATGGGGGCGAGCAGGAGGGAGGAGCGCACGAATTTGAACCAGTCGCACTCGCTGTCAGCCTCGCCCCACGATCGATGCACCCCGCCGGCCGCCTTTTGTGCCGCTGCTGTTCGCTTCGTGCCTGACGCCGTCGTCCCCAGCGCAGATACAGCACGACCGCCGCCCGAGCCAGCAGACAACGAGCCACAGGTTGGACGACCGAGGAATGTGTGCCGGGCAAGCGGCAACCTCTGCACTGTAAAAACCAGGTCTGTTCACCACCGAGTCTCATGTTCAAACGTCAACGACTATATGCAATCAAAAACTCGGCACTTACATCTCAGGCCTTGTCTACATGATCCGGGACGGATCGCGTGCCATCAAGCATTGGACAGTCGGAGCTCAAGCCTGAGAAGCTGCGAAACGTGCTCGTGGTCTTGTCGAGGGAAGGCGGTGAGTCTCGCGCCTCAATGCGCGTCTAATTTCCCACATTTGGAAGCCCTATTGTGTCGCCTCAGCGCGCAGAGAACAATGAGCACGTCGCATCTTACGGCGACGAACACAATGGCCACTCCTCCTCAAAAGCCTGCAGCGGCCTCAGGGCCTGCCCGCGTTCCCCCCGGAACTTGTCCTGTCCTTTCTTTCTCACTCCTTGTCTCGTCGCCGGCCGACCTCCGCACCGATGACCAGCCCTGCCTCCATCGACTACGCACACGACATCCGCCCCTACCTCCAGCTTCCTCATCTTCTCTCGCTCACATGGCTCGCCTATCCGATACTCTCCCTTGTCTTCGTCGTCTTCCGCCTCCAGCTCTCTGGAGACTCTGCCCAGGACGCCGTGGCGAACGCGAAGCAAGATCTGCTCGCCAGCTGCAAGGCCGCTGAGCACGCGGCCACCTCCACCGCCAGTATGCCCCGCTACCTCGCCGTTGTGTCCAACCAGCAAATCTCCGACGCCGTCAACGGCACGATGAACGCCGCCCGGGCTACCATGGTCCTCGCCCTGACCGTTATGGAGGCCATAATCAACTTCATGATCGACATTTGGCGTTCGACTTTTCTCTGCTTTGCGGAGCTCGTCATACGGGGAGCCCTCTCTATTCTCATTGGAGGCGTTAACGAGGTACGTTTCGTCTTCTGTTCCCGAGCCGCGTTTGTGGTCAATTTGGATCGGCATGGATTGGATGAGGTGCCTCTGCTTGATGAGGCCACGGTATCCAGGAAGCTCGCCTGTCGAAAAGGCTATTGTTCCCGGGCTTTTTTTGCGCATATATGCACCTTTAGCTCATACGTTCTTGAAATCCTGCTCTTGACACCGCATTTGGTCTAGAGATAATTGACTGACCGTTGCATGGATCACAGATCAACTCTCTCCTCACTACGAGTTTCAACGGCCTTCGCACAGCTATACAAGACACCATTGGCGGAGCCAACGATTTGCTGAACACCATCAAGAGTGCACTACAAGCTCTTCCCCTCGGTGCCGGCGACTCGTTAGCAAACAAGATCCAGACTTTCGACATCCCGGACCTGTCGGCTCTGCAGAATGTCGCGCTTCCGTCCGACATCACGGGTGCGCTTCAGAACATCAACAACTCCATTCCGACCGTCTCTCAGCTCAAGGGCAGTGTAGAGAGCGTGTAAGTTCGTTCATTGCACTGGCTGCTTGATCGCTCATAATTCTCTGCGCCAACAGCATTGACACACCGTTCGAGCTACTGAAGAAGGACATCAACGACACCTTTGCCGGCATTCAGTTCGACGTCCACGCTCTCCCCGTCCCCAGCCAGAACAGCGTCACGTTCTGCGACCAGATGGACACGTCTATCGTCGACGATCTCGGGCGCGACCTCGTCAAGGCCGTCAAGATCGGCACTGTTTTGCTCATCGTCCTGATCTTCCTTCTCATCCTCGCGAACTGTGCTCTCGAGTGGTACAAGTGGCGCACGATGAAGAAACACTTCACCTACATCCGCGAAGGCATGGCGTCTGACCCGGATGTGGCCAAGTCGCACAGCCGTGACGGGCGGCTCATGGTCGGGATGTCTGACCACGACCTGATGTCGATCGAAGGCACGATGAGCCACCCGCTGATCACCAAGGGGGTCAACTGGCTCCAGGCGCTCCTCCGCCTGCGGAAGTCGCGCAAGGACAAGCTCATCTGGTTCTTCCACTACGTCTTTCACCCTCCGGCTCTCGCGTGTTTCATCATCGGCGTGTTCGGCCTCATCTCGGTCCAGCTCCAGCTGCTCGTCATTGGACCCATCCAAGCGCACTACCAGCAGCAAGCGGCGGCGTCCGTCGCGGACTTTTCGACGCTCATCGCCACCTCGATCAATGCGAGCATGTACAACGACTCGATGACATACGCCAACGACATCAACACGCGCGTCGACCTCGTTCAGAGCACCATCAACGACGGCATGTTCGGCTGGGTCAACACCACGACGACAACGCTGAACACCACGATCAACACTTTCTACACAGACGTGCAGAACATCGTGAACACAATCTTCGGGAACACGATCCTCGCTGAGCCCGTGGAGGAGTTCGTGCAGTGCTTTCTCGGCAGCAAGGTCGACGCGATTGAGTCCGCCCTGACGTTCCTTCACGACAACCTCCACGTCGACATCCCGCGCGTCAACGACTCCGTTCTCGTGCTGTCTCCGCAGATGGTCAACGAGGCTGCGCAACCCATCGCCCAGGCTGCGATCGGCACTAGCGACAGCGGCGACGGCACGGGCAGCGACGGGCTCGTTGGTCGCGTCATCAGTGTTTATGTCAAGTCCCTCGAAAAGGAGCGTATTATGTTCGCCATCTTCGCCGGGCTCTGGCTCGTCGTCGTCTTCATGGCGCTCGCGATCCTCTTCTGGAACTCGTACGGACGTCGTTGCTGCGGCCGTCGCTCCAAGTCGTATGATGCGAAGGAGCCTACGGTTTTCTATCCCGAGAAGATGTTCAAGGAGTCGTCGCCGTCGGTGGAGGAGAAGGGTGAGGCCATGCCCCTCCGCGACCCACCCCGCCGCAAGAACTGGTCGTTGCACAGGATGATCGCGCGCGAGGAGGCCCGGGGTGAGGTGCCGCCCATCCCTTCCCGCGAGGAGCAAGGACAGAAGGACTGGGATACTATCCTCGACCACGCTGATGTTTCCGCTCCGACGGACGCTCAACGACCGAAGGGATCCAAGGTCACTGCCTTTATCTCCAAGCTGAAGAAGAGCCGGTCTCGCTCGTCCGACAACGAAGAGTTCGTCCAGAGTGTGTCTTCCGAAGTCAACCCTTGGTTCGCCCCTCCTCCCGAGACCCATCTCACCGACTCGCACGTGAGTGCTTCCCCACATGGCGATCTGCACATGGCAGTCGCTTACTGAGCTGGTCCTCCACCTTGTTTTTTCTCCGCACAGCCGACTTCACTGCCCCCGGTATACACCGCGCACCCGATCCGTACTCTGCAGCCCTCGCCACCTCCACTCCCGCCCCGTCAACGTTCTTCTGACCCATCCCAGCTTCCGTACACTTCCCACGAGGTACCCCCTCCCCCTTCTGCTCGTACCTGCCCTTGGCGCTGACCCGTCTCTACGGCGTAGGACGATCCGTTCGCCGATTTCGAGTCTGCCGCGACCGCGCCCCGCCAATCCCGTGCCCCACCGCCAGGCCTTTCTATTCAGACCGATCTTGTGATGCGTCCCCTTGGGCTTCCTGAGCTCGCCCGGGACGTGCCACAGGATGTGTCGCAGTCGACTCGCAGCTCCGCACAGCCCGTACCGATGCCCCTCCCGCTCTACTACGGCTATGATGGTCCGACTTCACCCGTTTCAACGATCCCGGCGAACCAGTTCTTGCGTCCGCCCCCGTTCCATGCACGCCCCAAGCCCAAGCAGGTCGTGCTTGCGGTAGACCCGGACGCGTCGACGCCGATCACACGCCACCTGAACACGAACCACGCGCGCAAGTCCTCGCAGGCGGTGGACCCGTTCGTGACGCCGTTCGACGACGAGCACCGCGTGATGAATCCGTTCGCCGCGGTAGCGGTATAGGTGCCAGCCACATGAACATACACGCCTCACGCCCTCGCTCCGTTTGTGTTCTACGCCTACACCCCCCAGCTCGTCGACCCCTCCCGGTTACGTTTCTGTCTTCTGCACGCTTCACGTCTCGTTACGCCCATCGGACGCCCTCACCCTGTAGCCTCTAGCAAGTATCTGCCTCGCAACCGCTGTATCTATCTACCTACTGCCCCCACGCTAATACCCTGGCGCGCTGTGCCGCGCCGTAAGTACGTACATAACTCTCGTCTGCTCGTTGCACACTGGTCTGGAGCCGTGTTGTCTGTACCCCTGGAGGTCCGCGCTTTGTATTTTACATGGTTCTGCCGTTCGTTTCTTGTCGCTCGAACGCCCTTCGGGTGTCTACTGCGTAGCTCCGCATAATGGAGGTCGTTCAAGATACTTTCGCAAGACGCGTCGGATGAATCAAGTCGGCGATCCTTCAGGTACTTGATGTCAGTTGAACGTAATTACATTGAACGTTGATATCGAGGCTCGTAAAGCTGGCGCTGTCGGTCCGGGCCGGGCCAGAATCGGCGCCGCGTCTAATGTCACCAAATCCGAGTCTCTGATCAACCTGACCTTAGTCTCCCTAGGCATCCCATATTCTATGACCTGACCTGTATTTGCACCAAATTGCCTCCTCCTGCCCACAGGAGGTTGGCTGTCGCCCCTTTCCAGAGCTAAATGAAGCCTCCATCATGTCGTCGTTACGGGCTGCTCATCATCTCTTCCTTGCGCCAATGCCCAAGTTTCTGCAAGACGGAATTAGGAGGCTGAAAGAATCGACGGTGGCAAAATGGACGAAGAGGTCGCTTCAGACCGGGGCAGGTATGCTCTTGAGCCATTGTCTGTAATCCATCAACGTAAATCAATGTCTCATTGCAGCACAGCGCACAGGGTCTGAACTGCGCACCCTCAACGACGGACACCATAGCGGCAAGTCCATGGCCCTCAGTGGTGGACCGAATGCCACCCTCTGAATGCGCTCAGCTTGCCGGTCTCTCTGTCAGTGAAGCACAGGTGTGGGCTCTCTCCCGCATCAACCAGTGCCGTCAGCTCGTCGAATCCTCGTCACGTTCCATAATGCCATTGCTCCAATTCACCGCTCCCTCCCTCCCGAGGTGCTCGCCGAGATCTTTTTACAGCACGCCACAGCGGACATCCCCGCCCACTCGTAGTTGCGCACGTCTGCCGTACCTGGCGCTCGTCGCTCTGGACACCCCGTGCTTGTGGGCTGCCGTCGCTGGCTCTTCTGTCGGGCCCCTATCCGACCTTCGGTTATACATGGACAAGGACCTCGAGACACAGCACACAAATCGTCTCGAGTACACCACTGCCGTCTTGCAATGGTCGAAGGCCACCCCACTCCATCTCCAGTTGAACCAGGGCATGCCCACTGGACCAGTCAGTCCGGCCTTGGGACGCCATGCAAGCAGAATCGTCCACCTCTCGGTCCACATTACCAGCGTCGATACCGTCGTTGTGCTGTACGGTTTTATCAAAGCCTACAGGGTCTCAAGCCTCGAGATGCTGTCTATCGTGCCGCCGGATCCCGTCGAGTTTCTGTACAATTACGACCCAGAGGATTTCTCGTTCCACACACTCGAACAAGTCGAGTTTCCTGTCCTTCGCGTTTTGTCGGGCGTCCCTCTCGACTTCCTCCCGTATCTGGTCCGCCCTACGTTGCTCGAAGTACGCATCGACAAACCGCTCTTTAGGCCTCCAGAGGTATCTGCCTTGGGGAACCAGGGCGAACGCCTCGTGGCCGCATTGGAAAAGTGTACAAGAGTCGAGAGCCTTGTGTTGAACTTGCCACTCCCTTTGCGGGAACTGTATAAAAACCTCTCGCCGCCGGGATGGGACCCCGAGGTCGACTGGAGTACCCGCAGAAAGGTCACGCTTCCGTCATTGCAGACCCTGCTCGTGTGTGCCGGTCCCAGCACATGCGTCGCGTTCTCGAGACTACTTTCAGCCCCTTCAGCCCTCCATCGCATCTTCTCCCTCACCAACGCACTACCCGACAGCAGCGCGCAATGGGACGAGCTCCTCAAGAACCCAGACGTTGGGGCACAAGGTCTAACCCAGCCTCTCTCTGGCTCTGTGTTCACCGTGGCATCGACTTCGAAAATTTTAAGCCCATGCGGAAGCCACAAGCTGAGGGTCGGGCCGTCGCAGACGAACGGCGTGATCTACATTCAGTTCGCAGCGGACCGCCGCACCCTCCTCCCCCTCCTCCTGCCGCTGATCGCGGCGATGACTGCGCCAGTCCCGCCCGCGGACCTCTCCGTCTCCCCCATGCACGACGCGGACGACGCACTCAGCCAGGCGACCGTCCTCCTCCGCGCGTTCCCGTCCCTCACGCCCTCTCGCTCAACGGGCCCTGGTGCGACGCACTGCTGCAGGCCCTCGCGCCGCCGGCGCGCCGCCGTGCTGCCCCGCGCTGCGCAAGCTCACCGTGTCGTTCCCGGTCGCCTCGACCCCGGGTGCGCCGGGGTACGCCCTCTGGTGCGCGCTGGCGATGCGCGCAGACGGCTGGGAGGAGGAGGGAGGGCGGCGCTCGCGGTGCACCGCGCGACGATCGTGGGCGCGCTCGAGCGGCGGTCCGCGCTCGGTATGCGTCTCGACGAGCTGCGGTGGGGCGCGGAGGCGTGGAGCACGACCGCGGGGCGGTTTGGGTGGGAGACACGGCGTGTCGGCTGGTGCCACCCGGACAAGGTGGGCGTAGAGAACGGTGAGGATCTCCGGGGTCTCGTCGATGGAACCATTGCGGTGATGGACTTTACCTACGAGCTTTAGCCTTTGCTCGTATGTTCATACTTATGGCGACTCCGGTCAACTATGTACATTACACCTGTTGTAAGATCTTCTCCTCACGAGTGTAGAGTGACGACCAATCGTAGTTGACAGAAGGGCGACGGTGTATGGTCCACAGAGCAAAAACAGACTCTTCACTGCAACACGCTCCGCGCAAAGAACACGCGCACAGCCTCGGCCCCCGCCTTCCGCCTTCGTTTCTGGGTCATTCGCTAACGGTGCGGAGTACATCCAGATCTGTGGTCGTGAGCTTTTCTGCAGGTAACCAACACCGACTTGCCCGCCTGGGTGGTAATGCCTGTACGTCCGAGTTAGTCGGACACTGGGTAGAACCAAAACCGCGGTATAGAACATACCCTTGCGTCAAGTGATAGAGGATGCGGTCGATACTCTCACTGTCGTGCTGAACGTACCACGAGCAATCGTAGTATGTGCACTCCTCCGTGTTCCCTTTCGCATCCGGGTCTTCCAGCACGCGAGCGGCAGCGGCGGCGGCGACGTGTCCCACGCACAACGGACGCTCGACCCATGCGTGGAATATCTGTTGTAGTTTATTGATTAGTTCAAGCCAGCAGTAGCTCAGGGAGGCAGAGGGGCGTACCGCGCCTCCCACGTGAACACCTGCTTCTCCTCGCCAGATTTCGCGCAGAGTCTGCAACGCAGGCGCACATGCGTGGCATTCATGTCGCCACGTCGTGGTGCTCGGGTCGAGCTTGCACGTCTCGACGACATCCGGGAGATGAAGTGCGTTGACCGGAGACTCAACGGGCTGAGGTATGCCCACCGGCGTAATTCTCTGTGACTGTAGTCGCCTCGTCCGCCAGGCCTCTGACAGGAGCGTCTCGAGCTGGCAATCTATAGATCGCTCCAGTTGAACTTGAAAGGTACTTGGGGAGTCAAGATAGCGGTGGTCGAGGGCTCCGGGAATCGCAAGCTGCGGGCATCGCATACGCTATAGAACGATGCCATAGTGAGTGTGACCAGGTCCTCGAACTCGTGTGCAGCGCAAGCTAACTTGTTGCAAATATTGCTGACTTCACAATTGTGCTGAGGCCGAGATCTATGTTATTAAGTTCGTCCAAAGTGCCATATTTACCCAATTAAGGCTCCCAACCACTCCGCCACGCGCAGCCGTCCCCGATCCCGCCACGCATCCCCACCATCCCTCGTCGGTGGAGTGCAATCGCGGCGACGATGCAAACGTGCCAGATTGCGTGCGACCCGCCGCCGAGCCAGTCGAGCACGTTTGCGCGGAGGGCTGGCCAACGGTGGGCCAAGACACATTCGGGAAAGTGTGTGGCGTAGAACACCAGGCCGATAATGTAGGAGAGGAAGGATGGCGCGATAGGCGCGATAAAGCTGGCGGCTCCGCGTGGGGAGTGGAGATAGGCGAGGGTGATGATCGGGGCAAGGCTGCTGAACGCGAGGGAGAGGAAGAACGCGATACGCCAGTTCTGATGAGGAAAATACCATCACGTATCTTCCAAAGGGTGATCGCAAACATACGTACCTTGTACTCGCGCTGGTTAAACCAATCGCAGAAAGGGAATATACTGCCGGAGACACCAATAGCCAAACATAGGAGCAAAAACGCATCGCGCAGAGTATGTTGACACTGGAAGCCGTAATAGACGACCGTGCCCACACTCGCGCTGATGAGCCTGCATCCAGGGGAAAATCAGGATCAGCGCGCACCCTGATGAAAATCAGGTACAGGACGTACCAGCCAATCCCCACATAGTCGACTCGCGCGCAGAGCTCCATACCTTGCGGGTGTGCGCAACCGGCCATGGTATGCCATAGCGAGCTCGTGAAAAGGCACAGGAGTGCAAATGCCCCAAACACCACCTGTGCCGGTTCATGAAGTCGACTGAGGAAGAGAACCATGCGGACGACCATAATAAAAAGGGTATCAAATGCGTGTGGATATTGACTGTTGATCGTGATCAGTGACCATCGTCGCGAACTGCTGGGCATCAAGGAGATCACGGCTACTCACGGGTCTCGTTGTGGAGAGCAAAAAGCGAGAGGACAATCCGGGGCCATTGTGGAGCGGGATGAACCTGCAGATAGAAGGGGTTGGCTATCAACGTGGAAAGAGAGGGGCGCACGTTGCTCACCGATAACCTCCCTGGACGAATTGGTTGTTTCGCCACTGCTCCGGGAGGTCGACATACTCGATGAGACGGAGCCCGTCGAGAGACCGCTTCATCGCACGTGCAACCTCTATGGCCGCCTTCTCCAACGTTTCCTCTCCGCTTCGGATATCCGATGAGATTTCAGCCAAGAGATCGGAGGAGAGCACTTTGTCCAGGAGAGACGAAAGCGTCGCACTGGGGGGGAATGGAGCGGGGGCCAACGTGCTTGAGGAGAACTCGGTAGCAGACAGATGCGCCTGGAGGGATTGCAGACGGGACGAGAGGGTGGGGACGAAGCTGAGCGGTCTCTGGAAGTCTATGTCGGAGAAGCGGGAGCGGACATCATCTAGTCGTGAGCGGACATCGGAGAGGGTGAAGTCGGGAAGATGGGAACGGACGACATCCGGGACGTCTGGGAGGTGGGCTCGCATCTCGGCGAATGAGGGACCTTCCGGGATGTGCGCGGCGACCATGTCTTCGACGCCCTCGAGTGTGAGTTCCGGGATGTGGGCACAGACGTCTTCGCGGATGGACCGGAGCATGTCAAGCCCGTCGCGGGCCCATGCGCGAGCATCTTCAATGGTCGTCTCGCCCTTGGCTACCAGCGACTCGGCCGTGATGGGTGCTTCGAGGAGCGCGAGGCGGTTCTCGAGATCGGCGAGGTAGGAGAGGACGTGGAGGCGGAGAGATGCTAGGGTAGGGGCGAGCGAAGCAAGCGACAGGTCGAGGGCCTCGACGGAGTGGGGCAGCTGGTGACATGGCTGGGAGAGGGCATACCGTCCGGAGGAGAGTCTGCGCCGAGGGCGGACCTGGGGCTGCGGGGGTCGGATAGGTGCTCCTGGACAGCAGTGGTGGTCGCGGTTTTGCCCATGGGGATGGATGTCGGGGAGAAGAAGAGGAAAGGGGACCTGAGCCTCAGAGGGACTATGGCATGTGCGGGAGGCTATACATGCGGTTTAAGAGGAGCCGTGCATGCATGAAACCCGGCGACAGCCCCGCGGCGGGTGTCGGCCCCATGCGATTATGTCAGCACGCATGTGATCGCGTCTCATCGTGCGTCTCTGCCCTGAACGCGTCTCACCTCTTCGTTTTCCTCCATTCGCACCCATCCCTCCCTCGCGCCTTTCTTCGTGTATCACACATCTGTCGATTTTTGTGTCCTTGGCCGCGTTTTTGGCCGCATACAGCTACCACTTGGTGGGATTCCAAGAAATCTCCCGAGTACGCCACATTCATCTGTCGACTCTTGGCATACTCTGACAAGCCACTCCTGGCAGCATGGCCAACCACTATCTCGTAGCTGGACTGGGAAACATCACGCACCCGCTGACAAAACATAGGTACGGCAGCTGCTATTTGTGTGCTCCCCATGGGCTGAGGCTTTGCATCACCAGTCTCGGTCATTACGTGATAGACGGGCTGGCATCACGTTTGTCAATACCTTTGCATTCCGAACGGCTAGGGCATATAGGTACAGGAGACATCACAGTAGGAAAGGAGACATTCAAACTCACCCTGTTCAAACCGAGTGAGCATCATCCGACCGCCTTCCTCGCCTTCTTCTCTGACCTCGCACTGCAGAGGCATTGATGAACATCTCTGGGCCACCAGTTGTCCAGACATTGCGTCGCACGGCCATCAATCCCGACCGCTTGATAGTCCTGCACGACTCTCTAGATCACAAACCACGTGCCGTGTCACCGAAATTCGCTGGCTCGGCCGGTGGTCACAACGGCGTACGAAGCATCATCGGCGCTTTAGGCAACAATGCGAACTTTCACCGTCTTCGCTTGGGTGTGGGTAGAGGTCACGGCAGCCACGACCGATCTGACGTCTCCAACTTCGTCCTGGGGCCTATATCCGAGGAGGAGCGTGCGTTTTGGGGTGAGCCAGGGATCGGTCTAGTTTGGGGGGCGACGATGCGAATCCTCGAGGGAGGGCTCAGGAAGGGGAGATAAGGATGAGGAGGACGGGCCCCCGCACGGCGCACCTAGGGTGATATGCGTTATGTGAGTGCATTTATAGCGGCCCTGCTGCACATGCGCGTTGAGCGGCTTCTGATGATATAAAGTAGTCGGCGGCGGTTGCGCCATCACGCGACCGTATGTCACCTGCATTATCGAGAACATGAGCGTGGTCGTGCTCGCTTCTGATGACGGTAGAGAAGCCGGCGGCGCAGTCCGACGGTACGTTGGCGCTGCTTCTCCGGTCGCGTTCCCCGCCATTCTCTGTCCACGCGTACCGGCACCTCCGTTACAGCGCGACACGCTCATCACGGGGACACAGCGCTCCGCGTTTCCTGCACGTCGCATGTGCTCACCCCCATCTTCGCGACATCGCGTATCGTTCCATTGCAGACCAGACCCTGGGTCGTGTGGCGGCGACGGCGGGGGTACATACATAAGGTGGGGCGGAAAAGCGTCGGCTCCTCCGCGGTCTGCCTGCATTTCGTCGGCCCTCGTCCTTCCATTCGTCGCCCGCGCCTTCGACGCCGACCTCCATGGCTCCGTTAGCTCTCTGGGGTCTCGTCGCCGCCTTCACTGGGCTTGTGCACGCGCAACCTACGCCTCAGCTGCAAAAGCGCATCTCTGTCGCTATCAAGGCGGCTGGGGAGTCCAATTCTACGGTTGTCGACTACACCAAGTTTGTAAACGTCTTCATTGGTACGGACAACGACGGCGATGTCTGGTAAGCTCGATGTTCTTCCACTTCTGAGAATCGCCGCGCTGACAACTTGCGTCTTTCGCGACATCCGTCTGTTAGCCCCGGTGCATCTGTGCCATTCGGAATGGTGCGTGACCCTCGGGGTTCCCCTTGTTGCTCGTTAACATATGGGCGTCTTGCAGGTAAAGTTCTCGACGGATTTAACGGGATATGCTCCTGCCGGTCCGTGCTCGTGGAAACTTCTTTCCCAAACTCTCCGTGCTGAACCGGCGGCGTTCCATGCCAGGCTACATCACCGATCCGACCCAGACCATTCGGGGTCTAAGTCCCATGCACGATAGTGGCACGGGTTCTTCCCTCGGTAAGTCCGGCTCACTCGTGCCGTGCGGACAATAGATTTCATGCTTGTGCAGGTACATATGGAAACTTTGAGATTATGCCAATGTTTTGCCCCGACGGATTCAACTCGTGCAACGTGACCCTTGCTGAGCGTGAGCGATTCAGGAAAAACCACACCGACGTGGGATCCATTTCCTCTCATACCTCAAGTCGAGACTTACCGTTTCGCGTATTACTAGGATGGCTCTCCAGGATACTTCACACAGACTCTCGACAATAACATCAAGATGGAGGCCACCTCGACGCGTCGTGCGGGCCTGGAGCGGTTCACCTTCCCTGGGAAAGAGAAGCCCTATTTCGTCCTCGACCTCGCCAACGATCTTCCCGCGTCGTACATGGGGGGTCATATGGAGATTGATCCTGAGGCGGGCCGGATCACTCTTGGCGGACGATGGGGTTCCAGGCGAGTACATCGTTGTTGGCGTCGTGCTGTGGTTCTTATGATTCCGTGTTTAGTTTCGGGCCCGGTATCTACAGCTACCAGGCATTCGCATGCTATGATCTGCTCAATGGGGCACGCAAAAGTTGAGTGAATACGGTGTATGGACTGGATACACCAAGTTAGTCGTCCTTCCTTGATATGTCGTCCTCTGAGTACTTATTTGTGCATACAGCGAAAACTTTGATGCAAAGGGCCTGGGTCTTACATCGCTCAACTTGACACGCAACCTCATTGGCGGTGTTTACGAGTCCGGTGCACTATTCTCCTTCGAGCCAACCGAGCGCGAGATCATCATTCGCGTCGGCATCTCCTTCGTTTCGCCTGACCAGGCTTGCGCCAACGCCGAGAGCGAGGTCGGTGACGCGACCTTCGACGATATCATGGCGCAGTCCAAGGCGCTCTGGAACGAGAAGCTCGGCAAGATCGCTATCGACCTTGCAAACACCCCGGCGAACGTAACGGAGCTCCTATACTCTTCGCTCTATCGCGCGTCACTCACGCCCAACAACGCGACGGGAGAGACCCAAGGGCCGTTCGCGGGCACGACCCACCCCTACTTCGACTCGCTGTACTGCAGTTGGGACACCTTCCGGACCTTCTATCCACTCATGTCCCTCCACTCCCCCGTCGAGTTCGCGGAGATCGTCGACAACTACATCGACGGCTGGCGCAAGCTCGGCTGGATGCCCGAATGCCGCGCGAACAACGTGCCCGGGTGGACGCAGGGTGGCTCATCGGCGGACAACATCGTCGCACAGTTCGCGATGCTTTATCACAACGAGGCGGCCGCGCTTGGAATCGACTTGAACGAGCTGTACGAAGCGATGCTCGCGGACGCGGAGACCAACCCTCCGGAGTGGAACACGCTCGGGAGACAGGTGAACGTGTACAAGGAGTACGGGTATGTACCGTACGCCGTCTTGGATCCCGACAGCGTTGGTCGTCAAACCCGCGAGGGGAGCCGTACGCTTGAGGTAACGCCCAATTTCCACACTGGCTTCTCAGTCACTGATTGTGCTTCAGTACGCTTTTGAGGACTTCGCAGTCCGCAATGTTGCGCTCCTCCTGGGCAAGACGGACGACGTCGCCAAGTACACGAACCGCTCCCTGTTTTACCGCAACGTATGGGACCCGACGGTCGAGTCTGACGGTTTCAAGGGTACGTCTCTTCTATGGCCTGCATTACCTGTGCTCACACTGCCACAGGTTTCTCGCAGAAGCGCCGCACCAATGGCAGCTTCGCCAACACCTCCCCCGTCGACTGCTCTCCAGTGGACACGGACCAGAACCGCGAGTGCTCCCTCCAGGGCGACAACAACGTCGGCTTCTACGAGTCCTCCTCCTGGGAGTACTCCTGGTTCGCCCCCCACGACACCGCGCACCTCGTCGGGCTCATGGGCGGAAACGCGACGTTCGTCAAGCGCCTCGACCACTTCTTCGACGCCGGCTACTACCTCGCCGGGAACGAGCCCTCGTTCCAGACGCCGATCGGGTACCACTACGTGGACCAGCCGGCCAAGTCCGTCGACCGCGTCCGCGAGGTCGTCTTCACCAACTTCGACATCACCCCCGCCGGGCTCCCGGGCAACGACGACCAGGCGGCGATGGCGACCCTGCTCGTCTTCCACCTGCTCGGGCTCTACCCCGTCCCGTCCACGTCCCAGTACCTCGTCCTTTCGCCCTTCACGCCCTCGTACACGATCCACAACTCGTACCTCAACACGTCCACGACGGTCACCACGCGCGGCTTCGATCCCAAGTCGGTCGCGAACCCGATCCCCGATGGCGCGGCGGCCTACGTCAAGAGCGTCTCCGTGAACGGCGTCGAGCTCGCGAACCGCTGCCACTTCGACTTCTACGACACCTTCCGCATCGGCGGCGAGATCGTCATCGAGGTCACCGCGGACAAGGACGAGGGCAACAGCTGCGGCAACAGCGTGCCCGAGTCGATCTCGACCGGCGGGTTCGCGAGTGCGAGGTAGCGAGGGAGACTGGACCAAGGCCTGGATGTATAAGCACACGATTATAGGCGTGGATGTCAGATAGCATTGGTGCATAGCAGCAGATCGTACAGTGTAACAGCGAGGGGGCACGAGAGAAACGGCAAATACTACACAATCGCAATCCGATACATGACCGAGGACATCCAGCACGTAGTAGTCGTAAAGACGGGCATGAGAAGCAGAGCGGGGGATACACAATGGGGTCTAAAGGGTCCGTTCACCTTGATGGGCCAGCACCAAGGTCGGCAGTCTGAGGGGGATGTACGATAAGTACTCCGCTGTTATTTGGGTCCGTGATGATATCAATGCGGTAGCTATAATATAAAACACTAGTTAGCAGATATTATACAGCAGTAGCGCATATCAACGTACTCAGCCATAGCGCCGATAACGGCGAGCTTGATTGCAGGAATGCTGTTCTTCGAGTGGTTGCCCCGGCCGGTGATGATGCGCAACTCGGGGGTCTTCGTGACCATCGCGTCGTACAACGCCTGCTCAACTTTCTCGATAGCCTCCGCAACCTTCAGCCGGTGCACATCGATGGTCTGTGGCTCCGGCTTGAGGTTGTGTGCTGGATATATGCGTCCCATCAGACCCCGCGCTGGACCCGGACGGAGAAGACTACGCACCTCGATAGAACCGCCTCGCAGCCTTCGCATGCAGCTCCTTCGTCTCCTTCTCCGCCCGCGCCATCTCGTGCTTCAACCTGAACGCCGCCCAGTGGTCCTGCGACCTCTTTGCCGTCTCAAGCTCCTTCCTGAGCTGCGCCCGCCGCTTGTCCGCCACGTCCGCGTCCGTGCGAAGCGATTCTGCACGTTGAAGGAGCCTCTGACGGTCCCCGTCGCCCGAGAGAACACTTGCCCCGGGGGTGTCGTCATCGGGCTCCTCAGGGGGCTGCACCTCGCCATCTCCAGGCGTACGCTCGTACGCGGGGGGCGGCTCCGTGCTGAGGCGGCTCCCACTTGCGCGGTTGGCAGCGGCCGCATCCGTGGTGGATGCACGGGCACCCGAGCGCCGCTTCCCTTTCTTGTCGTCCGCGATGAACTGATTGGGGGCGTTTATCCCGGGGCTCGGCTGGGGCGTCTGCATGTCCGGGATGAGTTCAGGTCGTGCAAGCGCGGCGCGGACTTGAGCGGAGTCGTCCGAGTCCTGGAAACGTATCGGGATCGGGACCGGCGCGGTATCGGAGGGGTCGCGCGAGGCTACGCTGGGGGTATGCGTGCGCAGCACCTCGTCGATGACTCGGACTGGGGGCAGGGCGTGGCCGCGGCGCGGGGGCGGACTGTGCGCGGGGGTGGTGAGCCCTGACTTGACCGGCTCGGGACTGTAGACCCCGTCGGCGGGCCGTTCGGTGTCACTCGTGACGGGGGTGGTGAGACCCGATCCCCTCGAACCGACGCTGCGTTCGTCGTCGGACAAGACACGGTTGATGGACGGAGAAGGGGGCGGGGGAGGCTTCGACGATTTCGGTGGTTGAGATGTTCGCGTTGGTTGCGAGGGCTTGGAGGTGGGATTTTTCGCAGTAGGGGCGGATCTACTTGGTGTGGAGGGCTTGACGGGGGCAATCCGCTCGATGCCGTCGGGGATCGTAGGAATCGACACATACTCCAGCTCTGGAGTGACGGGGCGAGGAGTTGGAGGTAAGAGGTTGGGATCAGGCGCAGTGACCGGGACGGTGACAGGCACGGGCACCGGGATGGGGACGGGAATGGGTATCGCAGTGAGAGGCGGGGAAAGAGTTGGGGAAGAGAGGACGGGAGCAGGGAGGGGTGTCACGGAGGATGAGGGGCTAAGAATGGAGAGTATGCTAGCCGGAGGTGTGGTCCGTAATGGTCGTGATAATTCGCGCGTATAAGGTCGTGAATGAGAGACGAGGGGTTCGGACCAGCTGACGGAGCCTTGGCTGCGAGAAGTTGAGGTGCCGTGCGAGGTCACTGATCCTTCGCGAGGGGATGTTGCGCTTGCGCCCGAAACACGATCTGCAGACGTGTCCGTCTCCGAACCCGCGAACGCGCCTGGGACGCGCAATGCTGGACGACGGGGTACTCCTGAACTTGCGGAGGAGATGGAACGGAGGGGTACAGATGCCTCGGTAGCACTGGGTGTGCGTTGGGTGAGGGGCGGGCTTCGTGCAGTGCCATCGGGGCTCCGGAGGGTAGAGGCTGTAGAGATGGTGGTGGGTGGGACCTGGTAGTATTGTGCACGGGAGGGTGCGGCGGAGGCGGAGGAAGAGGATGATCGGCGAGGACTTGGGCTCGAGCTCGAGACTTGGCTGAGTAAAGGGTAGATGACGGCGTGGCGCACAGAACGCATGAGCCTTTGGAAGCGTCGATCGGCAGCCATGTCGATGCCAACGTCGGTGAGGAGCATGCCCATGAAGGTCCATAGCAAGACGATGAAGAGCCGGACATAGCTGTTTGTCCAGAGGAAGTCGACGAGGAGGCGGAAGGCATAGGCGGCGTAGGGGTCGATGGTGGAGGGGTATTTGGTGATGAAGTGTCTGAGGACAGCGCCCTCCCAGAGACCGACGAGCGAGCCATCGACCCTATGGTTGTGTTGGGTGACGATGTCGATGAGCGCGCGTAGGCCAAGCCCAAGGCCGATGGCGACTATGTTGTCCATTGAGCATGCCCGGGGCGGCGCGAGAGGTGCTGAGCGAAGAGGACGATGAGGGCGGGGGCAAAGTCGACGTGCGCGAACACAAAGTCTGTGCGCCAATTCCCCCCGCCATTCTCACGCCCGGCGCCTCTATGCGCACGGACCCGGACCGGGCGAGGGCCGCTCTCTAGACGCCGAGAACAATGGACTTCCAGAGTCTTTTTTTTGGTGGAGCGCATAGTATGCCTGAGCTCCCCCACCCAGTGGTCCTCTTGTGAGGCTTGTGATGGGATCGACTTCCGGAGTCTTTCAGTGAAAGATAGAAATGGTCGCTCCTAGACGACTCATGCCGCAGGACAGGGGTTCGAACAATGTGGCACATCGCCCGTAGTTAAGACCGTCTGAGCTCGCATCCTCGGTCTCGTCCACCACCCAACTCACCTTGCACGCGAAAAGTCATGCCTCCTCGCAAGAAAGCAAAGATCGAACTCGCAATGAGTTCGCGCTCCCCTATGACATCCGAACTCATACCCACCTCCACCCCTGGCGAAGGTACGTGTCACTTCCGTGGATTCTATCGCACTGCGAAGGCTCACAGACCAGTTTTTGGACCAGCTCAATTCAAGATGACACGAAGTCGGAGAAAACTTCAAGAAAAGCTAAATAATGGGTTGTTCGCTCTGCCGTTGGATATATTCTTGGAGGTGACACCGTGATCTCCATCGCTTTACGTCCCCTTTCTAACCTACCATCCAGGTCTTGACGTATCTTCATCCTCAAGACTTCTTGAGCCTTGCGCGCACAAACAAGGCTCACCGACGCGACTTGCTTAATAAGGAACGAATGGCGCTCCCTTGGAGACGATCTTTCCAAAAGTATTCACCTGATGTTCTGGAAGTGCTAGACAACATGTCTTGCCCCGCTTTGGCTGGATTGCTCTTCTCGGATCATTGCCATGCGCGTTTGTCTTTCGTGCGATTGCCAAGTGTGTTGCTCACAATTATGATGCAGGGCTGCGCAAAAGTCGGTCATTTCACGCTGATTGAGCGGTGGTTCGTACGCTATTGCCCGCGATGTTCGGAGAAGCTGTAAGTCTTCCGAACCGTGGCACAGCGAAAAGTCATCCATCTGACCCGGCTAACAGGAGCGTCCGACACTCGGATCCTCTATGCAGTCGCATCCTAAAGAAATTCGCAAAGTTGATATCGTCGGAAACTCACCTCAGGAAGCTATGTGTGACAAAGCTTCCAACATCGTGAGCCTTTTTTCTATCCAGCACTCAAGAGTCCAGCATTGACCTCGCTTATGAAGCTCATACGCTACTGTCGAGTTCCATAAGGTCGATCTCTCGAAGCTTCTGCAGAGCATAACTGGCATGCGAAACCTTGCAACCAATCGGAGGTTCTTTTCGGAGGTGAAGCAAACCACTATTGCACGTAAGAAGGTGTGTTTCCCCGTCGGTTTTCGAGGCAGGCTATGTGCAAACCCATCATGTCAGCATGCGGATCTCCTCTGGAAGTGGGAGGCTCAGGAAGAGCGTAGGCGGGAAGCACAAAATCGCCAAAAACGTCGGGATCGCCGAGATGCGTCAGTCAAGTGTTGTACCACGCCTTTAGTCAACGCTGCTCACCGATGAACCTTAGTATTGAGGCACGGCTCCGAGAGGCAGGATGGGGGGAAGAGATCGACAAACTGTCGTCGGAGTCCCGGTGTGTGCTCTGGAATATGAAGATAGTTGTCGAACCCCGGGAGCTGACGGAATCTGGTACGTGTTCATCTCACATACATGGTCACCACAAACTCATCGCGCTCGTTAAGACTGGCTCAACGTGCGCAAAATTCTCGTTAGGTTCCTGTCAACTGCTCGAGCCACTCGGCTAGCCAGAAAGTCCGAGGAGAAAGCACGGCTCTTTTACTCCGCCGTTTGGACCTATCGGGATATGCGCTGGAACAGTGGATCTGGATACCAGGTCGTCGGCAGCATGGTCGACTATGCCAGAATATCGAAAGTCCAAGAGATCATCGAGGACCCCGATAGCTCCGACACACTCAGAGACCGGCTCTTATCCGTCCTCCCCGGTCTCAACCAACTGTGGGCCGAGCCGCACCTCGCTCGCCTAGTCGCGATGTTCCGACAGGCGGTTGGCGACGCGACGGCTGTGGATAACTTCAAAGCGCCTCTCCGTCTGGCCATCTCCGCGTTCGAATGCACGCAGTGCGGCGAGGGAAACCTGCACTTCCCTGACGTATGCGGGCACCCATGCGTCAACGAGGTCGACGAGCTACCGAAAGCTGCGGATCCGTACGAGGAGCGCATTTTCACGTACATCGCGAAGCGCAAATGCCCCGATCACGAGCGGCCCCGCCTACGCAACACCGGCGTACTCCAGCTCGCCCGCTCCCTCCCTGTCGCGCGGGACGTCGTGTCCGTGTGCGGTCTGGACCCGTACGCGGTGACTCCCGCGGACGTAGAGGCGTGTGGAGTGCGTCTGAAGTGCGGGATCTGCTCGAAGAAGAAGTTGGAGTGGGAAGTGTTCGACTGGCATTCGGCGGTGAGCACGGACACGCATTGCATTTGCCATTGAGAGTTCCGCTGAGCCCGACGCGCGCAGATCTCTCACGACTTGCGGTGCCACGACGCTCTGCCGAGGCGTGCTCAAAGTCACTGGACTCGCTTGACGGACGCCGAGGCCTCGGCGTCGCGGGACCTTGAGGCCAGGTTATCTCAAAACTCCCCGGATCGCAAAAAGCGCTATCGCTGTACGCGGTGCGGCACGTCCGAGCCGGAGATGATAGGCAAGCATCTTATAGATGAGTGAGTATTGTACAGCGGTCATTTACGTGGTGAATGCGCACTAAACTCGTCATCTCCTAGACAGGAACGGCTCTTTGGGCATACTACTGACCACGAGGAGAGCGTCACGGACCGCGGGGTGTGGATGTTTCCCGATTTCAGGTCACCGAGCGCCCTTATTCGAGAGAAGATCGCCGCTGGACTGGCCATCTCGTACTCGGTGCCTCGGAAGTCCACTCGGAATTCAGCACGGCCGAACGTTCGGTAGTTGTTCATGTATTTCGAGGTCCGGGGATCTTCATTTGCACACAACCAACTGTAGACAAAACAACGCCGTTTTGCTGTGGCTTAGGCAATTCGTCCTATCTACTCGGTATTGAAGCCCCCTCCCAAAGTCTCTTGTTCACAAACGGTAGCGTGAATGAACGTTGATCCCACTGCACAGACATGGTTTCGTCGGCAACGATGCTGGTGACAATGCTCCTTGATGATGGAATATGCGTGTTGCTTTTGAGTGTACACTAAGTATACGGCCTACTCTGAGCCCACTACGCTGGCACGTGCAGCGAGCTGCTTCCGGGACATCAACCGCGTCCTTTTCCTGAGTCCGCGTCGTTATATGGGACTCACTCGCTCCCAAGCCCGCACGGCTTGGCGTCTTCACCGCCCTCTGCAGCCAGCTGGTGCCATGGAATGCAGTGAACGCCTGCCTACACAAGCTGAGTGCTACATGATACTTCCCCCGCCGCCCCCGTCCAGGCCCCTCCCTCCCTTGGTGTCGCTCTCTACTCTGCTTTGACTCGCAAAGTTCCGGCCGTCTGAAGACGCGTGCGGGGAGCGTAACCCCACCTTGACAGTGGAATCCATACCGATACACGCCCGCTGTGAGTTATCGTCTCGATCTATGTGTCTCCCCTCGTATGCGCCTCCAGTACTCGGTGCCCATAGCCCCCGGGTCTGGTCACTATGGCTTTTTTCGAGGGTCTCCGTCTTTGTGTGCTTGCTCGGTCGTCTCAACGTCTCTTTTGGTGTCACTCCTTACTTCTTCGTCAACGAGTCCGATTTCCTATGATATTCCGTTTTTATCAGGCGCTCCTCTAGGCGAGAGGCCCCAGAAGTAGACCGACAGACGGCTTACATGACTCATCGCGTTGCAGGGGTGCTCGGCCCCATCGTGGTTTCTTGGTATGCATCCATCTGTGTTCGGAGCTCTGGGCATGGCTGTGAGCTGTGTCAACATCACTGATTGGACTCCGCGGATGCGCATCTGCATGACTCATCCCATCACCGCGAACCGCAGCGAGCGGGCAAAGCCTCCACATGGTACACTGCGCGGCTACCAATACGGCAAACCTAATACACTCACCCCAACCGACTTTGAACGTCCGAAAAGCCTCCTTCTCCAGACCGTCAATGGTCACCATGACCATGGCTCCCCAGACAACGGCCCTCGAGATCTCAATCGACGACACCATACGGATCGTCAAACACACCAAGTACGGTGTGTGGGATTTCTTCGAGGAAGACGACCCCAGCGAACATGCCACGATGTTCTCGGAGTTTCGCGTCAAGGCGAGGGCAATGATGAACTCCGCGCCATACGTGTGGCGGGCACTCCGTGAGGTCCTTTCCATCCCTGGATGTAAAGGCCTCGTCTTCCTCTACACCGGATCTAATCTCGTCAAGTCACTAGTACCCGCCGTATCGATCTGGTTCGTCGTTCCATGCATGGAGTAACACCTGCCGGCTCACCACTGGATCGCAGGTTCCAAGGACAGCTGATCCGTCTGGTGCGTTCCATCACAGCATGTTGTATACTTCTGACTCACGTCCTGCAGATGGAGACCGCGATCGAGACAGGCCACATCGACACCGACTACCTTTACTTTCTCTGCGCTGGCCGAGTCGCCTGCAGTGTCGCATCTGATCTGCTTTCGCACCTCTCCCATCGTTTCAGGGAGTCCCTGAACTTGCACATCCAACGCACCTTCGCGCTCCGCACCTTCTCCGCCTACGCCCGCCTCGACGTCCCAACGTTCGAGCGCCCGGACGTCACGCAACGCCTCGGCGGGTCGATCGCGGGCAGGATGCATCGGAGCCCGCCCATATGGACGCCCATCGACACGATGATAGGCTTGTTCGGGACGTTCACACAGGCCGGATCGCAGCTGGCCGTCCTGTTCAATGCGCTGCGCGGCCGGGGAGACAGCGCGAAAGCTGCCGCGGCCGTAGCCCTTGCCGCGGAGTTGATGCCTCTCGCTGTGCTGCGCTCCGGCATGTTTTCGAGTCGGAAAGGTGAGGGGAGGAGCATGCATATGTGGAGAATGTTCGCTCACACGACTGTGCGCAGCGTCGGCCGTCACGAGCCATGATCCAGACTACATCAAGGTTCAAGGCTGGAAGCACATCGTGGGGCACAAGACGTATAGAAAAGAGCTCGTCGCCGGTAATCTCGCGCCGTTTGCGATCGAAGGTACGGCCCCCGAACACTGCATGCCACCGCCCTCTTTGATACACCTCCCTTAGAGTATCGGGCAGCCACGGAACGGCTGGGAGACGCGGGCGATGTGTCGTGGAACGAAGTCCAAACTAAGCGGAGGGGAGCTTGGAGAACAATTTTTTCGACAAAGCACCTCTTCACCAATCTTCCGCAGGTACGCACACCACTACAGTGGCGTCAACCTGTCTCGCTGAATTGCTTCCCTCTTTCTAGATTGCGTTCACGCTGCACGCAGCGCGTGACCCTAGACACATGGCGGAGGCACTGGCGTCGCTTCACCTTGTGCAAACATCCGCTCAGGCCTTGTCGTCCTCTATTGGAAGAGCATTCCATGCTGCGAATACGATTGGAGGGTCTCTCAGCGCGCTCCGAGATGCGTATGAAGGAGGTGACATTGAGAACATCGTTCCTGATGGCACTGTAGCCTTCTCACCCTCATCCGACTTACCAACTTCTTCCGGCGTGCACATTGAGTTCCGGTACGTCTCCAAAAACAACCCTTCGACGTCCGCGTATCCTCATCAGATTCTACCAGGAATGTGTCCTTCAAGTACCCCGGGACGGACAACTACGCGCTGAAAGACGTGTCATTCACTTTGCTACAAGGCCAACTTTGCGTGCGCATTAGCCGAGAGAGGTCCTCTGCTACCGAACACTGACGGAGATGCAGGTCATTGTGGGCGCGAACGGCGCGGGGAAGAGCACGATTCTGAAGCTCATATTGCGCCTTTACGATCCTAACGAGGGCACCATTCTCCTCGACGGCTTCGATATTCGCACCTTTAAGCTCAGCGACGTCCGGCGGGCGATGACCGTCCTCTTCCAGGACTACAGCCATTTCCCGCTCTCGGTGCGTTCTATTATCCCAGGGTCCGCGCCTCCAACGCGTGCTTAGCCTTCCCTTCTCGTTTTGCAGGTCCGAGACAACATCGCCTTAGGGTACCCCGACGGAGCCAGCACGGACGAACAAGTACGCGAAGCGGCTGCCCTCGGCGGAGCCGCCGAGCTCATCGAATCACTCCCGCGAGGTTACAACGCGTACCTCCGCTCCCACGTCCCATCAATGATCAGCGCGCCGGGCTCAGGCTCCCGTTCGCTGTCGGGCAAACCGTTCGACAGCAAGGCGGTCGCCAAAGCAGCCAATATCGCTTCTAGCGTGGGCCGGGATCTGAGCGGGGGTCAGATGCAGAGACTCGCGATGTGAGTGCCCACCGTGTGGACGGGATCATGGCGGCTGGGTCCTGACTGCATGTTGGCCGTCTATATAGCGCGAGGACGTTCATGCGCTCCGTCCGCGCGGAGTCGCAAGTGGGGCTTTTGCTCTTCGACGAGCCCAGCGCGTCGCTGGACCCGATTGCGGAGCACGGTGCGTGGCTTGTTGTGTCTGCACGTCGCCCTGGGCGGTGCTAACCCTGGCATGCTCCAGAGTTGTTCACGCGCCTGCGCGAGTTTCGCGGCCAGAAGACGATGGTGTTTTCCTCGCATCGCTTCGGCAAGCTCACGCGCCACGCAGACCTAATCTTGTATGTCATTCACCTTCGAATACCGACGCACGGCTGACGATTGCTTTGCCAGGTACATGAACGCTTCCGGACTCGTAGAGTCAGGTGGACATGACGTGCTTCTCGAGCGCGACGCAGACTACGCTCGTCTGTGGAAGATGCAGGCGGAGGCATTTTTGTAAGAAGTAGCCGAGAATTGGGCGACCGGGACTCGGTCGTAAGAGAATCACAGAGAAAGAAATGTTGTTCCATAAAAATACGTGATTGCGTCGGGTCCATGCCAAACCCGACAGTCTCAAAGAAGACGTCTTAGACTCCCTCCGCCCCCTCCCCGTCTTTCATGTCTGCCGTCCCCTCCTTCGCCGCCGCAGCGAGCTGCTCATTCAGCGGCTCCTTCGCGTAAATTAATCGAGGAGCGACGTCGGGTGGAGCGCTGGCGCCACGGCCCAGTAGGTGGGCGAACCAACGCGGAGCAAGTTTCTGGACGAGGCCACTGAGCGCTGAGCAGCGGCGGCATGAGGCGGGCGCGTTTACGCTCGCAACGCCGGCGGATGCAAGCAGCACTCCGCTGTCGAGGTCATGAGCATCCCACCATCTGCGCTTGGTGCCCGTAGACGGCGGATCGACTCCCAGTGCGGAGGACGTTGAAGCGGAGAACGCCAGGCGGAGAACGTTCTCCGCCCTCATGTTCTCCGCGGCCCGCCCTCGCGTCAACGTCCTCCACTTCAATCCTCCGCTCTCGCATTCTCGCATTCACGTACGATTTCGTTCATGAAAACGTCGCTTGACGATAGAGAATGCATGTTGCTTTAAGTTTACATTGTACGCTCCACTCTGAGCCCACTACGCTGCGGTCGCATAGTCCGGCAACGACTCCAAGTCGGCGTCCATCCGCATACCACGGATTATCCTTAACTGCGTGCGAAGCTCCCCCACCTCCACGCGTAGTGCATGCACCTCCACCTGATCGTTCGCAGTAGAGGTGGTGTATGCGTGCGAGACGACCGACGGCGGAGACAGGGGCGAGCGAACAGAGCCGGAGGTCCTCGGGACGTGTGGAGCGTCCCTGTACGTATCGATGTCCTGGGGCGGCGGCTTCCGCTTCTCTGGCTCCGCGGAGCTGATAAAGTTCGTGGATGAGGTGGTCATGGTGAAGGGATATATGACTGCATTTGACGGCGAGACGTGTGCTGGGGTGTCGATTGTTGGCCAGGTGTACGCCTCGGCAGCCGTATACACCTTCCGCTTGTCTGTACCCAAGCAAGTGTCGCGTGCAGAGTGCGAGCGAACGCGATAGTAGTATATGAGTCCGCTGATGGCCACAAGGACAGAGATTCCGCCGAGGACGCCGCCGACTATCGCGGCCGTGTGAGAAGCCGGCGGAGAAGGGGTCTCATTTCCCGTTGGAGGAGCGACAGTGATGTTCTTTTTGCTCAAGCTAACGGGTGCCGAGGCGTAAGTAAATTGCCAGAAATACCGGCGAGCGATGGGTCGCTTACTTCAACGCGAGCAATGAGAATATTGAACCAACTGCGGGGCTGCGTCGCGAACGCAACGTCAATATTTGAAAACGACCCCTGGGGGCCAGGGAACGACCACGCACCCCGCGATCCCATCAGGAGTACTGTTTCCATTGGTGTTGTCGTAGTCCTCCGGTAAAGGTCCTGCAGTGGTGCTCAGGTTGGCGCGAGCCCACACCGCGTCTATGAACTGGTTACGGACGGCTACATCTGTCGCTGTGGCGGCCACGAAGAGCTGGGACACTAAAAACGTGTCAGTGCTTCACCGATACGAGGTGCACTGGACGTACTGATGCTACTCGTGTTTGTCTTCGTACTGTCAATGGGCGGCCCGAACGCTGTACTTCCCGTGAGGAGTGTCTTGTAGAACTCCGTTTGATTGGTCAACACCTGCCGGCTCGTAAGTACGTGCATGCACATGTCGTGGATATACAGACTAAAGCGTACGTTTTGTGAGATCAAGCCGGTTCCGAGCCAGCGATCCGCGAACAGATTGTACATTAAAGACGATGACGATTCGTCGTTGTACGTTCCGAGCAGGTGGGGTTTGTCAGAGGATACTGCCAAGGACAACCATTGGTTGTAGAGATTCGTAGCAGAGGTCTGCTCGATATGGATTATGGTGAGCACGACGTAGCGAGCCAGAGCGAGATTGAGACTTACATTGTATTGTTCGGCATCGTCGTGCTCACCGATAGCCAGGCTGATCTCAGCCATAGCTCTCACTCCTATGATGCCTTTAATCGCAAGATTGCTGTTGTTCACCCCTGGCTCTTTCTCTGCCGTTATTCTGTACACCGCACCGGACTCGTTAAAAACTTTCTCACTAACCGTCAAGATACGTACTGGTTCTCCGAGAGCAAGGAGTTTGCAACGAGATAATCGGCCCATTGTTTCTCTTTTGCATACTAGATCTCCTTTGTCAGAACTGCGCATGTACGGTGTGACTGGATGCACTGACATACTGTGCAATAAGGGATGCGTCGCCTGTAACCTGCGCTTGAGCCAAGAGCATGATGAGCATGTTTCCGGTCTCTGCACTCATGGTCAGTTACTTGGGTTAGTAAGCACGACTCGTCGTAACATGAAACACTCACGCTCGACGCCTTGCCCAGAGTCTGCTCTGTTTTGGGTTTGCGGGTACTGACCACCTGGAGACTAGTTAAGCTTCGCATCTGGAGCACTGACACAGAACAAAACAGACCTAGATCTGGAGAAGCAAACGACTGCGCGGTGCCGCTTTGTTGAATCCCTAGAAGCGTGGAGAGCATCACCGCTCCGAGGGACGCGTTCATGCATAGAAACGCGGGGAACGCCGCGTAGATCTTCTCGACAGGGCTGACGCGTCTGGCGCACGGAAGATGAGCGCAAGCAGCAAGGAATGCGCACCGAGCTTACCCAGAGTTAGTTTCCGACGTACTGATGTCCTTCATGAAGATTTGGACGTCGGATGCATTCAGAGCGCCTTGATCGTCTTCCCCCACTGTGATGTCCAACGACGCCATGGTCTGACGTGCAGCGAGGGACACAATGTCGCTGTATTGCGAAGAGATTTGGCTCGCTTCCTTGACGAGCTTCGTGTCTAGGTCTATCGCACGCTGTAGAGCGTTCTGGAAATCGATGATGACGAAGTCGATCTGGTGAAATCAGAGACGGTTCTGTGAGTGAGATTACTCGACAGAAAAAGGGACTGTACAGCGGAGCTGATATCTGAGTACTGCGTGGCGTAGTACGGTCTCCGCATTTGGCTCCTCCCGGTTGGGTAGTTCACTTGCACGACAGGATCGCGGATGTATCCCAGCGCCCATGCGACCGGTTCCGCAGTACTCTTGATGGTTCCTAAGTTGACAGCCAACGATAGCAGAGGAGTGTGACCCGGCCTGCCACGAACGGAGTGAGGTTCGCATACGACACAGCGATTATCCAAAAATATCCGTACGCTGAAGCATTGGCGGGGGGGTCGGCAATGTTATTCGTGAGCACGGCCTTGGTGCCAAAATCATCGTTGACGTTCGTCGCAGCACCTTCTTCCCAGCTAACGCTGAGGTTCTGCGAGCCAGGTGAGTCGACAAGTCAAAACAAGCACTGGATGTGCGCGCACCTTTGATACAGCATAGTATACTGTACCGTCTTCTGCTTGATGATTGATCTCCTTGAAAGGCTCGGGCTGTCGACGGCCGAATTCCCAGAATGTACTCGCTCCCGTAGTGTTCACGGTCCACCGAATGGTGTTGCTTCGGTCTCCTGTGGCCCATTCTAGCCGCAAGAGGTTATGGCAAGCTCAGAAGCTACATCCAAAGCCGGGACATACCTGCGGTAATACCTGACGACACACTGACAGAGTGTGCAGCACCATCACGGGAAGACGCCTCGAAAAACACGTATACAAATGGCAAAGACTGCTTTACCCAATCGTCGGGCTGCGACGAACTTCTCAGCACTTCCGGGACATCGATCACTGAGAAATGAGACGGAGTACAACTCACTTCAATCGGAGACAGAAATGTGAGATTGATGTCCATCGGGCCTGCCTGCATGGAGTAAATCGAACGCGTAGGTGTGATCTGAACGCCGTTGACAGTGGCTGGGATAGTGTTGTTGGGGTGGATGGCATCCCCAGAAGTGGCGTAGGGCTGCCCGTCAATCACGATCATGTTGTCCCAACCCAAGTGGGCCTTCAAATGCGGTCATTATAAGGATTAGCTAGTCTCATTTAGGCTGGAGAGCGAACGTACATTGGTCCAAGGGACAATTGGAACATGTGCGGGCAAGAACTGGGAGTCTGTACCACCATTGATCCAAACGTTCATGTATGCCGAGCGCACCGCTAAAGGAACAGAGGCCGGGAAAAACGTTTGGGCAGAATACTGTGCGTTGGCTTGGGATTGCGCGATGCAGGAAAGAAGGAGAAAGATGAGAAGTGTCAGCATCCACGCCATAGTCCGTCCACCAAAGGTCGGCATTTATCGTCGCCAGAGAGGAAATTCAACACCTGCAACGGAGGGGGGTCGTGGGTGACTTAGTCGAAGGGGAAAGATGGGGACAGCTGGGAGATGGTACCTCTTAAGGTGAGATTTTCAGAGTGTGAGCTGTGCCGCATGAAAACCGGTGTCTATTTCACTACGCCGTCTTCCATTGACAAGCTTGCGTGAAACGGAAAGAAGTTGATTTTACTGGCTTCAACGGATCCGATGTGGCATACGTCAAGGACAGCCTTGCGATGGCTGATGGAGCCTCGGTGACAAGGACTGTGATCAGCTTGAGTGCCCGATATCAGTCGAAGAACACGTACGGAGTCAACACAAGGCAGCGAAGTGCGTCTAGGAGTCTTTGGGTGTGCGAGAAAGGAGAGAGGAACTTGTACAAAGTTGTGAGCAAGCCCACATGCAGATGTATGCACTGTCCAATCAAGGCGACAATCACCGGTCCATCGCAACCACAGCAGTGCGTGTGACGAGCTCATGCAGAACGCATTGAACGTTAACTGGACCGGCGATTCCGGCGCAGGGACGTGACTCAGTGAATGGGTGGTACATAGCTACTTCCGAGTTCTGTCAGTGCATGGGTGAACCCATTCCAAAGCGATGATCGCGGGAATCCTGACTAATCGTGTGGCCCGTTCAGGAACGGGCGCCAAACATATCTGCGGTCTCCTCCCTTGGATACTCAAACTCAAAGCTGAGACACCGACCACCTGTACCTCACATCAATCAGGCCGGCTTAGCCCGTGGCACTGGGGGGGGTGGCCCGGGTCAAGTAGACCTGAAACCGTGCTCCCCCGCACGTTTGAATAATTCGTCCAATAAACTCGAGCTGTTTCCCAACAGGGAAGTGCTCGAACGCCCTCCCAAGTCCCCCAGCCCATCACGTGTCATCAGTCCGCGTTATCTCTCCCGCCCGCGCCCGCGTTATCTCCCGCGCCCACGCTCACGTTATCTCCCGCGCCGGCGCCGCGCGCCTCCCTGCCCCGCCACCCGTGCTCGCTGTGCCCGACAGTGAGCTCGCTGTCCCTGCACCCTGCCTCCCCCTCCTCTCCGTTTCCCTCCGTTCTTTTTGTAATCTACTTGTATTCAAAATGCGCACCTAATGGTACACAATCCAATCGCCACACCTGCCTGGGTGTGCCTGCACTGAGCCCTCAAACCTCCCAAAGTGCGTGCAATACAGGAACATATATAAGCATTCAACTGATCGGCTAAGTCCTGCATCAGATAGATGTAGATGAGAGCTGCTCTATTATAAAATCGCAGGTGGATAGCTAGAAGGGTGCAGGTATGATGTCATATGTTATCTCAGAATGACATATCACACAGTGATATGGTATATGCATATATCGTCTTATGTACACCCAGAATCGTACCTAGAGGTCATTCAGAGTGTATTGCAAGAAGAAGAAAGTGAATAGACGATGTTGTGGTGAAGATGTGACATATGCTCAGAAGGGGGAGTTGGCTTGAAAATGTGACCTTCATACTTCGCATCTTGTTGCATTACGTTTATATGTATACGGAGAGCTCAGATCGTCGTTTTGGTGCTTATCGGTGAAGGATTGAAAACAGGAAATGGTATGTCATTATTCCATGACATAGAGTATAGCGAGATAGCATGTGCTCCGATTATTATTCTGAAAGGTGGAATAGAACGGGGTGTTCTTCTGCTAAACGATGCAGAAAGAATCTTGAAGAATGGTTGAGCGGTGGTTGAGATACGCCATATGAGCTTGAAGTGTGCAAAGCGGTGAAGGTGGTTCAAGGGCGTTCTTTGTGCAACCTGCCGTTCTAGACCCATATGGCGTATCTCAACCACCGCTCAACCATTCTTCAAGATTCTTTCTGCATCGTTTAGCAGAAGAACACCCCGTTCTATTCCACCTTTCAGAATAATAATCGGAGCACATGCTATCTCGCTATACTCTATGTCATGGAATAATGACATACCATTTCCTGTTTTCAATCCTTCACCGATAAGCACCAAAACGACGATCTGAGCTCTCCGTATACATATAAACGTAATGCAACAAGATGCGAAGTATGAAGGTCACATTTTCAAGCCAACTCCCCCTTCTGAGCATATGTCACATCTTCACCACAACATCGTCTATTCACTTTCTTCTTCTTGCAATACACTCTGAATGACCTCTAGGTACGATTCTGGGTGTACATAAGACGATATATGCATATACCATATCACTGTGTGATATGTCATTCTGAGATAACATATGACATCATACCTGCACCCTTCTAGCTATCCACCTGCGATTTTATAATAGAGCAGCTCTCATCTACATCTATCTGATGCAGGACTTAGCCGATCAGTTGAATGCTTATATATGTTCCTGTATTGCACGCACTTTGGGAGGTTTGAGGGCTCAGTGCAGGCACACCCAGGCAGGTGTGGCGATTGGATTGTGTACCATTAGGTGCGCATTTTGAATACAAGTAGATTACAAAAAGAACGGAGGGAAACGGAGAGGAGGGGGAGGCAGGGTGCAGGGACAGCGAGCTCACTGTCGGGCACAGCGAGCACGGGTGGCGGGGCAGGGAGGCGCGCGGCGCCGGCGCGGGAGATAACGTGAGCGTGGGCGCGGGAGATAACGCGGGCGCGGGCGGGAGAGATAACGCGGACTGATGACACGTGATGGGCTGGGGGACTTGGGAGGGCGTTCGAGCACTTCCCTGTTGGGAAACAGCTCGAGTTTATTGGACGAATTATTCAAACGTGCGGGGGAGCACGGTTTCAGGTCTACTTGACCCGGGCCACCCCCCCCAGTGCCACGGGCTAAGCCGGCCTGATTGATGTGAGGTACAGGTGACACCGACCGAGATGATGGTGCCACGCTGCCAGGAAGATCTTCTTCAGCCTGTCAGAAGGTCCGAGCCTCAGCAAGCACAGTGACAGCCCCAGCTGCGCAAGCTGAGTCCTGACAAAACGGCGCATGAGGTAGTAAATAAAGACTACTTCGTTTCAACCACAGCCCTGTTCGCGCGCGGAGTCCTGGCGCGTGAGTGTAAACTGGAGCTGGCAGCAGAGGAAAGACCGCGCGGACGGTACATACTCTCCAGCACCGCGGCCCTGCCATATGTGGGGCGCGACTGGGCTGTAGCGGTGCGTCCTAAAGACGCGGCGTGGTCTGGATTGCCCTTATTCTCGCGGGAGAAGAACGAACTCGCAAGACTGGGATACAGGCTCACGACGATCGACACATATATTATTGTCGGTGCCGGCCGAGCCAGCGAGGTAGGCCCCATACGTCCAGCCGAGCGCTGAGCGTCTAGTGACGCTACTTACTCTTGAATTCGTCGCTCCCCGCTCATTCCTTCGCGCTCAGATCCCGAGATCCCGACAACCGACGAACTCATCCCCCCACCCAACCCTCCCTCCGAGTCCTTTTCAAATCGCGCACGGTTTGTCTCGCCCACCTGCGGGCCGCACCGCGACGCGTCCGTCCCGCTATACGCCATGCCTCTGCCTAACTGCCAGGACTCGGAGCCAGTGCGTAGAGAGACTGGCAGACGAGGACGGACCCGCGCAAAAGGCCCTTCGCCAGAAGACTGATACGGGTAACGTCGATGCTGCGGTACGCAACTGAGCCGGGGATCCTGATGCAGGGCGGGGTGTGCGGGGGAGCTGTTCCTGTGCACGTACAACGACGAGGTCACCCCGTAAATAATGCATTTCACGCGTTCACGTCCACCCGACGCGTGTACAGGCCCGCACGACGAACAGGTTCGCGTGCCTGTATGTAGATTTCACAGCTAGTACATAAGTGCCGCGCCTCTCGAGTACGCTACTCAAGGTCAGATTGGAACTCGTGGTGTCTAACTGAGTCTATTTGGTATGTACAGTGCGAGGCCTCACTCGAACGAAGCCGCGGTTGCGTAGTCCGGCAACATCCCCGAGTCGCCGTGCATTTTCAGGCGGCCCTCGCCTCGAATCATCCTCAACGTTTTGCGAATGTCCTCCATTTCCACGCGCAGAGCCTGCACTTCCCCGGCCTCGTACGAGAACAACGTCGAGTCAGTCTGCGCGGCACTCGACGAGGGTGCCCACGGAGAGCAGACGGAGTATGCGTGCTCCTCGGTGCTCTGGACTTCCGAAGACTCTCGTATGTTGCAGAGGTCTTGCAATGGAGGTATCTTCTTCCCGGAAGAAGTTATGAAGGCGGGAGTAGGGGCGCCCATGAACGGTGTGATGGTCGCCTCCCCAGATGCCGAGAGTGAAGAGGAGCGCGACAAGGTGAAGTTCACAGTGGTCGGCGAGGCGTACGTCTCGGCCACCGTGCGGACCTTCGGTTCGTTTGATTCGAAAGGACTGGTGTCGCGTGCGGAGCCCGAGCGCGGGCGCGCGCAATAGTGGTAGACGAGCCCGCCAACGGCCGCCAGAGCAGCAACTCCACCGAGGACGCCTCCAACTATCGTGACCGCGTTAGAACGCCCGGAAGCTGGAGTATCTCCAGTGCTATGCACGGGACCAGCGAGGTTCTGTTTTCTCAGGCTGATAAAGCGTGAGTGGGTTGAAGGAATTGCGGATGAAGGCAGGTGGCCTACTTTAATGTGAGCAGCGAAAATATCGAACCGACTGCGGGACTGTGGCGAACACAAGTGAAGGTTAGTCTCTTGCGATAATCGGCGCACCAAAGTCGAGCACGCACCCTGCCACTCCGTCCAGAACACTGTTACCATTGATGTTGTCATACCTCTCCGGAAGAGGTCCCTCTGAAGAGTTAAGGCTGGCGCGTGCCCACACCTTCTCTACGAGCTGGTCGCGGACGGACGTATCTGTCACTGTGGCTGCCAAGAAGAGCTGAGACACTGGAAGCGCGTCAGGACTTCATTGATACGAAATTAATGATACGCACTGATGCTACTCGTGGCCCCCGTCGTGCTGTCAAGGGATAGACCGAGCGTGGATGAGTCTGCATTAACAGTCTCAGTCGGATTCACAGCGGTCAAATTGAAGAGTACAAATCACCCCCTGTGAGCAGCGTCTTGTAGTACGCAGTTGCGTCGTTCAGTAGCTGTCGCACAACGTGCGTCAGTACATAGAGTCATTCAATGTGCAGCATAACGTACATCTTCTGAAACCAGGCCTGTTCCGAGCCAACGATCGGCAAACAGATTGTACATCAACGACGAAGAGGACTCGTCATTGTACTTCCCCAGAATGCGGCTCTTGTCCGAGGATAGAGCCAAGGAGAGCCATTGGTTGTAGAGTTCAGTGGCAGAGTTCTGCTCGATGCGGATCGCGGTCAGCGCACTGCGACGATGTGAGCGAAGAGGGTACAGACGTTGTAATTCGCGGCGTCTTTACTCTCGCCCAAAGCCGCGCTGATCCCAGCCATCGCCCTCACTCCGATGATCCCTTTGATCGCAAGATTGGTGTTGTTCGCCCCGGACCCCGCATCTGCCGTTTCCCTGTAGTGTATACATGAGAGAATATCTCGCACCTCGTGATCGCACGTACTGATTTTGCGATAATAAAGAGTTGTCGACAAGGTAGTCCGCCCACCGCGTCTCCAGCGAGTACTGGATGCTCGCGTAAGTGACTAGCAAACATGCAGTGTCTCCCGAGGCACTCACATATCGCGCGAGAAGCGACGTGTCGCCTGTCCCTTGCGCTTGGGCCAGCAGCATTATCAGCATGTTTCCGCTTTCTGAATGCAGAGCGTGGTCAGTTGTATCGACGGCGGCATGATAAGATACTCACGCTCCACGCCTAGTGCCGAGTTTGAATCAATCTTGGTCTGCGGATACGTAGCACCTACGAAGGGTCAGAAAAGAAATATTGATAGTGATGAAGGGAATATACCCATATCAGGAGAGGCGAATGACTGTCCTCGGATACCTTCTTGAGCTTCCAGCAGCGGAGATAGCATGGCTGCGCCGAGGGACGTGTTCAGGACTTGAAATGCGGGGAATGCTGCGTACATCTTGTCGACGGGGTTGACACGTCTTGCGTGCACCAACGTCAGCATATGAATCAGCATGCGCATGATAGACTCACGCGGAGTTGGTATTCGATATGCTGATGTCCTTCATGAAGATCTGCACGTCGGAGCCATTGACGTTCCCCTGTGCGTCTTCGCCCACGGTGATGTCCAACGATGCCATTGTCTGACGCGCAGACAGAGACACGAGATCGCTGTACTGTGGGGAAACTTGGCTGGCGGCATCCATGAGCTTCGCATCCAGAGCAATCGCACGCTGGAGTGCGTTGGGGAAGTCGATAATGACGGAGTCGATCTAGGGGAGACAGTGAGCTCTAGCATTCTGACGGTCAAAGAGAGCAGCTCACAGCCGCGTTGATATCGGAGAACTGCATGGCATAGTACGGTCTCCGCGACTTGGTACCCCCGGATGGGAGTGCCACTTGTACAACGGGATCGCGAGTGAATCCGAGCGCCCAAGAGACGGGTTCCGAAGTGGACGTTATGGAGCCTAGGTCAACAGCGAGCGCCAGACTGGGAAAGAAACTGGGAGTCGTGGCAGATTAGAGACTAAAATTGTGAAAAGCTAGAGACAAACGGTTGCGTACGGGGCGACGGGTGCATGTTGGCTGGAAAGACGGTTTGAAAGCGTGCTGTTTGCGACGAAGTCTACGATAACTTCCCAAGCGGTGTTTTCCTCGAAGGAAACGTCGAGATTCTACAGACAGGTTTGTTGCTGAGACGGTATTCGATGCGTTGAATATGTACGCACCTTCGAAACCGCGAAGTAAGCTGTTCCATCCTCCGCTTGACCATTGACCTCGAGAAACGCTGGCGGTTGTGGACGACTGAACTGCCAGAAACGGCTTGCTTCTGTGGTGTTCATGCTCCACTGAACGGCATTCGTTCTGTCTCCGGTCACCCATTCTGAGTCAAGACGTCAGCAAAGTCAGAAGCGAGAAACGAGAAGTATACCCACCTACAGTCACGGTCGAAAAGACGCTCACAGCATGTGGGGCGTTATCTGTGGAAGACGCTTCGAAGTACGCATACGTGAATGGAAGCGATTGTTTCACCCAGTCGTCGGGCTGTGACACCGAGTCATATATTTTCACGATTGTATGCAGGAGAATCGTCTGCTCACCTCGATTGGAGACAGAAATGTGAAGTTGATGTTCATCGGGCCGGCCTGCATAGAGTACACCGAGCGGGTAGGTGTGATATGTACCCCAGTGACGGTTGCAGGAGCAGTGATGTTGGATACTCTGTCTGCATATCCAGTAATGGAGTAATGCTGGCCATCAATTACCACCATATTGGTCCACCCCATGTTCGCCTACCAAGTATCGGCTTCAGAGAAATGCAGGGCGCAGACGCAATCAGGAAAACTCGCCTTGGACCAAGGAACCACCGGGACATTGCTTGTTAAATACTGAGAGTCGTTGCCACTATTGAACCAGACATTCATATATGGCGAGCGCACCGCCAGCGGCACAGCCAGTGGAAAGAATGTTTGTGGAGGAGCTTGAGCATTCAGCGAGCTCGTAATGCAGAAAAGAAGCAGAGGGAGGAAATACGCGGATATCCATGCCATTGAGAAAGCAGCTGAGGACTGGGCGGGTACGTGAGTAAGTGGGGAACGGTCGAAAGAGCCGACGAACCGAAGTTATCCTATGCGTTCGAACTGATGATCTCCAGACACCAGTTCCACGGCCGAAGAACCGAACCTGGTAACCAAGGCCTCACCACTCAGATTCATGGGAAGGACCCCCTACGCCCCGCACCCTCATGTGCACCTTGACAGGTGTCAGGACGGTGAACAGCTTGATGGACTCAGCTCACAGAGGTGGCGGAAGGATAGGCGTCCATCTGTCAAAAATGAGTCCCCGGCGGTGGTTTGTCAGTTCACGTCTATAAAGGGTACCCGAAATTGAGATGCATAAATGATTGATCTCTCCGCGAACAAGCCCGAATACCAGTGGGTTGAGGACGTCAACGCGGAGTGCCGGCGGCGGCCAAGATACGTTGGATAAGTACGTGTCCCGCATTTCCGGTGATGTAGTATTAATATTGGCTACCGAGTATAACCCTATTGACCGCACCCTATGGCCTCCTGCCAGAAGTCGGGTTCAGAAGAACACAGGAGCAGAAAAATCAGGAGTACTCGCCTTCAAGAACCAATGCTAGGTATGATTGTTTAGAAACTGAGGAGTCGTTACCAAGCAGTATTGACCCGGATTACACGCATATATGTACAAGTACGGCAGGTTCATGATGATCATGGGCGCAGCCTGGAGCACGTCGAGTGAGCTCTCAGCTGATGCGCTGGAACGACAGCAGCGCTCGGTGTCGATGAAGATAAAGTTGCGGCCTTGAGCTCATGCATGAAAGCGCCCGCAGAGGTCCGCTCAGCTGGATGCGCGCCTACTGCCTTTCGAGCTGCCGTTCCCCCTCCATTCCATGACTTCTCCAGAGACGAACTCTTACCTTGCTTCCACATGACCATCGACATTCTCCCATTCTGCACACTTTCGACTGCACCCAACGAACCTTTGGACAAGATTCCAGAGCCTGAGCATCCCCAGCCAAACTCACTTACTATCCGTCCGGCTCCGATGGACCGCGAACTGTTTTCGTGAGGCTCCAGGTGAGCTCGTCCTGGACACACTACACTGCCCCGACGTCCTCGCAGGCATACAAGGTTTTGCTGCCATGAGGCCCCCCTCGGCGTCGGAGCGCTGGGGCAGACACGGTCGCACGAGGCCGTCTGTCCGAGACCACGCGCTGATGGCGACAACTTCCGCTCGTGCAGCCCTGGACTCCCTCGAGCCCGCTTCCCGACTCTGTCGGACGCCCGCAGGTCGACGGCCGTTCGAGCTCCTCAAAACGCCTTCGCCTCCCAGGCCGCGGCGAACTCTCTTCGACCACCCTTCCTTCGCGCCCAGGCCTTGTCCAGCGCAGCACTTGGTCCGGCCTCGTTTCCGCGGTCCGGCCCCGCGTTCAAATATTGGAAGACTTCGGCCTCCACATTCCAGCTCACCCCAGAACGTCCTCTCTCGGCTTTCCGCGCCTTCTCATCCCTTCCATGCGCTTCAGACACGTCGTTACATCCCCGCTTGTCCTGTCTCTGGTGACCTCGTCGTTCGGATATGATCTTGTCCGCGAGTACTCCGGACCGTCGTTTTTCGATGGATGGGACTTCTTTGGATCCTGGGACAATCTGACCCTCAGTGAGTACTCAGTTCTCAGTCTATGTTCCCAAAAGTCTCATCAAGCTTGCCCAGGTTCCGTCTGGTGGCTCAACCAGTCTGAGGCGACGGCGGAAAACTTGGCATACGTCAACGGTGCGGGGCAGGCGATCATCAGAGTGGACAACACGACGAATTTGCCTGCTGGCGAGGATCGGAATACGGTGCGTCTACGCCCTGTTACTTCTCCCGCTTTTCCTCAGGCGACCCCGCTACATTTGTAGGTGCGGATTACCACCAAAGACTTCTACGACTTCGGAAGTATTTGGGTGTTCGACGCCACCCACCTCCCATATGGATGCTCTGTATGGCCCGCTTTCTGGTCCAAAGGCCCTCTATGGCCCGACGACGGTGAGATAGGTGCGCATATTGCCCTCTTCTCTTTCCCCTACCCTCGCAACCTTCATTCTCATTCCCCGCCTCTCGCCGTCTCCGCGCAGACATCGTCGAAGGCATCAACCTGCAGTCCTCGAACCAGATGGCGCTTCACACCACTTCGGGATGCTTCACATCGAACAGGATTGAGCAGACGGGCACCCTCGGTTTCACGAACTGCTCCGCGGGCTCGGGATGCACTGTGCACGAGACCAAGCCCAACAGCTTCGGTCAGAACTTTGCGAACGCGGGTGGTGGAGTTTGGGCAACCCAGTTCGATGTGTCTGGCATCTACATGTGGTTTTGGAGCGTGAGTCCTGTTTCCTGTGTTCAGCGGCGGTGACTTCTCGCATGGGTGACCGGGAGGCCCAGATCCGAGACCTAAGGCCCGAGGCTCAAGGCCTTGGTGCTTGAGGTCCGGGGTGTCTGGCAGGCACGTCAGAGGCGCTGCGATACTGCGTGTGTGCACTGCTTCTGCCCCCACCCTCCGCGCTCCGAAAGGACGGTCATTTCGAGACTTTGCCGCGCGCTTGGACTTGTGTTCAATCTCGGCAGATGTGGCTGCGCCGGGTCCCTTTCATCTCAGTTCTCATGAACGGCCTTGAACGACCTGCATGATGATGACGACTTTCATCTCTATAGAGACCTGACGTGCCCGCGTCACTCGCCTTGAACAACAAGGGCTCCATCGACATCTCCTCCTGGGGCCTCCCTTCCGCGAGCTACCCGGCAATCACGGACGACTGCTCGAACTTCACGGCCTACTTCACTCCGCAGCAAATCGTGATAGACATCGCCCTCTGCGGCAACTGGTGCGTCCCGTCACCTTCCCTGCCCACCGCTCGTCATGCTAACGCACACACAGGGCCGGGGTCCCGAGCATCTACCAGTCGTCGTGCCCCGGGCTGTGCAGCGTCTCCGGCCCGGGAAGTCCTGCGTACGACAACGCGTACTTTGAGATCAACTACGTTCGCGCGTACACCACGGGAGGCCCTGCCTCAACCACGACAGTCTCCACGGCTACGCGCACGGGCTCCGCGGCTACCACGAACACTCTGCCCGCGACGATCACGACCGGCGCCGGGCTCAACGGGGGCACGGGCGCGGCGGCATCTGCATTCTCACCCACTGCGGGCGCAACTGCGACGTTGACCGCGCTCGCGCTGGCGTTCCTGGGGCTGCTGCTACTCTGAGCAGGCTTCTGCAGCGCGGTTTGTTAGATTTTCTTGGACTCACGGGCGATGCCCAGTTGCTGGGCTTGGGATCCACGGACCCGTTTACGCTATGTTACCCCCACGACTCTTAACGCTAACGGTATGCTCACGAACGCGATTACGATGCTTTGGACGGATTTGTTTCTGGATTTGCTACTTGAATACGTACTTGTGCATTATTCTCTGTATGTATAATGCTCTCGATCCCACCGCTCAGTAGATATCGTCTACAGCGGTTTGTTTCACTCGCTCTCGTCGTCACTGCTGCTGTGCCTTCTATTCGTACTACTTAATTGTCGCCATTATACTTGCTCGCTGCTGTAACTATGGTTTGGATATCAGGGTTTGAAAGCGACGCATGAGGCCTTGAGGCAAGACAACTTGGATTAATGCACCGTCGTATATTCGGCGTTCGGCCGGGGGAAGAATCAACTTTCGGCCGGTTCTCCCGCTCAGGCGTTGTGGGGTCAAGCGCACGCACGTGGACCCCTCACCAATCAAAACGGGGAGAATTAGTCATACTACGATCACGTGCCATGAATAATGAGGAGAGGTCATCACTAAACCTGCTACACCTCCTCATCCTGCTCCCCACCACCGTCCGCCTACTCTACTCTACTACTTCTTCTTAGATATGTCCTTCGCCGCGCTCAGGGCATCCGCACGTCGCGTCGGTGCCGCCGCACCCGTCGTCCGTGGTTCCCGCTCCGCGTTCCGCAACCCCGCGTTCCGCAAGTACTCGACCGAGGCCCCCAAGTCGAACACCAATGCCGCATCTACGGTGCCCTCGGTGCCGTCGTCGTCGGTGGTGCCGCCTTCTGGTTCATGACCTCCGACTCGGACGCCGCGAAGACGGCCGGCACCGCAGCCAAGTCGGGCGCGCAGGCCGCCAAGGTCGCCGCGAACTTCGTGCCCACCAAGGAGGACTACCAGAAGGTGCGCGGCCCATTCTCGTCTCGCATGCTCGCGTCGCTGATGCCGTCTCTTCTCTTCTTCGCAGGTGTACAACCGTGTCGCAGAGATCCTGGACGAGGCCGCCGATAAGGGTACGACGGTACGTGGCCCGTTCCCACTCGCGCGCGCCGCTGGGTGGCAGCGGGGAGACGTTGACGCTTGCGCCCCGCGATAGACGGCTCGTACGGCCCCGTCCTCGTCCGCCTGGCGTGGCACGCCTCCGGCACCTACGATAAGGACACGAACACCGGCGGCAGGTCAGTCGCAATATCACACCTTCCCTCCATGTTGTTGATCCGCGCCGCTGACGCCGTGCCCGTCTTCCCTGCGTCTTCGCGCACTCCTCTGTGCGCCTGTGCAGCAACTACGCCACGATGCGCTTCGACCCCGAGTCGAAGCACGGGGCGAACAACGGCCTGAACGTCGCGCGCACCCTCCTCGAGGACGTCAAGAACGAGTTCCCGTGGATCTCGTACGGCGACCTGTGGACGCTCGCCGGCGTCGCCGCCATCCAGGAGCTCGGCGGCCCCAAGATCCCCTGGCGCGCCGGCCGCATCGACGGCTTCGCGGTGCAGTGCACGCCCGACGGCCGCCTGCCCGACGCGGCGCAGGGCGCGGACCACGTCCGGAACGTGAGTGCAGTCCTGTCGGGAGAAATGTGAGCGTGTGAACCGACGCTGACGAACCCGCGCCCCCACCCGTTCTAGATCTTCTACCGCATGGGGTGAGTTCCCGTCTCCCACGCGCGCAGCGGCGGCTGGTAGGACGCGGTGCTGACGACCACCCCCCGCCTCGTTCCGCAGCTTCAACGACCAGGAGATCGTCGCGCTCGTGGGCGCGCACGCGCTCGGCCGCTGCCACTCGGACCGGTCTGGGTTCGAGGGCCCGTGGACGTTCTCGCCGACGAGCGTGACGAACGAGTTCTACAAGCTACTGATGAACGAGAAGTGGGTGTGGAAGAAGTGGAGCGGGCCGAAGCAGCTCGAGGACAAGAAGACGCAGAGCCTGATGATGCTCCCGACCGACTACGTGCTCGTGCAGGACAAGGGCTTCAAGAAGTGGGTCAAGGCGTACGCCGACTCGGAGGAGCTCTGGTTCAAGGAGTGCGTGCGCTCACCTTCGCTGTGGTTGCCCCCGCTGACGGTGCCTCGCGCCTCGCAGCTTCGCGGCGGCGGTCTCGCGCCTGTTTGAGCTCGGTGTCCCGACGCAGCAGTTCGTCGCGTCTGAGCCTTGGATCATGAAGGGCTCGATGAGAAGTAGACGGGTCGTCCTGCTCGCTTCTAGCACGTCTGCGGTTCTGCAAAAGGTTCAAGTTAGTTTGCTGCAAACCCGCAACGCGTGAGGGCGTGCGGGAGGGGGAAGGGGGCGGAAGATGGACGGAGAGACGGAGAGGGAGGGGGAAGGAGGGGGCAGATGCTTTCGTTTCCGCACGCGCTATAGAAGTACTAATACTAGCCCACCGGCACGCTCTTTGTTGTCCCCTGTTGTCGCCCAGTCGCCCTGCCCCGCACCTCAATTCAGTCTGTCGCTGTCAACCGTTTCGCATCTCGCACACGCGGGAGCCCCCTGCTCCAGTGCGGGGAAGGGCCAATGGGCGTGCGTGGAAGGCTCCGTTGCGGCGGGCGAGTGAATGCCGTGGCGCTCCCACCTGGCACGGGGTCTGTTCAGTCCTTCGCGGCATCAGCAGGGTGCGGTCGGCGTGGGTGCGGCACAGTTCACGTTCAGAAGTGCAATTGCAATGACACAGAGAGTTGGTATGTAGCGAAGTGGCATTAGTGTGTTCCCACAGACGATATCATAGCGTGAACCAAATGCGCATTATAAGAGCCCAGGTATAATCTAACCAGCACGTATTCGTACAGGGTGTGACGTAAAGTATTTGGAAAAGTCTGCTGCTGGAGGTCCCTGGGCCTGAGACCTGAAACAATTAGACGCATACATAAAGACATCCATGCACAGTGCTCACCCAGAGTTTGAGACAGGCGCAATGCCCGGATGCTTCCCGTCACTCCCTGTACATATCCGCGTCCACCTGGAGTGCGCGGCGCTCCTCCCCGTCCACGACCACAACGCGCTCGCGGATGCGAGTATCTCGGGGGCGCTCCCGGAACAGCCAGACCTGAGGGGTGAGCCGCTCGCGCGCGAAGTCGGCGCCCCGGCGCGCGCGCTGCCTCCGGTGCCTGCGCGCAAGTGGTGAGCCTCGACGGGGCGGTCAGGGACGGGGCCGCGGAGTGCGCTCACCGTACTTTGACGTGGTCGACGAGCACGGCCGCAGACTTGGCCGCGAACTCGCCGCACCACGTGCAATGGAACGGCCCCGCGTTCGCGTTTTGGGAGCGCTCCTGCGCGATCGCGGCCTCGACCCTGAGGATCGGGTCCCGGAGCGAGGGGTGGATGCCCTGCCAGTGCGCGGGATTCACAGGTTTGTCCTCCGTGTTGTCGTCGATAAGGTTGTGCACTTCCAGGTCGTGCCGCACCTGCGCGCGCATCAGTGGAATGCGCGTCGAGCGTGGAGCGGGGGAGGGAGCGCACCGCCGCAGCCCAGTCGTACGCCCACCCCTGCCCGGCCACCGTGCAAACCGTGCAGCGCATGCGCGCCTTGTTCGCCTCCACGTCCGCCACCGTCGCGCGCGAGGGGTCGAGGCGGCACGCGGCGACGACCGCGCAAGCGGACGGCGCGGCGGCCGAGAGCGTGAGGCGGTCGAGCTGGTAGCAGCGCGGACGCTCGCCGTCGGCGTGCCGCAACAGGCCGCGGAACCGCTCGCAGAACTGGACCCGGATCTGGTGCTCGGGGTCACAGAGGAGGTCGGCCGCGGTGTCGTCGGCGTCGCCGCCGAAGAGGCAGCGCCCGCCCTTGTGGCCGAGCACGGCGGGGAAGCGCATGTTTGTTGCTTTGCACTCGGTGCAGTCGAACGTCACGACCGCGAGCGTCGTTGGGTCCGTGACGTCGTCCGCGATGGGGATGTCGTGGGCCTGGAGCAGCGCGCGGGGTGGGCGAGGAAGGCGGCCCGGCGCTCGCTCGCCCACTTCTCGATGAGGCCGGGGAGAAGGGAGCTGATCTCAGCGGTCAGCTTGGCGTGGTCGTTGTTGGCAGTGGAGTCGACGTTGAGCAGCCGCTGGATCTTGGGGTGGAAGGCGTAGTCCTCGGCGCCGCCGATGAGCTGGTAGCCTGCTCTTGGGGCCCAGCGTCCTTCCCGGTAAGTGTCCAAGGCCTTCACGAGACAGAGCATCCGAACGTGCCACCGCCTCGTCCATTCGCTTCTCAACCTGCCTTGGTGGAGTCCCATCATAACATCCCGGAATCCCTTTCCGGCCCGGCGCCACTCTATGAGAACGGTCATTAGTGTCGTGGGGCGGTCCGGCTGTGCGACCTACCCGAGTCTGTGATCGTTGGCCGTGGCTGTAGATCCTTGTCGTGCTGTTTGATCCACCTTTTCGCCTCAGCCGGATCCTTGTCAACCTCGTCACTCCAGCCTTCGCGGCAGAGACGTTGAATGATCCTACCAAATCCCCTTAGCATCAATTATGTGTAAGACGGCCGGACTCACTGATCAGCGCGTCCATCCCGTATGAGTTTTACGCGCTCAGCCTTCTGGGCCTCAGCGGACTCGGCCCACGCAACCAGGGAGTTGACGTACTGCGTATAGAAATGAGTTCCGGAGTAGAGTCGTGTCAAGCCTCCACCACTCACTGGCTGCAGCTGTGCGGCCCACTTTTGCTGCTTGACCACGTAATTTTTGAACTCGTCGTCAGTGAGCTCCTCCAGCTTCGCTTCCAGGTCCAAAAACTGGTCGCGGGGATACAAGAATACGGTATAGTTCCCCCAGGATGCTTTTCTGTAAGGAGAAGTCAGTGAATAGCCACAGTTCAGGTTCATCGGCAGAAAGCGTGTCAATGCCCTGCCGTCCACGGGCCAGGGACTGATATGCCCAATCACACCTACTGGACCTGTGTGCAACACGGCTAGAAAATGGACACGTACACCTCACGTGAAGAGAACACCAGGAGACAACGTAAGCGGGTATATGGAGCTTTCTCTTTCAGCTTCTCCTCAAACTTGTCGACGCGCGACCAAGACTCGATGGTCCTATGAATGGTGACCGATTATCAGTTGCGCTGGGGGAAACTTCAGGAAGCAGGCGAGGACACACAGTCTTATCTTGCACATCGGACACAGCGTTGCGCAATTCGCCGGGATGAGCTCTAGGTTGTCGGCAGCTCGCCCGCAATTCTACCATGTGGAGGGATATGTGAGCGTACCCGGACGTTGTGCACATACGACGACCTACGTTGCAGTGATCTGTGAAGAGAACGGCGGCGAAGGCTGGATGGCTGAATCCCGGGACGACCGCTGGTACTCCTTCGGCGTTCTCGAAGGACTTGCGCCAAGCGAGGAGCATCGTCCGCTTATTCAGCAGAGCCACTCGGTGCGCCTTGTCGGTGCGCGCCATATTCAAGAGATCGCGGGGATGCAGTCGCCATAGAATCTGCACACGGTGTCAGAGCAGAGCAGAGCAGAGATGTAGCCGCCGGGAATACCTCGAACTGGAGGTCGAATGGAAGCTGAAGTATGCCTTTCGGAGAGGCGGGCGGTACTTCCACGCCACGTGTTAACACTTGACGTACGTAAGTCGACCATGCGACATACCTAATTCATCTGTTGCGCGTTGGGAGCTCGTGCCTCCACTTCGCTTGACTTTCTTCCTGCGCGGTGCCATCGTGGCCGAGGTCGACGACGGTGGTGATCAATGTCCGAGGAAAACACAGTCAGGCGTCAAACATTGGTCGCGTCGTCGTCAACGCGGTCCCGTGACTGGACGCGAAATTGCCTGATCGCTTACCCGGTGCGGCGGTCGCTGGCCGAGAAAGTGTAGGCGCCGGGATGCGCCGCACAACGGGTCGGACCATAGTCGAGTGAATCGACCTCAACACCACTGCACACACATTTCTCCCCCTCCTCCCCGTGTGTCGCCCCGAAAACACCTCTCATGGATCTCTTCGCACACATTACAAGCGGAACGTAGATATCCGCAAGTGTGGGTATGCTACGTGCTCTGGAGTTGCGACCATGAGACAGAGGGAATGATGATGTGGATCGACGTGCTGGCAGTTCCGAGTCGAATAAATACGACATACAGTGCGATTATCCAGGGGTGGTGGAGGTGCTTGGCGATGTACGGCCAAAGTGGGCCATACTTGCTTGGTCTGACGGAGTGGCGCACGCAATGTACAGCGGCCACGGTGGCGGCGGGGGACACAGCGACTGAGAGTGGCCTCCGTACAGTACATCACCACGCGCGAGCAACTTCATCTGCGACTCAGACATTCGCACCCTGTGCGGATCTATCCCATTAAGCGTGCTAGATCTCCGCTCATGCGGTTCCATCCTGAGAAGCATCGTGTCAGTCACGGAGATAACACAACGACGAATGCGCATACCGAGATCTGTTAACGGCCGTGGCTTATGAACTTCGTCCGTTTCTCGCAGCTTGTTGTCGAGATCTTGACACCATGTGTCTCCTCGGAGCTCCGGCTTCCGCCTCCAAGGATGCGAACCATCCTCAGTTCCTCGTACCAATGAGATAAGAGACGAGGCGTACGATTCGAATATATCCTGAAGAACTGTATCCATTTTGTCTGCCTTTCTTGTTGTCTTGCTACTCTGCCACTTCCTCACGTCAGAAGTAGCCTGTGAGCTTCCATATAAGTGTCGTTTATTTAAAGGAACAGGTCGAGACTCACGTACCCTTCTCGTCTTCCCAACCCGTCTTTCGTACCGTGATAGTAACTTGGCCTGGCTCGATTCGCTCTCTGTTTCATAGAGTTCTTTGGCGAGATGTTTCACGACACGGTAGTCGTAGAGGTTTTCCTCTTGTAAACGGAACTCTCTGTCAAGGGCAAATCAGGAGCGAAGCATATGCGGCAGTCAGAGATTAAATACCTGTTCTGGCGTGGTAATGAAGGGAGCCACTTGTTCCATGACTCGGATATGCAAGCCAAATGATTCTTGAGAGGCTCAAAAGCGGAGTGAGTGTCCGCCACAAGCCTGGCATGTGAGACTTTAGTTGATCACTGAGGTAGAGAGTATAACACAATTTAAACTCACATCTGTTCCTTGCAGCTACTGCAATATCTAACGAGAAGATCGGGGATCGACTGTAAAACGCCCGGGGTCATTCGACATCCCTGGGGAAACACAGAATGTCATTGAGCATGCGCCACTGGGTTGCACCAATGAACGGATGCTCACCTCGCACTGATCTGCAAACAGCAACACGGCGAACCTACGCTCGCTACAACCCGAGAATCGCCGCGGAACTTCGTCACCCAACCGGAGTCGAGCTCGCTTCCAGGTCGATGCGTGGCGCTTCAGAATTCCTTCGAATTTCTTGCAGACATTGAGGAGGTGCAGGAGATCTCGAGGATGTAGGTATTCGAACACCTGCTCAAATTTGAGCAATTATCCTTTACGAGGTCTACAATTGCTGCTTCACCATAAGCCAAACCTCGGAAGGGAGCGTTTGGAGCTTCGTCGAACGCGCCACTGGTGGGGAATAGAGCCGAGCTGCCGTAGGGGGCCGCACAGTGAGTAACGTAGCTTGGAAAGAACTACACGCGATGACGCACCCGTTGATACTGCATCTTCCGGCTGGTCTCTGCGGGGGATAGTCGTCCGTGCGCGTTTGGAGACAGGGAGCATCATGGTGGTTGACGAACAGAACTGTGTGCCTTGAGCGCCAATAGTTGCTCGGAAGTTGACTACGGCGGTCCCGTGATCCGCAACGCATCTATTATGCTCCAGATATGGGATAAATAGTCGCCGCCACAATGCTGGCTTGTTTTTTCCGTGATGTATCACGATGATTATCATATACGCCGCCTGTGCTGACCGGTACTGGCGCAGTGCGGGCACCTCGGGCATGCAACTGAGAACAGAGTGGAGACAGTAACGGCAGGGTCAGCGCTCGGCATTTGTACAAATTCGGCTTGTGAACTATCGCGAAAACATTCGAGCATACATCTACATCATCTACGAGGTGTCCGATTCGACGAAGAACCCGACTTCGTCACCTTGATCGCAAATACCTCCTCAGGAGTGGTGGGCGATATCATCCAGATACCCGGATTGCCGCGGTTGTAGACCTTGTAGTCCACATTGATGGTGGTATTTTCTGATGGCATTCCATGTCTGGAAGCAGACGTGTCAGCGATGTGTACTTAGAGCCTTACATACTACATAGCCCACTTACCTCTCGGTGAGATGCGTCTTGACTTCGGAGGGGTTGTAGCTGGCATCACCGCACCACGAACACTCGGCGACGGTGAAAGACGGATCCCGCGAAAGACTCGCCTTCATCTCTCGTACGCGTGCAGCGTGCGTCTGTGACACCGGCTCCCAGTGAGGTCGGGGATCGACTTGATACTTTTTCCGGGCGCGAATGGTCTGCGCGAGACAGCATCGCATGAGCACCCGTTCGAACGCTCCGTACAAACAGCGCACTCACCGCGCCCTTCCAATCAAACGCCCTCTGTCGTGTCGCACAGCGTGCACCGCACCCCGCATCCCACACGCGTCCATCTCCTCACATGTCGCCGAGTTCAGGCTCAGGCGGGAGTGGCGCCCTTCGTCGTCGGTGCCCAGCTTGTTGAGGACGCGCCACTCCCGCGCGATGGCACCGGGTCCGTGCGCCACTCGGACAGCGGCGCTCGCGGGCGGCGATTTCCGAGTACCGCGGGATATCGCATGTCCTGCTCGCCGCACATCTTGCAGTAGAACGAAACGACGGCGAGGTTCAGAGGATCGCATCCGTCAGAGGCAGGCGGCGTGCCGAGGTTGGCGAGCTGCCAGCGACGGCGTGCTACCCACTCGTCTAGCTATGGCCTGAGGGAGCGCTTCGGAAAGCGCAGGCAAAATCTTCTCGGGGGTAGCGTCCTCGGACTCGTCGTTCAAGATTTTCATGATCGGGGGGAAGATGACTACTTAGTAGTCGAGGACGCTCCCTATGATCCGGTAATCGGCACCCGGTTCCCAGCGCGCGCGCCGGGTGTCGGGAATGTTGGTTCCTAGTGTCCCGGTGTACGCCCTCATCCGAGGCACACCTGTACCTCACAAGATCAGAGTCAATTGATCTGTGATCACCCCCCCGGGGTGATTCCACTTTCGGTAACTGCAAACGTCTCTAAGCCTGCGTACTGTAGTGCCTCTACGGATATCGACGAAGATACCTTGTAGGGAAACGTTAGAACGCGGGCACATGCCCAAGTCCCCGCCCCCTTCCCCGACGTCCCCGAGGGCTCGGCCCAGCCGTCCTCCGCGCTTCCCCGGCACGCGTGAGCAGATTCCCGCGCCGCGCCGCCGCCCGCCCTTGATGGCCCCGGTATATCCGGACGCCGCGCGCCACCGGGTCTCCGCCGGCGCCTCGCCTATCCGCCACCTGTGCTCGCCGCCCCCAACAGCGAGCTCGCTGTTCCTGTACCCTGCCTCCCCCTCCCCTCCGTTTCCCTCCGTTCTTTTTGGTACCTGCTTGTATTTTAAATGCGCACCTAATGATACACAATGCAATAGCTTCAGTTGGCTGGGTGTGCCTGCACTGAGCCCTTAAATCCCCCAAAATGCGTGCAACATAGGAACATATAGAAGCAGTCCATCGATGGGACAAGTTCTGCATAAGTTAGCTGTATATGAGAGCCTCTGTAATCTGAACTTGCAGGTGGATAGCTGAAGGGGTGAAGGCATGATGTCATATGTTATTTCAGAATGACATACTCCACAGTGATATGGAATACACATTTATCGTCTTATGTACACCTAGAATCGTTCATAGAGGACATTCAGAGTGTATTGCAAAAGACAGCAAGTCAAAGTACGATGTTCTAATGAAGATATGACATATACTCAGAAGGGGGAGTTGGCTTGAAAATGTGGTCTCCATATGTTTTTGTGCAGACCTCCGATCACTGTACATCTTGTTTCATCATGTTTACATGTATGTGGAGAGCTCAGATCGTTGTTTTGGTGCTTATCGGTGAAGGACTGAATACAGGCCATGGTATGTCATTTTTCTATGACATAACGTATAGTGAGATAGCATGTGCTCCGATTGTTATTCTGAAAGGCGGAATAGAACAGGGCACTCTGCTGCTCAACGACGCAGAAGAAATCTCGAGAAACGGTTCAGGAGTGGCTGAGATATGTCATATGGGTCTAGAATGGCAAGTTGTCCAGAGGACGCCCTTGAACCACCTTCAACACTGTGCACCCTTCAAGCTCATCTGCCATATCTCAGCCACTCCTGAACCGTTTCTCGAGATTTCTTCTGCGTCGTTGAGCAGCAGAGTGCCCTGTTCTATTCCGCCTTTCAGAATAACAATCGGAGCACATGCTATCTCACTATACGTTATGTCATAGAAAAATGACATACCATGGCCTGTATTCAGTCCTTCACCGATAAGCACCAAAACAACGATCTGAGCTCTCCACATACATGTAAACATGATGAAACAAGATGTACAGTGATCGGAGGTCTGCACAAAAACATATGGAGACCACATTTTCAAGCCAACTCCCCCTTCTGAGTATATGTCATATCTTCATTAGAACATCGTACTTTGACTTGCTGTCTTTTGCAATACACTCTGAATGTCCTCTATGAACGATTCTAGGTGTACATAAGACGATAAATGTGTATTCCATATCACTGTGGAGTATGTCATTCTGAAATAACATATGACATCATGCCTTCACCCCTTCAGCTATCCACCTGCAAGTTCAGATTACAGAGGCTCTCATATACAGCTAACTTATGCAGAACTTGTCCCATCGATGGACTGCTTCTATATGTTCCTATGTTGCACGCATTTTGGGGGATTTAAGGGCTCAGTGCAGGCACACCCAGCCAACTGAAGCTATTGCATTGTGTATCATTAGGTGCGCATTTAAAATACAAGCAGGTACCAAAAAGAACGGAGGGAAACGGAGGGGAGGGGGAGGCAGGGTACAGGAACAGCGAGCTCGCTGTTGGGGGCGGCGAGCACAGGTGGCGGATAGGCGAGGCGCCGGCGGAGACCCGGTGGCGCGCGGCGTCCGGATATACCGGGGCCATCAAGGGCGGGCGGCGGCGCGGCGCGGGAATCTGCTCACGCGTGCCGGGGAAGCGCGGAGGACGGCTGGGCCGAGCCCTCGGGGACGTCGGGGAAGGGGGCGGGGACTTGGGCATGTGCCCGCGTTCTAACGTTTCCCTACAAGGTATCTTCGTCGATATCCGTAGAGGCACTACAGTGTCCCACGGGTCCTTGAGACACCACGGGTCCTTGAGACAGACCGCGATGACTCCTCTTGTACATGCTTACAATTGTTGAAAAAATGGACTTTCGGTGCACAACAATGCACCTTGTAGTTAGAGTAATGATCCCAGCTGGTTCCAGAGCCGGTTGAAATCATGAGAATATGTTTTCGCATTTCCGAGTGTGTGAGCAAACTTAAATGGCATATCATCAAGAGTATGGAAACATCCTGAACTCCGGAAATGCGAGGCATGACTTCCATTACCTCTAGCTCTCTCTCTGCGAGATTTCAAGTGATTATATCACAGGGCTGGTGATGCCGGGCATGTCCCGGGATTCCGGGGTCAACGGCGTCTGTTGGGCCGACATACACCTACCACGTGACACTCTCACACGATGTCGCGTTGTGCTGCGTCGACTGGCCTCTCCGTGTCCTGCACAGAAACCTCACCTTGAATGAGCGAACTACATCACAGACTTGAACTCCCGTGTGAGGGGGACGAGTAGGAGGACGGCATCGAGCACCACGACCACGACTCGGATGGATCAAGTGACTAGGCGCCAACGCGCGCCGTGGGAGATCTATGATCTATTGCCCGAAATGGGCCGTCTCAAGGAGGGGTGGGTGCGGACTTCGGGACCATATGTCATATCTTGTCGAACTCGTCTCTCGCACATCGTATCCACCCGAAAATATTCATTGAGGTGGCCACTAAGTAGAGATATGTAAATGCCAAAACGTGGTGGCCGCCGACCCGAAAATGCAGAGATATCGGCCGGAATGTTTTTCGCGTCTCAAGGACCCGTGGGACACTGTACAGTACGCAGGCTTAGAGACGTTTGCAGTTACCGAAAGTGGAATCACCCCGGGGGGGTGATCACAGATCAATTGACTCTGATCTTGTGAGGTACAGGTGCCGAGGCACTACCAGTATGCTTAGTCATGTATACTACGTTCCCACGCATTGTACAGTACTATGCCGCCGTATCGTCCTAGATCGATATCCAATCTATCATCCTATCCACCATCGTCGTCCTATCCGACACCCTGTCCGTCATCCGGCGTCCTTTCGCCTCTACGGCTCTCTTCGTCCACTGCTCGATTCTTCACAGGGAACGAGTCCGATGAGAGCACGGATGCGGATTTCCACGCAATTGCGGACTACGAGGCCCCCCGCTTCTTCTCGACACACCTCGCATAGGTGACGAGAAAATGCGAGTGCCATTTCCCAGCCTGAGAGGCAGCAGTCAGAGTCGAGCTGTAAGAAGCAGGGAGATTCAACTGAACCCACTTCGTAGAAACATCGATCCCGTTCTCAGCCTTGGAAAGTCTCTCGATAAGTCCCATAGACTAGTGTCCAGGGAGTCGAAATCGGCGCCTATGCCTTCCTTGTGCTTGAAGCGGACCAACAGCCTTCAGCGACACGAAATTGGTAGTTGTATTCAAGAGATTCAAGAGATCGCGGGGATCGCGGGGATGACGTCGGTGCAAAATCTGAACTCCGGGTTAACGCAGAAAGCAGGAAAAGGAACGGAGGTGGCACCTCGAATTGGAGATCGAACGAAAACAAAAATATCCATTCCGCAGTCGCTAGTACTTCCAAACCACGTGCCAACATCTAGTGTACGTAAGTCAGCGTTGGAAGACAGACCCCTCTGTCGCGCCTTGATTGCGCTTGATTGCGCCACGCCATCTTTGCCGAAGTCGACGATGGTGGTGGTCAAGAGCTAAAACGCTGAGGAGAACAGTTCACATTATTAGCGCCGGAGGCACGCTCGTCCGGCGCCCGATGCCTGTGGCAGCTGGACAGTGGACGGGATACTTAGCGCGCGAGACTCGAGTCCACCATGTCCGTGTCGAATCATGACCGTGCCCGCTGGATCCACCGCTGGATATCCACATTCCATATCCGCGGGATGCATATGCGTGCCCGATCACCTGAAGTCAGATAAACTCTCCCAAATGTATGTGCCGAGGGGGGAGTCACACGGGAAGGTGCAATAGCAGTCGTTTCTCTAAATGCTCTACATGGGACGGCGTTTCCTTGATCGTACTTTGTTGCATGAACCCACAACGTTGCTCTCGCTAGTACCGTACGTCTTCCAACACTCTCTCGACGACGATACCGTGCTCCGCGCATGCATCCCGCACCCTGTCCAGTGCAATTATCTCTTCCGTGGAACTCAGCACCTCCACCTTCCGCACTACGCCCCTCCCACGCACCCCAAGGTTACGGAAGAGTCCCTCTCGCACCGCTACCACGATGTTGTAGCCCACGAACGTGCTCTTCAGCTCGTATCCCGGGACTTGCACCCGTCGCGCGACGATTGTGAGCTGTCGCACCGTCCGCGGGAGCTTGGCCTCAACCAACGTTCCGACGACGTCGAGCTGGATGCGGCTGAGCCTGGGACACGCCCGAACGACGCCGAAGAAAACGCAGCGCTCATCGTGCAGGTCCCCCTCCAGCGCCACGCACTTGCACTCCGGCGCGTGAGAGAGGCGGAGAAAGACGAGTGCAGGCAGTGGCACGGCGCCGAGCATGAAGACGTAACGACCGCCCGCGGCCGCTTTTGCGAAGAGGGAGGTGTCGAGGTGGAGGTGGGTGAGCGCGGGGAACTTGATTGAGAGGAGGTGTCGGAAGTTCTCGTAAGCTGGCCTCGACTCCATGAACGTTCTGCTGGGCCGCATGGTCACGGACTTGCATGTCTGGAGGCTGGCAGGGAAAGCAAAGGCGCGGTTCTTCAAAGGTGTCGCCGTCCACCGCTTGATATATGAGTTGTCTAGACTCATGAAGAAATGCTTGACGGGTGTCGAGACGTCCCGGCTCATGTGCTCGTCACAGGATGAAAAATAGAAGTGTTCTCGGGGAGGAGCCCCCATGTCGATGTACAGCTTGGGATATTGCATCTCAAGCCAGACAATTACTGCCGCAAAAGTTGGAGACGCCTTTCGGAGGGCGCAACACATGCTGAGGTGCTCTTTGAGAGAAGAAGGAGCCCGCCAGAGGTACTCGATGACGACTTTGAGAATCTCCACCGGGAGGCATGGCAAGGAGCCGATTGAGCGGTCTGGCAACCGAGCGGGTGTGAGCTGACGAGTATGCAGAGACAAATTATGTGCCGACCCACTTTGAAGTTCCATGATGAATCTGAGGGTCGAGCGTCCACAGAAGGTACAACGTTAACGTGATGTGAGCGGAGCGGGCAGTTGTAGGTGGGCTCAGAAGGATGTGAAGAACAGGCATGAGGGCTCGTCGAGCTTTATAGTGATCCAGGCTAGCATGGTACTTACCCGCTCCCCTATAGTCCCGCTCTACAACGTCCACGTTTCCGTCCCCCGCCCATCCGTTCCGCGGCATTGCAGCCCATCATCCGCGAGCCGCGACGTCATCAGTGGCGTCGCGGCCTCTCCTCCTCTCGCCCTCGCCGAGTCGTTCCTCCAATCTCCCGTCTCCATTCGCACGCACCTATCGCTCTTCGATAGGCAACACAAGGGCGGTTATACCTTACAGTACAAATCAGGCGAGCAGAGCTGCTAACACAGGTGTAACAAGCCCGCTTGGAGACCGTTGAGGCCGACTTCGCCAGCGCGCAGAAGTTCCGGTGCACGACGTCACAAAGACGGGAGGGTATTACAACAGCCACGCACATCGCCCGTAGCGCGCGAAATATGCAAACAGCGACGTGCCTCGTGCTAACATCGTGTCATAAGACCTTTCACAGCTCCTCGCGGGCGGCTCCGGAGGGGTCGAGCTTGACGAGCTCGACGTCGAAAACGAGCGCAGAGTTCGCGGGGATGACGTTGCCAAATCCACGCGGGCCTGGGATTGAACGTAAGTTCGCGCGCGCGCAGAAGAGGAATGGAGAAAGCCTACCGTAGGCCATGGCCGAGGGGATGGTGAGAGTGCGTTTCTCGCCCTGGCACATACCCTTCAGACCCTCCTCCCAACCGCGGATGACCTGGCCTGATCCGACTGCAGAAAGAGCTTTAGAACGAGAAGCAAGAACGTGCGCACAAGGGACTCACGAGTCAGGGGGAGAGGTGTGCCGCGGTCCAAGCTGAGACAGGGCATCCGTCAACCCCACCGTCGCGCGTATGAGCCGCATAAGCCTACCTCGAGTCGAATTTGTTGCCGTTCGAGAACAGCTTTCCAGTCTGTGGCACATTTGAGCGAGCGAGCTCGTCAAACCTGCGTGCGAAGCAACTTACATAGTGGACTTGGAGCTTGTCGCCGTTCTGGGAGGTAACCTTGCAGTCCTCCGGGATGTAGGTGCGGTCGATGCCAAGCTCAGTAGGTCCGTCCGCGGCAGCGACCAGCGCAAGCGCGAGCACAGATAGGGTGGTGAAGAAGCGCATGCTGAACAGGTCGTGAAGGGATAGAGCAGAGTGCAAGGGGCGAGCCAAGGGAGTCCTGGGATCCAGCAGTGGGACGGACGTGGCGCCGGCCCGGAGTGTGCTCGTGAGAGATCTCACGTGCAATCAAGGCTGCTTTCCGTAAACAGAAGCTTAGTCAGAACTGTACAGGCCAACGCTCGCACCAACCTTATTTTTCGTCCTCTCTCCACCAACCGCCGCCGCCCCGCGAACAACATCAAGACACGATGGTACGTCCTTCTGCTTCGCGAGCCGATATCCTCGACGCTCGTGCATGTAGGTGTGTGCTGATCGACTGGTTTTTGTGTTTGCAGCCTTCCCAAAAGACTTTCCGCACGAAGCGCATCCTCGCGAAGGCCTCGCGCCAGAACCGGTACGTAGGAGAAGGGGCCTGAGGTGAAAGAGGACGACATGGTTGAGACGTTCTTGGTAGCCCCATCCCCCAGTGGTTCCGTTTGAAGACGGACTCCAAGATCCAGGTGCGTAACCGTTGCCTATATTTCTATCCTCCCATAATCATCCCACACCCTCTTCCCCTTCTTGCTCCAGTACAACGCCAAGCGTCGTCACTGGAGACGCACCAAGCTCAACATCTAAGCCGCACGTTTCTGCTCGCAGCGACGACGACACCGGAGCCGGCGCCGCTGCTGTAGTTGTACCGTGGGGTTTGGACGACGGCGACGACGATTGGGGGCTACCGAGCCCCGCCCAGCATCACCGAGATATTGCATCCACATCGCACGCAAACGCTCACATGTATCGCTCTGTTACTGGCTTATGGCATCCTCGCTAAAATATCCGCATGCGTTATGCTTTCCTCCCCGATTGTTTGGCGTTCATCAGATGGGATATTCGAGCCAGGTACCGTCCTTCTGCTCTGCAGCTATTATCGCTTCTCGCCCCTGTGTCTACACAACGCGACCATGAAGCCAATAGCAAAGGAGCCGTTCGAGAGCATGAGAGCTCTGCCTGCGGCGGTGCGCACTGCGTATGATATATGCGAGCGCTTGATTGTCCTCGTCTTTTCCTTGAGACTGCTCCGACCGCAAACATGTCGACGTACGTGTCCTCGTGCAGCGCGACCCCCTAAATGAAATGATCTTCTTCACCAAAGTACGAGAAACAGGTAATGTATCGTTAACACGTACAAATATCATGACTCGGCCACGTGCGCTTCATAGGCCTCTGACACGCCACAGGCGCAGTGAAGTGGCACCAGCTCTTGTACACGTATCTCCTTTGCTTCATTCCCAGCTTGCGCTGTATCGTCTCTGGTTTTCACGGCCTTCATTTCCTTGGACATCATGGCTCTCATGGCGATGCTCTTTGCGCTCGTCTTCGTGACTGAGCTAATATCATGGGTTGGCAAGACTGTGCTGCTTGAATTCGTACGTCGTCATCGCTTGCTCAGATCCGTCACCACGCTTACCGTTGTGCAATCCCCGATGCGTTCTTGCTCATCGCTGTGGTCCGGGTCTCGCAGTTCTACGCCCTGTACCTCCGCATATTCTACAGCGCTGCAGTGACGCAGCAGCGGAAGCTCAAGTCGGACATTTTACTCAACAAGAAGGAACTTCTACAAACGAGCGCACAGGACCAGTTCGCCAAGTGGGCGAAGCTGCGGCGGAGCGTTGACAAGGGTCTCGCGGATCTCGAGAAGCTGAGTGAGTACCTTTCTGTTCGCCACTCCCGTCCTCCACGTCCCACCACACGCCTCCCCACACCTCAACCGTCCCCTCGCCCCGACCCCGTTTCAACATCCCGCTCATCGCGCTCCTCCCCCCCAACACGCGCAGACGGCGACCTCTCCTCCGCGCGCACCGCGTTCTCCATGCGCTTCAACACCGCACTCTGGGTGATGACCACCGGGGCGCAGTTCGTGATCGGCTGGTGGTACCGCAAGGCGGCGGTCTTCTACCTGCCCCCAGGCTGGTTCGGGCCGCTGACGTGGTGGCTCGCGCTGCCGTTCGCGCCCGCGGGGAGCGTGAGCTGCGGCGTGTGGCAGATGGCGTGCAGGCGGGTGATCAAGCTCGGGGAGCGCGCCGTCCGCGACGTCGTCGCGCGCCACGGTGAGTCGTCGTTTTGTTTTTTTCCTCTTCTCTCGCGCCGTGCGTTCCGTCGCGCCGCCGTGTCGCCCGCGCAATGGAAACTGGACCCCTCCCCGGGGCTCCGCCGGCCGGGACGCCGGGTTCCGTGCGTCCAGGCCCTGGGCGGGGCGCCGTACCACACGTTCACGGACGCGACGCAGAGACGGGAGACCGGGGTGGCGAGCGTGATGGATGTGGACTCATTTCTTGCCTCCGCGATAGGGTCGTCCACGACGCCGGTCCCGTCGGAAGGCGCGAAGACGGAAGGCAGCGGGAAAAAGGTCGATTGAGGCAGGTTGTGCAGACCTGCGGGTTCGCGTCCGGAGCCGCGACGCTATTCTGGGGGTGCGATGAGAGCTTAGGGTCGCGGTGAGCAGTGTATGTACACGTTATCAAGCAGCGGTTCGGCAACCACCCACGGGAAGCGGTACGCGCGAGCGTCGCGGGATTGTGCTAGCCGCGAGCGCAGATGCGGGGCACCGGAGACTGGTACGTATCTGAGCGAGCGATTCACGGGACGAGGAGGCCCGCGCCGGGGATAGCCGGGCGGTGGCCGAGAGAAACGCTCCCGTCTCCTTTCCGGGGCAGCGTCGGAGCAGTCCGACGGGATCGCGGACGGCGCGTGGGCTGCAGGCGGGGGACGCGACCACGACGTCCAGCGGAGCACCGGGGGCGCCCCGGGAGCCAGGCGGGCTGGTCGCGGAGCTCGGGGGCGGCAAGCACGTGAAAGCAGCCATGACGTCCGGAGCACGTCCAAGGAAGACGGGCTTGCGGAGAGCCGCCACACTACTTATACGCAATGCCTCCCGACTACCCTCCTGAGCTCCTATCGCACCCCGCACCCGCCCTCACACCCACACCCACGCACTCACACCCACAACATGGTCCAGGGCGTCATCATCCACTCCACCCAGGCGCAGGACGCACAGGCACGCGTGCTCACCGAGGACGCGCTCAAGTTCATCGCTGCCCTCCACCGCACCTTCGAGTCGACCCGCCAGTCGCTCCTCATCGCCCGCGAGGCTGCCCAGCAGCGCCTTGATGCCGGTCAGCCCCTCGACTTCCCTCCCGAGACTGCACACATCCGCGCGGACCCTTCGTGGATCTGTGCACCGCCCGCGCCGGGTCTCGAGGACCGCCGCGTCGAGATCACTGGCCCGACGGACAGGAAGATGGTCATCAACGCGCTGAACAGCGGCACGAAGACGTTCATGGCTGACTTTGAAGGTACGCATTGCCACACGTGCGTGTAGGAAAGCAGGAGGCTCAGCGAGATTTCTAGACGCGAGCTCCCCGACGTTCGCCAACATGATCAACGGCCAGGTCAACCTCTACGACGCCATTCGGCGCCAGATCGACTTTGAGTCTGGCGGAAAGGCGTACAAGCTCTCGCAGAACCCCGCGGTGCTTATCGTCCGGTGAGTTACGCGAACGTCTCCAGGAACGCTCCTTGATTCTCACATGCCTGCTGCAGTCCTCGTGGCTGGCACTTGGACGAACCCCGCGTGACCGTCGACAACGCCCCTGTCTCCGGCTCGCTCTTCGACTTCGGCATGTACTTCTTCCACAACGCCAAGGAGCTCGTCCAGCGCGGCAGCGGCCCCTACTTCTACCTCCCGAAGATGGAGCACTACCGCGAGGCGCGGCTCTGGAATGATGTCTTCAACTTCGCGCAGTCGTACATCGGCATGCCGCACGGCACCATTCGCGGGACCGTCCTGATCGAGACGCTCCCCGCCGCCCTCCAAATGGAGGAGATCCTGTTCGAGCTCCGGACGCACTCCTCGGGTCTCAACTGTGGTCGGTGAGTATCCGGCAGGGCCCGTTGAAGCGGAATGTGAGATCTAACGTCTCGTAGCTGGGACTACATCTTCAGCTTCATCAAGCGCCGTCGTGCCGACCGCAGCGCCGTGCTGCCCGACCGGAAGGACGTGACCATGGAGGTCGGTTTTATGGATTCCTACGTCCGTCTCCTCGTCCAGACTTGTCACAGGTGAGTAGATCCGAATGTCTCGACAATACACGTGTTTACCTTTGAATCAGGCGGAGAGTTGCTGCCATGGGTGGTATGTCGGCGCAGATCCCCATCAAGAACGACCCTAAGGCAAACGAAATCGCCATGGAAAAAGTTCGCGCAGACAAGCTTCGGGAGGTCATGAACGGCCACGACGGTACTTGGATCGCACACCCCCTCATTAACGCGATCGCGATGGAGATCTTCAACAAGCATATGCTTGGTCCCAACCAGGTCAGTGCAACTCACAGCGCAAGCGTTTCTGCTGCTGACTTCATGTCCAACAGTACCACGTTCGCCGGGAGGAGGTCAAGGTTGCCGCTGCCGACCTTTTGAACACCAACGTTCCCGGCAAGATTACTGTCGAGGGCGTGCGCTCGAACGTCGCAACCGCTCTGGGGTATAGCGCAGCATGGCTTGCCGGAAACGGCTGCATTCCTCTCAACTGGCTCATGGAGGACGCGGCCACCGCGGAGATCACTCGCGTCCAGCTCTGGCAGTGGGTGAAGTGGGGGATGCGCACGAACGACACCGGCGCCGTCATTACCGCGACTGGATCGACAGCCTGGTCGACGAGATCGCGCCCACACTGAAGAGCGCGGTGCTGACGGCGGAGAACTTGGACATCGTGAGCAAGTACCTGAAGGCGCAGGTCCGCAAGGAGTGGCCGAGCGAGTTCTTGACGAGCGATCTGATGGGTTACCTTGCGGTAAAAGATGGATGCCCCGCGGGGTGGCAGCGCAGCGTGCTGTAGGATTTGCATTCATATCGGACATTGCGCCTCTCTCCACTTTTCGATGTACATTACTAGTTCCGGTCATTGTATACTAGCACCAAGTAAGCATCTCCTTCTATCCGCGAGGAAAGTGTGGACATGGATATATTCATTCAACGGACTAGATGGTCGTGCGAGGTTGTACGGATGAGATTTCGAGCCCGCATGTGCAGAGTAGGAGAGGCCTTGGCGATGAGTTCATTGAGATAAGATAGACGCCTGTCGCGCACGCGGACTTCGCGCATTGCGTCCACGATTGGGCCGCTTAGCGGAACGTGTCTTGCTTCTGCCCCACATCCTCGTTTTTGTCCCTCTCCATATACCCTGTCCCGCATACAGCCACTCTCATTCTTCAATAATCACGTCACGCTGTCTCCAAGATGTCGCGGCATATCAAGCGGCTTACGCTCACCTCCAAGAAGAATTGGTGGATGGGTGAGCCACATTCCGATCGTTCATTTTGGTGACGGCACGCATAATCGCCCGAAAGCATAGTTGAGCTCGACGAAGAGGCCGAAAGCTCGCCTTCGATCGTACCTCCGCACTCCGCCACACCCGGAGAGAACACTCCACAACACACCCAGCAGCGCACCCAGCAGCGCACCCCAAGACAGCTGCACAGACAAACCCCCCGCACGTACGAGTCCACTTCCCACTCCTCAGCGCCCATCTATCGCCCCCCGACGAACCCCACGTCGATATTCTCCTTCCCCACCCCCACATCGTACTCTGCCCCACCAAATCCACACAAAGTCTCGTGCCCATGGCCGCCGGGTCCGCGTCAGAACTCTTCCAGTGCGTGGTCAAGAAGCCGAACGTGGTGCAGATCGAGATCAACGGCGAAATGCAGTCGAACGCGCGGGACGTGACAACCCAGTTCCTCGCAGAGCTCCGCGTGTACACGACGCTCGCGCGGCACCGCAACATCTGCGCCTTCCTCGGCGCGCTCGAGAACGTCGGCATGGTGCTCGAGTACCTCGAGGGCCGCACGCTCTACGACGTCATCCGCGAGCACGCGCCGTCCCCGCGCCTGGGCGAGGACCCCCCGGCGAGCCGGAACCGACGATGCCGCGCGCGCAGAAGGTCGGCTACCACGACCAGCTCCTCGACGGCCTCACCCACCTGCACTCGTACGGGCTCTCGCACGGGGACCTCTCGCTGCTCAACATCCAGGTCACCCGCGCGTCCGACACCGTGAAGCTGTTCGACTTCGGGCGCTCGGTCCACGCGGACTCGCGCATCCTCGCCCCGGACGACGACGCGGACGACGAGTTCGCGCCCCCTCCCGCGCACCCGCCGCCGCCGCCGCCGACGCCCTCGCGCTTCGCGTACCACGGCCCGTCGACGCCCGCGCAAGCACCGCAGCGGTCCGCGCGCAAGGTCGAGCGGATATACCCCGGGACGCGGCCGTTCAGCGCGCCCGAGATCCTGCGCGGGGAGTGCGCGGACGCGCGCCTGGCGGACGCGTACAGCTTCGGGATGATCCTGGTCTGCCTCGACCGCGGGACGCTGGTGGACGTGAAGCCGTGGGAGCAGCGGAAGGACAAGCTTCCGAACGGGTTCTTGGACGGGCTGGAGGTGTTCGGGGCGCGGTGCGAGGAGTATCTGCGGAGGTGCGATCAGGGACGGAGGAGGCTTGCGAGGGAGGATATGATGGGTGTGGACGTGACGATGGTGGATGGGTTGTGAGGGAGCTTGATGGTGCGTGGCTTGAACGCTCTGCGTAGGGTTCTGATGCGACGTTGAGTGCAGGAAGTGCAAGTGTACGCGCAAGTGTTTGTATTTGTGTATCAAGGAACTGCGAACGCTGGTATGCACAACACCTGGCTCTTCAATGTTTGGTCGTCGCTAGGGCGTTTGCTGCGACCACTCGTCTACTACTTCCGTCGCGGCGGCCCGCTTTGAAGGACAAAGAGGGCATCTCGGTTGTCCACCAAGGAGATGTAATGCCGCGACGCGCCCCAGGAAAGAGAGAGAGGCTCGCGGAAGATCATGGTGTATTCCTGTACGAAGTACAAGTACGTTTCATACGCATGCAGCTCGGATGTTTATCAACTCCGTAGTATATCATTGCTCGGGGCTGTTCCCAACAGTCATCGGAGGACCACCAACCTTAACTTCGTGAAGCTATACCCACGATTAATCGCCCCGAAGGCTCGCCACAAACTCAACCCACTACGGGTTCGACAGTTTCAAGACTAGTTCTGTTGCGTTCTCTCTCGAAATATAGGTTCCGATTCGAGTCTGATTTTCTTTACAAAAGAATGGTCGTCATGTGGGGTGCGACATCAAGTGGGTATGCGTCGCTCACGCGTGTTCTATACAAGGAAATGATTCCTGACGTACGTCCAAGAACCCCCAGTAAGTGCATCCGTGCGCACGATGCGCCGCAGCTGCTCAGCTGGGGAGCGTTGCTAAGGTCCTTTATCTTATATAGCGAGTCTCTTGCTGACGGCCTCTTTCCCTCATCTCTAACATTGCATAGTGTTTCCATCCCCCAGCTATGCATCCTCTCGTGCTGGTGGTCGCCGTAGCCTTCATCCTCGTCTCGAGCAATGCACAAATCAATAGGACATTCTTCCCGGCCAGCATCCCTCTCAACCTGCGGTCCCCGTACTTGCACACATGGCTCGTTTCCACCCCAGGTAGCAAGCCTTTGTCCCAATCAGATCCGATGTTTTGGGACCAATTATCCCAACAGATCGGCGATGTTGTTCAAGGGTTGGCTGAGAGCTCTTATATTCTGATCCAAATTCTATAGATTCGTCAAACCCATATTGAATTCCTGGATGGTCAGCTGAATATATGTGAGTAGAGTCGCTGGTATTCACCAGACGTTAACCGCTCATATCGCGTTTTCTTAGCTTCGACATCTGGAATAGGGCTGGATTCCGGCGCAGGTGAATCAGGAAGCTTTCGTAAGAATCCGACGTTGTCACACTTCCAGTCTTATCTTACAAATCTTGCTAGCATGGCAATTCTGGGTGTCGGCCATTGTTACAGATGTACGTGTGCGCGACCGAATGATACAGGGGGCGTATGCACGTGCAGGAAACAACCAGACGATTGGGGCGCTCATGGAACACTACAACATCACGAGCGGCTTGAATATCAATGGGCAAGGAGCGTGAGTCCCTCAGGAAGGACTGGATTCGACCCGAAATTCATCGTCATTCTCCTTCAGCTCCACCCTCGGTGCCGTGTATGCACATTTGGCTTTGAAGTGCGTATATAGGGACCATAACTGGTGACGATATACTAATCTTACATACTAAAGTCTGTCAGCCAGCACGTCGGTGAACCTCTCCTCCGATGGAATCCCCCGCGCGCATTACTGCATATGGCAGCAATCCCTCCGGCGAGGGGGGACCGGGTAGTGACAACTCTTCTCGCACATTGTAGCCATCGTCGGCGGGCTTGTCGGCATTCTCGCCTTCGTCGGGATTGTGGTTGCCGTGGTCATATACTTTCGACGTTGTTGGAGGAGCACTTCCACCACTGATCGACACGAGTCAGATGCCGAAATCCCCACAACCTTCGCTTCAACAGTAGACTTCAGCGAAACTTTCGCAACGACAGCATCTCATCGACGGAAGGCGCAGGAGGCTGGGCTGGCCTCCCAGCATCCGACAGTGCAGGGGTCACTGATGGACCTCTCGGATGCCCCGACCCCAATGAGCGTTCGGGGAAACAACGGCGGTGTTGCGGCATCGGAGGTGCTTTCGGACACTTCTATTCCTGTCACAGAGGTCTTGGCCCTTCGTGGGGACGTGCGGAATCTTCGGCAGATGGTTCATGAGCTTGCGAGGCGCAGGGTAAACCAACCGCCTCCGGAGTACACGGCGCGGTAGTACTACGCTTGGCCTATCTTTGGTTTTCGGGTGGCTGGATCCAGTTTTTACCTTCAACTTAAGACCCCAATTATCGTGGGTAGCGGTGGCTGTTAATTTCGGAAAACCGCTGTCAGATTTTACCGCGGACCACAGATCCTGGATAGAGCGCCCGTAGCCCGAGGACCAGGAGTAAATTAAGCGCCATCGCCAGCGCGCGCTGGCCAGAAATATTTGGGCCAGCTGCTGATTTCGTCTTGCCGCCATCTTGCTCTTCTCTCTCTCAGTGCCTCTGCTCGGAACATGTGCCACATTCAGGACCACGGCCCGTGTCATTTTTCTCTCGGTGACAACCTCGCGCCAAGCGCGGGGCAGCGTGGTGGCGAACTACAAAAGATATCTAATGCGACTGCACGATGCGATCTCAATTCTCTTGGTCTCGTCCATGGAAGCCGCTCTGTACCGCACCCTGCCACCGCCTACCCGAGCTGTTGGTGGATCATGGTACAGAGCGGCTGAAGATGAGGCCACAATTATCTATATTCGCGCAGTACTCACGAAGCGTATCATATTCGCAGCCCCTTAAGACGTCCAGGTCACAGCGTTCACACGTCAGAATAGCCACCGCTCCCCCAAGCCCGCAATAACTGACGCTTCTATTCGGAGGACTATTCTTCTAGTATTTCCGCTCGCCTCTTTTTTAACCCGTCTACCATACTGTCATGCATCAAGGCTCCCGCCTTATCGGCCATGGATCTTTCGAGGTGAGCCTGGATCCTCGTCGGAGCGACGCTCACAACATCGGCATGCGCACAAATCCCAGCCCAAACCTTCTTTCCAGCGACCATCCCTCTCGTGACTCTCTGCAGAACGGTCAGTGGTATGTGGAAACTGCGAACCAAGTCCACGATGCAGCTGTGTTCTGTGCAGTCGAATCGGTGAGTGTCCGGAGTAGCAACGGGTTTGCACATCTGAGGTCACACGTTCCCGAAATAGGGCCCTGGTTGGACGTGTCAAATCGGAGGAGACAGCCACGCGTGAAATCTTTTCCCATGACGGGGTCCTCCAGAACATGGTGGACCCTGGGAGAAATGAGCCTATCGCGCCGTGAGTTTCGTCTATTGACGTACTCCAAAAGACTCGCTGAAAACCATAGGGCACTTTTTCGTTTGTGGGATGGCGTTGGATCTCGGGGTCGTCCGGCCACTGCCTACTCTTCGCAGCCCCGACTGCGACAAACCAAAGTTTCCAAGCCCATCGCCTCATACAGAGAGCATACGCCCGAGTGCACAACGACGACGTGTGGCGCGCCCTTGCGAATCACTGTTTCGTGTCGAACGGCTCCGTTAAATTTGACGGATCTGCAGGGTGGGTCCATTGCTGCACTGTCCCCCCGGATCCGAAGCTGAACACATGGCCGTACACAATCGTAGTCTGGGTGGAGCTAACGTATGTGAACTTCGTTCATTTCCCTCACGAAACCAGTAACGTTCTCCTGCCGGCAGTCTTCCCTCCACCTCACTGCCGACGGCATTTTAAGCAGCGGTCTTGGCTCTGATGGAGGCAATGGCGTGTACAAGAAGCATCCTCGCAACACATTTGTGGTCGTGGGCGGTGTTCTAGGTGCCACTACCATCGTCTGCATAGTCGCCGCCGCCGCCGCCATCTCGTATATCCAACGCCAGAGGCGCGCCCGAGGAGGTTGCGCGCCCCAAACTCTTATTTTCACGGACGACGTGACACAGAATGCCCCTACACCAGAGGTTTTGTCAATAACCCCAAGCATCTTCAGCCACACGGCCGACTCCGGAGCCGTCTCCAAACACATTGGAATCTCCACTCCTAGCAAAGCGGGCCAATTCCACTTGCATTCAAGCTGGCACGAACGCTGTTCAAGCGCTTCGCCACCATCGTCGCGCGCTGGTACAGGTCCGCCGCCGGAGGTGTTACCGGGCCCGTCTATGTCTTTCACGGAGGCTGTAGTAGCGCTCCGAGGACGTGTGCCTCCGCTGCGCCAGGAGTTCGAGGACCTGCGGGAGGGATGCACCTCCCAAGCACACAGCATAGTCTGCATGATGGAAAGCTGTTTTCTCCTCTCATCAATCAATTAATCACGACGAGTCCTGTTTTATCTTGACAGTCGAACGTCTTCGGGCGGCGGCCCGGCATGGGATAGGAAGCTGGACACGTGCACGACGCTGCTGGGCCGTTCTAATATTGGCCACGTCGGTGCCTCTCTTCGCTTTCGTGCACCGCACGTTGGCGCTCCGACGACTCGGAACTCTGTCCTCCATCTTGCGGATTCCCATCTGCCCGCAAATAAAGCGGCCTCTTCGTCTTCCCCATCTGCGGTCCCTTTCTCATCATGTTCGTCGCCCTGTGGGCTCCGATTCTGCTTTTGATCTCTTCCCTTTTGGCCGTCGTCATCGCTCAACAACCAATACAGACCTTCTTCCCGGCAAGCATCCCACTTGCCGTCCGATCTCCGTACTTCAACGCCTGGCAATCCTCCACAAACGGGACAAATGTAACACTCCCAAACTCATGGCTAGTGGACTGGACACAAGCGGTGGGTGCTGTCGATGATCGCCTGTGGTTCAATCTGACATCGCCGGAAGACACAATCCGGGCTCTACGCCCTCGTTCGCGTCGATGGCGCCTCTTACCAGCTCACAGGACATCACAGCTACCCGCCCGCAGTCGGCGCCATCGTCACCAACGTTCAGCTCACCCCGACACGCTCCATTTTTGTCATGAAAGCTGGCCCTCTGAACGTCACCTTCACCTTCCTATCCCCTGTCGAGGTACGACGACCACCGACCGTGTGCCTTCACATATTAATGCCATCTATCAGCCCCAAGATTGGGTCAAGCAGTCGCTGCCTGTGACTTATGTCTCGATTGAATTCCATTCCCTTGACGGCGCGGTCCATGATGTTCAGGTTTACTGCGACGTCACCGGAGGTACGATTTGTGGTACTCGTTATGTGATCGCTAAGCTTACCTCCGACAACTTATAACAGAATGGGTATCCGGCGATCGCGCTACGGATAGCTCCGGAGCTCCAGTGCAGTCTTCAGTCACACCGACTGACAGCAGCATGTATTGTTCGTACTCGTTGGAACAACCTCGGCCTTTCGAAGAGACTGCAAGTCTCGCTGACGACGCCAAGTCATTCTTGGCGACCTCTTCTGTGAGTACGCGCGAGAATATTCCAAAAGGCCAGATCTAATCAGTTCGCAGGGCGATGGAAGGACATGGGGAATAGCAGACGGGGACCCTCAACGCTTGCCGTACATTGCCAGTGGAATTCTCCCAAACAATAAGAACTCGTCAACAGTAAACCAAATTGGGCAAGTATTCGCTACCCGTCGCGTTATCGCGGGCGCACATGCTTACTGATCCCGGTAGACTTCATGTGGTGTGCGGACTTGCGATCGACCTCAAGAACGTCGCGGCAACGACAACACCTATCGCATGGGCATTCAGCGTCTTCCGAGATCCCGTTGTGCAATACGCGACACCCACTGGAGCACAGCAAAATCGGCGTCCCTACTACGCTACACGCTACCCGGATGATTCGGATCTGTAACTCTGGTCCGCACGCATCTTCCCCGCCCTTCTGAGGTCTTCGCTGATGTCGCATTTTCCAGATCGACGATGTTGTACAGGACTTTCCAGCCGCTCTCGCGCGCGCCGTCGCGCTTGACGCGCAAATCATGAACGCCGCAGTGCAGATATCCGCGGAATACGTGGACCTGGTCTCCCTCGCGACTCGTCTGACTATGGGCACAATGGAGATGACTGTAGGGCTCGACTCGCACAACAACATCAATTCTTCGGATGTCATGATCTTCGTGAAGGACATAGGGTCATCCCAGTGAGTCATCTTTTCTCAGTTCTTTTTCCAAATTTCTGAGATTACTCTACAGCCGCATCAACCCAGTGGAGAAACTGTACGCCGCGTGGCCTGCGTATCTCTACCTCAACGCATCTCTCTGTGGAGCAATTTTGCGCCCCATGTTGGAGCTTCAGGATGCGAAATCCGGGCAGCCATACGCTTCGACTGACATAGGTATGCTGTTTTTCAGGTGTTACATGTGTCCCCGGGTTCATCATGAGCAGGCAGTTCGTATCCCAATGTCACCGACGCGGGAAGTCGGGGAAATCCTGCCCAGGGTATCGAAGGTGTGTTGGACGGTACCTCCCTATTCTATGATCACCTCTCTATAATGCGCTCACAGAGTCCAGCAACGTGTTGATCATGTTGTACTCTTACGCACGCTTTTCCGGAGAAGGAATGCTTCTCGCGCAGCACGTGCGTGTCTTCAAAAACATTCACCGGGAAGTAGCTGCTCACATCGTTACAGTACAACACCACAAAAAGATGGGCGGACTATCTGGTTCAGAGCGTACCGAGCTTCAGCGGCCAGTGAGTCTCGTTTAGTGGGAAATGGCAACTACGAGAGATTTCAATATCTCCTCCCACAGAATTACCGCAGACCAAAGCACTCCCGGTGCAAATCTGACCAACCTTGCACTCAAGGGAATTATAGCGATCAGAGCCATGGCGGAGATCAGTCACACAGTGGGAAATGACCCCGATGTGGAGTTGTACAACGTGAGCGGACTCGCTTGAGTGTTCGCACACTGACGGAGTAAGTACAGGCCACCGCCTCAACTCTCATTAACGAGTGGCAGTCGCTCGCCATAGCCCAGTCAGACGGACATATCCTCGCGTCCTATGGAGACCCGGATACGTCTTGGACACTTGCCTACAACTGTACGCCGACCTACTGCTCGGTACGAATCTCGTCCCAAAGTCGGTATGCACGGTTTAGGACCTGGATGGTGTATTACGGCTGATGGAATCGCTTCTATCAGGTTCTTCAAAGTCACACCAAGCCATCGGCGTGCGACTGAACGCATGTACGCAAAGTCTTGTCCTACAGCGAGTACAAGAGTACTAACAAGCATCATCATCCTCAGCTTCGAAGTTCGGCTTGCCCATCGACAGCACGCAAGCCGACACGTGAGCATGGGTGCGCGATCGCCGGTCCGCCGAAACGTCACTGACCGCTCCAAATAGCATGGCTGCTGTTCACGGCCGCAACGATGACGGACCCAGACGTGCGCGACCGTCTCACTCACGGAGGCTGGACCCGCGCGAACAGCAATCTCACGTCCGGGGCGTTTATGGACCACTACCACAATGACGGGTCGATCATCGATGGGACGGCAGGGTGCGTGGGTTCCTATCGCGACCTACTTCGTTCACGCCGACGTCCTCTCCAGACCGAGCGTGGGCGCGATGTTCTCCCATTTAGCTCTGCAGTGAGTGGACGTCGCTCTCGTCAGCAGGTTCTTGGTAAAATGGCAGACTCGGCACACAGACTCCCCAGCAAAGCGATCAACCTCACCTCAAACGGAGTCTCAAGCAGCGTGCCGAGCGCCCCTCCAGGCAATAGGTACCGAGGTTCCAACACGGGCGCGATCGTGGGGGGCGTCGTGGGCGGGGTCGTCATCATTGGCCTCGCAGTCGCCACGGTCGTCTGCTTCCGCCGTCGGCGCATGCGACGGACGTCGTCGCCACGGCTCGACATCGACGCATACCACCACAGCTCTCCGCAAGGCAGCTACCACGACCTCATTCCGCACGCACGCGCGACGTCGGACTACGGCGCCGCAGTGCCCGCCGCCGCTCCCGCCCGGCGGACAAAGGCGCGGGAGGCGAGGCAAGATCGGGCTGAGCGAGGGGAGACGTACGAGATGGACAAACGCCCCCGCCGTCCACCGGGCTTGCGTCGCCAGCGGCCGCGGCCGTCGGCGAGGCCCCGTCCGAGTTTTCGCAGTCGGCGGCGGTGTCGGTGACGACGACCGAGGTCGCTGCGCTACGGAGCGACGTGCAGGACCTCCGGCGGGCGATGCATGCGATGGCGGAGCGCAGGCTGGAGCCGCCACCGGAGTACAGGCCGACACTGGACCGGGTGGAGACGGCACCAAGAAGGGAGAAGCTGGATTGTGACTCAACTGACGGGGTGGGCGTGTATAGCAATATTGCGGTCTAATGGATGGCTTACAAGAATCCTTGAATGCGAGACAAGAAGCACGCACGCACACACCGTTGAAACCGTTCCGTACCCTTTCCTCTGCAAGTGGTTCGGCATATGCTCTCGCTTCGTCTTCCATTATGGCCGCGCTGGATGGGCACGAGAACGCGCCAGTTGACGTAGAAAACGCGCCGCTCCGCGTGCCGAAGTGGGTGTGCTCGTACTCGCCTCGAACAACGCACCTCAAGCCCAATCTTCGCGGAGGCCGATTCCGACGTCCGCTGCTCCACAGAGCTCGCGCGGGCCGTGCGCGGGTGACGGCGGCGCCCACGAGCAGGATAAACGACGCGCCGAGAATCAGAAGCAGTAAACTCGCCAGCGTGGTGAGGACGGGGAAGATCACGGAGAGGGGAAGGAGCAGGGCGCCTGGTGATGGTGGTCGTCGCGATGAGAGAGAGAGAGAGAGAGAGAGAGAGAGGACAGGTGCGACTTCGTAGCCATGGCCGGGTTTTCCGGTGCACGGCGCCCGAGAGCGCTGGTGCCTGATCTACTGCACAAGGGCCCAAGACATACTGAATAGAGTGGCGAACAAACGACGACATACAAAGTGATATAACATTCTGAGGATCGATTGTATCCATCGATATTCACGCGGGCTTCATCGCTTGAACACAGGATGAGCAGAACCGTCATGGCAAGCAAGCAGAAAAGCCCACTCACCGTCTCAAAAAGAGCAGGGTACCATCGCAAACCTCCCACCCGTCCGTCTTCAGGATAGCCCAGCAAATCCAAAAGTTCCGCCACCCGACCCACCATCTCCTCGGTCATACCCTGCATACCTCGGTTCGAGAAAAACGCGACGATGGGCTTCTGCGGGTGGCGAGCGGACGCGCCCCAGACTTGTTCCATGTCGAAGTACACGCCTCTCACCTTCTCGAAAGCGTCGCGGAGCGCGTAGAAGCTGTGGGGCCAAAGCCAGTCCTCCGTTCCCGGTATCTTCTTCGCGACGCCGAGCTTGATAGCGCCCTTGAAAAAGATGTCTCGACGGAGTGGCACGCCAAACCAGCAAAGGGGGAGGTCCCGGGGAGAGGCAAGGGTGCGTAGAGGGTTGAGACAATCGGGCAGCCGACTCGCGGGGAGTAGCTTCCTCACTTGATACTCCTGCGGCGAAAGTGGTCAGGCGAGATGGCTGACAGCTCGGTGATATACGCACCCCGCTCTTCCACGTCCTCGTACGAAATTTCTTGCGCCGATGGATTTCTTCTTCAGAGAGGCCTGCGTTGCAAACGGCAGGACGGACATCGTGTCCCGCTGTGTCGTTGGCTGATACAGTTGAAAGGGAGGGATCAGAGTCAGGAGGTGGTGATGGTCTGGGCGTGCAGCCATGGCCCATGAGTGACGACGACGTGGCGAAGGGGAGAGAGGACCGCAATCGACACCGATCTGAAGTCTGCGGCCACAGGTTTTCAATTTCCCACGGAGTCTAAACACTCCACTCGTGCTTGTACTGAACGGGCTCTGAGTTCCAGACAGTTAATGTGTGGTTTCTGTCCAAGACGCTTTTCAGCATATGTACATGATTACATAAGTTTCGCTGACCGCGCACAGTTCGTTGGGATGAGGGGCCCGAGAAGGAGGAGGGAAACGGCGGAGGATGAAGCAGAGAGGGGTGAGGTGATGGCGAAAACGATGGTAGTGATGGTGGAAGTGATGGTAGGAGAGAATGTGGGGGTGAGAGTCCGTGCATGAAGTCCGTGAGTGTCGTAAAGCGATATACCCGCCGCATCAAGTCCAAGATATCAGTAAAGTCACAGGGGCCTCTATGTCTAAACGAGTGTGTACACCCGCAGGGAGTTGATCGCCCAGTACGCCTTCGAGAAAGCCGAGGGGTTGTTCATCACGTCTTCGAGAGGTGTCAGTAAACATTGAGAGGGTCTAACACGACACTCACAGTCCGCGCAGTTGCCCGGGCACCCAGCAGCCCCATACCCAGAACCAGCCCAATCGCCCTGATAACAGAGGTAGGTCAGTAAAGCGTTTTCAGAGCATAAGAGAGACGCACGCAGAACGTGAGGTCGAACACCAGACTGTGCGCGTTGAAGAACGCGTCGTACGCGCAGTTCGACCCGAGCGGGAAGTCCGCGTCGGGTATGCCCCAGGTCAATTTCGGCGAGATCGTCGCAGAGGCGTTCCCCGCGGCCACCTCGGGCGGAACGCTCGAGTCGGTGCGGGACCAGAACCAGAGCTTGATCCCGTTCGCGCGGGAGCGCGACATGACGAACCAGCCGCCTCCCGCGGCGTTGAACGGCGGGCCGTACGTGCCGGGCTGCGACGCGCTCACGCCGCAGCCCTGGTTGAAGTTGTGCGCGGCGTCGCAGTCGTTCGAGAGGACCGTGCTGCGGGGGAGGAGCGGGGTGAGCAAAGTCCCGGGCGTCCCGAGGCGTGAGGGGAGAGAGAACGGACCCGGACATGGTGCGGTCGTTGTTCATGCTGCAGCCGGGGGTGGTGTGGAGGGTGACCAGGTTGGCAGTGTTCACGTTGACGCCTGGGAGGATGACGATGAGCGAAGGGATGCGGGGATGTGAAACACGTGCTCTCACCTTCGATGATGTCGATCTCACCGCCGTTGGGCCACGGTCCGGCCGAGCTGATCGACCAGAAGGCGGGCCAGGTTCCGCAGCCCCAGGGCATGTGCGCGATATCGAGGACGACGACGGACTCATCGAAGGCCTGGTTGGAATGGATGCGGATGCTGTCCCGACCGCGTGCGCCGAAGGGAACGACATGCTTGGAGTCGGCTTTCATCACGAACTGGTTCCCGGTGACTACGTCCGGAACGTTAGGACGCTAGGAGGCAAGGGAGGCTGTGCAGCATACCGTAGGCCAGGTTTTGGTTTTGGGCGGTCTGGCTGTCGACATAGTTGACGGTGCCGTGGGTGGGGTCGTTGAACGTCTCCCAAGTCCAATCGTTGAAGAAGTCGTTGCCGATATACTCCTGGGCGAAGCTGAAGGTCTCGACGAGTTGGGAGTCGCGGCTGAGTCTGTTGGCGGCAGCAGGGAGGATGAGGAAGGGAAGGAGGACGAGGTGAGCAAGCCCAGTACGCATTGTAGATGGGATTGAGCTGGAGGGGTGGACGAGTGAGGGTGGTTGCGCGGTGGGCGGCGAGGCGGATGTAGAGAATGCAAGAGAGCGAGGGCAGCAAGAGAAGATATATAGCGCGAACGAAGGACAGGGAGGAGAGAGTGGCGAACGGGGGTCGGGACAGGACGTTGGCGGGTTGAAGAGCAGAAGTTGGCATTGTCGGGTGGAGCATGTCCGTTTGGACGTCGACTTACGCGCTCCGTGTGATGGCTCGCAATGGGGATGCGGGCATTGACCGCCTAGGACGACGAGTAGAACCGTGGGAAGACGCATGAGCCGAGAATTTCTGTGGCGGCCTCGATAACACGTGCGCCCAGCGAGCGGCGGAGGCGACGTGGCCCAAGAAGGAAGGTCTTCAAGAACGCTCCGGGTCCAGCCACCGCGGCTGACAGCGGGCGAGCGTATGCTTAACTCAAAGACCGGGCCCCGTCCCAACGCTCCTCCTTCGCTCCTTCGCTCCCCTTCTTCCCCTGCCTGGTGCATCGTCTGGCTACGATTTTTCCTCCATGTCTCGCTCAGCTTTCAACCCGCTCTCCGTCCTCGTCCTCTACGGCCTCGCCTCCTTCTGCAGCCCCATCCGGGAGCCGGCCTCTGGGTTTCGCATCCGCCTAGAAAGACGAGAAGTGAACGCCACGGATGTATTCGAGTCTTCGTATGCCGTGAGTGCCTCCGTTCTCCTTCCCACTCAACTACAACCCACTTCCCAGACGCGCGAGCGCGAGGCCACCCTCGTCAAATACTCCAATGCCGACCAGTTCCTCTCCGGCATCGGCCTCCACCCCGACACCCACCCGGAGCGTAGCTACCCCGCCTTCACTCCCCCCAACTCCTCCGTCACCGTCCGGAACGCCCCGCTGCGCGGCATGGAGTACACCTTGGACAATCCAGACGCCAACAGCACCGATCCCGATCTCCTCCACCGCGCATCCTCTCTCGACGGCGACAAGACGGAGCGGTTGGCGCTCCAGGACTTCGTCTCCGGTGGCCTCGACGTCGAGTACTACGGCCCGTTGGCGTTCGGCACCCCCGCACAGATGCTCGACGTCGACATCGACACCGGCTCCGCCGACCTCTGGGTGCCCTCGCGCTGCTCGCGCTGCACCAATGGCGAGTTCCAGCCGAGCAGAGCACACCTACCGCGAGTCCCACGGCAAGTGCTCCGTCGTCTACGTGCGTCCTTCCCTCTTGTGCCGCTCGGTGAATGTTCGCGTGCTGACCGAAACCTCGGGACAGGGCTCGGGCCGCGTCTCCGGCATGTTCGCCCAGGACAAGGTCGCGGTCGGGTCGCTGAGCGTGCCGAACCAGGCGTTCTGCGCCGCGCGCCGCGTCTCGGACGACTTCGACGAGCAGCCCGCGAGCGGGCTCCTCGGGCTCGCCTTCGGGAGCATCGCGACGGCGGGGCAGCCCACGTTCTTCGAGAACCTGCTCACCGAGAAAGCGCTCGCCGACAGCGTCTTCTCCGTCCACCTCGCCCGGGGCGAAGAAACGGGTCCGAGGTGCGTCGTTCTTCTGTGTTCTCTTCCGTCCTTCGGATGCGAGCGGGCCGACGGTGGGTGCGCCCGGCCCCGAGCCCGAATTCGAATTCGACCCCGGATCCGACCCCCGAGCCTCGTCAGGAGCGAGCGGGCGTCGAGTGTCTTGAAATTCAAACCGGGCGGGGTGTCCGTCGCGCGGGGATGCTGACCGATTTTCCAGCTCTGCCTCGGGTGCTACGACACATCCAAGGCCGATGCCGCCGTGCAGTGGCACCCGCTCGTGTCCCGGGTGAGCACGACGCGTACGCATCACGTCAGCCTCGCTGACGGACTACCGTACGAGCAGACGTACTGGTCGATCGCCATGGACGGTATCGTGGTGAACAAGAGGGGAATGTCGCATAACCTGACCGCGGTGCGTGCGCGCTCTGCATTCTTTGAAGTTGGGGCGGCGCTGACGATCTCGACGCTCGACAGGTCGTTGACACTGGCACCTCGCTCATTTACGTCCCTGACGAGGTGGCCAAAGGTTCTACGATCTCGTAAGCACAGTCCAGCCCGCATGGAACCCTCAACGTCGACCTGACGAGCCTGCAGATTCCGGGCTCAGCGCCCGCGGTCGAGTACGGGCCAGGTAAGCCGCTCACCTTGTCCGCGCTCTGAACCTCCAGCAGGCCTGAAGCGTTCTGTTGCCAGGCTTCTTCTCGTTCCCATGCAACGCGTCCGTCTCCGTCGCGCTCAAGCTCGACGGCCACTCGTACACCATCCACCCGTCCGACTTCAACCTCGGCGCCGTCAAAAACGCGTCTACGTGCGCCCGTCCCACCCTTTTTCCAGACACGACGCTAACACAACCCCGACCCCTCGTGCGACAGTGAATGCGTCGGGGGCATCCTCGCGCTCGGCGACGGCTTTGCGCCGGACATGGCGATCGTGGGCGCCGAGTTCTTGAAGTCGTGTGAGTAGCCCGTCCCACACCCCCGCTGCCGCCCCCTGAGCGCTGCACGTCGAACGTCCGCCGCGGTCAGCCGCGCCCGGCAGATAGAACGTTCGCTGACGACGTGCGATTCAGGGTACACGGTCTTCGACTACGCGGGCCGGGTGGGCTTCGCCCCAAGCATCAACAACCTGCCAGCCCCCGCCGCGGTGACACACGCCGGACAGGAAAACTAGGAGAACGAAGGAACGATGGGATTATCGAGACGTATACGCTGTCATGGCCGTCAGCTCCTTCGTCGTACAGCCTATGCAGCACCGGGCCTAGACGTACCTACTTAATGAACTCGTGCCCCTTGTGCGCACGCGACATCTCGGCCGCGTCTCTCAGGGCCTCGTGCATCATGCCTGTTTGGTCTTGGGACCCCCGCTGAACACCTTGCGCCTCTGCCGCATCATGTGCGTGTACATCACATACAGCCCTGCAAACGGCGTCAGCTCCTCTCCCTCGCCCCATCGACCGCAAACGCGAGACACTCACCCGGCCACCAGATGAGGAAGAGCGCGAAGCGGGCGAGGGCGTGCGGGTCCGCACCGGCGAGGCGCGGCGGGAGCGTCGCGCCGATGAGGAGCGCCTCGGAGGACGCGCCGGTCGGGTAGAGGACGTAGAAGAGCGTGTAGCGGAGGGCGACGAGCGCGCGCGGCTCGGTGCCGAGCAGCGCGCAGGCGTAGAACGAGTACCGGACGACCTCGGTGAGCGACCAGGAGAGCACCATCGACGCGTACAGCGGGTTCGTGTGCGTCTGGAGCGCGGTCCCCGTGGCCGCGGCGGGGCGCGGCGGGCCGAGAGCGTGGTGGGAGCGTGCGGGCGGTTGGCGTCCGGTGGTCGGGGACGTGCGGGGAGGATCGAATGGAAGCAGGGGTCAGCGTGACGCGCAGAGGCACCATGGCAGGCACAGGAGCAAGAAAGAACGAGAGAGATAGAGAAAAAAACAGGGGAGGGGAGGATGGGGATGGGGACGGGGACGGGGACGGGGAGACGGACGCACCAGCGGGAAGAAATACGTGACCCCCCACACGAGGTAGAGCCGGCTCGAGACCTGCATGAGCGTCGTGAGCAGCGGGGAGCGCACCCAGCGCAGCACGACGTGCGCGACCTCGAGCAGCGCCGCGCTCTGCACGACCGTCGTCGCCCACCCGACCGCCGCGTGCGCGCCCTGCGAGCGGCGCACGGCCGCCGCGAGGGCGGGCGGGAGCGCCGCCTGCAGCCGCTGCTGGAGCGGGCCCGTGGGGACGCTCGGAGGCGGGGCGGCGGCGCCGTCGAGGCCGAGGACGAGCGCGGCGGTGCGGGCGAGGAGGTACGCCCAGCCGAGCGCGGAGAGGACGTTGTAGAGGACGAGGTAGGCCTTGAGGGCGGGTGCCAAGCCTGTGTGGCGGGATCGCGTCGTCGCTGGTCAGAAACCGCGGACGAGGGCAGGAGGAGACGAGGCTCACCGCGTTTGGCTGGGGCTTTGCGCGGGACGGGCGGGGGGACGTCGACCTCTTCGACAAAGGCCATCGTGGGTCGTCGAGCGGGTCGTGAGCGGAGGAGTGGGTGGCGGAGGCGGAACACGTCGCTCGAGCTGGCCTGGCGCTCGGGGGCTCGACATCAACCAACGATCCATCATATCGCCCTCGACCTCGACCCGGTCCGCTGCCCGTCCCAACGTTCCCGACAAGGCCGGCGATCATGCATCATGCGCGGGTCAATCGTCTGCAGCGCCGCACACGGATCCGATTGAGACGAAGCGGATATGTTACAGGTCGTATGTACGATGGAGAGCGGCGCAGAACATGGGAAATACGAAGACGAATAACAGTACGTAGTAGTTGGACAATCCTGCGGAAAACAACAAGCTCTAGTGCTGGCTAGCACACGCAGCACACGAGGCCAAGAAGAGCAACACATGCATATAAGAGCAATCACTTCTCGGAGCTAGACCCCTTCTCCCCTCGCTCGTCCTTGTCTCCCCCAGAGCGTCCCTCGCTGGCGCCGTTCGCGACCCCGTTGACCGCCGCGGCGACGGCGGCGGCCACGCCCGCGTCGGGGACCTGCACGTTCGCGTTCGGGTTGAGCTGCATGAGCTGCGCCTGCGTCGCCTGGAGCGTCGCCCGGAGCGTCGCGTTTTCGATCCGGAGCTGATCGACGATCGTCCTGCACTCCTCCCACCGGCGGTTCGCCTCGTCGGCCGACGCGAGCGCGGCGTCGAGCAGCTGCGACCGCGATTCGAGCGTCTTGACGTGCCTGCGGGGCAGGGAGGGTGGACGGGTTGGCGGCGCGGGCACAGGCGGGTCAGCTTTTAGGGTCACGCAGACAAGAGGCCAGACGTGGGGAAGCAGGGAAGGAAAGAAAAGACACGCACTGGTCTCGTCGCTCGCGGAACGCACGTTGCGCCTTCCTGTTTTGCTCGGCTCGCTTGCTCTGGCTGAGGGTGCGGCCAGAGGACGAGTTGCCAAGCTGCTCGTCTTGCGGATGTTGCTGCTGCGGGGGCGCGCCTGGGTGGCCTGGCGGTGGCGGCGGCGGGGCGTGCTGGGGCGGCATCCCCCCGGGCGAAAAGTCTGGCGGGGGCGGGTACGGGTACGAGTGCTGCATGTGCCCGGCCATGTGTGGCGGTGGGGGGTGGATGAGGGTGTGAGGGGGCGGGAGCGCGTGCTGCTGGATCGTGCCCGGGGGCGGGGGCGGGTGCATCGCCGGGTTGGGCGGGCCCGGGGGCGGGTGGGGGCCTGCGTCGGTGGAGGCCGTCGCGGGGGACTTGCGCTTGCGGGATGCGCGCGGGGCGGGCTGGGTCACAGAGGGCGGGTCGTCGCGGAGGCGGAGCGTCTGGAACGTTCCCGGGGGCTGGGGCTGGTGCAGGGCATTCGGGTCTGCCGTGGGGGGCTGCGTCGAGAGTTGTTGCGCAGACGGCTGCTGGAACGCGGGGGGAGGGTGACCCAACATGGGCAATATGCGGGGCGGCCAAGTGGTCGTGTGTATTAGTAAGAAATCCCCCGCGTGCCGGGGCCCCTCTCCCGTCCCCGGCCGCGCACGTGACACACCTCTTCCCATCCGCCACTTCGGTCTCGACTCCCAGAACCCCATCGTCCAGCTGCGGCCGCGGCCTCTCAAGATCTCAGTCCTGCTTCTCTCCCAAATTCCTTCCCCCGATCCTGGTCGCGGGTAGTTTCCTGCATCTCAGTAGCTCAAGCCCCGACGCAAGAATTTGCAAGATGCCCGCCTAGGATCTCCGAGCGGCGAAGTTCGAAATCCGATGACAAAGCGTGTTTTGGCACTCTCATCTCATCTGACGAAGGACCACAGACAGCCTATTAATGATCGTTCAGGCCCGAGGGCCTCGGCACATGCATGGTTTTTATGAGTTCATATGCTTGTGTATGCGCACACCTACATGAGTGAGGGTGAGCCAGGTCTCGTGTGACTGCTGACGGGGCTGGTCGAAAACCTTTGCCCCCGTCGACGCATACAGCTTGCATATATGATATGCTCGCCGTTCCGCCTCCGGCAAAGCCGAGTCCGACTCGTACAGCTTCCGCGGGAAGTACCTATTCCGATGACCAATGGGCACTCACCGAGAACGTGTTGACGGAACGCATATGCGTAGGCCACGATCTGAAAGCATACATCCTAAGTTAAAGCTTCCAGCAATCCCGCAGCTCCATGGGGAGGCCATTGGACGCTTGTGTTTGCGCTGACGTTACTTATATTAATGCTACCCCTGTCCTTTTCTGCACCCGCGTCATCGTCGTTGGCCATGCATTTGCCACGAGGTTTGGGCCTGTGGCTCCCCGGTATATGAGCCCATGGTGGCGTCGAGTCGCACACAAGGGCAGGCCGCCCACGCATCCAACGGGGAGCATTGTGCCCCGCATCGGACTGGGCTTGTACGTATCCGTTTGATGAGCAGGGCGAGTGGCGAAGGTGCGTCGACGTCGAGTTCGGCGTCGACGTGTCCCACGGGCCAATCGGGGCTCGGCATGGCTGGAGCGGCGCCAAAAACAGACATCCATTCCCACGAATGCACACCCGCAACGCGTCGACTGAGGCCTCCTTGTTCTTGACCGCCTTGCTTGCCTTCATACCCCGTCCCCCTGCAGTGCTGCCTCCGTCATGGCCCCTGCAGCCTCTCCGGATGTATCAAGTTCCCAGGTACGTGCCCGCAAGCCCCCGTAATGGCGCCCCCGCCCGCTCACCGCCAGCACCGTCACCCAGTCCGCGAAGGGGAAGGAAGTCGCGGCAGAGCCACCGAGTGCCCAGCCTGCAGAGGGACACGACGAGAGCCCCGAAAACAGCGTCCCCGCGGGCGACGCCCTCCCCGCCCCCGATGCCGGCACCGCGAGCACCTCGGACCACACCGCAACCCCCGCCCACATTCCCCCCCAATCCCCACCCCCGGCCGCGGACGGCGCAGGGCAGGCCCCTTCGCCCTCCCCGCCCCCCGCCGCCGCGCGGCCCTCAGACCTCCTCCCCGTCCCGCCCCAAGCCGACAAGCCCGCCCAGAACGGCGGCACGCGCCGTGAGAAGAGCTCCGTCGAGAGCGAGCAGACCGGCACCCCCACCTTCAAGGGCTCGCCCCGCAAGGACGCGAGTAAGTCCGTCTCCGACGGTGTGCACACCACCTCTGTAACCGAGGCCGGCTCCGCAGACGACGCACGCCCCCGCCGCGCAAAGGGCCCCACGCTCCTCTCCAAGCTCTTCCGCGTTCTCGTTCCTTGCGTCGGCCCGTCCTCTCGTGCGCACCCGATCGACATGGACGAGAAGCCGGTCGCCGCGCCTGCGCCCCCGCCGGCCCAGGCGAAGGACGGCGTGTCCGCGGCGCTGCAGGAGAAGCAGGCGGAGGAGCTGCCACCAGCACCCAAGGAACCGGCTGGGCCGACGCCGAACGGCCCCCTGGCGTCTACGTCAGACGCGGAGCTCCCACCACCGCTGCAGCCCATCGAGGTCCCCGAACAACCCAACGACCCGAACGTGCTCGTGCCGCCGACGCCGACGAAGACGCTGCCGCTGGAAGAGACGGAGGGGGTGACGTCGGGTGCGGTTCAGCCACCGGGATCGAAGGGCGATGACAGCATACACAACCATTCGAGGAGGAGCTCGAGGGTGATGGACGAGTCGGACGGGTCGACGAGCTTTACGGACGATGAGGACCTTGACGAGAGCAACACGCCTATTGACGAGATTGAGGACGAGGAGGAGAGGCTAATATTGGCTGGTGGTGCGGGTATACCCATTGGACCGGTGAGTACCTTCTTGGTGGCGTCTCCTCGAAATGGTATACGAGCCCATCTTCGACTGCAGGACGGTGTGCCGAGGCCTCTGCTGCCGCCGTTATTCCCCAAACACGCGGGCCGAAAATGCTTGGTTTTGGACTTGGACGAGACCCTCGTTCACAGTAGTTTCAAGGTTGGTCTCGTCCACATACGACGACTGCGGCACTTTTTGACGGGTTTCGCAGTCCATTCAACAGGCCGACTATGTCGTTCCCGTTGAAATTGAATACCACTGGCATAACGTGTATGTCATCAAACGACCGGGCGTCGACAACTTCTTGAAGAAGATGGGAGAGATTTACGAGATCGTGGTCTTCACGGCCAGTTTAAGCAAGGTTCGTGAATTGTCGGTTTTGATGGTGCGTTTGACTGATTGACAAATCTATACACAGTACGCGGATCCAGTACTCGACAAACTGGACGTGCATCGGGTCGTCTCGCACAGGTTGTTCCGGGAGAGCTGTTATAATCACCGGGGAAACTACGTCAAGGTACGTGCTTCTTATCGCGGCTGCTGTTACGGCCTCCGGTTTACAATGCCGTATCAGGACCTCTCTCAACTCGGGCGTCCCATCTCGGACACGATCATCATCGACAACTCTCCTGCCTCGTACATCTTCCATCCGAACAACGCCGTCCCGGTCTCGTCGTGGTTCAACGACCCGCATGATACGGAGCTGACGGACCTGTGCCCCTTCCTGACGGATCTGGCGCAGGTGGACGATGTTCGCGGTGTGCTCGACGGTGGTCTATGACTCGAGGGATGGTCTCAGTGAGCCGGGGCGCGTCCTTGGATCCCCGTCATGCTACACTATGCCGGTCTATGCTGTCTCTGTCGCTCATCGTGTAGTCAGTTCAACTTCGGACCCCTTCCTCATTCAAACATGGGCAGAATGATACGGAACTGAAGGCTCGTGCCACGCACGGTCTTGCGCGCCACGAGACGTGCCGAAGCATTCCCACAAACTCTTCGGCCTTCCGTTCTCGCCTTCGGTCTCCCGAGATGGCCGACTGGCACTCACGACCCCCGACCATTCCCCTCGCCATGCCGTCTCTTTCCCCGCCTCCCACACGACCACATCCGTGCGCCGCCGCTTTCCTGCCTTCCAACATACACATACGCCGTTGTCCAGTCCATCATCCAGCTTTCGTATATACCCCCACACTCCTGCAATGCTCGCTACACATCCGTCACTCGTCACACCTTTACCGTAGTCACCGTCGCCTCCACGTCTACAAAATCCCCGCGCAGACATCCATGATGATATACCTCCATGTGGTATGAACCTTCTCGCTACCAGCGCCCTCTGCACTTCCGCCGCAGTGGACTTTGCTCTGCATATATCCGGCTTGTCGTCTCGCTCCAGCCCGTTCGTACTATGTTCACCTGTCGCCTTGCTCGCTCGTTATCGTGCCGCTAATCGCCTCTCCTTCCTCGCATATAGTTACTCGAAATACGCGTGCCCCGCACGAGCGTCACCGTTTCCGGCCTCCCGCTGTCGGCACCCGCCCTCGTCCTCTCGTTCGTGCTCTCCGCCTCCTCTCGTTCGCCCCGCCGTGCTCATCGCATCTCGCTCTCATGCAGGCCCCACGCTCGTTATGCCTAGTTCTCCGCTTGACCCGCGTGCTCGTTCCACCTCCCCTGCGCGCGCCGCACACGGTCGGACTCGGACGCTCCCCTCGCACTCGGCCCTCATACCTTCCTCCACCATCGCCGCCACCGCCGCGGACCCCCTATTTGCTGTCTAATCGAACGACGCCCTATTTACTGCAGTCGCTGTATATATCTCGTGCATTCCCCGGCGCCGGCGGCCGTCCGCCTCGTCCTGCCTCGCCTGCCCCGACGTATCTGATTGTTTCGTCTCGCCTCTGCGGACTCCTGCGGACCGTGTTCTTTCTCCCTCTCCACCTCATCCCGTCCTCGTCTCCCCACCCACTCTACGTACGTACGTACTCACCTACATATAGTTTGTGCACGACCGGCGGGGCGGGGGCAGGGCCCAGGCTGACTGCTTGGGTGTTCCCGCCTTTGCCTCCGCGACGAACCTGTACGAAATGCGATGACAAGTACTCTAATCCCCTTCCTTGCGTGTTGTGCGTTGTGCGTTGTGCTACACCTGGATATCAAGGCCTGTTCAAAACCATAACGACACCGCTTTGTGCGCGACGGCTAGCTCGGGCCCGGCTCGCTTTGTTGATGATGCCGTCCAGAGCGTAGCACGTGATGATGGTGGTGATGTCCGGGGGCGGTTCCGCGTAGTAAGTAAACGTGTGGCTTTCTGTGGGCGCCGTGGCTGGCGGGTGGGAAGATGGTGGTCGGTCGGTGCACCTTGGATTGGGCCGCGTTGTCGTCGTCTCCAAAGACCTTGAAATACCGCCGAAAGAAGTCAAGGGAAGCGGTACTGCAGAGTTCCGCAACAGATGTCCTCCGCGAGGTCCTAGGAGACGGTCCTACTGGAGGGAATTGTTTGCCTTTGCACAGGCCGGTGTGATGATTACATCCGGTTGGCGCGGGTGTACTGTTCGGTTGCAGGGGTTTTGACACTGGCAGTCTGAGCACTGTGCGATGTACCGGACGACTTGGCTGACACATTTGTACAGGCGGTACCAGGTCAGGCGGTACCGGTGTTGCCCACCTTACGCTCTCGCGTTTGGTTACCGGATTCTGTATTTGCGCACTCTTTGAGCAAATTGAACATCTTCTCCACGCCTTCCTATGATCCCTACGACCCCACGGACCGCTCGGCGGCCTTCCTGCTCGCCTGACGGCCTCCGGGCAGCAACGTCTCGGCCCCCGCCGACCGTCACAGGGACTTGTTACATACTCGCGAATCATCAGACGGCCACACCGCCGGACGTTCGAACGGGGGATGCTGTTAATGAACGTCCAATCACCTCGGGGATAACTTTTCCGAGTCGTTAGATTATAGCAGCTTTCATTGCCGAGTTGTCGATGTCGAGATCGCATCAAGAACTAACCCTAGACTCTAGGGCCGCGGGTACCTGACAGTGCTGAAGCGCTGAACAAGTCCCTCGCGTGTTCGACCCGCCGGGAGCCGCTCCACCTCGCCTGCTCGCAGGAGCACCCCGTCCCTGAGTGCCCTGGGCGCGTCGAGGATATCGGACTGGGGAGTCGGCAACTGACCGCTAACTTCCTCCTCACGTCGCTCCTCTTCTTCGAATTCGCTCGTCCGTGCGCTCGTGAGCCCTTGACGACAGTCGACTAGTGCTTGGTTTGATTCGCTGATGGTTCGGAGTGCGCGCTGAGCAGACGCACTGTCAGTGGCAGTGACACGTATGATCAACTTTCTAGCGCGATATCAGCGCTTCAGCCCGCGCGCGAACCGATGGCGAATCAGCGCCTCGCGTACCGTCGACTGGGCGGCGAATCCACACACGGCGCACAACGCGGGGTACTCGCTGGTGGCGGACGAGCCCCCAACGGCCAAAGCTATTCGCAGGTTGAGGCAGGTTGAGGCCCCTGGCAGCGACGGCGGGAGAACGGGCCGGCCGGAGCGGGCCTCGGAGAGCCACAAACTGGGGCGGCAAAGCACGTGCGGAAGCTGCGGGCGAGACCAACGAGCGACGCACTCTTCGCGCATTTGACTTGTCCCCATCTGTACCAGCGTCCCGTTGCTGTCCTCGTCCGCCTGGCTCCGGATAGCCCCCTCCTCCTCTTCTCTCCTCCTCTCTTCCACCCTCACCCCCACCCTTGCGGCCCCTCCTCCTTTTGCGCTGGCCGCGCGCGTTCCACGGCCACCCCAATCCCACCGTCGCCTAGGCGAACGCCTTCCCCCCATTCTGCGCACACCGTGGATTGACTGCGCGCATTCCTCCCTCGATTGACCCCGCCGACGCTAGCGGCTCCTCTCCTTCCCCTCCTCTGAGTCGCCATGGCCAACTACCTCACCGCGGAGACCCAAAGCTCTCAGGCGACGCTCACCGACGACCGAATCTGTCCTGGCTGCAAGAAGTCGGTCGTGGACGAACATGGAGGGGTCGTGGTCGCGTTCGGGTGAGTTTCTGACGCACATATCTGCCCCCCTTCCCCAAGTTCCCTGTCACTCGCGTTCTCGCGCGGCCCGTCGAGGTTGGATGGGCCACATGCATGGAATGGCTTGATTGCAAATCGGGCCCTTTTCTGCCATGACCCTGCCCATTCATCCCGCCTACTCGTGTTTTAGAGACCCTGAGCACGGGTTCCTGCCACTCTGTATGCGGAGGCAGAGTCTACGTTCCCGTTCGCATTGCCGGTGCGCATACATGGGCGATTATTTCATCTTGCATGGCCGCGGCAGGGTACGAAGACGCGCGCCACACCTGGTATCCTTGTCACAGAGACTCATAGTGCATAGGATCGACGCGTCGGCCTATGCACTATGAGATGACCACCGGGTGGCGAATGGCAGCTTGTCCGCGACCCTGGCAATGCATATATACATCATAAGCTCATGCGTCAAGAGCTTTTCATCTGTATGCGCGACAGGCATTGCTGCGGGGTGTTGGACTTCCCTTCGGCTTGGCCCTTTGGCGCTGGTTCAAGCGAAATCGAGTGTTCCCGTCAAAGTCTTGAAAGGTTTTATGCGTTTGTCATTCGGTCTTCGGGTGGTCGTTGCTCATCGTCTAGTGGACCACGTCCCCACCCGTTGGGAGCGACCACCGGCAGCTCCGGCGATCTTCGCCTGTGTACGTGTCTGCAAGGCCGTGAGCTTCGGTTCTGTACGCGTCTGCTTGGCCGCGACGGCGTCCACTCTATCTTCGCCACGCCCGCGTCTTTGCGTTGCTTGGAGACTGACCATGATCCCCTTCCCCAGCCAATCCTTCTTCCACGTCGACTGCTTCAAGTGCGCAAAGTGCGGCAATCAAGTCACCGCAGACACCAACCTGCTGCTGCTCTCGGACGGCTCGCCGATATGCGCCAATTGCTCCTACAGCTGCAATGTCTGCAAAATGCCCATTCTCGACGAGGCCATCATGACCGGTGACGACTCCTACCACGCCCACTGCTTCAAATGCAAGGTCTGCAAGAACAGGATCGACGAGCTCGTCTTCGCCAAGACGAGTCGCGGAATATACTGCATGACGTGTCACAGCGATCGAGTGGAGAAGAGCAAGCAGGTAAGGCAGCAGCGCGATCGCGAGCGGGCAGCGCAGGCGGCAGCGGCGAGCCAGGGTGCGAGTAGTAGGCAAGGAGACGCTCGAGGACCACCTGGACAGAAGGGCAGGGTGACGAACATGGTGTGTCACATCCTTCTTTTGCATCGACGAGCTGCGGTCTGAGCGGTGTTGCGGAAGGTGGCGAACGGCGGCGAGCGACCCGCATCACAGGCGAACTCGAACGAAGCATCTTCCCCGGACACGCAGTACGACGGTGGCATGTCGCGATCGAGTTCTAGTCGCGCCGCAGAGTCGGCGGATGGCCATGCGTCGAACCCGCCATCTGCCGGAGCAGTGAAGCGAGGGTCGTTGCTGTCTCAACTCATCGCTCCGGAAGCACAACATCGACAACAAGAGCAAGCCATGGGATCACCACAGGGCGTTTTTCTCACATCGCCTGGAACCAACGGAGGGTCTTCTGTTCCTATGTCAAAACGACGCTCAGGCATGTTTATCGGTCTCCCGTCCTCTCCTTCCGTGAAACGTGGCGACGTGGGCACTCGGGGCAGCTCTACGTCCAACTCGCCCGTCGACCACCTGCGGTCCGCGACATCGCCGACGAACATGCTTGGGGTTCCAGGCGACGTGGACGAAAAGGCGAGGAAAAGGAGGAGCTTCGACCCCAGCTCGCGGCCACTCGATGCTCTTCGGCAAGTCGCCAGCAACGCGTCTCTGAACACCTCCAGCAAAGCCTCGCCCACAGACTACTCCCGTTCGTTGTCGAGTGGGACCGCCACGCCGTCTGCGAATGGCAGCGCCCGCGGCGGGGCCGAATCCCCACATCCCAGCTCTCCTCTCCGCGACTACTTCAGCACGTACTACGGCGAGTCGCCCCAACCTAACCCCGCCGACCAACACGAGTCCCCTATCTCACCCGCGCGGCAGCGCGAGAAGAGCGGCGACGGTGCGCTGGGAGGCCGGACACGCTCCGCGTCTTCTAGCGCCTACGAGCCACCGTCACGGCAACCACGTCCAACGCTGAACCTCGACCGGATACCGTCGGGGTCTCATTCGCCCGGTATCCCATCATCGTTCGAGGCGCTTGAGGCGGAGTCGCCGTCCAACTTTGGTTGGGACCGGGGCCCGGTCCGCAACGTGGAGCAGCGCCGACCGCCGAATCTGGAGCTCAACGGGGACAGTAACTTCCAGTCGCTGGGCAGCCCTAATCATGTGTTGGCGGGAGTCGACTTTGAGCTGCCACGGCCAAGACGAAGCGGAAGCCCTGTGCTGCCGTCTCCATCACACATTGTCGACGTCCCGAGAGGGATCGAGAGCGGAACTGACACTGAGGCGGAGTCGTCGGACGACCAGCAGGAGCGGCCACCGTCGTTACCACCCAAAGAGCCGGGACGAATGTTCAAACAGCGGCCAAACGATCTTCGCGTCGACGTCGGACGCTCTCTCAGCCCGCATACGGGCGAAAGTGAGGGCTCGCCCGAGTCTTCGCCGATCGAGCGCACGCAAATGACCACGTTTATCACGCCCGCGCTGCCCCCCATCCGCATCTCGATGGGCGGCGCCGACTTTGCGGACTTTATCAAGACGATGAACACCCCCGAGCGGAACGCCTTCGAGCGCGAGCACGGCTCGAAGCTCCACCTCGACCTCAGTTTGACGTCTCCCGACACCGGCCCGCTGACGCCCAAGAGCGACATCACCATCCTTGGCTCTGGCGGCCTGCACGACGACAAGACCCCGATGAAGAACGGCAAGAGCAACGGCAACGGGCGCGCTGTGGAACGACCGGGTTCAATAAGCCCATCGTCCTCGTCTGGCCACGGTCACCCTGACGGCGGACGGCGTCCCCGCGACCGCGAGCCGTCCGACAACGGGATGGCACGAATCACCGTCACGGCGCCGACGGACGGGGTGGAAACGCTCCGGCGCCGGCTCCAGGACATGGTGGCTGCGGCGGGCGGCGGGCGTATCAGCCTCGACGTCGCGCTCGTCCAGGCGGTAATTGCAATGCTGGATCAGCAGCAGAGCGAGTACAGCGACCTCAGGCGCAGCTTGGATGGCGTGAAGGTGCGTGTTCCATTTTGCGTTTGGTGGCAGCGGCTGACGTGACGGGACGGGACGCGACACAGCGGACGAGCAAGCAGTACATCGACGGTCTCACCGTCGCACAGACTGAGTACGACCGCGAGCTCAAGGCGCGTCGCGATGCGGAGGCGGAGGTCACGCGTCTCCGTGTGCTGCTCTCCGGGCAGGCAGTGCGGCTGACCGCGATCACGGGCGAATCGAAGCGGCAGGAGGCGCAGAAGCAGCTGGTGCGCGAGCTCAGCCAGAAGATGAGCACGCTCGAGCGCGACCTGTCCAAGCTCCAGGTCGAGCGAGACATGACCCTTGCCGAGGTCGAGCAGCTCTCGGCGTCGAAGAGGTGCGTCATTGTGCTACGCGGCCGCAGCAGGCGCTCGTGCTGATAAAACCGCCTTTGTGCCCTCGATCTCCTTTAAATGTGCAGCTCCCCCACACTGGCCGACGGCGAAGAGGGCGGCGCCTCCCTCACCCGCGGCCTCTCGATGCGGTTCGACAACATCAAGAACCAGTACCAGCACGAGCTCATCCCGCTCACGGAGCAGCGCGAAGCCCTTTTACGCGAGGTCGGTGAACTCAAAGCGTCCCGTGACGCGTTCCTCGAGGAGACCACCGTGCTCAACAAGCGCAACGAAGAGCTCGCACAGCTCAACGCGCAGTACCAGCGCAAGCTTGAAACCGCCCCCGTCGTCAAGGAGGAGCCCGCGCCTACAGGCGTCACCGTCTTCCAGGAGCGCCAGAACACGTCGTTTGACCGCGCACGCTCACCCCCCATGCTCAACAGCTCATTGTCGTCGACGACCCTTGCGCTCTCGGACGAGAGCTCGGTCGAGCCCTCCAAGATCATCAAGATCTCCCGCGCGGACATGCAGGACATGCCCGCGCAGGCGGTCAAGCCGCGTTTCAAGTGGCCCGGCTCTCGCGCCCCCAAGGAGAACATCGCGTTCCCGAACGGGGTCACCGAGAAGAAGTGGCGAACGGAGCACGTGTTTCAGCAGATCAGCGTGCTGAGGGTGGCCCGCTGCGACCACTGCGGGGACAAGATGTGGGGCTCGCAGTTCAAGTGCAACAGTGAGTACTTGGATCGTGTGCAGGATGCGGTTGTAGGTGGCTGACGTGAATGGGCGACGGTCCAGACTGCAGCATTGCGGTGCACACGCGGTGCATCCACAACGTGAACCTGGCATGCTCACAACAGATGACGCTCCGGGACGAGGGACACGCGCCAATGGCTCCACTCCGTACGTCGACTCGTGTTCCTACCCTGACTGCGGTCGCTGACATCACCGGGCGTTCCCATCACAGCACCCTCTATGTTTGGACGGGACCTTGTCGAGCAGGTGCGCGCCGATGGGCGCGACGACACGACGTGCGTGCCGGTCATCGTCGAGAAGTGCATCGACGCCGTGGATGCGATCGCGCTCGAGTACGAGGGCATCTACCGCAAGACGGGCGGCTCCGGGCAGTCGAAGATGATCACACAACTGTTCGAGCGCGGCGACTACGACTCGTTCGACCTCCGGGACCAAGACCGCTTCAACGACATTTGCTCCGTGACCTCGGTGCTCAAGACGTATTTCCGATCGCTGCCGAACCCGCTGCTCACGTCGGAGCTGCACGACAAGTTCGTCATCTCAGCGACGATCCGCGAGCCGAACATGAAACTGCAGACGTTCAACGATCTCGTGCACCAGCTCCCGACCGAGCACTATTACACGCTCAAGGCGCTGATGCTTCACCTCCACCGGTAGGACCAGTCGTTCTTGTTGTGTGGAATATCCGTGCTCAATGTCCGCCGCCACAGGGTATGTGAACTATCTGAAACTAACCTTATGCATGCGCGCAACCTGGGTGTCGTCTTTGGACGTAAGTCTCGTGTACATGTGGCGTTTGGACAGTCCGCTGACATTGGTCTCCCTCAGCGACGCTCATGCGCTCACCAGACCCCGGCGCCGAGTTCAGCGATATGGCCGGCAAGGCGCTGTGCATTGAGTGGCTGGTTGAGAATGCGCCTCTCATCTTCGCCACGTCATCGTCATGACCCCTCTGACCGCTCCTTTCCTGTTTATTTCCGTATTTGTTCTCCCTCCTCCCTATCCCCTCCACTGCCATGCACGTTGTCCTAGTGCAGTTTGTAGCCCTTTAGATCCCTCTTTTGCCACGCATCACTTATGTACCAAAAGCCTCGCGCCCGTCCCTCGTTCTCATGTCTTATTTACTCGTTTCGCCGCACCTATCCTTGTTTCCCGCACATGCACTCCTATTCTTTTTTGGGCTTGAGTTCCGCTTATTGGTGTGGACCGCTGGATCTGCCGCCTCGCGTTTTAGAACTCCGTCTGCATTCTGCTTCTCCCCCCGCAACCGCGGTCCGGTCGGACTGCGGGCGCGCCCATACACATCTGTCTATCCCCTCCCAGTCTACGCCCGCACTACAGCAGCCCCACCCCGCGCCCACGCCAACCTCTTATCGCACTCACCGATCCACGACCACGTACGCCCGCCCGCGCAATGCAGACCTCCCCGATACCCGAGCCGTCACGAATATGTATATCACCACCTCACTAGCTAGCCCGGACCCGTCTACCATACACTCGGCGCCCCCTCGACGGGGGCTGCAGGCAACACGGCTGTGTACTCTCCTTCGGTTGTGAGACGCAAGTGGCCGCGGGGGGTGTGGACCGAGGGCGAAGATGTTCGGTCATGATCAGTATGACGTTTGGAGCTACGAGGGGCTCGAAGTGGACTCTCTGCGCCTGGTCGTCTGGTCTTGTAAGAGGAAGTCTTCCAACTTTCAAGGGAGGCTCAACCTCGACCAATGCAAACACCAACGCGTACGGTATGGAAACGTAACCTGTTCAGCTTGCTTTGGGAAAGTGGCGGTACCTGTTGGAAAGGATGAGTACGGAGTGGGCTACGGATCAGTGCAACGTGCTGATAGTCTGATTAAGCCAGCGTACTTTTGAGGAACTCCAGTGAGGGGTATGCTATTGGTCCCGCGGATGCGGAATACTGCAATTAGGAGCGGCGCCCCGCGTGGACTCAGATTTCGCATCCGTCCCTTAGCCCCTCATTCCGGGTACTGGATACTGAATCCGGGATATGTCGTTGGGCCAGCGGAGGCAAGGCAGGTAGGGAGTGCACAGCAAAGAAGATAGAAGACAGACATACAACCCGACATCTGCGGATAAAGGCGTACAGAGAAGTAATAAGTTACAGTCCAATCCACGTCCTGTCCATCCGAGTGGGGGTTCCGAGTGAAGTGTGCGGTCCGGGCCTTCATGCGTCACGTCTGCTCTCGCGAGCGCTTTCCGCGAGTAGTGGGTTCATTGTGCAGCGAACAGAAGAGGAAGTGCCGGCGGGGTCCTGACGGTGCGCTTCCTGCGACGGCGGCGACACGCGCGCCAAGCGGGGCGGTATCTGTGCCACTGCCGCGCACCCCCAGGGAGAACATACGGTCGAACACTAAGGCAGTCATCAGGGAGAGTCATAGCGAATGAGTGCGGAGAGAGAATGTCAGATAAGGATAGACATCACATGAGGAGGGAAGATGACGAACACGCAGAGACAAACGCCTTCGCAGTTGTCTGGCAACTGAGGTGGGTGAGCGACAGCGGAGGGCTGACCCCTTCCAGTGTTCGGAGGTAACGATAAACCATTGAGGGCTGACATGGACCTACGAGGACACACTTAGTGTTCGTTGGCGTATTCGAACGGAGTGATGGGAGCCCACCGAAACGGAAGACAGCTTGGTAGGCTTGCTTCCACTTCTCCTCGAGCAAGCGAGCGCATACAGCGGAGTCCGGACATGTTGGGCACTGTGAATAACATCAGCGATGGCATCTCGGGACATGGGCACGACACGGACACATTGATACTCCTTTGCAATCTGAACTAAACCCAGCTTCAGGACGCGTTCCAAGAACCACGTTCTCCTGAAAACACGGTGAAAAACATATTGACTTATACTTCAAAGTGCACAAACCTCTTCTCGAGCTTCAACAGCGTCGCTTGGCTGAGAGCACTCATCTCCTCTTCCGACCATCCCCCTGGATTGTCGAGAACGAACCTACTAGATTCGCGGTAAAGCTCCTCCTCGTCAAACAGCTCTGCAATGCGCATAGCTTTGATGGGGCGCCCGGCAGCATGCGTTAAAAGGAAAGTCAAGCATTCGGTCTGGAGGCTGGAGACGTGCAGTTTGTGCGATATGTTCATCAGGCCTTCAACGTTGTTCCAGGTGATGGTGCAAACGATGCTAGCAATGGCATATAATTCGCAACCTAAACCATATGGGCTGAACCAAGGTACGTACTGTGGATACACGAACTTCAGGAAGTCGTGGAACGTGCTTGCCTGTGGTGACCGGGTGACCAGCATGGAAACCCGGGATGGCGATACGACGCACCTTTTCTTCCTTGAGCACGATGATGGCATCCGGACGCTCCTTTCCCTTCCCTTTCTCCTCGCCCTTCTCCTTCCTGCTCCCCGTGTCTTTCTTCTTCCCCTTCGCCTGAACCTTCACGATTCGAGCGGATGTGGGTGTCACAGGTCCTGCTGTCTGATCTACGTCCGGAGCCTTCGCTTTGGCTTTCTCTGGCGTTACAGGGCTGGTAGGGGTGCTCGGGCCAGTCTTCTCCAGCTTGCTCAGGCTGTCTTCGCGGGCCTTCGCCTTGTCGTCCAAGGAGACCTCCGAGATGTTGTCGCTCTCCAAGTCGATGTCCAGGTTGAAATCGTCCGGGTCGACGTCCGGGTCGACGGGCGCGAACGTGATCTCGGACTGGCACTCCAGCGTAGTCCGGCTCCCGGGGACCGTCGGCGGTTGGGAGATGGTGATGACGGAGGACACGGATTGAGGACGCCCCGATTCATTCTCCGTCTCTGCCCAGCCGCCGCAGAGCGCGGCCTGGAAGAACGCGGACGCGAAGTAGAGGACCTCCTTGTGTGCCCTGGGCAGAGGCGTCGTACGCGGGACGCAGGAGAGAGCTACAGGAGACGCACCAGAACGTCGTCGACTCGACGATTATCTTCACGTTCCCAGGAAACTTGCTCGTGCGGGTGAACGTCTCGTGGATTTCGATGGGGTTGTCCATGTCGCCGTTGGTACTTAGGGAGGAGGCCATCTCGTCCGACTCGCATTCCTCGAGATACCAGGACGGGGAGCCTGCGGATCTGAATATGCCGGCTGCTGCTGCATGTGTCTCCGTGGGTGAGCTAAGCGAGGCAGATGGATTGTGAGTGTTCAGTCCCCTCGAATTGCGAGCAATGAGAATGTGCGGAGGATTCATGGTCAGGAGCAAGGCAATAAGCAAGTCCAGTAACGGCAGAATAGAGATGATGTAGGTTTCTGGCTATGATTATTCTACGAGAAGGTATCGCCATGGCGCTATAGTGTAGTGGTTATCACTTGGGATTCTGAGACATGTGTTCCCAAAACCCAGGTTCGAGCCCTGGTAGCGCCTTAGCACCCACCGAAACCCGTTTTTATTGCAAATAGCCCCAAATGACAGAGATAGTTGAAGTTCGGTGTGTTTGTTTGGCTAGTTCTTCATCTTGTATACATAAGCATAAACTGTCACAGTGCTACTACTGTTGTCTGCAATGACTTAATTCAAATCAGCGGGAGGATACAAAGAGCCCCTTCACCTGTTTGATTGTCTTGAGAGCTTATTCGTTGGTCCGCAATAGTTTGAGATCATCACAATGTCTGACCGATTGATCCAACCTGGGGTATGGTCGACATCAATTTGTGAAGAAATATGGTACTGTACCTTCATCAGCGAGCTGTTGAAGAACATCGACCGACTTGAAGTGCAAAAGCCGGTTCAGTCATCGTCAGACATAATCTTGAACTCGGATTCCCATCCTTCTTTGCACACTCCGTCGCAAATACTAAAAAGAATATGTTAGCGACCTGCTTGGTTCGCATGCGAGCAGCCACGTACTTGTTCTCTCTCTCTCCGCCGAGCGTCCGTCTTTTGTGCTTCCTCTTCCTGCCGCTCTTTGATGGTCATGGCCTTGATCCAACGTTCCATATTACGGGCACACTGCAACATAACTTCGCGTCAGCACAGAGAGCTCTGGCAGGGACAATGTGAAGGCACCAGCACATTACGTTGCTGTCTTCGGACCGCCTCCCTCTGCTTCACGAAGTCTTGCTTGCTCTTATCTGACGCGAGCTGTTTCCACTGCGCGCGGCGCATCTCGAATTCCGGTTCGTGATACATCGTTCGTGATCTGCGACCATCTTTCCGCTTGGCCGAAGTGACATCGAGAAGTTCGGGAGACGGGTCCCCCCAGCGACATTCGAACGGCTGGATCCGAGACTACTCGTGTACGACATCTAATGACATATCTGTCTACCAGCTTCTTGAGGCCGCCTTTCCGCAATGCCTTATCTGTGGCGCGCCATTGTGGGACAGACATCGAATTCTTGGTGTTTCCATCTTGACCTGTGCTCTCAGAACTGGGCTTCTCTGGCGCCCAGTCGGGCCTCACTCTCTTGAATTTCGGTTCATGGGGATAGAGTCTGTTCAATTTTGAGAGAGAAAAGCCTGCTTGACACCGCGGTGAAAAAGGAAAGCGGATGACAGCGACTGAGAGTGGCCTCAACTACATGATGTCTACATCAGTGTAAGACCGTCGAGAGGTGGGAGTGGCTCTCCCCACCAAGTTTTTCTCGCGAATCACTGTGCAAACGCGTCGACGCGTTGCCGTCACGTGGCTCAGTGGTCAGGCCTTCAGGACCATGCCCATTGTTTGAAGTGTTGCCCAACCCAAGTCTCCCTCGGACCTCCCTCCCGCTCTGATCTGACTTTCTCACTTGATCCACATTTGCTTCACTAACATGCCTCCTCGGAAGAAGAAACGGACCACTTCTCCCCTTCCTGCGGTGAGACGCAGTGCTCGTATAAGACCCACCGAGGCGCTACCAGCCGCGAAGAAGAGCGTACCTGTGGCGCCAAGCAGCCGCAAAGTCCCAATGGAATTGAAGGGCATTGTCAATCTGCCTCTGGAGATTATCTTCGAGGTGCGTCGATATGTTTTCTGCATGTGCAATGCATCCCCAAACGTGCTTCTGCTGTGGTAGATCTTCGCCGTCCTTCCCCTCGAACACCTCTTCCACCTCTCCCGGGTTAACAAGGCGTTCCACGAGCTTTTGCATGACCCGGCCGCGGCGTCGTTCTGGAAGGCCGCGTGGTCTAGAGCGGAAAGGCTGCCCGCGCTTCCCCCTCATCTCAGCATCCCCTCGTACGCCAGCCTTCTGTTCTCCACCGATTGTCGCGTAAGTGCTCGTCATGCACGTTCAGCCTGATGGAAACTAAAGATGCGCGCACAGGCGTGCGGCATTTCCGGAAACTTTGCAGTCCTGACAGGACTGTTTACGAGATATTGTGATGAGTGCATGGAGATTCGGTACGCCTTTCTTCCGACTCCCGAGTCTCTTCTCCTCTATAAACCAATACTTTTCAGTCTTGTCATGAAGGACAGCTACGATTTCAAAGTTCCTGGTGGAAGGAGTTGTGTTAATTCCAATCATCTCAACGATCGTTACTGGAAGCAATGGATGCTGCTCCCGGAAGCCGAGTATGTTCAGCGACGATGGGAAGCACTGAACAGCGAGAAGGAGAAGCAGGACTACCTCGCCGAACGCACGGAATTTGTCTTGCAATGCTTGAAGGTGAGTGGGATTGCGCGATGCCGAAGCATTGGCTCATTTTTGCATCATGTTAGCTCGCGTGGCCCCTCCAGCACTGGTTTGATACCGCGGAACAACGCAGAGTGGCAGCTTTACATGCTCTGAAGGTCGAACGATTAAATGGGTACGTTTTGAATTGTACCTTATTCATTTATCTCACACGGGGATCGTTCAGTGTCAAGCAACGTCTTCGCGCGGAAGGATGGGAAGTCGCCGACCTCAATGGGTGCGGCCTCGAGCTGATCCGGGACGTCTACAAACCGGAATGGTTCATCGGCGAGAGAGGTTTGGAAGCCGTCAATGCTGCTCATGACGGACCTTACAACTCACCACTTACAGAATGGCAGGCAATCCACACGGATGCGGTGAAAATCCTGGAAGCTCATCGTATAAAGCGCCTTCAAGATGAAGAGGACAGGCGGATCCAGAGCAACCTCACTCGTCTGAGAAGTATCATCGAACGCTACCAGCGTTCATTTTTTGCTCCTGGAGCCGGTCTGGGGTATTTCCCAACCGTTTTTGAAGTTGCCACCATGCCCGCTATCCAACCCTTTGTGGAGCAAAATCCGCTATTCGACGTGGGCGATCCGGCCGCAGAGCAAGAAGTGGCAGCGCTTCTGCCAGGTCTAAACCAGGAACTGACGGCTGGTGCTACGCACACCCTCGCAGCGATGGTTCGCGAAGCCCTGGGCACCAACACAGCATCGCTCTCGGACACGGATATTCTAGAGCTCGCAACCTCCTACTTCCAGTGCCTCACTTGCGGGCAAGGCCATCTTCTCCGTTGGAGGCAGCTGTTTCGTCATAGCTGTTCGAAACGCACAGGCCACTACTCCACCTGGGGCCGGAACGATTACAAGGCCGCGGTGGCCCGGCACGCCTTCCGCTTTTCCAACGGCCGCTCTGTGCGCGTCAACTTCGTGCGAGGCGTCGCAAGCCGTCGTGCCATCGTCGCAAGCTGCGGGTTCGACCCCGACCGCGCGACGTTCACGGACATGGACACTTGCGGGGTCCGCCTGCGCTGCCTGCGCTGCCGGTCGTACCCAGAGAAGCAGGTGGTGCTCGACTGGGAGGGTGCGGTGAGTACGGGATCGTTCGCCGCCCGTACGTGACCACGCACTGACGCGTTGCAGATCCTGCACGATGCCTCTCGGCATGGCGGGTGCCCGAAGAAAGCGGCGTCGCACTGGGAGCGCATCGCGGACGAAAATGCGGCGCGGGTGTGTGAACTGCAAGACGCTCTTCGGTGCGAGCCCGCTGAGACCGACCGTGGCACCTGCTCGTGGTGCGGCTGCCATACGTATCGAAACCCGAAGAGCTGGCACAACGACGACGATCTGATGACAATAAGCGTGGTTGAAGATCACCTTCGGGATCGGTGGGTCCATCCTTTGTACTTCAAAATCTGCCAAATGGCGACGCTGATGACGGTCGAACCTAGACACAAGAAGGTGGACGCAGAAGAGGGAGTGGACTACGTGGTCGACTGGGCGCCGAGACAGGCGATCACTATATTCAAGCCGTCACTCAAGGAAAATAAGACTGCCACAAGCAAGGTCAAGGCGGGACTGGGGTTCTTCGCTGATTTCTGAACGTACATGTCGCTATCGGGGCATTTGTGATTGTGCGTTGTTGACACCGCCTGTAGTAGAAGTTGTGGTCTGTCTACATGTCGCATCGCTCAGATCGATCCCCCCTTGTACGTTGTATTTACAACGAGAACGTGATTGAGCTGTGAGCTTCCGATATTTTTATCTTGTGCTAAGTCACTGCTTGCAATGGCCGCTCCAAACAGTCATGTATTAGGTATTGATATGAGCCATTCAGCTCACAAAGTCGACACGAGCCACACGGATGGTCCAGACGGATGGTAGTGAAATGCGTAGAGACACGGAGTTTCGCGAGACCAAGTGCGCACATGTATGATTGCACGTCTCATACTGTACCGATACGTTCCTACGCTGTTGCGCCCGCGACGAAGAACCCTGTCCCCTCCTTGCCGCTGTGAGGGCCCCCTCGTTCTCACACAATATGTCCGAGAACATGGTGATGCTTCCTGTGCGCATCCAGGTCCACTCCAGAGAGTAATCGGAGTCGACTTGAGCGTTCTCCACGCCGTGCCTGCAACCACACGAGCCCTGTCAATGCATGCCCTAGCACGCACGAGCAAGTCCGAACACCTACTCCCTTGCACAGTGCGTCTTCACACCCCACCGCCCGCGCACGCCTGTCATGCCGCACCACAGACACTCCGCCGTGACAGCACTGCTGTCATCTCGGGCGAGCGCAGCCGCGCGGTGCGCATCCTCGCACTCACGTGCTTTCGCGGCATGGTCCTCGCCGACGCGGTCCCAATGCTCAATCTCCGGTCCACGCGGGAGATTCGGCTCGCGATGGTGGCGCTTGTCGTGGAAGATCTATGTACTCGACCCGCGGGGGACCGTCAGCTCGCCGGGCGCAGCGGAAACCGTAAATGAGGCCACGCACCGCACCTCGCCAGGTGAACACCTCCTGCTTGACGATGTGCGCGCACAGGCGGCAGCGCAGGCGCGCCCTGGACGCGTCCAGGTCCGCGTGCGTCGCCGAGTCTGGGTCGAAGCCGCACGCGGCGATGATCGTGCGCGCGGCGCGCAGGCCGTCGCGGTTGATGTACACTCCTCTGCCGTCGAAGGACTGTTCATCGATCTCGTAGTGCCTTCGGGAGAGGTAGGCTTGGGCGTGGCGTGCGTAGGCCGCATTGACGGCTCCGGCTGTGCGATCGACCTCGATACGTTCCTTGCAGTGCGAATGGTCGACTATCTGGGGCCAGCGCAATCCGTCGCAATAGGAGCTAGTGCATTCGAATGTCGCGAGCGCGAGTTCGAATGGGTTCTCTGCAGAAGCCGCTGCAGTACCCTTCAACCGGCGACGAAATAGGCCAGTGTAGGTCGCAGTCAGTTGCGTCGCCCACTCGGCTTCGATGGCGGGCAGGATGTTATTCAGTTCCACTGTGAGGTCTTCGAGCGTTTTGTGGGTCTCGACGTCGAGGATGGCCTTGCGCACGTCTGGATGCTTGAAGAGGTCACCGAAGCGGCCACTGAGCTGAAAGCCTGCGCCGCGAACTTGTCGTGTGCGCCGGAGGTCTTTGAGCGCCGTCATCAGGCAGTCCACCCTCCGCTGCTTCAGTCCCCCGTTCTCGCGGACCATTCTCACAAAGCGAATATCATCTATGAACTTCAAGCAAGGCTCGCGAATCCTTTTCCACACTGCAGTCACAACGCCATGAGCACGACGGTAGTGTGGACGACGGGATTCTCACCTTTCGGGCCGACTTCTTTGGCCGTCTTGACCTCGTCCAGCTGGCAGAGCTGCAACCATTGAGCATTGGACATGCAATCGATCTCTTCCACCCAACCCTCTGCAGACAGTTTACCACGAATTCTGAAGGGACGATCAGAGCGAGCTGCACACGCAACAATTGCCCGTAGACGTACGCATCGATTAACTTCTGTTGTCTTTCCTGCGGCATGCTTGAGACCCATTGATGAAGCTCAATAGCACTCTGGCCGCATGCGTGGGCGTTAGACATGCCTGCTGTGGCAAACAGTGAAGTTGGAGTGAGGTGCCCACCTGAGCGCGCTGCTGAACGTATGCTTGCCGCTCTGCGGTGAATGTCTTCTTGTCCTTGAGAGTCTGAAGCCGGCTCAACTTCTCGCGAAGAGAATCCACCTCTGGCTTGTGGTACACACGACTCTGCGAGAAGCTGCCATGATCCATGAGCTATGACGCACACCGCATCACCTTCCCGCTCACCCTTTCTTCCACTGTGTTGTGCAGGTGGGCGCCATCTGCTCAAGAGTGCCATAGACCCGCCCTTGTCTGTCTGCTAGTTTTGGAAAGTCGAGAAGAGCTTTCTCCGGGGAAACGAGCCTGTAAATCCCCGTCAGTGCCATCGCGTCCCATAAGCAATGTACGTATGCTTCGTTTGACGCACATGGCAGGCCTGCAGATACCACAATACCGCACGAAGAACTCGCAAAAGATAGTGAACTCCCCATTTTTGAAACAGTTCTATCGCTCCGTTTTAACACCGACACCAGGCCTGACCGTGACGGAGCACTCACATGGCAATGAGGAGAAAAAAGGAGGTCAGCGAACGCCGGCTCGCTCATATGCGACGGAGGTGCAGGGAGACCCGTTTGGCAGAGCCGAGCGTTGCGCCACGTCTTCTCCATGTTTCGAGCGAGCACCGTCGCTCGAAAGTCCTTGTTTGCACGCGCGAGGCTGAGGAGGTCTCTCGGGTGCAGCAGCGCCAAGATCTGACACGGTCTCAGAGACAGTTCGAGGGTGGAGGGGCAAGCCAAAGTCGAGAGAGTGCTCACCTCGTAGAGGATTTCCATCGGCATGTCTGATAGATTCCCCGGATGGCCTCGTTGAGCACGACCACCGCCTTGTGTGCGGCGCCGCGTTGCGCGTCCAACTTCACTAGTAGTGGCGGCTTTCGAGTCTGCCGCGTCGAGGGTCGCCTCTATATTGGGGTGGGCATTCTTTGCTCGTTTTGACCGTGTTTTCATAATGTTTGGAAGTTGGGGCTGGCTGGAGGACCACGAGAGGGAGTGGCAGCTGCGTGCGTGGTCGGAATTCGGACGCGTGACGGCGCGTCGGATGCGCGTCGACGCGTCGTTCTCACGTGCTCCGCGGCTGCGCTGCGCTCAGTCACGCTCTATGGTGGCATCACTCAAGTACTCACAGTCCCTGCTCTCGACCCTCTCTCCAAACCGTTTTGAATGTTCCTCGTCCAACCGTGTCTTTTTGAACCTCTGGTCCTTCACGATGCCCCCTCGTAAGAAGCAGCGCACCACCGCTCCCCCTCCCGTGAGGCGTAGCGCTCGTGCAAGCGCCACCGAGGCCCCGCTACTGGCTGCGAAGAAGAGCGTACCTGCGGCACCACGCCGCGGCAAAGTCTCAACGGCACCGAAGGGCATTGTCAGTATGCCTCTGGAGATCCTCTTCGAGGTGCGTCGATATGTTGTATGTATGTGCAACGTAACCCCCAACATGGTTATGCCGTGGTAGATCTTCGCCGTCCTTCCCCCGAAGGCCTCTTCCACCTCTCCCGGGTTAACAAGGCGTTCCACAAGCTCCTGCTGGACCCCGGGGCAGCGTCGTTCTGGAAGGCCGCGTGGTCTAGAGCGGAAGGGCTGCCCGCGCTTCCCCCTCATCTCAGCATCCCCTCGTACGCCAGCCTTCTGTTCTCCACCGATTGTCGCGTCAGTGCTCTCCACGACCTCTAGTAATTGCGGCGAATGACGGTGTTTTCGCAGGGGTGCGGCATGTCCGGATACTTTGAGTCCTAGCCCACTGTTCACGAGATATTGTGGGGAATGCGAGCAGCGATGGTGCGTCTCCCTTCTTCTCGTGTGTTCTCCGAACCAACCTCCCCCAGTCTCGTCCGGAAAAAAGGCTCCGCTTTCAGCTTCCGCCTTCCCGATGGTGATGACCCCGCTGAATTCGGAATCGTGAACACAGTGTGCGTGCACAGGTTGCGCCTCGTCTCCGGCTGACTGTGACCAGACTATGTTCAGCCATCGGTGGATGCTGATCGCAGAAGTCGAGTATGTCCAGCGACGACGGGAAGCACTGGAAAGCGAGAAGGAGAAGCAGGACTACCTCGCCGAACGCAGGGCGTTTGTCATGGAGTGTGACGAGGTTCGCGAGATTGCCTCGAGTGGGCGCGTCGGCTCATTTTGGCTTCGGACTAGGTCGCAGAGTCGCTCCAGACATGGTTTGACGCCGCCGACGAGCGCAAGCAAGAGGAAGAGGACGCTCTAATAGCAGAGCGACGCAACGAGTAAGCACCAAACTGGATTTCAGTCATTCTCTCATGCAAGGATCATTCAGCGTTATGCGACTTCTTCGCGCAGAAGGATGGGAAGACGCCGACCTGCACACGTGCGATTTTGACGACCTGCCTGGTCTCGATAAGGCGGAGAGGCTGACGAGCGAGAGAGGTATGGGCGAGCTCGGACGCTGCCTACGATGAACTTGTATCTCACCACTATGACAGAATGGCAAGTGATTCGAAAGAAGGCGGTGAAGATCCTGGAGGCTCACCATCAGCAACGACTCAAATACGAAGAGGTTAGGCGGCTTCAAGGGAATGTCACCCGTTTGAAAACGATGATCGAGGCCTACCGGTGGTCAATATGCGCTCCAGGAGCCGGCCTCCGGTTCTTTGCAAGCTTCTTCGAGTTTGTCATCACACCCATCTTGCAGTCGTATGTAGTCCAGAACCCCTTATTCGACTCGGGCGATCCGGCCACATGTCAAGAAGTGGAGGCACTACTGCCCGGTATAGACGAGCAACTTACGGATCGTGCCACTGGCATCCTCGCAAGCATGGTCCACGAAACTACCAGCATGGAAGCAGCGTCACACTCGGATGAGGAAGTTCTAGAGCTCGCGACCTCGTTCTTCCAATGCTTCGTCTGCGGTGGAGACCGCCTGTTCCGCTGGAAGCCCCTGCTCCGCCACAACTGCACGAAGGAACACCTCATCGACGACGATCCCAAACACTTGATCTCCGCGGCCTGGGACCGCGGAGCCTCCGGCGACCGCTTCAACGTCCAATGCGTCCGCCTCAACTTCGAGCGCGGGGTCGCGAGCCGCCGCGCGGTCGTCGCCGCCTGCGGCCTCGACCCCGACCGCGCGACGTGCGCGGACGCGGACGCCTGCGGGGCCCGCCTGCACTGTCTGCGCTGTCGGCCGACGCCAGACAAACGCGCGGTGTTCGACTGGGAGGGTGCGGTGAGCGCCGTGTTCCGCTCGATCGTCCTACGCGCACGATGTAACTGACGCGTCGCAGATCCTGCACGACGCCCGTCAGCACCGCAAGCCCTCCAGCGCGGAGACCTTACATTGGGAGCGCGTCGCGGACGGGCACGCGTCCCGGGTGCGCGAGCTGCAAGACGCGTGCGCGCGCGAGCCCGCGGACACGGACCGCTACGCGTGCGCGTGGTGCGGCCGCCACACGTACCGCGACCCGAAGAGCTGGCACAGCGGAGACCGAGACCAGATGACGTTGCGCGCCGTGAAGCAGCACCTGCAGGATCAGTGAGTCGCCGTGGCCTGTGGCAGCCAGAGCCGTTCGAAGGGGCAACGCTCACGCTGGCCGTGTGTAGGCACTGCAAGCTGCATCCGGCGGAGGGAGTGGACTACGTGGTCGACCGGGCGCCGAAGCCCGCGATCACTATGTTCGGGCCGTCACTCGAGCACAACAAGACGGCGATGAGCAAGGTCGAGGCAGGGTTGGGGTTCTTTGCAGATTTTTGAACGAGCATGTCGCTGTCGGGGGCTCTTGTCGCTTGACGTCGTCGAGATCGCGTAGCCCGTGTTCCTGACTTAAGTCATGATCTGTCTGCGCATAGCATCGTTGAAATATACGGTCACTTCACGGACGTCTACGGCGCAACAATTGGGAACGCGGAACGCGAGTGGACTCCCGACGTCCTCATTGTGTGCATCGCTATCCGAAGCTCGACCTCTCCACGCGGTCCACACTTCCCGAAGCCAGGATTCCTCGCGACTGAGAGCGGCGCCCAGAACAGAGTTGGGTCCACGTAGATCGCCGCAACTCCGAACCTCCAGATCCGCATGGCAGCGGCCACCCAACACACCACGAGACAGACGGACACGAGCACGCACGCACGCACGCAGCGAAGTGAAAGAGATAGGAGATGTAGAGAATCGTCGCTTCGTTCGTGACAGAGGGGCCGCGCCGGGTCGACCGGTGGAAGGTAGTAAGTGGGTGCTGTGCGAAGGCGGGGTGGTACGTAGGTAGCTAGCGGAGACGGGAGAGGGCAGAGCACCCGGGAGAGAGAGCGAGGAGCGATCCAGCGGCTGCGACGGGAAGGAGGTAGGGTATGGATATAGATGTACTTATAGAAATAAATAGATGCGGCGCGGACAGAGATTTTGAGAGGCTACACAGACGTGGCGATAACGGCGGTGGAAGGAGAAGCGAGGGCGGAGTCAGCTTTATCGTGAACCGCGCGGGAGAAGCGGGCATGCGACTCACGCGTGCGACGAGATCATTCCGATGACGGCCAGCGTACGCCCCGCGGCGCGGGCGCGGCGGAGACTGCTGTCTGCCAGACTCGCGACTCGTCCGGAGGCAGCGCTATGCTATCGGCGGCGGTAGTAATACACGTACAAGTAGTATGCAGTGTGCGGTGCGGAGAGCGCAGGGTCAGCGGCGGCCGTGCGCGAGCCAGAGTGAGGTGTGCAAAGCAACGGGGGGCGGTGTGAATGACAGTGGGAGCGTGCAACTGTGAACAGAGTGGGCGCGGGAAGAGGGAGAGCAGCGAGACGGGGGAAATGGATGTATAATCCAACAAAGCATGCCGAGTGCCGAAGGAGAAGCAGTCCGACTGCGATGCAGGGGTATAAGCAGCGGCCGTGTACAGACGAGACGCGATGTGTGAAGGTGGCAAAAGTGGGAGAATGAGCGTGGACGAGATGCGCAAGCGCACTACGGGAAACAACAAGAGACCGGGACAGGGACCGGGGCGGGGCGGTGGCAGCGACTGCGGCTCGCTCCTTGTATCATCGCACTACTGCGATGGGGGAAGCACGGAGGGGCTACTACGCGCCATATCGTGGGCGCGTCTGGTTTTGGCCCAGTCGGTGCTCGCCTTCAGGCATGCATACTTTGCAGCAGGCGCAAGGGGAGACGGGAAGTGCAAGTGCGCATATCATGGCACTGCAGGATTGAGGATGCCGCGCACGTCATCGACGTGGGCGAGATCCGCGAGGAACGGGCAAAGGTCCGTGAGCTCCGTGTCGTGGGGGTCGTTGAACCACGAGGACACCGGAACGGCGTTATGCGGGTGGAAAATGTAAGAGGCAGGGGAGTTGTCGAGGATGATGGTGTCCTTTACTGGACGTCCGAGTTGTGAGAGATCCTGTTTAGTATGCTATGAGCACCATGTAAATCACAGTGAACCCACTGAGGCGCACCTTGACATAGTTACCCTTATGGTTGAAACAGCTTTCTCGGAAAAGTCGGTGCGCCACCGAATGGGAGGGGTCTAGTCTGTCCAGTACTGGGTCGGCGTACTGCATCCAGAGGACATTAGCACTAGAATGAAGCGAAGATGACAAAAGAAAAATCACCTTGCTCAAGCTAGCAGTGAATACAACAACTTCGTAGATTTCTCCCATCTTCTTCATGAACTCGTCGACACCTGGTCGCTTAAGGACAAAAAAGTTATGCCAGTATGCTTCAATCTCCACGGGAACGATATAGTCTGGTTGAGGAACACCCTATTGGAGATTGATGTGAGTGCAATGAAGGACTGAAAGGTGAAGCCACTGACCTTCAAGCTGCTATGTACAAGAGTCTCGTCCAGATCGAGCACCAGGCACTTGCGTCCGACGTGTTCGGGTAGGATGGGTGGTAGCAGCGGCTTCGGTTGTCCGTCCTTGAAAGACGAAGTTCAGACAAGGGAAAGCAGCAAATGTAGGCACATTACGCACGGGTCCAATGGGGATGCCACTGCCGCCCATCCTGATCAACCGTGCCTCTTCATCCTCGATCTCATCACCAACCAGGTCGGAGAAGCTCCCTTCATCGGTGAACGCACTGTCCGAATCGTCCGAATGTTCGCGGTGGATCTTGCGCTCGAAGGTGTGGGGGTGCGGGATATTTTCACCAGTAGAACCCGGCGGCTGGACTGCTCCAGAGGTGAGCCCGTCGGTCTCCGAGAGCGGGAGAAGCTGCTTCGTAGGCGTCGGCGGGACGATAACCTCCGTGTCGACAGTGGGAGGAATGGTGAGAGGCGCGAGGTTGTGTGGTGCGGCTAGAGCGATGGCATTGAGTTGAGTGGCATGGACGCGACGTCAATGCAAGAAAAACGTGCGCACCTGTCGCAGTGGACGACTGTGTGTCCTTCTGATCGGAGTCTACCACCTCGAGGGCTGTTTCTCGCCGTCGTGGTGCACGCCCTCGTCGAGGTCGACGGGATGGGTGTGCTGGGTGCCGATGCAGCAGAGGCGGGTGAGCTTGGAGAAGAAGCCCTGTTTGGGTCGCTTGGAAGGCGTCTTGGCCTCCTCTGCGAACGAGTGCTTGGTTAGGCTCGAGCTGGTCACCCCACCGTCAGAAACAGACTGGCCATCGCGACGCCGTTTTCCGGCGGGGGTGGACGGGTACGCGCCGCTTGGGGGCGGCTTCTCCGAGAGGGTGAGCGCGGTGTCGGACGGCTGGCGGTCAGGGGCTGCCATGAGGGAGACAGCGGTGCCGGACATGGTCGTCGGGTTCGACGCCGCGGTGTGGGTGGAGGACGAGGGGGGCGGGTCCTGACCAGAGGTGCTGTGAGACTCGGTGGTTGCCGTCTGGGGGTCGGCTGCGGGAGACCGGGCTTCGGCGGAGACGGGAGAGAGAGAGGCGACTGGGAGAGCTTCCACTGCGGGTGCGGGGAGGATGGTGAGGGACGGACGGTGTCTGCCTGGCTGCTGTCGGGTGCGTGGTATATTGCCTCGGCGGGAGTTGTGCCCGGGCCTGCTTCTGACGCCTGAGCGGGTGGGAGCGCATGGGTGGGTTGGGCGACGGAGGGGCAGAAAGCTAGACACGAACCTGGGCGGGGGCAGAGGCGTTGTCTGCGGGGCTAGCCATGGCCTCGTCGGGCTCAAGCGCGGCGGGGGAGAGAGAAGATGAGGGGAGGGGCTGGGAACAACTCTGGCCGCGCTCGCCGACCGCTGTCCATCAGACCCGCCGTCCCCAAAGGCGCCCATCCGCCGCCCGCGGTCCGTGCGGCCGCCCACGCTCGTCGCCATCTTTCTGCGCTCGGCCGGTGGCCAGTGGCCACAGTCGAACGTTCAACGCGAGCCGTCCCATAGCCTGCCGCCTGCCTTGCTGCAGCCCACGAGCCTCCTGCGGGCCAGGACGCGTGCCCGCAAGTCTCGCGGGTGGCATCATGCCACCCATCCCCCCACATGCTCAGTCCTACTTACATCATCGCGTTTGTACCTATCATTCATCAGCCAAGTCGCGTTTGCTTTGCAGAACGCACTGCAAAGTCGAACATCGTAGCCACGGGCCTCATGTTGTCCGACATATCCGAGTCAGATCGGCCTCTAGCGCCCGTCGGCGATCGCGTGAATTTGATCGCCACCCGCGGGCTGGTCTGCGTAAGCGGGTGGTCCGTGCGCACACCGCAACTGGTATAAAGGCCGCGCCTCCCCCACTTGTTCTCTATCCTTGTGCTCGGGCACGTACTGTCGCCAGTGAGGTCTTTACCGAGGCACAGTCTTTTGCTGATTGCAAATTACACATCCGAACACGTCTGTTAGCTTCGGCTCTCAGCAATTTTTGGCAAACCCTCCCCCTGTGAAGGCTCTTTGAGTCAGAGGGATCTAGTGTTAGTAGTTGTAGCAGTTTTCGTGCAATATATACATCTTGCCTTATTACTTCTTCGTGCGTCGGTCCAGTCTCGTCCGTCATGGCCTTGGTCACAGTTTGCGGTTCCCTTGTGCTGGGAAGTCTCAAGAGCGGAACAGCTTCGTTCCCACTTTCAGGCAAGGTTACAAGATTCGACATATGAAGGCCCTCCACTGAAAATTGTTGTCGTCTCGGACGACAACTTGAATCTGTCTCGCGAAGTCTACGACGGTGAGCACAGTCCACATGCCGTTCTTCGGATCTCCCTGACGACTCTGAAGATGGGAGGTCAGAAAAACCGCGAGGGCAGCCCTCTTCACCGCTGTGCAGCGACAGATGGGACAGGACACAGTCCTCATCGTCGACTCGATGAACTACATCAAAGGATTCCGCTATCAGATCTACTGCGCCGCCCGCGAGCACAAGTTGCGCGTCTGCACAGTGGGTGCCTCCTCCCACAGTGTCCCACCAGGTACTCATTTTGCTCTGCCAGCTCTTCGTGGCCGCAACGCACGAGCAATGCAAGCAGTGGAACGCTGCGCGCCACCCAGACGGCCCTTCATATTCTCCTGAGACGCAAGTACTGCGAAGGAGTCTGGAGCTTACGGTCGCTGACGCGCCCTTTATGCACTACAGGCTCGAAAATCTGCTCATGCGTTTTGAAGAGCCGTCGTCGATGGCCCGGTGGGACTCGCCGCTCTTCACCGTGCCCTGGACGGACGACGACGTCCCGGCGGACGACATCTGGAAGGCCGTCACAGCAGGCACCGTCAACCCCCAAACGCTGGTACCAAGCGGTCCGTCGCCGTGCTTCCTCCCTTCCTCCACCTATCCTTACCCTAGCTCCCCCGCCAGGTCCCGAAAGCACCGACCGACGCGCTCCGCACGCTCGAGGCCACCGCGACGAGCATGGTCGCCGCGATCATGGCGAGCAGGCCGCGGGCGGTGGCTCGGCGGGCCCGTCACGCTCCCCTGTCCGCGACGTTGCGCCCGCAGGTCGCGCTCCCGCCGCGCGCGGTGACGCTCTCGGAGCTGCAGCGGCTCAAGCGCCAGTTCGTGACGGTGCACAAGAAGGCGATCACGCTCGGCGCGGTCGAGAAGGGCGCGGTCGACTGGAGCGAGGAGAGCGTGGCGGGCAAGTTCGCGGAGTACGTCGAGGGGAACCTGAAGCCTTAGGAGACCGAGTGAAGCCTGGTGGTGAAGATGGGTGGGAGGAGGACGACGCGGGAGCTGGAGGTACGCATGCTGCCACGCGCCTTGCGTTTGCATTCAGCTGTCTTACTGACCTGCATCGTGTGTTGTTTGGACAGCGCGGAGGTCAACTGGAGTAGCATGCATGCGTGATGCATCGGGAGTGTAGCACTGTATACAGGAACGTAGAAGATTATCGCTGCCCCGGGCAATGTCCACTCCGCCCACGCCCCTGTGCCACCCCTTCTAGTATCGCACCGATTAGGAGAGGCCTCCTTCCGTGCGTGGGGATCGATGCCCCTATGTCGACGGATGACTACCCGTGCGTATATACGGCGCCCTTGTCGCCCGTCTGCTTCTTCGTCTCTCGTCTGCCTCGAACTTGACGACCATCGGGATTAGCATCGCAGGGGCGCGCGCACCGGCGGCACCGCGGGAAAGCGGCTCACTTGCTCCCCTCGGGAGCGACTGTCCTCAGCGCGATCACAGTTCTGCTCGGCGCGTCCCTTCGCTCCCCTAGCGTCGCTCCACGGCGTACGTCAGCGGGCGGACGATCGACGTGACCTCTAGCAGCTCTCTAGCCAGACCACCGAGGCGATTGCTTCGCCGGCGGGCGGCCTCACCCCCGCAGTGCCCCAGGCGCGCCGGCGGCGGCGCCCGGGAACACGGGCATGGGTTTCGTTTGGGGCGGATTGGGATTTTTGACACGAAACCGATGTGAGAGATGATAGCTTCAGTTAACGTCGTGGCTCGTACAATGTCGCCCTGCGAACATCCAGCCACGTTCCGTGGAAATGGGTGGATCAGGAGTTCTGAACACACATGATTACGGAACATAGAACGGAGGGCTAGTGGCACGTGATGCGCGTCTGTGCAACTGATGAAGGCTGAAGCGCTGAGACTCGCACGGGCCTCTCGAGCTATGACCACAATCCATCAGCGCTATCAGCATCCGTACTTGCACCTATAGCTCGAGTTCTGGTTTTCAAGGCTCTGTCATCGCTTCATCCTCCAGGGCTCACGTCGAACTGTGCTCTCCCTCGTCGCCACCGATTTTCTCTACTCAGCAGCTGGCCAAGGGCCACAGATCTTCCGGATACCCTGCCTCTGAGCATTGGCCTTGCTCAGTAGCTCCTGGATGTTGGAAGTCACATCGCGAGTCTGCCGATGTGTAATGGGCGGTGGTGACAAGGTATGGCCTCCCCTCGTCATTTCGGCGTTTCCATTCCGCGAGCCCAGTGCTTACCGACTACAGCAAAGTCAGTTTCCAGGTTTTCGAGAGAAGCCGTCATGTTGTTGTTTTCGGAATCTACTGCCCATGTTGCCTTCGCCTGCTCAAATGCTCCAGCGCTCGCCAGCACCACCCGCCAAACATCGCCGACGACAATGCGCGCGTCCAACCGAGTCTGAGGTTTAAACCGGACGGATCTTCGCCGACCTATCCAGCCCAGATCGGCCCGTTAGGGAACGTCCACTACTCCATCGCTCCGGCGGTTCCGTACGGCTTTGAGGGAACCGAAGCCGTGGATTCCGTTCGAGATGAGGTTTCCCGGCACTGGGCTCAAACGAGTTGGGCGGAGATATGGGGCCCACTCGCGGATCAAATGGCGGGCAGAGTCACCAAAGGATGGTACCCGCCAGGTCATATCGCCCAGTGTCAGCCCTTTCGATCTCGGCAAGGTCCCGCTTACCTCTGCTACCATATACTCGCGATCATCCGGCCGATTGGTACCTCACCGCAAGCGTCGTCGGTGGTCGGAGTCCTGCTGCAAGCGTCGTCCACCGCCAACGATGATCGAACCTACTACCCCAGACCTCTGCATGAGCGGCGAGCCTGAGCATAGACGATCGCCACCCCTGTTTGCGCACGATGGCTGGCCCGCCGGACCAGCTAGGACCAGCTCCCTGGGTATAGCAGTGGGGGCAAAGGTCGTGCCATCATCGTTCGCCCCTTCTTCCTTCACTGCTCCTCCCTCTCCTTCTCTATAGTGCACTCTCCTGATGTCCGCAGGCACGTCCAACCCTCCTTGTGCGACCGCCAGTTACAGGGCGCATCCAGCGCACTTCCCGTCCCCAGGGCTGGCGATCTTGAGTGTGATCGTGCATCTATTCGGTCAGCTCTTTCTCTGCCCTGTTCACCTTTGCCCTGCGCTCTTCAGGTGTTTCTGTTCTAGCCTACCTGCTCGCGACCAAGATTCGAATATCCCAGCTGTTATCCTTGCGCGTCCTTCGCTTATCCTTCCCGCGCTTGCTCGTAATTGCGAACGTCTTAGACTCGTGCGTATCTCTCTTGTCTCCCTGGCGCTTATTAATTGGCCCCGCTCGCTTCTTAGATGGGCATTCATATTCATGAGTGTTTTTTTTTTCACCCTTGACCAACTTTCCTTGCTCATCCCGTCTACAGCCGGTGTTCTGGTTCACGGAGCGGGCTTGGAATTGAACCAGACCGCCTGTCTTCTCGGTATCCTCAATTGCATCATCTTCTACGTGTCGTCCAAGATGCTCATCTACATCTTCCTGAGTCCGTGCTCCTTCTAGTGCCTCCCTCTACACCTGTCACACTGCCCTTACTAGTCGAGAAGGTCAATGTCGTTTGGAATGGACTCCGAGGTTGCCCCCAGAAACGTCTACACTCCAAGGTCTACCTGTGCTGCATCGCGCTCTTCGCTGTCTACGTCGGCGTCGCAGCAGTGGTGATTGTCGGTGAGTGTCCTCCCCTCCTTTTCGGGGGATTACCCGCGCTCATCGGCGTTTGTTCTTCAAAGGGCGAATCGCCTATTTCCAGAAAGACGGCACATGCGTGATCGGGCTCAAAGCCCGCCTCGCTCTCGTTGCTCATATACGACCTGTAAGCGCCCTTCCGTCGCGGCCCGCCTCCATGAACACGTCTGACTGAATGTTCTGTGCAGATGCGTGAACGTTATGCTGACTTTGCTCTTCGTGTACCCACTGCTATCGTATCATTTCAAGTCTGCTGTCCGCACCACCGCGGTACGCTCCGTCCGGTACGTTCTCCCTCCCGAGACTTCATCCAAGTTTCTGTCAGAACACTCACGCATGCTCGCGCACCCAGAACCGCCGCGATAGCGCTGACGACCTCGTGCATCAACATCCTCGTCCTCACCCTCGAGCACGGCCAGCAGCTCGGCTGGGTCTGCCTCGCCAGCTGCGGCACCGACGTCGTCATCAACGCCGTCGTCCTCTGCTGGGCCACCGCCGTTTCCCAGCCCAAGCCGAGCACGCTCACGACCTCCGGCACCTGCCGCAAGGCGAAGAGCAGCGCTTTCACCTTCCTCCCCCCCGCCGGCCACACCGGGCCCCTCACCACGACCGGCGCCGAGTCCTCCCTGCCGCCGTCGTCCACGGAGGCCTACGACGACCCGTGCGCCGCGGCAGCCTGGGACCCCTCCTCCACGAGGGTCTCGCGTCTCCTCGCGGCCGCAGACGGCTGTGGCGGCGCGCACCCACGCACACGCCATTGCCCGCGCACACGACGCTCGACTTGCGGCAGGCGCTCTCGCTCTCGACGCCGCGGCGCACGCACCCGCCCGAGAACCGCTCCGCCGTCGTCCGAGAGGGAGGTCCGGGCGCGCGAGGAGGGGTCGTGGTGATGCGGGAGATGGAGGTCGGTGCGGACGCGGAAGGCGGCGGGGTGCGAAGGACGCCGTCGGGGATGCGTGTCGGCTTGCGTCGACCGTGGGGGGCGCATGTGGAGGTGCGTACGCCGTCCGTGCGGCCGCCGCCAGCACCGTCGCCGACAAATCCTTTCGCGGGAGGGTGTTAGGGCTTGCAAGCTCGGTGGGTGGTGCCAATTGTACCATAATACCTTGAGGGCCCGGCTCGATACCGGTGTGGATCTGGTTGCTCCCTAGTAAGCGTCGGGTCGAGGGCGCAATGTACTTCTAATTTGTTCAGTTCTTCGTGTCTCATCCAGTGAGAGTGCGTCTCCACTTGTCCTGTGTAGTCGTGTCCATAACACAACTGGCATTTGACGATGATCCGCTCAGTAAGTACCACCAACATCACACCAGCCTAGCGCTCCTCCCTTCTCGCCACTGAACACATAACAATGCTGTGACTCTGATATTGTACGGGCCCAAACAGGCGAGATCGAGCAACAGCAGCGAAGCACCCACTAACTTGGGCGATGCCCCCGCTCAATGTTTCGCCGACATGACGCTGTGACTCCGAGCGCCCAAGCGTTGCGTCGGTCTCGTGACCGTTCCTGGATAAGGTTGACCGCGATCACAGGTCAACCTTACGTTCCTGCTGCGCGTCGGCCCTCTTGTGCTTAATTACATGCCTCCGTCATACCGACCTCCTTCAACCCGCTCAAGAAGGCGTCCATTACTGGTATGTTTCACAACATCTCATTTCAAACTAGAATCACGGCATTCTGCCTGTGTCCTAAACCTCAACGCCAAGCTCGCCGAGAGAAACCTGGCGACCCACTTCCTGAGCTTGGCTTTCCCTGGAATGTATGAACGACGACCTGCGTTTCGTAGCAACACCGTCAGGGTCGTGCGTCCATTGATGTAGTTACGGGACCGACATACGTACGTACGAGACTCCCGTCTAATTGATCTGGCAGCACCCGCCTCTCAACCGGCTGCCATTTACCCTCTCGATTGTACGCGGTCATGATGCACCCGACGTCCTGCTAGTCCATCTTCACCCACAACCCCCAAGCTTCAAAAGTCTCAGTCTCTCAGCTTGCCTCTCGCCTCCTCTCGCCCAGCGCCCCCACCCTCCTCGCTCGCCGCCACCAATGCCCTCCCTCGCCGCCGCCCGCGCTGCGAACGCCGCCTTCGCCCCCTCCTACCTCCCCGTCGCCGTCTTCGTCGGCGGCACCTCCGGCATCGGCAGGGCCTGCGCGGAGGCCTTCGCGCGCTACACCCGCGGCAACGCGCACATCGTCCTCGTCGGCCGCAACGAGGCCGCCGCGCACGCCATCCTCGCCTCCTTCCCCGCGCCCTCCGCCCCCGGCGCGGCGCACGAGTTCCTGCACGCGGACGCCTTCCTCGTGCGCAACGTGCAGGCCGCCGCGGACGCGCTGCGCGCGCGCCTCCCGCGCCTCCACTTCCTCGTGCTCTCCACCGGGCTCGGCATGAGCCTCCGCGGGCGGGACGAGACCGCGGAGGGGGTCGACCGCCGGATCGGGCTCGCGTACTACACGCGCGCGAAGTGGGTCGCGGACCTCCTCCCGCTGCTCGAGCGCGCGGCCGCGGCGGGCGAGGACGCGAGGGTGATGTCCGTGCTCGCCGCGGGCAAGGGCGGCGCGATCGACGTCGACGACCTCGCGTTCCGCAAGGGCTACGCGTCGTACAAGGTCGGGCTCGCGTCGCCGACGTACACGGACCTGCTGTTCGAGGTGCGTCTCTCCCTGTGTCCGTCGCGGTGGCGTGCGGTGCGTGACCACCCGCCGTTCTGCGCGCAGCATCTGTCGAAGGAGCACCCGAGCGTCGCGTTTGTGCACGCGCACCCGGGCCTGGTGCGCACCCCGCTGATCAACTTCGACCACTGGGCGTTCGGGCCGATCAACATGCTCACCGGGGCGCTGGCGAAGAACCCGGAAGACTGCGCGGAATGGATGCTGTACGCCCTCTTCCAGAGCAAGCACGGCTTCTCAAGACGGAGCGAGTCCGGCGACGACATTGGCCCACAGGGGCGATATGGCTCTGCCGAGCGTCAGCAAGTCGTGAAGCACACGCAACAAGAGCTTGCCATTGCACTCAGTAAAGTAATCGGACCTGTATAGTGCTCAGCGTAGTGCAGCATAGATCTACCCTAGATGTGTTGAGAGCTTCTAATTGATTCCCTTACCATACTTACTACATCTTGACTTTACGGTAAATGCACTCATTTGACTGGAATAATGTACGCATCGACGGGCAAAAAGACAATGTCACCAAACGGTAGCCCACCGCGAGGGTCGAACTCGCAGCCTTCAGATCACCCGCAGCTTAAGAGTCTGACGCTCTATCCGATTGAGCTAGGCGGGCAATACGAGACACCTGTTGGAACCTATTATCTAGCGTGCAAATATCCTCCGGACTGTGGACTTCCATGTGCCAAACCACTATGCAGATACCATGCTCTTCCTTTTCTTCTTACCTCTCTCTTTCGTCGGCTCGTCTGCCTTGCCCTTCACCTTCCCCTCCTTTCGTTTTCGCTTCTTCTCCTTCGCCCCCTGCTCCTCCTTCGCCAATGCCAATCGCTGTGCCTCGTCCGCCCGCCTACCAAGTTTCTGGAACATATCCTCCTCATCGCTGTCGTCGTCTTCAATCAGCGCGTCGACCTCGCGCTCGCTGATGCCCGTCGACTCCGTCCGCCCAGCGCCCTCTATGCGTTTCGCGACCGTGGTCGCCGTCGATGTCGTCGGGCGGGGGACATGGTCGGGTGAGAACGGGTCGGGCTGTATCGAGCCAACGAGCGAGACCATCTGGTTCGCGATCGTCATCCTGTCCATGCGCAGAGGATGTCAGCGAGGTGGAACCGACATGCACACCGCCGAGACACCTACCCTACGACCGTGAACTCGAGGACGCCTTTCTCCCCTCCGAGCTTCTCCCCGGTGAGGTGGTGCACCCACCGCCCGCCGCTGTCCACCTGCTCCTCGGCACCCGCCTCGCCCTCTTGTTGTACGACACCGTGCTCGGGATCGTTCTCCGCCGGACCGTACTCGAATTCGTACTGGTCCGTCCGTATGTGATGTCGCGGTATCGAGACGTTGAACGTCCGGTGCACGAGCAGGGAGACATGGTCGGGGGAGCATAGATTGATTCTACCAGCTGTGCCATTATACACAATCAGTGTGAGATGCGGACGGTGCAGGGACTGGGGACTCACACAACTTCATGCCGACCTGCGGACTCCACACCGTAGCGTCGAACGCAACCCGGCAGTTCGCAAACGGACACTCCGCCTTGATCGTCGCCGTCCTGTCCAGAAACTCCAGCCGGTTGTGCGCGAGCACCACGCCCTGCAGCGACGGGATGTACCTGCGTGGACGCCAGAACCGCGGCCGCGTGAGTCCCGACGACGACCGCCGTGCGCACGCGCCACGCACCTCATGAGCATCGAGTCGAGCATCTCCTCCACCCCGTCGCGCAGGTGTTTGAACGCGGGCGGGACGGCGACGGTGAGCGCGGTGCGCACGACGCGGAACGTGTCGTCCGTGGCGCGGCCCTTGCCCTTGTCCTGCTTCGGCTTCGGCTGCGGCTTCGCGGGCTCCTTCGCCCTCTTGTCTTTCTTCGGCCGCTTCGCGGGTGGGGACGGTGCAGCGCCCGCGTCGGCAGCAGCGGGGGCGTCGCGGTGCTTCCGCTTCTTCGTTTTGTGAGCGTTGGGCTGAGACATCTCGGGGGGCTTCAGGTTGGCGATGCGGAGGAATCGAGGCGGACGGCTAGTAAGGAATGGTGCCGCTACGTGGGCTACACGATGCAGAGATTGAGCGAGTCAGCGGTGGGCGGTCGAGCAGAAACGGCGTCGAGGGTAGAAATTTTGGGAAGCGCCGGTTGGTGCTCGCGGTGACCGGTCGTGAGAGTGGGCGCTTGCGGCCCGCTCGACGCCGTCATCGCAGTGCCGACCGGCCACGGGACGTCTCTCACCAGCTCTCACCGCTCTCTGAGTGCTGTCACCATCGTCGACCGTCGCGGGCTGGGTGCTGGGTCATGGTGCGTCTCCGCCGTCGCTCGTTTCTGCATGCGTGAATGCTGATATTGAGAGGGGTCGGTGCCAGTCTTCTCCACGCGTCATTGTGCAGATCGCCATTGCTGGCGCGAAAATCTTTGGCAGGGCGTTCGCTGCTGCAGGCAGGCAGGCTATGGCGAGTGAGTAATCGCCCCCAATGTGCGCCGTCACCGCTCCCGGTGGCTCGCTGTGCGTTCATGCTGAGAGCAGGCCGTTGGCAGACGCGAAGTACCGCCCACCAGGCGCAAGCGGGGGAGACGTCGCCGGCGTGGGCCACGCCACGTCTGGCTCGCTGACGGACAAGCTGACGCGGGAGATGCGGATGACGGCGGACGAGGCGCGGCTGATCTTGAACGTGAAGAAGGAGGACTCGGCGGAGAAGGTACTGCAGGTGCGTGTCTTGCGTTTTCGGTGGCGTGCTTGCGCTCACTTTCGTCGCAACCTCGACCTCCCCCACCCCCTCGGGTCTGCGCTACGTGCGTGCAGAGCTACGAACACCTGTTCAAGGCGAATTCTCCCCCGGCGCCGAAAGAGAAGCCCGCGTCAGCGCGGCAAGCTGCCCCTGCCCACTCACACTACCTCCAGTCGAAGGTGGTGCGCGCCAAGGAGCGGTTGGACGCAGAACTCAAGGCGGATCTCGAAGCAGAAAACCCGGCCCCTCCTCCAGAACCCGAAGCGTCAAATCAGCCCCCACCACCCTCATAGCCTCGCCACACCCCCGGACCTGTTATCGAGCTCATTGCTTTCGCGTCCGCATATATTGCTTACACGGTAGACCTTATTCGCTGTATAATTCGCACAGTAGTAGATCCACATCACACTCCAGTTCACTCGCGATATCGAGCATGTGGCGCGCATCATCCATCTGGGTCGAAGGAAGTTCTGCGATCTCAAGGAGAGACGGAAGCAGTGTGCACTGTCGGGGCGTCGCGCACACGAAGCCGTGAATCAATTCAGTCGAGGCCGAACAGTCAGCATCGTCGGCCCCAGAACGGTGCAGGCGTCCGGGATGCGTCGGATAAATGCGCTCCATCGAGACTGGAATGAGGCAGAGTCCACGTTGAGCTCTGTCGTCTGTTCTGATTGGGGTGAGCATCAGCGGCGAGAAGCCGATGTGGAACCCAGACCCGAGCAGGACGGTGGGAGCTGCCCAACATCGTGACTGGGCGCACTGGAAATTGGACCGAGAAGTAGATCTGTGGAACATGCACAGTGCGGCGCGCGAGATAAACGCGCCGCTTGCGATAGCCACCCAAGGGTGCGGCCAGCTGCAGCAGCCACCCCCTTCGAAGTTCGAAGAACACCTCAGCTTGCCGCAGGGGAATTGGATGAGAGAGCACGTATTGGCCACATCTCAGTGGCCAACAGCCAGGACCGAGGTCGTCAATAGACGCAGATCGCCGAGACACTTGTACCGGATGGCGAGAGATCATCGACATCTGCAGATGAGTCGGTGGAGAACGTTCGACTGAGCCTGCGCACGCGATGCTTCGCGAAACGCGCGGGAGGAGCTTGCGCGTCCCAGCAACGGTCGCGCGTGGAGCAACGCGCGAGCACGGGGGCTGGCTGGTGAGCGGCACGCCTCGAGGGGGCGACACAGCGGCCTCAGGTGGACGGATGGATGGAGATCGATGCACGGATGGATGATGAGGATGCCGGGGAATCTGAATTGACCGGCCGCGGTGATGGTGCCGCGCCACTGCGGTGGGCAGCGCGCGCATGGCAACCAGCCCTGCGCGAAGGAGAGGACGAGGAGGATGAGCTTGTTCGACGCCGCCGAGCCCCGACGGCTCCGTGCAGTGTGGACGATGACGATGGCCGCACGAAGCGCCGTCGGCCGGCGGAACAGCCACGGGACTCGGAGGGGAACACCCGGACAAGGCCGGAGCCGCCCGTCAGCTGATCCGATCCAGGCGCCGGCAGCCAGATATGGGGAGAGCGGATTTTCGCGTTCTCCTCCTCTCCGTCTTCTGCAGACCGCACGCGCTCTTCCCGCCCTGTCTCCCACCATCCCCCACGACTCTCTTGGGGACGCTTGCGGGCGCTCCCCTCTCAACAACGTCTAACAGAAACCACCATCACCCCCTGTCGTCCCCCTCAGCGACCCGCCGCATCGCCACTCCGCCCACCCAGAGCCCAGAGGGGGCCTCTCTCCTCCTTCTCATCTTCACCATGGCTCTCGGTGGTTTGGGGGCCATCCTCCTCTCCAGCCATTCCTCTCTCTCCCTGGGCCATGTCTTTGCAAAGGTCGACCTCCGCTCCGTTTTCTTCGCTCTCGTATTCGCCATAATCGTCCTGGTTTTGGGTGCGTAATCCTCCTCACCTTCGCAACTTGTCGTCTTATCATTCTTCAAATCCCTTCTCTACTCGCAACGCCACTCCGGGATGCACGGGACGCGCTTGAAACGGACCATATCCAACGCCGTACGCACGCACTTCATGATTCTCCACTTGCCCTCGCCCTCGACATCCAACTATATGTCTCGAACGCTTTGCCCCGCCGGTACATACCCTCAACGCCCCTCCCTCCCATTCCCGATGTACTGCGGATGCAAACTCCTGTTCCTTCGCCTTTGATATCTATATCTGGTGAACACCTCTCGACGACCATCTGTCTCGATGATCAGCGTATCTGACGAACCCGTCGGAAACCTGCTTTCGCACCTACCTCACGGAGCTCTCCTTCAAGCAGCATCTCAGTCAACTCGACGAGAATGGTCAAGACGACTCCTCGGTTTCCGACGACTCTGGTGTACACTTCACACTCTCCCGACGTTCCCCGGCCGCTGTCCGTAAAACTGGAAGCAACTTCGACACCTCCTCCCCATTCCACTTTGTCAGCCGGGCCTCGGTCTCCTTCGGACACCCAAACATGTTTTTCACAGTTTCGGCATCCTCACGGTAGCTGCAGTCTACCCAACAGGTCGCCCCGCTCCCGCACCAACCATGGCCACTGCTCCGCCCACAACGAGAATCTGCCATCCGCTGTCTCCGATGTGTGGTACATAGGGGCGTTTGGACGGTGGTGGAAGGGTGGAGTCATTCAGAGCTGGTGGCACGAGGTGCTCGCAAACGCCAAGGACGCTGAGAGGTGTGGCTCTGGGCTACTAGACGTGAAGGCACTAGATAACCTCGAGGGCTTTGAGGGTGTGTTCATTCTACTTCTCTCCACGTATGATTCGTATACACATACCTGGCCCGGCTTTAGGTCTGCCCTTGCCTACCCCATCCCGTCTTCCGGCCGACGCCCAAACCAAACTTCGCGCAACCGAACGGTCTTTCCAACGCAATAACAACAACGCGCCTCGAAGCACCACCCCACCCCCACTCCCCAAGTCCGCCTCATTGCCCCTACACGCGCCCAAGGTCTCAACACCGCCGAAAGCCAACGGACACAGCCCTCGACATGCGCCGTCGCCGTCGCAGCCGCAAATGATGCCCGAACCCTCGCGACCGCCAGCGCCGTCGGTCCTCACTTACTCCCCTTCCTCGTCCTCGCTATGGGACTCGTCTCCCATCATCGCCGAGGTCTTGCGCCAAATCTCGCAGTCGAAAGCCGCGGTGCACGAGCTCCGGACGCAGCTCGCCGACTTCCGCAGCAGCGCGGCCGACGCGCACGCGGGCATCCAGAGCGAGCTCGAGGTGCACCGCGAGCGCAAACGCGAGGACGACGCGGCGCGCAACGAGATCAAGACGCGCACGAAGACGCTCGAGGACTCGAAGCGGTCCGCCGAAGGCAGCAAACGGGACGCGGAGAAGCGTCTCCGGGCGGCCGAGAGCGCACGCGAGAGCGCGGCGGCGCGCATCGAGCGACTCGGGGAGGAGATTGGGGCGATGCGAGGGCGGATGCATGACGACGAGCAGGCGACGCTGGGGTGCAAGGATGAAGGCGATGAGAAGGAGCAGGAGGCGAAAGAGGTGCTGGAGAGGAAGAAGAAAGAGATTAAGGTGGCAGAGGACGTGATTGCCGCGCTCAACGCCCGGGCGAAGGAGCTGGAGGAGAAGATCGCCCTGGAGGAGGAGAAGCTGCGGCGCGCGAAGGAGGAGGCCGAGATCAAGAAGCAGGATCGCTCGTTCTTCCCGCTCACTGTCGTCCCGACGGTGAGTGAGGGCGATCTGGCGGCCCCTGCTTGGTCTGCGTATCCTGAAGGCCAGAGTGGGACGCAAGACCCCCTCACGCGAGAGAGCCTCGCCACGATGGACAGACAACAACCTTTCCCATCCCTCGCGCCCCGAAGCAAAGATTCCCTGTCTTCGGGCTCAGGCAGCGCCGAGAACGCTGATACATCCTTCTCTCCTCGCCCTGCCCGCCTCTCGCTCACCGCCATCTCCAACCTGCGCGAGCCACCAAATCGCGTCCTTACGGAACCGGATCCGAACGGTCAAATCCTCTTGCGGCCCAACGTCTTCCCGCGCTTCGGCGCCGAGCTAGGCACCAGTGCACTCTCCACGCACTCGACGTCAACACGTTTCTTGCCCTTCGACAGTGACGAACCCTCTGCGGTCGAAGAACCCAGCTCCGCCAGTAGCATCTCGCCGATGAGCACGTCGTACATTCCCGCGAGCCTCATCCACTCCCTCGATGGAGGGGCAGGCTACGACAACGTGGGCCTCGCACGCTCGTTCCAGTCCGAAGACGACGCGATCCTGTCGCGCGACTGGCGCAAGATGGCTCCCTTCCCCGCGCCTCCGCCCGTCGAAAGCCCTGCTGTAGCTGCCGTCCCGGGCACCTACACGACCTCCCCTCAACCCTCACTCACCCTGCATTCGACGCCGTCGACAAGGAAGACCCGTTCGAGGTCCGTGCGCCTCCGCAGCCGCACCGTCGGGAGCGCATGGACCTCCAACGCGCAACCTTCCCGCCCACCCGCACGAGCACGGACCCGCCCAATCTGCACAACGCCGACGCAGCCGCAGACAAGACGGTGATCGCACACCGGCGGTGGGCGTCGCAGCAGGAGGCCAGCAAGGATCGCAAAGGGCTCAACCCGGAGGCGAAGGTGTTCTCACTCACCCGGAAGTCGCTCTTCTCCGCCCCGAACTCGGCCCAAGTGCCCCCCTCGCCGTTCGACTACGACCCCGCGGACCGGCGCCCGCCGCGCTCGCCCCGCCCGCGCCGACCGCACACCTCGCCGTGCCCGACGAGAACGTGTTCTCCTCGATCTCGATGCGCGCGTTCGCGCCGTCGCCCGCGGAGCGCGAGGCGCTGCAGCGCGCGCTCAGCGGCTCGTCGAACACGTCCCTCGAGCGCCTCCCCACGCTGTCGGAGGTCGCCGCGGTGCCCCCCTCGCTGCCCGCGTCGCCCGCGGCGGCGCACACGCTCGCGGCGGCGCCCGTCGTGAGCGGGCGCATGCTGCTCGGCGGGCCGGCGCTGTCGTGGCTGTCGCTCCCCGGGTGCGGAAGCCGAAGTTCAGCCCGTGGGAGGACGAGGAGCCGGGGCGGGACGCGGGGCTCGGACGCGGGTTGTAGGGGGGTGCGGAGAAAGGAGGGAGGGAGAGAGGGAGGGTCGAACGTGGAGCGGACTATCTATTGCGTCGTGTCGCCACCGTCGCGTCGTGCGTGCAGAAGTGCGGGAGTGTGCTAGAAACGAAGAAAGTTGGTGGGGGAGCGAGCGGGCGAGTATATAGCGCGAGCGACGCACATGTTTTGTAGCAGCGCGGTAACGAACCCGAATGACACAACAATAATTCTCGGCTGTCTCCCCCGGGGCGTGTTTGCGGTGGATCGATGCCCGGCCGTTCGAGAGTGAGGAGCTGGATCCAGGGGATTGGCTGGAAGCAACTGGTCCGTCGCAGACGAGCCTCAGCGGCGGTGGGGGTCGAGGTATGTAGATAAGCCACAGGGTTCATGTGCTATGTGGGTAATCCGCCTTTATACTCCCCGGCGCCGTCTCGGCAGCCTGTCCGAACGGCAAATGCGCAGTGAGGGTTTACGCTTTTTATACTGGGCAAGAGCCATATGACGTGCGCCCACGCGGCGGGGCGGTGTATGTAAGACGGTCTTCTCGGGGACGTACCATGTACATGATGAGGGAATGAGGAGATAGATTTGGTGGACGTGGGCCCTCCGCCCGCATCGTCCTGTACGACGATGTGCGGTCGTTGCCGAGCTGGTATCATCAGACACTTCCAGGCGCTCACATCGCTGCGCGGCGGGGTGCACCGTAGCGTGGACGACCTTCGGCGTGAAGCTCGAGTGGCTGGAATCGTGGACATGCATGCCGGGGGCGTCATCGCTGTGGATTTCCAGCCTTTCCTTCCGAGGAGACACCCGCGCGAAGACACCCCCTTCACTCGCGCGGCCGCGAAACCACGGTCGACCCAGGGAGTCACGGATACACTGCACGGGCACGAGTCACAGTTGGCGCATGGAAATATTGGCCATATATGACAGGTTGTATCGTCGAGATGTCTGTGTGTGAGGAAGAACGTCCTATAGCTAATTATGGGGGCGTAGAATGTAGCCACGAGGGAGGATCTTGTGAGGATGCATCGAGCGGGATTCGAACCCCCTGTGTGAGGACCGAGTATTAGATAATCTGATCACGAGACCAAGTCGCGTTCCCACTGCACGCTGCCGCAGGCTTCCTGTACGTCTGTCACTCACCCCTCACCATGCCTCCCCGCAAGAAGCAACGCGTCGATGCAACCACTCCTTTGAGGCGCAGCCCACGTACAACGTTCACTCCTACGAAGCCATTTCCGACTGCCCCACGACGCCGTAATGTTCGGGGCGTATTGAAGGATATGCTCAAGATGCCGTTGGACATTCTGTTTGAGGTGAGTTGACTTGCCTTTCATTTACGATTATCGCCTTCTAACATGTCTCTCTTGTGCCAGGTCTTTGCTCTCCTCCACCCCGAAGACTTGCTACACCTTTCTCGTACCAACAAGGCGTTCCGGCAGCTCTTGCTGGACCCAGCCGCGGCGTCGTTCTGGAAGGCCGCGAGGTGCCGGGTGAAAGGGTTTCCAGCCCCACCCCCGCATCTCAGTGAGCCCTCGTTTGCTAGTCTTCTATTCTCCCCCTGCTGTCGCGTGAGTGGTCGTCGCCCCCGTTCAGCGTGACTGCGATTCACACGAACACGCAGGCGTGCGGAAAGCCTGGAGAGTTCCCCGTACTGGTAGAGCTCTTCACAAGATATTGCACCGAGTGTGAGGAGCGATGGTGCGTTTCCGATTGGCCTTCTCGCACGCTCCAAGCCAATCTCCTCCAGTCTCGTCCGAGCGGCTCGCTCCCAGCTTCCCGACGAGCGTTTTTCCGTCCGCAAGTGGGTGAACACCGTCCGTACAGAGTACGTATATTGTTTCTGGTCCAAGGTCTCCCGATTCTGGCTGACTCTGGTCATTTCAGCGGGTCTGGCCCGAAGTATCGGATGCTTCTCGCGGAAGCGGAGCATATCAAGCGTCGATGGGCGAATTTGAGCTGTGAAGATGAGAAGAAAGAATACCTCGCTGAGCGTATCGCGTTCGTCGTGCAATGTCGGGAGGTGAGCGACAATATGTTGTATCAACAACCCATGGCTCATATCGGTACGATGAATAGCATGCAAGTGCTCTCCGGAGTTGGTTGGATGCAGTCGAGCTGACCAAGATAGCTGAGCGGAGCGCTCTAAAAGCCGAACGATATGATGAGTAGGACCCTTGTCAGGTTCCTGTCTTCATCGCGGTTGTCTGATACCATGACCATTCAGCATAATGCAGCGACTCCGTAACGACGGCTGGGGCGACGATCTCGACGCCCTCGAATGGAATACCAGGTGCGCTCTTGTCCAGCTTTTTGGAGTTGGAATCATAGGGAAATTAAAAAATGAGAGAGGTACAAATACTCCTCGTTCTGCCCATGATTGCCTCTTTTCTCATCACTGCACCAGAATGGCAGGCGATCCGCAAGAGAGCGATCAAAATATTGGAACCTCACCGCGAGAAGAGGTTGAGAGACAAGGAGGACAAGCGGATTCGATCGAACCTCATCCGTCTGCGTAAGATCGTCAAGCAATATCAGCAGTCGGTATGGGCACCACAAGCTGGTCTCCGATTCTTCCCAGGTTTTTTCGAGCTTGCGACCGTTCCCGCGATTTGCTCGTTTGTGCGGCAGAATCCTTCATTCGACGCTGGTGATCTGGCCACAGAACAAGAAGTGGCATCGCTACTACCAGGTCTACACAAGCGACTCGCGGCTCATGCCACTAGTACCCTTGCACACATGGTCCACAAGGCTCTTGGTACAGACCCAGCAACACACTCAGATGTGAAGATTCTGCAGCTCGCGACTTCCTGCTTCCAGTGCAAAACGTGCGTCGGGAAACAACTATTCCGTTGGAAGGACCTTCTTCGACACAGCTGTTCGAAACGAAGCCTCCACAACGTCTCCGAGAGCGGTTGCATGAAGTGCGAATACGCGTTCAACGTCGAATCTGTCCGCACTCACTTCATCCGAGGGGTCACAAGTCGGCGAATGATCGTCGCGAGCTACGGTCTCAACCCCGACCGCGCGACATTCACGGACATGGATGGCTGCGGTGTCCGTCTGCGGTGCAAGCTGTGCCGCGCCCATCCAGACAAGCTGGAGGTGTTCGATTGGGAGGGTGCGGTGAGTGCCAGGATTTGCCGTCCAGGTTCTCACATTCTGACGCGTCGCAGATCCTGCACGACGTGGCTCGGCATCACAGGTCCTTGGACGACGACACCTCGCACTGGGAGCCCGTTGCGGCCGAACAGGCAACACGGGTGTGCGAACTTCAAGACGCCTACATGCGGGGCCTTTCCGCTACTTCCACTGGCCGTCATGCCTGCACCTGGTGCGGCCGTCATACGTATCGCGATTCCGGGCCCCGGCATGATCGCGACGAGCAAATGACACTGGTTGAGGTCAAGAAGCACCTGCTGGCCGAGTGAGTCGTTTTCCTCCAGGGCCCCCACAGAGATTCTCACGTCTTGATCTAGGCACGGCCGGGGCGATGTGGCAGAGGAGTTGACTATGTTGTTGACTACGAACCAAAGCCCGCGATTACCATGTTCAAACCGAAACTATCGAAGAATTGGCAGGCCACGGAGTTAGTTCAGGATGGACTTGGGTTCTTCATCGATTTCTGAACGGCATAGCCTTCTTCACGTTGTTGAAGTAGAATATAGCATGTCATTGGATGTCTTTTCGAAGTTGTCACTCATTGTCTTGCCATAAGAAAATCACACCTGATAAGATAAACGGTCACGAGACCGCGCCACTTTCTGGCGACGCGTCAGAGACGCCAGTCATTTGCTTCTTCCCATTCCCCCTCTCTTCGGACGTCAGATAAGATGCCTCCTCGGAAAAAGCTGAAGAACGACTCGAACAAAACTGTGGAAGATGCCTCAGAAGCTGCTGGGACACAGGACACGACGCCGGCTCCGCGTCGCGGCGTTCGGGGGCGGCGAGGGGGACTGAAGGACATGCCCAACATGCCCCTAGACATCCTCTTCGAGGTACGCTCCCCCCTCTGTCTCTCAAATACGGCACACCGATGAAGGGCCGCGGCGTCTCAGATCTTTAGTGTCCTCCACCCCAAGGACCTGCTGCACCTGTCGCGGGCGAGCAAGGCGTTCCGACGCCTCCTGCTCGCTCCCAGCACGGTGCCGTGCTGGAAAGAGGCGCGTTCGCGTCAAGAGAACCTCCCTGCCCCTCCCCCGCATATGTCGGAACCTGCGTGGGCGAGCCTGCTGTTCTCGAACCATTGCCACGTGCGTTCCACTGTGTTGCACCCAGATTACCCCCATCTGACGACAACTATGCAGGGCTGTGGTAAGACGGGGAACTTCACGATTCTCTTCGACCGCTTGTGAGGTACTGCAATCATTGCAAGAGCTCGAAGTATGCTCGCTTCGTTGATCATGAGGGCGTCGGTACTCACGTATCTGCAGCTTCACTGCTTACGAGAGTTCGCTTCCGATAGTGCAATACGGTACTAGAGGTCCGTGCCGGATTTCTCGTTTTATAACCAGTATCGAGGTTGCCGCAAAGTAAGTGCGCGAATGAGGTATCTGACGCGGCATTCTTGATGATGGGTTATATCCATTGCAGGCGTCGTTCCACAACTCAGTGGCATGTACCCGAGGCCAAGGACATTGAGACACAGTGCAAAGGTCTGTCCGAGAAAAAGATCAGTAAGCTTCTCGATGTTAGGAGTATTCGCATGAGAGACACTCGGAAAGTACGTCTTACCTGCTCTTATGAATAATCCCTATTCTAAGCTGCTGGCGACGGTCTTCTCGTACGCAGTGCGCGGCTGTTCTTAGGCGTTGGCACGCCGGCGAGCAGAAGAACAAAGGAGATGAAAGGATCGCCTTGAAGAACGAACGGTTTCAGTCGTACGTGAACCGTTTACTTGGATTGAATGCCGAGCTCAGAGGGAGTGTCCACAGCGTGCAGCAATGGCTGCGTGAGGACGGGTGGGGTGATGCGCTTGACATCTTGAATGACAACGAGCTAGAGGCCCTCGCAGCCGTGCGAGAAGTAGATAAACCGAAGAAGCTGGACAGCAGGAGAGGTAAGTTTATATCACATGTTCCAGCTCCGGATACTTACTTGCGTTGATCCGCCACAAGGTTGGAATGCTATCAAAGATGAAGTGGTGAACAGCCTTGAGAACCTCAAGCGGCAGCATCTGCGCCGAGAGTTCAATATCAAGATAGCGCCGCGCTTCGGCGTTCTGCACAGTGCACTCGTGCGCTACCGACGGTCCCGCTGGGCGCCGGGAGCGGGTACCCAGCTTATTGGTAGCTTCGCGGACTACGTCATTATGCCAAAGCTGCGCGCATTCCTCGAAGATGACTCCCACTTTCAGGACGGCGCGCCATGCGTAGAAGATGTACTGCTCACTCTGTTGCAGCCGTTGACCGAACAGTGGGTTACAGAAGTCAAAGACGGGCTCGTCAAGCGAGCATTGGCAGCGCTCGGTGATAGCCACCACTCAGTGCGCCCTGACAATGCAATCGAGCTCGCCATATTCGTCCTGTACTGCCCTCAAGTTGAACGCCACTGTCGCTGGGAAGAGGCGATTATTCACCGACCCTGTGTGGTGAGAAATCTCGAGTGGGTGAAGGACGACTATACGAAAGAAGCCCAACATTTCCTCAATACCATGAACCATGAAACCTCCAATCACTTCGAACGAGCCGTCGACCTTACCGCGTCTCAAGCTCGCTATGCAGAACAGCTTGAGTCCAGACGTGCGGTCGTCGCTGCATCCGGGCTTGACCCCGATACCGCGACAGTCGCAGACATGGATGCCTGCGGCGCACGGCTATACTGTATGCTGTGTGCCCGTGTCGTCGAGTGGGAGGTCCTCGACTGGAAGGCGGCGGTGAGTACCCTTGCTGCCTTCGTTGTCCCCAGGCAACTCAGACGAGTGTTGCGATTCCTACAATTTGATCTAGATGTATCACGATAGATCGAACCATCACACAGTATCTCAGATTGCGGTTTGCCACTGGCGGCGTGTCGCAGACGAGCATGCGGCGACTGTGCGTGCTCTCCAGGACGCACGTCTTCAACTACCCACCCCTCATCCGGGATGGGACTGCACCTGGTGCGGGACGACTTCTACGAACTATATCGACAAGCACTTCAAGGACTAGTAAGTTCTCCAGTCTACGTCCCGTCTCGGTGCTCACTGCTTCTACAGCCACAAGAAGGAAGACGCGAAAGAAGGGGTAGACTACGTGCTCAGCAAGCGGCCGATGCCCGCTATCACAATGTTTCATCCCATGCTCTCCGAGACCCCCAAGTGCGTTGCGAAAGTCGAGGAAGGTCTTGGGTTGTTCGCCGAGATGTAGAGCGCTGCCACCTTGCGTAATTTCAGTACACTCATCATCGACGACTTTAATGAACATTATAATGCGTGCATAGATAAACGGGATGCGCTCCTGCGAATACTCAAGCCGTCACTACTCGAATACTCGAGCGGCCGCTCCCCGAACCGCTCCGCGTTCAACTCGCGCACCGCCCGCCGCAGGCCCTGCATCTCACGTACGGAAAGTTCCCAGAAAAGAGGTGAAGATGAAGAGAGAGGCCGCGTGCTGCTAGCCCATGTTTGCATGGGAAGCCTTGGGCGAGCAGAACTCGGGTTGTGGAGATTGAAGCCACGATGAGGCACGGGAGCGAGAACCAGCGCATTGGGCAAGGAGGCGTGGCAGCCGGCTCTCCACAACGAGTGAACGCTCTTCATGATACCGAAGAAGGGAGACTGCGTCGGCGACATGCCAGGAAGGATGCGCCCATATCCGCCCAAAAGACCTGGAACAGCCTGGAACACGTACGGTCTCCTCAGAGCGGGTGTCCAGCGCCCTCCAGCGCCCCAGCCCGCTCTAAGCGTCTGTGCCTGTGAACGATCTACCCGGCCGGAGGTTCTTGAGCGGCTCTTCTTCTTTTCCATCATATTGTGCGCACAACGCCTCCCAAAGACTCCTAATGAAGAGATGTCCTTGGGCGGCATTGCGTGATCGCTGGAACGAGCAACGCTCCCGGCGCTTCAGCGCCAGCCCTGGCGCCCGCGACTTGTCGCTTTCAACCTTAAGCTTGTTCCCATCTTCCACTCTGTCCTGCCTCACCACCACCATCACCTCCCCGTCCGCCTAGCCGTGTGCGTTTGAGGACAAGAGCCATCTGCTTCAAAGGTGCACTGCCATTGATTGCAAATTCACCGGCCAAGAGACAACGGTCTGTCAATTGCGGTTTAAACGCGCTCAAGAACCGCGCTTCTTTTGTTCTCGCGGACAGATGGCAAAGCCACCGGCCAATGTGTCCGCCCCTCGCCGAGGGATCGACCACCCGCAGCCGTCCTCCGAGATCCTCGGAGCTTTCACACATTCACCGCGATGAAATTCAAGCTTGGACTGATTGCATATCGATCTCCCCGAGGCGCATATAGCCAGTCTAGCGTCCACGCCCCAAAGCCCCCGCAATCTCTCCCATATGCCCTCTCTCTTCAAAAAACACAAGGACAGCCCTTCCGAGCCCCCGAATGGAGATGATAAAGCGCTCCCGCAAATTGCCGTGGTCGGCGCAGTGGAACTCGTTGGATCTATAGCTGAAGACGAGGACGCACGGATCGCTCGAAGCCAGCTTGAAGCCTCACAAGCTCTCGGAAATGCGATCGCCGGCAGTAAGAAGTACGTCGGTTCCACCATGCGTCAGGTCTTGAACAATTCGGGTATGTCTGGGACGGTCGACGATCCTACATCCTGACATTCATCGGGCCAACAGGAAATCTCGTGGCTGGCATACAGTTGATTCAAACCGACTTCACATCTGCCCAGACCATTGTAGCACCTCTGAACAGCGCTATCGGGGATAGCGAAGCGATGAAAGTAGTTCGTGCGGGCCTCAACACTCTCGCTGACAAACTTCCCGCGCTCCTCAAGAACTTGGACGCGGTGGCCCAGATCCACCCGTTTATTGGCGGTACGCTTCTCGTTCACTCCGGCACAGACAAATATCTCATTGCCTCTTTATAGTCGCTGTTGGTGCATTTAAAGTCGTGGTCAACCTGGATCTTAAGCGTCGAGACAATGACAAAAAAGTGGATGTACTGTTTTCGGAGATGAAGGACATGATGGAAGTCCTTCTCCAGTACGTCCTACCGTCCTACCATCCTCTGCGTGCTATGCCCACGTCCCTCCGTGTACAGGCTAGGCGAGATTAAGGGTCCAACCCTCATCGCTCCCGACGGCAAGACAATCGAGGCGCGCCTCCAGGGTCTCGTCATCAAGACCGCCGACGACATCAAAGCCTGCGCTAACACTTGCGACGTTTATTCGAAGAAGAAGCTCATAGTCAAGGTCATCAAGAGCTCCTCGTGGGACGGCGCGCTCAAGGCGTACGTTGACAAGTTCTCCGCCCGTCGGAAGGAGTTCACCTTCGAGCTCGCCATGCACACCGGCGCCGGGATCGACGACGCGAACCGTCGTCTACGGGACCTCGACGCGAAGCTCGACATCGTCCTCGAGTTCTTCACACGCGCGGTGTCCCCGGAGCAGCGTGAGCTCGCCGACCTCGTCAAACAGCGCGGGGGTCCTGCAGCCGTCGTGCGTAACAACTCGGCGCTTAAAGAGCTCGTGCACTTCAAGCCGTCCGTGGCGTCCGCGGCAGGAAAGCGTGACCGCGAAGTCTTGGAGGAGCACAGCAGTCATGTCACCGGAGACGAGAATGCGGATCTGGAGGCACTCCGCGAGGAGTGCGAGAAGAGCCTCGAGGAGGACATCGTGGACAACCTCAAGCAATTCGAGCGCAAGTTCTTGATGCAGCAACGCGCTCTAGTGGAGGAAATGCGGGGCATGGTCCACCATGAAACCGACCGGGCGATTGACGCGATGACTGATGTCATAAATGCGGGTTCCCATGACAGGATCATTGACTCCGTACGTGTACTCTGTTCGAACACATTGCGTGTATCTTATCAATCGCAGGACATCCACACGATCTGGAAAGATATGGTAACTCTCGGGTTGCATTGTACAGTCCGTTCACAAACTGATCGTGTGGATATAGCGCTGGCCAGGCCATGTCAAAGCCCGCCAATTCGTGCTCGCACTCAAGGATTACTATGCTCAACAATCGGAGAAGAACGAGCATGGCAAGCTGGAAGAGGAGAAGAAGGCACGGATCGTCAACGAAGATCACTGGGCATTCGAATGGATCACGGTGAACCGGCTCCAAGCGATATCGGAAGCGTTTGACGACGACGCTTCTGGCTATATCACCATTGCCGAAATCAACCATTTCACGTCGTCACGGCCGGAGGGATGGAGGTACGTCCACTTCTTCCCAACGAAGTCCATCGATGCTCAATTCGAATGCAGTCTTCCTCACTGGATTGCTTACTGGGCAATCGGTAGCGTCATTTCTTCTGTGTCGCGACCGTTATATCTGACGCGTACTGCCAGGGTGGCAAACGACAACCTGCTATTATCGAGGAAAGATCGTTGATCTATGTGCAAAGATGTTTGACATTCGCCCGTTTGTCCTCGAAGCGAACCGAAAATTCCTTGATGACTACCTCCACACTGTCTGGAAGCAAGTCTCAACTTTGACCTCTGCGGTGGTCGTCACCGATCAACCCGATAGCCTTAAGCAACGCTTCCAGAGCTATGTTGACTCGGAAGAACACCGTCTCCGAGAGGGCCTGGAGATATGCCGGTACGATATCGACGCAATGGACACTTTGACTTTGATCACGGGGCCCGGTAGGATCGAACGCGTATGCATTTGGGGTCTTATCACTCGTCTCTGATACTGATATCAACCTGATAGTTCGTCATGCCTCTGCTGTATTTGCTGCTCAGCAAGGACTGGGAAATTTTCCAGCTCTGCAGGACGACAGTGATCCATAAGGATGAGCTGTTCGACGCCGCCGATACTATGGTTTTGTTTTCGACGCGGTCCAGGCGCGGTACAACAACCTACTAGGTGCGTTGCCAAACTATATGCACTTACATTCTTAGTCTGACTCCGTTCGTCCAGCAATATTCAAGCAGCAGCAGATGGACCTTGCCCAGGCGTTCAAGAGCTGGGCGGGCGAACTGGTTCGTCGTTGTTCGTGGTCATTCTGTTCTGCTTTCTCATGCGAAAGTTCAGTTTGACTACTGGCATGACGGTTCGAAGTTCTGGTCCATTGAGGGCCTGCGAGAACGCGAATTTCGCGAGATCCAGTATGACAACACGCAGCCGCTGCCAGAGCTAGATGTTGCGAAACTCCTCAACTACCCACTGGCTGCGGACTCTCTTTATGGTCCACTCCCGGAAGATGCTCCGACAGAGCACGATGCAGCAGCTGATGACCATGTCAGCCCAATGTGAGCACGCCTCAGTGTTTATCTCTGCATATTCGTTGACGTGGTCGCGTGCGCAGCCTAGGGCGGTGGAATATGCTTGCGGGGAGCGAAGAACGCTGGCCTGTAACCTCAATGACCACCTTCTGCTTCCACGCATCCGTCGACTCCAACTCGTACTCCGGGAAAGACATTGGCGCGCAGGGCAGTTCGTTCACCGTCTCTGGCAGCTACAAGACGACAGATGACGGGACCATCGAGTACTCATTCACACGTACGTACACCGCTCGCATCACGGCGACCTTCTTCGTCGGGACCCTCTCCGACGATGGTCAGACGCTCTCGGGGGCTGGGGTTATGACGCACTCGACCTTTCCTACATTTTCCTCTGCAAGCGCGTTGCCCCCGAGATTCTCGCCGCACGTCCTCCTCCCTCCGCGTTCACTGGTGACAGGATCAAGGCACTATGGACCTACGCCCTCACGTATGGCCGCGACGAGGCGCGCCGACGGCTCTTCTCGTGGTCGTACATCAAGGAGCGCCGGGACCGGCGCGAGCAGTACGTGATGCTGTCGCACCGAGAGGACGACGACGCGCTCACGAAGGACGACCTCGATACATTCGAGCTCCTCGACCGGCGTTCGACCTGCGCGGAGGCACGGGCCTTCTATGTGCTCCGCGACTACCGCCAGCGCGCAAACTATCGGAACATGTACGTCGTTTCTCACTCTGTATACTGGACCTCGCTCATCGCTTCGTATAGTGACGTCGTCTGCGACGCCTGCGGGGAAAACATGTACGGCGCGCGCATGGTATGCATCACCTGTGGCACGGATGCCACGATCGACCTCTGCGGCGACAAGCCCACGTGCGTCGGCAAGCGCATCGAGGTCGCCGCGCGCGACGACCTCAAGGGCCCGCATCTCCCCGCGCACGACCTCGTGAAGATCCGCGCGAACATCCACTACTATCGCGAGATCGGGCGAGTGCTCCGCGCGGCGAAGGCGGGCATGGCGCGCGCGGACGAGCTACTAGACGCGGCAGCCGCGAAGAAGAGCGCCGCGGAGAAGCAGCCAACTACTCCGAAAGAGGGCGCGTTCGATATCCACGAAAGGAAGCAGCAAGCCGAGAGCGTCAGCGGCGAGCCCGAGGGTATGGACGACGAGAAGAATGCGGAGGAGCCTGCGTGCCGGGCGCCTCTGAACTGCCGACTACCACCGCCACCGCCAGGCCTGCGCCGCTCAAACACAAGCACACCCTGGACGTGGGGAAAGACGCTCCCTCAGTGGAGAGCGGCCCGCAGAACTCGTGTGCGTATCGTGCGCGGCTTCGTCGCGCGCCCGTGCTGGTACTGCACCGATTGCCCCAGTGAGCACGCTTCTCATCGCATCTACCTCCTTGCCCGGCGTTCTGACCCTCGCGATCTCCCAGCCGACGCGGCGCCGTTCCTCTGCATGGAGTGCGACGAGCGCGAGAAGGGCGTCGCGGTGCAGACGCACATCGCGCCGCGGAACCTCGAGGGCAGGCACCGCCCGTCGCACAACCTCGTGCGCTGCATCGACCGCGCGCTCGTCGCCGCGGACGAGAAGGTCGAGGAGGAGCGGGAGACGAAGGCGAGGCTCGGCGCGCTCGAGACGCAGGTCGCGGGGCTCACGGCGAAGATAGAGCAGCTGCTGCTTGCGATCGCGGCAGACAGGGGCGGCCGTGTCGTGGATGCGGTACCTTCGTGAACGGCCAGGTGGACGGACATATGGACAGCGAAGACTTGTAGTTTATGTATTTGATCTTTTTCACAATGGCCTCTTATCAGACGGAGAGGCATTCGATGAAGGTCAACACCGGCGTACCGTATGTCTTTGAACTGCGTGCGCTAGTCACATTCTCAGCCTCATGGGCTCAACATCGCTGCATAGTACCCAAACGCCTCACCGAATGTGGACATCACTTGCAGATACCAGTGTATTGGCGCCGTGGTGGCATGACGGAAGATCGTGTTGCGGAAGGGTAAAGAAAACGCTATGTACCTAAATAAAATCAAGCAACCGTCCGATTAACATGTATATACCGTAAAACAACAGGGACATGGGGTATGAATATATGACCCCCGCCCGATCCGCCCGCCAAGCTCACGAGTACTCTGGCGGCGCGTCCATCCGCCGCTCGACCGCGATCTCCTGCATCACCCGCCGGAGGTCCTGCACCTCCCCGCGGAGCGCCACGACCTCGGTCATCGACAGCGACATCGCGTTCGACGGCGCGACCGACGGGCTCCCGCTGAACACCGAGCCCCCGTCCTGTTCCCCGCGCCCGCGCCCGATCAGGCCCTGCGGCGAGAACGCGAGCGAGCCGGACACGGACGGGTCGTGCGACGACTCCCCGACGCTGTCCCGCCGGTACCCGTCGTGCGCGCTCGGATGCGGGCTGGGGCGGGGCGGGTACGTGACGGGGGCGAGCCCCGCTTCCTGCGCCTTCGTCAGCCGCGGGGGCGGGGGCGGCGTCCTTGGCGGTGTGTCCGCGTCGACGAGGTGCCAGTTCGAGTCCGCCGCGCCGGCCGTGGCCGCGGTCCCCACGGTGCCGTAGTTCAGCCTCGGGACGTGGCCGTGCCTTTGCCCGTTTGCATATCCGGAGGTCGTGGCGGACGTGGCGGAGTTGGGGTCGTCGGAGTAGCCGACCGGATACGGCTGGTCCACCTGCCCGGCGGTGGGGCCGTCGAGGTCCTCGCGAGAGCGCTCGTAGCGGTTCTGGGTGCGGCGGTAGTAGATGGCAGCGCCGATGGCGATGGCGATGATGACGATGCCGCCGACGACACCACCGACAATGGCGCCAACGGGTGTGGATGAATCTTCGTTGCTGTTCTTCGGGCCGTTCGGATCGGAACTGCTAGGGTCGGAGCCTGGGCCGCTAGGGGACGTCAGGCTGATGGACTTGTTCTGCAGACTGAATGTCCAGGTCAGCGATTGGGGGTCCTTCCTTGATATTGCTCGATACGTACGTCAGCGCAAGGTGTGAGTACAAGCCACCGAGGCTAGGTCTGTAAGCCCGTTTGCCGCGTTAGAGACCAAAGCAGTAGAAGCAATCAGAGGCGTACCCTGCAGTTCCGTCAATCACGGCGCCATTGGCATCGTTGTAGTGGTCCATGAATGAACTCCTCGTGAGGTTGCTGTTCGCGCGCGCGTACGCTCCGTCGGTGAGTTTGTCGCGCACACCGTTGTCCGTCAGCGTCGCCGCAGTGAAGAGAAGCCAGGCTGGTGGCGCTATTATCAGTGGGATCCGCGGGTACAGCTCTGCCGTACTAACCCATGCTCGTGGTTTGCCCGGAGGCGCTGTCGATAGGCAGGCCAAACATCGGGGCTAAGAGTTGCGTCAATTGACTAACGGTTGATTTAGCCAACGAGAGCACTCACCAGCATTCAACTGACCACTGAGATATTGGGTCTGATCTTGACGGACCTAGAGTAACCCATTTTGTTCACAATGTAAATAAAAACTCACGATGGCGGCGACGTACCGAGGAAGGAACAAGATTGGTGCCCATGAGCAGGTCAGCGTACAGGTTGTACCCGAGCGACCAGGAGTTTGCATCGCCGTAGGTCGCGGAAATTCGTGCATTTCCCGATATCACGGCCAGTGACTGCCAGGCGTTGATGAGAGTCGAGGCTTGATTCTACCAATAGATCGTCAATCTACATGAGGGTCACGCAGCAGCGTCACACCCAAAATCACACTCACGCTGTACGTCTGGGTGTCAGCATCATTGCCCACGGTACGGCTGATCTCTGCCATTGCCTGGATGCCGATAATGCCCTTGAGTGCGAGGTTAGAGTTGTTGGAGCTCGACATGCCGTCCGCAGTTGTCCTGATGACGCATTAGCCAACAAGGTGACCCCAACCGGGAAGGAGAAACGCACTGAGAGACCGGAGTAAGCGCGTTCTGCACCAGGTAGTCAGCCCAGCGCTTTGCTGTGGCGTACTGCGAACGATGTGATTACTTGGATATAATGAAGCATGTGAACACGTACGTGCTGGGCAAGAAGGGTACCATCACCAGAGAAACGTGCGTGCGAGTACATCATAATCAACATGTTTCCAGACTCTGCAAAAACGTGAGTCATCTGAACCTTGTGAAGACAGAACGACTTACGCTCAACTCCTTGTTCGATCGGCGCACCGCGAGCCCCAGTGGCAACAGGAAAGTTGGAGCCTGCCTCCAATGAGCACATAGACACCACTGAAGTCACAGCACTGCGTACCAAGATCGGGCGCGGCGAAAGCCTGTCCGGTAAGTGGGTCTTGTGACTCAAGCAGAGGCCGCAACATCGCCGAGCAGAAAGAAGCATTCAAATAGAGGTATCCAGGCCAAGCGGCGTAGAGCTTCTCAACAGGGTTGGCGCGCCTGCGGTGCCCTGATGAGTGACAAACGTTTCATGAGAATCGGCACGACGCACCGACTCGTGCCCACGTCCTTGACGAAGATTTGCACATCTGAGGCGTTCGGCTTGTTTTGCGAATCCACCCCGACGGTAATGTCCATCGAACCAACAATTTGGCGAGTGCCCTGAGCGACCAGCTGGGCATAGTGAGGCGAGATGTTGTTGGCGGCGGCCAGGATGCTGCTATCGAGGGCCTTTGCATTGTCTAGGGCTGCTGAATAGCCCCCAGTCATTGCATCGATCTGATTGGCGTCCTTCGGTAAATCTCTATCCTTGTGTTATGGATTGGCAGACTTACCCCGCTCGAGATGTCGGAATACTGGGTGAAGAAATATGGTCGCCGGTTCTGGACTTCGCCCAAGAACGTGGTGTACTGCACGACAGGATCTCGGACGACGCCCACGGTCCATGCCACAGGGCTGCTGCTGGACTGGACACTGCCGAGGTCCACTGCGAGCCCCGCCACATAAAAATCCCTGCGAACGTTCGATGAGCCATGAACGGGATGGTTTGAAGGTTCATTGTCTCACGGGCTTATGGGCCCATTGGCCGCTGGATCGCGCGTATTCGTGAGCGCCCCGTTCGTCACGAACTGCCCACGAGTGTCTCGAGCGATTTGCCATGTCGCACCGGGGACCTGTATATGCACGACCGTCAGTACAATGACAGTAAAAAGTTGAATCCTGCGGCTTACAGTGTGAATGGCGTAGTAGACCTTCGCGTCGTTGGCTTGATTAAAGATCTCCACGTTCGCCTGAGGGGTCTGCAGTTCGATCTCATGATAGATACTAGAGGCCGTGGTGACTTGGTTCCAGTTCACATTCGCTGTGCGATTACCACTGACCAACTCTGGACGGAACGATGAGCGCCGTGAGAGGTCTCATGGTACAACACATACCGGCAGAAATGTCGGAGTACAACTGGACATCATGGGCTTTGCCATCGGTCGCGGTGAACTCGACGGCGACGTACGAAAAGGGGAGTGACTGCTTGACCCAATCGTCGGGCTACCCAACGCCACAAATAAGCGCCCATACACAGTCTCCGTACGCCACTAGCACAAACCTCGATCGGGGAGAGGAAGGTGACGGTGACGTTCAACGGGCCGGCGGTCATGACGAAGAGGGAGCGCGTGGGGGTGACCTCTATATTCGTGACCGTCGCGGTGCTGACGGCCGATGCACCGAGAAAACTGAAGGCGACGCCATCGACCCGAATGAACCCGAGCCAACCGATGATCGACTACTCGCGCGTTTGTATGCGGCTGGAATGCAGGAGAGTGGCTGGACGACGCACCTGCTGTCCGAAGAAGTAGGGCCATGATTGCGGGAGAGGTGTGCTACCGTTCACGGCCGGGAGCCAGATCTGGAGATATGGCGAGCGGACGGAGAGCGGGATGCTGGCGGGGAAGAAGGTCTGCTGCGCGGCTGTGAGCGAAGAGAGAGAAAGAAGGAGCGTGGACCATAGCGTGAGGGGCAGCATGGGGAAGGGGAGAAGAGAGCGCATACAGCCGGCTCGTGGCGGGCAGGAGGAAGGAGCGCAGGGGAGCGCGCACACGGAAAGTCTACCTTCTCGGGGTGCTGATGTCCACCGTCTAGATCGCAGCTGGCTTTCCTGGACCAATTCTGTGCTACGTCACGAGTGTAGTCCTGGCAGTCGTCGGCCGCGACGACTCGCCGCGCACTCGTCCGTCCAAAACAATGGTCAGATTACGATATCCGTCCACGGTGAATACTTCGCTACTTGCAGCTTCAGCAAGACTGTCTCATGCGAAGCTCGCGACGCACCGATAGAGACGGAGGTGGCACCTTTGTTCCACGCCGTTGCACAGCCAGCAGGAGGCGGGACACCTTTGCCGCCCGCGGATGCAATGACATCAATGTTTCGACCACAAAACGCTCGACTTATACTTATCACACTTGTCAAGCACGGTCCTTCCGTTATGGACATGAACATTGTGCTGCTTCATTCACCAGCACCCATGATGCGACTCAGCAATGGCCAGGTTTGCTCGGCCCTCCCAGAGCACGGCGCAAGTGATGATAGTCACGCCATCGTACAGATCAAAAAAGAAGCACGCAAAAGATAGAACCTCCAGCGGAGCCCAACCCACAACTAATTGAGCTCGTCCAAAGTCATGTCCTCTGGTAAGTACCCATCCATCTCTGGCACGCTCGTCAAGCCCGCCCCTCGCGAGACTGAACTGCCTGCAGAGCCCAGCTCCCCTTCGCTCCACCAAACGAGGGTGGCAGTAGCAACGAGCTCGTCGATCCTGTCGAAGCGAAAGCGGCGCTCTCCTGCTCTGATACGCTAGGAACGGCGAGCCGAGCGACCGCGTAATGGTCGTTCGGGGTTTCGCGTCCTGCGGAACAGCGACAGACTTGTAGAGACCGAGCTCCGCACGGAGGCCATCGTTGTCCACGAGCGCCAAGTCGCGGTCGCGTGTCGACGTGAGCAGTTTCTGCGCGGGGTGCCACGGTCTGTCAGACGGTAGCTAAGCAGGGCAGCATACCACACACGCACCTGCTTTGTTTCGTGCAGCTCGCGCCGGATGCGATCCACATACTGGATCCGCTGTGCAGGGTTGTTGTGTCCGACGATCTCGGCGTTGAACTTGCTCAGTCGCTTCGCCTCCTCCTCCGCGAGCTCGTTCTTCTCCACGAGAGCGTCGACCTCCGCAATGAGCGTCTCATACGCGTGCTGGTACCGCTCCGCATCCGCAAGGTCCGCACTCAGTCTGTCGTACGGGTCAGAGTAGCTCTGCAGAAGGTCGGGGACGAGAAACCGACTCACTGCTCCACCTCAGACTGAAGGAATTGCTCCGCTTGTTTCGCATGTGCCAGGGCGGCCGAGGCCCGCGTGCGACCTGCCGCTCGTGTAGCAGGCGATCCTCGACCCTCGCCACCTCCACCTGGCTCTCTGTCCGCGCACGCGCGAGCTCGTTTTGCACCGTCTCCGCCCGCGCCGCTGCTTCGGCGAGCGACGCAGTCGTGTCCGCGAGCATACGCTGGCGTCAGCTCGCTCGACTTGTGCCTGCTGAAGCTGCTCGGACAGCTGCTCGCGGATCGAGGTAGCTTCGGCGAGCTGCTGGGCATGCCGGTCGAGCTGCGAGCAGCCGTGGTGCGCTTCCTTGGAGAGGACAGAGGCGTGATAAAGGAGGGTGGAAGCCTGAACGCGATCGAGGTTGCTCCAAGCTTCGAGGTTGGCCTCAACGACACGCCGAGTCGCAACTTCAGCGTCAGGCGTTCATCACGATGGTTTGAAGGTCGAGCGTGAGGTCGGTAGCGGGTATGAAACGACGTGCTTTGCTCTTCGCGTAAGGCCAGTCGGAGTGCGTCCACGTCTTGTTGGGCCTCTCGAGCTGCTCCGCGAGGAACGCCCTCTCCTCTTTGACTTGGCGGATGAGGTGCGCGAGCTCGACGACTTGGCCATCGCTGTTGCCAAGCTTGCGCTCCAGCTGTTGTTGCGCAGCTGCAGCGCGCGACCTCGTGCTTGACCTGCTCGAAGCAGCACGGACGTCGTAGAGGCGCAAGCCGACCGTACTCCCGCACGACGCGCGAAAGGGCGTACCGGTGTTGCTCGAGTTGCTCCAGCAGCTCCTCCTCGCGTCCCCCCCCGCCCGACGCCACCCGCGCGCTCTCCGCCTCCCCGCGCGCATCCATCGCCTGCTTCTGCGCCTCCAGCACCCCTCCTCCGTCTCCCCCTTCGCCTCCTCGCCCTCTCCTCCGCCGCCTCCCTCTTCTTCCGCTCGGCGGCCAGAGCCTTCTCGAGCTCCCCGACCCGCCGCTCCCTCTCCTTCGCGTCCTCTCGCCGCCGCGCCTCCGCCTTCGCCTCGCCCAGCCGCGCGAGCAGCTGCGTCCTCTCGTGCTCGCTCGTACGGAGCTTCGCGCGGGCCTCGCGCAGCTCCGCCGTCTCGGCCGCCCCGGTGCGCTTGAGCTCCTGCACGCGTGCGTCGAGGGCGTCCGTCTGCCGCTTGAGCTTCTCTGCGCGTTCGTCTGCTCCGCCGCAGTGCGCTGCGCGCGGCTGAGCTCGAGCTTGAGCCGCTCCTGGTCGAGGTGGTGCTGCGAGCGCGAAGACTTGGTTGAGGGGAGAGGAAGGGGAGGAGGAGCGGGGACTCACGGCTTTCTTCTCTTCGACGTGTATGCGTTCTAGGTCCTCGAGTTTACGTTGTAGGACCGCTAGGCGGTCTGTTGCGGTGGTGTTGTGCGCATTTCGTGTCGGCGGCCTGTTCTGGGCACTGGGGGGTTCGGTGTCGTAGACTCCGGGGCCTGAAAGGAGGATTGAAGACGCATGCATGATGTGGCATGGGGGGAATACGCACCTGGAACATCGGAGGGCTTATCTTTGTTGAACCGATTGGTCTTCTCGAGGAATGCGCCTCGCTTGTAGGCGTCATATTCAGGGTCTGCAGACCTGGATGGTTGGTAGAACTACAATGTTGCGTAGCAAAACTGCGCACCTTGAACGTCGTATGTGCCAGGTCCTGGGACCTCGCTTGCTAGAACGATTTCAATCTGTGAGCGGGACAAGGTACGATTTGCATTACAGAGCCACATACGTTTGTTTGAAGGAAATCTAGAGCCTCTGGAGAACATGTAGAGTGCAGTGATCTGGAGGGTCCAATAAGGGTAGTGATGTCAGTGCATAGGGATGAGGGACTCGGAAGAGCAGCTGGAATTCGAACCGCGTCGCGACGCGTCTGGCTTCGTCATGTGATCGATCTCGTTCCGTCGCGCGGGCCGCCTGGTGACCCGGGACCGGCATGATTCTTTCTCTCTCTCGCCGGAAGGTCTGTGACCTGTCTAGGGGAGACTACGAGAGACAACGGTCGCAGAAAAGCACAGCGCACTTCGACGACCCACAAAATGTCTGCGTTAAAGCTTGGACAAGTGGTCATCGAACGGCGAGAGCCACTCCGAACTGGCGCAAGACGACCCTCTTCAAATGAACGCCCCTATTCAAGTTCGACGTTTCCCGGACCGACTGTTAACCGTGACTTTCCACTGCTGCAATACTCGAACTGTACCCCGATAGCCCACCTCTTCAACTGAAGTCCGCACCCTTGGAAACTGACACTCATGGCATTTTCTTCGACACCCATCCACCTTCGATCATCACCCAGTCGCCTCTACATCACCGACATCCAGTCGATTTCGTCCAACCACGACGCTTCAGAAGACTGCGTCACAGAGGACATGGATGTTTTGGGTGCCTCGTAAGTCTACTGCATTCCTTCACTTGCCGCATATGTTCTTAGCCCGACTACGCTCGCAGACTCCATCGTCTTAATGACGATGTGCTACTGGTGCTCATCCACATCCTTCATACTCACCTCTTTTGCGCTCTCATGTCGCTCTCCTGGACGTGCAAACGCCTGCGAGCGCTGTCCGCTTCTGCGCTTTTCTCTCGCTCCCACACCAAGCTCAGGACCCCGGACGAGAGGGCATGGATGGTGCCACCCACATTATTTTCCCTCGTTCGGCAAGTATTTGGTTCTCAGGCAGGATGAACAATCACTGACGCTCTTTTAGGCACGTTACTTTGCATTGTATGTGCCCTGATTCTCTGACTGTAGATAGCGGTGACGAGCCTCAATGGGCCACCAATCCCTGGCTTTGCGGAGTCCTGGACCCTCCACCATTCTTTACGGACAGTCTTGAACGCATGCCACGCTGGTCATCCATTACTATCCAACAGTACGCGTTCAGCAAGCACGGCGTCCCATGGGGAACATTGCAGACCGTGCTCTCAGCGCCCGCCCTACGCAAGCTGACGGTGTACAAGTTCTTGTTTGCTCCACGCAAGCTCGTACCGTCAGAGATGTTCATCCTCGCCAATGTCTCTCCTTTAACGTCTTTCACGTACATATTCGGCACCCTGCACACGTTCGATGACCCCCCGGCTCCCACCGAAATCGAGGCTTTGTCGAGTTTCCTGGAAGCCGTTTGCGGAACGCTTGAAACCCTAGAGCTGACCGCCGGGTCCGGCCCCCTTGACATTCTGGAACGCTCCCAATGGCCGCGGTTGCACACTCTGAAGCTTTCCGGACGCAATCGGCAACCGCAGCTTCGCTCATATGCGTCCCTCTTCGCCACCATGCCTCGCCTTCGTGTGCTCGCCCTCGAGCTTCACGTCAAGGGGCCACCAGTCGGGCTCTCTGTCCCACCAGTGTCGTCATCGTCGTTCCCGTGGCCGGAACTCGAACACCTCTTCCTTCCAATTCCCCTTCCGGAGGACGACGAGATGTATTCTCAACTTCCTTTGTCGCTCCAGACGCTCTCCCTGCTCTCCTACCCCCATTTCGCCCAGCGGCACCAGTATCACGTCAAAACCTGGGACATCAAACCGCCACGTCCTGCGTTCCGAGTTCTGCAGTCCATACTTCAGCGTTGTCTCGCCTCCACGCATCTCACGCGTCTTGAGATCGAATACGCCGTTGAGCGCCGGCCGAGGGAAGACCTTCTGCGCTTCGTCGTCGACACGTGCCCTCATCTACAAGAGCTCAAGTTACTCCGGTACCGACCTGACTTTTTACCAGACGAGCCTCGGTATAACCGGGGCTCTTACCGGACCTGGAAGTCGCCCCAGAGCTTGCGGTACGTGCTCCTGCGCGTCCGTCCCTTTTTGTGTGCTGAACTTTCCGTCCAGACCGATATTGCGCATCAGCTCGCTCCGCTGACGCGTCTGCGCATGCTGTGGGTGAACCTCGACTACGCAAGTACGCCTGGGTTCAACCCGTACCATGTCCCGCCAGTCTATGACAAGTTCTGTATCACGACGCTGCCTTCGGTCGCGCTCGTGTTTGCGCAGATCATGCCACCGGCTCTGCAATCAGTTGGGATATGGGTACCGAGCGAATTCCTCAAGGCTCGATGTAGGTGGGCGGTGTACCGTGTCGAGCGGAGGGTGGATGGGCTGCCTGTCGGCGTGCGCGAGGACGGGTACGAGTTCGCGGAAATCGAGGAGCTATGCTATCCGGTCTGCTAGTCTGCTGTGTATAATGTACCTACTGCGTCGCCGTGTCCAGGTTGCGGAAGCGACACTAGTCGGCAATTTTGACTATCACCTTAACCTTCTGATCCTGGGGGTTGCTCTCGCGTGAATCCGCTGAGACTTTGCGACGTGCCCACAGCCCCCAATTGTCTGTTTCCTCATCAGCGTCCTTCCAGCTTCACATCGAACTGGATTTGAGTGGTGGGCAGCGAATCGGGAAAGACGCAGGGCATTGCTCTTCTGCATTACGCGCCCAGCCCGAACTTCGACCGTCACTCAACGAGCCTTGTAACTACAGTTGCCCATAATATTTCTCGTACACGAGCGGTTGCGCTCGACATTAGGCGCCTCTCATCGACATCGGTGAAAGACCCTGACCATCTACTTATCGAACGGCACATCGCACACACACGCTTGGCATAACGAGAGCCATAACAGATACTCAGTGACTATGCATCTCAGTGTATGCACGGTGTGTGACGGCCCCGTAGTACTGGCAGAGGCCTAAAGCTGCAATTAGTCAGGTTCGGCCCAAGAATAACAGTTCCAGGCAAGGGATAGCATACACTCACTGTCGTCTATAGCTTCCGGCTGCACAGCGATTGTCCTCTGGCCCCCAACGTGCTGCGGTACCTGCTGTGGCCACGCGCGGAGCGCCGCCGCTCTGACTGTCCTTCCCAGCCCTGCATCCGTGGACGTGTCCTCGCTCCCAGTAAGTTGAGTGACGTCCTTAGCAGGCTGTAAATTTTGCCAAAGTGTCAGCCAACGCACTTCCACTCAGAGTGGGAAGGAAATAGTGAAGGAGAGGAGCTTACCATGGTAACATTTCTGAAGAACTTATGGGTCGCAAGACTGGTCAATCCGGCTCTGGCCAAGCCCATTCGCCAGTCCAGCAACCACTATGAGGGCGTTCGTAGATACTTCATGTGGACAGCAACGAAGTGCATCCTGGAGCACTGGTTTTGGACTCAAAAGACGGCTTCAAGCCTCAAACACACAGGCGGACCAAACGTGAGAGAGGCGGAAGTGCCAAACCGTCGACGACAGCTGATTACGATAATCATCGGGTTTAGATAATGTACGCACATTAGACGTGTAGATCCGTCACCATCACCGCCAGTCTACAGCACGACCGGCTCCACAGCAGGTTGGGGCGCCTGCGGTCCGCTCGGTCCACCTTGTCCCTCCGACTCGATAAAGGACCTGAGGAGCTTCGACATATGGTGTCCGCACTCCTGGAACTCCTCCAGCGCGAGCTTGTATCGTGTGTCGCCGACGGAAACAAGTTTGTGGATGATGCCTTCGTAGACTGATGCGGGAGGCTTCATCCCGAGCGCCTTCATCTCCTCGAGGTAGAAGAACGCGTCCTCGTACGTCGTCTGCGTCAGACAGAGCTGCACGAGTTCCACGTACGTGCGCGTATCAGGCTTGACGCCGGCCGCCTTCATGTCCGCGAGGATGCGGTCGCCGAGTCCGCGATGGCGCGTAGCCGCGCACGCCGCGAAAACGATGTTGTATGAGCGCACGTCGAGGACGACGCCGACCTTCGAGGCTGCCTTGTAAATGCCGATAGTTCGCTGCAGGTCCCGAAGTCCAGCTGTGGCTTGCAGGACGAGGTTGAAGGCGACGATATCGACCGTCTTGCCCTCCTCATGAATCTCCTCGAGCTTGCCCCAAGCCTCGTCCACCCCGTCGAGATCACTGAGTGGCTTCGGGATGTCCTCAAAGAAAGGCTCGACGCCGTTCCTGCGCATGAAGTCGAATACTTGGAACGCCTCCTTGATCTGCTTCTGCTGGAACATGGCGTCCACCACTGGAGCGAAGTGGTGTTCAGCAAGGGGAACCTGGCTGGCTTTGAGCGTTTCGAGCACCTCCAGTGCAAGTTCTGACAGCCCGTGTCGAGCGGCGGCGTGGAGAACCAGCAGGCATAATCCTTCGTCCGGTAGGGTATGTAACTCTTTGCAGACTTTTTGCCATGCGTGCACAGTACCTTCCGGCTGCATCCGAAGTCAGCTCGAAAGTCCAGCAGCGAAGACAAATCACGCACGTAAAGGGACTCTGCGCACGCAGTCAACACATCTACCCACACCGACGCATCTAACCTCCGAACGGCATTCGTCTCGTAGTTATCCGCCAAGTCGAGAGCCAACCGAGCGTGATTCTGCTGAGCAGCGCAAGTGATGACAAGACTTGCCGACTGGATAGTGGGGGAGAAGCCGGCGGGTCCAAGTTCGGCGAGTATTTGCAGAGCAGACTCCAGGCTCCCACTTGCGATGGCTCCCTCGATTAGAATCTCGTATGTGTACTCGTTGGGACTCAGACTCCATTCTTTCATCATCTTCAAGATGGCGGACGAGTCGTCCTGATGACACTGTGGGAAGTCGTTGAACACAAGTATAAGCTAGGCCATTATTGATGGGATACTCACTTTGAGTAGGAAGTGGAAAGAGTGCAAGTCTGGCTGGATGCCAGACGCAACCATGTCCTCGAACACAGCGCGTGTTTCTGCAGGAAGTTTGTGGTGGACGCATGCTTGTAAAAGAGCGTGGTAGGTGTTCCTGTCTGGCTGGATATCTTCTCCCTTCATTTCCCCTACTGTACGCGCGATCGCCAGCGTTTGACTCCTCTCCAGCATCCCCGAGAGAATCATGTTGTACCGCGCTAGCGGTGTTCGGCGGGCCCCAGAGTCGAACCTTTGGGAACGTCCAGGATCAGACTTGTCCATCCATTTTGGGCGTGCGTGTGTTTGCTCCGACGCGTACCGCCGCTGCCCACCGAGGTCTTGTGCCCGTCTCAGCGCACGGCTCAAGAAGGGATGAACAGGAGCTACGCACGAGGGAGCACGGTTGCCGCGGTCTCTGCTTCGCGCAGGATGTTCCGCCGTGCGCTCTTCAGCACATTCCGAGAGGAAGAGGCGATCATGGAGAGAGGGGGGGTGGACAGTGGGTAAGGCGTCGAGCGCAAGCGTATAGTCGACCAGTCGTCGCTGCCACTGTGGCGAGCGGAATTTCGTGTCGGACACGTGACCGGTATTGCCAGCAGCCGCACGTGGTACAGGCGTCTGTGGTGGTCGGTTCGAAAGCTCGGCGCGGCGGCTTCAGTACTTCAGTCTTCCTCCTCTCCCCCGCGTCGCGATACCCTCCCTTCCCCTCTCCCGCCCCTGGACGCGCTTTGAGGATCTAAACCAGCTTGGATACCAATGGTGCGTCTGTGTCGCAAAACCTGTCGCGTTTTGTTGACCCCCATGCCTGCAGTTCTACTCAGAGGCGATTCTGTCTCGCCGCGGGCCCCTGGCCAGGGTCTGGCTCGCGGCCCACATGGAGAGGAAGCTCTCAAAGACACAAACACTACAGACGGACATTGAGCAGTCGGTCGGTATGTATGCTTTCATTCTGTTCCGAATCCTGCATTCACGCACCCCAGACGCGATCATGCACCAGGAGATCGAAGTCATGGCCCTCCGTCTTAGCGGACAACTGCTGCTTGGTGTGGTCCGTATCTACAGCCGTAAGGCCAAGTATCTTCTTGATGACTGCAATGAAGCCTTGCTCAAAATCAAGATGGTGCGTTGGTCCGTTCTTAGGGTGAACACCGCCTAACCACCATTCCAGGCTTTCCGCCCGGGAGTCGTCGACATGACAGAAGACCAGCTCGCGGTCAACCAGAATTCTATTACGCTCCAGAGCAACCACCTTGACCTCGATGCCCTTCTTCCGGACCTCGACTGGTGAGTGCTTCTTCACGCAGCGACCTCAAGTTGCTCATCGTTCTTCAGGGACACCACAGACTTTGAGGCCCGTAATGTCCAGCCGGGAGGCCAGCACATTGCCCGAGCAGCTGATATCACCCTTCACGCTGATATACAACTCGACTTCGACGACGGAGGTTACGGTTTCGACCTTGGGCCCTCTGACGGCATTGGATCGCACGACTTCGACCTCGACCTCAATCTCGACTTCGGTGATGGCCCGGCGTCGGCTGCACGCACACCTTCGCGGATGGACGACGACGACATGAGTATCGAGGTGGGGCGAGATGCCGCGGCGACGAGAGGGTACCAGGAGTCGATAGCTTCCCACATGCTCGGCGCATCCGTGGTCGACGCGGATCTCCTCTCAGTCAGGAGTCGGGCAGCTTCAGAAAACCCCTTCGGCGCAGATGTCGACATGGGCTTCGGGCCCGACATGGAGGCCATGGATCTCGACCTCGGCATCACATTCGAAGACGAGCCACTCAGTGACCATCCATTGAGCGAGCATGCTCCCAGCGAGCACGCGGTTGGTGCACATGCTCCCAGCGAACACGCACCAACACCCCGCTTGACTCCTTCTCGAGACAGTGAGTTTTCTGCTTTCGCAGACTTCTCCTTTCGCAATGCTCACATATATCCTCAGTGTCACCACTCACCGAGCCCCCGAAGACTCCTCCTCCCGAACTGGAACTTACACCGAAAGCGGTCCCAGAAGATGTTGCGAGGAAGAGGAAGGAGAAGAAGCAGATCATTGATTCCGTGACGGAGCTTGCAGACGGTCCTGGAGGGCGAGTAGGCCGAGGTCGCAACGCCGGCTTGGGCGCCGCCTACAAGAAGGACGTGAGTGACATTGTAACCGAACACCCCTACCTCCCTCGCTCCTCTCTCGTCATGCGCCTCCTCGAAATCCGCGACGACCCTCTCGCGCACTTCCTGCCAACCAAGAACACCCCCCACGGCAACTTCTTCTCTGCCGCGCCCCCCGGACTCGCCCCCGAACTCGCGGACATGTTCATGCGCCCGCTCGCGAATCTGCAACCAGCGAAACGTCGTGGTGCGTCTCCCGAGAAGCCCCCAAGCAAGAAGCGGCGAGTTGACGGCAGCGTCGTCGACGAGGACGACCAGATGGAGGAGGCCCGTCGTGCCGGCAGCGCCGCCCCCAGCATCGTCCTCGGCAGCGATATCTACGGCCCCGGGAGTGTGGGGCCCGGCGCGGACTTGACGTTCGACACCGGCCTGCCGATGGACGACTTCCAGATGGACGTGCCCGAAATCAGCGCGGAGCGCGCACACAGCAAGTCAGTCGGCCCATTGTCGCCACTCTCGCGCCTGTCGACCCCGCCGCCAGACCCACTCATTGAGGAGGGTGACGAGAGCCATGCGGACGCCACCTGCCCCATCGCGCTGTTCGACGACCGGGTTGGAGGCAGCAGCCAAGCGACACAGAGCCAAGCGACGGAGGCGACGGACGACGGGAAAGGGTACAGCAAGAACACGGCGAAGGCACTGGGGCTGGTCAGGCGAGAGCTGCAGCCAAACCCGGAGGAGCAGGACGAGGACAAGTACATGAGTTTCAACAACATGGCGCAGAAGGTGAGTTTTCTCTCGCATCTTGCGATCTGGAGTAGGTGCTCAACTTGCGCCTTCTCCATAGGCATCTCGCAGAGCTGCCGCTGCGTTCTTCTTCGAGCTGCTCGTGCTCGGCACGCGCGACTGCGTGCAGCTCAAGCAGGCCCAGCCCTTCGCGAACATCGAGGTGCGCGCCAAGGACAAGCTCTGGGAGCGCCAGCGTCACGGATCCATGGCACCGTCCTCGGTGAACGGTTTCTCGCAGATGCGGCAGGGATCTGCAGCTCCCTCCATTGCTACGGCTTTCGGTCTCTAGTGATTCCCTTTTGTTCCCTTCTTGATTACCGGGACATGATTACCTGACTACCACAACACCTTATCCCTTCCCGCTCTTCCCTACGGAAAGCCTGACTACCTGATTATTTCCGCTGCTTCTCACGTTAGCGCTCTGTTCGTCTTGTTTTTACGACTTCACGCTAGAACATCTATGACTATTGTCTCGTCTTGTCGACGTGTTATCTCCCAACTGCTAGCTAGTACGTATTTCTAGATTATGTGTATTTTCTGTACTCGGGCACTAGCCCCGTCAATCTATTTGTTGCAGCTTAGTGTATGTGCATGAGGGTTGTGCGTCGCTGCTTTCTTCTCGAAGCACAAGACAAGCACATGCTTCATCGCAAGATTCAACCTTGCACCACCGCCTCTGGCCGGAGATACGCACACCAACGACTGCCAATTGTCATAAACAATGGCACGAACGTATGTTTGGTGTGTTCAGATGTCCCTGAAGAATCAACGAGTAAGCAAAAACTCTCAGTCGTGCGTCGATTTCCTCAGGTCAGAACACCGCACGATCCAAACTTTCCCGTTGCAGGCTGCACAGGCCCAGATTCGGATGAGTATGCGGTCCGCTTGTTCCGGGCGGCCCGGAATCCGAAGGCCTGAGGTGAGTCGCGTCAGGAAGCAGCTTGTCTTCCTCCTCCATCCCGTCCTCCAGCAACGTCTCCTAAACCCTGAGCACATCCAAAGACCACATAGTGCACGATGGAGTCGACCTTGATAACCCCACAGTTGCCGCCAGTGCCGCCCCGGCCTCGACAGCTCCTTCTGTATCGCAAGATAGCGGCCCCATCCCCATGTCCTTCCCGGCACTCCTACGCACCTCAGTCCTCTCCGACAGATTTGCGCACCTCTCCCTTCTCCAGAAGGCTCCTACGGCACCCACTGCGCCCAGGCGGAACAGCAGGGACGATAAGGAGGGCAAACGCTGGGTGCGGCGCAAGGAGAACGGTAAGCCCTTCCCGCTGGGCTCTCACTGCGCCGACGCCGACGCCCCTCTCCTCCCGCCACACGTATGTAGCCCGCTTCGTGGGCAACGCCCACATCGTCGCCCCCTCCAAGAAGGACTTCGGCGTCCCGGTCCCCAGCGTCGCGCGACCTTCCCGTCCCGCTCCCGGGCTATCTAGCCCGCAACGGCCCCGTACCAGCAGCGACTCCCATCCTCCCCACACCCGAGTCCGCCAACGCCGGCCGATTCTCTCTCAGCTTGAAGGGCATGCGCCGCGAGCTGCGCCGCGCAGGCCGCGCACGAGAGGCTCGTCCACGACGTGAGGACGCGCTCCTCGGCTGGCTCGCCGCCGGCGGTGTGCTGCTCGCGCCCGACGCAGCGGCCGAGATGCACTTCCCGGGAACGCCGGTGGACGATGGCGGCGCCGTGCTCGAGGTTTCGAGGACGCCGCTACAACTCGTGTGGAGCATCGAGGACAACGCGTTCTCGCGGTACGTCGTGCACTGTTGTGCGCGGTACCACGACATCGTCAGCTTCAGTGAGTTGTGCCTGCCCATCCCCGAGCGACGGTATCTGACATGACTGTACTGCAGGCAAGGACACCTCCGGCCACCGCCTCACCTACCTCCTCCGCCCGAACGTCACCCGCCCCGCGCGCTACGCCGCCCCTGCTCTCGACACGCCCCCCGTAACCGACCTCTCCGAGCTCTCCGCGACCGAGCTCGACTCCGAGTCAGACTTCGCGTCCGAACGCGACCTCTCCGACGCCGAGGGCGGCCGGGGCGGAGTCACGGGTCACCAAGGCGGCCCCGGGCTCACCGCCATCGTCGAGGCCAGCGCTGACTCGATGCCCCCGTCGCCCGTCCCGTACGCCGTGCGCGCCCCCGCCGACTTCGACGCCTTCGATGACGACGACTGGTCCGTGCTGGGCGAGTCGGACCGCGGGGACGCGCTCGCGAGTCGGACCGCGAGGTCCCCAACGTGGGACGCAGAGGGGATTTTGACTCGGACGCGGACGCGCCGGTCCTGGCCGAGGCGCAGGTCGCCGTGCCCTCCTCGCTCGCACCGGACCTGCGCAGACGGCAGGGCCCGGACGCGCTCCGCTCGCGCCTGCTCGAACGGCAGCGGCGCGCGGCGTCGTCGCCTTCGCGTTCGCCCGCGCGGCGGACGCCGCACCGGCCGAGGCAGCGCGCGGAGCCCGTGAAGACCAGGGCGGCCCCTGGGAGGCGGTCGTTCTACGACTACCTGTACGCTTGAGCGGCGGGGCGTCGGACGAAGGAGCGGGGTAACGCGCCCGCGAGGAAGGGCGGGCATGCATATATGATATGTAGGCAAGTATAGCGTATGGGCGATGTACAAGTAGAACGTGGGTAGCAAGAGCAAGATATACAGCGTTCGTAGATGTTCCAGGTGGCATATGAGGAGGGGATCGCATATAGGGGAGGTATGGTACACGCATAGATACGGCCAGAGCCCTGTGGCTCGACGTCTTCGAGCGAGAGGTGGTCGATCATCCAGTGAATACGCGGGCGGTGAGGTACATGACCGCCCCGCTGAATCGCTGCAGTCGTGTCAGTGCCCCATCCATACTATGAAGTAGGATGCACTCACAATGATACTAGTGATGGCGACGAAGGCGAGGATGAAGGTCATGTACGCCTTCGTCCGCGTGAACGTGTCGTTGACCGAGAACGTGCTCACGGAGTCGCCACCACCCAAGATCGCGACGAGCAACAAGCCCTGGACTCCTCATCAGCCCCGTCGCACACAGCACCAAAGCGCAGCGACGTACGTTCGAGAGCACCCAAAAGAGCAGCACGTTCGTCCTCACGTTCGCGTAGTAGTCGCGCGCGAGCTGCTCTTTCTCCGCGCTATTCAGTCCCTGCGCCTTCGGGATTGGCTTGCGGTTCCGAACGTTGTCGAGCGCCTCCTCGTACAGCAGGTTCACGTCCGTCGCGTCCGTGGGGACCTCGAGGTCGACTTGCGAGTTGCTATTCTGGATGACAGCGCCGAGGTCGTGGCTCACTTCCGTGTCCTGCTTCGTCCCCCAGGAGATCTACATGGGAAGGGTCAGCAAGTGGCTTTACGCTCACGAGACCAATAAACTCACATCGTCCAAGTTCGAGAAGGCGTAGCTACACGCTGAGGCATCAGGTCCTGCTCACGGTGAGCACGGAAGGTGACTCACATCTGAAGAATATTGATGTACGTTGGGGAGAGCAGCATATACGGAATGAAGCTCGTGAAGATGTGCCAAGGGTCGCACGCCAAGATACTCGACGCAACATACACTGAACACATGCATGTCAGCACCACGCGCACGGATGAATTGTGTTCGTACTCACTGCCATAGGTGACGATGATACTGAACAGCATCACCCTGTACGCCGAGTCGCTCTGGCGCGCGGCTTGGATCGAGCACATGACGGCCGCAAAGAGGACGTAAACCATGAGGACGGCAAAGCAGATGGTGCAAATCTTGTACTTCCAGCGTGCCCTGTATTGCAAGTAAGACGCGGATCACAGCTTCGAGGAAAGCGGGGATGAGATGCGCACCCTTTGGGTTTGTTCCCCATGGAAAACAGGAAGCACGCGATGACGAGTCCGGCCATGAAGAACTACCGAACAATCAGCGTGTATTTCCAAAGAGCGAAGAGGAGACTTTACTTGGGACACTGAGTTGAAGTACTTGATGCCAGAAAAACCAAACTGCGGGGCCTCCAGCGAAGACGTCAGAATCACCTACAGCGAAATTAGAACACAGTGCAGTGGTTATCGACAAACAGACGCACAAAAAACAGATAGAAGTTGCCCTAGATCCATTGCAGTGAGTTACTGTAGTGGCGGATATGCAAGTAATCACTCACGACAGCGAACCAAGCCGCAATGAGATTCATGACATTGTATATGGTTTCCACGAAGAGCAGGAACTTTCTCCCGACGCTGTGTCCTGATTGCAGGATCTGGCCCAGGTGAGCAATTGCGTAGGTCGCCGCAAAGAAAGAGCCGTTGAGCCAGCGACGACGTTGACTGATGAACTCTGGCAGAGCTTCGGGGACATCCGTTTCGGCGACAGCACTCTTCACATACTTCAACAACCTGAGGAGACTCATCAGACGAAGTCCGCAACGAGTTCAGTGGCACATACCAGTTCGAGTTCCGCTTTGCGACCAGCTCGAAGCAAAGGATACGCTGGAGACGAAGTTAGTAGTGGGTCTTGTGAAGCGTAATGGCCTCTTACGTCTTCAGCAAGATCTGTGGAAATGAGGGAATCAATGAGAGTGGCTAAGTGGATGATAATCGAACGTACACATGTTTGAGGTAAAGATATCCGTGTCACGGCCGTGCAGAACCTCTCCCTTGAAGTAGGACGCCAGCGGGCCAAGGCCATATTGATCGTTCTGCAGGGCGATGTATCTGTATGCGGAGAACGCTCCAGGCTGTACAACCAGTCAATGGGACAGAATGTTGAAACTTGCGAATCACGTACGAGTACGCCAATATAACCGAAAAGCGACTCCGTCGGTTTATCGAGGATGTTAGTGATCTTGTACTCGAAATTCTGGGCCGCAACTGCCAGGATGTGAGTAAGGAGTGATGAGAGTCACGGAGAACCGTACCAAGAGGATTGAGCAAGCCTCGCCACTGCTTGCCCTTGTAGACCGCGATTTCGCCGCAAGCACCCGCGACGTTGGAGTTGACGTCGAAGGCCTTCCATAGGTGGTAGATGCTCTTCGGCGCAGGGCGAGTACCGACATCGAGAAGGACGCAAACGTTCGGTTGCAGCATACGTCCGAACGCGTTGAAGAACCAGCGATGCGAGTTGATCTTCTTCTGGTTTTTCTCCTTCATGCAGAAGATAATCTGAGTAGGAACGATACCCTTGTCCGGATACCTGAACTTGAGGTCCTCATCCAGCCCGAACGTAGTTGTGTATTCGAATACGTGAGCCGTGACAGGTTTGTTGTTGACCATGTTTTTCATGTGGTCTCCAGGCTGATAAACACCAAGTAGTGTCAAGCAATCCAGAACGCGTGGGTGGATCTTCTTCCGCCCGTCGGCCACAATGCATACGACCACCTGTTCTAAATGTAAGTCTCGCCCTGCCTAAGCCATAATCTCTTCTTACCTTCTTCCAAGCATCCTCTCCCCATGTTCGCGAGTTTTTCCTCGAGCATAGATGTGCAATGTTCTTCATAACGCCAATCATGGTGCGACAAAACAAAACTTCGTCTTCCTGCCAAGACGCAATAGCATTAACACGATGAACGAACAGCACATTGAAGAAATACTCACATTAAACATAGTAATAACAATAAACAATTCCGTCGTCCGCTTCATCTGGTTCTGGCGAAGGAAGAAGCCCCGCCTCTCGAACTCATCGGGGTCGCAAGTAACAGCTGTGTACCGCAGCTTCGTCGTCTCTTGGTCGCCTTTGCGGGGCAACACGAGCTTCGGGGGCACGGAAAGATCAAGGACGAGGTTTCCATTGGTGAGCTGCACCCGCTTCTTCGTCTTGTGCCTGCGCAGAATGCGCCCTGAGGGTGCAGGGCCGAAGTGACGCGTCGGAAGGGGGGTTTCAGGCTCGGTGAAAGCAGTCGACCCAGAGTTGGCCAGAGACACCTTCTCCGGGTCGGCGGGCTCCGACATCGCGCGGAGGAGGGTCTTCGAGTACTGAAAGTCGCTTTCTGTCGTCGAATTCGTCGAAACTTTTGAAAAAGGGCGGCGTTGGCCACCATCGCCGATGACGGTGTTGGAAGAGGCTTGGGAGAATGGGCGGGGGCGAAGTGGGGATTCGTTCTCATTCGGTACGGATGCTTGTTTCCGTTGAGGGGAGGGGGTGTATCCGGTGTACTGCACGCTGCCGTTGCCAGTGATTTGGTAGTCTTCGTCTTCGAAGCCTGGAGTAGGGGAGCGCGAGCGTGGGGGTCGGTAGGACGCACGAGAGAATGTACCAGAAGCGTACGCCTCTGTGTCGTGTTGGAAGTGGTCGATACTGGCGTCGGAGGGATACATCACTGCCGATGCTTGTTCCGGGGGTGCTGAGTATGTGTAGCCGGTGGGCTGGGAAGTGACCGCGCTGTATGCGGACATAGGCCGGGAGGGGAGATTCCAAGAGTTCCGTTCCGGTAGATAGAACTGGTCGGAGAGGCTGCTCTGGGACGTATTGTGCGTCAAAAGAGCAGGCTGCTGATATGTGAGAGAGGGGGCAGGTTGATGGTAGACTGGAGGGCGGGAGTCTGCGAAAGGGTCTTCCTGAGGTGTATGGCGGACCCCGTCCCAGTCAAAGGGTTCTCCAGAGTCGATTGTCGGGAGTTGTGGGGGTGGAAGTCCGCGGTATTGAGCATTGGTATCGTACCCGCTGACTTCGCGTATCGTACTCCCGGTGCTGTGAGTCGTGACAGACATCCTCTCCGACAATGTGGAGCCTTCCTCTGACACCTCGGGGACCATGGGAAGAGATGGGTAGCGGATGGGAGATGTCCTAGGAGGACGCGTCTGCACGCTCATGACCATGTTTTCAACGACGTCTTCTTCTTCTTCTTCTTCTTCGTAGTCATCTTGTCCGAGCGCAAGGCGCATAAAGGTCGATGGACGTGAGGGAGAGTTGTCTCGATTGTCGTGTGAGTCGTTCAGTGGAGCATAGATGAGCTGTCTGCGTCGGGAGGCCATATTCTCAAGAAGAAAGCTGTGGGGCGGCGGTGTCGTGGGGTATCGTGCGTGAAGTCCTCAACCGAGAGTCATGGGAGGAAGAGGATGTCGGCGTTGGGTGACCACGGAGGAAGGATCAACAAGTTGAGGCGCAGTCAAACGCGTCGATGCTAACATCACGTGGTCGTAATGCCCGCGCCAAATTCCCCTCCAAGCACCCGGCAGCCTTTCCTCCTTCCTTCTCCGCCCTCACCTGGATGCTTTGCTTGCTGCATAGATCGTCTCAGCACTCAGGCCATAGGCTTGGAAGCATCTCATATGCTTACGTTGTGCTTAAACTTCAACTTTCTATACTTGAGTCTTGGGCCGTACCAAAATCAATGCCGAAGACTGCCGCTCCCCTCCCCTCGGACTTCTTCGTGGCTGGCATAATGTCAGCCATGGCGGGCTATGGCAAAGGCTATAAGGTGAGTCGACGTTGAAATGTCTTGTCTTCATCTTTCCCTTCCGCTCATTCCTTTCCTCGCTTTGTTCAGTGATCTGCGTTGATCGCAATCGCCATGTCCACCTTCGTTGACAGACTTAGGCCCAAGACCTTTCCTCGCCACTATCCCCGATGGATGGTCGGTCGCCCCCTACTCATTGGCTCCTCTGCGTTCGCATCCTTGGGAGACGCCATGTTCGGGTACAGCCAAGGCGTTATCGCGGCCCTCCAAGTTCAACCGCCCTTCATCCGTCGGTTCTTCGGGCACGATGTCACTCTCGCACAGATTCAGGCGGGAGATACGGGAATAAACCCTTGGGTACAATGTGAGCACCGTTCGCTTTGCTACCTTCATCCATACCAGGACCGAACGCCCTCCCTCAGCGATCACTGTGTCGTCCCTCAACATCACGGCGTTCATCGCCTCCTTCTTCGCCGCTTACCTCTGCGACATCCTCGGTCGCGCATGGCGATCCGCATAGGAGGGATCATCTACTTCATCGCCGCGGCCATTCAGATCGGTGCTCCCAACCTCGCCGCACTCATCTGCGGCCGCGCTCTGCAAGGCGTCGCTGTCGGCATTCTCTCCATGACCGTCCCCATCCTTCAATGCGAGATCGCCCCCGGCATGCCCGTGGACTCTTCATCTCAATTGAGTACATCTGCCTCAACCTTGGCTACACCCTCTCTGCCTGGATCGGCTTCGCCTTCTTCTTCTCCCTTCCTTCGGAAACGTCTTGGCGCGGCCCCTACGCGATCCAGGCTGCTTTCGCCGTCTTGCTCGTAATGTGGTCCTTCGTCCTTCCCGAAACCCCGCGCTTCCTCATCAAGAATGGCTTCCTCGACGAAGGCCGGCGCGTCCTCGCCGACCTGCATGCTGACGGCAACGAAGACGACCTCGCCGTACGCGCGACCTTTGTCGATATTCAAGCCGCCGTCGCACTCGAGGCCGAACAGGGTGAAGCGTCGTGGGGTCAGCTCTTCCGCCAGTATCGCCGCCGCACCCTGGTCGGCATCACCTGCCAGGTCTTCGCTCAATGCAACGGAATCAACGCTATTCTTTACTTTCTCCCTTCAAACTTGACCCGCGCGGGCTTCCCCATTGAGCGCTCCCTCCTCTACGCCGCGGCCGCAGCGATCGTGTACTCTTCTGGCACACTGGTGACTATGGTGGGCATCGACCGGATCGGTCGTCGGCCGTTCCTTCTCGTTGGCTCTGTCCTTCTCGCCGGGTTCCTCGCGATTATCGGCAGTCTGCAACACCATGTTGACGCCATCCCCATCGGACCCGCTCGCATCCCCGGAGCCAACGGCATCTTCGCGGGTACGCCCTCTCCTTACATTTGTCTCACCACCTCATCCTGACATTCGTCCCCGTAGCTGTCTCGCTCTACCTTTGGACCTATGGTGCCACGTGAGTCTTCCTAGCCATCTCACTTCCACTCCAATCTGACCCGCTCTCCAGCTGGGGCCCGACCCCATGGCTGCTCGGAGCGGAGATTTTCCCCATGCGGGCGCGCGCAAAGGGCATGGCGCTCTCCAACGCCGCGAACTGGCTATGCAACTTCGCGGTGGCCTTCGCGACGCCCCCGCTCTTCGCCGCGCTCCGCGCCGGCTACTACTTCATCCTCGCCGGCGCCTGCCTCCTCTCTGGCGCCGTCGTCTTCTTCGTGTACCCCGAGACTGCACACCGGACGCTCGAGGACCTCGGCGAGGTCTTTGCGGATGCCGACACCGACACCGGCGACGATCGCTGCTTCGCGATTGAGCGTGACAACTCAAGGTTCGCCGCGACCGGCTCGAGCGACGGGTTGGAGGCTGAGTTCATGCGCGAGAGGCGGCCGGGCGTGATGAGGAAACGAGTCCCGGAGGAGTCGTTCGCGGACTCAGCGTCCACGCTGCAAGTGCCTGTGGGCGTGCCGAAAGGCCCGCGTCCGCAGAGGACAGCCAAGGAGGCCAGCTTATCGGTCTGACAGGGGTTCTTCCGGTTCTAGCACTGCTAGCTTGGTCTTGTACATGTTCCAGTATACCCTTTATCAAACGGACTGTTTGCGGCGTTTGACTAGTTCGCGGGCAGCAGGGATGCAGGACTAGGCGCTCACGGGTCTCAACGCCGGAAGAGAACTTGCCCCAAGCTTGTCCTGAACGACGACGTGCGTCGTGCAAGGTACGTATGCCACTCTTTCTCGTTTGGGCCGTTCTAGCTCACCGTGTTTTCCCAGATTGTCCCAGTGCGCCGTCCCCGACGATCTTTTCACCGGGTCGCTCAGGCCCTCGTCTCGGGATTGTGTGGGCAGCACACCCTGGCGTATAATATTCTCAAAAACGCCACTTCGGCCACTTCGGTCAATGTTGCATCTGTCTCAAACGCACTGTCACATCCCTAACTCCGAGACAGCCTTGATCTATTCCTCCGATGTTCAGTCGGTACGTATACGCACTCTAGGCGGTATTTATGCGCTCATCCAGCTGCTATCTTCTAGCTTCTTCCTCCTCAGCCATAAATAGCGCACGCACACGAAAATGCCGTACCCCTTCCGCCCGTCCTCCACCCTCGACATCACATGCGACATGTGAGCTCGCAACGCCTCCCTCCCACTCCGACCTTATCATCCTCCTGCCCAATTTCGCACTCGCACTCACACCATCTGCACATGCTCTATCGTTCGCCTCTCCGGCCGGGCCGTCTTCTGTCTTATCACTCTCCTCCTCAAAATGCACCAGTCGTCTTCCCAGAACCTCAGACCCCATCCCGAATGCTGCTCCCAGACACAGTACAGCCTTCCGCCGGGGACTCTCCTCGATCGGTCCCACAAAATGGCGAATGCGCGTCTCCTATCGGCTCTGAGAAATTCATGAGCGATGAAAAAGCCACACTTGATCAAGTATATCCTGCCCAGCCACAATTCGACCTCGAGGACGACGAAGCCCAGAGTCTACGCACCGATGTCCCCTTCCCTGTAGACCCCGATGCTCCTGAAGAACAGCAGTTCACATTCCGCGCTGTCTTTGTCGGTTGTGCCCTGGGCGCTGTCATCTCTGCCAGCAAGTATGCCAGTTTACTTTGCCCTATTTTCGTCTCCCTCACAGCTCCACTCCAGTGTCTACCTTGGGCTCAAGACAGGTTGGACCTTTGGCGCCTCGCTCTTTGGCTCCATTTTCGGTTTCGCCATTCTCAAGCCGCTTTCCAAAGCCCTCCCCGAACGCTTCGGGGGAGGCTACTTCGGCCCCAAGGAGAACGTCTGCTGCCAAAGTGCCGCGACCGTACGTGGAGCCTTTACGTGCGGATCCCAACAACTAACCAGCTTCATCTCCCGCTCAGGCTGCTGGCTCCCTAGGCCTGCTCTTTACGTCCGGCTTCCCTGCTGCGTACCAACTCGGGCTGTTGGGAGACGACCCGGTCTCTGATTTCGGGTGGGTGATACTACGCATATATTCATATTCACGCTCACTAATCCGACTCCCCTAGACGTCTCATCACTTTCACCCTCTGCTGCGCCTACGTCGGCATCTTCTTCACCATGCCCTTGCGCCGTTTGTACATCCTCAAGCTCAAACTAACGTTCCCCAGTGCTGTCGCCGCGGCCTTCACGATACGCTCTCTCCACGTCGGCCGAAATGCAGCCGCGAACGCCCGCAAGAAGACTCTCGCTCTCATCCTCTCGTTTCTCATCTCCATCCTCTGGCGTATCACAAGCGAGTACGCTCCCGGAATCTTGTGGGACTGGCATTGGGGATGGTGGTTCTACAGGGCGGGATGGAAGTGGATCATTGCCGCAGAGAACTGGGTTGGTTATCCGCTCTGCTCCAAATATTTGTCTTCCCGACTGACGCACACACTTTAGGGCTGGATTTGGGAATGGACCCCCGCGTTCATGGGCGTCGGCCTCCTGGTACCCATCAACTCGTCCATTTCCTTCGTCGGCGGCTCAGCCTTGGGCTGGGCTATCATAGGACCAGCACTCGTGGCCACCAACCTGGCGTTCGGCTCCCCGGGCTCAAAGACAGGAGAGTTCCCGGAGTACATCAATTACGCGAACATGGTTCTCGACGACCCTGTAAACGCGCCGTCGCCCAAGTACTGGATGATCTGGCCCGGCTGCGCGATTCTCCTGTGCGCCAGCATGGCAGAGATCGCGGCGAACGGAAGCGCAGTGGTCCGGAGTCTCGCGACGACCTTCGTACCTCTCGTCCAGACCGTCCGGGCTGTCGTCTCGGGGCAACAGCGGGAACCCATGGGCGGCGACGACGAGAAGGAAGACCCGTTCCACGATCCTGTGCCCGCCGACCAACAAGTCCCGTGGTGGATGTGGACTGGGGGACTCGCCGCGGGCATGGCACTGACGATGATCGTCATGAAGGTCCAGTTTGGCCAAAACGCCGGCGTCACGCTCCTCGCCCTCCTCTTCTCCTTCCTCTTCTCCCTCGTTGGCGCGGAATGCACCGGGCGCGTCTCCGTCACTCCCGTGACGACGCTCGGAAACTTCGCGCAGCTCGTGTTCGGCGGCATCTCAAAGGGCACCGGCCTCGCGCCCGCCGCGAACCAGCTCAACAACGGCCTGACGGGGATGATCACCCTCGCCGCGTCCGAACAAGTGGCAGACATGCTCGGTCAGTGTTCTCTTCATCTGTCCGGTGCGCCCACCGTCTCACTAACATTCTTGCTCCAGGCGACCTCAAAACGACGCACCTCCTCGGCGCCGCCCCGCGCGTGCAGCTCTACGCCCAATGCTGCGGCGCCCTCGTCTCCATCTTCCTCTCCGCCGGCATGTACATCGTCTTCGTCAAGGCCTACCCCTGCATCAACTCCCTCACCGAGACCACCTGCGCCTTCCCCGCGCCCGACGTCGGCGCCTGGCGCGCCGTCGCCGTCGCCGTCTCCGCCCCCGCGCTCCCCATCCCGCGCTCCTCCGGCATCGCCGCGCTCGCCCTCGGCGCCGCCGCGGTCCTCTCCACCGCCGCCAAGTACACGTTGGTGCGCGCGGGGTCCCCCCGCCGCAACTGGTTCCCGAACTGGAACGCGGTCGGGATCGCGCTCATCCTCGGCCCGCTCTGCACGTACCCGGTCGCGATGCTCTGCGGGAGCGTCGCCGCGCGCGTGTGGCGCGCGCGCTGGCCCGTGGGCGCGGCCGTGTACTGCTACGCGGTCGCGGCGGGCATGATCGCCGGCGAGGGCCTCGGCGGGATCGCGAACGCGGTTCTCCAAATCGCGGGGGTCTCGGGGGCGGTGAAGGGGACCAGCGTCGGGTGCCCGCTGGATGTGTACTGTGGGTAGAGAGCGAGCCTGGGGAAAGTAGGTACTGCATCCTACATGATGATGCAAGTCGTAGACAGCAAGAGTAAGATAGAAGGGATATGATTCCATTGTACGATGCAAGCCTAATTGTGCGTGCGTGCGTCGATCCGCGATAGCTGCCGACTCCGCCAGGTTGGTAGAAACGCGAGTCTGTGTTGTCGACAGGCGTTTCGGTTTCGAGCCGTGTGGATCATAACTCAGTCTGTCCCACTCCGACACCATCGCGTCACAACAAGCCCAAGCACTAGTTACCCACGCAAGGTGGCGGACGATGTATACGCGACTATTAAACACGTTTGCAGACGTTTGCTACATATACATGAGGGCCAGAGCGTGTCGGCGTCCTTGGAGGCAGGTCGGAATCAACGAGGGCGCGCCCCGCCAGGAAGGATCGCGTGTGGCCAGCGGGGAAACCCAACGAGGAGATACAAGACAACTAACAAAGACTAGGCGGGGCGGGGAAGGAACGTGTATGTACAGGAAGGCAATGACTGGCCAGCGTGCGGGGTGTTGGGAAGGAAAGCGGGGTAAAGGGGGGTGGAGGGGGGAGGAGAGCGAAGGGAGGGCCGGAAGCACGGGGTGCCGCACGTCTAGGCGGCGAAGACGACAACAGAACCAAGACGGAGAGCAAAGCAAACAGACGATCCAGACAGACGGGCGCACGGAAACAGAAACACACACACGAGGCGACGGGCAATCACGCGTACTCCGGTGGCGGCTCCATTCGTTCCGCCCGAATCTCCTGCATCACCCTCCGCAGGTTCTCCACCTCCGCGCGCAGGCCGAGCACGTCCGTCGGGCTCACCACCGACTGTCCGCTCATGCTCGTCGGGCCTATCGACAGCGGCTCGCGGCTCGACGCCGTGGGCGCCTGCGAACGCGCGTCGGACGAGCCCGACACGCTCTGGAGGTCGCGCGCGTCGTGGTCGTACATCGGCGCCACGCCGTACATGTCCGCCGCGGACGACGCGGGCATGTTCATCAGCCGCTCGCGCTGCTTGGCCGAGAGCGTCGCCGGCAGGGGCTCCGCGACGCCGGTGTAGGCGTAACCCGGGTTCGCCGAGGAGATGGCAGTGACGTCCTCGGTGGTGCGGGACTGAGAGGGCGAGTGCAGAGCGGCGTAGGCGCCGCGCCCGTCGCGCCGGCGGCGGCAGTCGCGCCGACGCCTGCGTGGTTCGTCGTGAAGCGCGTGCTTGTGCTCATCGTGGGCGAGTGTGGGTTCGGGAATGTGTTGTTGGCAGAGTAATCCGAGCGCGGTTGCTGCGGGGGTCCTGGAACGGCCCACCGTGCGACTGGGTCTGTCCGGACCCGGCGCCGTACTGTGCCATCTGTTGGCCCTGTGCCAACCGCGTCCATTGTCGTAGTAGAAGGGCTGGACGTTATGGGCGTGGCCGTCCATGAAGTCGATGCGTTCGTTGTCGTCTTCGCGCATGTTGCGGCGACGCCGGCGAATGAAAAAGAATCCACCGATGCGATCGCGAGAACTGCGACGCCTCCTGCGGCACCGCCAATGATTGGCCCGAGATTCGAGGAAGAGGCAGCCCCGGTCGGAGCAGTCGAGGAAGCAGGAACGGTGATCGTCACATTACTGATGCTGGGAAAGGAAGAGGCAGAGAGTCAGCATCTAGGACGACAACCGGGATTGCCTGTGGTCGTGAGATGCAATATGGACGTGATACTTACTTGAGCGCGAGAGGTGCGAACATAGCGCCGACAGCGGGGCTGCAGGCACCAGACAATGCGACGTCAGACATCGCCTGGACTCGCTGGAAAATAGAAACTCACCCTGCGGGACCATTGAGGATTCGCCCCGAGTTGTCGTCGTAATCATCCGGGAGCGCACCCGCAGTGGCGTTGGAGTTCGCGCGAGCCCAAGCACCCTGGATGAACTGGTTGCGCACCCCTGTGTCTGTCACCGTCGCGGCCGTGAAGAGGGTCCACGCTGCATAGCAGGGTCAGCTGCGGATCAACAAGTGCCTGAAGATCGGGACGCACCCATGCTACTCGTCGACCCAGCTGTGCTGTCGATAGGCAGGCCGAAGGCAGGGGCTAATGTGAAGTGAGCACGACGATCAAAAGCATTCATTAGCGAGGGAAAGTACCTTGTGGCAAAAGCTGGTTGTAGAACTGTGTTTGACCATCCAAGACCTACAAGAACGGATCAATGCACGAGCGAAAGCCGAAAAGAACCAGATGCGTACTGCAGAAGAGACGAGACCGGTACCGAGCAGGCGATCGGCATAGATGTTGTACAGCAACGCCCAAGACTGTTGGTTGGAGTATAGACCGAGGAGGTGCCCTTGGTCAGAGGACGCCGCGAGAGACTGCCATGAGTTCACGAGTGCAGACGCGTGGGCCTACCCGAACATCAATCAGCGACGACATTGAGATGACAGTATGACAGGCCAGAAACGCACATCGTAAGTCTGAGCATCAACGCTCTTGCCAACAGCGCGGCTGATCTCCGCCATGGCCTTCACGGCGATGATTCCTTTGATGGCGAGGTTGGTCATGTTCGCACTAGTCTCGCCATCAGCCGAGGCCCTGCACGTGCACATTAGCATCTCAATCGATCGTACACATGCGCTGGAGCCTGGAACCCACTGGTTGGAAAACGTGAGCGTGTTGTTGACGAGATAGTCCGCCCACCGCATCGTGAGGTTGTACTGTACACACGTCAGCAACCTCGTCACAGAAGTCGGAAGAGCACGTACGTGTTTACCAAGGAGCGTGCCGTCACCCGATGTCCGTGCTTGCGCGAGCATCATGATCAGCATATTGCTAGACTCTATGGAATCCAGCCCGGTTTGTCAGTCCTAGAACAAGTATTAGAGGCTGAGGACACCAACGTTCAATGCCCTGTTGGTGAGCCCCACGCGTGCCTGAGGCAATGGGGTAGTTCAACCCAATGTCCTGCGCGGCATACGCTTGCCCTGAGAGACTGTCTTGACCTCAAGAAGAGGAGCGAGCATCTGTGCCCCCAGCGACGCATTCAAGTACAAGAACGTCGGGAACGCGGCGTACATGTTCTCGACTGGGTTGACGCGCCGTGAGGTGCCGACGTCCTTCATGAAGATCTTGACGTCCGTCGGGTCGGGCTTCTTCGAGCTGTCGACCCCGACAGTGATGTCGATGGAGCCAACAGTCTGCCGCGCGGAGAGCGACACGAGGTCGACGTAGTGCTGGCTCACCTGCGCAGCATCGGCCATGATCTTCTGGTCGAGCGCTTCCGCGCGCGATAGCGCGTTCGCGTAATCTCCCGTGAACGCGTCGATCTATTCAAGTGCCGTCATCGCCGAAGGGATGAGCACGAGGGGTTGTATCAAATAGAGAAAAGCGAGGTGTCATAAGGGCAGTAAGCGATACTGTAAATGAGGGCACAGCCCACGGGCGGACAGAATATTTGCTCACCAGGGAACCGACGTCCGAGTATTGGGTGACGTAGTAGGGCCGGCGGTTCTCTGTGCTTCCGTCGAAGTTTGTGAACTGCACCACGGGGTCGCGCACGTAACCGACGGTCCACGACACGGGTGATGAGAAGGACGTGAGGGTGCCCAGGTCGACCGAGATCGCGAACACGGAGAACACGCTGTGCGCATGGGTGCGGGGTTCAGGCGTGGTCGGGAGAGTGCAATAAGAGACACAAAACTCACGGAGAAATGGAGGCGAAGGCGGTCGACATGGTGTTCGGAAGAGCACCAGCGGTTGCGAACTGTGTTCGGGTTGTCGTGTCGGTGTCGATCTGCCATGTAAGGCCCGGTCTCTGCGAGCAAGGTTGGGGGAAGTGCACAGGCAGAGGAGGTATGGGGACGCACCGACGCCATGGCAATGTACGCCGTGCCATCCTGCGCCTGATTTGAGTTCTCAACATTGGCCTGAGGATCCTGAAGCTCAATCTGGTGGAAGACGCTGGATGCGGTGATCTGGTTATTCCATTTGACCAGGCTGCTTCGATTTCCCGACACCCATTCTATGTGTACGAGGGGCGTTTGGTCAGACTGTGTTTTGAGCTGACGCCGGATCGCCACGTACCGGCACTGATGTCACAGTAGACTTGTACACTGTGTGCATTTCCGTCAGTCGATACCGCGTCGACGGCAACGTACGAGAAGGGCATCGACTGTCTGACCCAGTCGTCAGGCTGAAACCGCGGATTATGTCAAGGAACATCCGAGGTAAACCGCATATATGCACCGACCTCGATGGGAGAAAGGAAGGTGACGGTGACATTCATTGGGCCAGCCTGCATAACATAGATGGTACGCGTGGGGGTGATCTGGACGTTGTTCACGATGGACTGGTTTGCGGGAATGCGGTCCGCTCCCAGCCATGCGTATGCAGTGCCATCGACCCGGATTTTGCCTGCCCAGCCGTATATGCCCTAGAGCGCGAGTCGCGGTCGGACGGCTGAAGGAGAGAGGAAAGCGAGGGGATGGACTCACGCCAGTGGCTTGGAAGGCGGGCCATGAGTCAGAAGCCGGTGGGGAGGTACTTTGGGTGTTGAGCCAGACGGAGAGGTAGGGAGAGCGGACGGAGAGCGGGACGGCGGCGGGGAAGAAGGACTGGACGGGGCCCTGTGCGCGAGCCAGCGCCGCGATGAGAGAAAGGAGGAAAAGCCATAGTGTTACCGGCAGCATGGAGGACGGACGGGGCGCATGCAGCCCGCGCGGCGAAGAAGGAGGGGAGGGAGGGGGTGGAGAAGGAGAAAGGGCCTACGGTGGCTGCGAGCGGGGCCGTGCGGATGGGCTTTGGAGGACAGGCTTGGAGAGGCTTGGGTCCAGCGGAGGGGGAGCAGCGGGGAGCAGGCACCTGTACCGTGACCTGGGAAGTGGGCCGTGTTGCGATCTCCCCGCACCAGCACAGATCTCGCCGCAGCGGTCCAATCGTGGGCTCGGTGGCCGCCCCATCACCCGCCAGACGGCTTCAGCCTGCGCCCGTTCTGCCCTGATCCACCCTCCGCGCGTCGCCATCCGTTCTCCTGCAATAGCCTTCGGACGGCAGCATCGGTGCAAAGGCTCTTCTGTGGGCACCTGAACTTGGCCCTCCTTCGCACGGACTGTGCGCGGCGGATGGGACGGAGACTGTGTGGCACCGGTGGCAGTGGCCTCCCGGCTCCGTGATCCGCGTCTCGGCGGTCAGGGGCACTTCCTCAGAGTCTCAGTCTCAAACCACGCCACCACCCGAAAGCGACGGTGCTCCGAGTACGTTGCTTCGCTCCAGAGGAAACCCTTCGACGGAATACTTGGACGGTTCAGCCAACAGGGATGCTCATTTCCAGAAGTCGGGCTGCTCGGTCGTGTGGCCAGCTCGTTCCAGCGCTCGTTGCCCGGTTGCCGCGCCGTCATTGGGGTCTCCAGGCACTCGTGGCAATCGTCCTCATCGCCAAAGCCTAAGCAAGCGCCTTACATACTCACGCGGGGAAAATGAATAATGAATGCTCGATCGGTAGCCCAGAGGATCGACCTCTTCGTTGTCTTTTCTGGCGTGGTCCCCGAGAACGAGCAAATAAACAAGAGTAGGAATGATCTCTGTCAAGCTCATGGGGCATTCACGTTCGAATTTGACACTTCACTTGTCTTACTCACGGGTTGTTCAAGCCGCCCTGGGAGCATGAGGGAGAATATGATCGGTGGCAGGTGCTCAGTCATTCCGAACCGCCCGGATTTTTCCTCGATCTCGTGTTTTCGTTTCCAGGCACACGACAGAGGCGACCACCAGAAGCAACCGTACTAGCGGATGAACAACATATATCCCTCATGTACGTAGGCTCGATCGACGATCACAGCTGGGTCCATAACGATAAACCCCTCGCGCGAAAATTAGCATACAGCCGATGTTTGCGTGGCCGACGTTACCCATCGACAGGCGCTCACGATTTACGGCACACCAGCCAACACTCGCCCCAGCGCTGAACTCGTGATGAATGTCCTGCGATGGGGTGCGAGAACCTCGCTGACAACTAAAATGTTGCGGCTGACACCCGTGCTATGTTGATACACGAGCTGTGGTAGCTAGTACGAGCATCTTCACCTGTCAATCCCTGCGCACGCCGAGTCATGATCGCAACCACGGATGGTCGCGTGGACGGATCTTCGTCGTTTTCTTGTGCCAAAGTGATAGCAGCGATAAGTAGGCCTCCTGGCTTACCGAGCGAAATCATTGTCGCGCGATGCGCCTCGTAAACTAGGTAGTAAAGTGATGCGCATCAATCCGGGCCCTCGCGCACACGCGATGCGGTTTTTTTTGTGTCCATCTTTGACCGCGCTGCGAAACCCGGCCTTCAGTCGTGTGCGTGCTCGCAACTGGCGAGGACTCGGTGGTCGGTGATGTCATATGCGCACGTGCTGCCTTGATACGCGTCGGCTGCACGAACTCCGCCCGAATCGGCTGTGTGATAATTTTCGCGTGAGGGATCTAGTATCGACATGGACCCAGCTGCAACATCCAACGGCCAGCAGGCTCCAGCAGGTTGGGTCAAACTCCGCCACGCCCTGGCGGCCGGTTCACCAACCAGCTGCTCAAACCGGCCGCCCGTTGGTAGGACCGCCCGGAACTTGGAAGAATCGCGCCTCTTGGCCTCTGGAAATGTCGTAGCTCCCTTGTGCGAGTCTTTCCAGCTCACTCCAGTGCGCGAGTTATTGCGATTAGTGAGTCATGAAGAATTAGTATGTCGTATATTCGACATAAACCCCTGCTCCTCGAAACAGAACCGGGGTCCGGAGGGAGCATAGCACAATTGTCGTAGCCCACAGGAACTACCATAGCACTTCACGGTTGCAGGAGTTTGCTTATGCTCGAAGTCGTGGCTTCGAGGTGTCGCAAATGGTACATCGTGAGCCACGGGTCGGCCCAACCACGCGAATCGCGCGACGACGAGAGGGTGGGGAAGGGCGTCGCTGTCCGCAGGATCGCCGGACTGGAGTTGGACGGATTGCCGGCTTCCGCGACGTCAAAGAAAGCTGCTGACGTCTGTGCAAAAAGTCAGGCGTGTCCGGCGCAACCTGTTGCGCATGCACATGGTAAATACCCGCTCATGTGCGTATGGAACGTGCCACATTCCAGACGACGCTAGCGGGTTGATGACGAGCGAGGACGAGAAGGACGGCGCACAGTGAGCCACGCCCCACGCCGGTGAGCGGATACAGTACGTGAATCGGGTGAGGCCCCGCGGAACGGTGATGAGCGCATCGCGCGGGAACGTTGCCATCGCCGGCGGGCGCACAGAAGAGTCGGACAATATGTAGGTATGCACATGCAGGGAGGAGTCGATGGATTTGGAATTTAAAACTCGGGGTTGTTGGTATGGCTTCGGTATCCTCGATGTTGCTTTCATGTACGGCATCTATTCATACCGATCCCGGAACTATATGTAGGACTGCTCCGACTAAGTACACAAACACCGATGGGGCGTGATATAACAATACACACAAAGTTACTGCAGACACAGACCAATGTCCTTCTGCCGCGTCCCTGGTCGAACAGGAGACGGCGCTCTATGGATAGGCGATGACAATCTCACACCTTCGGGCTCTTCGCACGGTGGTTCGCCGGCAGCAGGTCCGGCGCGTCCCGCAGCCCGCGTTCTCTGTCAACGTCAAGCCCGCGCGGAAACTGTCAGCCGTGCCATATCTCCGACGCAGCAAAAGCACCCACATCTCGTCGATGGCGACCATCAGGTCGTGGTTGACCTCCTTCGACACCACCGAGTCGAACTCGTACTTCGGGTGCGAGCGCACGAACTCGCGGATCCAGCTCGCCGCGGTCTGCAGCCGCCCGTCCGTGCGCCGGCGCACGAGGTCGAGGTAGTCCTCGATCCGGGCGAGCGCCGCCGGCTCGATGTCGAGCGTGTCGAGGTACATGTACACGAGGTTGAGCAGCCCGGGGAAGGTCGTGCCGGTCTGTGTGGGCGAGCGGGGTCAGCCTACGAGGTCGAGCTATCGCACGGCCAAGCGCGGTTCAGCGATCTGCCAGTCGTCGGGCAGAACGACTCGCGGGACAAGAGAAGAGACGTCGCGCGGCGGCCGCGGATGCAGAAGACGTCGCATCGAACTCCCATCCAGAACTCCGCTCACCTTCCCGTTCATGATCTCTTCCATGGTCATCTCCTCGTACTCGTCAGCTACCGTCTTGGCGATTACAGCATCATCTGGCATGGGCGGCAAAGGGAAGCAGTTGCGCAGCTTTTTCTCCTTTCCGTTTACCCCATTGACAACGATGGGGTTGCCGTGCTCGCTGATGGGCGACCCCGGTGTGGAGGATGCGCACGAAGATGGAGCAGACGATGCCGAGGGGAAGACCTCCTTGCGGAAGTAGAAGCGTTGCGCGCGGACCGCGTCACGCGTCTGAGCCCGAGCCATATTCTCGTCCACCTGTAGACCGTGTGAGCACGTGTGTAGACGGTTGGGTGGCAAATATAGAGTGGGAGATCGATTAAGATGGAAGGGTGCGGGTGCGATCATATAGACGGTCTGAAGAGTCGAAACCAAGGACATACCTTGGAGATGGGGATGTAGAGGTTGAGATTAAAGTGTAGGATGGCACGGGAGAGGAGAACAATGAAGCACGCAAATGCCGCATTCTCGAAATCTGTCAACTGCACCTCCATGGGCCGGAACTCCACGCGCCAGCCAATGGATGAGCCGGCGGGAGGTGGCTTGAAACGCAATGTCTGCCAGTTGGTCGATTGGATGTTCTGCAAGATTGTGTCAGCTTAGACAACAAAGATGCCAGAACGTCTCTCAGGCTCACTTCGAAGTGATCGGTGCTGACTGTGTCATCTTGGTGGATGGTCTCGGAGAATATTACCAGGGGGTCCCGAATAAATAGATGTGCGATATGTCTCGAAAGCAACTCGTCGACGCCTGCTCAGACGAATGAGGTACCCCACGACGTTGTGGATTGGGCTAACTCACCATGTTCGCGCAGACGGTCAAAGATAGCAGGGTCGTGAGGTGCGTCTATGTCGTTATAGTCCTTGGGACGGTTCATCCAGTACTCGGAAATATACAGGCTGACGCTATCATAGCGTGATTTCGGGATTTTGAAGCGGCCTTCTTTGAGCGGCTTTGGATGCAAAGTTGAAGATTATGGTTAAAACTGAGAATTCTTGGAACCGTACCTTCAAGCCCCGCTCCTCTTCTGTTCTGTCGTCTACGCAACCTGAGATAACATCCCATCTGCAATCGACGTTGGCGATATACCCTCGCCACAGCGGGCTAGCAGCTGTAAGAGCGAGCTGGAAGCAAGCATTGTATTAGTCGCAGTCTTCACCACGGTGCCCGCAGGTCGTACCATAAGTGGAGCAATCGGAATGAGAGCGTCATACAACCGCCGCGCCTCATTGATATTACAAGCCTGGAACGTGAGTTGAAGACAACTGCAGCCCATTCCGAAGCCCATCGCGTCCATGTAGATGTGGTCTATAAGCGCCGCTCCCTGCTTCGCCTCTGCGAAACGGTCAGTAAATGTCACGCGCGTTTAGTTGAGCGTACGCACCAGGATCCTCTGGGTACAGTGTTCGCTGCCATGGAATTGTGGGATCGACGAACGGGCGGGGAGTGCGCGAGTCAATAAAGAGCGGGAGGTTGATGGCCACCTTCGCACCCCTCCGCCTTCTGATGTTAGCGGTGAGCGTCCTGGAAAGCACGGCGGTTTGAGCCCTGGACTGGTCACAAGAAGGAAGACCACCGACGGGAAACGTGCATGGGGGTTTGTGATCTCCTCCGGGAGGAAGAAGCTGTGGCTCGACTCGGCGTCTTCAGGGTCGTAGTGCGGCTCGGTAAATACGCCCGGTGCTCCGAGGCGTGGGTATGATGTCATGGTGAACGGAATTTCATTGTCCTTGAGATGCTTGCGGGCGAGCGCGCGGCTACAGCAGAAATTCAGCATATATGCCCTATAAGCACCCCAGACCGGAGGAGAGAAGAGGCACAGAGGGAGCCGGGTCGTCTTCCACAGCCTCGTGACCTTGCCTGCTCAGGTCATAGCACACCCCAGAAAGCCTAGTCCAAGGGCGGACAGATGGGCTGCAGTGAAGGATGATGCACGTACCGATGGCGCATGTCGCTCTCGACGGAGAGCAGATCACGGATCTCCCCCGTGTACGGGGCTCCGGGAGTGGACTCGAGCATGAACCGGCCATACTCGGGGTGGAAGGTGGGCACGGACTGCCTGCGCAGGGTAAGAGAATGCGTATAGTGCATGCGCGGGCACGCAAGCACGATGACCTACGAGTCTCCCCGGGTGTCTGCGATATCGTCCGTAATGGCCTGGAGCTTGGCGAGGATCTCGGTCTGGCGGAGGGAGAGCTTCGCGTTCTTGTCCTGATCGTCGAACGCGGCGACCATGTACTCGACCTGCGGGCGCGGGCGCGGGCGAAGGTGGCAGGCGCATGTCCAATCGCGTAGTGGGAAGGGAAGCGAGGGCGCGTGGATTTCATCAACGGGCGGCCTCGAGGCTCTGGAACGGGCGCACCTCGTCTCCCCAGAGGAGTTCGTCGCCGTGCCGGTCCTTGAGACGATCCCAGATATGAAGGAACTGGGTGATACCATGCGTCCTGACATGATCCGCGTATGGCTTTGTCTCGTCCCAGGTGAGGGGTGTGCCGAGATAGAGGAGGCCCATGATGGCGCAAGGGTGGCGAGCACGGAAGGGCAGAGAGCGAGATCGCGGGGGAGACGGGCGGGAAGCGCGTCGATATATCGTTCAGGCGGCGGGCAAGATGACAAAGAGTGGCGTGCAGAGCGAGAAGGGCATTGGAGAAAAGGATTGGTCGGTCTGAGTCAGCACTGCGTTTGGATGGTGCAAATCTTCGCAATCCGCGGGTGTCCGCTCAATCCCTCCGCGTGCGCGTCCCGGCCCGGCATCGATCTCGCGCCCTTGTGCTATGCCGTCAGCGACCGGCGCACGGCTGCGAGCGTGGGTGTCGAGAGACTCGTCGGTGTCCTGTCCGACCTCCGGGTACTGTACCCCGAAAGGAGAATCCGAGCGGTCTGTGCACCCAAGTAACCACGTCTTGCCACCGATGACCGAGCACCCTTCTTTCGCGAACTCAAGCGAGCCTCCAATTCCGAATTGAGCGTTCTGTCATCTACCGGCCTTCGGCCCTCGGCATATCCTCAGCATTCATTCTATCAAACTTCCTTTGTATCTCGTTGCTCGATGACTTCTTCTCCATTTTGATTCCAAATCCACCGATGATACGGAACACATAACGCGCAGCGCGCCGGGAGGCAATCTCACAGTGTGGCACTCATCCTGATACTGAGCACAACAGCGCCTAACAGCTTAGAGGTCGAGCGCGCGTTCATCGGTGTGAGCTCAGTCAGGTTTCGTCAGATCGGGCCTCCGCTGCCGTTCATGAGAATCCCCGCGGCGGCTCTGTAAGAATAGCGCGGAAGCGATCTATAGAGAACGAGCATCAACGAGGAACAGTGAGCGGGACGAGCATCACAGCAGGCGTGAAACATACGATCAGCCATTGCTCCCGTTCGTCGTCCACTTCAGGAGAATCTTCAGCGCCAGCAGGACGTGCCGCAGCGCTCGCGTCCACGCCTCCTCCTGGCTGAACTGCTGCTTGACCGACGCCTCGCCGATCTTGTCCTTCACGATCCTACGGGAGACGGTCAGCAGAGCAGCGGACCACGTTCGCCAGCTCACATGCCCGCGCGGATCCCCGCGAAAGGAACGGCGAGAGTAAAAGGGGATATCGGACGTACTGGTGCGGGAAGTCGACCTGCGGGTCCTGTGACTTCACATAGTCCATGAGTTGCTTGAGGCAGTCGAGGAATGCCACCATCGCAAAGTCGAAGCGCCGGTTGTGGAGGAGTCGTCCGAAGTGCAGATCGCCGGAGCCGTAGAGCTCATACGTCGCCTTGTCACCCGTGGTGCGCTCGATCCGCGAAAAAGACCCCATCGGTACCAGACGATAGCTGTGGATGCTTAATGTCAGTAGACGACGCAGTCAGCAGCTGCGCAGGGACGCACTTCTCGAAGGTAAAGTCGAGCTTGCGCGCCATCGTGTAGAGCAGAAGCAGCGTCTGTCCCCAAGCCGCGTTTATCTCGGCCCACTCGACCTGTTAAGCGTCCCAAAGGTCAGGTGTGATGAGCCCAGTCGCTTAATACGTGCGCACCATGACTCCTGAAACACGGCCAAGGCGAAGCCCGTTTATAGTTCCAAACACGCCGTCATGCCCGATGCAGAACGCGTCGTTGTATACGTTGGTACGCTCAAGCTTCTCGAGAACCGCCGAGTCTGCTGCGTAAGCTGCCCGGAGAGACGCCAGCGTGGCCGCTTGCTCGGCCGACTTGAGCAGCTGTGCGTTGTGCTGGCGCCAGAACCTGCGCCGCAAAGTCAACGTCGCGTCAGGAGAACAAGGGATTGCCCGTCTCACTCAGCCTCCTCCTCCTCAAGCGTTTCCTCCTCGCGCTCGAGACCCTTCAACTCCTCCTCGAGCTGTTGGCGCTCGCGCTCTGCCGCCTTGAGCTGCTCCACCGCAAGTCGCTCCTCTTCCTTGAGCCGCTCGATCTTCGACTCCGCTTCCGCCTTCGCCTGCGGACCTCCCTCGCGCTCGCGCTCCTTGCGGACCTCCTTCTCGAACGCAATGTACCCATCGCGCTCCTTCTTCGTCTCCTCGAGCTGGCGCGTGAGCGTTCCGAGGAGGATGTGTGTGCACTCCGCGCAGAGCGGATGGTCGAGGTCCGTCCGGCTGGAGAGGAGGTTGAACAGCCGCAGCGATGAGCGCAGGTGGTGTGACAGCGGAGATGGGTTCGGATGCCCGACCTCCTCTGCAAATGGTGCAGGGGCCGGCGCGGGCGCTGGGGCTCGAGCCTTCGCCGTCGACGGCTTCTTGCTGTGTGTGGGCGAGGGGAGCGTCGCGGGGATAGTGCGGATCACGGAGTCCTGCAGGAGAACGAACGACTCGTTGGGATGTGCGGGCACGCGTGGGGGCTTCCGCTGGTTGCTGGGAGAGGCAGGTTGGAGAGTTGAATGCAGATCCGGAGGGGGAGGAGGGGCTATTCTGCATCGAGCTTCTCCATGCCGCTTTAGCCGACGATGGAGAGGAAGTTGGGCAAGCTTCTCTGCGCCTGACGTTTGCCGGCCGTGTGTGGAGGGTGAAGGGGGTAGCGACGACGCGACAATGTCATATGCAGACGGCGCTAGATCCACCAACGAGGCATCCAGCTGGTACACCTACTTTAATACCAGAAATACCGAGACGAATATAGGACCTACTTGCAATGGCTGTTTACACTGCTGACATACGAAGTTCATGGTGTGCTGTAACGGTTATAACTACTGCCGGGGTATCGCAGACGATGGCGTTGTGGAGAGCGGTGGATCAAGCTCGTGTCTAAGATATACATTCAGCACGCATAAAAGCGCTTTTAGAGGCTGGATGAACCTTGACAATGAATGTCTCGGATTTTGGCCGTGGTGGCGGAGACGGAACAAGTGGCATGTGTCGCGGAGCGCCCCCGTAAGTGACGCAAGCGCCTAAGCGCCTAATTGCTTACCTCGAGTTCTTCTAACTTTTACCACAACCACAACCTTCATCGTTACCTCCCCTTCCCCTTCTCTTCATCTGGGCGCGCCAAAGCAATGACAATCTATGTATTATCTACTGCGAAAGACTACGACCCTCCATACTGATATCACGGTATAATTCAACACAGTAAGATGCCCAGGCATCGGCCCGCGACTCGCCTTGGAATGACGTCCTTTCTATTAGTGCTGTGAGGGCTTTGTGCTACTCCCTCTCATTTCGCGGGTGAATTCTACTCCTTCAGGTCATACTTTCAGTCTCATACTTGTTGCTGCCGGCGCATTGCTGTCGATCCGTATGCCACAGCTCGAACATCCTCATCGGCAGGTCGAAGCGCAGTGATTTCGCTGCGGTCTGCGAATTAATGGGCGCCAGGAGACACATGCTTGCAATGCCTCCAGGCAATGGCTTGCTGTGGATTCCGAGTAAAAGGCTCTCTGTCCGCCCACAACCATGACAAGACTCACTCGCCTTCGCGTTTCCTATCACAAGCCCCCACAAAAGACCACAAAGACCTCTCGTATTCATGTATGCATGATGGTTTTGATCTTATTCTGTGTCGCTGACGCTTCTGCCCAGACTATGGCCGGACAGGTCTTCGCACTTCTCGTCGGAATCGACAAGTATCAGTCTAGTACAACCTGGAATCTCAATGCCGCCGTCGACGACGCTCGTAGCGTTCAGAACTGGCTCATCAATGATCTCCAGGTTCCTCGGAGTAACATCTGCACTCTCCTCGACGGCCACGCGACCAAGCACAACATCGAGGAGAAGTTCACGAGCCATCTCGTCAACAACGCTGCCATCGAACCCGGCGACGCCATCATCTTCTACTTCGCAGGGCATGGCAGCAGCATCCGTGCGCCAGCGGGCTGGTTTGACCGTGGTCGCGGTGACGTTCCTGTCCTCTGCACACATGACTACGACACCAAGCTTCCGAAGGGGCACGCCAATGCTGGGATATCCGACCGCTCCCTACACGCCATGCTCCATGACCTCTCGCGCGTGAAGGGCGACAACATCACACTCATCTTGGACACGTGCTTCTGTCTTCCTCCGACCGACGGCCAGGAGCCGAAGGAGCGCCACTACACCCGCTACACCCCTGCGTGTCGGGCAACCTCTGAGGACTTGCTGGCGGGTCTCTGGCCCAGTGCATCGCCGCAAAAGGCTGAACCCATGAAGAACCGAGGATTCACCGGCATTACCTCTGACTCGCATGTCGTGCTGGCCGCGAGCAGCACGGGCTGGGCTGCGACGGAGCGCAAAGACGGCGGGAACCTCACACGCGCCCTACTCTCCCTCAAAGACGCCCGGCCCATCCACAAATTCACCTATTCCGACCTCCCCTCCGAGCTCGCGCCCTACATGGGCGACCACCAATACGCCGCAGTCGCCGGAGACAACGTCGATCGGGTGCTCTTCGACGGCGTGCCCTTCGCCCGCGACACGCGCTTCGTCGCCGCTACCCCGCACGACCACGAGCGCATGCAAGTCGACGCCGGGGAGATCCAAGGCATCTCCGAGGGCACCGAGCTCGGCCTCTATCCCCACAATTGCCGCGGCTCCCTGAACACGCCGTTGGGGACGTACCTCGTCACCGAGGTGTACCCCACGTGGTGCCTCGCGAAGCCCAAGTCCCCGGCAAAGCACCCGCTGCGCGAGGGCTGGGCCCGTGTCGCGCGCTGGAACGCCCCCACCCGTTCCGTGTGCACCTCAAGCCCTCCCTCTTCCACTTCCTCCGCCGCGCCCGCCTCGCGCGGAAGCTCCCCTCGCGCGCCGCGCCGCGGACAAGCTGCGACCGAGCGTCCTGCGCGTGCGCGACACCGCCGACGCCGACGCGTCCGTGTCGCTCGGCTGCCACGAGCTCACCGTGCAGCGCCGCGACGCGCTCGTCTCGACGCACTGCCGCGGGACGCTGCACCTACCGAGCGCGGGGACCCGCAGCGACCTCAAGACCGTCGAGGCCGCCGCGCGCTTCCACATGCACCTCTACCGACGGCACCCCGCCCGGCCCTTCAAGGACGCGGTGGGCATGGAGCTCTACCGGCTCGACCCGGCGACGTGGACGCGCGCGAGCGCGAACCTGCTCGTCAAGGGCCGCGCCCGCATCGTCGAGTCCGCTGCGTCCACGCCCGGGTCTGGGTCTGGGGTGGCGGCGGGCGAGAAGGGCGGGGAGCCCGCCGGGAGCGCGATCTACGCCGTCGTGCTCCGCAACGACTCCGACGCGGACCTCTGGCCGTACCTCGCCTACATGGACGCCGGCGGGTACAGCATCGCGCTCGTGTACCACCCCGACCCCGGGGGCGCGCCGCCGCTCCGCGCGCACTCCCGCATGGTCATCGGCTCGGGCGCGACGGAGTCCGAGGCGCTGTCGTTCGCGCTCGCGGACGGGGCGGACAGCGGCGCGGGGTTCCTGAAGCTGTTCCTTTCCACGACGTACACTCCGATGACGGTGCTCGAGCAAGGCACCGCGACGGGCTCGGGGCCGGTCGAGTCGCTGTACGGGCCTGGCAGCAAGTCTAGGACTATGAAGATTGTGCCGGACAGTACCAAGTGGGACTCGGTTCTGGCGTCGATCACGGTAGTCAGGACATCGACTTGACTGTGTGCCATGTATGAATGCATCTGTTTGCTTTACGGAGGTGTCGTTTGTGTATGTCGTGGCTTATTTATTCGACCCGTTCACGCAATGTACTTAGCCTGGGCTCGAGACCCGTGAAATGTATGCATATCAAAATGTGGGCTGACGCGAGCGACGGGATCGTTGACCATTGCAGTTGTCTTGTAATTGACCATTGGCTGGGTTCCGTAAACTGATAAGGACACGATGCACTAATCGTTTCACCTCATATCCGTGCCGAGTCGCGCTGCTCTCACTTTCCTCTGTGCAGCTTGAATGATGCTTGAACGCCCTTCCCTGCCTTGATATCCTCCATGCACTTCGCGTCGATCTCTCTACCCTTCGCCGCCAACGCCGCGACTTCCTCCGCTTGGTTCGTCGGAACACACACGACTCCATCTTCGTCCGCTACGATCCAATCTCCTGGCTCCACCTCCACCGCTGGGAACTCGCCAGCAGACGAGCCGTGCACCGACGGCAGGACGGTGACGGGGACGTTAACTTGAGACGGACGCGTGAAGGGGGACTGGCCGAGTGTGGAGTGACCGCGCGCGAAGACGGGAAAGTCCGCCGCGCGGTGTTCCGCGAGGTCTCTGCAGCGACCTGCGATGACCACGCCCAGTGCCCCGCGGGCCTGCGCGCCGGCCGTCATGAGACCGCCCCAGACAGCGTTCTTCACACCTACGAGCGCGATATAATTTGGCTGAGCGCATAAAGCGGAGAGATGGGACGGACCTGGAGGTGCGTTGACGAGGATAACGGACCCCTCGGGCGCGGTGTCGACGAAATGCTGCGACAGCTTTGGGCCATCTTGGGATGCAGCGATCATCTGCACGGTGTATGCGGGGCCGCACAGGCGTGTGGAGGCGGAGGACGGAGAGAACATGTTCATGTCCGGGATGTATCCGCCGTGGGGAGACCCGAGCTTGATGAGCGCATCGGAGAGCTCACAGGTCGAGAAGTCTGCGAGTTTGGACTGCATCTGGCTGACAGTGGAGGATATGTGTGCACTTGAAGGAGCCAGGCGGCGTGCTGGATGGTGGAGGATAAGGAAAGACATGAGCAGCTTGAGAGGTGCATGGCGGAGAGTGCGGAAAGCCGGGAGTTTGTGCGGAGGCAAAGACGCGGACAATCAGGAGGGCCTGCTCCTGGGGCCGGAATGGAGATGACGTCGAGGGGAAGCTTAACTCATTAGCAAGACTTATACTTACGCGAAATAGCCTGCGTAATTCGGCGCGTATTGCACGCCGTCGTCGACCGCAAGCGGCGAGCGGAAGCTCCTCGCGCCACAGCTTTGCACCTTTCCTCCGACCACTTTCCTGCTTTCTCGCTCTCCGTGCTTGCCATCTGCCCACGCTCTCTACGCTTCCCCCTCCTCACGCAATCTCTCCTTGGGACGCAAAGCAGCTTCCGTTCGGCGCCAGTCTGCTGTCACTATGCTTGGCCTTCCCGACTCCTCCGCACCGTCCGAGACGGTGTGGGTGCGCACTGCTCGAACATCGAAGAAAGCGGCGCGCAGGATGAACAAGGCTATCATGAAGTCTCACCACTTTCAGATCCACTACTATGATATGCCTCTCCGCTTGAGGACGGTGCGTCTGCTGCCTTCCTCAGGTCTCGCCATAGATGTGGCTGACACGCCTTCAGTGGTTTGTCCTCTTCACCGCCCTTATCCTCGTTGGACTTGCATTGCTGGGGTTCACCAATTTCTCGCATGCTTTACCTCTCAACGATAAAGTGCTCCACTTCTTTTGCATGGGCTTCTCGACGGGGGTGTTCTATTTCATTTTTGATGTTGAGGAGTAAGTATTCACGGCTCTATTGCCCCGCCCCACCGTCCTTGACATATCATTCAAACTGCATAGAGACGCCCGGCGCATTTGGTTCTGGCGCAACGCTCCCTTGGTTTTCACCGGAGTAATCTGCTTCTTCCTGGGGGCATCGTCAGTGAGTTTGTCCAGTCGATGTTACCGGTACGTTCTCGCAACCCCGTGTTTCGGTTACTACGCACTGAGGCAAAAATAGTACAAGGAATTCCAGGTCGGCGATGTTGCGGTCAGTCGCTCATGGCACACATGGACGCACTAATTACTAACGAGTATCACATCACATCTTTAGGCGAACTTGCTGGGGTCGACGGTGGGACTGTATATTTCGTATCATCTCGAGAAGTACTACAGGCACAGGCGCGAGGTAAGCCGCGCATCTGTCATGCACACCGCGCTCATCTACTGACAACATTGAATTCCAGATTTCGCGTCTATACCGGCCGCTCGACATGGAAGTGGACCCTATGTCGGAAGAAGATGAGGATGACGAAGACGTGAGCGGGACACGGCTTTTGCCCTTGCACAACTTGCCGGGTCCAGCTGCAAAATCGCCCCGGTCAGCCTCAAGCGGACGGGGCAGTATAAACCCACGCGCCTCTCGGACGTGTGGGATGAGCGAGAAGAGCTGTTCGACATCGGCGACGAGAGCGACGAGGAGCTCAACACGCCGCGCCCCCATGCTCAGGGTAGCGCACCCCCAAGATCGTGGTGACCGAGGACTAATTTATCTCGATGTACTCTCTCGGGCACCCATGTACTGTATACCTTGCGCACAGACACTCTACTTTCTATTTGGATATAATGGCTATATATTTGGCGTTTTCTCATTCTTTTTCACCTCCGGGGAATCGGGTCGCGCGGAGCGTGCCAGCGGCCCGCGAAACAGGCGCGTCGTCGCGCGGCGCGTTTCGCCATGATCGCGACTCTCATCCATGCCGACATGTCTGGCTCCCTCCTCCGGCCTTCTTCGCCCTTCAGCGCACCCTCATAGCCTCATTCTCGTGCCACAGCCCTGTGGGCCACCTCTCGTCGGCCTGCACGTCTGTCGGAAGCGTTCGGCACGCGTCGAGCATCCCCAGGCCTTCCGTGAAGACCGAGGAACGGAAGGCGCAAGTGCTCACCGCGCTGCACAAAACCACGTCCCTCATTCCTCGCATATTGTCGAATCAAAAGCCGACGCCTGGTGTTGTCGCTCCGCGGGAGTCTCTGGCGTTCTGGCAGGACGTGCTGAGCGGTGTGTATGAGGTTCTGACACTATCGTCGGAGCAGCGAGCGAAGGATGTTGTGAGGATTGCAGGTGAGTCTTGGGTGGAGCTTTGAGCGTTACAGTTCATTGAGCGAATGCGTGGTTGACCTGCGGCTTCCAGTGTACGGTATGGATGAGCTGTCGGGAGCGGGCGAGCTGGTGACTGCTCTGCTCGAAGATCCGTTTGCCTCAGACGAGCAGAAGCGAATACTCCGGTCTCGCTGGGAGTCACGCCAGAGGGGACTCGGGCAGTGAGGATTCGGTGCGTGTCTTTCGCGGCGTTCGTGTTTGTGTTCACGTACAGCAGGTATGGGACCTCGGAGTCAAGTGCCGAAGACGTCATTGCCCTCGAGTCTCCGTGGCTTCGCCAGTTCGGCGTGCCCGTCGAAATCGCTGAGTTCAAAACCTCAAAACTCTCGCAGCTGGTGTCTGGCCAGGAGGTTTCGAAAGCAATATACACGGCCGACGTCGTGGTAGTGCTTGCAACCCTGTGTCCACCGCTCTGCCTTCCGTTCCTTCCTCCGCATCCTCACTCCCTCTATCTCGTGAAGGCACCGTCCTCGCTGTCACCTCAGCTCTTTCCCAGCATCAACAGCAACATCGGAAGCAGCATAATTGCATCACTCGCCTTACAGCCGGCATTGCATGTCGTGTTTGTCGACCCAACACGCGCCGTGCAAGGGCTGGACGCTTTCTCATCCGGGCTGGCATCAGCATCCTCCGTAGAGCGGTATCAGGACAATTCTCCGGGTCAAACGTTTCCGGAGTCACCCGTGCAGTCCAAGACATCCTATCCTCTTCTACAACAACCGTCGAAGTGCACATCCAGACCGGTCGCGCGCTCATTCTCGACGCCTCCATGAATGTCGCGCAGCCCTATTGAAAGCAGAGATTGAGGCAGACGCCGTCCTCACCCGCACCAGACTCTGCGCGTGCAGATGGAGGAGGCGAAGGCGAAGGTCCACCTCGAGGTATTCGGAAACGAGCAAAAGGGCGCCGACGAGATCGTCAAGGCCCTCGCCCACGCGAAGAGCTCCGTCAAGGCGACCATGGACGCTTTGCAATGGTACAAACTCTCTGGCGCGTCGACGATGTCGCGAGGTCGTCACCGCGGCCGTAGACCGGGCATGGTGTCGGGACCTCGAGCGCAAGGTCCGTCCTCTCCCTCCCTAGCGTCCGACCGCTCACCCGTCCATCCCCACACAGCTCGTCTTCCACGCCGGCCGCCTCGCCGCGCTCCAAACCTCCTTCACCGACGCCGCCACCGCGCTCTGCCGCACCTTCCCGCCCTCCTCCGCCTACCACTCCCCCGTGCTCCTCAACGCCCTCGCCCGCCTCTCCAGCGCCCCCGCTTTCCCGCTGCCCCCCTCCACGCTCACCGCGCCGCTGCACGCGCGCCAGGCGCAGCTCGCTCACCCGACCGCCCGCTTGCACGCCGCCGCCCAGCGCGCCGTGCTCACGCTCGCGGGGAGCACCCTCGGCGGCCTCGGCGTCGCCTGGGCGGGCTGGGCGTCGGAGCTCCGCGTCCTCGACGTCGGGCTCGGGGCGGAGACCGCGCTCGGGGCGGGCATGCTTGGGGCGGCGCTCGGGGTGCGCTGGGCCGTCGGCGCGTGGGAGCGCGCGAAGCGGCGGTGGTGGCGGGACTGGGGCCGCGTCGGGGAGGGGCTCGAGCGCGATCTCAGGGTGCGTGCTGTTGGTGCGGTTTTGGACGTGGTCGTGCTGACTGGCCGTATCTCTTTGTAGGTCGCCTTGATCCAGACGATGGAACAGCGGGTGACAAGTGTCTCAGACGCTGCGTGTTTGGGGCTGGAGGGCATGGTTGTCAAACGGAAGGCAGAAGTAGGAGAGCTGAAGGAGGAGATTGAGGCTCTGGGACAGACAATTCAAGCGGCGAGCCGTTGATATATATTTAAAACGCAAATGCAAAATTCTGCTGCTATAAAAATCCACTCAAGTCGCCTGGCGTTGGATGAGTGGTTGCTGGGATAGTTATCCATTTGTCGTCTCGGCCCAAAATACAGTCTTGATACCTATAAGTACACTGAACGGGAGTCGAACCCGTGCCGCTTGCTTGGAAGGCAAGCATGATACCGTTTCACCATCAGTGTCTCCAACACACATTCTCATTAGCATACATGTACACTGGGGGGACGACATTAGGGTTTACAGTACTTGGAAATATTAACATCATCAGTCTAGGACAGCATACTTCTGCAAATGTTCTGGAATGGCGTCCCTCAAACCCTTCGACTGCAGCCACGCCTTCGAGAACAGCCTGCTCTGATACCTGTACGCGCCATCGCACAAGATGGTCGCCACGGTCTTGCCTATGGAACGCTACGTCAGCACTCGCATGGACGCACAAGTAGAAAACGAACCTGGACCGAGGTGCTGTGCGAGCTCCACGGCGGCGACAACGTTCAGTGCGGTGCTCGCGCCGACGTATAATCCCTCAGAATCCAACAGATCATACATCATCGCGATGGTCTTCTCGTCCGGGATGTTCAGCGCCCCATCGAGCTGTTCGACGAAGGTGCCCAGGTTGTTCGTGATGCGCCCTTGGCCGATACCTGCGCACCCGTCCGCCCGTCAGCACGCCGTAATGCAGACTGACGCAGACGCAGACGCACCCTCGGTGATCGACCCCCCACTGCGCTCCTTCAGCTTCCCCCCGCTCGTCACATAGCTGTGGAGCACGCTGCCCGGCGGGTCCGCGAGCCACACCTGCGTCCGCCCCCCGCTCCTCTCCTTGAGCGCGCGCCCGACGCCGGCGAGCGTGCCGCCGGTGCCGGTCGCGCAGACGAACGCGTCGAGCGCGCCGCCGGTCTGCGCCCAGATCTCGGGCCCGGTCGTGCGGTAGTGCGCGTCCGCGTTCGCGGTGTTGTCGAACTGGTCCGTCCAGACCGCGTTCTCGAGGCCGGCGGCGAACGCCTTCGCCTGGTGGTTGTAGTTCTGCGGGTGCTCGTACGCGACCGCGGGCACGGGGTGCACCTCCGCGCCGAGCATGCGTAGGAGGTCGATCTTCTCTTGGCTCTGTGCGGGGGGTGCCGGAAGAAGGGGGTGGAAGGAAGGGACGAAAGGAAAGACGGAAAGGGAAAGAAGTGGGCGTCGGCCTTCGTTCTCGTAAGGCGGATGGGGTTAACGTACCTGTGTGTTCGGCATGAAGATCACGCAGCGGTACCCTCGCGCCCGGCAGACATGGGCCAGACCGATGCCCGTGTTCCCTGCGGTGCCCTCGACGACAGTTCCTCCGGGCTTCAAGCTGTGGAGGGGCGGTCACGACACACGGCGCAGTGCAAGGCAGCGAGCGACTTACACCCCCCGCTGCTCTGCGTCCAGGACGACCCCAAGGGCTGCGCGGTCCTTGACGCTGCCTCCCGGGTTTTGCAGCTCACTCTTCGCGAGGATGTTGCAGCCAGTCGCCTTCGAGACCTTCTCGAGGCGGATCTACATGTGTGACAGACGAAGCGACGCGTGAACACGGCGTATGCGCGCGAAGCAGGGGAGAACGGCGTGACGTACGAGTGGGGTGTTTCCGAGCGCACCGACGAACCCATCGACGGCGCGAGACGTGAACGAGCGCGTGACCGGCCTCGCCGCGGCGCGTGCTCTCAAGACAACAGCGAGGACCATGGCGGACGGCGTGCGGTTAAGAGAGGGAGAGAGGTGAGGCCCGCGCAGGGATGATGTTTGAGGAATTTCATACTATGCGGCGGTCGAGGTGCCTTTTCAAGGTCGGAAAGCACTGAAGGCGTCATCTTCGGTCACGATTAGCAACTTGGTCGGATTATGTCACCTAACCGCGTTGTTATTCAACCATTTCAAACCGCTCTTAATTCTTACGCCCGGAGGCCGGCCTCGTGCCAGGCCTCGGCACGCTTTCTAACATGGGCATCAGCATCAATGGTCGCAGCAAGCAAACGGCGGCGACATATGGGATGCATATTCGGAATTAACGCGGGCTGAGTGGTAATCGAGCGGAAGGGGAGGCGACCGAAGCTCCATGATGTATTGCAGGAAGGACAGGAAGGTGATAGCACAGGGGACGAATGCGAGGACCATGGGACGCAGACGAGACGAAGGCGAGTCGGAAAAGAAGCTGGCGGTGGCCTGTGAATTAAAGTGTGATTACAGGCGCATCGTCGAGAATGGAACGGAAAGCACACATGAACACGGAAGGGAGGAACGAGGCAGCCGGAAGGTAGGTACACAGAGGGGTGCGAAACGTGTGGACAAAGTCCGTCGTGCGTGCGTGCGTGCGTCGTGGAGGCCGTTACATGGTCGAGATCACCAGGTACTTATGGGGGTATAGAGCAGGATGAGAGAGAACCGAACCGATTCGCAGAGAACCAGACCCACGCCTACACTCTACTGCTGACGCTTCTTCACATTCTGCGAGAGCCATTGCAGGCCCTCGAAGAGGCCCTCACCCGTTGTGGCACAACTGGAGAACGGTAAGCACAGGTCGAAGAGTGGGAACAACATTGAACATACCTCGGGTGGACATACCATGACCTGTCGCGCATTCGGTGGAGACCCAACTTTTCCGTAACCTCCGCGGGTGACATCGCTGCGGACATGTTCAGAAACCAAATCAACGAAACAAGGATGCCAGGACGCACCTCCGGGAAGATCCTGCTTGTTTGCGAACACGAGCAGGAGGCACTCTCTCATCTCCCTATCGCTCAATATACGGTGCAGCTCCTGTTTGGCCTCGTCTATGCGCTCCCGGTCCTGGCTGTCGACGACAAAGACAAGACCCTGGGTGCCGGTGTAGTAGTGCCGCCAGAGGGGCCGAATCTTGTCCTGTCCTCCGACATCCCAGACGTTGAACTTGACGTTCTTGTAAGTCACAGTCTCCACGTTAAAGCCGACTGCACAGGCCCGCGTCAGAACAGACGGCCCGCATAGCACAGCAAAGCAGGAGTCGCACCTGTCGGAATGGTAGTGACAGATTGGTTCAACTTGAGCTTGTAGAGGATGGCTGGAGATAGGTCAGGAGTAGCCCCACGCCAAGTTCAACGCGGAAGGCTCACTCGTCTTTCCAGCGGCGTCCAGACCGAGCATCAACAGCCGCATCTCCTTGTTTCCAAAAATCTTCCCTGCGAGCCCGTTCCGTCAGTCCCGCCGGCTGCCAGCATTCTGCGCCGTCATGGACGTCCACCGCCCGACGCCCGACGCCAAACGACACGCACCCATAGCTTTCGAGAGGTTGGCACCCATGGTTGATGACGGCAGCAGAAGGTAAAGAACGACAGAGGGTGAGTGGGGCGGGCGGGAGGAGGGGGAGGAGGAGGAGGAAGGAGAAAGGAGCCTGGAGGCAGGGACTAGAGAGTCAAGCGCGTCCGCCAACGGATTCGGGCGCCCGGTTTCGCGGCCGGACCCCAGGAACCACACGTCGACGCGCTATCACACCACACCAGACCTCGCCTCGCCCAACTCGGCGTCTCCCGCCCCGACAGGTGCTGTCCGTTTACTTACCAGACACTACTAGTAATGCGGCCACGTCCGCCGGGGACCTATGCATTCGAGTGGAATGCTGCAGCGCTGGAGCGACAAACCATCGCGGGCAGGACCAGCCAGAGCCTCACGCGCTTCAAACGCTTTGACGACACGTGAAACAGCCCGGCTCGAGGTGTTATACCAATGTACCATATATGTGTGCATGAGATCAGCGCCGTGCGACATTCGGAGGCATGAGTGGGCAATTACAAAGGTATGTGCCTGTCGTAGTACGTCTAATAGAAAGAATACATAATATATGTTGCTCCAGGCACATGGTATACAGAGCAGCGACCATAATCAACTCTGAGGGCGAGTCCGAGTCATGGAATCGGAACAGCCCTCCAACACGAGACTAGCTGTGCGATAGAGGCGACGCCGGGCGACCTGCTGGGGGTGACCCGAGGTGCGATTGGTTGAGCACCTTCAACCAACCTTCGCCCATATCGGAGCGAAGCGCTTCGATGCGCGCACGGAACGCGTCCGCCTCACGGAACCCGTTCTCCATCCCGTCCTCCTCCATCCCGGGCGTACTCGGTTCGTACACGGACGCGGTAACTCGTGCGCGCCGCGCCTGAGCACGCGACAGTGTCGATGACTTGCGCTGCGCGACTGAGCGGACGTTCGTAGGTGACGTCGGTGAGAACGACGGCGCGTCTGATGGCGAGGGGCTGTGGGATGAGGGGGCGAGCTCTGTCATGTGCCGGCTGTGACGCGATTTGGGCTTCAAGATGGCCGTGGGCTGCGGGGTGTGGGCTGCGAATGAACTCGGCAGGGGTGACCGTGGGGAGAAAGCTAGAGGGATCTGGGTGGGTGCGGACACGGGCAACGAGGGCGGCTCGGACGGCGCGATAGTGGATTTCTTCGTCGGACTGACAGTGCGCGAAGGCCGCGAGCTGATAACACTTGCGGCATCGCTGCCACCGTTACCACCGTCGAGGTCGACAATACGCTTGTTGCGCTTCTTCCGTCCGCGAACAGGGCCTGGAGCCAGATGAGGAGACCCTGGGTGCGAAGACCCCGGGGAGCTCGAAGCGGCCTGGGGTGAAGAGGTGGGCGCCCCATTGATCTTCGAAGGGCTCCCGACGGCGACAACAGGGGGGGAGTACGCAACTGACGACGGTCGCGAGGATGACATCTGCTCAGATGGAGGCGAGGTAAGGAACCGTTTCTCGTAGAAACCGGGGGGAGACCCGTCGAGCAGGACGTTCTTCTTCTCCTTTGCAAAGTAGTCGAAGCAGCGTATTCGGTAGTCGTCCTCGATTTCCACGAGTGGATTACCCTCGATCGATACGTCGGCAATGTTGGGGAGCGCGGCGAGTCGTCCGATTTCAGAGCTTTCCTCGACGAAATTGTGCCGAAGGTCCACCCGCTCGAGGTTGAACAACCGCTCGAGACCGCATATAGACTCTAGTCGGTTGTGGGAGAGAATGAGGGTCGTGACTCCACCGAGCATAGTGTATATGCCCAAGACGGAGTCGATCATGTTGTCGGAGAGATTGAGGTATACCAGATTATACAGGGATGACAGACCGGGAGGAACGGAAACGAGCAGGTTGGAAGATAGGTCGAAGTGCGTGAGGGACGTGAGGCATGGTAGAAAGGATGTCGGAAGAAAGGTGAGGGAGTTGTCGGCAAGCGATAGGTGTCGCAGTTGGCCCCACTTGCGCCAGGGTAGAGGGGCAGGGGGAGTGGCCTTGGGTGTGGTAGGCTCTCCATCGGCCATCTGCTCGTCGTCTTCTTCCTCTTCCTTGACAGCCTCGGGCAGCTGCGTGCTGTGGAATGACGACTGGCGCGACGCCCTTCGAGAGAAACGCCTCGACTTCATGGAACTCACGCGGCCCTCTCTCCTCCCTTCGTCCTCCTTTACTGCCGCGATGAAGATGTCCGAGACATCTTCCATCCCACTCCGCTTGACCGTTAAGCTTCGCAAGCCCTCCGCCAAGCGATCCCATCCCAGGAGCGTCCGGGGGTCAATATCGACGCACTGGAGGTTTTGCACGTTCTTGAACACATCGAGGGGCAGGGCGTTCTCGTTAGGAGGCTCGTTCGCAAGTTCGGAGATGATCTTAGGTTCGGGGGCGTGAAGAGACAGGGCGGGGAGGATGGTGAAGCTGCTGAAGATGAACTTCAACTCTGCGTCAAGACTAGGTGGTGGCGGACGACCAAACCAGCCGCCGCCGAGTGACAGCCGCGAGACGACGGAGAGTGAAGAGCGGAGAGATGTGAGGGAGAGGGCGTCGGACTTGTCCCTATGCACAGGAATCTCCACATAGTTCATCGGCCGCGCGGGGTCGTCCACCTTGATGTCCAGTGACCCGACATTGTAGCTCAGGGCTTCAAGGCGCATAAGGAGGTAGAATAGGTGGTGGGGATCGAAGCCAAGGATGACGGGCTTGACGTTCGCCGCAGCAGAGGGGTCTGAGGCGAACCAGCCTAGCGGATTGAAGACAGAGGTCTCAGACGACGGGGCCGTCCTCGCGCGCCGTCGTTGGATGGGGGCCGCGGCAGCGAGTCCGGCTCCGTGTGTACGGATGTAATCCGCTATACGACGTACGTAGTCGTCTCCGGGCTCGGCTTCCATAGGCATGGTGGGGAAGTTTGTGGTCGGGAGGAGGGCAGGGGTAGACAGACGTTTGGATCGTCCCGAGGGTGGGTGGCCTCCAGCTGGCTAAATAGGGACACATGGCGAGATCCACCTGTCGGCAACGCGGACACGGCGAGACGCAGACGGTGGGGGACGAACCTGGGCCAAGAGCAGGGCCTGCAGCAGCGAGAGAGAGTACGCGGCGGCGGCAGGCCGCCAAATGTGTGGTGGGGGTGAGGCTGAGGATGCTGTCCAAGACGTTTGGGAGCGAGTCGCCGGCGTCCAGCTTGCAACCGGGCGTCACACCGGTCCTTAGCCGAGGTGCCCCTGAAGGAACGTGGCACGTGCACGGGACGCGTCAGTGTCGGGGACGTGCGCCTCCACGGTTCAAGCGCCCATCTGGCTTGTTCCACAACTCTCATCGCCGTCCCCAGCCATGAAAATCACAGTAAAGACACTACAGCAGAAGGTCTTTCAGGTACTTCCGACACGCTTTCTGTGCTTTCCACCACTTCTCACGGCTAGGATCGCTGCAGATCGATGCGGAAGGCGCAGAGACGGTGGCGGACCTAAAGAAGAAGATTCAGGAAGTGCAGGGCCACACAGTGGAGAGCCAAAAACTCATCTACTCTGGTACGCATATGTGTACCCGATATGCTAGCTAGCTCCTCAACTTGTTCCAGGCAAAGTTCTCCCGGATTCTAAGACTGTGGAATCATGCGCCATCAAGGAGAAGGATTTCCTGGTACTCATGGTGTCCAAGGTACGCCGCTCTAATTCTTGCTATCCGCGCTATGCAGACCAACTCTTCCCTGTCCACTATAGCCTAAGGCTGCACCTGCCACTGCTGCGTCCTCAAGTACCCCCGTCCCTGCCGCTCCTGCCGCCGAGACACCCGTTGTCACCCCCGCTGCCGCGCCTGAGCCGCCAAATGCCCCCATCCTAACGCCCGCCCAGGCTGCCCCGGTCGCTGCTGAGGCCGAGCAGCGCGCTTTCGGCGACACAACTTCCTTCCTCACCGGCGACGCATTGCAGTCAACAATTCAGAACATGATGGAGATGGGTTTCGAGAGGGAACAGGTCATGCGTGCGCTCCGTGCTTCCTTCAACAACCCCGACCGTGCGGTCGAATACCTGTTCAACGTGCGTCGCTCTTCTTCCCTCTTACATAATTCAAACTTTGAACACGTCGTCTCGCGTCCAGGGTATCCCCGCGCACCTTGACCAGCCCGTCGCTCCCCCCGCTGCTCCTGCACCGGATGCTGCTGCTGCCCTTGCTGCCCCAACCGCAGAGGCTGCTGCTGCTGCGCCCGCACAACCGGCACCTGCTCAGGCCGCCGCGCCGCAGAACCTCTTCCAGCTCGCACAGCAGCAGCAACAACACACCCCCGCGGGTGGGCTCGGTGGGCTCGGTGCGGGTGCAGTCGCAGGCGCGGGCGCGGGCGCAGGCGCAGGTGGCGCAACCCTCGCCGCGCTCGCCAACCACCCGCAGATCCAGCACCTGCGCGAGATCATGATGCAGAACCCGGCGCTCGTCCAGCCCGTCATCCAGGAGATTGTCGCACAGAACCCAGGTCTCGGGCAGCTCTTTGCCCAGAATCCGGAGGCGCTCGCGCAGATCCTCGGCGCAGACGCGCTTGGGGAGGACGACGAGGGCGGCCCTATTCCGCCAGGCGCGCAGGTCATTCACGTCACAGAGGAGGAGCGGGCCGCGATTGAGCGGGTGAGGACCATCTTCGTTTTCCACGTCTGCTCCAAAGGCTAACATGACATATGATTATAGTTGGAGGCGCTCGGCTTCCCTAGGGAAGCTGTCGTCGAGGCGTACTTCGCGTGCGACAAGAACGAAGAGCTCGCCGCAAACTACCTCTTCGACAGCGCGTTCGATGACTCATAGGCTTGTCGCACATCGAGTGGAGGGGGCTCCACACGGACGACTATGTAGCTATCCGTTTTGTACCATTTGAATCCAACACCCGCTGTATACTTGGTCAGATTGATTATCAATGAGTGCCTAGAGAAACCCAGAATGATCTTAGTCGGCACCCATAACGATTGTCGTGCTTCAATGTCGGTCACTCGGCATCGGTTATGAGACTGAGCCGTTGCAGTCTCCCATTGGGATGAGTCCTTGATACCTTCCAGCAACGTTTATGGGAGCACTGAAATTGTTCAAATGGCGATTTGTATGCTGACTCACCCGTAACGGCAAATGATCAATGAGCGGCGGCAATGAAGCAATCCGTACCGAGCTTACCACAAGAATGCGGCGACTCATGAATATACATATCCCGCGTGGAACGGGGCAACATATCGTACAATAACCACAATAGAATACATCCAGGTGAGTAGCAGTATTCCTTCACAGGTCCCCGTCAGTCAAGGTGAGCGACTTGTAGATCGCAATGTTGATCAGATTCGCCGAACTTCCGTCCGGGGCGAGCAGCGTGACCTCCTCCAAGTCGTCCAACACGTCCTTGAGCTCCTGAGCACGCCCCGAGGACCACAGCACCTTGCAGATGGCGCAGTGCAACGCCAGGTACGCCGAGTTAGGTGGGGGCGCGCCGCTTGCGCTCCTCAGCTTGACGGTCTTCGGCAGTCCGAGGCGGGGAGCGACTCTGCCCCACGTGTGGACGCGGCACACGAGGGGGTTCCCGGGCATGGGCTCGAGCGCGATTTGCAGCTCGGTGAAATACCGGTGGACGCTGCGCGATGTCAGTCGTTGCGATTGAAATACGGGGGACTGGGGGACGTACGTTGCGGACAGGGTGAGGACGTTGTCGAGCGCGTTGATGCCCCCGTGCATTAGGGAGCCGAGCTCGACGCCCCCGAAGCTTTCCAGGGCACCCCGGATGGCGGGGAGGTGCAAGGCGCAGGCGGCCCCGGATCCGTCACGCAGAGAAAAGGGAATAATGTGAGTGACTTTCGTCACCTCAAAGCCTGTGCCCCCGGGGGTGAAGCTGCTGTGTTGGAAAAAATTGCAGGGGTCAGTGCTGAACGTGTGCGGACGAGGGAGCATGCACGATCGTCTCGGAGCGATGGGTGGAGGGGGAGGATGAAGGATGTTATTCGTCACTCACCCACTCTCCATGGTTTCGGGATCTACCTTGCCTGAGATGATGCAGCGACAGCTGTCACGGAGATTGGCCTGCAGATAGACGTGGGTAAAGGCGGTATAAGAAAGAAGCGAGACGTACTGCGTCAATAACTCCCTTAAGATCGTCGACGGATTCAGCCTCAGCAGGCGAGTTTAAGTCACCCCTTGAGCTTGCGCCGCTGCGCGACATTCTACTCCTGGGCTCGGGGGTCCTACCTCCGGCAACGCGCACTGGGTGATTAATATTAATATGTATTTTCGGGGTGTGTTTGTTCAACAAAAAACGCACCAGGTATTATCAAATTGCGCCAGAAGAAGTCGGCGAGATGCTGAAGGTGCATCTGGTGGTCCTTGATGCCTTCATAGGTGTCGCCACCCTGGACGATTTTGCTCGCAATCTGGGCCTTTCCACGCTCATTGGGGGCGTACTCCAAGAGTGAAAGGAGGAGGTCCCGGTCACGAGCTACTGCATTGTCACCGACGATGGTGGCCGCTTGACTGATGAGGGCGTCGACAACGATAGCAGGCATATTGCGAGGCCATATGCAGGATGGGGGTGCATGTGCCTGAAGCGGAATGTCGCAGCGCGCTATAAGACGGGCGAGGTATAGGGGTCGTGAGAGCCGAGGCAGACCGAGGAGGTCCCTTGATCATGGTCGGAATGACGGAGGTGGCCAAGGTGAAGCTGGCCACCAGCTGGCCATGGCCAGCTGGCCAAATCTCCGCTGGAGCGCTCGCGTCGCGTCGCGTCACGGGTCCGCGTCTGTGACCGTAACACACTGGAACGCGTGCTCAAATTCGCATTGAGCTTCACCGTACTTGCCGTCCGCCGTTTGTAGCAATCCCTCTTTTCCTGCCTGCGCTTGTCTCGGCTGCATATATGCTTTGCACACGGTGATGGCGGACTCTCTTTCTACTCCTTGGATCCTCGACTACTGCATATCGGTTGCTGAGGAGCATGGAGGCGATCTCCTCAACATCCCTTGGAAAACGAAGGGGGCGAAGGTCCAGCTGGTCAAGGTAAGAGACATGATACTGATTTTCAGGAGCCCGTATCTTCTAAAAGGCTCCAGTTTATTTCTTTTCCTCCCATAGGTGACGAGCCAAGTACACTATGGGCTACGCTCTCAGACAAGAAGCATCTTATCACGGCACGGCTCACTAAGGATGCAGTAGCCAATTATGCAGAGTATGTTTCCACTTCTGCCTCCTCCTTCGGCGATCCAACACGCTCCTGTGATAGTAACCCGCTCAACGCGGGACACTCGATCACGTCTCGCAAGACTGCCTTTCTAATCCTCAAGAAATGTCGCCCTGCCTTTGGTCGTGTCGCGCGCGGACCCTCAACAGGAATGAGCTCTCAAGCTACGTTGTACTTTGAGGTCGATGCTTTTGAGGCTAGGGGGTCGTATGGAGAACCGATGTGGGGGGAGCCAGTGGAGGTGGAGTCAGACCAAAACATCAAGGAATGGATACACGGATTGCGGCGAGATGGAGGAGCAGGGTGCGTCTCGCCATGGCTTTTGATGATCCTTGGCCCAACTCACGCGTATTGCTGGCAGGAACGTACTGAAGCTACGCAAGCAAGAGGCAGTGGCGTGTGCTGAGAAGCAAGCGGAGCTTGCCAAGCTCCCCAAGATCACAGCGGTCCAGAGCCGTGTCCAAGCCACCATGGAGGATATGCAGGGCAAGGTCCCAGTTGCACGTCGGTCAAGAAAGTCACGGCCATCTGAACCAAGACCTGCGGAGAAACCGAAGGAGAAAGCTACTGCCGTTAGCCACGAAGAGCAACGACGTGCTACCTGGAAAGTAAGCGAGAAGAGTGGTTTGATGATGTTCTGTACTGACACACCACAGCGATTTTACACGAGAATGGTGAACTATTCTCGTCCACCTGACGAGATCTTTGATCAATGGGCGGAGCTCAGTGGTATGGGCCTTCTATCCTCTGCGCCGGGAAAGTTCCTAACATGCATTACAGGGGACGCGTCGATCAAGCGGGACGTTCCCGGTATGTCGATTTATCGCTTGACTTGTGCTCCTACTCATTCACTGTAGACGCAGATCCGGCAGCGAACCGATTAAATCGCTTGACAAAATCTGCTTCTCCTGCGCGACAATCTTCGCGGGCTTCCTCACCGTCCACTCGAGGCCCGCAAACCCCGTCTCATTGGTCCGTTTCCCCTTCACGAGACCGGGCTGGTTCGGAGAGTTCATCGGCCACGGAAGAAGAGTCTGAGGAAGAAGTACAGAGACCCATATCGTCAAGAAACCCGTCACAGGAGCCTCCCAAGGACACCGAGCAAGCCCAAGGTTCGCCAGATATACCTCCCCCGGGCACCCTTCCGATTGCCACCCCGTCGCCTTATATCCCACCCCGTATGTTTCCCTCAGACTCGTCGCAAGGACTGCCGCCTTCCAGCCTCCCCAACTACATCTCCACTCCCCGCTTCCGCGAGCCTCAGAAAAGGCGCGTACCTCTGCCTCGTATTGCCGATCTGCAGCGTGATCCAGATACCGGCGGGGAAGGCCGTGTGCTCGTCGAGAACTCGGACACCGCAAGTCCAGGAAGCCACCGAGCTGGCTTGTCTCAGAGCCAGAGCCAGAATGGGAGCCAGGGTCAAAGCCAGAGCCAAGCCCACGGATCTACGCAGAGCCAGAACCAGACGCAGGAAGAGCCATCTCAATCTCAGCGGAAGTCGACTCTTCGTCACGAAGTGGAACCCGGGAGCACTGTCGAGGAACCTCCGCGTGGTGACGACAATCAAGCTCATGTCGAAACTCATGCGCAGCCTGAGGTGCAGGTGGAACAAGAGTCACAGGAGTCTCAGAAGTCACGACAGTCCTTGTCTTACAAGGACGACTCACAGAGCCAGGGCGGCAAGTCGCGACAGTCACTATCTTACAAGGACTCGCAGTCACAAGACCAAGACAAGCAGCCTGAGGCTGATGTTTCTACAGCCCCTGTCGATGATCAGCGTCACGAGAACGACGGAGACCAAGCGCACAGCGGATCTCACATAGCTCATTCAGAAGTCCCGTCACGAGAGGACCACGGCAATGAACTGCCGGGCCAGGCTGAGGCTGGGCCGTCTGGGCCAGTCAAACGCTCATCGCGCTCTCCACGGCTGAAGCACGTCTCTCTTACTCTCGCGTCAAAGGAGCGAGCTGCCGACGGCGAGGGCCAGCCTCGAGTCGAACCATCTTGGGAAGCAATTCGTGCGCCTACCACTTCCGAAGATGAAAGCGACAAAGCAGAGGTGGACGAACTCCTCACGTCGTCCTCCGAGTCGGAGGGGGAGGATGTCCGGCGCAAGGATCGCAGTAGGCGTCCTGTGAAGGCAGCAGGGAGGACGAAGTCCAAGACACCAGCGAAACAACCAAGTGCGAAGAAGCGGCCGCGCGGTGAATATTCTCCAGACGACGAATGCACTCGCAAGAAGATCATGGACAAGTTCATGGCCTTGCGACACCCCACGGACGCAGGTGCATCACGTCTTCCTGTCGCACGCGGAGGTTCCCCCGAGAAGCAGATGCAGCCTTCGCATACTCTCCGCACTCGTCCTGCTCATGACCCATCTGTCTGGGAGGGTCCGACGTTCCTCAAGCCATCGATGTCAAAAGCTCAGCCTTCAGTTCCTACTCTCCCTGATGCTACATCAACGGCATTGAAGCGATCTGCTCGTCCCCCGCTGCTTTTGGAGGAGCCTCCGGCGAAGAAGCGCAAGACTGGTGGATCTCCTTCCGTTCATTCCCTTACTGCCCCGTACGCACGCCCTGACAGTCCATCTGCGCCGAAGGCGGCACCTGCCTCCCACAGATCCACGCCATTTCAACGCCATGACTCTGACTCCTCCGTTCAATCCGCCGCGACGTCTTCGACCAAGGTCACGGCGGCGTCGACACGTATGCACGCACTCGGCGCCGAGCCCTCGCGTCGTTCCGGCTCCCTCAGCAAACATCAGTCCGACGGCTACGTTAACCTCTACAAGGGCTCACGACCATCTTCCCGGTCATCGTCGCGCCAGCCGGAGGCGCGCAATCTGACAGTGCAAGCGAACATCCCTAGCACAGGCGCGAAGGCAGGACAAATTGCCGCCCCGACTCTGGCTCAAGCTCCAGCCTCGTCGACCAAGGACATTTTCCCTCCGGTGCTCTCTGCGGCCAAGATTGGTTCGACGCCTGGTCGTCCAAACTCCACACTGCGGAAGCAGACCCAGCCGAAGAAACGACCAAGAGAGCGCGCCGCGTCTGCTGCTCCTTCTGATTTGGGTTCTCGGCCTCGACCATCTGTGCGCGCCCCAGCGCCCCCTGCAGAACGCGCAGAGCTACAACAGGCACAGGGTCCTGCTCCGACGCAGCCCCGTGCCTCACCACGATACGTGGATCCGATCCCAATGACGCAGACGCGTGGTGGGCCACCAGTTCTCAATTGGGGAGACCTGGAGCAGATATTGCTCGCCGTGGGTCGTCATCGATTCCAAGAGCAAGAGAGGGAGAGGGAGAATACTGGAAGGTCATAGCGACTGCTTTAATTGTTGCGTACTATATTTTGCTGTGCTCCAGATTCATCCGTTGCCTCCAAATGCAACATCATCATGATTCTTCCCCGTCCTCTGGTTCCCCATCTTCGTCCTCAGACCCAGATTGATCTGCGTAGTCGCCCAAGTCAACCGAGCCAACGGCGGGGAACCAGCCATACGTCTTGAGGTCGACTTTGAAATCACCGCCGCGAGTGGTGGTGACGTCGACGCCCTCTGCGAGGAGGCTATCTCGTTGGCGCGTCGCACCGTCGGTCCCAGGTCCACGGGATGATATTGCGCCGGTTGACGAGACAACGCGGTACCAAGGGATTGGAGGGTTTACATCGGGAGACAGGAACTTCAGCGCTGCGATGGCGTCAGGACTACGGTTCGCCTGCAAGTCCTCTACAAGCGTACCCTGTCCCACATGTCTCGAGTAAGCAGGCATCCCGACTAGCTTTGCGATGTGTCCTGCTCGCATGTGTTGGCCACAGAACGGCGATCGACGGGGAAGCATGTTCCGTACCGTACGTTGTGACACGCTGAGCTGGTATCTGCCGTATTACTTGATATACCTGGAAAGCCGTACGAGACTTGTAAGCCGGGCGAGGCCTGCCTTCAAGAAGGATGCGAATGTACATACTGCACCATGAAATCGATCGCCGTTCATGTTGGAGAAAATCACACAAGTAAGCAGGGGTCAAGGAACGAATACAGGGAGGATGTAGACTGGGCGGGCATGCTGGATGGGGATATGAACAAAAGGTACTTGAAGTATCCCACATGTGGCAGCGGGGTCGGAAATTGGAATTCGTGCGAGTGACTCGAAACGCGTTACGTCACGCGTCGCGGGCTGACCGGCCGCCCGCCGCGCGCTTGGTAGAAACGCGACCGTTCGGCGGACTCGGTTCTGTATTTCATTCTGCTTTATGCCATCACCACGCCCGCTCTCCTCGACGTCTGCTTTCACGCGCATGAAGCCCAGAAGAGCTACCAACCTCAGCCAAGATGAACAAGCCACCATCCTCGACCCCCAACACTGACAGTCTTGTTCGACGACTTGCCGGTGCATCCGTTAATAAAGCAGGGCAAGTTGCATCTTCGGAATCGCAGCCACATGTTTCCCATACTCCTTCTCGGTAGCTTAGCCAAGGACCAGACCGAGATCAACCGCATCATCGCCGAGGTCTCGAAAGGCTCCAAGTTTTACGAGGTGAGAGCCTCCCGTACCGACACAGGACGCTTTGCATCCCAACCTCGATACAACAGAACGAGAAGCGCAAAGACAAGGAGTTGACGGAACGGATTGAGCGCATACTGAAGCTGCGTGATGAGGTGGTGAAAGGCGTTGACCTTGGTGCGTCCCCCTGCCTGGTGTGCGACGCCCCACCAAGTTCCTTATTCCATTTCAGCCAAGGTGGAGGAGAGCGTCGATAAGATAGTAAGATGTTTGCTTCGCTGTCATGCTCTCACTTTTGATCGCGGTGCCTAGATCGCTCAGCTGGAAGCCCGGCGGGATTTATCTCAATATGTTGTTCATGTCGACATGGACGCCTTCTATGCAAGCGTCGAACTCTTAGACAAACCCGAGCTGGCATCGAAACCATTCTGTGTACGTTTTTAGGCGCTTGCCTGTTAGCATTTTTTCACGAATACCCAGGTCGGAGGCGGGGTCCTCTGTACTGCATCGTATGAAGCACGCAAGTACGGGGTTCGCTCGGGAATGGCTTGTACGTGTCCTTACATATTGTGACCCTTCCAGTTACTCAGGCCTTGCCAGCATTCGTCGCCAAGAAACTCTGCCCCGATCTTATCCTCTTGCCTATGCATTTCGATCGGTATAGCGCCCTTTCCAAGCAGTGTATGGACATCTTCCGCCGGTACGATCCGAACCTGGCTGTAATAGGCTGCGATGAAGGTTACCTCAAGTAAGTCAATTTTGCAGTACCCAAGTTGATCGGCTCAGCAGGGGTTTAGCATCACGCAATACTGCGAGGAGCGTTCAATTTCTCCGGAAGACTGCGTGAAGGAGATGCGCCGAGTCGTATGCGAAGAGACGAAGTTGACCGCTAGCGCGGGCATTGCGCCGAATCGCGTCAGTCCATATGCCCTCATCAGTCATATCATACGTAGCTGACTTCTACCACATAGATGTTGGCCAAGGTAAGATTCCTCCCATGGACTCAGTTGTATGAAGCCTGAGAAAAGGCCGTAGATATGCTCAGACAAGGTGCTTTTTACGCCCCGCCGCATTCGTCTCGTTTTTGACCCGTTTTCGTCAGAACAAGCCCGATGGACAGTTCATGCTCGAGTTCCAGTCGGCCGTCATCAAATCCTTCATGCGAGACATGCCTATTCGGAAGCTCCCAGGAGTAGGGCGTGTCAATGAAAGGTTATTGGATTCTATAGGTATCAAGGTATGCCTCAAACTTGCTATGGTTAAGTCCCACGCTGAGAATCTTGTCACGTGCAGACTTGTGGGGACATCTTCACCCAGCGAGCTGTTTTGTCCCTCATGGACAAGCAGTTCGGCTTACACTATCTCCTGCAAACCTACCTCGGGATTGCCTCCAACGTCGTTGAGCCCTGGCAAAGAGAGGAGCGCAAGAGCATTGGGGCTGAACGGTGCGTTTCAAGACTTGAATATGAGTGGTCGTCTGTCTAAACGAATTTTAGGACGTTTCATCCAATATCTGACATCACCAAGATTTACGCGAAGTTGCAGGACGTAGCTGCGGAGCTCGCGAAGGATATGACGGAGGATGGCTGGACAGGAAAGACAGTCACATTGAAATACAAGCTTGATACATATCAAGGTGCGTAGCTCACACTTTGGATTCTCGCATTCGTATTTGATCCCAGTGACCTCCAGTATACACGCGTGCGAAGTCCTTGACCACCTGGGTCTCAAGGAAGCAAGAAGACCTCTTCGCGGTCAGTATAAGCCGGCGGCCCAGAAGTAAGCGTCCTCGTTCTCATACTTGGCTCCCTAGATCGGAAAAGAGCTTCTTAAGCCAGAGCTTCCTTTGACACTTCGACTGATTGGCCTGCGAGTAACGAAGCTCAGGGACCTCAACGCAGAAGAAGAGTCGAAAGCGCGTGGGATCAAACGCGTAAGATTTTTTCGCCGTCACTCGCGGCACATATACTGAAGATGCTACTACAGTTCTTCAATTCTGCGCCAACCGATAGTCCTTCTCCCAAGAAAAAGCGACGCCTAGCGCACACTGAGGAACATCAGTGCTGTGAAGAGGTCCCTCAACTGTCGCAAGACGGTTTCGTCACGTCTATGCCCAACTACGTTGACGACACTGAAGCAGATCTTGCCGCCGAGGAAGAGGAAGAAGCCGAGGACGCGCACGAGTATGACTCGCGGCGAGCCGGTCGTCACAAGCCTGCTTCATCGTCTACTCTCAGTATATCCATAGACAACCGCGAGATACCTCCACGATCCTCTGGGTCTGGGCCATCCACGAAGCCATCGTCGGGTACCGCATCCAAACCCGCGTCCACCTCCGCGGGAGAACGTACCACGGGTACACTGAAACCACACCAGGACAGTCATGCCGGCGAAGACTTGCCACTACTTGAATGTCCCCTCTGCGGCAAGTTACTCGAGACGGACAACCAAGGGCTCAACGAACACATCGACTTCTGTCTGAGCAGACAGGCGATCAAGGAGGCACAGACGGCGTCGCTCAAGGCTTCTAGCTCGAAACCGATCTCCTCTGGACCGAAGAAGTCCAGAAATAAGCCCGCGTCGGCGTCAGGGAGGGGCAAGAACGGGGATGGCTTGCTACGCTTTCAGAGTGGTCCATAGTATTTGGGGAATTTGTGGATGTGTTTCGGCTATAGGATATACTGGGGACCAACTAGGGCCTTACATCTGACCTGAATTGTACTACATACCACCCACACACACACTTGTCTTGTTTTCTGTGTAGCAATATCAGCAATGCCTGAACGTTGTATGATCCGAAATACTGCGTGGCCGGCGCCTACGCGCCGTGGGCGTAATATGGACTTTCGGCGTCTCTATAGAGCATGCCCAGAGAAGTTTCAGCCACCGCTGCTTGCTCACAAACCTCACCTCCTCATCGCCTTGCTTCCGCTTCCCTATACGTCTTGCACCCACCGAACCATCTCATCGAGCGTACTTGATCCCCCCGCCATGTCTGAGTATTGGGTCTCCCACAAGCGGTATTTCTGCAAGTACTGCAACATCTACATCGCCGACGATGCGCCCTCGCGGAAGCAGCACGAGACGGGCCTGAAGCATAAGGGCAACGTCGAGCGCTTCGTGCGCGGCGTGTACAAGGCGGGCGAGAAGCGCAAGCAGGACCTCGAGGAGGAGAAGCGCGAGATGGCGCGCATCGAGCGGGTGAGTCGTCGCCGCCCCCAGACCCCGGACGGGACGGTGGGGGCGTGCTTGCGCTCTCGCCGTCCAAGTCCCGTTCCCAGTCCCTGCCCGGAGCCCCTCCTTCCACCCGTTTCTGTGCTCGGCGAGGGACGACGACTGACGTGCTCTCCACCCGCACAGGCAGCGAACGCCGCGTATGCCGACGACGTCGCCGGTGGCCGCGCTCGTGGTGACTCCTCGTCCCGCGCGTCCTCTTCCGCCGCCGCCGCTGCCGCCGCCGGGCCCTCCCAACCGAAGCCGAAGCCAAAGCCGTCGAACCCGTACACGAACTACTCGACCGCCGAATCCCTCGGGTACGTCGACCCCGAGCTCGAGCGCGCCGAGGCCGAGGCCGCGCGCCGGCAGACGGAGGGCCTCGCGGGCGAATGGCAGGTCTTCGACGTCGCTCCCCCACCCGCGGACGCCGCAGAGGGCGAGGCGCAGGCGCAGGCGCAGGTGGGGGACAAGCGGCTGGCGGAGGCCGTTCCGCTGCTCGAGGACGAGGAGAGCGGGCGGACGTGGAAGCTGAGGCGGAAGACGGCGGGCGTGGGCCTGGGCGAGCTGTATGATCCCGGTGAGCTGCCCATCAAGCTCAAGGCGAAGAAGGAAGAGCCGGTGGAGACAAAGCTGGGGGCGCCGCCGCCGTTGGGCGGGTCGGAGAAGCCGACATGGAGCGCGAGAGGTTGGAACAAGCCAGGGGAGTACTCGACGGAACAGACGGTGGCTGCGGCTGAGGCGAGTGGACGAAATGCTGGTCAGGAGAGGGTAGAGGAGGATGAGGTCAAGACGGAGAGGGAGGACCCGAATATCTCGAGAGAGGCTGAGCTCAAGGGCCCTCCAGAGCCAGAGGTCAAGGCGGAAGAAGTCAAGTCGGAGCCTCTCGAGCCAGTAGCTCCTCCAGCCCCAGCTAGCGGCAGTCTATTCAAGAAACGCAGAGCTCCTGCTGGTGGAGGGAGCCGAGGAGGAAGGAGGATATAGCGTGCCCAGGAGCAGGCGGTTGTACAAGTACGCTGTACAATGCCCAGCAATCATACAGATGGCGGTGTTCTGGACACGTCTCTGTTGGGTTGCCGTCGACTTCACTCTTCATATGTAGAGTCGGCAGAACGAGAATCCAGCGGGCATGGGACGCGCACTCCGTATGTCCTGTTTTTGGTGTCATTATAGGATCTAAATACGTACGAGTGGGGGATGTGGGGGATGCAAAACAATACAGCGAAGTGATGTGAGAAGACATTAATGGAGCATATACAGCGCGGAATGGAGGGTACATCTACGTAAGGTCCAGAGCAGTGACGGGGACAGAGATCAAGCAGTGGGCTGCACATTCTCCGGTACTTTCGTGCAACATGAGCATTCACGCGACTGGAACAAGAAAGAGGGCACTCACGTGGTGGTAGCTGAGGACGAGTACCGTCATTGAACACCCTCGACACAAGAACACCGACACCCTCGAACACGCTGAGAAGGATACCACATGCCACGGCCGAAGTCAGAGCACCTCGGGGACCACCTGGATAACAATGAATGAGCATTGACCGAATACACAGAGAAATGAGGAATGGATGGAAGGACAGGGATGGTGGATGAGGGATCGAGAAATCTGTCAGACTACAAAGACACTCACTCCGCGCAGCGAGACATCCACCAGTCATGAATCCAGAGATGATGGCGTTCCACATATCCTCCTTCTGCCGCCAGCCCTTGACTGCGCAGTCAAAGGTAGAGAACATACCGCCCCAGACACCGAAGTTACCACCCGTTACGGGTGCACGGGCCTTGATGACGGAGAGGGCACCGACCATGCGGTCTCCCTAGATGTGCGTCACGGTCAGTGAGAACACAAACACGATAATAGGCTATGCACGCACTCTTGGGGAGTTCCTCGCACCCTTGATGCCGTGCCAGATGGTACCACCGACGGCACCCATGGCGAACGCACTACCGAAGTCGGAGAGGATAACCCATGGGCTGCGCAGACACGATAAGCAGATGGGACAGAGGGGTGAAGCATGTTGCGCACCAGGGGTCGCGGGTGTGGTCGGCGTGGGCCATGTCCGTGTGCAAGAGGGAGGCGAGCGGGGAGGGTGTCCAGCGAGGGCGGGCTCGTCAGCGGGCAGGGGGTCGGCGGTGGCGGGGGTGACGGAGGCGCCGCATCTCCGGGCGCTCGGCTCCAAACTTTTCGTTTAGGGCCGGGCAATGCACACGTGAAGACGCGTCGCACGTGACGCCTGACGCGCCGCGGCGGTGGCTGAGCTCGCCTGTTGTTGAATCCATTCTGGCATTTCATCAAGACCGTCGCACGCTCTCTCTCTCCAACCACCACCATCGTCCGCCGCACCCGCTCCCGCCCATGAGCACCCCCGCCCCCGTCCGTAGGCGCAAGTCGCAGGCGTTCGTAGAGCTCGCGCATTCACCCTCCCAACCTTCTGCATCCGCTTCTGGCTTCGCCGATCCGAAGAGGATAGGTCACACGCCTTCGAAGGGGGCAGCTGCAAACGTGGCCACCTCCTCGGCAGCCCCCTCTGGTGTCAAGCGCAAGCAGCGCGAAGAGATCGCCTCCATGTCCAAAGACAAGAACGAGGTCCCACCGTCTGCGAAGAAGGTGAAACGGGATGGCGTTTCAGACGCGCCAGCAAAGAAGATCAAAGAAGCAATAAAGGACACCACGAATGTCATGGATGCGCCGGACTCGGACAGCCCGCGCAAGCTGTACTGCCATCAATGCGCGAGAAGCTTTCAGCTTGATAGTGAGTCCTCTTTGGCCGACTGTGCAGCGCTTGCCTAAGTACCGCACACGTAGACATGGTGCAGTGCACGTATAAACGCCACAGAGGACTGAGGTGCGGGAAGAAGTACTGCTCGGCTTGCTTGCGCAACAGATATCTTCGCGATATCAATGACATTCGGCACGATTCACCGCACAACCATCCCCAGTCCGAGACGCAGGATCATGTGGAGGGTGAAGACTACTTCTTCCAGTGAGCTCGCATTTTCGTGTTGTGATCAACAGGAACAAACGCTTGTGCAGGTGTCCGTTCTGCTCCGATACTTGTAACTGCAGAGTATGTATGAAGAAAAGGGGACAGGCGGCCCTTGGGTGAGTGCTGCACGCGCCTTCTAGCTTCGTAAACTTTCTAATGAGATCCCGCAGTCCTCTCAGGCTCTTTGCCAAGCAGAAGGAAGCCGAGGCAGCTGCAGCTGAGAAAGAGCCGATCAGTACAGTGGGTCTCTTCTGGGTCTTTTGTGCTGGAGAATTCTAACCGTCCCTCCAGAAGCCTGCCAAGAAGGCTCCGAAGGCTGCAAGTAAAGTAGCTCAGGAACAGTCGGCCTCTGCAAAGAAAATCCAGCGCAAATCTTCCACCTCCAAGTCAGTGTCTCATGTGTTACCCCAAGAAGCACCGAAGGTAGTTCGTGCCCCCAAGCCGCCAAAGCCGAAAGCCGTCTCCAAGCCTCTGCCGAAGACGCTTTGGACTGTACTCCCCACTCCATTAGACCTCGAAGGCGTGCTCCAGCGGATGAACATCCGCGAGTTCCTCCTGCGCTTCTCTCATATTCTAGACATTGCCAAGACTCACCGTGAAGACCTCGAGGAGCTTGCCACGGGCGATCCCTACCTCTCTGCTCCAGATGAAGAAGACGAAGAGAAGTCTGAGCTCGTCGGCTGGATCAGCGAAACCGCACTGAAAGCCGTCCTCATGGCCCTCCTCTCCCTCTTCATCAAGGACGTCAACTTCGAGACCGACCGCGCCGAACTCGTCAAGGCCCGCGAGGGCATCCAGAGCAGCGGCGCCAACGTCTCCAAGATGTGGATAGCTCTCTCCTGCCTCCGCAACTCCACCTCCCTCCCCCTCCCTGACTCTCTCCCCGCCCCGACTCTGACGCGCCAGCGGAGCACGCGCAGCGTCAACCCCGAGGCCGCCGCCGTCGGCTGCACCGCGCAGCTCGTCCCCATCGTCGGCGCGCTCGTCGAGGCGGCCCTCCGCACCGAGCTCGTCCGGGACGACTTCGAGGGCGGCGTCGCAGAGGAGCGGGAGCACGCGGCGGCGGCGCGCGAGCTCAAGGCGGCCGAGAACGCGCGCTGGAAGGACCTGAAGGCGGCGGAGCTCGCGGCGTCGTCCAAGGGGCGCCCAAAGGCGAAGCAGCCGACGGCGACCGGCCGCCAGGGCTTCAAGCTGACGAAGGCGCACCAGGCGGTGGTCGACGCCGCGCGCCCCGGCCACGCGGCGGCGCTCGCGGCGTGCGACCATGCGCTCGCGGTCGCAGCGGCGGGGTGCGTCGCGCGGTGTGCCCCTCTCGGGCGCGACGCGGACGGGCGGGTGTACTTTGCGCTCAGCCCGGGCGTGGCGGAGCGGGAGGCGGCGGAGGAGCTGTTGCAGGGGAAGAGGGGCGAGGTGAGGATGGGGCGACGGAAGGCTGTCGTGGAGGAGGACGAGCGGAAGCGGATGCGCCATTGGAGCTGGTTCCTGGCCGTGTGGGGGCGCAAGCCTGAGGGTGCGGTCGTTGCGATGATCGACGACGGCGAGGAGGAGACGGAAGGGAAGGGCAAGGGCAAGGAGACGACAGTGGAGGGCGACGACGAGCCGCGCTGGTGGGGGTTCTGGCACCCGGAGCAGATCGCAAAGCTCGCGGAGTGGCACGCGGTGCGTCACGGCTTTGATCTCGCGTCCAAGCGCGTGCGCGCCGCAGCGGACGACAACGCGGTCGTCGACATCGACGACGTCAACGTGCCCGCGGCCGGCAAGGGCAAGAAGCCGCGCGGGCGCCCGTCGAATGTGAGCTCAGCCGCGAGCTCACGCGCGCGCACTGCCGCAGAGGACGACTCGGACCTGACAGACCAGTCGGAGGACGAGCGGGACGAGATCGTGGACGACGCGGGGGTGGACGCAGACGGGGACGTGCAGATGCGTACGAACGCGCGCGGGGAGCCGGTCCCGACGCGGCGAGAGCTGCGGGCCCTCGCTCGAGGCCTGAAGCAGTACGCGGAGCAGCTCGAATGGCGCATCCGGCGCGCATGCAAGGACGACGGGGAGAAGGCCGGTCTCAAGGGCAAGGGCAAGGCTGTCGGCAGGTCGGAGCCCATTGCCCCTGCCAGCTTCTACGGCTGAGTTGCTGGGCCATGGCTTGCTTTCCCATTTTGTTTCTCTGACAGCTAGAGTGCCGTAGCGTTCTCCGCTTGCATACCCATTGCTCCTTTACCTTTCATGTCACCTAATTTTGCGCACGGGCCGATAGGATGAAGGACGTAGCGATCCTTTCTAGACATATCCACGAGTCCCACCGCTTCGTCTATGATACTGTACACGATATGGATGTCCCAATGACCACCTGACCTAACCTGGGATATAGCACTGTTTCTCAATAAGACCCACAAGTTCGTCGGCGTTCATAGGGCGCTCGACACATCGAGACAGACGTTGGGCGAGCAGCGTAGCAAGGACATGCTTGCACTGTCGAAGGGCAGGGCCATCAGCTTGTTGCCGTGGACGCGTCGACTGTGTGGACGCACCATTATCTGGGTTTCGGACAGCAGCACGCTATATGCATACGCCGGGCAGGTGCAATACGCTCGAGAAAGCCCGGCTCCCGGAAAGACGACGTATGTCGCGGTGGATCCGAGTACCTCGAACTGCGGTCGTCCCCACGGTGTCCGGTACATGATCACTGTACAGAAGGAGCCGCCTTGAGTGCAGCGTACCGACGGAGGAGCCACCTGGCACTCACCGCTGTCGCGATCGACAAGGTCGAGCGCAGCGAGAAGCAGCGTCTCCGCAAAGAAGAAACGCAGTTTCAACAACGAGTCCTCGACTGTCAGTTTATAATCAGTGTATTCCTGGCCACAATTGCATGGAGGGAACCCACAGGTCTCCTCATTGAACTCGTCAAGAACTTGTTGCAGAATCACTTTGAACTCCGGGCCAGAGGTGTCGGCCATGGCCTCAAAGACTGTCTAGAGCGCGCAGAAGCTCGGCAGTGGCGAAGTTGGCCTCTAAGACTCGATTATGGTTGGTGCGGTCGGGCTTGGTGTACCGCGGACATGGTCTTGTGGTGGTCCATTGTCGAGCTCACATTCCTCGATTTGGGCCGTTATTTATGGGCGCTCGACATGGAGTCAACGCATCGCCACTGGTACTAGTCACCCATCCGAGCTGACCCGCACCCTCTCTTACTTACCCCACCTCACAAGGTGAAAAATGCTGATCGAGTATCTTTTTGTCTTTGCCCAGGTGCATGATGAGTTTCGAGTACCGGAGCTCCTCTCCATCTCGGAGCTCCACGGTTTCGAGATCAAATTTCCCGAGGATCCAGACACATCGCGACCGTTCATGGTCCTAGGACTTGAGGCTGAAGAACATGCTCGGTTGCTGGCGCAGCGATGCATTCTCGTCAGGTGAGCCGTTTTTTGCGTCTCGTTGAGTACTGCTCACTTGCAGCCCCGTCTCAGATATGTCTGCGAGTTTTACGCTCGTGGAAAAACATACGATGAACTTCACGAGAATACACGCCTGCAAAAACCTCGATGGGAGAAATACTACGTCGACACGTCCTTCAAGTTCCTGATCACTGCGTTCAACCATACTATCCCGCAGTGGAGGCAAACGATTGTCGTGGAGAGCTTCTCGTACATGGACTTCCAAGGGAAGATCGAGATGAAGAACCCTGAAATAACGCTCGCAGTGTTCGAAGAATGTACGGCTACTTGTGTGAATGCGGTGAGAAAACGTTACTGAATACGCGAACCAGATCCTGATAAACACGGAACCACCCGCGAGAAGACGGAAGGCGATGGCGAGTTCGACGAAGTCTGGTTCGGCAGGTTGGTATGTTCAGCGGGCCGAGGAGCGCAAGCGCTCTCTAACCACGATTTCCCCGTAGATCATGCTTGGTACGGCCCGGCCGTTGGTGAAGACTTTCGACGTCAAGAAGCGCGTGTACTTCGGGAACACCAGCATGGAGGCCGAGATGTCTCTCCTCATGGCCAACCAAACTCTGGTCAGATCCAGCCCGATGCCGCGCCCAGCATCCTGACAGTCCTCCAGGCGTCCCCAGGAAAACTGATTTACGATCCGTTTATCGGGACCGGCAGCATGGCATACGCACGTACCTCTCTCACCATGCCACGGCGAATACTGCTCACCATCCTCATCGCCAGACTGCGGCCCACTTCGGTGCCTTTGTGTTCGGCTCCGACATCGACGGGCGACAGATGAGAGGGAAGGGTGAGGTGCCCATCAGCCCCTCGAGGAGGTCTCTGCCTCACGCCTCCCTCCAGTCAAACCGCCTGGCATTGTGCGCGCTGCCGCGCAGTACGGCGTTGCCAACAGGATCGCGGACCTCCTGACGTTCGACGTGACCCAAAATCCATGGCGGTGCGGAGATCTCTTCGACGCGATCGTGACCGATCCGCCGTGCAAGTGTCCTCCGGTCCCTCCGCTTCAGCCATTCTCTAACCATGTTCCCTGCCCCCCACCAGACGGCGTGCGCGCCGGCGCGAAACGGCTCGGGCGCAAAGCCCCACGAGACGGCCCGCCCCCACTGCACACCGAACGCCCGTACGTAGTCGTGCCTCCGCTTCAAACCACCCTCAGCCTCTTCGCGCTAAAAGCCACCCGCGCCCCAGCGACGACCAGCCGTACATCCCGCCGATGAAGCCGTACGAGCTCTCGGAGCTCGCCCGGGACCTCGTCCTCCTCGCGCGGCACATGCTCCGCCCGCGCGGCCGGCTCGTCTTCTTCCTCCCGACGGTCACGGACGAGTACGCGGAGGTGGACGTGCGCGCGATGCTCTGCCCCGGCATGGAGCTCGTCGCGAACTCGCTCCAGAACTTCGGCTCGTGGGGCCGCCGGGTGCGTCTTCGGGCGCCGGTGGGACGCACGCGACGGGCGGGGCTGACGCGGGCGGTGTACAGCTGATCACGATCCGGAAGACGACGACGGAGCGGTTCCCGCGGCCGTCGTTTGACCCGGAGCATGCAGTGACGGAGAACGTCGTGGGCGAAGCGCATGTGCCCGCCCACAAAGACTTCCGGGAGAAGTACTTCCAGGGTTTCGGGAAGAAGGGCGACGTTGGGGACGATGGAGGGGATACGGCTGGTACCGGCTGATTGGGGGCGAGAGACGATGGATTGCGAAGAATTAAACGACGACAGCTGTATCGTTAGAGCAAATAAGAGAGCAAGAGGTGTAGCGTAGCGTAAAGCGATCTCGTCTGGGGTATCTCGACAAAACAGTTGCAGGACTAATGGGCACCTCGAGAGTTGGGTCCGCCGATGTATCGAGCTGTTGCGGCGATGCGGAAGTTGAAGGGGACGACCGTGTGCCTAACGCAAATATAAGAGACAGAAGAGGGACGGTGTGCACATACGTACTCATAATACTCCTGAATCTCCGCCCCGTCCATGATCAGCACATCACCCTACGACGGAGAATCAGCACCCGATGTGACGAGGGATATAGCGATGGATCTCACATGTCTCAGGAAAAGAGTCAGCGCGTTCACTTTGTCGCCCCCCGCCTTGTCCGTGCGATACTTCTTCAACAATCGGAAGTGCATCAGAGCAGCAGAGCCAAGAGATAGCGACGCCACTCGCGGACCAAGACCCGCTTCTGCATCACTGTGGAACTGTGGGCGTAAATGGTTAGCCTTTACTCTCACGGAGCATGAGCAGAAACCTACTGCCATCCTCTGCTCCTCCATGTACGCGGCGCTGAGCACCTCATTGAACTGATACCCGCCGCTCTCGCTTGCATGACGGTTTGCATGCGCGATTGGATCAAATCGCGCGCTCTGACAATAGCCGACGGGGCTTGGCTGAAGGGAACGGTTTGGTTCGTCCCACCAACATATTGATACGGCTCGCCAGCTGAGAACAACGATCAGCGATGAGATATCGGTCAGTCGGCGCCGGAAAGCGTACTATTTTGCGAGAAGTAGTTGGTCAGGAGCTCTCCACGGCATTGGTGCTGAAATCCGTCTCAGCGTGATGCCCAGCGCAAGCGGATGGAACCATGGGCGTACCATCCGCAGCGGCCACCTGCGCAACTGCAGTTCGCCTGACTTTGCTTGGTTCTGGTACTCTTCGAAGATCTCGTTCGCAACTTTGTTCAGGGGAACGCTGCCGGTGATGCAGAAGATACGACCCCTGTCGCACTTTCAGTGGGAGAAAGGGAGGAAAAGAGAGATCACGACTAACCTGCGCTCGGGAAGGGTGTATACGAAATATTCACCGACGTGGTCATCTACTCGGTAAGGTCTGGAGCCGGAGCAAAGGATACCTGACAACCCATTTACAGCCCAAGTGAATCGGTGCCCAAGCGGGGACAGGTTCGAGAGTTACGCACCAGAAATTGCAGAAACCTTATAATGCCAGAATATATCGCTCTTCTGCCCCCAGAAATCCTTCGGGACTCGGTTCTTTCCTTCGATCCGCAGCGTGTTCCCACAAGCGGCACATTCCCAGTGCTGCCACTTGTACCTGAACACGGGCCGGCATCAGCCAAAAGCTACCCAGAGCACCTCGGACTTTACTCACCTGGACGAGAGTCTGCCACATTTCTTGCAGTGCCACCCCTTCGCAAACCGAGAGGTCGTGATGACGCCGTCGGCCTTGTCCGTCACAGGCAGCGAGGGGGCGATGTCCTCCAGAATGCCATGGCTGCAGTCGTACGGCGCGTCCAGGAACCGCTCGTCGTACTCCAGAGGTTCGAGCGGAGGCGAGCCGTCGAGGAGCCTCCAGAACTCGCCGCATGCCGGCTGGAGACACACGCGGACGTCCTTGTAGACCTGCGGGGAGGCCTTCTTGCACCCCGGGCACACGTAAGGTTTGTATAGCCTGCAGCCACGGCGTTAGATAGTGTGCCGCGACAGTGGCGAAAGATGCGTACTCTTCAGTGTTTCTCGAGGTTGACCGGTGGATCTGCATCTCCGAGTCTTGCTGATGCCACCACGGTGCAGGCTGCTTCTCGCACCATTCGAAGGCAAACTTGTAGCGAACGACTGCGCCTCGGCCATCGGGTAGAGTGTGCGGCTCCGCTGGTGAGGATATGGTAAACTCTATGGCTGTTGTACGGTGATTTAAGACACTCACCCCACACATGGGATATATGATAGAAGCCGAGAACGGCGTACGTGCAGTTGGGCTTTGCGGAGAGATCGTACGGGAAGAGGGCGTACCGGTCGTCGATGACCAGAGCAACGGGCAACTTCATGCGGTACGTGTTGAGCAGTGCACGGACGGACTTATCGTCGGCAAGCTGATCCGAGGCTTGGCGCATGACCGACTGACCATGCTGGTGGTGCAGACTCTCGGCCTTTCCGCCTCTGAAATGGCGTTGAAAAAGACGCTTAATCTAGTACATTTAGGCGACATACCCATGTGAGATAATGAGGCGACCGCCTCGATGGAACATATCTCGGCTGTGAGTCCAATCAACACCCATGACGAACTAGGATGTTGAATGGGGACGTACGCTGACGAGAATGCGCTCAGCAAGTAACCCTTGACAATGTTATCGGCGAAGTATACACCCCCCTGGTAGGATCTGAACCAGTCAAATGCCTCGCATACTTCTTGTCTGGACTAGAGTACGTGGTAAGCGATCGCCGAGCACAAGAACCACGGGACCAATGCTTACCCTGGCCCACACGACAGGTTGTACTAGCAATGGAGGCTTTGGAAGAGAGGGAAGGGTAGAGCCGTGTGATAACAAACGAGGGGGTATGGCACGGAATGAAAGCGAGCCGGAAGCAGAGGTGTGGCTGGCTACAGGCCGGCACATAGAGATTGAACGATCCAATGAGAACGGAGAGGCGGAGCGACGTCGTCTAAGGTCGACCTGCAGTCGCATGCGTGGTTCCGGAGGAAGAGTGACAGCACGCCAATCAACCTCACTGTCTGAGTCTTCGTCGTCCGAGTCTGGTGGAAAGTCTTTCGCTTCTGGATGATTCCCCCAAGGATCGGCAATCGTTTCCGTGCTGTGCAAAATCATCAACGCCTCCGTCGACCCGTCTTTGAGAATCTGGTTCATCTCTTTGACGTCCGCTGGAATTCCGAGGCACCCGGCGACAGGAACAGGGGCCTTGTTCGCGCGAGCCTTAGGCTGTTTGACTCGCTTCGGCTTCGGCGCTGTCATACGTTGGCCTGCTGCCGAGGCCATGTCTGTTTGAAGGCCATTATGCGTCTCCTCTGGCTCGCGCTTGCGCTTGCGACCTTCGGTTGGTTTCTTGACTGATTGTGAGGGGCCAGCCTTGTGGTCGTCGACGGCCTTCGAGGCCTTGCTCTTGCGAGCATGTTTCTTCATGGCAGCATCGGGCTGATCTATCGGGTTGCTGCAAATCGCCTCAGAGTCCTTCCCGCGTTGCTTCTTCGTAGGCCGGGAGGGCAAGTCGTCGATTTTCTTCAACCCCTTGCCGTCCTTCGACGCATGAGCCGCTTGAAGTGCCACGTCTTTCTTGGGCTTCTTCGTTCCCGACTTCGGTCGCGGTTTCTTGATGCCTCTTTCAACTGGTGACGAAGACGGTCCTGGTTCCTCCACGTCCATTCGCGCCTCGCTCTGATCTTCGCTAGCTGCGACCTTCTTCTTCGGCTTCTTGATCCCCTTCGACTTGTCTTCGACGACTCGATCCCTGCCAACCTCGCGCGCGAGCGGCGTCGAGACAGACTGGATGGGTTCCCCGCGTCCGCCGCGTCCTTCCACCATCGCCACGTCCCCGGGATCAGAAGCAGCGCGCGCGCGCGCCTTCTTTTCTTGCTACGAGTAGCTGCGCTCACCGAGCCGTCGGGGGCCGCTCCGTGGGCCGGGGAGACCTCTTCGAAGTCGTCCGTGATGCCGCGCTTCAGCTTCTTGAGCTTCCGGGGAGACTCGGCCTCGAGGATCGCCTTCAAACGCGCGGGGTGCGACGCGTTCCTTGGATGACGCTCGCGGGGTGTATTGGCAGAGAATACTCTCTTCGTCAGGGGCTTGGTGGTTTCAGAGGGCGGTAGGGCAGGGTCCGCGAGGGACATGCCGACATCTGTCGCCGACAGAGTGGTGGACGACGAAGAGGCGGCGAGAGTGGCGGACGTGGAAGGGAAAGAAGGTGCACGAGAGGGCGGCTATACGCGCGATTCGAATGAGCATGCGACCAGAGTGCTGATACAAGAGCTTACCCCGCTCCTAGCATCTTGCGGTTCGAGGAAGACGTTCAACTCGCGGTCGGTAGCAAACGTGGTGATCTCTTTGTTTTCTTCCTCTTCAAGGACGAGACACGCGTTGAGCGGCAAAGCGTCCCCTGTAGTACTTGCAGCATTGGTTCCTTTTTCAGAAACGTTCGCGCTGGGTAGAAAGCAAAAACGTCTTCAGTGTCACTCGTGAGGTCAAGACTGCACAATACAAACCTTCCCTTCTTCTTCTTCCCCAAAGTGCGTCTGTTGTTCATTTTCTGGCGAGCCGGGGGAACGGCAGTGGAAACCTCGACTTTAGGTGCGTAATCAAAGCCGCGTCGCTTGAATTCAGCGTTGACGATCTTCACCGCCGCGCTTTCACCATCTCGGTGCAACGTGTAGTAGAACTTGATAAAGATTCGAGCAGCGTCTTGGTCGAACCGCAGCGGAGCGTCGCCGGTGTCTTTGGGGCCGCCAGATGGGTCTCGCTCAAATGCGTGCTTGTTCCACTGCGCAGCAATGGCGCGAAGACCCTGCATTTCCTGCACGGATGACTTCAGATGACTACGAACCCCAGAGCATACACAAAACCGGAGCGTACGGGCTTGTCCTCGCAAATATCTCTAGCGAACTCACCAACCCAAGCGCGGTTCCGGGAGGTGTTGATCACGAACATACTCGCGAGATATGGGTGTTGGAGAGGGCTCGGGTCGAGCCAGGATAACGGGAGCACCATGGTCGTGCTCTCCCTTCAGTCCCAACGAGTGTTTGCTGCGGTAGTGGACGGAGAGAGAGTATGGAGCGCGCAGTGGGTGGGGGATGATATACGCGCATGGGGCGCAGTGCTTCGGAACAAATTGGCGGCCAGGGAAGACACACGACCCTGACTTCGCAGAGGCCCAGGGCCTCCGGCGCTCGCGATTTCCACAGTCCATCTTCCAGCTACAGCCTCCAAGGCCAGGTGGTCGCGCCCTTTCACACGCGTGTTGCTCCGCGAAGGCGATGGGCGAGCACAGGGACAGCGTGCGCGCAGGGATTCGCGGGGGAAACGACGTCTATGCTACGGAACGGACAGAGAACGCGGCTTTACTTGACAAGCGCGTGCTGCAGCGCCTCGTACACCTCGACCTCAACACTAGCCTCGGCCTTGTCCGCCTCCGATCCGTTGCCCGCAACCACCCGCTGAGCCTCCGCGAGGTTCGCACGAACGGCCTGCGGAGATAGGGTGAACAAGGGTGCCGCGTGAGAGCAGAGGGAGACGTACCTCCGTGGAGAAGGACTCGAGGGGGGCGGCCTCCACCGCGTTGATGGTAAGCTTGTTGTTGGGGTGGACGGTCGCGAAGCCGCCAGAGACTTGCAAGGAGACGGGTTGGTTGGAGTCGGGTGGGAAGCAAGAGAGTGACACGTACCGAACCACTTTTTCGACGCGTTGCCCGAGTCGATGACCTCGACGACACCAGGGCGGAGAGGCTCAATGGTGGGCTCGTGGTTGGCGAGGATACCCATGTCACCGGCCGCGGCCGCGAGGTTCACCTGCACGACATCCTGCGAGGTGAAGAGGGACTGGGGAGTGCAAAGTCAAACCGCTGGCCGGCACCACCTGCGTCGCTGGCACACACCTGGTGGGGGAGAACAAGGGAAAGCTGGAGCCTGTCCGGCGCGGCCTCGGCGTAGCCGCGCCTGGCAAGAGAGAGGGCCCGAGGTGCTCTCCGAGCAGCAGCGGTGGCGAAGCGGAGAGCAGACATAGTTTTGGAGGAGACGGGGGATGTGCACAACAGCGAGCTCGTCCATAACGCCTGCCGCTCATCATGGCGGGGGATGCCGGGTCGTCACGTGCTATTGTCGGGGCGCCCGCGAAGCTGTCCGCTACGGCCTGCCAATAATTCTGTCGATGTTTCTCTCCCGACACTTCTGAATCTTCACCCCTCATGTTTGCTTTCATGTGCTATATGCGATGTGTGCGTACTTGCGAATGTTACGGAAGTTTACTCGGAGGACACACAACGTCTGGCATGTTGTTCCACTGGCAGGGCGTAAGTAGTCGCCCCTTCTGAGGCCGTTGCGCTACAAGTCACTTTAGGCTACAACTCCAGGGTATGTACCACATGTTCTTAAGTATCTGCATCTCCGCTAACAATCTGCCCAGAGTCTGTAAGAGTCTGTCTGCTTCTGTAAATCTCCGCTGCTTGAAGCCCTCCCAGGGGCCGATCTGGCTTCGGCATTACAGTATGGTCCGCGCACACAACAGCGCCCAGCGGTGTGATCAGAGCATAAGTCGCGAACTCCCCGTAACCCAAGGACATCGCACTGCATCCTTCTCACACGCGCCCACAATCGATGCTATCGTCCGGCTCACGGCGACCGCGAGCAGGACACCCAAATACAGGGCGACTTCTCCTAGGACACCAGAAGCAAGTTTTTCCAGTGCTGTCTGATGCGATTGTTCCAGCGCCGAACTGTCGGCCTCTCCGTCTCTGACGCGGTGGAGCAACAGCCCGAGAAAGGTGCGTGTTGTGTACCCTTCACGCCTTGATGCCGTGCCTCGCAGGCCAAGTTTTTGGGACGATCCTCTCCTTCTCGCTCCTAACAATCGCTCTCTCATCAAGACGTCGGGCGGCGCGCGCAAACCTTGCTGCATCGTCCTTCGACGTGGCCCCCGTCACTCTGCAGCCGCCGACCTCTGCACCAAACATAACGTCCCCACCCCGCCACTCGACGCATCTGTCGATTATCACCATCGATGGTATCGAGGGATTCTAGCATCCTCGAGGCTCGGAGACGTCGAGAAGCATCCGCCGCGCCCACAGCATCAGTGGGTGCCCTTGTACTCGTCGATGCCACAAAAGCGCCGAGGACAATAGGCCTCCAAGGGTCTTGGGAACGCCACCGGGCACTCGCCGGGCCCGCGTGCATATAAACCCTGGGAGCCGCACCGACGTTGCCCCTCACAATACCCCCACACGCCACTGGCCGCACTGCGCCGACATACAACTCACGCCGGCCTGGTAATTAGTCGCCGCTGCGACTCCGCGATACTCACTCTTATCTCACGATGTAGGTCGCCGCCGATCTCGTCGCCGTCTACGAGACAGGCGCCACTCAGCAGCCGAAAACCGTCTCGTGCAGGAGGAAATGCAACATTAGGTCACGGACTCAAGACCACACAGGATGTAGGACCCCAGCACGAGCGCCGTGGTCAAAGTAACGTGCGATCCCAAGGCCAATGAGCCGGAAATATAGGGAATACAGAGAAGGTGTTCAAGGCCAGTGCCCATCGCGAAGATAACTTCGCCGGAGGTGGTCGTATAACAGCGAAAACCAGGACACACATCCGTACCGGAACCAAGGTCCCTCGTGCTCCCAATCTAACCGGGGCGGAGGTCAGATGATCAAATCCGCAAATGGGCACCCAAACGAGTTTAGAAGACGCGCACATCGAGCGCAAAACATCCAATGCGAACAGATACCTGGGGAAACCATCAATGTCTTCCACGCCCAAAGGACGCTGGCGCAAATTGCGACTCTGGAGATCGAACCGGCGACAGCCTGGCTATACTAGGACACATGGCAAGTTCCCTGTGATCTCAACCCGGTGAACTGTCGCGGCATGGGAACTTCGTCAAGATGACCAAGCACTGCGCGAGGTCACGACAGCCCTCCCGCGAGTCGGGGGAAGGGAAAGTTGCTCTTAGCTAGCAATTCCGACAATTGGATCGCGTTGTCGACTTGCAGATCGAAACGGCTCCCAGGTATGCAGCAATGTCATAGCAGTGATCAACAAATTATCCACGCATGCAAATCCTATCAGAAGCCCATGGCTAGAAGCGGGAGTACGGAGAATATTCTATAGTAGGATCATCGTGTCCGTCGTCTGCACAGCTTGACCTCTCGTCTGTCAATGACTCAACAAGCGTACTCGCCAACGACCACCGTTTCCGGACCACGGGAGCCCTCGCCCACACGTCGTCCCCGTCTCTCCAGCAGTCCTCCCCCGCCTCTCCGGTCGGCGCACGCACCACCGTGAGCCCGTCCTCTCGCAGAGTGATGCTCGTGTACGGCGCCGTGTTCGAGTGGCGGTAGAACACTCTGGCGACCTGGTCCGGCCAGGCCTGCACCACGTCTACCGCGGCAGCGTGCAAGAAGTGCTCCCACGCCATATCCTCCTCCCGGTCGATCTTCTTCTCGGACGGGAGAACGTACGTCCACGCGATTGCGAGGCGGGCGCCAGCGTGCGAGGAGGTAGACCCCGCGGGTCGCTCGCTGTTCCAGGAGACAAGGGAGTCGTGGATGTATGGGAGGCGCAGCTGCGGTGACAGCGTCAACGTTCAACATTGTTCATAGCTTGAAGGTAGTCGGGATGGGACCTACGTGGATCATGTCCAGCTGCAGGAATCGCAGCTGCGGGAGCTCGCGCGTCACATCCTCGACTGTCCATGTTTCCTCCTCCCTAGGCACCAGCGGCGTCGTCGGACCGAGCTCGCCCAGCCGCAGCGAGACGAGCTGAGCGCCGAGAGACCGCATGACGTCCTGGAGACATACAGCCGTCCCCGTCTCGCACACAAGACGCAGGCGCGAGAGCTCGGGCGAAGTCGAAGCCGGGTCTTCGAGGGCGTCTGCATTTTGTTGGAGGAAAGCCGGGGCGCAGACCATGCTGCGCAGCGCGCGGGGCAGCGCGACCGGGTGTTTGCGGTAGTCTGCGGCGCGCACGGACTGCGTGCGGATCTGCGAGCGCCCCACGTCGAGGTGGCGCAAGTCTGGGCACGTCGCGAAGAGGCGCGAGAGGGCGGGCGGGTAGAGGGCGAGTGTCGTCGCGAATGCGCGGAGCGGCGGGACGCCGATTTCAACGAGATGTTCGAGTGTGAAGAGGCCCCCGGCCATGTTGAGGGACAGCAGGTGGCGGGATGGTTCTATCGTGAGGGCGCGGAGATTGGGGAGGCTGTGGAGGAGGGTGGGAAGCCTTCGGAGGACGCGGTCGTCCACGGCGGCGACGTTGCGCAAGTGAAGGACGCGCGTGTGCGAGAAGCGGTCCCGGGGGGTGGAGGAGATGGACTGGCAGAGAGATATGACCGCATTGTCGTCCGCGGGTTCTAGGATGGCGTAAAACACGGGCTCCGTGACATCGCGGACTGCGCTGCTGACACGCATGAGTTGAGCAAAGGTGTTTGCATCGGGACTGTTCAGAACGACGGCAATTTGCAGCTCGACTGGGAAGCGGTTCCAGGGAAAGAAAGTCTCTGGAATGTTCATTATTATCGATCGGTTGGTTTCCCAGCTGCCACAGTAAACTGAAGCTACCAACCTGAAGCTGCTCGCCTCTTTGCACCGCTTCCACGTGACAAGTCCAGCAGCGACTTCCACTGTTCGCGGCGCGGCGCGGGGATCATTTGGATTAAAATTGGATTGCTACAGCAGGAATTGGATGAAGAGGGGGAGGAAGAGACGGGCAATATCCGCGTCAGAGTCGCGGTTGGTGTCACCGCGAGCGGTCAACCTGTCAAGCTCAAGCGCGACTGGCGCCGCGCTTGCCAGTGCCACGTCTCCCTCTGGTTGTCCTCGGCGCGCGAGCGCACAGCCGACATATACAGGCGTTGGGCGCCTGGGCGCACCGATGTGTCGTGACTCACTGTTTCTACAGTGTCCCACGGGTCCTTGGGACACCACGGGTCCTTGGGACAGACCTCAAATCCTCCCGATATACACTCCCAATAATCTTGAATAAATGGCACTTCAGTGTGCAATGATGTTCCTTGCAGTTAGAGTGACAATTCCAGCTGATCCGAGAGCTGGTTGAGATCATGATAACATCTTTTCCCATTTCCGAGAGTGTGAGCAAACTTGAATGACATGTCGTTGGGAGAGCGGAGCCATCTTGAAGCTCGGAGATGGATTTTATGACTTCTGGTAATGTTAGCTCTCTCCCTGCGAGGTTTCAAGTGATTACATGGCTGGGCTGATGATGCCGGACATGTCCCGCGTTTCCGGCGTTTCCGGCGTCTATTTGGGCGACATACGCGTACCACGTGACACTCTCACATGCGTTGTCACGACGCGTCGTCCTGACTGGCCCCTCCGTGTTGTGCATGGCAACCCATGCTGAGCCTACATGACAGACATGAAATTTGGTGTGATGTGGCATAGGGCAGAGATGAGAGATGCCAACTTGCTCTCCACACCATCCCCCTCCACTCTCTGGCAACATCATGCCGGGCCACACAACCACTTCAGCACTGGCCGCACAACGAGGTGCACGTGATGAGAGCCACCAGCTCATGAAAAAAGCTGTGGATCTCTACCTCAAGCATCACTCCGATCCCCAGCCAAAGGGTCTCCGAGCCGTCTGTCAGGAGGTTTCCAAGGAGCATAAGCAGCTTACTGGCACATACATCCATCTCAGCAAAACCACCCTCAGCCGTTTTGTTAGCAATCCTAACCATCAGTCTATGTCTTCATTTAATTCTAAGAAGGCCCTGCTCACTACTGAGGAAGAAACTCAACTAGTCGAATTCGCCATCACTCTTGCTAGCCGAGGCCACCCTCTCACACACCGTTGCCTCACTGAGGTGGCAAAAAATCTGCTCGACACAAGTCTTGGCTCTTCCACTCCAGAAATTGGCCGCAACTGGAGCTCAACGTTCTTGTCCCGACACAGCGACAGACTTCAAACCTACTGGTCTCGGAGCCTCGAGAGTAAACGGGGACAAGCTGTCAATCCTACCACCATCAAAGCCTGGTTTGACGTTCTTGAAAACACACTCAAGCAGTATCAGTTTGATGTCGACTGCATCTACGCTGCCGACGAGGTTGGCTTCACTCCCTCTCTTGCTCACAAGCAGCGTGTCATCGGTGGCCAGGGCAAGCAGATCCAACACCAGGTCCGGGATGGCACACAGGAGAATATCACTGTTATCCCCGCTATCTGTGCAGACGGGACAGCAACTCCACCGTTTGTGATTTTCAAAGGTCAGGCATTTCAGGCAAAATGGTTACAAAATAACCCTCAGAACACCACGTACGCACCCCACCCAGCCTAGTGTAAACACACCAGATTGCCCTACAATCACTGAAGGACTCGCTTATAAGTGTGACATCAATCCCTGATGTATTCGCTTATTTGCCCTCATTTGAGTCAGTGTTCAGTTACTGATGTACCTGCTTATTTGAGACACTGCTCAGTTTGTGATAGACCAGCTCATTCGAGACACTACACAGTTAGCAGTACCTTTGTTCAAATGAGACTTTGGTGTAGTAAGGCTGATATACAGAGCTGCCCTAGTTTCTGACTGTCTGGCTTAATTGAGCTGCCCTAGTTTCTGACACCTGAGCTTAATTGAGCTGCTCTATTTTCTGCACAGTGAGGTCATTTGAATTGCCCTGGTTTCTGATGTCTGAGTTCAATTGAGTTGTCTTGATTTCTGACTGCCTGGCTTAATTGAGCTATAAGGCTGGTATACAGAGCTGCCCTGGTTTCTGAGGCCCAGGGTCAATTGAGCTGTATTGGTTTCTGATGGCTTGCCTTTTTTGTGCTACTTAGGTCACTAAAAGGCTGGCTTGCTTGAGCCTGCCATGTTTTGGAACACAAGGCCATTTTTCTAGTAACTCATACCAACACCTGGCCACAGATGTGAGTTTTTTATAAAGAGAGTTTTGGTTCTTCAATTATTCTTAAATCTTTTTAAGAGGCACCATTGGAGATTTCTATTAACATCAGGCAAAATAAAACCACAGTCAAAGAAACTGCAGCCACAGAAAAGGGACTACAAGCCAATGACCCATATTAGGAAGACTCTTAAAGATTTCCTTCATGTACTCCCTCTTCTCTTTTATTTCTAACACCCCATGGCTGGTTTTAAAAAAAAATTCCAACCTATTTTCTTCTAGAGCAGTTTTTTCTTGAAAAAAGTTTCTCATAGTGCAAACAGCTTTATGAATGAATGGTTGCTTGAAATAGCCTCAGGCTTGTTCAAGCAAGCATCTATCTTTCAAACTGTTCATAGTGAACAAGAAACTTTTGTATTTTTAAAAAGTCATCTTCTGTGTTTGATGAGTATTTCTTCTGAAAGCCATGAAGTATTAAGAAAGGAGGTGGCTTGAACATCACCCCTTGCTGAAGCCTTTCCTTCAACTAGAATTATATGATGAGTTCACTCATAAAGTGCTTCCTCAGCATTGAAAGTATCCATGCTCTCATAGCTTTCAGTAAATTTCCTCTGGCTATGAACTTCTTCAGCCTCTTTCTGCCGCTTTTTTCTTTCAGTGTATCCTGGGTGCTTGTAGTTGGTTTGCACTACTGCAACACCTAGTATAAGCAGGAAGTGGTCCTGTGGCTTCCTCCCAAGAGAAAAAGTATTTGCAGAGCCAAAATATAGGCAGCTGGCTGCTGGGTAAGCTCTTTTTGTAAGGGAGGGGGTAGCTATGTGCTGCACTCCTTTAGGGGTACCATGGGCCACTCTTTATTGGCCACTAAATTTGCCAATTTTCCACACCTCAGTACCAAATTTGCTAGAAGTGATGAAAGGTTGCTCAGCTCTGGGCAAACCTCAGAAACAGCCCAGCCAGCTGATGTAAAGTACACCACTGCTACTATACACATTCAGGCAATCAGGCTATTAGAGAGAGAGGCTGCTCAACAAGGCATTCTGGGGCTTTGGCAGGTAGTAGATAGACATATAGTTGCTTTAGAGAGAATATGAAAGCTCTAGTAAATATGTACAATAGTAGCCCAGGCTAGAATTATCAGGTGTGGCTGGGGTAGAAAGAAAAGTGCCCTCTAGGAAATTACCTAGCAGGGGCTTGGTCTGTCAACTTGCATATAAAAATGGCTAGGCTGGCCTAAGAATTGGTTTTCTTAGCACCTCAGATCAGAGGAGATAGCTAATTCTGAGATGCAGCTGATTTTTGAGGTGCTCAAGTAGCCAAAGTGTGAAGTGGTGGCCAGACTTTAAGGAGGCAGCCAAATTTGGAGGAGAGAGCTGATTCTGAGGGGCAGCCAAATTCTGAGAGCCAGCTTCCATCTTAAAAGTGGACTACCCTAAGAATAAGAAAACTTGACTGCAGGAGCAACTTAGAATTAGCCTGCCCCTCAACATTTGGCTGCTCTTCAAAACTTGGTTACCTCCTCAAAATCTCATAGCCACTGCAGAATTTGGCTACACTTTTAAAACCTCACTGCCCTGTCCAAGTCCAACTACTGCTCAAAATATAAAGAAGAGAGCAGCCAAGTGGCTGAAAAAATATGGTCTAGCAAAAAGTGTGTGCTAAGAAAAAAGGCCTAGAAAAAAGTGACCAGAAAAAACTGCCCAGAAAAAGTGATCAGAAAAAAGCAGAAAAAGCGGCCGAAAAAAGCAGCCGAAAAAAAGCAGAAAAAGCAGCCGGAAAAAGCAGGAAAAGCAGCCATAAAAAACCAGCAGAAAAAGTGGCCAGAAAAAAGCGGCCGAAAACTTATATAAATCAGGGGTTTCCCCTCAAATAACTGAAAAAGGCCATGACTAGAAATATAAAGGGCTAACCATCATTGGCCAGAAGAAGTAGTAAGTAAAAAGCAGAAAAAAGCGGCCAGAAAAGTGCCTAAGAAAAAGTGGCTGGAAAAAAACCACCTAGAAGGTGTAGCCAAATTCTGCAGTGGCAGCCAATTTTTGAGTAGGTAGCTGAATTTTGAGGGGTAGCCAATTCTGAGGTGCTCAGGTAACTAGTTCTGAGGCCAACCCAGCCATTTTTGTATGTAAGCTGGCAGACCAAGCCCCTGCTAGGTGATTTCCCAGAGGGTGCTTTTCTTTCTGCCCTAGCTAGGCTTTGGTTTCCCCCTCAGAACTAGCTACCCTAAGCACCTTAAAGGATGCCTCAAGCACTTTTGGATTTGGCTATGCCAAGAGCTTCCTAAAGAAAGCAGCCATTTATTTTTAGAAATTTCGGCAAATGCCACAGATTTATATACACAGATCCTAGCACTTTGATTAATCTTGCTCTCTATCATCAACCACCACCCCACCCCTTCCACCTCTACTTTGGTCACTACCCTTTTAACATTATCCCATTTCTAACTGCATCAGTCATAGTAACCCATCTATAGCTCTTAGGTGAATATTCTTTCCAGTGCTTTGAGTGTTTATAATGCTTACTAATAAGAACAGTTAGATTTTCCCCTGGTCCATGAAGCTGCTGAGGCAGAGAACTGGCCTGCAGGCAGTTTAGAAACTGCAATGCTCCAGAGTATGACATAGCCAGTTCTCAATAAGACTGTTATAACTTCACTACAGCTCATTTTCTGGAACAGTCCCTCAATGATCCCCTGTCCTTTTTTGGGGCATGATTTTACCCTCCTGAAAGAGAAATTCTAGAAATAGAGAGATAGGTAGTAAATAAACAAATGTCTCTGGTTGCTTTTCCTAGGAAGTTTTTTTCTGGTCACTCTTTTCTGGGCCACTTTTTAGTCACCTTTTTCGCTTTTTTCCAGCCACTTTTTCTTAGGCACTTTTCTGGCCGCTTTTTTCTGCTTTTTACTTACTACTTCTTCTGGCCAATGATGGTTAGCCCTTTATATTTCTAGTCATGGCCTTTTTCAGTTATTTGAGGGGAAACCCCTGATTTATATAAGTTTTCGGCCGCTTTTTTCTGGCCACTTTTTCTGCTGGTTTTTTATGGCTGCTTTTCCTGCTTTTTCCGGCTGCTTTTTCTGCTTTTTTCTGATCACTTTGTCTGGTCACTTTTTTCTGGTCACTTTTTTTTTTCAGCCACTTTCTCTAGGTAGCTTTTTCTAGCCGCTTTTTCTAGGAAAATTTTCCTGGCTATATAATGAAGCGTTGCATGCTTTCTCTTCTTGGCATTGTGTGTGCTCATATGACTACATATCTTGTGAATTGAGAGAGCTCATGTGAGCACATTTCCCACGAATTAACAATGCTCATGTCAGTAGAGGCCTTGTAAACAGCCTGCCTCTCAAATGAGCGAGTCATTTGTGCACTAAGGTCCCTTGTATGAGCACGTCTCTTGTGAACTGATGACCCTCACTTGAGCAGAGGGCTCCTATACAGACTGCGCTCACTTGAACTGACCTTATTAAAGGTTTAGACATTTTGGGTTGGGCACCTCATATGAGCAAGAGCACTGTGTACTATCATAAGCTCATATGAGCAGGGATATCAAGAACAGAAGTCAAGCTCAATTGAGAGCTTATAAGCGGAACATTCGTATATTTCTGCACTGCAAATAAGCGAATTATGCGGATATATTATGGCACTGCACTGGTAAACACCACAACTAATCACAGCTTCAGACTTGGATATTCCATCAAAGGGTGGACAGACGGGGAGCTTGGGGTTGAATGGATCAAGCACTTCGATACATACACCAAAGCGAAGACAGGAGAACGATACAGGCTACTGGTTGTGGATGGGCACAACTCTCATTACACCCTCGAGTTCCTCCTCTACGCCATCAATGCTCGCATCATCGTGATCTGCTATGGTGCACACACAACTCATGTCTGTCAAGGTTTAGACGTAGTCGTCTTCGGAGTTCTCAAAACATGCTGGCGAGACGCACGCGACAAATGGGAGCAAGACACAGGTCAGGCAGTCAATAAGGAGAACTTCCTTGCAATTTACGCCCAAGCTTGGGACCGAGCAGTCACTCCCAACCTGCTGAAGAAAGCCTTCGAGAAGACGGGTATCTCACCCTTCGATCGCTCGAAAATCACAGCCGAGCACATGGCCCCCAGCATAGAGAAATCCTACCATGGCTCACTCCCCTTCACTCCACCCACCCCTGTTCGCAAAGTCGCCGAAGCACTTGCTAAACACCACGCAAAGCGGACACGATCCAATTCCTCCTCAGATTCATCCGGGACAGAGAGCGACACCGGATATACCGCCACCGCCAAGCGAGCACACCGTGCTATGGCATCATCATCCATCTCATTCCTCACAAGCTCATCGCCCATCCGATCATCATCCCATCTCCCGGACTTCACCCACCCTCCCGCACCTCCGATCCCGGCTCCTCAGTTCTCATCCCTTCTTCCCCTGTCCAACTCCGAGACACCGCTGATGAACGAGAATGCTGCCCTGCACTCCCTGGTGGCTCAGCAACACAGCATGATCAATAACCAGCGGGCGATAATCTTGATTCAAGGACGGTATTGTGATGGGGTGCGGAGCCAGCTAGGAGGGGCGGAGAAAGCGCAGGAGAAGGGGAAAGGGCGAGGAAAACTCACATCAAACGGGCTTCCGCGAGCCCTCACAGGTGACCAGTTCGTTGAAGAAGTTCGCGCGCATGTAAAAGCGCAGGCCGCCGCCAAGGAGCTCAAGGAGCAGGCCCACCACGATCGGGATGCGCACTCAAACCTGGTCGCAGCCTGGAAGGTGAAAGACGCCGAGAGGCGAGCTGCCAATGACGAGACTCGTGCTGGTTACAAAGTCGCCGTGGTGGAATGGGAGGCAGAGCGCGACGAGGCGAAGCGGGCGAAGCGGGCGAAGAGGAAATGCCAGTGGAAGAGACCGAAGCAAGGCCCGTTGGTGTCTGCTGTCCCGAAGCCCACCTTGGCATCCGTGAAGGTGGCGGTGGCGCAGGCGAGCGTTGATGAGGAAGAGGGGGGGGCTGGGGTAGAGATGCGGGATGGAGGTAACAGTGGGGACGAGGGGGACGGAGAGGAGGATGGCATTGAGCACCACGGCCAGGACGGCTCATCGGACTCCGATGGATCAAGTGACGAAGCGCCAGTGCGCGTCGTGGGAGATCTATGATCTATTGCCCGATATGGGCCGTCCCAAGGAAGGGTGGGTTCGAACTTTCGGGTCATATGTCATTTCGTGTCGCACTCGTCTCTTGTTCTTCAGATTCCTCTAAAAATATTCATGTATGTAGCTACTATGTGGGGCTGTGTAGATATGAAAACAGAGCGACTGCTGACACAAAAACGCAGAGATATCAGCTAGACTGTTTTTGGTGTCCCAAGGACCCGTGGGACACTGTACTGCCTTCACGGAGGTCCTTTTCGTCGCCCTATGCCCGCCGGGGACAGCACGCACGCGCCGCACAAAGAGCGCCAGAAGCGCGGGACATCCAGAGCGGCGACCGCGCTGCTGCGGTAAGTGCTCCAGCCAAATCTTCGAACGCATGGTCTCAACTCTTGTCTCGTCCCGCCCAACTTTCATTCCCATCCGCGATGCCCGATACACCCACACCCGCAGATGCTCCATTCGACCAGCCCTCGGCGGACATCGTCCTCCGCAGCGTAGACCGCGTCGACTTCCGCGCCCACCGCGTCATCCTCGCTCAAGCATCCCCCTTCTTCGCCGACATGTTCTCTCTCCCCCAGCGATCCCCACCCGACGTAGATGCACTGCCGGTCGTGGACATGTCGGAGGACAGCAAGACGCTCCGTCGGCTCCTCCTCCTCTGCTACCCCGTCGATAAGCAGGAGCTGGAGTCGGTCGCGGACATCGCCCCCGTCCTCGCGGCGGCGCGCAAGTTCGACATGGAGTGGCCGGTCAGGCTCCTCGCGCGCGATCTCACTACCTCTGTCTCTCGCTCACCACTCCGCGCGTGGTCATGTGCGTGCCAGAGTGGGCTTGAGGACGTCGCGCACCACGCCGCAGAGGAGATCAAGCGCCGCGCGTCCTCAAAAGCCGCCGAGACTCCAGAGGGCCCGGACTCGGGCGTCGCGTTGCTCTCTGCGCTGCGCGCTGCATTGGAGGAGGAAGGGCTGATGGACGTGCTCCAGGGAGTCAGCGGTGGCGCTTACTTCCGCCTGCGCGAGTACCTCCGCGGCGCATCTCCATCCTTCTCAATCAGCCCCGGGTCGAACTCCTCCACACCGTCAAATACCTTGGAGGCTGGTGCGTCGCCGAAGACGATTCGTCCTGAATTTCTTCCACCTTACCCTCCCCCGACGCCACTATTTTGTGCTCGGACGGCGTGCTCGTCGAGGCCCACGAAGTCATCATTGCGCTCCGTCTCCCTGGAATCTCCGTCGCTACCCCCGCGCCCTCTCCTAATGGCTCCTACGTCGAGCTCGCCACGAAAGGCGATCGCGTTCTCGAAGCATCTACACCACAACAGGGTGCCTACACCCTCGATGCGCCCTCAACCGCGCTCGTCAACATCCTCGCGCTCTGTTACCGCGGCAAGAGCGACACAGCCTACGGGGCCGACTTTGATGGCCTCGCGCGCGCGCTAGCCGTGTCTGGGAAGATCCCGATGGACGCGCAGATGCTGAACGCTCCTCGGCAGGTATGGGAGCAATGCGTCGAGATCAACCCTTTCCGAGCGTACTTTGCGGCAGCGAAGAGCGGCCTTGGGGAAGAGGACATCCGTGCGGCGGCACGCAAGACCCTCGCAGTCCCTCTCCTTGGATTTTACTCGGGGCGGTTGGAGCATGCCGACGCGATAGTGTACGAGCGACTCCTGAAGTATCATCATGACGCCTCTGTGGCTGTCGTCGGTGTCCTCGCGCATGTGGGCGAGAATTGGAGCAAGAACCTGCGGAATACTTTCCCTCACCATTTCATGCACATGGATTCGCTCCCCGTGACCCCTGCACAGCGTATAAATGATGCTGCGCACAAGTTATCTGTGGGACAGCATGCCCCAGCAATGCTATTGGAAGCTATGGGCATCGACATATCGACACTGATCGAGGCAGCACTGCGGCAGGTGAGATCCACGATCACAACCAAACACTACGACACGATTCGAGCGGCGTTGGCGGAAGTAGAGCGCACATTGCAACCTAGAATCCATGATGTGTTGAACATGGTGAGCAATGTCTGTGTCGGACACTATCCGATGAGATAGCTAACAGGTCTATAGTCGTGTCTCATGCTGTGAACGCAGCACACAATCAAACCTACTCTTCTCAGAAGTCTTGAGGACGTTCGGAGGTTTTGCACGAGCGCTCATGCAAGATCAAATCGCTCACTGAGATTGATAGATTGTATGTTCTTGTACGCTGTAGAATACGAGTCGCTCAGTACAATTTGAACGGCCACCGGGCTCGAAATCCTTCACCGTGGCATCTGTGTTTGAGGTTAAGCATTGAGAGCCGAGGAGCAACTCGAGCACTTACCAACTGAACAGACCATCTCAGAGCGCTCTTGACTCATTCTAGGAAACGCTTCCTTCAACGCCGCACCATCCTTGGCCCGCAGCGCCTCGGCATCGCCTTTTCCCGCGTTTCGCAGCCTACCGATTTTTTGCCTATCGTTGTCCTAGACCTCGCGGGGATCGTCGTCGCCGTGACGAGCGCGCCGCGCGCAAAGGTGCATCACGGTGTGTGCACCTCGCAGGTCGCGACCATTTTAGCTCTGCGATAGCTGGCGGTGACGAGAATGCTGGACGACGTCGATCCGTTAACTCACGGCCCGTTCGTGTCTGCCTTGACAACAAACGCTGCTCTGGGATCCCGCCACAGCAAAGGTACTGGATCAATAGTTGTTGTGACGCAGAACCTCCGCGATGTAGTATCAGTGACGTCGGTAGTATTGGATCTATGTGGGCGGGTCGTGAATAGAGCCGAAGCAAATCGGAGCACTGGCAGCTCGAACACGCGTATCATCGTACCGACCGCACGAGCTCGGGGATCTCGACGGTGACGTAGTGCCAGATGTACTGCGTCCAGCCTTCGAGGACCCCCGCGCCTGTCATGACGTGCAGGCAGTCGCTCGCGACGTGCGCATCCGGCCTGAGCAGCGCCGCGCCGTCGATCCCGAGGTAGTGGATGTCCGGGTATACCCCCTCGCGCAGGACGTCCTGTCCGACGCTCGTCAGCTCCGCCCGCAAGAACAGCAGAGGCCGAAAAAGACGCACCGCAAACGCGCGGTTCATGTCCCCGATCTGCTCCCAGTTCCACGACGTGCTCATCTCCTTCGTGTACCTCTCCACCGGCGCGCTGGCGTCGTGGCAGCCGTCGTGCCCCGGGAGGTATGCGCGCACGAGCACCTGATGCGCGCTCTTTGACCTCGCTCCTGCGCGCACCAGGCGGCCGCCAGGCGCGAGGTGGGGCCACCCACCACCCGCGAGGGCGGCGTCTTGGTAGAGCAGGGCCTGGACATCGTCAGCCCAGACACGCATCGCGTCGCGGAAGAAGTCGACGATGTTGAAGATGCCTTCGCCGACGAGCGACGCGTCCCTCAGAGCTTCGAAGAGGTGAGTGGTCCAGTGCCCGCCGGTGCTCACGATCAGGGCCGAGTATCCCCCGGCGGGACGGGGCGTGGTGAGCATGCCGACGTACTCTTCGGGGGAAAGGTTCCACACAGCCTCGTTGGAGTTGAAGAGCGTCGTCCTGTTGTGGAGGTACTTTGAGGCAGGGTGGATTTGTCGGTAGAGAGCGTCCAGCCGAGAGGGAAACATGAGAAGATCAGACCGGCGGAAGGTGACGAGCGGGGTGTTGTCGATGTCGAAGTCTTTGGGGAGTTTGAGACTAGGGAGAAGGGGCGAAGAGGAGCTGAGGTAGAGGTTCTGGGGCCATGCGAAGTCGAAGCCGCCAAGGGTGTAGTCGGGCGTTGCTCGTACATGGGGATAGAGCATGCATGAGAGAGAAAAGAAGTGGTTCTCCGTCACTGAATCTGCGGAAATACAACATAGTAAGGTCAGCAACATGCCTGTAACATTCCAAGGCCGGCCAATGATGATGCAAAGCGTAGAACAAATGCACGTGGCGCCCGAGCGCGACACAACTTCCTTCACGCGATGCTCCCTAGCGCCCCCTCCAACGCGGGCCCTCGCCAGCGCACCTGGCAGCACACGCACCTACAAAACCGAGGCCTAAACTCACCTCCAATTAGCAGCCACCCGCCGTGCTCAACCAAATGCTTGACCAATTCCTCCGCGCTCGCCTCCTCCGCCATGCACTCTTGCGGCGGCTCCCACCGCCAGCTCGAGACACCTGGGAAGCGGTCAAACCGCGTCTCGCTGTTCGCACCCAAGTGCCAGTACACCTCGCGCGAGCTCGCGCAGCCCTGCAGGCCGAGCATCGCGTACGCGTCCGCGCTCGTCCGCATCCCCGTCCCGTTCAGCGCCGCGCTCGTTGCGGGGGGCTCACGCGGCACCCAACGCCCGCGCGCCCAGACGTCCGGGGGACACGTCCCGCGCGAGTTGTGCACGCGCGCGTACGCGGCGTCGGCGAAGTTGGCGGCCCAGTCGGAGATGAGGACGAGGCGGGCGAGCCCGGCTAGGAGGGCGAGAAGGGTGAGGCGGATGATGATGGTGCGCGGGGCGAGACGGGATGGACGGGGGAACCACTGGCCACCCGATGAAGGCTGGGAGGTGAGAGGCTCTTTGGAGGGGTCGTCGATGCTGGGTGTGCGTCGAGGCCACATTTTGCAGACGACCGGGGCCAGGGCACAGTGGTGAAAGCGGTCGGGTGGAGGAGAGGATTGTTATTATACGGTCGGTGGTGGTCTCATTCCCTGCCGCTCTGTACCCCCACCGGTGTAGGCGGGGTACTTACAGAGCGGCTTGGGGTGGGACGAGGTCGGTGCAAGCACCAGGTTGCAAGTGGGCATCCGCTTCAATTTCGATGCCTGGTGACCTGGTCGCTATTCGGCCCCGTTAACGATGTGCAGCTATTGAGGGCACGGAAAAGCGTCATACCGTACTCAAACACGCTTCCGACGCGCTTTGAAAGTTTCCATGACCGTCAGGAGGATATAGCGAGGGCGAGAACTGCTAGAGGGATGGAACCAGCGGCGGGGTGCCCGTCTGCCTTCGCGCGTGCACTGGTGGGTTCGAGGTGCGTCCGCACAAAATGGGTGTGAAAACGCACCTGCGAGGTCACTGGTGCCGAATCTCCGGGCTGGTGGAGCGTAGAACGACGAGCAAACAGACTGGCAAGAGCTGGACACGCCGATTTTCGGGCGGCTCGCGCATGGAGAATATGAAGGCGGAGATGCGCTCTTGGCGCCCAAAGGAAGCCGCCGGCGTCGCCCGCGCTGCCAGTCCCGCGCCCTCACGTCCGCGACAGCTTCAAGCCCTTTCTTTAGTACTTTAGTACGGCATGGCTACATCCCTCGTATATACACCATGTGCTTCCAAAGCATATCTACGGCTTCCTGTATGCAATACACGCGCCCCGTCACGCGTCACGATTGGTTGCATCGGAGGAGAGGAATGCAAGTCCATAGGCGCCTCTCGGCATGTCAAAATCCACCATGAAGTACTAGTCCCGTCTACTGCCTTCACGGAGGTCCCTCTCATCGCCCGGTGCCCGCCCAGGAACAACATGTACCAGACAAAAAGCGCCATTAAAAGGCGCGGGCCATTCAGAGTTGCTGTGCTGCTGCGGTAGGTGCTGCAGTCAGTCAGAATGCGTTGCTCCTTGTCTTATCCCGCCCACCACAGCTGCCTTCACTCCTCAGCATCCTACCGCGATGGCAAATAAACCCACACTCGCAGATGCTCCATTCGACCAGCCATCGGCGGACATTGTCCTCCGCAGCGCAGACCGCGTCGATTTCCGCGCTCACCGTGTCATCCTCGCTCAAGCATCCCCCTTCTTCGCCGACATGTTCTCCCTCCCCCAGCAATCCCCACCCGACGTAGATGCACTGCCGGTCGTGGACATGGCGGAGGACAGAAAGACGCTCCGTCGGCTCCTCCTCCTCTGCTACCCCGTCGATAAGCAGGAGCTCGAGTCGGTCGCGGATATTGGCCCCGTCCTCGCCGCGGCACGCAAGTTCGACATGGAGTGGCCGGTCAGGCTCCTTGCGCGCGATCTGACCGCATCTATCTCCCGCTCGCCACTCCACGCGTGGGCATGCGCGTGCCGGAGTGGGCTTGAGGACGTCGCGCGGCGCGCCGCAGAGGAGATCAAGCGCCGCGCATCCTCCAGCGTCACCGGAACAGAGGTCACGGACTCGGGCGTCGCGCTGCTCTCTGCGCTGCGCGCTGCTCTGGAGGAGGAAGGGCTGGCGGACGTTTTCCAAGGAGTTAGCGGCGGCGCTTACTTCCGCCTGCGCGAGTACGTCCGCAACGCATCCCCCTCCTTCTCCATCAGCCCCGAGTCTGGCCAGTCGGAAACCACCCCGCCATCGAACATCATCTTGGCTGGCGCGTCGCCGATGACGATTCGTCCTGAATTCCTTCCACCGTACCCTCCCCCCGACGCCACGATCTTGTGCTCGGACGGCGTGCTCGTCGAGGCGCACGAAGTCATCATTGCGCTCCGTCTCCCCGGAATCTCCGTCGCGACCCCCGCGCCCTCTCCTAATGGCTCCTACGTCGATCTCGCTACGGAAGGGGATCGCATTCTCGAAGCACCTTCACCACAGCAGGGCACGTACACCCTCAATGCCCCCTCGACGGCGCTCGTCGACATCCTCGCGCTTTGCTACCGCGGCAAAAGCAACGCACCCGTCCGCGGGACCGACATTGACGGCCTCGTGCTCGCGCTAGCCGCGTGCGAAAAGATTCCGATGGACACGCAGATGCTCAATGCTCCTCGACAGCTCTGGGAGCAGTGCATCGAGATCGACCCTTTGGGAGCGTACCTCGCGGCAGCGGAGCGCGGCCTTGGGGAAGAGGAGATCCGAGCGGCGGCACGCAAGGCCCTGGAACTCCCTCTGCTTGGCTTGTATACAGAACAGTTGGAGGGCGGCAACGCGATAGCGTACGAGCGACTCCTGAAGTATCATCATGACGCCTCTGTGGCTGTCGTCGGTGTCCTCGTGCATGTGGGCGACAATTGGAGGGAGAAGCTGCCGAGCTTTCGTATCAAAGAAGATCCCTCAAATATAGAACTCTTCACAACCCCGGCACAGCTTATAACGGATGCTGCACGCAAGTTGTCTGTAGGGCAACATGCCCCAGGAATGCCGTCAGAGGTTATGGGCATTGACATATCGACACTTACCGAGGCAGCGCTGCAGCAGTGGAAATCCTCGTGCACGAGCACAAGCCCTAAGAAGTACTACGGCGTGGTTCGAGAGGCGTTGAAGGAAATGGAAAGCACATTACAACCTAGAATTCGCGGCGTGCTGGATGCGGTGAGCAACCTCTGCGTGGGACGCTATCCGATGAGAGCAACAGCTAACAAGTCTTGATTCCGTACAGTCGCGGCTCGCGCTGTGAACGGGGCGCAATCAAACATACTCTTCTCTTCTGTCTTGAAGAAGTTCGGAGGAATTGCACGAGTGTGTGTGCAAGATCGGACAATATAGCGAATCGCTATTTCCGGTACGCTGTAGACTACGAGTCGCTCAGTACAATTTGAACAGCTACTGGGCTTGGAATGCTTCGCCGTGGTATATGTTCTTGAGGTCAATCATTGAAAGCCGAGGAACAACTCGAGCACTTACTCTTCACATCCACTCAATAGACCATCTCAACGATTAGCTCTTTACTCATGCCAGGAAACGCCTCCTTCAACGCCGCACCATACTTGGCCCGCAGCGCCTCCCTGCCTCCTTCACTCCCGTGTTCCTTCGCTCTCCCACGCGCGGTGGCTCCGCCGCCGATCCATGGCGGCAACCAGCTCTTGAGGGATTCGATGTAGACCACGCACTTGGGTTCCTCTAGCCAGCGCGGCCTTCACGCCCACCCACTCCGCGGACATGCCCACCTCCGGGATGCAGGTAGCGTAGACGACCTGGAGCTCGACGGTCCGCAAGCTCTCGGGGAGCGCGGCGAGGATCTGGGCTGGCGCGCGCGAGCATATTTCCATGCGTAGGGGTGTACGGTAACCTCTCGCCGCTCTGCTGTATGAGTTGGACCTGCGTATTTGTTGTACGCGACAAGCATGTATATTTTTTGACCCCGGCCGATCTCGGGGCAGTCAGCATTGATATGAGATATATATGTCCAACTGGTGGGTACTGCACTGAGTGGAGTACAACAAGATCTGCAGGACAGAGCGACTTGGTTGTACATCCTCTGGTCTTGTATGGAGGGGGGGGGGATTGATACTGCTGATGTCGGAACAAATGAACTGCCCTTACAGTGCAGCCTGTGTGTCGAAGTTCAAGCGGAGAGTGGTGAGCTCGAGCGCACGCGCGCGCGCGCGCGTCTAGCCTGGAGCAGCTGTGCGAGTCGCGAGAGTCACTGTGGCTGGCCCTTTCCCTCATCTCTGCTTTGTCCATTTCACTGCTCGATCGGGCCCAAAGCTCTTCTTCCAAAGATGCTCGCCAAAAACCTTCGAAAATGCTCAAGTACTGCGTTAACGGTACACATTATTCGACGCGTCGAACTGCATATATGTGAATACATCTGGACCAATCCTACACGATGACGATGCCGGGAACATCAGTCCTACTCTCGAACACTGCTTAGCGCAGGACTAGGAAGCGGGCGACGAAGTGGGGATGGAGGCAGGGCAGGGATCATGGAGTATGCGCGCAATGGGAGCTGAAATGCAGCATTTGGAAGCGCAGCCGGCTGCGCGCCGTTCGGCCTCTATCGAGCAAGTCTAGTGAGTGCCATGCACTGTTCAGATGGCGCAGCTGTACTCACTGGAGTGGTTTGTTTCTGCTTCGAGTAGAATGCGAAGAGGTCGGAGATCTGCGTCTCAAGGCCCTGCCTCTCCCTCTGCAACCGCGTCACCTCCTGGGTCATCATCATCACCTCGCGCGTGAGCTCCTTCTTGAACTCTTCGACATGACCTGTCGTTATGCGGTGAGTGTCGTGGCTCACTTCTACGGTGGTGTGCTCACTTTGAACATTGATAGCCGTGGCTTCCTTCATGGCTTCTACGAATCTCAATCTCTCCCCTCGAATGTCGTTGGAAAGCTCTGTCGCCACGGATCAGCTGCAATGCATAGCGCCAAGGTGAAGACCAACCCGCTGCGACAGCTTTCAACAGGCGCTCCTGGTCCTGTCGTTGGCGATCAATGAGGCCGATGACCGACTCCGTAGCTGAGCAAGGACTATCAGCGAGGGTGCAGGGGCATACAGATCGGTACGTACTCAACGAGTTCCGCGTTTCTGCATTCCTCCGCATGTCCTCCTGCACCGCGGCGATGAGTCCCCCCATGGAAGCGTGGAGCTCCACATTGCTCTGCTCGCGCTCCATGTTCTGCACGAGGAGCTTGCGGACGTCTGAGAGTAGGCCCCCGCTCTCATACACCAGCTTCGGCTCTCCTTCATCTCCGAGGTCATCTCTGTCGTTCGGAGGAGCGTCCTGCAACTCTTGCACGGGTCCAAGGTCTCTGCAGAGTTGCTGAACGCCGCCCGCCACACCCTCGATCTGGGATATTCCATGCTTCACGAAGGCTTCGAGCCACTATACCGGTGTTTGAGCGCATATAGGGGATGAGAGAAGCTTGCACTCACCGTGTTGAGCTGATTGAGGTACCGGATACTATCCGTCTGCTGTTCCATCTGGGATGCCCTCTGTTCCTCTGCGTCCCGAAGGGTCATGAGTACTTCTTCGAGCTGGTAAACACTTGTGGTCAGTCGCTGATAATCAGCCTACTTTTAGAGACTCACGTTGCTTGGAACGTTCTGCCCCTCCTCGGAGCCAGCCTCATCGATGCGGGACTGTCGGGCTTCTGCAAGCTGGACGAGGTTCTCCAGCTTTTCATGCAACTCAGCCAGCCCTGGAAGCTCGACACTCGGCTGGACAACTGGATCCTTACTGATGGAAGCGTTCTGCGCAGTCTTCACCGTCGCACGCAACTTGGAGATTTGGCCTCGGACGTCGACTTGGAGTTCCTCCATCTTCGCAAGGATGTCGGCATCGTTCGCGCGATTGGAGTCGGATAGGTGCCGTAGCTCTGAGAAGACGTCGTCAACGCGGGTGCGTATGCCGTTCATGGTGTCGACTTGCGTCGCTGAGCCGTCGTGTAGGACCTGGATGCCGTGCTGGATGTTTTCAATCATCGGCTTCACAGTCGGATCCACGGCCGCGGGTGCGATATCCACTGAACCCGATGGGGCGGAGCTCGCGGCGGTGTTCCTGCCTACGTTCCTCAACACTGTCACCCGGTCGGCAGGCTCCTTTGCCCCGTTGCTAGCGGCTGAAAGACGAGCTGGCGGGTCGTTCAGGGTCTTGATCTCCACCATCGCGGACGCAAATGGGGCAAGCAACCTTGACCGGAGCAAGACTTCGTCATCGTCGTCGTCGTCCTCCTCCTCCTCCTCCTTCCCCATATATGCCTCCAAGAACGACCCTTCTCGACTTGCGTCCGTGTCTTGTCGCTCCATCTGTTCCCTCCCCGACCCGGACGCGGTCCCTTTCCTTCTTCGGCCCGCCATTGACAACGGAGAGATGGGGCTCTGAGGTCTCGAGGACACGGGGCTCGCGCTCCCACCTCCACACTCGATCTGCGCCAGCCGCTGCCGGACGACCGACTTCTTGTCGAGGTTCTGGATAGACGGACGTGTGGAGAAGCGACTCCCACGCGGACTAGGCGTGAGCACCAAGGGAGGAGCGGGCATTGTCGAGAGGACAGAGTCCGCGAAGGACGTCAAGCGATTCCCCAGTTGTGGCCGTGCGGACGGAGTCGCGTCGACCGGGGTGGCGCAAGATCTCCGAGGGCTGGAAGAATTCGGTGTAACGGGGATGGGAGGAAGGGTGCGGGTGCGCTCCATGTCGGCAGTCGTCAGACGCGACATCGCGCTCTCGTGCTCCGCGGGTTCGCGCCGATGGCTTGAGCGCGTCGAGGTGCGCTTTACGGATTTTCCCAGGTCATCATCCCGAAGATGCAAGTCGTCGTCGTTCGCAGCAAGCGAAGAACACCCCTCGCTCTGCAACTTCAGCACGGCGTTCCTGCATCCCGAACTCATCAGCATCTGCACGTCCACGCCAACAAGAACGAAGACGGCCCACCAGATCGCACACACCCAATTCGCCCGCTCAGCCAAGCCGCCTGCGACGAACCTCTCCCGCGTCTTCGCGTTCCCCTCGAACACCAGCTCCAGCGCCTTCCACGACCCCGCCCCCTCGTCCGGCAGCCCTGCGCGCTCGGCTGGGCGCACCTCTCCGTCCGCGAGCGAGCGCACGTCCGCGCATTCGCCCAACGGAATCACGCGCGGTACCGGGTGGCCGCCCGTGGTCTCAGACACGACAAGCAGGTGTGCGCGGTGCAGCGTCACCGTGCACGGCATCCACACCGGCGGCAGCGGCGTAGCGGAACTGGACGACGCGGGCAGACGCGCGAGGTAGAGAAGCGGCCCGGTCTTCATGCCCGCGTTGTCCTCTGCGGGCGTGAGGCAGACGGTGTCGGGGACCGGCTCGCGCGCGGTGGGGATCTCCAGACGTAGGTCCTTGCGCGGCGGTGGCGGCGGCGGCGGCGGTGTAGACAAGTCCTCGTACGCGCGCGCGCCCCGCGTCCGCACGCCCGCCTGCACGACCTCCGTCCGCCGCTCAACCTGCGCGCTGAGGCTCAGGGTCGGGGTGGGGCTGCGCGACGGCGGCGGCGGCGGCGCGACCCTGCTCGCCTTCTTGAACACCGCGAGCAGGTTCCGGAGCGACTGGCGGATCGGCGACCGGCCCTTGTCCTTCCTCTCCCCTGGCACCGGCGCGGGCACGGCCATCGTCCCACTCCGAGCGCGCGTCCCACGGCGCCCGCCGCCGCCACCAGCTTCAGGATCCTCGTCGGCCCCTCCCATCGCTTCGAAGCGCCCGATCAGCTCCTTGGTCGTCTCCCGTCGGCGCAACCGCGGTGGCCGCGGCGGCGGGGCGTCTGCTGGGGAGTTGGTGCTTTGGCTGAGAGTGCGGCCCTCGCCGCAGGTGGTGCCGGGGGTGGTGGCGAACGCCGAGGTTCGGGCGCTCGCGCTCGTGCTGTGGCCGGACGACGGTGGGCGGGAAGACGACGAGGTGGACGCGGACATCGGGGGCATGTTGCGGTGTGGGTCCGGGGGCTGCGGCGTGGAGAGCGGTGTCGCGCCCGCGGTGGCCCGGAGATGGAGCAGTGGGCGCCGCGACCACCTACGGTCAGCCGCACGGGCTGGCTAGAGGGCGGATTCCCTGCGTTCTCGCTACCTTGGCCGGACCCGAACGCACCGTCCCCCGCTCCCTCGCGCGCGCGGGTGTCCAGCGAGGTGTTGCATGGTGCCGCGACTGATCATGACCGGTTGACCGCCCGCTTCACCGCCACCCGGTCGTTCGGTCGCGGCCCCCGTGCGCACACCCACACTTCGAGTTCGAATTTTCGGCGCGCCCAACCAACGCCTCCCCGTTTTGGCCAGACGCGTCGCAGCGTGCGCGTTACATATGCCCCGTCGTGCCGTAGCGAACATTTTATTTCACCCGGTTTCAATCATTCTCGCCGTGAGACGAGCGTCGGGGTCGTCGTGGCGCCGTGCAGCTACTTGACGACCTGAGCAACTGGACCCAGAATCGGAAGTAAGTTCAAACTACTCTCGCACCTCCAGGTACGCGGAGCAGTGTGAGCTCGCCTGGCGACGCGCGGGGCTGGGGCGACAGACAACGGCGAGGGTCGCGGCGAATTCGAGGCACCCTGCTTTTGCCCTGCTTCGGGTGATGTATCAGCGCTCACGGCTTCGGAGTCGCATCGTCGCAATATATACAATCTTCACGCTCGCCTTCTCGTCTCACCGCTCGGGCGTTGGGGCTCCGGTGCGAGGTGCGTTCTGGTGACGACGACGACGACGACCGTCGACGGCGTTACGTCCTCCGCCGCGCGTCCGAGTCGACTCGAGCGTCGTGGACGCCTCCCCGCGCGGAGTCTCAGATCTCATATTTTACGCAGTAAGTACTTACTACTTAGCAATAGAGCCTCAGCAGTCACTATTCAGGCCCGAGGCCGCGGCTGTGGCCCCTCCACCGGGATCAGGTGTCGCCGCGCGCACTCGTTTCGTGTCCCGGCTCGAAGTGCAATACCGAGATTTACACTGGACCGAGCCCGTGCGCTAGTCGTCCAACGTTGTGAACGTTCGTCAACATCCGGTGCCATCGAGCTCGGAGCTCGGCACGCGTTGCAAGTCTCCGCGGCCCTTCGCGCTCCGGCCGGGCGAGCACTTGTGCGCGCCGGGTCGTGGGTCGGGTCGTCTCAACTGCGAGGCTTCCGATACGTACGTACGGCGCCCGGGCGGGACACCGACGTGCGCATGCCGCGCATGATGATGACGGTGTCCCAACACGGGCCACGAGTCGGTGTGTGGTGTGTGTGGGATACGTACACTACGGCCCTTGCGCTGCGCAGATGACCGCCACGCAGCGGCACCCTGCCCCCATCATCACACGTCACACATCTGCAGCGGGAGACAGCAGGAGTAGGGCGCGGCCCTCTGACCGGCACCCTCCCGGGGGCATTCACATTGGACGGGGCCAGGTACGTACGTATAATCGTGGGGTTATCTCTCGGGCGAGGTATGTATGGGTGTATGTGTGGGGCGCACGGGGCGCCCCGGTATAATATACGGGGGAGGGAGTCTAAGCGGGACTACACTTTGGGAAACCGGTGGGCATTTACGCGCGCACACGCGCTGGCGCGGGCGACGAGGGGGGAGAACGTAGGACGTAAGCGGGCCGTAAGTCGGAACGAAAATATACAATATGCGTGCAGTGTGCGATGGCGTTCGTGTGGAGGGAGAAGTGTGGGAGACGGGATTCGTAGGTGTGGGAAGCGGAGAGACGAAGGCAGCATCGGACGGGAAGGTCCGCGGCGCGTGTCGAACGGCGGGCGGAGGAGACGGAAGCATTAGCATTATCGGATATTTGGGGAAGCGGGGTGGGAGAGGGAAGGGGAAGTCGTGATTTTGATCTTGGATGATGGAGGTGGTGGTAACGAGGACGAGGACAAGCGAGACGAGACGAGACGAGAATCGAGGCCGAAGCATTAGGAGGCTGATACAATCTAGAGACGGACCGAGTAAAGACAGGACCAGCGGGGCGCGCGCATGCTCAGCGAAGAGGACGCGCGCGGACGACCGCCTATGCAGTTGTGGCGCGCTCCGGGCGCCACAGCGACTCCAAAGAGGACGACTAGTACTCCCCGGGAGCACATCCTATGGACACAGGGGAACCTCGACTTGAACTTTGATGTTGAGAGGCAAGATCCGAACCACTTAGGCTCGGAGGGTCCCCTACTGGGTCCGCTTCAGTGGTAGGTGGTCTGCGCCGAACCACGGGTCCATTCGAACGCCGAGCTGTCGACGGGACTTGGGTAGTCGACTTCCATCGCGCTCTGCTGACCGCACGAACCGCCGGGCATGGGGTGCGACGAGCCCTCAGGAACGACGAGCTCGTAGTTGCCCATCGTCTGGGTGCGCCGGGAGAACGGACGCCGGGCGGACGAGCCGGGGAGCTCGGGAAGCGGCGGGACCTCAGGAAGCGGGGACGTGGGTGGGGGCAAGGCTGGGAGGTTTGTTACGAGGCGGCGAAGACCGCGGCGGGGACTGGAACGAGAGGCAGGGACGCATATGGGCATGTGAAGTGGCACAGGATGGGGAACAATGGATAAACGTAATCAGCTTCTGGGAATGGACACGGGGAAGGGATGTGGGGTGATGCTTACCGTAGCGCGGTGCCGACGCTGCCACTCCTGAGCCTGCCAATGATGCCTGTCGGCTTGGGCGCCGGGATGGGGGCGGGGGAATTTTCGGTGGACAGAGTGCGAGAGGCCTGGGACATGACACTGGCATCGCTGCCTGACCGGGCACGGAGGTTGCGCTGGACAGAAGCAGCAGCATTCCGGACGGGACCTGAGGCCTTCATGGTGGCCAGAGGGGAGGAGGATCCGGCCAAGGAGGAGCGGCGACGACGGAGACGGGGTCTGTCATCCGAAGGAGGGACAGAGATGGAGGGGACCGAGGGATCGTCTTGCACGCTTCCGGAAGAAGAGGTCGCACTGGAGAAGCCGGTGGCAAGAGAGGAACGGGTGCGAGCGCGGGGAGTGGCGGAGGAGGCTGGGAGCCGGGAGGAGCCATGGGGAGGCTCGTCGGCCATGAGGCCAGAGGAGAAGAAGGAGGAGTAGAAGGTGGCCATGGAGGAGGGTGGGTGGTGGGATTACAGAGGCAGAGACGTTATTAGTGGGGGCGTGAGGGAGGTGGGGGGAGGGCGACGGTCTTACAAGGAGGCAGCCCGGGTGGAGCGTGCCTGCTTGCGTTGTGGTGGGGCGATGGGTGGTGGTGGTGGTGGTGGTGGTTGGAGAAGAAGGCTATAAGCCCCGGTGGCGGAGGACGCAGGGGGCTGGCGCCCGTTGCCACTCTGGCTCGGCTCGGCTCAACTTTCCCGCCGTGTTTCCGGCAGCGTCCGTCGCAATCGCGCTTTGTTCCACGGTCACCTGACCACGACAGGGGTTCGAGCCTCGATTGTCTATTTCGCTTCTTCGACGCCGTCTTTCTTTATCCCACCTTTATCCAGCGTGGCCCGCCTCGGCTGACGAACTCGTTTCACTGCGCTTTCTTAGGTCTTTCCCGCACCCGCTGCGGCGACACGGTTCTGGCCCGGGGCTCGTGGCCTGCCCGGCCGACATGGGTCCCGGTCGAAGCCTGGCCCAGTGAGCAGCAGTCGGCCGTCCGATCCATGGGTGGACTATGATGTCAGTCAACTCTGCCCTCGCGCTGCCCGACGTCAGTGCGCTGTCATCCTGCCCCCCGCTCGTCTGCATATAATCCCTCGCTCTCCATCTGCAACTTTCCTCGACACCACCATGTCTTCGCACAAGCTCGACCCCTACACCTCCAAGGCTGAGAACGACAACCTCACCCCTCAGGAGAAGATCGACGGGCTCCACCACATCGTCAAGGGCGTCAAGACAGGCATGCTGACCACTCGTTCAGAATCTGGTCAGCTGCACTCCCGCGCCATGGCCCCCGTCAGCTGTATGTCGATATTCTTGTCCGTGCCATCCACCGATCGCATCGACTCACTTGTATTCCCCAGTCTCATCCCCACACCAAGTCGCACTCGTTTTCCTCGCCAACCGTGTCAGCCACAAGTTCGATGAAATCCAGCACGACGCCCATGTCAACGTCTCCTTCTGCGACCCGAGCACCACCAACTGGGCCTCGTTCGCCGGCACAGCCAAGATTTCTCAGGACCGCGAGAAGATCAAGCAGCACTGGAACCCGATGTACGTGTCCTGTCGCCTTTGATCATCCCACAAAGCGCGTTTGGCGTTGGGTGTCCTCTGCTTTGTGCGCCCGTGCGCTTACGCGACCTCGTGTGCAGGACGGCCGCCTGGTTTGGCGACCTCGGCGACGGCACGCACAAGGGCGACCACACCGACCCGCGCGTCGCGGTCATCGAAGTCATCCCGGACGAGATCCGCTACTGGACGGCGACGCGCGGCGCCGTCGGCCGCGCGGTTGACGTCGCGGTGAGCGCTGCCACGGGAAAGACTGCCACTCCGGGTGAACTTCGCATGATCACCAAGGACGAGGTGGGTGTATGCGCTCTGGCTCAACAGTAAGTTGTTGACACCTACTTGTCCACAGATCGAGCTCGTCCAGGGTTTGACGACGAAGACATCATGAACCGTTGTTTGTTGAAGTGAGACTCTGTATCGATAGTCGATGCTGTAACTCTAGTGTACATCAGCGCTCATGCGCGCAATAACCGAAGTTAGTGAAGCACAGTGTCCGCGTTTGTAGCCTCTCGCCCCTGTTGCAAGCACCGTGTCATAATTGCGGCTGCGTCGGAATTCGAGTTTGAACGTTATTGAAACGTTGAACTTTCAAGCCAGCGGTGGCAGACGGGCGTCGGATTATGCAGTCGTGCCCGGGCCGCCGGGCCGCGAAGACGGATGCCTTGCCACCTCGATCCTATACCACCACATCTTCGTCCTGAAAAGACATCTTTCAGCACAACGCGCTCGCAAGTCGTTCCACGCGCAACGAGTTGTCTTCACTTCTCAGAATTCTACATCCGCGATGTCCGATACACCCACACTCGCAGATTCTCCATTCGACCAGCTCTCGGCGGACATCATCCTCCGCAGCGCAGACCACGTCGACTTCCACGCCCACCGCGTTATCCTCGCTCAGGCATCCCCCTTCTTCGCCGACATGTTCTCCCTCCCCAGCGATCCCCACCCGACGAGGGTGCACTCCGGTTGTCGAGATGTCGAGGACAGCAAGACGCTCCATCGGCTCCTCCTCCTCTGCTACCCCGTCGATAAGCAGGAGCTCGAGTCGGTCATCGACATCGCCCCCGTCCTCGCGGCGGCGCGCAAGTTCGACATGGAGTGGCCGGTCAGGCTCCTCACGCGCGACCTGGCCGACTCCATCTCCCGCTCACCGCTTCACGTGTGGTCATGCGCATGTCGGAGTGGGCTCGAGGACGTCGCGCGCCTGGCCGCAGCGGAGATCAAGCGTCGCGTGTCCTCAAAAGTGGGCAAGACGGAGGATCCTGACCCGAGCATCGCGCTGCTCCTGCGCTGCGCGCTGCTTGGAGGAGGAAGGGCGACGGACGTTCTCCAGGGGTCAGCGTGGCGCTTACTTCCGCCTGCGCGAGCACGTCCGCGGCGCATCTCTGTCCTTCTCAATCGCACCGGGTCGATCTCGGCTATGCATGATGAGCTGCCGGACGATTCGTCCGAATTCCTTCCATCGCCCTCCCCCGACGCCATGATCTTGTGCTCGGACGGCGTGCTCGTCGAGGCGCACGAAGTCATCCTCGCGCTCCGTCTCCCCGGACTTTCCGTCGCGACCTCAGGCAGGGCACCTACACCCTCGATGCGCCCTATACCGCGGTCGTCGACATCCTCGCGCTCTGCTACCGCGGCAAGAGCGACGCATCTAGCTGCACCGACGTTGAAGGCATCGCACGCGCGCTAGCCGCGTGCGGGGGCCCGGTGGACGCGCAGATGCTCGACGCTCCTCGGCAGCTTTGGGAGCAGTGTGTCGAGATCGACCCTTTGGGAGCGTACCTCGCGGCGGCGAAGCAAGGCTTGGGGAAGAGGACATCCGAGCGGCGGCACGCAAGACCCTCGCATCCCTCTCCTTGGATTTTACACGGGCGGTTGGAGCATGCCGAGGCGACGGTGTACGAGCGACTCCTGAAATACCATCATGACGCCTCTGTGGCTGTCGTTGATGTTCTCACGTATGTGGGCGAGAAGTGGGGCAGCACAATGCTGGGTACACGGCGTCTCAAGGATGCTACGCGCAAGTTATCTTTAGGACAGCACGCTCCAGGGATGACATTGGAAGCGATGGGCATTGACACAGCGACACTCACCGAGGGGGCGCTGCAGCAGTGGGGTACCGGTTTCCACGACGGCGTTCGAAAGGCGTTGAAAGAAGTCGAGAGCACATTGCAACCCAGAATCCGTAATGTGTTGAATGTGGTGAGCGATCTCTGCGCAGGACACTACTCGACGAGAGCAAAGCTGACAACTCTTTATTTCATATAGTCGCGGCTCGCGCTGTGAACGTACTACACAATCAAACCCACTCTTCCGTCAGAAGTCTTGAAGAAGTTCGGAGGAATTGCACGAGTGCTTGTGCAAGCAGTGTAATGATTCGCTCAATGAGATGTATAGATTTTATGTTCTATCCGCCGTGAATACGAGTCGCTGAGTACAATCTGAACAGCTACCGGGCTTGAAATGCTTCACCGTGGCATCTGTCGTTGAGATGGCCATAGAGAGCAGCTCTCCACATCACCTCAGTGGACCATTTCAACGACCAGCTCTTTACCCATGCCAGGAAACGCCTTCTTCAACGCCGCACCATACTCGGCCCGCAGCGCCTCCCTGTCTCCTTCGCTCCCTTCTTTCGCTCTCCCACGCGCGCTGGCTCTGCCGTCCATCCACGGCGGCAGCCAGCACTCGGGGCGCTCGGCGTAGACCACGCACTTGAGCTCCTCCAGCCCGCGCGTCCGCGCGCGCTCGAGCGCGCCCTTCACGCGCGCCCACTCCGCGGACGCGCACACCTCCGCGACGCGCGCCGCGTACACGAACCGGAGCTCGACGGTGCGCACGCTCTCGGGGAGCGCGGCGAGGATCTCCGCGTGCGCGCGCGAGGTGTGCGCGTGCCGCGCGGCCAGCCTCGCGGCGCGGCCCGCGTCGGTGTCGGTGTCGGAGGCGCGGCGGGGAAGGAGTCGATCCAGAGCCCGAGGGTGGTGAGGGAGGCGCACGCGCGGAGGTTGAGCGCGCGCCAGAGGGCGGGGTCTGCGTCGCGAGCGCGCACGGGGGTTGAGCGGGGGGCGCGATGAACTTGGGACGGGAGGGGGTGCTCACCTGGGTACGCGGGAACGCCGTCGGGCTCGGGGTGGTCGAGCGGGTGGGGGATGTGCACGAAGAGCGTCTCCAGGTGCTCCGCACCTTTGAGGACGGAGTCGAAGGACTCGTCGGCGAAGAGCCCGAGCGAGAGCTTCTTGAGTCCCCGGGGGCCGTTGAGGGGCTACACATGTCCAGGATGGCGCGGTGGCCGGTTTGTCCCTGGACAGCGCCTTTGGCGGCCCGTAGATGGACATTGGGGATAGCGGGGAGCTTCGCGGCGCCGGTGGTGAGAGGCTGTGAGGTCTCGACGCTCCCGTCGAGGGCGAAGGTGGTGATCCCGGTCGAGAAGAGCTGCATGAGGTGGGAAATGGCGTCCGTCGTGAGGTCTCCTGCACGGTCCGATGAGAGAGTGAGCGCCTGGAGGGGGTTTCCTCGGAGGGGTGCTAGATCGGTTGCGGGGGAGGGTATGAGGTGGACATCTTTCAAATGGATCTCTCGAAGCTTCCCGAGGTACTCGAGCGCTTTACCAAGGACCTCCACGGAGACTTCGATGCGGTTCGACTTGGGTTCGCGTTGATGAGGGATAACTTGCGAATGTGTCCTGCTGCGAGGCGCGTCTTCGAGCCAACAGAGTATCTTAAAACCTGGCACGAGATAAAGGAACGCGTCTGGAAGTGTCGTTCTTGCGAGAGCTGGCGCCAGGATCTGCACACGAGAGAACTCTGCTCGAGTGTTTCCTCCACATCGCGCAAGTGATCTAAGATGATAGCGTAGAGTTCCAGAGGCAATTTCCGATTGAGTCCAAGGGTATGAGCGATTGGCTTCAAGCTTGGGAGATTGTGATCAGCGCTGCTTGAACTGTAGTAGCCGGAAATTGGAACTCTACCTTTCGGAGGTCGCAGCCGGTGTGGTGCACGTCCTGTCCAGACAGCTTCCTTCTCCCTGACTTCGTCAATGGGCGTGGTGGTCATGTCTCTGCCCGTATTATGGGCTGAGGAGCAGCGATATGGTGTGCGGCCCAGGATCGCGGACAGAGGCGGAATGCTAGGAAGAAGGCGTTAAATACACCTCATAGATAAGAGCGCTCCATCTATATTAGGTTCTGTTGACCCTTGCGGACAGTTTGACATGATGAACTCACATTACTTATATCGGCCATATGGCTCTCATTTGTCGCTCTGGACCTTCGAGTGGTCACTGTAACAGATGTAAACGCGGGGCTTAGTACCTCCGAGTCGGTCCTAAAGGCCTCACAGACGAACAATCAAACGTCGACACGGAGTCCGGCAGAATCTCTGACTATGTCGGTCACGTACACCCTGGAAGAAGCGGGAGTGACGGTCAAATTTTCAGAACAACTTACCCTTTGATCGAAAATGCACCTGTGCATGAAAGTAAGCACATAAGCACGGTCATTGAGTGGGTAGTAAAGGAGGTGCGTCTATTGGCTATCAAACATCGGGCGCCAGGTAGATCACGAGACGTCCCGTCTGGCGCCAAATCAGCCGCCACGCCTCCCCTCTTAAGCTTTGACCACTACCACCACCATCTGAGTCCACCATGCCTCCTCGCAAGAAGCAGAAGAAGCCTCCTCTTCGAAGAAGAACAACTCGAGTGAATCGGTCGATGGTACCTACGGAGCCTCTGACGTACCTGCACGCCGTAGCGTTCGGGGGAAAAAGGGTGGTCTGAAGGACATGCCGAACATGCCGTTGGAAATCATCTTTGAAGTGAGGATAGCGCCTTTTTATCTGCGGCTCTTTACTCAGAGGAATTTTTGCTGTTACAGATATTCCGCTATCTTCACCCCAAGGACCTTTTGCACCTCTCCCGCGCAAATAAAGCGTTCCACCAGCTCCTGTCCGCCCCGACCACGGCATCTTGCTGGAAGGCCGCGAGCGTGAACGAGGAAGGGCCGCCTCCGCCTCCGCCTCACCTTAGCGAGTATCTTTACGCCAGCCTTCTCTTCTCCAACCATTGCCGGGTGAGTAACCCTCACTATATGCGTGTCCGAGGAGCTGACCACCCAGGCGGCGTGCACACATAGGCGTGTGGAAAGTCCGGGAACTTCGCGCTCCTGGTGTCCATCTTCGAAAGGTACTGCAACAAATGCAAGGAAGCATGGTCCGTCGGTCCGTCGTTCACCGTCCAACTCCTGATAAACTTTCTTGCAGTTTCCTTTATGATCCCTTCCGCGTGCTCGGTATCCCAAGTGGATACGGCCATTCTCACAGATGGATCACTCGAATCAAAGTAAACGGAACGTGCGTGGAGGTGGCTGCCATGATCGGTCTCTTGTTAACGCAAATGGTTCACAGTCGTAATTGTTGGCGCTACAACCGGCCCGAAGCGGAACACGTCCATCGTCGATGGGAAGAACTCGGCAGCGATGAAGAGAGGCAGAAGTATCTCGCCGATCGCGAAGCATTTGTAGCCCAGTGCCATGAGGTGACTCTCACCGATTTTCAATATGCGTCTCCGCTCATGGGTTGTTTGGTGGCCAGAGCGCCATAGCGCTGGAACAATGGCACAACTCGGTATTGGAAGCAAAAGAATCAGAGAAGACCACCTTGAAGGCCGAGAGATTTGAATCGTATGAAAATTTCGTCCTGGTAAAAACTGCTCTCTTACGTCTTTTGTCCAGCGTGACGGCCCTTCTCCGGGAAGAAGGGTTGGCTGAAGACCTCGACGCTATGTCGGAAGGCGACCTGCGCCGAATCAAAGAACTTCCGGAGGTTTCTAAACCGGCCAAACTTGGAGGTCAAAAAGGTACGGGGTTTTAAGTATTTTCGTCGCGTGGGCTCAGTGACTTTTCGCAGCCTGGGAATCAATCCGCTCAAGGGTGCTGGACGTTGTGAACGAGATACGATCAAAGCGTCTACGAGAAGAGCGCCAGCAGAAGATGAGCGTGCTACTGGAACGCCTATGGGACATCGTCATCCGATACCAGAAGTCCCTATGGTCCCCAGGAGCAGGACCATTGATATTCGCAGGGTTTTCTAACTTTGCCTTTATGCCGCCTGTGCGCTCGCTCGTGTTGGACGACACGCGGTTCGAGACGGGTGAGGACGGCATAGACGACGAAATGACAGCACTACTCGCAGCACAGAACGAGAAATGGCTGACCGGCCTCAAGAAACAGCTCGCTAAACTAGCTCGCGAGGCTCTCAATGTTGACGAAGCGTCGGTCTCCGACACAGGTGTCCTAGAGCTCGCGGTCTCCACCTTCCGGTGCGGGCACTGCAGCTTCCGCCATGGTTGCCGCTGGGACGACCTCCTCGCCCACAGCTGCCTGAAGTACCGCACGTACCCACAGGACCCGTACCGCTGTGCAGTCGACTCGATCGTTCGAAAACAGGATGGCAATCGTTCGGATAAGTCAATTGAAGTCCGGACCACTGGCCCTGGTCCGACATCAGGTGGCGGGGAATTGCCTTAGCGAAGGACTTACAGTGCCGGCGCGCAGTCGTGAAGGCCTGTGGGCTTGACCCTCACCACGCGACGGTCGCGGAGATGGCGGCGTGCAACGCGTGTTTGCGATGCATTTTGTGCGCACAAGTCGTCAAACAGGAAGTGTGGGACTGGGAGGGTGCGGTGCGTCCGGTCTTCTCTAGATGCCTCCATGACCGCTCGACGTGCTGATATCCGTGCCGTCCACAGATGTCACACGATGCCCAGCAGCATTTCACGCTTTCGGACGAGGAGGTGCCCCATTGGGAGCGCGTCGCGGACGCGCATGCCACGCGCGTGTGCGAGCTTCAAGACGCGTTCATGCGCACCCCGAGCGAGAGCTGGGGGACACACTCGTTGTTCCACCAGCATGTCTGCACTTGGTGTGGGTGGCGGGCCGGCGAACTGGCGGTTGTCAAAAGCCATCTGGAGAGAGTGTAAATATACTTCTCTCAGCACTGCGTCTTTGGAATTGGGGCTGACGTAGCCCTTCGCAGGCATGAGAAACAGGATGCGGTCGAGTGCGTGGACTACGTGCAGGGGAGCAAGCCCTCGATTACTATGTTCAGGCCTATGCTCGTGAAGAACGAGGTCAGCATTAAAAGTGTAAAGAATGGAAGAGGATTCTTTGTGGAGTTTTAGTATATGTCGCTCTCTGTACTAGTGGCTATGATATATCGCAAGTAGGGATATTGAGCGGCAGAACGAATATCGATGAGCTGGTGACTGGTGACTGTGCTAGCCGTATGCTGTTTGAATCCTATCAAATGAACATGTGCACATCACCGGTGATCGATTGATCAGGCACCAGAACTCAAGCGGACTCGGCAGACCGCCACTCTCGGTACCATGCCCGCGGGCTCAGCATCTCTTCCTTCTTCCCCTTCCTTCACCCTACCGCTTTCACCACTGTGCCCTGGCCCCGGTCGTCTGCAAAATGTGGCTTCGACGCACACCCAGCGTCGACGATCCCGCCGAAGAGCCTCTCACCGCCCAGCCTTCCTCGGGAAGCCATTGGTTTCCCCGCTCGTCCCGTCTCGCCCCGCGCACCATCATCATCCGCCTTGCCCTCCTCGTCCTCCTAGCCGGGCTTGCCCGCCTCGTCCTCGTATCGGACTGGGCCGCCAACTTCGCCGACGCCGCGTACGCGCGCGTGCACAACTCGCGCGGGACGTGTCCCCCGGACGTCTGGGCGCGCGGGCGCTGGGTGCCGCGGGGGCCGCCTATGACGAGCGCGGCCCTCAACGGGACGGGGATGCGGACGAGCGCGGACGCGTACGCGATGCTCGGCCTGCAGGGCTGCGCGAGCTCGCGCGAGGTGTACTGGCACCTGGGCGCGGACAGCGAGTCGCGGTATGACCGCTTCCCGGGCGTCGCGAGCTGGCGGTGGGAGCCCCCGACCGGGTGCACGGCGGAGGAGGCGAGCGGGGAGGAGTTGGTGAGGCATCTGGTTGAGCACGGCGGGTGGCTGCTCATTGGAGGTGAGCTTCCGTCTCGGGTTTGTGGGTGCGTGTGCTCGTGGCAGGATTGCGGGTGCGCTGGCGGGGGCTGGCGTTGGATGGGAAGGAAGATGGCGTGCGTCGAGATCAGACTCTGGTCATGCGCTCTGCATCATCACTGGCCGGCCTTGGTATACGGCAGATGCTTTGCTCACTTTGCTGTGTTGTGCTTCCGCAGATTCAGTGACGGAGAACCACTTCTTTTCTCTATCATGCATGCTCTATCCCCACGTACGAGCAACGCCCGACTACACTCTTGGCGGCTTCGACCGCGCATGGCCTCAGAACCTCTACCTCAACTCCTCCTCGCCCATCCTCCCTAGTCTCAAACTCCCCAAAGACTTCGACATCGAAAACACCCCGCTCGTCACCTTCCGCCGGGTTGATCTTCTCCTGATGCCCTCCAAGCTGGATGCTCTATACAGACAAATCCACCCTACCTCAAAGTACCTCCACAACAAAACGACCCTCTTCTCCGACGAGCCTCTGTGGAACCTTTCCCCTGAAGAGTACGTGGGCATGCTCACCACACCCCGTCCCGCGGGCGGATACTCGACCCTGATCGTGAGCACCGGCGGGCACTGGACCACTCACCTCTTCGAAGCCCTGAAAGACGCCTCGCTCTTCAACGACGGCATCTTCACCGTCATCGACTTCTTCCGCGACGCAATGCGTGTTTGGGCCGACGAAGTCCAGACCCTGCTCGACCGAGACACCCCCCGCGCGGACGGCGGGCAGCCCCACCTCGCGCCTGGCGGCCGCCCGGCGCACGCAGGATCGAGGCCGAAGAGCGCCCATCAGGTGCTCGTGCGCGCGTACCTCTCCGGGCACGACGGCTGCCACAACGCCGGCTCGCCGGTGCAGAGGTTCACGAAGGAGATGGTCGTGTCGTTCAACTGGCCGCAGATCGGGGACATGAACCGCGCGTTTGCGGTGCGTCTTTTTCGGCTTCTGCTGTTTTTTGCGCGTGGATCTGATGGGCGGCGGACAGGACATCTTGCGCGAGGGGCAATACCCGGACATCCATTACCTCGGGATCGACGGCGCCGCGCTGCTCCGGCCAGACTCGCACGTCGCGAGCGACTGCCTGCACTTCATGACGGGCGCGGGGGTCCTCGAAGGCTGGACGCAGTACATCTGGCACTACGTCACCGTCGAGATCCCCGAGCTCGTGCGGTCAGGACGGTGATACGCGTGTTCGAGCTGCCAGTGCTCTCATTTGCTTTCGCCATATTTACGACTCACCCACATAGATCCGATACCAACACTACCAACGTTACCCACTAATCTTGTAACATCACGTCGCGGAGGCTCTGCGTCACAACGACTATCAATACAGTGCTTTTGTCGGCTCGGAATCCCCGAGCGGCGTTTGTCGTCAAAGCAGACACGAGTGGCCGTGAGTTAACGGATCGACGTCATCCACCACGCTTGTCGGCAGCCACCGCGAGGCGGCGCCTGCACACACAGTGATGCACGCGCCGCGCGCTCGTCACGGCGATTTCAGCGAGCGACAGGCACGAATTCTATGGGCCGCGAAACGCAGGAAATGGGCCAGACAGTCTCCGAGTCTCACAAGCTAGGCGCTGCGGGCCCAGCGTGATGCAGCGTTGAAGGAGGCGTTTCCTAACATGAGTAAAGAGCTAGTCGTTGAGATGGTCTATTGAGTCGATATGGGGAGTAAGTCAGATACATGAGTTGCTCCTCGACTCTCCACGGTGAAGCATTTCAAGCCCGGTAAGCTGAGCGACTCGTTACACTGCCCACTGCGTTCACTGCGCGAGCCGCGACTATACGCAATAAAGACCTGTTAGCCTTTGCTCTCGTCGGATGGTGTCCTGCGCAGAGATTGCTCACAGCATTCAACGCATTATGGATTCCAGGTTGCAATGCGCTCTCCACTTTCTTCAACCCTTGTCGAAGTAGGTCGTAGTAACCAACTGATTTTGAGAAGTAGTGTCCACACTGCGCATGCTGCAGCGCTGCCTCGGTGAGCGCCGATTGGTCGATGCCCATCACTTCCATTGTCATCGCTGGGGCATGCTGTCCTAATGATAACTTGCGCATAGCATCCTTCATAAGTCGTCCAGGGACCGTGACCTCATTGACATTTTGAAACGGCAGCTTCTTGCTGAATTCGGCCTCCACATGCGTGAGGACACGGAGGACAGCCACAGAGGCGTCATGATGATACTTCAGGAGCCGCTCGTACGCTATCGCGTCGACTCCCTCCAACTGCTCTGCATACAAGCCAAGCAGAGGGAGTTCCAGGGCCTTGCGTGCCGCCGCTCGGATGTCGTCTTCCCCAAGGCCGCGCCGAGCTGCCGCGAAGTACGCCCCCAAAGGGTCAATCTCGACGCACTTCGCCCACAGCTCCCGAGGAGCGTTGAGCATCTGTGCGTTCATCGGGCTCTTTGCGGACGCGACGAGCACGCACGCGAGGCCGTCAATGTCGGTCCCGTGGGCTGCGTCGCTCTTGCCGCGGTAACAGAGCGCGAGGATGTCGACAAGCGCGGTCGAGGGCGCATCGAGGGTGTAGGTGCCCTGCTGTGGTGGAGGTGCTTCGAGAACGTCATCGCCCTCCGTAACGGGCCGGACGACGGATCCATTGAGAGAGGGCGCAGGGTTCGCGACGAAGATTCCGGGGAGACGGAGCGCAATGATGACTTCGTGCGCATCGACGAGCACACCGTCGGAGCACAAGATCATGGCGTCGGGGGGAGGGTACGGCGGGAGGAACACAGGACGAATTGTCTTCAATGGCGGCGCACCGACCAAGGTGTTTGATGGCGCGGAGGAGGTCGACTCGCCACACCCAGGGCCGATGGAGAAGGAGGGGGATGCGTTTCGGACGTACTCGCGCAGGCGGAAGTAAGCTCCACCGCTAACTCCCTGGAGAACGTCCGTTAGCCCTTCCTCCTCCAAGGCAGCGCGCAGCACAGAGAGCAGTGCGATGCCCGGGCCAGGGACCTCCTCCTCGGCGACGCTGGAAGATACGCGACGCTTGATCTCCTCTGCGGCGAGGCGCGCGACTTCCTCGAGCCCACTCCGGCATGCGCACGACCACGCGCGAAGTGGTGAGCGCGAGATGGAGTCAGCCAGGTCGCGCGCGAGGAGCCTGATCGGCCACTCCATGTCGAACTTGCGCGCCGCCGCGAGGACGGGGGCGATGTCTGCGACCGAGTCGAGCTCCTGCTTATCGACTGGGTAGCAGAGGAGGAGGAGCCGACGGAGCGTCTTGCTGTCCTCAGACATGTCTACAACCGGCAGTGCAGATGCGTCTGGTGGGGATGCCTGGGGGAGGGAGAACATGTCGGCGAAGAAGGGGGATGCCTGAGCGAGAATGACGCGGTGGGCGCGGAAGTCGACGTGGTCTGCGCTGCGGAGGACGATGTCCGCGGAGGGCTGGTCGAATGGAGCATCTGCGAGTGTGGGTGGATTGGACATCGCAGATGTAGGATGCTGAGGAGCGAAGGCAGCCTGTGCCAGTCACGTGTGGTCGTTGAGATCACTGTGATGGAAGGGCGAAAACGAGAAATGCAGCTGTGTTCTACTGTACAGTGCGCAGCTGGTGACTAAATACTATTGTAGACAGGAGCCGTAGAATCGTGTACAGCATGGACCCTGTCATGGGCGCTCATGCACATGGGTGCGGCGAGAATGAGCAATGTGGAATGTAGCCCATGGCCATGGCCAGCCCATGACAATCACGCGGTCCGTCTGATTCTGAATGTCCCGCGCCTATTACTAACAATGGCGCTCGTTATGCGTGGATGGCAGTCCTAGCCATCGCCAGGCGGCACTAGGCGATGAGAGGGACCTCGGTGAATCCAGTAAGTAGTAGATACTTGGTACATGTGTGACCAGACCATTCGAGCACATAGATTGCACTTGGTCTCGAATGTCCTTCTATGTTTTTCTTATGACAATCTATGATCGTTACTTTCTTCCTCTTATCTTATCTAGAACCCATCAGAGAGCGTCTATCCCAAATTCTCGGAGCTCCGACGCCCACTGGTGACTGCCAGTGCAGGTCCTCCAGTGCGTTGTCTACGCCCAACCCCCAGAGAGCTGGCTGTCGCCGTGTATGGACGACGTAGATAGCGCGCGTTTGGGGGCGAAGGAATATGGGAGTGAAGGAGGCAGGGAGGCGGTGCGAGCCATGCGGCGTTGAACCGGGAGGCGTTTCATGGCATGAGTAAAGAGCTGGTCGTTGAAATGGTCTATTGAGTTGACGTGGAAAGTAAGTGCTCGAGTTTTTCCTCGGCTCTCAATAATGAACCTCAACAAAAGATGCCACGGTGAAGCATTTCAAGCCTGGTAGCTTTCCAAATTGTACTGCACGACCGCTACGGCGGACGGAACATAGTACAATCCAACAATCTCGTTGGGCGATTCATCACACTTCCCGATCCCGCACAAGCACCGGTGAAAATCCTCCGAACTTCTTCAAAACCTCTAATAAGAGCAAGTTTAATTATGTCTGCAGCGCGAGCCGCGCCTGAATGAAATGGAGACCTGTTAGCTTTGCTCTCCGAGTCGGACAGTATCCTACGCAGAGGTCGCTCACCACATCCAACACACCGCGGATTCCACGTCGCAGTGTGCTGTCCATATCCCACAACACATCTCGAATCATGTTGGAGTACTTCTTAGGGGTTTCGCTTGGACACGATGATCTCCACTCCTGCAGTGCCGCCTCGATGGGTGTTGATACGCCGATGCCCATAACTTCCAATGACGATGCTGGGGCATACCGTCCTACGGACAACTTGCGCGTGGCGTCCTTTATAAGCCGTGCAGGGGTCATGGGGAGCGCTGTTTCTGGGAAATTGTCATGGATACGAAAACGACCCAACAGCTTGTGGCTCCAATTATCGCCCTCTTGCGCGAGGACACCAACGACGGCAATAGAGGCGTCATGATGATACTTCAGGAGTCGCTCGTACACCATCGCTTCGGCATCCTCCAACTGTTCTGTGTACAATCCAAGGAGAGTGATTGCTAGGGTCTTGCGTGCCGCAACTCGGACATCCTCTTCCCCAAGGCCGCGCTTCGCTGCCGCGAGGTACGCTCGGAAAGGGTCGGTCTGGACACACTTGTCCCATAGCTTCCGAGGAGCGTTGAACATCTGCGCGTCCATCGGGCTCTTTTCGCACACGGCTAGCACGCACGCGAGGCCGTCAATGTCGGTCCCGTGGGCGGGTGCGTTGCTCTTGCCGCGGTAGCAGAGCGTGAGGATGTCGACGAGCGCAGTCGAGGGGGCATCGAGGGTGTAGGTGCCCTGCCCGGGGGTCGCGATGGAGATTCCAGGGAGACGGAGCGCAATTATAACTTCGTGGGCCTCGACGAGCACGCCGTCCGAGCACAAGATCGTGGCGTCGGGAGGAGGGTAAGGTGGAAGGAATCCGGGACGAATCCTCTCCGGCGGCGGCTCATCAGCCACAGCCGAGATCGACCCAGGGCCGATTGAGAAGAGCGGCGATGCTTCGCGGACGTACTCGCGCAGGCGGAAGTAAGCGCCACCGCTGACTCCCTGGAGAACGTCCGTCAGCCCTTCCTCTTCCAGAGCAGCGCGCAGCGTAGGGAGCAGCGCGATGCACGAATCCGGGTCCGGGTCCTCCGTCTCGGCGGCTTTTGAGGACACGCGACGCTTGATCTCCTCTGCGGCCCGGCGCGCGACGTCCTCGAGCCCACTCCGACATGCGCATGCCCACGCGTGGAGTGGTGAGCGGGACAGAGATGCATCCAGGTCGCGCGCGAGGAGCCTGATCGGCCACTCCATGTCGAACTTGCGCGCCGCCGCGAGGACAGGGGCGATGTCGGCGACCGAGTCGAGCTCCTGCTTATCGACTGGGTAGCAGAGGAGGAGGAGCCGACGGAGCGTCTTGCTGTCCTCAGACATGTCGACAACCGGCAGTGCAGATGCGTCTGGTGGGGATGTCTGGGGGAGGGAGAACATGTCGGCGAAGAAGGGGGATGCCTGAGCGAGAATGACGCGGTGGGCGCGGAAGTCGACGTGGTCTGCGCTGCGGAGGACGATGTCCGCCGAGGGCTGGTCGAATGGAGCATCTGCGGGTATGGGTGGATTGGACATAGCTGGTGTAGGATGCTGAGGAGGGAAGGCAGCCTGTGATGGGCGGGACAAGACAAGAGGCATGAGAAGTTGAGACCACGCGTTCGAACTTGCAGGCTGCAGCACTGACCGCAGCAGCGCGTAGTAGTCTCCCCTAGGCCAAGCAGCGCAGTCCCTCGTATGGCTACTTGGCATCTTCGTTAGAAGGCTGGCGTAGGGGAAACTGACTTGGCATAGGTGTAACTCGTCCTCTCGCGCACTCACAGGATCATTTGGGCATGCCATACACTCCCGGAGATTTTTTGGTCTGATCCCGATCATCCCAAATAGCCTTCCACGTTTTTTCTTATGGCAGCGTCTCTTTCTTCATCTTATCTTATCTACTGCTACTGCACGACGGCGGGAGTCGGAAAGCACTTACGGGCAAAGTTAGGGCAGAGCACCGATCGAAGGCTCACCTGCTGAGCAAGACAGACATCGTGCCTAGCAGGACGGCACCTCCTATGATATGACTGATGTGTGTTGGTGCCTCTGCGGCGAGGCGCGTGCCAGTGTCTGGACAGCGCGCAGTCATGGGGACGATATTGAGACCCACATCATCCGCCGCGTCATCTGGGGCATCCACCGATACGCCCTATCCAGCACAATGCATTAGCTGATTTCGAGTTCAATTCGAGTTGAGTCTTGACGAAAGACGGCGTGGAGGGCATCAGTAGTGGATGCAATGATATGCGACTGTCTGTCACCGCCGTGTAAGAGTTAACTTGGATCCAGGGTATAGCAATGAACAACATACGTTCCTGTTATACCACGTTGATGCGCAGCCGACGTTCTGTGTCGTTCAAGAGAGAGCTGATGGCAAGCGCCGAACTTCGCGGCGTGCTCCAGATTCTCAGCGGAGCGCCAATCAGGCCGCTGCCACATCTCAAGATCTCAAGCCTGTTTTCCTCCCTCCTCGCGACTCCTACATACCGACTGCGCACCATCGACATGTCAGAGGTGGTCTTAACCGCCGCGACTCTATACTCAAGCATTGACGGATAAATCCTGCTGCCACCGCCCCAATTTCCAAGTCCATCCTCCAGCATACTCTTCTCTGCTCTTCCGTCACAAGCCCTTCGATTCCATCGCGGAAATTACCTATGGCCTCCACGTCACGACGATTTATGGTCTCATCCCTCTTCTAACAAGCTCTCGCCGTCGCTCTTTTCGGCCACTATTGTGGAGGATTGCCTTGTCGCTACTGCCTTGACCCTATCGCCTCAATGAAGGCAAGAGACGCACGAAACTGTCTCCTCATGCCAAAGACATGAAACCGTTGGACGGTGCGGTCGTGGAGGAGGGGGTTGCGGTGCTCGATGGCGTCGCCACTGGTGCTTTCGCCTTCGCCTGGTACGTTCGTTCTGCTGCTTCTGCTCTCTCTATGGATCCAGCACGGCCCTCTCCTTCCATAAATGCCACACGCCAAGACGTCATACCACTAGTACAAGATATAACGTCGTTTTTAGACACCCCCAAACACTACTCCTTGACGCCGACTGCGTCCGTGTCTGGCCCACGACTCACGAGCCTATGGTGGCCCTTCGCTTTTCAGATCTAACAGTACATGTTATGCACTCTCAAGTTGTGGTATAAAAATCTCAAGGTAGGTGCGTTGCTGTCGAACTCGTATCGTAATGTTATTGATACAAGTAGAACACATGGCGGAAGAGGTCAGCCTGTGGGTTCGAACACAGCCCAGCCTGGTTCACTATCGGAAGTGTCAAACGTTGCTTCCTTTCCTGGACATCCGATGCTGCTAGCCGTCGGTCCTTCGTTCTCGAACAAGTGCAACACAATGGAACGGCTTGTAGAACATATGGAGTATTGGGGCTCGTTGCGTTCCTCTGCTCAGTGAGCGTCTGATCAAACAGCTTTTCACCGAGGGACCACCGTGCCGCGCAGGTGGAGGGCACCCCAACATGTCTTCAGCCTCGAACAAACAACGTCAGCTCATACGGCTGACGTTTCAATCGTTGTGTCTGCCACATATTCTCTCTGCGGGGTATAAAGGCTCGCTTAAACACCCCCAGATCCTCAGCACCTGCACTCTCCTACGCTCTTTGCCTCCTGCTCTCTCTTCGAACCCTTACTCCACACCGCGTACCCTGCACGCTCTACATTCGCTTTCAGAAATGCCTTCCTCTACTCTCAAGTCTCTCGTTGTCCTCGCACCCCTCGTCACCATCGCCACTGCGGCGCTCACCCGCTTTCCGCGTGGCTACGGCACGGAGCAGACCAAGTGCAAGAACGGGGTAGTTCCCAAAAATGCGCAGGCAAGCCACACACGCTCGTCACTGCCACTGTATGAGACTGACCGCTTCCCAGTGCTGTGTGTGGTACGAGATGCTTGACGACGTCCAGGCCAACCTGTGAGTATCTCGTGCGCCCGCTCTCGCTTACATCTCTGACACCGCTCTCTCAGGTTCGATGGCGGCATGTGTGGCGAAGAAGCCCACGAATCGCTCCGGGTGAGTAACCCTCACCAGCGTACCTAGGCAATGCGCTGAGAACAGGTTGGTCCCATTGTTTGGCATGTAGCTCACCTTCCACGACGCGATCGGCTACTCGCACTCGCAAGGGTCCAAGGCGGGAGGAGGTGCCGGTGCGTACTTGATTTGCGGTGGATGCATGCGCACAACGAAAGTAACACGGTCATGCAGACGGATCGATCATGAAGTTCACGGACATCGAGCTCATGGACCCCGCGAACGGCGGCACCGACGACATCATGGATCTGCAGCGCCCGTTCGCGTGGAAGTATAACGTCTCCTACGCCGATATGTGCGACCCTCCTCCCTCCCTCTTTTTGACCTGCGCCCGCTCACTCCACCCTCAACAGCATCCAGTTCCTCGGCGCCGTCGGGGTGAACAACTGCGCTGGCGGACCACGCCTCCGTTTCTTTGCAGGCCGGTCCAACGAAACCATCCCTGCCGCCCTCGGGCTCGTGCCCAAGCCGGAGGACTCCGTGGACATGATGCTCGCGCGGATGCACGACGCCGGGTTCTCGCCCAAGGAGCTCGTCGCCCTCCTCGCCTCGCACACCGTCGCCGCCCAGGATGGCATCAACTCCGTACGTCCGCGCGCGCTCCGTCTCGACGCACATTACTGACTATGCATACGGGGCGTGCGCACGCAGGACTTCAAGGCCCACCCGCTCGACTCGACGCCGAGCACGTTCGACCGCCAGTTCTTCGTCGAGACGCTGCTCAAGGGCGTGTCGTGCCCGGACAAGTCCGGCAAGTGTGGCAAGGGCGAGGCGCCGACGCCGCTCGTGGGTGAGATCCGGCTCGCGTCCGATGGCCTCCTCGCGCGCGACCCGCGCACCGCGTGCTACTGGCAGGCTATGATCGGTATGTACCGCGTCCCTCCCCTCGTCTCGCACTGCTGACGCCCTCTCCCTAATAGTCGACCACTCGGTGATGATCCACAACTTTACGACGGCGATGCACAAGCTCTCGCTGGTCGGGCAGGACGAGAGCCTGCTCACGGACTGCTCGGAGGTGATCCCGCACCCCCAGGTCATGGTCCCGCCGGCGGTGCTGCCCCGGGCAAGACGCTGAGCGACGTCGAGTGCTCGTGCCCGACGCCGTTCCCCAAGCTGGAGACGATGCCCGGCCCGGCTCTGATGATCGCTTCGGTGTGAGTAACGTCGGTCATGCGCGCCCGCCAGATGAGTGCTAACCTTGCATTGTGCAGCCCCAAGTGATCGCATCGATTCCGTTTCCTCTGTCGCTCTTGGATTCCCTGGTAGTACAGCATGTACTGGGTTTCACGTATCTTCCGATACCGCTCTCCATCTTTTTTTATTTGGTCTCCATAGCTATAAATCTATCTACCCTGCACATCGTACGATTTTATAATCACCCTCGTTTGCTTCGTAACCAGGACCGTACGCCGACATTTGCGAGTTCGTGCAGTGTAAGGTGCGTTATCCCTTCTACCTGTTGCTGCGTACGCTGAGTTTGCGGTTTATCCACTACCATGTTTCGTTCGATGGTATGGGTTAACGATGCAAAGCTGGATATCGTCAACGCCGGGATCGACTACTGGGTGTTGCGCGTGCCGCCCATGCCGTCGAGCCCTTCGTCATCGGCACCCGCTCCGGCTGCTGGTGTAGTAATCCTCGACAAACGCGTGAAGATTGGTGTCGCTCCTCCGACTGGAGCACCAACGAAGTCTACGACGGGGTCGACCCCAACTACGGTACCTGAGGCTGGACCGTGCGTCACCTTCTGGCACTCCCCCGCTCGCCACCACCCTACGCGCTCGGCGGAGATTCGACTCCAGTTAGTTACAATGAGGTTCAGGCTCCATTTCACCAGTCAACAAGTAAGCCATTCGAATAAAGTCCTAATGTCCCGGCCCGGATCCTCGTGCAAGCCCTGGGATTCTTGGCACGCACCATGCAGGTTTGCTGATGCACGGAAGCTTCTTAGCTTCCAAGGCACTGCTTAAAAGGTCATCGTAACCATGACCCGTGGGACGGATGAACGTGGGCAGGGTCACCCCGGAGGTACAAAACTCCGAGGTAGTTGCTCGTCGCGGTTGTTTAGTGCGCCGCGCATCCGATCAGGCCGTCGTTATTCCCCCGTCGACCTCGCTCCCCGCACTCGCCGTTGCTCGACATGTTCCAACCCTGTCGCAGAGTCAATGCCGCCCTCACCGCTAGTCTCCTCGTGCTCCAGGGGGCTCTGTCTGCCACCACATCGGGCGAATTCAACATCCTTGCGATGAACGTCGCCGGCCTGCCAGAGATCCTGAACGGCAACGAAGTCCCCGGCGACAAGACCACCAACGCCGGGATCATTGGGTCCAGGTTCGCCGAGTACGACTACGACGTCATCCACGTTCAGGAGGTGAGTTTCCGGTCGTTTCCCCCGGCACTGGGTTGAATGAAAGGAATGCTCACATTTCGGGCCAGGACTTCAACTACCATGCGTATATCTACGCGACGGACGACCATCCGTACCGCACCGCAACGTCGGGCGGTGTCCCTATCGGGTCCGGCTTAAACACGCTCTCCAATTTCGACTGGGTCTCCTTTGACCGCGTCAAGTGGGACACGTGCTCAGACGCGTCTGAGAACGATTGGTGAGCGTCGACAGCTAGAACGGCAAGTGCCAGTACAGACTCACAAGTGGGCCTGCCTTCACCCAGCCTCACGCCGAAAGGGTACACGTTCATGCGGGTCGCCATCGCGACCTCGAACTCGACCTCGACCTACATCGACATGTACAACCTGCACACCGACGCGGGCACCGAGGACGGGGACGAGGTCGCGCGGAACAGCAACGTGAACCAAGTCGCGGCGCGCATCGCGGCGTCGAGCACCGGCAACGCGGTGCTCGTCTTCGGGGACACCAACAGCCGGTACACCCGCGTCGCGGACACGGCGATCCGCGCGCTGCTCGCGAGCGAGAACGCGGCCGGCCCGGGCCTGACCGACGCGTGGGTCGAGCTCGAGCGGGGCGGGGTGGTCCCGACCGTCGAGACCGTGTGCGACAACCCGTCGACGACGAACGCGTGCGAGACGGTCGACAAGGTGTTCTACCGCGGGAGCGCGCTCGTGGAGCTCTCCGCCGCCGGCTGGACGTACGCGAGCGCCCGCTTCCTGCAGAGCAACGGGAGCGTGCTCTCGGACCACAACCCGGTGAACGTGGACTTCGCCTGGGCGGCGGGCGGCGCGCTGCGCCAGTCCGCCTTCTGGGGCGGCCCGCACGGGGACTGGTTCAGCGACGTGCCGACGCTCGCGGGCCTGCGCGCGAAGCCGAAGCCGACGCTGCTCTCCTTCCGGGGCGCGAGCCGGCTCGACGCCGTCGGCCTCACGCTCGCGGACGGGACGGTGTTCGCGCACGGGGGGACGGGCGGGGACGCGGCGAGCCTCGCGCTCGGCGCGGGCGAGGTCTGGCTCGGGGCGGAGCTCTGCCAGGGCGAGAAGAGCGGGCAGACGCGCAACTTTTGGATCCGGGCGACGACGAACGTGGGCCGGACGCTCGAGGCGGGCACGCGGACGGACGACTGCACGAGCTTCGCGGCCCCGAGCGGCTGGCAGATCGTCGGCTTCCTCGGCCAGGACGGGGACGAGATGGACCAGCTTGCGTTCGTGTACGCACCGCAGTGAGCGCTCGGAATCTGGGAGGAGTTCCATGCGGGGCGTGGTGTGGTGTAGTGTGGAGGAGACGAAGGCGGTGTATACCCCGGATGTACTTACTAGAACATGGGGTTTCTGTTCGTACTTGCAAGGCTTTATACCGAACTTTGGATGCTTACCTCTCGATGCGCAGAGAACTGATGTCGGGCAACCACATAAGCAGAGGGTTGTGACTGAGAGTCTGTGGGCGTGAGGCTAGAGGGGTGGAGGGCGGCCGGCCAGGTGCCGCGCACACTGCCGCTGGGGCGTTTTCCGCAAAACATTCGAGGACCAACGGATGCAAAATATCTGCCGTTCTCCGACATGTGCATGATCAGTGGCGTGAACTGTTTCCGACTAGGTGTAGCCCGTGTGGTCAGCGAAAAGAGAGCTGTGTGGGGTTCGAACATCGCGCGAAATCCGGCTTCGGAATCCCCGGGCGCTAGAAATGCGTGCCGCTGTCGCAGTGCTCTTTACCTAGCCAACTCGCCGACCCCCAGATTGACCCTATGACAACCTCGGACCTCCGCCGAAGTGTGGGCGCTATATGCAGGCCACTCATCGACGAACCCGCATCACAGATCCTTTCGCGCCCTCCGCAGATTCTTGCTCCCGACGTCAACGGTTGCGTAACTTTTCGTGAACCTCACCCACTCGGATCTGCGGTCATGCTCGCGCTGTGCCGTATAACCTGCCACAGTGTTGCTGCGTTTTGCGTCCGCAACCAGGTTGTGGGGATGCAGTACCGCACTATTCACACCCTCCTCCAAGAGGGTATTCTCCTGCTGGCGCCGTACGCGACCGGATTCACGTATAAAAACCAGTGGTTCGAGTGTCCCCATCCTTACTCCACTTCTCACTCGCTCATTCGTTATTTCTCTCTTCTTCGCTCTGAGAGCACCACACCACCTTTTTGTTAGCTATTTCTTTCACCCCCCGCGATTACTCTATCATGTACGCCGCCGTATTCGCCCCCCTCGCCCTGTTCCTCTCGCTGGCCGCTCAGACCAGTACGTCTCTCCCTTTTCCGTCCCTCCTAGCCCTGCTCACCTCCGAACCCACAGCGGCGTCCCATATCTCTCTACATCCCCGGCTACGCCGACGCGAAGGTCCCAATCACTGCCAAGGAGCTGAGCACCGACGGCTCCGGCCACACCGTCTGGGCGCTCGCAGTCGGCCACCTCAAGCGGCGCGTTCACCGCAACGGGCACCGCGACCGCAGGGTTCACCGCCGGTGCGCATCGTCTCCCCCGGCTCCGCATCAGGGCGTGCCCGGCACTCACACTAGTATGTATACGCACACGCAGGGACGCTCGCCCTCGGCCCGAAGGACGCGCACCTCAAGGCGAACGTCAACGGGGCGCTCGTCGAGGACGACTGCACGATCGTCGACGGCGTCGCGACCTGCACCCAGGCGGTCCTCCTCAGCCAGGGCGCGTCCGGGTCGGCCACGAGCACCGTCTCCACTGCGGTGAACACCGAGGCGGCCAAGGCGGTCCAGGTCCAGGTGCGTGCCGTGCCGTGCGTTCGACCTCGCGGGCACACGGCGGGCTGACGTTTCTTGGGTTGGCACGCGCAGACAAATGGCGCGACGGGTTTGGACGTTCGGGCGTTGGTGGGCGTTGGGACGGTGTTCCATGTTCTTCTGTAGGGAGGATAATGGGACTTGAGGCAAAGGGATCGCGTCCAAGAGTTGTGACGCCGTACATGAATTTATGCACAAGGGTTAATATCGTGAATTACGTCGATTTGTCAACTGAACTGCCCGCGGACGCGACGAGCAAGCGCACTTCCAAGTGTGGCTCAATACGATAATGATTTATTTGGTTTTAGACGGAACGAGTGTGTCCAGAGGCATCTTAGTATTGCGGAATGTCGCGACGCTGCTACGAACCAATTGTTATGACGTCATGGAGGGCCACCTTCTCTTCCTCCCCGTATGCGCCAGACCCCGCATGACGAATAGATCAACTGCATATACCGCCTATCACAGGGCTCAGGCATCAACGGCGTTAAACGGGAATAAAACATGTATGCAAACCAACGTTATGAAGCGAACTTACGGAGGGCCGAGAACATCGGATGAGGTTGTGTGAGACTATCATGTGCAATTCCAAGCGTGTGAAGCAAATTCGAGCATTGGCCACTAATGACTCCAAGGAACACTTATGATCGTACAGTGCGAATATAGATCATCCTCCCGATTCATCAATCATACAAATCGACCAAACATCCCTCCGCAAAGTTCACGCCGTCCACTAGTTGTTGCTGCCCCCGAAGCCCAACGCGTCCTTGGCCTTCTGCGTCAACGACGGCTACGAAAAGCGTCGATGTGTCAGCGCCCCACTCACCACGCCCGTGGTGCGCGGCACCCACCTGGGTCTCGTTCTGGTTGCCGCTGACGGCGTCGCCCATGCGCTGCGTCGTCGACTTGTCGTTCTGGGGCTGCATCGTGGACTGCGCCGAGTCGACGTTCCCGCGGAACTTGTCGCCGATGTGCTCCGTCGTCGACTTCTCAGAGTCGGGCTGCACGAGCGCGGGGTTAGCGTCGCGAACGGCGGGACGGAGAGGGGGACGCACCTTGAGCGCGGCGGTGGCCTTGTCGGTGAGCGATTGACGGCCGGTGTCGGACATGGTGTTTAGAGTAGGTGGGTGGGTAGAAGTGCTGGTGAGTCGTGTAGAGAGGCTGGAGGAGTGCGAGTGCGAATATCTGCGGGTGGGTGAGTCTCTGTGCTGCACTCGCGCCTGGTTATATACCCCCGCGCCCGCACTGCGCAGGACGGACGACGGCCGCCGCCGACGCGTCGTGGGGCGCATGACGCGCGCGCCCGCCGCCTCTCGAGCCCGGATGACGAGCGATCGCCCGCGGGAGCGCGTCATCGTGCGGGCGCGGCGTGGAGGCGCGATGTGACGTCACCGGCGTAGTGTTGCGAGCTGCAGCGCGCGCGCGAGCAATATTGTGCACCCGCCGCTGTGGCCAGGTGACCACGTTCGAGCGTGGCGGGTTGTACGTGTACATGCCACACGCAGCGACGTCCGTGTGCGCGAGAAGCTGGCCTCGAACGCGGCGGCGGTGGAGGAGGAATGCGTCCTGCTCGAAACGGAACGCGTCCTGCTCTCCTCCCACACAGCCTCACCCACACGAGGAATGGGACTGTCCTTCTCAGGTCGTTGACCGCTCGCTGAAAGCTTGAACGGATCAGGACCGGCCGGAACTGCGAACGTCAAGACCTCAGGTGCACTCGGAGAGGTCGAGTTAGGCATTACAATATCGTAAAAAAGCCGGCGTGGAAAGCACAGACCGTAACATACACGCCGCGCCCACAGTCCGGGCTCGCGGACCACCCAACCGTCGCGACCGTCCGGGAGCAGGCGGGCTGAAAACCAAGTCTCTGGCGTAATACCATCAAGATGCGAACGGCGAGCAAGTCGTAATAAAACACAGAGCGACACCGATAGCGGGACTCGTGCCGGGAATCGAAACTCCGAGACTACATCTGCAGCGTCGTCCGCGGCGCGAGCGGCGCATACGGATTCGTCGGGTCGGGCCCAGCGGCCGCGCTCATGCCCTCGCCCTCGCCCGCGCGGCGGCGATGGCGCGCGACGCGCAGGTAGCGCGAGAAGCGCGCGGCGGCGGAGGAGAGCGGGCGGTGCGGCGTCGCCGCCGCGCCGAGCGCGGGAGGCGGCTCGAGCTCCGCGTCCGCGGTCGCGTCCGTCGCGGTCATCATCGTCTGCAGCGCCTGGAAGTCTGCCGGGCGCGCGGACGCGGGGTGAGCGGGGAGCGGGCGCGAGAGTGGTAGAGGCGGAGACGCACCTTGTCGGCAGATGGGACAGCTGCTCGAGAGCTCGAGCAGCCACTGGTCGACGCACGCCGGGTGGAAGCGGTGGTGGCCCTCGCACGGGAGCACGCGGAGGTCGTCGCCCTCCTCGAAGTCGACGATGCAGATCGGGCACGTCTCGTGCCCGATCGCGTCCGGCACCACGTCCTTTTCCTTCTCGCCGCCCCCCGCGTCCTTCTGCGGACGGCGCACCGGCGCGCGCGGCTCCGCGTGCGGGTCCGGGTCCGTCGACGAGCTGGCCCGCGGGCTCGTGCTCGTGCTCGTGCTCGCGACCGGGGCCGACTCCGTGCGCGACGGCGGCGCGGCTCGCCGCTCCGACGCGATCGTGTCCATGCTCTTCCGGTCCTCCTCCAGATCTCGGAGCTCGACCGCGGCGTGCGAGCCGTCGCTCTCGTCCGTGCTCTCGATGTCCTTCGTGCGCGCGGCGGGGGCCGCCGCCGGCCCACCCGAAGCACTCGCGTTCGAGCCGCCGAACTTGACGACGGGGAACGTGTCGAGGATCGCGCGAGTGAGGCCGCCGGCGCGCGACTGCGGGCCCAGGGTGCCGTCGGGGCCAAATGCGTCACCTGAGCGCGGCCCGTAGCGCTCGGGATGGCGGATCGCGCGGATCGCCTGTTAAATGGGATTGGCACGGAGGTGAGAAGGCGGAAGGACGGGGGAGACGCACCCCGGAGACAATGACGACGCAGAAGAGCGCGGAGACGCAGCCCGTGATGGCATACAGGATGATCCTGGGGACGCATGACGGATGAGTGCACCGCAGTCTGGGCGTGGGTGACAGGACGTACATGGCTAGGCTGGTGCTCTGGGCACCACCAGGCCGATTAGAACCTGGGTCCGCAGGGGTGCTGTTGGTCGTCGACGGGCTGTCCGAGACGTTCCACGCCGAGAGCGTCGCGAAGATGAGTCCTGTGCTGTTCACGGGGCCGCCATTGATAGCACTGGTGACGGCGGCACTGGAATCGTTCAAGACGGAAGCACTAAAATAGTAACCCCTCGGTGCAGTGGAGTTCGTTTTGTTAAAAACGCTTTCCACCCGCCTGTAAGCACGGACGGCGGTGAGCAAGCGGAGCAGGAGGACGGGCGTAAGCGGGCGTACACGGAGTTCTTGAGAGACTGCGTCATGTAGACGTCCATGACCTGGTCGAAGTTGGCCGGATTGGAGTAGTACGGATTGATCAGGCAGCTCGATGCATTGACGGTGTAGAGGAGCTGGGGTGCACGGACGAGCGGGTGAGCGCGGAGGGAGGGGTGCGCATGAGCACTACATACTGCAGCAATCGCCCCTCTTTCCTTAGCAAGCGTGAAGATGTCCTCGTCTGGGTCCGAGTGCGTCGAGTTCTTGTCGCACGAGATGAGCGCGATCCAAGGGGTAGACGCTGCCGGGAGTGGGACACAGTCAAGCGGGGCGCCGCGGAGGACGAGCAGAGCACTCACTTGTGTCATTGTTCAGGTTGTCCTCGGAGAAATGGACGAGGGCTCCCTGCAGACAGTGTCAGTACCAGCCTGCGGCGAATCCCAGCAAAAGCCGGAGCGACCCGCGATCGCCCTCTGCACCCCGCCTTATTCGTCCCGCTGCCCATGAAACGTCTTCCCTTCGAGATCACCATCCCATCCCCGTCGCATGGGCAGAGATCAAAGGAGAAAGAGACAAAAGGAGAGCACGCACCTGCGCCAGCCCCTGGCTGTCCGCGCCCACGAGAGAGTAGGAGACCGTCTCGCTCGTCGCCTCGCCACCGGCCCACTGGAGCGTGAGCAGGGAGACGTCGGAGGTGTTGAGGCCCTGGGCCTGGGCGAGCGCGGTGTCGTTCGTGGCCTGGGCCGGGATGTATGCGTGCGCGGGGGTCGGTGCCGCCGCGAGCAGGAAGGGGAGGAGGGCGAGGGCGAGACGGGCGGGCGGCGGAGGGGATATGATCATCATGGGAGACCGTGGGTGGCTGCGTGCGGCCGGGTGGAGGGCTTGCGAAGGGTTGAAGACTGGGGGCGCAGGGGCGTGCGGAATGAATGGACGGCAGGCCTCGCTACTTGGGCGTGGGGCGTGTCCGTCCCCGCTCTTGCGGTTCCGCGCGGTCGAAGAGGCGAGGGGCGGGGTCGGCGGTGGCTCGGAGGAGAGGCGGGGAAGAAAGAGGAGGAGGGGCGCGATCAGCGTCCGGGGAGCGTGCGGTACATGTACTCCCTGGGACAGCGCGGGAGGCCAGGGACTCGGAGTCGGCGGCGGAGGGCTGCGGCAGGCTGCCGGGGACGGGCGAGGGATGGGACAAGGGTTGGGAGGACCCCCGAAAGCGCCTATAGTAGGCCCGCCGCTAGACGCCCACATTTTCCAGACGGCCGTGTCCGGACTTTGGATGACGTCATGTCCGGACTCCGGCGGTCCTCGGGCGTCTGGAGGCCCTCCATGTCCGGACTTTCGGCGGGCCTCACCAAGGCCTCCCTGGGGCCTCCTGGGGCTCCGGAACATGGTTTCATACCACAAATACGTCGTAGAGACACATATAGAAGCCACAGTAGTGTAATATGAATGCTGGATGCAGTATTTCAGCCAAGTTCATCCCCTACGTTTACCGGCGCTTAGAGAAGAGCCGTCGAGCGACGACTCTCTATGCAATAAACTGTGCAGCTGTGTATTATAAGGGCGCGGCGGGGGCGTCGCTCACCCCGTCGAGCGGGACGCAAGGAGGAGGAGGTGAACGGTGCGGGCGCACCAGGGAGGAGGAGGAAGAGGATGGTGCCCCAGCGCTGTTCCTCATCCTCCTCCCCTCGCGCAGGTGGCAAGAATCCCCCGACGCCTCTCCGCGCTTCTCCCGCTCGAGGTGCTCGTGTGCGGCTAGCGCGCGCCCGCCGCGCCCTTTCCGCGCGTGCGCACACCCCGCATCGAGTTCCCGCACGCTGACCGCGACCTTTCCCGCTCCCCGCCGCCTCGCCTTCCGCGGTGCGCGCCCGCTCTACCTCTGCGGCACCACACGCAGGTGCAGGGCGCGAGCTCGCGCGAGAGGGGGAGAGGGTGTAGCCGGACCTGGAGAGCATAGCGGGGGAGACTGCGTGTGCGCTGCACGCGCTCGCCATCCCGCGCGCGGTCCGCCGCGTGTGCGTCGCCTTCGCGCGTTCGAGCCCACGCCGGCGGGGGACGCACTGCTCGCGCGCGCGGTTCCCGCATCCACTTTCAATGGCTGTTAAGGTCTCACGTTAGACACCTTAGGTATCGACCTTATCGACCCTGTCTTTGGCCACGGACAGTCGTATACTGCATTGTCCCGTGTTTGCAAACGAGACGACGCTCACATACTGTAATTACCTGATGGATCTAACTCTACGATACCATTACATACATCCTTCATTTTTCATTCGCATCAAGAGACGCCGTGCGAGGCGCACCACAGCGACACTCGCCAATGATAATGTAGTGCATCACTGCTACAAGGCCTATTAACAGCCATCAACATGCTTGAAGCGCATAAACATCGTATAAGTTCTGGCGATAGGCGCCGGCCTCTACCTCCCATCATGTCCGGACTTTCGGCGGGCCGTCCGACCCTCTCTCGTGTCATGTCCGGACTCCCGGCAGGCCTATTTTCAGCGCCTATTGCCCATGTCCGGACTTTGACCCACCCTCGGGGCCCAAAACCGCTAAGCGCCGTCCGGACTCCCGGCGGGCCTACTATAGGCGCTTTCGGGGGTCCTGGGTTGGGATGGAGGGACGGGGCAGGGGACGGCAGAGGAAGCCGGGCGACGGCACGCCTGCATCTCGCGAGGCGTCGACGGCCGGCGCGCGCGGGACTCGAAGCTCCGCCTCTCCCACCCGCGGGTTCGCACGCCGTTTCAAACCTGGTGAGACGGACGCGCACAATTGGCCAGGTGCCGGTGAGCCCGAGAAAGCGTTCGCGATTCGACCTGCGCGCATGATGTCCTCCGTCCACAGTCGGATGGGCGCCATCTCGTGCCGAAGCTGCCTTGCCGAGGGTGCCGTGCCGGCCGGCCGGTCGGCCATCGCAAACTAGTCCCACCGCCAAATATTCTTCTTCCGCCGAGCTCGCCGTTCGCTTTCTCGCATGTTCAACACACCACGCCACGAGAACGACCGTGAAGCACTCCCGAAAGAAGTAGTGTTGTTCAAGTATTCAATCCTATGTTCACAGCACGGCGCGCAGCTTGTTACATACTAGCAGTTTACTGGATGTGCAAAACTTATTTTGCAGAAGCTGTCTCTTGTCCGTCCCGCTCCCGAATTTGATACATAGTTTTGAAATCACGGAAGGTACCCTGTCCATTTTTTTCAGAGCGAACAGAGGAGATCTAATCACAGGAGAGCGAGAGGTGCAAAGGCCATTGTCACGAAACGTCACGCCGGCAATGACGAATCGCCCTGTATTACGCGCGCCTTGAGCCGCGACCGAGCGCTGATATCATGGCGGATAGTCCAGAACGTATGGACGCTGTGGACGCTGTAACCTCTGGGCGTCGACATCGGGAGCGTACAGTTACATTCGGGGGTATGTATCACGAGGATCGCCCATGATGTGGACGAACGCGCGCATCCGCACCGGTTTTGAGGCGGGCAGAAGTGCACACTTTCTCTAGAGTCGACCTTGACGCTTTCTCATACCCTCCTGTTAGAAGTCGGCGACTCAGTCGAGGTCGGACAAGGGGGCTTGAAAGGCAATCAATACGACGCGGTTGGTCCCTATGGGCACCGTGAGGCGAGTACAGACGGACGCGGGGGAGAACGAGGTGGCGGGGAAGGGCAAACGCGTGAGGAGGAGGAGGAGGAGGTTGGTGACTTCAGCCCCTCCAGCAGTGCCGCAACACCACTAGAAGCGCCGAGGAATCCTACTTAGACCGACCGGTCCAGTGCTCGCCGACACCGTCCGATCCACCCTGTAGGTATCCCTCATGTTTTGCCCAACACCACTGTGTAGCAGAACTACTGCCAAATGCGAAACCCAGCAAGCAGTCCCACCACTCAGTGGCATAGGCAACCCATGCTGCTGTGATCCCAGTCTGGCGCCCGACCAAAAGGTCCAGCATCCAGCGTAGTTGCACTACAGCACGAGCTAATTGTATCCGGATCCATGTATATGATATCAATCATTATAAACTGTGGGCTACTGCGCTGTCGGCGGCCTCATATCCACTTCTTCGCAGCATGCATATGTGTAGTCTACCCAGTGACGAGCCAGAGCGCCAGTGCGGGACGAGGGTCGGCGGCTATCTACGCGACGACTAAGCGCTGGTACCGTACGACCGAGCTTGCTAAGTATGCGAGCAGATTCCAACACCTCCCTCTGAAATTCGGCGCATTTTCGTCAATGTATATTGAAAGAGTATTCTGGTTTTTCCAATGTTTATTGTACAGGAGGGACGGGCACGATCACGATTTTGCACTTCTCTCATATTTTGCACATCCGGTACACTGCTAGCACCTCGCCATGTCCGCTGAGAAAACCAACAGCGACCACGCAACGACCACCGCCCATGCGTCCGTCGACATTCCAGGACCATCACACGTCACCCCTCGCGCACGACCTCCTCGACCGCCTCGCGGAAGATCGCGCAGCCCTTCGCCATGTCCTCCTGCGAGACGTTGAGCGGCGGGATGAACCGCACGACCTCGTACACGCTCGTCGTCAGCAGCAGCATCCCCTTCTCCACGCACTTCTTCGCCACCCGGCTCGCCATCTTCGCCGGCGCGCTCGCGACGCGCATCGCGTCGTGCGCGCCCGTCCCCGTCGGCGACGCGAACTCGACCGCGACCATGAGCCCCGCCCCGCGCACGTCGAGCACCGTCCGTCCGAGCGCCGCGTCCGCACGCACCGCGTTCAGCGCCGCGAACAGCTCCGCCGACCTGTGGGACCACACGGCAGCGCTCAGTCTCGTTCACTTCTTCAAAACGCAGCGCAAGGGGGCAGACGTACCGCTCCGCGACGTTCTCGAGCACCTTCTCCTCCTTCATCGCGTCCACCACCGCGACCGCCGCCGCGCACGCGACCGCGTTGCCAGCGTACGTGCCCCCCATCGAGCCCGGGCTGAGCACGTCCGTGAGCTCCTTCCGGCTGACGACCGCGCTGAGCGGGAAGCCGTTCGCGAGGCCCTTGGCGCTCAGCAGGATGTCCGGGCGCACGCCCGCCTGCTCGATGAAGTAGTTCGTGCCCGTGCGCCCGAACCCGGACTGGACCTCGTCGACGATGAGCAGGATCCCGTGCGCGTCGCACACCGCGCGGAGGCCCTGCAGGAACCCGGCCGGCGCGGGCACGTACCCGCCCTCGCCGAGGAGCGGCTCGATGATGATCGCGGCGGTGTCCGCGGGCGCGGAGGCCTGGGCGAAGAGGAGGTTGAGCTGGTTCAGGCACGTCTCTGTGAGCTTCTCGGTGGGGGTGTCGGCGGGAACGCCGAGCTGGTGCCAGTACGGGTAGGGGCATGTGAACACTCCGGGCTGTCAAGATGAGAGACGGGAACATGAACTGCGTGGACTGAGAAAGATGGCGAGCGCTCGCACCATGAGCGGGTGGAAGCCCTGGCTGTAGATCGTCTTGCTCTTCGTGACGGCCATCGCACCGAAGGTGCGCCCGTGGTACGCGCCTTGCATGCTGATGATGTTCTGCCTCTTGGTCGCCGTCCGCGCGAGTTTAATCGCCGCCTCGACGGCCTCCGAGCCCGAGTTCCAGAAGAAGAACGAGTCCAACGACGGGTCGGGCATCATGGGGATAAGGCGTTCGATGAGCTGCAGATACGGCTCGTGAAACGCGATGCTGCACTAATCCTCTGTCAGCCCCGGTTCACACACGAAAAAAGGCACGGCGTCTGCGTACCTGGACATGCACGATCCCATCGACGCATTGCGCGGCCGCAGCCGCGCTGACTTTCGGATGGCAGTGCCCTGTAGCAAGCGATGGGCGACCGCCGGACGGACCCACGCATCAAAACAGAAACATACCAAGCCCAGTGACACCGATGCCAGTGGTGAAGTCGAGCATCTTCCGGCCGTCCATGAAGTACACGTACGACCCCTCTCCCTTGGTTATCACCCCCTCAACAACGCGCCCGAGACCATGGGTGACGTGCTTCTGGCCGAATTGGACCAACGACGCTTGCTGCGAGCTCGAGGCGGACGCCATGTTGCGGATTTGGTGGCCGCGCGAGGAGCCTGAAGGGTGGCTACTTGAGCCCGACGGGATACCTCGGCTTGCCTCGAGCGCAGTGCGTGTGCGTGCGGCGGTGGACAGCAAGTGCCGCGGGCTGTGTCAAAGACCGGAAGGAGTGAATTAAGAGGTGGCCTCGAGGCAGTGGTATTCCGAAAGCGCACGACAGAAACTCGTCATCATGCAGGAACCTCGTCGGATGAGACGTAGGTTCTCAATGGCCGAAGCTCCGACGAAACGAGTCCGGACGGGGCTCGGGCTCGCCCACGGGTCGTGCGCGCCACCGCCTCGGGTACTCCGGAACGCATCGAGATCCGCTGTGGCAAGTCCTCTCGTCCCTAGACCTCATCGGAGTTGAGAGGAAAGACAGAAAAATGGTCGAGGACACGGGGGCGGTCAACGCAGACAGCGCATACAGCGCCAACTGACGCGCATGGTGGGGCGAGCCGATGACGTCTTTGAGGACGCTCGTATCGGGCTGCCACCGTCCCTGTCCTCCCGCGCTCCCTCCCTCCGTCCCACGTCCGCCCTGTCCGTGCCACGACTCCAATCTCTTCGAGGTGGTATGCACAGAAACTGCGAGACGAAATGCAGAGGCGGCAAATTCACTCACGTCGTGAGACCTCTAGATCCAAGACTTGCGCGGCTGGACGAGAGCATCGACGGAGGGGTGGTGTGCAAAGAGGGAAAGCCAGAGAGTGCAGCGAGACCAGGCAGAGGTGGTGGTGGTGGTGGTGGTTGTGGTGGTGCGCGGAAGAGTGGGAGGCCGATCCAATAAGTACTGCACCGGCGCCCTATGTGTCGTATCTCAGTCTGTATCTCTCCCATTTGAGTCCGCCGCGCGAGAAACGTTGAGCCCGCCCTTCCGTCGCCCTCCCGGACGCCCCCCGGACGCGGCGCGGTCGCCCGAAACCCTCCAGAATCGCCCCGCTCGAGCTCATACCCCGCCCGCCGCCTGCCCCCCGGGCCTGCTCCCAACCCAGATCTGCCCCCGCGACCGGCTCCTCGGGCGCACCGCTCACGAACCACGAACCACCAGTCAGCTGCGCGCAATGACATCCTTCCCCGTACGCGTCTTCCCTGTGCGAACATTCCGCGACGGGTCCGTCGCGTGACCCACAAGGGACTCACATTTGGCGAGCCCGCCACACGGACGCGGCGGGAGGACGGGATGGGCGGTGCGTAGCCGAGGCGGGGGTGTGGTCCGCTCGGGAGTCGGGTTTTAAGCACGGACGATCGAGGCACACGCGAGGGCCGCGGTCCGAGGAGGCCATGGGTTGCCGAACGGACCCTTTGGGGCCTTGAAGGCTTAACGATTAAGATACAGCCTCTGCGCGCGGTCGCCTGTTCACTGGAGAGCGCGCGGCATGCAGGGCCGCGCACGATTCACACTTGAGATCGTCGGGACTGCGCGTCAGGACCCACCTTGGACCTACATATGACCTGGGGTGTCGAGACCCTGCATATCATATGCTGAGGTACTAGCATCATCGGCTGCTCCACACGACGTTTCCGAGTACTCGCCACGCAAGATTGTTTCGTCCCTCAAGCCCAAAGTAATAATTCCCTGCGGACAGATACGCGTACAGAGCTATGCACAGTATAACAATACACGGACCGCCGTCAACCGACCGACGGCCACTGCTGCCATCCCAGATGCACGCGCACCTCGAACGTGTTTAGAACCGGCAGCCGGCATAAATAGCCCAAGGAACCAACGGGCGAAAAGGGGTATGTGTGTGGACGAGGAGTCGTCTCGCGCGCTGTACAACGCTCAGTTCTTCGGGCACTGCTTCCCGCCGAAGGAGATGCCGGAGAAGTACGGGCCGAGGTGGTTCGGGATGGAGGTGTCGAGGAGCGAGTTGCCCGCGGAGCAGTTCTGTGTGCGCACGCGCGCGCGGGACGTCAGCGAGCGAAACGAAGACTGCGGCGGCGCGAGAACGCACCTCGTTCTCCTGGCCCGGGCACTCGACCACCGTCGCGTCGCCCGAGGCCGCGTCGACGGCGGTGATGTGCAGCTCCCCGGACGGGTGCTGGAACGCGAGCGCGTGGGGCGGCACGTTCGGGACCGGGTCGTTCTGGTTCGTGACGTGCGCGAAGGTGGGGAACTGCGCGCGGAGCGGAGAGTCAGTCGCCGGCACCCCCTGCGCGACGCGCGCGCGACACTCACCAGCGAGTCGAAGAGGTCCGCCCACGCCTGGTTCCCGACGCGCGGCAGCCCGAACACGACCGAGTCGACCGCGACGTCGTCCGGCACGGCCATCTTGAGCATCGCGGCGTCGAGCGTCGCGATCGCGGCGCCGAGCGAGTGCCCGGTGACCATCACGCTCTTGAAGCCGGTGTCGGCGAGCGCCTGGGTGACGGCGGCGAGCACGGCGTCCGCGGTGCGGCCCTGCGCCTCCTGGAAGCCGTCGTGGAGCTGCACGTCGGCGGAGGCCTGCGGGAAGAGCGTCGCGTTCGCGTCCTTCTGCACGAACTTGACGTCGTTCGCGACCGAGAGCACCTGCTTCGCCTCGGTGCCCTGGTGCGCGACGAAGATCGTCTGCGCGTCCGAGTCCGACGCGACGAGGACTGCGCGCGGGAACGAGCGTCAGCGCGAGAAGAAGACAGGAGGAGCGGGAACACGCACAGAAGGGCGTCGAGGCGCCGTCGCCGCCGTTCGCGAGGATCTTGACGTTCGCGCCGAGGGCGTCGCACGGGCCGCCGCAGGAGAGGTCCGCGATGCCGGTCGAGCAGTAGACGGCGCGCGCGAACTCGGCGGGCCGGGTGAGGGTGCTCACGATGTCGTCCTGGGAGAACGGGGCGGTCGCGTCGTCGCTCTCGTCGCCGGAGCTGAAGTTGATGCCGAAGAGCGGGGCGGGCGCCGCGCGCGCGAGGGCGGCGAGGGCGGCGAGGGAGAGGAATGACTGGAAGAGGCGAGGCATCGAGGCGCGCGAAAGGAGGGTGAGCGGGAAAAGGTCGTGAAACGAGGAAGGTTGGGGAATGTGCTACAGCTGAAGTTGAACCGGAAGGAAATGGGAGATGGGGAGGCGAAGGAAAAGGCAGAGAACCACCAGGGTCCGGCAGGGGCGAAGAGAACGGGAAGTAGGGCAGGGGACGAGGGCGTCGCAGGCGACTCGGGAGGGCAGGACGGTGGGCGGGGGTATATGTACCATCGGGACGTCGGCTCTGCTCATGGTGGGCGGGCGTCGGCGGCACAGGAGAGAAACGATCAGAGATTGGTCGCGGGTCCGCAGGGCGCACGTTACATACAGCACCGGGTCAGCGGCCGACCCTGGGCACTGGACAGGTTGATGAGATGACCGGTGAGATGAGATGTCAAAGCTGTCGGCGTGCGGATGCATCATGATGGATCGACTGGCAGTGTGGCACTCGGCGTGCGGCCAGCACTCACCACGAGAGAACAAGTGGGATAAGTATGGTGGAGAGACGCAGTGCGCGTGGTAGGTCGTACTTCGACATACGCTTGAACTGTTTTTGATGGACTACATATAGCAAACGCTGCTCTTGGCGACGCTTTGAACAGGAATAATCGCGAAAAGGTTGAGGATGGAAGGCTGTGCGTCCACTGCTAGAGCGTTTCCAGGCAAGGGACCGACGACCCCGACCCGGTCGCTCTCGATCTGAGAAGCGACGTCCGACGGGCCTCGTGAGCAAAAGTCGGGTAGAAATGCGGATGGGAAATGCACGAACGCTGCTGCGCGCACGCGGGAGTGGGAACGGGACCGGGATATCAAGCCAGCTATCAAGGGCGGATGAGAGCAGCGCTCGCCGCTGGTCATCATGTTTGGACTCCTTCAATGGGCGCGCGTCTCTGCGCAGCTCTGCGCCCCCAAGCAAGGCGATGAGTGTCAGAGCGTGGGGATGCGAACGCAGATCAAGGAGGTCCTGCAGGATCAGAATTCGTGCCTCATGAGGTGGACGAGCATCGAGCGAGCGTTCGGCCGAGGCGTTCCGGTCCTCCGCCCGCGAGAGAGAGACCGGCGAGGAAAGCGGGCAGCGGATCGGACCAGGCGAGGCGGAGGTGCGTCACTGCGGCTCGCGACGCGGTCATCGCCCCCTCCCGCCGACGTCAGCATCCTGCACACGCCCAATCAGGCAGGCGCAGGCTTCGTTCTTGCACGCCCGCCAGTCCACACTCGCCCTCGAAATGACCAAGTGGGGTCACCTGAAGATGGGTATATAAGTGCCCCCGGACTCCCATCCTCTCTCCAGCACTCACCGGCACCTCTCACCACTCTCGCCCACTTCATCTCTTCTTCGCCATCTTCATCATGTCCGACACCGGCAGACAGTCTCTCACCGACAAGGCCGGCTCCGCTATGAAGGTCAGCGTCGTCTCCCTAGCTTCGATCATTGCCCCTAATGCCCTATGCGTTGGACATTAGCCCGACAGCCAGAAGTCGTACACCGAGCAGCTTGGTGACGCCGCCAAGGGCACCTACGATTCGATCGCATCGACCGTTCAGCCCGAGGTAGGCCTTCGTCATGCTCTTAGATTTTAGCTCGAGCTCACCTCGACTTCAGAGCGAGAAGTCTATGGGCCAGCAGGCCTCTGACACCATCAGCGGTAACTCCAACGAGAACCAGGTGCGTTGAAACCCACGTGCTTCCCTTTGCGCGATGCTCATATCTGTCTATGATTAGGAGTCCCTTACCAGCAAGGCGAAGAACGCCATGGGTATGGGCGGCAACCGCAACCAGTAGATGAGTGGCAGAGGATCCCGCTTTGTACTTGTAACTCGACTGTTTGTACCGCTCTTCGCGTTTGAAATGCATGCATGATTCCCGGATTGACGAGTCTCGCTTGCTGGCGACAGAACATGCTGTTGGAATCTGCCCGCATACTTAGCAAGCTCGGTCGTACGGTACCAGCGCTTAGTCATCCCGTAGATAGCCGCCGCCCCTCGTCCCGCACTCGCCTCACGCGTTTGCCCTTCCCCACCACCTCGTTCTCCCCCGCGTCCGTCTGTACTCGCCTCCCGGTGCCCATAGGGACCAACCGCGTCGTATCGATTGCATCTTATTCCTCGTCCGACCCCGACCGAGCCGCCGACTTCTAACACAAACGCGTACCCTTGCCCGGAGGTCATTCCGCGCCCGCGCCCGGCCTACTCGTTGTCCGCGCCCTCCGATCTCGACGATCCGAAGCCCCCTCCGACCCGCGATCACCCTTTCGACTTCCGACCCGTTCGCGACCCTCCGATCCCGCTTTCTCCCCGCCGATCTTCGACCCCCACACCTCCTATCGCAAGAATCGCCCCTCCATCTCCACCATGGCCCCGCACTTCTCCCGCCTCGAAGACAACAACTACCCCGAATGGCGCTTCTACATGGAAGCTCACCTCACGCGTCAAGGCGTCTTCGAAGTTGCGTCCGGTGCCCTCTCGCGTCCTCCGTTCGCCCCTGCGCACGTCGCCGTCAAGTCCTGGGACAAGAAAGACATGCAGGCTCGATCCGAGATTAACCTCATGCTCTCCCCCTCGCAGATCGGCCACGTCCAAGGTGCAACGACCTCGGCCGACATCTGGACTCGCCTCGAAGCTGTCCATCGCGCTCACGGATTCGGCACCCGCCTCGCTCGTCGCCGCGAGTTCTTCAACATGTCGAAGCAGCCTGACCAGGCCATGAACACGTGGATCTCCAGCGTCCGCAGAGCCGCATTCAATCTCAACGCAAGCGGAGCGAACGTCCCGGATGAAGACATCATCATCGTCCTGACGAAGGGCCTTCCCGAAGAGTACGACAGTCTTGTCGTCGCCCTCGACTCGACCCCCTCCGCGTCTCTCACCCTCGACTACGTCATTATCCGCCTCGTCAATGAGGAATCACGCAAGGCCCCATCGGAGGCATCCTCACCCTTGCCGTCCTCCGCCGTTGCTGCTGCCGCCCGCACGTTCACCCCCACTGCTCGCACGTTCGTCCCCGCTGCTCGTGCCGCTGCCACCGCCCCTGCTCCTGCTCCCACCGGTACTCCTCGTGGTCGAGTCCCGCTCTCGGAGATCACCTGTTACAACTGCAAGAACAAGGGCCACTACCAGCAGGACTGCCCGCATCCGCTCATCCCCTTCAAGGAGCGCGCCGCCTTCGCCATGGCACTCGGCCCATCGTACCCGTCGTCCCGGAGTGGTTCGGAGAGCCCCGTTGTGGCGTTCTCTTACTAGGTTTCATGGGACATTCGTACGTTTCGATTCTCGTTCCCCTCGCGCATTTTCTCGTTCCCCCTTCTCGCCTCCGTGCTCCCCTGTCGGCATGTTGTGGTTACTTTAGCCGGCCGTCATTGGCGTGCTCGACATCGTGATTCGCTTGCTCTCTTGAGGTTGTAGCTGGTCGCCCGCATCATCGTCTTGATCCCCTGTCCCCGATCCTCGTCACGTTGATTTTGTTTATTCGATTCTATGCCCCTGTCTCTCCTCGATCCAGCGTAAACCCCGATCCATCGTATCCGATTCAGCGTAACCGACCCATCGTACTCGAACCAGCGTAAACCGATCCATCGTCCTCGAACCAGCGTAACCGATTCAGCGTCCCCCTCGATCCTTCGTACCCGACCCTTCGTACTCGACCCATCGTCCTCGATCCCTCGTCCTCGACCCTTCGCATTTTGTACCACCGTCTTCCCCTCGATTTGTGCTCGTTATACGCCCTCGCTTGTGGGGGCCTGTTGGAATCTGCCCGCATACTTAGCAAGCTCGGTCGTACGGTACCAGCGCTTAGTCATCCCGTAGATAGCCGCCGCCCCTCGTCCCGCACTCGCCTCACGCGTTTGCCCTTCCCCACCACCTCGTTCTCCCCCGCGTCCGTCTGTACTCGCCTCCCGGTGCCCATAGGGACCAACCGCGTCGTATCGATTGCATCTTATTCCTCGTCCGACCCCGACCGAGCCGCCGACTTCTAACACATGCATCATGCACTTGACGGTGGTGGCGGCAAAGTCGCAGCGTATGTAAACGCTGGCTTCGTTGATGTACTTCTCACGCGACTGTCCCTCTGAATCTTGTCTCCGTCACCGTCATCGACGACGAAATGGCCGCCAGTTCTCGACACCGGTTATACAGAGATGCATACAGCACCTTTAAACCCCGCAAAGGACGTTCTTTCATCCTTGTAGCCAACACTAAACCACATCTCGCCTCGTTCGTCTGTGCACCTGTAATCCCATGGGCAGTGGTCGCTCTCACCCGCCCAAAGAGATATCCCAAGCTCCTGCTTCTCACACCTCTTCTCTCTCCTTTCGCCTCTACCTCCACCATCCTCGATCTTTCGCCCTCCCAATTCCGACGATGTCCCCCAACCTTGAGTCCCTCAAATCCTCCTTCTCTGGCGACCTCGTCGGCCTCACCGACTCCGCCTACCCCGCCGCGATCGTCCGCTGGGCGCGCAACGCCGCGCGCCGCGCCGCGCTCGTTGCCTTTCCCCGCTCCCCCGGCGACGTCGCGCTCGCCATCGCGTATGCCCGCGCGCAGGGCCTCCAACTCGCCGTCAAGGGTGGCGGCCACAGCCCCTCGGGCGCGTCGAGCGTCGAGGGCGGGCTCGTCATCGATCTCGGCCGGCACATGGCGGGCGTGCGTGTCGACGCCGCCGCGCGAAGGGCGTATGTCGCTGGCGGGGCGCTGTGGGGGGCAGTCGACAAGGCGGCGATCGAGCACGGGCTCGCGACTGTGGGCGGGACGGTGAACCATGTGAGTACTGCACTTTCGCGGGCGACCAGGGCTGACGGGGCTTCGCGCGCGGCAGACTGGGGTAGGCGGGTGAGTGTGCTTTGTCCTCCAAGGTCATCAGCGGGTTTTGTGAAAGTCACGCAGGCTTGTGCTTGGAGGAGGGTACGGATGGCTCGCGGGCGCCCATGGGCTGGCGATCGACAACCTCCTCGAAGTACGTTCCTACATCTACTCGGCGCGCGGGCTCTAGTTCTTGATTTCGCGCGCGCGCTTCTTATTACAGGCGACCGTTGTCACCGCTGATGGCCAGGTTATCACTGCGTCCCCAACCTCGCACCCGGACCTCTTCTGGGGCCTCCGCGGCGGCGGCTCGAACTTTGGCGTCGTCACCGAATTCGTGCTCCAGCTGCACCCGCAGCGCCGGACCGTCTTCTGCGGCATGGCCGTCTTCGGCGAACACCAGCTCGAGCAGTTTTTGGATGTGACGGAGGCGTGGTGGAACAACGGCACGACCGAGAAGGAGGGCATGATCCATGCGTTCACGCGCAGCCCCATGGACCGTTCGGTGAGTGCTCACGCACGTATGCGATGTGGAGACAATGGTGACACAGGTTCGGCGTCGTCCCGCAGCCGTGCATCGTCGCCTTCATGTTCTACAACGGCTCCGAGGCCGAAGGCCGCGACAACTTCAAGGCCTTCTTCGACATCGGTGCGCCCCCTGCCCTCGCACGCCTCACCCTTTTTTTTCTCATCCCGTGCCCCGCCACAGGCCCCGTCATGGACGCGACCGCCGAGCGGCCCTACGAGGAGCTCAACTCGCTCCAGAACGCGATCGCGGCCCCCGGCCAGGCCGTGTACATGAAGGGCACCTTCGCGCCCGCGACGTACCCCCGCGCGCTCCTCCCGCGCGTCTTCGCCCGCGCCGCGGAGCTCTCCGCGCCCGAGGGCTACCACATCGGCTTCCTGCTCGAGTACCACTCCCTCGGGAAGGTCGACGCCGTGCCGGACGCGCAGACGGCATACCGGCGCGGGGCGGGCCCGAACGCGCTCTGCACCGTCTTCATGCAGGAGGACGGGGAGGGGCGGATGGCGTACGCGCAGGCGGCCGCGCGGGAGCTCGTCGCGCTCGTCGCGGGCGACAAGGCGCACCTGGCGTACGGGAACTACAGCGACGGTGAGTGCGCGGCGCCGGCGTGCCTCGGATTCGCTCGGTGCGGCGGTGGCTGACGAGCGCTCGTGATTGCGGGATGTAGACCCGGCTGGGGAGGAGGGCGCGCCTGCGACGGCGGGAGCGAGCAAGGCCGAGGTGAACTTCGGGAGCAACTACGCGCGGCTGCGGGAGGTGAAGAAGGCGTACGACCCCGAGCAGGTGTTCAACAAGTGGTTCAACATCGACCCGGCCGCGTAGGGGCGGTGGTGTCGGCGAAGTCGAGCGGATGCGACGTGTACGACGTAAGATGTATCAATCAATGTACGAATGCTGGGCTCAACGAGAATGCGATGAATGAGACATACGATGTCGCTTCCGCAGTTGCAGATGGCGCCGCGCGGTCGATCCCTCCTACGTGTGAGTAACGGCCTTGCCTGTCTCTGGATGCTGACCTCCCTCAGATGCAGGACCTTGGCTGAGTGATTCTACTGAGTCCGTTCACTCTGTTGTCTTGGCTTCGCCAGTGGTTCTACATGTGCTGGCTTCTTGGCTCTGTGCGCCCCTGTTCCAGATGCCCCGACTACCGCGCTGAATCGGTGCGTAGTACGAGATCGGAACCTTGAACAGGGACACAGCACTTCGATTTCATCGATTACGTCCGGTCAAATCAGTTCATCTCTGTCCACCGCGATCAACACAGAGCCAACACAGCACCCTGGCCAAAGGAGCGGAGACAACATGTGCGTTCAGACACAGCCCAGCCTGGTTCGGTACCGGAAGTGTCACAGTTTGTTCCCTTTCCTGGACATCCGATGCTGACATCCCAGGTCTTCCTGTTCGGGCGCCATTGAAATGAAAGTAATCCTTTTCCTACAGCTCGACGAACCATAGGACGCGTAGTGTTTGGGGGTTCGTCATGTTCCTCTGCGCAACGGCCGTCTGATGATGCAGCCCTCAGTGGAGGGCAGACCTCGCAGCTCTCTCGGAGCGTGCTGCACGCTGTCGCCAGCCTCTTCCACCGGCTGTCAGCACCTGCGGCTGACGCCTCTATTCTTGTTGCTGAGAGCAAAGCGTCTCTGGCGTCTCACTCACGTATAAAAGCTCGCCCGACGGCGCCCTCAGATCCTCAGAACCCGCTCTCTTCTCCCTCTCTTCTCTCCTCCCTCCTCTCCTCTCTCCCATCAGTCCCGCCCCAGTGGCGCCCACCATCGCGGTCATTCTCGCAGGCGACAACGCACGCCAGTCGCGACTCTTCGACCGGTGAGTGACCCTCACCAGCTTGACTCTTCTTTTGTGATTTGTTTGCATGTGCTGATAGCAGATGGATGTCGCCGTTCGCCTGCAGCGCAGTGACCTCTGAACACGAGATCTCGGTTTCGTCGATATTTCACCTGTTGTGAGTAACACTCGCCAGTTCTTGCCTAGCTAGCTTGGTGCTGAAAAGATACGTGCGGGGTCGTTCCCCGGCAGGCATTTCGCGCTTCAAACCAGTGTCAGCCCGACCCCACATCGGATGCAAAATCGGAAGCGGACCAGGTGAGTGATCCTCACCAGCTTGTCTTGTTTCTTGTCGCCTGTCAGTTGGTGCTGAGAGCAGACCCGCATCGGCATCGTTCTGCAGATGATCTTCCGGCCCGCATCCTCGGCCCAAGGCAGGCTGCGCTCCTCCATGGCGAGTCACTCTCCCAGCGCGCCTCTGTAAGCACATGCGCTGAGAACGGACGCCGCCCAAGGTGTTAGTGCGCACCGATTCCCTTCCGACCTGCACTCCCAGCATTCCTCCCCGGTGAGTGACCTCCCAGCGCGCCTCTGTGAGCACGTGCGTTGAGAATGGACGGGGAGCGTTCGTTGGACTGCAGAGCGCTCTAGTACTAGGGTCCCCCCGGCCGCGGCAAGACCTCGTTTTCGCGTGGTATTTTCCTTGTGGTGAGTAACCCTCACCAGCTTGTTCTCTTTGTGGTTTTTCTAGTATGTCGATGCTGATATAAGACCGCCGGCGTCGTTTCCCGGCAGGTATACCACGCTTCGAACCACCAGCCCGACCCCGCAGATGCGAAAGCGGAAGCGAGTCATCTTCGTCGCGTGAGTGATCTCCACCAGCTTTTCTTTGTAGTCTTCCCGTTTGTGCTGATGACACACCGCCGGTGTCGATGGTCAGGTCATCGATCTCACCGCGAGGCACCTCCCCATGTGAGTAACGTCTCACCAGAGCACTTGTCCAATGCGCTGAAGAGGGAGGGCGAGCGTCCTCAGTCTGCATTCCACCTTTGCGAACGCTATCGATCCAAGTCGCGCGGTATTCCCGCGCTTACCAACGCACTCCGACCATGTGCTGACAGCAAGACGGCAGATGCCTATTGTATGCAGCTCGCGACCCCATTGTCACCCTTGAAAACGTGAACAGGCGATAACTCCGGGTGAGCGATCCTCACCAGCTCTTCTCATCGCTTTCCTGTTTGTGCTGAGAGTGGCAGACCCGTACCGGCATCGTTCTGCAGATGATCCTCAGACCCGCATCCTCAGCTCAAGGCAGGATATGCTCCTCCATGGCGAGTCACTCTCCTAGCGTGCCTCTGTAAGCACATACGCTGAGAATGGACGCCGCCCATGGTGTTAGTGCGCCCCGATTTCTTTCCGACCTGCACTCCCAGCATTCGTCCCCGGTGAGTGACCTCCCAGCGCGCCTCTGTAAGCACATGCGCTGAGAATGGACGGCGAGCGTTCGTTGGCCTGCAGTCCATTTTCCGGAGCGCTCCAGGGTCACCCCGGCCGCGGAACTGGTACGCATGTCGATTTCCACTTTGCCCTCGTCCCGCAACATATTAGCAGGTCGATCGTGCTACCCCAGTGCTTGAGTAGAGCCGCTTGAGGACAACATTGTCGCTCTCCAGCGCGGATGTTCCCGACGTGGATGTGTCTGAAGTGTGTGCTTGGCGCGCTCAAGCCGAGCTCGCTGTACGCATGGTAGTTGACCCAGCCCTGAGATGCTGCTAACGATATCGCCGGGCCATGGAATACAGCTGTCCAATCTGAACAGGTCCCCGCAAGGTCCCCGAGTCACTCATATTATTGTGTTGTTCGCGGTGGCACTTCAAATATAGGGCGTTCGGCGACTCGTATGCCCACTTGTCCTTTCGTCCGCATTCTGTTCGCCCCCATGTATTTTTACTTTGTTGAATTGCAGTGCACCCAGTCTGCCATTTGGCGCCCGCACGGACCACATGCACACGCGCAAGTACTGCTCGGCCGCAATCTTCATGTCGCAATCATCGCGTGAACAAACTCGGAGACACGTCATCGCCGAACTGCCCACGGCCCCGTTGGGTGTGACACACCACGGACGCTGTGCACGTCCTCCCAAATGCGGCACGAATGAGTCGAAACATGAGGCACGTGACTGAGTCGTTGATCCGGATTCCAGATTAGAAACTGAGGGGCACACGGTTTGCGTGCGCCCCCGCTGAAAAAGACACCACTTGACCTTGAACGTCCACCATGACCACCGCGAGTGCCGCCTGTCCCCCACGCTTGACCCCGCTGCAAGAGCGAAAGGCATGTTTCGATTCCAATTCGACCTCCTCCTGGGACCTCTACAAGCGTCAGAGCGCACAAACATTCTACCATACCACTTAGCCTGGGGCGAAGACAACCTACAGCATCAACCGGTGTGCTGCATAAATACCCTTTCGTTTTCGTTCCTTCCACGTTCGGTCTCGACGCCTCCATCTCCTACTGCGAGAACAGCATGCTCTCGAACGCCGACGGCATCGGAAGCGGCGACAGCGCCGGCGACGGCCGCTCCCTCGCGTGCCACACCCCCGACCTGCGCAAGTGCCACAAAACCCACTAGTCAGCTCAACACGACGACACCAGGCGCACGCAAGAGGGAAGGAAGGAAGACACGCACCTGGCCGGCACGCCCGTCCCGCGCTGGAGCGGCGAGCGCGGGTCGAACCCGCCGTCGTGCACCACGCCTTCCATCGCGTCTTCCTGGTCCGGGTCCGGGCCGAGCGCCCACCCGCGCGGGGGCTGGGCGAACGTGAGCGCGCCGAGCGCCGCGCGCGCGCGGAGGTGCGCCGACGGCGGCGCGGCGCGGTCGCTCGCGCCCAGCAGCGGCGTGTGCGGGTGCGGGGAGGCGCCGCCGACGGAGGTCTTGGCGGACGGCGTGGGGGAGGGCGACGGCGAGGCGGGCGGGGTCGCGGAGGAGCGCGCGGAGATCGACGACGCGGGCGGGGGCGAGTGCCATGACGCGGACGACGAGGAGGCGGACGAGCCGGCGAGGGCGCGCGCGAAGGACGTGGAGGAGGTCACAGCGTCGAGCGACGGCGAGGTGGTCCCGGTCGGGCTTGTGGTCCGCGGGGACCTCGCGGCGCGATGGGTGGGTGTCGTGCGCGACCGGCGCGCCCCGGACGCGCTGGTGGGCGAAGAGGACGTGGCGGGCAGAACGGGTTGCGGCGGCGCGGCGGCCGGGGGGCGCGAACACTGGAGGCAGATCCACTGGGGAATCGGGCAGACGCAGGGCGTGTCGAGAGGGACTGTCCGCGGCGAAGGCACCCGAGGGACGGCGGCTTGAGCTTGCGGCCTTGGGCGGCGGCTTGAGCTTGAGCTTGAAGACACACTGGAAGGCACACCGGGACTTGGGACAGCAAACACGGGAACCGAAGGAGAGGTTTGATTGCCTCCGTCGACAAAATGCCTCTCCGGCACGACATCTGTCTGAGCACCTGTAGAGACCGGCTTGCGCTTGGGAACAGGTTCGGTCTGGATCGCTGCGTCGCTCTGGGTGCGCGCGACGGGCCTCTTGCGCTTCGTGGGGCTGGAGCTGGAGCTGGGGCCTGTAGCGGGCGACGACCTTGAAAACGTTCGTTCACGCGACTTGCGACTCGCACCGGAATTCCCATCACCCCCCGCACGACCTGCCGCCAAAACTCTTCCGGGAAATGCGCCGTCTTTCAGCATGGGCGTGTTGGGCGCGGTGTCGTACTCAGACAGTTCGCGGTCTTCTACCTCACGAGATTCATCGGACAGCTGTCTTTTCGCCTCTTCTGCGGCCAACCTTTGTCGTTCCCTCTGTTGCTGACGGGCCAAGAAGTCTTCGGGGAAGTACTGCGTTGAGTCCGACACTGGGGACGACAGGTGCGAGCGGCAGTCGCTGGATGCAATCGACGGCGAGCGCATACTATACTCCGAGTTGATGCTCGGGGAGTAGTACGTTAACGTCTGCGCGTAGCGGGGAGACGAGTCCAGAGCGTCTGCAGTGCTTTCGTCGGAAGAGAAGATGTTCCTCGTTTGCGTCACACCGGTTGGAGGAGACGACGACAGGACCGTCGACGAAGCTTTGGCCTTGCCCTTCGACCTGGACCGAATCGGACTGGAGGGTCTCTCGACCGGGATCACCCTTGCTCCCGACGCAGTTGATGCAGAGGCGAAGACTTGGGGAGGGGCCGTGGCCGCCTTGGCCAGCGGTTGGGGACCGTCCCTCGACTTGCTCTTCGGGTTCTTGCGTTCTTGCTGCCGGTCGCGCGCGGGCCCCATCCTTCGCTCGTCAACGCTCGCCGACGCCTTCAAGCGGCGGCGTTCCCTGTCCGCCCTCCCCATCGCCACCCCAGCCTCGATGTCTGCAAGTCGCTTCGCAAGCCCATCCTCGGTGCTCTCACCGCCCGACCTCGTCCGGCTGACAGGTCCAGCGGCCGCAGACGCACTCAGTTTTGTTTTCATCTCGTTCTTCCCGGCCGGTCCAAGTCCACTGGGCGCCGCGTCTGCGACCGCGGGCAGCGGTATCGGATTGCGACGCGGGACCGGGTTCTGTGGGTCCCACGCGGCCGGGGCGCGCTCGACCGTCTCGAGCCAGCCTCGTTCGTGCGCGACGATCCATCGATCCACGCCGTCTTGCCAGGTCTTGCAGCGCTTGTAGACCGCGTTCGAGATGCCCTGCGTCGCGCGGGCGCACTCCTCCCTGCCCACACCGCACACCGTCAATGGCACGATCGACGACAGCAGCGGGCGGCACGAGCAGCAGCAGACTCGGACGGTGCTGCGGGCCCGGCCCCATGCGAAAGACCGGCGGGATTGGTGACGGACGACGCACCATGAGGCATATACCCCCGGGGGGTCTCCCTTGAACACGACGTAGTACGCGGGGCTCATCTCGAACAACAACAGGCGGCAAGGAGGAGTCGGGGGGTGGGAGAGAGAGAGAGTGAGGCGCGTCCGGGGGACGCGACTCGGCTAGAGCAGATCTGCCGCCCCCGCGACACCCCAGGACCCTGGCCCGAGCACGGCGTCCGCAGAACTGGCCGTGTCTTCGTGTTTCGCGCCGAAAGCTCGGCCGTCCTCTCGGGCGAATGCCAGGTATTTGACCGAAAGCGGGTGTTGGTGCCACAGAAGCCTCGAGGGGTGGCTCGAGCACAGCAGCCACTTTGCTTCCGCGAAGCTCTCCAGGCGAGGCCACGCGCCCAGATCCAAAGCACTCCAGATCGACCACCCACACCCACTCAGACTCCACTCCACCAATCGGACGAGATATCGATGATTAGAAATCGATGACCATAGGGAATATTTGCGATGCAGATGTACCACGAGGTATCCAAGGCAGATGTAGAGTATAGAAAAAGGAATGTGCACGCCCACTGTCCCGAGCCCATGCCATAGCCAACACCCGCCCGAACCCCATATCCTCCCAGTGGCGACGCCAAGGGGCAGGCAACCCCTGTCGCCGTCCTCGTCCCCATCCTCCAAGACCCGGTCCGCAGACGCACCGCAGAAAGTCGAAACGCGCCCCACCACGAGGCGCACGTACCGCAGCCGATGGGCATATCATACGGCCATGTACCCCCCGCGGTTCGCGCTGTGTCTTGGGCGGACGGCGGAGCACAGGTGCGCGACAAGGTCGCGCAGCATGTACGGCACCTCGCGCCAGAAATCGCGGTGTCTGCGCAGAGGTCAGCGCTGTGGCGCAGCGTACGTGGAGAGGGGAGCGATGCGCAGGGGGGCAGGCAGTGCGGGGAGCAGAGTACGCACGGGATGAGGTCCAAGCCTGTCGCGCCGTATGTTGAGTAGTTGTAGTACGCTCCGAGGGCAAAGTACACGGCGAACGCGAGGAAGAACCTGGGTTGTCAGACCGATTGGGTCAGTCTCTTGTCGGCTAAGCTCTGCCGTCGCGTGCCACAAACGGGGATTACGGAGTGGAAGGACGCTCACAGCAGGAAGAAGTACCCGAGCCCCGACCCTACACGCTCAGGACTCGGCTCCGAACCCCCGTCGGATGGTTTGGAGTCGTCGTCTGGTGCGGAGGTGTAGGAGCAGCCGGCGGGCGCGCTCCATTCGATGGACAGGTCCTTGCCGTCGTATGATGTGAACTTCGGCTCGCTCTGTTCGGGGTCACAGAGCAGCTTGACGTGAAAACTTTGTGGTATGAGATCGCCGCCGTGGACAGGGGGATATGGGGCACCGCCAAACGAGAGTTCGACACCCTTCGGTGCTACAAGGGGCAGGTTGAACACAATGCCTTCCCAACTACCAAGATGACGTACACGACAGTATCTTCGAAGTGACGGTGGTGGAGGAAGAGTTGGCGACCTGGATGACAGACAGGACGCTGGAGCTCCCGCCGCTCCGCGACGTCTCGCGCACGAGACACGCCCGCGCGTTCGCTCCGCACTGCGATATGCGACACAACCCCGTCAGGGACCGCACGCGTTACACACCACTGTCCACGAAGCCCAAGGCAACACGCACCTTCTCATCTGCGGGCGTTTTGTCCGCGGGAACCAGGTCTTTGCAGAGGTTGAAAGTGAGCCTGTCGGTGATGGTGGACGGGGGGAGGTCGAGCTTGCGAGATACCGAGTGCTCGCCCGCGACTTTCGTCAGGTCAAACTGGGACTCTCCTATCTTCACGTGGCAGTCGAACGGCTTGTCGTCGTCCGCGGCATGGACGGCGAGCAGGCCAGTGAAGGCGAGGAGTGCGAGGCGCGAGACGGGGTGGCGGTGGAGGGGCGTCATGTGGATTCGGGAAGAATGAAAGGAGATATCAGCGCAGCTGGAGCAGACGTATCGGCAGAGATGACGAAGGCGGGGACGGGGAGGAAGGGAAGAGGGAGCAAGTTGAAGATACTTGAGAGCAGGCTTCACCGTCGGACCAATTGGAGGCAGTGGGCGGCAGCAGCGACTTGACGCGCGCGTCGCGTCCCCCGTTGAAGCGCCCGGCTCTTGTGGCTCAGGCGGGCCGCGTACTCCTCCGCCTGCAGCACCAGCAGGACGCGCAACTCCCCTTCCCCGCACCCACCACCTCTCCACGCCCGCCACCGCGCTCCCGGTCGCGATGGACACGATCCAGCAGCTCGTCCCGCTCATCTACCATGAGCGGCAGCAGCCCGGCGAGATGCTCTGCGCCCAGCACGCCCTCAACTCCCTCCTCCGTGAGTGCCACTGCCACTGCTACGGCCGATCCGGTGCGCGTCGCTGACCGCCCCCCGCCCCCGCAGAAGGCCAGTATGTCAGTCGTACGATCCGCGCGCATCTGTGAGCTCGCCTGACGAGTGTGCACGCCAGTTTTCCGCCCCGGATCTCTCGGAGATCGCCCGGGAGCTCGACGAGCACGAGAGCACGCAGCTCGACGTCGACGAGCGTGCGACCTCGAGCAACAACATGGACGACACTGGTGAGTGGCACGTCCATTTTTGGGGTGTTCAGTCGTTTGCGGGGAGCGGCATGCATGCCGGGGAGGCCTCTTCTGTGCGGGTGGCGGCGAGTGGCGGCCCAGGGACTCAAGCGCTCTTCCAGGGTTTTTCTCCGTGCAAGTGCTCCAGAAAGCCCTCACCGACAGCTTCAACCTCTCGTAAGTTTCCCCTTAACTTTGCATTGCTAGTGCATCACTGAATTCCCTCCAGTCTTGTGCCTTGGGACGCTCGGGAGCTTAGACCTTACCATGATCACCCACAGTACGTCGTGGAGATCCCTACGCAGAGACAGGTCCTCACATGCTCCCCAGCACGCAGATGGCGTTCGTCCTGAACCAGTCACAACACTGGTACACCCTCCGTCGTTTCGGGAACGTCTCCCCGAACCCCGCGCTCGACGCCGACCCCGGTGGCGGACACTGGTTCAACCTCAACTCCTCCAACGCCGCGCCCGAGCGCATCAGCAAGCTCTACCTAGGCATGTTCCTCCAGCAGGCCAAAGAAGAGGGTGAGCGCGTCTCCCCGTCGTCTGCCCCACTTGTATCCGTGACGATTCCCCCCTTCTCCAGGCTACACCATCTTCGCCGTCGTCCAGCCCGACCTGTCCACCAGGCTCGCCCTTCCGCGCGTCGAGGTGGACGACATCTTCGGCGGGCTCCCCGACGACATCCCGCACAGCTCCACATATGAGCCCTCCTCGCGCCAGGCCGCCACGCTCGCAGGCTTCGAGGACGAAGACATGGAGCTCCAAGCCGCGCTCCAAGCATCGCTCACCAACGGCGACTACGACTACGTCCCGCCGCCGCCGCCGTCCGCCGCCATGTCGCGACCCACCGCCGCGCCCTCATCCGCGTCGACGTCCGGCACGCCCTTCGCTCGCCTCCCCTCCCGCACGGCGTCCGCGGTCCCCGTCGAGCGCGGCTACCACGCGCCCGCGCCCGCGGACGAGGACGACGAGGACGAGGAGATGGACGACGACTACGCGCCCCCGCGCCGAGCCCCGCGCCACGAGGAGCCCGTCGACCCCGTCGCGGCGAGCATCGCGCGGCAGCGGCGCGTCGCGGACCAGATGCGCCGCGCGCAGGAGCTCGCGCTGCAGGAGGGCCTCGCGGACGAGATCGCGCGCATCGACGCCGCGACGCGCGCGCGCGCGGGGCGCCGCGCCGCCGGCGAAGAGGCGCATGAGGACGAGGACGAGATGCTCCGGCGCGCGATCGCGGAGAGCGAGGCGATGGCGCGAGCCGGCGCCGAAGACGACGAAGACGACGACGGCGACGACGGTGGGGGAGCCGCGACCCCTGCGGCGCGCGAGCCTGCGCCCGCGCCCCCGCAGGCGCAGTGGCAGCAGCACCGGATGTACGACGACGAGGACGCGGAGCTGCAGGCTGCGCTACGCGCGTCGCTCGAGTCCGCGCCCGAGGGCTTCGTCGTCCCCGAGCCCGGCGCGTTCCCACAGTCGCGCCCGCCGCCAGCGCAGGCACACACGCAGACGGTCCCGCCGCCTGTCCCGGCGCAGAGTCATCTGCAGCCGCCGCCGTTGCAGCGGCAGCCGTCGGATGACTTCGAGACCGAGTCAGAGGACACTGCGGACGAGCCGGAGCCGGAGCAGCTCAGCATGGAAGAGATTCGGAGGCGGAGGCTGGCCCGGTTCGGGGGTTGAGTATCTCAGTGGCGTAGATGTCGGTGTACTCGTAGAAATATCAAGTGTGTACAACAGAGGACAACTGCCTGGACATTGTTCCAACTGCTCTAGCCCGGTTTGAAGTCTTCATGTAGGCATGTAATAACTGCAGTGACATCTCTGTCCAACCCCCGCAGCTCTGTTCAGGAGGTGAAGCCCTTGGACAATATCGGAATGCACCCAAGTGTAGACGATGACGCCTCCTGGTGCTATAGCGGCCGTAGGAGAGACTCACACAAAATCGGGCTCAGTTGAGGCGCAGGAAAAGTAGGGTGCTTTTGGTGCATGTGGTACATGGCGCGTGCAGTAGGGTCATAGCGAAAAATACGGCGACAGCATAAACAGTGATGATACAAAACCTCTACTTCGCCTGCACAGACACAGAACCACATTCGCTCGCATAAGCGACCCGTGAAATGCGTACAGACAACAGCAAGACGCACCAAGATGATACCATCGAACCGCTGCTTGAACCACGCCATCGAGTCCTCTTTCCGGATCTTGTGCTGGAAGCCCACCCGCGCCTTCTTCTGCTTCCTCCGTGCGACGCGCGCCCCCGGGCGGCCCATGACGATGTAGAAGTCCATGCCGAAGATACCGATCGTGGGGTCGTAGCGGGCGCCCAGGTCGATGTGCTCCTGGATGCCGAAGCCAAAGTTGCCGGTCTCGGAGAAGTTGCCGCGCTTGAGCTCGTACTCCTTCACCTTGAGGCCGCGCTCGAGGATCTCCTCGGCCTTGGGCCGCGGATGGTGACGTGGACGGCGATCTTCTCGTTGCGGCGGATGGAGAACTGCCGGACGGTGTAGCGCGCCTTGGAGGTAACCGGTGTCTGGCCGGTGAGCTGCTCGAGGACCTTGGACGCCCGCGTCAGACGATCGCCGGATTCGCCGACGGAGATGTCTGGGGAGGGTGCAAGGGGAGGGGGACGTTGAGGACGACGGGCGGGGCGCAGAGAGGGGGTGATGGACGCACTAATAACGAGCTTGTCGATGCGAAGCTCCTTCATGGGGTTCGTGGGGGTCGTCTTTTCGGCCTGTGGCACAACGGCAGAAGGTCAGCACGCAGGCGTTACGACCCCAAGGGCAGCATACGCACCATCTTGAAAGCAGCGGAGTCTTGTCGCTGTCGGCTGGGTCGGTGTCGTCGATGGTGCCTTCGTCCACGCTGTGTGCGGCTGGGCGTGGGCAGGTGGCTTGGGAACTGCTGTACAGTACCCACCGGCAATTGCCGGCGGCCTTGATGCAAGCCCGCGGGCGCTTGAGGAAGTTCGCCCTTCTGCTCCCCAGCTCCGCGGCGAGTCCGTCGGCGCGAACTTACAATAGCTCGCCATTGGCTCCGTTGTTGGTGCGGTGTTATGATTCAGGGTAGCGCAGTCGGTGTACTTCCATAACCGGACTACGGAAGAAATGAGGGGCGGCGGAACTCAGCGGTGCAGTGGAAGACGGTTCGGTCTCGGTATAAGATGTTGGTCGAGAAGAGCGATAATCATTGGATCAGGGTATATAATAATTCGAACCGGTACCCCAGTAGATGTACATAGTACTACCGGCAAACTGAAAGACGCGCGCGGGGCCTGCCTCGGTGCAGTCGGCCACTGGAGCGTATAGCATGAGGGCAAAGCAGAAATCGTGGCGCAGGGGCACGGACATAGAGCTGCAGCGCGTGCGCGCTGAGAAAGGTCGTGCCTTGGAAAGTGAACTGCACACCAACGACGGCGTCGAATACAACAGCTGGCCCGGGTTCACCGGCACCTGTCCACACCGCGGCGCTGTGCTATCCCTGCCCCGAGCAGCCACTGTAGACAGATATGCACGTCGGGATCATTGACGTATTGAAACTGAAGAGCGACAATGTCATTGTCAATGATCCAAGGTAGGGTAGTACGATCGATCCGCTGATCTGTCGCGGAAAGAGGGCGGGGCAGGGGTTGACGTCCGTACCAGTTCCGTGACCAGCGGCAGGGCCCGATGACCCTACAGCGCTCCGGAAATCGGACTGCATCAGCAAAATGGGTGCATGCACGACAGGGCTCTGTAGTACACTGTAGTATGTCAGATAGCGCTATCATTATTTGTAGTTCAGACGAGCAATGATCCGATAGTATCCATGTTTGGTAGATTAACGGCGGCGACGATCAGCATTCATCTGCATCTGTCGGACAAGACACCGTCCGATCGGGCATGGTCAGACGCCAGTGAACGTCAGATCGAATCCCGGTGTGTGTATGATCATTAGCTGGCCTGTATATGATCTAACATTATCTGCGCAGCCGCTATACTACAGTGCATTCTTGACCCGACAAAGACCTATCGAGTGCGATCAGACACAGGTGCTGACGTCCATTATAGACCATATAACGGGTCACCGGATGCCTGGTGCGGTACAATCCACCGAAATCATGCACACACTCATAGCAGGTGTGCAGCACAAACCATTGTATTGCTACTTTATATCGAGTAAGGTACATACTACACATTGAAGAGAGCGACAGGAAAACGTCGGATGTTATGCTGACAATGCGTAGTCGCCATGTCAGCGGGATTGAGACCGACTCTCTGTGTGCTCATACAGCGGCCGGCGGCGGCGTGTCCCTGACATTCTGCCCGAGGACCGGCCGGCGGAGGTTAAGGTCAAGCGCATGAAGCTGGTACGCCGCATGGGTGTGCATCGGGACGCGGGTTCTGTTCTTAGGCACTAAGAGGAGTGTGGCGAAGAAGCTGAAGAAGCTGAACACTTGGCATCAGCGTCGGGGTTTGGGATTCGGCGCGGGAGAGGGAAGACGTACTTCCAGTCTCAGTCAAATCAGCCTCAGGCGCCGAGTAGCGCGGGGACAGTGAGCGCGACATTGAAGTTGATGGTTCAAGCGGGACGCAGTGAGCGCGGGGCGGGCGGAAGAGGAGTGGGATGGTACGTACACTGAGGACCAGCGAAGTCGCTTGCGACATGCCGACGTCGCGCTGCGCTGAGCTGTGTGTGGGCAACGTGCGCGCTCAGCGGGGGCCTCGAACCTGGGGTTATTCCAGTGGACGGCGCAGACGGAGGGGCCGAAGCTGGTTAAGGGACACGGCAACCGAGGGAGCGAGGGAGCGAGGGAGGTGGACGCGTAGGGCGTGGAGGGGTGTATCGGTTGAGCGCGGGGAGATGGACGCGTTGAGTGTGGGGGAGGCGCTCACCTGAGAAGTCGTATTCCACTCCTCATGAACCGGTTTAACACCACTGGCGGTGCCGCACTTGCTGTCTGTCGAAGATTGGCGAAGCAGGGGGAAACATAACGGGGGAAACGAGGTTCGTACTGCTGCAGTGCGGGCCCCAGTGATATAAATGTTCTTGTTAAGCGGAGTTCATGTCGACCAGGATACTGTTGCCAGATGAGCTGCGCTTGAACCGGGTGGCAACGAGGATGTACATCTAGATCACCTTACCCACTGATAGCGACACCGGCCCCCATGAGCCTCTGAGAGCCTCGTCAGCAATAATATCAACTGGCCGACAAATCCAATATCATTGCAGATATGGTGAGGGAGACGATTCCATGAGACATGGAGATCCGAGAATCTGATCAGGGCACGAGTACCGTGGGACAGGAGGTCCGAGGGTGTCGCGGAGAAGAAAGGGAGCGAAGTGGGCGAACACGGAGGGGATGAGAGGAAAGCAAGCAGAGAGAAGGATAAGCACGATGGGAACTTCGGGGATGGTGGGGCGCGAGGCTTGACGGAGAGCGCGTGACACCGGCGCGTTGTGTCGGGGTCCCTCGTGAGTCGGAGATATGGCGTGTTGTGTAGCGGCACCTTGCAGGGCGATTTTCGGGGAGGCGCGACGTAGGTGCGAAGGGCGAGGGTGCAACGAGAGCCGGCGCGCGGGCGTCTGCGATGGTGGCGGGGTCGGGAGTCGAGTCCTGCGGACGCGCGCGTGGATAGAATTGGGAGACTAGTAGTACCAGCGCCCGTACCGAGGATGTTTTGACTACACTCTAGCTCCTTCTTAGCGTGAAGAAACAAGGAATGAGTCTCATCTACCATAGTACAACTGGCTCCCCAGTGCTCTCTCAAAAAATGTCTTACCAGATTATCACCGGTCGAGCAGAGCCCTACACTACGTAAGTCGATCGTGTCCGATCATTGGACCTCCGGACCGACGATGTCTGGCGTCTGCCGAGCTGACATCATCCGCTTTCGCCGGGCGCCACAGCGCTCGATCGGGCACCCCTCGTTTTGCTGATGTGCAGGCCAACGAACGCTCGCCCTCTCTTCTCAGCGAATGTGCTTACAAAGGCGCGCTGGGAGGGTTACTCACCGGGGAGGAATACAGCCGGCCTTCAGCTGAGACGGGTCGGGAATCATCTGCAGACCGATACCGATACGGTCTCAGCACAAACAAGCAAGCAACAAAAGCAAGAAACGCTGGTGAGGATCATTCACCCGGGATTATCGGGTGTTCGCGTTTGCAGGGGTGATAATGAGGTTGCGTATTGAAAGCTGAGCTGCTGACCAGAGGCATCCGCTGTCCGGGTGCGCTGCTGAGGGCTACTCACAAGGCGGGTATACCGCATAGCTTGGTTCGATTTCATCCTCGAGAGCAGAACGTAGACCGAGGACGCTCGCCCTCCCTCTTCAGCGCATTGGACAAGTGCGCTGGTGAGACGTTGCCCACATGGGGAGGTGCCTTGCGTGCGAAATCGACGACCTGACCATCGACACCGGCGGTATGTCATCAGCACAAACGGGCAGACTACAAAGAACAGCTGGTGAGGATCACTCACGCGAAGATAACTCACTTCCGCTTTTGCGTCTACGGGGTCGGGTTGGTCGTTCGAAGCGTGGTATACCTACCGGGTAACGACGCCGGCGGTCTTCTATCAGCATCGACATGCTAGAAAAACCACAAAGAGAACAAGCTGGTGAGGGTTACTCACCACAGGGAAAATACTACGCGAAAGCGAGGTATCGTCTTCAGAGGCGAGCTGCAGGTAAACGGCGACCTCCGTCTCTCAGCATCGACATGCCAGAACAACCGCAAAGAAAACGAGCTGGTGAGGGCCACTCACTTGAAGGTGTGTGTGTGGTTCTCATTTGCGAGAACGAGGATCTGCGGAACCACACCAGCCGCAGCCCGCACTCAGCACATGGAAGCGAAATCACAAAAGAAGAAAGCTGGTGAGGGTTACTCACCAAAGAGTCACGACTCGCGTGCTTTATCGTCTGCAATGATAACCGCGCAGGCGAGCGTCACTGGGCCGGGATTGGGAGCACTCGAGAAGAGATAGGATAGAGGAGAGGAGAGGAGAGGAGAGGAGGAGATCACACGTTCTCAGGATCTGGGGGCGCCAAGGGAGACGGTAGAGACACGTCGGTATCAGAGACAAGAACAAAGGCGTCAGCCGCACCTACTGACAGCCGGTGGAAGAGACTGGCGATGGCGTGCAGCGTACTCCGCGAGAGTGGTGGTGTATGCCACGGAACGAGGGGGAAGCAAAACTCCATGCATACCAGCAGTGCCGTTCGGAGCCTCGGCCGGGGCGACCGTAGAGTGCTCTGTAAATCGGACTGCAGGCCAACGAACGCTCCCCGTCCATTCTCAGCGTATGTGATTACAGAGGCGCGCTGGGAGGTCACTCACCGGGGAGGAATGCTGGGAGTGCAGGTCGGAAGGAAATCGGGGCGCACTAACACCGTGGGCGGCGTCCATTCTCAGCGTATGTGCTTACAGAGGCGCGCTAGGAGAGTTACTCGCCATGGAGGAGCACTGCCTGCCTTGAGCTGAGGATGCGGGTCGGAAGATCGTCTGCAGACCGATGCCGGTACGGGTCTGCCACTCCCAGCACAAACAGGAAAGAGACGAGAAAAGCTGTTAAGGATCACTCACCCGGAGCTATCGCATCTTCGTGTCTGCAAGGGTGACAATGGGGTCACGGGCATACAATAGGCATCCGCCGTCTTGCTGTCCGAGTGTGTTGGCAAGCGCGGGCATACCGCGCGACTTGGATCGATAGCGTTCTCGTTCTCGAAAGTAGAATGCAGGCTGAGGACGCTCGTCCTCCCTCTTCAGCGCATTGGTCAAGTGCGCTGGTGAGACGTTACTCACATTGCGAGGTGCCTTGCGTGCGAAATCGATGACCTGACTATCGAAGGTGGCCCGCTTTCGCTTTCGCATCTGCGGGGTCGGGCTGGTGGTTCGAAGCGTGGTATACCTGCCGGGGAACGACGCCGGCGGTCTTCTATCAGCATCGACATACTAGAAAAACCACAAAGAGAACAAGCTGGTGAGGGTTACTCACCACAAGGAAAATACCACGCGAAAAAGAGGTCTTGCCGCGGCCGGGGTGATCCTAGTAGAGTGCTCTGCAGTCCAACGAACGCTCGCCGTCCATTCTCAGCGGATATGCTTACAGAGGCGCGCTGGGAGGTCACTCACCGGGGACGAATGCTGGGAGTGCAGGTCGGAAGGAAATCGGGGCGCACTAACACCTTGGGCGGCGTCCGTTCTCAGCGTATGTGCTTACAGAGGCGCGCTGGGAGAGTGACTCGCCATGGAGGAGCATATCCTGCCTTGAGTTGAGGATGCGGGTCGGAAGATCATCTGCAGAACGATGCTGATGCGGGTCTGCTCTCAGCACAAACTGGCAAGCGACAGGAAACAAGACAAGCTGGTGAGGATCACTCACGCGACGAAGATAACTCGTTTCCGCTTTTGCGTCTGCGGGGTCGGGCTGGTGGAGCGGCCGGGTAACGACGCCAGCGGTCACCTTCTATCAGCATCGACATACTAGAAAAACCACAAAGAAAACAAGCTGGTGAGGGTTACTCACCACATGGAAAATACCACGCGAAAACGAGGTCTCGTCTTCAGAGGCGAGCTGCGGGCGAACGGCGACCTACGTCTGTCATCAGCACATGCTAGCAAAACCACAAAAAAGAAGCTGGTGAGGATCACTCACCAAACGAAGATAACTCGCTTCCACTTTTGCGTCTGCGGGGTTGGGCTGACAGTGGTCCGAAGCGTGAAATGCCTGCCGGGGAACGACCCCGCAAGTATTTCCTCAGCATCAAGCTAGCTAAGCAAAAACTGGTGAGTGTTACTCACAACAGGTAAAATATCGACGAAACCGAGATCTCGTGTTCAGTGGTGCGCTGCAGGTGAACGGCGACATCCATCTGCTATCAGCACAAGCTAGCAAAACCACAAAAGAAGAGTCAAGCTGGTGAGGGTCACTCACTCGATGGTGTACGTGCGCTTCTGGTTTGCGAAAAAGAGGATCTGCAGACCAACGCGAGCCGCGGTCCGCCCTCAGCACATGCTAGCAAAATCACAAAAGAAGAAAGCTGGTGAGGGTTACTCACCAGATAGTCGCGAGATGCTTGATCGCCTGCGAGAACGACCACGTAGGCGAATGCCGCTGGAGCAAGAGAGAGGAGAGAGGAGAGCCTGGAGAGGGAAGAGGGGAGAGCGAGCTCTGAGGGTCTAGTGGCGACGACGGGCGAGCCTTTATACCCGAGTGAGACGCCAGAGACGCTTTGCTCTCAGCAACAAGAATAGAGGCGTCAGCCGCAGGTGCTGACAGCCGGTGAAAGAGGCTTGCGACAGCGTGCAGCATGCTCCGAGAGAGGTGCGAGGTCTGCCCTCCGCTGAGGGTTGCATCATCAGACGGCCGTTGCGCAGAGGAACATGACGAACCCCCACACTCTACGCGTCCTACGGTTCGTCGAGCTCTGGGGCGATGATCACTCTCATTTCAATGACGCCCGAGCAGGAAGACCTGGGGGATGTCAGCATCGGATGTCCAGGATAGGGAACCAAGTGTGACACTTCCGATACCGAACCAGGCTGGGCTGCGTCTGAACACACATGCTGTCTCCGTACCTTCAAGCAGGGCACCGTGTTGAGTTCCATTTTTCACACATGAAGCTCAAAGCATCGCCCAGAGAAATGTTTTGTGTGTGAAAGTCCACTGAGGAAACGTTGCTGGCACACCGCATGCAGGCGTGTCATCAAGACATGAACGTGAACCAGAGTTTGCATGAAATATCGTCGCATTTCGAAGCACTGTGTATCTATAGCCAAGATGAGGGCTTCGAGGTTTCAATGGAATTCTACGCACCATTTCAGTAGCAAGATCACTGCACTTGCAGATCGTGGGTTGAGCAAAATGACCGAGACTCGTCGCGCGCTTCGGGCGGAGTCGTCAATATGTTCGGGTATATCCGGCCATCTAGCGCTCGGTTCTGATGCTCGCAAGTCTCCTCTTTTCTTGCTAGATTACCACCTCACGCGTCCTGTATGTTTGACATCCCCGCGGTAGGTCTTTTAACGTTTCAATATTCAGTCTCTTCCGTGTGGGTGGAGCTTCACAAGCTTCAAGTGCGTATGGGACATAGAATTCTTTTGAAAAGAGGTGGACTCCATTCACAGTTCGGGATCGTGACGCGTCTAGTACTGTGTCGCTACCCAGTGCCCACAGGTGGACTTGGCGCGGAAGGTGGACTTGGCGCGGAAGGTGGACTTCTTGCGAGCGCGGTGCTGGTCACTGTGGGCATGGTCTTCCACGTCGTTATTTAAACGGAAGTTAGCCGTTCTGTAGCCCTGTGATGTGTCTATGGATCTGTACCAGTACCGTTGTTGCACCAACACCTGCTTGAAACTCCAGTATGTATGTTGCTGAATATTTGGGCGGGAAGGAGTTTATGACGTCACAGCCTTGTCGATTGGCGCTTGAGGCACGATGAATGTCACGTGAGAATACTCATAGCCTGGCGTCTGCGCATGTGTCGTCCACCTCGTTCCCCTCACCGTACACGTTCCCGTCACCAGCAGCTTGCATATTTCCCATCGTTGTTGTGCTCCCTGTGCAAGATGCTTGCACATCACCCTCTCTTCTGCCTTCTGATGCGCCGCATGGGTGGGTTGCCACTGGCGACGTGCAGTCGTGTTCAACCGTGGAGATGGTTAGGGATTGGTGCGTGCCGATAGCCCGGTCGACGAATCTCTACCGCAAGACGCGTACTGAGATATTTCTTCTCTTGGATGCAGTTTTTCTGCATGCACATGACTCTCGTTATCGGCGGAGTATCTAAGCGCAACGGCGACAAGATCTCACGGCACGACACTGCTCCACAGAATCTCGCTCTCGTCCACCCTCCAACTTCCACAAATCCTCTGAAGACTTTTCACGAAGCTGACGACAACTGCAGTGGTGCGTGTGCTTGGTTGCCACCAATCTGTCCACTCCCCATCACTTGCTCGCCTTCATCACCCGACATTCGTCCTATATCACTGCGCTTTCATCGTCGCCAATGAACCTGCCACATGCTGCTCTCCGGGTAGTGGGAAGGCCCCGGTTCGCCCGCGGTATCGTGGAACCCAGTGACCGAGTGTTCGCATGGCCATCATCGGCGCGCTTAGAATCATCTGTTCCGATAGTGCTTGTGCTGCTTCTGGCGGATCAGACGCTGACATGGATGTTCTTGTCGTTCAGGCTCGTCAAGGTTGCGCATATACCCAGCATCCAGAGGGCGGTTCAGCATCCGCTCGTCATTATGCCAGGCACCCGGACCGATACGGCCAGAATCAAATGCAAGCAGCCCAGCTGACATACTCAGCCTGGCATCCTTCGTGCCGTTAGGCGTGCTCGTGACATACAAGCTGCCATAGTGAGCGAAGAGGGCTTAGTCCACGTCGTGGCGAAGGTTCAGGTCCGTGTTCCAGTTTGCCTCACTCATGACATGGGCGCTGCAGACCGCATCTCGAATGCCCTTGACGCTCGTCGAAGCTCATAGGTCCGACATTCGAGCGGCTCGAGGACGACCAATGACGCGGTCTCGTGCCCCGTAGAGCACACGGAAATAGACATACCGTCGACGAACATGACCTGGGACAACGTAGATCGCCTGATTTCCCAGGCAAGTTTCACATGCTACTGCCCGCCCCGGATTCCCTTTGATGTCGATAGTCCCAGAAAGTCACAGGGCGCAAGCGAGATTTGGATCCAACTGGGTGTTGATACGAGTCTTGGAAGGGGTGATCTCTGTTATTGGACGTTATAACAGACCACCGCTGATCCCCCGCAGACAGATTGAGGAGTGCAGACTCGAAACGTCGTGCTGTCCTCGTCTCCTCTCGTGGTCGCTCCGCCCCTCCGTTTGCGAAGACATTGGGCGCTCTCCCGAGACTCCCATGATCGCTGCATGTGGAGAAGAATACGGAGGGGGCGCATCATGTGTCCGAGGAGGAGGCAAAGTTGGTGCGCGATGCCCTTGTCCGCCGCGCTCTCGGCATGTTACGACGATGTGGATGGGGAATGTTCCCTTATGGCGGCCCGCTGTCCGTGTTCGCGTCCTTCTTGCGCGGTGGAAGCTTGGGCGCAAGAGGGCGGGCATCAGGCGGTCCATGCGCTCCTCGCCCCACGTGAGGCTGCGCATGTGGGTGCGCCATGCGCCCGAGCCTGGGGTTTGGACGCGTACTCGGCGCGAGGCCTCGGACGGGTTTGAGGCCAAGCGGTTGTCAGGCGGTTGTTCGGCGCCTCCGGCCGGGGCCCAACCGGGCGCTTCGTTTTCCGCTGTGCGCAGATCAGGCTCGCGATGGCGACGTTCTTCGTTCGGGGGCCGTCGCAGCTGTCTCTCGTCGCGCCAAACTCCGGCGAGCGACGGCGAGTCGATTGTCCCGGATTCGGCGCCGGGGCCACCTCTTCCGTCCACGCGAGCCCGAGGCCGAAACTCGTCCCAGCCAGATCTCGAGCTCCGCGCGACCACCAGCTTCCGCCCTCCCCGCTCGCCAATCCGGGGCAGCTTGCGCGCGTCCTTCATCGTGCGGGTATAAAGCCCCTCCAGCTCTTCCTGAGCCTGCACGCTGTACCTCGCCTCCCCGCTCTTCGCCCCCCCAGCAGCGCAACGGTCCAGCCGGTCCCTACCTCCCCCATTCTCCCCCTCCGGACGCGCCTCCGCCATGCGCTTCTCCGCTTCCCTCGCCCCCTTCCTCGTCCTTGGGCTCGCCGTCCTCGTCGACGCCCTCGGCTCCTCATGCTCCGCCCCCGTTACGAGCGGGACCGCCGCCCCCGGTGATCCCTTCTGGATGTCCCAGATCGCCCACCAAGGCTCCGCGCCCTACGCCCCGGGCGGAAGCAGCTACCAGGTCTTCCGCAATGTCAAGGTCCGTCTTCATTTTCTCTATCCTCGCCCCCCCCACCTGTCTCGCGCTCGGCGACTGTCTCATCTCCGTTCCGCGCCTCCGCCGGTCTCTATACGCGCGAGTTCAATACTATCACCGCGGGGAGCGCACGCACCCACGAGGCTCCCGTGCGACGGTCGCTGACTGCCGTTTTCGCACATATTCCAGGACTTTGGAGCCAAGGGCGACGGCGTCACCGACGACACCAATGCAATCAAGTACGTTCTCCTTCCTCCCCCCCGCGGTTGCGTGATGCTTACAGACTTTGTAGCGCCGCCATCTCGTCCGGCGGTCGTTGCGGTGGTGGGAGCTGCGACCAGTCCTCGTGAGTCGAGACGTTTCTACCACGTCATTTCGCCTTGACTTATTCGATTTTAGCGTGACTCCGGCCACCGTCTACTTCCCCCCAGGGTGAATTCCATCGTTCTTCCAAAGACTCTCGCGATCTGACAGAGCCCTTCAGCACATACCTCGTCTCGTCTCCCGTTGTCTCTTATTACTACACCCAACTTATCGGAGACGCCAAGAACTTGCCCACCATCGCTGCAACCGCTAACTTCGCTGGTATTGCCATCATCGGTAGGTGCTCTTCATCGAGAAGTGCCACTCGTGCCCACTGTGCCTCTACAGACTCCGATCCTGGCTGGTACGTGAACCAAAACAACTTCTACCACACCATCCGCAACTTCAAGCTCGACACCACTCGTATCCCCGCCTCGAGCTCCGGTACCGGTCTCCACTGGCAAGTTTCGCAAGCGACATCTCTTCACAACATCATCTTCCAGATGTCGACTGCAAGTGGCAATGCTCACCAAGGTTCGTGGTCTTCTTTTCGGCGGTAGCGCCGGTTATAACTTCCGGCGTGGCATCGGCTCTGGCTGATTCCCATCCCGTTACGTCTTCCCCTGACAGGTATCTGGATGGAGAATGGGAGGTGAGCACCTGCACAGCTTTGTTCTACCCCGGCCCCGAATGTGGACACGTGCGCTGACCGGATCTCTTCAGCGGCGGCTTCATGGGCGGTAAGTCCGGGTCACGGAGTGTGATCGGCCGAGCGGAGAGGCTAATGCTTCGCTGCAGATCTCGTGTTCAACGGAGGCAAGTTCGGCATGTGGGTCGGCAACCAGCAATTCACAGTCCGCAACATCACTATCAACAACGCTGCCACTGGTGAGTCTCCCCCACATTCCCTTTAGTGGTCCATTATGCTGACTCTGGGCTGATGTTGGTGATAGGTGTAAGCCTTCGCTCTTCGGACGCCGACGTGGACCTCGTCCGCTAACAGTCTCGTACAGGTATACATGAACTGGAACTGGGGATGGACCTTCCAGGGCGTGACCATCAACAACTGCCAGGTCGGCTTTGACTACAACACCGGCGGCACCACCCAGGACCAGCAAGGCGTCGGCGGCGAGTCGATTATCGACGCCGTCGTCACCAACACCCCCATCTTCGTGCGCTCCCTCCAGCCGAGCAACGGCAGCCAGCACGGCGTGCTCGTGCTCAACAACATCCGCCTCAACAACGTCCCCATCGCCGTCGGCGTCAACAACGGCGCTACGCTCGTCGCCGGGGGCACAAAAACCATCGACTCCTGGGTCCAGGGAAACGTGTACAAGGGGACCAGCGCGTCCGGCTCGTTCGTCCAGGCCTCGGTTTCGTCCATCTCGAAGGCGGGCTCGCTCCTCGACTCCGCGGGGCGCATCTTCGGGAAGGGCCACCCGCAGTACGAGGGCTACGCGCCGAGCCAATTTGTGAGCGTGAAGAGCCAGGGCGCGAAGGGCGACGGGAACACGGACGACACCGCGGCGATCCAGGCGGTGTTCGACAAGTTCTCGGGCTGCAAGATCATCTACTTCGACCAGGGCGTGTACGTCGTCACGGGTACCATCACCATCCCCGCGGGCACGCAGGTTGTCGGTGAGGCGTGGGCGACGATCTTGGGCACCGGCAGCGCGTTCACGGACTACAACAACCGTGAGCATCCTGCGTGTGTTGTGAGATGATAGGAAACTCACAAGCACCGTTCACAGCGAAGCCTGTCATTCGCGCGGGCACGGCAGGTTCCACTGGCGTTCTCGAGATCACGGACATGATCTTTTCGACCCGCGGTCCTGCCGCCGGTGCTGTGGTCGTAGAGTGGAACGTCCACGACCCATCCGGCCAGCAGGGTGCCGCCGGTACCTGGGATACGCACATCATCCTCGGTGGCAGTACGTCGTCCCTCGATCTCCCCGCTCTCACTTTTCCCTCACACCCTCAAAACAGGGACCGGCACGAATCTGCAGGCAAGCCAGTGCCCGACGAGCAGTGTGAACTCGAACAGCTGCTTCTCTGCGTTCATGGGGCTTCACATCACATCGTCGGCGAGCGCGTACCTCGAGGGTCTCTGGGTGTGGACCGCGGACCACGACCTCGACTCCGGCCCGCAGATCAACATCTACACCGGCCGCGGGATAATGTCCGAATCTCAGGGCCCGGTCTGGCTGGTCGGCACCGCTAGTGCGTCTCTCCTTCGCTTCTCTTGCATTCGATTCGGTGTTGACGTTCACGGGCATGCAGGCGAACACAACGTCATGTACCAGTATTACCTCGTCGGCGCCGCGAACCACTACATGGGGCTCATCCAGACCGAGACGGTGCGTCCCCGTCACTTTCTCTCGCCGCACCCGTGGGCGGCGCGCTTCCCGCTCTCAGGCGTGCTGACGCCCCGATTCCATGCAGCCGTACTACCAGCCGAACCCAGTGTCGCCCGCGCCCTTCCAGCTGAACTCGGCGTACAAAGACCCGGCAGTGGGCCGAACGCGTCGTGGGGGCTCGTCGTGTCCTCCTCCTCCAACATCCTCGTGTTCGGTGCGTGCTCGCCTTCCCCCGTTCCCCCTCCTCCCACGCTAAAACCCGCTCGCACGGACAGGCGCGGGCCTGTACAGCTTCTTCCAGAACTACAACCAGAACTGCCTAGCCACGTTCAACTGCCAGCAGCAGAACGTGAACATCGACTCGTCGTCCTCCGTCGCGATCTACATGCTCTCCACCGTCTCCGTCGAGTACATGGTCTCCGTGAACGGGCAGGGATCGTGCCGAACGCGGCGAACCGGAACGGGTTCGCGCAGAGCCTCGCGATGTGGACGCACTGAAGCCGCCCAGGAGACTAAAAGCTGGGTGTATGATTGTACGTGTGTACCTTTGTAGCGCTAACGGGGCTGGGGCCCTTTGTACTGTAATTAACGATTATACCCTCGACACGAATTCACGTCGTCTCCGTTACTCTGAGAGAGAGAGAGAAGCGAGTGTCGGTCGAATGCGCCCTATTTCGTCGTCATAGGCCGTAGGCCTGGGATCAACGGGTCTCACAAGCTAACCTGTGACGCTCGCCGTGCTCACTTCGTGTGGTAGGCCTTGCTCCAGGCTCTGCGGGCCCGCTACTACCCGAGGACGGCGAGCCCCCGCGAGAGTAGGCTCGCGCTGTTGTAGCTGGCGTGTTCTCTTTCGCGGACGGAGAGAACGACGAGGAGCGGGGTCTGCTGGAGGGATGTGGTGGATCGCGATAGACGTCTATGATTGCGCGGTATGATACAGGAAGTACATTAGTGCCGCCGGCCCGTGTCGTCTACCGTCACGCCTTCGTCTTCAAGAACTGCTCCGAGAACGGGTACGTGGTGTAGCCTTCCGCGCTCTTCGCGGTGTAAAAGCTGCCGTAGTCCGGCGGGTTGAGGGGCACGTCTTCCTTCAGGCGGAACGGCAGGTCGGGCTGAAAGCGAGAAACGACGTCAGCCTCTCCGTGCCCAGGCCGAAACAAGATCAAGCAGCACTCACGTTCGCGAGGAAGGCGCGCGCGTAGCCGACGATCTGCCCCGTCTTCTCCGCGGTCTCGATCCCCTTCGCGCGGTCGTACCCGCCGGTGGTGATGAGCGGGCGCGGTGCCCAGAGGTCGTACACGAAGTTCGCCTGCGCCGGGTCCTCGGGGCCCTGCATGCCCGCGGCGCCGAGGTCCGCGAGGTGGAGGTACGCGAGCGCGGGGAACCGCTCCTTGAGGCGCTCGACGACGTACGCGAACTGCGGGACGGGGTCCGCCATGCGCATGTCCTGGTAGAGCGACCAGGGCGAGAGGCGGAGCGCGGCGCGCTCCTGGCCGACGGCGGCGACGACGGCGTCCATCGCCTCGAGCACGAAGCGCGCGCGGTTCGCGACCGAGCCGCCGTACGCGTCCGTGCGCGTGTTCGAGACGTCCTGGAGGAACTGGTCGGGGAGGTAGCCGTTCGCGCCGTGGAGCTCGACGCCGTCGAAGCCGGCGCGCTCGACCGCGTCTTTGGCGGCCTGGCCGTACCAGTCGACGTACTCCTTGATTTCTGTAAGCGGGAGGACGCGTGAGTGGCAAGCTAAGGGGGGGGCGGAAGGAGAGCGGAAGGCGCGACGCACCAGGGATGGTCAGCGGGCGGGGCTTCCAGTCGGGGAACTCCTTGAGGCCGATGTCGGAGGCGGAGACGTAGGGGTAGTCGGGGAACTCCTTGTTGAAGAGAGGCGGGCGGGCGGCGCGGCCGAGCGCCCAGAGCTGGAGGTAGATGAACGAGCCCTGCACGTGCACGGCGTCGGTGACCTGGGGAGGGGCGGGTGAGCAGGGCGAGGAGACGAGGGACACGAATACCGACCTTCTTCCAGGCGGCGATCTGGGCATCGGTCCAGACGCCGGGCGCGTTGGGCTGGCCAGATGCCTGACCGGAGATGAAGGTGCCCTCGGTGATGAGGAGGGTGCCGGGGACAGAGGCGCGCTGCTTGTAGAACTCGGTGATCATGTCGGTGGGGACGTGGGCGTCGTCGGCGCGGTAGCGCGTCATGGGGGCCATGACGACACGGTGAGCGAGGTTCATGGTGCCAACCTTGAGGGGCTGGAAGAGGGCGGGGATGGACATGTTGGTGGAAGAGCGGGTGGGTGGTTGGAGAGGACGGAGGAGATAAAGAGGATGGGATCGAGAGGAGGCTTATATACAGTGCTGTCAACGCTCGATCTGGGTGACATGGCGCGTTGCCAGAGGAGGAAATGGCTGTCTGGCGCTGTGTCCGGCAACGCTTGTAAACCCGCTTCGTAACCCGAGTGAACAGGCGGAGGGAGGACAAGCTGGGTGGGCCCTCGCTGTGTCAGACGAAGCGATCCAAGACGCGCACGATTCCCTCCCGGAGCGGTTTCTGCTCACGCCAAGGCATCGGACACACTCCCCATTGGCCCTCATCGCGCGTCTATCTCGGCCCTTGTCATCCCAACCAGCTCAGCTGACACAACTGCATCGGATCGATTTCCCCCCATCACATCAGCATTACTTGCGGTTCGATTTGCTTCTGGAGTCGAACCTGACAGAAGATTCCTCTGCACTCGTCTGTTCCACCACGAACGAATCCCGGCTCTCCCACATAGGAAATTTGAGCAACCCCTCGGGATCATTTACTTCGACGCTCGCAGCCACGTGCAGGAAGTTGTGTCTTTGGAGCCAATGGACGTATCCCCCGAACGTGTTCTGCGTACACATGGTGTGTTCCAATTTGCTTTCCTCTGCGAGGCGACACGACCCGCGTCACACAAGACTGATCTGCCGACTCAGAACCACCATTTTGCGGTGAGAACCCGGGCAGCGTGGTGTATTTGTTATGAAGCAGTCGCTGCCTTCAGCTCGCTCAGAGCGATGACACAACGCCCGTCAAGAGATCATTCCGTGCGGTCGGACGCACTATCCGCCCCGGCGCTGCGCTGCGCACTGTCCATTGAGATCAGATGCAACTGTGCTTCTGACAGCCTCAGACCTCCATGCGGCGCATCCGACTGGCAGCCTATATCTCAAAGGTGAGTCTGCCGACACCGATGTCTTGTCGGCCGAGTAGTTTATGTGCTGCCTGTACAGCATTATGTGCGTGCTTACGGTGAATGCAGTGCATTTCCGGACGTCTTGCCAGTCAAGATCTCGAACGCGCTATTTTCCCCACCAACGCTGAGGAGGGCACTAGTGCGCAAGTGAGTACGCCACACGTCAAACGCACCTGAAATTTCCAACCCTTGACGTGTTCTTATGGCTGCGCGTTTCCTGAAGTGGATGTGTGGACTCACGGAGTATGTTTCCGATTCTCCCTATCTGGTGTTGGGTTATGAATGAACGCTTCCGCTCCGATTCATATGCTGTGCATACGGTGACCGTGGGTGCTCAGCGCTCAGCCTTCAAATGAAAAGTTATGGTTTGTTCTAGCGTTGCATACCGTTCAACAGTAGGCCCTCACCCGATCGCTTTTCAAGCCACTCGGTTCTCTGTGACGCACTGGGATAGCACCGACGCGATTCTGGTTCTGAACCAGGTGCGTCGTTCAGGCGATTCCGGTCCCTGCAGCCGACTTATGCAACAGATCTGGTTTCTTATATCTGTATTTCTCCCAGTGTTTCTCGACGCGATCTTCGTATTCGAAGTCGGGGTCACTGCAGTTCCCGGTGAGCGGACAACTTGGCGCCCATGCCTGCGGGCGGTTGCGCCACCCCGCCTACCTCCAACCGACTCCCGACTCCCGACTCCCGACTCCCGAGCCCCTTTTGGATGGAGTTCCGAGTCAAGCACCCTGCTCAAATTAATTATTGACCACTCTCAGGCAAACGCCCAGCAACTCAGAGCTCACTTAACTTCGTGGCTGCGGCCTTGGGACAAAGTGGCGGCGACCGCATCACGGACTACGTTCACTACTGCGCATGCACAGGCCCGAACGTGCTACCCGAAGTGGTTGTGGCTGACCCGCGACCGCGAACAAAGCGAAATGCGGGTGGCACAATCGCGGCCCGGGGTGCATAAGTAACGCCCACGCGGGCGCTCCGCTCCCACCTCATCCTTCCTCCTCCTCCACCACCTTCCCCCGCTCTGCTCCCTACTCCCATGCCCCCGTGCTTCAAGAACCACTGTTTTCGCAGTTCATTTGTTTCTATTACCCTCAAGCGCAATCACAAGCGCAAGACCTTCAAGTCTCAAGCTCTCAAGATCGTCTTCGATACTGGGTGGTTGGGGTGGTTGGACTCGGTCTGTGCGTCTCGCTGGCTTCTCTGCTTCCGTGACTTGCTCTGCGCTACTGCTATTGGTATTTGGGACTCGTTCTTGCCTGCGTCTGTCTGGCTGGTCTCTCGTCTAGGCGGCACTAGCAGCCCAGGAAGCTCTGCGGGTGGTCAAGGCTCAACGTTCGACTTCGAGGTCCTAGACGATAATCAAGACGCAGCACTGGTGTTCTGCATCTCTGGGGTATCACTGGTGTGTGCTGCGCTTCTCTCTGTGCTTTCTTCTGGCTCGCCACTACGGCGGCACGCAACACGGGTGGTCAAACATCAACATCGTAACTCACGTGCTCTCTTGGTTCAAGACCGCCACCGGTCTTTCGTCTTCGTCTGTGTCTATGCGGCTTGTTCTCGCCCTTGACGTCTTCTCTTTGGCGGCTTGGACCTCTTGTGCTGTTCGCCGCCACATCTATCACGTGAAGACTCTCGCAGGCGGCTGACCACTCGCCACCGGCAAGGCGACATCCTTCCTCGCTCGCGACCTCTTCCCTCAAGACATGGGCCATCTCCGACGGTACTGTCTTACGGGATCACTCTGTTTGGACTCTTCTGGTGGCGCTCTGGGGCGACTGCTGTTGTTCAAGATACTTCCGGGCGTTGACGCTCTGGTCTCCGCTTCAAGAATCGTCTCTCGCTTTCTCGGCCTGCGGGATTAATCTGCGTCTCACTCGGTCGTTTCAAGAACGACTCTGTGCTTCTGGTAACGCTCTGTCACCATCCGACTATCTTCGTCCTCTTCTCGGCCCTTCGCGTCTCTCTCGCCCAGTGTCAAGCCACCATCGAACGCACACCGCCCTCCAAGCACCCTCTCCGTCGCCCTGTCGCCCGCTTCGTGCTCGCCTCGGCATCGTTTTTCTTCTCGAACCCTGGGTTCCCAGCCGCTCAGTGTGATGTGTTCGTCAAGTCCTCGACGTCTCGGGTCTCCGCCTCCGGTTCGCTCGCCCCGATTCCTCGTGCTTCGACGTTCTGGACGCCCGCGGGGCATGCAAGTTCTCGGCTCTTCGCCCCTCGGTTCTGCACCAAGCTCGCCTCGTCGACCCCGGCTCGGCTCGGCATGTTCGGGCTCTGGCCCCTCCGCGCGCAAGACACCGCAAGACACGACATAGGTAAGTCCCGAGGGAGGGCGGGCCTCGGCCCGTCCTGGCGCAGACCTCTTCGTGGTCCTCGGGACGAGTACCTCCGTCGACACCGACATCGGCGTCGGCGGAGGGAAACCAGCATGCGCCGAATTTCTCCTCTCACCGACACCGACCGCTGACCGCACAGAGGTTGAACGTTTGAACGTGCGAACGGGGCCACGCTGCGTGACTCCTCCAGAACCGGAGACCGTAGTAGTTGCGTTCCGTGTCATGTACCGTACACTCTCCAACGAAAGTCCATGTGTGATATCTGCCATCTCCACCCCGGCCGTCCACTAGTACGCAGCCTCGTCCGCGACGACGTGCTCGTCCACGCGCGCCTCGAGCCCCACCGCGAGCCCACCTCGGCCAGCACGCTCCGCACCCCCCGCGCGACCACCGCGTCCATCTCGCGCTCGCCCTTGACGAGCAGCATCCCCGCGAACCCGAGCGCGTTCACGGGGAGCGCGTCGCCACCAGGCGCGAGCGCGAGCGCGGCGCACTCGCGCGCGCGCGGCACGCAGTGCACGTGCTCGAGCGTGAGCAGCACGTTGTACGACGGCGGGCCGCGCGGGTGCGCGGGCGCGTGGCGCACGGTCTGGATCGCGAGGTCGAGCACGGCCATGGACGCCGCGGCGAGCGCGGGCTCGAGCGCTTCCGGCGCGGCGCGCGGGAGGGAGGCGGGCAGGCGGCGGACGTGGTTCGCGTATGGGAGCGGGAGGCTGAAGGGCTGGTCTGTGCGCGCGGGCGGGGGTGAGCGGAGATAGAGGGCGGAGCGTGGAGGACAGGTACGGACCTTCGCGGTCGGTTTTGGCTTCGCGCGCGAGCTTCTCGACGGGCGGGCCGTCGGGGTCGTCGAGGGGGAGGATCTGGACGTGCTTGTGGGGCTGGCTCGCGCCGCTCAGGTCGCCGCCTGTGCCACGGTCCCAGCATCTGGTCAGCGCCGCGCGAATGGGGGGAGAAGGAGACGCACAGTTGTAGAACGCGAAGAAGGTGCGGCCCGCCTTCTTGGCGGCGACGAGGAAGAGGTAGACTTGGACGAGGTCCGCGGGGAACAGCGGCGCGGTCTGCGACTGGAACTCTGGCCCCGCGCGCGCTCGGTCAGCCCCGCACCGTCCTCACGCGCACATACACCTACGCGCGCATACACACGGCGCACCTTTGGTCACGATGAGGAAGTGGTGGGGTACGACGGAGTACTTGTTGAACTGCCCGCGCCCGCGTCAGCCCGTGGTCTCGAAGCCTCGGAGACCAAAGGAGGGAGAAGACTGACCAAGACGACGTACTCGCGGCCCTCGAACTCGTCCTTGACCTCGCCCAGGAAGAGGCCCGGGGTGTACGGGGGCGCGAACGGGTCTTGCGGCGCCTTGGCCGGGCTCGCGTCCTCGACCGCGTCGAACTCGGGTGCGGGTGCGGCCGGCTTTTTCTGCAGCGCGGGGCACAGCCGGATCTCGAACTGCACGCACGGACGTCAGCGGGGCGTATAGAGCGTGAGGGCGGGCGGGTGAACGCAGGGACGACGGGGCGGGGCGGCGAAGAGGGAGGGGATCCAGACGGCGCGGAGGACTCACGTCGATCCCGTCCTCGGCGTGGGTGTGCACGGTGGAGGGGAAGAAGTGGAGGTCGCCCGCCGCCCGCGCGGCCTCGAAGCTCGCGGGGAGCTTGGCGATGATCTCGTCGTGCACGCCCATCGATCGTCCGCGTCCGTCGTCGGTGTTCGCGTTCGCGCGGTGAGTGTCTGTATGCGCCGCGGGGGAGCGGGGGATCCGAGTGCGCGAGGGAGGGGAGCGGTGTGGAGAGAGGAAGAGCGAAAGCCACAGCGGGCGTATGCGAAGCCTCCCCGACGGCCACTCCGGCCTGGGAGACCGGACGGCCGATGCCCACGGCCCAGCCGGACAATCGCCTCGCCTCGCTCGTGCCGCCGTCGACGCAGAGCCCAGACCCGGAGCGAGTCGAGTTGGGCGGATTGTGTGCGGGCGGCGGCGTGCCCAATGGACGGGATGGGAGTGGACAGAACAAAATAGCTGAGCGTTCAACGTCACAAAGTTATACTGAACTCGTCCGTCCATCCGCGGGGATGCGACATCCTCAATGGAAAATCGTTGCCAACAGGAAGCCACAGACCGCAGGCCACAGACAACGGGCGGCCGGGAAATTCCAGACATGGCATAGCACACTCCACCGCAGGTCTCCAACGATCAAAGGGCGTGAAGCCGACCGCAGAGGGCCGCGGTCGTGTATTTCAGGCAGCAAAGCGGCGTGCGGGGCCCAAGAGATGGTACGGGCGGAAGTACTTGCGGCGCGTTGGATTCCAAAATACAACAGAAAAAACGACGATAGCGACTGCGGCGTAGAGGGGCAGAGGGCTCGCGGAAGTGTCCGTTCGAGAGCACTGTGACTGGGCGCGGTACTCGTATCACACTCTTCTGGGGGCGTGGGCTCGCGCGCATGCACGCGGCCGGCGGACGGGGGGAGGAGGGGTGTAACGACTGGGCATGGATGGTGCAAAAGAAGGGGGGAATAAAGAATGACAAACAGGAGATCGGGCTGAAGGACCGCGGAGGGAGGGAGGAACGCGGGGGCTAGGCTGGACCCAGTCCGCCTGCCCGGATAGTCTGCATTTCTCCCGTACCACAAACCAGGAGCTGTGTGAAGCTCAGGCCTTTCCACCACGCCCCTTGTTGCCCTTTGCTTCAGGCATGACCTCTCCACTCAACTGCGCGCGAGTGTAGCAGAGCGCGCCGATGAAGGAGTATAACGCCCCGTTGATTCCCTAGCACCGCGCGAGCTCAGCGGACGCGTTCGATCAAAAGTGAAAGTGGGACGCACCTGATAAAACAACATCCCGAGGAAGGTCTGCAACAACAACAAAACGATCCGAATGGGGAAGCTCCGATGGATGGAAGAGTCCTTCAAGAATGGCAGCGGTCGTTCAAGAGAAAGGATGACGAACGCCAGCACGAAGGAGAGGAGCTGGACGACGGGAGCCTTGACGATGATCGAGATAAAGATGCTGTCGCTCGCGGCGGGCCTAGGGCGGGCCGTGCTCAGTTCTCGAGTCCGCCGAGGCCGGAGGAAAGCACAAGAGCAAGAGACTCACTGAATACCACCCGGGGCACGAACGATACCGTGAAGGAAGTCCCAGAAGAACTTGCGGTAGTAGATGCCCCAAAACGCGGCCCACATCGCATCTGGTTTGGGCGTCGGGTGGATTAGCGGGCGCTTGCGGAAGGGAGAGCAGAAAGGACTCACAGCAGTTGGCGGCGATGGAGACGAAGCGAGCGTATTCGTGCCAAACGAGGTTTCCCATTTCGTCGAGGGGAAGGAGTGTGTCGGAAGGAAGGTTGCTGGAGGAGCAGAAACTTGGACCGGAGTTGGTCTGGTCAGGGAAACGGGCGAGGCGAGCGCTGCTCTGTTCTGGGAAGGGAGGAGAACGAGATGCAAGGACGGGGGCAGAAACAGGCGGAGGCCGGGTCCAGCGAGCGCAGCTCGACCAAGGAGAAAGAGACGGAGTGAGAGAAGGGGAGAAGGCGGGAAGAAAGCGGGAAAGGAATGCACACAGTGTTGGCCCACAAGCCGCGCTCGGCGCCCCTGCTATGATATACGCCGTGACCGGTCACGGCTCACGCCACCCGCCGTCACCCGTCTCCATGGCTTCCCCGGCCGTCCGGTACCCCGCCCGCCTGCCGCCCCGCCACTCTCGCCCCCGCCGCCCTCGCCCGGGCCCCGTCGTCTCGCTCGCCGACAAGCCCGCACCGCCTGTCACGCACGCGCCCGGCGTGACATCGTGCCGCAACGCCGTCAGAAGGCTGTGGCCCGCCCGGCGAGGCAGAACCAGCCTCAGGGCGACGGACGCGCCTCCCCTGTGGAGAACCCAGCGAGGCGGACGCGGCCCACGTACGCTGATGCCGGTTCCCGCAGGATGGGTCTGCGAGCGCGCGTGCGCGAGAGAGGCGGCGGCGCGCAACTGTCAACGTTCGGACGTCCAACAATAGCACCGCCAGCCAGCGCGCCCGCATTGAAACGCATTGCTCCGGGGGGCGGGGACCCACAACGAGACGAGGGCTTCTCTTCGGGCTGCGTGCGCGCATGGTGAATGCGAGGCTCTTCATTCGAAGCTTGATATAGGACGAGGACTGCGAGCCAGGCGAGGATGGAGACGATGGAGCGAGGTCGCGACGTATTCCGAATGCCAGAGCGCGAACGGCTGCGATGGACGCTTTCCGTCGGATGTGCGTTGGCGCGACGACTGTCCGCTCCCCCAGCGCGATCCTACGCCGTGTGCACTCTCACGACCTGGAACTTAATGGGGACCTGTGCGCCCAAACTACGAACGACATGGAATGTAGATGAGATGAGCGGCGTACCTTGAAGCTGATACCAGACGCCCGCATCATGATCCCGGGCCGTGGCCGTAGATCTTTTCTCTCCGGCCAGCAGATCCGCGCGAGAAACTAGAACGCGTTCGAGAACATCCGCTACAAATTCCGGCGTGGCCACACAAGTACTTCGAGCTTGTTACATACAACAGCTGTAGTGTCGTTAGAGGGCGTGACCGGCTTGGCCGAAAGGCGGCGAGCAGGCATCACCCGCCGAGGCCGCTCATCGACAGATGCGTTCGGCATTCATCTGCATCAGCCTACTCCTCCGTCGTGCCACCAAGTACTTATTACGCCGCTCATCTCGGCCTTGTCTCCCACCACTGGCCGTCGGTCGAGGACGTCCTCTCCACCGTCTAGAACTGCACTTGCTCGAGACTCGACGAGTCATCCCGCGTTGACCCACTGAGGACCGTGGTGAGTTCCCTGCACTGCGCAAGCCGACGGCTGGAGATCATGGAACACCATCGTGAACGGCAATCGATTGGAACGCAAGCTCTTGTACGTTTTCGTGTGGAGATCTGGGTTCCGACGGCGCGAATCTTCCAGCTGTCGCGACTGGTGGAGCGAAGCTGATAGAAAGCGACCGCGAGGCGTCGTGGTGGCAGAGCGGATGGGCACTCTCGAGCGGACTTGAGTGGGACGTGCCATGAGCGCAACCAGTCGCACGAACCTGCCGGTCTGGTCCGAAGTACTTAAGTACATATGCGCAGAGGCGACCTCCGGAGATAATGCGCTCGATCGCAGACGAGAGCTCGACGCAGAACGCACCTGAGCAAACGTCGTCATACCTCAGTGTACCGTGTGCTCAGTGTACCGGATATCTACTCAGTACTTGTTCCTTGGCGTGCAGTCGCGTGGCTCTGGAAACGCCCGAGGACGTTCGAAAGAACGTTGACGTCCAGGGGAGGTACGCGCGCCTCGCCTTGCAGGGCATCGCCGTTGCCGGGACGACGGCGACGTTCCGCTACCACGATCCAGAACCCGCGATGTTGGGGCAGACGAACCTGGGAAGCGGACGCGTGCGATCGAGCGTGAGTGGGGTTGCCAGGCGCGGGGCTTTTCAGCGCGTTGCGAGAGCCGGGGGCCGAACTTCGAAAAGCACGACGTACCTGTGTCCCGCACTACGGGTGGAACACAAAGCACGCCGGCGACACAACGGGCGTAAGGGGACGCCAGCACGTACCTCCTTGAACGAGATCTTGGTTGGGGCGGGCAGTGGAAGCAAGTGTTGGCGAGCAAAAGCAAGGACGGAGTATTTGTACACTTGACGAACGACAGAGTGAGGGATACCAAACTGACAGAATTATGATGTACCGTGCATTGCGTCCGTGGTTTTCTCCATTCTGCTCACCTCTCTGAGCCTTCTCGTTGCGCTAGGCCTCACCTCAGGCGCAAGTCCGGAGGCCGAGGCGAACGGCTCGGGGTCTGCACACCAATCAGCTCATGCACATCGCAGTCCAGAGAGCGAGAAACACGCACCCCGTAGCCCGCGTTGTTGCTGTACACCGACCCCTGCAGGCTGTGTACGCTCTCGCGCGGCACGACCGCAGGCGGCGTCAGCACGCCCCGCTCGCTGAACGCCTCATACTGCGACGGGGCCCGCACACTGCCCTGCTCCGAGAACGCGTACCCACCGGGGAACGGGCTAGGCGCCGTCCCGCGCGCGATCGACAGCTGCATCTCGTCCTCCTCCGGCAGGCCCGACACGTTCCGGAACCCGCCCGCGGCGATCGGCGGCAAACTCGGGAACGCGGACGCGGCCCCAGCTCCGGCGGAGGGCCCGTTGCGAGGTACTTCTCGCGCATCTCGCGCGCGGACGCCGACGCGGGTTTCGTGTTGCGCCGCGCGGAGCGCGTCGAGTTCGAGCGCGTGCCAAGCCGGAGAAGAAGTACGACGCCCGCTCCGGTCCGGCTCTGCATCGGGAAGACGGGCGAGGGGAGGCGGCCATGTTGTGGCGCGCCGCCGGCGACGGCGGAGCAGGAAGAAGATGAGGCCGAGGACGATGAAGATGAGGAGGACGAGGCCGCCGGCATGCCGCCGAGCGCGGCTTTGGACAGCCCGCTGGACTTTGACGACCTTGCGGGGTGAGAAGAGGGAAGAAGACGAGGCGAGAGAGGCTTACTGGCCACCGGAATTGCCGCTGGTGATTGAGCCCGGGTCTGCGGAGCTGGTGGTGGTCGCGGAGGGAGTGCCGGAAAGGGTTCCGGAGCTCTGACCGTTGGGTTGTGCGGGCGGTTGGTGCGGGCGGGTTGGCTTGCGCTTGAGCCGGAGTCGTTCCCGTTGCCGTTGTCGCCGTTGTCAACCTTTGCATTGCTAGAGTAGATGTAAATTGCGCATCATCGCAGAAATGAGAGGACACCGACGTACGGGTTGGTGGACAAGCGAGTACTGGAGGTAGCAGCAGCAGATAATGTGGACTGAGCAATGGCGGAGGTGGACGCCGATGAGAGCGTTGACGTAGCACCCGCCCCAATGGCAGAGGTAGATTCGGGAGAGATGGTGTTGCTGCAGCGGGTTGGGACAATAGCCACAGAAAGAGAAACAACGGGACGTACATGCCCAGGACCTGGAACTGTTGCTTATCTTGCCCAGTAAGCTCAAGCATGACCGTGTCAATGTCCATCGTCCCGTCCGCCATCATGGTCACGAGGTGCTGGGTGTCCTCGAGTCCGTTTTGGCCGCCGAGGAACTGGTTGAACTCGTCGGACGAGAGGGTGGCGTTGTCGTACGTGATGACCTCATTGTCGAGGAGGAGGATGTAGTTGCCGTAGTCGACCTTCTTCGCGCCGTATATCCAGAAGCCGGTGCCAGAGAACGAAAACTCGGCGACGGCACCCTGGACGTTGGTTCTGCTGCATGTCGAGTTTACGTATCCCTGTGCGTCTGCGCCTGAGTGGTGGTTCCAGGCGTTGGGAGGCGCGTAGGAGATGAAGGGCGAGGTGTCGTCGACTGTGGTCGGGCGTCAGCATGGGGCTTCGAAGTTGTGGCGCTCCGCGGAGGACGATGCGCTCACTTGTCACGTTGAAAGCAGCCATCAAGGCCGACCTGAATAGCCAACCGAATTGGACCAGCGGTTAGAAAAGAGGGGGGGAAGGGGCCCGGCCCCTGGAAGAACGAAGGAGACGAAGGAGGGGGAAGGTAAGCACTCGGGCGAAGACCAAGGAGGACGCGCATATGATGCAGCTCCGCGTCAGACCCAGCAAGCGTGCAGTGATGGCAACATGCTCGTGCCGCCCGCACTGCCGCCTCGGTCCTGAGAGTCCGGCAACCGTCGTCATCCAATCATCTATGGATGGCTTCCAAGTTCTCGTAGCGAAACCTTGCGAAGCTTCACAGCGTTCATTGCCCGTGCCTAGCCGGTGCTTGCCAGTTTTGGTTGAGCGCTTGATCCCGTGTAGGGTCGTTTCGAACATCAATCGAACATTGCCAAGACGAAGACTGGTGCAGTGAAACACAAGCGAAACGACACACGGGCAAGTCAAAGGGCCGTGAGCAGAGGCGTGAATACCTGCAATACACGGGCGCTGGACGTAAACATTGATATCTAGTGTCTATGGCACGCGACGTGAACCTTTGATTGAGAAACATGACCTAGGGTCGGACATCCTCACGAGCGCATCGACTCTCCAAGGTTCTGTCTGCGGAGATTGTCTGCCGTTTCCTTATACTCAATCCATATTTACCGCGAACCAATGCGCCTACAGACGTGAAAATGGCGCTTGTGGTACGGAGTACGGCATCTTCAAAGCTTTGCAGTTGAAAGTGACTTCAAAATGAGACCCATCAGACCGATGCGCCTTTCCATATATGGCCGTCCGGTCGGGTAGATAGACGCGCGACGCGTTTTGCCCTCATCCTCTCCTTCTCCCCCACACACGCCACTATGCCGCCAAAGCCACCGAATAAGCCGAAACCACCCCTCTCCAAATCGCGCGAGCTCGTCCCCATCGGGCCCCGAGAAGTATTCAAGAGCCGCCAGGGCCGCCAACGGGACGCCAATGGCAACAAGCCACTCACCGCGCGCGCCCTCGTCCTCCGCAACGGCAAACATGGTGCGATGGGCACGGGCGAGATGATGATTGCGAGCCGGATGAGCGGGAGAGAAAAGCTGGATCTCCTCGCAGGTGCGTGTTGACCGCCATCATCGAGCCCCCCGAAACAATCCCTTCCCATAGAGGATCTCATGCGCAAGGCCATCGCCGCCCCGTTCAAGCTCGAAGTCTGTCTGCGCATCGCAGATGGACAGCTTGGCTGTAAGACCTCCTCATTCGCGCGATAAGCTCTTCTTCAACGCGTCGCGCGCCCCTCTAGCCTACCTGGACGAGATCAACGCCTTGCAAGATGTCGACTTCCTCCACGACCGCTTCAAGTCCATCGTCGCCTCGCACATGAACCCACTCCGCGTCGCAGACCTCAAGGGCCCCAACCGCGCGCGCGATCACGCCGTGTCCACGATTTCGGGCTAGTGGGTGTCTCCAACTCAGTTCCCGACTGATGCGCTCAACCGCCCGCACCTCCAGCATCCACAACACGTACATGATGGCCGCCGGCTGGCGCCTCGTCGGGGACCTCATACGAGATCTCATCGACGGTGGCCTCGACGATGCCGTAATCAAGGCGCAGCTCAAAGCGGAGCCTGCGCTGCGCTCCCAGTTCCTGGTGCTCTACGACACCGTATACACTCTCGTGGAGGCAGGGCAGGCCAATTTCGCCATCTTGGCGTCCTCGTCGAGTGAGTACACGCCCAACCGCTTCAGCACCATCTCTTTATGCCCCGCGACGCGACAGGACACTACGGCCCATACTTCAAGAAGATAGTTGATCCCGAGACGAAAGAGCCCGAGTATATGTTCGATTGGGGTCAGTTGAAAACGGTACACAAGTCGTTCTTGGACTCGATCGTGGTCGAGTTGTGCCTCCCCAATTCCCCGATCCCGCGTCCGGTCTTGTACCAGCTCCTCTCGGAAACCGTGGAGGAGTCTCCAAAGGAAACGAAGCAGTTCTCTCAGGCTGTCTGGGATGCCGTTGGTGACCTCTCGGTAAGAGTTCAGTGTGTGAGATGGGTGCAGGTGCTCATATTTTGCGCATATACCCAGGCTATGGTGGAGCTTCAGTCGATGTTGGAGAACGTGCTGTGGGGGTCGGAAGGGGACGAGTGGAGGAAGGAACGCCGCGAGCCCCCCGAAGCGTATGAGCAATGGGTCGACGCGCAGATCTACTCCCAAGCGGCGGCCAACCAGTGGGCGAATTTCGCGGACATCATCTATCCGATGGACAACACGTTGCACAAGCCGACAGTGGAAATGATGTGGAAGAAGATTCGGGAGGTGCGTCGGACGAGAATGAGGCCACTATATGCGCTCACATGAAGCACGTAGAACTACGTCAATACCACCAGGAAGTCCCCGGATGACCTTTGGGGCATCGCAGACATACGCAAGGTCAAAGCATCCTGGCACGGATTTGGCAGGCCCAAGAACGAGTCGCGCGCGCTCGCGCTGTCCGACAACCTCTCTGGGCTGGCGATCACGAACGGCGACGAGAGCGACGGGTCGATGCCACCGCTGCAGACTCCATCTGATTCGGACGACGGTGATGACGACGACGACGAGGTCGATGACGACGACGGTGATGATTCGTCCGAGCCGGCTCCGACGAGTCTTATGATACGGACGAAGAGGACGAACTGCGCGATCTGCTCCGGGAGGCGATGGACACCACCGTGGCCTCGTCAGACTTCTACAATCCGCACGGCCCCGCTCCAGAATTCGATTCGCTTGCGCAGGACCGGAAGGACAATCCGTTCTTGAAGCTGCTCGGGGCGCTGCGCGGGCGTGTGTTTTCTGCGAACACGTCTATAAACACCGCGAACCGGACCCAGCCGCGCACGCCGTTCCCGAACACGCATCGAAGCCCGCCAAGACGAAGCCCGCCGGGAAGCCGTCTGGAGGTGAGTCGTTCATAGTTCTCCGAGACCTACGCTTGCCGAGAAGCTGCAGGCCCGCAGCGCCCGCTCCAAACCACTCTGGAAGAAGTCGAGGACGAGGACGTGCCGAGCGCGGCGGGCAAGAAGAAGAAGAAGAAGAAGCCGAAGAAGAAAAAGGCCTCGACCGCGGCCGCCGAAAGCGAAGTCATCGAGCCGGCCGACCCGTCGCCTCCTCCCGCGCGCGCGCCTGAGCCCGTTGTCGTACCGACGACGCCCAAGAAGAAAGCGGCGGAGAAGCCCAAGCCCAACCGGCCCCGTCGTCGCCCGCTGCCGCTGCACCTGCCCGCCCGGCAGTCATTCAACAGTAGCACGGCACGCTCCCGCTCGCGTCGGAGCAGACCGCGAAGTCGGCGCGGACGTACATCAAGGAGGAGGGACTCGCGGGGGGCAAGCAGAAGGTCAAGACCCGGGGGCAGGCAGACCTGGATGCGATCCCGGAGAAGAAACGCAAGGGTTTCTTCTCGGTGTTCTCGCGGAAGAGCAAGGACCGGCAGGACGACGACAGCGAGAGCGAAGACGAGGAGAAGGAGAAGGCAAAGCCCAGCAACTGGGGCTTCGAGAACCTCAGCAGGCGGACCACGGGCTTGATGCACCAGCTCTTGCGCACCGGGTACGACAAGACGCAGGGACTGTCGGATATGCGATGGGAACGGTTCGTCAAAGTACGGATCCGATGTGTTTGAATATCTGGATGGGGCCGATGTGACTCGTGTTTATCAGCTCATGGAAGATATGGGTTTCACGTACGAGCCTGGTTTGGCGGGCTCGCGTGTGGGCTTCAAGCCGCCCACCCCGGGGGATCCAGTGAGAACTCCTGCTCCTCTCCCGATATGACGTACTCACGATTCAATTGCGTCCCTGTAGACCATCGTCTTCCACAAACGTACGCTGCCCTCTTTGCCCGTCCTCTTCTGGCACGCTCACGACCTCTACAGCTCACCCTGATCCCACGATCCACCCTGTGGCGCTCAAACGGTACGCAAAGAAACTGAAGGACACGTACGGGTGGAACGAAGAGCAGTTCTTGCAGGCTACCAGCTCAACGTCAACTAGTTCTTGAAGCACCCGGTCGCGTGTACGCTCCCGCAGAACCCACCCCAGAAACGCGTACTCCCGTCCCATCACTGCGCTGTACCGTCTGTACTCTAGCGGCTTCTGGCCAATGACAGTCGTGACTCGGCGACGGCGGGTGCGTGTGTGCGCGCACCGGCTTCTCATCCGAAAGCCGGCGCGAAGGCGGTCGAAGCGGATGCGCGCCGAAGGGCCGACGGCCGCGAGGTCTAGACTGAGAAGACGAAGAGTTCGAGGGCGGACGCGCGCGGGGGCGTGTCGTGCCACCCACGCTGCGCGGTGCGCTTCTGTCTCAGACCGGACGTGCATGTCTTGTCTTGCCCGAGCGCCGAGCGCGCGGCGTGTGGCCCGGCTGCGCGCACGCACGTATGCATCATATCAGCCCGCGCGGCTTCTGTGTTGTTCTCGCGCGTCGCTCGCGTGTCGGAGGTTTGTTGGTGGCCACAGAAGCGTGGCGCGAACAAAGATTGGCTCGCGCGCGAGGCGGCAGCTGCAGGGTGGCACTGACAGTTGGTTGTTGGTTCGTCGTGAGGCCTTGAGGTGTGACGGGTGGAATCCACGTGGCGCTGTTGCCTTGTGCCAGATGCAAGCTCAGGTTGGGAGTCGTGGGCCGGTACAAGTTAACGTTAGGTTGAACGTCGAGAGTCTAGAAGTTGTGGGTTAGGGTGGAAAGAGTGGGGTCCGATCGGGCTGCTGGTACACACGACTGGACGCTGTATGGCTAGCGGCGAAGTATATATGTATCATTTGCGCACGCGGCACAACAAAGCGTTCATCTCCCGGCGGTGATACGTCTGTGATATGATACATACATGACTTGTAGGCCTGTGGCATTCCAAATGTTCAGGGAATGACACGATCGGGTCTGCGTAGGCTTATGAAAGGGACCAAGGGGAACGGAGTTCTGGCGCCCCGGCGAAGGCTCCCTCCGGCTAGTGTTCTGTCTGGCGTCGGCGTTGGACATCTAGACGTCCGTCGGGGGCTAAAAGGTGATGTCGCTCGATGATGGATGGGAACCGAGGGGCGTAAAGAGGCGTAAAGTAAGGGCAACCCATGCCCAGGCAGGCGAGTGGCGACGGCCGCTTCGCTCGCCACTCGGCACACGCGCCGGGCTGCGGCGGATATCTGGAGGAGGGTGGACGGAGCTGATGGGCGTCGCGCGATAAGTGTCTGGATAATGCAACGCACGGTGGCGAGCACAGTGCAGTCGTCCACTGCGGTGTCTTTGTGCATGTGCCTTGTGTGAGTGGTTCCGGGCGGGATCTTCGCGGCCGGGGCCTGGCTGGTGACTTAGGCTCTGCGGAACCAGGGGATATGTATGGGAGAAGGGGCCAGAGCCATATGATGAGGTTCTTGCGCCCGGTGAGCTGCATCTTCCGCAGGTTCCTGGTGCGGCAGCAGCGGGGGTAGGGCTCGCGGAATCTGATCCGCTGAAGCTCCCGTGAGGCCCGGCGGAGTGACGTCAAAGTGGGCAGCTGCGAGCGTGGGATGGAGACCGACGCCGGTGCGCGGCGATCTGCCTGATCTGGACGACGACCCGGGGGCGGGCGACGACGCGAAAAAGCCGGAGGGGGGACGTGAGGCGCGTGAAGAGCGCGATTCGATTCGCCGGAGGGTCCTGCGGCACGGGCGGAGCGCCGGAGGGGAGGGCGGCGCCATAAAGGCAGCGCTCAATTTTGCTCGCCGTCAAGGTGCGCTCGTTCTGCCCATCTGCTGCCCGCCCCCGGCATTACTCCCGCCCCTCCTCGCTCAATCTATGAGATTCTCGCTCGGCTGGTGCGTATTTCTCCCCCGCCCCTCGCCCTCCGCCCTCACCCGCCCCCCGTCCAGCACTCCACATCAGACGACCAACATTCACTTCGTGCTCCTTGGACTCCCTCTGCTCGACACAGACCGCCCCCCTTAGGACCCGCGAGCGTAACCCGCGCACCTCCACAACGCCTTCCCCCTCCTCTATGGGCTGATTCCGTCCCCCGTCAACTCGGTTTCAGGTCGCCTGCTCCGTCGTACTCACGCTGCACACCCCCTAGCCCCCATACCCAATAGACAAATAGACGCAGCTTCACGGCTTCAATCCCCCTACCATACATATCACCCCATCCACTACGACCCGGGCATCGCGAACCGAATCCGACATCGCACCCCTCCCATCAGCAATGTACGGCCTCAAGACGACCACGTCTCTCTTCCGGCCCTCCAGCCGTCCCACTTCCCCCGTTCCTGCTCCCCGCACGGACACCCCTGGCGCTGAGCGTGCGGCCCGCCCCCTCTCCAAGCTCTCCCTCTCCACCTTCCGCCGTGCCTCTCCGTCCCCCGTCGTCCTTCCCGGCCCGACTCCTCCCACAACAGTCGTCCAGGATGGCTCATTCATGGAGGTCCTCAGCCTGAAGCTCAGCGAAGCGGTTTCCAAGGCTCTCGCTCAACCTACCGGCCCTCCCGTCCCTGGAGAAATTTTGCTCGCCGGCAGGCGTGCCATCCCATCCGGTCGCGGCCGCGCGCTCGGGGCTCTGATCGTGTCGTGAGTCTTCTTCTTGCGCCGTCCCTGCGCCCTGCTCACACCCAAACAGCGAGGTCAAGGCCGCGCAGGAGAACCATCATTTGTACCGCGCGGTCATCCGCACCCTCCACCGCCCCCTCTCCGTCCTGCAGACCAACCTCTCGAACACAATCATCCCTCTTCTCTCCGCCCCCGCGTTCCAGAGCCCCGCTGCACCTACGCCCGCGGAGCCGCAGCTGACGCCCACCCAACTCCACGCGGTTGCCCTCGCTACCTTCGCTGGAGAGTTGTTGGAACAATTTGACGAGATTGGGCTCGGCACGGAGTTGGACAACAGGCAGGAGAACCTGAAGCCGGTCCGTGATAACTTGGTTTCCATCGTCCAACGTGTCGTGGATCCCCTCGTCAACGGCATGAAGGTCGAGCTCGTTCCTCTGATCGACGCCTTGGAGACCGTCCCAAACGCCAACGCCACCTCTACCAAGTCACCCGGAGTCATCCGGTCTCCCGTACCCCACTCCTCCATCATGACTCTCCAGGCTCTCATCCCCATCTACGCTCGCGCGTTGTCCCGCATTGTGACGACGGTGTATGCGGAGAACACCCTCGCCACCTTGCTCATCTCGCTCGTGTGGCGCGGCATGGTGGCACTGACACACCGGCCTTCGCTTCCGCCATCACCGCCCGCCTCCCCCTCAATGACGTCGAACACGCTCAAGCCCAAGGACTCGCGCAAGGCGCTCACGAGCCCCCCAACGACGCCCCCGCCGACGCGCTTCACGCTCAAGCTCCCGCCGTCGCGCCCTCCCTCGCCGCCGTCGACCGCCTCCCGCGGTCCCACCGTCGCCAGCGACGCCCGTTCGCTGCTCGACCTGCTCAACCAGCTCCCCAAGCCATCGACCAAGGAGCAGACGCGCCTGGCGCGCGAAGCGGTGGACGAAGCCTTCGACGGGCTCGCCGCGCTCCTTGCCCTGCTCGAGGCCATCCAGGTGCACACCGCCCCAGCGCCGGCGCTCCCCAGCGTGGGTGCTTTGTCCAGCAGCCCGAAGGCGGCGCCACTCCCCGAGCTCGTCGCCGATCTGACGCGCTCACGGCCGAGGTCCCGATCGTGCTGGCGCTCCCGCTCCTCCTCCGCGTCTTCGTCCCCGGCGAGCGCAGCGTCCCGGCGTGCTGGGCATGGGCGCGGGCGAGTACCGGAAGAGCTGCCTGAGCGGGTTCGGGCGGGCGGAGGAGTGCGGGATCGCGGTCGGCGAGCGCGTCCTGCGCGTGCTCCGGGGCGAGGCCGTCGGCGGGGAGATGCTCGGGTGGCTCGAGCGCGAGCTGGAGGTGGCGCGGGCGGAGCGCGATGCGCATTGACTATATGGCCCACGCTGGCGCGAGGGTGCGTTTGTGAGGAGTAGTATATTGTCTGTCGTGTGGCTAATTGCCGCCGAGAGTGCGGTGAAGAATTATACTTGTTCTGTCGCCCGAACCGTCGCTGCGTGCGGAGCGACTCTGGTGCCCGAGTGTCTTGATGATTGTCCTGAACGAGTTCATGGGCATTCGTCATTGGGATTAGTATGAAGGCATTGCCCCCGTTGATCTGTGCATGTCTGAGTAGTCAACATGTCACGAATCGAGTCACGCTCGGAGCTTCGGACGCCCCCAATGCCAAGGTCTGGACGATGTCGGCGCAAGCGTCACACGATATGTGCTGCGTTCGTACGAGATACACACGAGGGCCGCCTTGAAATTTTCTTGAGCTCACATGGCGAGACACCCCACCCCGGTGAGTCATGATAGTCGTCTTGGAGGTCTGTCTCGCCCTCTGATTTGACGCTGTCCGAGTGCAGAAGGTTGCTACGCCCGGCCAACCAGCCGACTCACTTGCTCGCGTGCAGCCTGCAGGGGACGGAGCGGTGCGCGGACGTACCAATTTGCGCGAGCGTGCTCGATGACCGGCGGTGGGGGTCGCTGAGAGAGTATGATCCCGCCTTTGTACATTGCCCCCCGCTGAAATCGTCGTTACACCCGACATGATCGCTTAAGTGCGGCGGCCAGACTCCATACCCTCCGGTCTCATTCGATGGGCTCAACCGCAGGGGTCGTCGCCGGATGACGTGAACGCAGGCCAACCTCGGGTCCCGGAGAAAGGCGGCAGGGCCCCGGCGGTCCACGCGGTCGAGTCGTACTCACGTCGCGGCGCCCTCGAGCGGTGCGCGAGCGGGTTGCTGCGCGCTTGTGCTGCCCTAGTACGTCAAGGTGCGTCAAGGTGCGTCTGTGGTGGAACGACGGTCACCGAAGCCCCGGCGCAAGACATGTTGTCCCGGACGGTGAGTGATTATCCTAGTAAGCGGTAGTTACTTACCGTGCATGGCATCGGACGCATGTGGTGCTGATTCTGTCTGTCCTCCTTATAGCCCACCCTTGAGCGCATACAGTCTGGCATGGAACTTGGACATAAGTTCCCACCTTTGTTGTTGGACCCCCTTGCCTGAAATTACAGTACTGCTACTCGGTCGGCCTCGCAATGGCCAAGATGATATCGAAAGTAAGTGCGATGCGTGTGTGTGAAGTGTCTTGCACTGATTTCATCCTTCCATCCTACTTCCCACCGGTACATTTCCGCCTTCCTGGACCGACGGCCGCCAGTGAGCAGTGCCACAGGCGAGGACTGTGTCCCAAAATCGCTAGTGCTGGTAAGTAAGATCAGGCGATGATCTCAGCAGCTTCATTGACGTGCCTTTTTTTTCTAACATACGAGTCCCCTACTGCACTCCCTCCAGCCGCAGCCGCCCAAGCAGGTTCCAGGTGGCCGTGGCGGCTGGCACAGGCGAGTCTGTCCGGCTCTGTTCGAAGAGGCGTATGCTGATATAAACCCCTGCCCCGTCGCAGATGATTTCCGTCAGCCCCCACACCCCACACCCCGCCCGCTTTACTCTGCACCGACAGTCACACCGCGATGTCGTCCGAGCCCGCCCTCTTCCAGCCCATGCAGATAGGCAAGATCGGCAAGGTCAGCCACCGCGTCGTGATGGCCCCGCTCACGCGCTACCGCAACACGGCCGAGCACGTCCCGATGGACATCGTGCTCGAGTACTACACCCAGCGCGCGAGCGTCCCCGGCACGCTCCTCATCACCGAGGCGATCATGATCTCCCCGCAGGCGAGCGGGCTCCCGCACGGGCCCGGGCTGTGGAACGAGGAGCAGATCGCGGGCTGGAAGAAGGCAAGCTTTACCCGTCCCCCCACGCTCTCGTCTTCCTACCCGCACTAACGCGGACGCAGATCGTCGACGCCGTGCACGCCAAAGGCTGCTTCCTCGTCTGCCAGCTCTGGGCGCTCGGGCGCGCGGCGCGCCCCGCGCTCTTCCACAAGGAGTTCCCCGACTACCCCTACGTCTCCGCGTCCGACATCCCGCTCGAGGCGCGCCCCAACGACGTCCCCAAGCCGCTCACCAAGGAGGGTGCGTGCCCCGCCCCGCTTGCTCGCTCGAGTCGATGCTGACGCCCGCGCACGACAGAGATCAAGGAGTACCTCGGCTGGTTCCACCAGGCGGCCAAGACCGCGGTCGACGTCTGCGGCTTCGACGGCGTCGAGGTCCACGGCGCCTCGGGCTACCTCCCCGACCAGTTCCTCCAAACGCGGTCGAACGCGCGGACGGACGAGTACGGGGGCGCGGCCGCGAACCGCGCGCGCTTCGCGCTCGAGGTCGTCGACGCGCTCGTCGCCGCCGTCGGGGCCGCGCGCGTCGCGTACCGGTTCAGCCCGTGGAGCACGTACCAGGACATGCGCATGGCGGACGACGGGGACGTCGTCGCGACGTTCGCGCACGTCGTCGACGCGCTCAAGGCGCGCCACCCCGGCCTCGCGTACCTCCACTACGTCACCGGCACGTCGTTCCTCAACGCGCCCCCGAAGGACCCGGAGGTGCGTCTTGTTCAGTACCGCGTTTGTGCGGTCGACTTATTGGCGGGCGGCGGGTGGTGCCGTAGGACCTGGACGTGATCTGGAGGCACTGGGCGCCGCGCCCGACGATCGCCACCGGCGGGCACACGCGCGAGTCCGGGCTCGCGGTCGCGGAGACGGGCCAGCTCGTAGGCTACGGCTCGCTGTTCATCGCGAACGTGAGTGTCGCTCCCACCATAAGCTAGCAGGCGTCGAGGCTGACGCAGACGGCGGATCTCTCCACAGCCGGACCTGCCGTTCCGGCTGAAGCACGACGTGCCGCTCAACGCGCCGGACCCGTCGACGTTCTACGCGTGCATGGAGCCCAAGGGGTACATCGACTACCCGTTCTCGGACGCGTTCCTGAACGCGCAGAAGGTATAGGGCAGGGGGGCGGGTCTCGGCGGTGTGGTGCGTGAACGGGTTGGACGAATAGATGCGCATTGTTCTCGACTCCGGAGGACTTCGAGTGCTTTGCGCCAGCATCATCCGTTCGAAGTGGGGGGGGGGGGTGCAAGAAGCTCCTGTTTCAACGCCAACGTATCAAGGTAGCACGACGGTTTGATGATAGAAGACAGAAATGAGAGCCACAGCAGAATATTAGAGGGAAATGACCTCGTGCACACTGTATGGTAACGGATTGTCGTCTGTTATCCTTTGGATCACATGTGCATGCAAGGTTTTTCCTGATGTGCCACTGCGCAGCAAGTGCTGCAAGCAGATATCTATAGAGAATCTTATCACTGAGACTTCCGAGTCACTTGAGTATGGTATCATGCACGGTGCTCGTGGCAGTGCTCGCTCAAAGTGCCGTGTTGCCTGGGGGTGTGTTGAGAAAGGAGGAATCCGCGTGCCACGGGTCGAGCTCAATGTGGTGGACGTCCGAAGAAAGTGGAGCACGGGCGGTGTCGGTGCTCGTTCGGGCCGGCTGGGAAAGTAACCAAACACCGCCCACGCCGCTATGCCCGGGCGCCGGTGGGACGCGTGCTCTCCTCCTCTATCCAGATATCCATCCACAGGTCGAGGTCGAGAAGTGCCCTGGCTTCCAGCAGGTATCCAGAAGCTGTTACCATGGCGGACAGAGTTGAACGATGCCTTCCGCGCATGCCCGGCCTCCACGGGGGCGGGATCGGTGCCCGCCGACGCGTAGATATCCGGATGGCACGGGTGGTTCCCCAAATCTCTCGATCGAGAAACGTAGGTATATGAACCGTAGAGGGGATCACGAATGTTCGTCGCATCCCTCCGTCGTCCAACGTTCAACGTTCAACATCTCTCTTGGTACGCATTGCTGGCCAATAATCTGTGCTTTCTGTACTGACCATTCGTCACAGCCCGCATGCGCCTGCTTCACACACAAACCGGTCAATTGTGTTCTTTCGATGGTCCATCTATTCCTCCATACGCCATCCTTTCCCACGTGTGGTCTAGGCCGGATGATCCCGGCCACGTGTCTGAGCAATCCTATCAAGACGTCGTCGAAGTCTCAGCTCTCTCACACCCGGAACACTCCATCCTCCCTTCCCTCAGCCCCAAGATCCAGGCCTCGTGCGCCATAACCAATCGCCATGGATACCAGTACCTATGGGTCGACACCTGCTGTATCAACAAATCCAGCAGCGCTCAAGTCTCCGAGTCTATCAACTCCATGTTCGCGTGGTACGCTCGGTCCCACCTCTGCTATGCCTATCTCGCAGACGTGGAGGACGGCGATCGCCCCGAGCACCCTCAATCTCAGTTTCGCCGCAGTCGATGGTTCAAGCGCGCGTGGACATTGCAAGAGCTCATCGCTCCCTCCAACGTCGTCTTCCTCTCTAAGGACTGGAACGTCATTGGATCAAAGTCGAGCCTCGCACACACGATCAAGGAGGTCACCAACATCGACATCGATGTCCTCACTGGGCGCCGGACGCTCCGAGAGGTCTGCGTTGCGCAGCGGATGTCGTGGGCGTCGCGTCGGGAGGCGAGCAGGGTCGAGGACGAAGCTTACAGTCTGCTCGGGATCTTCGGTGTCCATCTCCGTCTCAACTACGGAGAAGGGCGAAACTCCTTCTCACGACTCCAAGAGGCGATCCTCAAACACATCCCCGACCAGAGCCTCTTCGCTTGGGGCCCACGCCATCGGCTCAGGTCCCTCACCGGCGACACCTCGCCCCAGATCTCCCGTTCTGAGAGCTGCACACACGAGTCCTGCCTCTTTGCCACGTCTCCTCGCGACTTCTCCGCCTCCTTCGATCTCCGCATCATCCCTCCCAAAGTCTTCTCCCGTCGGTTGGGCATCTCCATTCTTCATCCTGAAGCACACATCAGCGCGTATGGTATCCGTATGTCCCTTCCAATCGTTCGGATCTCGGGCTACCAGCTCGCCCTTCTAGCATGCGAGGACGGCGCGGGAAAATTAGTGGGGCTGGTCCTGCGCGAGCCTCAAGTACAGGAAGCAGACGTCGCGGTGGCCGTTGGCACCACGTTTTGCCCTCCACGTTCCGGATGGGCTGACGCAGGATTGGAAGCGCTTTCAAAACGACAGTACCTTCGAGTGGTATCGCTCAGCCCGAAGGAGATCATCCGGATCCGCCCCAAGCTTCGTCAAGAGGACGTTTACATCCGCTACGAGCTCTCCCCCGGGACGACCACGGGTCGGGATGGTCCCGAGCTTGCATCGGCGTTCTGTCCTGTCAAATCTCCCCCCCTTGTCATCAAGGTCGATGCATGGTGCTCCGACGTCCTCAAGACGCAGGGATACACCGTCACCTCACACTCGTCTCCTCATTTGTCCCCCCAGCTATCCACCATCCTCCTTTCACGGGATGGAGATCCGTTGATGATCACGATCCTCGTCGGTCCTTGCACGCTCTGTAAATCGGGTGCAATCTCGGTGCGCTTGTCAAGTTCACGACCTGCCCACCGAAACATGTCCAGCCCTCTTCCGGACAAGAGCGAAGCGTCAACTTGCCAAGATGCCCACGTTGGCTCGGAGGCTTGGTCTGCAACCGCCGACGGCACCCTATCCAGGGTGTTTTCTCTCAATCTAATGTCTCAGCTCCAGCTTTCCCTCCGCCGCGCGGATGTTAGCCCCGATGCCTTGACCCTCCTCGCACTACTCGAGATTTCGCCCCGCAGCAGCGCTGACAACAGATCCAAGCGCCGGTCGCGTTCCCTTCTGTCTCCCCTCGGACCTTCCTCTTCACACATTCTGGAGCGTTCGATCTCTTCGCGCGGACGATCCGCAGACCCCATCGTCCAGCGCGCTGAACCTCCACGCCCTTCGCCTGTGACGCCTCCCAGGGCAACAGGGCAGCACGCTCCACGATGGCCTCGCGGCGCGGACGCCGTTCCCCGGCACAGCACGCACGACGAGTCGATCGGCGTAACAACGTGCTCGCCACCTCCGTCCGGCGCAGTAGATCCAGACGGTGAGTCGCATCGCAGCGTTCCTCCGTGTCACGACTGACTCTTGGCCATCTTCCTGCAGGTCACTCCCCCAAAGAGCGCGGCGCGCTCGCCATGCCCACGGACGCGCTTTCTCTGCATCAGGTCGTGGAGTCGTTCGTGATAGACTATGCGGACGACCGTAGCCCTGCCCATGATAAGACGTCCAGCGGGCAGCCCGAGTCCGCCTTTCTTCAACCCAAGGCCTCAGTGGAGTCCCTGGCGCAGTCTTCCGAAGACGGCTCGGAGTCCGACTCCTCGGACTCTCGCGGACCTGTCTCGCGAGGCGCGAAGCCTCAGCACCACTGGCTCCCGCTTCGATCGAAGCCGGACACCCCAGCCGTCTCAACCGTACTTTCGTGTTTCTTCCGCTCGTGGCGCGTCTCATGTACTAGCTTATTCTCGTCGGCCAATCATGAGTATGTCGGGAAAACCCGCAGGAAGGGCCCCTGTATGTACTACAAGTTTAGTGCTCAGAATTGAATGCTCGCGTTCGACCCACACCCTTCCGAGCGGCAAAGACCAGATGGAAATTTCCGGCCCGTGCACGCTGCCTCGTACCACTCTGTCCGCGCGTAGGACCGCCACCCGACGGCAGCGGGGCGGCGTTTCTGCGACCACCGCTCGGTGCGTTCTCGCCGTCCTGCGACCGAGTCATGCGTCGCGCAGGCGGGGGCGCGAGCGAACCTCCCCGGCCTGACTTGCGCGATGGCCATCGCTGGCGGAATTCCGGGGGCCGGCGGGTGGGAGGTTGGATGTCGACGAGAAGGGGCGGCGAGCACTCCCGGCGAACAACTGCCTCGTGCCCGGAGGCCTAGGTTGGTCCCGTTTCCGGGGAGATCAAGTCCGGGGGCCTACACGTGGCGGAAAAGGGAGGCCAGCAGCCGGACATCTTCTGTCCTCTGTCGCATGTCGCGGTGTCAGGATGGGAGTCGGGCGTGGTACACCCGTGCACACAAGGTTGACAGCTGTGATGCAGCGCGGGAGCTGGGCGCTCCGTGCCAGGCATGGTTGGCATACAAAGAGTACGAAGAGATGCAGGGAGCCAATACTTCGTGCAAGAACTCGGGGGAAAATGGTGCAGCTGATACAGCTTCAAGAGAAAGCGAGGAGGAGGAGGAGGACCGGAGGATTCCGAACAGGTGTGGAAGAGCGACGCGGCAGTTGCCGGCCCCTCCGCAGACGCGCAGTGATCAAACTCTAGTGTTGCGACGGCTCGGCTTCGGCTCGGCTCGGCTCGGCTTCGGATGGCTCAGGCGAGCCAAAAATGGAGCCATGGCTCCAAAAGTTGGCTCCGATGACCTAAGCCAGGTCCGAGCCGTGGCGGGCCGCCACGAGCCGCCGTCTTCAGTTAGCGCCGAGACAGAGACAGAGATTTGAACTTTGCGAGGCAATAGAGCGAGAGGAGAGTAGCAGAATCACTTCTTATATACTCACATGAGGTATAGGAAGTTTTGAAGTTGCTGAAAGGATGATTGGAAGAAGTCAACCAAACAACCAAATTTCGTGCAAAATCTGGGATCTGCCTGCAGGCTGCAGTTGTTATTGGTCCCTATTCTGCAGGTCCTGGTCAGGCACCCAAGCGGTGCAACACACTTTAAAAAGCTTTAATAGTCCATAAATCAATGGTCACTCATAAATCTAAGACTTGGCGGTAGTGGGGCATCCGGCACGCATATAAAAGTACGAAGACGCTCACATGACATGCTGCGATTTCCAGATAGACGCCCTGACCCGGCTCGCCCACCCGGCTTGATCATGGCTCGGATCGGCCTTTGGCGTCTAATTTGAGGCTCAGAATTGGCCCTGTTGGAGCCGGTTTTGTCACGTGGATCGGCTTCACCCTGGCTCGGAGCCGGCTCCGGAGCCGGCTCGAGCCGAGCCCTCCGCAACACTATCAAACTCCGCTCGAACCGGCTGTGTGCTAATCGAGGCGGCTGTTGTGGACTCACTCCGACTCAGCAGTCAAACAAAGCCAGGCTCGGCCGTGGACGAGGCTGATCCACGCGCCGGTAACGCGTGAATCGGTACGTGTTGACCATACCATAACCAGTCCAACTCGAGGCCGACTCTCTGCTAAGAGAGCGCGAAGACTCCGATGACCATCAGGGTACGCCGACACTTCGATCGGCGTGCAGTTCCATCTGTTTTGATGGAGTAATCGTCGGAGCCACCCGCTCTTGCAGGATATTCAGGAACCATTCCTCTGCCACATTAACCGCCGTCCCGTCACAAGCTGTCGGGGATATCGTTGTCCCATTAGGCCAGATCTTGCGAAAACGTTGCCCAGTCCCGGCGACCTCAAAGCTCCTCGGACCTTGCACTCGATTCTCGTCACCGATCCCCCTCTCTGCCTCTCAGCTCTCCCCTCCGGGCCACCAGGCTCCATACACTCTTTTTGGATTGACTCACGGCACTATGTCAAAGACTTCGGGAAGATCCTTCGTGACAGCGACTGCACTCTTCGTCGTCGGGCTCACACTCATACAACGAGCCTCGGCTCAAGGCTGCGCCCCTGGGTTTTATAGCATGCAGCCAGGCTTGTGCTCGGGCTGCCCAGCCGGCACTTACAGCCACGCAGGCGCAGTATCCTGCTCAGCGTGTCCCGCAAACACTTACAGCAACGGTGTGGCACCGAGCTGTTCGGTCTGTCGCCCCGGCACGACCAGCACCCCCGGCAGCGCTTCGTGCACAGTCCAGAACACCTGCTCCGCCGGCACGCACTTCGACGGCAGCGGCTGCCCGTCCTGCCCAGTCAACACCTACTCCGGCCCTCTCGCGACGTCGTGCGCGGCATGCCCAGACCAGCAAGTCAGCGACGCGGGGTCCTCCTCTTGCCACGCCTGCGCCCCCGGGACCCATTACGACTCTGGCGCGTGCGTCGTCGACGTCACCTGCACCCCGGGCCAGTTCGTGAACAACAACATGTGCTACGAGTGCGCAGCTAACACGTATTCGATGGACGGCGTCTCGTGCGCGGCCTGCCCCGACGGGGAAATCAGCGACATGGGGTCCTCGTCCTGCCACGCCTGCGACTTCGGTACCCACTACGACTCCGGCTCCTGCGTCGCCGACACACCCACCTGCACTCCCGGCCAGTACCCGCTCGACGGCGAGTGCTCGTCGTGCCCGGCCAACACCTACTCCAGCGACGGCACCGAGTGCGTTCCTTGCCCCAGCAACGAGGTCAGCGCCCCCGCCTCATCGTCCTGCCACGGCTGCGCGGACGGGACCTATTACGACGCGGACTCGGCCACCTGCATCGCCGACCCCCCTATGTGCGCGGCGGGGACGTACCTCAACGGAAACACGTGCACACCCTGCGCCGCCGGGTCATACAGCGGCGACGGGGCGACCCAGTGCGAGGAGTGCCCTGCGGGTCAGTTCTCGTGGGAGGGCGCGTCCGCATGCTGCCCCTGGTGCGTCCTCTCCGATCCGCGGTGCGCGCGCGTGCCATGCTCACAGACGCGTTCGCAGCTGCTCCGGCTTCTACTCCGACCACCCCGGCGCGAGCAGCTGCGCACAGTGCGCCACGGCCGGCGCATACTCCGTCGTCGGCGCGTCCTCCGCGTCGGCGTGCTCCTCCTACTATCTCGGCGGCCAGCTCTCCTGCCCCAGCTCCGGGCCCACCTGCCGTGCGCCTCCCTCCACCCTTCCTGCTCTTCGCCCACGTACTGACGTATCTTCCGCAGCCGACGTCGGCGGCGCGAACCCGTCCAGCCTCGCTCACCAAGCCCCCGTCCGACGCCGGGCAGCGTGTCCCCTCGGCCAGCGCAGCTGCCCCGTCTACGGCGTCTCCGCGAACGGGCACGGGTACGTCCGCGGGAGCGAGTGCGTCGACGTCCGGACGGACCTGGAGAGCTGCGGCGGGTGCGTCGCGGACGACTCGCCGCTCGGTGGGCGCAACGCGGACGGCGGGCGCGACTGTAGCGCGATCCCGCATACGGGGCGGGTGGCGTGCCGCGGGGGCGCGTGTGTTATTGGTGAGCCCCGATGCGCTGTTACTTCGACGCCAGGCTAACGAGGGGCGCTTTTTCGTAGAATCGTGCGCGTCCGGCTTCGCGCTCTCCGAAGACGGGGAGGCGTGCGTCGCCTCCAAGGCGTCCGGCGCGCTCCATGTGCAGCGTCGAGCTGCGGGCCATCGTACTCGACGCTTCGCTGCGAGCCTTTAAATTGACCTCGCACTCCATGAGCGCTGCCTTTTTTTCTGTTGGAGGAATATTAACGCATAGAGGATCGGATTAATGTACCTTCTGATAACCACCACACTCGTTTATCACTTTTGCTTCATTTCTGGATGCCTAGAACGGCGAGAGAATAGAGTCCGTGAAGCCGCGAGGAGTTGGTTTTCCGTGCATTGCTCAATGTCCACGGTCCTTCCTTCTAAACCGTTCTAACGGCTCCGAAAGCATTGCATCAGAGGCTAATTCCAGACACGGCGGTGTAGAATCTTGAGTCTAAATAGTCCTCCACACCGTGCGTACGCTCATGGGGAGAGCTTGACATGATACGTGAAATGAACGCGGATTCAAGGCGCCGGGCCCCGGTGGGTGGCGAACGAGCGCTTAGTAGCCCGATACCCGTGAATCGGCGCTTAGAAGGAGCGAACCTCCAACGTTGACATCAGCAAAATGGGCGCGGAAACGGTAGCGTCTGATAGTGGACGAGGGCATTCGTAGCGTACGATAGTTAGTGATAGCGAAGACAATAGACAGTAGCTGAGCATCCAAGTACTGCAGTAACTCATAGTGTATTATTGTCTGCTTCTTCCACTATCAAATGATGATCGTACCTCGCGGACAGTGCTATCATTTCTGGGTGCGCGTGCGACCATATATCGGTCATCTGTGGCGCATGAAATGATAGCACCTCACGATAAAGTGTCAGATTTAGCGGAGGAGATGACAGATAACTGCGGAACACTATCGCCTTCCGTCGCACACTGGGGCGCACGTATAATTCCAATCACACAGTAATCCATTCGGGGTAAATACGAAACAGCCGGTATTCTACGCAACGGAAACATGAGCAGAACAAAGAACTTACATGGTCGGCGATGTGGCCAAGCTTGAAGCCTCTCGTCCAGCACGTCTCCCCGAATTGACGGAGTGTTCCCTATTGTGAGTACTATCGGAGTGGTCAGTAATGTAGAAAACTCGTATCTGGGGATTGCTTACCTGATAGAGAAATCAATGTGGAGAGCGCGGAAAGGTCGGTTGAGCGCGGCAAGATAGACAGATCGGGCATGGAGGGGCGCCATGGGCGCGAAAGGGTGAATTGGTTGGGCGTGGAGAGGCGGATGGTTGCGTCGGGGAAGGGGGAGGGAGGCGGGAGAAGTCAGCGGGAACGGCCACAGGGAGCGCGGAGGAAAAGAGACGCACCCGGGAGAACTGGAATGCCTTCACGAGCCGGATCGTCCCCTCGACAGAGCAGCCCACGGGGAGGTCGTTGATCATAATTTACTTTTCCAGCTCCACCGAACGCACAATCAGTCGTGATTCCCAGACGTATGCCGCTCCATCAAGGACGTACCTGAGGGTACCCTATAGGGTCGATAATGAGGAGCCCACAGAGGGCGATCCCCTCGTCCTCAATGAGGACACCGTAGTCGTGGGAGACAGACATGTGGGCCGACTCGAGACCGCTGCTTGCGCGGGGCAATCGCCCAGGTGAAGTGCGAGTACTGTGACTCGTCGGTCGAGGCCGCTGTGGACTTGGTGGAATGAGCGGCTGTAGAACTGATCTCGGTAGAGAAGGAAGAGGAACACAAACCAGTGAGCTGCTGCCTCTGCAGAACGGGTGGCTGCTCGGGGCGGACGCGTCGCGCGCGTTCAGCAACGCCTACCGGAAGCGGTCGCGCGCAGATCTAGCAGCAGGAGCCCAGGATGCGCGGGTTCGACCATGCGGTACACCGTGATATCCTGCTCGCCTGCCGCGCTCGGACGTTCTGAAGACATACCTGTACACCGTGCTCTCACGGAGCCGGTGGCTGCCGCACCACCTCCACATCGCCTTGAATCCCCAGTGGCAAGCAAATGGTCAGTGTTGGGTCGCTGGCTCGCATGGGAGCGCGCGGCACCGCGTCGAAACTGTCGGCGAGGCTGAGGAATCAGGCCTCACATGTGACCGACCCGTGTCCATAAGCAACGTAAGTACTCAAGCGTACCTTTGTACCCGCAGTCTTGAGGGCGCAGGTTTTTGCCGGTGTGAGTGCGGTGTTAAAAGCCATGTCGATGTCGACAGAAGTGTGTATGTGAGCGAGCCTATGCTGATGAGTGAGGAAGAACTGACCGTGTCTTGATACATCGCGCGTGAGTGTGAGTGGCACATTGCGCTTGGGGGATGATGGTGGTCGCAAATAAAGCCCAGTAGGCGCGCAACCCAGCACACGCGCCCGTGTCTGGAAACAATAGAGAGGCCAAAGCGGGACGCCACTGCGGCGCCGCCGCATCGGGTCACAACAATTAGCAAAGAAATCACTGCAAGAAACTTTTAGACTTCAGAATGTCGCTACTAACACGGACCTCTGTACGTCTCGGGCCCCAGCGATGTATATATCTTGACTTAACTCTCAACCCCTCGCCCAGTGCCCTGTGCGAGAGTTTGCTGCGCAGCTCGTGACAATGAGAGCATCAAACAGAGCGCTCCGCTGACTCTCGTAGTGGTGGTCCGCGGAGTAGGCCTTGCTCCAGTTCACGAGCTCGCGCTCGCATGTAAATAGAGCAACGAAAGGGATAAAAGGCGTCAAGAAATATTAAGGGAACAGAGGATGGGGCTCGCCATCGATGCCGGACAGAGGACTCCGTGCGCGGCGCGTAAGCGGAACAGGCGCCCGCGCTGACGTCCGTCCGCATAGTTTCGCGCGCATCGCGTTCTCTGCCGCGCGCAGTGTTCGCGTCCTCACGAGCCGGCCGTATAGCTAAATACGAACCTCTTATGCACCCCGCGCGCCCCGTGATTCACCCTTGAAGGAGCGCATGATCGTTTACTATCATCGACTACAGCCTTCTGTTCAAGCTACTTGTGCCTGTAGTATATCCATCATATCCTGTCTGCGGCCACAATATTTGATCGAACCTCATAGTAAAGACGAATGAATACCAGCTGCTACCGTTCTGCTACCATCACTTGTTGCGCAGACAATAGACGACCTGTCCCGATATGGCAGTGTCGCGTGCTATCGGGCGCTACCGTCAAAAACACCTTTTGCTGATGACTTCCCAGCCACCACCAGTCCAGGATGTCCGATGCTGATACATACTAGTTCCCGTCCGGGACGCGACGTCGCGGCTGGATCGCCGCGCACTGCTCAAAAGTCCAGCGGACCCGCATGCCCAGAAGGGGGACCACCTCGTCGGCCGCCAGCCACGCCGCCAGGAACGCCTCGTCGCCCTCCGATTCAACCCAGACGTGGTATATGCGCGGCTGTCGTTCCTCCAGCGCCACTAGGTACTCATCTCGAGCCTCGGAGATGGCCGTCCCGTCGCAGCCGGGGGGGACATGGAGCTCCGTCTCCACGGCGTCGCGTGCACAGAAGCGGCAGAGGCGGACCTCTCTGACAGTGTAGGGTACGGTATGGCGTCCAGTTTCGATATGATAGGGGTGGCAGCCCGCAAGGAGGTGGACGACTGCCGAGCGGTCGTCCCGTGGGAGGATCGTGAGGTAGGATCGGTACGCGCGAATCCTCGCAAGCGTGGGCTGTGGGCCCGGCCAAGCGAGGGGAGAATGCATTCGCGCCAGACCTTGAGGCGGGCATTCTGGGAGACCCCGCGCACGAGAGCCTCCGCGAGGGACGCCTGTAGCGCCGCCTGCAGGACTGAGCAGACCTCGGGGGACGGCTCGACGTCTAGCTAAGACTAGGGCGAGGAGCACTGGCGGGTCAAGGCCCGCAAGCGCTCCCAGGAGGTCAGAGTACCACGTGGCGTGTCTTGCGCGTGCTACAGCGACAGCTGTTGAGAGGGCAGCTCGTGGCAGGACAGTCGTTGTTGCGCAGAGGTACTCCAGATAGCGGATGGCGAGCAATAAACGGCGGTGTCGTATTGGCCAAGGCCAAGGTCGGTATGAATGATAGAGACAGTGGAGTTGACCGGAAGGGTGAGCGCTTGAGCACCCGTCGAGCGAACTATCGCTGTACCCGCACAAGGCCGTCCAGGTCATCCGTTGATCGGGCGACGTCGACCACGGCGCCCTTCACGAGATGTGGATCAACATGCGCGTTGTGCAGGAGGCGAGCGTGGGCGGGGGCGGTCTCTACCCCCATGAGAGACCGTAGAGCCAGGCAAGTATGCGCGACTGCTTCCGCCTTGCGCGCATTGGCGGCACGGTTGCCTGCCAGGATATTCGGCGGTGTGGACCGAAACATCACCCCTACATACATGTGCCCCCTCCAGAAAAGAGAGCGAGGAACGGAGGATTCCCGGACGTGGGAGAGCGACGCGGCGGTTGCCGGTCTCTCCACAGACTCCGCCGGATCAAACTCCGCCCAAATCGGCCGTGTGCTACTGATCGACTCGGCGGCCGCTGTTGTGGACTCAGCGCTCAGCACTCTACTCAGCTGTCATACACAGCCAGGCTCTGGCTTACTCGAGGGAAACTCTCTGCTCAGAGAACGCGAAGACTCCGAGTCTCCGATGACCGTCAAGGTATATGACTCCGCCGACATTTCGTGCAGTTCCGTCTGGTTTGATGGACTCGTAATCGTCGGAGCCACCCACTTTGCAAGATATTCAGGAACTGTCCCTCTGCCACATTAACCGCCGTCCCGTCACAAGCTGTCTGGGACATAGTTGTCCCATTTCGCCCGAAGCAAAATTGCCCAGTCCCGGCGACCTCAAAGCTCCTCGGACATTGCACTCGATTCTCGTCACCGATCCCCCTCTCTGCCTCTCAGCTCTCCCCTCCGGGCCACCAGGCTCCATACACTCTTTTTGGATTGACTCACGGCACTATGTCAAAGACTTCGGGAAGATCCTTCGTGACGGCGACCGCCCTCTTCGTCGTCGTGCTCACACTCATACAGCGAGCCTCAGCTGCCGGATGCTCCCCCGGGTATTACCTCCTTGGCGGTACCTGGTGCTTGAGCTGCCCAGCGGGCACTTACAACGATGGGAACGCCGCATCCTGCTCAGTATGCCCCGCAAACAGTTACAGCGCGGCCAGGGCACCGAGCTGCACAGCCTGTCCCTCCGGCTCGATCAGCACCCCCGGCAGCACTTCGTGCACGCCCTACAACAACTGCTCGCCCGGCACGCACTTCGACGGCAGCGGCTGCCCGTCCTGCCCAGTCAACACCTACTCCGGCCCTCTCGCGACGTCGTGCACGGCATGCCCCGGCCAGCAAGTCAGCGACGCGGGGTCCTCCTCTTGCCACGCCTGCGCTTCCGGGACCCATTACGACTCTGGCGCTTGCGTCGTCGACGCCGTCACCTGCACCCCGGGCCAGTTCGTGAACAACAACATGTGCTACGAGTGCGCAGCCAACACGTATTCGACGGACGGCGTCTCGTGCGTGGCCTGCCCCGACGGCGAAATCAGCGACATGGGGTCCTCGTCCTGCCACGCCTGCGACTTCGGTACCCACTACGACTCCGGCTCCTGCGTCATCGACACACCCACCTGCACTCCCGGCCAGCACCCGCTCGACGGCGAGTGCTCGTCGTGCCCGGCCAACACCTACTCCAACGACGGTACCGAGTGCGTTCCTTGCCGCAGCAACGAGGTCAGCGACCCCGGCTCATCGTCCTGCCACGGCTGCGCGGACGGGACCCATTACGACGCGGACTCGGCCACCTGTGTCACCGACACACCCACCTGTACTCCCGGCCAGTACCCGCTCGACGGCGAGTGCTCGTCGTGCCCGGCCAACACCTACTCCAACGACGGTACCGAGTGCGTTCCTTGCGCCAGCAACGAGGTCAGCGACCCCGCCTCATCGTCCTGCCACGGTTGCGCGGACGGGACCTATTACGACGCGGATTCGGCCACCTGCATCGCCGACCCCCCTACGTGCACAGCGGGGACATACCTCAACGGAAACGCGTGCACGCCCTGCGCCGCCGGGTCGTACAGCGGCGACGGGGCGACCCAGTGCGAGGAGTGCCCGGCGGGCCAGTTCTCGTGGGAGGGCGCATCCGCATGCTGCTCCTGGTGCGTCCTTTTCCATCCGCTGTACACTGCGCGCGTGTGCTCACAGACACCTATTCGCAGCTGCTCCGGGTTCTACTCCGACCATCCCGGCGCGAGCAGCTGCACGCAGTGCGCCACGGCCGGCGCATACTCCGTCGTCGGGGCGACCTCCGCGTCGGCGTGCTCCTCCTACTATCTCGGCGGCCAGCTCTCCTGCCCCAGCTCCGGGCCTACCTGCCGTGCGCCCCCCTCCACTTTCCCTGCTCTTCGCCCATGTACTGACGTCTCGTCCCGTCCGCAGCTGACGTCGGCGGCGCGAACCCCTCCAGCCTCGCTCACCAAGCCCCCGTCCGACGCCGGGCAGCGTGTGCCCTCGGACAGCGAAGCTGCCCGGTCTACGGCGTCTCCGCGAACGGGCACGGGTACGTCCGTGGGAGCGAGTGCGTCGACGTCCGGACGGACCTGGAGAGCTGCGGCGGGTGTGTCGCGGACGACTCGCCGCTCGGCGCGCGTAACGCGGATGGGGGGCGCGACTGCAGCGCGATCCCGGACACGGGGCGGGTGGCGTGCCGTGGGGGTGCGTGTGTTATCGGTGAGCCCCTTCCCCCCGATGCGCCGGTGCTTCGTCGGCGAGGCTGATGTGGGTGGGGCTTTTGTGCAGAATCGTGCGCGTCCGGCTTCGCGCTCTCCGAAGACGGGGAGGCGTGCGTCGCCTCCAAGGCGTCCGGCGCGCTCCATGTGCAGCGTCGAGCCGCGGGCCACCGTGCTCGACGCTCCGCTATGAGCCTTTGACCTTGCACTCCTTGAGCGCTGCCTGTCTTTTCCAGTGTTGGAGGAATATCAACGCATAGATAATTGAGAGAGGATCGGATTCAATGTACCTTCTGCTAATTGCCACACTCGTTCATCACCTTTGCTTCATTTCTGGATGCCCAGAACGGCGAGGGAATAGAGTCCGTGAAGTCGCGAGGAGTTGATTTTCCGTGAGAGTATCGCATTAGAGGCTAATTCCAGACACAGTGGTGTCGAAACTTTAGTCCAAGTGGTCCCCCACACCATGCGTACGCTCATGGAACTTCTCGCCGCGAAGACGGGGTTCCAGTAGGCACATGAAGTATACTACGCGGACTGATGGTGAAGAGACATGATGCGTGACATGGTTGAACGACGCGGACGAGACGGTTATGCAAGGTGTCGAGCCGCATTGGACGTTGAGCTCGGTACCCGCGAAACGGCGCTTAGAGGCAGCGAACCGTACCCAATCACAGCCAGCTCAGGATGATCTCCGATGTCGACAAGGCCCTTGGAGAGGAAAAAGGCACGTGTTCTTCAGGGCTCCCATTCTCGCGTTAGATCCAGGACGGGTAGGATCGGCGGCCTCAATGCGAGAGCTCAAGGTGCATAGTGGATTACGAGAACGGCCATACGTACAGGGCGGCGTGTGCTTCTATGGAGACATGGAGGGACAGACGGGAGTTCGGCATATAACGTTACGTGTCAGCGAGTGGGAGGGAGCAGGGGGCACGGGGCAAGCGAGGGATATCGGAAAAGAGCTGTGGGCGAGGCTGGCGTCAACGCAGCGACGGACTCGGGGGTCGGATGATAAGTAGGCAACAGATTTCCAGGGAGCCGAGGGTGTTCGAGTAAAGACGGCAGATGCGAGCGAACGGGGAATAAAACAGACTGTGGGGCGTTATACGATCCTATGTGTATCGGCGGATTGGGGAACAGCGAGACAGGGAGACAATATTCGAATGTATCATACACCGACGCGAAGCGAAGGGGTTCCAAGAAGGGGGTGCTATGGCACTGTCGGTTCTACGCTCACGCGTGGAGTCCGGTGGAGACCTTCAAGGTTACGATCGTCTTCGTGGCGTGGAGCGCGATGCGGAGCGCGTGCAGACACGCCCACCCGAATCCGACGATAAGAATGGGGATCCAGAAGAGGACCAACATCCGGTCATCTGCGTTCAACACAGGTTAGCCTCTTCCCGGAGCTTGAGTAAGAAAGGAAACGTACGTTTCTTCTGTGCCCGACGGGCAGGCTTCCTGTATCCATACAGCTGCATTTCTTCCTCGGGCACTGCAGCGGCAGCGTACCTCGCCTGCCGGGGCGCGACCGCCTTCTCGCGCTGCTCCTTCTTCTCCACCTCGACAGTGGGGGCGTCGACCTCGACGATGCTTGACTGGGGCTCTGCGCTAGGCCCTTCAGGGCACTTGGTGTCCGCAGGGAACGAGTCCGCGTTGTCATGTCGCGGGGTGTACGCAGGCGGCGGGTTCTCGTGCTCGCGGCGCCCCTGTTGTTGCTGCGACGCGGCCAACATCCACTTCTCCCAGAACGCCTTCCAATCCTGCCGAATCTGCGCGCCCTCGCCCTCGCCCTCGCCCTCGCCTTCAACGCCTTTGCCCTTCTCCTCGGCGCGCGCCCCCCAGAGCTGCTGGATCGCGACAAGCACGGGGAACACGGCCGCGACCTGCGGGAGCGCACCCCACGCAGCCGTCGGTAGGCCGAGCGCGGGGAGCGGCAGGCCGGGGATCTGCATCTGCATCTGCGCGATCATGTCCTGCGGGTGCTGCAGCTGTGCGAGCGTGCGGTAGAGCGTGTCCGTGAACGTGGCCGCAGCGGCGGCCTCCTTCTCGTCCACGACGGCCCCCAACGCAGCCTTCTCGGACTTGGGGAGCGGCGCGGCTTTCTCGGCGGGCGGGGAGGGGGCTGGGGGTGATGGCAGGGGCGCGTCGCCCACGCTGCATTCCGTTGGGGGCGGCGCAGGCGTGACACGTTCAGGGGCCGTCGATGTTTGGGGAGTCGAGCGTGGGTGCGTACTCCGGCTGAATGGTCTGCGCACGCGGCGGCGCCTCAGTGCGTTGCGCAGCTCGGTGTCGTCCTCTGATTGCTCGTCGATGTCCGCCCAGGCCCCGTCGTCCGAGTCAGAGTCTGGCGCGCCGAACGAGCGCTCGCTCTCGGAGGTGATGAAGTCGAAGAAACCGGCCGGACCGACCTCCGCGGGCGTCTTTCCGGCGGCGTTGACAACGTCCATCGCGGCGCCAGCCTCGACCAAAACATGTGCGCACTCTGCAGAGGAGGTGAGAGCGGCGAGGAAGAGTGCCGTGCAGCCGTTGTTATCGCGAGCATCGATATCGATGTGCCGCGAGAGCAGGAAGCGAGTGAGCGTCGGGAACTTGGCAAGGACGGCGAGGTGAAGGAGCGATTGTCCACTGGGGGTCTGCTTGGACAGGACCGATGAGTTCGTGTCGGGACCGACAGGCACGTCGAGAAGAGCGAGGAAGTCCAAGAGGGTTTTCTCGAAGTCTCTGCTTTCACCGGCGCGGCCGAGCAGGAGACGCGCCGAAAGCTGCATCGCGCCTCCTGCGCTCTCTGTGGGCATGCTAGCGTTGGGGTCCGGACCGCCAGTGTTCCCGACGATGCGCATCGCAATGTTCCTGGCATCTTCGATCTTGCCAGTCATCTTCAAACCAACTACTTGAAGCGCGAGCTCCATGCTGAGAAGCGAGTGAGCTCTCGAAAAGCGCCGGGTTGGACAGAATGGTACTTACAGAGCCCTGTCTGTCTCATCCGTGTATGTGAACAGGCACGCTGGAGTGCCGTCTTCCTCTTTCGGGAGACCCTCGAACCATACATGCACTTGACCCGCGACGACGCTGGGCGGTAGAATACACACGAGAGTGTTGTCGCTCCAGCGCTGTGTCGACGTCGACGCGGTGGAACCGAAAACGCAGTTCAACGGCATTGAGCTATGGAAGTTGGCACCGAGAACCGTAACCTCGATACCGCCGAAGGTCGGTCCGGCCGCAGGAATCAATCGATGAATGCGGGGCAGAGGGAGTGTGACAGGCGGCGGCGGATCGTGTTTGAAGAGCATATATGGCAGTGGTAGGGTGGGGGCGGGAGCATGTGACATCGCGAGGTTCATTGGCTCGACCGCCGACTGCTGCGCCATCTCGGGAGGGGATTGTACGTAGGATGAGGTGGAAGGGTCTTGGAAGGCCGGCATGGGAGGTTCGAGGTCTGGCATGACGACGTCCATATTGAAGTTGGAGTGCATAATCTCCGCCATGGAGGGGTTCGAGTCGTACGCCGACAAAAGCGGACTAGCGACCGCAGTGGAAGCCGAGCTGTCGAGCGAGTCCGGCATCATTCCTTGCGTAGGTTGAAGAGGTTGTTCGTTCCCATAGTAGGGGTGGGCAAGGGGCGGTGGGACGCTTTGGACAGCGTATGGCGAGTGCGCAAGCGGCTCGTGGAGGTCGTAGGAAGGGGAAAGAAGGGGCTGAGGTTCATCCGGGTAGGCGGAATGTGGCTGATCGCCGACACTGTAAGAGGAGGGGGACGGGGATACGACGGAGGTGATGATTTGGGAGGGGAGGTGCAGCTGAGGAGACGACGCTCGAGTAGCGAAAGCCGAAGGCATCTCTGAAGGAGACTGCAGGCTTCCGCTGCTACTCTGTCGCTGGAGCCGTGAAAGCCGGCTGTTGGAGTCGTACGGCTTTGCACGCTTCTTGGCCCGCTCGGACCCGCCGGCCTTCCTGCGCTTCGGGGCGCTTGCTTGAGGCTCCATCCCAGACACGGTCCAGTCGAGCTTCGAGCCGAACTCAGTGTTGGCCTTCGCCGTGTTGACGCCGGTGCTCTTGTGGTCATCGGTGATCATGATTGGCTTAGTGGTCCCGGTGCCGACGATCCGCCCGGTGTGGTCCAGCATCCAGAAGCGTAGGTTAAAGCCTATTTTCTCGCGGTGGTGCCGGCAGTAACATGTGATGCGCAGGGGAAGAACAACAGAACCCGACGAGAAGTCGAGCACCTCGGGACAGTTGAACTGGATGATGTTTGATGTGTCTTCATGCTTGCCCTGGCCGGGAAGGACACGCGGCTCTTCTGCCGACTCGGAGTCGGAGCGCGTGGGCCTAACACGAGCAGCGATTTTGCGCGCAACTCTCTTCGCCTGTACAAAGGGTGAGAACCAGGTCGAATGCTTATTGCCTCCGTGGCCGGCTATCGCTAGGCACGTAGACCACACTAACACAGACCGGCACGGAGACAACTGAACGCATTGGATATATACGACTCACCTCGCGAGTCTGGCAACTCGAACAGACTGTCACCCGGGTATGAGGGGGCGTAGCGCACGTTATCTCGGCCGTGAGATAGAGACACTCCTCGAGAGGCGCGTCTGGGGCACTCCGTCAGGCCGGTTTCTTGGGGATGATCGAGTCTTACTCACCGACTTTGCCCTCCTTCCTTGTCCGCTTCTTCGTCGTGGTACCTTTGGGGAGCCTCAACCATTTCCAACTACCCACTTTGTCGTACTTGAGCGGCTCCCCGGATGAAGCGCTCGCGTGTGCGAGGTCAACGGTGAGACGAATCTGAGTCTCTACACGAGACTTGGTGCCGCTGTCGGGTAAACTTGGAAACAGGATGGGAAGACTGAGGCAAGCAGCCGATGAGCAAAAATGCGCAATGAACGCTAACACCGATGGAAAGAGACGAAACGCACTTTGAGCATGACGCTTTCTCAGGGAAGACGACGCGTTGAAGTGTTGGGGATCCTTACGGACGGGTGCGGGAGGTGGTATGGGCTTTAAGCTGGAAATAGAAGAACGATGGCCAGGTGCATAATCGGCCGATGGGGCGGGGGATGACGGGCTGACTACCGGACAGAACATGGATTCTGGAGAGAGGTCGCGGGCGGCGGGAGTTGCGCTTTGTTGATGACGCGCGTCAAGCGGGAGAAGGAGCCAAAGAAGCGATAACTCACTCTTCATATGCATGCGCCTGCAACAGATCCTCTAGACTGAGGGATGGCCGCTCTTCAGTCTTGCGGATCGCGTGGTCCGCGGCTAGTTGCAGTCCACTGCTGAGGAGGAACTCGGTGCTGGGGAGCGACTTGCACCAGGAAGAAAGCTCCTCCGGACTGCGTGCGTCAAAAGCATCAGGAGTGGTGGGGACGGGGGACGGAGACCGCGAGCATGCGGTCGTCGACGAGGAGGACATGGTGGACGGCGGAGAGATTGGTGCGTCGGGTCGGAAGCTGGCCCCTAACGGGACGCGCATTTGCTGACCTAAGCGTCCATGAGCCACGTCGGCTGGACCGGCATCTGTGTTCGGATTCCACTGCGCCCTCAACCCATCTCATCCCATGAGTGCCTTCATCGCATGTTAAAATCATACTTGTCCAAAGCCCGTTCTCTCCAAGTACTTGCTTAGTCTTTCCGTAGAGAAAAAGATCGCTGCCGTGCCTCTTAGACGCCCATCAATCCTTCCACCGAAGCGCAGCGCAACCTTGAGCGCCCGCCAAGCGTACATGACGCCATTGGCATGCTCAAGCTGCCTGCTATGTTACCTGTTTGCTACGTGTTGCGACATACAATATTCGTTCGTATAAACGCGGTAAAATGACAGGCCCGCGCGGGTAAGAAAATCCCTCTGGGACAAATACTCAGCGATCACTCCTCAGCGCTTCAGTCATCAAGGGCACCAGCACCGCGGGCGCGAATGGCGATAAGGAATGCTGCACGTTGCAAGCTAGTACTTACAAGCCACTACTGCGTAGCGCGTAGTGAGCCTTGTCGTTGGTGTGATACATAAAGTTTGAGATCCAACAGAAACTTTGAGACTCAGACTCCGAATCCAACTCCGACTGCGCCTCTGTCCTCAAGGCACGTGGCACGTGCTCCAGGGCGCGTCGTGTCTTGCGCCACCTTCGCGTCCTCCTCCAACCCCTTCCTCCAACCTTCCTCTGTACTTCCTATACGCCCGTTCCGTTTCCGTATGAAACGCGCGGCAGAAAAGCAGCTTATTAAGGATGCCGATGATGAAGAAAACGACATCGAAGTGAGCGATATCGCGCTTTTCCAGCTTCACATCTTCTAAACTTGCGGTTAGGAAGTGACCTCAGGGCCCTTCAAGAAGGCGGACGATACTGTGCTCGCTGGAAGACAGTGCGTATTATGATGGCCGGCTTCTCTCGTTGTCTGAGGCGTGTGGATAGGTTTCGAGGGCTTCCTAAACGCAAGGGAGCAGCGGCAGCAGCACCCGCCTCAAGCGACTCAGAGGTACGTTCCCAAGTCAGCATATGCAGTGGGTGTATGCTCAGGCAACACTAGTAGGCCCCTCCTGCCCCCAAATTCAATGGCTTTGGCGGTTTTGGTACAGGCGGTCCGTCGTCGGCCTTCTCCTTCGGACCTCCCCCTGGCGCGCCCAAGCTTTCCCCAGCTGTCCCCGCATCATCTCCCTTCTCGACCTCGACTACAGCCACGCCCTCGACCTTTGGGCCATCGGTTTCCTCCACTGCCTCTGCGGCAACGAAGGCATTTGCATCCATCGTTTCCTCCTCGTCAACACCACCTGTGACGGCAAAGACCTTTGAGGGAGCAGCCAAGGATGATGACAGCGAAGTTGAGTACTACAAGGCTCTCCGAGGTCTCAACAGCTCTTTCCTCTCAGCGCTACACAAGGCCATCGAATCGGATCCCTTTGTCGATGTCGCCGAAATCCTCGAGCGGTACAAGGCGTTACGCATCACCACACAGGCTGATTTCGACAACAAATCCCAATCGAAACCCGCCACTAAGTCCCCAGGCCCTGCTCCAGCCCCCGAAGCGCCGAAACCCAGTTTCTCTCTGCCTTCGGCCCCTTCCAGCTTTTCGTTCGGAGGCCCGAAAGGTGCTACGGCATCGTCGAGTTCGTCTACCACCACCTCGACCTTCGCTGGGTTCACACCCAAGCTCGACACTGGTACCTCTTCACTAGGTAGCCCCTTCAGCCTGCCCAAGCCAGCACCCGCCTCTGAGGACCCACCCAAACCCTCCGACCCTCCGAAGTCCGCATTTTCCTTTGGCACCACCTCCACGACCGCCCCCGCCCCCACATCCTCCTCCTTCTCTTTCGGTGCTCCACCTGCCTCAACCTCTGGCGGCTCGATCTTCGGCAAGCCCTCCGCCCCCTCCGCCTTCTCGTTCGGCAGCTCGTCGTCCGGCATGGGTGCGTCCACGCCCTCGTCCCTCTTCGGCGGCGCGTCCTCCGCCGGGTCGCTCTTTGGCAAGAAGCCCGACGAAGACAAACCCGCGGACGCACCCACCTCCATCTTCGGCTCCACCCCCGCCTCGCCGTCGCCCTTCGGCAGCGGGGCCTCGACGCCCGCGTTCGGCGAGTCCAAGCCCGCGGGCTCGCTGTTCGGAGCCCCCGCCGGCAGCTTCTCGTTCGCGCCGCCGAAGCCCGCGGGCTCGCTCGGGGTGGGCTTCGGGTTCGGGTTCGGGGCGGGGGGCGGGAGTCCGCCCAAGACCCCCGACGCGGGCGACGCGGCGCAGGGCCCCATCAAGGCGCTCCCCTTCTCGTTCGGCCCGGCGTCCAAGTCCGCGACGCCGACGCTCGCGTCGGAGGGCGAGGGCGACGAGGGCACGTCCACGCCCACGCCCCCGGCGAGCCAGACGGAGTCGCAGACGCAGGACGGGTCCGCGGGCTCGAGCACGACGCTGCTCGCGACGCAGTCCGCGCACGACGCCGAGGGCGAGGGCGAGCAGGGCGAGGAGACGGTGCACGAGATCAAGACCAAGGTGTTCCGGATGTCGGCGGACAAGGACGGGAACCCGACGTGGAGCGACCTGGGGGTTGGAGTACTCCGGCTGAAGCGCGACAAGGAGACGGACGCGCGGAGGATGCTGCTGCGGAACAGCGGGACGGGCAAAATCACGATCGTGAGTTCGCGTTTCGCTTGTCTCTTGCGCCGGTTCTTTCATGCAGTGGATTGGGCTGACATCTACCGTGTGTCTTTAGAACTTCCGTATATACTCAGGCATGAACGCGAGTGTGGCCAAGAATGTCGTCTCCTTCATGGGCCACGAGGCCGGCAAGCAGACACCGTACCGGATACGCACCAAGACCACGGACCAGGCCGACGAGCTCCTCAAAGCTGTGAACCGCGAGATCGAGTTCGTCAAGGCCAAGGATTCGGCATAATGCTTTCTTGTTCTCCCATGTACCCCTACATACGTCCACGTCATGTAGACCTGTTGGTATGCTGTCCGCCTATACCATTCGCTTGCACAAGCCGAAGAGTTAGGTGGTGTTATGATTCGCTGTTGCCTGAAGCCCGAACAATGATACATGCGTTATATACTGCCGCCTTTCGCTGATATGCCAGAGAGCCCACATCGAGAACGTAATTAGCTGCCGAAATGACTCTGCGCGTTGTGCCACGTCGAATAGTGCACAAACGCCTCGCTGAGGAGCATTTCGACTTCATGATCAGACCAGCCAGACGTGGGGAGGGACTGAAGGTACATGATAATGCCCTGGAAGCATGCCCATGAGGATGAAGACGATATCGGAGGATTTGGCATACCTGGAAATCCATCTCTCGTAGTCGTTTACTCCACCGAACGAGGAACGCGGAGCAGACGTACAGGTGGAACTGCGAGAATGCGTCCGTGCCTTCCGCCTAGACATCACAAACATGAATGGATGGGACTAAAACAGGTGGAAGCGACAGGACTTACGAGGTACGTATCCCACATCCGGATCGTGTTCTGCACGCTGATCTCGCGCATGAGCAGGCAGTTCATCCACCGGAACGCGAACTGCATGAACTCGACGTTCTCCGCCTCCAGATGCGCCGCAAGCGGTGCTGTTTACGAATTGCTCGCTCAGATCCATGAATCTCAAACTGGGGAAGACGAAAACGCACAGTCTATTCGAGCCACCAGCTCTGCCATCCGCTTTACGCTTCGGTGAATGCCAGGCTGCCCAGCGATGTAGTTGTCCTGGATGCCGTCGAGGAGTCGTGATAGACACCAGAATGTGTCGGCTTCAACGGCCTTTCGGATCTCCTCGGGGAGGAGTGTAGTGTCGAACTCTTCAGGGTCAGAGTCTAGAGAACCGGCTCAGGAAACAAACGCGAGACTCGATCAGCAGGGTCTACGCACCGATGTATGCGGATAGAAACACTTGAAAGAAGGGTGTCGCAAGATCGTTGATGCCCTGCACGTACCCGCTCGCCGGATGGCGGATCGCCCAGACATACAGGATTCGCTCCAGACTCTACTCCCACCAAGTTAGCACGTGGGCATATATCATCACGGCTGCTAAGCTCACCCGTTGTGTCGACCCCTGCATCCACAACATCACCCCAGGGCGTGTCCTTGGTACATCGATCTCAATTTGGTGCCAGATCTGCTGGTCAAGTCCGTCCCGGCCGCGAGCAAACGTTGTGTCGACGAGGGAAGCGTATTCTCGCCGTTTGCGGGCGACTGTTGACGCACGTGTGGGTTTTGGGAGTGGGAGATATCCCTATGTCTTCCATGAAGACAAATGTGGCGCATGTGTGGAAAAGAGCACCCACCAGAAGCAGAGGCCAGACAAGAGGTCGCAGATCGGCGGGCACTCCGTTCCACGCCAGCTTCCGCAGATGCGCTGAACAAGGACGAGACCCGCATGAGCCCATGTATACGCACCCACAGCGGCAATGGCACGCACCGATGTCCACGTTCTCCCTGTCGATGCAGTCAATGAACTTGCGCCGCCTGTTTTCTCGTATCGAATGCTCTCGCGCCTCCTTCTCCGACTCGCCCGGATACGCATCCGCCCTCCCCTTGCCGTTGCTTAGGTTTGGATTGGGACGGGTGACCATGCGCAGCGGATCTGCGTGCAACGAACAAGGGCAGTCAGACGACGCAAACAGCGCAGCCGAGACCAGTCGCACCTTGCGCGATCGCCTGCGCATCGTCTCGCAGCACGCCCGTCGCAAACCCCCGCTTCGCCGGGCCCGCGGACGCCTCGACCGAGTCCGGGTCGGGCTCGATGTCGCCGACGACCATGCCCGCGTCGAGCGAGTCGTTCGACGCCGCGCTGTGGGACGGCGCCGCCGCGGTGGACGCGGACGCGGACGCGGAGAGCGAGTCGACGCTGCCGCGCTCCGTCGACTTGCGGACGATCGTCCAGCCGTTCTTGCCGCCACCGCCGGGCGGGTCGCCCTTGGGCGGGTACGAGCTCGGGGCCTGGACGTGGGTGTAGGAGAACGCGAGGGCGGAGGACGAGTCGGAGTCGTGCACCGTCGGCGAGCGGGGCACGAGCTTGGGAGCGGTCGCGGTCGCGGTCGATGCGGACGCGCGGGCGTTGGTGCGCTTCCAGTCCGGCTTGGAGGTCGACTCAGAATCGGAGGCGGAGTCCCAGGCGTCGTCTTCGCCCCAGTCGTTGATGGAGTAGGACGAGAATTTGGTCGTCGGGTTCAGGCCGATGTGTGGCCGGGCAGGCGGCGGGCGGGCGGACATGCTCTCGGGAGCGCGGGGGAGGAGGAGATGAGGATGGAGGCTGCTGCCCTCGAGATCGAGCCACTGGACGCTAGCCGCCGACGTCGGATCAGTCCACCGGCGCCTCGTGCACGGGCGACTCGTCTCAGCTCGTCTCCAGCCACCACCACTGCAGTCGTGTCTCGTCCCCATTTGCTGCATTTTCGCGCCTGAAGCCGACACGAGATCGTTATGCAGCAGCCACCAAGTCTTGACCACGTCGACATCACGGGCAGTCGGCGGCCCGCCGGTCGGCCTGCAAACCTCATCGCGACTTTCACCCAACGCCGTCATCAAATTCGCCATAGTTATGTACAGTACAGCCACGCCGTCTGGCTCGAGTCCTACATTCAAAGCAAAGCGTTGACAAAGACACCCGCAGCGATCAGCAGGGCGCTCCCCGTCAGCTTGCCCTCTCCATTCCCTTTCGACGCCGTCGTCGTCGTCCCAGTCGCACTTGTCGAACTTGTTGAGGAGACCGAACTTGATCCGGACACAGAGTCCGTCCCACTAGCAGCGACAAGGTTCTGGTCGTGGAAATCGTGAGGATCAGATGTTTGCTTCATCAATGCGGTCAGAAAAAAGACTCGACGCACCTGGACCTCGAGCATGACCATGGTCTCGGTGGTGGTCTGGAGGGGCAAAGGGGGTCCGCCGCTCGTGGAGAGCACTGCGGTGCACACCGCGACCCCGTTGGACATCGAACAGTCGTCCTGGATCACGCCGGTTCCAGCAGCGAGAGGAAGCGCTTCAAAGAGGTGGGCATCGGTCGCACCCACAACGAGCGTCGCTGCGCGTGAGAGAGAACCATGAGTGTGGGCAAACGACGCTGGTAGGAAATTGACTCACCTCTCGCTGTGACCGGTATTGTGGGGGTCGCGGTCAGCGAGCCACTCGCTGTTCCGACGCCGAGAATGTAGGTTGTGTGTCCAGTGCTGTCCGTGCCGATGGCCGACGCCGCTAAGGGTACATCGATGCTGTTCCCACTGTCAGGGATAAACAACGAGATGGGAGAAGCACCTGAGAGTATCTGAGATATCACCAACACGTATTGCAAAAGGAAACTCACCAGCTTGCGCACTGAAGAGGGAAATGAGAGCAATGGCGACGAAAGATTTGGCGTACATCGTGAAAAATACAACAAGGGGGTAGAAGAGACCAGCTCTGAAATTGGAAGGACAGGCGTAAAGGGCGAAAGACGGAGGGCGACGACCACACAAGCTGAGTTCTTGGTTTAAGTAGGTTTATGTACCACCTCCATCGCGAGCTGTCTTCTGTTTGATGCAACTATCAATAACGACGGATTTCGGATGCAAAACGCAGGCTGATCAAAATGGTTACGGCGTGAACTCAAGAGTTGGGGGCAATTACACGGAGTAGAAATGTCCGTGTCCGCAGGCAGGGGGGCATTAGGTATCCTTGACTACACCATCGTCCGCAATGGCTGTACCGAGACGCCGCACAGGAAGCTGTAAGATGGCGTCGGTGACAGGCGTTTTCCGGACCTGTGTGAACGCCCCGGTCAAAGCGATGACCAGGTCCACAACATACAAGGGATGATGATCCTTTAGACCTCTTCGCGCCCCACTGCACCATTCACATAACGCATTGAGAGAGCGCGCCGGTGAAGACGAAAGACACTCTGTGACCGGCCGTGGTTGCCCATGTCTTGGCGGACTATTGTCGTCGTCAGTCGAGGAAATTGTCTGTCCCCTCTGCGCCGCCGTGGTATGCTGTTGTGAGGGGGACCCAGCAATGATGGAAACCGTACGGCGTAAGACGCAAAGTTGGAACATGTAGGTTGACTCCTGTTGGTCTGGTAAATGGTTACGCAGAATCGTTAGTGATGAATGATACACAACTTGGTCTGCGGATAAAGAGGGAGTTATGACAGGATGGCAACTCTCACGCAAGCGCTGCTTCAAGTCATCCAGCGCATTATGGCTTATGTAATCGATTAAGATCTGATCAAGGCAGACGGTCACTGAGTGAGTACTCAGTACTCAGTCGTTCCACCGGATTCATCATACGGATGAGTCATTCCCAATTTCAGATACTGAGCTCTTTGAGATATCTGATTGACTACGGTCCCTACTGCGTCGCCACCAGCGCGGGCTGAGCGCACCGCATTTACCCGGTGATCTGATTTTACACAGAGCGTCACTGGCTAGCAAGTACTATATATGAAGGACTTATGAGGTGAGCTTCGCCGCGCTACATATTTCCCGATGATGAAAGCGCACACTGGGCAGGCAGGCTTGTAGGTTGTAACTTGTAACTAGTTCATGACAGTGGCATTTTCTAGGCGTCTTACTGCTGGCTTGCGATGTCGACGTTGACCGGGTCATTGATCAGTGGTCAGTGTTTAACGTTAAACGTGAATCTTCATGAGCTACCAAAGAATTGGATGATCGGAATGTGATAAAACTGGGTAGCGTCGCTCTCGGATGTGGAAAGAAAGGGTGACGCGCCCGGCCTGCGATTGTCAGAGCGTGGTAGATTAGATAGACGCCCATGACAGTACGCCGGCGGCACGGCGGGCTGACGAACAGTGAGCTCACTCTCTGCTACTCACTACCCCGATCCTCACGACAACACTTCGACACTCTTTCAGTATACGGGGCATACACTTTACTTCACTAGACGGTTGGACACATGAGAGGCGTAGGCGGAAAACCTACCGGATACCCCGAGAATTCCGCTTCATGGCGGCGTGACGGGGTTCATTCTCAGCCCCGAGGTTCCTGCAAACGCTCCTTCAGCCCGCGGAAAAGGTCACAAGAGAGGGCGAATCCAAGGAAGAGTTCCGGCTGCAAGATTCTCATGGCGATTCTACTAGTTGCTCTGGTGGCGTCGGCGTCCGGCACCTTCTCGCTCTCGCTGTTCAACCAGTGCTCTCTACGTCTGACCTGGCACCACATCCCTTTGGCGAGCCTGTACGAGGAGGCTCCAGATTTTCACTCTCTGTCGGGGTTTCTTCCTTTTCGGCACAACATAACACCACCGCCTACCTCAACGGAGAAATACTTGGCATACCTTCCGCACAGCGGATTCCACAACCAACGCGTCGCTCTGGAAAATGCGTTGTTCTTGGCCGAAGCATCGAATCGCACCCTCTTGATTCCTCCTGTCCGCCTTGGTGCCCCCCTCACATATGCTCCTTTCGACGACTTGTACGCAATGTCTGCAAATTCGAGCAAAGTTGGGCTGGATCATTGCCCTCGTCTCCTACAGGACGATCTTGCTCTATCCCCAGAATGCGAAGGCTACAGCGATTATACCTACGTTCCATGGGGCTGGCTTGTGGATCTATCTAGCATTCGAACACACCAACATCTATTAGAAGGCTGGAACTTCACCGACTCTTGGCTTCATGGTGTTCTCGGCATCCCGCCTGAAGACACTTTCTACCTCAAAGACGCCAACCGCAACCACTACTCCTTCCAGGACTTCCTCAGCCGCGACCCCACCCCCCTCCGCAAGTACAACGAGAGCATCCACATCGCCGCCCTCGCCCGCCGCCCCGAACGTCTCCTCGTCCTCGGCACCCTCTTCGGCTCCTCCCGCCTGCACCTCCGCGCCCCCGCGCACTACCTCCTCCGCAAGCGCATCCGCGCGCACATGGCCCTCGCGAACGCGCCCCTCGCCCTCGTCGCCGCCCGCATCCGCGGCGCGCTCGACCCCGCCGGCCGCGGCGCGTACCTCGCCGTGCACCTCCGCGTCGGGGACGGCGCGTTCGCGTGGCACGCGCACGAGAACGCGCGCGCGGCGTGGTGGCGCCTCCTCCGCGGGCCCCTGGGCGACGCGTTCCCGGACGACGACGCGGTCGCCGCGCTCGAACTCGCGCTCTTCCCGAACGAGGCCTCGGGGGCCCCTCCCGCCCTGTCCCCGGACGTCCCCGCGCTCCGCGCGCCCGTGCCCCCGCGCCCCCCGTTCCCATGGCCTGCCCCGGTGCGCGGGCAGCGCATGTGGGGGAGCGGCGTGCCCGAGGATGGTCCGAAGTGCCGGGGGCCGCTGCACACGGCGCCGCACCTCCGCGCGCTGAACGCGCCGCTGTACGTCGCGACGGACGCGCGAGAGCCGACGCTCGCCGCGCCGCTGTGGCGGTTCGTGCGCACCTTCCCCTGCGCGTTCTTCCTCGAGGACTTTGCGGGAGACACGCGGTACACGGGCGCGCTGCGCGGCCTGCGCAACCCCGCGGACGGGGTGGCGCTCGGCCCGTTCTTGATGCCGCTGTTGGACGCGATGGTGGCGGGGCAGGCGTGGGCGGTGGTGGGGACGGAGGGGAGCACGTTTAGTGCGTATGTGACGGACGTGCTGTGGAGGACGCATCATGGGTATGAGATCGTGCAGAGGGGGTGAGACGGGCTGGAACGTGGTTGGAGACACAGCCTACGCGCACATTACCTTTCTTCTCGTTTTGTTATAACCTCATGTATGCTTCTCGGCGCTTTCGACCGACCGTGACCTGCAGATGATTTATCTGTAGCATTTTACTAACTCTGGAAAGCGTCCACTGTCCAAGTGAGAGAATTCGAACGGCCTAAATGTCCATCACATCCTATCGGCAAGCGTGCCGTTTGCGGGGACGTCCACGGATCAGTGACCCCCGGAAATAGCTCAACCGATTCGTCAATCGCACACACCGTCGGCATCGCCGCAGTCCCAGGGGGCATCTGCTCATCATCAGTCCACTGAGGTAGCAGGAAGAGACGCGAATAAAACACTCACCGTTCCATCATCGAGATACGCCGTGATAATGTCTGTCACGCATTGCGACGACTGGTAGAGAGTGGTATGCTACACGGAAACCGCGTCAGCTTTCACGGTGGGGTGTTACGCCGAGCACAGGAGTGCACGTACCCCAAATCCATCTTGCTGGACGAGCGTGGCCTGGTCGCCAAGCACCTCTGCAGTCGCCTGTGCCTCGTAGAACGGGGTCGCACCGTCATACTGTGGGTATATGCTAGGTCAGTGAATGGTAGACGCGATGAATGTAGTGACGCACCGTGTTGCCGATGACCAAGACCTTGTTCGCGAACGTGCCGTTGAACGGGCCTTGGTACCGTTCGACGGCGCGCACTGGCCAGGTGGAGCAATGGAACCATGGGACAGGCCAGAGGGGACCGACTGTGGGTGGAAATTGAGTCTTTTGCGCGTGCCCAAAAAGCCAAGAACACGTACAGGTATGTGAGACATTCTTGGTGACCTCGACGATCTCGTCGAAGAGCACGGACATCGTGACCTCCAGATCTGCGTCGACGCTGTCCGCGCACACGACCGCGGCTTGTGTGAAACTGTTCTGAGTGAACGTGTCACGCTTGGCGAGTGAGCGACGCCTGGCGAACGTATCGTCCAGTTCCGTGCCGTTGAGCACCACCTTGATCGTCTGCGGAATCGTCTCGTTCGCAACGGCGGTCCACATCTGAGGCTGATACATGCTCCCATACATCACACCTACAAAACGCGCACAGACAAGATGAGTAAGGAGGACTCGAAGGAATCAAAGGACCCGAATGAATCCGGGGGTTCGGACACACACCCCGCATCAGGCGCAAGCGCGCATCACTAGGATGGGCGTGCAGCTCCTGCAGCCGAGGTGATTCGTGAGATCTTCGCCGGCTGCGTCGTTGCGGAGGCGCGTACCTCAACTACAGTGGAGAGCAGGCTGACGACGTCCGCCCCAGAAACGCCATCAAAGGCGAGGCTGCACCCACTGGGGCCGGCCATGGCGCACGCATTTGCGAAGGCGCTGTACACGTCCTCGGTCGACGCGACTTGGTCCCGCCAGAGCTGTGTATCGTTCGGTCAGCGAGGAGAAAGCGGGACGAGGAGGAGGCAGGGTACCAGGTGAGACTGCAGCGTGGCGATCTTTGTTGCGTCGATTACGCCATCGAGGATAACGCGCCCGACGCGCTCCGGGAACACTGGGTGTACGAAGAAAGCATGCCATCAGCGAGTGGAGCATGCTCGAGGGGAAAAGCGGCGCACTGTTGGCGAAGACCATGCCCAAGTACGTGCCGTATGAAAGGCCCCAGTAGTTGATCTCGCTGTCGGGCCCAACGATGGCGTCCGCCAGCGCGACCATGTCGCGCACCGTTGCGGCGGTGCCGACGTACTCGAGGGTGGTTCCGTTGGGGCCTTGGAGACACTTGTTCCCGAGCGCGGCGTACTTCTCGGTCATGAGAGGGACTTGGGCGTAGAGCGTAGTGAGGTCGGTGAAGTTCGAGAAGTCGCCGAGGGAGTTGAGACCGTCGGCTTCGATGGTGCCTGCCCAGAAGTAGTCGTACTCCTCGTCGCCGATGCAGTAGACGTTTCCTGGGCTGCGACTGAGGTTAGCCGATGAGGTGATGGGGAATTCCGCCAGATCCGCTCACTAAGTGTACGGGCCGACGCCACGAGGGTCCCAGCTGACGAAGTCGTAGGCTCCACCGGTCCTGTTCATCAACGCGGGGGTGTCGTCAATGAGCGACTGGAGACCGGACACCCCGGGTCCACCTGTAAAGACAGCGTCAACAAGGTCCAGATGTAGAACTTAGCAAGGGACAACCCACCGGGGTTAAGGAAGACTGTCCCTTTGGGCTCTGCTCCGGTGGCATTTGCTTTGACGACGAGAAGCTGGCCATTTCCCGCTGACGCGTCGTTGTAGTCGAGGGGAATAGAAAAGTATGCACAGGAAAGGGTGTCTGTATCTGGGCATGGGAACCAGTCCGATAAAGCATCCGAGGCCCTGGCGCACATTGAGAGCGCAAGAGAAAGAGCTAGAATACTAGCCGACCTGAGGCGGGGCATGGCGAGTAGCAAGTAATAGAAGGGAAGGAGGGACAGGGCAAGGGCAAGGGATGGTTCAAGTTCAAGTCGGAATGCCGGAGGGTGAACGTAAGGCTGCGCTTTTGAATTAGCCGCGGGGATGCCCCGGGAGTCGGACTGAGCTACAACGCAGATGCGTTTCCGTCGGTGACCGCGCAAATTTGATGAGCTCCACTGCATCAAAGAGGTGTAGTCGTGATTGTTACGCAGATCACACGCGTACAGAGGTTTTCAGAGCTCACAAAGCTCGGCTGGGTTCATACAAGAATCTCTTGACGATCGCTGCCGATGACTATATGCGAGCACTCCGGACGATGACGAGTCTTGAGTCAGGCGGACTGACAAAGGTCGGACTTTGGGAGCTTGCAAGTGGAGCCCGTCGAGAAGTGGTTTGATGCCATTCCTGTGGTGAGATCTTGAGATGTAAACTCTGCTCGTCGGCCAAATTTGCGCAAGAACGGAGTGGGGGCACCTCTTCAGAATTCTCACTTGCCTTAGACCCGTCCAGCTCCGGACGCACTTTGGCGGATGGGCGAGCCATGAAAGACAGTGATGTTTCACAGTTGAGGTATACAGTGCGAACGCTAAACGGAACAAGAGCGGACGCATGCTCCGCGGCTCTGCAGCGCTGCCGCGCGCGTGACTGAGATTCGCGCGCGCCGCGCGGGGCACGCGCAGACCCGCTGCCAAGCTTGCGGCCGCGCCCTGAGGTACAACTTGAGGACAGGAAGTTGAGTGACGAGTCCCGACCACGGGGCGGGGGCAAGGGTTTGCCATAATAAAAACTAAATGTGTCAGTGACCCGGGACAGAGCAGAAAAAAGGAGTAGGAGGGCGGGTCGAAACTTGCTGCGATGGCGATGGATGGAGGCAGAGGCGGAGGCGCGAGGCGGACGATGTGACGGGAGGAGCGTGCTGGCGGGGGACAAGCCGTGGGCTTCTGCTCTCCGCCGCTTCTCCTGCTGTAGACTTGCACCTGTTTCGGTCCAGGGCGGTCAACTACATACGGTGTTGAGTACGAAGAGCGCGCGTCTATCGGGCGCCTCGAGGAGCCAAGCCGGATTCACGTGTGCGGGGTCCGGAGGATGCCGCGGCTTGCCGCTCCCCGCTTCTCCGCCGGACTTACGCTCTCCGGTCTTCCCGGCAACCTCGTCTTTCCTCACCCCTCGACCACCATGTCTCTCCAAGGTCTCATCTCGGGCTCAGAATGCGCTGTGCCGTTCAACCCGCTCTCCCAGGTGCTCAAACACACAGATGGAGATCGGAGCTTGCAGCAGGTGCGTGTCTGCGCACCCGCACCGATCTTCATAAGCTGAGCGTTCGCCAGGACAGAGTCGCAGGACCGTCGGGTTCTAGAGTACGACCCCATCTTTTTGTTTTTTTTCTCTCTTTCTCACTGTCGCTTTGTTCTCAGCTGCATCATCTCCCCTCATCGTCCTCCCATGGCTCTCAACAGGACATGGCCGCGGCGCGCCAGTTCTTTGAGGGCGGCTCTCAACACGCCGGCGCGCACCCATCCTTCGCGATGCCGCAACACCACATGAACATCCCTCAGGACGCCGGTCCTGATCTTATGAAAGCTTGGAACGACGGGCAACAGGCGTCTCACGGTGGTATGCCTCACGGCGAGATGCTTCGCGTGAACGCACCTATGGCCGCCCCTGGGGCATGGAGCGCGGAGTTCGATGGGGGATCGCAGATGGCGCATCCCACCCCTCAAGGTCAGATGCAGCAGTCGGGGATGCCGATGCAGAACAACTGTGAGTCCCGTGCTTTCACCCGTCACCTGTGCATCCGAGGTTGAGATGTGCACACGCGGGCGGTCTAGTCTCGCAGTCCTACTACCCGAGAAACTATGGTGGTATGCAGTTTGGTATGCAGGGATACGGCATGGGTGTGCCGCAGATGGTCGCAGACCAGGGCAAGGGGAAAGGCAAACAGATCGACTTCGAGGCGGCGTTTGCGCAGGCCCACGCCTCCTTCGCGGCCCAACAGCAGGACAGCAGCGCCCGGATCGTGGAGGTGGCGGAGGGCGACGATTTGGCCGTGTTGGTGGAAGATATGAAGAGTGCGAATTTGGGCAAGGGCAAGGAGAAGGCGGAAGAGGGATCCGCATATGGCGAGTGAGTGTGCTCTGCCATATCTCGTGTGTGGTGTTTGGTGTCCCCCTGGGCCGGACGTGGTGCTTCAGCCTCCGGAAGCTACCGTCGCGGTCTCGCAGTGACTTCGCATGGGAGGCAGTATGACAGCTGAACTCGACGGAGTCTACGCCATGCCTAGCCTTGTGTCATGTTTCGTGCCTGGCATGACGCTACTGCGGCTGAGACTCCAGTATCTGGCCACATATTCCGGCCATGTCGGAACATTTGTCACCGTGCTGCAAGTACTTTCATGCTGACTCGAGAAACGCGCAGGGTGTGGAAGCAGCTACAAGACTCGGACATCCCCCCACCTCAAGAGGACATGGCGAAGTGGGAGGCCGAGTTCAACCGGATGATGGCGGAGAGTCGCGAAGACCTCGACTTCGACTACGGGGGCATGATGCAGGACGCTTGGGATCGGATGCCAAACTCGGACTTCTCCACGGAGCCGCCTTTGCAGTTCGACGCCCAAGGAATCCCAGAGTTGAAGCCTTACGAGTTTGGTGAGTATTTGTGACGTTATTGTGGTGTCGTTCTAAGATCTGCCGCAGAGAAGGACAACAAGTACCTCGACCCGTCACACTCAAAGTCGTCGCTCCAGGAAGCCAAGGACCTTTTAGCGGCCAACGGTTCTCTATCTGAGGCGGCGCTTCTCCTAGAAGCTGCTATACAGCACGGGGATCTTGGTGAAGGAGGGTATGAAGCTTGGATTCTGCTTGGTGAGACGCGGAGTATGGACGAGCGTGACGACATGGCCATGCCTGCGCTCACGGAGGGTGTCAAGAGGGCAGAAGCTGCCGGTGCGGCGGGGCAAGGGATGCTGGTGAGTAGTCACATACCCCACACCACTCTTTTCCTCATGGGTCTTTTTAGCCCCTCGCGATCTCGTTTACGAACGAGTCCATTGAGCGCGGTGCGCACTCGATGCTCCTTCGCTGGCTCAATGCCCGGTTCCCGGACGCCGGCATCACGCTGGAGGCGTGGAAGTCGCTCGAGAACTCGGCGTGGCATTCGCAAGAGCAGGTCACGGAGATGTACCTCAAGGTCACACGCGAACAGTATGCACGCGGCGAGCTCGACCCCGAGGTACAAACCGGGCTGGGGGTGCTGTTCTACACGACTGGTGACTACGCTCGCGCGAAGGACTGTTTCGAAGCCGCCCTGAGCATGAGACCTAAGGTGAGCTTTCGTGTGCTCTTTGGACTCACCCCAGGAATCCGGTTACTTATCAGCGGACACCAGGACTACACGCTTTGGAATAGGCTTGGATCCTCGCTTTCGAATGGAAACAAGCCTGAAGAGGCCCTGGGAGCTTACCGCGAGGCTCTGCAGCTCCGCCCAACATATACTCGCGCTATATATAACGTGGGCGTTGCCTGTGAGTACCAGCTTCAGACACCTAGGTTGAGTCGTGTGCTGATGACTACTTCTCAATCCAGGCCTGAATATTGGAGCGCACCAAGAGGCGATCGAGCACTTCCTCAGCGCACTCGCTCTTCAAGAGTCTTCAGGCGGCGAGAAGAGTGAGCAGCTGTGGACGACGCTGCGGCGGGCGTTCCAGGCTATCGTACGTCCCCCCTCCGGTCACTGATGCTCGTCATCGTTTCCGGTCAACTGACAGTCGAGACTAGAACATGCCGGATCTGGTTGATCTGGCCAAGCCTGGCACAAGCCTGGATGTGTTCCGCGACAAGGGCTATGATTTCTGAGTTGTTCCTCTGGACACGGAGATCGTCACGCGCAGGTGAACGGCGGTGCGCGGGGTTCCGTGCGGACGCACGCGAATCACGATAGGGGTCACGATGCAGGCCTGGGGAGGGGTAACGTGTTTCGAAGCGCATTGTACTATCTGTCTTAGAGTCGTTGAACACTAACTAGGACTTATTCTATCTAACGCAGCCAGTGCTTTGAACAAACACAGTATTATGCTTCCTTCTCCATGAAACGGCTCCAGGTTGGGCGCATCATTGCAAGCAGGTCAGGTACTGCACAGAGGTTCGTGCGGGGTCGCAGCCAATGGAACGTGCGGAATTGATAACGGGCCGAAGACGCAAACGGCCCAGAATGGCGTGACAGAGATCGATCTGACGCGAATGAGGGCCCGCATGTCGGCCCGCTCCCGCCGGGCAGGGTCAGAGGAGGAAACCGTTCGTCCGTGGTCGTCCCGCGGCGCACGCACACGTTCCTCAACCCGTGCGCGTACTCTGTTCATAAGAACTCGACGCGCCTCTTCTCCTCCCTTCCACCCTACTCTTTTCCACCTTGCCCCACGCTGCAGCCATGTCTGACGGCGACGTCCAGATGTGCGTGCAGCCCTTTCACGTTCATCGTCGTGTTCCGACCTCCACCTATCGCGCAGCCACTCCATCCCGAAGCCCGCCGAGGGCGGCGCGGTGCTCAACAAGATCTCCAGTCAGCTCACACAGGACAAGGTACGCGTCTTCTGCCCATATATATGCGCCCGTCGCTGACGCCGAGATCGCGCAGCGCCGCGGAGGCGCCCAGTCGATGAGTGCGTCCTCAATGGCTACCTCTGCATCTAGGAGGAACTGACGGAGGACGTGCGCGGCAGTGCTCGGCGCGGGCCTGGAGGTCGACGATCTGGCGAAGCCGCAGGTTCGTCCCGACTCCCCATCCCCGTCCCCTCGTCTCTGCGACGTGCGTCTGATGCGAGTCGTGCCGTAATCCGTGCAGATCGGCATCTCGCCCGTCTGGTGGGAGGGTGAGTGCTCGCTCGCTTGCTGCGTACAGGGGGTGCGGGCGCTGATGGGCGGCCAGGAAACCCGTGCAACACCCATCTGGTGCGTCGTGCAGCGTGTCCGTGGAGGGAAAGGGGGTGCTGAAGACACGCGCAGCTCGACCTTGCGAAGCATGTCAAGCAGGGGTGCACGAACGAGGGTCTTGTCGGGCTGATGTACAGCACCGTCGGTGTCAGGTGAGTGTACGGTTTGGTTTTGGATAGACAGTGATTTATTTGGTTGTCTAGTGACGGTATCACGATGGGTACCGACGGTGAGTTGCCTTGCTGAATTGTGTCCGAAGTGTGAAGAGACTGACAAAACATCTCAGCTATGTGCTACTCGTAAGGAGCTTGCAAAGATGGAGGGTACTCCAAGCTGACGTGGTAACAACAAAGGCTCCCCAGTCGAGACCTCATCGCAGATTCCATCGAACTGGTATAGCCGTTTTCCGTCTCCTTCCGTTGTGCAGACGCTCATTTCTAGTAGCTCACCATGGTCGGTGGACGCCACTGCAAATACACCCCTGAACGTGCTGACGATTAGGCAGGCACAATATCACGACGGCAATGTCTCTATCCCTGGGTAGGCCTCCAAATACTCCTTCAGAGAGCGTGCCGTGTTCATCTACCCGCACAGATGCGACAAGAACATGCCCGGCGTCTTTATGGCCGCCGTACGCCATAACCGTCCCACAATCTTCATCTACGGCGGCACGATCCAGCCGGGTGTATGGCACGACGACTGCCCTGCCATGAACGCGAAGAAGGGCGATCAGACGAACATCGGCGATGTGTACGAGTCCTACGGCGCGTACGCAACCGGCAAGATGACCGAGGAGCAACGTCTCGACCACGTCCTCCACGCATGCCCTGGTCCTGGTGCCTGCGGTGGTATGTTCACGTACGTGCTGTTCCAGGGCGCTCCATGTGGCTCTCGTGCTCATATGCCGGGTGCAGCGCCAACACCATGTCGAGTGTCCTCGAGGTCATCGGTCTCTCCCTTCCCTACTCTGCTAGTATCCCCGCGACGTACCCCGAAAAGGTCCAGGAGTGTCTCAAGGTCCCCAAGTATCTGAAGCGCCTCCTCGAGCTCGACCTCAAGCCGAGGTATGTGTCGATTGTTTGGGATCGCTTCTCTTACTGACGGAGTGAACACAGGGACATTGTCACCCGGCAGTCTTTCTTCAACGCCATGACCGTCGTGAATGCCATTGGCGGCTCAACCAACGCTGTACGCAACACCATGTCTTTATGGGCGCATACACTCACAGTCTACCAGGTCCTCCACATGCTCGCCATGGCTCGTGCCGCCGACATCGACCTTAGCATCGACGACTTCCAAATGATCAAGGATAGGACCCCATATCTCGCTGACCTCAAGTAAGTATATTCCTCGCATTGCTTGTCCTGCACACCTCATGTCCCCACAGGCCCTCCGGCAAGTACAACATGGAGGACCTGCACAAGGTCGGCGGTATCCCCGCCGTCATCAAGTACCTGCTCAAGCACACGAACCTGATCGACGGCACGCAAATGACGGTGACGGGAAAGACCCTCGCGGAGAACGTGGCGGACGCGGCCGACCTCGAGTTCGACAACCAGGACGTCGTCCGCCCGCTGAGCAACCCGATCAAGGCGACCGGTCATTTGACCATCCTCCGCGGCAACCTCGCACCCGACACCGCAGTCGCGAAGATCACCGGCAAGGAGGGTCTCCGCTTCGAGGTGCGCTCCCCTATTGTTGCCCCCGCCTCGCTTGCTAATTCCCGATTTCCCTCAGGGTGTGGCCAAATGCTTCGACTCCATCCCGCCATTCTTCACCGCGCTGGAGCGAGGCGAGATCACCGCCGGCATGGTCCTCATCTTCCGCTACCAGGGCCCCAAGGGCGGCCCAGGGATGCCCGAGATGCTCGGCCAGACCGCGGCGCTCATGGGCGCGGGCCTCGGAGGCAAGACCGCGCTCGTCACCGACGGCCGCTTCTCCGGCGCGTCGCGCGGGTTCATCATCGGCCACGTCGTCCCCGAGGCGTTCGTCGGCGGTCCGATCGCGCTCGTCGAGGACGGCGACAAGATCGTGATCGACGCCGAGACTCGCGCGATCGACTGGCTCGTGAGCGACGAGGAGATCGCTCGCCGGCGCGCGCTGTGGAAGCCCAGGGAGTACCGCATCAAGCGCGGGGTGCTGTACCGCTACGCGAGGGACGTTGCGGTGAGTTCTTCACGGTGGATCGTGTCATTGCGGCGTGATCTGACGGAGTGCGTTTGCAGCCCGCGAACTTTGGAGCATACCTCGATTGAGGTGGAGGCAGAGCTTGGGGGAGCTGGGGCTTGTGCTGTAGACATGGCTCATGGAGCGCTGAAACCAACGATGTACTCACTCTTGTATACAACCCGACATCATGCATCATGCTTGCATCACAACTTTCCAGTGCGCCTCGCGGTAGTGCTTTGGCAGATAGAGCCGGGAGCAATACGCGTCAGGGGGTGCAAGTCCCGCATGTCGATCGAAGTTCTTCTGTTCATGCAGCTGCGTTTGCCGACTCCAGCGAGTGAGATTCGCGATACAGCAGTCGGAATATGTAGAACAGTTTAATTTTTGATTCTGTATTTGATGACTGCCGAGATGTCACTTTTCCGCTCATGTATGGGAACTAGTCTCTTGACCAAAACGAACGATTTCTTCACAGACTGACAGCCATGTGATCGAGGCCTCTCAAAGAATCTATGAAAAATATGGGTATGAAAAGCAGGAAGACATTACACGGCATTACACGGCCATAGCCTAGGGATACAAAGTCCGAAACATGAGCGTCGTGAATGGCGTCGGTATCAACGGGAACTCGATCTGCAAAGACCGGAGGATCCAGGTCAGCGCACAGAGGCAAATGACCAATACGCGCACTGCACACACCATCAAACTCCAACCAGAACCCGGCGCACATCATGGCGTCTTACCGTCGCCGTTCGTCTCACCAGAATGCACATCCGGCAGCCGAGTCGGCGCCGACGAGCGGTGGTCCATCCCTGGTGGCACGAGCTCCTTCTCCCCATGCACCCTCGTCTCGCCCTCCGCCTCGACCTCCGGGACCGTCCTTGCGTGCTTGAGCGTATGTTTCCGCTTGCCGTGGTGGTGCTTCTCCCCGTCGCCATGCGCCGCCGCCCCCTCCTCGTCCTCGTCCTCCTCGACGATGAACTTCTCTCCCGGGGCCGCGACGCCGCGGAGCACGGCCGGGTCCGGCGGGAGGATGAACGCGTCCTCGTTCTTCGCCGGCTTGAGGTACTCGCGGTGCGAGCGGAAGCCGGCGGCCTTGGCCGCGCGCGAGCGGCGGTGCCGCTTGTAGAGCCAGACGATGATCCCAATTATCCAGGCGACGCCGACGAGCCCACCGGAGATGGCGCCGGAGAGGATTGGCGTCAGCGCACGTTGGCTGCGGGGTTGGGTGGGCGAAAAAAGGAGGGAAGACGAGGGCAGGGTTTCAGTCGGGCGGGTGTGTGCGGGTGGGTGAGGAGAGACGTACCCGTGGAGTGCGATCTCTGCGGACTGTGAGGACGTGAGTGCATCGATTATTGACGTTGCGGGAGGCATGGGGAGGATGGGGTGGTCCTGGTGGACGGGAGCGGAGGAGGGTTGTCGGCGGACTGGAGCTCAAACGCTTGTGGCGGGAGTTTTCGGTACGGCAGTGACGTCAGGCCGCAGCAGCATACGCCAGGTCCGCGGCCAGAAGGGAAGGCTAGAAGCCGGAGGAAGAGGGCAGGAGGCGGAGGCGACGGAGGATGAGGAACAGTTGCGGCCTTGAGGAGGATGGAAGCCCCCAGGTCGGAGGACATGACATAGGAGACCACCGCGGGCAACGTCGTCGAGCGCTCGAAAGAGCGTCTAGTTTATCTAATCTACTGTGCAGACTTAGATAATAGATCTTGCATGCTGGCACGAGTTGCAATATTTGAACTTCGAACTTCTTTCCTTCCTCTCGTGAGCTCCTCGAAATCCTTTCGATCGACGTCTTGAGTGTGGTTTGTTGACGTTAAGGTGATACTGACGGCACCGCGCGATTCGGACGATTGCCCGAAAGAGGTTTGTCAGCACACAGCAGCACCCGCCTCAGAGTTCAGGTGCTCCAAAAGCGCATTCTGAAAGGACAAGCAGCCTTGAGTTGAATTCGCTGATGACTGTGAGGACTCGGGCTTTGCGGCTGCCTACGCCTCAGTACTGCCACGCATCTATCACCGACCGGATCATGGATACTCATCATACCCTGCACAACTCACAGCGCCTCGCTCCGTAACCCGTTCAGTTTCTCTGATGGGCGCATTGAGCGCCCTGCCGCTCATCGCCTCCTCCACTCGGCGACGTTCAGTGTGCGCTCTAGCCGCGAGCGACGTACAGCATCCGGCGCTTGCCCATCAGGGGCTCATGTCGCACAACACTACTTAAACAAGCAAGCCCACTGCTCGATTGTTATCACCCTCGCCATCCCATCTCCCACCAACAGCACATTTTCTCGCCGTTCATCATGTCTTACCAGCCTGGATACCCTGGTCAGCACGGTCACCACCAACCTTCTATGCCCCCCATGCCCTCACCGAGCTCGCGCCCTGTTGTTTCGCCTGCCCCGCCTGCCAGCCACGGGACCACCAGTGGCCCTTTGACGGGCAACGTCGAGGGGGCGTCATACAAGATCGACCACCGGGACAGCAACAGCATGCTCTACCTCCGCCTCCAGCCTGGGTACGAGATCAAGGGCAAACCCGGGAGCATGGTCGCCATGGATGCATCCGTGCAGATCAAGGGCAACTTCAAATTCAGCTTCAAGAAGGTCTTACTGGGGGCGATGTGCGTATACACTGTGCCGGATCTGGAGACGACCGAGACTGACGAGCACGGCTGCGCAGATGTCTGAGTCGACGTTCACCGGCCCGGGCGAGGTCATGCTCGCGCCTGAGACCTGGGGCGACATCGTCCCCATCCACCTCGACGGCCAGACTCCATGGATGATCGGCAAGGATGCGTTCCTCGCCTGCACCAGCGGCGTCGCGCGCACCACCAAGAGCCAAGGCTTTGGCAAGGCTCTCTGTGCGTACCCTACCCCGTTTTGTTGGAGCGCTGTCCGAGCTAACCTCGCTTATTCTCCCCTCGTTCCCGCCCTACTGCTGCGTTTATCGGCACGTCCAGTCTCCGGAGAGGGCCTATTTGTTTACCACGCCACCGGCCAGGGCGTGATGTGGGTGCAGAGCCTGGGTGCCGTCACGTCGCGCACGCTCCAGCCAGGCGAGCAGTGGATTGGTGCGTCATCGGCATTGCATTGCCTCCTTACTTTCGCACTGGAAATGGCTGATGTGCGGCGTTACAGTCGACAACGGCCATCTCGTCGCTTGGACGGCGCAGTACAAGGTTGAGCGCATCGGCGCCGGGGGCTTCCTCTCGAGCTCGCATACGGACGAGGGGCTTGTGTGCCGGTGCGTCCCACCACGTTCGTTTCCCCCGTGAGGGAAGTGTGCTATTCGAGGTCCCCGATACAGATTCACTGGGCCCGGAACGGTGTACATCCAGTCAGGAACCCTGAAGTCCTGGGGAGTGGATCGCGGCTCAGGTCCCTCAGACGCGCCAGCAGTGAAATTTTTGATTTATGCCTGGATTGTATTCTATGTATGTCAGATTCGCTCTTGCAAAAATCCTCGAATCTGTATGTCTGGATGATACCGTATACGGGATTCGAACATCGGACTCGATCACATGACCGCGCGCGGCCTCTCCTGATGCTATTCCGTGGCTAATTGCTTTCTTCTACTTGTCACTCGGTCCTTTTGCCATGTCCTTTCCACAACCACCACGGTTTCTCGCGAGCTGTTGAAGTACTCGCGCGCGCGCAATGCGGGTCCCAGCACGGCAGGAAACGGCGAATGGCAGACCTTCAGCACCCCGACCATACGCCTGACGATTGAAGCCACCAAGCACCCGACGGCCGTCTCCACTCTTTCAGAGTCAAAATTATATGGATATGCCCTCTCGGACGAGACGCGATGGACGTAGATCAGCAAGAGATCGTATTTGTGCGTACCCTAGATTACTGCTCCTTGCTTTGTCTGCTGAATGCACCTTGCAGGAAGACTTGGACTTTGTCGTGTACTCATCCGTGCCCGATCTGCAGGCGCCCTTACACCACCCCTCAAAGCGGTCTACGAAGGTCCTATGGTCGGCTTCCGTTATCAGCATCCCAGTCCACGCGACGTCTCTTTCGGACAAGCTCCAGTGAGGACCCACGCCTATTGTTCTGACTATATGCGTTGCTAAACTCGTCCTGAACAGCAATATCGCAGGTTTCAGATCACTTTTCAAGACGAGGGAGCCGCGAGCGCTTTTTTGAACTCCATTCGCTTCATATGCGTCTGCGTCCCGAACCCCACTACTCAGCGTCCCCCACCGGCGGTCAAGGGCCGGAAGAGGCCTCTCGACTCTGGCCAAAGCTCGGATAACGCGCATACAGCCACTCAAAAGCCCGCTTCTGCTTCTTCTCAGACCCCAGCGCCCCCATTGGTGCAACCGGTCTCAAATGCGCCTCAAAGTGCGCGGCGACGCGTCCCTGCTCCTACTCCTTCGTTCTCGCTGCGTCCGGCCACGACCATGACAACGCCGTCTGCGTGGGAGATTCCGAAACGCCGGCTTTCTTGGGACGACTTGCCTTCTATCAAGGGACTGGAACAGCGGCAAGCCAACGACTCCAATGCGCACAGCTCCGGATCTCGCCCCTCATCTGCTGTCGCCGACTACCCGTCTTCTGACTTGCCCCCCTCGGACCCGATCCCGACGCCCGCTCTGTCTCGCCAGCCTTCCGCGTCTAGATTCTTCGACACCGTCCTCGGAGGCTCGCAAGATCCAGTTCCTCCCCAGAAGTCCTCATCGTCTAACAAAAGCTCTTCCAGCGCCGGCGCCGGCTCTAGTACCCCACTCCCGTCTTCGTCTCCCCAGCCTGTCTGGCCATCCAGTGACTCGCCGCGACGCATGCCCCCTCCGCCTGTCCCACCTCAGAGTCAAGCAGCACGATCCGGATTTCCTTCTGCTCCTCCAGCATTGTCGCTGCCTAGTCCTGACCCAACTCCGCCTGCCAAATCGTTAGCTATGAATGCGACCGGCGCTGGATCGTGTTCCGGCTTGGTACCGCCGTCTACTCAACCTTCTTCGACGTCGACTACGCTCCGCTCCGATGTGCTTGATACGCTGAAGGAGGGCGCGGGTGTATACGACCTTCCGCGTGAGGACCTCGAGGTGCTGGTTTCGCAAGTGGTGCGCGAAGAGGGATTTATGGAGCTGGTAAGCAAGGCGCTTCATTGCGGGAATTCAGCGTTGATCGTGTTTCATGGTCGCCTAGTTGCGGAACTTGGATGCCCTCTGGAGGGTGAAGCAACTGGTGGAACTTTGACCAGGCAGGGATCCTGGCGGGGCACTCGCGAGCTGTATCTGGGAACAATTGAACATTGTCTAGTTGAGCACGTCTACAATACGATAGTCCACGGCAAGCTGCTACGAGCGACGTCTACGCCTTCTGGGATGCGAGGAACTGCTCCGAGAAGGGGTACGTGGTGTATCCCTCGACGGCCTTCGCAGCATAGTAAGTAGCGTAGTCGGGGGCGTTGCCGGAATATCATTCTGCAGAGAAACACCAGGTCGGGCTGCAAACCTCGAGGTCAGAACTATCACCGCACGCGCACCCACGAGGGAGACTGACCGTCGACAGGAAAAGCTGCCCGAACCCTATGATCTGCCCGGTATCTTCCGCCTTCTTCAGCCCTGTCTCCCGCGTCTACGAACCCGTCGAGACCAGCGGCCGTGGCTTCCACAGGTCGTGGATGAAGTCTTCCCGCTTGGGGTCCTCGGGCGGGTCGCCGCCGAGCGCGTTCTCGCTCACGAAGTGCACGAAGGCGAGGTCCGAGTGGCGCTTCTTGAGCTCCTCGACGAAGTACGTGAACTGCGGGACCGGGTCGTCCATCCGCATGTCCTGGTACCGCGTCCACGGGTTGAGCCGCAGCGCGGTCTTGGACGCCCCGATCGCGCCGGCGACGACCTCGAGTGGGAAACGCGCGCGGTTCTCGACAGAACCGCCGTACGCGTCCGTGTGCTTGTTCGTGACGTCCTGCATGAATTGGTCGATGAGGTAGCCGTTGGCGCTGTGGATCTCGACGCCGTCGAAGCCTGCGAGGTCGACGGCGTTCTTGGCGGCCTCGCCGAACCAGGAGACGTACTCCTTTATCTCTACGCAGGAGGGGTTAGAATACGATGAGCTGGGGAGTGGCGAACGTACCGTGTATGGTGAGAGGACGGGGCGTGTGGCCCGGCTAGTCGGAAAGCGGGATGTCCGAGGCGGAGACGAAGGGGTAGTCCGGGAACTCTTTGTTGAACAGAGCCGGACGCGCGGTGCGGCCGAGGGCCCAGAGCTGGATGTAGATGAAGCAGCCCTTCGCGTGCACCGCGTCGACGATCTGTGCAGCGAGGTCAGTCGAGTCAACGGTCGACAGGGTGAGGGTCGGTGGGCACGCATCTTCTTCTACTCCGCGATCTGCGTGGCGGTGTAGATCCCGGGGACGTTGGGCATCCCGCCCGCCTTGTCTTGGACGAAGACGGCCTCGGTGATGATGAGCGTGCGGGGCACGCATGCGCGCTGGGTGTAGTACTCGATCATCATGTCGGTGAGCGGGACGTGGTCGTCGTCGCTGCGATAGCGCGTCATGGGGGCCATGACTACGCGGTGGGCGAGCTGCATGTCGCCGACTTTAATGGGGGTGGATAGCTTGGGGGTAGACATCGTTGGGAAATGAGGTGCGGCGCAACTGAGAGCAGAGGTGAGGATGCAGTGGTGCTGGACTAAAGGCAGACAGAGCAGGCTTTTATACCAAGTGAGGTCGGAGACTCCGTCTCAACGCGACGCGTCAGCTTCGATGGCTTTCGCGCGAAACTTCCAACGGTTGTGTTCCTTGAGCGACCCCCACTCTGGGCATGTGTCAGCATTGGATTTTGACGGCAGAGAGGGACGGAGGTTCTTGTGGTGCTTGGGGGTCGAAACACCGCCTTTGCGCACATCAAAAACCCGCTTTCTTACGTGTGGCAGATGGTCATTGATACCTGGAGAGGTTAAAAAGCCGAGGGGAACGACCTTTGACGTGATATGTGAGCAGTGCTTCAGGTAGTCGACTCATTGAGATATCTTCTGACACCTGCTCTACGCACACCACTGGCATACTGTGTGCGGAGTCACTGTGCATTGCGATAGTCAGGCGGAGAAGGTACATACCAAGTTTGCCGAAAGATGTGTAGGACTTCTTCTTCACGTTCGGCGCACCCTCAGGGCCGTTCATGCACATGTTCACGTTGCTCAGTGACGGAGTTAGCGGAAGAGGAATAAGCGCCAAAGACTGCTACCAACCCAGTACTTGGCGCTTATGCAGATTTGATTGCTGACTCATTCATCCACAGCTCAGCTTAGTCCTCATCGTCTCTAATTTCCCTCCCACTTCCCCTTCGCACGCGTGAGGACTACAGAGAGCAGGAAGAAACATGGGTATATCAGTACGTTCGTTTATCAGTTCCGTTCCTGGAGGATGGTGGCGGTAAAGAGTCACCGAACACGGGTGTACGGTTCACGCTTACTCCTGGTGTTATCGCTCTCTGCTTATCATTCACTTCACATGGATCAAGTACATATATGGCTGTTGGAGCACTGGGATCTGCTTGCTTCCCTTCTCCTGCTGTCGTCCCGCGAGCTCACGCGCATCGTAGCGGTATGGAGAAGTTATACGGGGACAACACAGTTCTCATGCCGTCTTCTGAGCCAAGTCGACCACGAACTCGCGGCCGAGTTCCGTCTGCGCTGTTGGCATTGCTTTTTGGCGCCGTCGTCTATCTCAACATCGGGCTTGTCACAGACGAAAAGAACGTCAACACTTCCTTGGCACATCAATCCGAATTCAACTGGAACAAAGTCAGCTACTTCCTGCTCTCTGTTTCCTTATGTGCTAACTCCTCATGCGAACAGGTCGAACCCACGCACGACCTCCAATGGGTGCCCTGCTACTCGGACCAGCAGTGCGCGCGTCTTCTGCTTCCTCTCGATCATGACATCCCCGACGGACCGACGACCGCCATCGCCATCCGCATGATCCCCGCCACGGACAAGGAGAACTACAGAGGGACTGTCTTTCTCAACCCCGGCGGGCCCGGAGGCTCCGGCATCGCCTCATCGAGCGTTCCGGGAAGGACATTTCTCGCGTCTTGGGCCCGGCGTACGATGTGCTCTCGTTCGACCCTCGCGGCATCGGTTACACGACCCCTCTCGCAAGCTGCTTCGACTCCAAGTCGCAGCGTGATATCTGGAAGACGCAAGAGGGCCACATGCTTCTCAACTTCACCGATGCATCACTCGCGACCTACCGTTCCCGCGCGGAAGCGCTCGGACAGCGTTGTGCTGTGAAGCTCGGCGGCGAGTGGGGCATTGGACGGTTCGCAGGCACGGCGTACGTCGCGCGCGACATGCTCGAGATGACTAAGATTCTCGGGCAGGAACAGTTGCAATACTGGGGCTTCGTGCGTGCGTTTTGGTAGTGGAGTTAGCACCTAACTCACGGATTTCACCTCCGACAGAGCTACGGCACCGCGCTGGGACAGTACTTTGCGGCGATGTACCCGGAGAACGTGAAGCGGATCATCCTCGATGGCGTGATCGACGGCCACAGCTACCGCCGCGCGCGCTACGAGACCGACATCGAAGACGTCCAGAACGTCGCAGACACCTTCTTCGCCTTCTGCCACGCCGCGGGCGCGGACAAGTGCGTGCTCTACGAGAGCACGCCCGCCAAGATTCGCGACCGGTTCTATGCCATCCTGGACGCCGTGACCGCCTCGCCTGTCGCCATCCCCCTCGCGGAACCGCCGCTCGTCGTCACGCGCAAAGCACTCGCCGAGCAGCTGTTCGAGGCGACCTACCGCCCGATCTACACCTTCCCCGTCGTCGCCGCGACCTACCACGCGCTCGAGACCGGAAACGCCACCGCGCTCCGCGCCCTCGCGCCCTCGATCGTCTCCCCGACCGCGTGCGCGTGCGCAGAGGCGGGCCCGCACGCGGCGGTGGCGAACGAGGCGCGCTGGGCGGTGGAGTGCGCGGACGGGACGCGTACGCGTACAACGCGACCGCGTTCGCGCGCGTCTGGGACGCCCTCGTGAGACCTCGCCGCTGCTCGCGCCCGTGTGGGGCACGTCGTGGGTCCATTGCGCGGCGTGGCCGCTGCGCGCGAAGGAGGCTGACGGCGCCGGTCGCGGCGGAGCGCACGGCGCACCCACTGCTGCTGCTGTCGAACAGGTTCGACCCGGTCACGCCGCTCGCGCAGGCGAGGAGGACGGGGCGCGGTTGGGGGCGCGGGGCTGTTGGTGCAGGAGAGCGCGGGCACTGTTCGACGAGCAGCCCGTCGGTGTGCACGGCGAAGGTGGTGAGGCGGTATTTGACGAGGGGGTGCTGCCGGAGGAAGGGGCGACGTGCGAGGTGGATGTGCTTCCATTCGTGGGAGAACGAGATGGAGGAACGAACGGATTCTCGGAGGAAGACAGAGAGTTGGCCGAGGCGTGAGGAGGTTATCGGAAAGCATGAACACGTACGAGTTTAGGGGTCTGTGAGCTGACACAGAGGACTGTAGTGGTGCAGTGTGTTCCACAAGCACTCGGCGATGTGACGATGCACAGGTGTCAATTAGTAGCACCGGTATACGTGGCCGCGACTTCAATCGCTCACTTGCTTGAAGTTCTGTGCGGCTGCCGCGACAACACAGACGACAGTTCCAGTCGATTATCCGTACGCTTTGTCATACCAGACAGCCTGGCACGTCACCGCGAACGCGCTCGGCGGAGGCTCGTCCAAGGATCCGAGGTTGTACTTCATCTACCAATTTTCTGGACGCCGTAGTCACTAATCTCCGCAGGCACATACACACGGGAGATGGCGTTGAGCCTGGCGTAGCAGAAGGAGCAGACATGGAGGACAGATGTTCCTGCCGATGGTGAGTCTCATTGAGACCGTATGCGCGGAGAGGAAATCTGACGCCAATATTTGGAGCCTGATCACTTGGTGTTCCGTTCCAGCCAACGACCCGACTACTGAGAAAAGGGATACGCCACGTACCCCTTCTTGATGCAGTTCCTCGCGTTACGGACGCCGTAAGAAGCGCTCTAGTCGTCACTTGTTCGTGAGAATGGCATATAAATACATGGTCATGGCTAGTGTTCTACGGGCGGAGCACGTATTACAAGGAGCGTCATCACCACCACCATAAACACCATCATCGCCGCCATCATCCAATCAAACGGTCTCATACCAGCGGAACTATTCTGAACGGGTTGCATGTCTGGGTTGGTCGGCACTGCAGGCTGGTTTACGGGGGATGCGGCGGGAGTTTCTTGAGCAGGTCGGGGGGTTGTGGACTTATTGGAGTCACCTGATATACTCAGCTTTAAACGATGGGCAGCGCGGAGGTACTTGATCCCATACTCACCACGACTTGCAGCATCATTGGCAGTGCGCCGCTTCTTGAGCTCGTCACCAATCTTCGGCGGTGGTGGCATACTCGCTACGGGCAGCGTGAGTCTGTGACCCGGAGGTGGAAGGGGACCTTCCGGCTCGGTCGACGAGACCGTTCTACGTAGGGACGTAAAAATTAGGTATGTCCAACAACACGAGAGTTCAGACGTTCATACCTAGCCTCTCCCGTATTTGGGCTGGCCCTCGTGTTAGGCATTCGAGCACTTGATCCACCGAAGGGTTCGGGCGAGTCGGCAACGGGAAGCAGCGGCTTGCCATCGTTCGACGCTACTGGACTATGAGCTTCGACGCTTACTTGGAGAGCGAACCGGAGACTTACGAAACCATGTAGCCACCGACGGCTGGGGTGAAGATGAAGATGATGACGCAGCGGTGTGCTTGTGTTCCCGCTTCGGCTCAGGCGGTTGTTGACTCCCTGAGGGCTGTGCCATCATGGCTTCTGACGCCCACGTGTGCGAGCGGCCGCTTCTGAGCTTCGAGATTCGAGTCGAGGGCTCGCACGTCTCGTCGTGCTGGGGGACCACAGTGTGGGCTCGATTCAGAGTAGGTCTTTCCGAAGCAAGCGAGGACGAGGCCGCCGGCCGCCCGGGCGAGAAGTCCCCCGCGGGCCTCGTCTGCTGGAACGCCGACTCGTCAGACCGGGGCCGGACGAGCTTGAGGTCGACGACGAAGCGCTCCGTCTGCGGGACATGCCTGACCCGGATGCTGATGCGCTCGATCCTGCGCCGGGTCAGGGGCTTGAACGTGCGGTGCGCGACGCCGTCCTTGATGTCCCACGAGTAGACGTGGTAGCTGTAGCAGTTCGAGTTTGTGCGCGAGCCGGCATCGCGGCAGTCTGCGGCGGTGTCCCACGACCAGTACTGCGGCGGGGATACTGAGTCGATGCTGTTGGAGCGGGGAAGGATGCGGTACCAGTGACCCGCGCAGTCGCAGCGGGTGAGCTCGATGGTGAGCTCTTCCGACCTCGACGCGACGTCGGAGATCGTGGCCGTTTGAGCGCGGGGTTGGCTGACGGTGAAGCCCTGCTTGGTGAGAACCTCCGAGCACCATTTGGTCAGCTCGAACCCGGGATCGTCCGAGCCTTTTCGTGCAAGCGTCTGGAGGAGGAAAGTGGACTCGGGGCTGTCTTGGTCGTGGTGACCAGCGGAGAGGAGATGGTGGATGTAGATTGACTCGACCTTAGCGTTATCGCGGAACTCCTTGAGGCGTTCTAGAGGAAGCGTTGCCAGGCGGAAGTAGCCCGCCATGTTGTCAAGCGCGGCCTTGGTAGGATTCCGAGCGTCGATTTGCAACCTGCCAGCGGTGGACGCGCCGAGTCCTACGAACATCTCCGTGCTCTCGCTCGGTCGCGCTTCGCCATACGAGCGGAGAACTAAGCATACAACTTGAGGGTTGCGCTGTTCGAAGCGATCAGGGTGATCCTGGCTTTCGTCTCTCGGGGGTAAAGGCACTTGGCAGGTGAGGATGGCGAGACAATGCTGGGCCCCTGAGCGATCATAGCAGGGTATCAGAGGGAGTTTGACGTAGATTCCGTTCGCAGTCACTGTAAAGCGAGCGTAGGGGATGTTGGACCAGCCGAGAGTGCAGGTGAGCGTGTCGGAGGTGATGTTGGTGGTTTCGTGGCATTTCGCGAAGTCGTTGGGAGATTGAGCGAGAAGGAAGGACTGAGGACTATGTTTGAGAGATACACTTTTGGAGGGGGCGCATGAATAGGGCCTGTCGAGCGTGAGCTCCTTGTCGTATTGGTTCAGGCCCCAAGCCAGGATGCTCTGATCGGGTATCTTCGCGAGGATGGCCTCTTGGAGGCGGATAAAGGCGTATTCGCGTTCGCCGTAGAGGGGGGGAGATGGACGTCAAAGATTCCAACCAAGCAGTACGCTTTGTCCTCCTCGCGTGTCGTCTTCCGGGATGCCGCCCACGACATGCGTTGAGCGACACAGACGTCGGAAATCTGGCGCTCCTTCCGGAGGACGGCGCGGTCTATGTTGGTGATCGACTGGATTTCGTCCGAGAGGTCGTAGCGCGATCCGATCATCTGCCATTCGCTGTCAAAGAAGAGGACTACTGGGGGCGCAATGAGTTCTTGCAGCGTCCACCCGCGTTCGAACCATTCGCTATCGTGGAACTTGGTCTTGGCGTGGTCGACGTCGTAGAGATAGGCGTAGCAGACTTGCGCGAGGCTGTACCATCGATACATGGAGTTGATCGCCTCCGAAAGCTCGGAGCTGCTTGACTTGTTGATGCAGCAGGTGTCGATCCAGATGAAGGAGATGCCGTGACGTTTGGCAACCTCACAAGAGCGTCGTACTTTCGAAGGAAGTTTCTTCAAGATGGGTTTGTTGCCCTGCTTTGTGCGAATGCGGATGTAGTCGTCATAGGTGAGTTCTGGCCCGTAGGATGTGTCGTTGTCGCTCGTCTTCCTGGCCCAAACGTGAGAGAGGATGGCATACTTGACTTCAGTCGGGTCTGTGAATTCGGACATGAGCCCGGTGTCGGTGGCAAGGAGGCGCATATTGTCGCGCTAGTGAGCTGAAAAAGGGTATGTCGTCAGAGAAGAAGGGGATTCCGTCTGTTACGACGAGCGAGACACGTACGGGGGCCAGGGTAGGGTGAAAGGAGCGGGCCAGGCCACGAGCGCGGGAGAAGCGTTTTAATTTCAGCTCTTTATACATAGGACGGCCACCACAATCAATGTTCGTTGTCAGCGAAGCAGAACAGGGGCCTCTCTGAACGCGCGGCGTACTGGGAACCATCTATGAGAACAATCCTTACGGATAGTGGCGGACGCCTGAAACCGTAGATCGGCAGCGCGTGCTTGACGAATCCGCGCTGCTCGGCCAGCGCCCATGCCTTGAACCAGTGCAAGTGATGGAGGGGCGAGTGGGGGGCAGCAGCGGAGGCAGGGAAGCACTGAGAAACGGCGGATGGGATGGTGGCACAACACCTACTCACGGGCGCGTGCCACACGCGGCGATAGCGTGAGGCGCAGACGCGCGGGTGTCAGATGCGTCTCAGATCTCAGCCACCGAGCCCTGTGCGCTGGGTCTGAACCGATACTAACCCCAGCGCCTACACGAACGTCTGGCGCATTTCGACAGGGAAACCTGTCCCCAAATTCCAAATAGTATATCCTCGGACTCGGCCCTCCACATGCCGCCCGCGTCTCCGCCCGCGCAGATCGCCGACTTGTCCGGATCCAATAGAGTTTGAGTTGGCCTCATTCCGCCCGAGTGCCCGCATGGCCCGAGCCTCCTTCGAGATCGCCGAAATCCCATCTCCGCGGGCCGGAGACGTATTCCCGAAGCTACCCGGGAAGTAGGAGAGGCTGAGGGAAGGAGCGGGAGGCTAGAGGACGCGGAGGGAAGAGAAACGCGGTGCGCGATGCGATACGGCTGAGCGAACAGCTACTACACCCCCAGGCGGCGCGCCGCCGGAAACAACGTGTAAGAATGCGGGCGGGGAATTCCTCGCACGAAACGTGGATTCAAGCTGTCGGGCCGCAACGCAGTTTCCAGGGAGGGGATGGCTGGAAGTCGGGTGTTCGACAGGTGGTAAACAGCTGGTTGATACGTGGATTCCACCTGACAGATCTGCCCCCGATAAAGGTACCCGACACCGCGCAGGCCCTTTGTTTTGAGAGTCACAATGAATAAAATAGTGACCAGTGTGACATATGTTTGTCAGCCACCGTGTCGGTTGCATTCGGCATCACGCGGGAGCTACGAAACTGGTCCGCGCACTAGCAATTACTCGAAGAACAAATGCATTAGACCTCTATCGAAGACAGCAGTGAAGGAACGACTACAGGAGGGGGTTCTATACTAAGATCACCCAGGTCGTCGAGCCGCTCAGTGGCATTGTTGTCAGTGGGCTGAGGATGATGGATGCCAGAAGCAGGTCACGAAGCCGCTCAGACCTCGCACAACTGCGGTGTCCTTGACAGCAAAAGGGGAGTAGACATGTGTGATTGCACAGTGGACATTACATACCGGGGTGGTGCCGACGTAACCCGATAACTCTCGGCACTGACATGTCCTCCGGTCGATAATGGGGACTTCAAGCTGCTGTCCTTCTTCTTTGGTAGCCTGTTCATGTGACGTTCTATCAGGTAAGGCACATGAGCAAAATTTGGGCTTACATGTCTGTGAAACAGCCCTTAGGAGGAAGCAGCTGTGGTGCAAGATCGGAGGTGGCGGTAGAAACAGCGAGGAGGGATTGAAGACGAACAAGAGCCGCGCAGCGCGCTGCTGGCAGCTGCGGCCCAAAGGTCTGTGCGTGGGAACAACCTTCCACAGATGGGGTTCGACCGTCTCATGCCGTCAAACTCGCCGTTGGCGTTTCCTAAGTCCTCAGTTACCGGCTTCCTGATTGTGGGAAAATAAATGAGTGTGAACAAATTTTGTGCACACCTCGTGCGGCGCGTTATTGCTCATATAGGAGGACAATATCGAGGACTCTCATGCAGAATGAAGTACGGTGAGATTCTCTGTGTCACTGTACTCGAGCGTGACACACTGGACCCAGGTTTGGCTGGGCGCCTAGCCGTTCCAAGGATCTCCGCGGCCACTCGTCGATTCAGTCATGTGTACGTAATTGTACTGGAAAACGGGCTGACGAGCAGCATGAAAACAGAGGGCATGATGGCCTCTGGCAGCAAGCAGAGCGACAGGTGGATTTCTGCTTGATGAAATGTGGAATCAACGTTGCGGCCCCACGTCAGGAAAAATGGGGCTAGCTATGTGCGTCTACAGAGGCTACAGAGATGCGGTAGCGCCGTAGACAACCCCCCGTGTTGGTTGCCGCGAGTCGCGTGCAGCTGCGCCTCCGTACCGACTCATAGCCGCCCACCACTTCTCTGTAGGTGCTCGGTAGCGGGGCCGTAGATACACCGTAGAGATGACGTAGCGACGCATATCACACATTGTTACTCATATCTATCATCGAGCACGATAGAGCGGGGGTCGAGTATGAATTGTACGCATATATCATATCCAGCACAAGCTCAACGAAGTCTATGAAGTAATGTGTCGCACTCTAAAAAGCCCAGGGCCACACGTGCACACTCCGCTGCGTGCTCAAGCATGTGCCACACGGGACCAGAAGACCCCTGTCTGTCATTAAGTGCGCAGGGATCCGATATTAGAGCTGATCAATCTTGCAAGCAAATCCAAACGAAAACTCACCGAAAAGACCTAGTGATCACTACCATGCCACTCATCAGCAGCCTCGGACTCTTCAGCTATGAGCCTTTGACGGGCAGATTCGGATAGCCCTCGTCTCGGTGCATGCTGAGTCGGAGCCCCCGCGCGTTCACTACAGTCGTTGAGGTGTCAGAGCGACTCGTTAGCACATCTAATGACCACGAAGACTCACCGGGCTTGATTATACAAACTTCTCCGCAGTGACAACGACCTAGTCGGAGCAAGCTCCTTGCTCCACTCGAGGATCTCAGAGAGGTATGTGTCGTACTTCGACTTGTACATCTTCTCCGTGAAATGAGCTTGGTCGCCATCCGTGACGAACACTCCATCTCCCCATTGGTTGAGTCCAAAATCGACCTGTGGTACACAAGTCAATGATGGTGTAATGCTGCTGCTACTAGCGGTGCGCAATGCCCACGCCGGACGGCGCCGCGTGCGCCAGCCGGCAGTGGGCACAACGAACAAGTGGGAAGGCTGGCGCTGCCGCATCGGAAGCCGTGAGCTCCCGGAGTCCATAGGCGTAGCGTCCCAATTGAGGGAGTCGGCAGATGATACCACGGGTGACGCTGCTGGCCATGGACAGAACGGGAAGGAAACGAGGCAGGTGGAACGACGGGTGTGCCGGTCATCGTCCACAGGCTGACATGAGTGCGCGCGCGACCAGCCATGCTCAATGAAAGGAGGCAGGTGCAACAGTCGGCGCAATCGTCATCCACAGGCCGACGCGAGCACGCGCATGGCCACACATGTGTGCACGAGCATTCAAAGAACGCGGGCTTCGCAAGCGCTGCGCCCACCCACGGCGCACAGAGCGCGTGACCTCAACACCACAACAGTCGGCGCAATCGTCATCCACAGGCCAACGCGAGTGAGCGCACGGCCACGCGTGTGTGCACGAGCATTCAAAGAACGCGGGCTTCGCAAGCGCTGCGCCCACCTGCCGCGCACAGAGCGCGCGACCTCAACGCCAACGCGGGCCGTATTGTGCATATTGAGCCTGGAACAACTGAGGGAGAGTATCGTCCGCGTGGTGGCCCCGCGTTGACGAAATGCGGCCGAGTGCCATGCCATGCAGGAAAGCAGAGCACGACTCAGCTCGAGGCATGCTTCGCTATCCAACATGGCAACCCAGCATTGCCAGGTCGCGAAGAAGGGTGTGTGCATGCTGAATGAGATAGAAACACGTACCGCAGTGAACACGAGGGCCAACGTAACCTCCGATATTGGCGAGAAATACGTTGAGAATTCAACCCCGGGTGGATGTTTGCCTTTGCTTCCGGGAGCGAACCACGCGGACTGGATGATGGCGAGAATGATGTCATTTTGAGCAAATCCCTTGCGTGCGTCGACGTCCTGCCTCGTGAAAATCGTTAGTGCGTCACGATAGTACAAGTGGCACTGACCAGTTACCTTATAATGAAAGCGGACGTCCGCCTCTGCTGCATCGAGATCGAGTAGCTTGATGTAAAGAGCACGGTTCATACTCTTGGCTGGCTCGGTCAATGCACCTGAAAACCCATAGCTGAGCGCAATGAGTGGGAGTACGGCATTCCGGACCTTGCTTCGGGCATTCGCTGTCCTCTCGGTTATCTGTCTGTCCATCAGCTGAGAGCGACACCAGCAAGGATACGTAACAGTCAGACGGGGAGTGCACTCACGAGACCCTTCACACGATCAGTGAGAATGTAGAAAGTCTTGCTCTTCGTGCACGATTCTTCCCAGACTTTAGCTGCCCATTTGGACTGAGTTTCCGTGTCTGGAAATGCGTCCTGGGTGACGACAAGAACCTGAAAGAGGTGACATGCGTGACGAATCATTGTGGCCACATGCACCGTGTAATCAGTAGCCTTCGGTTCGCCCTGAGGAGGGCGGTTGTCGCGGAAAGGGGGCTCTATAATGGGCTGAGCGGGAGTCGTCACTGGTGGCGGCGAGTGCTGTGGCAATAAAGGGAGGGGTGGAGGTGGCGGTCTGTGCTGCGGCAGATTCGGGTGCGGTTGGCGAGGCTGTTGAGGCTGCTCAATTGATTGAGGACGTTGAGGTGCGAGTCCCACACCTGCAATTCTGTGTGTGAATATACATACACATGTCACCATGATCATAGGGGATACGGAACAAATCTCACCATGCTGCGTAGGTGCGCCAATCCCATGCCGGATTCCAGGACTAGGGCTTCGACTTGACGGAGGACTGGACACGTTGCGGAGGGAAGATCGACTTGAAGATGGTGTGCTAGAACGAGATACAAGGGGGACGTGAGGAATAATAACAGAGTCGTCAGCATGATCAAACAAGGGAGTCGCATCCGAGAAGGATCTGTAGATTTCTCAGACCACTGAACACAGATCCTGGCAAGATAGCGAAATCGCACCGCAATGTTGGATCTATATCGTCATCGCGGATCCGGTAGTACTGGCTAGTTGAACGAGGAATGTCGGACAAGCTGAGCATCGGCAGGGGCGGTGAAGGTGTGTGACGAAATGATCTCGCAGAGTTTATTGTGAAAGGAGGCGGAGGTGGAGGGGCAGATGGTAGATGGCCGTCGGGTAATGTGTTGGTGGCAGCGGGTACACTAGACGGTGCTGGAAGGCGGGGTGCAGTGCTGGGGCGGAGTCGCTTCGCTGTCCGTTCTGGCTGTGGGTCGTAAATGCCTCTTGACTCCATCTGCGAGAAGATCAGAGAGGTGTACTCGTACAGATAGACAGGTGTACTTACGCTTGCTTTATACCGCCTCACATCACTGTGAGTCGGATCCTCTTCCTCGCTCTCGATGTCCTCGGGTCGGTCGTCACCATGGTCCGACGCGTCAGGCTGGAGTTGTTGATTCAGGAGCCGGGCTTGAAGGCGCTGGTTTCGACGCTTCTCCTTCTCGAGCTGAGCACGAAGAGCCTCTTCTTGGTCTGTATCTGTATGAAATATTCAGTTACGTTGAAGAACAACCACAACGGTAATGGCGGTGATGAGCAACAAAGAGATAATCACATTGTTGTGCCAGCTTTTTAGTCGCAGTGCGTGGCCGAGTAGATTGACGAGGTGGGGCGGTGGTTTCAAGTCCAGCGCTGCTCGTTGTTGGTTCTTCAGTCTGATCAGGTAGTGGCGGAGGGGCAGGTGGGAAGTTGGGGTTGTCGACAGCGCGTGTCCGGCGTGGCTTTGGGCCGCGCGGCCCCATGTCGGTGTGGTGAGTAGGATGGGAGAGGGTGGCGACAGTGGAGGGGGATGGTGGTGGTGAAAGGTTTGCCAGCGGAATGCACCCTGAAATGGGGCAAGTGTGCATGCTGCGATGTGATTGGCTTAAGCGCGGGACTCGAATTTAGGGGTTCGGGCTACAACTCACCGCCGACTCGTGCCTTGAAATCCGAAATCTCCTCCTCCTTACTCCACACTGTTCTCCATCCCCTATCATGCCCACATCTTGCCCATACTGCGGAGAGACTCTCAGCACTGTACAAGGCCTCAGAGCCCACATTCGACTGAAGAAACCATGCCGCCAAGCACACGAACTCACCCAGGCTTCCGAAACAACGGCTGCTATTGTGTCTCTCCACGCGGCTGCGGCTGCTGCCAGTGTCGGTGCTATCACCACCAACGTACCCACTCTGACGTCGCCAATACCTGGGTCCGAAGAGGTGTCACCGATATCCTCTCCTGTGGAAATGGACGACAATTTCAGCACACACCAGCCTATCGTTACTACAAGAACAAACTCTCACCAATCCAGTTGTGTCGCTCAAGATGACCACAGCCCGGGGTTAACTCAAAGCCCGTCAAACCGGCGCGCGACAACCGTCGAAGATGTTCCGGACGTCGACGATGGAGGGATGGCCCGCACTCTGTGGACCGAAGACTTCGACGATGCGGCTCGGGCAGGAGAACCACTTCGCATGGGTGAGACGAAGTTCGAGGAGATCCAGCGGGCGCATGCAGCTCAACACGGTGGTGGTGCTGAGGCTGGAAATTCCGGTTCTCCAACGTGGGCTCCGTTCAAGTCTAGGGCAGACTGGCAGCTCGCAATGTGGATTTTGAGGACTGCCGGGGTGAGCCATAGTGCGATAGATGAACTAATGAAGCTCGACATCGTGAGTGTCATACTTGATTTCAATGACAGATGTGGCTCACCGACTGCACAGATCACCGAGAGCGCATCAAAGCTGTCTTGGACCAGCGCATACACGCTGCTGAAGAAGGTCGACACCCTCCCGCAAGGCCACGCATCCTGGAAAGTGGAGATCTTTGAAGTGGAGGGAGACCTGGTGGACCCGGAGACAGGAAAGCAACTCACCGAGACGATCGAACTTTGGATGCGCGACCCAGTTGAGTGTGTCCAAGAACTCATTGGCGATCCCCGATTCTGCAAGTCCATACACTTTGAGCCAAGGAGGGAGTACGCGGATCGCGAGGGGAGGTGCAGGGTGTATCGTGGGATGGAGACAGCAGACTGGTGGTGGACGGTACAGGTGAATATCAGTTCATAATCTCGGACTCGGAGCGCAAAATGCTCACATGTGACGGTCTCGGACGGTTGTAGCTTAAACTTCCCGAAGGTGCTACAGTTGCGCCTGTCATTATCGCGTCGGACAAGACAAACCTGTCAAGAATGAGCGGGGACAAGACTGGGTGGCCAGTCTATCTCACCATTGGCAACATCGACAAAGAAGAGCGTCGGCGGCCATCGTCTCGTGCCACGCTCCTTCTCGGGTATCTCCCTGCCACCAAGTTGGGATCGTGCTTCTCCAAAGCGCAGCAGTCGATAGCAATCAACCGCGTCTTCCATAGGTGCATGAGCTCCATGCTTCGGTCGTTGGTCAAGGCGGGGGAGGAGGGTGTGGAGATGGTCTGCGCTGACGGATATGTTCGGCGAGTCTTCCCTATCCTGGCGGCGTATATTGCGGACCATCCAGAACAATGCATGGTGTCCGGATGCAAGGAGAACTTCTGTCCGAAGTGCTCAGTGCCGCCGAACGAGCGAGGTGAACCAGGAACTCACCCTCTGAAGAAACCCGACGCCATCCACACCATCTATCGCCGTGCCTGGGCAGGCCTTCAGCCTCCGGAGCTTGACAACCTAGGCTTGCGCCCTGTTGAACCGTTCTGGGTTGACTTACCTCACTGCGACATCTTCACCGCCATCACTCCCGATATCTTGCATCAACTTCACAAGGGCATGTTCAAAGACCACCTTGTCAGCTGGTGCACGGAAGCGCTAGGTCCAGGTGGGGAGAAGGAGGTCGATCGGAGGTTCAAGGCGATGCCGAAACATGCTGGGATACGCCACTTCAAGAACGGCATCTCTGGCGTATCTCAGTGGACGGGGATGGAGTACAAGAATATGGAGCGCGTCTTCCTCGGCGTCATCGCTGGCGCGTGCGATGAGAATGTGACGCGCGCTGCGCGCGCCATCCTCGACTTCATCCACTATGCTCACTTCGAAACTCAAGATGACTCCTCCCTCCACCGTCTTCACTCTGCCTGGCAGCACTACCATCGCTTCAAGCACGCATTTGTCGACCTCACCATTCGCCAACACTTCAATTTCCCCAAAGCGCACTCGATGCAGCACTACGAACGCTCTATCCGGCAGAGCGGAACTGCCGACGGCTTCAACACCGAACAGTCTGAACGCCTCCACATCGATCTGACGAAGATTCCGTACAATGCTAGCAACAAACAAGATACTTACCTCAAACAGATGGCGCTTTGGCTCGAGCGGCAGGAGGCGTTGGAACGCTTCAAGTCGTATTTGGAGTGGAGGGGAATCAGTGCCGCTCAACTCGCCGCTGATCCTCCGAGCGTGTCATCTGAGCTGTATACAAATGTGAGTAATTATTCGTTCTGACATGCTCTACAATCTGTCTTACGATACTATCCAGCATCCAGCTACTACCACATCGTCTGCGGCTGCTGTCCTTCCGGGAGAAAGGCTAGAACCTCGCACCTCACATCCTCGGGCTCCCGCTTCCGCCACCGCCGCTGCGACCAAATCGGCTGATGGCCGGAAGGACCACAACTCACGGCGTGTTGCGAAGTCTCCAGCATTCAAGAAGACGCTTCGGGAGCTGATAGACAGTCACGGTACGCTGCAGCTTCTCCCCGCATGGTACGTGTTCCTTCGCAAGGTCGCGCTTGGCCACCCACAACGCCTCAAGCATATCAACGACATTTTGTTCCACAACGGGAGCTGGATCTCTGGCTACCACCAGTTCAAGCTGGATCTTCCAATCGTCCGTCAAGTTTCAGCAGGGGTGCTTGTGGACACCGTTCACGCCTCACCTGAGCACGCTGCTGCTCACTCCGGAATGTCCGCAACTCCAGCGAACATGTCAACAGTTCTCGTGCTTGACCCTGATCTAGCTCCTGGCATTTCGTCGCCGCCGTTCGACCCTTCCAACCCGCTGCGAGGTGACGTCATTGGAATCGCTTTTGGCGTCGCCGTGCGGCCTGGCTAACGGTTTGATCTCACTACTCCAGGACTTCAAGTGGCTCGAGTACGCGCCATCTTCAATACACCATCCATTTACAACGCCGCTCTTCTCGGTCTTCAAGAACCACTGGCGTATGTCGAGTGGTTCACGCCGTTGCAAGTGTACGACAACCCGACCGGGATGTACGTTGTATCTCATTCCACTCGTCAGCATCTCCGTAATGTATCAATAATTCCTATCTCCCGCATTATACGTACGTGTCATCTCATCCCTGTGTTTGGGAAGACTATGAACCCTTCGTGGACGTCGGAAAACGTGCTCGATATGTGTACTCGGTTCTATGTAAACCCATATCTTCGACATCACGACTTCGTCCTATTTAGATATCTTGACCCTCGACATACAGACTCGCTCGATACATAGATATATGCATTCTAAATTTCTACTACAGTACTGAACACTACTACGTTTCGTTTGAATCCCGCTTGGCAGCGCCCACACCGACGATGTCAGGGGGCCACCCCGTTCCTGTGCGCATGCGCACCTCGCGCTCGGGTGCAAGGCCTGGCCGACACTCTACACCTCTCGGGCGCAGAGTGAGTGTGTTCCCGATTGCGAGGGGCCGCAGTTCAAGTTCATGCCGTGCGCCTGAATGTGAGGGCGTATGCGGCGCTGCGGATGCTTAGCTCGGACCCGGGCGCGCGGCGGAGTGCAATCAATGACACTTCGCTCTGCCCATCCAGGTTCTTTGTGTCTTGCTGTCCCTCTCCGCCAAGTTCCCTCCCTCCCTCCCTCCCATCCGCCGTTGTTCAAGAACCTCGCCCCAAGCCACAGCCCAGTGAGTGCGCCGTTCAACAGGATGATGCGGCCAGGGGGCCGGATGAGCTGGCTCATGCGTCACGAACTGCGGGCGTGCATGCACACTCCCTCGTATTCCCCCTCAGCCACAAACTTGGAGTACCCGAGTCTGCACCTGCCTATCGTGAGGCGGCGCTTCTGGGCGCGTCGTCCGGAATCAGCAGAGCGCGCAGCCAACAGCGCCCTCCAGGCAGCTCAAGCGGCGGTCCTCTGATTCCAGATGACACGGCTGGTTGCGTCGAATCGTGGTATGCATGTGCGCGAGAGATATAATTCATCTATAGTATAGCTACACGTGTGCTAAGTTCTCACGGAAGCCAGATATGTGCCGCGATGGAGGGCTACGGGACGGCGGCAGTGCGCTACACGGACTACAGGAGGTACATGGCGGAGGCGCCGAGCTATGGCGGATTTCCTTTTTCCTGACGCACCCGTGGAATCCAGCGGTAGCCACGTAGAATCCACCTGTCTTTCCACCGGAATTCTGGCGGGCGGGGCGCCAGCAAGAAATCGGCGGCGCGCCGTCTGGGGGTGTAGTACGACATGATGCGCGATTGGTCGACGCAATCTGCGCGCGGAGGCGCCCGCGGCATTGAGAGGGAGACAAGACGAGGCTTCTGTCGGAATGCACGCGGTGGTGGAGTGCGGTACAGGAGCGGACGAGACCAGCAGACGGGAAGAGCCTTCTGAGCGGTGTTTCACATTGGGTTACGGTTTGTGGGCTCTGAATGTCCGTAACTTATAAAAATGGATGTTTTCCCACTCACTTCTCTTACCGCCGTCGGCGGTGGCCGTGGCTCCGCTGAGCCAATCCCGAGTGCCCATACCTTTGACATCACATTTTCCTGTCGCATACATAGACATGCCATAGGTTTCCTGCCACCTGCCTGTCCTAGAGCACAGGTAGCCTTTGACGCCTCGGAGCCAAGCGGAGAACACGGACCCTTGCGAAACGCGGGAAGCGCGGGAAGGAAAGTGGACCGTAGTCAACGCGTTAACGACCAGAAAGTGCAAAAACATTCATCAATCAACGCGCGCCAATAATGCCGTCAATCCACGACCATCAGGAGGTTGCTGTAAGTTACATCGCCCGAGCTCATGCAATCTGCGTCTTCAAGAATTCCTCCGAGAACGGGTATGTTGTGTAACCTTCCGCGGTCTTCGCCGTGAAGAGCATGCTGTAGTCCGGTGCGTTGAGCGCCAGGTTCTTCTTCAGGCGGAAGGGCAGGTCAGGGTTCGCGAGGAATGACATCCCGTAGTCGATTATCTGCCCCGTCTCCTCCGCGATCTTCACCCCAGACTCGCGGTCGTACCCACCGGTGGAGATCATATGGCGGGGCGCCCAGAGGTCACGAATGAAGTTCACTTGCTGCATGCCTCATCAGCTTCGGAACCATCGCCAAAAAAGCCGCACTCCGCACCGAAGGGTTCTTCGGCCCTACGTTTTCCAGCGCGCTGGGCGCGACGACATGGAGGTACGCCAACTTCGGGAAGCGCTGCTTGAACTGGTCGACGAGGTACGTGAACTGCGGCACTGGGTCCTCCATGCGCATGTCCTGGTACGTGCTCCACGGGCTCAGGCGGATCGCCGCTTTGCTTTCACCGACGGCGCCAACGATGGTGTCCATGACCTCGAGAGCGAAGCGCGCACGGTTCTCGATCGAGCCGCCGTACTCGTCCGTGCGGGTGTTCAAGACGTCCTGGAGGAACTGGTCGACAAGGTACCCGTTCGCGCCGTGGACCTCGACGCCGTCGAAACCCGCGCCCTCGACGGCGTTCTTCGCGGCCTGGCCATACCACTGGACGTACTCCTTGATCTCTGTGGGTGAAATGGTGAGAACTACGGGAGATCCGCATCAGGCTTTGCAAAACAGCGTAGCTTCGACAGTCAAGGCGCGAGGAGCGTGCTCGGCGTGCTCTTTGAGCGCGATCGGCGAAGGCGCAACGTAGGGGTAGTCGGGGAACTCCTTGTTGAACAGGTCTGGGCGCGCCGTGCGCCCGAGAGACCAAAGCTGCAGGTAGATGTGAGAGCCCTTGGCGTGGACTGCGTCGACGATCTGCGCCTTGATTGTCGGCGAACGTTCACTGGAAGCGCTGAAATACGTGCTCACCTTTTTCCACGCTGCGACCTGTGCGTCGCCGTAGATAGCTGGGGCGTTCGGCTGCCCGCCCGCCTTCTCGTGGACGATGGTGGCCTCCGTGATGAGGAGCGTGCCTGGGACGCTGGCGCGCTGCTCGTACATCTTGACCATCAGGTCGGTGGGGACGTGGGCGTCGTCGTTGCGGTACCGCGTCATCGGGGCGAGCACCACGCGATGGGCGAGAGTGATGTCGCCGATGCGAATGGGCTGGAAAAGCGCAGACGTGGAAGCCTTGAGCACGGTAGACATGCTGAGTGGTGTTGGAGGGTGGTTGGGTGGATTGCGTAATTGTTGCTGTTACTGTGAGGTCATGCTGGCCAGAGCTTCATACGCACCCCCGTCGGCCTCTTGTACCTCGACACGTAATGTCATGACAGTTCTGGATGTCCAGTGATGACAAACTTTCTGAGCGCGACGGACGTGCAAGAGGAGGCAAGAGGGCGAATGACTCGAGCAGCTCGTAATCGCCGGGAGCATCCGATCCCAATGCTCATCAGCAGGATAGGCGCCACGGGAGACGCGCTTTGGTGGGCGGCAGGGACGCGTGGCGCGCATGGACGCACGGCTGCACGTGATGCACGCCGTCCCTCCTCCTCCCTCCCATTGTCAGCAGGTCTGGCCTTCGGCGCTTGTAATTTGAGCTGACTGCTTTGTCTGACAAGATCGTGTCCTTAAATCCTTGTGTAGGCACAGTGTAGCAGCTGATTAACACCGAGCTTAGTTATTGCTCGAACATATCACTCCTCGTCCCGGATACCCCAAACTCGACTACCGAGCACTTTTATCAATGCCCAGGTTGACACACCTTCCAATGGTCTTAAACTATGATATCCCAAAGTTTGTGAGCTCTTCATGGTTTTTGCAAAGTGCACCAATTATTTCATTGTAGGACTGGGTTTCAATCTTTGCATTTCTCAGTCAGCATTCCAGTATCTGCAGTCTGTCAAGGGCATCCCTGTCATATACGGTTTGTCAAGATCCGCTCATAGGTACCTGTGTTCCTGTCTCGGCGTCCAAAGATGCGATCGCTGCAGGCGCAATTCAAAGGCTTTGTGTTCATCTCTTGCATTTTCTCACCTCGGAGATTATATTCCGAGTGACCTGTACACGTTGATCATCTATGGTTTTGTTAACAATTGTAGGGCTTCATTCCAAGATCTGAAGAGGCATCTAGACGCCCTTGGGACCGGGCCGCCCATCCCGAGAGATAAGATAAGAACAAGAGGAATTTTCCGCCTGGTCGATCGCCATGCAGTGCCCTAGCCACTTTCTTCCTTCCACCACCCAGTGAGTAGCGACAGCAAGACACATGCCCTCATCTGACGCGCGCAGTCGAGGATGCTGGTCCTGCCAGGCAGCTCCGCAATTTCTCCGTCCAAACGCGACGCCCTAGCGCGCAAAATTCAGGACGTCTGCCCCCAAGTGGCCGCGGTCGATGCCGTCTTCATCCACCTCATCTCTTGCCGGTCCACCGTCGCGAAAGAAGAGCTGCAGAATCTAGAATCGGAGCCACGTTGTGCACTAGACCAGCTCCTACGTTACGGGGACAGCAATCAGCTCGAAAATACCCACCTCGCCCTCGAATCGCATCGCGATCTGGCCTACGTGATTCCTCGACCGGGGTCGATCTCGCCGTGGTCCAGCAAAGCGACCGATATTGCCACCATCTGCAAACTCGAACATCACGTCGAGCGTCTCGAGCGCGGCGTCGCCTACGTGTTCACCTTCAATAATGACTCACATCTCAGCCAGGCTCTCATCGACATCATCTCACCGCTCATCCATGACCGAATGACCCAGGTCGTCCAGTCAACCCCCCCAAAGGAAGAAGCCATTTTTTCCCACAAAGGGGCCAGTCCCCTCCTCACCATCGATCTCGTCACCACCGACGTTCGTGACGAAGCTAGGGACAAGCTCGCCGTCGCGAACAAGGAGCTCGGCCTCGCCCTCTCGGCTGACGAGATGGACTATCTCGTCGACGCCTACGTCTCCGGCCCCGCAGCGATGGGCCGCAACCCGACGGACGCGGAGCTCTTCATGTTCGCACAGGTCAACTCCGAGCACTGCCGCCACAAGATTTTCAACGCGTCGTGGACGATCGACGGCGAGGACCGGGACACGTCGCTCTTCCAAATGATCCGCAACACCGAGAAGTTGAACAGCACTGGGACGATCTCTGCCTACTCTGACAACGCTGCCGTCTTCGAGGGCCACAGTGCACCCCGCTTCTCCGTTTCGCATGCGTCCGACGACACCGACCCCACCGCCGCGCTGACGTACCGCTCGCACGTCGAAGACATGCCCATTCTCGTCAAGGTCGAGACGCACAACCATCCCACCGCCGTCTCGCCCTTCCCTGGGGCCGCGACGGGTTCTGGCGGAGAGATCCGTGACGAGGGCGCGGTCGGGCGCGGGTCGAAGCCCAAGGCCGGACTCGCGGGCTTCACCGTCTCGAATCTGCTCATCCCCGGGTTCGTGCAGCCATGGGAGACCGACTTCGGGCGCCCTGCGCACATCGCGTCTGCGCTGGACATCATGGTCGACGGCCCGCTCGGCGCGAGCGCGTTCAACAACGAGTTCGGCCGCCCTGCGCTCGCGGGCTACTTCCGCACGTTCGCGGAGCGCGTCCGGCTCCCCGACGGCAGCACCGAGGTCCGCGGGTACCACAAGCCGATTATGCTCGCCGGAGGACTCGGGAACGTCCGCCCGGCATTCGCGCACAAGTCGAAGATCTCCAACGGGGCGAAAATCGTCGTCCTCGGCGGACCGGGACTACTCATCGGACTCGGCGGCGGCGCGGCGAGCAGCCAGGTGTCGGGCGCGGGGTCGGCGGAGCTCGACTTTGCGAGCGTGCAGCGAGACAACGCGGAGATGCAGCGGCGCTGCCAGCAGGTGATCGACGCGTGCATCGCGCGAGGGGACGCGAGCCCGATCGAGTCCATCCACGACGTCGGCGCGGGCGGGCTCTCGAACGCGCTCCCGGAGCTCGTGCACGACTCCGGGCTGGGCGCGACGTTCGAGATTCGGGACGTGCTCGTCGCGGACTCGAGCATGTCCCCGATGGAGATCTGGTGCAACGAGAGCCAGGAGCGGTACGTGCTCGCGGTCGCGCCCGCGCGCGAGGCGCAGTTTCGCGCGGTCGCCGCCCGCGAGCGCTGCCCGTTCTCCGTCGTCGGCACCGCGCAGGACTCGGACGCGCTCGTCGTCACCGACCGGCTGCTCGGCCAGGACGTGATCAACCTGAAGATGTCGACGCTGTTCGGGAAGCCCCCGCGCATGTACCGCCGCGACGCGCACGTCCCGCCGCCCGCGACGCCCTTCCTGCCCGACCTTGCGGCCGCCCTTCCCAACACCCCCGCACCCGCACGCCTCGCAGAAGCCGCCAACCGCGTCCTCCGCCTCCCCTCGGTCGGCTCGAAGGCGTTCCTGATCACCATCGGCGACCGCTCCGTCACCGGGCTCGTCACGCGCGACCAGATGGTCGGGCCGTGGCAGGTGCCCGTCTCAGACGTCGCGGTGACGCGCGCGTCGTACGGCTTCGACGTCCGCGCGGGCGAGGCGATGGCCGTTGGGGAGCGCACGCCGCTCGCGGTGCTCGACGCCGCGGCGTCCGCGCGGATGGCCGTCGCGGAGGCGCTCACGAACCTCGCTGCGGCGCACGTTGGGGCGCTCGGGCGCGTGAAGCTGAGCGCGAACTGGATGTGCGCGGCGGGCAAGGCGGGCGAGGGCGCGGGGCTGTACGACGCCGTGCGCGCGGTCGGGATGGAGCTCTGCCCGGCGCTCGGGGTCGGGATCCCGGTCGGGAAGGACTCGATGTCGATGTCGATGCGGTGGCAGGAGCGGGACGGGGAGCGGAAGGAGGTCAGCGCGCCGCTGTCGCTCATCGTCACGGCGTTCGCGGCGGTCGAGGACGTGGGGAAGACGTGGACGCCGCAGTTGCGCACGGACGTGGACGGGCCGACGGTGCTGCTGTTCTTCGACCTTGCGCGCGGGAAGCAGCGTCTTGGAGGTTCGGCGGTCGCGCAGGTGTTCAAGCAGGTCGGCTCGGAGGCCCCGGATGTGGTGGAGGCCCAGGACATCAAGACGTTCTTCGAGGCGTGCCAGGCCATTCGTGAAAGCCATCCAGGTGCCATCCTCGCATACCACGACAGGTCCGACGGTGGCCTGTTCACGACCATCGCGGAGATGGCTTTCGCTGGACGATGCGGAGTGGACATCAAGCTCGACGCCGTCGCACAGGAGGACTACGTCTCGGCACTCTTCAACGAAGAACTAGGGGCGGTTGTTCAGGTACTCGAGCGCAGCGTTTCCACTGTTTCCGAAGTCTTCGTCGAGCAAGGTTTCCCATCGTCTTCCATCCACGTTCTGGGCAGCGTGACTCGTGAGGAGACCGTCAAGTTCTCAACGTCTTCCGGCGACGTGTTTTCCAGCACCCGCGCGCAACTGCAGTCGGCATGGACCGAAACGTCCTACCAGATGCAATCCCTTCGCGACAACCCGGACTGTGCAGAAGAAGAGTTTGCGCTCATATCATCCCCCGACCACCGCGGGCTCTACTACGACCTGACCTTCTCCCCGCACCAGTCCCGCAACCTCTTCCGCCGCCCCAAGGTCGCCATCCTGCGCGAGCAGGGCGTGAACGGGCACATCGAGATGGCCTGGGCCTTCAACGCCGCCGGCTTCGACGCCGTCGACGTGCACATGTCCGACATCCTCTCCGGCGCCGTCTCGCTCTCCTCGTTCCGCGGACTCGCCGCCTGCGGCGGCTTCTCCTACGGCGACGTGCTCGGCGCGGGGCGCGGCTGGGCGTCCTCCGTGCTCCTCAACGCGACCGCGCGCGCCGCGTTCTCCGCGTTCTTCGCGCGCGACGACAGCTTCGCGCTCGGGGTCTGCAACGGCTGCCAGCTCCTCGCCGCGCTCACGGAGGTGATCCCCGGCGCGGCGGACTGGCCCGCGTTCCGCGCGAACCGCTCCGAGCGCTTCGAGGCCCGCGTTGCCGTCGTCGAGGTCGTACCTGGGCCCGCAACTGCACGTTCGGTCTTCCTGCGGGACATGGCGGGTGCGCGCCTGCCCGTCGCTGTCGCACACGGGGAGGGCCGCGCGGTGTTCGCGCGCGAGGGGCAGCGCGCGGCGTTGGAGGAAGCCGGGCTCGTCGCGGTGCGGTACGTCGATGGGAAGGGCGCGCCAGCGGAGGCGGAGGCGTACCCGCTCAACCCGAACGGGAGCCCTGGGGGCATCACGGGCGTGCAGACACCTGACGGGCGGGTGCTCGCGCTCATGCCGCACCCGGAGCGCGTCGTGACGATGGAGAGCAACAGCTGGTATCCGCCGGAGCTGGCGGAGGCGTGGAAGGGTGTGGGGCCGTGGTTCCAGCTGTTCCAGAGCGCGAGGAAGTGGTGCGGGGAGTGATGTGTTGAATTGTTCGCTAAAGGGGATGAATGGATCAGAGAAACAGAAGGAAAGAATGAAAGAATTTTAGGACTCACAGTTTGTGGCTCTAGTGGTAGATAAGTACTGGCAGTGTTCGAGGTCATGTATCCGGGAATCGTGTACAAAACGTGTCGTGCTGTGTCTCGGCGCACAAGCGCCAGGTAATGTGAACATCCGGGCGCTCCGCGGTCCTGACTTGGACTCACCACTGTGGCACGCCTTCAGAACTAGCTATAGGTATACACTCTTAAGCTCTCGCACTTCCACTTCGATGTCAAACCACGCCGCTTGCTCAAAATTTCGTTGCCGCTGCTCCCACAACCCGTCGAGCACCTCAAGATGGTGTGTGTGCCATTGGAATCCTCGCCGGACGATTTCTTTGCATTAATCTTCGCGCGCTTTCCCAACCTCAAATGGCAGCCGCCATCATGAAGTAGAACAATGGGAACACTGTTGAACTTTGAACGTTGACAGCCGTGCGAAACGCACATCGGTCATTGGCGATGTTGCAGAGTGTTGCAGGCGCGTTGTCTCCACCCTTCTCTCGTCCTTGTATACGGAGCTAAGGTCTTCGTCCTAGACATAATACGCCAACGTCTCGGATGAACTTGAAGGGGTGAAGTGCCTCATTGCCAGCACGCTTTAACTTAATTAGCCCATTCTGGCCAAGCTCAAAGTTTCCAGGATCATGACATCCGACATCAAACCCAGAATCCGGCTGCGGAATTAATAGAGTTGCAACTTAGATGCCGTGCCGTGAAGAGGATCTGCTGCTCCGACACGCCGACATCCTTTCTCTCCACCAGCTGCTGGGAACGCCGTGCTCAGTATGCTGCCTCTTCTCCTTCTCGCCGTCCTTCCGCTCTTTGCTTGCTCCAAAGTACGCGCTGCTTCCTTCACTCCTGCCAGCATCCCCCTTGCAGTTCGCGCCCCCTATGTCAACGCCTGGCAGATCTCGACGAATGGATCAGCACCACTCTCCAGTTCGTGGCCTAAGTTCTGGTCTCAAACGGTACGTCCTATTTTTTGCGCAGGTGTTTTGTCCTCGAGCATGAAAGGCAGGGTCCGGACGTGGGCTGGAGAGGCAAGGTTCGGATTGACGGGACGATGTACACCTGGATGGGCCGCGACCTCGACTCTCCGTCAGCAAACATCACCTCTGTGCAAGTCACCCCGACAAGAAGTATCTACACCATGCAGGTGGGCCCGATGACCCTCACAATCACTTTCCTATCCCCTCTCGAGGTACGCTGCTATCGTCGTTCACGTGTCTCACGCTTCTTACGCGACCTCGCAAGCCCTCCGACTGGGTCAAGCAGTCCATTCCTCTGTCATACGTTGCCTTGGAGGCGACCGCGAACGACAACGCGGTCCACACTGTGCAAGTATACAGCGACATCACGGCCGTCCGTGCGTCCCTGTGACATCGCCATGTGGACGTTTGCTGACATGCTGTGTTCGAAGAATGGCTCTCGCCCAACCTGACCAGCCCGGTGAACTGGACCTCGGTGACCACGAGCAGCAGCGTCTACCACGAAGTCGACTTCATCACCCCCGCACCTTTCACAGAGTTCAGCGACCGCGCGATGGACGGGCGCGCGTTCCACGCGACGGCAGCAGTGCGTACAGTCGCTGTCTCCGAGCGCATCGGACATTTGATCTTATCTCCACTGTCAGGTACCGAACCTCTCATGGCAGATCCAAGAGTTTCAGATCGTCCACAACAACTTCAAGACAAACGGCCGTCTGCCCAACACTGCCTTGACCTCGCAACCATCCGACGGGCTGTAAGTTGCATGCATGGTGTTTGAGCCATTCCAAATGACTCGTTTGTTGCAGCGACTTCCTCGCCTTCGGCCTCGCCATCGACCTGGGCACAATCAGCAAGACTTCGCAGCCTGTGTCTTGGGTGGTGGGGAACCTCCGCAATCCGACAATCCGGTATGTGACACCCACCGGAGAGACTCAAGACCGAGTCCCTTACTACGCCACGCAATACTCGTCTGCCGCCGACGTGGTACGTACCCCGTGCTGAGCCACAATCACACCCACTGCCCTGCTGATGTGATTCGTTCAGATCGACGCGTTCACCACCGGCTATTCGGATGCTCTGGCGCGCGCGATTGCGCTAGACAACAAGATCACGGGAGACGCGGGCAAGATCTCGTCCGAATACGTCGACTTGGTCTCGCTCAGCACGCGTCCGGTGCTTGCGACTCTCGACATCACTGTTTCCCGGAACGCAGACGGTAGCGTGAATGCGTCGGACGTGATGGTCTTCATGCGCGACATCGGCACCTCGTCGTACGTAGTTCCTTTTCGCCTCTCAATTGGATCATCTTGTTCATCCTGTGAACGTCAATTCTTTCAGGCGCATCAACCCTGTCGAGCGCATGTACGCCTCGTTCCCGGCATTCCTTTATCTAAATGCGTCGCTCGCTGGGGCCATGTTGCGCCCGCTGCTGCAGTCGCAATCGCAACTGACGCTTCCTTATGCGGTGCAAGATCTCGGTACGCAATTTCATTGTCGAACTGTAGTGGCCTCAAACCGATTGATTTGCACAGGTTTGCAGTATCCCATCGCTTCGGGGGGTCGAGGAGGACAGTCCGAAGGCGTGGAAGGTGTGACCGACACCGTTCCTCGCTCGACTCCATCTGACTTTATATGTCTGCAGAGACCGGAAATATGTTGATCATGATGTACGCGCACGCCAAGGCTTCTGGCGATGGCACACTGCTCGCGCAGAACGTACGTTCAGCATTCCCTAGGTGCTCATCGCGCTAACGCCACACGTCTGTACAGTACCATCTTGCCAAGAAGTGGGCTGACTACCTTGTGTCGAACAACAATGCCGTCCTCATACCCAACCAGTGCGTTATCTCTGTCTGCGCGGCGACAGAGGTGACTGACCACTCGCTAGTCAGAGTGTCTCCCGACGGCATGATAGCAGCCAACATGACGAACCTCGCGATCAAGGGTATCATCGCAATAAAGGCCATGGCTGAGATTAGTCGCGTGTTCGGCGCGGTCGACGACGCAAACATGTACGACGTACGTCTCTCTCCGCACCTCCATGGTGGCTTGCGTGCTCACGGGAATTTCTCAGAGCAACGCAACAGCAATGGTGCAGACGTGGATGTCCCTCGCGACATCTAGCGACTCCAGCAAGCGCATTCTCGGACAGTACGGGAGCTCCGACTCATGGGCGCTCATGTACAACCTTTACCCCGATGTGCTGCTCGGGACAGGCCTCGTTCCGCAATCGGTCAGTACCGCTGCCGCGTTTCCCGAATATCCCTGTAGCTCAACCTCCACAGCTTCTTGCCAGCCAGACACAGTACTACAAATCGCTGCTTCAGAACGACGGTGAGCCTTCTAGCTGTTTCCCTACACGAATCATTTCTGAACGCTGTTCCGTCAGCTGGGATCTACGGACTCCCTATCACTTCGACGTCAAATAGCGCGTGCAGCTTGTGTACGTTTTATATCATCTGTGCCCCCGCTGCGCTTCGTTTTAATCAAGTCCATCTAGCCTGGCTCTTGTTCACGAGCGCCACTCTCTCCGAAAGCGACACATCGATCAGAGACTCCATGATGTCCGGGGCATGGAATCGGGCCTCCTACAACGGCGTCCAGGGTGCGATGCCCGACGACTACCAGTGCGCGACCGGGGCCAGTGGTACTGGCGCGGCAGGGTATGTGACTGGCCTTCTGCACGCGCGAAATGTACTGACCTCAACTCAGGCCTGGACTGGGCGCAACGTACGCACACCTCGCCCTGAACGTGATGGACGGCTCTTCTATCAACGTTCCATTCAACGGCTCCACCGGTGCCACGGACTCCACCTCCACAGGGACCGGTAGCGGGAATCCGAACGGCGAGAACAACAACGGTTCCAAGACGTCCAACGTCGGCCCCATCGTCGGCGGCGTCGTCGGCGGCGTCGTCATCCTCATCATCGCGGGCGTCGCCTTCTGGTACTTCCAACGGCTGCGCCGCGCCCCCTCCTCCGACGCCGTCGCCGACCCGTACGACCGCGCCGCGCCCCTGTTCTCGCAAACCCGCTCCGAGGGCAGCACCGTGCCGCCGTCCATGACGCACCCCGCATCCTCCTTCACGTCGCCGCGCACCCCGCCCGGCGGCCCGGCCTCGTTCGAGACGCAGACGCTCCTCACCGGCACCTCTCCCGCACGATCGCCCCAGAGCGCGCCCTGGAGCTCCCTGTACGTCCCCGAAGCCTCCGTGGGCGCCCCTGCACCCCTCGTGCCCAACCGCCGCCCCGCGCCGCCCCCGCCCCCGCCTGCGACGGTCGGAGGGAGATACTCGAAAGCGCGCGAGGCGGCCATGAACCAGGCGCAGTACCACCATCACGCCTCCGCCTCGGACCCGGACTCGGCCTCGTCGGACGGCAGCCGCGCCCCAGCGCCGCATGTGGGGTGGGGAGGGACTGGGAGGACCAGTCGGTGACGTCCGGCGGGGGGATGTCCGACCTCCGGGAGGAGGTCGAGCAGCTGCGGGCGGTGATGGACGAGCTCGCGGGCAGAGGCTCGCGCCGCCGCCGGAGTATGTTTCGTAGGAGGGTGGTTGGCGGTTGGGGATTGCGTTGCGTGCGGACGTCCGTCGTGGTTCCAGGTCGTCGGCTTCGTTTCCTGGTTGTGTACTTATTCTTGCGCTTTCTCGGGCACTGGCTGTAACGTTTGCGCTCTCGTTTGGACCGCTGGGGGGACGCGGGCTGTCGCACATTCAAGCTTGTTGCGTCCAAGTCGGTGAGAGTGACTTCGAGCTGTTGGAGCGGATGCCGAGCCGACTGCACTCAGTCGCTTGGGAGCACTCGTCGTGAGCCTGCGCGGTTTGAGCGAGGTGTTGGAACCATTGTACACATGTTAATCCGACGAAGGACCGAACCCAAGGGTCCAGCGACACGAGGTATACACCAGAAGGAGGAGAACCATGGGTGCTATATGCAGGATAGATGGTGGACTTTACCTAGAGCAAGTTGGACAGCGACCGGAGAGATAGTGTGGAGGAAAAGGATAGGAAAATCATGCAGAGCGTCGTAGTCATGCCGTACACACCCGGGCGTCCCCCGCCCGGGCCTCTAAGCCCGCCCGCCCTGCCCCGCTCCGCGGACGGGCCCCCACCACAGTCATCGTCCGTCATCCCCACCCCCACCGCCGAACGCGAGACGGAGCGCAAAGGGGCTCACGACTCGCACTGGACGGTGCTGACGGCGAAGAAGTCGAACGAGAGCGCGGGGCGCGCGCGCGCGCTCTCGGAGAAGCGGCCCCAGTTGAGCCACCACTCCTCCGCGGCGTCGTAGGCGTCGTAGAGGAAGAGCTCCGCGATCTCCTCGAACTCCTTCTTGACCGTGCCCTCGTCCCACTCGTCCTTGCGCCGCCGCATGTCCTCGTCCCGCGCCGCCGCCGCGGGGCCCTCCGGCCACACCAGCATCCGCGCGTTCGACCAGTCCGCGGCGGCGCCGAACGCGGCCCGCCGCTCGCGCAGCTCGTGGTACGCGGAGAGCAGCGTCGGGATCTCGTCCAGGAGCGTGATGCGCGAGAAGAGCGAGCCGAGCACCGTCGCGTCCTCCACCGCCATCGAGCACGCGTGCGAGCCGCCGGGCTGTCGGGCGAGAGTCGGGACAGGCGGGCCGGGCGGGCCAGGCGGGGCGGGAGAACAAGACGGCACGCGTGGTCAGCGTGCGGTTCGGAGTGCACGGCGCGAGTGGCACAAGACGCACCATTGATGGGTGTGCCGCGTCGCCGAGGAGGGCGATGCGCCGGTCGCATCGATCCAGTCGTCAATGTCGTCGTGTCGCATGGAGGTGGTGCGGACGAGTTCGGGCGCAAGTTGATCAACCGCTGGATGCTGCGGAGAGCAACGTGCCCGAAGAAGCATCGGACATCAGCAAGGGGGGCGGGATCGTGCGATGGATCACGCACTATGGGCCGAGCTTGTCGAAGTTGTCAATCGTGCTCTTGGGCACGACCTCGTCCCAGCCCTCGTACGTGCCTTGGGGATCGTGTCGTGCTGATGGGAATAGAAGTGGAAGTAGAACTTGTTTTCCCGCACTGCAATCGCACGGGCATCAGCCAGGCCCCATCAATCGGACGCGCGGATCGATGGAGCACTCACCATCGGGTGGCCTGGGAGAATTCGATGGGCAGGCACAGATTAGAGGTCGGGGGACGGGCAGAAAGGCACGCTGTGGGACCTACCGGCGAGACTTCGATGTTCACCCATCCAGATCGGCCACTGCGGCCGGGGTCAGCACAGCGCGCGCACAAGCGACAGGCACGTACCTCGTCCGACAGCACAAACGGCCGGAGATCGTCGTCCTTGAGCATGTCCTCAGCGTCGACGATACCAGTGTAAAGAGTCATCCCCGCGGGCTCGAGACAATCGTCATCATCTTCGAGAACGACCTCCCGCACCCTACTCCGGACGCCGTCCGCGCCGATGAGGATATCGCAGGTGAGCACGTCGCCGTTCGCCAAGGTGACGCTGGGGTTCGGCAGAGAACTTGTGCCTTGTGTATTGACACGACCTCGGCGCCGAAGGTGATCTGTGCGCCGGCCTCCTTCGCGGTCTTGTACAATAAGCGGATGAGGTCCCCCCGCTGTGCGCCCACCGTCAATTGTGCGCGCCGGGCGAGAATGATGAGCGACGCACGTATGTCACGAGGAAGTCTCCGCCGGTCTCGGCCATGACGGCCGGTTTCCAGTGGACGTAGCCCACGAACTCGCCGTCCTTCACTGCGAAAGAGCGAACAAGTCAGCATCCGCACCAGCACGCCGCCGCCGCCGCCGCCCGGGCATCAAAAGGAAACAATCCCATTCCGTTGCGGGCACGGCCGAGGCCTCGACCGATCACCCGGACGTGCGCAATAAAAGCCGTCATCGTCCGCTGCCCGCGTTAGACCCGCCGGAGCGGGGGAAGATCGAGGCACGGACCCGCGTGTCCCCCGCCGCGCGCGGGGGTCCACGGGCGGAGTGCCTGCGCTCACATGCTAGCCCCTCGAGAGCAGAGCGCGGGGCCGTCAGGACCGTCTGATGCAATGCGCGACGCACGGCAGGCCCGCGCGAGCGAGCGTCCTGGGTCGGTCGGAAGAGGAGGGGCCTGCGATCACGCGCACGGCCCCGGGGCATCCGGGGGATGCTGCCGTGGGGAAGCGCCAAAGCGGACGACGTCCGCTACGAGGTGGGCGGGACGCCTGCGCCAGAAATACACGAGACGGAGTGGGGCGCGCGGAGCCCGGTGCGATGGTGTAAATGAAAAGACACCTTCAGCGACGAGGGTCTCCGGGCACCGCACCGAGGCTCTAGAAGGGGATCGCCAGGGTTTACGGCGGAGCGACGCCCACGATGGCCCCGATGCGGGAGAGAAGTGGAGATCGCGGGATGGGAAGAAGTGCGGGATGGGAAGGCGGTAGAAGCAGAGGAAGCCGGAGTGCACGATGGGAATCGAGACGCCAAACGGAGGGAGACTCACGGTGGTGGAAGGGTGTGCCGACACAGCGCGTGGAGATCCTCAACAGCTCCTCCTCGTCCACCCAGCGGCGGATGATCTTGGACATGTTCGGGGGGATGCGGACTCCTGCGCCTTGTGCGGACGCATCGAGGTTTGGCGCCTTCTCCAGCACATGACACGGTGGCCTGCCTTGGAGAGGGTGTATGCGGCTGAGAGGCCGCCGACGCCTGGAAGAACGAGAACGCAGGTCAGCGAACGCGTTGTGGCGAAGGGTGGTCTCTCGGGACGAGGCGCAGCGCGCACTGATGCGCATACATCAAGTGCGGCGCTCAGGCTGTGACGGAAAAAACAAGGGGCAGGACAGGGGGAAGGCGAGACGCGATCGGGATAGTGGCGTGGATGTTGGCAACTACCTCCACCGATCACTAGAAAGTCGAGGGAGAGCGGGGGCGAACGGGACGGATTCCGTTCATGTTGAAGTTCATAGAGGCCAAGCTCGGGAGAACGTCCCACGCTTGTGTAGGTTGAAGGTGGAGGGCAGATAACCAGGGCGGTGGGGATGTGGGAAGCGTGAAGGCGGGGGTGGTGAGGCAGAATGCGCTGGGGCCTCTGAGGGATGTTAGCGGGCGGAGGAAGAGAGGGACGGAGGGAGCTGACGGGAAGAAGGAAGCGAGGAGCAGGTACGGGCGGGTTTTGTAGAGCGGGACGTATGATGGAATCTCGGGAGGGGACTCGCGCGCGCCTTGGCCTTCTCGCCTGCCTGTCGCCCTCCCACCGCTCGGTCTATGCAGCTCTGGCCATCTTTCGTCGGCGGAAAACGTGGGCAGCCGGCTTCGCTCGCCCATCCCGCGAATCGCCCACCGATTGGCAACTTCTCCGCTTCGCGAATCGCGATCTGTTCCCTCCATCTCTCTCTGGTATCACACCACGCAGTACTGTGAAGCATTCGTGTGGCCTGGATGGTGGGCAAACGGCGACGACGACGGGCGATGGACGGTCCCTGGTGAGTTGTTGGCGCACATCTGCCTTGCAATTGGCTGTCGGTTCGTGCGGGCAAATCTCAGGCCCACTCTGGAAGCTTCAGGTTTCCGGTACAAAACTGGCTGTATGGACCAATCAAAGTCACTGCGCTTACTCAAAGTCAATGGCTGGAATGCTGTTCGTCCGGAAGGGCCAGTCTGGGTGCGACAAGCAAGGGACGATACGCACCCTCGCTCGGGCATGAAAACTCGCCGGTCGCCCCAGGCGCGGCGAGGGCCCGCTCGGCGTTGCGCACCGTGGGCGAAAGAAGGCGGGACGCCGAACGCGAGGCAAGGCACGTGCCCCGCCATTACAGCGAAGCCCATCTCCGGCAAACCAGTCCAGATCATCCGACATCCTCCCGCCCGCGGCTGGAGAACTTCTGGGGCGCGCACGCCGTCGGCCGACCGCGGGCCGCACTCGCAGCTTGTCATCCGACCACGGCGTATACACACTGCTCGTCCTAGAAGCTCGGCTCGCCCGCTAGCCTCAACCAGCCTCCAACGGCCTGGAGCCACCTCCGGCATCTCAACGTCTCAACGCTAGCAGACGCTAGCCCGGCGCAGAATCAAACCGTGGGAAGCTCTGATCCTCCTCTCAATCGGAACTGCGCTACCAACTCGCCCCTCCCGCTCAGGGTTTGAAGTGCTTGATGTACCACTCACCGAACTCGGGACGCGCGGATATTGAATCACAACATCAGCACCCGACCCACCCGAACACGGATCGCATGGGTACAACAACGAGCACCACGCCGCCTATCGGGACACCGACGGTACCATTGCTTACAGCCACATACCCTGACCACGCCTTCTGCACGCCGCATAAGTACGGCATCCATCTACCACGCCACACCCAGCCCTGCATCTACCCTTGCTCGCGCCCTCGCCGCTCGGCCCGCGGCCAAACACCGCCAGGCTCAGCCAGCACAGGCCGCAGAGACGCCGCGGCACACGCCGCCGGTCCCGGCTTGCCAGCGCGGTCGCCCCCGGCGGGTACGTTACGCACGATGATGCGCTTGCAGAAGCTTTGGATCTGGAAGATCACGAACCGCGGCGACGCGACGGAGACGGACGCGACGCGGCAGCGATCGGCTCGTTAGCGTGGGGAGGGGGCTGCGGGGCTGCATCATATGTGAGCGGGGGCGGCGCTGGGCGGCGTCGCTGCCGATGGATTTGATTCTTGCCATGCATACATATGCGAACGCTCTGCGCCGTGTCCGCCGCGCCGCGTCCCAGTGTGTCGCAGAATCGCGGTGGCCCGTGGTGTCGCGCGCGACGCATATGCGCATTGTGGAGGAGCCGGGGCCGCTCGGAGAGCACCGGTGTTACTGCTGTACATATCCATTTTTCGCCGCGGACGGAGGGGTTGGGATCGGAGGCTTTTCGAGGCGGCGCGCCCCACGCACATAGGCTATAGCAGACAAACACTCGGCGCGCCCGACGCGCTTGTGCTTGTGCAAACGTACGCGGTGCTTTTACGCTCGGCTCTGCACGGAGCTGAGGCCTGAACGTTTAACCGCGCCGCACTGCAACTCACAAATCACCACCAATATAACACCAGCCGACCGGTGGACTCGCGTGCGCCGCCGTGGCCCACTTCCGACCCGCGAAGCTGCGGCTCGTCTCGAGTACGTACGATCACATACCCAAGCACCACTGCGTCTCGGGATCGCGATCTCAGTTCCTTGGCTGACCGAAGTCGAAAGCTCGTCTCTTCGGGCGCACGCCGACGTCGCAGAACAACTGGAGCAGAATAACCAAAATGTCCATAAGAGATACTAAGATACGAGAGGGACTGTACACATTACAAGCGCACCACCCGCACGGCACAAATCGTACCCCGAAGCAACAGGCTGAATTAGAGGTCTAGGCGGACGACGCGACGGGGAAAGGGCGGGGGAGACGGTGGGTGGCGGGCAGCGAGCGCGAACGATGGATATCCGTGCGCCCGCCCCGGGCGGTGCGGGGGCGGGCGGTGGGTATATTCTGGTTCGGTGCGTTGAGCATCGGGGTTGTAGGGGACCGTGTGGCAGTAATGGGTATGGGCGGGGCGAGGGGCAGGGAGAGCGAGGGAGGAGGGGCGCCACGAACACACGAATACGCGCACGGTCTCGGTCTCTGCGTCCAGTCAAAGTCCAGTCTATCCAGTACGGGTAGCAGCACATAGTCATTGCTCGAGTCGTCTGCCCTCCTCCCCTCCTCCTCCTCCTCCCCGTCGCGGACCGGAACGGCTCACCGCGCGTAACCGGACTGCAACTCCACAGCCGGTTGCTGGTAGTACTGCTGCTGTTGTGGCGGGTTGGGCGAGAACGGCTGTCCAGGGTACTGGGACTGCGGGTAGCTCGGCGTCGATGGCAGCTTCTCCGTGTAACCCTGGTTCGCCGGGGCCGCCGGAGCAGGACCGTCCGCAGCAGCGGTGGCAGCACGCGCATCACCAATACCCGCACGGGTACCCCAACCAGTCTGGACAGCACATGTCAGCCTCGCACGGTACGACGGACAGCCGCATCTGCAAAGACACGTACCTCGTGAAGCGTGAAGAGGGCGTAAAGCTTCATGATAGAGAATAGTAGCCGAAGAGAATGAACGCCGGGACATGAATTATGTCCTGCGGCCGGTTCCAGAGATGGGGGAGCAGCTTCGCGGTACGGGTTGCAAACAGCCACACGAAGTAGGAGACGACGACATTCCTGCGCATCCGAATCGTCAAGGCTTCCAGCCTAGATTGAGTGTGCAAGAGACTCACCACCACGGCAAGTGGAAACCACCCTGCTCCACCGGGATCGTCGACTTGTAGACGACAACACCGACGAAGAATGGGCCTGCAAGTAGCGTGATGGGGTTGAAAAGCTTGTCGACCTGTGCCAAGCCCGTCACGTCAGCGCGCTGTGATATACGCCATCATCGCCTCTCCACAGCCAACAGCCGGGTAACGACGTGTGGGCGAGGCGCCGAGAACGGCCATCGCAACGTGTGGAAGAAACGACAACGAGCGGGGACGACGGGGACAAGCAGGAACACATGGAGAGATCGACTCACCATCGTGTACGCTACGTATGGGTGTGAGGTCCAGATGTAGCGCTCCGTGAACAGCGATCGAATTCGGAACGCCAGGTGTTACGGGTCCACCGGAGTACTTGCTTGAGGAAACGCCAGTTGGGCTTCATCGTCGAGAGCAGCTCCGCCTCCTTGCAACACTGGACGTAGGTGCTCCAGCCGTGGCTGACCATCCACCGGGTGAGGAACTTGTCGTCGCCGGAGTTGAGCTGGTACTTCCCGAGCCAGTAGTCGTGGGTGAAGCCGTGGAGGAACTCGGGGTCCTTGAGAATGACGGTGCGGTAGGCGGCGGTACGGCCAGACAGGCACGGCAAGCCGCCGTCGATGTGGGTCGAGGACATGATCTCGATGTTCCGGATGGAGAGCCGGAAGGCGGCGAGAACCTCCCAGACCGTCATCGAATTTCCGACGGGCTGCACGCGCTGGGACGTGCCCACACCGCCGACCTTCTGGTCCTCGAAGCATGCGAGGACGGAGGGGAGGAGGGTGGGGGGCCAGATAGCGTCGTCGTCAGCAAAGACGATGATGTCCGTGGTGGTGTTCTTGATGCCGTGGGACATCTGGAGCCGCTTGTTGGCGAAGGGGACGGTGAGTACGCGGATGCGCTCGGGGTCGACGGCGTTGGCGAGGTCCTGGAGGGGGCCCAGCATCTTCTCCTCGGTGATGATGATGATCTCCTTGGGCTTGCCTACGAGCCAGGAGTGTGCAGCCTCCTTGAACTCCTCGCCGGCGTCGATGGTGGGGACGATGATCGTGACATCCTCTTCAGCGATGTACGTCGGGTTTTCGGGGATGGGGATAGGGCGGTAGACCAGAGAGGCGACAATACGGATTAGGTACCACAAGTATCGATAGAAGCTGAAGAGATGTCAGCGCAAGCAGAGAAGAAAGAAGTGCAGGGCACTCACCCAATGACCCCGAATGGCACGACTGCGAACGAGGAAGCTCAGTGTGAGCACCGAGGGCGATGAGGAGGGTACTCACAGACGGGGAACTTGTCAGAGGTCAGGCGAAGCATGGCTCGGCGACCTCCGAGAGAGCGCAGGCAGTAGAAACGACGGAGCAGAAGAAAGGAGGGATGGGTGGGGGCGTCGGCGGGGACGGGGGTTGTCGCAGGAGCGACGAGAACGTTGGCGGAAGGTCTTTAGACGACGGACGGCGTGACGACCCTCCCAGCCGCTCGACAGTCGGAGTCTGAAAGACTTCCTTTCCGGGACAATGCCGTGCTGACCTGAGTTCCATTCCGGCACGGCCTTCCTGTCCGCCACTCTGGCCGCTCCTCGCTCCATGTTTCTCCTCCTGTATGCAAATTCATAGCATCGCCCGCTCTTTCTCTCCTCTCGTCCCCCACAAATCGCGTCAGGACGCTCCCTAGTAGTACTGTGCCGCGCTCGTGGGAGTACAATTTGTTCTCCATCATTCCGGTCAGCCTCGATAATCGATTGCTGCCCACAATACACCACCAGTGGCCGGGTCTCTGCGCGTAGATACGTACACCGCAGAGCATTCTCGCAGAGACGGAACTCCTCCGGGCAATCGGACTGCATCCGCCTATGTTCGAGCATTCTTCCACAACAACGAAGCAGTACTGGTATTAAAGCCCCACCCGAACATGTCCGAAATGCACAAAACGAGTGCGTAACCTAAGCTGTTGTGCTCACAGTTAGGCCAAGTCACTGCATGCAGCCACTGATGCTCGAAAAGTGAACCACTACGCTGACAGCAGGATTTGAACCTACGCGGGCAATGCCCAAGTGATAACTGAATGTGCATTCAAATCACTCGCCTTAACGACTCGGCCATATCAGCACCTTTGCTGCTGCTGGTTGATTCTTGGGTTTTTGATATTATGTTGAGGCGCAACTTATCCTTTGCTCAAGGCTGACACACGATGTCCGGATTGTGATTTTGTTCGCACTGTGCCCAAAATCCCTCCAACGATCGATATCTCGACGCCACGGCTTGGCTTTGAGAATGGATCGAGATCATAGATTCATATACTTACTCAACTTGGTTGCGGATACGGCGTCAATGCACGGATATAGCCGCCTCCACGAACGAGACATTACAGGGGATGTCCCGTCCCCCTTGAATTGTCTATGCCATTGCCACTGGCAGATCCAACGTCGAAATGTCAGGCACCAGGTGAGTATATATGCTGTACATGTTTACTGCGATAAAACATTCCGGTCAACTGCCTAATGCACTGTTCGCAATCCGGTTACTCGCGGTCGAAAACTTTGACGTCGCCAGAGACACCTACGCCTGAAAGACAACACAGCCAGAGACCGCAGAAGCCTGAGTGACAGGATGTGGCGGCCCGGGCGACGGCGACGTTGCTGCTGTGTACCAAATGGGGAAGGCAGTCAACGAACGTGCGTGGTTTGATACGCTGAACGACACTCGGCGCTTCTCAACCAGGGATGATGAAATCGCCCTGAACAGTCAGGAGTCGGGACGTGTGTGGGCAGAGTCGTGTACCGCGTGGAGGAGGCGGTTTTCAAACGGCCCAACATGGGGCCCATGTGGGTAAGCTGTTATAATTTCATCGCCTTGCGTCCATGGCAATCATAGTGTTGAGAAGCTGATTGTGACGAAACTTGACAGTGCGATGAGCGGGGGGAGTCGACGTCAGCGATATCCGAAGCTAGGCACGCTCTGTGCCGCAGCCAGGGATTCGCATATCGTCGAAGAGGACCTGGCTGAGGGACAGTCCACAGATCTCGAATCTCAGCCGCGGGGTTCGAGACCGGGCCACGACGATTGTCGGCCCACGATCGAGGCTGGCAGGTGGCTGTGCAATGGCGCGCCGGGATATCACGTGGTCGCATGATGCGGAGCAGAAAAGGAGGAAGCGCCTGACGAACCCAGTTTTCCGACGGCCGCTTTGCAGTCGCGGTGGAGCGTCCGCAAAGAGCAGACGAACGTGCGTCTTTCTCCTCTGCCGACGCCGTCATATACTCACCCCGTCCACCAGTCTCTCCTTTGCCGTCCCCTTTCTCCTCCCCGCCATGTCAGCCGAGTCCGCGCCAGCCTCATCCGATGCCCAGGACGCCTCGTCTCACTCCACCGCTCCGGCACGCAAGCACCATTCCAACCTGGAGGACCTGGAGAATGAGCACAATCCCCGCTTCCCTTTCATCCTCTCATACACCGAGGTCAAGCTGCTTGGCATCGCTGGCGTAAGCACAAGTCTTGGCGTCCACTCTTGCTCACACGACCACTCCGTATCTGACACCCGCATCCCCCGCAGGTCGGATTCTTCTTGGATGGTTTGTTCTGTTCATTCTCTCTCCGTCCAAATTCATTCTGATTCCTCCAAGCTTACGATCTATTTATTATCAACGTACGCGTCCGCTACGTGTCCCGATCTCACCCCCCAATGACGCCCTTCTCTAGCCTGTCGCCACAATGCTACAATATCGTCTCTATGGCGGTCACTCACTCCCACCCGGTCTTGAAGGCTTCATCAAGGCAGGGGCAAACATCGGCAGTGTCATCGGTCAATTCGCGTTTGGTAAGTTATCTACATCTCGATCTGTGCCCGTTGGCATTGGGAAATCGTTGACCCTCCTTCGTCCGTAGGCTACTCTGCAGATTACTTCGGTCGGAAGGCTGTTTGTGAGTAAGATAGCATCGTATGCGCGTCCTGCTACTAAAACATCCCCCAGACGGCAAAGAACTCATGTTAATCATCTTCGCCACCATCGGCATCATCTGCGATCCGACTGGTGTGTTTTGCCCCGCACAACCAGGTATATGCACGCCCACTGACACTGCCTGCTAGGCGCAATATCTGCCAACGGTGCGCTCATCTGGCTCGGCGTGTGGCGAATTATTCTCGGAATTGGCGTCGGGGGCGACTACCCCATGTCTGCCTCGGTCGCGACCGACCGCGCAAATGTAAAACGCCGCGGCACCCTGCTCGCCTACATCTTCGCCAACCAGGGATGGGGCTCGTTCGTGGGCAGCCTCGCCTTCATCATCATCCTCCTCTGTTACAAGCCCACCATGGATGCCGGGGTCACACGAGCAAGGTCGACGGAGGTGCGCCAGACTTACCCGATGCGGCAATAGGCTGCCCGCGGTCCGTCACATTCAGTGCTGACCACCCGTCTCGTGTGCTCGCGTTCTATGCTTGGCAACGGCAGCATGGCGCATCCTCGTCGGACTTTCGCTCATCCCCGCCTTCGGCACGCTTTACCAGCGTCTGACGCTGCCCGAATCCACTCGGTACACAAAGTCGCAAGAACCCCACTCTGACGACCGATCGGCCGAAGACCTCGAGAAGAAGAACGCAGTGACGACCGAAAAGCCTGCCGATTCACCGACGTCCGAGACGACCCAACCTGCGACGGTGGCCACCGCGAAGAAGCACCACCTCAAGAGTTCTTCGCCTACTTCTCAGAATGGCGCCATCTGAAAATCCTCATTGGCACTTGCACCTGCTGGTTCCTCCTGGATATTGCGTGAGCGGCCGATCGAGGGAGGTCTCTCGTCTTCACGAGCGCTGACGACGCGCATACACCCAGGTTCTACGGCATCAACCTCAACCAGAACGTGGTACTCCAGCAGATCGGTTTCGACGGCTCCAGCGGGACCCCTTGGGAACGTCTCTTCAAGATCGGTGTGGGCAGCCTCATCATAACCGCGCTCGGTTTCGTGCCCGGCTACTACGTCTCCGTGCTCACCATCGAGTACCTCGGCCGCAAGTGGATCCAAATCCAAGGTTTCCTCCTCGCCGCGCTCTTCTGTAAGCACAAGGGTCTCAGCAGCCTGCACGGCGACCGTGCGACGGATGCTAACATCCATCGCGCACAGTGGGTATCCTCGCTGGCCAGTTCCATGAACTGAGCACCCCTGCCTTTATCGTCTGCTTCGCCTTCCTCCAGTTCTTCTTCAACTTCGGTGCCAACACGTGCGTGCCGTTTCTGTCCCCCGTACTTCCACCGTCCTCCCACTCATCCCGCCGAGCCCGGAACGCTGACACCTCTTTCTCCTCCAGGACGACATACGTACGTACCCCACCTCGGCGCAACGCCCCACCCCGCGCACATTCCCACCTGACCCCGCCCCCTCGCAGTGCTACCCCGCGGAAGTCTTCCCGACCAAGTTCCGCGCGTCCGCGCACGGCATGTCCGCCGCGTGCGGCAAGGCCGGCGCGATCCTCTCCGCGCTCGCCTTCAACTCGCTCTCCAAGCAGATCGGCACCCCCGCCGTGCTCTGGAGTGCGTCCCGTCCCCCCTTCCCGTCTTCATATACGGCACGCGCGACGTCGCTGACCCACTCGTCGCAGTTTTCTTCGGCTGCTGCATCGCCGGCGCGGGCTTCACGCTCCTCCTGCCCGAGGTCCGCGGGCGCGACCCTGACCTGGTGTATGAGGAGGAGCTCCGCGAGCGCCGCGCGCTGCGTCACGACTGAGATGCGAGAAGCGGGCTCCCAGGGCGCGCGGTGCACCGTCCCGCGGCTTCCCTGCCAGTACGCACGTGGCGGTCGAGGCCTCAGCGTGCCCCGCATTGTCGAGCCACCAAGGGCTGTCCTCCACCTCCCCCCGCGCCATCGGACTAGGCTCTCACGAGTCCGAAATGAATGGCTACATATGTTCATAAACAGCAATAGTGGTACATCATGGCATCCTTACACAGCGACATACGTACAAAACGCCCCCCGGGACGGAACTGGACTGAACTGAACTATACTGGTACACACCGCGCGCCTCCCGTCGGTCGACGGTATCCAAGAGCGCGGCTGCTACGGACGCATCGTACACCCTCCCTCCCAAAAACGTACAAGCACACATGTCTGGCGATGCGGCGGGAAAGCGCGAGCGGGCTCCGGGGGACTAGTACTCGGCGATGGGGATGATCTTGCCCGTGTTGTAGAACGAAGGCCGGGTCTTGCGGCGGCCGAGCATCGCGACCTCGCTGCTGTCGAAGAACGAGTAGCCGGCTGGCGCAAGGGCGACCGCGGGTCAGCCGGACGTCGTGACAAACCAGAGTGGCAGAAAAGAAAAAAGACGCACGCATCATGTCGTCGTACGCCTCGCCTTCGCCCGAGGCGTCTTCCCGGCCGTGGAGGCCGTTGATGGGCCGCCCGGTCTTCGAGTCGCGGAGGACGCCGGCGTGGTCGATGAACGGCTCCGCGCGCTGGTTGGCGGCGAGGTGCAGCTGGATGAGGATGCGCTGGATGTCGAGCAGGTATCCCTGGAGGGTGTCCAAGAAGCGGCGGGTCTGGAGGTGCTTCGAGGACGCGCATCTGCGAACGAACAAACACCCGCCGTCAGCCACCACCGCCCGGAGGGGGGAGAGCGAACGCACACTGAGATCCCCTCGTCCTTGATGATGTACCCGATCCCGTACCCGTCCGCGGCGACGGGCCCGAAGCCGAACAGGCGCAGCGCCGGGTTCCCGCAGTTCGAGGTGGACAGGATCGAGCGGTTGAGGACGAGCCAGCCGTTGTCGGTGAAGATCGCGGGGAGCGCGACCTTCTCGCGCTCGCCGCTCGACGCGGAGCTCGCCGGGCTCGTCGGCCGCCCCTCCTCCTCGACCGCGGCCTCGCGCGCCGCGGCCTCGCGCTCGCGCTGGAGCAGGCAGTAGAGCGCGTACAGGTGCCTGCGCGGGCGGTCAGCCGGGGACGCGCGAGCCCGGGAGAGAGCGGGAGACGCACCGGTCCTGCCGAGGCCCTTGCTGCACTCCTTCGTGAGCTCGACCTGGCCCTGGCACGCCTTGCGGAGGGACGCGACCTTCTGCTGGTTCGGCGCCTCGGAGAAGAAGGTCCGGATGAAGTCGACGGTGTGCGGCTGCACCGTCCGGATCGCCTCCGTGCGCCCGTGGAGGAAGGCCTTGGTCATCGCGGGCTCGTACGTGCACTCGGTGCGGCCGTAGAGGCCGTAGTACGCCGCCTGGAAGGCCATCTGCACGAACGCGTCGGGCGAGAAGCCGTTCGCGGTGATGAAGTTCTTGCCGTACGCCTTGAACTCGAGCGCCTGGCAGTCGTTCTGGCAGATGAGGTCCGAGAGCGCGTCTCGGCGAAGCGGATCCCGGCGCGCAGCTCGGGTAGAGCGTCCACTCGAGCTTCTTGGGGGCGGTGTCGATGATGGAGGCGGGGTGGGCGGGCGCGGACTGTCCGCGTGGGGGGCGGTAGGAGCGGGCGTAGGGAGAGAGCTGGGCGTGGAAGAGGGTGGGCGCGGAGGGGTTGATGGAACGCGCGAGGAGCATGAGGCCTTCTGTGAAGATATCTGCAGCGAACCGGAGGACGGTATGACCGTCGACTCCGGTGTGTTCGAAGTTGATACCGGCAGCCCCGTCTGCGCAGACGATGATTTGAAGCTGCACGATGATTGAGCACACTACGCAAAGAGAATTGCTAGAAGAGACGCACCTTATCATACCACCGGTTGGTACAGGTACCTATCTGGGTACTGCCCTTGAGGTCGTACGTCCCGCAGAGGAAGTTGTCGCACAGCTGCGCCAGGTTCTCCGGGGCCGCGTCGTCCAGGCACACGACGAACAGCGCATTATCCACGACCTCGAGACACGACTCGTTGTTGCGGTTGCTGATGAGGGCTTTCCGCAGGCTCGACCAGATCTTGCGGTTCTCTGTCGAGAGCACTCCTATGGCGTTGCGCGCAACCTGTTACGTGCCCAATATTACGTTGAATTGCAAGCCGCGGAAGGCGAACGGAAGGTATTCTTAGCGCCTCGCTCGTGCGGGGAGAAGGGAAGTGCGCACCTCGTGGATTGGCAGCTGATCGGCGTCAGACACAATTGCCTGCAGGTTCCGGAGGATCTCACGCTCGGTGAGTAGCGGCCGGTTCTCGGCGTCGAGGACGTCAAACCAATCTGGGAGAGGGAAAACGTAGGCATGTCAGCGTTCGTGGTCCGCGAGGCATGTCCGGGAAGTGCGGAGTTAGACGACCCAACGGGAGGGAGAAGTGCAACGCAGACCGGGGTCACATAGACTCGGCGTGGGAGTGGAAGTGGAAGCGGAGCGGGGGAGAGAGAAGGAGAGAAGGGGAGACGCACAGAACTGGCCGCGGCGGAGGACGATGATGTGCCTCGACTCCGGGTGGGTCTCCATCTTGCAGCCGCGCTGTCGGTGCCCCGCATGTCAGAGTTACGGTCAGGCAGGCATTAGGCCAGACGGCGTACCTCGGTGGGAATGCGGGCGGTACCAAAGAGGCGCAAGTACTGGTCCATGTCGAGCGGGGCGCCGCGAACAGTGTCGGGCTGGAGCATCCCCGCGCGGAGGTCATGGATGAAGCCGAGGGAGGAGACGATGAGAGACGAGGCGCGAGGGAGCTGTTGGCCGCGATCGGGGGTTGGATCGTTCCTACGGGAGAAGGGAAGGGAGTGAGCGACTGCACTGTATAGCCCGATCTTGCGCATCTCGGAACTTGGTTTCCGAAGGTGACAGAGTGAATGCGGGGTAGAGAGCGCCGTGGGGTGGGATAGATGCGAGGAGGGCAGAAGACTCACTCAAGCACAAAGAACGGATTGAGAGCAAGGACCACGGGGTCGGAGTGCGAGAGGTATGATTCGTACCTGCCGAGGAGTAAGTCGGAGGAGCAGGGGACACACAACCGAAATGAACTCACCAGAACTCTTCGATGTAGCTGATCGTGGACAACCGCGAGTGAGCGAAAGAAGGCGGGGACCGAGGGAGTGGAAACACGCACCTTGCCTTGTCCTTCGCATACTCCTTCAGTTTCTCTTGTATGCGCGGGCCTTCGTTGTGCAGGAACTCCTCGACCGCACGCTTCGTATCCTCATGTTCTCGCTTGTCTTGCAGACCTTCGAGCGCGCGGAGGTATCGTCGGCACGTCTCTTCGAGTGACGGTATGGGGAGTTTTGGGAGTTCGCCTTGGCGGGCGAACGTCCGTGATTCAGGCGGGTCCGCCGTGAACGTCGTAAGGTGTCCGATCGTTGGTAGTCTCGACGCGCGAGGGAGGAAGAGGATCAGGAACGGAGACGAGCGGGGGGGTCATGTGGATGGGCCGAGGTGAAGGTGGGATGGAGTGGCAAACGGCACTTATGACGGAGGAGCGAGCTTTCAGAGCCTTCGGCCGGATGACGGCACGTCCGTGCGCGTCCCAGAGCGCGGGGAAGCGCGGGGTCGCCCATTCGCTCTCTGAAGGCACAGCCGCTGCCCGCTATCCCCCAGATCGTGCGAGATCGGGACCGGCTCCATTCCGACGTCCAGACGGGTGCTGACGCGCTGACGATGCGCACACGAGCTGCCTTCGCCGTGCCCGTGCCGAGCTCGACCGCATACAGCCAGACGCATACACCGACCTCCGCCAGGCGCATACAGCCACCTCCGACCGCCAGCGAAGCCCGTCTCGAGCCGTCCGCTCGGCCTTCGTCCCTTCCGTCCGCCCTCTCGCCCGCCGTCTTTCTCCCTGTGCACGCGAAAACGCCCCGTCAGTGACGAAAACACCCGGGCTGCAGCAGTCCGACGCACCTCGTTCTCGCCCCGTACCCAGCCCGCACCCACCCTCACACACTCACGACCTCTGCGCGGCCGACACAGTGACGAACACGGGCCTCTCATGCTGGGACGAGCCCTCCCGAGCGTGTGCTTATGTACCTCCTCCCTCCCTCCCCCAGCTCTTTCTCTCCGCGCACGCCCCTGCCCGCTCCTGCCATCGCCATGACAAAACTGACCTCCCTCACTCGCACAGGAACCCGAACATGTCCACTGCCTGCGCGTACCTTGACCGTGGGTCTCGCCCGCAAGTTTGCTTCAACCACGGATACCGGCCAAGCTGCTCCTCCGCTCCTCCGCTCCACCGCTGTGCACGGTGACTGACATCGCTAAACGGGCTGCAGGACGTGCTTGAGCCCCACAGGCTCGGTAGCGACGTCGACGGCGACGTCCTGCCCACACTCTCGCGCCCTGCCCGACACCCACCTGTTCAAGCGGCCGCCGCCCCGTCATCATCCATGTGTCGTCTTTGCTCGTCCGCACCAATGACGCGCAGCCCGTCGCGCCTGATGCTGCCAATCCTCTGCTCATCGCATGGACCGCGCCCGTGGCCCAGCCCTCAGCGCGATATCCACCAGCACTCTACCCACCGTGGCCCTGCCTGCAGAACACACTAACATGCCTCCGCGGTGGTGGCTATATGCGCGTGTTCTCGATCAGGAACCTGTGCGGGCTCGTACAATGTCGATGACGCTTCTCTGCAGGTGGTACCCACGGACTCGGAACGTACCGTGTCAACCATCTGCCCAGCAGCCGCACCCAATTAACGGTACCATACACGGCCGTCATGCAGAACAGAATCGCCATCCGACCTTGCTCGCACGACTTGACAACCGATCCTCGTCTGTCACTTGACACGCCGTGGCCGCCCGTGCGGCCTGTCGCAACACTAGTCCCGGTGCGTGATTTTGGTTAGGGGAGATTCGAAACTCCGTCTCTGGAGCGCGTCGTAGGTGCTTTGTGTCGTCCACGAGCTGACGTCTTGCGTGCGGACAGGCTTGTCCCGCGTGCCGTCGCCGTCAGCACCAATTCGCGCAGCAGTTGTCGCTGAAGACACCGAACGGCTCCGTGTAAGCCAGCGATTCGATTGCAACGCGCCGCGCGCCGCGGTTGTGTTCACAGCACGCGTGCACGGTACGCGTTCAAACGACCACTAGCAAGTTGGGAGCCGGCGCACCGACAACCACGCCTTCGAGTCCGGCCCCTCACCGTCTCGGCACCGCAAGCCGCACAAACGTCTGCCACCACACCTGGCCTCTCGATAGTCATGTCGTCCACCTCATCAGGAAAAAACCATTTGCACGAGAGCGCCGGGCCGAACTCGCGGAGACTCACGTGCCCCGAGTGATGCGCGGGAGGGCTCCGGAGCACTCTGGAGCAACCACCGATGACCTCGAGGGCGCCTGAGCAGTGTGGGAGACTCTGGCGTTCTTCAGAGTCTTGCAGACCGCTCAGTTGGCCTTGAGTGTTCTGCTGGGTGCACGGTGGATCTCAGGAGCTTCAGCTGGACACTCAGGATGTTTCGATAGTGTCAGCCAGGGGTCAGGAGCTTCCGGGTGCTCGGGTGTTTCGCATCGGGAACTTTGACGGACGTGAGCAAATAGTAAATGTGCTCGATTTAGAAACGGCATTTGCATGAAGTAGTGTACTATTACATAGAAGATACTGGATGTGTAACGTTCAAATAAGCACCCCGGGCGCAGGGAAGTGGACGCGTGCGAGGTGGTCGCGTTTCGGAGTGTGGTGAGGTGAAAGACGGCGTCGAGCACAGCAAAGTAGACACATTGAGCGCGGCAAGACGGACGCATTGAGCGCGGCAAGATGGACGCATTGAGCGCGGCAAGGTAGACACGTTGAGTGTGGCGGGGTGGACGCGTCGAGCATGACGAGACTGCAGTGTTGGTCGTGGCGAGACAAATGCGTTGAGGGCGCCAGACAAACACGTTGAGTGCAGTGAAGTAGGCGTGTTGGTCGTGGCGAGGTGTACGCGTTGAGCGCGGCGAGACAGGCGTGGAGAGACGGACATCTTGAGCGCAGCGAAGTAGACAGCCTGAGCGAGGTGGGAGACGAGATCTGTGTTGGTGGGGGAAGGTGATTCCCACGGCAAGCGCAGGCCGCGTGTGCGCCGTCGGCGTTGCCAGCGCACACATCTCTTCTTGTTTTCCTCCACCTCGCCACTCCTCTCCGCCTGTCGCTATCGCCCCCGACCACGCCTTTCTCGACGGCCTCCCTCACAGCCTTCCCATTCACGACATCTCCACCGTCTCTATCCACGCATTGTCTTCGATGTGCCTAGGCCTGTCTTTAAAAACCCGTTTCCTTTCGACTCTCAAGCTACCCCTCCACCCCGATTCTCACCATCTCCATAGCGCTCCGCACACACTATTCTATAACGGAGACTGAAAGCGTCTCCCACGCCACTCGGGGGCGACACGAATGCAATGGCGCGACATGCATAATTTAACGCGCAGAGACTGACACGGTGAGCCTTTCCCCCTTCTGATGCTCCGCTACCGTGTTCCCAGCCCGCATTGTCGTCTGACACGCAATTTGTTTGATGCCCTAGCCCGACACCACCCTCCCTGTTCGACGACGATAAGCGGCTGTGTTCTTTCCATATGTAAGTACAAATTCTGCACGTTTCCTTTGCACCTGCATATTCATGTGCAACCTCCACGATCCCCTCCGGCCCAGTCGGCCTCTGCTTGTGTCCGCATACAATAACATCACCACGCCCATAAGGTATGTCTCCTCCCGCTCGTCTCCCTCTCCCTCACTGACAGTCTTTGACAGATAGGAACTCGTAGTTTCGTGCGCTCCTCCGGTGAGCTGCCGTTGCACGTCACACCCGGTTAGGCCCACAACAGTGGAGATGGGCGCTGCGCCTCTCGTCATCACGGTCATTTCCGTACGGTGTTGGAGCAAGTGCTGGGCCATGCCCGATGCGGCCACAAGCCCGAGGAGCACGACTACGTGCGCACCAACGTGTGCGCGTCGCCGCGCCCGAAGCGGTCCCAGATCGCCTGCAGGCGCCAGTCCACGGTCGTCGGGCGCGACACGGAGATGGAGCTTGGAGTGCGAAGAACGCATCGCCAGTGAGCGGGGTGCTGTTTGGGTCCGGGCGGAGGGCGCGGGCGATGCGGCACATGGAGCTGTGCTGCGCCTGAACGTCGTGCAGGTCGTGGTTGTTGGGGCCAGGGAGAGGTGCCCCGGGCTAGGGGTGCGGGGATCGCTCGGTGCAACGGAGCTGAGGGTGTGCTCTGCACAAGGCGCGGTGGCGGCGAGCACGCGTACATCGAGCTTGAGACAAGGTTCGTAGTCACCAGGACGTCCACATGGTGAGTTAGATGGAGTGCAGCGCGCTCGAGCCGTTCTTCCACCCGCGAGGCCTGCAGGGAGTGGGTAGGAGGTAGTACCATGTCAGATGTGTCGTTACCTCGTTAGTGTTGTAGGTGACCAGTGTTCAGTACTTGGTAGCAATCAATATATTTCGTGCCTGTTCAACGAATGTGTGATATGGATGACCAGACCCCATAAATTGCTCCGGTGCAAATGTACTCGCGACTGCTCCAGAGTACTCTGGAGAGGGTGCTCGGAGCTACTCCAGAGCACTCGGTAAGCTGGCGCCAAGACTCCAGAGCACGCGGGAGCCGCCTGCCAAGCTCCGGGATGCTCCATAAAAGGGTACTTGTCTCAGGCTGCTCTGGCTACTCTGGAGACTCCGGTGCACTCTGGAGACAAGTCGTTTTTGCCTGATGCTCATCCTCGTCCCCAGTCACTTCCGCACCGAGTGCACGCTCAGCACACACGTCAACGCCGCGGCGGATCAGGCTCCCTGGGGACGACACCTAGATGCTGGCACTGGGTGCCGTTGAGTGGTATGCGGCAAGGAATCGAGACGTGTTGGCGCTGTGTGCAGTTGCGCACTTTGAAGTTCTACTCTGGGACTTGGGCGATGAGCTGTTGGCTTTGATCGGCGAGACCATGGGACGCATGTGCGGTCGGCGGACTGCTGCAGTATGTCATTGCGGCTCGCGGTGCGTGACCGCGTCGTTGCAGCGCGGCTGCGTGGCGTACCGCTGTGCTTCCAGCTGCGTCAGTGCACCCCACGACGTGTCGGCCCTGTTTACGTCCGCCTGGTGAGTTGTTTTGCACCGTCCCCGACGTTCCCAGTCACCTATGCGAACTGTCAGTGGTTTCCCACAGGTCTTCGCGTCGCGCTAACGCCGCAGGGAAGTTCCTTGCTGCAGCACGACCCGTATCGCCATGCTGCAGCTTAAGCGGTCCACCATACTCACCAGATTGCCCCACAATCACTGAAGGACTCGCTTATAAGTGTGACATAAATCCCTGATGTATTCGCTTATTTGCCCTCATTTGAGCTGGTGTTCAGTTACTGATGTTCTTGCTCATTTGAGCCATTCATCAGTTCTTGATAGATCTACTCATTTGAGACGTTCCTCAGTTGGCAGTACCTTTGTTCAAATGAGACCCATACACATTTTGATATAGCAAGGCTTGTATCAAATGCTAATGCTTCTTGATCATTTGAGCTAAGCTGGTAACTGACTGATTGGCTTGATTGAGCTACACTATTTATTGAGACTACTAGTCATTTGAGCTAACCTAGTCACTGACTGCTTGGCTTGATTGAGCTAAGTCAGTCACTGATTGCCTGGCTTAATTGAGCTAAGCTGGTTGCCGGTTGCCTGGCTTAATTGAGCTAAGCTGGTTGCCGAATACCTGGCTTGATTGAGTTGTTCCTGTTTCTGATGGCTGACCTTGATTGAGCTGTTCTAGTTTCTGATGGCCTCGCCTTGGTTGAGCTTCTATGATCACTGGGAGGTTAGCTTGTTTGAGACTCTCTAGTTGGTGAAACACTAGTGATTTCTCAACAACTTCTATAGCCACCTGGTCGTGAGAAAACCTTGTGCCTGTAGTTAAAACCATGGGTCCATCATTTTTCACAGGTCTCTTTCACTTCACACTCTACTCTCACAGACAGATCGATACTCTTCCTTACTAGGTTTTCTGCCATGCCTACTCTTTTATCCTTCTTTCATGGATGCACCATTAGTATGGTTGGTGTCGTTGTCTCTGTATGTGTTATGTTTATCACACTATATCAATTTGCTGAGTTACTCTCATAGATTGATGAGGACAAGGACATCATGTATGTCAATACTGGACCAGTGGTTGGTCTGAATTGGGTGGAGAGGAATGAGGAGGCCTTTTTAAGTTCGATGAAGTTGGTGAATAAACCTTCTCCTGTGGAGTTGCTAGATGTGAGTTTCTTAGTGCAGAAGTGTTGCCCCTTTACTGATCCTTGAATAATTCTTAGGACATCTTCTATGAGGTTGGAAACAAAGTCTTTATAAGAGGCATCATTGGAGAAGATGGCATTTTACATGCTGAAAAAGATGAACTCTGTAAAGATGGTCAGAGCTTCCTAAATTCATATTGATCTTTCTCCTTACTGACTGCTCTATTTATAGATTCCGCTTTGAAGGCAGTCATTTTTAACCATGGTTTATGAATAAAGTACAGCTACTGTGCCTCTTCTGATTAGTCAGAACTTCCCAATGTTTCAAAATATGTTTCAACTTGATTCAAGAGCTATTGCACAGTCAAACATATTGTAGCCCCAGGCAATCAGAAACATGCCTTGAAAAAGTCTCTCAAGTGAAGTTTTTTTTTTCCGTGAGAACAAAGGCACAGAAAGACAGATATAGGTTTTTTTAGGGGGGTGGGGAAGAAATATGGGGAAAAGTGAAAATTTGACAAACTTTTGGCTCACAAAAATATGAAAGGTTTAGGGGCAGAAAAATAGAACACAGATCTTCAGTATTTTCTTACATTGATAATAAGTCCAAAAAAGTCTCAGGACAGAAATGATGTTTTCTTGTAGAGAAAATGAGATGTTCTTACATAGTTGAGGCTTAGAACTGCTCTCTCATAGAAGAGACCAACTAAGAAACTAGTGTTGATCTTTTGCAAGATTCTTTTGAGAGAAACATTGAAAAATGTTTTTGTCCCTTCATCAGTGCATTGTTGTGTGAACTGCCTAGAGGCTCTTTTTGTTATTATACCAAGGCCAAGGGCGATCATGGTAAATGATTGTAGTTCAGTTTGGGAAACCAAAAGAGTTTTAGTAGGCTTTTCATTGAAAGTCTTCTGGACTAACATTGAGAGGCATCAATTTTTGGGACCACTATTTGAACATAAAGACGGAAAGTAGAATTAGGAAGGCCTTCTCAGATTTATTAAAAACATAGACATGATTGAATCAAGTCAACTATCTAAAGCTGATAATGAGGGCATTTCTGAACAAAGTCTCTATGTGCATTCTCGGCAAGCTTCTCCCAAGTAGCTGCCTGACCATAAGCATATACTTGATGTCCATGAAGTCCCTCATCATCCAGTCTGGTAAGCTGTGCCCTAGACTTCCACTCCTCAGCCTTATTCTTTGGGATCTGACAGTGCATGCCATCTCGAAAGGCACCCACAAGAGCTCCTCTTCCCATCTGCATTTTCGTTCATAGGCTCTAAGCCACATAGACTTTTTGACTTCACTTTGGTTAGTAAAGATCCAAAACTTTATAAAATACTCCACTTACTTGATTGAACAAAACTAGCTCTTTCCTCTATCCCACCAGAAAAACTCCAGATCCAAGAACCATGTTCATTTCTTAGTCCTGAAGTAGATGGTTCCATCAATACGGGGTTGGCCTTCAGGTCTTGACTTGTCAGTTCAGGATATAAATCCATTCTTGCACTATGGGCCTTTGTATCTTCTTCATCCTCTTTGTCATATAGGTTGAATAAAGATTGTCTAGCTCCAGTGTAGAACCGAACATGTCTCATAAGCGCTTCACTTGCCACTTGAACATCTTTTTGAGATCTCAGCCTAGTTCTGTAGGATGATGGATTTTTGACCCTTCCTTGATAGAGATAGGTTCTTGCCACTATTCCCTCTCTAATAGCTGTGATGCAGTCATTCATCTCGGCTACTCTGAGCTTGATTTCCTTTTGAACCAAATCTACCCGTTGGATTTTCTTCATGTATGGAAAACCTAAGGTAGAGGGCATAGCAGCAGGCTGTTTCTCTGGATTCCATGGCTCTTCTGAGATTGTTGTGAGGTTGCTGTGGTTGGGGATTTCCTGTTGTCCTAAAAGCTCATCCTGTGCTATTTCTTCCTCATCATCATCCCAAGCTTCTCCAAGACTTGACACCCCTGGTAGGCTTTCAAGAATCTGATACCCTTCCAGGTTGTAACGAGAAAAGCCTTTGAGATTGAAGTCTTTAAGATCTGATTGAAGTCTTTGTCTTTTCTGAGCGAGATTAAGCTTTGCCTTGTCAGAAGGATTGGGACCAAGTTTCCTAGCACAATGAGCCACTTCTAGTCTGCAAAGGAACTTTTATTAGAGGTTCAGAAAAACAGAAATATAGTAGTTTGTTTTCCAAGAGAGCTTCTTATGTTCAAAGAGACTTATGAAGAAATGGTTGTTTAAAATAGCCTTAGGCTAGTTCAAGCAACCACCTTTGAATACCAACCAAAAGATGTTGATAAACTTACCTTCTATGTTCAATGAGTATTCCTTCTGAAAGCCATGAGGCATCAGGGGAGGAAACAGCTTGAACATCACCCCTTGCTGAGGCCTTCCCTTCAGCTAGAATCATGTGGTGAGCAGTCTCCTTCAGAGTTGGAACTAAATAAAAATCAGACTTTTGAATTAGATTAGAAGTCTAGTGACTCACGAAGTGCTTCCTCAGCATTAAAGATATCCATGCTTTCAGAGCTCTCATTTAATTCCCTCTGTCTATGAGCTTCTTCAGCCTCTTTCTGCCAGTCCTTCCTTTCAGCTTCTGTAGCTCCTTTGTTGAACCTTTCGAAGGCCTCATTTGCTGCCTTGGACTCTATGATAGCCCTTTTCCATTTCCCAATAAGGGTGTCAGCTACAAAGGATTTTCATCATCAGTTTATATAAAACTTTAAGGATGTTGAAACTTACGCATTTTGAGTAACTTCTTCCAGTTCCAATCTGTCATGTTATCATCTAGAACCTCATGTCGATGGGAGTCTGTCATTCCTCTCGTGCTATCCTTAATAGCGTTGACAGCATCTGGCCATAAGGTTTCCATGGTTTCACCATCTTGAGCACCAGCATGTTTGACAAAGTTGAGAGAAAACCTGGAGAAGCACTTGTTTATATGCCCATGTACATGGAACTGTCCAATAGACCACAGAAACCTTGCAGTTTCAGGGAGGTATATTTCGGAGTACTGATTGAACCTTTTGCGCATATTGATGTGATATTGACAGACAATGTCATAGATGAGAATGAAGAGAGCAACTCCAGGGAAGGCCTGAAAAGCCCAAAATAGACAGTAGTCCATGTTCCTTTGGCTTCAATACAGTATATTAACGGCACAGTTCAAAAAGAGCAAAATATAAACCCACGCTTCTCCTAATTGAAGATCCACACATGTGTGAGGGAGAAATATGCCATGTCTTGAACATGCAGCAGCACCTATGCCTGTAACATCCAGATGGCTCTTAGATTTTGAACCATGATTGTTTTGAGCAGCCTTATGGTCGTTGCATGTAACCTTGATAGTCTGTTTGAATATAATCTTTAGAAGCTTACAAAACAAACCTCAAGCCTAGACCAACCTCTATAGTATTTTTGGAAGCATCAACCAGATGTTTCTTGTAAGGTTGATCAGCAACTGTAATAAGATGACCCTCTGCCAAAGGCACATTATTCCCAGAGTCTTTCATTCTAGTGTGCTGGGCTGAAAAAGAGGCATCTGTAACAATTCCTATAGGGAAGTTTTTCCTTTATGAAGTCAGTTCAAAGCTTTGGTCAGAAAGAGAGCCCCAGCTACCTTTGGCTCTCAGAAGTCCATTTCTCTGGGGTATTAACTCCAATGAATGGACATGTTGGGCATCTTAAAGCTAAAGACCCTGGCTGGATGGGTCCGTCTTGATAGGCCACCCCTCCATACATTCTCCACTTGAGCACTCTATACTGTCTTGTAACTCTCAAAAAGGACTTGTAGGCCACCTGTTTTGAATGAGCTCCATGATTTTAGTAGACCTTAAACAACTCACTCTCATTGATCCAAAAAAGGCACCATGTGTAGCCCTTAGAAGCTTGGTATGATAACTAAGAGGTGATGTTTTGCATTCCTTATTTGTGAGAAGAAAGTCTTCCAAGCAGGCCAGAGTGAAAACTGTTCTAGGCCTTTCCATAGATGCAGGATAGAAACCAAGAGACAGGAGTTGAAGCCTATGAGGGGGGGAGCTTGGGCATTCACAAAATGTGAAAAGCAGCCGATGAATCCCATTGGTGTGCACAACCTTCAAGGGAACCCCGCCTGAATATTTTGACATGATAGTTTGACTTTCAAACCAAAAGTCTGTCTTTTGAAGATTGTCCTCAGCAGAGCCATCTAGGTCGTTGTTTTCATCTAGCCATTCTGGGTTGTTGTCATAGTCATCCAAGTGGAGTCTTCCATATTCTCTAGGTCATCAGATATGTTTCCAAGTTCCTTTCTAAGGCCATTCAAAGGAGTTAAAAGAGGACAAGGTGATCCTTGATGGCCTAGATGAACTTGAACCCCTAGCTCTTGTACAGACGCTTTTCTCCAATGATTCCCCTCCCAATGTTGGAGCCGGTGCCAAGGTTGGTCTTGATGGATTTCCTGACAACAGGTAGTACACATCAAAGGATAGGAGTTACAGGATTTGCATTTCCATTCTATCTTTCCATGGCTTGGGTCGCATTTAGAGGAGGTACTGTGGTGTGGAGGCCTTGACATTTCTATAAGAGTCACCAAGAAGTCATTCTGGAAAGGCAGCCAATCCCTCATGTAGTCTGCCTGAGACTTCGTTGAAGGAAAATTATTAATGAAGCTAATAAAATTCACAGCGAACACCAACCTTGTTTCTTTTTTTGGGTTGATCGTCATATGCCAATGCCCATTCCACATTGTTCCCCAAGTCCACAGGGAGAGCTGGTATATCTGGAAACAGAAATTGAGTGGAATCATTGTATGAGCTTGGATTTTGGGAACTTGTTTCAGAAAGCTGAGGGAGCTGAGAGGGAGGTTCTTTAAAGGACCTTAGTCTAGCTGCCTTTTTTCTTCTTCCTGAAGTTGTATACTCCGGAGTGCCATAGATCTCTTCACCGTTTTCGTTGAAGTCTTCAACATGGACCTGATAAGACCTCCTAGACATGGTATATGCTGAATCATACTCAGTGTAAGTAAGGCTTATGCAGGTTTTGACAGTATTCCTCACAGTCTGGTTCCTTCTAGTGGTTGTACAGGGATGAGGGTAGATGGTTCAGATCAAATGAAAGAAGTGAGACCCAGTAAGGCACCAGTGGCAGGGAGCGCTCATACTGTATCTCAGCCACTTTTCGGTGTAGGGCCCTGCCCTATCATTTAGAGCTAGATTAAGGTTTTATTAGTCAGCCATGTACTTAGCACAGTGGCCTCCTCTAGGGCTCCCCTGAGATTTGAGCACCCCACTTCACTATCAGAGCTCAGTCCTTGTGCATTTTGCTGTTTCTATTCATTTCTGCTTACTCTGCCTCAGCCCGTCCGTTCACCTCGGCCCCTGGTACCATTCGATCCGTCTCATCAATACCTTTCCATAGATGCCTTTATCGTATCGATGCGCCCCTAACTCGCCACACAGTCATCCGAGGACCCAAAGAGCTATTCCAGGGATACCAGGGGAGTGAAAATTCGGCCGTATCTCGGCCGGTTTTTGTCGCACGCGCTTCGTTCTTTTCGCACTCGAAATCTCTCGCGCCCTCCGTCTTATCGAGCCCGGAACAGCCGATTTCTGCTGGCCGGATTTCACAGGCAGTTGTGCTCAAAGACTGCTCTCCTCCCACCTATCACGGCATCTCATGCCCCCATTGGTTCGTATTTGGTGATCCTGGCTTCTTTCGCCGACACAAGCACTACCGCCTCAAAGCCGTCATCATAGGCTTCCTTGTGAGTGCTTCCACATTGTGATTGGCATTTGTGCGCTTCCTCTTGTGCACTTCTCGACATCGGCCTGACCTTCGCATTAGCCCAGGTACTCCTCCAGCTGACTGTGACCCTGCCCTTCCCCGTGTTCTCCCCTGTTCAATGCCCATCTGGTTTTTTTTGTGCGTGCTTTCCCTCTCTTTCCGAAGGGCTGCTCCATTTCGGGATCCGCCCGGCATCATCGGCTGCGAGTTGTCTTGTGTGAAAGAAGAATGCTTGGTATGTCGCTGACTTGATGCCCCATCTCTCGATAGTTCAAAGCTCGTTTGCGACACGGTCTGGTTCCTTCTGTCCTCCCATCAAGACCTTTCTGACGGATCTTCATGGTCTGTGTCAATGATAAGCCGATCTGTGCGTGTCTGCCTTGCCATATTCTTTCCTTCTGTGTCCCTTCGTCCTGCCCTCGCATCTCGCCTGTTGCATGTCTTTTCGCATGTGCTTCGGCCCGTTTTTTTCCCTTCTATCACCCCGTTTGAACGCCCGGTTTCCTGCTGTGATCAGTTCGCTCCCCAATCTTCGGCAAGGCCTTCTTTACTGCGGCGCCATGCTTCCTCCCTTCATATTACCAACTTCACCACATATATCACAAACTCGATATGCTGACCCCATATCCATTATGTGCTCATTCACTTTCGTTGCATCTTACATAATCTATGCCTGTCCCGTTGACTGGAGGTTACCGTTACCCACACTACTGCGGTACTTATTGACTCTGTTGAAGGTTTGGAAGAGTCTAGCACTAGTGAGAACATAAAACTGTTTGACTGACCATGTGATCAATATTAAGAGACACTGGCCCTGGCCTGTCAGATATATGGTATCTGGTCATGTGACATCAATAATGACTAAGGGCAGGCTTCTTAGGCACCATCATTAAGGCAGTGAACATCAACCTCAACACAACAACACCTCACTGCCAACAACAACTCTATCCCTATCATGCCTGTCGGTCACCCCAACCCTCGGAAAAGGCCTGAAAAGCCTGAATTTGCACAATGGAACTGGACAGAGAAGGATTTGGAGCTGCTTCATAGTCACAAGGACTCTTGGAAGTCTCTAGAGGAAAAAGAACGTTGGAATTTCGAAGAAAAGCTCACTTTCACCTTGCTGAAAGCCCATGATATTCCCCAAGAATACCCTCACCTGCCAGCAATGGTTCTCCAAGTGAGTTTATGGTTTCTTTCTTTTTCCATAGCCACTGACATCAGTAAAGAAAACAAGAACTTGGCTACAAAACAACACTGCCGCTCGTAGGAAGAAGAAGAAAAAGGCCAAATGGAACAGACGTAAACCTTGGAACAAGCTCTCTGTCTTTATTGAAGATGATGAGGTAAAGTCCAGCCTGCAGATTTGGGCAGAAAAAACCAAGACGAAAGGCCGAGTGGATCTTTATATGAATGAGGCTAGAAGAAGACTGGAATTGTTACCTTCTGACCAGCAAGATGAACTCCAGAGGAAAGCAGAGTTGTGGGAAGAAGAAGGCCCTCCCCCAGCTGTTCAACATAGGTAGGCTTTTATTTCCTGATATCTTCATTACTAGTTTCAACTTATAGTGGTATTTGAAGTCAGGCCAACAAACATGGAGTTCGAACTATGGAAAACATGGCCAACTATATGTATAAGCAATATGGTATGATTCTAGGAGGGGCTCTGTTTTCTAGAAGCCCATCATCCAAGAAGATGCAAATCCATATGTATGTCACTTAGTTCGGCCTCTCATTCCAGTTCTCAAAATGCTTCCAGTGTGGATACAGCAGCTTATCTTCAGAGAGATGAGATGAAGAAAGACAATCCTCGTCCAATTCTTAAACTCACCGACAAAAAGGACTGGTCTTCAAACATGCTTCAGACCTTGGGCACTGTTTATAGACCTCTACTTTTTCCAGAGAATATGACTGAGGCTGCTTTAGAGGTTCGTTTAGAAACTCTATTTCTAGTTGATTTTTTAACACTTTTTATAGGCCATGAAAGACTTTCAGGCAGTTCAAGCAAAGGCAGACATCATTTTTGAACAATATCAAGACACTGGCCTCCCTAAAATCCAACTTCCTGGCCCTGGAGAAAAGCCTTTTCTAGCCTCTCATATTTTGGAGATGGGTGAGGCTTTTATCAGAGTTCACTTAGGTAAGAAAATCTCTCTTTAACAATCAGCTCCATTTCAACTCAGAAAGATACTTGATCTCTGCTTTTAATCTTCCTGAGTTCTAACATTGTCTTTGTCTTTCTCATGGCCAATTTTACACCAAATTGGAATTTTGGTCTACCTACACTAATATGTCTGGCATTTAGGAGCAGCAAACGAAGGATTGGGTTTACCTGGAACAGATGTTCCTTGGGGGCTACTTTCCAAAGAGAAGGAAGAAATCTTCGACTCTGGATGGGTTTCTGAAAATTTTCTTGAAAAGTTTTCCAAAGTCAAGAATATGGACTCTTCTGATGTCTTTGAATTTCTTCAACTGGTGGCTGAAAAAGAAGATCCAGATGGCACCCTTAACCCTCAAAGGTTCAAGCTTCTCAAAACCTTTGCTGGTACTTATAGAAAGAGGGTCACCATACCAGCTAACTACCCGGATATCTATAAGCATCTGGGAGAGGAACCTGGAGTAATCACCATTTCTGGAAAACCCAATCTAGCTGTGAAAGGGCCTGGAGTTGCAGCAGCGGGGAAAAAGGCTTTGAAGGAGCTTTCCAAATTGGCTACTGGACAAGAACCTCCTAATCCTGCTTCAAACTCCTCAAAAAGGGCCGAGAGAGCCTCCAAGAAGGAACAGAAGAAGAAGGCCAAAAAGCTGGCCAGGGCTAAAAAGGAGAATAAAACCTCCAAGGTGCTTTATCACTTTTCTTCCTTTCAAAAGCTGTTTGCTCAATAATTTTTAGGACAATTTCATGGCTGATGATAAAGAGGCTATAGTTATTGAGGACTCTGAAGAAGAGTTGTTTCTTCCAGCTTCTGATGCTGGCTCAGAATCTGACTCGGACTCTGATGGATGGGAAGAGCTAGATGATGATGATGATGATGATGACGATGATGATGATGGCTCAGATGGCTCAGAGGAAGGATCAGAAGATGGTGGTGATGATGATGGAGATGTTATGAACACCATGCGTACGCCTACCCTTTTCTCCTCCCCCCTCGTCATCTCCGTCACGGACTATGCCTCGTGCCCTCAGGGGCTACTGTAACACTACCCCTATCCCCTGCCTCATGCTGCTGCGCAGCCTTGCTTCGGACATGCACACGCCTCATGGCAACCTCACGGTACCATACCCCCTTACATACGGTTACCATGACTCGTGCTGACTCGTATGGACTCGTTGTACACGCACCACTACCTCACCCCTCACACACCGTGGCCTCAAGGCCTTGTACTTATAAGAGGGACGACGCAGCATAGCGCTCCCCATCTTTCGACCTCCTGTCTAGCTACGTCCCTCTGGCCTAGTGCCAATACATCTCTTACTTGTCTTCTACCTCGCCCGCTCGCCGGTCCACTCGATAGTGCACCGTGCTTACTCGCGTCGGCATCAAGAGATTTCTCACGGACATAACCACTCGGCGTCTAGGCCTCGTTCCCGACGGAACTCGGACTTCGACGTAACATTAGGTCGAAAGATTGAACCCTCCACTTATTCAAGTGCAGAGGACCCATCTACCAGGACAGAAGGTTGCGAACTGCTCGATAGCAGAACGCAATAGAAGAACAGGCACCACGGACTCCACACAGAACACCCAGGCTCGACAGGACACCCCTCGAGTACACCCACTCCCCATTATCCTCACACCAACCCCAGAGGAAAGACACGCAGCACAACTGCAAGGACCAGGACAGGAAGGCAGCGGTCACACCCTACCTATTAACGAGGAACACGAAGAAACACTCGTCGCGACATCAAACAGCGGAAGCTCGGACACATACCTCCACACATTCTCTCGAGCGGTACAACAAGGAGTGCAGAACTTTGAAATTCTCGCAGACCACCCACTCCTACTCGCAAGGTTCAACGAAGAGGATTTCCTGGACTTCGGTGGTCACTTACGCGATCTCGAGAACATCATCAACGTACTCCCGCAAGTTCCAGAAGCACCGCAGGACGCGCCAGACCACATCCAGCTTCCCCTGAACCCCGCCGCTCCCATTCACGTCCTAACAGAGAGGCTCGAGTACGACATCAAAGACCTTGAAAACTTTGTCTTCGACCTCCCCAACAACCTCGTTCACCCGGAATACCTCGGAAGACTACAGGAGCTTCAAGAGTTCCGGACCGCGTTGGGAGTTATCCAAGACTACTTCCATGACTGAACCAGACACGGCTTGCAAGAATAGAATTCACGCATTCAATACCGACACCGGAAGAGACGTACATCACAATAACAGAACGTGGAGCAGCTGCACATCAGCAAGGTGCCCAGCTAGATACTGGAACGCGCAAACGCTTCCAGCAGGAACAGACGACAAGTACAAAGCCTGTATTGAAGCACAGGAAAGAGCGATTACGAAAATATTCGGTCAACAGAAACCGATTTTCAAAGCCCCACAAACAGGAAGGATAGGAGCTACCAGACGAATAACATCCAGTAATCAAAACACACCAAGGAGTTCACCACTATCAGTAGCAATTACCCCGCTACCAGATTTGTCCGAACCAGGACCAAGTACACAAGCCCGAGAGAAGGCTCCAGCCGGAGAACCCGAGAGCAACTTCTCCACCCACGCACAACCACTTCCAGAAGAAGCGTACATGGCCACTCAAACCATGACAGAACCGACAGGAACGGTACCAGACCCAGGGTCAATATCACGACACCCCCCTACTCGCTCTCCGAGAACCTCTGGATTCACCACACCGGAGGACGAGATAGACACCAACAAACCCATAGGACAACAGCTTGAAAGAAAGCGTGAAGACATGGAAGAGCAAATACGCAAAATGAAAGAGAAGCTAGCCAAGATGGAAGAAGAAAGGGATCAAGCCGATTTTCACTTCCGACACCTATCGGGAATCCGCCGACAAGCAATCCCAAGCTATGCAATTGGGAGACCAACAGATGCAGGAGAATCGGCAGCGAGCCTCGCCACCATCACACTCCGCCCTCAAGCAGTCGTCCTCGACCCTATACCAGAAAGACACGATCCGAGGGGGAGAGGTCACCATCGTCACTGAAGGGGAGACCCAGATGACGAACCATCGGACGATGACAACTCTCAAGGCGGCAGGAGGGGACGACGAGACCCATACAGAAGAAAACCACAAGGACCCCCCGGTGGAGGAAATGACCCTCCAGGAGGAGGGGGAGGAGACGGATACCAAGGAGGAGACCCCCCAGGAGGACCATTCGGAATACCAAGAGGCAAGGGCAAAGTCAAAGTACCAGAAGTATTCGACGGCACACGCGACAAACTCGACACTTTTGTCGAATCACTCCTACTCATGTTCAACGCCCGCCCTATCGACTTCCCAGACGATCAAACAATGATCACCACGGCCCTCTCCTACATGGAAGGAGGGACGGCAGGAGTCTGGAAGACATCTATCCTACGCAATGCATGGGTTAGAAACGCGGCAGGGCGAAGGCAAGGTTACGGAACCTGGGACAATTTCCTCAACAAACTCCAGGTTACATTTGCCCCTATCAATGAAGCCTTCGCCGCAGCCAATCAACTCCGAATGCTCGGCAAGAAACAGTTCGACTCCATCGACGATCTCAACGGAGAATTCATCCATCTCATACGCAAGTCGGGTATCACGGACCCACAAGCACAGCTTGGCTGGTACCAACAAGCACTGCCACCAGTTATTCGAGATAAGATTATGGGTCTACTCCCAGCGCCACCCGATCTCGAAGGATGGATGGGAAGAGCAGTGGATTCAGATCGCAACTGGAAGCTCAAGAAGGAGCTGGACAAGGCACTCGACCGACAACCCAGAAACAAAACCAGAGTTGTCAAGGCCACACGAACGGACGAGATAAATGTCAACGCACTCTCAGCCGAGGAACAGAAGGAGTTGATGAATAAGGGACTCTGTTTCTTCTGCAAGAAGGGAAAACACCTCGCCAGGTTCTGCCCCAACAAAAAGAAGGGAAAACCGCAACAGAAGATCAGAGAAGTCACCATAGAAGACGAGGCCGAGGAAGGGGAGAGTGACGGAGATGTCCAAGTGAACGCAGCACGATTTGACGACGAACAGGATTTTTGAACAGGCAAGACGAGTCGACGCCGGACTTGCCTAGTACCCCCAGCTTTCATGTAACGCTAGTATCAAATACAGAGCGACGCAGGCACGCGCTCTTGCTCTCTGGTCACATGGAAGTGGGAAAAATCGCCGTCGAAATCAAAGGACTCCTCGATTCGGGAGCAGACGCAGTCATAGTCAATCAAAGACTGGTGGACAAATACAATCTCCCAACCGTCCAACTCCCCGTCCCCATACGATTCAGAAACGCGGACGACTCCATCAACAGTACAGGAAACATCACCCACCGAGTAGAAGGACATTTTCGACTCCAGAACAAGCTGCTGCCAACAAATTGGTATGTCGCCAACATCGGACGAGACGACGTCATCTTTGGCATGCCATGGATAAGAAAATACAACCCAGCGATCGATTGGGAATCAGGACGAATAACCATCGACGCTACGCATATCAAAAGACAGCAGCAGATTGACAAACTACGACGAAGCCGGCCAGCTCCAGAAGGAAGACTGTGGGGTTATCCACTCCAGGGCGAAGTACAGGACAGATTACTGGCCTATCTGGAGATAGATGAAGACGATGAAGGACTCACACACTACCCCTCCAAAATCATCCAGCGACTATACGAAACCGCACAAATCCAGAAGGTTACCAAATCAGCGGAAATTGCAATCGAAGCAAGCAAAGCGAAAGTAGAGAAAACACTAGACGAAATACTACCAGACTTTGTGAAAGGCTACCGACAACTATTCGAAAAGAAAGCGGCGGCACGATTCCCTCCAACACGACCATGGGACCATGCAATTGATCTCAAACCAGATTTTGATTTCAACAAGAGTCGTACATGGAACAAAATCTATCCTCTGACGCTCACGGAACAAGACGAACTAGACAAGTTCATACACGAGAACCTAGAGAAAGGATACATCAAGAGGTCCAAGTCACCCATCGCGTCACCATTCTTCTTCGTGACCAAAAAGGATGGTACACTACGACCTGTCCAAGACTATCGAGCACTCAATGAAGGCACTATACGAAATGCGTACCCACTACCTCTCATCAGCGATCTCATGGACAAACTCAAAGGAGCAAACTTCTTTACCAAATTGGATATACGGGCCGGATACAACAACGTACGCATCAAAGAAGGGGATCAGTGGAAGGCTGCCTTCATCACCCCTTCCGGTCTATTTGAACCTACGGTCATGTTCTTTGGCTTATGCAACGCCCCGGCAACTTTCCAAAGCATGATGAACTACTCATTCGAAGACATGATTCGTGAAGGATGGATCGTAATTTATATGGACGACATTCTTATTTTCTCCCGCCACATCAAAGAACATCACGAACGAACACTAAGAGTCCTCAAACGACTTGAAGAGTTGGACTTATTCGTCAAAGGAGAAAAATGCGAATTTGATGTCACCGAAGTCGAATTCGTAGGATCTATCATAAGACCAAACCAAATCCTTATGGATCCAATTAAAGTCAAAGCAGTACTGGAATGGAAAACACCCAAGAAACTCAAGGAAGTACAAGCGTTTCTAGGTTTCGGCAATTTCTATCGACGGTTCATCAAGGACTACTCGAAGGTGGCTAAACCACTCACGGCGCTTACAAAGAAAGACACACCATTTGTATGGAACGAGGAATGCGAAGCAGCGTTCCAAGAACT